ATATATCTAGATCGTTATAGCGTGAATTATATCACGGTCCTAAAAATACGCAAGATATATTATAAAGAACATAGAAATATAAGATGACTTTATAATACTCTATCGTTGCTAAGATATGATGTTGTAATTTATCGCATTTACTATGGTTTGATTGATTGATTGATTTGTTCCTTAGGCTTTTCACGACCTTGGGTCGTATGCAGCCCCCTAGCTAGTGTGCCCTGCGCCGTTGGATATGTACATTAAATCGATTTATCACCTTACGTCTTTGCCTACCTGGCATCTTTCACTAGTACCCTTCGTACGCCAGCCTTTTAGTCTCAACCGCAAACGCGACAACTGCTTTAACGACCTTGATGTCGGGTTTCTACGTTCTTCCGTTCTGCTTATCCGTACCGTCCACACTCTCTGGTTTACCACCTAGTATGTATGATAGGCTACTGTATTTGGAGCCAGCCGCGTTAATGAGGGCGCGACGTTGTTCGTTCCATTGCACGCACTGGAGCAGGAAGTGCTGTACTGTTTCGCGTTCGACACCACACGCGTATATGTCGCTTTCGCTCTGACTAATCCGATGAAGATACCCATTAAGCCTAGTATATCTTGTGCGAAGCTGAGCTAGAACGGATGCCTTCTCCCGGTCGAAGCAATCATAAATTATCTTTGTATGGGGACCTAGGAGGGCTGAATCCAGCTGGTGGGTGTATTGGCTAGCTACTGACTGTTGGAAAACGCATTGTCGGTGTTCTACTATGCTTAAACGCGCCTACCGTAGCGCTGACGCTCGGGGCCGGATCTTCGCCTATGGTGGAGGATCAATTTTATTGGTCTCCGTTGTGGCGTCGCGTGCAAGGCTGTGTGCTCTTTCCGCGCCTTCTCTAGGATCCTCCATTGCTAGTCGTAAGTTAATCTTAGAGCCTATTTCAGATAGCTGAGTAATTGCGTCGGTGACTTGGGTGATAAGGGTCTGGCCACCTTGGAGATGTGGCTTCGCAAGCGATTGCAAAACCGTACGGTTGCTTAGAACAATTATCGTATGTATTTTCCACGGCGACATCTGGATATGGGGAAGCATTCTCTAGATATATAGGCTTGCCTCCAGTACTGCCCCAAGCTAGGCGTAGTGGGCATTAAGCACGTCGTCGCTGCCAACAGTCTAGGTCGATGTAGCAATGTCGACTTGATTAACGCGGACGACTAGGCCCGTTCCGACTAATCTATTGCGGACGCTTACACTGGTGAATAGCTAAAGGTGGGTATAGCTGGTCTTATGTAGATCGTCTAGAGCAGATCTAGACGATGTAATCAACTCACAGAGAGACTGTTGCTATGGGTCTAGTGGAAAAGGCCGAATCACCTCTATATCTGATAAGTAGTGTGGGCTATGGACCGCTAATATCTTGAACGGTGACGGGTAGCTGCTATCCTATGCGACTGCCGCCGCTCGACACGGCTAGAATGGGTGGTCCTTCGGCAATGTGTGGCAGTTAATCTAGTGCTTTATGATCCGGGCACGTAATCGTGTGTAGGTCGACTCAATCCTAGCTTTGGCTTTGGTAACCGTGAGAGCCGTAGTTCGGATCACGCCAATTATTGCCTGAGCCGCGATCCGCTGAATAGGTTCGAATAGTCGCCCGATTCCGGGGGGAATAATGGTATCCTTTTGGGCAGGGCACTATATGGACGCTGCGTAGTCGATCTTGGACGTAACCGTAGAGATAAATAACTGGCGAGCAACTAGTGGTGGCAAGCCGCGGAGGCGTCTTAGTGCTAAAACGGCCTTCATTCCTTTGCTCGCCGCTCTTCTAATATGTGACTTGAATCGAAGTTCCTAATCGAGTAGTACGCCGAGGATCTTCACTTTAGGCGCCGGAGTGACTGCCGCGCCGTCCATATATAATGGAATAGTAGGGAGTTGCCGTAGCCGCTGGTTCCTCGTAAAGTGGATGAAAGATGTCTTTTCGGCCTTAAAGGCTGCGCTGGATCGTGCCGCCTATTTAAACGCCCGCGGGATGACCTTTTGTTGAAGCGTTGTCGTGTTCGCTTCTGCAGACGGGCCCACTGTCCATCGTGTGTAATCGTCGACGAATGCGATAGCACCTTTCCTCCTAGTGATGGGAATATCCACTAGGTTCGCGTTGAGGAAAAGAAAGAGGATCGGGGAGAGCGGAGAGCCTTGCGGAAGCCCTACGTGCCGGATGTCCACTTCCTCGGACTAGTGCGTATTTACTATGATCGAAGCGCGCCGCGCGAAGCAGAAGCTATCGACCCACCGAACCAGGACGTTTGGAATCCGTCGCTTACGCAGTCTCCGTAATAGCACCCGCCTATCTACTCTATTATAGGCACCTTTCACGTCGAAGCTCACTAGGCTAAGAACCTTGCCCTCACGCTATATATTATATATCTTTTCCACTAGGACGTTAAGCGCTTGTTTGTATGACCGCCTCCGTCGAGCACCGAAGTGATTCGAAGGCAGCAATTGGTGTTTTTCAACTAGCGTTGAGATCCTGTTGGCGACTACTGCTTCTAGCACTTTTCTAAGTGTCGCTAATAGCGAGATAGGACGGTACGACTTCGGTAGTGATGGGTCCCGTCCTCTCTTTGGCAGTACTATAATCTTGGCCACTCTCTAGGCTTTAGGGAAGTAGCTAAGTTGGAGGGAAGCTTGAAAGATCTCGATGACCTAGTGCTTTATGGTTGGCTAGATTTGTTGCTACACCACTGCCGGGAGTCTATTGGGCCCTAGGGCTTTCCACGGAGCTATTTTCATAAGGGTGGCTTCGACTTCGTGTGGCACGATTGTTCCTATTGGGAGAGGGTCCGGCCGTTGCCTTTCTTCCTGCGGCTTATCTAGGATATTAGGTAGCGGAGGGAAAAAGGCTTATAGGAGCGCATGGGCCTTTTCCTGATCGTCGTTATATATCTGATCCGTTGAGCGTAATGTAGGGATAACCCCTATGGATCGTTCTCTAGGCTCTAGATATCGCGCCGCTTTCTAGATGTTGTTAGTATTGTTTAAGAACTCTTGCTAGTGGCGCCGCTTTGCGTCTTGGATTGCACGATGGTACTCTCTCCTTAGGTTGGATGCGGTGTCCTCTAGCTTAGTCAGGGTCACTCTATATCGCCGAGATTGAGTGCACCGATTCTGGCTCCTTGTATATGTGTCTCGTAGCGTGGTTAACTTAGGCGTCCACTATCTCTTGCTATATAGAGATGGACGTGCGATCGGAACTAATCGCCGAACGGTTTAGCTAACTCTGTTTGTTAAGCGTTCCACCGTAGAGTTTAGCTCTGATTGGCTCGTGATGTCTAGCACCTCTATCTCTAGGTCTTTCAATTCCCTGTTAATATCGGCCTATGGGGCCTCGCGGAATAAGGGACGGGGCGATCCGGAGAGTGTTGGTCGCGCGTTGCTTAGGAAGGTCGTTTCAATTGCGCGGTGGTCTGACCTATATTCAACTGGGTGAATGCGACACCTTGTCGCCTGTCTATATAGACCCCTCGACGCAAGGACAAGATTAATGGTCGACCGCTAACGCCCTTCCTCGAAGGTGATGGTCCCACGTGGTAGTAAGCTTATTAGGTTCCAGTCCGCCATTAGAAGTAGAATTGGCTCTGCTTCTCCTTGGCGAATGTGCGTGGCTACTTGGTCGCCCCCCTAGATCTGGTTGTGGCGGTTAAAGTCCCCCGCAATCAAGATATCGACGTCCTCCGTGTGGTCGTGTCGGACCCGTTGATAGGTATAACGGATTGCCTCGAGCACTTAGATTAAGGACTGTATACTATTTGGGCCTCCCTCTGGGGGAACGTATATGGATACTATGAGTGTTGGCGACGGTGTAAATATGAGCACGGCTGCAATGTTGGGTGATGGGATATCGATTTGTCTGTGTGGAAATGTCGTTTTGTTCACCTAGATCATGCTGCGGTACGGCCTTATTCTCCTGGATGGTTGGTGCCGCTGAGAGGGCCAAAGTGGTGTCCAGTGGGCGTGTATATGGGAGCATATAGTGCCGTTCGTCACGAAAATATATGGTTCTGTAATTAATAGTAAATCACACGATCGTAGTGATTGGTCGTTCAGCAAGCTAAGTTGCGTTTCCGGTCCCCTCCTTAGGTTGGCCTGTACGACACGCAATGTCCTACTGACTACTATGGGGCGGAAGATCTGTTCGTCTGGCTGCTATTTCTTGTTCCCGGCGACGGATCAATTTCCACGCTTCGTCCTATTTTGGGTAGTGGCGATCGTTAGCGGCGTGGTTCCCTTGACAGGCCGCGCACTTAAGGACATCGGATATGCAGTCGTCTATACGGTGGTTGCCCGCGTACTTAGCGCAGGCTTCCGAGTTTGGGCATCGGTCTACTTTGTGGTTGTATTGTTGATATTTGCGGCATCGTAGTGGACGCTGACGTTTATAGAAGCAATCAGTAAAAACTACTTCCCCGTGTATATAGGTAATGCGGCGGCTAAGTAGTGCTTCTGCGTCCGCTTGTTTAGAGAGGTAGACGGCTATAGATCCGTATCGTTTCTTTCCGCTTAGCTAAATGATCTTCCTGATCTCCGCATCGCCGTTCTTATCTTGAAAATTTCTTGCAAAACCCTCACGTTGCATCCCCGACACTCCGAAAACACTTTCTTTCTTGACGTCGTTCAATTTGATAGGAAACCATTGTTCGCCCTGTAGCTAGGCTCTAGGCAGGGCGTTTAACTAATGCGTGTCCCGGCGGAGGTTCGTGACGCTTTCCTCTGAGTTGACAAAAACCTTAAGAGTAGTCCGCGAGGTGGGTTTCACCCCCACGATATCTACGTTTGCAGTCGCGGTTTCGCGCTGGAGTGCTGTATGGATCTTCTCTCGCGTCTATGTGGGGTCGTCTACTAGAGTCTTGGTCGCCTCTCTAGCGGAACATAGGTCAATAATCACAGCAGGAAGGCTAAGCCCGGTCCTCGCCGCGCGGGTATTAGAGGACGCTAATGACGATCGCGAGATAATAGATGCCTAGCTTCTCCCTGGGCTACTGACCTGCGTGCTAGGTGGTGTTGTGAGTGCGTTCACCGCTAGAGACTGGACGAGCTCTTTTAGACTAGCGATTTCCTTTTGCAATTCCTGGACCTCTCTTCGAGATTCTATCAATTCCTTGCGGTACAATGCGTTCTCGGTAGTGACCACCGTCAGTGTCTTCGCGTATGCCTCTGACATGCGATCGACTCGAATCATGAGTTCGTTATTCGCCCGTAGGAGCATCTGGAACTCGGTTTGTGGCTGTTCTGGTCCCTGATTGTCCACCTCGGGAGCCTCCATTCGGTTTTCGCAATTATTGTTTTCGTCTTCAACCGCCATGAACACTGGGGACTGGCGAACCAGCCCAGATCTTGTGGTGGGTGGATCGGGGGTGAGGTCTGGAGCGGAACGGGGGGACGCGTTGTTGGACGCGTGCCCGTCGCGCTCGTTGCGCCTCGTAGGCATTTTGCCCGGCAGAGGAACTCGAGCAAGATAGGTTTGTTAGCGGAAAGGATGTACTTACTTTACTATGATCGCGTTTTTTTTCGCCTTCGCCGCTCTTATTATGGTGTTTGGGGGTGCGTCACTCGGTTGGGTGCGTCACTCGGCTCGCATTTACTATGGTGTTTGGGGGTGCGTCACTCGGTTGGGTGCGTCACTCGGCTGGGAATTACGTTAAGCGAGCTGCGCACCCCAACCATTTTTTCGCGTCTACACCGCGTCCTTCTATTTCTACCAACCACCATGCCTCCAAAACGTGTTCAATCAAACCGAAATCCCGTCGAGCAAGAAGGCCGCATTTTATTAGCTATGCAAGCTATTAAAAACAAAGAAATTAGCTCTATACGCGAGACCGCGCGCCGTTTTAATGTGCCCGAATCTACGCTACGTACACGACTCCGCGGCACTACAAATCGCGTTGAATCTCGCGCCAATAGCCATAAATTGACCCAAATTGAAGAGGAATCGCTTAAGAGGTGGATATTATCAATGGATGCGCGTGGAGCAGCCCCCAGGCCCTCTATAGTGCGAGAAATGGCGAATCTTTTGCTTGCAAAGCGCGGTTCAACCCCAATCCAAACAGTCGGCGAAAAATGGGTCTATAACTATACCCAACGCACTCCAGAGCTTCAGGCACGCTTTTCACGTCGATATAACTATTAGCGAGCAAAACAAGAGGATCCAAAGGTTATTCAAGAGTGGTTTGATCGCGTACAAGCTACGGTTCAGCAATACGGTATCCTACCAGAGGATATCTATAATTTTGACGAGACGGGCTTCGCGATGGGCCTCACAGCGACCGCAAAGGTTATTACCCGAGCAGAATACTACGGTCGGAGAGCGGTTTTACAGCAAGGAAATCGCGAGTGGGTGACTATAATCGAGTCAATAAGCGCTTCTGGGTGGGCGCTTCCGCCAACGATTATCTTTAAAGGCAAACTATATAATCAGGCTTGGTTCGGCGACCTCCCGGGTGATTGGCGCTTCGAAGTTAGTCAAAACGGGTGGACGACCGACGATATAGGCCTTCGATGGCTTCAAAAGCTATTTATACCGTCAACGAATAGCCGTACGCAAGGCCGATATCGTTTATTAGTCCTCGACGGGCACGGTAGCCATCTAACGCCTCTATTCGACTAAATTTGCTCGGAAAACGAGATAATTCCTATTTGTATGCCAGCGTATAGCTCGCATCTTTTACAGCCGCTTGATATTGGTTGTTTTGCGGTTTTAAAGCGCTCTTACGGAGGCTTAGTTGATCAAAAAATAAGGCTTGGCATCAACCATATTGATAAGCTTGATTTCCTTATAGCCTACCCAACTGCTCGCGATAGCGCTTTTCAAGCGCTTATAATAAAAAATAGCTTCGCAGCAGGGGATTTAGTGCCATTCGACCCAGAACGAGTGCTTTCAAAGCTCAATATCCGGCTTCGGACGCCCACACCCTTAGGAAGCCGCCCATCTAGCCGATCTAGCGTTTTTACACCAAAAACACCCTCAACCGTCGCCGAATTGCTAAAACAAGGCGCGTCAATCCAGGCCTTCCTAAAACGACTCTCACACAGCCCTCCATCGCCCTCACAGACGGCGTTAAACCAGCTTATCAAGGGCTGCCAGCTCGCTATGCAGAACGGCATATTACTTGAGCAAGAAAGCAAGGAATTACGGGCTGCCAACGCGGTGCAAAGGCAAAAACGCGCACGGGTTAGTAGGCAGATAGCCTATGATGCTGGGACCTCAGTGCTAGAAGCTCAGGGGCATAGGGTTACCCGTGAGGCTAGTTTACAGCCTATTATACCGTCTCTAGCAAACCCTGGGCAGCCTATTCAACCAGCAGCAGCGCCAGCGCAAAGGCGTCAATTTGCGTGTTCTATATGCGGTGAGAAAGGGCATAAGGCCCCTAGATGCCCAGTTAGGTAGAATAATTAATATAAAGGCGTTTTGGTTGAAAAAAATAGATGTAAATTAAAAAGCGGATGGTTGGGTGGCTGGCTCGCTTACCGGTTACGTTAGTATTTAGCTGAATCCCGACCCTCGTCGGGAAGGACAATCAATTATTCCGTTTCATTCTCTCAGAGAGTTGGATCCCAGGTCACGTGATGCATATAGATCTGTAGGAGTGGCTGCCTGTTAGGCAGGCACTCCGCTAGGCAGCAGAGAGATGAGCTGCTGCAACTACAAATAGCTGGATCTTTTCATATAGATCAATTATCACATTTGTACCTCAATCCAGGGTTCAACTAAGTCAGAGATATGCCGGCTACCGCAATTATACAGACCCATGTACGCACATGTGAAATGGGCCACTTCTTGAAACGAATTTAGAGCCTCGCCAGGGTCTTCCCTGGCCTAAGTTCCGTTTGCATTGCCAAATCACGGGCGACTTCGGATTCGTTATGACGCCTCCGCAAAAATCAGTACAGCATCCGGCGTCTCGGCTCGCGAGGCGTGGTCTAGCTAGCCCCCTATCCCCTCTCGAGAAACTCCAGCAAACTTGACGCGCTATCAAAAGTGTCGCCAAATTTCTCCACAATTCCCGCCATAGACTCCTCAGACCGAGGCAGTCCGTGTCTCAGGGTTACCCGGTCGCCACAGACGCACCGGTCGCTGCCTTTGAAGCGAAATGCCTTCGTATATAGGACAGCAAACAGTTCGCAGTTCGCAGTTGTGCGAGAAGGTAAGCTCGACTCCTCGGTGGAAGACCGTAGATCCATCTTGTGTACTTAACAGATAATGTGTTGCTTATCGTAAGTGGGTTCCTTCTCCAGGCTCTTTCCATTTTTTCTCCCACTGGACGTAGATATTCTCGTGGATGAAAGCTTTATTTCGTGGCAGCAGGGACCAAAATGCGTAGTTTTTGCCCTCTATGGCTGCTTTTTGACCAAACGGTCCACTAATTCATTCCGGGGAGCTTCGCAATGCCCTCGTATCCGTTCTAGACGGACCTTGACGCAGTGGGTCTTGGTGTTTGTGCCTACTCGTATAAGGGCATAGTCTCACTGCTGTTTACGTCCGTTCCCCGGATTCTGGATGGCTTGCAGTGCTGACATGCTGTCGTCGAGGTTGGTGGCGGATCTCTCACGCTCGTCGGCTGGTCTTCGCTATTGGAGGTCGACCTTGTTTATGATGTTGATGACATGCAGATCCCAAATCAGTTCCGCGGAATGCACCGACCATCATCGGTTCGGCCTGAATCTGCAAGGATTCGGCAACTTCCAGTTGTCGTCGAGCGTTACGGCTGCGACACCCAGATGATCTTGGCGCCACGACGCAACCGGGTAGACGACAATGTCTTATGTGGGTGAAAAATGGATTTTCGACGTGCCTGTACATGCCCATCAAACCATGACTGCTGTTTCAGGCTCGAAGATAGGCTTTTGGCTGACCCGATACTCCAAACGATCGGTCCAAAAGTGGGAGAAAATAGCATGTAGAGTTGGAACAGCGCCAAAAATGGTGCCTGCGATAGGGAAGGCCACCCGCTCTAGGAGATACTTTGGCATGTACCACTTGCGATGAGAGAAGCCAGTACCCGAGAGATTGGCAGCATGCATGGCCTGTATTCGAGCTTCAACACAAAGCTTATGCCAGCGGTCGTATAATACAATAGCGACATTCATACCCATAAAGGAAAGCGTGCGTAGCATATTAGTCAAGGAAAACGCCCATACCAACATTGGGTGCAGCCGGTCACTGGGCGTCCAAACGGTGTAGAGAGCGGAAAAGACTAGTAGTAATGTCACATGACACGGTAAAAAATGTGCCTCCCACAGCAGGTGGAAGAGTATAAAATGTCGTGGCCGCAGAAGAAAGTCCCGACGGTTGAAACGCATGCAGCTAATCATCTGTCGCACAGCAAATCCCGAGTCAAGTGCGCCCCACATATGCCGTAGGGCTTGTCGATATCTAGCAATAGTTGTATTCAGAACACGCTGGCAAGCCCGGCCTTTATCACTCGATACATTGCACTGACTAGCAGGTACATAGATTGTTCGAGTGATCAAATTTCCGGCGGTCTGGAAATAGCATTTGAGTAACATATGCATATCTTCTCCAATAGCTGTTGGGTCGCTGTCCCACCCGCCAACCTTTTCAACTAAAGACAACGGCAAGGAGTACACGGACGTTGGCATTGCGATCGAGGAGCCTGGATACATTGTAGATATACCGGCAAATCCCCAAAGGAGATCCGCACAACGAACTAGGGTCGGTGTCTCATGAGAGTTGCGGTCGAAAATGATCGGACAGCAATAGAGCGACCGCTCAGCGTCAGCAAAATATAAAGCACGAAGTCGCTGGATCTCAGTGAAATATTCCCTGGGCAAATGTGTATCGGCTAGTCGTTGGTCAAAATTCTGTACTTCCAACGAATGTGACTATAGGAACGATACTTACCGTCTATGACTGTCACAACCACATTACAAAGTTCCGAGTGCAAAAATTCCCGGTAGGTCTTGATGATATAACGAGCCGCGAAGGCCACGTTCGAGCCCTTGCCTGCTATTTCCGCATCAATTCCAGATGGATGAAAGGTAGTTTCAATCCTGAGAAACGAATGTTCGAAGGTAGCCGCTAGGTTTGCTGCTTTTTCCACAGCCATTCCTTCCTTTTCTTCCATTGCCAAATAAATCTGTCCACGGCAAATGAATTTTCGGTTTATCAAGTGGTATTTCAAAGACAGGACTGACCTCATAATGGGACTTTGCATTCGGATGGCTTGCCAGGACTCTCAGGGTCGTCCGTAGTGTGTCTTCATTTTCGCGGTAGTTAGGAAGAATGATGGCGTGTATGATCTCCTTGCCCCTCGTTTCCGATCTGATTTTACCCTTGGTCTTTCTGCAGTACTCGTCCGTGGAAGCGTGGGCATGGCTCCAGGTATTCGACTCACAGAGAAATTGTCGATCACAATTGCATGGAAACGAGGTGATCCTTGGACAAGAATGTCTCTGTAACGCTAGCCGAGTTTTCTCGGTAACCCAGACCAGCGCCCAAGCCAGACGGAGGGTGAATGCAAACATATTAATGTGAATCAACACAGTATAAACGACAAATGCTTTCTGTGCCAAATTCAAGGGAACCTGCACTTTCTCTTCGGGTCTTCCAACCTGGTAGGACAAAAATTTCCTCAAGATGCCGGAAAAGGCAAGAAAAAGAAGCAAAACCAGAGTCAGGATACTGAATCCAGGAAGGCAGCGCGTGCTCCATCGTAACATATCGACAATAAGTGTTCGAAATTCACGAGATGTTTTTTGGAGAAAACAAGTTAACCGTCTGGTTTCAGTGAATAAATCAGTGACAGAAGAAGACCGGTGCAGCTGCAGATAAATATGCCGCTTTTCGCCGTCAATGCCGTTTGTCGTAATGCTTCCGCTTTCGGCGGGCGGGTCAAGTTTGAAATCGGCATTTCAGCAACCGAGAAACTCGAGTCTTAAGCAACTATAGTGCTAAACACCCTGAAGTAAGAATTAAACTTAGCCTATCGAAGTTAAAAAGCCCTCATCGGCCTGATTTCTAGATTCCAACACCTGTCAAGATTGGAAACTACCGGGTTTGGAAAGATGACGATACGACACGGGTCATTCGGATATGGAACTTTGTTGCCTGAACAGTTTTTGCCGCACATTCCTCATCCGGTTGCGGGCAAGTCAAGACGCAGCAGCATTTTCAAGAGTTGGACTGACAGTGCCCATAACCGGGATTGGAAAGAAAATCGTCATAGAATTCCAGAATGGGTCGTCCATCCAGAGCTAGGAAAAGCTTGTATTGAGAAAAAGATCGAGGTCAGAATTTATCCGGTCATTTGGTCGACCTGCCCCGCAATAATAGTATGATGCGCAACATCGATTTCGTCCACTCAGCTTCTCCCACCCTGCGAAGCGGACACGGACCCCATCCCGCTGATAAATGGTGCGGTGACACCGTGGCCCGCCCTCGCAGTAAACCCCTGATTCGATGAGCATTCACGAGAAAGTTCTCGAGACTCAGCTGTGTGATGGTTAATTTCCCTTAATTTCCTCCGAGGTCAGTGCAAATTTTCAAAACGAGTAGAACCGCCATCTCTACCGACGGTTGCTCCGCTACTTTTTTCCCCACGCAGCTACGCAAAATAAAACATGTAGTAATAAGAGCTAAAAAGTTGGACAAAGTCCCCCAACAGCCTCACTTTCCTTTTGCGCCTCAAGACAAGCTAAGAATTGACGGGCTTCTTCTCCATACCTAGCCTTGCTGACCCTAAATTTCCGTTTCTCCTATTTTCAGCGCTGAATCAAAAGCATAGTGTATTAAGTATATTATAAGTAATGTGGGTTACCCTTATCGTGGACGCATCCAGCTCAGATGTATATTCGTAATAAAATGACGCTCCAGGCGTACAGGCTGCTTCTTCTGAAGACTTCACTCTCCGACGCCGACTGAGTCCCACCGTGGAGTCCGTTTGTCTTCTTCAATCCAATCTTTGATTACGCAAGGGGCACGGTCTGGACCCTGGCACACCTGGCGCCGGTTGAGATGCTTGAACCGGGGTCCGAGGGGTCCATTTACATAGTGGTATTGACCGGCGAATCGATACTGTCGCGAGTCACTCAGCCGATAGAACTTGTCGCCCCAATGGCCGCGGAAGTGGAACCACTCTGTGGGCGAGGCGGGGCTGAATGTGGATGCGCGCAGGGCGTCGTTGTCAAAGTCATATGTATATGCATGGGTGTTGAGTAAGGGATCCCACAGTGGGCCCCGATCGGTCACATCATGCAGAAGTCCCCATGGCAGGATGTACTCATGCACTCCGGTAGTGGCGTACATGGCATGACTTCCCTCGGCAGAGTAAATTACCGGCTGGGACAAGTTAGTACTTGGGACTCTATTTGGGTGGAGTCTTGACTCACCCGCTGTCCGATCTTTTCAACGGCTTCATATCGATACGCTTCACCAGCTGCGTGGGCACTGAAGAAGAGAACCTTTGGCTGACCGTCGTAGAAGCGCACGAGACAATGCTCCCAATCTCCAACATGGTTGCCAAACCGCATATTGACGACGGTGTTGCCTAGATTGAATCCGTAAAAGAAGAACCAAAAAGCATCCACCACCCCGTTACCCTTATCCATCAGGAGCAAGATCGCAGGTGCATCGCTGCGACCACCCGCTTCCTCGGTACGCGTATCTTGGAGAGGGTCTTGAATCTTTTTACCGCCATAGCGTTTGTGCAGCTCTTGTTTCAGCAATCGGTGCGCTTGGGCTGAAACCTTGTCTGTATCTTCGCCTTTCCGGTGTCTCAGATCAAACCACTTGGCACGATCCAGTTCGGTATCATCCGGGATCTCCCCATCCACTCGACCGTCCCAGTCAGGCCATGATTCTTTAGTCTTCTCGTCTGATTCGGGGATATTCTTCTCACCCTCCAGCCAAGGGGGCTGGGTCTGTACGTCGTCGTCACTAGTCAAGAATACATGGCGTCCCCCTTCCCATTGGTTTAGGTCATCAAGGTCCTCCAGTGTCGGATGGTCCCATTGGGCCTGGACTGGAGTGTAATTGAGCATAGGAGTGGTGTGGTAGAGATGCTCTGCGATATCACCGGGCCAAAACAGCTCTCCAGAGTAAAGATGGACGAGCGGGGCATAGTCAAAAACATAGTCGGGGATCTCCCGCCTAGCCCACTCCTCGGCATCCCACTTGGACCGATTACTAGACCCGCAGAACCAGAACGACCGCCACGGCTCCGGTTCGGTATCTTTTGACTCTGAAAGTCTTGCCGAGCTGTGCTGTCCAAACTGTGCGTCAGCCGTTTGGAAATGCGCCACGCCGCAGACACCGAGCCAGCGGCAGCTCTTGCGGTCGAGCCAGGACCGCGAGCTCGCGGTCCAGCTCGGCTCATCTTCGTCCTCCTCATACCACACAAAGGCCGTTGGTTTGAGGGCGTGGAAGAGGCTGTTGATGAGTAGATATACGATCAGAGTCAAGAGGGAAACAATGGTAGCCCTGGCCTTGCGAGTCATCTGCTGAAACGGGTCGGCATGGACTATCAGTGGTGGCAGCTGAGAGTCGTGATGTTCATGAACTGAAAATACTGTTCGTCAAAACCTCGTTCGAGGCCGAATGGGCAATGCAATGGGACACAGTTGCCAAGGCAGTGATTGGGTATGCCGGGAAATTTATAGTGGGACGAGAAACAACAATTGGAACAACCAGAGCACACGACGTGGATGAGAGGCGTATAAAGTAATTTGATCAGTGACCGGGCGTTCCGTTTCCAGCAAGTGTTCCTCGCGGAAAAAAAAAAAGAAGACGGTTTTCGAGCAGGTTAGTGCGATCGGCCGAGAGTTTGCGGAAACGGATGACAACCGCCAGGCCGAAATATCATCATCATAGAGTCCCGGTGGTCACACGTGGGAGTTCCGTGCAGAGACTAAGGGTAAGGTCTACTTGGTTCGAGCCAGAACATTACCCGGATCGAGGTCAAGGTGGTAGATATCGATCCGGTGATTACGCCCGCAAGAGCCAAGAAAAGCTTAGCTTGCACAAATTATAGTTTAAGACTTGGGCCATGTGCCCCACTTTTCTCAGCTGTCGGCGCGCCTAGTCGCAATTCTCGCCATGACGCAAAGTACTTGCTAGTTCATACAGTGATGCAGCAAAAGTTTCAACACCCCTGGACCTAACCCGGCGATTGTAGAAACACTGTCTAGGCATAATCCCCCCACGTTGCTGGACAGATGTCTAACTAGGACGAATGCTTTCAATTCCAAGACAAGAGGTGGGCCTGTAAATGCAATAAGTACAAATAGTCTAAATAAGGGGCGGAAAATGTAGCGCTCTAAACCATACAGGACAATTGATCGCAACAGACGGGAGTCAAGAGGGTAACGGTAGGCTCCCACAGGTCTGATCGTCTCCATCATATCGGTTCGCCCACTGAATGCCCACCTGACTGTCATTCCCACTTGATCGGATGAAACAGCATGCTCCGTAAACAAAGCCGGGATTGTCCTTCTGTGTCAGCATGCTTTTCGTCCTCTACATCGCCCTCCTTCCTTTCACTCAACCACCGGCGCCATAGTCGCCCAGCGAACTCTGCATGATAGTACCACGTCGTGCCCTTGAAATTGTGCTCATTAGCAAAGGCAAAAGGACTCCCTGGCCCACCGGCCGTGTGGTCTTTGCCGCCATTGAACACCTTGTCGACGGTTTCTAGAGGCCAGGATCGCTCCAGGTAAACAGGGTGTGGGGCAAAGACTGCCTTGAGGCCATAATGTAGCGCTACTGTTTGCGGAAACATCTCAGTGAACATGCTATGGTGCATCTTCCACGTTTCTTGATGCATGGTATTAAGTAGGCGCCAACTAAGCCTGCTTGCTGTCACAAGGGTCGACCGCCGGGGAGGCAGTGAATGTCTGACGTCATATCCGGTGATGTCTTTGCTGAAAACCCAGCCACTGTCCTCAACATCAAATAGAGGGTTGAGCGTGATCAAGTCGGCTGGCTCATCGACACCGCACAATGAAACGTTTGCATCACCCTTGCGTGATTCGCCCAGGTAGTCCTCCATGACGCAATTGACCTGCTCTTCTCTGTCAAACTCAATGGGGCCCATAATGGGTTGGCGTCCGCTCGTCCGCAGATTGCGTTGAATGTTTTCGGTGAAAGCTTCCCAAGAACCATGAAGCGCGGGGATATAGTACCGTGCTGATCGCTCCCAGGCCCCGGTGCGCGGCTGCCTTGCCGCCCAGTCTCCAAGCCTGGAAAAAAGTTCATAATATGAACCAATATAGCGTATGTCGAGCTCCCAGTTCCAGAAATGCGCATATTCAGGATGATGGACGGCGAAATGTTGAAGTGGCATATGTGCTGAGCGATGTACACTGTGGATGTCTCCGCCCGATGGGTTTTCGACAGAGACTCCAAAGTTCCCTGGGTAATACAGCCTCATTTGCGCCTCTGACCACAATGTGCAGATCGAGTGGAACTCCTTTGGGACATGCTCATCCAGCACACTTTGCCGTGTCACTGCATCTGCCCAGATGGGAATATCATCATCCTTCACGTGCAAAAGGAGATGTACCGCATACTCACCGCCAGACTTCAGAGCCGTTTCGCTGATCAAGGCGCGAATTTTCAACTTTGCATATTGCGTCCACAAGAAGCCGGTGTAAGTCCGGATGACGACGGCTTGTCTCTTCTTCTTTCCCGATTCAATTGTGCCATCACCGGCAACGAAATGTTGTTGGTTTGACTCGTAACACCGGTGTTGCGCCTCGCCCCAGTCGATATCTCTGTAGTCAATAAGGCCGGTCTTCTTCCAAACGTCCGCGACCCTTGGGTCTAGCCGGTGCGACATTCCTTCACCAGTTCCGCCTTCTTCAATGCTGTAACCCAATCCGTACGGGCCGTATCTACCGTACCGGTCGAAACAAATATCGTCTCTGAGATGGAGAAGATTGTGGGACCCCATGGCTGGGAGTGGCTGGAACTGGGGAACCCCACTGTAGGCGTAAAGGTCAGGAGCTTCTATCTTCGCGGCGGAGTCGAGATAGCAGTGTTCTATCAATTCGTGTTTACTACCTGTTTCTTCTGTCTGGTCAAGATAAGGTTGGAATTGGAACAACTGCGGCGGGCTCAAGCGATCAGACGCTGTCGGTGGAGCAGAATTCGTTAAAATTGCATTTTTGGCGTTGGGATACTCCGGAGAATAGTTTGAACATGTCACGATTGACTCGAGACCATGCGAATATCCGTCCAGTCTGTATATTCTATGTCAGTGGCACTCCCACTCGCAGCGAGATGCAGTTACTTACATTGGATACTTCAACCAATGCGGAGAGAGAGTTTCCACGGCCCCTACCATTCGGCGAGTCCCATGTATGACCCAGAACAATAGTATGACTGCGATGATGATACCTGTCACTAACTTCCGACACACACGTCGCCCGGCCGGGAAGTTAACGAAAAGCTGATTCTCGCCGGAGTCGGGTAGTAGCGTATAAGGGCTCCTACGGGTCAGCGCGGGAAAGTGCTTCAAGAAAAAGCTGCGCAAAGCGAGCAGAATAAACGCCATGAATTGTGGTAAACAATGATGGGCTGCTTGTATTATGGGTAATCTCTGTAGATTAGTAAAAGCAACGGCCACAACTTTCCACGGGCTTAGACACCGACAACGGCGCTCCGCGTCATATCAACGCAAGCAAACCAGTACCCTTCCAAGCATTTGCCGAACTTCTGGTGGTGTTGGGGTTTGGGCCTGGCCAGAAGTGCCGTACACCCGAACACTTCAGTCACAGTAGACATCGCCGGTTTTGGGTAAAACTAGCCACCAGCAGGATCAATGCTCAACAACCCGGGCGCAACAGTCTGCGGGAAAATTAAAATGCAACCCTCCTTTTGCGCTGGTATTACCCACTGCCTTCAAATCCGCTTATGCCCATACGCTCATGGAAGCTTTTAATATGATTTCCGCCACCCAGGGTCCACACGTCATTTTTCTTGCGGATGAAATGCTGCCGAAGGGGGCGCTGGCTCGACAGGATCGAGTATTTGGTTGGAAGGTTAGGGGCGGCAAGGGGGGTTTAATAGTATCAATTCCGTATATTTATATTCGTGAGATATCCAAGTCGTGGGTGAAGCGGACGAAACGCGCAGTTCGACTTTCACGGCTTTCTCAGTTGGTGACTATCAGACCGGCCGACAGCTGCGTCAATTCATGACGGCTTCGATCATAGGCACTGTATGTTCCCTTCTTATATTTTCCTTTTCTCCCTTTCATAACCTCTATCAACAGCATCGCTTCCGTCGATACATCCATCAACGAACGGCGGTTGCAGCGAAGAGAAACCCAAAGGAGGGGCACACGATGGGCGATCGCTTGCAACGAATTAAGCTTTCTATATGTGCCCTATATTCGACGTATTGAGGCTATGTCGCGGGCATGCCTGTTTCGTGTCCGCATGACAGGTTTCATGATACGAGTTTTGTATGTCCGGAACCATGCGGACGAACCAACCGAATGCGGCCGTATAGACCGTGTGCGGCATCAACTGGAACCACATTCCATCCTCTCGTACTCCCAAAGAGATTATGGATAGAAGCGGTGAATCCATTGAGCAGGAATTTCGGGTAGGGGTAGGGTTGCGAGAGGTCTCGGGTGCCAGATTTAAACTGGCTCTAGGTCTTAAAACTGGAAGATGACTCGTGTCACTAGGCCTCGCCAAAACCCGCCCAAACCCGCCCACGAGAACCGGAGGGTAGTTAACTAAGCTATCCAAATATTACGTCATCTCTCACTATTGTACAATTCACTTATTGTACCTGATTTCGCTTGGATGGGAGGGCGTACAATAAGCGAGAGCTGACTGTATTTGGTCACCTGCTTCAATGAATCTGAACACAAATAGCGGACTTTCACGAACTCGATGAATTATACATCTTCTGTACCAAACCTCCAGCATGCCTTCTCTTCAAACCAAAGCGATCTAAATCCGTGTCTATTCATTCAGTAAACGAACATGTCTTACCCATTTATCCACTCGAGGCGTCCATAACAGTGAAAGGCTATTCAGTGCGCCGGAGACAGATTCCCATTTGTCCGGCCTTTTGTCTCACCGACTACAAAATTCAAGGCGCGACCCTTGAATCCGCCATTTTGGATCTCAAGGATGATCGGAATGGTCGACGCCAAGTCTCGCACCGGAAATATTGCTCTACTTACGTTCAACTGTCTCGCCTGCGCTCACTGACTGGTCTTCACCTTCTACAACCGATTGATATGAGTGACCTCCAGCACAGGCCGGATCCTCATTGCTCGGTGAGATGCAAAGATTGCAAGCCCACGAGCTCGAGACTCTTGCTGCATGGCAAACCAATAACTCCAGATAACCCACCGCATGCCCAATCATTCTCCTCCGCGTCTTGCGCACATGCGCTATTAAATTAATAAAGACAGACCTCATGCTCTCTATTCTCTATTCAACGTCTTCTTGAGAGGAGCAGTGAGAGGGCTTTTGGACTGATCATAATCACATTCGTATCTACACATATAGTTATGCACCGTTACAGGTTTCGACCAGGCCATCCCTGCGAGACCACGCCGCATGGCGTTCTAGCCTAAAATAAACTATTTTCCACATCCTCCCACCTTCCTCGTCTTTATAGCCACAAACCCGTATATGCACTACCTTTCTATGTTTCCTAGAATATCAAGCCCCATACCTAACTACATTCATTTCCGTCATGCCATCAAATAAAGATTTCCCGGCAATTCTTCACATCCGCGATTTCATCGAGCATGTCGAACCGGATCCAACGCGCCCCGGTAAAGGATTTTCCATGCAGTTGCGTGTTTCACTCAATATCCCAGACAAAGATATACGATCAGACGATGTTGAACAGGATGACATCCCCACCCTGATTCGATTTTTTAATAAGGGCAACCGACCTGAGCTATACCAACCAAACGCTTTTATCTATGCATGGGGCACTTTCCTCACCAACTCCTCTGACAGTGAGGACTTCCATATTCTTCTTTATGCTAGCAGCGTTGATCGATGAAAACAGACTTAGAACGAATATGTCTGGTCAGAATGGATTTTATGTTTGAACAAGCATACTGAGCTTGAAAAACAGGCCGAAATCGCCTCCTTATACTTGATAGCACGAAAATCACTACTCGATAGACCTTAGGCCGTAAATTGAACGGAACTATCACACTACGTCTGCCTCCTCATTTCTCATACTAAATAGTAATGATCGTCTTAACCCCGTTAAGCGAGCGTAAGTCGGCGAGCCGAGGACCTAATGCGTGCTAGTATAACCCACACTACTTCCCTATACGTTGCTTCTTTGCTTTCGTTAAGTTGAAAAACGCAATATTCATTTATAGTCTAGTTAGGTCCTCGTCTGTCAAGACACTATAGCCGACGCCTATATTATTATCTCCTTGTAGAGCTCTACTCTAATGGGAGTAAACTGTAAGACAATATATATACGTTCTACGAAAGAGCTGCCTTGTGCGCGACCGTCACTAGATACTCGGAAATTCGATAGAGCCGAAGCTTAGAAATGGTTCGCACAAAATGGAGAATAGCGTAGACGATACGGGGCACTGCTGAAGACTGAGTCTAATGACTAGTTTTAGTACTTAGAGGTTGCCGATACCCTTCCTTATTGTTTAACATCGGTAGCTACTGGGGACTTAGATTTAGTACGTTTGACATTAATGGTTCTGGTTTTTTTAGCTAGTGTCCTACTAAATATGTTAAAGGAAAATGTTCTACGCGTCTTAGATATGTTCGATCCTGGCATAGGCTATCTCGTTGATGGCCCTATAATCGCTAGCCCCTTAAGTGGAATATCTTGTGGGTTTACGACTTGGTTAATGGCTGAATACTATATCTATACACTGATTGCGCCTTGTCTCAGTACTTATTGGGGGTTGTGTTTGGACGAAATCTATCTTAGATCTTGGGGTTAGTAGGCTACAATATAAATTGCGGCCGCGTATTAACCTATCGATAGTAAACTTGCCTTGACTATAAAAAGGTTAAGCAATCTCTATATTAGAACCTCTTATAGTGTTTAGGCGGTATTAGGAGAATCTCACGTTCTAAAATAGGCGTCTTCTTACCTAACGCTAGCCAATATTCCTTCACAAGTTTATATAGTGCTTTCGGAACTTTATTGTCGCGAGTAACCTATACTAAGGTATACTATTTAGAAGAACAATTGGTATATTCTGCCGTTCGATACATTTCGATATATATATTAAAGGCTATAAGAGTACCTACTATATATACCTCGAATGTGCCGTCGTAGGATTGCTACTATTCTAAGGACGGGCGTTGTGGGCCATCGCTTTTCTATCGATGCGGCTGTAGCCTATATTCTGCTAATGCTAGCGTATGCCGGAAGAGGTTCGGCTTAGCCATTATCACTAAGTTACGAACTTCTCCGCGATTAAAGGAGCCAAACGAATAAGTACGATAGGAAAGCGACGAATTATTGACGGAAATTGTTCTCTAGGAGTCTATAGAGAAGCGAGGATCTCCGAAGTGCCGAAATTCTTAAAATATAAGTAGTGTGTCGCTAATCCGTCCTCTGCCCTCTTTAATAGGGCGGCTTTGTTTTCTGGATTAAGTAATCCGTTAGTAGCATAGGAGGCTAAACATTGATATATAACGAGTATTTACCACAGCACCTGACGCACTACTAAGAATGGCACTAAAGCTCTATTTAGAGATAATTCCCTATAGTGCTCTTATTCATTATAGAGCGATATTAGTCGTGATATTATAGTATTATAGCGTTATCGCTAGCTAGCTATAGCAGTTGACTTTCGATGGGATTGGATATTATTGGAAACTTATAAGAGCTACGGAAATAAGATATACGTACTATATATAATGTATTTTAAGCGTCCGTGCCTAGCACGAAAATAATTCTATCTTGAACGTAACTACCAGTAATGACTCTCCTTATTAGGTCTTTATTCTCTTATATGTTTTATGGCCGAATGATCTCCTACGCGTGACTAGAGGATCTCTCCTCTCGGGTATTTAGGGCCTCGTGCTAAACTTTCTGGGACGGGCACTTTAACACGGAACCCCCAATAGGTACAGAGGGATAAAGTTAGTAGAAGATAGTCAAAATCATCTATCACTTTAGGGTTAGTAACGGAGTACTATATATAGTGCTAACGGGATATTAGACGGTCACGTCCTTAGTAGATATACCAGTCCCCCATCTAGAGATATAGTTATAGGAATCGTAGTACTAATATCCGAAGAACTACGTATATATATAGATGCCTTCCTAGTGATACGCTTAGCGTCGGAAAGAACTATATCGCCTCGGAGTGGTTTAGTTTTCTACTTTATTCCATAAGCATTCTTAGTCGCTTATCGTAGGCTCTCGCTGCCAAAAAAACGGTCCAAAGACCTGCTATTCTTGGATAGGATAAATAACAGGCACTTTAGACAATTCTTGCCTAAATGGCGCGAGATTACTTTCCGCCTATGTCTATTATCCCTCCTGTTGACTGTCAACAGAAAGGCTTTATGCTATTGCGCCTACCAAGGAGGGAGAGAGTCAGTGAGCTACCAATACCTAGGATGGATAAAATATATTAAACGTATTAGACAAGAATGCCGCAAAAGCACATCGAGGGTTAGGCGGACAGGGCCATCCAACTATATATATTACTATTTACACTGACAATGTCCAGCGCGCGCGATATGACGATGTAAAGCGGTGCAACAAAAAACTCATGGTGATAACGCGACCAAAGAGAATAAGCCTAAGGTATAACTAATACCGCCCAAGCCAGATGAGCAGTACAGATGGGCCACCGGTAAATCACTGTATACCACCCGAGATCTGGTGTTTATGCCAGCCACAGGAGCAGAACGACTTTTCAATAGTGCGTGGGATATTTGCCACTACCGCCGAGGTTCTCTCAACGACTCAACTACCGGAGACTTGATGATGTACATGTGCTCAGAAAAGTTTAACTTGGGTAGCCAGCAGCTAAGCAATCTAGTGAGATTGCCGACAGAAAGAGGTACCGTGGGGACGCTTGAAGAAGAAGAGGAACACTTTGACCTCATCAGCGATGGGAGAAGAAAGCAATCAAAATTCATTTACGAACAATGAAGTTGCGGCTGAAGAAGTAGTACAAACATAGAAGCATCAGGTTCGGTGTACCAGAACGACGAGCAGAATGTCGAGGAGGGAACAGACGAGGATGGATCATAGATCTCTCAAGAGATCTGGCAGAGTGACAGTGCCATCTAGGAATAAGCGAAGAATATGATTTGTACTTTCCTTTCTACAAAATATCCGCAGAAGTCAAGCGTGGCAGACGGTGCACTCCAGGCTATCAAACCAGGTAGATACACAGAAGATAGGGAAATACAGCACAATACAATATTTAATGTAAGCTGATAGGTCAACTTTTTTGCTTTTGCGGGTCGTTGGTCTGCTGACTACCCGACCCAACTGGTATGCGGTTTTTCGCGGGCGGTTTGAATCTTGGGCGGGTTTTGGCGAGGCTTACTCTGTAGTAAAGGTCTTGTAATTGGAAAGCCCGCAGCTTCGTGCCGCTGCTGCCACCTACAGAGATATAGGCCACTGAGATGCCGGTGGGCGCGTTGGCTTGGAAGAAGACCGGGTAAGCTCTCCTTCAAATCTCGCAGGATCAAGACCTACACTATTGTATGAAATGCGCATGAATGCTTCTTGTCTACCTTCCACACATTCACAAACCTCCTCGCGCTTTCCGCTTGCCCATGACCTTTTCACATCTCAGCAGCTGTGACACGTAACGGACTGGGATTTAGCACTTGGCTCTCTCGCTCTTCTGAAAACTGCCGTAAGAGGGTCCACAATGTTTGCGAGCGATACCGACCCAAGGAATTTCAAGTAATATGAAGACGACCATCCCTCCTATTTCGGCTCTGTCAGCCAGCTCTTGCTCGCGTTGTCAAGTAGACAATTCTATCCGCTTCATATGTGAGCGCAGATAAAATACAACCGAAGGGGTGAGTTCCTTTCCAGTCTCTACGTATCATCCATAATTGCAACGCTTACGGCCCATAGAGACGTGTAAATGCTCGAGCGGCATCAGCACTGGCTTGTCGGAGGGTTTCACAAGCAATACCGACGTGCTATCGAAGGTCAGGGTCGCCCGGCGATCTGTTAGAGCCCGAAACAAATGGGCACCTTCTCACGCACGATCTTCTCGCACAGTTAGATTTCTTAGATCGAGCTGAGGTCTCTCGCTTTAAGGCATCTATAGCTCTGATGCCACCTTCGATGGTCTGGCCCACTATCAGGTCGCAGTTATTTTGCCGCCGTGCACCGACTACCGGCCCGTCGGCCCGACCTGAACCTGCAGGAATTCGGTAACCTCCAGACTGCCACCGAGCGCTACGACTACAGCACCCTGATGGCCCTTGAGTCCCGACCGAGTACACAACAAGAACCGAAGTAGACCGTGTGGCCTCGGATCGTCCCGTTGCCATCTCTCTGTCCGATCCAACATCGGGCTCTGGCAATGGGGTCTCCAGGGTGGTAGCGGGTCGGGGTTGATCATTCCCCATCCAGCAGCCTCTCCAGGCTCATATTCTTCAATGTCTTTGCGAGACCCTGATGACGATGTTGTCCCTTCGTATTAAGGAATGTAGTAAGACCCTCCGCATGGGATACATGCCATGTGAGAGACTTAACTACATCAGCGCAGTAAGCAGGCAGCACAACAGTTGTTCCTAGTTATTTAACGCTTTTCTAAGTTTTAAATATGCCTAGGGAAAGCAATCAAAAGACATTGGCGCATCTGCACTGAGCCATGCGTTGATGCTGAAAGGCTTATTATATTGATCCTTGCTTCACTGCGAATCTTGCGACGGGCACCTTCCATAACACCCAGGTCCAAATATTAAATACATCCGTCGGATACCTAGACATATACCTTTGCAGCATTGAGACTCGAATTCACGGAGGTTTCTCACTTCGAAACACCCGGCTTGTTTTCTGATGTGTCAAGCTCTCCTCTGCGTTGTGCCTCAAGGGCATCCGAATCTTGCTTTGGATCAAGTTTGTTCAAAACCTTGCTAGAATGCGCCTTTGGTTTCTCAGGTGCAGAAGCGGAAGCCCCGGGACCATGGATACCAGGTTCTCGAGAAGGTTTGCCAGCATCGCCCCAGCTTTTCTTCGGATCATCCCGCTGCTTATCTGGGATAGCGGATGGCAGGGCTTCGGACATTTCGATTGTAGTATGTCGGAAAGAAAACGAGGTCGAGGTTTGACTTTTTTCTCCGTATGGAGCAAGCAGACTTGAAGGGTCGGTATGGTTATTCCAAATTCTGTTGACCTAGAATTTCACACACGCAACGGTACAGTGACCGGTATATATGCTAATTTATTTTCACCTGACGGTCTAGTGACGTCAAGGTACCTCAAGCTTCTTACAAGATGTTCCATAATGCCGTCTAGTGCAATCTACGATATATCTGCACAATCTATGCCATAGTTATTATGCCTAGGGCATTTCCGGCAATTATATATTCGTGGGTATGTACGGGAAGCCGGGGCGTAACTGATCCGGGGTAGGAAGCGTGCCGCCGGGTTTTACTTTATCGATCACGCTGTAATAGATTCGCCACAAGTTGGGCTCACGCTTTTCTTGTCGGCTTCAAAGGAGCGGAGCGTCCTGACTAATTAATCGTCCGGCCGCATTGACCCCATTGTACGATTACCCTGTCATGATTAATAAATTGGCTTGGGAAACCCTAAGCGCGAACCTCGAGTCGACCAATACATTACGAATGGGTGGATAGATGGATGACGTCATCTAACCTCACCCCTCGTGGAAGCGATACGCAGGCTACCATAGGTATATAAACCCGCACCGGATTCTATAGAATGGCCCGTAAACTTGCCTTCGATACTAAAGCGCGAAAGGCCGGAAATAGGGGAATATTGACCGCTACTGTTGAAAAGCCACCTAATTCTGATGAGACTGGTGATTACGGAAGGAGCCAGACATGCGGTCATACCTGTGATTGAGGCCATATTCACAAGCCACAACCATGCACGCTCCGATTCATGAACGGTCAGGGGGGGGGTTACACACTGGATACCTAACCAGAACAATGCGGGCGTTGCATGGGATGTAACACAGACATACCCAAAGTATGTCCTATAGCTGGCACGAATAGCCTCAAGGAATGGAATATGAAGGTCAGCTCTCACAAGCCCATGGAGAAGCCTTGGGATAACATTGCACAGTGCCATAATGCCGTATCTTGGCGGACAGACCAGATGCATATACCGAGCTCGCCGCGGACCACGTTGAAACGGTCACTAGGTCCCCCAGCCGGTACTAGGTGAAGGTTACCCAGTTCATGTCCATTTCTCCGTAGGATCTAGGTCCTGACCCGCGTTGCTCCACACATGTGGTAGGGTGATACTGTCTTGCTTGGGATATTCACGGAGGATGTTTGGCCGAAAGGTCTCCGTAGTGCGCTGCATATTTACCCAAGAGCATCTTACGGAAGATTCAACGTTTTTGCTCTTCCGATTGGCCCTAGCAACAACAAGCCTTCTAAGATTTTGGATAAGATTCCCTAATTAGACAAGCGCGTTCTGTATAGATTTAAAGTTAGTGGATATTTCGAAGTGCGATGAGTATCTGAAATATACATTTGTACCTAGAGGTGGTAATAATATTAGGTAATGGTAATATTCATTTATTTGCTACCAACTAACTACACGCTAATAGGAATACAATCAACTTTCGGTTATAGCATAGCCATCCATGCAAGGGAAACCGCGTGTTATGAGTGAATTAGTTAGGTAAAATTGAATGATGATAAAATACAAATTCAAATAGCCCTGAGCCCTTATGCCGCTTTAGAAAACCATGTAATGTCTTCTTTTCCTCAACTATCTGCGCATTTTGAATAAACCTGATTAATGCTTCAACACAACGAACATGGTCTGTACCGTTCTCTGTGTGCTGAACCCATAATTGTAAGCCATCAAGGGCAGCAAAGATACTAGCATCTGATGTAACTTTTGGCGGTGGGCCATATATATTCATCATCCTCATCATCATAATCAGGCACTCAGTTCCACCTGGTATATGAAGGGTAATATCAGATTGGTCGGACTTATCTGCGTCGTTTTCACCTAAAGATTTTCAAAGATTTTGGGAATTCATCAAATGGTATGACCTGCGCGTCCTCTGCATGATCTGCGAGCTTAATAGTCACCTCATTATACGAGGGCCTTAGATGAAGATCCTCGTAATACACTGACCCTGATCCTTCAGTCTGAATTTAAGGCTGTTTAACGATAGTGCTCTTAATAAACAATTCTGCATAGTCTCATTAGTAACACTGTTCATCTAAACCTGGATCATCCAATATAAGGTATAAATCAGGCTCATTTTCACGCGAGGATTGAAGCCACAGTCAATGATATTAATCATCCGAAGCATTCATTTAGGAGATTCCCCAATTCCTATTCTGCCGGTCTACCTCATACTGGAAGTAGAGATATGATAACGCAACCCAGATAAAAATCCATCCAAAGAGGGTACCGAGCGATAAGCCAAAAGCAAGGTGGAAATCAAGTGTCCATATTATAGCCGATACACTTCCCAGATAAATGCAAATTCCAAAAAGCCACCATAGCGTCAAACGAAGCATCAGACGCCTGAAAGATCTCGAGGCTTCGTATCGACAATTGAACCGTGCACGAAATTCCCGATCTTGTAAGCCATCGACTGCAATGAAGTCTTCACACGCGTAGTATATGAATGGCCGCAACTGTGTTCCTCTTGCGTTGGAGTCGATGCCAATAGGGATTTTGAAAGGTATTGTTGTGACGAGCGTTAAAATCGCAAGGAAAATCATAAGAGCTCCTGGAGAGTAGAGATAAAGTTTGGGAATCTCTTTGCTACTTCCCACCACAAAAGGGATGAGCGCGCAGATCATGGCAACACCATACACCCAGGAAGTAGCACCTAGTTCCCATCGGGACCGAGAGAGAAGAGGAGAACAAACTTCGGGGTGTCGAAGGAGACGCAAAACACGGACTATGAGTATGTAGAGCTCTTCAAGTCCAAATTATGCGATTGCGGCGCCCAAAATGTATCGATCAAGCTCGGGCGGCGGAAGTGGACATTTCGCGGAGACATTTCTATAGGGGAGACATTCCCTTTTCCATTGGTCCTCATGACGCTCATACCACACGTAGTAGATAATGCACGGTACGACTAGGTCAAATATTATAATCATAGGCAGTCCGAGAAAGATGGCTGGATGATCTGCGAATCTGGGACTCTTCAGCGCAAGATTTTCATGCAATGGCCGTACTACTGCAAGCACCTAGTCAGCATTCCTTCCACTGTAAGTTTACAATGCACTTGGTGAGGATACTGTCCGCAGCATGATCGGGATGCTCGATGGTTGAAAAACTCCCATGAGCGGTCATGAATTGCGTCACATCATTATGGCGAGCCATTCTCTCTGCAAAACATAACTCGTAAGGATTTCTGGGGTTTAAAACCTGCCAACGGACAATGACAACAGCTGAGTTGGTAACTGTATGAACCAGTAACTCGAGATGATTCAGCTCCTTCCCTACTCTCCGTGGCTTCCGGCTTCGCGTTCCGGTTTTTGATTGCATTCCCACATTGAGCGTTTTGAAAATCAGTTGCTCCTCTCTCCTAAGGGTGCACATGAACGAGGATTTTGTGTACTCGTATTCATAATTTTCTTCGAGCCATAATGATCCCTATTCGATCAGCTGCTTGGCTGGCTTGATTCGTTTTAGATTCGTATTCGGTTCGTAACTATTCGCAAATATCGCCAAGACCTATCTTTAGGTGTATAGTCGACCCAATGGGACTCCGGCACGTCGCGTCATTTGTCTAGTACAGTGCCCTCCAAATATGATTTCCTTGGACGCGACTATTGAAGAGCAAGTTTCTCGCCGTCGGGTCGCGGATAATTCAGAGTTCTTTCACAAACGGCCACATCGAGCCCAGCGAATCAACTACAGTGCTCTCAATGACAGGAAGACGACAAGAAAGTATGATCGCCTCAGGAAGAATAGCCAGGAAAGCATGACCGACCATTCCACCGGGGTTCGTGGTCATGACCCCACATCGACGGGTCATTATGACGCTCCATCCCTAGTTGGAAGAGACGGCATGGTCACTATCGAACCGTTTTATGTGAAGCTATTACGTCACCATCGCGTGCCGTTCGTTTCCGGTGGACCCACCGGCAGACCTTCGGAATGTGTACAGGCTAAGCTTTTCGGAGCCACGGACTCTCTCAGACCGTTATAAAACCGGACCATTGCCCAACCACTGGGGCAACAGCAGGCCGAGGGTTTGTCTAAACAGGGCGACAAGAGAGCAACTCTAATCGGCAGTTTAGGAAGACAACGTGCCCTGAAAAACAGAGTGTCGGCAATGCCTTCAGCAGACAATGAATTCAAAGGCCACGAAAGGTCAGTCGTCCCTCTCCGTCCTTTATTTCTTGTTCGGTGGCCCGTACTCATATCTGCTCAGCGATGGGTTTCGGAAATATCAGTTCCAACGCCTGGGGCAGGCTCTTGTCCTCATGCTCCATACTTGGAGCGTGATGATCGCATGGGCCATCTTCGCCTCACTCTGGTTCCTACCGCAAGGCCCATTGCTGGCCCTGCTGTACCTGTTGCATATCTTCCTCTCCAGTGCGGGCACTTCCGGTCGCCTCGATCGCCGGTCCAATAGACTCCGCTGCTCATGGTTTAGCAAGGCATTCACTTCCTACTTTCCTTGCGAACTCCACCGGTCGGCGCCTCTTCCCAACTCGAGAAAGTACGTGCTGGGCTACCACCCGCATGGCATTATATGCCACGGGGCGTTCGCATCGTTTGCCACAGATGTCACGGGCTTTTCTACCCTTTTTCCCGGTATCACGAACGTACTTTTGACCCTAGACTCCAACTTCAAGATTCCAATCTATCGCGAATATATCCTCTCAATGGGCTTGGGCGGGGTTTCGCGCAGTTCATGCCACGAGATCCTCTCCCAGGGAGGCAGTGACGGCCGTGGGGCTGGTCGTGCAATAACGATAGCAGTTGGAGGAGCTCGCGAATCACTCTTAGCTAAGCCGGGTAGTATGAAGCTTTTCATTCGGGGGCGTATAGGCTTCATTCGAATTGCTATCCGACAGGGTGCTGACGTCGTTCCGGTGCTTGGATTCGGAGAGAACCAGCTATATGATCGGATAGACTCCGATATGCCACCTTTCGTTTTGAAACTGCAGATGCTCTTGAAGGACTATTTGGGGTGGACTTTGCCCCTTTTCTACGGTCGCAGCTTTTTCGGGGGTGGCTGGGGTTTTATGCCACATCGGGAGCCTCTTCATGTTGTAGTTGGGAGGCCGGTTGAAGTGACACAACAGGATAACCCTGATGCGTCATATATTGAGCAAATCCACCAGGCATATGTGAACGAGATCTGGCGCACCTGGAACGAATGGAAACATAAGCTACCTCTCAATTCTGTCAGCGAATTGGAGCTTCTATGATAGACGGATGGCGGACTGTTGGGCGTGACCGTCTAGCATTGCCCGGAGATAGTAACCCCAGCCTGACAAACGTCTCTTGTGTTAACTGGTAAAGAAGTCGGGTGGTATATAGTGATTTACCGGTGGCCCCATCTGTACTGCTCACCTGGCTTGGGCGGTATTAATTATACCTTGGGCTTATTCTCATTGGTCGCGTTATCACCATGAGTTTTTTGTTGCACCGCTTTACATCGTCATGTCGCGCGCGCTGGACATTGTCAGTGTAAATGGTAATGTACATAGTTGGATGGCCCTGTCCGCCTAACCCTCGATGTGCTTTTGCGGCATTCTTGTCTAATACGTTTAATATGTTTTATCCATCCTAGGTATTGGTAGCTCACTGACTCTCTCCCTCCTTGGCAGGCGCAATAGCATAAAGCCTTTCTGTTGATAGTCAACAGGAGGGATAATAGATATAGGCGGAAAGTAATCTCGCGCTATTTAGGCAAGAATTGTCTAAAGTGCCTATTATTTATCCTGTCCAAGAATGGTAGGTCTTTAGACCGTTTTTTTGGCAGCGAGAGCTAGACTGCGCCAAAGCCCACTGGGCCCATGGGCCGGGCCCAACCCAACCCCTTATGGGTTGGGCCTTGGGCCTGGTTCTTGGGCCCATTGATGGGCTATGGGCTGGGATAGAGAGCCCATTGGGGGCCCAATGGGCCTAAGTGGGCTACAAACATTACAAACATAGCTTATGCAAAAAAACGTGATGTTTTAGGGTGGTAATTTTACTACTAAAAAAAAGGATCGCTAAGAGAATCGAACTTATGCCACTAAAAATTCAACTCTAAGGATAACCACTAAGCTATTCTAACTAAGAAAGGTAATTTTCCTTTATAGGAGCTATTATATAACTAAATTTCTAAGGTATTTACAATTTTTAAGATTAATACCCTATATATCACGTGATTTATAATACTATGTTTTAGATATGTAAATAGCCTATTTATTAAGGTAATTTTTGTATCTAGTTAGATAATTGTATTTTAAATAACGTAATTCCCGGCCGACCTGGCCACCCGGCCGTCCTGGCCACCCCATCCAAAACCGCGTCTTCCTACCTACCTACCTACTTCAACCACCTATTATGCCACCAAAACGCTCTGAATCTTCGCAGAAATTAGCCAATCAGGAGGGCAAGATCTTATTAGCCCTTAATGATATTAAAAATGGCCGCATCAAATCTCTCCGCGCAGTAGCGAAGCTATACGCAATACCACGTTCAACACTACAAACGCGCGCCTATGGCTAAACCTCACGCGCTGAGAAACGCCTATCTAGTCATAAATTGACCCAATACGAAGAGGATTCGCTTACTAGGTGGATTATCTCTATGGATACGCGTGGAGCAGCGCCTAGGCCATCTACTGTGCGAGATATGGCTAATATCCTACTTACTGCGCGCGGCGAGACCCCTCCGCCTAGTGTAGGCAAAAATTGGCCATCAACCTTTATTCAACGACGCGATGAGCTTCGCACATGCTTCTCAAGAAGATATAACTACCAGCGCGCCCTAAACGAAGACCCGAAATCGCTACGACAGTGGTTTGCGACTGTACAACGCGTTATCGATGAGAACGGTATACAATCGGAGGATATCTACAACTTTGATGAGACAGGATTTGCAATAGGTCTTATTTTAGCGCAGAAGGTGGTTACGCGGGCAGAATACTACGGTCGGCGATCTATTCTGTAGCCAGGAAATCGCGAATAGGTTACTGCTATCGAAGCAATCTGCGCGGATGGTTATTCGCTACCGCTATGCGTGATCTTTAAGGGCTAAGTTGCTATTGCGGGTTGGTTTGATAACCTACCAAGAGACTGGCGAATCGAGGTCTCAAATAACGGCTGGACTATCGATAAGATTGGCCTACGGTGGCTACAAAAACTCTTTATTCCAGCGACTACTACCCGTACGCGAGGCAAATATCGTCTATTGATTCTTAATGGCCACGGAAGCTATCTTACACCCTAATTCGACCGAATCTACGCAGAAAACGATATTATATCGCTTTGTATGCCTGCGCATTCTTCGTATCTTCTACAACCGCTTGATGTTGGGTGTTTTGCTATACTTAAACGCGCGTACGGTCGCTTCGTAAGCGATCTTGCGCGTGTAGGCTATAACCATATCGATAAGTTTGATTTCTTGGACGATTACTAACGCGCGCGGCTAGAAGCCTTTTAACTAAATACTATTCGAAATAGCTTCGTGGCTACTAGTCTAGTGCCAATCGATCCAGAAAGGGTGCTTTCAAAGCTTAATATCTCACTCCGAACGCCTACACCACTGGGTAGTCGACTAAGCAGCAGATCGAGCCAATTCACCCCAAAAACGCCAAAAACTGTTATTTAGCTCCAAAAGCAAGCTTCGATGCTTAAGGATCTACTAAAGCAACGGTCAACTAGCCCTCCGAGCCCATCAAAAACTATACTAGATTAGATTATCAAAGGCCACTATATATCGCTACACAACACTACGCTACTAGCGCAAGAAAATGCGAATCTACGCGCAGCGAACGAGAAGAAACGACAAAAACGCAATCGGTCAACTAGGCAGATACCCTATGAAGATGGCCTATAGGTCGAAGAGGGCCTACAGCTAGCTCAGCAGCTAAACCAACCAGTTGAAGGTATTAGGTTAGCATCGTATGCGCAGGGCGATCTGCCTAATCAGCCAGATCAGCCAGCCAAAAGGGCTCCGCCAAGGTGTAGCGGGTGCGGGGTGATTGGGCATAAGATCAATCGTTGTAATAATCACTAGTTTTATATCAATTAATCCGTTTTGGTTGAGATATGCCGATTTAAAATCTTCTAATGGGGGTGGGTGGCCGGGACGGGCGGGTGGCCAGGTCGGCCGGGAATTACGTTAGATATATATATTTATAATACTAATAAAGAAAAGGAATTTATTAGATTTAGTAATATTAAATAAAATACATTATTCTTTAGAAAATATAGGTCCATCGTAGGATATATATATATATATATATTACCCTAGGTGTCGGGATTGGTAGTATATGAAAATAAGAGAGGTAAATAAATGCCTAAGGGTCCCTATGCGGCAGGGCAGTCCTTAGGACAAATATTTGTAGAGAGAAATACTACCTCCCGTAGAGGTCGGCTACTACTGCGGCGTAGTAGCTTACCCCAGGAAGATGGATGTAGATAAAGATAAAGGGTCTCTTTAGTCTCCCTTTATGAGAGAAAGGTAGTAAGAGAATAATTGAGATGAAAGCTCTTGTTTTATTTAGTCTGGTTTCTAGGCTATATTTATAGACAGAAATATTCAGTTCATCTGGCTAATTACCTAAGGTAATATTCGCCCGAGGTAATCTTGCCGTAAACGTGCTATTGCCCGAGGTAGGTAAACGTGCTGTTACCCGCGGCTATAGACAGGATAGGCCTAATAACCTCGGTCCGGTAGGCAAATGGAAAGAGAAAGCATAGTAAAGGCTGAAGTGAGAGCAAAGTGAGAGATAAATAAGAGATAACTGCAAGATCAGATAAAGGCGGTGAGAAATGGCAGAACGGGAATTTCAGCGGGAACTTCTATATTGAATTGGAAGCTCTAGAAATCTGCAGTTATAAATGCAGATACCTAAAATCCTGATACCTACCACTAATGCTTTTTATTATAGTGTTACTATATTCGATCGCTACTAGTCGAACGAAAGTCGCAATTTTCGAGGTGGTAGAGGAAGCTAAGTACGGTCGGCAACCTATAAATCTCGTTTATACTATCCACTAGCTACACTATATAGGCGCTAGAGACGGCGACTAAGTCTAACTAATTAGATAATTCGATTTTCTGTCGCCGTCGACCTTTAAGGCGATACTTTTCTAGTAGATGACGAGAGAGATTCTATCGTGTGTAGCAACAATTATGTATAGTGCAAAGGACAACATTAAAATCCAGCAGGACTTAGAGGCATAATAGAAGTATATCACTTTCTACGTCCACCACAGAAGTTGTTACGCTCTAACTGCGCTTAGACATAATTTAATAGCGAGAGTTTCACCTCGGATGGTAATCAAGAAATAATTTGAGGTAATTAGGGGGGTAGAAGCATTCTGAACAACAGCGGGGTTTCCCCTAAACTTCACCGGGGTCTAGTCCATTTATGGTTTAGCGCCGGGAAGCTTTTGTTAGTAAAGTCGGAGAATCACGCTATAGTTCAACGTAGACTAATTATAGGGGGATCTAGGTTTAAATTTAACGGACCTTCGATAGGGATCTAACTAAAAAAAGCCTACTAGGATCTAGATAGGCGTTTCTACTGGGATAAATAAACTGGCTCCTATAGTTAACGAAACCCTACTCTACTAGGATGAACTGTATCCCACTTACCCCTATAGGATAGGTTTAAATTTAACGGACCTTCGATAGGGATCCGACCAAAAAAAGCCTACTAGGATCTAGATAGGCGTTTCTACTGGGATAAATAAACCGGCTCCTATAGTTAACGAAACCCTACTCTACTGGGATGAACTGCATCCTACTTACCCCTATAGGATAGGTTTAAATTTAACGGACCTTCGATAGGGATCCGACCAAAAAAAGCCTACTAGGATCTAGATGGGCGTTTCTACTGGGATGAACAAACCGGCTCCCATAGTTAACAAAACCCTACTCTACTAGGATGAACTGCATCCCACTTACCCCTATGGGATAGGTTTAAATTTAACGGACCTTCGATAGGGATCCGACCAAAAAAAGCCTACTAGGATCTGGATGGGCGTTTCTACTGGGATGAACAAACCGGCTCCCATAGTTAACGAAACCCTACTCTACTGGGATGAACTGCATCCCACTTACCCCCATGGGATAGAAAATGCGGGTGGAGATCTGGTCAGGTACAAGGCTATTTTGAAATCGGTTTCCAATGTTAGCATGCAGTTTAGAGCCCACAGCCTGTGCGGGTTGGGCCCTGGGGCCGACTTCCGGGCCCATGTGTGGGCTTTGGTGCAGTCTGCTACGAGATAATATAAAGTCGAACGGAGTCATGCCTAGATAAGATAATCACTGTGGGCAAAATTCACAGGATACAGTACCTAATATAACGGCTAGGTGCGTCCAGGCTTGAGTATTATGAAACTTTCCATATTCTTTATCCTTTAGGCATGGCTGGCGTAATTGGGCAAGAGAAATCTGGACTCGGCTTGCTTCAGGGCTGTTCATTTAGAATGCCTTGCTGAAACCTTCAGATCTTACTTTCCATCCATGAATGGGAAATCCAGGCGTGCTCCGATTAGGACATCCATCCCAGCCACCGGCCATAAACGCGACGGCGAAAAGAAAAGCCCCCAGGGAAGGCAAATACGGGAACGGAACCTTGGATCCTCCAGGTGCCAGGCCCACGTCGTCAAAGGGCATATTTTCGTCCAGGAGGAAGTCGATTGCTCGATCGCACTCCTTGAGCCGGGCCGCATTCACCGACAAGAGGCCAAAGTCCCATCCCCAACAGTTGTCGAAGCGCCACGTGTTCCAGATCTTGTCACTGGTCGCTCGCATCATAGCCAGATCCAACTTTTTGCTGCCGGGCAACCACCCATACATCCCAGCTAATGCCGGATGCTCCCAATTGTACTTGGTCCACATTTCCTGGACACCTGGCCACAGTACATAGACACCGTCTTGCGTTGGTAAAGGTGCGAGATGGTTCAGCACTGTGAACCAGGATTTTTCGGGTTCCAGTCCCAATCGATCCCACCATTTCATTGCAACGGCCAGACCAAACCGCCAGTATTCTAGCTCAAAGCTAGAATTGTACGTCACCCGAGGATCGGTGTTTTCTGACACAACGTGTAATGGTGGTCCAAGATCATAGACACGTGTCTCTTTGTTCCATGCCGCATAACTTGCCATGAAGTCAGCCGTAGCTCGGACAACTGGCTGCCATTTCTTCAATGTTTGCCTGGTTGGATGGGCACGATAATCTAGCTCCGCAAAAGCTAAGGGGTGCGGCTGCTGCCAGATCAGGAGGGCATTGATTTCACCTGGCGCCATTTTCCCTTCGGGGTCCGTCATCTTTGGCCAGCGTGCACCTTTGTATCCCTGCGAAGATGCCCGTTGGACGGCTTTGGGAAGAAACCGATGGTATATGTTGAGGCTGCGACTCAGCAGTGACCAGCGGTTGAACAAAGCGAGATATCCAGAGTGCCACCAATTCATCTCCATATGAAATTTCCCGTACCATCCTAGATTGACCAGCCCGCTCTCTTGCGGAGGGCAATCACCCGCTGCATTCACAGCCATGATGTATTGTGCTAAGACTATTCGACGCTCTAATTCAAACCACCTAGGGTCAGAGCTCTCCGAGAGATCTATGGCCCCTCCACTCCGCCAGAATGTTGGCCAAGAGGCTGCCGAGGCCTTCGCAATAACTGAAGCATCGAGTATCTCTATTTCTGGCTCAAAGGTGGCAGAGAGCTTCAAAAAGGACGATGACAATTCGGAGAGCTCGAGGACGTACCGATGGTCCGTTAAATGCTTCACATGACCTTTCTGACTCCAACGGAGGACGACATCGTAGCTTGTGTCATCCACAACGTGCCTCAAACGCGCTCGCGTACTCTGCGATTCCTCAACGGTCGTGCTATGTGACTCCGGTTGGTCCCAAATGCCTGCGTAGGGAGCAGAGAATTTCGATTCTCCGTTACTGAACGGGAAATCGATAAAGACGCTCAATTGCCCGCGGGCAACAAGAAGGGATTCAATTTGGATCGCAATAGCGTCTTGTTCTGGATGGACGCATGTCTCAATCGAAATGTCATGTCCGTCCCACCGCAAAGAACTATGTATCGTCCCTGTCCAAAGATCCAGATGTTGAGTGGCGGAATCGAGGTCGGATTCTAACACCACTCTATCACCAAACCGCAGACCAATCCTACCAAGGTTCATCCGGTTCGGATTGGAGATAAGCCATTGGGACACTGGTGTTCGCGGAGCTGGTATATCATAATTCACTTTTCGACCATGTGTCTCCAAATCCTGTCCATGATAATCTACCAGTGATGACCCTGCCGGGAGTTGGTCGTTTTTCCAGCCCCATTCCGACATTGTGGCAAAAGGCACGAATGTTTGCAGTCCTGAAATATCTGCCCCAAAAGCAAAGCGGCCATTTCCAACCTGCATCGGGGACTGCAGGTTGCTCACAGTCCGAGCAGGATTGTGTCGCCGCACAAGACGCTCTCGATCGATATTGGGCTCCCCATCAGCCAACATGTTAGCCTGGATCAACTGAATGTGAAATGGAGCTATCTGGGATGGATAGGTGGCCCAGGATGGGAAAAAACCAGGAAGTATCCAGGGTGCGCCGTATCATACGTCTGGTAAAGCTGCCAGTATTGATCGGAAAGGCAAAGGTTGAACATCTGCCGAGTAGCGCACGACAAATCATAACAAATGAACATCGCCGTTCTCGAAAGAGCTTCGGGTCATCGTATCCCGAAAGCCGCATTTTATCCAGAATAACCGCGACGGCCCAAAAAAGTCCGTCAATCGCGGCCACTGATCATCGCGAGTGTCAAACCTTGTGAAATCTTTTCGTATTAGCGCCCTCGTAGAGGTGAAGCTTCTCCACTTCCCCACCCTCCTAGTCTGTTCATGGCCGAGCCCCTCATGCCGAGAGAGGCATTTCCTGTCCACAAAGCTTAACATCGCCCTTGGCCAGATAAAAGTAGCTGGTGAGTATCCTAAAATCATCATCCCGGCCCATACTGGAATGTAGTATCTTCTTCAACTTGAGGAATTCCCCTGAATAGCGATTCCACAATGAAGAACATCAGCATCGGCGGACGGGTGTTCCCAACGGTTGTCTGGTACCGTCATGCCTGTCTCCGCAAACTCTATTTTCTAATCGCCGTGATCTGGCTTTCTTCAGCGACTGGGGGTTTTGATGGGACGATGATGAATGGTCTACAAACGCTTTCGTACTGGAATGACTATTTCGACAATCCTAGACCATCCACATTGGGCTTGATGAATGCTATTGTTCCAGCTGGAAATTTGGTGATCAACTTCTTCATGCCCTATATGGCCGACCACTGGGGGAGAAAGAGAACACTTATAATTGGGGATCTAATTCTTTTCGTTGGTATTGCCATTCAAACGGGCTCGGTGAATATGGGTATGTTTATCGCTTCCCGTTTCATCGGCGGCGTCGGCGCCTCCTTTGGCACCGGGCCGTATCTTATCACGGAGCTGGCTCATCCCCAGCACCGAGCCATCGTCACGACGATTTACAACACCTTCTACTACATCGGTGCAATCATTGCCGCATGGGCAACATACGGCACCTTGACCATCCAGAGCCAGTGGGCGTGGCGGCTGCCGTCGATTCTGCAGTTTGTCACACCGATCATTCAGTTTTCCCTCATCTGGTTTGTTCCGGAATCACCCCGGTTTTTGATCAACCGTGATCGGCCTGATGAGGCGCGGGCCATCCTGGAAAAGTATCACGGAACGGCCAGTGGCCCAGAGTTTGTTCAAGCCGAGTTTGACGAGATTTGCCAAACCATCCAACTAGAGAAACAGTTTGCCAAACGTGGTTGGATGGAGTTCTTCTCCACTAAAGGAAACCGTCACCGGTTCGCCATCTGCCTGAGCCTGGGAATCTTCGCTAACACGGCCGGAAACACAATTCTCTCGTATTATCTGCATCAAGTGCTTGACAGCGTGGGAGTGACATCGGCTCGCGAGCAACTCCAGATCAACGGTGCGGTCCAGGTCTACAATTGGGTTTTTGCCCTCGGGATCACATTTTTCGTGGACAAAATTGGACGCCGGCGTCTCTTTCTCATCTCAGTAGGGGGAATGCTTTGTATTTTCATTGCCTGGACTGTCTGCTCCGCCTTCTACTCGGAGAACCAGCAGCCTGGCACAGCCAAGGGCGTCTTGGCGTGCATCTTTCTATACTACACCTTCTACGACCTGGCCTGGAGTGGTCTTTACCAGGCCTACGCTTGCGAGATTCTGCCATATCATCTGCGAGCCAAGGGATTGGCTATCGTCGTTATCGGAGCGTACGCCGCTGCATTTTTCGGCAACTATGTCAACCCCGTCGGTCTCGCCAATGCCGGATGGAAATACTACCTTCTCTATGACTGCTGGCTTGTTGTGATCTTCGTCACGATCTATTTCCTCTTTGTTGAATCCAGGAACACCACTCTGGAAGAGATCTCTGTGATCTTTGACGGCGATGATGCCTTGGTTGGCGGCGGGGTTGAAATGAGCAGACGCGAGAGAGAGTTGGACGAATTGAAGCCCAGCGCGGTGCATTTTGAACAAGCTGACCCGTGAAGCGAAATCAGAATGTCTTTCTAGCCAGTGATCTCCCGCCTCGAGCGAAGTGTCTTGATGGCTTGCTTTTGCGGCAACTCGCTTTGAAGACTGAATGGTGCTGGTCAGCAGGAGACGAACCCTGGTGTTTCTCAGGTCTGTGGGGCTAGTCTGGTGGCGTATCTTAGTGACACTCCATGGAGCTATTTCCTACGGGGGTCTGTTTGGACAAAATCACAAATCCCCGTTTTTTATGTTAATTTTGACTTTCTACCGGTCAGTAGCTCATGCCCAATTTATAGCCATATAATTTTGTTCTTTCAAATGAAATAGGGGCTGATAAATATGGGATAATAGTTAAAAACCTACATGTAGCCCTCACTTTTCCTGCTGAGGTCCTCGGGGCGAAGTCTACCCTACGGGCCCCCGTGGTTGAGCCTTTGCTAAGGGCTACTAGAGGATTACTCTCGGGACTATAACTAAACTCAAACATACATTTACTAATAATCGGCTATGCGGCCTTATAATTACAGAATATACGTAAGTTATCTTTGTATTCCCAATAAGAAAGCAATCGGCGGAGAACTAGGTGGGAAGTAATAGGAACCAAAATCTAAGAAACTGGGAGTGGAAAATATGCTATTGTGATTTTGCCCAGATAGGCCGCCGTAGTTCTGTTGATGGTTCAAGAATCGTCCCGTTGAGCCTTTGAACAGCTGCTACAAGGACACGGAAAACTCCTTAAGAGTTAAACACACCCTTTAAAATACTCGAGTAACGTATAATATTGATCAATGTAGTACGTATATGTTTCGATTTCTAGGACTGTATCTGTAGCTCAGGAACATGAAGTCATGCTCGGTCAGTGAGACGTAGAATGTTCTGACTTGAGCTCTCTTATTCTTATTCAAATTCTCAAAACTGGAGAAGATCCTTGATGTGAACTGCCTGGCCGGTACGAATGGATTTGTTTGCCGCAATACCAGTGAGAATGGACATGGCTCCATCCACATGGGATGCGGCACGATTGAAGCGATCCGGGGCAGGTTGGCCAAACAGGTCATTGAGAAGTATCGGATCCCCACCACCATGACCTCCTTGACCCTCATCGATATGGACCGGGTAGGGCTCGGCAAACATGGGGTGGACAGTAATGTTGATCCCCTTCACCGCTCCCTCCATCTGCCGATCCCCACCTGCGCTCACATAGGATTGCTCCACTACATTTACCTCGAGTCGTCCTTTACTGCCGTTAAAGCAGACTCGGAAATCTTCCCATGGGGCATATGCGACCAGGCTATATGTCAATATAGACGCCGAGCTATACTGAACCATCACGCCCATTGTGTCTTCAATGCTAATGCCATCACTAAAAACACTTTGATCACGATAGTAACCGTCTTCCTCTTCAGCATCCAGGTACATCGCCTTTAAATCCGCATGGTCTTCTAGATGTAAGGCAAAGGGGTCCTTCGTCGTATACTGACTGCCTCGGGCACGAGAGTAGAATTTTGTCTCTCCACGCTTCTCGGCATTCTCTTGACCGTAGAGCTTAAGGTCTCCCATGGCAAATACCGTCTGGGGCTGAGTTCCCAGCCAGAAGTTGACCAGGTCGAAATGATGGGTCGCCTTATGCACCAGTAGGCCTCCACTATTACGTTTATCTCGATGCCATCGACGGAAATAATCTGCTCCATGTTGGGTGTTCAGAAGCCATTCGAAATGGACCGAGAAGACCTGGCCGATCGTGCCGTCGGCGATTAATTCGCGAATCTTGGTGTTATGTGGCGCGTAGCGATAATTAAAAGTGACCCGCAATTTGCGCCCGGTCCGTTTGCAGGCATTCAAGATGGCCTGACACTTTTCCTCGTCCACGGTCATCGGCTTCTCACTGATCACGTCGCACCCGAGTTCCATTGCACGGATGATGTAGATGTGATGAGTGCGGTCGATCGTCGTGACAATAACACAATCGGGCCCAGTTTCCTCAATCATACGATCAAAGTTACGGGCCGTGTAGGTGGGCAGAGGTTGGTGACCCAGCTTCTGGAGCTTGTCGTTGGCCACATTCATGCGCGTCTGGTTCGTGTCGCAAAGAGCGACCAGCTGTGCCGAATCGCTAAAATCCCGCGCAACGGCCGTGTAAAAGAAGCCGGCACGGCTACCGGTGCCAATCAGGGCGTATTTCTTCGATGCCATAGCTTTGGGAGAGCTCAAAAGACAACGCAACACTCAATGAAGTACTCTCAGGATTGATGTTCACTATATTTAAATGCAATATCCCATCTGTCTCAACGTTTATGGATGGCAAAATTTGCTCCAGCTCTCTGTTTGGTGCAAAATAAATACCCCGCTCGTCGAAAAGATATGCCGACATATATAGCACATGTCGTCATTTTACCTCTTAAACCCCCCACCCCGCCACAATCCCCCAAGGCACGGAGGGGATCCTCTAATCCACTGCATATATTTAGGCTAAATATGAGATCCAAAGCCCAGAGAAGCATTTATCGACAGAAGATCCCATACCCGGGAATGATATAGCCGTCATTCCTAGGTTCTCATTCTCCAAATTTGATGAGGACCATTCTAGCTGACTGTTCACAACCACTTCCACCCAGCACCATGGTGATGGGAATCTTGCGTGTTACCGGAGACAAGGTGGTCGATGATACCGGTCAACCGGTGTTTCTGCGAGGAACCGCGATTGGAGGGTGGATGAAGTGAGTTTGTATCCGGGAATAAAAATGTCCTGATTTCGCTAATAGGTCGTCTATAGTATGGAAAACTTCATTACTGGTTACCCGGGCCATGAGTCGCAGCATCGGGAGTCAATGCTTAAAGTCCTTGGTAGGGAGAAATCCGAGTTCTTCTTCGATCGCTGGCTGTATCACTTCTTTACTGAAGCCGACGCCAAATTCTCCAAAAGCCTCGGCCTGAACTGTATTCGAATCCCATTCAATTACCGCCACTTCGAGGATGATATGAACCCGAGGGTTCTGAAGATGTCCGGGTTTCTGTACTTGGATCGTGTGATTGATCTGGTATGTGAGACGACCACGTAATCTGCTCAAGTGCTTAAGTGCTCATGGAACCTTCATTCTAGTGTGCCAAACATGAGATCTACACTATATTGGACATGCATGCTGTTCCCGGAGGACAGAATGCCGACTGGCATTCAGATAATCCGTCCCCTTACGCTACGTTTTGGGAGCACAGGGATCATCAAGATCGGACTATTTGGCTGTGGGAGCAGATCGCTGCCCGCTATAAAGATCAGCCGTGGGTGGCCGGTTACAACCCTCTGAACGAACCATGTGACCCTAAGCATTACCGTCTCCCAGCATTCTACGAAAGGCTGGAGAAGGCGATCCGCGCAGTTGACCCAGATCACATCCTCTGGCTGGATGGCAATACATTTGCCATGGAATGGCGCTGCTTCGAGAAGGTGTTACCCAACTGCGTCTACGCCCTGCATGACTACAGCACGATGGGATTCCCCACCGGTGAACGGTACCGAGGCACCGCCGAGCAAAAAGCCAAGCTGGAGCAGCAGTTCCTTCGTAAAGCAGAATTTCAAAGTCAGCACGGGGTGCCAATTTGGAATGGCGAGTTTGGACCCGTCTATGCGGATCCCGCACTGGATGAGAATGCGGACGAGATCAATCAGGAACGGTATAATCTTCTCGGTGAGCAGTTGCGCATCTATGACAAATATCAGATCCACTGGACCATATGGCTCTACAAAGATATCGGCCTCCAGGGGATGGTTCACACTTCTCCCCAAAGTGCCTGGAACCGCGCCATTGCGACTTTCCTAGAAACGAAACGGGCTTCCCAGCTCGACGGCTGGGCTCCCTATCCATCCGCCGGGGTCGATGCCGTAATAGACCCCCTCGTGGAATGGATTGACCATGTCAGTCCCAAGGCAAAAAACACATATCCGGGACCCTGGAATACGAAGAGACACATTGTTCGAAGGGTTCTGCATGATTTTTTGAGTGCCAGTCTGTCGGATGACTTTGCCGAGCTGTTCGCGGACAAGAACGAGGCGCAGCTGGAGGAGTTGGCTAAGAGCTTTAGCTTTGACGAATGCGTGCAGCGTTGCAGTTTGAATGAGATTATGAGTGCTCATGCCGCAGTTTCGCGGGTCGACAACTAGATTTCTTCTTCCATACATTCCAGTGTCATGTTTATAGATTAGAGATCTCCTGTTGCTTTCTTCCTTCCTCAGCTTTAGTATTCTTGCACATCGTACTCTTTTCTCTTGATCTGACCTGACGTATCACACAAAGACTAAAACCCCAAGATTGACCTAACCGGGGGATAACCCTATAGACCATATTAGCTTTTTGAGGGTGGGCGGGGCGCTTCTTATTACCAATTCCAACCAATGAGAGCTCTCCAATATCCGCTACTATGATACTAGCGCGTTAAAAATACAGCTGCCGGGGCCGGCAAACTCGGAACTGGCGGAGTCTTCAGCGCGGTGACGTCTCGCCCGAGTTCGATTCTCTCTTTATTTTGAAATGATTATCTAAAGCCATCTTTAAACGCTGACCATCTATTGCCTCTCCACGAATCATAAGACTCTATATATTAGGTAAATTGCAGCAATAAAGTGTAGCCACAATCTATATTTATTGAAATAGATTAAATTGTATGCAAATCTTACGGTCTCTAGCATCGTGAGAATATAAATTAAAAATTATTTAATAAACGGGTTGTGGTGTAATAGCCTTCCTAAGTTGGCTTGTTTTAGCGCGGCATCAACCTACAGTAAAGGCAAAGCCCACGGCCCATTGTGGTCCCAAAGACCGGCCCCAAAGCCAAACCTATTTGCGGGTTGGTGTGGGCTTTGGCGCAGTCTCTGGTGGACCATTCCCAAGGGAATAGGACAGTATAATAGGTAGTTTTAGATGGATAAAGTAAAAATAATTATTTATTATTAAGATATAAAATTATAAAATATCGCGTTTGTTCTAGTGTTTTAGGGTGCACACCTCGTTTATATGCGTAGCTCGCTTGCCGAATACGTTGTAAAATCCTTATATGTGATCCTTATATATGATATACATTTTCTTCATTCCTGCAAAATTTTACGCTTCATCCAGTCTTCGCTACCAATTTCCGACAACCGTGACATGGCACGCATATAAGCAAAACGTTCCTCCTCTTTCCTAACGCTCGAGGTTGACCTTAGTTCCTCCATGGAGAGGCCCAAGAATAATTTGCTGGGCGGAACCGCCGTCGTTAGAACTAAAATAGCCTAAATCGGTCACGTCTTTGGTTAGATTGACATAGCATAGACGAACGAGCATAGCTTGCTTACCTTGCTTTCATAAATGGCATCAATGAAGGTTATGAATCTCTTTGTGGGGTCCTGATTACTCAAATCCATCTGCGGGACTTCAGTGACAATAAAAGAATCATAACTCTGGACGAGCTCTAGATAATCTGCCGTCCCCACGGCATCCCCGACCAAATCTTTAAAACTAAATCGGACAGCTTTGCCACTGGCCATAGGCACTTTAATCTCTCGACCCCATATCTCCTTCGTTGTTGGATTTGGAGGATCATTTATATCACCCAAGTAAGAGAACCATTTCTGTACATGTTGCTCTGCTTTAGGACCCAATGGATGGTAATAGGCTCCTGATTGGGGCCGAGCCACCTGACGGTAATCGGCATGAGAACTCAGTTTGGTCACTTTGAGAACATCTTTCAAGAGTTCAATGCACGGAATGAACGATTCACGTTGTATACCGTTGGTATACAGGTCATCAGGATGACTATTCGAAGTCATGACGAGCACAACCCCATGCGACACGAGGAGTCCAAGGAATCTTTAATAATTTGGTCAGGTCGAAAGAATAAGGATGGAGAAAAACAAATACATACGTCCTCAGAATCATCGCATCAGCAATATCTGCACACTGAAATTCATCGAAACACAACACACTCGACTCCTCCGCAATGTCGGCAGCCAACTTAGATAATGCATCACAGTCACTGCCAGACTCTATTTTCAACACATTTAGACGCTTATGTATTTCCTGCATGAAGTTGTGGAAATGGGTCCTCGACTTGCACGATATATGTGCGGGCAGTGTTTCATAGAACATATCCATCAGCATTGTTTTACCACATCCTACGCCTCCAAACATATATAAGCCTTTTGGAGAATCGCCAGGGGCGGGGACTTGTTCGTGAGTCTCGGCCCCGCGACCGAGGAAGCTCTCAAAATATGACGTCAGGCGATTGTGATCCAGATAGCCAACCGTTGGGTGGGTCACCTGAGGTGGGTCATAAGTCTTTAGTTCTTCATACAAATCTTGAAGTCGTTTAATGATTTCTATAATTTGTTCCACGCCAAGTCAGCTTCTTCTCTCTCTGTTTTGCCGCAGAGCTTGGGAAACATACGTCGCTGGTGCGGATCATCCTGCAGCCGACCCTGCCCAATTCGAGCATCATATTCCATCAAGGGACCACCAACACCATCATCATTGCTTCCACGCATGGCATTCACTGCAAAGCCTCGGGCCCGATTTTTAGTTTCAAGATAGGCGCGATGGTATTGAGCTGTCCTCAATAAAGTGCAATGGCATCCATATGAGCCTTCTTGGTGAATATAACTCGAAAGGTCTCTACTTGGCGGGTGATTAATCCTCCACGATGGATGCATAGAATGTAATTGCAAGCCCATTAGCTGCAGCGTGCTGGGCAGTTGAATCACATAGCTCTTAGCAGACCGTGGGAGCCTTAGCATCGTATTGTGTTTGAATTTATCTCTCTCAGTATTTTGCCATATGAGAAGGCCAACTGGTGACTGAGATAGAATTGACGTGTTAAGAGGCAGACGAATTGATGATATCAAAATGTCGCAATATAATAGCACATTCTCTTGAAGGTTTTAAGACCGAATGATCGGCTTTGCATTACCAAATTTTAGGTGGCCAACGATAAGTTAATGTGCAATGCGCTGAGTCAGTGAAAAACGACGTCATATTCATACGATTTAATAGGTTACACCGGAAAAGACGGGAAAACAATGCCGCTTGGCTCTGTTTCCGCAAAGGCAGCCGTTTCTGTTTCCAGCGCGTCATGATTCAAGATCCTCAGGGAACGCACCGGCTAAATGTAGTGCCTAGCTTGTAAATAGCCTTTAGTCAATGGGGAAAATAGCATCTGGATTCTACGGTTTATTGAAACAGGATAGCCACTGCGGCTATCACCTGGACCAAGTCGATCATTGGGCAGCATGCATTATCATGCACGGGTATGGATTCAGTCACACATCTATCAAGTTTCTCGGATGAAGTTTGACGCCAATCCTTTGCTTTTGTTTCTGGCCGCAGGCTTTCACTGGCTTGAAAGATCATCTTTTAAAATCCATCCGAATTACAGGGTGACCAAGAAACAAACGTCCTCTTTTTCACCGCCTTATCGCTTTCCTTACATACCGCCTTACAAAATTACTATACGTGTCGGATTCAGTATCTTCAATTCTTTAAACTTAGCTCGATATACGCGGTATTGATACAGACTAAATAATAGTACATTAATTATTTTCAAAATACTGGCAGAATTATTGTGGAGAAGGACGTTTGTTCCTTGGTTACCCTGTAGTTACTAGTGTATGACCTGTATACTAACGAAGCACTATTGCCTGCTGTTTACGCATTAGCTGTAGCCGGGCTCCTATTGTCTGTGAGGCATAGGCTGTCTTTGTTACGGCAAGGGATTATACAGTAGGACCGTAATACGGTATTTAACTAATTCCTGTTATTTCTAGGCTAGACCTGGCTACTTGACAAGATTGTTATAACATTTAACTAGCCGCCAGCGTCAGAACGTACAGTCTCAGTGTGTATAGCCCGCAACGGCGTTGAATCTTTGCTATGTTGCTTGATTTTAGCGTTGAGATAACCTGCGGCAGCGTAGATAGCTCCCGGCTAGGTACGGGAGCGGACGTCGTAGTAAAACTCTAGACGACCAGCTTGCCTCCTCCGTCAGACCGTTGTCAAGAGATAACATCCATTGATGAGCTGGCACATCTGACCGTTCGGGTACTGGTGGGCAGGGTTGCAGCTGTACCGGCCTTGGTTGTCGCTGGATCCCGGGGGAGGGCAGTCGGGGGCAGGGCCGGGGGCAGGGGAGGCAAACGGATTGCCTCCGTCAGCCGTTTCCAGGAAATAGCAACCGTTGATGGGTCGGCACATCTGACCGTTTGGGTACTGGTGGGCAGGGTTGCAGCTATACCGGCCTTGGTTGTCGCTAGATCCCGGGGGAGGGCAGGACTTGGCCGAAGCAACGACGGCGGTACTGAAGAAACTTAAAATAAACAAGAGGTTCATATTAACATAGACGTTTGATGGTATCTGAGGATTTTGAGTAGGTTAGAGGCTACTGTTGGGACTTAAATACTTTTTAATACAATACCCACTTGACCATGAAATTAAGTTCAATTAAGAGAGACTAGTGAGTACGTCGAATGCAGGCCACTGATACGCACTAGTTGAATCGGGAATCAAGATCTACAGTAACAAGTAGTGGACCCGTCCGACTAAATAGCCCCTTGCTTAGCAGACCAGACATATCATGTAGACTATAAAAAACTATTGATGTGGCTCTTCTCTCATTGGTTTCGCCACCAATCATAGTGGGAAGTCTCCATCCACTACTGGATTCTTCGAACGCAGCCTAGATTTGGATTGTGCTATCTTTCTTGAGTAAAATGCTAGTAAAGGTTCTCTGTTAAGAGTCGCAGGAAAATTCATGTATTATTCTATCTATCTTTATAAAATTATTTACATCCCTTCCTACCCAAACCCTTCTACGTCTTCTACAACCAATTTTCCTTTTGTCGGTTCCAGAGCAGACCAAGCCGTAGAGCCATATAAGCTGAGACATAAAAGGCGCGGAGCAGCGAAGGCTAAGCCCAGTGAGGGCCCCACAAGTCAGCAGATCGCCGAGGCAAAGCGTGAAAGTACACTAGTATTCGAAATCCGATTTATCTCTACACTCTTAGACTTTCATTCCCGAACCCTAGCCTGAAACACGTTAGTCTAATTTAATCAGTCTCGTCTCCAGTCATCCCTGTTCAGCGGTATTGTATTCTCTGGTAACGATGGATGGTCACTGTTATAATACCGTAATATGCCTTGGAACTTAATGGAATCTTTCATGCAAAGAGACCAAACCAAGTGGGCAATCTAACGATTTCGCGAGGGAACCCGCCCAAGTCTATTGCCTTGCGTCCTTATCTTTCCGTCACACGCAGCCTTCGCTTACACTCCGTTTACATCTAATAGAAGGCTGCATTTGCTCCATAGAGAACTAACCCTGGTAGGCAGAGATGCCGGGCGATCTAGCAAAGACCACCCCATGTTTTGCCTCGTTCTTCCCATATGCAGCGCAGCCCTCGTCTTCACCAGTCATAATTTAGGAGGATGTGCTTCTTGTTGAGAGCTAAACCTGGTAGGGAAAGATGTTTTGCCTCTCTCCATAGATCTTGCTACATACTGCGCTTCTCATTCGTTACCAGCCTGAAACCTACCCTAGTTCCCTTAAGCTAACTTGGCTTTACAAGGAAAGGGGCTAATATGAGAGATGAGCTCACAATGCCTCGACGGGTGCATTTCTATTTACGGAGAACGAACCATAGGAACAAACTTCGACTTACCGCCCAACACTTAGCTATTGTGGCAGCCCTACGCAGCGCTATCTATCCGGAGCTCCTCCCTGTCCAGTGTCATTGAGAGTAGCATCGAGTCTTATGTCTCTCTCCGAAAGAATGCATCGCACGCTTCGAATATAGGGTACACGCTGATTGTCGCTCTATTTGCCTAGGGGCACATTACAGTGGACCGTAGCTTTCTGTGGAGGGCCCAGTGAATGATCTGCGCTGAGAACTGGACAATAGGGCCAAGAAAGAGTCTCGTGCGTACTGGACAAGGCAATTTCGAGAGTCCTGTGTCTAGTAGACTATTGAACTCAAAAATCGATAATGCTCACAATTGTATCATGCTGTAACCAAGATAAGGGTCAACCCACCAAAGTAGGCATCTGCTAGTTGCATCGATGAAAGGTTTAAAATGTAGATCGGTATTGGCGTTGCGAATCTTGAGCTGGTTTGGTTTAGCCGGATGGCTTGTTGCAAGGGTCAAAATGATCTTCCCTTGTAGCACTAAACCTAATACAGTATGTGATCGCTAAAGCCGAAGGCCCTATGGCTTGTGTGATGAGCTGAACTACACCGCTGTTTCATATCGTAATGCGGTTTATCCCAGGATATTAGATTGACTAACTGCAGATGGACCACATCCCCTGTCCGAGGTTTTCCGGTGAGCTCTATTGCTAATGAAGGCTTTGTGAGCCTCGCAAAGCCACTTACCAAGCGGACTTACTCTAGCCCTACTCGTACTAGTCTAAGGGATCACTGGAATTGAAAAAGCATAATAAACCATCTTGATCGGGATTCAGAAGTGATTGGGATGTTAAAAGGTACAATACACGAGTTATGTCCACCTGCTAGTGATAGAATCATTTGGGTTCCCCAAATTCCTTTCCGTAGGGGCGTTTATCTGAATATGCTTCGGTGCTCTAAGCGCGGTCTCCATCCCGGTTCTCCAGCTAATGTTACCCGCACGTATATGCTCATCGAGCTTGGCTTTGGGAACATAATAGGCGTTTGGAAAGTCTCTTAGCTCCTGCAAAGGGATAGAGTATAAGTTAAGACTTACTTTATCAGTCTGCGATTCAGACCGCGTTACCCCTGGCCCTTGCTGGGCTTGGAGGTTTTTAATATGGGCATGAGTGGGGCTCATAATAAGACGAGACGTTGGATTCTTAGAAGTAAATGAGGGGTTGGTCTGCGAGATCTACTAGAATATTCAGACTATTGGTAGTATGGGAAAGCTAGCTATAAGCTGGAGTGTCTGTATTTTGCCCAATTCGTTAGTCACTTGAGGTGTTCGAACCGTCTCGATCATCGTGCTCTACCAAGGGTCTGCCACCTCTCTTATTACTGCAACCATTCGTGACCTCCGTTGCGAAACCTCAGGGCTAGTTACAAACTTGCAACATTATCTTTTGAGTCCAGCGGCATTGAATTTTCCTCCCAGAAGTACGCAGATGCCTCTATATATTACTATGGTAAACACTCCTCTAACGCTCTTTGATGATATGAGATAATGCTCCAGGAAGTAGTTGGAAATAGCCGTAATCCTCCAATGCGATGATTACAGTTAAAAGCTTACGAGATAGCTCGTGGGCGGTATATTATCTATAACATCGACTGATCTTCTTGCGGGTCCTGGTGCTGGCCTTGGTCCGCAGATAAATGTTTCATAGATACCACTAGACCTAAGAGCTATCCTTGTACCAATAAGCCAAAAACTTCACTCAAATGATTGCCAAGACATCTACCAGTCTGCACAAACATAGACGGCAACGAAGCAAATTAGGGAAACCGTTTCATGGTGGATGACTGACAGGTCGATATTCGCATTATTGTACGAGGCGCTGATTAAAAGCTCTGGACGTCGTAGAGATTATAACATTCAAGGTGCCAAATTCATCATAGAAACTTGATAGATGTGTGACTGAAACTTTGCCATGCGCGATAATGCATTGCTGCCCAACGATCAACTTGTTCCAGGTCATAGCCGCCATCAGTGTCCTGCTCCAACATACCATAGAATCCAGATCGTATTTTCCCATTGACAATAATCCTCAGACATCTGCGACAATCGTTTCCGGAATAGGTCTCCGTGCCAATGTGGCCGAGGTAAGGCGCAAGAATCGAAGCTCTCCATGATCGATTTTTGTCTATTGTTTCAAGATCCGGCTTCCAGTCCTTTTCATAACCGATACCCAGCAAACAACAGAGATAAAGTACTTCTTCACGATGGGTGAACGCTATTCGCAAGGGTAAATTGGAGTCACCAAGTCTGGAGACCTTTAATGCTGCTAGAGAGGCTTTCAACCAAGGGATAGCGTAAAATCCTGGGTATTTTGTGCCGTAGCCTTCACTGAAGTGATACTTGGTATCTCTGAGGTACTCAAACCCTACCTAGTCATCCGACGTAAAACAAGTATCGAATGGCGATGGTCTTTCAGAGACAACATCATAACAGTGGAGTAATTGCATTGCGTAAATGTCTCTGGCTTGAAGCGGGATAGGACCAGTCCAATCGTTATTTAGCCGTTCGTACGCCGATCGGGTTGTAAATTCCATCAGCTCTTTGAATTGGTCAGACCCCGCATCCTGGTCAACAGAAAAGGCAATATGCCAACACAGGTTATCACAGGACCGGGAGCCTCTTTTAGTGCGTATAACTCGAACCTGGCTTTCGACTTGCTGAAGCTGGTCATCGTCTATTTGTTCCAAGTTACCGACTTATTCCCCTAACTTGGATCATTCGTTGACACCAAGGGATTGAAAGAAAGGAGAGGAGAGAGGTGGGGAAGTCGGGGGCGGTGGGACTGGACGTACCTCTGACACCAGCAAATGCATTGGCAAAGGTCACTGCGGAAAGGCGGCAGCGTGTTGCATCGTCCGTCCAAACGTGTAATGCAGGATTTTGATGATGATTTGTTGGGTTTAACCATCGAGAATATCTGCAACGGAATGCTCTACCTAAATTTGCGCATTCTTTGAACCCCTGGTGAGAAAGCATACCCACGTGCGCATCAGTTATCCAGCTTTGGTAAGAGGATAAAAAGGATAACCGGCCCGAAACAAACGGGCAGCCCACCGTCTGCAAGAAATGCAATTTCTGCAAAAATGGCATTATCCAGCTCGTGTAATCATGATGAGATACTTCAAGTACTCCGTGACGAAATAAGTAGACCGCCCCTTTAACCCCACCGGTCTTTGGAGTCGGTGGATGCCGGACAATATCGCTATAGGGAGAAATAGCAGCAAGGTGATGTCGGAGTGACGAGTAATACCTGACGGAGAGCATTGGCGGCTCAGGTCAAGTTTTGCACAGCGCTGCTTATAAAGTAGGTCGTAGTGATTTTCACAGAGCTGTGACCGGCTGATCACATACGTTCCCCAACTTTCTGTGCGGCCATTCAATTATCGAGCAGCTTCAATAAGGCCTCATCGTTCTTCCGGATGATCGTCTTCAAGAAAGAGCAGTGCTTGGCGGCTAAATCTTACTCGGAGGCCGAAGTAGTTTATTCGCCTTGTATCAAAATTGTAATTGGGTTTTGTCCCAAGTATTATCCGAGATCGGGGGCAACGCAGTGGTGAAGTAAGCTCTGGAAGAAACATCGGCGGGAATAGGCTGTGGAAAACTGAATACCAAGAGTGAAGAGTAGTCATCGGATATGCCGGACCGGGCGGAAAATTCAGTTCCAAGGAATGAGTCTGCCCAGTCTGAAATTTGACCTCATTATGTGTAATAATCCGGACCTCGGAGTTACGTAGGGGAAAATATCTTCAAAACTTAAGGGCCTTCCTTCTCTTTCTGGTACATTATCAGACCAATTAACGAACGAGGCGTGAAGCATGGCCGAACCTAGCTATCCTAGTCCCCAGTACTTTTGAAAGGATTTGCTCGTTAACTTCAAGACCGTCATCTTTGGCTTAGCGCAAAACGCAGCGACCTGCACAAAAGTCGCTAGTAATTAAAGCTTCCATTCAAAATGAAACTTTTAGTGATAAGGGACTAGCGCTTGAACCCTGGTGAACTCGGCAATAGTCCGGATTAAGCGGCCAATCAAAGCACATTCTGCGGGTCTCAATGCACCAAAAAATCAAAGGCAACCGGGTCGCGCAGTCCCTACAAGAGCCGAGCCGGCTTCTCTCCGCACCATTTGAAGCGGTGTAGTTTATCATGATTTATGTCGACATAATTGTTGCCGGTAAATTGCAGGATCATGTTACCGGAACCCAATACGGGGTCTAGTCTGCGTAGACCTCGCCAAACGTGGTTTGGGGGTTCGCTGTATCAATTCCCTTTTTTAAACAAGAAATTTCTCAGAGAAATAAACTTCGAGCAATAACGTTTTATACTATTTCTCTGAGCGCGGCGGGAAAGAAATCAGCGATCACGCTGTGGCCCCTTCTTCATTCTTAAAGGAGTGATCAGCCATTGAAGCTCGCCGTTTGTCATTCCCACCCTCGATCCGCCCAACGCCGACCATCTGGCCTATTTCCCTCCAAAATCCAACCGGGGGATCGGTGAAGCTTGCCTCATAGGCATCAATAAGAGGTCGCTCCCAGACCAGGTCAGCCTCATGGGGCTTCACCAGCTTTGTGCGCTTGATGATTTTCCAGATGAGAAAAAGAGGAGGTATGACGATTTGCATCGTATAATCCGACCAGAATGTTGACAATGACCATGGCTTATATGAAGGGTAGCCGTATAGAATTGCGACGAGAATCATCCAGACAAAGGCAATGTATGCGCAATAGGGTTGGAACCGACCGAAGTAGGAAAACGTTCTGCGGTCAATACCTTGTGCCTTGCAAGCACGATGGAAAAAGACGTAGGTCAACGAAATCGTGATGTAGTTGATCAGACCTGTTCAAAGTGGTGAGCAATGCGATTTGACTCAGCAATTCGAAAGACACATACCTCCAGCGGTCACGAGATTTGCAAACCAAGTGATGACAATAGAAGAACTATTCGATACCTGTAGGAAAGAGAGAAGAGGGAAAACCATCACAATGGCGAAGCAATAGATCGGTACACCCTGCCGCGTAGTGTACGTGAGGACTCTCGGAGCTCGTCCTTCAAGTGCGAGACCGTACAGAGTACGGATAGCACAGTAAGTGTAGGTATTGCCAGCGGAGAAGATCGAAGTCAACAGAAGACTATAGTCACAAGCAGAGTTAGTTTCATCCAAGGAAGTTTCTTGGCAAATTACTGACGCGTTCACAATTGAGGGGAAAATCGTAATGCCCATGTTCCGCATGCCAATGACATATGGGGATGCCGCAGCAGTGGAGCCAGAAGAATCGCCGTTAACAACTGCCACCAAAGCCGGGTCCCTGGCAGAGCAGACGATACCCACAGCCAGTGCGCCTCCGATGAAAAAGATGCCAAATCGGATGTAAACTGTCTTGAAAGCGCTTTTGATATAGATTCGTGGGCGCTTGGCCTCGGCTGCGACCATCGAGATATACTCCGGGCCAACGACCGCAAAGCAAGCGGACCACAGGGACCCTAAAAACCCTTCAAAGCGACCGAGGGCACCAGTATCAAGATACTCCATGAATGAGCCTGGGTTGTTCCAATGGCGAAATTCGTATGCATCGTGACTTGGGTTCCCACCAACCATGGTGACGAACGTGAAGAAGAACAGCGAAAATATCAACACGACTTTGCCACTAGATAGCCAGAATTCAGCTTCGCCGTATGCTTTCACGGCGAGTATGTTAAGAAACCTGGAGTACTGATCAGTATTGGATCGCAATACAGAAGACTTGACGTTGAAACTCTCACTCTACCTTGAGAGCTCAAGGAAAGGACGTATACTGAAGTCACACATGTCAAGATAGTTGTTATGGGGACACTCACGCGTAGCACAAAATAATTCCAGCACAAATACCAGCGACTGGGCCAGGTTCCGTGACGGTGGGGCTCCAGAATGACAGTACCAATGTAAATGCCGAAATTTCAAATGGAATCAACAGGGCCTCGTAAAAGCTGCATGCTGTTAGGACCGACAGGAATTTAATCTCGAGAAAAGTCAAGTACGAACAAAAAGTTCCAACCGACCATAAAGCCAAGAGCTTCATCTACCCATTTACCTGCGAGGCGAATGAATCCACCACTGACGGGAAATGCAGTACTCATCTCGGCAATGCAGTTATTCACCATTGCCAAGACTATACTTTGGATAGTGAAAGCAAGGAATAAACTGCCAGGTCCACCGTGATAAAGACCGGTGCCAATGCTCACGAATAAAGCGGTTCCAATAGAGCCTCCAATTGCAATGAGCTGGATTTGGCGATTTCCAAGGTGACGTTGAAGGTTATCCGCGTTATCAGCCATCACTCCCTCCTGGACATCATGAGGGCCTTCGGGCTTCAAGCCAAGTGTACTCAGGACACCTGAATTCATCCCTTTGTCCTTATTGGAGAAAGCCATTGTTTTTGATGATTCGAGGAACCAATAAAGTCTATAAATCCGATACTGTGGGGCGGGGTAAAGGCCAAAAGGGCGTCGACGGCAAATGGGAGATTCTCGTAGGGTAATATTCCGTATTTGGTCGCATGGGCTATACCGACATCAGATAAAGGGCCTAAAATCAGGGCAGTTCGGTGAAGTATGAGCTGATATCCTCAGCTGAGATCACGGGGTTGTGAGCTTGGGAGGTTGCTTTGTGGCAGTAGAATTGTTGCTTTGGACGATGAAAGGCTGCACTGGTTGCTTGGTAGTCGCACGGCTTTGAGTTTCTAGCGGGTAAGAGTCGTCTGGTCTCGTAAAACGAAATTGTCGAGTATTCGAGTTGAGAAAGTAGTGAGGTTCACTTTGCAAGTGCGCATCTAAGATGCTTCACTGGTTGATCACGCGTGATAAATCTTTGTAGGGGTAGACAAGAGGTGGTGGACCTTGGGCAATCAAGCATCATCGATGTAATAAAACGGAGCGGTAGTTGAGAGATCACATTCACAAGACACGATGTGGGTGAAAGCTGAGGAGAACTCTCCGACTTTGCGAACAAGATGGTGTGAAAACGTAAAAACGCGGGTTGGCCGGGGTATGGGATTCAAAAGGAAAGGGGAAAACTCCAGCAGGGCGAAAAGCCACCCTTCGGGATGGCTTTACAACCTTTTCAACCGCAATACGCAATTTGGGGTTCCATGGTAGGCGAAACATCAAATCGCGACACCTGTGGCCGTTAACTTACCGTAATGTTGCAGCCAAGAGCGGGGCCAAAAACATGGCGCACGAGATAACCGGCTGGCACACAGGCCTAAGCCACGTTTTCGGTCTCTTTATCTCCTTATGACCAATGCCAATACTTAAACAACAGCCCAAAGCCAAGAGGCGCTCAGGGCTGCTAGCCTGATCCGGAAAGGAGTTACCAGTGCGGCGCTCCTAACGTGACCGGTGGACGCATCGGTCCACGGAACGTCAAGGGCTGAAAAAAATGCCCAATCAGGAGCCGGGCGAAACTCTAACCTATAGAAGCCCGAGTCCATCCACGGCCATCCGGCAAATTGCCCTCAAGATGCGGGCGAGTCACTTGTACGGCAGGAAACGGCAGAAAAGCCCAGTTCTCCGCATTTGTCCTCGACTGTTCCGTCTAGTGTGGGGTTTTATCTTGGCATGGTCTGAGAACTCGGAGAACTATACCTCACCGCTCTCTCTGACAAATTCGCCCGTGGCATATTCTATGATAACCGGGGAAGGTGTCTCATGGGTTGTGGTTAGCCAAGTTACTCCTGAAGTCCGATCGATTGATTTATTGACTATTACTAGCTCGGTAAATGAATAGTTACGATACTTTTTGGTTGTTGCTGGTGCACAGTGGCACCGCCTGGCCTCAACTACTCTAAGTCAAGGGTCATGTGCCGTGCACCACAAGGCGTCATTTTCGGCATTATGTATTGACCAAGTACCTCCACATTACAATATTAAATACCGAGGGGCATGAACATTCCAAGATTATAATATGTATCTGCAGCCTACAAGTATCTTCACCCGGATATAAGATGTAACCTGATCAAGCTCAAACCCCGCATCAGACATCAAGATAGTATGGATTTCAAGTGCAAAATTGGGTATTGTTATATTCCTCGACATGCAATATTGAAATCTGTAGTCATGCCTTCTTTGATCAAGCTTCATGTTTGGTTCCCACGGATGAAGGCGGTTAGAGACGGCAGAATAAGAACATCAATGGGAGCTTCCATATTGAATTGGAAGCTCAGGATATATGCATATATAAATGCATACACCTAAAATCCTGACACTAAGTAATCAGGTTGGGGGCTTCTGATTGGCTATTAAGAGAGATAGACGCAGAAAACGAAAGAGCGATGGATGCAGTCAAAAACCTGTCTTTTTACTATGTAAACCAGAATGAAAATCTCTGCAGAAAAAGGACACCTTAGAATTCAGGCTATTATATTTTGTTCGGGCAGAAAGGGTGGATGCCTAGAAAAGCAGGCAGGGAGGGTTGGTAGGAGGAAGGGGGGTGGTAGTATCAATCTCCTAATCTATAACCCATAACCCGCGCCGGTTCGGGTTTGGTTTGAAGATCATAACTCGCCTGCGGGTTTTGGCACAGTCTAAGCTAAAGTACAGAGGAGAGATAGATAAGATAGAAAGATGTCTCCCTGGCCTGTGCTTATTAGACAAAGGAGTAGGGGGAGGTAAATTTAAGTGCAACCTCTTATTATATTCAGTCTGGTTCTGGAGCTAAGTTTATAGACAGAAAGATGAGCTTTTTTCCTTGACGTAGGTGTGTGTCATCCGGTCATATCCGACAAAGAGGGGTAAGCCACTAATACCCGAGGTAATTCAGGCTGATTGAGAGAAAAGCATAGTTAATATGACAGGTAAAGAGAGAGCTGTAGTAAGTTCAGATAAAAGGTGGTCAGAGATAGCAGAAAGGACGTTTCCATGTTGACTTGGTAGCATGGATAAATGCATAGATCATGCACCAAAATTCTGACAGGGCCCAATTGAATCGCTGTCCAATAGCCCTCACGAAACAGATAAAAAGTTTTTCAAGACGATATATCACCTGGGGAGTAAAGAGGAATCAATTTATGAACACGGCTATAATCACCGTCAAATGGAAGAGCTTTGTAGAGGAGGCAATCTCCTATCCTGCGTACATACGCTTCTTGGGCCTGAAACCATTCTATAAAACGGCAGGTTTCTTGTCCAGAAAGGAAAATTTGAGAATTGTTCAAGCGGAGGCGTCCAGCGGGGACGTGCAGCCGAAAGCATTCAGTTGTGGGACCGCATAGATCAGAATCATGTTCTCAATAGCAGCCCAACAGCCCAATCCGCACATGGCAAGGGCACCCATTCCGTAGAGCAGGTTGAAAACATTCAGATACCATCGCCGTCCGAAGAACCCACGAATCCACCGACTCAACCCTCGATCCTGAACTTCAACTTGACCGGTGGCCACATCAAATCCTGGCTCTGAGCTTGCAGCATTTCTCATCGTATTGAAGCCGACGTGGAGCAACGGGGGGATAGAGTAGGTAAATTGCAGGATACAGGAGGCAGCAACGATGCCCGTGAAACCGGCAAAATCGGGGATTGCGGCGCCAACAACGTAGGCGATAGACCAGTATACTGGATACCGGATTTGATTGACAGCGGAGGAGCCTTGAAAAACTCGACGAAAATATTGTTGTAGATGACTGTGATTTGGTACTGTCAGCAGGACTCATTTGTGGGCAAGTTCCGGGTATGTAGTCTTTTACCTTTGACGCCAATGTTCCCATATAAAGTTGCCGCAATCAGGGCACTCACAATGGCGAGCGAGTTGCCTGCCGTGCTGAGACCATACTGCGAAATACCCAGATATGCAGGGGTCTGGACATACTGCCCCTGATATCCATACATGAAGAGGCCATAAACCATATAGCAGACGTAGATGAAGAGCTGTGCCCCCCACATACCCTTCAAGAAGTCGCGAGGGCGCTTGATTTCTGCCATGAACTCCGGGAAAATCATGCATCCACCATAGGAATAGACAGCTTGCATCATCCCATTAACCGCGCCACCGAAGTTGCCCGCGTTTGGAATGCCACCGCTATGCTGCACAGGTGGGTAGACTCCATCAACCGGTGTGACCAGCTTAGGATCGATCGAATAGCCGGCGGAGGAAGCTGAGGCGGAGTATAGAGGGTCTGAGTGGGCGGCAGCACCCATAGTGATGAACATGATGACAAGATTGATAAATACTGCCAGGTTGGGCAGCCAGCCAAACTTCTGCAAAGTCCGGATCTGGCCTAAGAAGAAGCCAGCCAGGGCCCACACCAAACAGCAGATAGCGTAGCACAGCTTGAACTTGGCTGCCTGCGACAACGCCTCGCCGTTGGAAATGATGATGACAGCCACATTACACAGAAGCTGAACTGCCTGAAGGATATTGACGAAGTAATGGCACCATGGCCCGTAGATGCGAAATGCAAGATCGCCGTAAGCCTGAACTGGGAATTGGAAGGAGTCGAGTTCTGCAACGTAAAAAACGCCAGGTACTACGAGTAGGGGTTTTTTAAGGAACCGGCGACGAAATAATAAACGTACCCATGAAGCAGTCCCATAACAAATAGCCGGAGAAACCAGCCAGGGCACCAAAAACAGTATACAGTGCGATGCCGGGGCCCCAGCCAGTCGTTGCGAAGGCGTAAGGCAGACCGAATGGGCCCAGGATATCGGTGGTAATGAGATAGAAGATGGCACCAGCCGTAGCAGAACGAAGGGCACGAGATGCATTCACCTATTCCTCGTCGGAGATCTGCCTGCGTATCTCCCGATCGGATGTGTTGAGGTCAATCATCTCGACTTCCGGGGCAACGGATTTCTGGAGATTGGGAACAATATAGGCCAGGAGGCTTTTACCGGCCCTGGATGGTGGCAGCGCCTCCTGCTCCGCCCGAGTCAGGCGTGCATAGTACTGATACTCATGAAAGGTAACATCGCAATCGTGGAGAGCCCGCAGACGTGGGGGAACGGGGCCGGCGCCATCGACCTTGTAGGCAGTAGGCTGCACCTTATCCTCAGGCACGACCTCGGGCAGGAACTTCTCCCTGGTTTCCATGGTGTGTATTGACTAACCACAGTGATAGACTTTGTTCAAAGGGATAACAGGGAGTGCGCAGCCTAAGAGGGTTCTGGGATGGTTTTTATAGTCTGGAGGCCATTCGATAAATTATTTAATTTGCTCGAAAGAAATGTTTAATTTAGGGCAATCAGCCTGATCAAACCGAATCTAAGTGAAGCATCTAATGCGATAGCAGAAGTTGCTGCAGCAGTAACTGGAGGAGATAGACCATGCGCCACGTGGTAGCGGGGGCACTCTCGCCTTCACCAACTCCACGCCTGTAACTGGGCGATTCCCCGCATCCAACGAACATTAGGTTTGCAAGTTGCGGGTCAACGTCCCAGTCCGGGGTAAAGCAGTACCACATTAGGAAGGTACTAACGTGGACACGGATAAGTAGGCTGCGCCAAAACCCGCGCCAACCCGAATCCAACCCGAACCCGCATAACCCGAACCCGCATAACCCGAACCCAACCCATTTAGGTGGGTCCTCATATTAGTATTATTTTACAGTAAAGGCCTCTTTCCATGACTATAGTTTCTGTCGGAAGCGGTAGTATATAGATAAGAGATATAAATAAATGCCTTAGGTCCTATGCGGCAGGCTGTCCTAAGTGCAGATATTTAAGAGAACTACTACCTTTCCGTAGAGGTAGACCTCGGCAAGGACCGGGACCGGACCATCCGGTCTTTGGTCTTTTTTGAAAGTAGTTAGGACCGCACCACGGGTCCCCACGGTCCTTTGCGGTCCCCCGCAAATTCATTTTGACTACATAGATTATATAAATTCTTCTTGTAATTGTAGGTATTCTTATTATATCTTCTCCTTAATTTTCTATAATCTTAGTAAGATTAAGGAGTAAAAGCATTAAATTAGCTATCTAGTGATACTCGAAAGTATTATCCTCTCGCTATTTACGCTTTCGTCCTAATACTCGTAACTATATACTATTCTCTAGTAGCTGAGGTTTAGAAGCCTATGTTGAGAATTAGGGGGTAGATAATCAGACGAAAAGAAGATAGACAGGTAATTGATGGTAAATTCTGATTGTCTTTTCTACTCGTTCTCAGGGGGATATTTATATCCTACCCCTGAGAACTGTTTTCTAAGAGAAATGCATACAAAAATGTTCTCCTACACCGCTGCCCGGTGTCCATGGGGAAACCCCCTGAAAAGAAGCAAAGAAGGCGATATAGATGAGGAACCTGCATATACGGGTGCCCATTTCCAATAACCTCATGGGCCTAGCTGACCAATCAGCAGCCATCGGGGCAGAGAGATGCCGACCGATATTGGCGCCTTAGGATGAGGGCTCCAATTTCCAACACACCCCCTCGGCTTCTCTCGTTTCTGAAGGGAAAAAACGTAATGAAATGGCGTCTTCTGATTGGTCTAACCAGATCTCGCTTAGATGGGCACTAATCCTGAATAGGAAACAGATGCTGTTTTGTAGAAAGGTGTTGAATCGCCTTCTTTCGTCCTGGAGAGGTTGAGTCTCCAGGGTCTCTGGCCAACCAGCATAGTAGCTGGTTTCGTAGGATGCTTGCTGCACCCCCGGAGGTGCCATTAGCACGCCTTGGCCCGTGCTGCGCCGTCAGACCTCGTTGTCGGTGTTCTCTGAAGCTGTAGCTGTCTGACGAACTGTTCGAAAGCCGCCCGGGGTAGAGCTTTCGTAAGGCCGTCGGCGACCAGCTGTTTCCCTGGCACATAGTGTAGGGCGATCTTGGAGGTCTGGACCTGCTCTTTTATCCAATGGTAATGGACGTCGATGTGCTTTGACCGGCCGTGGGTCTTCCTGTTTTCTGACATGGCCATTGCGGATAGGCTATCGGTCGCGATGAGTGCTGGAGAGGGGCCTGTAATGCCAATCTCTCGCATCAGATTCTGTAGCCAGATAGCCTCGCTGCTAGCCTCAGAGATGCCCATATATTCGGCCTCTGCTGATGATTTGGCGATATAGCTTTGGCGGCGAGAGCTCCATGCGACCGGCCCTCCTGCAAGGAAGAAGGCATATCCCGTACGGCTTTTCCGGTCGACCGTAGATGCGAATGATGCATCTACGTATCCCCTCATTATTCCGTCCTCTCTACCAGTATTGCCATCGATGCTCGCCGTAGATGCGGCCGTGTCGCCCCCGGTGGGGTGTTTCGATGCGCGGTAGGTGATTCCGAGGTCGCTGGAGTGGTGGAGGTAGTCATTGACTCTCTGTAAGGCGTCAAAATGGTCATCATCGGGATTCAGGAGGTAGCTTGAGAGGGCAGATTCGTAGAAAGCGATGTCTGGTCTTGACACTATCATCGCATAAATATGCGATCCTACACCGCTTTGGTAGGTTTTGATGGCTGTCTGCGAGGCCTGATGACCTTCTTTTGGTGGATGGAGCTCTTTGGTCATTAGGGTCGTTGGTTTCCGGCGTTTCATGTTGCCCGTGGCTATCTTTGCAGTGATCCTATCAATGTAGGTCTTCTGCGAGATGTGTAGGATGCCTCTCTTTCTCTGGTGGTCGATCTTGAGGCCTAGGTAATGATACGCAGGGCCTAGGTCGGAGATGGACCATTTTGCTGAGACGTAGCGCTTGGTGCGCTGTATGAGGTCGTCTGTTGATGCCGCGATCAGCATGTCGTCGACGTAGACGAATATATAGACCACCCCCTGCTGTTCGCGGTCGTCCTGTTTAGCATCTTGCTGCTCATAGTCATGCACCCCCTGCTGGTTGGAGATGTAGAGGCAAGGGTCTGCAATTGAGCGGGTGAAACCCTTCGAGATTAGCAGTTCCCCGAGAGTCTCGGACCAGTTGTAGGCGCTCTGCTTGAGACCATACAAACTCTGCAATAGACGGCAGACTTTCCCGGGCGCTTCGCTCTCGAAGCTATGGGGATAGTCGACGAGAAGGTGTTCTTTGAGCTTCGCGTTTAGGTAAGCGAGGTTGATGTCCACGTGAGCTGTGAATAGCTTCTTCATGGCTATCGTGGCCAGTAGGACGCGTAGCGTTTCGTAGCGGCCAGTGCTAGCGAAGGTCTCGTCGTAATCGATTCCTTCTTTCTGCATGAAGCCTCGTGCGACCCAGCGAGCTTTGAACCTTATTGGGGCACCGTCTGCGTTCGTTTTCAGCTTGAATACCCATTTTCCTGAAAGAATGCGGGCATTCTTAGGTGGCTCAACGACTTCCCAGGTGTTTAGGATCTCCAGCTGTTTCTTTTCAGCTTGCATAGCTCGCTGCCACTAGGGCCAGAGTGGCGATCTCTGGGCGTCCTTGAGGCTCTGCGGTGAGTCTATCCATTTTGTATCGACGGTCGATAGATCTGGCAGTGCGGGTAGCTCTGGTAGTCCTTCAGTAGCTTTGCCAGCGGCCAGCTGGTCTGTCGAGAGGGATTTCGTGATGGTAGTGCTTAGGGCCAAGGTTTCGAGACGCTGGCGGATCGGTTTTGGTGCCAGCGATGCTGAGATAGCTAAAATAGCTGATGCGTCTGATGCTGGGGCATAGGGCGCTAGTCCCGAGTAGGGAACAGAGGCTATTTTCTTAGAGGCCTCGGATTCTGTCGATTCAGCCCCTGAATCGCTCGAATCTTTAGTGTTTTGGCCGGATTCCTGGCTGGAATCATCGCTCTTATCAAGAATGATAATAGCCTCATCCTCGATGGCCTCGCTGCTGTCCTTTTCGCCCATTTGTGCCTCCCCCTTGCCCTCGGTGGCTGTTCTCGCGCTCGTATCGGTGGTAGGAAGGTCGGGGTTGCTATAGATGGTAAAATCGCTGCCCTCGTCGATGATGATATCGCGGACGTTGTGTATTGTGCCCCGAGGGCGACCGTTTCGGTAGGGTCTGTAGACTCGGTAGCCGCTGCTATGTAGGCTGTTGTAGCCGACTAGCTTGCCCATCTATGCGCGGTCTGCGAGATGTCGGCCCACTGGGTTCCTGCGTATTTGCTCTTGCTGCAGGACGACATAGACGTCGCTGCCGATGATACTTAGGAAGCTGATGTCTGGTTTGCGGCCGTATCTGATCTCGTACGGGGATTTTACGCCCTCGATGCGTCTTCTATGGTATGGGAGAAGGTTGCGAGTGAATGCGACACTGCGCATAACCTCTGGCCATAGGAATAGGGGCAGTTTGCTGTCCTCGAGGACAGCTCTGGTTCTTTCGCCGAGGACACGCATTAGGCGCTCGATTTTGCCGTTTTGCTGGTGGATATATGGGGCGCTGAAGAACCATGCTATGTTCCTGTCTTTTGCCCATTGCTGTAGGCTCGCATTGATGAATTCGCCCCCGTGGTCGCTCTGGAAGCCCACGATGGTGTCTCTGCGCGGCGGATAGCGCTGTTGGTGGTCTGGGAGGCTGGCTATATCTGCCAGCGAGTGTAGGCGTTGGATGGTCGTCTCGTAGTCCCGTTCGTATTCCTTGACGAATTCCTGGACTGCATACTTCGCGTAACTCTTGTGCTTGATGAATTTGACCGTGGCCCATCCGTCGTAGTCGTCGATGAAGGCCACCCAGTATCTCTCGCTGTTGATGCCCTTCGATAGCCTGCCGCCTCCTCCGAGGTCGACGTGGATGAGCTCTCCTGGCTTGGTTGAGCGCGGGATGGTCGGCATCGCGCGTCTTATCCTCTGGTGCGCTTTTCCTACTGCGCAGGGCTGGCATGGTCGTTTCGGGACCGTCAGGCCTTTGATATCGATGCCCTCGCATGTTTGGGCCGCTTGGGCGATGGTGCTTATGCCTGGGTGGCAGAGACGGCGGTGCTATGTCTCCACGTTTGGTCTTGACCGATCTAGCTTGGAGGTTAGCGATTCTTGTCGCTCTGCCTCGCTGATTGTGCGTGCTATGACTGTATCTCTGGGGTCTTGCGCGGTTATGGCTTCGGCAGCTATCGTGGATTCCGTAAGCATTTCCGTAGACATTTCCGTAGACGTATTTAGGACGTCCGTAGCGTCCTGCATAATCTCTTTGACGTTTAGGAGCCAGTGACGTCCTCGCCTGGTGCCAGTGGCTAGCAGTGTGCCATCTTCTATCCGTAGGGCGAGGTTTCTGCGGTCGAACGTGGCTTTGATGCCTCTGTTAGCCAATTTTGGGCCACTTATGAGGTTATAGTAGATCCCTGGCACGTACAGCACGTTATGTAGGCGCACTCGCCGTCCTTCGCGGCTGGCGTCGTGTAATACCATCTTGATGTCGCCGATAATGCAGTCGACATTCTTAGTAGCTAGAGCCATCCGGACCGTCCTGGTCACCTTCCTGGTGCTTCCAGGGGTAAAGAAATCGCTTGAGGACACTATGTGTTCGTCACAGGCTGTGTCCATGATCCACCGTAGCATATCCGGGATCTCTGATTCCGTCGACAGCGCGTAGCTTGGGGGATTGATGACCTCTGTGGCCATGGCATGGAAGCTATCTTTGCTTTGATCGTCTTGATTCAAAGTCTTACTGCCTGTGCTCTCGCTGCTTTTGCTTCCGCGAGGGCGTAGTGGGCGCTGGTCTGGGTGTTTCTTCCAGCATTGGTCGACATTATGGCCGCTCTTTCCGTAGTGCTCGCAGGCGCTGCGGCCGTTAGGGGGCCTGCGAGAGCGTCCTTTTCCGCTCTTCGTGCTCGTCGAGAAGACTAGAGATGGCTGTTTCTCTTTGGTCTCTGCGAGTAATAATTTTCGTGCGATCTTACGGAAATTGAATAGATCTTTGGTCTGTCTCTTTTCCTCGGCTTTCTCGAGGAAGTTCTGCTTCCAGTCCTTCTATCTAGGCGTGTCTAGGTTGGTAAGGAGGTGCCAGCATCGGTTGATCTCCCAATCGGTGTTCCGGGGGCGTCCTGTCTGCGCATATTCGCATGCTTGCTCGATCTTATGGACGTAATCTGCTACTCCAGAGCAGCGGCTGATAACCGTACGTCTGAGTGCGTCGAAACCGTCGCGCGTCGTCTGGATGTCTGAGACGGAGTGCTGAGAATTGATCTGCTTCCAGATGAAGCGTGGCCGTAGATAGTACTGCGCGAGGTCCTTGTTTATCTCCTTTGAGACAGTGCTTAGTAGGACTCTTCCAGCGCGGATATTGATGGATTCCCATTCGAATCGAAGGTCGTGGTCCTGCGGGGGTTCCTTGATGGTGCCGTCGAGGATGCTCATCAGGCTATCCTGTTCGAGGGCTGCGGAGATGTTTTCTCGCCATTGACGATAGGTGGGCGCGCCGGTGAGTCTCTCTACCCGTGCGTAGTCTCTACTGCGCTTGATAGCACGGAATGCGTGCTTAATGCGCTTCTTGCTATCCTTGGGGATGTCGGTGCCCAGGATAGGCGACCGGCTCTTTAGACGGCGTGCTGAGGATGTGCTGCGGGCACTGGAGGCCCTTGGAGGATCGTCATCCTCAGAGCCGTCTCTTTCTTCAGCATCGCTGTCGTTGCCGTCGTCTTCATCATCCTCGGAGGACGGGTCATCGTCGTCGGAGGGTCCGTTAGGCTGCTGTTGAGCGCTGTCCGGTGCATGCGGCTGCTTATAAGCCGTTTCGCGCGATATCTGCGCGCTTGGTCCATCGTCTTCGGGTTCCACGAGCGTTCTCAACGACGTCTGTGGAACTAGGTGTTGCGGAAATGCTCCAGCGACAGCGGTTGTGGCTGCAGCATTAGCCGTCTTAGCACGGGTCGATGATGGCATAATGCTATGCTATCTATACGACCGGGGGGCCTCTCAGAGGTGAGGTAAACCAGGCGGGTATCCGGTGTCTATGGTTCAGACAACCGGGCTCATAACCTGTTGAGAATTAGGGGGTAGATAATCAGACGAAAAGAAGATAGACAGGTAATTGATGGTAAATTCTGATTGTCTTTTCTACTCGTTCTCAGGGGGATATTTATATCCTACCCCTGAGAACTGTTTTCTAAGAGAAATGCATACAAAAATGTTCTCCTACACCGCTGCCCGGTGTCCATGGGGAAACCCCCTGAAAAGAAGCAAAGAAGGCGATATAGATGAGGAACCTGCATATACGGGTGCCCATTTCCAATAACCTCATGGGCCTAGCTGACCAATCAGCAGCCATCGGGGCAGAGAGATGCCGACCGATATTGGCGCCTTAGGATGAGGGCTCCAATTTCCAACAGCCTAATCCTTGATATCACCTATTATCGTAATCTCCTTTTCTAATTTATTAGGCTCTTTAGTATTACTTATTAGTTCTATCTCAATCTTATTATATTTCTTATCTTTCTCCTCTCTTGCTACTGTAATTTCGTCGCGAGTGAAGAATTCTTCGAGGCGCTTTATATCCTGCTTATCGGAAGTGGTAGTATATAAGATAAGAGAGATGAATAAATGTCTAAAGGTCCCTATGCGGCAGGGCTGTCCTCAAGACAAATATTCATAGAGAGAAATACTACCCTTCCGTAGAGATAGGCTACTACTGCAGCGTAGTAACTCATCCCTGGAAGATGAATAAAGATGAAGATAATAAGAGAGAATCTCTCTGATCTGCCCTTTATGAGAGAAAGGGTAGTGAGAGCAGAATTGAGATGAAAGCTCTTGTTTTATTCAGTCTGGAATCTGAGCCATATTTAGAATAACGTCTTCTCGACAGGATCTGGATTTGTGCCATTGCCTGATAAATCTCTCGTATCCGAGACGTTCAGCTGCTTCGCCGGCCGTATGGCTCGAAAGGAAGTACAGCAGATACGACGGCCATGACAATGTATAGCGCCGCACAGATATAGATCGGAACGGGGGTGTTTGTCTGTTTGGGGCATTGGTAAATGAACAACAACACGATTCAGAGCAAAGGATGCTGGGACTCACATTTGCGGCATCCGCTACCACTGCACTGATAATGCCCATAATTCGATTAAGTCCAATGGCAACTCCATTGCCAGTCCCTCGGTGGGAAGAAGGGAAAACCTGGTTGAGGATCATAAGCTTCAAAGCACGAGAATAAAATAGGATTTGGAATGCTCATACCTCTGGCGTGTACGCGTACAGCGTGCCATAGTAGATATTGAGGCAAAACGAGATTGCGGCCGTAAAGCCCAGGTTTTGGCTTGCAGTGCGCACCTGAGTGTAGCAGAAAAAGAAAACCATGGTCACCAAAGCACCAATAATCATAGTTCCCCTGCGACCCCAAAACCAGCGTGAGCGACACATGAGCCCCGCTAAAATAGGACCGAAAATACTGCAAGTGTTGTTGATGGCGTAGTCTCGCCATGTAATGTACTGGCTTGATTCCCCGACCTTTGCACCACGCGATTCGAGATAGGTGGGCAAAAACACGTTGTATAGGGGATATGCCAACCCAATCAGAAGCCAAGAAAACCAGACCAAGGAAGTTGATAGCCCCATTTTACGAGTCGCGTAAAGCCCTTTAAGGTGGAAACCTACTTCCTTCGGGGAGATCAACCGTTGTGTCAGTCCGGCCGCATCCGTCTTATGAGTCCTGGAGGGTCCACAGGTTTCCAGCCGCTCAAGGGTAAGGCTGCAAGGGCGGTTGTATCGGCTAGCAATGGATTGAAGAACACGAACCGCATCTGCATCTTTCCCTTCAGCAATAAGGAACTTGGGCGTCTCCTGGAGCCGGATGATGGTGATGCGCAAAATCGAGAGAACAAAGACAAATGCACCCGAAGCGTACCACACGTAGCGCCAGCCTTGGTTGTTAGCTCGGGTACACGTAGCAGCATCGTCACAGGAGAAATTGGGAAGGAAGGCCCAGGCAAAGAGACCAGCAATTAGTTGACCAAGACCTATGTCAGGAGAGCATTAGCAAGGGAACCAAGGCAAATCTATCAAGATGCGGTGCCTTACCCCACCAAGCTGCCATAAGTGTAAGTAGCCATTGGTTTTGGCTCGGTAAATATTCCAAAAAGACGGTGGTGTCGAGCACCAGGTTTCCCCCGGCACCGAATGCACTCAGACAAACAAATAGACCCAGGGTAATCCAGGATGGTGCAGCACCCGCAACAACGGTGAAAACTGCAGAGACAAAAAGAGAGACGTTGAAGGCAAAACGTCGTCCGATAACATCGGCAGAGAATCCCCAAAAAATGGCACCGATGAGCATGCCGACGTAAACAGCGATTGTCAGGCCAGTGGCATAACTAGGTCTAAACTCCTTTCGAGCTTGAGTAGAGATGATGGACTGAATGAGCAAAATAAGAGAGTCGACGGCGTATCCAAACCCGTTGAGGCAGAAGAGCTTCCAGTGGTGAGGGGTGAATCCGATCTCATCGATGGCCTAAAGCATTCAAGGATCATTAGTCAAGCTCAGTCCACGATCTACCAGAAGGACAAGCTTGTCCGATATGGAAATCGGATTTGAAACTCACGTCATTAACGAGGCCCATCTTAGCTGCCAACACGGCGTCCACGTTTTCTCCGCCCAGAAGGTCATTCTCTCCATGTTCAATCGAGCGCTCCTCGTCCAGTGAAGGGTCAATCGGCTTCTTGTCTTTGTCGGCGATATCGGGAGAGGCCAATGTCCCTGCGGACTGCTCAACGTCCATATCTTTTGTAGGCCACGTGCGATCTGTTCCAAGATTGATGTAGGGTCGACCTGGACAAGTATTGTACGAAATCGAAGAAGCACGAGCGCTGAAGCGGGGGAAAGAGGGGACTCGCGTTTGATTTATTTATCGTTGGAACAGTTAGCGAGCGAGTCTGTCTCGCGTCAAATTCCTCTCATTTCATTCGTGCGGTCCCCTTTACTTTTAGCATTTCACCCGCCATCCTCACGACGAAGCAGGCTAAGAAGACACCCTTCCCACGCCGACCGTTGATTGGATGCCAGGGGGGCCCGTGGCAGGACTGACTTCGGTAGCCCAACCAGAAAGCCGGAAATGGTGGGAATGGGCTTTTCGTGTCTAACCGTAAGGAGTAAGGATTGCTTTTCATTTTCCCGGGGGGTAGACAAATCAAGGGGGCCGATAAGAAGGGGCCGACGGCTGATTCGTGCGATTATCCTCGGAATTAGCTGCTCGGGCCTTCAGTGAGAGTTATGTGAGCTAGCTTGTAGTCACCGAAGTAGTAGTCATCATCAACTGTAAGAATTCCCAGGGCATTTTTTCCCCGGTTTTGCCGTGAATTACTTCAGTGGCCTGACATGAGCCCCAAATCGTGTCTTTACTCCGCCGGGTCTTTGATGATTACTTATCCGCAACTAGGGAGCTGTCTGTCAGCTCCGACTCGCGACCCTGTTCTTGCTCATAAGTCGGCCATTTTACATATGCAATGCTTCCACAAAACTTCCCACACGCGACATGTCCTACCATGCGAATACTGGGGTAGGTGTTCCCTTCAAGATAGATTCATACCGACGGTTCGTCAAAACCCCCGGCTCTATGCAACTGGGCATCCCTTTTCTTTTACAACGTTCTTATTGACTATCTTGACGGAAAGAGACCGAGTTCTATTTTGCGTATTTCTGGGATTAGCGCCGCGCCGTCTAAGTCCTTATCTGGTACTTTCTGCTCAGTACAAATGGCTTGATTCCCATCAAAAGATAATCTTGGAAGGGCAAGTGGCTGCCCAGGTGGTCGCTTGAACCCCACTGGGTTTCCTCGCCACCTTATCAGGACTCTACGAACTAGCGCTGATTACTCACATTACCAGCTGAAGTTGGAGGCTATTCACCCAACAGCAATCTTTGCCTTGCTGCCGTGGTTTTCTTGGCTCTCGCTTGGTCCTGGTTTCCATCCTACGTCGCGGGGAAATTTTCAGCAGAGTTCCCGATCATAGAACATCAGTGGTCTATGACCAGCGGCATGCGGATGCGTCTATTCATATGAAGTTATCACTGCTGGGGGTGATCGGGATTGAGGCCGATGCATATCATATGCCAGTGCCGTTACCAACCAGTCGAACAGGGGCATCGCGGGCCGATTCCCCTTTGATCCAGATATAGGTTTGGAAATCAATACCGCAACCTGATTGGAGACGTAGCACAAGGATCGTTCTTGCCGGTGACTCGCACGTTCTATCCGATTTAACAGCCAAACCTCGGGTCTTCTATCAAGGGGTTGAAAATTAGGAATGAGTGCCATCATTGTGCCCCTGCGCAGCTTACGGGAGTGGCACACTCCAGATCAATGTGGCTTGGAGCCATCCTCATGTTTGCTCGTAGATAAGCTATTAGCGATTAATGCATCGATCCCAGGAAGACAAACCCTACATGCGTCCTCGGTTTTCAAATTATCAAACATTGTTGCAGACATGACCATGCCGTTTTGCGACCGTGCAGTGCACATCGGCGTTGTTGCAGATTTGGACCATTGAGTCTGCCCAAGCCCGACGGAGCAGTATTCAAGCCAGCGGGGCCTCCGCCTGAGGGTTGTAGACAAACAAGCTCAACTGTTCTGAATCGATATGGATTCGAGCGATGCTGCTTGTTTTCGGATCAAGAGTAGTTATAAGCACTGCAGCAGCATCGATTAAGCATGTTCTCGGCAACCGCGGGTTTGCCAGTGCTAGCCCCTATCCAAGCGGGTCAAGATTCATTGGCTGCTGTGTTATGCGCATTGGAGCTTTATGCTTGCCGATCTGTGGCTAGCTATTTTCCATGCGACCGTAACATCTGTGCTCCGGATCAGATCGTAGGATAATCGGCTTGTACCGGATCAACTCAAACATCACCTATGAATCGTTGCACATAGAAACAATGTCGTCCGGCACATGGACCATGAGCTGAGTCACAATGTCTGGGAGCGGAACCCACTCCAGGTCGCCATGGACCGTTCGGAGAGGGTGACCACCATATAGCACACGGACGAAGAATTGATGTTCGTTGGTTTTCCTGTTTCAGTAAGCCACAAGTCTCATTCGAGGTGATAGAAAAGGTCGGATGCATGTACTAACCAGACTTCAAAGGCCATGTTGGATCCCATTCCTGGCCACCGGAGCCGCTGGATACCCATAGCCCCAAGCACTGGCCCCAAGTCGCCATCATGTACAAAGCTATGGGTGTAGACACGACCGAGTGTTCGTTGAGACGTAGATTTCAGACGCTCTGCAATTTCTTTCAGGAACAGCCCCTCCGTCAACTGAATGTATCGAGAGGCATTCTGGTTCTGACGCCACCAATAGTTCCATTCCCAGTCAGCTGCTCGAAAGACTTCGGCTTCATCTTCAGTGACGCAAGACAACGGGTCGGACCGACTGCAAGGTAATCGGTATCCATTACACAATCTCGCTTGAAAATTATCGGCAAAATGATCGAATGTAGACATCCATTCTGTCATGTTCGCGCGAAAAAGGCGCGCAAGTCGGGCGCGAAGAGGTCTGGTCACTTCCAGGTGTTCCTTCCACGCGTCTGTTGATTGGATCTTCGCAAGCAATTTCGAGCGAGCTTGACACGAGATTACTTGGTTGACTGTGTCTACGCCAGGCGGTTGCTGGTGTAGGGGCAACGGCTCGCGATGATTGGGCAAAAATCCCTCGCAGGACAGCCCCGGCAGAGCCTTGGGTTAGTGGCGAGCTACTCGATCGGAACCATACTTTTTGGGTGTCGGGGGAAGATGGTAAGAGCTTCATTGAGTCACCGTACACTGCCCAAAGGTCTCGTCCATGTTGATATCCATTCAAGATACCACCAAGAGTAAGCTGCGGATATTGGCAGGAGCCGTTGACGAAGTCTATTATAAAGGGGTTGGTGGGATCCGAGTACGTCTGGGCGTAGACCGCAAGTGCTTCAATTGAAGAAGGACTGCCAGCTGCTGGCTCGGCGTAAAGATAGGGATGAACATTGTCACAATTATAAGTTTGATCCTACACATGGGGTCAGGACTGCTGAATATTCATGGATTAATTGACCAACCTCGCCTCCCGGGAGGATGTTATATGCTGTACGACGCTGATGTCGTTGGATATACTCCACGTAGACCAATTGCGCCTCCACTGAGCGATTCTGCACTGGTAGTGGAGGCTGATAGCGATCTGGATGGGGATGAGGCATAGCGCAGTAATCATAAGCTGCAGACACCATTGATGCAGGTCCTTCGGCAGGAGCAGTGAATTTTTCGCTGAATGAAAGGCCTGCACCACCAGTGATGTACGATATTGAATCCAACGGCGGATAGAAGGTGTCCTCAGGGGCCACGGTGGAGCTTGCAGGGGTGATCAGGGACACCCCCATGGAAAACATCTTACTCGGGTCAAACAAAGACGTCCAAATGAGTGGAAATGTCATGGTTCCCAGATATGGATGCAGAGACATCGAAGTTGAATGTTCGTGGGGGCGCATCACCAACACGACGTTCAGGCAGCAAGGCAAACTAACACGTGCATCCACAGTTTCGCGTCTCTTCTTTTTGCCTTCCCAATTTTGCGAATACGCCCTTAACTTCCATGTCCGATCATACATAGTATACCATTGCTTGATTAGCATACTCTGGTATCGCTAACTTGCACATTACTTCTAACCGAAGTTGGCTGTGCCGTGCACAAGAACGCGGCACCTTTGTTCTACGCCTAGACGCCGAGGCAATGAAGCACGCCGAAGGCGTCCTTAGCGCAAAATACGAAGAGCGCAGACCATAGATAGACCGACCCTCGCCTCACTTCATTGGCCTGCCGGCAATGCTATTCCCTGACCTATGCTCTTAGGGCGATAGACTTTCCATTAACGAGCTTATGGTATGAACGAATTGTTTTTTCTCTCTTCTGTTCGCTTCGGAATTGGGTACTAAAGGATCCGTTGTATTTTCTTGATTCTTTTCTCCATTAAATACCAAGCAACGTTGTGTAGATTCGATTCACACTCATCTTTACTCATCCATTTTAATGTTATTGCTATTTGCTAGCGACGCTGAGCAGGCTAAGCATTCCAATGCCTCGCTGGTACTTAGACGAAACCCCATGGTGGGAGATTCATTTATACTTGTTGACGAAATCCGCAAGTGCCTTATTGACCTCCGTGGGGTGGGAGGAACCGAGGAAATGAGCGCCCCCTTCTATCGGCACCAAGCGTGCATCCGGTGAATGAGTAAAGAGTTGAATTTCTTCCATGGCATTGGCCACGGAGAACACGGCATCCTCAGTCCCCTGTAGCCGGTTAGCTGTGCCCCGGGGGAAGAGATGGTCAGACAGGAACGTACATGTAGCCACAGCACTGGACAACGGATATCGGAAACCCGCAGATGCAGTCCGCCTCGTTCAGCCAGGTTGATCCCCGCCATGCGAATTCGTCGACGTCCATCGTCACCGCGATAATTATCCTTCATGGTCTTCCGCCAGAAGTCGCGTTTCTCGGTTGAACAGTCGTTGAAGCCAACATCAATAAGTGCGTCGCAATATGCGGTGTCGGGCTCAAAGTCCGGGGTTGCTATGTCGCTCGTCCACTGGTTCACGAAGCCAGTCACGATTGCCGGGCCATCCCAGCACTGCAGCTGTCGGCTACGCTCCGATTCGCAGTCCATGGATGTACCGAGAGGAATGATTCCAATGATCTGAAATGATTAGCTGTGCGCCTAGAAAACCGTCAACCGCATGGTACCTTTTCTGGCTGCAGAAGCGCCATCTGCACGGTGATCCACCCGCCCTGGCTTGTTCCCAGAACAAATGCGCGATCGATTCCCAGGGCGTCCAAAACCTGCAGGTTCATCTCTGCCGTATCCCAGTAAGTCCAGTGTTCACGAGCTGTCCGTGTCTGGCCGTGACCTAGCATCTCAATAGCCACTAGGTTCATTTGGCCGGCCAGGTCGGAGTCCTCAAACTGCTCCCGATACAACTCGGAGGAAGTGGTAAATGCATTCACCAGCACCACCGTGGGCTTACTGCGATCGTACTCCCAGGGCATCTGGTAGGCGGCATCGATGCCTCCCAAATGGGGGACTCTAATGGTCTTGGTATTGGGCATTGTGAGCCTTTGCAATTTCAAGTACTACGTCTTGTCCCTCGTCAATCGCGCTTTCGGTCCGATATTTATATTCCCCTGCCTCTTGGCTAGTCCCCACGAAGTTCCGCGGAGTTAGGGTCGGAGGAGCGGCGCCAACACTTGCCAAGTGCGGGGCAATGGGCCATAACAAAACGCGGACTGTCGGGGAAATAAGAACCGCATGCAACGCCCCTGCTATGTATTGGCTGTCCTCGAGGTTCAACGTGGTTTTACCTTAGATGCCTTCAGCCAGTTGGACCACTGGGCCGGTGAACCGTCTTTTCCCGCCGAACAGATAGTAATACACTGCACCGATTACGACCCAGCCCATGGTGACCACTACGCAGTAATTCATATTATCTGCTGTCACCGGCTCCACGGTCGGAAATGTGCTAAACACCATCGCCAGTACCAACCAAAACATGGCGAGTGCATTAACCGCGGTTCCCCACCGTGAACCCAAGTTGAACACGCCGGTTCCCATTTCGCGCATGGTAGAGGCGGATGACCGTCGACCATAGATGAACATAAACAGGATGGGCGAGAAATAAGAGGCATACATGCCAAGGATAGCCATGGAGAGCACGGCATTGAATGCCGTTGTGCTGCCCAGGTATATTAAGCCCAACAGCATCTGCAGAAATGTTACAACCAGCACCATTCGCACGGGTACTCTCAGCGTCGGATTGACCACCGAGAAAAATGTCGAGCTTGGTAAGCCACGGTCGCGTGCAAATGCCCATGCTGTACGACTGGTCGAAGTCGTGCCAGCGGCGTTGGCCGCCATAGCGATCAAGGTAATACATAGCGCCAGGATTGATGCCACTGCCTGCGAGCCGGTGACGTTCAGGAAGAGCTGCATGAAAGGGAATCCGATCTTGGACTCCAGAAGGCTCCCCAGGTCTCCCAGCGCAAAAAGCAGGACGATCGCATATACCAGGCCGGTGATTCCGTTGATGGCAACACTCCCCACCATGGCGAGGGGGACATTTCGTGATGGCTTGGGAAGCTCTTCACTTAAATGACAGGCGGCATCGTATCTGGTGTATCTGGTTAGCTATACGATCTCACGAGCCGGTGGGGGGTCTCATACCCAAGAAAGGGGTATACGGTGCTCAATAGCCCAACGAGCCAGGATACCCCGTCATTGTCCCAGCCACTGGTGTTCGAGAACTCCGTGAAGACATAGGCTGCAGAATGCTTAGATGACATGGCTCCTAGTACGCACACGACCGCAATGAATGCCACCACATGAAGGATTCCTGTTTCACTCAGCCATCGCACGCGCATGTTTGAACAGATGACAGGCTTACCAGCTGCAGTGTTGGTATGCGGCAGGATCTTGGATCCGAATATGTTGACTGCGGTCGAATATGCTAGGACCAACCAATAGAAGAGCATCCCCTGCCATCGCATTGGAACATAAGTATCGAGGTGGTTGAGAGTGATGAGGGCTTGCAGCTGCAACCCGGCGGCGAAGGCAGCAGACGCAGTGAATACGATCTGACCTCCGATGGAGATCCAGCCGGTGAACCAAGCCGCTGTGGCCTGATAAGATTCAGGCGTGAGACAATAGACCCAATGATATTGGCCTGGAGAATGTCAGTGTAGGTGGTCGGAAAAGGAGGCAAACCCAGCTTCAAATGTTTTCATACCTCCTGCCGTTGGATACATTGAAGCAATCTCGCCCAGTGAGAGAACGACGAAAATTGTGCCGACCAAGGCAATGATACTAGGTTCAAAGAGCCAGTCAACATCCGTCCTCCAGGACGTGCAAGGCTGACATTCGTACTCACTAATTGTAAAACAGACAGGGTGCTCCACCGTTGGTCAGAGCAGTGGACACTACCGAGGAGAGAGCCTCCCAGGTGGCCATCAATGAGATCTGAAGGCATACTATGGACCACAAGGAAAACTCTCGACGAAGCTCTTGCACATGGCCGAGAGCAGCCAGCTGTTCCTCATCGCTGACGGGCTTCTCTGGGGCGGCTGCCTTGATGTCTGGCTCTAAGAATGTGTTCATTGGTGCTCACAACTCGACACAGGTGTATATGATTTATTTTCAGAGGTTCAAATCCCGAGAATCCACGAAATTTGACAGCCGCTCTTATATAGCCCAAAGTGGTGGGCCATACGGCTGTCTACTTCTCTAGCACGGTAAAAGGCCGCACTTCTTCACTGCATACCCGGAATAGGAGCGCCCGTTGACCCCAATCCCGCAGGGGCTTCTTTCTTCGCCAAAGTAAGCTCGTTCCGTGGCTCGACAGGATCACTCACTGGCCCTTGGTCTCTGAGGGGCATCATCCTTCCCCGCATTCTATCGCGGAAATCGTTCCGGAAAGGCGCGATAGACATTTTCTTATCATTTTTTAAGTTGACATCGAAGATGTTCTACAATCTTTATGACAGACACAAGATATCTAGGCATTTCACATTATTGTTAGTTATTACGGAGACACCAAACCGGGAAGATAAGATTGGGATATGGATAAAGGTTCGGTTTGGCTTGGTAATATCTAAAAAATAAAAAAAATAAAAACAAAAAGGGACACGGGTGGAGTTTAGGTGGACCCACAACGATTCTCGGAATTCGGAACGGAAGGTTTAGAAACCGAGCACTTGAAAGTGCATGTTATTTAAAATAACTTCGTCTCCAGCTCCAACATCTCACGCCTCACATCTACGCAATATGGCGCACCCACTCGCTATCCTCTCCGCAGCGGAGACCAATCTGGCCCGCGACGTCGTCAAGGACGCTCACCCCAATACCGTTATTGACTTCCGAGAGATCTTTCTGCAGGAGCCGCCCAAAGCGCAGCTCGTCCAGTTCCTAGATCTCGAGCATGCCGGTCGCTTGAGCCCAACGACTCCCCGGCCACCACGTCTGGCGCTGTGCCAGTATGATGTGATTGGCGCTGACCGTATCCCCCAGTTTCATGAATCTGTGGTGGACGTGGTCTCTCGGACACGAGTCAACCACACGATTGTGGGCAAGCAGCATCACGCCAGCCTGACACTGTAAGAGCGCTCGCCGTATAACACGGCCATGTATCTAACGATTTTCAACAGAAACGAGTTCGACGTTCTGGTGGATCGCTGCATGAATTCCCCGTTGTTCCAGCAGGTTCTCGCAGAGTTTCAGCTGCCAGAAGGGTTCGAGGTTGTTATTGAGCCGTGGCCATATGGCGGTCTCGACCATACCGATGAGAACCGACGATACTTCCAGGGCCTTTGCTTTGCTCGGGATAAGCGTTCGGGCAATGCGGATTCAAATTTCTACTCATTTCCTCTGCCGGTGATCCCGGTGATGGACGCGCACACACAGGAGATAATTCGCGTTGACCGGCCTGCGACAGGCGGTAAAGGCGATGGACTGCTGGAACAGACCTTCAATCGGGATATCATCGGACACTGCAAGCCGTCCGAGTACGTGCCAGAACTCCTCCCCGAAGGAACTCGCAAGGACCTCAAGCCGTTGAACGTTGTGCAGCCAGAGGGCCCGTCCTTCCGTGTCACCAACGAGTCCCTTGTAGAGTGGCAAAAGTGGCGATTCCGGGTGGCATTCAACCCTCGTGAAGGCGCTACCATCCATGATGTTTGGTATGATGGTCGCAGCGTCATGCATCGTCTGGCGATCAGTGAAATGGTATGTCTTTATATGTCTGGACATGAGCCGCCCAAGTTCAAACTAACGCATATTACGTAGACCGTCCCCTATGCCGATCCGCGACCGCCGTTCCACCGTAAACAGGCCTTTGACTTCGGAGATGGCGGCGGCGGTAACATGGCCAATAATCTCTCATTGGGTTGCGACTGTCTAGGTGTCATCAAATATTTCGATGCCGTTATTACCCAGGCCGATGGCACTGCCCAGCCTCTGCCGAACGCCATCTGTCTTCACGAACAGGATAACGGCATCGGTTGGAAGCACTCCAACTGGCGTACTGGCCGTGCAGTTGTCACACGCAACCGTGAGTTGGTTATCCAATTCATCATCACCTTGGCCAATTACGAGTACATCTTTGCGTACAAGTTCGATCAATCCGGCGGCATCACAGTGGAGTCCCGCGCGACTGGTATTCTAAACGTTGTGAACATTGATGCTGGCAAGGTCAGCGAATACGGCAACGTCGTGAGTGGTGGTGTCCTGGCACAGAACCACCAGCACATTTTCTGCATCCGCATCGATCCTGCGATTGACGGGCAGAACAATTCCGTTGTGGTGGAAGAGTCCCATCCCGTCCCTATGAATGCCGTCACCAACCCCAATGGGAACTTCTATCAGGTCACAAAGAAGACCGTCGAGCGTGCCTCTTGGGTCGATGCGGCGCCGCAATACAATCGCACCATCAAAATGGTCAACCCACACAAGAGGAACCCCGTCAGCGGAAATCCCGTCGGGTACAAATTCATCCCGCTCCCGACTCAAACGCTACTGGCAGACCCGGAGTCGGTCCAAGCACGGCGGGCTCAATTTGCCCAGCATCATGTCTGGGTAACCAAGCACTGCGACGGTGAGCTATACGCCGGAGGACGGTATACTCTGCAGAGCCAGCACGAGGTCGAAGGTGTAGCCGACGCCGTTCGTCGAGGCGACGCCGTCACAGATACCGATGTGGTGGTCTGGAGCACATTTGGCATCACCCACAATCCTAGGGTAGAAGACTGGCCTGTTATGCCAGTGGAGATCTTCCAGCTGATGATTCGCCCTGCGGATTTCTTCGTCGCCAACCCTTCGCTCGATGTTCCGTCCAACAAGAATGGATCGTCACGACTGGCGGACTCGGAATGTTGCCACAAGGCACATATTTAGATGCGGGTAATTTTGAGAGGCTTAAGCAATTGCATGCCGGTGAAATGACCGTGATGATGCAGCCTTGGAGTTCTTCCAGCGAAGTTCTGCCAGCTAGCGAGAAGTGAGGCAATCGGTTCGATTCAAGTTGTCTAATGGCTCCGTAGTATGTATCTTGAATTTGCGGATTCCAAGATATAAAAAAAAATTGTACTCAACAGCTCTCGCGCAATTTCCCATCTCGAGTAGCTGCACACCGTAAGAATCGTGAGAAATCAGTGAAGTGAATGAAGTGGGTGGAGAAAAGTCGCGATTAATCACGCTTATCGCTTATCTGCGTCGGAAGGCTGTTTCCGCTCGCCCTCATTCTTTCTACACTGTCTTCAAGACACTTCGACCTTCGTATCTCGAGCTCCGCCGGTATTGCACCTGAAGTATGATTTCTGACTCTGCCAGGCCGGACGACGATTCATCTGCTCAGCCGCCACGCAAACGGGGGAGATACACGCAGGTCGCCTGGTATGTCTGATTTTGGGTTCTCCGTTGACTCTTGAACCTGACTTATATTAACTGGCCCTAGCAACGAATGCAAACGCCGCAAGCTAAAATGTAGCGGGGGACAGACGTGCATGAGATGCACGCGAGACCAAATCGCCTGTATCTACCCCGTTTCTCGCCCAGCTGGGTCAACGCGAGGGGCCGAAGTCAAGGATGATCGGTGCGTGGTGTCCGTCCCCTGGATGACCAGAATGTCACTTCCCCGCAGTCGTTCGCCAGTTGTATCCCTCGTGACTAATTGTTATCTCAGGGTGAATGCGCAGTTACAAAGTGTGGATCTTCAGCTCGAGACTCTGAGGGAAGGAATGCGATCCCTTTCCGCGCGTCTGTTTGAACTCGAATCGGCTGGCCCTGCTCCGTCGTCAAGACTTTCCGCGAGCGGACTACCCGGGTCCCTTCATCGGATTCTGAATCCTCCCAAGTCCCCTACTTATGTTGGCCCCACAAGTGCCGAATTTGGACTGAATCGGCGATCCAGGCCTTTGTCCCAAGCGCAGAGCCATGACGCCCATGCGGGTGATGAGGATGGCGAGGACCTTGACTTATCGACCGCCGCTCACAGCCCTGCACCTTTGGACCGGAATGAGGCGCTGGATGGTGGGGATTCATTGAGCGGTCTCGGGCTGCAGGAGACCTTGCGCTTGGTGCAGGTTTATGAGGATACTGTTGGCATTATGTACCCCTGTGTTGATTTGGCCAGTGTGCGTGCATACGCGGTCGAGTTTTATCATTCTCAAGCTCCCACGTCTGTCAACGCATCGGATCAACCATGGCCAGACTCGGATCAGGATTGGTTCCATGCGCGCGACATCCAAGTATTGAAGGTTCTTCTAGCTACTGCGCTTCTGGTCGAGTCTCATGGACGGAGTGAGCGCGCGGCCCAACTGGCTGATAGTGTTGAAGACCGGTTTGCTAGTCGGTTGAAAATTGCCGAGGTGGACATGAAGGAGATTCTCATTCTGACTTTATTGGTATGTGTATCCTTCATTCTCTCCTGGGTCACCGTTCGCTTATACGATTGCATTTGCTACAGTCGATCTTTCACTCCTACCGTGATGATGAGGTCATATCATGGCGGCTGACTGGCATGGCAGCCCGTGGTAGCATGGAACTAGGCCTGCACTGCCAAGAGACATGGCAGAAAGCCGGAGGCGTGTTTCCCGGTGCATTGGAATGGATGTGGGCCAGTCGGCTCTTTTGGTGCATTTATGTGCTGGACAGGAAATGGTCATTTGGAACAGGCTTACCTTTTGCCATCCAGGACTCGGACATGGACACCAACTTGCCTGAGCCCGGACACTCGACACCCTATCTGACCTGCATGATCTCCTATGCCCGTCTCAGCACCAAAATCTGGGGCCTGGTCGTTAGCTGGCAGAATCGGTCGCGCGAAGCTATTTCAGAAGGATGTGCCTATCTGGATGCGCAAGTCCAGGAATGGGTGCGGTCCATCCCACGCGAATTGCGTTTCGATCCGTACTGGCGATCTCCGGCAGGATCGGAACAAACTGATCGTGCAATGATGCTTCAGGTGCTTCTGGCTCTCCAGGCAAACCAGCTTCGCATCCTCGTCTATCGGCAGAATTTGCTCACCAGTGAGCGTATCGCAGATGATGTCGCCGGCGCCTCTACAGCCGTGGAGACGGCGAAGAGCACGATTCATATGCTAGGCTACTTCAGCCGTCTCTCGGACATTTACTTCCAACGGCCTGAGCCCTTCAATTACTTCCTGATATCGGCCCTTGCCGCCCTATTTCTGGCCGTATTGCATGCCCCGGCGCGCTTTAGCCAGACTTGTCGGCCTGAATTCTACACTGCGGTCGATATGGTGCGCCGCTCAGCGACTCGCGCCCGCTCCTCTCGTCGTTTGCAGAAGATCATTCGTAGTCTCAAGCGAATTCAGCTGAATGTGCGATGGCAGAGCCATCAAGGCCGAAGATCACCCTTTGATAACAGTCGCGCTTCACATGCGGCGATTGACCCTCATGCGGCCTCCGGCGCCCGTCCTCAAGCCTCTTCTCAACCCAAACCCATCGCATCACGTAGTATATTGGACTCTTCGCCATTCTCATCAGCTGTGGAATCGCCGTCCACTCAGTATGTCCCCAGCCTCTATCAAACATCCGACATCCCCACTCCTCAGCCATCCCTTGGGACATTCTGGCCACCCTCCCCCGGTACAGCTGGTGAACGGGATTCTAATGGCTGTGAGGATCTCAGTAGTTTCTTCGAGATTGCAGGTGGGCTATACTTTGATTCTCAAGCCGGCACCAATTTTGCGACCGGGATGGAGATGGGGATGTCTCACTCTGACGGCGGCCGGGGACCTAGTGCTCTAGATGCGATTCAGGCTGAAGATGAGGCGTTGACCCGAGTCATGGCTGGTTTATTGTGACAGATTCCTCATCTGACGTTGCCGGCGCTTCCGTACATAGCCATGCCAGCATTGGTTACAAATTCTCAAGGAACCAGCACCTGCGTCGATCTGCATATTACTCGACTGCAGAAATTCTCCGCGGCTTCAACACAGCGGAAGGTTATCCACCCGAATCTGTCCTATCCCACGCTCACGTTTTCACGAATCGTCCTTTGGCCGCCGAGACGGGTTTCGTAGATAAGCACTTTATAATTCTCCACCAAAAGTCCGCTCTTTCCTATCAAGGATTTTGTTACGCCTCGTCTTTAAGCTTTTCGTCTCCCGGCAATACTTTCTCAGCTGAAATCAGAGGCCCTTTTCTCGGCTCTGGTACAGGTATATGTGCAAACCCCGGTAGCTGCTCAGGGGCCTGTAATGTTCATAAACCCATATTCGATCCAAAAGTCGTCGGGTGGCCTTCACTTTCGATTCTCTACGGACAACAAGATTTCTGACGCATCCTCTGTAAAGGGACCATGGACAACCGTTGGGTCTACGAGGTAAAACAGAGGAGAGATCATTTCTGGAGTTATGACCTCTTTATAGACAATTTGGGTCTGTGCTCGGAAATACCCATAGGTCTTAGGCTTAAGTCCATGAACTTTGTTTTGTTTTCAGGAAATCGGCGACTTCCGCAATGCGGGCCAACTTCGCCGTAAGCAACCCGCCCCCTCGCCTTTTCGTAGTTGCAACCTCGCAACACCACTTGGACCGATGATTGTTGAGGTAGAGAAATGGCAACAACTCAGGAGAATAGAAACTCAGCCAATGGACCTGTGAAATACAATGTCGGCTGGCGACGAGTGGTCCGCAATTTCAGTCCCTCGTATGTGGCTCTCCCTTCAGGACGTGTTGAGCTTTCCGCTAAGATGTACACCGCAGATGGTTCGCTGTAACTATGGGCACCGGGATCGTCTCGGTCTTGATGAACTTGATCCCCTTTCATACGCCAGTTCTGCACTATCTATCAATCGTCTTCTTCGTGCTAAACGTCGCCATCTTTGCACTAGCCTCGGTCACGTCGATTCTGCGATACACATTATATCCCGAGATCTGGCGGGTCATGATCCAGGATCCAACAAATTCGTTGTTTCTGGCAACAGTACCCATGGGCTTCGCGACACTCATCGATATGTGGGTCTTGGTCTGTGTTCCGCGCTGGGGAGAATGGGCCGCGTCCTTTGCGTGGGCTTTGTGGATGGTGGACGTGGTAGCCGCTGCCTCGGTGACCCTTTCCCTCTCTTTCATTCTGTTCGTCAAATTCAATTCCTCAGCACGCGAGAGCTATACTGACTAGCTCGTCACAGAATTTCTCAACGCTACATTACCTCCCTGGACCGGATTACTGCCCTGCAATTATTGCCCATTGCCGCGACGATTGTGGCGGCGGGTGCAGGTGCCGAGGTAGCTAGCATCCTGCCCAACAAACAACATGCATTGGGCACGCTTCTTGTATCCTTCATCCTCTGGGGTATGGGTACCCCTCTGGCAATAGTCGTGCTGGTGATGTACTATCAGCGACTGGCAGTCCACAAATTGCCTCCGCGAGAGACTATTGTCAGCTGTTTTCTGCCACTTGGGCCCCTGGGGTTTGGCGGCTTCGGGTAGGATGCGTAGTTGATTAATTCTTTTACGAGGCAATACTGACCATCTACAGCATCGTCTATATTGGAAAGGTCGCTCGAGATCTTCTACAGGGTTCCGACATCCTCGATCCCATTGCAGGTCAGATGGCCTATGTTCTGGGCGTATTCATCTCACTACTTATGTGGAGTTTTGGCTTGATCTGGCTTGTTTTCGCACTCGCGACCGTTCTGTATAGTTCTCCCTTTCCTTTCAATATGGGCTGGTGGGGGTTTACCTTTCCGCTCGGTGTTTACGCCGCCAACACTATCGAGTTGGGAGTCGAATTAAATCTTATGTTCTTCAAGGTCTTTGGAACGGTAAGCTCAAATGTCCCGCAATTGATATCTTAGCGACTGACGGCGTAGTCAGGTCTTAAGTGCCGCTGTTCTGCTGCTATGGGCACTGGTCGTTTCGCGAACGGCGATGGGGGCATGGCATGGCAACCTGTTCTTTGCGCCATGTCTGCAGAACTTGACTCTAAAGGAGGATGAGAACAATCCAGAAAGCGATCGGCTTCGAGCATAGGGATGAGTTAACGGCCTTGGCCGTCGTGAGAGTGCCCTTCCGACCGCCCAAAATCTCACCGAGAGCCTCAAGCGTCTTCTACGGCCGAGGACTGATGCAGGGCCATCAATATATGCCAGCTTCTGAAACGCTTCGCCGAGTTCTAGCGATTTCCGATTAGATCTTGGTCCTGCTCACCTACTCGTCATGGACATTGTGTGATGTATGCTTTGCAAAGGTCTCAATACTACACGGGCACTAACCCGCCATCCGAAGATTTGCCCTGGTTTGTCCGGCATTCAAATTGTGTCGAGTAACGCAAAAGGCCCAAGAGCCTGGAAACGCGAGCTACCTTGGCGATGATAGGAAACCTGCACTTTGCTGCGAGGGAGTATGACCCCCTGAAAAATACTTTGATCGTGTCCTGGTTTCCTATCGGGGAGTCAACTCGCCGGCAGCAAGGCCGCGGACTGGCGCTCGGCTCCAACTCTTGTCGTACGCACAATATACTTACCCGCCACCGCATCGGGTCGGGATTCGGAGGCATCTTACCGCATTTACCACAACTCTGAGCATACACCGCAACATATACATTACGATAGGAGATGGTTGCCATCTGAGGAAATGGATTTTTATGTGATTATAACTGGCATCGTAATCGTTCACCATCCCCGCAGGGTATCATTTCTCGGTGTGGAGCGTAGATCCATCATTGCCGTAACCGCCATGCTGTTGCGACTATTCCAAGGCAGATTAGTTGGAAACCTTGTCGGGGACGTTCTTGCTACAGTCACAATGTAATTAGTTTTTGAGTTTACGACCGTGATTGTCGCGGGAAGTCTTACCCAGTAGCCTTCTCGAACTGCTCGCGGCCAGTGTCGGTGATTTTCTCGTTGGTGGAGCGCATCTTGGCAGGGTCAACTTTGCCGCCGCTGAGCTTGCCCTCGGCGGTATCGAGACCTGGAGAGACGTCAGTCGGCGAGCAAATTAAAACCAATGGACGGAAACGCACCTTTGTCAACGTAATCCTCATTTCCAGATGACTGGTTCCCCTTGCTGCCACCGCCGAGCTTGGAAGCGAGACCGGAGAGCTTATCCATGGTGTAAAAGTGTGGTTATTTGCGGTAGTGTGTAGGTAGAAAGTCTTGAATGGAATATTTTCAAGTTAAGAACCCTGCGAGGGGAGTGCTTCCTTTATAGGGACCGTCTACATCACCGACACCACGTCAGGGTCCAGACAGGTTGGTTTGTTCTTGGTATCGTCATTGCTGCGCTCAGATCAACGCAGGATAGCGGTTTTGCCCCACGGACCCTCTATCTGGTGGCTCCTATGGATAGCTCACAGCCACTAATCCTGCGGGATCTGAGGTCATCGACACCGATCTGATCCCGTCTGCAACAGCTTTCACAATTGGTGAAGAAGTGGGGGACGTGAGTGATGTCACGAAGGTGGGCATTGCGGCCTTTGATCTCAGGCCGACAAAGCCAAGGCAACGAGGCAGAAAGGCAGTAAACCTGGGGGACCTTCATTTTCTGCATCTTTCATCTCCCCCGACTCCGGTACCCACTGTTTCCCCAATACTGTCTTCCCACGAGCGACAAGTGGGTAAATTCCAGCAAAAGGGCGCTCAATGGCAGTCTGTTGGTGCAGATGGGTCGAGATAGAAGCATAATATCGCCTGTTGCAGTTCACCACTTCAAACCAACCGCGGTGGCTATGAGCAGGGCGATGGACACGCCCAAAAGTAGTTAAAAAAAGAGAAAAGAACAGTGTTTTGCCCTTATGCCTGAGAGACAAGAGTGATATATACATAGTTACAGGCTGTCTACAAGATCGTGACTAGCCCGCCCGAGCTTTTTTTTTTGTCGTAACCAGCAGTAAGAACTGGTGCTCTCTGCATCATCAGTGCGCCTCAATGCGTGATTCAGGCACCGAGGGAAAAGCGATAGATAACTAAGCGAAATTAGATCCTCCGCTACACTAGGTATGTAGCCGACGATTTGAACGACTATCGTTCCAGGGTTATGTTTAGAAACGCTGTGATTAGATTCGAATATACTCCAGAGGCAGTCAATGCAGTGGAGACCATATAAACAATTTGTATAAACGCGGAATAACCTCAAGACTCTGGCCCAGCCGCGCCCGCGGTTCCCCGCATCAGATTCATGTCTAACATCCACACTTCAATCACTTCACGGCTATGACAAGTTCTTCCGATCATGTTTTCCCCTTACAGTCCGAGGGTCTCCAGGTCACAGGCCTATTCAAGAAGCGCAATCCGACCGTAATCCCTCGGTCTCTCGTGGTATTTATCCACGGCGGGGGTGCTAACGCGGCGTATTTCGACAATCCGGGCTTTCGGTATGTTTATGTCGCAGAAGTTGAAGGGCAGGGTCTCGCTGAATCACGTCAGATACCCCGCAGTCTTAAGTGAGCGCGGATATGATGTGCTGAATGTCCAACGCCCAGGATACGGAGGCAATCCCATCCCCGCCATCGCATCGCCCATCCGCAGCTCCGTCGCATTGATCACCGACCTCATTTCACGCGTGTACTGCTCGCAAACGGACCCCCAGCGAGGTGTCATCCTCGTCGGACACTCGATCGGTGCCGCCATCGCGCTCGCCATCGCGGCCCAATCGGATTGCCAGAGCTTTCCGGTCCTGGCCGTCAGCGCCCTCGGAGTTGTGCCTACTTTGCAGCGAGCTCTTCTCCTACCTGACCCGGATCTGGAATCAAACGAGCCCCGATTTGTGATTGACGACGTGCCTACGGTGGTATCTCGTTTCTTTGGCCCCTTCGAGTGCCTTGATGAGAAGGTATTTACTGGGGATACGCTGAGGGCAGCCTTTGAGCCGAGTATGAATCATGCAACTACATGGCATTCCACACGTTGACCAATCCTCATTTCAGGTGTGAGGGCAGAAATCCGAGAGTTCACGGGACCCGAATGGTATTACCTTCTCGTCAACGACATATTTCCCGCGGTCAAGGTATTTCATCTCGTCTGGGGATGCACTCGACAGGAGTCACTGACCAGAACAGGTGCCGGTGCAGTATCTTGCTGCCGAGTACGAACTCGTTTGGCAAGGCACAACTGAGGCTCAACCGCGCTTTGATAGCTTGGCAGGGCTTTTCACGGGCTCTCCAAACGTGCAGGCAAGATTGCTCCTCGGCGGTGGACATAATTACGAGTTTACCAAGAACTCGGCTCAGCTCCACGAGTTGAGACTCGATTTTATATCCAAAATGGTGGGGAGACTGGGATCCTTGTGAAATCCCCTGTTGGAAGCATTACTAACTATATCAGTCTGAGCAACTGGCGTTGAATCCCTTGCCTTTTACTTCCATTCCCGTTCTCGACTATTCTCAAGCATTGTCCTCATCGACCAAGCCAACTTTCCTGAACCACCTTCGGGAAGCATTGATCAATGTTGGATTTTTCTATCTTCAGAACCCGCCTGTCTCGGTCGACGCGCAGCGGGCGCTTTTGGAAAAATCATTGGAGCTTTTTCGCCTTCCCTTGGAGAAGAAGCTGGAGATTGACATGGTTAACAGCCCGCACTTTCTAGGCTATTCTAAACTTGGAGCAGAAATTACCGCACTCAAGCAAGATCACCGTGAACAGTTTGATGTAGGTTTGTTCCGCGTGCTAAATAGATTTCATACTGATCCCAAGTCAGTTTGCAACCGAACTCCCTGCACCCGGAAAAGACGAGCCACTGTATAGAAATATCTGCGGCCCTAACCAGGTACGTTCTTGGCCAACGTGTTTCTTTCGCTGTCTTCATGTCTTACATCTTAGTTTAGTGGCCCGATGAAAATGCAATCCCTGGATTTCGCAGGGCAATTGAGGACTACATTGCTGAAGCCAGTGAATTAGCCGGATCTTTTACAGCCCTTATTGCGGAGGCTCTAGATCTTCCATCGACGGCTTTCGAGCAAGCTTTCGATAAGCCAGGGCAGCATAAACTAAAGTTGATCAAGTATCCTCCTCCTCCAACCTCGGGTGACGATGACAACGGTTTCCAGGGCGTCGGTGCCCACAAGGACTCTGGATTTCTCACGTTCCTTCTGCAAGCAACGCCTCATCGTGGTCTTGAGGTGCAGAATAAAGCCGGAGACTGGATTCCGGCGTCCCCAATTCCAAACACATTTGTGGTCAACATCGGCCGTGCCCTTGAGGCCTTAACTGGAGGAGTTTGTACAGCGACAACTCATCGTGTGAGCCTACGGAAGGAAAACTTTTTGGATACCGAGGGAAACTCTCTTGGCTCACGATTCTCTTTTCCAGTCTTCCAAGGGGTCAGTCCTGACCTCTCTGCGGAGAAAATCTCACTAGTCATTCCAAATCACATACGAGATTTAGTGAAGGATGACAAAGCCAAGTCGGATGCCGAAGCAACATTTAACGAAATGTTTCGAACAAACATTGGCGAAGGCACGTTGGTTGCCCGAGTGACCAGCCATCAGGATGTCGGGCAGCGATGGTATCCAGAGATCTTAAGCAAGGCTCTGAAGGGCCAACGGGATTTTGTCGCACATTGAACACTATCACGGACGTGTCAATTTCCCCACGTCAAATGTTCTCCAATACGAGCGGGGATAATTAGAGATCGGCACACGTAGGATCAGACAGTTGCAGTGCGAATGCCGACGGTGCGGGGACTGAAGTCATGCAACACTCGCGTCTCTTATAGGCCAAGGGGCTCGATCGCAAATATCTATGCATGTTTTGATGTTCTCTTCTTTTTCTTTTTGGTCAACCCTAAGCTTAAAGATCCGCGCCATGCGTTGGATCAAATCGTTGCTCTGGTTTTTTGTAGCATCGGCTGTCGCCCGGTCGACTGAAGGCCTCTATAGTCTCGTCAAGCGGCGGTTGCCAAATCATAGCGACCAATTTCGCTTCAACCTGGACGCCGATTTTGGTAACAGTGACGGCTACGATCAATATATAGTCCAAAGCGCGGACAATGGGACCGTTCTAGTTCATGGCAACTCTCTTAGTGCACTCTCCTCTGGGTATGACCGAGAAGAAATTCACCGAGAATCAGAACGGCCAACGTTGATAGTCTCCATCGCTATCTCACTGATATCTTCCATGTTGATATCTACTGGTTCATTGGCAGCCGTCTGGACCAGGGCCCCCTCGGTCCTTCCTCCCATCGACACGCCGATTCAGAGCTCCAGCACAGTTCCTTGGCGATATCACTTCAATACGGGTAACTCATTCATGATACTCGGTTTTCGGATTGCTTGCTCATATATTTCTCAGTGACTTTCTCTTACACTTCGGCCTTTTGGACCTGGGAAGAATGGGAGTCACAGCTGGATTGGCTTGCCCTTCGTGGTGTCAACCTATCCCTTGCCTGGGTTGGTCAAGAGAAAATCCTGGTAGATGTATTCCAAGAGCTTGGACTCACCGATGCCGAGATTGCAACTTTTCTGGGTGGACTTGCTTTTCTGGCATGGAACCGCTTCGGAAACATCCAAGGATCCTGGGGCGGCGATCTGCCTCGATCGTGGATCGACAGTAGAATTTAAGTTGCGCAATCTAGTGAGGGTTTGAAAAAAAGTCATCAGATGATTGGTAATAACCAATAGAAAAATATTCCTCTCATTAGATATATACTTGCGCAGTTTTCTACGATCCATCTTTCGAATCTCGTCTATCTTTGCGGCCTATGATATTCAAGGTACCCCATGTCATTGTTGCCACCAATTGTAATTGTCAAGCTCCCCACAGCCGAGACCCGCGACGGTTGTAACCTGCTTATCGCCGCTATCGATGTGATGCTTAGAAATGCGATCCCGGCCGCTTCCAGGTTCCAGCTTTCCCTCATATTCCCAATTTCATATCTCAATGGATAAATTTTCTTCTTAGCTGCTATCCAGATAACTCGCAAAGATGGTGGAAAGACAAACCTCGCCGTCCGAGCAAACGCCGCTCATTGCATCCGCTGAAGATGACCCCCAAAGCAATGTGAGCTCTCTTAGGGGATTGGGAATAATCACGTCCATGGGTCTTTTGATTTTTATTCAGAGTAAGTTTTATTGCTACCCAAGTACTCTCTCAACGACGGTGAATTGAATGGCTGTCCTATAGCGACCAACATGTCAATAATGACCACTGCCCAATCCTACATCGCAGCCGACCTGGATGCTTTTGCCGAAGCGACTTGGTTCACATCGGCATTTATGGTATGAATCGACAAAGCATTTGCAAAAGACCATATAATATCTGACTGCTCGAAGATCGCGATGTCCAGCGTTACGCCCTTATCTGGACGACTATCGGAGATTTTTACACCGCGCATCTATGTTACCTTTTCGGGCCTTGTTCTAGCTCTGGGTCTGTTCATCACCGCTGCCGCTCCAACTCTGGCAGTCTTCCTTCTCGGTCGGGTCGTTACGGGTATCGGCAGCGGTGGACTGATGAGCGTGGCCATTATTTTGGTTCTGGATCTTGCGAGCCCCAAACGACGAGGCTTGTATATTGGCGTCATCAACGCGGGCTACACGACCGGTGTGGCTTCAGGGGCGGTTCTTGCAGGCCTGTTGACGCCAATTGTGGGATGGGTGAGTCCGTCATTTTCTTCACGGGGATCATAGACTGATCATGATTCTATTCTAGCGCTTTCTGTTTTGGATACAGGCTCCGGCGGCGTTGGTATTGGGCCCTCTACTCTCCTTGGCTCTTCCAACTTCTCCAAACGATCGCGGCGCCTTGACAGGAAGTGCTTTACGAAATAGTCTTGTCAGAATCGACTATGCGGGTTCTTTTACTCTGGTAGGATGAATCCAACCTTTTTTTATGATTTGGCTAACCAGGCAGACCCTCTCGGTCGTCCTCATGCTTTCCAGTCTGGCCTCGCCCCAAATTCCTCTCTGGCCCATCCCAGTGTCTCTACTTTTGTTTGGACTGTTCATTCTCATTGAATCGAACTGGGCCAGTGAACCTGTTATTCCCGTGCGACTCTTGCGGAACCGAAGTGTGTTATTGACATGCGTTGCGGCCCTGGGCATGATGATGGCTCGCTGGGCCGTTCTATTTTTCACACCGGTCTATGCGATGGCCGTCCGAGGATGGTCCCCTGCGTCGGCTGGGCTTATTCTGGTTCCAACCAATGCCGGATTTGGAGCGGGTGGTCTACTTGTCGGATGGCTGCACATACGTAAAGCTAGCAGCTACTATATGTGAGTCGTCTTTGATGGTCTGGGTTTCAGATCTAATGCATAATCCAGTTCCTGTCTGATTATATTTATCCTCTTCGCCATGGCCACGGCGGCCCTCGCCTTTCTCTCGACGCCAACCTCTTCTGCGGTGGTATACCTTTCAGTCACTTTTCTAGACGGCCTGTTTGCCGGGTCTCTGATGAACTATACTTTGTCTCATGTGCTACATCTCACCAATCCTGAATTGCACTACATTGTTACTTCGCTTGTAGCGATGTCTCGAGGCTTTGCAGGAAGTTTCGGGTCGGCGATTGGCGGTGGATTCTTCGCTCGTGTGCTCAAGAGTTCCTTGGAAACGGGCTTTTCCCAGCACGGATTGCCCCCTCGGCCGGATCTGGTGCGTACTCTACTGGGAAGCCCGGCCACCGTCATGCAATTGACTGGCCTCGCGCGACTAGTCGCCATCCAAAGCTACGAGCACGCGACACGCATGCTGTTCCTGGCGGGCAGCGCATTGGCACTGGGGGCGACTGTCTTGCAGGCGGGAACCGGATGGCGCTCGGGGGTAAATGACAAAAGACAAGATGATTTCGGCTCCGATCAGGAAGCTTGATTGCGAATAATTATCTATATAGAAAAGAAGTGCTGCCAATCAATGATCGAGGCTCGAGGAGATAAAAAGCCGATTACCTAAGCCCATAGCATCCCGCAGTGGCTGCCTGGATGCCTGACTGCCCGTCAGCACCTTCTCTTTTGCATCTCACAACTATCTTCCCAGCCCAAACCACAACACTCCCGTCACAATGCCGCGTGCCGTCCGAGGTCAGTCCACCTGTACGCTTTTCCTGTTGAAACCACGTCACTCATCGTACCCAGGCCTGCTCATCGAATGTGATCCCTCGATCAAATCCATGATCCTCAAGTACGATGAGGAACGACACGACTACATCGTGGAGGACCTGGACGATGAAAATCATCTGGTCATTAAAGAGAGCCAGCTACAGGGCTTGAAGGCACGTTTGGATCAGGTATGTCGTGGCCGGGATCTCCATCTCGCCCGAGTCGGTCATCTGACGGACAACGCACTTACAAAAGACAGGACCTGGATGAGAAGATCATGCAGCTCAATGAGTCGGAATCCGAGTAGAGCGATCGCTCCGAGACATGGTCCCCCCCATCTTCCCAAGCCACGAGCCTCTTCGACTGCCTTCACGACACACAAACGACCCATCACCATTCGATGCGAAGCGGCGTACAATGTGATTTCTCCGATGACCTCCTACCAGCCTCTCGGGTCTTTGATGTGTTGGGAGCTGCGATCACGAAGATTTCCTTCGTACGCCACGCTACTACCCATGATTCCCAGCACACGATAGGGCGCTCGGGCCAATATCTGGCCATGGTGCCTTGCAGTCACTCTTCAGTTTTCTGGGGATTCCGATGACGGGCCACAAATGTTTCATTGCTTGGGGTAGGACAAGAGGCGCGAGAGAAAGTTGCCGGTCGAAACTGAGTAAACTGGTATCGGCATTAGACACCCTGTGTCCTCGCTAGATACTCGAAACTCATGTAACGTGGACCTTGGGAATAGAATAGAACGTCCGACGAGTGCATGTTCACTTCCTAACAGGTCCAGATATCTCCAGACAGCAACCTGCCGTGCCGTTACCCATCACGTGACCCTGTCTGGAAGGTGCCAGTTGACGCCAGTGGCACCCCGCCGCATCATCCAGCATCATCCAGCATCAACGCGAAGCTGCGGTCTGCTCTTGGCATTTTCCACCATGTGCTGATTCAAGACACGTCTGTGGTAACTGCTTGTCGTTGCCACAATGTATATAACCCCCGTTACAACCTGCCTCTCCATCTCTCGTTCTCATCATCGTCATCATCCACTTTCCAATCTTCACAAAGCTTTCAAGCTTCCTACATCCTAAAATAATATCTTGGCCACTAATTGCGTCACTTGACGTCCACTCTCCATCCACCATGTCTCTGTTCCGCACCAGCTTCCCTTCTTCGAGTGACTTCACTCCCTTGTTCCGCCTGCTGGACGACTATGACATCCACCGTACCGGCCGCCAGTCCTCTCGGTCCTCTATGCGCTCTTTTTCACCTCGCTTTGATGTCCGTGAGACCGGCGAGGCCTACCACCTGGACGGCGAGCTGCCCGGCATCGCGCACAAGGATATCGATATCGAGTTCACCGATCCCCAGACGCTGACCGTGAAGGGTCACACCGAGCGCGAGTACGAGGCGAAGACCGAGGGTGACGAGACCGAGGAAAAGGGCAATGCCCCCAAGTCTCAGCACCGCTTCTGGGCCAGTGAGCGCGTCACCGGCGAGTTCCAGCGCACCTTTTCCTTCCCGACCCGCGTGGACCAGAATGCTGTCAAGGCCAGCCTGAAGAACGGCATTCTGTCTGTCGTAGTGCCCAAGGCCACTGCTTCTGTTGCCAAGAAGATCACCGTTGAGTAAACGTTGGATCTAATCGACATTTTGAAGGTTTCACTTGACTTTCGGATTTGAACGTCCACGCCGGGGACACGAGATACGACTTTAATGGCTTTCTTTTTTTTTGGCTTTTCTCAACATGAAGTGGTTTAGCTCAAACAATTCATCTCCACTACCTCACAATGATTATCCCCAGTAGCGCGTGTAGACTTCTCCATACGTAGATCGAAAGCGGTAAGCTCCTTATCGCGCCTTATCCGGACCGAGGCATGTGAAGTAGACCGAACGCTCAACCTTGGAACTTCTCTCGGAGCTCTTTGCCTGTACGCTCTCCTCTCGTGTATCCGTTTTGACCCTTTTGACACTTGAAAGCACTTCATGACAGTCGAGGATCTACGAACTACGGGAAACTATCCAAGTGGTCGGTTCACAATAACGATTGACTTGCCTCGGCATTGCCCCATCTCAGCCATATAGACCCCCGTCCCCCTCCGGACGGCTCTTCAAGTCTCTTCAAGCTCCTTCAACCATGTCGCAAGCCTACTCCTTCAAGTATTTTACCGTCCAGTTCCCAGCTGAGCATCAATATGTTGCTCACGTGGAGATCAACCGGCCGGATAAGATGAACGCCTTCTTCGAACCGTGAGTTTGCCTGAGCTCTCCGGCGAGCGGGTCGCTAACACGTTCGCTGTAACAGGATGTGGCTTGAAATGGGTCAGATTTTCAATCAATTGTCCGAAGACTCATCCGTCCGGGCTGTCGTTCTCAGTGGAGCTGGAGAGAAGGCTTTCACCGCCGGGTTAGATGTCAAAGCTGCTTCCGAGGGCCTGCTATCCGAGGGCACCGACACCGACCCTGCCCGCAAGGCCGCTCATATGCGCCGCCATGTCGCCCAAATGCAGGATTGCATTTCTGCCGTCGAGCGCTGCGAGAAACCCGTCGTGGTTGTTATGCACGGGTTTTCGTTCGGTCTGGCCGTCGATCTGTCAACCGCCGCGGATGTGCGTCTCTGCTCCAAGGACGTGCGCATCGCGGTCAAGGAAGTCGATATCGGTCTTGCAGCGGACCTTGGCACTTTGAGCCGGTTGCCCAAAGTGGTGGGCAGCGCTAGCTGGGTGAAGGAGGTGGCCCTGACCGCACGCGTGTTCGGGGCCGAGGAAGCCCTGCGTGTAGGTTTCGTCAGTGCTGTGCATGAAAACCGCCAGGCCACAATTGCGGCAGCTTTGAAGACGGCCACCTTGATCGCATCCAAGAGCCCGGTGGCGGTGCAAGGTACTAAGGAGGTCCTGAACTGGTCGCGCGACCACTCCGTGCAGGACGGTCTGCGCTACGTGGGGGTGTGGAATAGCGCTGCCCTGCAAACCAAGGATGTATCTGCGGCGCTGCTGTCTGGGTTACAGAAGCGCACTCCGACATTCGAGAAGCTGTAAAGGCGGCCTGTCCGTGTCGTCGATGTATTTTTCCCGAGCTTCTGTACATATGCCATCACAAATAAAACCTTGAAACCTGCAGGAGTCCATCGTATTTCCCTAGATCTCCAGGGCTAGATCCGCTTCGAGGTCGGTATTTTCTTCTTCTTTTTGCACGGCGGAATTTCTCTGAAGCGCAGCGAGTTTCAAGAGGTTTCAGGTTTTCCACTGACATACGGGGACATACTCCGAGCTTGGGGGTAGAACACGCCGCGTATCTTGCAGAAACATTTCAGGTCCATGAACTAGAAACACCGGTGATCGTCGAATTCGGACACAACGACGGCGGTTTGTAGGTTATGCGAGACTGGCCGCGAAGGGAGCGGGTGTCGCATTCGACGATCATCCTACGTCGCAAGCATCTTTGAGTCCCTGGGGGCAGACATCGTCGATGGACACTTTTCATTGACCACACCCATACCAGTGCCGAGGACGCCCTTGTGGCGGCCCAGGCAGTCTTCATGGCGGTCGGTCACCAGCGGACGAGTTGCCCTGGAAAGCGCTTTGAATACCGCGGATTTTCTGGGCTAGGGTCTGTCAGGGACTACGTTGTCGGGTTAGTTTCGACAAACAATAGAAAGGCGTTGGTCTCAATGCAAGTTCGGCTCATGGCCGGTAGATTCGTAAGGTATCATCATATGTCCAGGGGGTGTAGAATAATATGCAAAGGTATCAAATCGCTAGACGAGGGCAAATTCAGCGAGTCTCCAGAATGCTCCGCACAATGCCTCGTTTCTCAACTCGCTGGTAGTAGTGATTCAAATTCACAAATCGAGCATCAAATACCCCTCGGGTCTGCACAATCTCCCGCAGTACCGGCCACAGCAAGCAATCGTCGATGCTGAGGATTGCGCCACCGAGATAATACTGTCCTTCAAGGGTGTGCTCACAATGATCCAGTTTGGTTTCAAGAACACCATTGTCACCGGAGCGATGTTCGCGCCAACAGGCAAGCAACTCCTCAATCCACGCCAGGTGATTCCCGCCACGCAAAACATCCACACCGGGTCGAAACGTTTCCACGGGTCGTTCCACCAAATGTGTCAAGATGGCCAAATCACCGGCAACAGTCGTTTCTTGTGGATCTACATACAGTGGGCGTGCCGTCGGGTTTCCATTGTAGGTGTCCACTTGATGACTTCCGACAACCTCGTATCGAATTCCATTCTCTCCGAGAGCCAGAAGCACCCGCAAATCAGCCACCTGGTCGCCGCTCAGGGCCAGTCGTGTCGGGGACGCAGTGACAAAGTTCACCACGTCGAACCCACCACCGTAAACGGAGTCCCAGTCAAACTCGGTCTCACGATTTTCCTGCCCGAATGAACGGATCAGTCGTTCAATCTCTGCAGGATCCCCGTGGACTATAGGCCGAGCCAGGTCCGGGGTCTTGCCTACACCTCCTTGGCCCCAGATTGTATTGGAAGCCGGGTCGATGAAGGTTCCAATGTTTCGGAAAGTAAGTGAGATACGCTCGCCGCCGAAAGCTACCTCCTCCGGTGATTTGGTGGAGTCGGGACGCTTGTCCGGCCGAATGCCGTGGAGCCACCGCATGTTCGTCTTCTCGCCGAGAACGAAGAGTGACCGGTGAGGGAGTGCCACACGCTGGGTAGCGCGCCCTGATTCTGCGCCCTCTTTGGATTCACAGGCCGAGGATTTAGTGCGGAGTACCATGACACGCTGAGCGCCCAGACTAACGTTGCAAATGAAAGAGCCGCGAACGATGTCGAGAGTTTTGTCGGAGTGTTCGGAGATGCTGTCTTGTCCGTCTCGGTAGAGTTGAATAAGCACGTGGTTCAATGGGTGACCCAGAATTCGCTCCACCGCAAGACGCACTTCGTCTACGGCAGGGGTGAATGGGTTTAGTGGTGGAGACTCGTCTGCGGGATGTCGGTAGATTGGGACGGCACCGTTAGGCTGAATATGGCCCTGCACCGCCACCAGACGAGGTACCTGGCCCGACAGATGATACATCTTCTGCCAAGAGACTTCGACCCGAATGCGCTGAAATGCGTCAGTAGGCAGATCAACATCCGGAATGAGGCGGGCATCACCTTCTCCAATGCCACCGTTGCTCAAAGCTGGGTCGGGGGTTGGTTCGCGACGTTTGGGACGTCGCACTCGTGCACGAACATGCTTCTTTCCATCGGCGGGAGCCCGTGCGGCTGCGGCCCGCTGGGCCCGGGTCTGAGAAACGAGCTCCGTGAGGCTGCAATCTTCTCGATCGGGTGTCTCCTCCGGGATCGAGTCGGCGGTCTTGAATCCTAAACTGTCGATGATACTCTCGATATCCGCCGAGACGGCCGACTCCTGGGGCGGAGGGGCACTGCCGCGGGCGATGGCATCTGTCTCGTCCCAGTCTAGTTCCTGGGCAAGCTCCTGAGCAGTACTACCGGTTGCACCGAGAATATCCGCCATGCGGCGCATTGCCTCTTGATGACGCTGGAAATCGCGGTAACCCAGACAGTCTTCGATAAGGGTGACCGAGAAACCATTTCGGACGGCATCCAACGCAGTAGCATACACGGAAACGTTAGACAGAGAGCCACACAGATACAGCTCGGTCACAAAGCGTTGGCGAAAGGAGAGCACCAAGCCCTCTGACTCCAACGCCGAATAGCCAATTTTGTCCAATACCGTGTCACGCTCGGGATCAATGGCCGCGAGAAGAGGAGCCGGGAATTGGAACCCCGTCGTCTGTGCAGCACAGCAGGTGGCTGATCCAGCAGAAAGAAAGGCCTCCGCGTCCACGGGCTCTGGGGAATCACGGTCGGAGGATGCCTCGATCACGTCCGAAGCGGGCGCGGTCTTCCGCTTCTGCGGCTCCCTATCCAGAACAATTCGATCGCCAAAGTTCCAGTCGGTGAGCGACTGAGGAGATGCATACTGCGAGCGCACCCACACTACATCACCCGCACGGCGAAAGGCAACGGCCAGAGGTGGCAGGGTCTCGAGGATGTCGGCAGTATTAGGGACATGGAGGGCACCGGACGGACGGACGAAGTCGTTCTGGAAGTCGAGCAGCAGCAGTGCCTTGCGGGTCTGGATGACAGGCAGATTACCGAACGAGAAGAAACTCATGGTCGAGACATGGTACTTGCGGAGTCCGAGAGTCTTCACGAGTTGGTTGGCGTGGGGTCGGGGGCGGAGGTGGACACCTCAGGCAGCGATGTATTCTGTCCTCGTCCTTTGTTCATGATCGGAGGCCCATGAAGCCGTGAATCATAGCATCAAGCCAACGGTCGTACGGAGTACTGTGTCCGTATGTAGTACTTCCTACTGCTGCGCCCGGGGAGATCGAACGATCGCCCGTCTGGTTCTTCCGGCCAGACGGTGGACCGGCACGGTGTCAGTTCACCAATGGGTGACCGGCCACCGGGGAGCTCGCAGCATTCTCCGAAAGTTCCTTTTGGGTCGAGTCACCGCTCTCGGAGCTCGCCCCAATCCCTAGCAACTTATAATCTTCCCAATTCCTTCTCCCCTCCTCCATTTTTCTCTTTCTTCTTCCACTCTCCACTCTCCACTCTCAATTCCTTCACAATGGCCTCCCGTACCCTTCCCCGTGCCTTCCGCATGGCCCGCGTGGCCGCTCCTCGCTCCGTCGTCACTGCCGCCCTCCCCCGGCCCTCTCTGGCCAAGGTCGTGCCCCGTGTCGCCCAAGTGGCCCCCGTCCGTGGTGTCAAGACCATTGACTTCGCCGGTGTCAAGGAGGACGTCTACGAGCGTGCCGATTGGCCCCGGGAGAAGCTCCATGAGTTCTTCAAGAACGACACCCTTGCCCTGATCGGCTACGGCTCCCAGGGTCACGGCCAGGGTCTGAACCTCCGTGACCAGGGCCTCAACGTCATCGTCGGTGTCCGCAAGGATGGTGCCTCCTGGAAGGAGGCCGTCCAGGACGGTTGGGTCCCCGGCAAGAACCTGTTCGATGTCAACTCCGCCATCGAGAAGGGTACCATTATCATGAACCTGCTTTCCGATGCCGCCCAGTCCGAGACCTGGCCCACCATCAAGCCCCTCCTCACCAAGGGCAAGACCCTCTACTTCTCCCACGGTTTCTCCCCCGTCTTCAAGGACCTCACCAAGGTCGATGTCCCCAAGGACGTCGACGTCATCCTCGTCGCCCCCAAGGGCTCCGGCCGTACCGTCCGCACCCTCTTCCGTGAGGGCCGTGGCATCAACTCCTCCATCGCCGTCTTCCAGGACGTCACCGGCCAGGCCAAGGAGAAGGCCATCGCCATGGGTGTCGCCGTCGGCTCCGGCTACCTGTACGAGACCACCTTCGAGAAGGAGGTCTACTCTGACCTCTACGGTGAGCGTGGCTGTCTGATGGGTGGCATCCACGGTATGTTCCTCGCTCAGTACGAGGTTCTCCGCGAGCGCGGTCACTCCCCCTCCGAGGCCTTCAACGAGACCGTTGAGGAGGCCACCCAGTCCCTCTACCCCCTGATCGGTGGCAATGGCATGGACTGGATGTACGCTGCGTGCTCCACCACCGCTCGCCGTGGTGCCATCGACTGGTCCAGCCGCTTCAAGGACAACCTGAAGCCCCTGTTCAATGAGCTCTACGACAGCGTCCGTGACGGCACCGAGACCCAGCGCTCCCTTGACTACAACTCGCAGAAGGACTACCGCGAGAAGTACGAGAAGGAGATGCAGGAGATCCGCGACCTCGAGATCTGGCGCGCCGGCAAGGCTGTCCGCTCGCTCCGCCCCGAGAACCAGAAATAAATTAATATCGTGATACCCGTCAGGGAGGGTTTGGACAAAATGTTATGATGTACTATGAAAATCTGTTTTTGGGCATCGGGTAAATGAAATGTCACTTCCGGCTTGTTAATGCCGATTTTTCCTCTTCAAATGAGTTTCCTGACTTCGTCGTAATATCGTAACCGTAGACGTCGTACTTGGCCATCGGCCTTGCTCCGGCGGAGGAGAATCCGGGGTAGAGACGACCCCAACTTTTCTGTCGGCTTTTTTCTCCTCTCAACTCCACCGACGATGTCTTCAGCAAAGACGGTGCAGGCCCTAACGCCGGCCGCCGTCCAGGCCGCATACGATCTGATCCAGCCATATGTCCACCGCACACCGTTGCTAACCTGCCAAACTCTCGACGCCATCGCCTCGACCCCGCAGTCGACCGAGGCCCTGGTGGACACGCCATTCGAGGGCCAAACGCCCGCGCGGCCAAACTTCCGATTCTACTTCAAATGCGAGAACCTGCAGCGAATCGGTGCCTTCAAGGCTCGCGGCGCATTCCATGCTCTGCTGCGGCTGGTCGAGGAGCGCGGAGAGGAAGAGGTCAAGCGGCGCGGGGTGATTACGCATAGCTCCGGTATCTTTTGACCCATTCACGGCACCGGGATACTCTGAAACTGATTCTATTTTTGTTAGGTAACCATGCACAAGCCCTCGCTCTCGCCGCATCGACCCTGAACATACCTGCCTACATCGTGATGCCGCGCATCAGTACCCCGTCTAAAATTGCCGGCACCAAGTCACACGGAGCAGAAGTAATTTTCAGTGGATCTACAAGTGTAGAGCGCGAGGCCGTGGTTGCAGAGCTCCAGGCGAAGACGGGTGCTCTTTTGGTGCCCCCGTATGACTACTTCGATGTCATCTGCGGGCAGGGCACAACTGCGCTGGAGCTGGAAGCGCAGTATGCTGAGCGCGGCTCAGGCATTCTGGATGCAGTGATCACTCCTGTGGGTGGCGGCGGTCTCAATGCCGGTGTAGCGACCTATTTCTCCGACAAGCCGCAGACACTGGTATTCGGCGCAGAACCCAGCTTCGAGGGCGCCGACGACTGCCGTCGTGGGTTGCAGGCCGGTCAGCGTGTGGAAAAAGTTTCGACTCTGACAATTGCAGACGGTCTGCGCACACCCGTGGGAGTCTTGAACTGGGAAGTGATTTCAGACAAACGCAAGGTAGAAGGGGTCTTCGCCGTCACGGAAGAGCAGATCAAGGCCGCGATGCGTTTGGTTTTGGAGCGAATGAAGGTCGTGGTGGAGCCGAGTGCAGTGGTCGGACTTGCAGCATGTCTCTTTAACGAAGATCTTCGACGACGCGTCGAGCAAGAAGGCGGCGAGAAAGGGTGGGACGTGGCGATCGTGTTCAGTGGAGGCAACACGACCGTCGAGGCCATTAGCAAGCTGTTTGGCTGAAAGATTGTATTTTGCAATATAGGCGGATTCTAGATACTCATCTCATCAGATTGGGGGTATCTTAATTCCAGTCTCACCCACGTAGAAAGAAAAGCATCCGCCATTGAGGGCGTCAACGCTGTCCGATACCCGACGAGGCCATTCTTCGCGCCCCCATGAATTGACCCAAGCCGAAAACTTGCCCTCTCGCACAATGTTCTGCCGCGCGGGAGCATCTTTCCTCGCATCGTGCGCACTTATTGCGGGTGGGAACGAGCGCACCAGGTCGCGATGGACAACAAGACGAAGGGTTGGGAAGTTTCCCCACGGCGCAGGAAGAACTGGCCGGAGTGACGGTGTTCGTGATGGAGGTCGGTCATAAGGGCCAAGAGAAAAATGGCTACTATTGATTGTTAAGGGCCGACCACTAGAGACCGTCGCAGTGTATACAACTGTGCAGCCAAACCGGCCCTGTAGTCGCTTTAACTTCGTAACGAGCTCGGCATACAAATCTGAGAGGTAGAAGCTTTGCTTTTGCTCACGCTCTTGTTCAATCTCCGCCCAAGGGCGGCCAATGTCTTCGGTGCGTGCAATTTCGTCACGTAGCCGGTCTTGCCAGAAGAATGCCGTGATGCTGTCAAGAGCAATCATCTGCAGCGGACGCGAGCCCGAGTAGTGACGCGAGAGATTGAAAAGATAGGCGTCCAGAGCGCACAGCGTGGCTAGGAGGGCAGAGGATGACTGAGGGCGAAAGACATGAAGGTGCTGCAGTGCAGAACTCACGATTGTTTCGAGCTCATCGTCAGATGGACCTTGAGCCGTGTTGTTCCCATTTGAATCAGTGAGGTCTTGTGCCTGCTGTACAACTCCTCGGGCCACAATTCGGAATACTCCAGCGTCAAAACGGTCATCGGTGTCAAGTAAAACGACGGCCGCCTCGTGCCCTCCGACTGGGTTGTCTCCGAATGACCGCGGCAAGATGGCACGCGCGATCAAATAGTAAAGCAACTGGGATTTTCCAGAGGCCGATAAGCTACTTGAAATCTCCACGACCGGACTGGGCATTTTGCTTCGATTGGCTGAGTGGGCGAACAAGACGTTGGAAGGCAGGCCACTGGCAGCTGGTTCTTCACCAGGTTCGCGCACGTTTTCATTCGTGTCGCCTCGAAGAAGCATCTCTTCGTCTTCCGTTAGAATCTGCTCTCGCGATAATCGTTGGTGAGGAGCATCAACAGACGACCCCATTGTTCTCTGCATGAAGACTTCCAGTAAGGCATCAAGGACTGGGACGCCTAGAAGTTGTGACTCGTGATCAGGGCCGGCAGGATAGACATTTGCCAGGTCACGCAAGATCTAAATTGTCAGCTGTTGCAAAAAGAGCCAAAGTATAAGTGCGGACAGGTACCTCATCTAGTCCTTCGTGGTACACATCCGCTAGCGATGTCGCGCCTAAGCTGGCAGCCATGACGGACAATGGTCAGTAACGGCACGGATCATTCATTTCTCAGGTTAAATTCAAGCATAAATGACCACGCAGTGCATCAATGGCCCGAGTCGTCGGGGGGCGAGGGAAGCAGGGAAGTAAAAGAGTCGAAAGTCGAAAGTCGAAAGTCGAAAGTAGTTCGGGAACGGGAGTCTCGACGTCCGGGACTCGGGCCACTTCAACTCTGCGCTTCCCCAACGACCGAACAGTTTGACGAGCTTCGCGAGCTTCACGAGCTCCACGCAACTCATTGTCCAAGCGCCGTACTCTTCAATCAACATGGCACCTCTCGTCCCCGTCTTCTCCGCAGACGCCTTACCCGACCATGTCAACACCATCCAGCGCAACTTCCAAGACAAACGTCGTAAAGGCCCGGCCGTCAACCTCAAAGAATGCGCACTCCTCGAGATGATGCAGTATTCCTGCAATCCGCCGTCGGAAGAGATTCCGCAACCGGGAGTCATCGTATGCAAGCCGGTGGTGCGCCTGTTTCGACGGTGAGTCTACTTGGAAAGATTCTGGATGCCCAGTGCTGATCTGCTCTCGATAGCTGCGCCGGCGGATTGACAGTAGAGACAACATCGTGGGAAAGACTCGGGCCAGAGACAAGCAAAACGCAATCTATGGGCACGAGATCGTGAAGGGAAGCAAAAGTAGCATGATGTACAGTATTTGCATTGGGTGGAGGTTTTAGGGAATAATATCATGTTGAAACTATGCTGCGACTGCCATGGGTATCTCCTCAAAAGTTCTGATAAAACACAAAGCGCCAGCCCATAACCCCATAAAAATAAAAAAACGCCGATGTCCTCGTCTGATACCTCTATGTGCCAATAACGCCATCTGTAGGTTCAACGCTGGCCGGGGGGTTGGGCGTCTTCTCTTCTCCCTGCCCGCTCGCAGTTGTCCGCCGCCATAAGTCTCGCTCGCAGTTGACAATGGGGCCCATTTCTATATTCCACGACACCTTGGACCGTGCTTTTGCGTGCCCATCGGCCGGCCCTAAGTCGATATCCATGGATGAACTCAACCCGGCGTCCATCGGCGCGGATACGGATGCGAGTGGGTCCTTCTGTAATTTCTTCGCAAGCCCCTTGACCGTCTTTTCAAACATTGTCTCCATACTCTCCATCCGCCGGCCCCAGAGCTTCTTGTCCTTGCCGCTCGAGCTCGTCGGGTTGTCGCGGAACGCGGCGCTAGCTAATTTCCGTAGCGCCTCTTCACCGTGACGCCCATCCTCGGCAGCCCGTTCTCGAATCTGGCGCGGGTCGCTGTCTCTCTCTGTAAAGACCGCCGTAGCAGAGTAGGTGTGTTTGCTCGGAAAGTCGGGGAAGTGCTTGGGAACGTAGGAACGGTTCGTCAAGCCCTCTTCTCCCTTCAATGCATTCAAAAATGGAAGCTTGCGGGTAACCTCATCTTCGGGAGGAGGGGATGGAAGGAGAAGCGGTACCGGCGCGACTGGCCGGTTCGATTTAACGGAGGGAAGGAGGTCGTCGAGGGAGACACGGCCACGGGTGAAAGCGTGCTCGAAGTCATGAGGAATAGGTTGAATGCGGCGCGATGCTAGCATCGATTGGCGCACATAGGTGGATAATCGAAAAAGATCTAAATGGCGGGTCAGTATCAAGTCTTGACGCCAAGGTAGATCCCCTCGAGGGTAGCCACATACACTCCTCTGCGGAACTGCGCAAGCTCGACAAGGCAGTGGGATCAGCCATTTCAAATCCTTCATTCCTCAGGGCCTGCCCGATCGAGCGACTCATCATATGGTCGATGTTGGAGTCATCCTGTACGGCTGGTTCCGAGGATGGAGGGAGAGTGACGGGCTCCTGGAAACGGTGATGGTGATAGTAATGAGGCTTTGGCCGCTTGCTGTCGGTCAATTCCAGTGTGGAAGATGAGCGCTTCACTGGGCCCGACGCCATGGCCATGGTGGTTGGTGATCGGAGACGCTGGGCGGAGAAAGCTCCAACTGTTGACGGATGGGACTTGGTCACGTGATATTGCGTTGATGCCTGAGGAAACAGGTGGTCGCAACGGGTGCTCGGTTGGAAGAGATTGTTGAGATGATGGGGACTTAGGAAGCCAATAACGACTATGTTTCAATCTAAACGTGCCAACATCGTATCTTTAGACAGAATTGAAAGTGTAGATGCGGCGCAGTACGACATGTCGCAACCATCGACCAATCCGGAGGCTCGCTTAGTCCGCCCGAAAGCTTCAACTTCGACGTTCGTCCACCTCGCTCCGTCACTCTCTCTTCCCTTCTCTGCCCACCCCCCACCACCGTCAGGCAGGTTCCTTTCTGTCTACATCCTATCGATCGTCTTATCGAGCGCTGATTGACACGGTCTGTTCGATACAATGGCCGCTGCTATCCCCCCTATCACCGGCGTAGGTCCCCCGTCCCTTGACAGCCCGGTTCGCCCCGAGCGGGCTCGTCGGATCCTCTCTACGCCCTGAACGATGCGCTGACTTGTTTTCCTTGGTTGCAGATGCTCCGCCGTGGTCTCGTCTTGGACCTGAGCACCGCCTTTGGTGAGTGACTTCGACTTGCTCTTTGGGTGTGGCATGATCAACGGATGAGCAGGATGTCCCCGGTTATCTCGGGTGCCGTCGCTCTTAACACGAATCCGTGAAGGAGGAATGGAATGAAATTATGAAGACAACGGGTTTACTAACCAACAACCTCATTGCATAGGTTTCGGTACCACCTTCGGCTACCTCTGGTGGTACGGTAAGTGGAATATCATATTTCGGCCACTCGCCAATCCACTTCTAACATCTCTTGCTCCACAGGCTACCACCTTCCCCGTGTCCGTGAGCGCGACACCTTCTACACCCGTCTTGAACAGGAGCGCGCCGCCCAACGCGCATAAATCGGTCAACCTCGCCTCGCCTCGATTGTTTCCTTTTTGTCCGTCGGCTGCAGTTCCTTCTCCTTTGTCAATGAGTACTCCGGAATATTACCCATCGAAGAAAGAATACCATCTTTGGTAGTTCCTCTTTCTGGGCTAGACTGGGTCGGCGGGTCCTGTCCCGAGTGTGTGGGTGCTTGATGTTGAAACCGATTGTACATATACGCCTGTGATCAACGTGTTTCGATTCTGGATTTTGGATTTGACTGAGAATTGACAACGTAATCCATCTCTTTTCCAGTATGCTTAGAGAATGGCTCTGCCCCAGAGTGCTGCATACCAAGTCGACCTTTACCACCCTCACGCGACAAGTCCGCAGTAATGCCGATTGAATCGGATCTATTGAAATCAAACGCTAATTACGCCGGTTATATGTACGTAGAACTCCCTTCCCTGGGATGACTGCTCTCCGCCCCGTGCAAAGCCATGGATCATCATTTCGCGTTTCCGGGTCGATCGACGTCCAGAACTGGGTCTAACCCGCCACCTGTTTCGTGGCCGAGGACCCTGACCTGAAGCCAAATGCCAGTGTTAAATCGACAGCAATCGGTTCTATCGTAGCACCCGCTCGAACGCGATGCCTCGGACGGACCCGCCGGCCATGGAGGAGCGTACGTTGCGTTTGAAGCCTTCACGGTTGGTCCGGAGATCCTCCGCTGCCTCCTTATTGAGGGGGTCGGACGCATTCGGCTCGAGAAACAGGAACTACCACATGATCGGTTAGTTCAGCCCACGGACTGCAAAGAGGGAATGACAAACCTGCATGCCCACAATGACAGCGTTCAAATTCAGCACGGGCTTCCAGTCCTCGCGCAAAATGTTCAGGCAAACGTTGCCCTCCAGATCAATATTAGGATGGTAGATTTTCTGCGTGCACTTGACCTTGGGCGGGTCGTGGGGGAAATTCTGGTTCACGGAGAAGCTGAAGTTGAAGACGCCACCTTTGTACATCCCCTCGTCCGGTTCAATGGTCAGGGTGAAGTTGAGGATGTCATCGGGGTTGGGGAAGGACATTTTCATCGTGTTTCCAAGGGTAAGTTCCTGCAGGTCTGCAGAGGAGAGGACTCGTTAGAAGATACTTAAAAGCGTGAGTCGAGCGAGAACGAACCTCGTTGCACGCGCAGCTGCGCCGCCGTGACCTTCTTCTTTTTTTTGCCTGCAGCACCTTCGGCATTTTCAGCCTGCTGCTGCTGCTGCTTCTATAGAGGCAGTCAGCATACGTTCTATCATCTCTTTTGAGTTGCCAAGAGCCTACCATCGACCAGATCTTCAACATGTTGGCAGGAGCCACCACCCCCACCAGGTGGAACAACGGGTGATCAAAGTGGCGGACCGAGAAGGAGGGGGAAAATGTCTGCGGAGGGAGATGAACACGGCAAGACAGCAGGGCGTGGAATGCACAGTCTCGCGAGTGTCTCGGTGTACCGGAGTCGTGTTGTGGAAAGGACGTCGGGCGGAGAGCGAGGCAGAGTCTTTGCGGGGTCTTTTAGCCACCTTGTCTCGCGATCTTTCCGCCTCACGCATGACGTACATTGACTATACATCTACATTTACCATGGCTTAGCTACATTACAGAACATCTCAACGTTCCAAGACGTGTCTGGTTACTTGAGTCAATGTCGAAATGTCATTTGCGCCCGGAATGCACCCCATTGCATCGCTGGTCCGACAAAAGATCCCGGTTGGTCGCTATTCAACCTTCCACAGCAGTACATACTGGCATCATTTAAAAAAAAAAAAAACCATGAAAAACGGGCATCTTCGAGGTAGAATACAGATGGCAATCAGGAAAGAAAAGGTGAAGCATGTGCCAAGAAAGGGTTCGCGAGAAAATGAGTGAACTGTCCATGGTTTTACCGGCGTGCGAAGCAGCACTTGATACCGGTACGGCCTAGGAACCAAGAGGCGCCCACGAAGCGGAACATAGCCATGACGGCGTTGGACCACAGGAGGGCCTGGAAGAATCGGGCAGTACGGGTGGTAGCAGTGTTCTAAATGTGACGTTAGTCGGTGGCCCAGAGCGTCAAGGGGAAGAATGGAAAACATACCGTGAATCCAAACTTGTCTACCGCCTCGCTAGTGATGCACACGGCAAGGAAAGCGTTGCTGAAAATCCAGAAAGTTACCAGACGAGTACGGAAGCTCTTGTAGGAGTCTTCGAGAGACTTCTCGTCGTGCTCGACCGGCGCAACGTACGGGGTGAGCGCACGCTTGACCGTAGCTTCGAACTGGCTGTCGATATCGGCTTGAGGCTTATCGATTTCCTCTATGACCGCGTCTTTACTACCTTCATCCTTGGTAGTCTTGGCAGAAGGCAGCGCATCGGCCTTATCGGAACCTTTGGTACCCCAGGACACATCGTGCCAGTTGCTGAAAGCATAGACGTTGAGGATGTTGATGTAAGAGGACTGCAGGACCATGTAGGCGGGGAAGGAAGTGAACATATGCCATGGGTCGGCGTACATGAACGAGGCGACGAAGTAGAGACCGAAGGTGGCGGCCAGGGCAATGATGATGATACCAGCACCCGAGGAGCCGAAGAATGATTTGAGGAAAGCACCAACACCCTCGTTGGTGACAAAGTCCATCGGCGCACCGCCGGTGAAAGCGCGAATAACCAGGTATAGCGAGTCGACGACGATATACAACTGGATGATGCCGAATGCCACAAAGGAGGCCAAGTAGGAGAACTTGGAGCCCTTGGGCCGATTGCCGAGCGCGAGAATGAACTGCAGCAGAAGGAATCCCAGGTAGATATACTTAATGATGGTGTTCACAATGGGTGTGGCCTCCTTGCCGAAGGGGAATGCCGTATCCTTGTTGCTGGTACTGGGGGTGCCGACCAGGTCAATGATAACGGTGGTGGTCAACCAGTAAGAGGCAAGCGAGAACCAGGTGAGAATGGTGCTGAAGATATTGTACAGCATCTGGATGTGCAAGAAGAACATGCGGATCAGGTTGTGTCCACTCTTGTACATCCGGCCGAAATGCATCAGCGAGTAAATGCCGGCCGCGAAGGAACCGTTCAACCAACGCCGGCGCTGCGAAATGAATTCGGCGGCACCTTCAGGCACGTCCGTTTCGGCCTTGGAGGCTTTCACGTACGACAGGTGCCATTTGGAACCGGCCTTGGCGACCAACTCGAAACAGAGAATGCGGTCCTCGGCCAAGAACATGTTTTTCTTGAAGATGTTCATGCCCTCGATACCCTTCTTACCCAGTTGCTTAGACAAGGTATGATCACCATGGAAATATTGCTCCAACGGACGCCCCATAATGGCACGGAACCGGTATGCAGAAAACGCACCGGGCAAAACACTGACGTAGCCGAACGAACTCTCGAGTGGTTTGTCCAAGATGTTACTGATCTTGTACTCGAAGTTCTGTGCTGCCACCAGCGGGTTGACCAAGTTCCGCCAGCCCTTGCCCAACATGGCATGAATCTCACCACAGGCACCACCCAGATCCTTGTCATTGTAGAAGGCCTCCCACAGAGATAGCAAAGACTTGGGGCCAGGCTTCGTTCCAGCATCGAGCAGGATACAGATCTCGGGGTTCAAGATCCGACCAAATGCGTTGAAGAGCCAACGGTGAGAGTTGATCTTCTTGCTGTTTTTCTGCTTCAAACAGAACATCATTTGTACCGGGGGCAGAGTGCTTGGACCATCCTCGGTCGGACGAATGAGCTGTTGATTGGGCGTGACGGACAGCTGAGTCGTATATTCAAACTGCACATCAAGCGTTAGCCGGGAAACCTGATTCACGTCAGAATTGGACATACAATATGCGCCACGGTCTCCTTTCCGTCGACATCACGCTTCATGACACCATCCTGATAGATACCAACGGTGGCCAGGACGTCCAGAGTATCCTTGTCGCAAGGATCGATACCGTCGAAGACTAGTGCAACGACGATCTTCTGCCACGCGGGTCCACCCTTGTTCCAAAATTCGGATTTCTTGAGATTCACGATGTCGCGGATATTTTGCATCACACCATGAAGTGTACGGGCCGTCAAAGTCTTGTCCTCATTGTAGTAGGTGATGGCGATCAGCAGCTCGGTATGCCGGTTATACATTGCCGGTCGCAGGTTGTAACCGTTGTGGAGGGTGAACTCGTTAGGATCACATGTCGCAGCGGTGTCTGAAGACGAATTATTAGTGTCTCCGGGTCGGGTGGAAGTCGTTGGGGAAGCGCAAACCACTCACATCGCATATGCGTGAACTCCTCACTGCCGCCTTCCAGGTCATTGCGGTACTTGGCTTGGATGGCATTCTGAATGGCACTGGGCACCGGGTAGTCCACACTCAGGACTGAACCCTGAACCAGCTTGACCTTACGAGTGGCATAACGGCGCAGATTGCCGCCACCACCACCAACACCACCACCCGTACCACCGTTTCCACCACCGGGGGCTTGTCGCTGGCGCCAGGCCTCGGTGGATGAGGTCTCGCTTCGGGCGTAGGGGGATGCGACTCGGCCGGGGACACCAAAAGCCGCAGCAGGGTTCTCGGACTGACCCGAGTACACGGAGCCCGTCGCATAGGGGTCCTGGTACGTCGGGGCTGGATCGGCGGCGTAGGTCTCGGTCAAGCTGTAACCCGAGGCGGGGCGCACGGGCGAGACTCCCCGCGAGTGAGGATCGTCAAAGGGCGTTGCGAAAGGGCCTTGCTGATGGGCGAGTAGGCCTCTGGATGCATCCTCATCCTCGCGATACTGGAATCTTCGGTGAGTATTGGCATACCAACAAAGGGGTACACGATCCGTACCTGAGAGGCAGGCACATCTTGCAGACGATGAGCGTCCTCGTAGTTTGGCGAATGCGCGCCAGACCCCTGATAGGCCATGATGATGTGCGGTTACTAGGCAAAACGTAGAAGAAGGGGTATCAAAGAAGGAGTGGCAGACAGTTGAGCCACCGGGGCGTAGTGAAAAGGTGTCCAAAGGGGGGGGATCCCTGGGGAGACAGAACTCCCAGTCAGCAGAACCCGATTTTGGAATGAAAAGGTTTGGTTTGAAAAGAAAAGGGGAGGGGGTTCCAACAAGGTCAAAGACGAAGCGAAGGCAAAAAGGGACGTGAGACGCAAAGGGGAAAAAAAAAGGAGGAGGCGACGGAGTGAAACTGGAGCGCGATCGTATTGCTTAGTTTGTCTGCAAAAATAGACATCTCTAAGCCCGGTGTGGATTAGCTCCAAAACGACAGCTCTAATGGGCTTTGACTATTTCGTGGTGTTTTGCCCACCACTCCAATGTTATTCCGATGCAACAATGCACATACCCCATCCCTTGGTACCAGGTACGCGGCGGCGCCGCGAGGAAGAGGGCTGCAAGATCGGTATGGAGTACCATGGAGTACCATGGAGTACCCGACCTCGACAGGGTCAAGGCACCGGGGACCCTGACTGGCTGGACGGAACCAAGTTTGGGCTCCGGAATTTGAGTGTCGGGATCACTGCAGGGCTACGTGTCGGTGGACGCCTTGGAGAGTCTGCGAAAGATGTGTCTCGGAATCCCCTCCCCCCCACAAGGCTGTCACCGGGAAGAAGACTCTTTGTTCCTTCGCCGTCACCCGATTTTTCTAGGGCGCCTTTCTCCAGATCCTCCACACGCGCTTGACCGGTTCAGGGAGTGGACCGCGCTAGGAGCCGAACCCAATCAACCGACTCCACCGCTGAAACAGTCGGTCCCTTGGTTCTGCTCATTCCACATTCTTCGCGTCCTTGGCCTACGTCCGGATCTTTCGAGATATGCCAGACGGTCTTATTCTGCCGTGTGGAATATACGATGGAAATATGATAAGTACTCCGACCACCCGCTAGTATGCTAGCCCTGTACATGTAGTCTATGGACAGACCTACTTGACCTGTCCCCTCGTCGTCTGATCGGCAATCGCCTGATAGGCCGGGGGCATCATGGGATCGCGGGCTTCCCGAATCCCACGCATCTCGGCGTCCGGGATAGTCCACCGTCACCTTGCTTCGGAGAGGTGCGGTCCCGGTCTACGTGGCTTATTGGTGCGCTGGAGAACGATGATAAAAGTAAGGCGGAAAAGGAAAAGCAGATAGATACAGCATGACCGGGTTTCGATCCTAGGCCCTGTGGCGAGTGATGATTGAATACGGTGAAACGCACCTCCGAAACTATAAACCAAAGACCACGACTCTTGGCTGTCGCTGGTGGTGGTGGCCCTGCGCCCTGGCCGGGCTGTGCCTCCCGTGTCACGGAATGCCCCCTGGTCGGGTCTTCCAGCCCTGATTCGATACGCCAACACTACCTAGATTTATTCCATTCCCCAATCATGGTCGGTCTATTTTGGTCGACCAAGAAATCGCAATTTCCCGGCCCGACGATGATCCGAGTCCAGACCGCGTCCTCCCGCAACACACGCAACGCACACAACGCACACCGCACTCTCCCTGCAGGCCGGGACAGACCCGGAGGCAGGCACGACGTTCTGCAAGGTGCCGAAGGGGTGTGAAACGGATACCCGGGTCCTTGTGTGCTTTTCCGTCCCTCCTATATCTCTTGTAATATACCTAGATAACCCCAGTACTCTCTACTCACTACTCTCCGTCGGAGCCGGACTTTGTCCTCTTTCAGGAACGTGTGGAACCCGCGGTCGGACCTCCCGTGACTTGGCCCGCGACTCCTCTTTTCCCAGAAGAACGTTCTCCTCTTCCTCTGTCAGCCTTTGCATCCGATCTTGAATCTCGCTTTTCGACGTTGGACGATGATCGTCCTCGGTCCTTGATCGGGTTTTCTCTACACTCGTTTATATTGAGTTGCTTTGATGACCTAGCGATTCTCTCGCTCACGACTTGACGCCGACTGAGCATCCCACACTCCTTATTCTTTCACCGTTGATTTGTCCCGTCTTTCTGAACGTTCGTCGCCGTTGACCGGTCGTCCTTGTCCATACCTGATTCCCTCTTCTCGTCGCTGCTTCTTCCTCGCCCATCATGCTTCCTGACGCCTTTGATTCCGCCCCTACCTCGCCCGACAGTGGCTTCCTTCCCTCCAACTCTCTCTTCAAGCGCTGCATATCATGCGGGCCCTCCGCCCCGACCTGTCCGTCCTGTCCGGATGGGACGACGTGTACGATGACCAGTCAAACCTGTGATTCGTGTGCCACCACCAAGTGCATTTCGACCGGCAACACCTCCGCGCCTCCCTCGAGCGGCCCCAACGTCGGTGCCATCGCCGGAGGTGTGGTCGGAGCTGTCATCGCACTCGCCGCCCTTCTCTTCCTGATCTGGTGGTTCGTCATCCGTCCACGACGCGATGAGCGCAAGTCCCAGCAGGAAAAGAGCGGCGCATTCGCGGCCCAGCGATCGGAGCGCAAGTCGACTCAGTCCATCGCCTCGACCGTCCTGACCCGTGCCTCCAACGTCATTCAAATCGCCTACATTCCCGGTGTCACCAATCGATCGCCTCCGGAGACACCTGCCTCGCTGGTGCCTCCGGTTCCCCCGCTACCCGGCGCGACCCCTGACCAGCACTTCTTCATGCCCGGTGATTTGCGAGATTCCTCCTGGACGGCCACCACCGGCCACCAGAGTATTTCGCCCACGCTGCGAAGCAGTGTGGCCACCACCATATACCGCAACGATGCCATCGTCAGTGCCATGCCCGCCCAGCAGATCCAGCGTTCTCGGGCAAACATTGTCAGCGTACACAACGGCCCTGGTGGTTCCGGTGACAGCACTCCGACACAGTCCGTTCCCGTCATGATTACCCCCAGGGATGCGCCTGCGGTGCCTGCTATCACCCCGTCACAACTCGCCAAGGCTGAAGCCATGCAGGGTGCACCCGGCAGCTCGATTGTGGCTCGCCAGGTGGTAGCCAAACCCGTCATGGTTCGCGGGCCTTCGGTGAAGAAGAAGGACGGTCAGTCCATCACGGAAACGGGTGCAAAGGACATCAAGCCCACCACTGCCGACTCGGCAAACAGCAGCCGCCAATTCGACCATCACACGTCAACCTTTAACGGCAACTCATCAGATGAAGATGATGATACGCGGCCCTCGACCCCCTCCAACTCGACGGGCGAAAAGGTCTCGGCCTCGGCCAACGAAGAGTCACCCTCCAGGGGCCCCTTCTCCGACCAGGCCAGCAGTAGCAACGCAACCTCGGGCAACACGCGACGAAGTTCCCTTCACGCCGGTCAGGCCCCGCCCCCGCGCGTACAAAGTCCGTTCTCGGACGCGAATGAAGTTCCATGAACTGGTTTTGTTTGATGGGATGAATTCCTTTTTTTTTTTCGTGTTTAGTTTTTATTTCCCTCATGTTCTGTCAAATCTCTCCCACTTCTTTGTACGTATGACTTGAGGCTTGGTACATTTTAGGGCGTCGGTTCGCGTTTCCCGGGTGCTTTGTACAGCGAGATTAGCACTCGCGGAGGCGAAGCAGTCAATTGAAGCCAACTCTTTTATCGATGGATATCCTATCTATCTTCCGACCTAGGAATGATATCAGTGATGGATTAAGAATCTTGGGATCTTTGTATGTATCTGGGTAGGCAGATAACACAACACATGGCTCTCCAACCTTGGAAGCTTGCAAAGCTGAAGAATCGTCTTCGGTGGGAAAAATATATCAAAGTGCTTCAAGGGTCAACAACACCAACCCAACCATTCAGACCAAGGTGCCCGAATATGTATCGAATAAATTCATCAAGTGCCAAAATAGCCTTGGAAGTAAAGATTGAGGGTATCTACAACGAGCTACCATGCAAAATACATAGATGGTGAGCCAATTCACGGCACAGTTTCCTCCAACCCCATCCCACGCCCGATCTTACGGATCAGCGCGCGTTTAAAGAAAGCCTCACGCGCGAGGCCACGCGTATGTCGAGACCACGAATCGACCCCTATCACACCACGGACCAGAGCTGCTTGTAACGCGTACAGCGCATGTTGGAGACCTTGTTCCTCGGCAACTAAATCATACAACTGCTTCCCTACTACGGTGGGAGCGACCAGGACCTCGTCAATGGGGGGAAGACCCGATGGGGGGTCTGAAGACCCAGCAGCGGCAGAGGAAGACGCAGCAGAGGACGAGATGGACACTGAGCGGGCTTGAGCATCAGCGATGGTGGCGTCTGCACGGTGGATAGACTGCTGCAGGACCGCAGTGTTGGATTGGAGCGTTGCGTGGAGGGAATTGAGTGCGGTGACTTCCCCTTGAAGCGTGGCCATTGTAGCCTGCAATGATCGCGACTGAGAGACGAGCGATTGCGATGCGGTGTCGGACTGCGTTGCTTGGGCTCGCAAGGTCTCAGCAAGAGTTTGGGATACCGCATGTAGCAAGGCATCTTTCTCTGGATTTGGTGGGATCGGTGGTGCAGGCCCCGCGGGCGCAAATGATGGCAGCTCAAGCTCAAACGGCGATGTGAGAAGGTCTGGCGTTTCCTTCGGTGCCGGCGCCGCTGGAGGCGGCCGCTGGAAATTCGAAGGATGTGGTGAGTTTGTGGGATATGGAGGCCCCGGGGGTTGCTGAGACTGGGGCTGGTATCCCGGGTAATGTGACGGTGGTGCTTGTGAAAAGTGAGGCGGTTGTTGGGGGGAAACTTGAGGAACAGGTGGCCCAGCATGATGAGCGAACAATACCTGTTGTGGTCCAGCTGCAGGGCCGACTGGCCCGCTCATGTTCCTACCGTGAGCTGTTTGACCCTGTGATACCGAGGGTGACATAGGTTGCTGGACTGGGTGAGGAGAAGTAGCGAATTGTTGAGGTACCTGGCCGCCGCCCGCGCTGGTCATGGAAGCACGGCTTAATGAGGTAACTCGACCGGCATTATATTCCTTCGGAGGCAGCGGAGGAAGTGGTGGGGGAGACTGATACTGCTCCGCCGTGCGTGTTGGCAGCTGCTGAGGTACAGTGGCAGCTCCAGGCTTGGGTGGCAGCTGCGGGGGAGTCTGTATCACCGGTTCGGCAGACTGCGGTTGTGCTGGAGGTGTTGATGAAGGCCCCATCCCTGGTGGCAGAGGAGGTAATGGGGGCGGAGTCTGCGTCTGCTGGGTCTGGGATTGAGGGGCCATTTGTTGTCGATTTCGAACGGGGGGTTCCTTCGCAAAAACTTCTCGGAGGATCAAGAGAAGATCGGATATGGATGATCTCTAACCGATGCGCAAAATGGTCAGCCTGGTTTCAATGGGAACAAGCAGAGTAATGACACTCACATCCCACGCCTCGGCCCAGTGTGCCAGGTAGTGATGATACACGCGCCCCTCGAGCGTAACATGCTGTCCAACTCGAACCATCATGTCTTGGGTAGGCGTCACATAGACTATAGGAGGCTCGCGAGGATAGGTATTTGGGATCCAGAGCGCGACGGGGAATCGATATGTGGTGCCACGGAAGGCCACAGGCAGCGTGCCCACAAGGTGCAGGAGCAGGGCCGAGAAGCCATTCTCAAAGGCTGGGAAGACAAGGAAGTCAGAAGAACTGCTAGCTGCATTGAGTCGCCAGACTCACTGTAAACATCGGTACGAGGCGAGAGCGAGGGGTACTGAGCGAGCGCATTGACGACGTCGTGATAGGCACGGTTGGGATCGTGGTAGGTCTGGTTGGGGTCGTAGTGGTCCTGAGAGGGGCGTTAGATTGCCATATTCATTGACAGGAGAGATGCACACCTTGGTGAGGACGGAATACAACCAGTTGAGCGTCCTCTGGGAGACTGCCATGTCGGGGGCTGGAAGATGGAAAGGGTTGAGTCGCGGTGGTCCTCCGCACGGCTTCCCCGCAACGCTCTTGGCTTCGGTTCCGTGGCAGCTACGGAGTTTGGGCATCTACACACTCTGCGTCGCCAGTGATATCTTAAATTTAAGTGTGCCTGATTCCACGAGTTTTCGAATTCAATTTCATTCTGTGCGGTGACGTTTTGTAAATTGACCGCAATTTGGTAGATATTTATTGCACATGTGTGCCTGGTGTCAACATATACTTCGAACGGGGGATTTCTTTTCCTCTGTACAGACCTTTTCTCAAACCGTGCAAGTAGAATGTCATCAAAAATCATCATTGTCTATGGTCTTGTATCTCTACATGCTATGCTTTATGCAAAATCCTCTAATCAAAGATGGAGGCCTTCATCGAGTTGGGCTGGATGTACTCCGATGCATTGCGGAAGCTGGTGAATCCCCAGCGAATCTGCCCGGCCATGGCAATCTCGGTGTCCAAGTCCTTGGCGAAGGCCCAGGCCAAACCGGTGTCGCGCTGGAAGGCCCGACCGACCCGGATTTGATCGACGCCTTCTTCGTTGAGAATCTTCTCGGCCAGCACACCGTTGTTGATCGTGCCGACGGCAGACACGAGCATCTTGTCACCGACGGCCTTCTTCACGGCAGCCGCGAAGGGAACCTGGAAACCAACACTAGACATCACCTTCTGAGCGGAGTGCACTCCACCAGAGCTGAGATCAATCAGGTCGATCGCGCCCTGAGCTGCGAGAGCTTTGGCAAACTCCACGGTGTCCTCCAACTTCCAGCCCTGCTCCTCGGGCAGGCTGTTCTCCAGCCAGTCGGTGGCGGAGACACGCAGGAAGACGGGAATGTCGGATCCAACGGTGTCGCGAGTCAGCTGAGCGATCTCGAGAGGCAGACGAATACGGTTCTCAAAGCTGCCGCCGTACTCGTCCGTCCGCTTGTTGGACGAGGAGCTAAGGAAGGAAGACAAGAGGTAGCCGTGGGCACCGTGGATCTCAATGAAATCGACGCCGGCGGCGACAGCGCGGCGGGTAGCCGCAACCCAGGCATCCTTAACCTCCTGGATATCCTCTTTGGTCATGGCCTTAGGAACGATGTCGCCCTCGGCAAAGGGGATAGCGCTAGGGCCCTTGACATTATCGGTCCATCCACCAACGGCATTGGTTGCGGTGACACCACCCAACCACGGAGCAACAGTCGAGGCCTTACGACCGGCATGAGCCAGCTGAATACCGATCTTCTGACCCTGGCTGTGGGCGAACTCAATGACCTGCTTGAGAGGGCCGATCTGAGAGTCCTTCCACAAGCCCACGCAACCGGGCGTAATCCGGCCCTCGGGCACGACGCCGGTAGCTTCGATGATGATCATTCCGGGACCACGCTGAGCGATACCGCCGTAGTGAGCCATATGCCACGGGGTCATGTGGCCATCTTCCGCACTGTATTGGCACATGGGCGCAACCTGAAATTACGTTGAGTACAAGTTTCGGAAAGATGAAACACGACATGACAAGAGACTTACCCCGAGGCGGTTTTGGAAAGTCCGGCCACGGATGGTCAGAGGCTGGAAGAGCTTGGGGATGGGCTTCCCACTGGTCTGGGGATCGCGAGCTGTGCCCGCCGGCGGGCTCTGCGCCGGCGTGAAGTAGGAGATGCCCTCGGCGGGCTTGACGGGGACGTCGGGCCAGGTCATGGTGAAATGGGACTAAATCGGAAACTAATGCACCAATTTGCAGGGTATATAGGTCCTCTATAGTGCTATATATACTCCCAGCGGTGATTTCTAAGCTGGATAGAGTCCGGGTAATCGGATGATTGGCCCCGCAACAATCAAGGCGACTCCAAACGATTTCAAAGACTCGCACTCCCCTAGAAAGCCCTGGAGGGAAGAAAAAAGGTCCAGGGGCAGGGATTGGGCGCTCCGATTCGCAGGAATTAAAGCACGTTTGTCAGCACTCTAAATCGCCATCGGATGCCAGGCACCTGGTTGGAGAACTGGCAGTGAAAAGTCTCCGTTCGGTACAATTCGTCTCCGGCTCCACATCTCTCCACCTTCGGCAGAAGATCACTGAAAAGATATGATATGGATCTTTGAAGCTGGGAAGCCGAGAACGATGCTGGTTATGGCAATGACGTCAATGTAGGAGACTTAAGGTACGGACGGATGCAGGGGTCTCGGGCCGCTCGTAACGGTAGAAAGGGTGTTGCATCTCTTGAGAAGAGATGGGATACGCCTCATGCGCCAGACCGGATTAGCGGGCCAAGCTAGAACATGGACTGCCCTTTGCGTGGAGAGAAAGATGAACGGGGCACGGTGAACAGAATGATACAGTGTTCCAAGTATCGAACCCGTTTTGTTTTTGCAGACAATAAAAGATTGTCGACTAATCTGGAAGATAAATTGGATCCAGCGGGAGATCTGCAGTGTGTCGGGAAATGAAATGTTGACGAGTCCCTTCAAAAGATTGTTCAAGGCTTGAAGTGGAACGACCGCAGGATAGTCCTCGATTCAAGGTTACCGTTGATTGCGACCGGATGGAAGGTTACCAAGGGCGTCTCGGGCTTCACTTCCACCGACGCTTCTTCGACCACGACCACGACCACGACCACGACCACGACCACGACCACGACCACAACCACAACCACCATTCACCCGAATCACCACAATCTCACATCTCCGAACCCCGAACACGTAAGAAACAGGATCGTCGTCATAGAGGTCGTGAATCGGTCCAGACTCGACCAGCCAGACCGCAGCCTTCCGTGTCTTTGTTCTCCCGTCTTAACATTGTTGTGCCGCCCGCTTGATATTGTTCTCCATCGCAACTGGACTTGGCAGCCGCAACTCTATCATTCTTTTGTCGCATTGTCTGTTTCGGTCTCTTCATGATGATAGATCTGCCTTTCCTGGCGACGGGCTATTGGAACCGTCCTTGCACCATGCTGGGTGCTTTTATACTCCTCGCTCTGCTACCATCTTCCTCCAATGCCGACCTATCATACTCAACTTGAACGATACTCATACACAAACATGTCGACGTCCTTTCCATATGGAAATCCCGACTTCCAGGAGGTCACTTTCTACAGCCGCGATGGCCAGAAGATTACGATAAACCTGTACTCGATTGACCTATTCTACCAGTACAATGTCCGCATATGCATCAATCTTGGCTCTCAGCTCGGTGCTTCGGTCGTCCTTCTGGTGTTTCTGCTGCTGTTGACTCACAGCGACAAGCGTGGCTCATCCGTCTTTATTCTCAACGGTCTAGCTTTGTTGTTCAACATCGTGCGCCTGCTTTTCCAGACGATTCATTTCTCCACCCCTTTTGAAAAGGTCTATCCCTTCTTTTCCGGCGACTACTCGGCTGTCAAACCTAGCGCTTACGCCATATCTATCCTGGGCGTCGTCTTCGAGACGATGCTCGTCATGTGCACCATGATCTCGCTGGTCGTGCAGGTGCATGTGGTGTGCAAAACATTGCGACGTCGATACAGAAGGCCCTTGCTGGCCTTCTCTGTGCTGGTGGCGTTGGTACCTATTGGGTTCCGGATGGGATGGATGGTGATCAACTGCATCTACATCATGGCAGCCGAAGGCACGGCCGAATGGGTGTGGCTGGAGAGCGCCCTCAACATCGTGATCACCATCAGCATCTGCTTTTTCTGTACGGTATTCGTCGTCAAACTGGGCCATGCGATCAGGCAGCGCCGTCGACTCGGCGTTCGTGACTTCGGCCCCATGAAGATTATTTTCGTCTGCGGTTGCCAAACTCTCACGATCCCCGCTCTCTTCTCCATTCTTCAATACTTTTCCCACGTCCCGGAGCTGGCCGACAACGTTCTGACCCTCGTCACCCTATCCTTGCCACTGTCCTCGATCTGGGCCGGTGCCGCGCTTGAGAATGCTCAGCGGATCGACGCGACTCGCCGTCCTCGTAACCTGTGGCGCGCACTCGCCTTCGGAATGAGCCGATCCATGTCTAGCAACCGCTCGGGGACCGAAATGACTGCTACGGCTTACACCGGACAGACCTTGTGCTATGCGGATCAGCAAATCAGCAAGCATTCACAGGATTCCGAGATACCCCTGGCAATCTCAGTTGAGCACGATATCTCCGTCGACTCTGTCAGGTGCTCTCGACAGGACAAGTCTATGGCTTAGATGTACTGCAGAAAGCATGGGATATGCCCTCCCCGTTGTCCAGCTTTCCACAAGAATCGACTTTAAGTTCAGACCAGGGCATGCTTACTTCACTGATTTCTTGCACTCGTGTACATTATTCGAAACCTGTTTAATCAAGCCCTCAAAGGCATTTTCAGTGTAACGATCATGCAAAAATTGGTAGTTTAAATGTGATGAGTTTCCGCCGGGCTTCGCGGAAGCGACTATTGTAGCTGGCTGTATCGCCAGTGATATCCTCCGAGAAGTCGAAGCCATAATAAGTGCCATTCATCTGCAGGCTCAAGAAGCCCGGTGTCACGATGCGGCCCTGGAGGTCTATACCTGAGATCTATACCTGCCTGCGAGTCAAACCACAGCGACTAGGAAACCAAACCGTCGCCTTCGATGAGGCGGACATTGGTTCCTTGGACGAGATGAGACATGGCTAGAGAAGATGGAAATTGTGCAAAACCATGAAAGGTCAGGCTTTATTATACTGCAGGAATCACGGTTCCCTCCATGTCGGGTCCGGCGTAACATCAGCTCAGCACACCATTTCCATCCAGCCGAGCCAATCGATTAAAGAAAACGAAGGTATTTACAGAACGCTCTATGTAATAGGACCATATGCGCCAGAGCAGGGAAGATCACAAAGCTAGACATGCCAAACACCAGTGCTATTGCAACTGAACATAGTTGGCTGCCGGTAATTGTTAGCACTGGGCACAAGCACTTCAAGATCTGACGAGACTTACCAGGAAATTGGCCCTCCCGGCCGTCGACGCGACCGGTCCACCACTCGTTCTGGTTGTCGGTGCGGTGAATGATCTCGATCACATCGCCCGCAGAAAATCCGAGGTCTCCGTGGGCCTGGGCTTCGTAATCGTACAGGGCAACCACGCTCTCGGCGGGCTTGCTAAGGTGAGAGGGCTTCGGCTTCGGGGGCGGGGGTGCCGGCTTGGCCTTGGCTGCGGAGGAGAAGCTGCCCGTCGGACTGGAAACGGCAGCTGATGAATATGGGGGTGGGGGGTTATCGGTCAAGACGGAGTCGGACCGCCCGCGGTTTATAGACCCCTTGGCCTCGAGGCCCTTGGGGCCTAACTTGGAGCCGGAACGACCAACCCCCTTGGTCTTGAAGTGGACGATGGCGAGAGCCTCGGCTTGTTCCTGAACATTGCCTCGCTTCTGCTCGAAGGCCTCCTCCACGTCAAGGTCGAGGTTGAAGTAGCTGATTTGCATACCTTGCATCTTCTCGTGCAGGGTGTAGAAAACGTTGAGTTGCATGTAGTAGAAGGACTGGAATAGAGGGCGGATGAATTCGGCCTCCAGAGTAAAGAGCTTGGGCAGCTCTTCCTTCATCAGATCGTTATAGTAGTTGAACTCCTGGGTGGCCTGTTCGACATCGTTCTCCGCCTTGTACAGGGCCTTCTCGTCCTTGATCGACTTGTCCTTCTTCTCCTCCAGCTTCTTCAGCGTGGCGCGGCGGCGGTCATAGTCAAGCTTCTTGTGGTCACGTTTGACCGACACCTTGCGGATCACCTTGATCACCTCCAGCAGTTGATCCGCGGGGCTGATGACGCGGGCTTCGATCATCTCCAGCTCCGGGGCCAGGGCTTCCTGCAGATCCTTGACGATAGCTTCGTATTCCTCGCAGGCCCGGATTCCCTCGTGGTTTCCTTCATCTTCGTACGAGTTGGGGTCGGAGGCGCGGCCGGAGATGGGCTTGTAGATCTCGGCGATTGCTTTGGAGAATTCGATCTGGTGGTTCAACATGCCTGGGAGCGGTCAGCAATCTTCCCTCTTGAGCTGCACGCTGCGGAGTGCTCGGAAAAATTCATTCTCACCGTTTATGGCTTGAAAATATTTCTGCGACTCATCGTGCAGCTTCTTGGTCTCCTTCTCGAGCTCTTGGAAGCGCCGTTCGGCGTCGGTGTATACGGCATCGGTAGTGTGCTCGCCGATATTGAACTTCAATTTCAGCTGCTGCGGGGCACGTGAAATACTCTTCTGAAAACCCTTGAAACTCATGGCGACGAGTGTTCCTTTGACTGAGGGGGGGGCCCTGTGAACGTGGTGGTCCTGGGAATTGGGCGGAAAGAGGTTGCGGAAGGCGGGGGAAGTAAAGTTAACCGTTTTTGCTTCACTTATGACATCGACGATGTGGCTGTACCTTGGCCTGGGACTACTACCTTGCCTACTTGGGTCCGGCTTACTTAGGTCCTGGTGCTTCGGTCTTTTTCTTATTGCGTCCTCGGCTTTATACATTTGCACTAAAAAGCGCCCCGTTGTGGCGCATGCTCCTGTTCGTCCAGTTCGTCCAGTTCGTCCACAGGCACCAGGATTCTGCTCGGAGTCGGTTCCGTGACGATCTTCCACGTTCCATATAGCCCTACGAAAGATGAGGCGGTGCATTACTACATACGGACTAGACGTCATCCAGGCCCTCTACTGTGTACATAGTATATTCTCCGTAATCCTTGCATTCGTCCATTTGGGTCAAATTCGCGATTCCGTCATGGTGCCGCTCAAATGCCGAAGTATTCCCTAGTGCCGGCCAACACCCGGAGCCCTCGATCGATCGATCGAAGGGTGTCTGGAGCTGTGATGCTGCTCAGCTCGTGGGGTAACTCCCACCGCAGCCCCTGTTCATGTACATAACTTTCGATCAAAAGCTCCGAGGACTTGAGGATCGTGGCCTCAGGCGCACCGGAGAAACAAGTGATCGGCAGAATGTTCACCGCCCTTCGGCGGTGCTTACTTTGATTTATCGGGAAAATGGGACCGGCCTCCCCCGTTGCTCTTTCCATCTTCACGCTACCGTGAATAATCATCACCATCATGTCATCCGCTGCACCCGCTGCTTGGAGGCAGGCTTCCCGCGTCTACTCCAGGCGTTTGGCCTCCCAGGGCGCCTGGGTTGCGCCTCGCCGAGTCCTCGCCACCGGCGTCTGCGAAAGTCGTTCCTATGTCACTGAGACCAAGGCCGGTCACGCCCGGGTTAATGTCGAGACCGCGATCAAGGAGGAGCAAAAGTCATTTATGAAGAAGGCCGGTGTTGCGCCGGGAAGTGTTGAGTTGCCGGGCGCCCCGGCCACCGGCGACGCCGCCCTGAGTCCCTCCGCCAGTATCCTCAAGCAGGCCACCGTTATGGACCAGGGCACCCGCCCCATCTATCTCGATATGCAGGCGACCACTCCGCTAGACCCCCGTGTTCTGGACGCCATGCTTCCCTACCTCACCGGAATCTACGGTAACCCGCACTCGCGCACGCACGCCTACGGTTGGGAGTCCGAGAAGGCCGTCGAGCAGGCCCGTGAGCACATCGCCAACCTTATCGGAGCCGACTCGAAGGAAATTATTTTCACCAGCGGTGCGACCGAGAGTAACAACATGAGTTTGAAGGGCGTGGCTCGATTCTTTGGCCGCTCGGGAAAGAAGAAGCACATTATCACCACCCAGACTGAGCACAAGTGTGTGCTAGATAGCTGTCGCCACCTCCAGGATGAGGGCTTTGAGGTGACCTACCTGCCCGTGCAGAATAACGGTCTGATTCGCATGTCGGATCTCGAGGCCGCTCTGCGCCCGGATACCGCCATCGTCAGTATTATGGCCGTGAACAACGAGATCGGTGTGATCCAGCCCATGGAGGAGATTGGCAAGCTGTGTCGGTCCAAGAAGGTCTTCTTCCACACCGACGGTGCTCAGGCCGTGGGCAAGATCCCTCTGGATGTCAACAAGCTCAACATCGACTTGATGTCCATTTCCAGCCACAAGATCTACGGTCCCAAGGGTATTGGAGCCTGCTACGTCCGTCGTCGCCCCCGTGTCCGTCTGGAGCCCATCATCTCCGGTGGTGGCCAGGAGCGCGGTCTGCGCAGTGGAACTATCGCTCCCCACCTGGTTGTCGGATTCGGCGAAGCATGCCGCCTCGCCGCTCAAGATATGGAGGTAAGAACATATCCTCCTTTTTGCACATATTTGATTTCTGCGATGATTAAAACAACTGCTTGAAATTGTTTTGGGAGATATTTGGACGGTAGCTACATTCCCTCGAGGGATGATGTCCGGTATCCATGAAAACAGTGCAGGGGTACTGACCGTGCTTTGTTGGGATTTTTTTTTTTTTGGGAAAAGTTTGCAGCCTACAAATAGGGAACATGTTTGCTAATCTTGCCTCGCAATCTAGTATGACACAAAGCATATCGATCGCCTGTCGAAGCGTCTGTCCGAGGGCCTGCTCGCGATGGAGCACACCACCCTAAACGGTGATCCGAAGGCCCATTACCCGGGCTGCGTGAATATCTCCTTTGCCTACGTCGAGGGCGAGTCCCTCTTGATGGCTCTGAACGACATTGCCCTGTCATCGGGCAGTGCATGCACTTCCGCCTCGCTGGAGCCCAGTTACGTCCTGCGTGCTCTGGGTAGCAGTGATGAGAGTGCCCACAGCAGTATCCGTTTCGGTATTGGTCGTTTCACCAGTGATTCCGAGATCGATTACGTCCTCAAGGCTGTTCAGGCCCGCGTGCACTTCCTGCGTGAGCTGAGCCCGCTCTGGGAGTTGGTGCAGGAGGGCATCGATCTGAACACGATCGAGTGGAGCCAGCACTAATTTCCTTCTTCTCTCTGCATCTATTTTCTGGCATTTATTACGTTCGTTGGAGGCCAAAATATCTCCTCGGAAATGGCGTTGAATTTTGAGGTGTAACAACAACTCTGTACAGAATGCAAAATACTCCAATCACCAATCCTGTCATTTTTTTCTTATGCCGGGCAGTCAGCGTAGGTCCCATCACTGGACTAGAGCCACTGCATGAAGCCTCGGCGCGTCAGAGAAGGATGAGCCAAGACGCGAAGTATTCATAACGGGCATTTCATCTTTTACTCCGAGGGTTCAAACAAATAGCAATAACGTCGGACTCAAAGTGTAGAACCCGCCTTTGGAGTAATGCATGGATAACTACCTGCCGCGACCCCCAAACCCGTTACTTGGCCCACGGGGTTACTTTCAGCCCCCAATCTACCCCGTGCAGCTCGGCCCCGAACTACAGTATAGCAGCTAGCGATCTCCACATTCGTGCATACTGCAGCTGTCATTCGACCTCGGCCGAAGCCGTTGTCCATTGCGATTGACACCGGCATGTACGGCACATCCCGTCATCTACACGTGAAACCGTTGATCGTCTAGCAATAGCTTTATGTATTATCTTCTGAACCAGCTCCGGTATCTATCGTCTATCACGGCCATTCTGACCGGGGAACTCTAAGCGGAGCTGGTCAGGCATATCAAAAAATGTACAAAGAACTCCGTCAAACTCCAAGACCCAAGAGCCGGAAGGCCACCGTCGGGGAATCACAAGCACAATCGTGTCGGCGTCAAAAGACGTGGTGCGGCATCATAAAAACAGATACGCCGGAAAAGAACAGAAACAACGTTCGGAAAGAAAGCTCACAGCGTCATGAAGAGATTGGCCAGTGAGTCCAAGGCGGCGTCTCGCTTGACCGGGTGGATGTCCTTGAGCGCATCACGTACGTGCACGTTCTTCTTCAGGATGGACGAGAGGCCGGAGCCGGAGCTGGAACTGCTGGATTCCATGTTGCTGAGATCGCCCTTCAGAGTGCTCAGAAGACCGCCGCCAGTCTTATTGGACTTGGCGTACGCCTCGAGCGCGGTGATGTTGAGGCTGTGTAACGTGTTTTTCAGGGTGTCCATGAGCGGCACCTCTGCCGTGAGCGTGAGCTCGGACATGGCCTTGGTGTAGTAGGGCACCGTCTCGTTCTCCCAGACCACCGACTTGGTGATGGTGTTCAAGGTCAGATTGCCGGTCTTCAGGAGGTTGGCCTGGGACTTGAGCACCTCGCCCAGATGCTTGAAAATGGTGTTAATGTCCAGAACGGCCTTGAGCGGGTGCTTGTTGTCGCCGGGCTTGAGAGTAAGGTCCTCCAAGGTGGCATTGCCGATCACCAAGTCGCCGGACTTGATGTCGAGGGTGATTGTGCCGATCTCAATGGTAAGCACGGAGGGATTGGGGAGCGTGGCGTTGCCCACCAGGTTCGTGCCATCTGCGAGAGGAGGGAGACGCAGGGCACTATCAGAGATGCTGAAACCCTCCAAAGAGTTCAAGCCTGGAATGTAGGTTAGTTGCCGTTACAATTACTTTCGCACGACCAAAGGGGGCAAGCTTACCCGGTGAGACGATGTCCTTGTCCAAGACCACATGCGACTTCAACACTCCCAGGAAGGAATTGGTCGACCCCTTGAGAGACAAGGTGGAATACTTTTTGAAGACGACGTCATGCACGAAGCTGGCCCAGGTGGTCGAGTTGATGAATGGCGTGGGCACGTCGGTAACACCGAGGGTGGTGTTACCTTTGATCGTCATCCCGGGAATGGTGACGTTGCCCCAGGGCTCCTTGGGACCGGTGTCGCGCATGAACAGGTCCAGTGTGATGGGCTCGATGCGCACGGGCAAGGCTATACTCAAGTCCAGCGCCGACTGCAGCGTCAATTGGATGGAGTCGGCGCGCGGCTGCATGACCGCGGCATTGACGAGGACCAGGTGGGACTTGTTGACGACCAGTTGCGAGATGGCGGGGATGACCACGAGGAAGCTAATCGTGCCTGGATCAGTACCGGGCGAATGAAACAATCGGTGCGCGACTTACAAAACGGGGAGGAAGATGGCGAGGAAGATGACATTGCCGATGAGGTAGCAGCACCAGAAACGCCTCCAATGACGCGCAAACTTCTCCTTCTTGGATCGATTGGTAGCTAGCGAGATACCACCGGCGGATTGGACCTGCTCCAATTTCGGGTTGTCGGCGCCCACCGGGGCTAATGGCCCGCGGTGAACACCCAAGGAGTACTTGGCGCCATCGGAGCTCAAGTAGGCAGGCCGGTCATCTAGATTCTTGCCCATGGTGACGGAGGTATCAACGCGGGAGTGGGGAGGAGGGGGAGATCAGGTCGAGAAGAAGGCCGGGGGAAGGATCGCGTTATTATGTATGTCGCTAGTTCCTCCATCATTTCCGGAGATTGCCTCAGGGCCCCAGGCGAAGCGAAACAAGCCGACCCCGGACTGGGGGATGTCCACTTTTTTTTTTGAGCCATGAAAAAAAAAAAAAGAAAAGAAAAGAAAAGTGGACATAAAGGGGAAAGAAGTGGATGCGGACGAAACCAGGGTCGGAGGAGCCTTCCCCAAGGTGGCAACGCTCCACGAGTGGTGGTGCGCCGGTTCGTTGGACTCGGTAAAGATCAGCGAGGCAGAAAATGGCGATCTACCGCGAACCGCGGCCTTCGTCATGCGGCACGCGAAAGGGGGGCTTCACATGGTGCCGAGTTGCTTTTTCGTTTTCGTCGGCTCCGTGCTTTTCCCCAAACTTGCAAGGTTTCGTGGGGTTCGGTTGCGGGGATCGGCGTCTGGTCTTGGGTTTTAACGGAATTGCTTCCTGCCTCGTTTCCCCGGATTTCCTCAATAGACACTCTCTATAGTCCATCATGTCGTCGTCTTCATCGCCCCCATCGCCTATGGATGAAAAGCCCGAGGCTGCCCTGCACGAGCACGGCGCGATGCCCACCACCACCAGTGACTCGGGTCGGCTCCATGCTCTCGAGCAGCTGGAGATTCTTCCCCAGATTCTCCAGGAAGGAATCCTGTTTGCCGGGTCCGGTGCTGCTCTGCTGCTCCAGGCTGCTCTGCCCGGTATCCGCCACGAGGAAACCACCGGTGGCCACAAAGAGCTGGCCAGGGAGCTCATCGACGCCCTCCAGGCCCATATTAGCTACATCTCCAACCTGGTGTTCGGCACCCGCGCCGAGCGCAAGACCCTCCTGGATATGCTGGCCCGCGGCGATGCTCCCGGCCTGGGTAGTGGTCGCAACAACCGTTTTGCTCATAATCCACCCCTTCAGCTGTGGATGGCGGCCACCCTCTATGCCACCTCGACCGACTTCTACCAGCGGGTCTACGGGCGTGTCGACTACGACACCGCCCAACGCGGTTACAGCGAGTTCACTCTGCTCATGAACTGCCTGGGGATGCCACCGGGTACCTGGCCCGAATCCCGACAGGCCTTCTGGTCCTTCTGGGACAGCCAGGTCTCGCAACTGACCGTGTCGTCCGACGCAGCGGCATTTGCCAAGGACCTGCGTGAGAGTAAGGACATGCCCGGCTGGGTCCAAAGGATCAAGCCCTTCCTGCGTGCCGTCACCATCGAGATGCTGCCCCCGAATCTGCGGGATGCCTACGGGCTGCGCTCCACGGCCACCACGCGCGCCCTGTATCGCACCTGGATGGGCTTTTCCGTGGCCGTGTACCCGGCCATGCCCAACAAGATGCGCTCCTACCCGCTGCGCTACTACCAGGATCGTCTGCGTGACAAGTTGAACGTGGTTTAACTGTCCGGGCCGAGCCTTTCGGTCGATTGGTCGTTTTGATTTTTCTTCTTTTAATTCTTTTCCCTTTTCTTTGTTTGCGTTCGACACCCGTGTATATACCCATTCCATGAAGATACGCTCTGTGCACCGATTGAGGGTTCCGTGAAAATTGTATAATAATCTCTTGATTCATCTCGTATACGATCGTTAAAACAAATGCAAGTCATGAAGTCATGTCCCTTTACAAGGTTCCCAGCACTCCACCCAGTAGCTTCGACACGTCCTCCACGAGCTGCATCGAGGGTTAGTTCGTCGTCATGATCTACTCGGAAAGGAATACACACCGGTGTGGCATCTCCGATCAGCGTCGTGGTGTTGGCCACAAATTCCTTGGTCAGTAGCCCGTGAGCGTTGGTGAGGATATCTTGCAACAGGTCGAGATTGGAGTTGGAGAGCAGCTTGGCCGCATTGCCGATGATGGTCTGAAGATCGTTGACGTTTTGCTGGCTGAGCAGGTCTTCGGCACCGCTGAGAATGCCCGGGAGCTCTGTAAGCAAGCCCGTCGACTGGGGAGCTGGCATTGCAACGGGATCGGGTCTGGGCTCGGGGGCCGCCGCGGCGAACGAGGCCGCCGCCAGAAGAAGGATCCGATCGAAACGCATGTTTGGAGATGGTTGAATTGTCTGATGGAAAGAAATTGGTGAAGAGCCCCGGGGAAGAAGAAGAAGGATGCCCCGAGAACGGAATTCCAACCACCCAGCAGGCTTATAAGCGAGAATCGACCTTTCTCCAAGGTTTACTCCCCACTCGATCCCGGTCCATCTAGACTCCTGCCACCGCCTTTAGTTCGATCCTCCACGACGTTAGCCCGCACTCCACCCGAAGAAAAGCCCCGAGACTGAGAAACGGACCAATGTACTGGAGGCAGCCCGTCACAGGCGGACGGGCTCAGCCGGATTGGCATGGATTCGCGATTGCGGATCAGGATGCAACGCCGAGGTGGATCGCCTGAAAATGGGGTTGAGACACGGTCGAATTCTCATGTGAGAGAGGCGCGTTTCCACGGAACCCGACAGAGGGTTCATCTCCCCGCATCCTATCCAGTCGCGCAGCCGTGGTGGGTCCGACCCGGGGAAGGTGATCTGCGGTGTTCAGACCCTTCCGTGGTTGAGGCGAAGTGGGGAGAACTGGAGGAACTACTACCTTAGCGCCGTGCTAGCGGAGACTTATGTCCTTTTTCGGTCCCGGACGTGCCAATCGGTGCAATCGCATCTCGTGATTGCCAGCCCGACCGGACCTGTCAAGTTCGAAGCCCCTCGGTCCGCACGAGCGACGACGGTCGCGATGTCCGTGGGCTCTTGATCTTCGGAGCTGCTCTTCCGTTGGGTAATGATCGACGAAGTTGTACTGTATCATCTACAATCTACAATCTACAATCTACAATCTACAATCTACAATCTACAATCTACAATCTACAATCTACAATCTACAATCTACTACAATCTGGAATTTCAGCCGCTCGTGCAACAGGAGGATTTACGGAGACTGAGAATCCTGAGACACTTGGATATATTAATTGCGCAGACTCAATTCTCAGTCAAGGCGACCGAGGAACATGTGGTGTGGAGCGTTTCATGCGCCACGGAAACCGTGGAATAAGGGAACCAGGAACCGAAAACCGGGGACGTGAGGGGAAGAGTGAAACAGAACCGGCCGTTGATGTCATGCCATCCGTTTTAGCCTTTTCTTTATCAGAGAGAATCATCTGTACGTCTGAACGCCTGCAAGCCCCCACAGTGACTACATGTCGTCGCCTTGGCACGTTCCACACGCCCCGGACCCGCCTACAACGCTAGGGCCAACCCGAGGACACCCAGTGCCCCGATCACCGACGCGGTCAGCGCCGTGGGCTGCGCCGCCATCCCGCTCGAGGTCGAGGTCGCCCCGGTCTTCGTGGCGCTCGTGGTTCCCGTGGTGGTCGCCGTGAGAGCACCCGCCGCAATCTGCGATTTCACCACGGACATGTAGCTCTTCACGTCGGTGGGAAGACTGTTATACCAGGTGGGGGTGGTCCCGGCGCTGAATTGACTCGCTAGTATACTGCGCGACTGCGGGTCGATGAGTTCCCAGATCACGGTGACGGGCACGACCGACAGGATCTCGGGGATGAGGGACTTGGGGGGCGCAGCGATGTTGTCGAAACGGGCAGTCGCCGTCGTATTCGCCGTGAGATGGGCACTGTACTCGGTGTCAGTGGATAGTTCCAGATGTACGGAGAATGAACATACAGTGCACTGGAGAGCGATGCCATATTGAAGCCGCTCTCCGTGGCATTGACATCTCGTCGCAGGGGCTCAGCTCCCCATGCCGTTGCTGCAAAGCAGAGTAAAATTGCCTTGAATTTCATCGTGACGGACAAGAAAATCCTCAATTGAACGAGCAGGAATTTGGGGCGAGCCGAGTATATCAAATGCTTGACCCCTCTTGGCCGCCGATCCGGCCTTGCTCGGCGCCGTTTCTCCGAACTTAGCGAGGCAACCTTGATGGCACCCAAAATGGTCTGAGACTTGGGTCGGTTCTAGACCGTTTTCTTGTTTTCTTGTTTTCTTTTTCTTTCCGCTTTCAGGTGCGACCGAGGATCACGACGTGCTCGCGCGGGGGAATAGACATGCATCCTCGGGGAATTAGTTGATGACATGCAGACAATCGTCGGTGATGCGCAGCTGCCAGACGTTGATCTGCTGTCGATCCAGTCAGCTCTAGGATCTCGTTCGATCAAGCCCAGAAACATTCATTCATAGTCTCCCTTCTCTCCCTTTATTCTCCGTGAAAGTAGGCTTGGGAACTATCCAAAGGGCTATTGGTGGTTCCTTCGGCTCTATCCTGCGTAAGACACTGCCTTGAACCTACCCCTGGGTTGAGACAATTCTTCGTTTTCAGAGAGGGACTCAATGTCAGAGCCGAAATAGATATCAGCCGATGTCGAGTCGTAGTGATGAAGGAGGCATAAATGACTCGAGAACTCATGCTACTGGTATTCCATACAATAAAGCTATCTTTTACAGCCGCTTTCACTCATCAACTGCCCTAACAACCCCCTTCCCCCTCAATCAAGTGCTAATCCTTCATCCAGGTCGAGCACGTATCAACCCAGCCTTGATCCATCGTAAACCACCCGCCCCTTAAAAGGGTCCCATCTACAGATGTAATCTAGAAAATAAACCGTCTACAGGACACAACAATGTAAATTCAAAAAGGCGAATCTCAAATTGGATATCTTAGGTCAAATCATCGTGATCGTCGTAATAGTACACAAAACCGAAAGTCAAGTTCACCGAATCTAAACGATCGTCTCAAGCCGAGCTTAGGCGCCCTGCTTCTTGGCCATGTCGACCTCAGCACCGCGCTGGCGGACCTTGCCCTCGTCGTGCATATCGCGGAACTTCTGCTCCTCCGCGCGGTCTCCGCTGATGGCGGCGCCGACGGAACCGATAGCACCCTGAGCGCGGTTCTGGATACCCTCGCCCCAGTCCTGCAGCTGGCCCTTGGCCTCCTCCTCCTTGCCAGCGGCGTTCTGCTCAGCACCCGTGCGGCGCAGGTTATCGTTGCCAATCATGTTGCCAACGGCCTCCTTGGTCGAGCCGATGGTCTGATCCCACGAGCCGGTCGAGCGGTTCTCGTTATCCTTGGCGGTGGCACCGGTGTTGGGGTCAGCGGAGATCGGACCCAGCTTGGCGGTAGTGTGGGAGTTCTCGTGTTGAGCCTTGGCCTGGTTCTGGGTAGCTTCGCCCTCGTTCTGCTGGTTCTTAGCAAATTGCTCACGCATGAATTGAGTCGACGGGGGATGCATACCTGATAAGAGGAATCACCAGTGATGGCACCGTAGGCACGCTGGGCAGCACCAGTGGCGGCGTTCACGTAGGAACCGAGAGTGGAAGAGTCGTCGTTGTTGGCAGACATGGTGAATAGTAAAGGTTGAATGTAGATGGTATCAAGTCCGGAGTTGGAAGATTGGTGGTAGATGATAAGTCGAGGTGTCTCGGCAGATATATGTGCCTTTGTCTCGAAGACACTGCCCCCTTTATATACCTCTAGATAGAACAACGCGCGGCTCCACAAGGCAAAGGTATGATGAATGACATCATGCGCTGATGTCATATCACGTGATATAAAGCCTCTCGAGAGGAAAACGTGCGTCATGAAGATAAAGAAGTGGAGCGGAATGTTCTACGGTGGACCTGGGACATGGAGCTCAGGCCCCGATGACATCTCGTGGAAGTATCGTCAATTGTGGTTCGATGTTGATGATGAAATGCTATAGTCGATCGCATTTTCTAAATGCAAATCCCATGACGCCAGATACCTGCTGGTCGCTGCAAATGGCAGGGTGTCAATCCCAGATGCAAAAAAATAAACGCTCAAATCATAAGTGAAACTTCGTGTCTTTTACCAGTGACAGATTCCACCCTCACTGTCGTCCGCTGTCCAAGTCCCACATAGACCAACAACTTCCAGATGACCGTCGGGGTGCTCTCCGACTTTACTCAACGACGCGGAACCTGCATCACCAGGAGAGGCGCTGAGCAATCTTTGTGCCCATGCGTCAATAGCTGGTTCACCGGTCTCGTCGCGCGCCTGCTTGAGGAAAGGGATGAGCGCAGTGCCACCCGTGCCGCGTAACTTTTTCTTATCCGTTGGGGCAGCAGTGGCCAGATTCGTAGCAGTTGATTGATCCGAGCCAGCGGACTGAGAGCCGGCACGAGCCCCACGGGATTGCAGAATGATATAGCGTGACACAATTTGAATGTGCTTGTCACGCATGGCACGCAGCATAGAAAGGCATGCATCATATGCAAGTCGTAGCGCAGGGTCTGCGCGTCGCGCTTCCACGAACGCGCGGATGTTGGCAATGGAATCGATGTCCTCCAAGAATCGTCGGTGAGGGCCAGGCATGTAGGCACGCATATCATGAATGAAAGAGTGCCGAGACTTGGAATCCTCGGAGGCACTCTGGTCTTTGCGGCCAACGCCAGTAGGTCTGTGCTCAATGCCCAGCACAATATCGAAGAACTGGATTAAAGAGCTTTGGGCATTGCTGCCGCCACCGTACTGGCGGTACTCCGGCTGGTTGCGCCCGTCATCATACAAGAGACCCTTGGGAAGCCCGGCATCAGCCATGTTCTTGCTGCCGGCCAGGTAGGGGCGAATGCGGTTGTAGAAGATGTACGGGTCGCAGTTCTCGTACATGCGCTGCAGCAACGTGGTGATCTCGTCCAGAATCTCCGCCATCTGTTGCAGGCATTCCGTCACCACTCGGGTTTTGCCAACGCGAGCGGCAGTAATAGCCTGAAGCATAAGAGGGATCGACGGAGCACCGCGAGCTTCTATGGCTATCGATACCAGATAGAACCATTGCTCATCTAATGACCCAGTGAATGTCTGTAGGCAGGCGAGGTTATCCAAATCGTCGGCCGGCTCGTCGGGAAAAATCGGCTTATAGTTCCAGAGACAGACTCCGGCGTAAGTTGCAACAGGTGGCACTTCCAGTCGTTCGCAGACTTCGAACAATGGCACGGTCAATTGCGGGGGAATTTTCTGTTCACGAATGAATCAGTCAACGGTGAAGACGTCATTGGGAGTACTATTAGTAGCATACCTCGGCAGGACGATCACCACCCCAGACATAGCCGTGAAGCAGAAAGACCAGCACGACGTAAGCTCGCCGCCACTCGGCATCTGTCTGCAGGTGTGCAGTCGAGAGAATGGGTAGACGATCAACCAATCCTCGCACCCGCTTGCTCAGCAGCAGAGGCTGCAAATTAGCAGCAAGCGCCTCCCACTTGGCGTAGTATGGATCCGGCAGGACCTCCAGCGGAGACTCCGGAGAGAGGAAACCGTGCTCCGGCGAGATGCCGTAGTCTTCGAGGGAAGGAACTGGAGGCAGCATATTGATGATAGAGGGTAGAAAGACAGTTAATAGAGGGCGAAGACGGCAAGCACAAAGTCCCTAGTGTCGTGTGACGCAGATGGACCTCTTTCCCATCCGGATCTCTATTCCGTAATTCCTCGTCTCGAGACCTAGGAAGGTCCAAGGGTCACGCCAGTTTAACGGGTGTCCTGAAAGATAATAGTAAGAGCAAGATATTTGCTCCGGGGGAAATAAAGCGACCCTTGGAAGCCAGGAACAAGGTCCTCGGGCTTAGGTGACAGGGAAGAAACGGGGGTGGGTGGCGTTCAGAAACCAAACAATCTCCGTCCGAAAGGCTATTGACCGGATGCAAACGGAAGAAGTGGCACGCCCGGGGATCAGGCCATATACTCTCCGAGACCCGGATTTCTGTCCTGAGGGTACAGAGAATGGATATTATGTCGAGGGAAATCTGAATTCCGCGCAGGTCCGAAAGGTATTTGGATCGTATGAGCAGAGATTTTCCCGCTGCGGCGGGATAACCGCCCGAGCACGTAATGCGACGTGAAGAGGCATTTCTAAGCAGCGGCCGAGACGACCATTGTCATCCCACCCTGAGAACCCCTCTAGAACCTACTCGGTCTCCGGGTACGGGGGGCGGCAGAAGTCCGATATAGGATGGCCTTGCCAAACCATCCGTCGGGGCCTGACCGGAGCCATCTTTTTGGGCGGGTGGACCACTCGGTGAGGAGGAAAGGCAGAGAGACAAGATGCTCTAGGTTCATTTTAGATGAGTTTATATTGACCCACTGGCCTCGAACGGACCCCATCCCCCTCCATCGAGCGGGAAATTGAGTGCAAGCGATTTGGGTTCCACTTTTCGTTCGAACTAACTCACTAGCCTGAGTGCTAGAGAATGATCCGGAGGCCCTGCCCACGCCGCGTTTTGCGGCATTTTTGTGTGGGAAACTGTACTTGGGAGCGCTCTGGGTGCGCTATCGGTGGTTTAAGCGAGATGCATGGCGCGTTCGCGAGCACCCACGCTTCTCCAAGGTGCAAGGAAGTGGCGATCCCCAGGGTCCGCGAGTCGACGTCAACTTTTGAAGCTTGACCGGAGCCCTGGAATCACTCTATAGAAGACATGGCCAGATGGGAAAAATTCCAGAGAGGATGAAAAACCCTTTGGGCAAAAGAGCGACCGTACGAAAACATTTATCCTGTACTTGCGCCCCCAAGAAATTTCGGATGGTTGGGGGAGATGGTTTGATGCCTGACATGTAAGGCCAACGAAGCCCGGTTTCCTCCATACTTAGAAATCGTTAGAAGTCGGCATGTCTGCGAGAATGCAACAACTTATTTACACACCAAAAGTTTCCTTGGATCTTTACCTTCTTACCCCGCCTTCCGATGAATGGGAGTTTCGGCTGGCTTTTTGCTTAGATACTTGAGCCTCATGAAGCCGTTACGTGACTGCGCCCGCGTACGACTGACTATATTATCCGGAGTACTAAAGGCGGACTTATCTAATGCCCTGGGAAGCTGGGACACCCGTATAGTCACTAAAGTGATTCTAGTTTCACCGCTATGGAGGGTTTGAACAGCTTGTATGCTCTGAACGTGGGTTTTGATTAGATTGGTATCAGTAGTTGCGTATCACCGATGACCCCCATATTCACGGGGCATACTCGATGTATAGTTCATTCAATCAAGTTTCCCCTGCCAGTTGGTCATCGCAGCCAGTAGCCACGACGGATCGCTTGGTATAAAGGTGTTGTCTCTTGCACGAGGGAGGGGTTGGGAGATTGCGGTCGAGGTACCTCGATTGGGAATATGTTCTGCGAAGAGACAGGAGCCTTCATGGTGCGGAGGGATGTGAGGTTTGGAAAGCGAACGGTGGGGTCGAAGCTGATCAGAATGAGGGCCTGGTGGTCTGGCGGCAGGCCGGTGGAGGAGACGGAGTAAATAATGGAGCGCTCATCGGACACGGCGCGCACAGAGCTTGCCTGAGAGTCGGGACAGAGGAGATGGTGTATTTCGGACGGTGCATCATCCGCAGGCCACATGTGCACACCACGTGAGACGAAGCGCTCTTCAGAGCCTTCAACTGGACGGCCGTCCTCGACTTGCGTAGGACGAAATAGCATCTTCCGAGGACCGTCGGTTCCTTCGTCGTCCACGGGAGATTTGCGCTTTCGCGACACTGTACGCAGACGCAGGCGGTCTCGGGATCGTACACCGTCAGCTTGGGGTGCAGGGTCATTGACGAGGTCGACAAACGTTGCCGATGCCAGATGGTAGCTGCGATGTTTAGTACGAGCCGCAATGAACTCGAGTCGCTTCGTCGAGTCGTGAGTATGCTCATATTCCGCATGATAGTTACGGCGTAGTCGCTTTTCTGGCCGCTGGTCGTAGGGCCGGTGGTTCCCCGTGAGATCGTTCGGATCATCATCCACCCACGTCTCAGCCTCTTCGGGCGTAGGAAGCGGTTCAATGTAGTTAGTGCGATGGTTTTCGCTCTTGCCACCGCGCCACTCACGACGACATTCTAGGATCACGGGCCGGCCCGTCGTTTCATCAACACGGATGGACAGGTCTGTCCACATTTCGTTGAGAGGACCTTCGCGATGCTCGCGGCGCCAGAGCTGCCCGTTCCACTTGCGGCCCCGTTGACGAGGCGCGTGACAAAACCAATGGTAAAAGGAAGAGAAGCGCTCGTCGTCGTCTGAAGCGACCTGCGTCGATACCGCATAGAGATGTTCCTGGTACATCTCGAAACAGAGCGTTTGACCCAGATCTCCATCGACGACTCGGTCCAGAGGGAATGTAATTTCTTCACACGTGGCAAAATCCACGCCACATACCGACCAGACGCCATCCGAGCCGTGTGCAGCGGTGAAGGTGCCGTACCAGATATAGGAGCGGCTATGGCGGACAAAGATGGGGGAATCTGCTGGAACGGGTTTCTGAAGTAAGAGACGCCTCCGGCGGGTCTGGCCCGGGCGGCGATCCATGTCGATCGCGAGGAGAGTATCATCTTGGGCACCTACGTGCTCAACACGGAAGGAGACGATGCCATCGCTGTAGTGGAGCAAAGTGACTCGCTCGGCGACATCCAGACCGGCCGGGCCAGACCCCACGCGACGGATGACATCGTGCAGGTTCAAGACGCGCTCTCGGCGACCTGCACCATGCACATCCAGCAATCGAATTTCATGACCAACGCGGTAACAGAGGAAGCCCTGGTGATAAAGAAAGTCGGCTCCGTAGGCTAAGACAGAAACAGCATATGGGGCGGCGGTGGCGATCGCTTCGTGGATGTCAAAGCGATGCCCGACAGCCTTGCGGTAGCCGCTCTGGGAGGCCGAAGCCGACTGGCCCTCCTTGCTGTACAGTAGAGTATTCTGCGCGGCGCGTTAGTGATGTGGGTGATGTGGGTGATTGGGTGATCGGGTGTCTTTTGGCCCCCAGACGGGAGGAGCTCTCTGAGGCTCTTGAGGGCTCTGAGCCCCGAGCCCCCGAGACCCCGAGACCCCGAGACCTTCGAGACCTTCGAGGGTCATCTCACCTCGACTGTTTTGCGTGCAATGAGGTCACTTTCCATCAAATCATGGATGATACGATTAGTGCGGCTCAGGTTAATACAATCGCGGTCGTCCAGCGACGTGGCGATCTGGTAGAAGACATCGAATGGAAGGGAGTCCAGACTCCGAGATGCCGGCATGGCTGGGAGATGAGAGAAGTGAGGAATTAACATGGAGCCATCTCGAAATTATGGTTTTTGATGAGACCGTCCACGCCGGTAAGCTATAAAGGATCAAGGGAGATTTTGAGCCGCATCGACCGACTCAGCCCCTTCAAACTGCAACAGATCGACACCCCCTACCACTAGTTACGCCATTCTTTATCGACCACTCGGAGTCGTGGAACCAGTCTGACGCGGGTTTCCACGTCGACGAGGCTCTGCTCGTGTTGTCGTCGTTGGGGCTCCACAAATGGAGTTCCGAGGCCGCGGGGATCCGAATCTTTCGTCTGACTCTTTGCGGCTCTTTCGGACGAAACCAGTCAAGTTTCCCCTCCGCAGGATCGCCCGTGCATAGGTCTTGTGGGCCTCGCCATGAGACCTTACGTGTGATCCACTGGATTATTTGCGCCACGGCCTGGTGGGAGCATCCCGGCTTCCATCGTCCCCGCATTTGCCAATCGCCCGTTTGACCAAGTATTCCCATCCGCCACTGGAAAGCATACGGTACGAATCCGACTGTGGAGACGGTTTCTGGTCTAAGAATAGTGCCCTGCGTAAGCAGATCTGACGAGTTCACGTGTCCCGGTGCAGATAACTCGGGTCTGGTCCAGCGATGATATCAGGTACTAGAAGGTACTAGAAGGTATGATACCAGGCCCTGCATTACTCGGAGTCCAAGGCCCTGCATTACTCGGAGTTTTCGTATTTCCTGAACGGTTCGCGCGGGATGGTATCTCCGGGGCTGTCCGTCCCGCTTCTTTCGAGCCTCATCCACGACGAGAGATCAATTCCAGATGGCATCCCACCACGACGGAACTGCGGATTACCCGGATTACCCGGATACCCTCCGTGAGATGACTGATATTCCGGATGGCAATCCAGATGGAACTACGGCGATTGCCCGCACGTGACAAACGGTGCTGCCTGCAGCCCTACGAGGAGTGGAGTTCGGGAAGCGGCATTCGGCCCATGGTTTCCTCTCGTTCTTTCAGGATCAGGTCCCAGGGCATTTCTTCTCCAGGGCTTCTTCATTGGCCTCCGAGTGGTATAGCTACCTAGTCCTCTCCGACGCCCCTCGCATCGTATTGCTCTTTCATAAATTCGAAGATCTGCACGGCCCACCGGTCAGCCAGCCCAATGCTTTAGAGCCAAAAAAAAAAAAAGCCTCGCCACGTCTTTGCCCTTTTCCCCTCTTTGATCTTTTTACAATATCCTCTTCCCCTCTTCGACTCTCTTCAAGGGCATATTACCATGTACTATCCACCTCCTGGACCTCCGCCGGGGCCTCCGCCACCCTGGGCGGGATACCAACTGCCTCCAGGTCCCCCGCCTCAGCCCTACTCGCCTTACCAAGGGCATCACCAACGCCCTTCCTACTCGGGGCCTGCTCCCTATCCACAGCAGCTGGGTCCGCCTTCACGTCCGCCCTATGCCCACTCTCCTTCTCCTCAGCCTTACGGCCACACGCCTTCCCCTCAGCCTTACGGCCACACGCCTTCTCCTCAGCCTTACGGCCAAACGCCTTCTCCTCATCCGTATGGACATACGCCGTCTCCGCAGCCGGGACATGTACCCGGTGCCTACCGTGATTGTAAGAAACGCGGGAGGAAAAATCACAACCTGACCTTTACTGATCAGCAATACAAGGGCCACCCATGAATTCTAATAATATTGCCCCGCCCCCGCCGCAGGGCTACCAGCATTTCGGCGCAGGCGCACCCTCCAATTACAACTTCCAGTACTCTGCATGTACTGGGCGGCGAAAGGCTCTACTGATCGGTATCAACTACACCGGCCAGCCAAATGCGCTGCACGGCTGCATCAACGATGTTGCCAACATGTCGTCTTTCCTGCACACCAAGTACGGGTATCGTCGCGAGGACATGGTCATTCTTACCGACGATCAGCGCAACCCGATGAGCGTCCCGACCAAGGCCAATATCATTCGCGCCATGCACTGGCTGGTAAAGGATGCTCAGCCTCACGATTCGCTCTTTATTCATTTCTCCGGCCACGGAGGTCGCACGCCAGACTTGGACGGCGACGAGGACGACGGATTCGACGACGTTATCTACCCGGTCGACTACCGCGTGGCTGGCCACATTGTAGACGACGACATGCACGCCATCATGGTGAGACCGCTGCGGCCCGGTGTGCGATTGACGGCCATTTTCGACTCGTGCCACTCCGGCACCGCCCTAGATCTGCCGTATATCTACTCGACACAGGGTGTGCTGAAGGAGCCGAACCTGGCCAAGGAAGCGGCCCAGGACCTTTTCAGTGCTATCAGCTCGTACGGACAGGGTGACCTCTCCAGCGTCGCATCGACCGCGATCGGCTTCTTCAAGAAAGCCGCCAATGGTGGCCAAGCGCGTGAGCGCACGCTCATGACCAAAACCTCCCCAGCCGACGTAGTGATGTTCTCCGGGTCCAAGGATACACAAACATCGTGAGTTTCGCGAGCGTAGTGTACGAACGCGACTAACCATGTACCCCATAGGGCGGACACGTTCCAGGACGGACAGGCGCGGGGTGCCTTGAGCTGGGCCTTTATCAAAGCTTTGCAACGGTGGCCCCAACAGAGCTACCTGCAACTGTTAAACACGATCCGGGCGGAACTTGACGGGAAGTATACGCAGAAGCCGCAGCTGAGCTGCAGCCATCCCCTTGGTAAGTTGGTCTGCCGTGGCACCAGCACTAGCACCATGGCCGGGACTCGGGCTGACTCGTTCGGCAGATGTCAATCTCCGCTTTGTGATGTAAACATGTCGATCGGATGAAGAACGACGCCACCGCGCATTAAAGTCTCGGGGAGTAGATCACTACTGCCGTGGCATTATCCTACCGCGCCTCAGCTTGCGCACAACTCCTTCACGAACGTCCGGGGAGTGGAGCTTACTGTTTGTTACACCGGGGCGGATCCTGGCCCACCCATACGATTTAAGAGACCCCGGGGCCTGGTGTGCTCCGATGCGCGGCTGTGGTTTGCCAGCTTTCCGGCCCCAGCGCTGGTGGAATACCCACAGCGGATTGCGCAGAGTCAGGGCGAGTCGCTAGATAGCACCCCAACATAGCCTAGGGTAGAGTGGGAAGAGGGCTGAGAGGGACTCTCATCCGTTGAATGTCTCACGTTGAATGCATAACTTGCGAGGTTGGCGCCAAGTCGCTGTAGAAAAAGACACAAAGGTCCTCACAATAATCGCATGCCCCCTGAGGCCGAGATCGGGCCAATGAGATTCCAAGGTCAAGGCGGCAGGCTGGGACTTCGGAAACCGTGGGAGTCCCACTCTCCTCTTTCTTTTTTCTCTAGAAACACAAGGAACCACAGTTGAGAGGTGAGAAACACCTCCTCGTCCGCGCCATGGGACGTAGAGGCCGTACGCCGCGTCAACCCGTCCACGGGCGCACGCTGAGCAGTGCGGATGTGTCAGAAATTCAAGACACGGCGATGGATGATCTGATTACCTACGACGGAAATAGTTACTTCGCTCGGACCTCAAAAAAAGTCCTCGGGTGTTGCAGTTCCCGCCGCACTCTTGTGCCGTGTAGTAAAATAGAAGAAGGGAAAGCCTCTACACTGCCATGTACGACTGCATGAGTAAGAAATCCCCACAGGATGCGCATCTTTCATGCACAATCCAGCTCCATGGAGAAGGAGATGAAACGTGGGAATATTACAGTCATCTATGTGTAACCCGGGACGGGGGCATCGTAGTGCGAACTAACGTGTCGATGTCTTGATCCACTCCGTTAGTGTCTTTTTGAATGCAATCTGAGCTATGGCACGTCTCTTCCCCCCCCTAGTCTGTTTTTGCTCTTTATCCCCCTCGAATTCCCCTTCTCCTCCCCTTGTGAATCCTCAAACGCCCTGCATATCCAAGATGTTGTCGTCCACCAACAGTTCATACTCCTCCAGCAACTGCTCCTCCGACCCTCACCTGCCCTACCAAGACCAGCAGCCGCTCTCCACACTATCGCTGGGCTCACAACATCCTCGAAGATCCCCAATGCCTCCCAAATACCCTCGGTTTTACGCCTCTCCCGTGGACGACGGTTCCGAGAACCCGGTGCAGGTCTATGGACTCGAGCAGCGCGAACCTTCGATTTACGAAAAGCCGAAACTGCTGCGCCGAGTCTCACACGCACTAGACGACATCAAGGAGGATTTTGCCTTCCAGCTGGATGCCCGCGAGGCTGCCAACAAAATCAAGCGCCGCTCGACGTTCTTCCTGGATCCCAACTTCAGTGTCGCCGAGGCTCGCCCGGAGACTTCCGCCGGTCCCCCGCGGTCGCGGCCTATGTCCATCATGTCTGTCGAGACCTGGTCTGCACCTCAGCGCCGGCTGAGCCGGCGCCTGTCTCGACGCCTGTCGATTTTCTCAGGGCGTAAGGCCTCTGACAGCCCTCCGCTTTCCAGCATCTCCTCCCCCAATTTGATCGGGTCCTCGACCCCGTATGTTGGGGATCGGGCGCAGGCTTTTCTCTGAGGGGCAGATAGTGTCTGAGTCTCCGGGATGACTGTTGAACGGACCGATATCGCATACTATACCATGCAAAACCAAAAAAGGCAGAAGGAAATGCCATCCGACATGATGGCGACGATCACACATATCTTAAACCACATGCAACTGCACAATGGGGCTCAGGTGTTTCGGTTACTTGTATCATTGGGGTTTTTTTTTTTTTTTTTTTTTCTATTGTGCTATATTGGAGCGGTCGGGGTGCTGTTCCTGGATTTTACATATGCGACCACTAATCTTTGCAAGCTTGGGGATATTTGCCACTGGATTTACATTCTATTATTGATCCGCGCATAGCTTGGTGTTTGGGAAATTAATTTTGTTTTCATCTGAAATTGACCTTTTGACCGCATTTCATTCACCTCTCAAGTTCAACCGAAAAATCGAGACTAAGTCTTGACGAAACGCCAAAACGGGCGCCACATGCGGCACTTAAGCTGCCGGTGGACCGACGTGCGTCAGCAAAACGCCTCAGTCTAAAAATAAATTCCGACAGCCTCTTATCTGACAAGCAAGGGGGAAGAGAAAAATTACCGTCGACTTGCATCTTCTACCACCGCTAGTGAAAAAATGCAGTTCAAGGTAAACAGAAGCCCATGGCCCGCTTGGTCTCTCCAACACATCTTGTAGATCAGTGCTCCACTTCATGTACTGCGGTCCACCTGCTCCGCTGCTACGGGCCATTTTCATTGACAGCCCTTTTTGGATTCTTGTCAGATCTCGTGATCGATGTCTTAATTGCAGGATGCCGCGCATGCACGACCGGCTTGAACAGAGCCCTGACTCGCCATAATCAACGCAGTGGGCCCGAGGCTGTGTATAACGTCAGGCAGCAGCTTTCCGGCTTTCTGGTCATGGTAACTATGTTCGAGTATCGTGTGTCACCTCATTGCGGGTCCTTACTGTCCTATGGTTCTGGAGAGAAGATGAGAGATCAAAAGCAATATCCAGTCCCATTTTAGCCCGGTCGGATTATTCGAGGCCTGCATGCAGTATGCAGCGTGCAGATTGTGTACTACTGTACTGTACTCGATTTATGGAGCTTGTGACTGATCATTCCAATGGTTATGATGGATAACAAACAGCTCTGGGGATCCTGCAGCTGCGGGCTATTGGGCAATGGTTGCGGGTGCCGGGTTGTCGTCATTTTCATTGAACATGTCTGTGTCTTTGGAACTGGAATTGTAGACATTGTGAGATCGGTTTTCTCTGGGGTAGTTACGAATAGAGTAGAAGACAGGCAGTGTAATCGAGCAGGCTGAGGGCAACCGAGCGAAGAGAGATAGTGCAAGTGTGGGTGTAAAGTGGAAGATTCAGCCTGGGTTTCAGCAGAGAGGCTTCTCGATTGAACTCTCAACAAAGGATATCAAGGATCAACCGACTATTTTGATATCCCACCCGTCTCTGTGTAATGTAAGAAAGTGATGGCGAGGAAAACCACTTCGGGAAGCCATCGGCTCCCTGAGATACAGGACTCCTGGAGCACACCCTACTTTTTACTAGGCCTCTTGCCCGTCCGGAGATTGATTTACTCTTCAGGCTCTGGCGGAGCTTGTCGTCGACGTTTCTATATCCCAGGACCTCACCTGAACTCGGTCTTACCGATAGTGAAATTGCGAAGCTTTCGACCCTATTAGGATACAATGATGCTTCCACCACTCCACGTTTTCAATTACATTACAGCCTACAGCGAGATTAAACATTCAGGCCGAGGAAGCGATGTTTCCAGCTTTTTTTTGTCCTCCCTGATTTCGTGATCATTTAGAGACAAGTTTTAGGCCCTTGCTATTAAAGCACTTCATGAATTCGAAATGCCGGGGGTTAAAGAAAAAGATCCGCCACAAATTCAGCGCGTATTTGAATATACATATTTGCAACCCAAGCGGACAACCTTCAAAGAGCAGCCGTGGGATCATTTCCTCCCTCCGTGCCACATTCAGCCAACTTCCCTAAGCGAGCCAAGTAAGCTGCCCCGGTATCTGACCAAACTCTGTAATCCTGGACTTTCCATTGTCCCTTCCCAGCGTTGTCATCCTCCTCCTGTGCTATCTCCATACGATAGAAGAATTCTTCATCGCAAATCTGCCCTGTGTCTTTCCAGATAAAACGACCTTTTCCACGCAGCCCGACTGCCCTAATATTTTCATCGATCATCCACGAGGACTCGCTTTCGAAGCTCATAGTTTCGACTGCCAAAATTTCGGTAACCAGACGAAAATAGTCTGCCACTCCATGTTGGCCTTTAAAATCACGCCCCAGAAAAGGAGCTAAGCTTTTCAGACCATACTCTGCTGCTAGCGGTGGAGGAGATGTCGTGAACTGGCGTAGAATGTCCGGTATGGGGGCATTGGTAGAAAAACCGGCACAGAGAGCGCGGACGGGCTGGATGAGAGTTTCTCTTGACGGCATTGTGACTGGACGTTCTCAATACTGACAGCGCATAGAATAGCAAGTCCCTGTGAGCTAATATTGCTGGTCTATTATTTAATAACTTATGAAGCTTCGTGTCACTTCTTAGATCAGTATGACGATTACATCTCTAACTCTATTCGACAGCTTTCTAAGCTTAGTCATTTAGCCGCACTTTTGCCCCTGTCTGCATCACGAGATAAAAACTGCTTTCTTAGGGAAAACATGTCACGCACACAGAAGTAAATATCTTTTGTCTAGAAGGTATTTAAGCTGCAGGCGATATCTGATGTCGCCTCTGGCACGTGATCCACCGTCTGGCCCCAATATACGTATAAAAATTACACCATGGTATGTGTAACGAAGGCTTGCTCGGTTTGAGCTTGGCAAATTACCTGATTCATGCAAATAGAGGAGGGCTTGATTGAGTAGGGGATACCACAGGATGGGAATATCAATTGAGGAATTTGTTGATAGTCACCGAGAGACTAGATTCGCAATTCAAGATCTTAAGCAGAGGGAAACATAACTGAAGCGATTCAGATTGAATAATTTTTCCAAAATAGAAACGGCCGCCTCGGGTTCTTTGTTTTTTGTACCGGTACATTTAGTTCCGCCTTGCGCGAAGTGGGCCTTGGCGCTCCGCCTTTGAAGCTTGGAGCGTCCACGGCCTCAAACTTCATAGCTTCAACCACCCCTTCGCGCAGCATGGATTCTACGACGCAGTCTCCTCCCACACTCACAAACCCTCGGTTTACACTCGAACTCGAGTTTGTTTCCTCGCTCGCCAATCCTTACTACCTATCGCATCTTGCGGTCACCTACCCGGGCCTCCTGGGAATCTCACAAGCCGATGACAATGACGACGATTCTGCCTCTGCCCCAGATGCCCAAGCTTTCGCTGCATACCTGGCATACCTCTACTCCTACTGGAAGACGCCCGAGTACTCTCAGTTCCTGACTCATCCCGGCCCAACGCTGCGCGCTCTCCGGCTGTTGCAAGAGGACACTTTCCGCCGTGATATCATTCTGCCTCAGGTCATCGAAGGTCTGGCCGGTGTCACCATCCCCAACAACACCGCACAAACTGCCGAAGCGGATGTCGCCCAGAACTCCGAGACGCAGGACGACCAGAATGGAACCAAGACGTGAGTCTTCTGGCGGGTCATGGCTCTCTTAACACACACCATCACGGGTATTAAGACCATCTTCCGGGATACCAAACTGAAAGGATCTACATCGTGCGAATCAACGAGACTATTGCCGTTCGCCAGGTCGGCACCTGAGCAAGGACTCATTGGGGGTCGTGACTTCATGTGCGACCGAGGCACTGGGCCGATCGGCCGGGGAGGCTTGTCGATCGAAAGCACCTGGAACGACGTTTGGTCCAGGACACAGAGAACGCCCACGCTAGACGCACCCAAGCGCAAGTTCACCCATCGACCAAGGTCTGCGGGGTTGTGAAGGACAAAGCGTCTGTTGGGGGCGTGAAATCGCCGAGAAGCTTACCATGCGAGCCTGTTATGACAATTTCAGCCCTTCTCCGAGGCAATTGATCCCAATCGCACGAGACAATTAAGTCTAAATTTTCAGTAATGAGATTCCCCACGTAGCGAGCGTTAGGAATTGACGAGGCTGAAAAGTAGTAAAGTGGCCGTCTGCGGCCGAGGGCTCGGAACTCTGCCCCCAACCTGTTTCCTCTCCCCAAAACCACGGTCATCGTAAACACGACCAGAATCTCAAGGTTTCGGTTTACCAGTGTTCTTTCATCATTTGCATAACTTTTGACATCGCTCACCTTTTACCTTCCGCATTCCAACGCAGCCGGCGGATGAGAGCCCCACCCCCTGGTGATCGGCCGTCAACTACCTCATCGGACAGCAACGCCCCGTTCCCGTCCATCGCCCATCCGCCAACGTTTCTTGCCTTCTCCCCCATGGCCATCCGACAAATCTAACTCTCTCCATCGCCCTACGGCTTTATCTATCGACTCGTCGCTCTCATCTACGGACCTCCCGCCGAGGGGGCGCCCATACCATTTTCATGGAGTCTGTACGCCAGTCGTGCCGGCCGAGGCACCAGCTTTTGACGCTCAAGTGCTACCCCAAATTCCAAAAGGGTGTGCCGGAGGTCAAGCCCAACCCCAGCGAGCTTTCATACTTGCTGTATTATGCGAGCACGCGTCGCAGCAAGCTGACCAAGGTCGGCGCTTTTCTCGAGAAACGGGTGGCCAAGGACGTTTGGAGGCGCAGACTGGGGTGAGTCTCGTGAATTCAGGCTCAATCGCCTTTGTCTTCGATGTACGATAGAGATGAAAAAGCGCTGACAGCTCATGACACAGCAATGTTCAGGTCGCTCTTCATATTTTGACCGCGCTCATCGAGAAAGTCCCTCGCGACCTCCCCATCTACGCGCGCTCTGTCCTGATTGTCATCGAAACTATCTTGCGATCGAACGATATTTCCCTGGTCGAGGATTCGATCGCCACCTTTGAAACATTCTGCCGGCATCAGGAACTCGCGACCATTGCCGCAGACCAGGGTCTCGCTCAGAAGTATCGGGAAGTTGTGCGAACGTATGCCAGTTTCGCCGATCCATCCTCCCCATCTTACTCCTCCGCCAAAATCAGTCCCGCAGTCGCCATTCGGTGGAGAAATGCCGGACTCCGTGCGATCAAGGGTGTGGTCAGCTCAAAAAGTCTTGCCGCAGACGGTGGCACCTCCCTAAAGATCATCCTGCCGGTCATTTTGGAGAACCTATACTCGCCAAATGAAGACATTCTCGTGCCACTGAAAGCCAGGCTGGAAGACACAAAGGAGGTAGATAAGGTGGAACGTGATGGGAACCTCAATCGGCGCATGAGTGTCAACACGGTGCACACGGTGCACACGGTTGAGGCAGCGAACGGAGACCCTGCACTGGCAGCCCAATCGACCGCTGATGTTGACCGACAGGCGGAGATGGATGCGCGATTTTTGGCTCTTCGGAGTCTCGAACAAATCATTGTCTCGGGAAGCAACCGTGGTCAAATACGCGTTGCGGCGACAGTCATCCTTCAATTTATCGCCAACAAGCGTTTCCCGCGGGCTGTCACTGGGGACGAGCCACGCGCCCAGCCGGGTAACTGGGCCACCTCTTTGATTGAGCTCATTGCAACTTGGTGCCCCGTACAGGTTCGATTCGTGATTGTGATGACGGCCATGGAGACTTTGCAGGAGACGACCTACAAGGAGGACGGTTTGGAATCGGCGTTTACGATCCTGTCCGTCGTGGACTGGCTCTTGAAGTCTTCAGTGAACATGATTGGATTGAGTGTTATGGATATCTTGTTTGGTCTCATGCAATACGCCTCGGACATCTTATCGCCCCAAGACAATGCTGGGGATAAAGAGAAGAGTTCTGAACAAAATTCTGACGCTGCAGTTTTTCTCTCTGCCCGGAGAAAGGGTCTACTTTCTCTTCTGGAACAGTGCATCGGCAATTTAGCGACCCATATTTACTATGGCGACCAAGTCGCCGACATGATGCGGGCTATCCTGCGGCGCTTCAAGCCCGCGCCGACTCAGGAAAATAATGTGCAGTCTTCTTTGGCTACCGTCCATGAGACTGGTGCTGCGCCCGTGGTCCACACTAATTTCAACCCTGAGAGCAATGGAGAGAAAGCCCGGGGCGAGACGTTTTCGCGTTCTGAGGCTAAACTGACTGCCCTCCGAGCCGTCAAGGCCATTCTCATTGTGTCAAACCTTCGGGCGCCTACTGTTGCAGCTGCCTCTGAAACAAGGAATCAAGTTGGTATTCATGTGTGGGAAGGAACACAGGGACTTCTCGGAGACTCCGACCGTGAGGTTCGCCACGCTTATGCCGAAGCCTTCTTGGCGTGGCTACAACTCGAAACGAATAAGCAGGACCTCAAGGTGAAGGTAGACACCCCGAAGTATATCAAACAGACATCAAAGCGTGATTCAGAGCAGGCGGAAAAGCCAAACCGACGGAGCACTTCGGTTCCAAGAAATCAGAGGGAGACGATGGCTCTTGCAGCGCAGTCGAACTTTCTTCGCCTCTTGCACCTTGCAATCTACGACTCTGCCCTGGAACGGGCCACAGTTGAATCTGAAGTCCTTCTTTTGCACCTTCTACTTGCCAATCTTGTCGAAAATCTCGGTGTCAACGCGGTACAATTTGGTCTCCCCATGGTTATGAAAATGCAAGATGATCTCTTTACTTCAGTCGACCTGGGAACATCCAGGGCGCGCATCAACATTGGAAGCTTGGTCCACGGGCACTTGTTGGCCCTCTGCGAAAAGTTCAACCTCGAGTCCACTCATGCTGGAGTGGAAATCCGCAACGAGATTGGAAAGCGACAGAGCAAGGGTCAATGGCTCTCTAGGGTTAAGCTGCCTCCGGCTGGCCTCGACGCTATCGTGGTGGACGATGAAAAGATTCCCGACGATGATCCAGAACCGTCAATTTCGTTTACACCCTTTCAAAATCTTGACGACCTTGTCGATGGGATGGACGAGTCCTATCGCGAAACAGTCTCATCACCCCCACAAAGCCCATCAAGCTTACCGGCGCGAGGGTTCAGTTTTCCTGTTCTCAATCACAGTCAGGCTGTACAGTCGCATGTTGAAAACGGTCTTCCTTCATCTGTTAGGGAAGAGCTGTTCTCCTCTTGGTCTCGAGAATCCTGTCTGGCCGCTGTCGAGAAGGAAAGCATCAAAACATTATCCATTAGCGGTTCTCGCGTCGGCACTATGACTCGCGTCAGTCAACAAAATGGTGCTGCGAACGGCTCGCCTGCTGGCTCGGCTTCGCCGAAAGACCGCCACATGAATGTCCCTGAGATTTATGGCGACTTCTCGCGAACCCCAGATCAAAGCCCCCACCGAGGGTCTCCAGTTCGCGTAACACAGCTACGCCGCGTGCTCTCGGTCAAGGACGGTTCCTCCCCTCGGCATCCCAGCCCTCTGCGGGGTGCAAATGGGTCGAATATCAGCGTCATCTCTTCAGGCAGCGAAAGTATGGTCAGCGGTACCTACTCCGCCTCGGAGATGGATGGGGGCGATGCATCGATTCACGAAGAAGGGCAGCAAACCCCGGAACAAGACGGACAAGAAACGCCTCGTGCACCAGCATCAGCGATCGCTCTTTCGGGGGGAGAGACTCCCACAGACACTCAATTGGCGCTGAGTCGGACGAACTCCGAAGAAATTCCTCCTGTCCCACCCATTCCTTCCAACCTGAACATTCCGGGTGGCTTTCCAAATGACTCGCAGCGGTCTTTGCTCATCGATCGTCCATCCACGGCTCCCGATACTTCAAAACTCACCTCGCTCAATGGCAAATCAGAGTACCGCCAATCTCGGAACAGAACTCTGAACCGCAACATGAGCCGCTCCAACCATAGTCTTTCTGCGGGGATCTCGGATGCTTTCCAGGGTGCGCAAATCAATGGAAATGATTCTGCTTTCGATAACAACCAGCGGGATCAGCTGAGAAAGCTTCTGGACGGCTTCCTATCTTCCGACGGCGACATCCTGGCCAACGAGGACCGCCCAGCCACCGCAATTGACCCCTCCAAGACACCACTGGGAGGCTATTCCAACCAACGCTCAGTCAGTGGCGGCGGCATCGGACGGCCTCCATACTAATTTTGAATTTCTTTTCATCCTGTACAGTCAATCCTGGCGCGCACAAAATTTCCTGGAGACTTCGTCTCGGCAGTTCCGTTTCTTTTGCCTGCCTTTGTACATTGTTTATAGCTTCTTTCCGTCTCATGGATAATGTGGGAAGAAATCCTTTTTAGACTCTGTGTCACACGCCCTATTCCTTTGTGACATTAGGTGGTATATCTGCCTCTTCCATTCTTTGTCGATTTCTTTGCACCGCCTGATCTTTTGTCTTTTCGACCCTTTTTTTTTGTTTCTTTGTTTCTTTATCATATGTTGCATATGTTTATCTTTTGGCGATCCGCGGTCCCCATCTTATTGCAGCTTGCTTATGCGTTTTTGCCGAAGGTGCTGTATCTACTGTTTCGGTAGACTCATAATAGACGCTCGGCTTTAGCCAGAATATCAAGGCTTGGCATTGTCATTCTTCCATCGCTATGTGTATACTTACTCGGGTGGCCCCCTAATTCAGCGCAGATACTTACCTCCGCCGTGTCGGAAACACCCAAGAATGTCACCCAGGGATCTGCACAGGCATATCAGCAAGGTGTCGAAAGATTCAGATGCTCGTCTTGATATTTAGAGAGTAACGAGCTTTAGGAGACCAAGTCTGATCAAGAGAGAAAATGCACATCCCCGTCTGGGTTTCTCCTCGTTCGTACTCTTATCTGGACCAAGGTTGTGGACAGACAGATGCCAAGCATCGAGTGTTTTATATCCTGCACAGTGAATGGCATGCCTGCCTTTTGTGAAGCTCCGTGATAGTCTATTTAAATTAAGATTCATGAAAGGTTTCGTGGACTGTATAACAAGACATCAGACTTGCAAAGGTCAAATGATTGGGAAACTCCTTCCAAGTCAATTTGGAATGCATTCCTGAGTAAATACCATAGTCATGCGTAGATACCACTTTGAGTTAGAATGCAGTTTGGATATCAATTATAAGATTCAACGCCGAGAAAGAAATCAGAAGATCAGATCTCTCGGAAACCAGGCTGTGCAATCAGTCCGAGTGACGAAGTATCCGACTGCGAGTTCTCTACGGGACCGAAATAATCCTCAAAGGTCTTCTTCAGAACCTCCTCCGTCAATTGCATATGCTGACCCGGCACGGACTTAAAGTGCAGTTTGCCCTGCTCATCAAGCTTTTTCAGGCCCAACCAGTCCTCCTTGTAAATCTTTCTCTCCTGGAGGGGAGTCACTGTACCATCGGTCGCATTGTGCTCAGCAAACAGGGCGCTCTCCTTGGGAATGACGACTGTATCCTCGTCAAACATAAACATAGCAAATGTGTTGAGTGTCATCAGGCGTTTCTTGTATTGAACGTTCTTGAGCTCGCGCTCGTTGTTAATATCGGCCAGGAAATTGCTGTGCTCGAGGTACGAGTCCATTTCCTCGGGATCACGGAAGTACTGTGCCGGAACAACATGCGACTGCGCGAAATCTGACCATCGTCCAGAGCGAAGCAGCGATTCAACCCCGTTGCAGAGCCAGTCGCCCAGCTTGCAGGCTTGAAACTCTGAAATTCCGTTGTGCTGACCGCCGAAAGTGACGAGATTATGCACAGGGGGCTTATTGCATCGCTCGATATATCCACGGAGGAACTGGCCACCCTGAGAGAAGCCAAGGGCATTGACGGCGGGCGCAGTGCTCAGGATCGGGTCCGAGGCAAGTTGCTTGCAGACTGTCTCGATCTGCTCGGTGACGTTTCCGAAGAAGGTGGCCTGGCGATCGCCACTGCCATCGTCGGCCAGTCGGATGATGTGAACGTAAGTACCTGGGTTGACGGAATCCACCAGCGAGGCGACTTCGTTAAGTCCATCACGCTCAAAGTCGTCGCCGAGCCCGTGCCAGATGACGAGAGGGAGCTGGGTCGAGGCGTCGTCGGAGGCTGTGAGCCAGGGGACGGCGGCAGATAAGACGTTAGGGGCAAGCAATGCCAGAATCGGGAGAACACGTATCATGGCGGCGTGGGTGTGAGGGTTTGCTCGGGGGAAAGTTGGGGAATTGATGACGCTTGGTGGATCCGGGGAGGTTTATCAGCACGTGAGCCCGGCATCCAAAGTGCCTAGGTGCAAGGGACCTGAATTCAACGCTGCTTGTACACCACTCCGAATGAATATGTTGTCTATAATCAAATTTGTCTTGGGTTTGGTTTTAATTGAAATAGTTCAATGGTAGTAACATGTCGTGATCAAGCTCAAGGGGTATAGATGGCCCCGTCTCCGGAACCGGCCATACATGGGGCATTCACACATTCTCAACCACGTTGTCATTACGAACAAGCTGTCCAAATAATACTGTAGGTGTTGAGAGACTGTGGGCTTTAGCGGGATCTCGGAACGGGTCTATCGTAGAGTTGAGATACGAGGACTGGTTAGCAATAGACCCTGGGAGGTTCGCAGCACGAACACGACCTAAATAGGGGCTTCTCGAGTCATTGAGATGCCCTGGCTGTGATAGCCAGTTTAATCTTTGGCGGTGTGAGAAAGTATCAGTACGGGATGGTGCAGGTGATGCCATCAGTGTCTTCGCTGGGCTGAAAGACGGTGCATGCCAGTTTAGAGCGACGGTATGCTCCGTTGGCTCAGGAAGTATTTGATCATCAATTATAAAATATCGCGGCTGTCGTGGCTGGTCAACAGCAATAAGAGACTGGCATTCAATGCGATCCGATTTCACTTGAGAGCGATACGGCGGACTGTTCGCTGGAAATTTCTTCGTTTCAGGAGTTCCTGGAATGACGTTATCGAAAGGCTCTGTATCCCCAGACACTGGGGATCGACGAATGCCAGCTAGAAATTTCTCGATCATAGGTCGGCTGTATCTGGGTTGCAACGATAGACGGCTAGATTTGGCCACCCAAAGACATTCGGGTTTAAGAGTCTCCGATTCTCGGCCGGGTGAATGAGAAATCAGAGATGTCTCATTATCAAGAAGCATTGACCGCGATGAAGGGACATTCGTACTCTTTCCTTGGCTGCTCGAGTGGAGGCCGGCGGGACACCCGTCGATACGTATTGTGATCTGGTCCAGGCGGACGTCTCTTGGGGAAGCATCTCTGCTCTTCCGGCATAACGTAGCAAAATCTGAAAGGGATTGATGACCATATGCAGCTGACAGGCGTTGTCTGTCATGGTCATTTAACTTCCGCCGCTTCCCAAACCGCTCGATCTCCTCGGCCGGCGTGAATGTCATCTCCAGTGGACGAGCTGCAGAGACAGCGGCCCAGTCGGGGTCTTGAAGGAGCTGACGTTTCAGAGAATCTAGCCGAGTGCCCCCTGTGGTAGTCGAGGCTCCTGGCAATCGAGGCGGAGTTAAGGCTGGCATCCTGAGTGGTCAAGGACAAATGGTTAGTAAAGAGTATAACCGAAGCAAACAGGCAAGGTAGCAACGCAGGGTGCAACAATTGGCAGTTTTTCAACTGACTGTGACTTTCCATCGGTTACCACGTCTTGACTGTTTGTAAAGGCAGCACTTTGTATGTCTTTGGTGTTGGCAAACTCGGGCAGTCCGGGAAACGAAGAGAGATGGCGAGAGGCGACCTGGCGGGATTTGGCAAAATATTGGCGCTGGTTCTTGGACAGGGTACCCTGACGGGCAGAACGATGCAATTGGCCTCCAGTCCAATTCATGTTGACGCTGGAGACATGAAGACCGTACTCTGTATTGTACAAAAACGCATGATAAGACGATAACGAGGGGCCGAGCTGCAAACAGTGCAAAGTATCCCGCAGTCACGTGCTCAGCACACAAAACCACGGAATTTTTCATCTTCGACTCAACGACTCACACCCCTCCCTATCCCCGACCATGATGAGTTCCCTGCACACCTCGTAGGGATCCACAGGTAAGCCCCCTCATGTTTGAGTCCTGCACACGCACCCACCCACACGCACTCCGGTCCTCCGGACTTGGATGATGAACAAACCTACCCAAGCATAGTTCAACTGAAATCTTCGGATTGCTGAACGACAACCTTTATCCATCTTTTTTTTTGTCTGACATCAATTTTCTTCCAACTTTATCTGGAACAAAGTGAGAGCTCAATAGTTGCTGACCCAACTCCACAGGGAACCGAAGCCCTAGCCAAAGCGGCCCAAACCCGCCGAATCTGCATTGCTGCCCAACGTGGGTCTCGGGCTCGCTCCGGCCCGTGTCGGGATCCGTGGTAGATACTGTTGTGTTGTAGGATAGAATGATCATGAATAATATTGGAATCTTGGATAGACTTGTCGCTTCAGCCGGACCTGCGTGGTCTCTATTCCTGTACTCTGTACTCTGTACTCTGTACTCCGTACTCCCTGTACTCCTGTGTCGACGGTGTTCTCTGTACTCCTCTCTGCCTGCGTTATACCCCCCAGCGGTGTTCCGCAACCCTCCGACGTGGATCCCTCTCCACCAGTCAACTCCCCTACGGAGTACATAATCCCAGACGGAGAACCTGCCGATCGTTCAATTCGGTCATCATCATGCAGCGTCAGCCCTGACTCTCCTCCAATCATAATCTCACGCGTGCCATACCCAAGCGGTTGAAACGCCGACCCCGTCTCACCGCTGCGACGGGATGATGTCTCCACCATTCGGGAGCAGCCACACGCAAGGCGCGTCTGCAGATACCGTCACCGCTAGTTTCTCTGTCGCGATCCACTGGCCTTCGATGGTGCCAACAGGGCTCTTCCCTCCTGCATCATGCGCCTCTTGGCACACGCTGTGTTTGATAGTCCCACTCCTGAACAACGCACCGTGCTGTCTTTCTCCTTTGAAAAAGGCCGCATGTCCCCCCGAGGCCTCATTTCGATTCTCTTTTCTTCTCTAACTCTCGACACCCCCTCTCGACTTCGATTAAAGTTTTGACTCTTGCTCTACTCTTCTTAAGATACCTATACCGTCATACCCCCTTATATCGACCAATCTGTCCCTGGATCTTGGACGACCTCTTGCATTTCCCTGGTTGTTATTGCTGCCCGAGGACTTCTTACCTGCCACTTCCTGGACCAAAAGGATTTGCTTTTGTTTTTGCCCAGGCTGCTTTCTAGTCTGCACGTACTCGACAAAACACAACAGGTAGTCCCCTTCACACATTTCTTTCTGCTTTTCCTATGCGCTTTCTTTGTTTCTCAACTGGACCTGTACCGTCGCCAAGTGTCTTTTTCCATGGATTTCGACTCTACAAACCAAGCCCCAGGACTTCCGTGGACCTTAGAACTCTTTGACCTTCGCCTTGCTGGTGCCACTGCCAATCTTGACAGTTCAAAAAAAAAAAAAAAAAAAAAGAACAGAGAGGATGACTGCCCTGGACTTAGTCCTCAGCATCCGCTGAGAGACTGGACTCTTCATTGAGTGTTGCTTAATGTTGCACGCTCAACTCGATACTGCCAATGGATTTCTCTGCCTGGATCTTTTTAACTCTTAGCCTGGACTCCCTTCAACCAAGCCTGGTGCGAAGTGGATGGATTACTACCACCCTGGACTTGCCGCTGGACCTATACTCCCTGGATTTATGCTTCCTTGGCCCCACAAAAATGAATGAACTCTCCCTGGAAACAAGATACCATGGCCTTTTTTTGCTCTTATACTCTGCCGATACAAGGAAACTACCCCAGGACTCACCCACTTGAGCATTTATGTTTGCTCTCCATTGTGGAATTTTTGAAGCATCCGCTTCTGGAACTTATTACTCTGGCCACTGAAATGGACCTGCCATACAGTCCCATGCTGGCCTTTCTAGAGATAATGCAAATTTCTCAACCTGGAATTTCCGGATGATGCACCTCGTAGCTCTGGCTATGACACGACCCGGCCCTATTCGATGTGACTACTGGCAATAGGCTCTCCCATCTACCTGGAACCGACTCAAGCTGTGACCAAGCTCAGGCCCCTGTTGAACCCGACCTCGGACCATCCTTTCCCCTAAAACCGACTTTGGTGCGTCCAGTCACAAACCTCGGGCGTTGATGGCGTTGCTAACAGCTCATAGGTTTCCAATTTTCTCTGGATCTCGGACCTTTTCATTTGACTTTTCTGATTTTTGTTTTCAACTCGTTGAGGTGTAGATGACTGACTTGAATGATGCTTCCAGTGTTTAGCAAACCCCACATACACAATGTCTTCCAGGGCCAGCAATGAGCCCGAACGGGTCTCCTTCTCTCAATCCAGACATGCCTCCATGGCCCAAGGAATCTCAAATATGGCCTCAAGATCAATCCAGGATGATGACTTGTCGAGCCAAGACAACTCGTCTTTGTGCTCAATCCCCACAACCCATGGAAATCCCCAGGAAATGAAAGAATGGAATATGAATACTACAGAATCACTTGATCAGGCCATGTCTTCCAAGGAATCTCCCCAGGTGCAAATGCTTTCTTTCTCGCTGTCTCAGCAGCTGATGACTCCCACCGTCGGACCAAATGATGTGATGTACACAGGAGTGGACTTCCCAGCAGTCCAAGACTTGCATGATCAGCGAGACTTTTACTCCTTTGTGGACCTCTCGTCCATGGATAATGACGTCTGTGGGCAGGCGAGCTCTCCAGATGATGCTCTTTCTGTCGCGCACAGTTCTCACACCGATGATGGCCAATTGATTGTTTCGCACGAGCCATGGAATGCTATGATGCCTGATGGCCATTACCCCGGAACCACCCTGGACCAACTCTCATCAAGCCTTTTCCAGACCGTTCCAATCTCGCCTCCTTTGACGGAAGCCAGCAACGACATCTCTGTTACTTCCTCTTGCTCCCACTCGGGATTTCCTTCATATCTGGCCGCCGATGACACATTCCTCGGGGATTTCACCAACTCACCAATGGGCAGTCACGGGATAAACCCAGCGGATCCTTTGTTCCCCAACGCTCCTTTGAGTGATAAGGACACGAACAGGTAGGTTACAATCGTCAGCACTTGAGAAATGTCTTATCTGACCACCAAACCGCAGGACCATCAGGCCTTCGAAGCAGTCCCGTCGAGGAGCTCTGTCAGCCTCTTCCCAGCCCCAGGTCAAGGCCGAATCGGAGTTCTTCCCGCCACTTCCTGTGAGAGAGCCATCTCGACAGAAGTCCAAGGACGGTGCCGAGTCTCGTAACCCGCGAGAGCACCATTACTACTCCATGCCCACCCAGAGTGATGGAAAGTACTACTGCCCATTTGCCATTGGAGATAATGCCTGCAACCACCAGCCCACCACGCAAAAATGCGCTTACCAGCAAGTTCCCCTCGACATCACCGCTCTGCTCCAAGATCAAAAGCTAACAGTCCACCCTAGCAAATACCTGGATTCCCACCTGAAGCCCTACCGCTGCAAGGCCCCCGCCTGTCTGGAAGCCCACCTGCGTTTCTCCTCCAACGCATGCCTGTTCCGCCATGAGCGCGAGGCCCACGGACTCCATGGCCACGGAGACAACCCCCACCTGTGCCTGTGGGAGGGATGTGATCGTTCCATTCCTGGATTCGGATTTCCGCGTAGATGGAATTTGTACGACCACATGCGGCGCGTGCATGACTATACCTCCTCCGAGCGACACAGCTCACCCGAGTCGTCGCCCATCGCTACCCCAATGAAGAAGAAGGAGGCTAGCCGCAAGAGGAAGGTCACCGGTCCCACGCTGGCGCCGACCATGAAGCGCACCCGCTCCGTACACTCCCAAGCCGGTTCTGCCAAGGCTTCCCAGAGCAGCGCACAGCACGGTCAGCGGCTGCAGAACGCGGAGCGCAACTATCACAAGTGCCGTGAGCGACTCGTCGATGAGCTCCGCAAAATCTCTCCGCAGGACACCTCCATGCACGAGAAGGTCAATGCTAGCCTTCAGGAACTGTTCACCCTGGGCCTGAACTACCGCCACATCGAAGCCAGCCAGGCTGTTTCCCATATGCCAAATGGAATGCCCGCATGAAGGACCTTCTGAGGACCTGTAATTTCTTCCAGTCGGAGGGGAATACAGTGAAGGATGCTTATACCTCGCGAGGGACTTGCGATTCAGTCGCTGTGATTACCAGAGGCGAAGCCGCGTTCCTGCGCTTCTTTTCAAGGAAAGAACTTTTTGACCACCACTGAAGGGCCGATGTACGCTGGCCCTGATTGAGGACGAGCCACGGCTCGACCTTGTCGGCCGATTCCCCATGGCGCCACCCACGGTCGATATCAAACGGATCTTATGGAGATTCAAGTGTTCTGGAGCCGGGCACTCCAAGCACCAAATAACTCCTTGATCTCAACTCTACTTATGAGACTCTTTGTCTAAACCTGGAATACGGCACGGCACCACCCTGGTGGGTGGAATAGATAAAACGAAGGGAAATGGCCTAACCGCCACGCGCCTCGAAAGGGATAGGAGGAAAAAGGGATGTTTGGCGCGATCGACAGTAGAAGTTTCGTTTTTAAGGATTAAGGATGTTTTGTTTCATAGATCACGTTTTGTTTTCCAGTTGAATTGATCTCTGATCGTTGCACAACTTGACCATTGGAGCGTATTCATCCAAAAACAAGCTCTTCGGGAGCTAGTAGTTAAAAAAGTTACAAATCATAACCTCGTTAAATCATGGCTAGTCTATGCAGTTTTATCCAAATCGAGAAATGTCCACAACAGGTCCAACCCAACTACGCATCTGCATCCTCACCACTGATGTTCGAGTTCAAAAACCGTACAAACGCATCCGGAATCTGATCATCCGATAACCCACCAGTTCCCGCTCCATGGCCATGGCCAATGTACTGCCGGTTTAGGGTGATCCACTGCCTTCGTAGTCTTTGCAGCTTCGGCAGAGCCAGGATGCCGCCGGCACCGGCCAGTTCATCGGTTGTACCGGTAGTAGCAAGATGAGCGGGAACAAGGATCGGGATGGATGCACCCGGCACATCAATGGCGATACCTCTAGAGTCGATACTCTGTGCCAGAGCTTCTTCAGCGGAGGAACTGGATTGCGTGAAAGTGCGGACTGCTGTGACGATAGCCGACGTGCGCTTTTCCATAGCGTACAGAGCGCCCGAGTCTGTTGCGACGGCTTGAACGGTGGCTTGGTGGGGGATAATTTTGGGCCGTAGTGATTGCCCGCGGCCAAAGGCTCTGCCTGTGGTGGTTGTGCTGGCGGCTTCGGAAAGAGTGGATGATGCGAGCGATTCGGTGAGGCCGGATACAGGAGTATCTGTAGAAGTCTCTGCAGATGGTAGGACTCCGGTAAGAGCTTGGAAGATATCTGCGACTGGCGGCTCCTTGTCCTCCCATGGGACTGTGAACAGGGGTTTGTCCCAGCGGCTGTGGGTGCTGGGTTCTTCGTAACGGAAGATGAGATTATTGAGCAAATCCGACGGGTATGGCTCTTCGTCGTCAGTGAACTGGACCTCGCCGGGTGCAGATGATGCGGTCTCAGGCGACTCCGGGTCGCCTGTCTGAGCTTGCCGCTTCAATCGAGCATCATTGTTCGCGACGCATTGATCGATCGGTGTTCCGACATGAACCTGAACATCCCCGTTAGCCATTCCGCTCTCATTCTCCATTCAACAAAAGCTCAAGCCATACATACCACACAGCATGTGGTTCCTGCAGCTTTGGTCTCGCACCAGAGCTGGTATCTCCACCCCTTGATGTAATTCATGCCATCGAGGAGAACGATACTATCCCGCGTCAACGCCCGCTTCGCGCGCGCATATGCGACACCACGCGCCTCCTTCTCCGTCCGAGCATGGTCGTACACAGTACGAGGATGCGATCCATCGTGCGAAGGAACAACGTGTACTTTGTACCGAGACTTCAGTGTGACGGGCGACGAGGACTCGGAGGACGCGAAGATCTCATCTTGCGCTTTCTCAATAAGGGACGCGAGCTGCTTTGCCCGGTATGTGAGACCGGAGCAGGGGTATCCGGTGAGGATCACAAGCTATTCTTATATCAGCGAAAGCTCTGGATAGGAAGTTGTAGCTATACGAACCGGCATCGTGGGCTGTTGCGGTGTTAAAAGCGGGCGAACTTTTCTCGGCGGGGTTGTGACATGTGACTCCACTTCTTCATTCTACTTGTCTGGCCACTAATCAGGGCAGCACAATGCATTTTTTTTAATAGCATTCTGGATAGTTTCATTTCGAGTATCTTCTCATATCTAGGTAATTGCCCGAGGGCATCAATGTCCTTCTTGGTGTGGAGGATCTGGTGTCGTTGGAATTAGTGGGCCTTGTATAGGTCCCTCGATCTTCAAAGAGCTGGGAGAGAGGTGACGCGACTATTCAAAGCTTTAATTATATTAAAAGAGCTGGTCAGCGGGTCAATATCGGCGGCACCAACCTGCATCCACAAGGGATTGTTCATTCGTCAATGCGAGTACTGTCAGCCAGCGACATGCATCCGGTCGGAGATAGGCCGGGGTTTAACCGCAGAAAGAGTCATCCGGATTTTATCCTTTTTTCACTATATCGTATACAATTTACATGATTGTCTATACTTTCTATTTGGGACGGTTTGAATAAGCAGATACTGCTCTAAAATAACTTGTGTCACTGAAAGCAGGCGTAAATCATATCGTCCGGAAAGAAGTCAATTTACTGGCATGATCAGCAGAATCAAAACACATCGTTATGAAATTAGTCCTTTGAGCGGGTCATAACGTCATTAGGGATGATCATCCGGGTTCTCACGTCTGAAAGTTAATTTAACACCGATATGGCTTTTCAAATCCGAATAATATTCCAAACTACCTTCCTCCATTGTACGTTCACCTTTATCTCACCGATTCACGAATCTCTCGAACCAAATCTTCACCGAAGGACAAAATTGTCAAGACACTTCCCTTTGACAGCATCCAGGTACCCCCGCCGGGCTTCGGTGCTATGGGCCTCAGCTTTGGTCTGGGTAGCAGCCTGAGCCTTGAGGAAGCTGAACCCGTTCTGTTGAAGGCCATTGAACTGGGATGCACTTTCTGGGATACTGCTGTAAGCCGCTTGGTCAATCATGTGAAGAAAACAGGCTTCTAAATCTTACGAAGGTTGTCTATCAAGCCGGTGTGAATGAAAAGCTTCTGGGGGAGTTTATCAGAAAGCACGACGTTCGGGACAAAGTTTTCAGTTGGTCGTCAATCATCCAAATATTCGTTTCCAGCTGACGTTTCCATAGTTGCCTCAACGTGTGGTTATAATGCGTTCGGAGACCGTTCGGTCACCAATTCTGCCTCGGTAACAGATACTCTGAGGCTCATTAGGCCATGGCGGGACACTAAATCAGGAACAGTCTTTGACTGGAGGGATTAGTGCGTGTCCGTCTACTCGGCCCGGGAGCCATCTTACGATATGTCTATGCAGATACTGAACTACAAAGTCATCGTGGCTTCTTTAAACTGCAGTCATCAATCCGTGCGAATAGTGGGAGGAATCCAAAACTCATGTCTATATAATCTTTTATGACGAGGATGCCAGGGTATCATTTCAACATTTAAGCGGCCTTGGAAGCACAGCCTCCCAATTGATCCGGTGCCCATCGAAGCTCGTATCCAAACACAGTCCGCCGGAGCCTCTCGTCCTACGGAGGGTTAGTATAGTTCCTGCGGCCTCGATATCGGATACACTTACACCGGGGTCATTCTCGAAGAGTACTTCGCCCATAAGCTTTTCAAAGATTTTGGTCACTGTAAAACCACCGGCTTCGGCCATGGGGAAGAAACGCTCCGTCTGAGGCAGTAGCCACGGCTCGTAAGGTGTGAAAATGACAAGGGCAACAGAATTCGGATCTTTCTTCAAAGTCCGCTGCATGGTCTTGACCAGATTCCCGTGCTCGCGATGAGCATATACTACATCGGCCATGATCAGGACATCGAATCCAGACGGCGCGCCATCGGCGGTAGGAGGCAGGTGTGCGAGAAGGGGTTCCACCGGATTTCCCCATTTGTACCCCTCGACATGGAGCCTCTTTCGAGACTCGGGTGCCTCGGGAATCAGGTGGGCGGACAGCTCGGCATTGTGTTGCATGTTGTTCACCAATTCCGGGTCATGGTAATCGGTCATGACAACGGTGCGTGCGCCTTGAATGGCGCTCACGATACTTGGAACGCCCGCGGCCGCGCCAATTTCGAGAACATCCTTGTCCCGAATCAGCTGGTCAGTCCGCTCCTCGATGTAGTGCGAGCTTGTCCGGCCGGCATTCCAGAGAAGATTGGCCTATTCAAAGATTAGATATTATCTATCACCTTGCAATTGGATGGTATGCAAGTCTCTTGCATCCCGTGAAGACATACATAGAGTGGGTGGCTGCCCACGAGACGCACGCGCACCGTTTTCCCAGACAGCATCTGGTGCTCGGCGAATGAGGGCGGGGGTTCATCGGGATAGAACCCCTCGGGATCCTGGAACAGGTCCCCCGTACTAAAGTCTTCTTCGGCCATGGTGCTATATTCTCGTCGTTACCCCTCGAGAAGAAAAATATCATTTATCAAATTTCTTATCGGCGGGGCATTCGTTGCCTTAGGCAGACATTGGGGCTCTGGAGTTCACGAGTTCACACATAACGTGCCCGGGTGATCTAGTCACAGTTGTTCATCGCATGAAAACACTATAGTCCAGTGCTATTCCCTTGCTCTGTAGGAGGACATGAATCCCGATTTACTTTTGTAGATCAGGTATTCCCGGGTCGATCCTGGAATGTAGTTCCGCAGCAACCAATTAGAACACATCAGACTCCCTGATCAGATGCCGATGGGCATGTATATTCGTCACCATATCTGCGAGCCATCCCGTCTCAGCTAGCCTCGGAAGAGCCTAGGCAAAAGTCGTGATAAGAATCATGAACGCTACATGTGCCCATCATGTGACTTTGGCCGAGGCATTGTAATTACATACCGTAATTTTCCACATGCGGCATTGTTTGACGTGTGGGGGTGAGTGGAGATACGGGAATTTTACGGGGTAATATTCGGATCGACGCCGCGCCAGATTTGGAGTAACCTGATGGTGATTTTGCCGTTCCATTCGGGGGGGAATCATTTCCATGTCGCAGTTCGATCCCTCCTTTCACTCATCCTTCCGCCTCGATCCTCTCTCCTGATTTCACTCTTCCCCCTTCCCAGACGTCATTCTCTAAGCGATCTGGGTTTTCCCCCCCACGTCTTGGTCCTTCAAAACCTTGCCCCAGATCCTGTTCCCTGTTCCCTTTGCCCGACGTCGCTGCGATCATCCGGGGTGCCGTGACGCTGCGTTCGTTCACTGTGGCTTCACTTCGACCTCTGCGGATCCCCAGATCCAGCACGCACCCATTGCATCACGCTCATCAGTGACACCTCGCCGTTTAGAGTATACTGTGTGGCATCATGAATTCCACTTTGCGATCAGCCCACGCTCCTCAGGACCCCGCTCGACCCTCTTTCTCCACCACTTCGACGCTCGCACCCTCTTCCAACCTCACCAGCACCTTACCCCAACCGCCGAATCCCTTTGATCTCTCCTCGAAACCGACTAGCCAGGCCTTTGCTGCATCTCTCCAGCCTGTCTCGGCCGGTATTCCGCAGTCCGCCATGTCCCAGACGCAGCCTCTATCCCAGGCACTGAACGATCCGTCTCGACGTACCGGGTTACCAGTCCCTACCCAGGGCGACAACGCCGGAACCGTTCCTCTATCGGAGGGTGTACCCGCCACCCAGGCCGCCACCGACTGCTATCCAAACCAAGCCAACCGCCTTGGAGGTCCGACAGCCACTGCGCCCTTTCTGCAGGACTTTAACCTCGTTGCCGAAGCAGCCAAGCGAGCACAGATGTCGATCGTCATGCGTGACCTCGAAAGCGTGACCTTGTAGTCAAGAGACCAACTATGGCGGCGAGGGGCAGGTCCCTAGAAGAGGATGATATACCTACATCTACCAACGAGCATGGACGGGATCCATGTCTTGGAAACTTTCCTTTTTTCTGTGTGTGTGTTTGCATCGGCGCCCATTGCGGAGGTTCTTTTGGGTTTGTCTTCCGGGTCTCCACGGATGCAGCCATATTGGACCGGTTATCCGTCCTGCTGCCCGGGAAAGCAATACCCTTTCTGCTTTTTGGGCGTTTTCAAGATCTGGCGTTTGGTTGGCTCTCATTTCTTCATTGCTGTCTGGCAGACCTTATACCACCGATATACTCGAGAGACATTGAATACTTCCCTTCTTTTTGACATCATCATCCCATGTAGCACTCGTTTGTTCGACGACGTAGATCCCAAAATCGAAAAAAGTAATTATCATATAAGATATGCAGGGGTAGCTATTCTGGCAGTCGAATTACGTCTGGGTGCGTTTCTGATGGGCTGCAGCCCCAACTATCATCCATGCTGGCACTCTCATGAGCTAATAATGAAACAATAGATGAGCTTGGCTATCTTGCCGCTGGGGTCAATGCAGTTGGAAGTATCGCCAAAACATTGGAAGGCTTCGATATATGCCGAGGTATAGTTGAAGGTACCCATAGCTTTGGCATAAATCGGGTATATCCTAGGTGTCAGCTCCCTATGAGGCTCATTATTATCAATCGACTGAGTGACCTAATTGGAGAGGCAAACTTAATTTTGCATTTCTCGAGACTGGAAATCAGTCCTGACATCAGCAACAATTCTGGTCCGTACAGAAACAACCTCCAAACAATCCAACTGCAGAACCAAATGAACTATTTGTTCACTTGATAGATGCATGATAAATGCCACAAAACAATCGTTTACACCGTTGCTGAAGAATGTTTCTTAATAATCACTGCGCTTTTCTCGCAGATCCTTGGGCGAGCCTCAGGTCCTGCTTCAAGGCCCTCGATCGTTCTTGTATCTATGACAGTGCACAAAGTTCTCAAAAAGTACAGCCAATCAACTTCAATTTTACCGTCCGTTTCGGGAAACTTGAAAAATATGGTGGCGGTCTGTATGAGGTAAGCATCAGTGATCGGAGGTTAAATCAACGATGGAACTGCACTTACACCGGCAATAAGCATACCTAGGTAGAAGATGTAGTAGTAGAATCCAATTTGGTTAAACGTGATTAGAATGATGTGTTGGTTGATGGCCAGCGCTGCTTGCAACACAGCCGCCAGGATACTCTCAATGAATACATTGCCGGAAATATAGAAAGGGGGGCGTTGATGAAAATCATACCAATGAACGAGACCAGCCAGAGAGAAAAACGGGCTCCACATCTGCAAAACGCCATTGATATCGGTCTGCTGGGGGTGGCGATGTGATACCAATGCTGTTCAGGACAGAATACTACGGTATGACTCCCTGTTCACTCCAGAACGCCAACAAGGAGACGGTAACTACCATAGCGATGCGCTTCCTATTGGCTGACGACTGAGACAGAATGGACCACCTGCTTTGACCGCTAGATTTAGCGCCTTCCTGGCGGTCCAGTCTAATTTGTATCTCTTCAATTTCTAGAATGATCTCCACGTCGTATCGCAAAGTAGTTAGGTGAACGTAAAAGTGATTACCAGGACCAATGACCAGCCTGATCTGTGCTATGAGGATGTATCTGTTGTCGTGCAGATCTCTACATGGAGTACTCGAGGGCTGATAGTGAAAGATCCATGGATGACCCGGTGTCTAAAAATAGCGAAAGTACTTTAAGACATCCAACATGTGGGCACCTTCCAAGTTTCTTCCAGTACTGCCACTATTTTAATTTTTTGGGCACGTTTAATTTACCCGCAGGCTAGAGCTGCCCCAGTGGAAGCCACGTCGTCCCATCTCGGTGTCCTTACATGTTTGTCTGCGTAGTTGGATTCAGCATATTGGTCTGCATGACGGAGATCGGTTAAGAAGTCCTCGGGAACCAGCATCGGGTCACCTGGCTGGTACAGAGGAGAGTAATTGTAATCGAAGCGGTAGGAATTGCAATTCGTGGTGAGTGCCTCTGGACGTGCCTGCAGCGGCATTGCCAATGCAGCCGAGGATGGAAGGCAACCGAACCGACCACCGCAATGGCCCAAGCACAAGGAAGAACCAAGTCCAAAAAACAATAAACAAAGCGAAAATGAACGCCTGTACCTCGTCACATCAATCTCGGGGCCAGCAGCCGCCGCTATTGAACCCAGAACGCTCTGACATGTCAAATGCCTTATCCGCCAAGGGGGATATATTGTAGGTGGTACACGGTAAGTAGTCATTGAGCAAGATGACGGGATCAGAGTGTTCGACTGCATCTGATCGTCCTGTCACCGGCGTTGGATCTGGATGGGACCGTGCGAGATCGCAATGAGAGGCACCTCGCGTGAGCCGCGGCGAATCCACATTCCTGTCGAAAGATGACATCAGACAGGGCACACCCAGGTGTACGCAGGAATGCGAACGTCATTCCGAACGGCTGGGAGATGGAGAAGGAATCTTGAATCGAAAGGCCAACAATTCGACGGATAGGACTGTGCATCTGGGTATTATCATCGACGGTGACAGGGGAAATTCGGAAATTCACGCCACGAATGGGTGGAGCCGTGTCGATCGCGAGGGTTGCCGCCCCTGGATTTTGACTCTGGGGGGGGGGGGTTTTCTGCAGCCGTGCAGGTACCAACGTACGGAATAGTCAAAAACATAGTCGGTAATCCGGGAAATTTAGAATCGAGAGTAAGGTTTAGCAGGGATAGAAGGAAAGGGCAGTCGGTTGTAAAGTAGAGCGAGTCGAAGACACGGAGATCGCCTTTACGTACTCAAACCCCCCCGTTGATCCCTTGTCCCTTTTCGCCCCCGTTACTCTTTACTCTTTTCTTGACTTTTGTTCTCCTCCTCTCTCCGTACTCTCTTCCGTTTCAACTTTCCTCGTGCGACACCCTAACGCATCCTCTAACGCATCCTCTAACGCATCAAGACCTCCACTCGTCTCCCTTTCATCTCACGATGAATGCCCCTCCAGCGCTCGGGTACCCGCCCGGCGCGTCGCTGGCGACGACAGGTGCGTAACGCTCGTCATGACGGCCTCTGATTGCTGCGGTTGCTCTGACTGCTCATTGCTGTTGGTCCTGTGTTTTGTTCCCCTGGTCTTTGTTCTCTCTGCTCTTAAATCACCCCTGTTCCCCCGTTGCGAGAGTTCTAGACACCAGAACTGACCCGATTTCCCCAGGCCCTCAAGTCTCGCCTACAGCACCCAGCTTTGGTTCAAACAACCCCTTTCGAAACCGTGCTTTGTCTCCGTCCAACACATCGACGACCAGCGCTCGCCCGGAACGTCCCCGGTCGACGAATCCTTTCTTGGACGAGACAGACGCTCTGTCGCCGCAATCCGCCCCGGGCTTGTCCACAGGTGCCACCTTGTTCTCCCCAGCCGAGAAGCCGGATATGACCAGCAACACTCGAGAGCTCTTCGTACGTACTCTGAATGTAGCCGTGGGTATCTCATGATCACTAAACCCATCTCAGGAGAACCTCTCAATTAAGCCCGCCCCCGCTCCCGCTCCCGCTCCAACTATGACTTCCGCGTCAAAAGGCGCTCGACCTGGCCCGGATGCCTCGAAGATGCGCTCTGAGCGGCCCGACCGCTCCGATCGCACTCGTACTTCGAGAGAGCGTCCGTCGGGACGCCCTGCGGAATCGAAATCGAAGGACCCTTTCGACATCTTCGCCGATCCTCCCAGTTTGTCCAAGGCGTCTTCTACGGCCCCCCGCGAGAAGAGTTCTCGCCGACCCCGGCGAAATTCAGAGTCTTCAGTCATGGAGCGGGCCTCGAAGCTTTTTGATGATGACGATGACAAGCGCCGACGCGAGCGGCGCCATCGCGACCGCGAGGGCCGTCACCGTGACGGCAAGTCTCGTTCCTCTCGTAAGGACCGCCGACTCGACGTCATTGACAAGTTGGACGTGACAAGTATCTACGGAACTGGGAGTGAGTTATTCCGATGCCCGTTACGAGTCCATTAAATACTGACGTGAATACAGTGTTCCACCACGATGGACCATTCGACGCCTGCAACCCTCACCGCAACCGCAAAGGCTCACGCGTCGCACCCATGCAGGCATTCCCTAAGAATTCCTCCAACATGGCATTGGGCGGCGCAGGCCCGAACAACTCTAATATTGACTTGAATTTGTTCCACGGTAGAATGGAGGAGGGTTACAATGACTTCGCGAGTTCTGGAGTGCAGCGCAGTGCGACGGTCAACTTCGATCCCGGCCGGCGTGTGGAGCCGATTCACGGAGCCGAGAGCTACGGTCTGGGAACCAGCACTTTCTTGGATGGTGCACCCGCCAGTCGCGCAGCTATGGCGCGTCGGCAAAGTGAGAACGAGCAGCAGATTTCGCAGGGTGGAGGTCTCCAGCGCAAGAAGAGTCTGGCGCAGCGGCTGCGCGGTAAGAGTGGTTCTGGTCGAGAGGGCGGCCTTTCTTCCCCGGCTCAGGCCCCGGCACTGGGCTCTAGTCACTCTGCCTCCTCGCGTGGCAACGAGAGAAACCCCTTCTTCCAGGACTATGACGAGGAGTGGGACAGAAAGGGATCCCGTATCCAGGAGTCGCGCCTGGAAGCTGAAGGTGGCCGTCTGCGCTCTTCCAGCAGCCCCAAGCAGCCCACTAGTCTGGAGCGCAAATCGACCAACGATCGTGGCTCCGACGATCCCAAGCTCAGTTCCCCCGGTGGTGGCTTCCTGAACCGGATGAAAAGTCTGCGCAAGCCACGTCCAGAGCGCCCAGCGCGTCGGACTAGCGATTAAGGTGTTTGCTGGATAGGGCATCAACATTTGCATCTCCCACCGGGCTGGCCACAACCAGCACACGCTGATCCCTACTCCACCTTCTCCCGGGGGGAGACTGATTTTTCTATGTGTAATACCCAACATGTGCGCCGCTCGCATTCTGGCGCCCCGAGATGGCGTTGATATCCCCTGGAATCGGTTTGATTGATCCGAATTTTGAATTTCTTTTTTTTTTTTTTGTTTTTTTTGGGAGGCAAGAAACATGAAGCCCCGATGTGCTATCGTGTTTTGAATCGAGCCTCCTTTCTTGTATTAGTTAGCCGTTTTGCTTTCAGGAATGTATCCTGACTGCAAAATCGTGTTTCTCATAGCATTACATCGTTTTAATGGCGTTAGGAAGGCAATTCGCATTTTATTAGCATTTTGTTCGCATTTTATTCGTGCAAGAACTATTCCGATGTAGTATATTAAGACTGTACTTGGACTAACTGTTCTGGGTATGTAAAGTACATTTGATCTCTGACTTGAGCTACTTATGTGCCTACTTCATGATATCCCTCCATTCAAGTAAGCAAATCATGTCCGGGGCATCAACGAGTCACCCAACATATCCATTCTATTGCCGAGCTGTTGATAGTTTGGGCGGCTACGTGGACGCTGGGCCTGGCAATTCCGGCATTGAAGAAGGCCGGGTTTACTGAATCAGGTCTTGTTTTTTCTTTTGCCGAGGCTGTCTCGGATGGGAGTTAGAGCGAGGTTTCTACGATGTTCATTGGTTGAGGAAATATCATGTTCATTCATTAAATCATGGCCCAACCAGCGAGGCCCTCGCAGTAGAATGAAAAATAAACGCCGGTCACCCCCGATGCAGACAAAATGGTATTGTACTCAAAAGAAACCGCAACCTTGAACTTGGAAATGTCTACCGCGCCACGGAAGAAGTTCGGGGCACATGCGGGTTGGGCTGGGCGACGCCGGCACGGCGCTTGGACTGCGGCTTGGGCCTGGAGAGTGTGTACCTGAAGAGAAGATGTTAGCACAGACGTATCTCTTGAGACAAAGGAGCATGACATACTTCGCAAATGCTCGGGCAAGCGCCTTCTTGGCGCTGACCTTCTGGCTGCCGATGAAGGACTCCACGGTCACGGCGATGGCGCGGTCAATGTCCTGGGCAGAGCAGTACTCGGACAGGCGCATCTTGCAGAAAGATTCAGCAATACGCATGATGGCTTCCAGGTGACGGACCTAAGATATTATTAGCACAATGTCTCAAGGAAAAATTGAACAAGTAAAAACTTACAGTGATAGGGTAAGCACCGGTGGCCAGGGACTCGCGGCGCATGTCTGCGAACAGACGGGCGACCTTGTCCTGATCGATCTGGTACAGCTTCGGGTGGCAGTGCTCGCGGGCGAAAAGAATGTATTTGCGCAGCAGCTCCTGCGGGATCTCACCCTCCTTCTCCTCCTCGGACTGCTTCTGTTGGGCCGCGCGCCTGGCGATCTCCTCCTGGGATGGGGCCATCCTGCGGCCCTGCTTGTCGATACGGTAACCATCTGCATCAACGAGATGACCGTCGGTGTCAACTAGGTCACCCTTTTCGTTTCGCAGGGGCCGGGCCGGATTGGCACGGTGGTGGGATTCGATCACGAAGTTGGCCAGACGCTCGTCCTCGGTAGGCTCGACCAGATCACGGACCACGCAGAGAATATCAAAACGAGACAGGATAGGCTCAGTCAATTCGACGTTCTCGGAGAAGGGCTTGGTGCTGTTGTAGCGGCCGCCTGTAGGGTTGGCGGCGGCGACTACGGCACAGCGAGCCTGCAGCGTGGTCACGATACCTGCCTTGGAGATAGAAATGGTCTGCTGTTCCATAGCTTCGTGAATGGATGTGCGGTCTTGGTCGTTCATCTTGTCGAACTCATCAATAAGACAAGTACCTCGATCAGCCAGCACTAGTGCACCACCTTCCAGAGTCCATTCGCTTGTTAGAGGATCACGGCGAACACTGGCAGTCAAACCGACGGCACTGGCACCCTGACCGGTCGCGAAGACGGCACGATGAGCAGTCTTCTCCACGTACTTGAGGACCTGCGATTTGGCAGTACCGGGGTCACCAAGAAGCAGAACGTTGATGTCACCACGAATTGACATCTTGCCCTGCGCCTGCTTGCTGACACCACCAAAGAGCGATAGTGCGACAGCGGTCTTGACATCATAGTGTCCGTAGATACTGGGCGCCATAGAGCGAACAATCTTGTCCACGATATCGGGATCCTTAGACAGAGCCCGGATCTCGTGCACATCCTCTTCGGTCAAGTTGAAACCGGCAAGCTGGTCGTGGGACTTGACCACATGGTTGGCCTCGATGATGGTAGCGAAGACGGGGAATCCGTTCTTGTTGTTCAGCTGCGCGTCGTAGCTGTTGCGATAGATACCGGTAATTTCGATTTCATCGCCGGGCTTAGCCGTGTCAATCAGGTCGGCTAGCAGAACGACCTCACGCTGCCGAGGTAGGCGACCAGCGGGAACGGATCCGGGGGACTCCTGCAGAGTCAACTTCTGGTAGTTGCGGTAGACAGTCTTCTCCGAGTTGACTGTGAAAGGACCACGGCTTTGGCAGTTCTGACAGAACGAGATCTTCACCTCCTGGCTAGCCTCTTGCTGGAAGGGACCCAGAGTGATACCGCACTTCTGGCAGAGGAACATCACATACTTCAGCTGCGGGAAGACACCGGTGCGGCGGGTAACAACACCACTAACGCGTACCAGGCAGTTCAGGTGAGACTGACGCAGCTGGCGCAAGGTGTAGATAATAGGCACATCGGTGATGCGCACGTGAATCTCGCTGTGAATGTCGTGGTATTGCGGGTAGTGGAAAAGGGTGACATCAAGGGCGACTTGGTCAAAAACCTTCAACACCTCGGTAGGCTCGTTGGCGAGGAAGTATGACAACGCCGCCTTGGTCTCACTCAGGTGGGCATAGGAAACTTCCAACGAAGCGGAGTTCACCTCACCGAGGGTCTTGATGCGGTTTCCGTACACGGACTGACCACTGGGGTCGATGAACTCCGTGAGGAAGGCCTTGAATTCACGGTAGATGGAGCGGAGAACCTGAGGTTGAGTGACCCAGTCGGTGATGTTGGCAGCTTTCACGTCCGCCAGTTCCTCAAGAGACAACTCTTCCATCCCTTCATCTGCCATGTCGATATCTTCGCGGTCCTCGTCATAGTGGTGTCGGCGACGGCGGGGCTGGCGTGACAGATCCATCTCAATATCGTCATCATCTTGGAGAAAGGCAGCGGGCATACGGCGCCGACGCTGGAGTTCCCGATCTCTCTTGTTCAGCCGAGCGTCTAGTTGCCGACGAGCGGCGGCATCGAGTTCGTCATGGTCTCCGTCGTCATCAATGTACGCCTCATTTTGATACTGATCTTCTGCGGCATCGTGGTAGTCCCGCTCAAAGTTGTCGCCGAAAAGATCAATTCCGTCCTCATCCTCGGCTAATTCATCCACATCGTCAATATCGGGCACAAGCTCGGCCTCTTCATCATCGTCCTCATCCTCGTCAAATGGCATCGGGGGTGGGGATGAGGCCAGGGCCATGGCTATTCATATTGTCAGTCTGCACCCACGCAGGTTCTGCAGGCGGGAAAGGGCTTCGACATACGACTGGAGGGAGGCAATTGCGCCGGTGAAGAAATTTCCTCCTCTCTCTCTCGCTTCCGAGTGTTGGATCTCGGTCCACGGTTTGCGGCCGAGCTGCTAGGCCGGAGGGGACTACTTTGCATTAGCCTGTGTGCGCTGAAAATAGCCGTATGTTGACACTCACTCCATGATGTGCAGGGCTCAGTCTTCAAATTTGGGACTGATTGAAGTATTTGGAATGAGAAAAAGAAGTGGTATGGGGAATCCTTTTTTTTCTCGAAGGCCCCGAAGGCGTGGTTGATAGGTTTGGAAGGGAGGGAGCGAAGGGCGGAAAGTCTGGTGGTCGGGACACGCGCGTGTGTTGGAGACGCGACGCGTTTCAATTTACCCCGATTAGGAAACACACGTGACCGGACTTGCACCACACCGCGATACATGCGGTTTCTGCTCAGTTGGTGCAAGTAGAAGGAGAATTCGGAGACTCGACGACAATCACAGTGGTCTAATTGCCTATCTTTTTCATCAAGACGCGGCGTTGAAAGTCTTGCGTCGTTGCGGCTGCAAGGAAGCGCCATTGCAAACAACCCAAACATCGCCTCGATTCGCCGCATCGCAGGCACGGCCGGGTCTTCTTCCTTGACAGCGTCACTGCATTCATAAACTTCCCCAAACGATACGACTCAAGCATTCTCAGAATGGATGCACCGCATACAGCTAATGGCCATGTAAAGGCTGACATTGCGCGACGCGAAAGCTTCGGATCTCAAAACTCCCAGACAGCAAAAGAGTACGCGCCCCATCTCCTCACTTGTCGCCAACGTCATGCGAGTATGAAAGCTAACTCGTTGAAGGTTCATTGAATCTCAGGTCCGACTTGAGGCCGATGCGCGCGAAGCCCTTCCATATGTGAGCGCATTCTGAGAGTGTACACCCTGGTCACAGAGCTGACATCACCTCAGTCTTTCGATTCGTGCACGTACGCTCTAGGTCCGTTGCGACAGAGTCTCTTCGCCTGTTTGACTTGCAATCCTCCACCTGCAAACCCTGATGACCCTTATACCCCCGCCGCCGTTTGCTATTCCTGTCAGATCTCCTGCCACAGTGAACACGAGTTAGTAGAGCTCTTCAATAAGCGAAACTTTGTTTGTGACTGCGGTACTACACGCCTGTCCTCGCCATGCACTTTGCGCGAAGACCCGAAAACCGGCCGAAAGGGTGTCAAGTCGCAAGAGGCTGCGCCCGGCAACAAGTACAACCACAACTTTCGCAATCAATTCTGTGGTTGCGGTGAACAGTATGACGCACACCAAGAGAAAGGAACGATGTTCCAATGCCTGGGACTCGGTACTGTTGAGACCGGAGGCTGCGGCGAAGACTGGTGGCATCCGGAGTGTCTCATCGGCCTCCCTCGGGATTGGTATAAGAGCAAAGAGTCTGAGAAGAGGCATGGGCATTTTGGCGGAGGAGACGGTCTCGATGATGCGCCGGTAGATGATGATGATGAAACCCCTCTGCCTCCCGGATTTCCCGCTGAAGATTATTTCTGGCAACTCATTTGTTTCAAGTGCATGAACTCCAATCCCTGGCTGAAGCCGTATGCAGGAACTCCCGGGTTCCTTCCACCAGTGTATGAGAATGGTGGCATGAAGAACTCGGCTGTGGAAGATGTTCAAAGACCCAAGGAACAGGCCGATAACTCGAAGAAGCGCAAGGCGGAGGATGATGACGAGACCCCTCATGAGCCCGCCTCAAAGCGCACCAAAGAAGACGAGACGCAAATATCCACACTGGCTCCTATCAAAGAAGAGCAATCCACGAAATCCGACGAAGTGACCGACGCGCCCAAGCTTGATGCGCCTAAGCCTGACGCTCCGCAACCCAAACATGCCTCACTTCCTGCCTCCGCACCGACTAAATCATTTTCCTTGTTCGTTGAGCAGGATTTCTATGACCGCCTCTGCCGCTGTCCAGAGTGCTTCCCCAAGCTTGCACCGCATCCACAGCTACGCGAGGAAGAAGATAACTACGAACCGCCCCTATCTGACGATGGGGAGGCCAATGCTGCCGCGAGTACAGGCACTGGCAGTCTCTTGGAGCGTGGCGAGGCAGCACTAAGCAATGTCGACCGCGTGCGTGCCATCGAGGGTGCCATGATTTACAACCATCTCCGCGACAAGGTCAAGGACTTCCTCAAGCCGTTTGCTGAGAGCGGCCAGGCTGTCAGCGCGGATGATATTAAGGGGTACTTCGAGAAGCTGCGCGGCGACGAGCAGGGTATTAAAGATGCCGCGGGCCAGGCTGAGGCCATGGGAGGAGGTGAAGGCAGTGGCGGCGATGCTGGTGACAGCCGACGTGAGCAGAACGGTATGTGATGATATTTCTATCTCAATAGCTATAGCTATTTGCTGACTCGACTTTCTAGGCTATTGATTGCGAACGATCTGTATTATTAGTGATCCCATATGTCAGGGAACCAAATGGTATTCAATGTGCTGAATATAGCATGGAGGCTCATGAACAGGATTTGACGGGTGGGATTTAAGGAACGGAATCGGTCTAGGGGGAGTTAGGCGCATCACGATATTGCAGAAATGAATTCACGGGAAGAAGAATGTACATTCGAAAAGGTATCTGTAGTGGGAACCGAGAACTTTTGCTAATGCCGATGCCAAATAAAAACAAGAATGCTATGTAAATACCCCAAGCCTGGCTTATGCACTCCAAAGAACGAGAGAAAGATGAATCTTGTGTCTATACAGCATAGAAGAGATCATTCCTTGAGTCGCTTCGATGCCCTCATCAACGAGTCGTCTGGGAGACCACTGCGCTTAGTGCCGGGCAAGCTGCCCGTGCGCATATCATTGTCATCCTGAGTGACTCGGCGATGCGGGTACTTGCCCTCGATGCCTTCGAAGCAGTTCCCGCTAATGGGACCTCCGTTTGTAAAGTACGGATGCTCCAGGGCTTCCTGGGCGGTTATCCGCTTTGTCGGATCATACTCCAGCATACGCGATAGTAGATCAAACCCGTCAGCGCCGGGCGTACCAGCACTCGAAGTGGCAGAGTAGCCACCATTCTTCAAACAGCTCTGGTACCACCCTTCAAGGTTTGGGCCTCGGTGGAAGTGGGCAGGCTGTCTATGGAGGACCAAAGTCTGCAGTTGTGTGTATTCCGGCATGGAGACGAGGCCTGGCCAGGTCTCCTTGCGGGGAAGTCCGAGAATCTCGACGATCTTCATCATTTGGTTGCGCTGGAATGGGACTGTCTTTTTGCTATCCATCTTAGCTTCCTCCCCTTTAAATATGGGCCGGAGAGAGAGAAGCTCTGCAAAGATGCACCCTACCGCCCACATATCGACAGCTGGGGTATAGTGCCGGCTTCCCAACAGAAGCTCTGGAGCTCGGTACCAGATGGTGACAACCACTTTATCTCCAGTGAACAGTGAGTTGAGTGGTTTGTAGAATAGACGAGCCAGGCCCAAATCACCGATACGGATGGCACCACTTGAGGTGACGAGGATGTTGGCTGGTTTGAGATCACGGTGCAAGACCCAGTTCGTGTGTAAGTATAATAACCCATTGAGTAATTGAAATAAAATGGACCGGACCATTTTGGCGGGTATAGCGTGCCTTTGTGGCTGTGTGTGGTGATGGATAATCTGAAGCAGGTCATGTTCCGTATACTCGAACACCATGAAGATGCATTTATCCTCTAAGATGATCTCCTCCAGCTGGACGACATTCGCATGCGACAGCTCGGTGCAAAGAGCCATCTCTCGAATAGCCGACTGCGACAAACCCGTATACTGGATTGACTCGCCTTCCTTGTCGGGCTTGAACCTAGGAAGGAGTCAGAGCTGGTGAGATTCGACGGGGCTATTGCGGGCCGTACTTCTTGATCGCGAACTCGCCTTTGTGGCCATTTTTGCCAATCGCTTTGTATACTCGGCCGTAGGTTCCGCTGCTGATGAACCCCACAATATGATACCGGTCTCGAACTCGGACTTTGCTGGTATACCCGGCGGGTCTTCGGGGGTCAAGTGTCTCTGAAACAGCATAATGCGTCAGCACTTCCAATAGATAGCGGGATTGCCAGCAGAGACGAATCTAAGTGTCTTTCGATAAGAACAATGAGAACCACCACGCAGAGGAAGATCGCAAAACCAAAGATGTAGGCGAACCACCGCAGAATCAACGGGAAAGAAATTACCCCGAGGATAGAAGCCTCCGGCGGAATTCAGAAGAGGGAAGCCCTTCCCAAACATGGTGAAAAAGGAAGACAAGGTCACGCTTCCCAGCAAAGAGAGCAAGCAACACAGCAACCAAGGATCAAATATTTACCATCGACAGACTGAAGGCTCCGTTTCAGATTGGCGGTTCTGGCTCGGGCAGAGATCGAACCGGAGGAGGGAGGGTTCGTCAGGCTCATTGGATCGTTCGGTCCATCGGGATCTCGGCGGGAAGGGGCTCTCCACACGGTTGGCGTTGGTTGGAGAAGAAGTGCGGAGTTTCAGTCGGTTTTAAGCGAACGGCGGAGAGAGGCCAAGGGCTTGTATCGAAGCGAATGAGAGGAACTAGGGAATCAACTGGTGATGAGGAAGTTCAGTGTTTGGCGCGGAGGTGTGCTGGTTTCGGGTCCTTATCGCTATCACCGTGACATGGAGGGTCCAACGTCATCCTGCTCTCTCCTTTGATTCCAACCCTACTCTAATAACTACTAGTTGGACAACTTCGCCATGGCTACAGGTGACTTGACTCAATCCAGAGTCACGTCATACCTGATCTATCTCGTGTTCGTCACGACTCTTGGCCCGCTCCAGTTTGGTTACCACTTGGTATGGATCGCATGAGTCCGCAACACTGAAACCCTGCTGACACCCGGGAATAGGCTGAGCTCAATGCCCCCCAGGCAGTCGTAACGTGTGAAAAGAAATCAGTCCATTCTTCGGCCCCCTATGGCCTGCCGCAATGTCTCCCTATGACCCCGTCGCAATTCGGCTTGGTGTCCTCGATCTATACCCTCGGCGGACTGGTCGGGGCCCTGCTGGCAGGGCCCGTGTCGACCAAGTACGGACGCCGCTTTGCGCTACGAGCAACGACAGTCTTCTTTATCCTGGGACCTGTGGCAGAAACCCTGGCACCGGCCATCCCGCTCCTGGCCCTGGGCAGGTTTCTCTCCGGAGTTGGGTCGGGCGCTGCTATTGTGGTGGGCCCCATCTATGTCTCGGAAATCTCGCCTCCGGAGTCGCGGGGCTTTTTCGGTGCTTTTACTCAGGTCATGACGAACGTGGGTATTCTATTGACCCAGACACTTGGATACTTCTGGAGTCGTGACAGCCTTTGGCGGATTATTCTTGCCGTGGCTGGCGTGATCGGAGCATTGGAGCTCCTAGGACTGCTCATGGTGCCGGAGAGTCCAGCATGGCTCGTTGATAATCATCAGTTGAGCCAGGCTCGCAAGGTATTGCAGCGCATTCGCGGCCGAGACGCGGACATTGGCGCCGAGATTGAAATCTGGAGAACGGCGGGCGCCGCTCCTGCCTCGGGTGAAGAAGAGTCTCTGCTTGCTCCGCCAGCAGGCAACCAGATCCCCAAACAGTCCGTCACAATCATGCAGGCCATTCGGGACCCGTACTACCGGCCCGCCATCATCGCTGTCATGGGCGTGATGATTGCCCAGCAATTTACCGGGGTCAACAGCATCATCATGTACAGCGTCTCCCTGCTGCAGAGCATCTTGCCCACCACCGCTGCGTTACTAACAGTGGGAATATCCGCACTTAATCTGATTATTACACTAGCGTGTTCGCCTTTGCCAGATCGTATCGGCCGGAAAACCTGCCTTCTGCTCAGCATCGGAGGCATGGGCTGCAGCTCCGTCCTCTTGGCCCTGGGTATGCAGTTCGACCAAAAGATCGTTTCCGCGACCGCTGCACTGCTGTTCGTGGCGTGTTTTGCCGTGGGATTGGGCCCCGTCCCTTTTATCCTGGCGTCCGAGCTCGTGGGACCCGAGGCGGTTGGGGCAGCGCAAAGCTGTGCGTTAGCGGCCAACTGGACAGCAACCTTTATTGTGGCGCAGTTCTTCCCCATACTCAATGATTCTCTAGGGGGTCATGGCAAGGTCTACTGGATATTCGCGGTCATGGCGGGTTTCCTGGGCTGCTTCATCTACCGGTGGGTGCCGGAGACCAAGGGCAAGGCAAATGCCGACGAAGTCTGGGGCCGGGTAGATCGACGCCAGGACTAGAGGCACTAGAAATAGTAGACTTGGAGATCAACACAAATCAGGTGCAATCGATTAGTTCCGGTTTCAACCGTACAGAATCTGTTCGGAAGCGTTGAGGATGCGGGGGTATTACATTCCACCGTGGCGAGTGGACCCCTTGCATTTCGAGTGCGTCGCTTGACGTGGTGAGATAACATAGTATATCCCTAAGGACTATCTATACATGTAACTAAATTAACACGGTTACGAGGAGGATTGTCCAGGGAGAGAATAGGTAGAGATATGAAATGGCGGTGCACAACCAGGTTGAGTGGAGAAGCGGATCGACCCTCAAATTGACGTCGTTGGGAAAACGTCAATTGCATTGTGTCTCGCCAGGCCCCACGATTTGTCGTTCTCCCCTCTCCCTCGCTCTGCCTCGCTCTCGAGCCTCCTTCTGTGTACTGGACTCTCAATTTCACCCCCTAAGCATCCATTGGAACCGCCCAATTGCCTTAGAAACCAGACCCCGCGCAGTGTTCGGCGTTCTTTGGTACCCGTGGGTGGCACTTGTCTTGGCTACGTGCTGGGATCGACCCGAGCTGATCGCTGATCGCGTAACTTGGGGAAACTCGAGCCACCTTTCAGGGCTTGTCCAAAGGAGGCCAGGCCTCCCGATTGATATTCTCCTTCTCAGCCTCTTTTCTCTTCTGCGTCTCCCGCGTCTCTTCGGCACACGTCCGCTGCTGCTTATCCGTCATGGTCCGGTTACCACTCCCACAGAGGCTGAGCTCGCATCTGTCCGCCAGAAGCTCGAGCTCGACGCCCGGACAGAGCAGGAGTACCAGTCCTACGCGGTCTGTGGAGACCAAGCCTCTCTTGCTTAAAGTGTCCGTGATTAAGGTAAGCGAGCCTACTCTCAGTCCTCTGCACCTCCCGAACTCGTCGGCTAATTTGGGTGTAATGGTTCGTGTAGGGACGAAATCTCGCAGCCAAGGATCGAGGTGGGACAAGTGATCCGGTAAGCAGCCACGGACAAGGCCGTCCCCGGGATATCAGACGGGCGTACTAACGCACGAGAACAGTACTTGGTGGTGACATTAGGAGACGCGAGACAATCGACGCCGACAATCCCGAAGACACTAAACCCGGAATGGAACGTCTCATTCGAAATGCCCGTGGTGGGCGTACCTCTGTTGGAATGTATCTGTTGGGATCATGATCGATTCGGCAAGGATTACCTGGGCGAGTTCGACATCGCATTGGAGGATATTTTCGAGGAGGGGCAGATCAGTCAAGAGGTGGGTGAAGTTTTACGCCCCGGTTGGGAAACAAACTGGCTCGAACACAACGGCTGACTGGACATGTAGCCCAAATGGTACACTCTCAACTCGAAACGACTGTCGCAGCGTTCGAATCGGAAGAAGAAGAAGGACAGCAACGTCTCGGGTGAAATCCTTTTGCAGTTCTCGCTCGCCGATTCCGCGAATCTCGCCGCATCGCCCTCGGACACATACCGGAAATTCAAGAGCCTGGTGTGCACCGGTGAGGAGGATGATCAGCTTGACCAGATTCCGGCTGCCGAAGACCTCGACGACCTCGACGACCAAGAGACCTCCGACGAGACCGATGATCTGTCGAAGCCGGAGATTGTCGAAAAGCGCCGACGGCGCCTTCGACTAGCTCGTTTGAGACGCAAGTCCTTGGCTGCACGAGCGTACCAATTTTCAGGCTCGGGAAGTGGTGTCCAAGGTATTGTATTTATAGAAATCATTCGGGTGACTGATCTTCCTCCGGAGCGGAATGGTAAGTATTTCCTCCATGTACATTGTGAGCAGGCGATTGATCTGAATTCCCAGTGACACGAACGTCGTTCGACATGGACCCCTTCGTCGTTACTTCGCTAGGGAGAAAGACGCTCAGAACACCTGTCGTGCGGCACAACTTGAACCCGGTTTACCACGAGAAGATGGTCTTTCAGGTCATGAAACACGAACAGACCTATACCATCAGCTTCACGGTGATGGATCGAGACAAGTTTTCGGGCAACGACTTTGTCGCCTCTGCCAATTTCCCTCTGCAGACCCTCATCCAGTCGGCGCCAGAGGCAGACCCTGAGTCTGGTTTGTATCACTTTGTTGAGTCTGAGGAACCGAGCCCGGTCCCCAAGACCACTTCTGGATTTGCTGTCAGCCCGTCGCCATCATCTAAGAGTCTCTCCAAGATGGGCCGGCCTACGTTGAAGACGCGTAACTCTGGAAATTCCGTCTCCAGCCAGTCTCTTTTGTCGATTCCCACCAAAGCTCCTCCCACGTCTGTCCCAGAAGAACCGAGTCAGAATGTGGACAGCAGCACCACACTTCATGTTTCTTCTACGCTTCCCCTTGACAATAACGACCCCCCTCCCCCGACAGATGAAGAAGGATTCCGGCCCTACCTGATCCCCCTGACCCTCAAGAACCGGGACAGATGGGAGGACAAGCATACTCCCGAGCTGCATATGAGAGCAAAGTTTTTACCATATAGTGCACTCCGACAGCAGTTCTGGAGACTTATGCTGAGACAATACGACACGGACGACAGCGGCCGCATCGACAAGGTTGAAATGACCACGATGCTCGACACACTTGGATCCACTTTGAAGGAATCAACCATCGATAGCTTTTTCCACCGATTCGGTGCCGGGAACGAGTCCAGCGAAACAGAAACAGCCGACTTGACCTTTGACCAATCTGTGATCTGTCTGGAAGACACTCTGCGAATCCTACAAAAAAGAAATTCCGTCATACCATCCCTTCCCCGAGGACCTGGACTTACACCATCGTCAGTCGGAAGCCAAGAAAGTGAGGAGCCATCCAGCAGCAGTGACGAGCTCGCTTTAGAATCTAGCACAGTCTTGCCCCCCAATACTGACCCGCACGGCACAGCTGTTCCAACCGTCTCTAGCGATGAACAGCCCAGCTCGAACGACGATGAATTGCGGCCCGATGACCTCGGAGATGAGAGAGGCGTAGAACATGTGGTAGAAATTCGAGAATGCCCCCTATGCCACCAGCCTCGCCTTGGCAAACGATCGGATGCGGATATCATCACCCATATTGCCACATGTGCCAGCAGTGACTGGCGCCAGGTTGACAATCTCGTTATGGGCGGCTTTGTGACCTCCAGCCAGGCCCAGCGAAAATGGTACTCCAAGGTCATTACCAAGATTTCCTACGGTGGATACAAACTCGGAGCCAATTCGGCCAATATTCTTGTCCAGGACCGGATCACGGGCCAGATCAATGAGGAACGCATGAGTGTTTATGTTCGTCTCGGAATCCGCTTGCTCTACAAGGGGCTCAAGAGCAGGGACATGGAAAAGAAGAGAAGTAAGTATTCTCATGATGTCGTTTCAAAAAGTATTGTGTTCTAACGTAGGTCATCTCAGTTCGTCGTGTTCTGCGTTCTCTCAGTATCAAACAAGGACGGAAGTACGACGACCCGGCGTCCGCCAGTCAGATCCGGGACTTCATCAATTTCCACCAGTTGGATATGTCAGAGGTCCTCATGCCCGTAGAGAAATTCCGCAACTTCAACGAGTTCTTTTATCGCGCATTGAAGCCCGAGGCTCGCCCGTGTTCGGCTCCTGATGACCCCAGAGTCGTTGTGTCTCCCGCCGACTGCCGCTGCGTGGTCTTCGATCGAATCGACGAAGCCACCAGCATCTGGGTGAAAGGCCGAGAGTTCTCCGTCGAGAGATTGCTGGGCGATGCCTACCCCGAGGATGCTGCTCGGTACCGCAACGGCGCTGTGGGTGTGTTCCGCCTGGCGCCTCAGGATTACCACCGGTTTCACGTCCCCGTGGACGGGGTGATGGGAGAGCCCAAGACCATCGAAGGCGAGTATTACACGGTGAACCCGATGGCCATCCGCTCTGCACTAGATGTGTATGGCGAAAATGTGCGAGTTTTGGTCCCGATTGACTCTGTCGCGCATGGCCGCGTCATGGTCGTCTGTGTGGGAGCCATGATGGTCGGTAGCACGGTGATCACTCGCAAGACGGGCGAAAAGGTCCGCCGGGCAGAAGAGCTTGGGTACTTCAAGTTTGGCGGCAGTACACTGCTGGTCTTGTTTGAGGAGGGAGTGGTCAACTTTGATAGAGACCTTGTGGATAACTCCAAAGGTGCCCTGGAGACCCTGGTAAGAACCCATGATACATGCCTTCTCACTTTCCCATATGCTTATCACGTTTGACCACAGATCCGAGTTGGCATGTCTGTCGGTCACAGTCCCGACATGCCTCAACATGAGCCGGACATGCCGAAGAAGGCGGAGAACGTCACTGCGGAGGAGATGCAAGAAGCCAAGCGGCGTATTGAAGGCAGCCAGGGGCCTCCGAGCAACCCGGCCACGCTCGGCGCCACCATCCATTGATTGTCATTTTTGCTCGAATGGGCTGGGCTCAACTCCCGTCCGCAACCCGTGCTTTTCTTCATTGGATATATTGAGTGCTTTGCAGAATTGGCGTTTCATTTGGGCTCATAGCGATCATCTAGTAGCACACCTGCCATGATACACCACGATCCTTTCCTCGAAAACATTAAGAAATACATCATTTAACATTGAGTTCAATCAATTGACTAGAATAGACTCCAACAAACTCGAATACTCTCCATTGTAGATGTGAACTGCAGCGAAGTATAGAGGGGCGGCCCAAAACGGACTAGCGCTCCACGCGCCCCGACCAAAACAACCGCGTGCTCGAATCCCTCCAACCCACCTTAACCCTCCATACCCTTGCCGCCCGCAGCTCTCCTTCTTGCGCATTGCGGGCGTTGTGCTATTCGAGCCCTCACTATTGCGCATGCGACCATTACTCGGGTTAGACTCGGTTCTTTTCACGCGTCCGGCTCAACCCCGACCGAGGACGTATCTCGACCGTTGAACCGGGTAACGGAAATCAAATTCAGACCTGCGCCAACGCGACCAGCCGTACTACGTCGCGACTTATTTGACAGGAGGGACTCTGGCCATTACTTCGCGAGTGAAAGACGCGCAAGCCAGACCTTGGGAGGTCCACGCCCTTGAACTATCTTCCAGCCCAACATCACCACCAACCGACGGTTCGACGTGACCCGCTCTTGACATGACCATCGTGGTCCTGGCGCCTCCTTCGACCAAAACAAAGCGCCGCGAACCGCTGGGGTCGATAGCAATGGCGGCCTTTCAGGCGCAATCGCGGTCCGCGCCCGCGTCTAATGGAGCCGGCAGAGGCGAACGGCGGACTACACGAAACAGCGCGAGTAAACAGGGGTTGGAAGAGATCATAAACGATGGCAAGCGGAAAGCGGGTGAGTGTTACAATACTGACAGTGGGAGTTTGTGAGGGCCATGGACTGAGTGCTGAACCCCCTTTCTATTGCAACAGATTATGAAGAGGACGCAGATGGATTCCAATTCTCTATCGTGCCATCTAAGAAACCACGGCCATCACTTGAAGCAGTTCCCGAGGTTTCTCATTCAGATGTGGAAAATGCGCCTCCAAAGTCCACCCCGCGCAGAGGACGACCACCGAAGAAGCGAGCAGAGGAGAAAGCAAGAGCAGGCCCGGTGCCAGTAAAGGGCCAAACGACCGAACTTCCGACCAGGCGACCCACGAGGGGAACAGCGAAAGGCGCAGATACCGAGCACGAACCTCAACTGGAGAGTGCGACGCGTTCATCAGGGACTCGTGAACCGCTGGAATATCAACCCGAGGAGAAGAAGCGCAAAAGGGGGCGACCTGGAAAGCCGAAACCCACTGAACAGAATGGTTTCAAGTCTCCCGATCAACCACCCGCGGGTACCAAAATCGCTCTACCCATCGCCGACACTCCGGTCATTCAGCGGAACAAGGAGCTGAGAGGGGGTAAATCGGATAAGGGTCAACGGCGAAGCAGCTTGGGGTTGCGGGGACGAAGAGCCAGCTCCTTGATTGACTCGGGAGCTTCTAACGGTAAGAGCTTTTCGGCATATCCATAGCGGCATCAAAGCTAATCTATTTGAACAGCATTACCTCACCGAGAGGTCAGCACAGCTGATTTCTACAAACATATTGCGGACGACGGTCTTCCCGAGCCGCGCAGGATGCGACAGCTTCTGATTTGGTGTGCAACGCGTGCTTTGGGAGACAAACGCTTGGGTTCTCACTCTGACGATCAGAGTGCACGACTAGCAGGTAATTTCTCCGTCGCCTGCCCGAGTAGAGATAGTAAAGCTGACATGAATATAGCCCGTGCGATCCAAGAAGATTTAGTGAAGGAATTCTCATCCAACTCGGGGCTTTCAAACTGGTTTAGCCGCGAAGACGTGAATCCCCCGACAGTGGTCGTGAAGAAGCCGAATCCAAGGAACGTACAGAATACAGATAAGATCAAGGATCTGGAGGAACAAATACAAAAGTAGGCAACCCCTTTGTCCTGCCCACAAAATTTGCAGTGCTAACTTGATTTGACAGGCTTCAAAAGGAGCGACATGCTCTGAATGCACTTTCTAAACAACCGCCTATTCCACGCATCAGTGAAAGGGGCACAGGTCCCTCCGATCAGGCAAAGGCCGAAAGATATCCCAAGAAACCCTCACCCAAACAGATCGACTCCGCTCTCCTCGACCCCTCACAACAATCTATACTTGCATCACTTGATCCTTCAGCAAAAGTCCAACCACAACCAGAAGAGCCCTCGTCTTCATCTACAACCCAACCCCCTATGTCCCCATCTACCGTCTCCTCTCGTCTTTCCCGCATTACCACTGTTCTCGCGCCTACACTGGATTCCTTTGCTGCTGGTATTCATGATATTGAAATGTACAGGACGACCGCAGATGCAGTCTCGTCTCGTATCCTGCGCACCTGTGCACGGCGTCTCGAAGAGCGTGACGCGTTCAATACCCAGCAACGCCTCGCAATCGAAGGTGATGATGACGAAGAGCGGCCACCTTCTCAACGAGCCGAACGACCCCGGGAAGACATTGGCATTATCCTGGGGGCACTCAGTCGGGTTGAGAGGCGGTAGTGATCTGCGAGTATTCCAATTCTCTTACCTTTTTCAGCGATTTTTTTTTTCTTCTCCCGTTTACCTACTGCTTCTGAGATTAGCGTAAGGAGGGGCCACGGATTGACTGATTTGACGATCTTGACGAATCCACCTCCATTCAGGGTGGGTGGCACGGCGCAATGAGGGTCGGGATGGGATGCATTGCAATCATTCCGCAGGCACTGGAGTTTAGGTGTTGTGTGATGTCTAATTTACCGCGCGAAGGATTGAATCTGGATTGCTTTTTTTTTCTTCTTCCTTTTTTCCTTTTTGGCAGTCAGCATTGCCGTGGATAGTGAGCTATGAGCAATTCTACTAGCGTTGAGTTGATACTTGAAGATACAACCGTGCAAATGATGCCTATCCATCCGCATCTACAGATTTGCCGCAGTCTATCTAGCCTAGTCCATATTGGTGCAACATTTCTCCTGAAACGCATCAAAAAAGCAAACGGCTTATATGATTAGACTTATAGTTCCTGGATGTCTTAAAGGTTTCTTCAGGGAGCCTCCTCATATCAAATTGAATTGACCATGTCTTGACTCACACGTCAAAATGAAGCTGTTGAAAGCGCCGCACGGCTTGAACTATTCTCCAATGCTTGTGTAGAACTGCTGTCCATTTGGCCGCATTCGCCTGCTTGTGTGTCTCATCTCGTGGAAACTGTGCCCAATTTACCTCAATCCTTTTGAGAATAACCTCGATAGCCCGGTTGTTGCCTACTCCTGCAGCGTGGGTTAATGGTATATCCCGGTGGATATCTTGGAGTAGAGGGTTTGCCCCTTATCGAAAAGCAAATCCAAGCGAGCGGTACTATGAATATACCTTTTCACTGCGGCCAAGTCCTTTGCATATGCACGACTTTCCAAGACTTATCAAGGAAAGATGTTGCGGCTCGAACCAAATTTGAGGCCAAATTTAAAACAAAGCTCAATTGTTCTATAGATAGCCCCTGCGGCTGCAGCTGCATGAAGGCATGCAGACAATATAAAACACGATTGATGCAGACAAGATGCAGGATGACATACATAGCCGAACCAACCTCGGAAAATATATCAAATGCACGCACACAACTGCATCATCGTCCCACAGTCACCCACGTGGAGTAAACGGCAAAGATCATGCATCGTCGACGCGATCGCTTGCAGCAGCGTGGCAAAATCGATCCTTGGAGCCGCAAGGACGGACCGCACAGGTTACAGACGTGAGGTGGTTGGACGACAGATGCACGACGCGGGATCTAGGGACCGGACTTGGTTGGCCTTGGCTGCACTGATCTTCTGGTCTTCGTGTCTGTGTTAGGAAGGACTCTCTCCCCGGTACTTATCCCGGTCGATATCCAGCTGGAAACCCTTACCGCGGGAGTGGGTATTGGATGGTTTCTTTGGGTCTATACCGAGGGTGTTTGTAGCATACATGGCTTAGGACCTGTTGCCTTGCGAATTGGTTGCATCTTGGATGGTCTGCATGCCATGCGGCGCCACTTGAACAATGAGAAGCTTGGGATTAGGACGAGGTCAGGACCAATATTTCTTGGACGTAGGTAAACCTTCTGCCAAAGAATGGAGACTAAGAAACAGACACTGATAACCAGATTCCAGTGTATTTTCCAACTTCTGCCTTGCTTGCTTAGGTGATGTACTATGCCACATGACATCTAATAGAGATAGATATTGGGGTGTGTGGATCACAGATTTAGTGTCTCGACCGGTCGAACTCACTAACTGGAATGTGAACAAGCTGATGTGTCAGCGGGTCTGATAAAGTGAAACGATCAAGCGTGGCATCCGAGGATCCATCAATTGGCTGTGGACCAAAATGTGCGTTATCTTACGCATATCAGATATTCCTACTTGCTTCGCCGAGGTTGGATACACCGCACGTTGGAGTGTTTTACTTCAGTTTGAGTTGTTCAAGATTAGCATTCACTCTGAGATCGATCCTTGGATCGCCGGGACCGAGGCGTGCAATGGTTCTCGCAAAGTTTGGTCAGGTTGGAAGGTCTATTAAGATTCAACCGTGCACCACTGCAACCCAACACCAATCCGTACCCGTCGGCAATTACGAACGCAAAGGAATCACCATTTCATGGGCATAGTGTCAGGCACCCACAGTCTTGCCGATACGCATTCCTACACGGGCTGAGCGTAGGACATGCGTGTCACTGTGAGAGCAGGCGATGCCGGCATGAAGATGAGGTATTGGGCCCTGCATCCAGAGAGGACTGCCACCCTCGGCAAAACCAGTTGAACCTTGAAAGGAGGGGCTGTGCGACCTTCAAGGAGGAGGCGAAGGGTAGTACTGAGGGCGTTGCGGTCGCATCGCTGCAGAGAGGGCCGAGAGTAGAGAGTTGCGTCCCGGTTCTCGCGCAACTCCAGCCCTCGAGTTCGTCAATGAGACGAATCTTACCCGTGATACATTCGAGAGCAGTGAGGGTATGCGCAAGAGCCGAGTAGGTTCCAGGGTCCAGAACCGGGTCAGATCGTTGGTGCCGGAGGGATCCAGGGCTACGGAAAGCTTAATCGCATCTTCAGCAGATCAAGTTCTGGGCCTTCCCCTTGGGTAAACATGGGTAGTACAGTGACGCGCAATGACTCTCTGAGACACTGGTTGACATCATGAGGGACTTGCAAGTTCAGAATTTAGGACATGCGCGTCAGTCCATGTATTCGTTGGGCCGATGTAAGTGGATAAACGAAGTAATGGAAGAGGCAAACGAATGACCGAATGGTGCTGTGTTGTACGGTGGGGAAGCTTTCGATTGATTCAGCAAGTCCAGGGTTTGTTTGTTGACCAGGGTACTTGCCTCCGAGCAAGAAGATTCCTTCCGATGTCTCGATGTGAGCAAGTACCAGCGTACGTACACCCGTCAACGCGTCATATCCACTGCGTAGATATGTGCAGGAACGAGGCATCTTGCATAACCCCTGATTTCTAGGGGGTTGGTCTGGACAGATTCGTAATTGACACATCTTCCTATCACACAAAGCACATAGCTCTAGCATAGCTAACATGTTCACTCGGCGTAGCATATCCAGCATCCAGCATCCAGGACAACATAACACATACTTCGTCTCGGTCGTGGATCCTCACGAGTCTCGCCCCACTCGCCTTCCAGAACTCCGATATCTTCAACCTTTTCTTCATAGGAAATCAGTTTTTGCTTTGTCATTGACTCTGCGCTGGTGACTTGTGGTACCTCCTGGTTTCCGTGGAACCAGAATTGCCCGTTGGTTCCTTTGTCAATGAAGCTCGGGCTCACCCCCCGTTGGCTTCCCTCCTGACCTTCTAGGGGTTGATTTTTGTTATTTTTAAATTTTTTTTATTAAATTCTGAACCATCGGACTACGCTGCTGATCCGGAAAGATTCGACCATTACCCATTCGATAAGCTACAATCCTGTCTGTCGATCCTGGTGCCCACCAGGACCCACGGGTTTCGGGTTCCAGCTTCGGCGCAATGCCAGCTCCAAATGAGATCTAAGGACTTCTTTCTCTGCATTCAACCTTTTCTGACTGGATACTGGGCCCCAGGTGCCGGACCCCCGGTGATTTATCATCGTGGCGAAAAAGAAACCTTCCCCGGTTGGCGTCTGGGAAACCGGCACGGAAAAGCCATCCCCATGTCTGCCCCCCACCCTAAGCGGCTACATGCCCTCAAACTCGACCAAAGCCCTTTTGGCTTCAAGCTCATGTGGTCTGTGTGCTTCCCAACTAAAACTATAGCGTTTTGTAGTCTGCCTCTAGCCGCGTAAATAGAAGATACACCCGGGGTTGTGGCATCCACCATCTGTTATATCAGTCCAAGTCTCGCGTCTTCTTTACTTCAGTCTCCCTTCAGATTTTATTTATACCCATGAAAAATTACTGGTTATGTATCGATGATATAATTGTCATTCCTGGTAGCAGGGCTCTTTTCACGTCTCTCCCTGTCGTGACAAGCTCGCTCTGGTGTCCAAGACCGCGTCAATCCTTGTGGCCAACCAAAGCCTTTCATTTGCTACCAACTTTATTAAGGTGAGTGCCTGCAGGACTTTCCCTTGCCTCTAGAGCTCCACAGGAGTTTCCGAAGAGGAGAGCTCCTGGCGATGTGACCTCACATAGCTGACCCTGTTTGTCTGTTGCCAGGCTACAGTCGATCACCTCCCGCTTGACCACCTGTTTTGCTATTGGCAGATTGACTATTTTCAGAAGAATCGAGTGTGCTGGATCATATCCTAGATAGACAAAAAAGAAGGCAGAGAATTACCCAAGGGAGAAAGAAAAAAGAAAAAAGAAAAAAGAAACCATGGCGGGGGGCTACTTCCACCTTCCAGTATCTCGCCGTCCCGCGTCCGATAACTTGGGATCCAGCAAAACACCCCCGGTGTCACACAGCTCGCCATCGACTTCGTTGGAAGATGGCTCACAGGGCCAGCAGACGTATCAGGAGCTGAAGCTGGGGGGTGGAGCTCAAGGCACGCATCGGAATGCAAGCATTCTCAAAAACACCAATCGCGTCAAGTTCACCACGGACGAGCTCGAGCTCAAGGAGCCTACAGGCGGCCACTCGGGCGAATGCCGACTGGACCGTAGGGGCACTTCTGTGCTCCCCCAGAGACCTCTGCCTACCGCCAACATTCCTCGTGTCCAGGATTGGGGAACCACGGATCCCCAAAGAGGGAGATCAGCAGAGCAACGGAGCTCTACCGCGTCACCAGATGTCACTGGCTTGACGATCGACGTCCGGTCCGCCTCATCGGAGACAGGGGACTATGAGATCAGTGCCGTTACGAATGACAAGGGGCGTGCAATATCCTATGTGCAGGGAAGAGCTCAACGGCTTGCATCCCTTCTCAGTTCTCAAAAATCTCCGAAGCCAAGTCCCCACTCCAGTCTTGTATCATCAACTGCCTCTACTCCCATCGAGGCTCTTTTTCCTACTGAAGATGGGGATGAGGTTCCTATGATCAATTTTCCTGAGAAGCATCAACTCTTTGACGAGCTTACCCTGATCGACAATGAAGCTGGCTTCATAAACGGGCGATTTACACCGCGCAACTACGAAACTCAAACTACTGTGCGCCAAATGTCACGACCGGACCTTCACTTTTTGACTCGCTTCCGTCCTCCTTCTCCTGGTTTGGTGTCCAGCCGCGATACCCCGTCTGAGGACCGGGACTCGCTCGAGCGGCCGAGACATAACCGGGGAGGTATCCTTTCGTCTATACTCAGACTCTACGACCAGCAGTCCGGTCAATCTTACTACCAGGGCCGGTATGGCGAGTCCAGACGGGGGAGTGCCTCTACCGACTATAGCGGACGTGGTTCCTCCCCTGATGAAGACTCCGTCTGGAAGGCAAATCGGCCCAAGAAGTGGTACGAGAAATCCTCCAGTCGATCCAGCACCTCTCTTGCCGGCTCCTCGATCAAGAACCCCTCTCCCATTGGCATTCTCAAGCGGTCTCGCAGCAGCAATGCCGTCGAGGGAGTTGCACGTCATTTCACAAGGCCCCAGCTTGAAGATGAGATTCGAATCACGGTTCACATCGCTGAGCTTCTTCAACGCCAACGGTACCTGATCAGGCTCTGTCGAGCCTTGATGAAGTATGGCGCCCCGACCCATCGCCTGGAAGAATACATGCGGATGACTGCACGCGTCCTCGAGATCGATGGCCAATTCCTCTACATCCCGGGCTGTATGATCATCTCCTTCGACGATGCCTCCACACACACGACCGAAGTCAAAGTCGTCCGGTCCAGCCAGGGAATCGACCTGGGCAAGCTGGCTGATGTACATGAGATCTACAAGGAGGTGATTCACGACGTAATCGGGGTCGAAGAGGCTATCCAGCGGTTGGATGAAACGATGAAGAGGCGGAGCAAGTACCACATTTTGTTCCTCATCTTCGCCCACGGCTGTGCAAGCGCGTCGGTTGGCCCGTTTGCTTTTAATGCGCGGCCGGTCGACATGCCCGTCGCCTTTCTGCTAGGCTGTCTACTCGGTGTGCTGCAGCTGATTCTATCGCCCAAGTCGAGCTTGTACTCGAACGTGTTTGAGATCTCGGCTGCAGTGCTGACCTCCTTCCTGGCTCGAGCCTTTGGAAGTATCCGATTCCAAGGGGAATCTTTATTCTGCTTCTCTGCTCTAGCACAATCTTCCATTGCCCTCATACTCCCCGGGTATACTGTTCTCTGTGCTAGTCTAGAGCTGCAGTCACGCAGCATCGTGGCAGGCTCAGTACGCATGGTATACGCCATCATTTACTCCCTCTTCCTCGGGTTCGGTATCACAATTGGCACCGCCGTGTATGGCCTGCTAGACCCCGAGGCCTCGACAGCGTATACGTGTCCCGCTAGCCCAATTACGAACGAATACCTCCAGCGATTCCCCTTCGTCCTGATCTTCACCGCATGCCTCGCCATTGTCAACCACGCCAAGTGGAAGCAAATCCCCATCATGCTGGTTATCTCCCTGGCCGGCTATGTCGTCAGCTACTTCAGCTCCAAGCGGTTCTATTCCAACACGCAAGTCTCGAACGCCCTTGGGGCCTTCGTGATCGGAGTCATGGGCAATTGCTATAGTCGCCTCCGTCACGGGCTAGCAGCAGCAGCCATGCTCCCCGCGATATTTGTCCTGGTCCCCTCTGGTCTCGCTGCTAGCGGGTCTCTTATTTCGGGCATCACCTCAGCAGAGGAGATGACCCGAAACCCCTACGCAGTTGTAGCCAACGGCACGCAGGGCTTTGTTGACGCGGCAAAGAACCTCTCTGCCGCTGAAGCACGCAACCAGAGCTACGGCGTCGTCTTCGACATCGGCTACGGCATGGTCCAGGTCGCCATCGGGACTACCGTCGGCCTGTTTTTGGCCGCACTAGTTGTCTATCCATTGGGCAAGAAGCGCAGTGGACTTTTCAGCTTTTAATTTCCATTTTACCATTCCACTTCAGACTCGACCTCTAACCCCTATACTTGTTGCGTCTACGCATTCCATCGATACCCCCTTCCAGCGTCTCTACCACCCCGAGCTTCTTGAACATTTCGCATCCCGAGCCCGAGCACACGCAGTGCCAAACCGTCGAAATCTCGCGTCAATACCTGCCTTTATACCCTCGAGCAGCGTCAACATGAGGCAACCCTGCTTTATTTCTGGCCGTTGAAATTGGAGTTATGCCGTGCTGGACGTCTATTTTATCTTCTTTTTCGTCCCTCGCCGACAAAGCCTGTATCGACTCAAGCACACCCGGACGCATGTCCGGGCATACATAGAAGCTACGAATACACGAGTCACGACCTTTTGAAAATCATCGAGGCCCCAGTTTTGCGAATTTTCTTTTGATATCTTTCTTGGCGCGAGTTTAATCTTTGTGCCGTCTGTTTTTGGGGTGTCTCAGCGGATCTCTATTGCATCTAGGTAACAATTTGTTTGGTTTGATTTTGCTACTGTTTTTGACATTTGGCTTGATTGCTGTATACATGCTTGTCTCTACGAGTTACATAGTCTATACCAGCTTGCCTTGGACTTGGGATGCTTTATTTGATGCACAGTATCATCCTCCTCTTCCTACAATTCTCGTTCCAATTCCAGCTATCTTAATAGGGTGCACACGGGTAGGCATTTGGCAGTTTGAAGCCAACGTTGTGTCAAGTCAACCTTAATCCTCCCGTATTAGCCTTAAGTCGATACCAAAGCAGCTACCTGGGCACGACCTCAGGGCCGAAGCTACTAGAATCTATACGTTTTACAATCTACAGACTACATAAAACCAGAACTGAGCTGCAAAGCTATGTATTGCAATAAAGAGCCCTAAAACAGCAGGGGCCAAAGAGTAACCTGTACATGACCGGATGTACGAGAGAAACTCAAAAACCACGAAAAGAGAAACGACGGCTTCCGACGCATTCATTCCAGAATCAAAGCTGATGATGCTCGACTTAGAAGGCAGTAATAGATGGATCGTATCAACGCCCACAAAGGGAACTGATACGACGCCAGGAAAGAGAAGAGAGTAAATAAAATGGTTCAATCACGAATCAGAAAAGAGTCATTGCAGACTGATGCAGGTCGTTCGTCACACACACACACGCACACATATCACTGACAGGTTGTCAGGATAGAGGAATAAAGAAAGGAGTGGAAAGGGGCCATTTCGGCTCCCCATGTAAGGAAAAAAGGGCTAGGCAACAGAAAAAGACGAGAAAAGGACATAAAGTCCGCCAGGGAAGAAAAGTCATACGTCGCTGTCACATGATGTTTGGCATTACATGATAGGGGTCTTTCGCTTTTCAGCGCTGGACAACACAAGCATCGGCGTCTTGCGGCGTTCTGGTGCTTGAGCCGGCTGCTGCCCCTGACCTGCGACGACGGCCGCCACGGAAGGCGACGAGGTACCCGTCGGCGAGGGGACATGATCCGCGTGAACATCTGTAAATTTCGACCCAAAGTAGCCATCCTCGCTGGTCGGGGTGGCACTGGAGTAAGGGCTGTCAAGAGAATTGCGATCACGGCCGGTCTTCTCCTTTCGCTCAGATCCAATGGCGCCATTGGCCGCCGCGCGAAGGCTGCCCAGGCTGGGCTTGCTGGAGAGGCTACCACTGCGGACAGTAGCGTCATCACCATCCGAGAAGGTGAATTCCTTTTCACTGGCCGGTGTGTTGGTGCCACCACTGCTGTTGTATCCGTAGCTACGAGAGTCGCCCCGACGTTCGATTCCAGCACGAACCAAGTTGTGAACGGCACGGCGCCGCTGGCGGGTAGCAAAGTTCTTGCTGCCCTCGTGGTTGGAAGTAGGCTTGGCCACGAGGTCCTCGAGGGAGGGTGGTCCACGGGGCTGACGGACGGGGTGCTCACCAGCACGAGCTTGACCGGGGCCAAAGGTGCCAGTGGCAGGCGTAGGCGGCAGAGCAGCCGACCGAGGGCCATAGCCGACATTTGCCTTGGTGATATCGATGTTCGTCTTCAGTGCAGGGTTGAACGAAGTGTTCTTCCTGTGATTCCGGCGGAAAGCGTTTGCAGACTCGACTGGCGGCGAAGGAGTGCCACTGGGAGGGGAGATCGGCTGCGAGAAGTACATCGGAGAAGGATGAGAGTCCGCGGGCGGGGAGATCTCAGCACGGAACTGTGGCACCTGCTGGGTTGACGAGTGATGTTCATACGGCTGCGGCGAGCCATTCTCTTGGGCGCTGTTGTCCATTATGTAGCTCTGCTGACCGGTGAGAGGGTTGTAGACGCAGAACAAGCCGGGCTGGCCATGAACTGGCTGCACTATTGGCTGCACACCCTGCTGAAGCTGCTGCTGGTAGAATCCTATGCCGGACATATTCATATTGAGAGAAGGCATGGCCTGGCGCACAGCCTGCTGCTGGGGGAGCGACATTCCTCCCAGGGTGAGACCCTGAAATTGCTGAGCAGCAGCGGTGACGTTGATCAGCTGTTGTTGCAGACGTTGCTGCTGTGCAGCCAGAAAGAGGTTGGTCGACATCAGTTCCGCGTACATATTCTCATCGATGCCCGAGTCATCAAACGTGGGAGGTGCGAGCACCTGCTCAGGCAGAGTGTACACCGGACGATTCTGCTGCGTATTCATCCCGTGGTTCGAAGAGTACCTGTGCTGCGGGAATCCGGCTCCTGTAGCAGTTTGAGGGACCCGATCCATTCCTCGTTTGGATCCGGCGAAACGTCCACTGTCCATACCAGGTTGCTGCTGATGGTTCGAGGGAATGGTGGCAGACCGGGGGGCGGTTCGCAGGCCAGCCAAGAGATGCGAGCGGCTGGTGCGCGGGGTCGAGATCGAAGCGGACGGCTGGGATTCGTCGATAGTGGCCACCTGGGGAGGCATACTCAGGCGTTTGATGTGAGAGCCCTTCCCTCGCGAGGCGAAGCCGGAGCCCGGCACGCCGAGAGAAGTGCCATTATTGAAGTTGTTGTTGTAAGTCATTTGAGCAAGACCGCCAGCGTCCATGCTCATAGTCATCGAAGAGTCGGGTGTGAGGCGGAGAGGAGGTATGTGCAAAGGCTATAGCGGACGGGGGCGCGTTTCGGGTTTCCGTTACGGGATCGGCAAGCGCTCGGGATCAACCACGAAGCTTCGAGCTTTTGTTTCCCGAATGATTAGGTGATTATGAGGTCTATGACGAGAACGGTCGGAATTCAGGAGTGAGATTCGACGAGACGATAGATTGTGAAGACGGAAGTCGCAAATACTGGAACAGGCACCTGTCAGTGAATAAATCCCCCCGGTTAGGCAGACGGCCTCGCTTACCACACGTGAAGGTATGCAGTAATAGCGAATGACTAGCTCAACGATGCAGATGGCAGGTGCAGGATGCCAATATTATCAAGCTGTACAGCAGAGTTGATTTTTTTTCGAGGTCGGTGGCAGTAGCCGAGGTGCGGGTGGTGTGAAACCAGCGAAAGGTGACGGAAGGTCCCCGAATGGAAATTATGCGAATATCGAAATGGCGTCTCTCGAGGAGAGAAAAAAGAACGAGAAGATTGTGGGAGATGCTCTGCAAGTCCCAGATGAAGAAAAGAGAGGAAAGAGAAAGAGATGACGCGGTGGTGAAGTCTCGGCGAAGGCGGCAACACGAACAAAGGCGAGTCACAAACAAGCCAGAACGGAACGGAGCGACGGAAAGACGGTGTCGAGTCCAGTCGTGATCGTGAAGAGGCCGTACCTGAGGCAAGAGATCGAATCGAAGATCGGAGACTCGGGCCAGACGCGAGCAATGGTCAGGGGCGGAACGAATCGGAGAACTATTTGCAACGGAGATATTTTTTTGGACGTTTAACCTTTTCCCAAACTATGCGAGCTGCGAATGAAAGAATGCAGACGGGAAGGAAAAAAAAGAAAGAAGCGAAGATTAGAGGGGGGAAGGATGAGAGTGTGAGAGAAGAGCGAGAGTTTGGGATGCTGAGATGGTGTGGGGAATGTATTTGGGTGCCTGAGGCATCAGGGCGTCCAGGCACAGGGCCAGTCCAAAAGGAGACTAGTACGTGTGTGTGGACATTTCATCCACGCTGCACTTTTGAACGATTCCTTTATTCTCCTGTCTTTTTCATCCCGGAGCTCTGGACGGTGGCAAGACCAAGTGATACTGACAACGATAACACAAGCGACTGGAGTGAGCTGAATGCCGGCGACCATCCAATCAAGCGCCCTATGGGACCAGCGTTCTGGGCTCGTCACATCTCCGCCCGTTCGATTGGTTGGGGGACGCTAGCGCCGCCCCCGACGTGGCCGCCATCGTCGTCCCAGCGGCGTCTCACGTCGCCCCTGGAACCGCTGCCAAGAGCGTGTGCGCAGCCAATAGCCTGGCTATCGCTGATGCTGCCGGGAGTACGGTACACCGCACACACTGGAAATACACATGATCGATCGTGACCGTCGGTGAGATCGGAGTTCGTGGGAGAGAAAACCATTGGAAGTTAGCGTGATTGGGATCTACGATAGGCCCAGCCGATCCTGCGTGGCAGTCAAATCGCGTTGCGCACTGCCGAAGGCTTACACGATCACCTCGCCTCGCTAATTTCTTAGGGTTCAGAGTAAACTATGGGCGTAGAATGGACCAGACTAGACCTCTCCTGACTGCTAAGCGTCTCGAAAGCTTAGATTTGTTGCCTATGTACATGCCTTGACAGTTCCCCCGTGGGGTAAAACGGCCTGAACCTCTCCAATCATCCCGAAAATCAAAGAATCTCTCGGTCAGAAAGTGAAATAAACCGAAAGCACGAAAACGAACGAAAGCAATAGGGGTATCTGCTGGCCAATCACTGCAGAGGCGCCAGACGGAGTAGTAAAGCGCAAGAAGGAAAGTCGTTACGGATACAGAGATGGGTCGGAACGAATGCACCCTACGCATCCACGGGCACGCCCGGTCCCGAGGAGAGTGTGGTTGATTCATTCCGTAGCCGGTGCTCTGGGCCCGGAGATGCGCCCTTGCCATTCATTCGGTCGAACTCTAGGGTCTCTGCCAGCTCGGCCGCCATCGGATCCAGCTCCTCTTCCTTCAACCCTGTGGCTAGAGCAACCAATTTGCGGTGCACGTCGAACTTGGTACTCACGCCCGCATCGGCGGTCTGCTGAGCCAGGTGTCTCACCGTGTCGCGGCGTGTCTTCTGGGCGGTGCACAGCTCGCGGGCCAGTTGGTAGCGGTGCATTAGCTCGTCCGGATCGAGTGAAGACATATCTGTAGTTGAAACAACCGGGCCGGCAGCAGCTAGTTGTTGAGCAAGGGCAGTATGGTGTGTCTGCTCAAGCAGAGACTCGTAGCTGGCCCGCAGCTTCTCATATCGCCCCATCTGGCTATCACTGGGTTCATACTCCGCTTCCTTAGCGGCGAGGGCGGAGACTTGCTTCTGGATCTTCTGACGATCCGATTCCAGCTGCTCAAACAGTGCTTCGGGATTGGCAACGTCCTTGGAATCCAGCTGTTCAAGTTTAGAATTACGATATGTCCCCGCAAGCTTCTTGTTGGCCTCCACCATGATTGTGCCAATCTTCGATAGCAGATCGGAGGTTGCAGCGGAATCCACTGGCGGAGCCATAGACTGATGACCCGAGGGCATGAGTTCACCGCCTGCACCATCCAAATGATCGTTGGCCATGGTGACCGATGAGGGAGCTGGCGGGATATCTTGATCGATGTTGTGAGAGCGTTGAAGCATGCTGTTCGCAGTTTCTCCTTTCTTATTCATCAGGTCACCCGCTCGGGGGCAATGATTGAGCAGCATATGCACGAGGCGAAATGCACCGTTGCGAGCGGCCACGAGAGCAGCAGTATCACCATTGTCATCTTGACATGAAAGCAACAGGTCCATCTCATCTTGCGAGCATGTCTTACACAGTTTATCCAAAAGGACCTCACAGTAGTACTTGGAACTCTTCCACTTGCCTTTGCTTCTGGTGGTTTCAGCAATGTGGTGGAAAAGTGTGGCTCCAAACCAATCCCGGAAAGAGATGGTGTCCTGCAAACGATCCAACAAAGCGGGGAAGGTCCGCTTCTCGTAGTTGTTGGTAAACAAGACGGCTCGGACAAGCGGCGTCTCTTCGTGGACCGACAGTGCCTTTACATTGGCCCCTCTGTGAAGGAGATTGTGCACAATATCCAAGTCGCCCATCGCGCAGGCCCAGTGCAAGGCCGTGTTCCTAGAGTCATCGATAGGCCGATCCACTTGGAAATGAGCGGGAGGTTCCGGTGGTTGAATCCGTGTGGCTTGTGGTGCATCACCCACGGTCATGAAATAGTCCAGGAGCTGGTCACCGTAAATAATATGCTCCTGTTCACTGATAGACATGACAGCCGCCTCATTCATGCCCCGTTTACGCTTGCGTCCTCCATGGGACATCTGCAGCATATCTTCATCCGCTACCATGGACGATGATTCAAGAGTCGCCTGTTCAATAGAATCGTTGTCATCAAACCCGGCGGCCATTTCGTACTGATCGTGCGGGAGGGTCGGAGGGCCCATACTTCGCTGCGGTTGAACCACATTGAAGACCTCTGTCGCAGCAGAACGATTAGTAGATTTGCGTGGTGCTCGTGGCTTTGAAGCAGCCGACGAGTGTTTTGGCGCTGGTGGGGGGCTGCGATCTCCAGCAACATAATCGAAGATGGGGGCTAGCTTGTGAAAGATACTATTGCGCTCTGCAAGCTGGCGGCCCTCTGGAAGGGGGATCCATGTTCCTGTAGATCATGGCTGTAAGCAGTTGTTCACTTTCTTCCCTTGCCATCCTCGAGGTCCATACCCTGATATTTGCCGTAGCCTCCCTGGACTTTTTCGTGCACTCCCTTCTGTACCTCTCGTTCCAAAATTCGAGTTCTTGCAGGCTTATCAAAGCCGGCTGCCTTGAGGATGTGTGTTGCATTGACCCAGTCATCGCCTCTGCGTCTCATCACACTGTCACCGTCGATTTTGAATTCATACACCGGGACCTAGAAAAGCCTTGTTAGAACACCGCGAAAGGAAAACAACGAGGGGAAATGCTCTGCAGATGAAAAGCAGACAGGGAAATATCCAGTGAGATACATACACTGCTGTAGGTAGCCGAGTATATCGACTCCATCCCCGCCATGGTGAATATCGCCAGCAGCCGCCGTCAGAGCGAAAGCGATTCGGAGCAGCGATAGGGCACGCACGTTGGCGCCCGTAATCCCTCGAGGATCTACAAAAGAATTGAGTCACTAATGCTTCGGCGCCTGACACATTGCACACACTCAAAGTCGGACCGAGAGCGTAGGGACACGATTTGCCAGGTGGAGCTGGGGTGTCATCGCAGGGACGCGCAGGCAGGGACGCGATGAGACCGCGTAAAGTGGATTTTAGGCGCTAGTCCTCTTTAGTGTATGTCATGTGATATGGTGATTTGAGGTCACGTGTCGTCGGGAAGCAAAGGAACATAGCGAAACGGTGCAAACGCCAACCTCGAAGTCCTACTCGTCGCTCCTCTCTTCCCCACGCCATTAAACCCCCAATTCCTGCCAAAATGACTGTCGTCGAGTCGGTCAAGAGTGCTGTGGGCCTCGCGGAGACCTCCGGTGAGATTTCCTGGCCATTGGACAACTTTCGAAGCCCGCCCATGACATGAAAGCTAACCCGAACATCCAGCAACCCGCCAGGAAATGTCCGAGGCCCGCCTCCCCATGCAGTACAGAGACTCTTGCGCGCACCTTCTGATCCCGCTGAACCGGTGCCGGCAAGCAGAGTACTACCTTCCCTGGAAGTGCGAGGTACGCTATTGTATCTCCCGACAACCGCTCAATCTGTCTCCGACCAATCGAGCGGCGCACCCTTTGGCCGACACCAGCTAATTGAATCGCTAGGACGAGAGACATTCCTACGAGAAGTGCCAGTACGACGAGTTCAAGAAGCGCGTGGCCAAGATGGACGAGCTTCGGGCTGCCAAGGACGGCGCCCGTAGCAACTGAAGCTGCTCTTTGCGTGTGTGTTTGCGCAGTCAGGACTGCTGGGCCAGCAGCAGGTTATGTACATAGACGATATACCGAGACTGCTCATGGACTGCCTTTTTGGCGTTGGGACTTTTTTCGCCTTGCCCATATGGGCATCCGCAGGATATTGGCTGCATTGCCGCCCCATGGCGGCTGATCCTGCCTCTCGATTCGACCCTTCAGATCCCTCAGTATCTCAGTCGTCGCTCAAGTAAGAGGCACAAGAGGTTACACTGGGGCTCCAGAGCTGCCCCAATGACCCATAATGAATTTGTCAGCAGTCACGTCACCCTAACTAACTCGCAAGGTTGAATATCCGAGTTAGTTTTCTCGTATCGAAAGTTTAGTGGCTTGCAGAGCGCGCTACGGCCTGCAGAGAATAATAATCGTGACCGTGGCATATTCGTCTTCGGAGGGTAAGACCCGACGTGGCTGTCGGGTTATCACCGGGGTCGGGGTATACCAGGGCCGCGATATGCGACCGTTACTCTACAGGAATATCGAGTAGTCCATGGCGCGAGGCAGGGCCATATGAAACTCATAGAAGAAAGTACATATGTAATTATCAAGTAGGAAGTACAGAATGACATCTGAACGAGCAAGCAACCTCTACGGAAGCATTGAGATGAGCAAGAGAACATCGATTTGCTGTGTTATTACCACATTTTTATCCTCTGCATTGTGGGGTTGAGAGGACTGAAGGCCGACCGTGGGATGAGCTCTGGTTTCAACCGAAAGATGCTGTTAGGCAAGGAGCTCGTCAGTTGCGGTGGATGACGGCCGTATCTCCTGATTGCTTACAAATGTATCCGTTACCGCTGACCTGCCCCGCCTGGAAAGCGTTGCGGCCCTGAAAATTCCCCCATGCAAGAGAATTGAAAAGAATTTTGCGGAACGCGGGGACTATGGCCGGTCCTCTTTCTCTTTAACTACGCTAAGGACCTTGGTATACCACTCATCCTGTCCCGCAAGTACCTAGCCTTATCTACTTCCCTCGGTCATCACTCGGTATTTGAGCTCATTGCGGAGTTGGACGACACGGCACAGGCACAAGCGCAATGGGTCTGCTGTACGTTCTTCACTTTGCTCGCCGCACAGCCTGATCGGGTCGCTAACTTTGCTGTTCAGAGCCCTTGGAACCGCTTTAGAATGGCCAGAGGCCAAGAAGAAGGCCGACCAGGTCCGCCAGTGGGGAATTGAGGTATGCGCAAGGAGGGGCGCCGTTGCGGACCACGCTGAACAGCACATTGGTGGGGCGTACAACTGACAGCTAGCACAGCAACTACTGGCAAACTGGCGACGAGCCAGAGGCAAAGAACGAGACGCCCTACTCTGGGGTGATGAGGTGCGTGGAATTATTCTCCGCCGGCAATATCTAAAGCTCACAGGCTTTTTTGCGTATAGGTCGAATACCTCGTGGTGGCGCTTGACGATACAGCCAAGAAAGCACGGTTATCTCTGGCTCAGGCTGAAATCCTCAAGTCCCTCGCGCGGGATGAGGCTCTATGGAAATCGGGTGGCTGCAAGAATCGCGATAATGGGGACCAGTAAGTTGGGCTGTCCCGCAAGAATGCACTGCAGTGTCTGACTTCTATCAGCGATGGCGAGGAGCCTCCGCATTTCCACCCCGAATTCGGACGTTTCATGCTCGAGGCCACACCAGGGCGTCCGTGGGGTATTGGATTCAAGGATCTGTTAAAAGTGGAATCCAACATGAAGTGGAGGTTGGTAGCTCTTCCGATTCAAGTTGAGAACTGCAAAATACTTATGTTTCCTTTAGACGGGAAATTGCCAAGGCACACATGGCACCAAACGAGTCGCCCATAACCCTGACGACATTCCCTCGATTGGGAACCAAGGACGATTACATTCAGCCATATTATCCCCCTTCAGGACCAGCACTCCGTTCGCAATTCGTCCCCGATGAGATCGCAAACCCCCATATCCGATTCCCGACATTGGCAGCCAACATCCGATCTCGGAGAGGGCGCAAGGTGGAATTGAACGTGCCCGTGTATAAAGATCTGAATACACCCTCGCCATTCAAGGATCCTACTGTGGATTATAACCTTCACCAATGGCCCGAGGATGACGATGTCCGCAACGGTGCCGCGAAGGACGACCACGTTTATATGGATGCCATGGCTTTTGGAATGGGTAGTTGCTGCTTGCAGATCACCTTCCAGGCAAAGAATATGACTGAAGGCAGGAGGCTTTATGACCAATTGAGCCCTCTGGGTCCGATCCTGCTCGCTCTCACTGCCGCCACGCCGATCTACAAGGGATTCCTCGTGGATACCGACGTGCGATGGAACCAGATCAGCAGGGCCGTGGATGATAGAACTCCCGAAGAACTTGGTGAAGCTGTAAGTCATCCCAACACGATGATCGTGTATTGTTACTCACATTCCAGCAGCCTCTCAAAAACGATCGGTGGAGAATTCCCAAATCTCGGTACGCTTCAAACTCAACTTATATCTCTCAAGATCCTCGACTACGGAAGGAATACCTCGACCCGGATCTGGTTGTTGATGAGAACATTAAGAAACGATTGATGGACGGAGGAATGGACGAGCTACTAGCCACACACTTCGCACACCTCTTCATCCGCGACCCATTGGTTGTCTTCTCCGAAGACTTGGAAGAGCTCGACCTTAACAAAGGAGATCACTTTGAGAACCTCCAGTCCACAAATTGGCAGCATATGCGATTCAAGCCCCCGCCGTCTGAAAGCGACATTGGCTGGCGTGTCGAGTTCCGGTCTATGGAGATCCAAATCACAGATTTTGAGAACGCGGCGTTCAGCATCTTCATTGTGCTAATTACCCGAGCCATCCTGAGCTTCGACCTCAACTTCTATATTCCCATCCCACTGACCACCGAGAACATGGAGACGGCCCATGCTCGCAACGCCGTTCTTGACAAGAAGTTCTACTTCCGCAAGGATCCATTCCCACGACGAGTTCCCAAAACCCCCCAACTGTCAACCAACAACAGCACGTTCTCATCTACTACCTCCTCGGCCGTCAACACCCCGCCACCCTCCCCTCCTCTGGGCCCTGTCGAAACCGAGTACGAACTGATGAGCATCTCTGACATCGTTAATGGTTGCCCCGACGGCTCATTCCCTGGACTCATCCCACTCGTGGAGTCGTATCTTAACAGCGTCAATGTGGACGTCGAGACACGATGTTTCCTGGCCAGCTACCTCGATCTCATCCAAAAACGCGCCGACGGCACCCTCTGGACTGGTGCGCGGTGGATCCGCGAGTTTGTCGCGAAGCACCCAAGCTATAAGCAGGACAGTGTGGTATCCGAGGAAATCACCTTTGACCTCGTCAAGGCTGTGGAAGAAATGACCGCCAAAGAGGGGCGAAATGGCAGTGTCGGATGGGAACTTCTTCGGGGCAAAAAAAAGAATTAGATAGAGCTTGGGTTCTCATCTGCCCTTGCAGATAGATATTCCGGGTGGTTGGAAGTCATTTAGATATCATGAATCAATTAGCACATAGTCGTGGCTAGTGGCAGCCTTCCGAGCCACTTTTTATTAAACTTTTGGAATGAATGTCCTATGTCCTCGTCGACATTGGTCAGGTTTGAGTTACCGGGTTCCACTCGTGCTTATAATACAAGGAAAACTGGGATCGAGCTCGAGTCAGGTCATATAGTGCGAAATGGATAAGGGCATATTGTAACCACAGCATGGAGGTTCCTTACAGAGGAAAAGTGAAAAGCCTTCAGGTCTTCTCGAGGTATATCCGCGATATTAAGTGTCCGGGAGAACTCATGCTTATTATTCATTGCAGGGGCAGACTCAATATCTAAACCCTCGATGGTGTAGTTGGATATCACGTTCGGCTGTAATGGACAAATTGTAACCGAAAGGTCACCGGCTCGATTCCGGTTCGAGGGAACATTTCTTTTTTTCTTTTTCTTTTTTTTCTCGTAATTTAATTCGATCCACACTCCTATATTGTTTGACTTGCGAAAATATTATTTTTCTCAATTTTAATTCTTTTTATCGTGGCAGTCTGCAGCTAATTTGAAAATGTGACTCTCATGCCCTTGGTTGCTTGTGCTGCGTTCCGGAAGGTCATTGTGATGTATATCCTCACTGACCGCTTGACAACAGTAAACAATTATTGCTTTATATTGGCATGAAATGATTTTAATTGCTTCAAGCCAGAAGCAAGTCTGTCAAAGCAAGCCGTCTCGACAATATTCAAGTACAAAAGAGGTCAGCAAGCTCTCTCTAACTAGACACAATAATCACGAAGCCTATAATACGCCGCGGTATCACTAGAGATTCGAGATTCTAGTCGCCCCTAGTAAGACTTTGACTCTTGCTATTAGCGAAGAAGTCTTTTAATAAAAGAAAAATCGGTTCGCTTATAGTCGCAAATCGAAGATTGCTCCTAAAGGTTAGATAGGTCCATTCTAGGTCAGCCCATCGCTTCCCCTCTGGTCTCACACTCACGGTATACTCCTATCATTCAAGCCAAGGCATTGACCCTCGGAAGTCCAATATCGATTCTGTCATATCTTACTACCTCGGCGACCCTCACAGCGCCCCTCGCCGGCTAAACCTCGGTGCATAACCTGCCTACACAGCCACCGTCACCGATTCGGGCAATCATCCGCCAACCATTACGGGCTGCGACATCACTTCTCCACACTTTCAGCACCAGAGGGACAGTGCTAGAGCAGAACTGATTGGACACTCCCACATCTCCCCACAATATATAGTGTTTACTTCCGGGCTTTGACCTCCCGTCGCCGGACATTCCGATGTCCGAAAGCCTAATATGGAGGACGGCAATCCTCAGCGGCATATTGCGTGTTTTGTTCTACATACCCAGAGCACTCTATTCCCTGCATAACCCATTTATCTCTCAAGCGAACGCTGATCATCCTATTGTTTGGGTGTGGGGCCTCGATCTTCCCCGCATATGTAGAATCCCCGGATTTCCAGCATATATATATGTGAACTTTTGTAGTCCCGGGGTGGGATAGACCCAGGTATTCCCTTCAATCAAGTAACCAGAGATCACAATGTTCGCATATGTGGCCAGCCTTCTCGCCTTATGGGCAGCAGCACACGCTTCTCCTACGCAGTCAGTTCCCACCGCCGCGGTGCGCAACGGAACCTACATAGGTGTGCACAGCAGCACATACAATCAGGACTTCTTCCTGGGTATGCCCTATGCCCAGCAGCCAGTGGGTAACCTGCGATTTACTGTACCGCAGCCATTGAACGAAAACTGGAGCGAAGAGCGTGACGCGAAGGATTATTCAGATATCTGTGTGGGATATGGGGTGAGTATTCCGATTCCATCCATCAAGGGCTATTCTAATCGGAGTAGACGGACTCTATCTGGTATCCTCAGTCCGAAGCTTGTTTGACGCTGAATGTCATCCGCAGCTCGTCTGTCACCAAAAACTCGAAACTTCCCGTAGGAGTCTGGATCCATGGCGGTGGATTCTACATGGGGTCAGGAGCGGACCAACGGTATAACATGTCGGCGATTGTTGAGAATGCTGATAAGATCGGTATGTCCACATACGAATGAAAAACATTCAGAATGCTGACCCTAAGCCATCTAGGCAAACCATTCATCGCCGTCACTCTGAACTACAGACTCTCAGCCTGGGGCTTCATCAGCTCGAGCCAAGTCTACGGCAGCGGGAATACTAATCTTGGACTGAGAGACCAAAGACTGGCACTCGAATGGGTCCAAGAGAACATCGCTGCCTTTGGTGGTGACCCCAGCAAAGTCACAATCTGGGGCGAGTCAGCCGGCGCAATGTCAGTGGGTTATCATCTGACAGCGTATGGAGGTCGAGACGACAAGCTATTCCGAGCGGGCATTATGGAATCGGGCGGATCTATCGCTGCTAGCTCGTCTAATTACACTACGTTCCAGTCCACCTACGACCAACTGGTATCTAAAGTGAACTGCGCGGACACAGTGGACACGCTGCAATGCCTACGCGAATTGCCCTTCGAGACCCTCAACTCGGTTCTGAACGGAACCGATGGCTCTTCCGAATATAACTTTTCGCCAGTGGTAGACGGGGACCTGGTTCAGAACTGGGGAAGTATTCAGCTGAACAAGCATGAGTTCGTCAAGGTTCCTATCCTCGCTGGCAGTAACACGGACGAAGGAACTGCATTTGGGCCGGTCGGAATCAATACCACAGAGCAATGGTATGAGTATCTCACTGGTAAGTGCACAGCATTGATCACTTTGTTGCAAGGGCTAATCATTCCCTAGATGGTGGGTTTGACTTCCAGACACCTCCGTCCGTTGCCAAGGAGATTCTCAAGCTATATCCCGATGACCCGTCTCAGGGCATCCCGGAATTCCTCGGTGACAAGCGAGTCCCCTCAATGGGCTACGAATGGCGACGAACATGTGCATTTGCAGGAGACTATACCATGCATGCAAATCGCCGACGCCAGTGCGAAGCGTGGACAGAGACCTCGACACCGGCATACTGCTACCGATTCAACGTGCACTCCGCCGACACGCCACTTATCTTCGGAGCAACGCATTTCGAGGAAGTCTCCTTTGTATTCCACAACATCGCCGGGCTGGGATATCACTACGGGAAACCGTTCGCCGGGGTACCGCAGTCGTACATCGATCTGAGCTCTATGATGACCAGCATGTGGGCCTCGTTCATCCATGACCTGGACCCTAACTCGGGAGTGGTGAACAAGTCGGTGCATTGGGAGGCGTACGGGAAGGACAAGCCCGTTGACCTGTTCTTGAATGCCAATACAACTAGTCATATGGAGGCGGATACCTGGCGCAAAGAGGGCATTGACTATATTAACTCCGTTGCCGAGGCGTTCTGGAGATGAGCAGGCTTTAGTTGATACCTAGTTCCAAATCTTGAAAGTAGCGCAATACAGTCCACGGAATACGGGGAGTAGAAAATGCTCATTTCTTACCGCACGGGCCTTTACCACCCGCCTGGACACGGCAAACTATACGAGTTCGGGTTGAATAATATTTTAGGAATTGTAGAATATCGTACTCGCCAAGAGCTTCCCTAATTTACAGAGAAACCTGGGAACTTTCGATCCCCCTAAGCGTATGGAAAGTTCCTAAAGTTCATTAGCAGACCCACCAGCATCTCCATCCACTATGTAGGCGGGTGCGGCAAAACGGAGACCTTTTGATACAAAGATAAATTAAAATCAATATAAAAATGAGGCTAACATGGCAAGAAGCCTAAACAAATGACGCCACTCGCCTCAAAACTCGGCACCAACGGCGCCGAGAGGACGCCGGGGTTTAGTCAGTCCCACGTGAATGATTTTCCAGGCCAAAGCAAAGTTTCGTGAACCACGGATCAGATATCTGAACCAGAGATGAGATGATCAAAGGGTAAAACAAACCACTCGCCCGCGTTTGGGTTGCAGAAACACGCCGATCGGAAACACGATGCCGATCGAGATCGCGCGTGGGGCTCGCGCACGAGTTTCCACCGCTAGAACGCGGTTCCCATGAGCGCAATCAACGATGTCTCTTCCCGCCCCGTCCCACCATTGAGTCTATCCGCGCACTAAGAAAACCCAGCAGCTTGGATCCACCATTCAACCCCCGACTCCACAGCGAGACGGGCCAGTCTAGCGCACCGTGTGGTCGGATCGAAGTTTCAGCGCGTCACAGGCGCTTATCGAGTCGGGCATACAGTAGGAAACTCTCACGAACTGCTTCTGGTTGCTTTCTCCGCGGGCATCTGTATGCGACCGCTGGTTCTTCCGGGAACCGAACTTGCAGGGACGGTCCACCGGCGGGAGACCGATGAGGTGTCATTACAAAGCGATGGGAAAGCAAAGCCCGAGGGTCTTGTACATGATACTCGGGGAGTGAGGCTCACCGCCAGAAAAGGCAACCGTTGCATGGGTCGCGAAAGGCAACAAGCGCATCTGAGATCCCACGTCAGCCCCAGCGGAACCTGGATGGGGTAGGGATCAACGGGAGCCATGCAACGTGAAGATCACATCGCGTGATTCCATGAAGTCTGTAATTCAGAAGTAACGTTCGAATCGATCGGTGTTACGGGGGGGTTTCCATGCAAGACGCATGCCATGGGAAGATCTCGGACCTCGATCCCGGGGGGTCTGTGCAGATGCAGGGTGCATATATCGATCTCGGGATTTCCACTCTCAATAGTTGTACCATGTACTCCGTACCATTGGAACGTCTAGATAGACGGTGAGTATCAAGTGGTACTATGTATGTACCATGAGTATACTGCATATGTACAAGGTTTTCCCCATGTGACTATACTCCGCATATCGGATCTTACAAAGGACAGATCTTACAACTCTTTCCTCCGTACATCGCGTACGGTGCCTGAAAAATCAAATCAATAGTCAACCCGACACAGCGGTGCGCTTTCGATTCATCTCCACCGGAGCCACAGATTCCCGCAGATAGCCATCGGGCCCAGTTTTCAGGCCTTTGCTTTGTTCCGACCCACGGTCCTCAGCCGCCGCTAGTGAAATGCGCCCGACCGCCCGTGAGATGGGCGGGAATGCGAGGGATGAGAGAGATGACCGGTTCTGCGGGGGAGGGATTTCCCAGCGCCAATGGGCAGCAGGGATGCGGGTACATGGTCCGATTAAGTTGGGTGCAGGAGATTTGGGGTTTCCCTACTTCGTCAGGTGGAGTTGAGCGTACACGTATGTAACGCCGAGGGGAAATATCTCGGCCCCGGGTAGATCCGGTGCAGAACCATATAGCGGTCAGAAAGCAAAGAAAAGACCATAACGTTAATGAAAGGAAGATCGCAGATTACGCAAAGAAGGCGGAAGAACAAGAGCAAGATCCACTCGATCCCGGGCCCAACGCGGCATAGTGCGGGAGGCCCGAGAGCCGGTAAAATACTGATCTACCGATCGTAGCCCTTGCAACCTCATAGGACATGTTTGGTTCTTGACTCGGGACCCCTGAAACATTTCTTCCGAACAAGGGGGAGGGCCGATACCAGATCTAAGACATGCAGAACTATAGAGAACTAAAACTAAAAATAAAATTATCAAATTGGAATTAAATTAAAATAAACCCACGAACAACCACCCCTCCGGCTCGCGGTTCAAAGCCCTACTCTATTGTGCGGTTCAGACCACGGCCGATCTGACCTGCAAAACTCGGTGAAAAGCGTGGAGACGCACCCCTATGTTGTAGTAGGCACTGATGGCCGGCAACGAACGGGGACGAGAGTTCGTTAGTTCACTGCAGTTAATTTGCGCCTGCGTCTAAGAAAATAGTGCCCGAGGATGGCCGCCACCGGCCACATTCCAGTTTTACCCACCCACTAGAACGGAGTAGACGGAGAAGACGGGCACGGACGGAGTTCGCCGTCGCGTCCGTTCTTTGTTGGGAACCACTTATGACGATGTGTCAAGGGTTTTGTTGCATGTATTGCTTGGTGGCGTCTGGATCGCGATCTCGGCCGGGACCGGATATCGGGAGCGCCATGCGCGATGCGCGATGTTGCTAGAATGCACTCTCCCACCTCAACCAGGCATGGAGCCAAGGAGTATTCCGTACAGGCCGAGCTAGCCTTGGATCCGGGTTAGTTCTCATCTATCTTTAACCTTCCACCAAACTAGTCCAACTATAGCGCGAGTGGGTAACGACGCGATGCCAAGTGACGATTCCACGGGTTCATATCCTAATTGGGAGCGTACGGTACAGAAATTCAAGGGTGTTTGTACGATGTACGGTCAGAACATGACACGGCGAATTTGAGATCTCCACAGGGATGTCGACCCAGACGGGGGTGCCCGGGCTAATTGGATTGCTTTTGGGATCTGAAAGGTTAGCCTTACCCCGGGCAATGATGACACGAGTTTGTATGATCGGGGGAGTCGATCTAGATTCCTCGATCGCGATCTATTGAATACGATGATATCGTCGAGAACCCAATCAAGGGTCTAACGCAGTGACTGCAGTTACACTTTGGAGTAGGCAAATATGTACTGCAGAAGTAGACGAAAAAAAATAAAAATACAGTCGAACACCGGGTAATTATTTAGCAAAGCCTAACGCAAAACAATCCATCAAGATTTCAAATCAAATCACTACGATCTGGGATCTCGATCGATGCCACATCCCTGCTAGTGGCTGCCTCGGGCCCCGCGCGGTTGGAACGCTTCCAAATCCCTGGTCATCTTCACCGTCCTTTGAATGGATCGGGGACCGACAAGCCACCACAGACAGCCTAACAGGTCAAATCGGTCCAATTACCCCATGCGTTGCAGCGCAATCTCTCCGAAAAGGGGTTCCTGGGGCCTGTCAGAATGCATGACAAATCCCGAGACGCGCCACGCGCCCAGGATGTGCGGGTGCCTTTCGCTTCCTTTAGTGGCGGTCTGACTGTTTTGGGGTTTGGTGGAGGCAATTTGGAGAAGTATTTGAGATTCTGTCCGTAGATCGATCCCTAGAACGATGACGCTATGTGTGGTCGGGTCCTCCCTGCGGTCTACCCTCTCTTTTCCCGTCTCCGATCCTCAAATCTTAGCCTGCACCGAGTTTACTCTGCAACTATTGGCTATGCGAGGTGTGTATTTCGGCCGAATTGGCTCGAGTGTTTGCCTTCTCATTTCTCTTGTTCTCTTTTAGGGGATAGAGTTCGTTCTCCAATGGCCATCGCACTGCAGGACATGCCCGGGTATAGTTACAGCCTGTCGACCACACACACAACCACGGAACGGGCCTGATCGCCACAGCCCTGCGCTGTAAGGGTTTTCAAGTGATGCCGTCATTACTTGGCATGAATTTCTACGACGGTCAAGGCCAAGCAAAGAATCCCTATTTTTGATCGAGTAACTACGGTATAGTTGCAGTGCCTCGCACGTAGTTTGGTTGAACCAAACGATGAGTCTCGGCCTTTGCCGGATGACTTCATTACCGGCCGAGCGCCACGCCGAACCAACTCAATCACCTCGTGGGAACCACGCTTTCTACGGTAGCCGCAATGTCAGTCTACAATCTTATTTTTATTTTTGTCAAATGCCAAGTACAAACCATGAAATCGTGCAGATTCAAATTGCCACCCGCACGACGATCCATCTCTTTTCGATACAAAAAGAAAAAAAGAGGAAAAAAAAAGCAACATTCATCCAATGGAGGTCGTATGCTAGAATCAAGATCGTACACACATCACAGCGCAACATACTCAAACACGCGCAGAGAGAGAAAGAGAGAGCGCGCGCGAGAGAGAGGCTCGGGTACACATGCAGGGTATAAAAAACACAGAACAGTCTTGAACAAAACAAAGCTCATCCGAATCCAAGGCACAAAAAAATGAGAGTAAAATCTATGCTTTGAAGCCGGGCTCCCAACGCTGCGAGGGTATTATATAAGGGCACCGATTAGGAAGGTCCAAAAGAGACACAAAATCAACAAGTTAAAAAAAAGAGAAATGAAAATGCCGGGGCCAAAGAGCAAAAACACTCATCCGAAAATGATCCAAAAAAAAGGCCACTGAACTCCTTTTTGCCTCCCGGTTCTATTTCCCGCCCTTTTCCAACGCCACATGAGAAAAAGAAGTCGCAGAGAAGAACAGCTTCAATGACTGGTTGGCGATGCGGAGCCGAGGACCGTCTTGGGCTTCAGGTTCGATCCCAGGGTCGCCGCTTTGTTAGCGCCCATCTTTCGGGTCAGCTTGGCGTAATGCAGCCCGCAGGCGTTACACAGCGTTCGGGCACCATCTGGACCGCGACGCCATTCCGGTGTTTCGGCTCGGTTACAGCTGTGGCAACGACCAGGAGGGGCCGCCTTCTGCAGGTACAGGAGATGTGGTTAGCCACTGACAGCTCATAAAGTGGAGTGTGGACACCGTCAACCGTGGTGACAGGTGACAGCTTGGAAGACCCCAGAAAGGGCATGAAAAATCAGAATCAGGGCAAACTTACTCCACGCCGTTTTTTCGAGTCCGGCCCGGCGAACCCACCCGTTCCCTTGAACTCCTCTTGGTACATGGCCATGTGTTCGTCTTCCCCAGGCTTGTACGCTTTGCGTTGCGCCAGCTGCTCCGCCAACGCCTGTTCCTGGTTGACTACCGCTGTCCGTATCCGGATGAGTGCATCTTGGTTCCGACGCTGCATATGGAGCATATCTTCCACCTCCCCCAGCGAGGGCAGAGACCCTAAGACCGGGCCAGACCGTTGGGTCTGGTGTGCACGAGCAGCGTAGTGCCGCGAAAAGTCAAGCGTTCGTGTGCTCATCTCCGAAATCTGTACCAATAAAGAAGTAGAAGTCAGCCCACCCACTCTCGAATTTCGGGTTTTTGGCGCGCCAAATCACACCCCAGCGGATCGACAGGTGACAATCTCCCATGCCCGTCTGTCGCCCGCTGGGTGCGCTGAATTAAAATAAAAATAGTAGCAAAGAAAATCCATACCTCATTCAGAGACGTCTCCACATCGTAAACGTCTAGATGTCGTTTTACCGAATCGCTATGGGGTTGACCCGGTATCGGACGGCCCACGAATCCACCCTTGACCTCTTCCACGCGCGTCGCACCCATGTACGGTCGACTATCGTAATGCGCCGGAGGGTATGTCGGGCCGCTCGGTTGCTGGGAATAGGAATAGTTCGGAGGGAAGTGAGTGTAGCCGTTGGGCGAGGCGACGCTGCTGGCGGAGGGCGGCGCGCTGTAATCGTAGCCGGAGGAATTTTGCGAGCCGGAGACTGAAGTAATGCCGGTTTTGGCGCTCTGGGTCGGGGACTTGCCGGTGCTCAGTGAATGGAGCGACGCGTTCCGTGAATCGGCCGTGTTGATCGAAGCCAGACTATTGCGCGAGGCCTCGGCCTGCAGCTGGGTCTGGTGGGGGTAGCCCGGTTCCCGCATCAAGGAGCCCGACGGCGGACCATTGGAGAAGGGGTTCGGGGGACCTGACGGACCCTCTGCACCGGAGCGCCCGATCAGATGTGAGGGCGGTGCGGTATGCCCGGGTTGTGATTGAGGAGCGGAGGTGGGAGCGGGATAGGGAAGGTCGAGGGCCTCGTGTATGGAGGGAAGGGACTGGCGCGGCGTGGTCTTGTCTTTCTCGTCCTCGAGAACCCGACGCGACTCTGGCGGTGAGATGTAGCCGGGTTGGGAGGGGGCGGTCGTCGCGGGCGGCGCGTAGGAGTAGGGTAGTTGTTGACCGGAATACATGTTGGAGGTGTGGAGGGGGATGGGCGAAGAGACAGCGTGTTTGGGAGCGAACCCCGAACCGTCCTTGCCTAGGAAGCCGATGGCGGGCAAAGGGTCTCTGTTGCGGAAGTCAGCATCGTAGTCCGGACCGACGAGAAAGCCAAACCAACCTGTGCCTTGGTGCGGCTTCCAAAGACCCCATCACGTACTTGGTTGCAAGGTTGGATTGAAAAGTGTCACGCGTGGATGGGCCTCATCAACCGAATGTGAACTTGATGGAATTCCAATCCGAGGTGGGTGACTTGAGCGATTTGGGACTCGGGAGGGACCAGCGATCGAGGGCGGGGAGGCAAGAAATACTCGCGAGAGTCGGCGACCCACGATCTCAGCTTTTTTCCCAATCTTCCCAAGGTTTCTGAAACTGCCAAGCAGCGAGATTCCCCCAGTTTCGTGCGAGTGGCGGAAAGATCGGAGAGATGCGAAGTTCTTGGGGAACCGAGATCCCAGTGAACCGCAGTTGAGAAGATGTGGCGCAGCTCCCGGAGTCCGATGCGATCGGGCGAAAGAGAAGTATACTCTCGCTCTCTACCACTCTTTCTATCGAGAGGTAGCGAGCATCTGAGAGAGTCGCCCGAGAGGTTCACGGTGGAAGAGTGGGAGAGGAACAACGCACAAGACCAGTAATAATGACAGATAGAGGGAGGGTAATATTAAAAAAAAAATAAAAAATAAAAAAAAAGAAAGTCACGATAGATCGTGGAGGGTGAGGATGCAAGGGATATTCAGTGATGGGTCGAATTGTTACCGCGTGGAAAATGGAGAATGCCGAGGGAATGCAAATCCAAATATGAGGCGCCAAAAGAGACTCAGCACGAGGAGGTGGAATGGAGAGTTAAATAAAGTCAGATTTCGATCGCTGGATCGATATATGAGCGAGACAAGAAAGAGGGGGAAAGGAAAGCCAAAAGGACAGGGGATCGAGGCTACTTCATTTCGGGCCTTAGATTGGAATGAACGAGTGGGTAAGGTATCATACAGTAAAGGGAAGTTTAAAATAAAAAAGAATATTTAAAATCAATAAATAAAAATATCGGAGGAATCAAGTGGATCGATGGGAAGCGGGTACCCAGACATGAATTTGGCGTGAAAAGGGTGGAACAAAGGTCGGATACCAGAAATTGAGATCGGTCATGACCCCGTTTTACTGGGGGGCAAATTACAGTACATCTCTACCCACCGGGGTTAAGTCTGTCGACGAACTGGGCGAACTGCGGATCTTCGGTGGAGGTGAATCGTACCTATCATCGCCGACCGAGTCATGTTCCCGTCGATGATCCTGAGCGTACTGATACCGTGCGTGACTCTGGCCCTCTGGACCTCTGGCCCTCTGGCCCTTGGGATCTTTTGGATCTTTTGGACCTTTTGGATCTCTGGATCTCTGGATCTCTGGACCTCTGGAGCCCGCGGTGACTACCAACACCGGTACGACGCTGCGCAGGAACGCCCGAGTACAGGTACACAGGTACGACCGTACTTTGGGATTCGAGGGAATGAGGTAAGATCGATGATTTCACCGCCGACGCTACCGCGCGCTATGCTTATAGCTCACGCTCTATACCCTTCACATGGATCTCTGATCCCGGCCGCAGCCTCGGGAGAGTCTCCCTTTGGGTAGGGCGCGTTCAGATCTCGTCTGCCGGGGATCGGTGTTCAACCCACACAAGTACTGGTACGAAGGGACTACGTGGTGCCAGTTCCGATCTAGCCACGGCATGCCCCCTCCCCCTCTGGGCCTCAGATCTGAGGAATGGGGAGACAAGCCCTCGTCACACAGTCCACCGTGTTGACATCGCAACTGGATCGATGCCGGGGACTCCAATGAGATACTCCTGCTGCACGATCTCCTCGTTCCTGAACATACTTTCCACCAGCCTTCCGGGATCTCGGCCATTCCCATGGTCATCCGTCGTCTCTCATAACCCCCCCACGTCACCAAACATCGCGAGTGTCAAGTTTGACTCCCCTCGGCGCACCTTTTCCACTCCAGCGGGCACGCCGTCTGAGCCCCCCCCAGTCGCATAGCTTAAGCTTCGGATCGAGATCGGACCACCCGGGACGTTATTGGTGAGATCGCGAACGCCCTCAGGCCGCCCGGCGCTCGTAGACGGAGATGCCAGGGACAAAGCCCGGTGACGTAGCTCATTGAAGGGAAAATCGGGTCTGGCGTCCGGATGGCGTTGTGGTGTTGTGATGTTGTGATGTTGCGTTATTTACGTCTTTCCTTTTCCGGCTTCGTCCCCCCTCTGCCGTCTCTCTACGCGCTCTGGAATAATCCAGGCTCCTGAGCTTATCGGAACAATACAACAGCTGGAGCAGCTGGGGCTGTTGGAGACGTCCGCTATGGCCCCCCTCTGCAGACCCGCAATTGGCCGTTGGCATGTCACTCCCATGCGATTCGTGCTATTTCTCCGCCCTTCGCCCTTCCTCCTTCTTCCTTGCCCTTCCCCACCCTCGATCAGGGTCCCATAGAGCGTGATATTAAGTGAAGGTACCGGGTCTCCGGTACCTTTTCCAACCTCGCAGGGGAATCTCATCGCACTTTGGGGGCGCGCGCACAGACGGGACCCATAGCGGGTGCATGGCTCCCAACGGTCGGCCCTTAACTGACTAGTCGCGGGGCCCGAACGTCCAAACTTTCTCGAGATCTTCATACCTGGATCTTGGTTCGACCCTTGAATCCTTCGCGTTTTTTTTTTTTTTTAATTCAGGCTTTCGATCTGGCCCTGATTCTGGAACTGCCCGTCAATGTGATTTCATTCTCTCTGCGGCCCCTATTCCATATGCAGTCGGCATGTAAACAGGGTCTCGACTAATAGGCCCGGGCCGCCGAGAAAACCCGGGGGCTCGCGATTCAGCGCGAGGAATCGATCTACGTGATTGAATCGCAGCCGAGCCAGCGCACCACCCAGATCGCAGGGTTTCAGCCACCGAGCGATGCGTTCTGGCCGCCTGAGATTTGAGATTTGAGATTCAGACCCCATGCACGGTAGGTCACTTCGCTGAACTCTGATCCTGCTCCACTGCATGTGCACAGCGGAGTCCGAACCGTTTCGAAAATCTCTCTGCATGAGCCTTGGCCCGGCTTCCCCCGCTGGGCCGCAGCCCCAGGGCAGGGGGGGGGGGGGAGGCTTTCGATCTGAACTATCGGAATCGTGACCGGTCGCGCGCGGATGAAGTTATGAGAGATCCGATGGCGCGATTGGTAGAACGGTGGCGGTTTCGACACCGGAAATTCACGCCGGAGCCGCTTTGTCGAGGGCGTTGGTTGCCTTGTTTTGCAGAGGCAAACTATGCATCACCCACTAGGCCCCATCACCAACGCATCGAGAAGCTGAATAGTTTCGCATGCTAGCAAACTACGAGCGGTGCGCAGCTCAGCGGTGAGGTACGGTGGAATCGGTGCAGATTTCACTCGTAAACATGTACCGCGTGTAAACAGAAACGTCAGATCCTCCCAACTACCGAAAATTTTACGACCATTTCCCGCAAAAACGAAGCTAGTAACAATGGCCATAATCATATCATTATAGCAATTCCCGGCTAGAAAGTCACTAAAGGATCGACGGGGGGGATAGGACCGTTAGGACCGTTAGACCGCGGAAGACTCGAGCCTGACAAAAGAGGCTGGGAATTTTGCCTATGAGACGAGACGAAGTCGAGAGAGTGGAGCCCGGGAAACCGCGGAGTCTAGTGCTAGCAGGCCGATCAGATAATCCTAACCGCATGGGAATGGGAGCGACAAGGCCTTTGCTCGTTAAGGCAAGAGATTAAGATCCGATCCCAATTTTAGTCCTGCTCAGCTACCTGCGTAAGCCGTAAACTGAAGGGCCGACTCGAGTCGAGAACGGCGCAGAAATCTTCCGATAGTCGACCACTACGGAATCCCACATTCCATCCAACCTGCCAGTATGCTGGCCTCTCGCGGCGATGATCGTACATTGACAGGAGAGAAAAAAGGGGAAAGGGGGCCACGACACTAGACTCGATGAACTTTATCCACATGAATTAAGGAATCCAGCAATGCATGGTTGACCCGTCTTGGGACGGCGGTTCCAGCCGACTTGCAGCTGCAGACATGAACGTTCTCTACCAGCCCGATTACCTCGACATGAGTCAAATGTGCGGGTTGACGCCACGAAATGCCGGGGATCTTAATTCCCGCGCGTGCGCCAACCAGATGGAGCGTGGGCCTGGACAACGGAAAAAGGGGTGTGGCTGGTTGAACTCTCCGAGCGGTGGGGACTCATCCGGTAATCAGCCCGATCTCTAGACTCGAAGGGGAAAGTTGACAGCTGGGGCGTTCTGCAAAATGAACCGCAAAGGTACACCGAATCTGCACGTCGTCTCTAGAAGAGAGTGACAGGCCGGGGAGGGCAACCGGACCACAGGGGGGCGCGGGTGGACAAAAGAGCCCTGCAGCAGGCCAGAACGGGGAATCTGAAATACCTTTCAATCTCGATAATCCCAGGACCAGGATGATTGACCCCGAACTGCTCATCGGGCCCGACTAGGCCGTGTGTCAGATCTGGCATCATGCGCAGACCCTTGTACCCTTACATTCGTACCTTCGTACCCTAGTGTACTCCATACCCAGCTGATACCGATACTAGCTCCGAGCTATTGTCCAGCTTGGCCCTAGCCACTTGCTCCATGACACAAACCACCGCGAGGCAAAACTCCCACCCGTCACCGCTATCAATTCGGCCCGGGGTCCACTATTCATTATTTCATCGTCACAGGGCTACGGCAACCAGGTGGACACAAACAGCATTCTCAAGTGGAGGGGAGGGGCTGGGCAAGCCACAAAGGCTCTAATTGTGAAGCTTCTGCACGTTCCAACCTGGAGTCCAAGCACACGCGGGAGATGCTTTCCAGGCCGAAAAAAGATGGAATTTCCTGAATCTATTTACCGACCCGTCCTCTTGGGTCGGACATCTATCTCCAAACAGAGAAGCCCCTCCGGGATCGCGCACGGCTTGAGCTTACTCGAGTCATGTTGGAGTGATGCCATCGTGTCCGACACTATGGAACAGTGAAACATAGTGCAATTCCACAAGACGAGGGGCGCAATTTAAAGGGAAAAAAAGCCAAAACGGGCTACGACAAGCCGGACCGTTCCCAGACCCACATTCCAATAGACCGCTTCGATCGGCGGGGAGGAAGCTGTTTGGAGGATCCGGCTTGACCGGATCAGACCTACTCTGTCGATACGCGCAGAGTCGATCCGATGAGTAATGGGTTGGATTGACGCTCGCTGCCGAGATTCCCTAGTGGGTTGGCCGTTGTTCTTCCCTCCACGCCATTTGGGCAATGGATCCGGAGGGCTTCTCCATTTTTGACCCACCCGCTGCACCTATCAACTCCTTTTTTTATGCAAATCCCGAGGGACCGGAGAATTCCCCTCTGGAGTAAACAAACCGGGATGTCTTTGGGCCGTATTGTCTGAATGTCTCCGTATCTTGATCGAATCCAATGCAGCCTTGTCTTTTGAGGAACTGTTTCGATTTAAGGGGGGAAAATGATATTGAGGCAAAGCCACAAGGTCGCACGCAACCGTGGACCTCCCATCCCATTCTCCAGGACCATATTCATCCCCAATTCTTCACCCAGCTCACCACCGCGGAGATAAGGATCGGACACAGAAGAATACCGAGGACGATCGCCGATTCACAGCCACTAGTGAGTGAGGCACGCAGAACGTCCTAACTTCTAATTGAGATCCGCCGCGGTGGGGGCCACGGGTAAATGCGACTATTGCTCCATGTTTTTCATGTATGGCCCCCGTCTTCCAGAACGTCGCCGTCGGCAAGATGGGAAAACGGCTACCTCGGATGGCTCTAACGGCGACTAATGTTTTACTGACGATGTGACTGGTACATACTTGCTCAGGAACGAAAGGAGGAATGGAGAATGGAGATTCGCACGCGCTAGTATCCGTTCTGCTCGATCCCGTGTCTAACGGGGTGGGCTCTGCAGTGGCGATTACTGATGACTCGGTCATCTTGGACAGTGTGCGGTGGTGCACGTCACATAATGCTTCCTGTAGCTATGCTCGTCATGACTCTGGTCCTGGCCCCCCTGGCTGTGTCCGGGGCAGGCAACTGACAGGAGACGTGTCAGAACTTTGACACCAGCCCTTCTCCTCGGTCCGGCGGAAGAAAGGGACCTGGCAAATCAAGTTACTTGCAACGAGTCTGTGGCGACAGTCGATCCGTCTCGCACGAGCCCTGGATAACGGGGGTCTTGGCTCTCCCCCCGACTGAGCTCTCGCCGTTGTGATCTAGCGATTGAGATGTTTCTGTGCCGCCTGGACTAAGTGTGCTTGTGCAGAATTGCTTTTACATCGGACGGAATACGAAACGCTCGGATCACCGGCCTCGATACGGACGCTCGATGGCCTAGCCCCTGCCGAAATTATCCCGAGAAGGCGATACGCTTTGAACTTGACGTGCCATTTAGGGCACCGGGATCTCTCCGGTTGCTGTGTACCCTCTCTCCAGGATCCGATGCAGGCCTCGTGCCTGTTCATGCATCGCAAATGTTGGGGATAGCCCAGGACATCGAGTGCTTTCTGTTGGGTCCGCACGGCTAGACGGCACTTGCGACCAGGGGCTGATCCTAGGAAGGGTTATGCCCACCCCTGGCTGACTGCGAGGCTCGTGGGTGGCCAGGTTCCTTGACACCTCAATCATAAGTTTTTGATCTATCTGAATGCTCGCCATGGTATATCGGCATTTCAAAACAGCCAAGAGTCAGAAGTACTCAGAACATTGTAAACCCGCAAACGACAAATCCTATGATTTTGGCTTATGGGATAGGGATGCATTTCAAATGCGCCAATACTCAAATGAATACAGCCGAGAATTGGCGCTCAGATGGACTGGAACGTGCCCATCACCCCGATAATCACATCTATGGATCAAATTTGAGTAAAGAATGACCATTCAAGGATCCGCCGAGCTGCCATGTTGAAGATGTCCATTATACGTACGCAGGCGCGATTTCTCGCTTGCGTGTTTGACAGCTGCCGATGTATGGGTCTCTCTGCACTGGCAAGCCGTCCAGACCGCTTTCAGAGCCATCAGATAAAAAGAGTTCGAATGACAGCTGAGCTACCTGCCGATGGGAAACTCTAAGCTGGTTTCGAAAAGGAAAAATGTCGCCGACCCGGTCATCTATCCGTTTCCGAGTACTTTTCAGGTATTTTCTCTACATCCCGGGGGTCTCCAAGTTTCTGGATCTCCAATTTTCTGGGTCTCCAGGTTTCTGGGTCTCCAGGTTTCGAGATCTCAAACGTAGGTCCTAAAAATGGAAGCATCCAAGCAACCAATGACCTCCGGCGAAACCCGTCCCCACCGGAGGTCCCCATCTCGAACCAAGGATGAGCTCTGTCTCCACGAGGAAAAAAAGGAACAGGTTCGGTCCAGGAACCACACCCAATTTCCACCCTCTCGTTTCCCCCTATCACACGGGAGCTATGAGAAATGAGGTTCATCTCACTGAACATCCAAGCTTCACAGCCAATAGCTTGCTCGGTCGAGGTAGGAAACTACTGCAACGGGAAGGAGACAGAACTCACTAGTCGGCATCCGCAAAATGAGACAGATCCGTGCGATTGACGAGGAACACAACAGCCGAAGGATCGGCAATCGTCAATCAAATCAACCAGCGCGACTGCCGACTGCAGGAACATGGACTGGGCCCCGCAAAAGATCCACGTCAAATTTGGCCATGACAGCAAAACGGTCTCTGCGTTCTCTCGGGGACGTTTTATTCCCCAACATAACGTGTGAAGCGTACTCGGTAGGGGGTTGCGGGCTCCACTCCGAAGTTGAGCGGAAAGTCCAAACTCCTGCTCTTCTTGGTACTCTCCGTAATTTGATCACCGATATTCCTATCCCCGGGTCCCCCCCATGGGAAGGGGATTTAGGGTGGGGTCTCCGGATCTGGATGGTATGGGAACAAACAGGGAGAATCCCGACTTGACGGGTCCAATCTGCCTCAACTCCAGTCTGTCCATGGTGGCTGACCGATTGTGGATGCTGAAATCGACCTAGTACCAACGGGGAAAGACTCAAGAGTATCCGCGCCTCGGGGCCAAAGAGGCCCTTAGGGCGGCGATGTGGCCTTGCCCCGACAGGCAGTACTTTGGGTTCACTCGACGAGACCCCCGTCCAGTGTTACCGTGATCGCCGGCCCAAGGAAAAATAGTGGCGATGGGATCGATCTGCAAATTCATGTGTCACCGAGGTCTTGGTATTGGAGTCTTGGAGAACGAATGACTCGCCCACATTACTTGGTAATAACCCGCCGCTACTCACCTCCAAGCGCGGGGTCCTTTGCCCTAACCCCGATGCCTGGTGCGGCCTGGATGCCCGGTACCTTGTGTGGGCAGTGGACCAGTGAGACCAGGATGACGGAAAGCTAATCAAGAACCCGAGCGCGAGGACAAGTTCCTTTGGTGAGCGTGCAGCTGCTGCAATGCAGGAGGCCGAATGAAGAAGGCGATCGAGTCCCATACCCAATATGACATCTCGCCGTCCCATCGAGGGGGGAAGGGCCCGCAGAGGCTACGCTCGGCGTTGGCATCCGCTGCAGAAATCGTATGATTTCCAAATTTTAAGCTTTGCCTGCGGGCTGGCGCCGTGCCTTGTTTCTGTACTTTTGGTGCTAGGTGGGTAGCATCATATGCAGGTATCTCACTGGTGCTCGATTTGAGTTGGTTCCAGTACGGAGTAGGCAAGGTGTAAATGCAACGCTTTACAACTGCCTATGCCTGAATGAGGATAGTCTCTGGGCGTGTCTCTACTTTGACTTCTTGGGAGTTTGTCCAGGCAACCTTATTAATTGACCTTCCCAGGTTTGCTTCCTCACATTTTCTTGGATCTGATCGTTGTTGGGGGCCGGATATACCTCTCTCACGAAGTGTCTTCTTTGACCAACATCTACACCACCACCAACATCGGAAACACCATTTGAAACAGCACAGCAAGGAAGAGGAGCCGTCAGACCTTCTAGACTACTCTTTCTCATTTCCACGTCTGTAAGAATTGCCAGTGATTGCCTTGTAGTTGCCTCATCACGTGATCGGACATTTGCATGTCGTAGAGCTCAACGAGGAATATCGCTCTGACTCACTTTCACTTGTCACCCACACTCTAAATTCACCAATTAAATCCACACAAAATGCCAGCTCTCATTTCACTGGCAGAAATTCCGACAGTTTCTCGCCTGTACCAACTGAAGAAGCTAGTCCCGGCATCCTCAACCAGCAGCACCCCATCACAGACTCTTAATGACATCATCTCGCTCATCCGCTCCGACATCACCAAGCTGCAAGTCGACGGTATTGTCAATGCAGCCAACGAGTCTCTTCTCGGCGGTGGCGGCGTCGACGGTGCAATCCACCGAGCCGCTGGTCCGGAGCTCCTAGATGAATGCGAGGACCTGAACGGGTGTGACACTGGCGACGCAAAGATCACTTCAGCCTACGAGCTTCCCTGCAAGAATGTAATTCACACCGTGGGTCCAATCTACCGTGATGAAAAGCGTCAGGACCCGGGCCGTCCTGAGATATTGCTCCGGTCTTGCTACAGACGCAGCCTGGAGGAGGCGGTGCAGAGCAATGTGAGGAGCATCGCGTTTGCAGCCGTCAGTACCGGTGTCTATGGATATCCCAGTGATAAAGCAGCACGGGCTGCTGCTGATGAAGTGCGCAAATTCTTAGAAAAGCCTGAAAACGCAGGCAAACTTGAGCGGGTCATCTTTTGCAACTTTGAGCGGAAGGATGAGCATGCTTATGAGGATGTGATTCCGTGAGTTACTTCGTTCCTGCTGTTATGGGTTATCAGCTAACGAGTATCAGCCAAATCTTCCCGCCCACTGCGCAAGATCTGTCCACCTAAGAAACTATCAACGGAGATGCTAAAGAGACCGCCAAAGAGGGTCTCTTTCTCAATATATGAATAACGATCAATGATCCACGGGCTGGTTTTCGTCATGATATCGTTGCTCAACACCAGCCATATTCAAGAATTTTCTAAGGTAATACTTTATTTTTTGGTAAATAAACAGTAGAATAGAGAAACATGCCCGTATCTAGACCGATATGGCAGTTGTTTTGGCCAAGATCGGTGCAAACACATGCAAACAGAAGCTCCGCTATCAATTTATCAACTCCGAAGATCGCGCGAGATTCACAGATTCTCTTGAACTAGCATTCCCAGCGTGTCCCCCTTCGAGTCGTTTTATGAAAATGAGCAGTTGATCCAAAGCCCACCTAATTCAACTTCGATCCACCCAAATTCCATTCCATCCGCCCCGACACCACCAACATGCCACCCCAAAACCAACCACCGTCACAACCGAAAGTGCGCATCCTTAATCCATACGAGGCCAAAAGACTCTCTCGTAAATCCACCACACCAGAAACACCACAGTACACCTCATTACTCAAGCGCGATGCCCCTGGCCCAAGCCTCACGCGCAAACGCTTCCTCCCAACGTTCATCTCCAACATCCGCGAGCGCTACGCCTCCCTCCCATCACCGGTCCGTCGAACATGTCGCGCACTCCGCATATTCGGAACGCTCGTCCCGATCGGGCTCTTCTTCTCTTCACACGTGGCGCAGGTGATGTGGGTGCGCGGGCCGTCGATGACGCCGTACTTGAATGAAGACTACGACCAGATGCAGACGAAGAGCGACATGGTGCTGGTCAGTATGTGGCCGTTTGGCGCAAGCTGGCCGTGGCAAAGACAGCGACAGAGGCGTCTTGAGCGGGGGATGGTCGTGACATTCCGGTATGAGACCTTTTAACTCCATGCGACCGAAGGAGACGGAGACTAACGGTGTGTTGTAAACAGATCGCCGGCCAATTCTTCGCATATCGCTATTAAGCGCGTTGTCGGACTCCCCGGGGACCGAGTTTCGACTCGTGAGCCGTGCATGAAAGCTACTCAGATTGTTCCCTTTAACCATGTCTGGTTGGAGGGTGATGCGGAGGACCCGCGGAGGACGCTTGATAGTAATACCTACGGGCCGGTTAGTATCAGCTTGATTACTGGCCGGGTGCTCGGTGTGCTGGCTCCGCGCATGCGCTGGTTGAATTGGCAGGATTGGGAGACAGGCAAGGCGGACGATGCTAGGCCGAGTACTCGGCCCGGGGATATTTACCGACAGAGTGTGCGAGACCGGGTTGTGAAGGAGGCAGTGAGATTGGAACAGCCTACCTTTGACTAAGAGAGTATCTACGATGGTGTTGGAACCCTTCCGTGTATATATATGTGGATATCTTGTATTACTATATTCAATAGCGAGCGCTCATGTATAAAAGATAAGAGCAAAAAAGACGAGACTCCAAAAGAAACAAACTCCATGTAGACATGGTGCTATGTGTGTTCGTGCAAAGAAGAATGAGATAATAACCGTCATCACAGAGAAACAATACGAATGTCTTCCTGTTTCTCCTCCTGGAGGCGATCTATCTCCGACGAGATACTCAGGACCCAACGGTCTTTCTCGACCCGACTGCGTGCTTTGAACACGATCGTCCGACCGTGCTTGCCCAGTGTCGACACGTGGCGTAGGGACCGTTTCGCTTCACCCGTGGCCTCTCGTTCATGAGCGCGGAAGTAGCTCTTGCTGAGAGGCTGCCAAATGACAAATGTGATCGACGTATCCTCGTCACGGCTAGTGAAGGCACCCGACGTGAGATACACTCGCGGCAAAGCGTGGAGACCTGGGTTGTTGCTGTCGAATGTCTGGTTGGCGTATAGCAGGTCAGCCTCCGTGACAAGTCCGGAGTAAATGTAGCAGTCACGCAGGTCGATAGTAGCTTCATGTTCTTGGTGAATGTGTGGGATCTGGGCACCGTTCCCCTTGCGCAGCGTAGAGCGGAAGATGAGAAGTTGCCCAGCAATGAGGAGCACATTGCACCTGGTGAAGGTGGCATGGCGACGAGGCTTGCGATAGAGGTGGCCAGACATCTTGATTGTACGACAGCCCACTAGCGAGCAAATGTTGTGGAGATGAGGCGAGGCCTCGGCCTTTTTTACCTCCCATTTCTCTGCAAACTGACCCACGATCGACTCCATTTCCTCGTCGATGTCCAGTAACTTGAGGTTTCGCCGCCGCACGGCCTGGAGTTCAGCTGCGTCGTCGGCATTGCGTGTTGTCCAATATTTCACCAAAGCATCTAGACGCTTGACCCATTCGCTCCGGGAAGCAGCGTCGTAGGCCTGCAAGCGGACAACCAGGCCATTGTCCAGCACCATTTCAAATATCCTGTCGTCATCAAATTGCTTGGTTGAACCATCGTCCTGCCTCGAATCTGCTGCTTCCGGTTGGAAGTCCACAGCAGGCCCCTCTGCAATGTTGGGGTCGGCTGGGCTACTCCCGCGCTGGACCAGGCGTACTTCTTTCACTCGACAAATATCAATATACCCATCTGCATGATTGGTATTGTGCACATTCCTCTGCAGCTGGGCATAGGCTTCTTCATCGTGCCTTTGGACAAACTCAGCGTTCCCACTTGACAGCCACGTGATGTCGCCATCTTTGATCGGATATGGGTTGATTTCCCAGGAATTCGGCATCTCATCAATGATCTCTCGATAAGACGGCACGCTCTCGTCCCCACCCATCGGAGCAAGCTTCGGCGGCGTTGGGGGATAAGCTTTAGCCGGCCTGCAGAACAACAGGTAATGATCCTGCGTGAAGAAGTACAGCCGCTTGAAGAACATTTTGTTCTTTCTCTGGTGCACACCTTTCTGAGAAGTAAGTCGAATCAAGAATCCCTCGACGGGCGACGGCTCCTCTTCCTTCTTGCCTGCCTGCATTATCGCAGTAGAATAATGATGGCGAGGCCGCAGTTCAAGTTCATGTGATGACTCCATCGCCATAGTTCCGTACATGTTCTCCTCGTTAGGTCCAAACAACCACTCTAGACGATCATACCGCTTCCAGGCAAGACCCATTTTCTCGGTCTTAGACCAAGCCCGTAACACCTCTGCCCATTCAGGACGGCCCTCGAGCATCTCCATGCATTTGCGGATAATAGTAGCAGTGGCATACTTCTCATCCGTAGACCGAGGCAGAACTGTAGTGTGTCGATTGTCGTCATCGGTCACTCCGAGGCGAGCCTCTAGTTGCTCAAACGGATGCTTGAAGACCAAAGAGACCCCCAGATCAGGTACATGGATAGGTAGCTTGGTCGAACGCCGCCAGCCCAGCACCTGGCGGATGAAGGTGTACCATTCAGTAGCATGGGCAGTTGATTTGGGACGGATGATGTAGATTTTGGTGCCATGTCTGCGAGGGTGCCAGACCACGAGGGTCTTATCCAAAGCAGAATAAAGGTTGACATTGGTGTTCCTGTGATTTAACAGGATCTCGTAGTAGGGGCGGGATTTGTTATTCGGGCTCTGTGCATCGGGGATCACGCGCGTGCGGTACATTTGCAAAGCAAACGGTGCATGCTCTGCCGAGCTCTTTCGACAAACCACCAAAAACTCTCGCCATTTGTCCACGCTGCGAGATTCCATCCGTAGGCTGTCATTCTCACTATAGTCGGAAGGCAGATTCTCCTTAAGAGTCTCTTCAACGCAAACAAGCATCCTTTCAGCTTTGACGATCTCCCCATCCTGTACTTTCCTCCGACGAGGACGATTCGCAGCGATAGTACCTCCAGTCTTAGCTATGCGGGAGCGCAGTCTCTGCTGCTTATCCTTGACATTGTCATCCAAGTTGTATTTCGCGTTGTATTTCGCCATCTTCTTGGTTAATCGCTGTGGCATGTGCCTTCCAGGCCCAAAACCTTCTTGATGGGTTTCGTCCTCATTTTGGGGCTCCTGTTGGTCCAAGGAGAAGTGAGTTGTGGAAGATATCTTGCTGGCTTTGCTCTTCAGTTTTGATTTGAACAAAGGCGTGGCGGAGTCGGCTTCGCTTGCTACTGCGGAATTGGTAGATATCAAGGGACTCTGACCGTTTTGGCTGGCAAAGCTCACACCTTGCGATCCTTGCGATTGGGGTCGATGGCTAGGAGGCTGCAGCCCCGTGGCGCGCATGGTAGAAGACGTTATATCCGTGTCTGCGGAATTGGATTCGAATTCCCTGGCCGTCACGAAAGAAGAAGATGCAATCGTACTGTCGTAAATCCGCTCTTGCCTTCTTGAGCTTGCCCTCGGCGTAGCATCGGAATCTTCATCGGAGGGTTCCTCTTCTGTCTGATTCGCTTCCTCTGTTTCTGTGGCCTCTGTGCCTGTGGCCTCTGTACCTGTAGCCTCTGTGCCTGTAGCCTCTGTGCCTGTAGCCTCTGTGCCTGTAGCCTCTGTGCCTGTAGCCTCAGTGCCTGTAGCCTCAGTTTCCTGTGTTTCCTCTGGATGAGTGAGCGTACGAAGCTCGCCTGTGGGCTCTTCGCTTGAATCTTGCTCAGCTTCTGTTTGCTCGGCCTCTGTATCGTCTTGTTCCGTTCCAGGATCTTCATTCGTATGCGTAAAGGTGAGGGCGACCTCCTCCAAAGTTGGCGGCGAAACAACGGCCTGGTCCTGGTTTCGATTCTCATCGTATTGGCTGTAATGGGAGGCGATTGGATCCGCTGAAAATGATAAGGTCTGGGATGTGTAATTCTTGAATCGCAGCCGAGATTTATACCAGGACTTGCGGTGTCCATGAATCCAGCCTTCAGGAATCGGCCCGATGAAGAAACGCCGGTTAGTCATGTGCAAATGATGAGCGGAGGCATGGCGCTGTTCATAGAGACGGTGATCAGACTTGAGGTGGATATAAGGTGCGGTGGGACAATCAATTGACCTACCAGCTTCAGATCCGTGTAGGACCCAGACGGGAGACCCTGGTATTGCTCAGGTTCCGCTGCGCGGATAGCTTCCTGGGCCGAGCCGTGGGCCTGATCCGGAGCGCTCATGGCACCGTCTCGTTACCGACCGAGCGGTTGAACTGAATAACAGCAGACTGCACAGCAAGGAGCGGACCACGAACGGGGAGATCGACCAGGCAGGAGGGGATTGCATAGCGCGATCGATCGAGGATCATCAAGCGATGACGTAGTGTATGCAAACAGTCACGTGCCGTTCATGTTTGCATCGTTTACACTGTTTGTTGCCCCATGCGGACCCCGCGGCGGGTGATTGGGCTGCGTGGCACCGCAGCGGTGAGGGACAACTGTTGATACCAGTCCTGTCACTTGTCTGTTCGCTTTTCCTCACTCCAATTGCTTCAATTGACACATTTCATCATGGCTGCTACTTCCGCCGACGGTACCTGGTTCGACACCCTCAAAAAGTCCTTCGCGGAAGTCCTCATCGATGCCGCCAAGGACGACGCTATCTCCACTGCTGAGTTCCTCGAGGCCGCCGAGTCTCTGGTGACTCTGTTTGGTGAGTATTGTCGTCTCACTGCATGCAGATATTCGACACTAATGCAATCCTTTCTCCAGACGTCATCGGCTCCGCAGCCTTCGGTCCCGTCAAGAGCGATTTGCTGGGCAACATCAAGGTCCGAGGTCTCCCTGTTCCCCTCCGAGATATGGACAGGTGCTGATATCTACAATAGAAAGTCAAGGATCGCATGCTAGCTGCCCCTGCTGAGTCCCAGACCCTGCAGGATCTGGTCCTGAACGAATTGAAGACTGGCAAGCACACTGCCACCGAGGGTCTGGTCTGGCTGGTCCGGTAAGTCTCCGCGGTACTTTTGAATCCTTCAGGCACCACTTGTTCAAGCATCCTGGATATATGACCATGCGGATATGTGACTGATCTTATTTGATATCCATAGCGGCCTCGATTTCACTGCCCAGGCTCTTCGGCACAACCTCGAGAACCCGAAGGAGGAGTTGTCTGCCTCCTTCCGCCATGCCTACGGCGGTACCCTCAAGCCCCACCACTCCTGGGTGATCAAGCCGGTGTTCAGCGCTGCCATGTCCGCAACCCCGTACCGGGCCGACTTCTACAAGAAGCTGGGTAGCGACCAGTCCAAGGTCAACACTTCCATGGAGAAGGAGGTCGCGGCTCTGGAGAAGGTGGTGGCCATCCTAAAGACCTTCCAGGCGCGCAAGGACGCCCAGTGGAAGTAAATTCCCCTGAACAGATCTTCTGATTCGATTATCGGGGATGGTCTGCGGTGTAAATTTGATATGTACATATTGGATTGGATCTGTGTCTCTGCGAGCACGTGAGTTTCTTCGACATAGCGCGATATAGCGAATCCACATTAGCTTTTGCTGCGAATGTATTTCCCTGTTATCGAACAGGGCAGGATGGGTTGGACATGTAGATGATGTAAAGAGTAAACTTCGTTACTACACGCTCAGGCCGCTGGGATTTGGCTAAAATGCGGCTGCTTTCGTAACCATAATCACATGGCCGCTAGTCTTTTTTACCTTTCAACTCGCTTTTTCCCGGGTCTATGGATACTCACAAATGATCATCGATGCGGCGTCCGGTAGTCTGCAATACCTTCTCCCCGAACACGAGGCGCACCAGGGCGCAATTCGACAAGCTGCCCTAACGGGCTAGACCGGGGCCACATGGAGTAAACCACGTTTCCCGGTACCGTGATGGACTGGACCACCTTACGGCAGTTGGAACATTTGCTGGAGATCGAACATTTAATTTGTGGCGATCCACTCAGACATTCCACGTTTCCCAGATTCTATCTTTAGTCTATCTTTAGTCATGCGGAGATCAAGTGCCCTAAAGACGACCAAGTACATCGTGTAGAAAGTCTAACTTGGATAACATATTGGGACTGCAAGGGCATTCACGGCTAGCCATGACAATGACATTGTAATAGTGCATGATTGACATCCAAAAAGGCCTAGAATCAGACGACAACTGAATCCGGATGTCAACCCGATTTTACACCCTAAGTGATCCACCCGTGCGGTGGAGACGACAAAGTTATCAGGTAATTTCCGACCAGTCCATCGCACTGCAGATCATGCCTCGCTGCTCGTACGGCAGAGTCTCTTCTCCCTGTCGATCGTTGTTGGGCGTCCCTTCTCATTCCTGCTGAAACAGTAGTGCTCGGGATGGATTTCCAACGGTAATTGTCGGCAATTATACATCGGCGATCTCGATTCGATACATCGTGATCAAGATCGGTAGCAGGTACCAGCAGTTCATGGCGCCACGCCCCCCTTTCGCCAGACCAGTGATAGGTAGGTTAGAACCTTGGGAATAAAATGGATTGCCCTGCCAGGTTGAACTCTAGTTACGTTATTAAGCTCGCCTGCCGCCTTTTAAGCCCCTGAGGCGTGGCGATGTGTCATCGTATCCCGGGCAGGGGGCAAATAAACCTCGCATAACGTTATGTCGAACGCTAGCCGTGGCCATGACCTCCTTGAACAACCAGAAACAGCCTAGCGGCGCTCCTCTTCCTTCAGCGGACGCAAGACCAAGAGTCCGGTTCCACTTGGGCTGGAATTATCCACATTTCTCGTTGGCGAGATGCCTGTCGCGTTTTGGCAGCAAACTTGTTCGAGTCATGTCACCGAGCCTTGTTCTGACGATGAAACCCGGTGCCACGGTCTGAGCGCCCCAGATCGCTTAAAACCAAGTCCAAGTTCTAGCCACAGCCGTGGTGGGAGTGTTTCAAGTGGTCTGTGAATGGCACCGTCGGTATTTGCAGTTAGACTTTTTTCTCCACACGGCATCCATGGAAGAAAATCTAACCTTCCGCGTCTACACGCTCAATCCTTCATTTATCCTTTGGAAATTCCTGGAGATGTGACATATACACTCGTCCGGGATTTATCGAGCCTCCGATTTCAAGGACAAACACGCGAGTCCCGGCAGAAAGTAGCGTGGTCGACCCACTCCTCCACGGCTCGTAATCCAAACCGTAGAACGGGGTGAGCGCCAGTAGGCGGGATACTCGGATCCCACCTTATTCCGCTCCCACTAGTCCCGCTTCGAATATCATCCCGCGAAGCCTCAGCGAGTTTTCGGTCTAAATACGGAGAACAGCGGATACCCACCACGACCCTTTGACCCCGTTGCCACCCTTGACGGAGCGCATCCTTAGCTCGTGACAGCCTTTTTCTGTCCCTTTTTCCCAGCTTTTTCTCCTCATACTCGATCTGACAGCTACCCTCGGTCACATCTGATTTACATCGGGCCTGCACGAGTGGTGGGAATCATGAATTGGGAGTGACACCGTTTTCTCAACCGACTATCACTATGTTACCTTTGGATGGTCGCAGCGAGACGATTTTTATCGTGACTACTATTTTCTTGGGCCTTTCGTTCATAGCGGTCTGTCTGCGATGCTTTGTCCGGCTCAGGCTCGTAAAGGCCTTTGGCTACGATGATGCGCTGATGGTCTTTGCAATGGTACGTCTTATTCCTTGGCTGCATTTGCGCGCCCTTTGCTAAAATTTGGCTAGGTCTTGAATGTCCTGTTCGCCCTTTGTGGTATCACCGGTGCCCTATATGGAATGGGCCAAAGAACCCCGGTACTTCTGGAGCGCGGCACCATGGAAACTGCCATGTTTGTATGTTTTGCTCCTGCCCCCTGCATGACTTACTTCCAATGTACGAACCACATGAGTCAACGATCACATCTAACAACTTATCAGTGGTGGTGGCTTGGCCAAACGAGCTATGTCTGGGTTTGCGCAATCGCCAAGATCTCGATCGCCGTTGCCCTTCTCCGTCTCACCGTCGCTAAAGTTCATACCGTCATCCTATGGGTCGTCATCGGCGTCACTGGGATCATTGGTCTAATATTCTGGTTCATGTTGACCCTACAGTGCACGCCAGTTTCGTTCTTTTGGCAGCGAGTCCGGCTGGAGCTCGAGCCACCGGTCTATGTTTCCGGCACTTGCATGAATCTCAATAGTATCATCGCCATCGCCTACGTCTATAGTGTCGTCGCTACATGCTGTGATCTGACTCTGGGACTCCTGCCGGTGTTCCTCGTGTGGAACTTGCAGATGAATATACGGACCAAGGCTGCTTTGGCCGGTATTCTGGGCATGGGTTGCGTGTATGTCCCTAGATTTCTCTGGAATGTCCTGTCCGGTCCGATGCTAACCGATTTGCAATTTAGTGCCAGTGCCGCAGTCATCGTTCGCATTCCCTATCTGCAGGACTATAAGGACCCCGATTTCTTATGTGAGTTTCACTTCTGCCCATGAATTGGGTGAAATTGCCTCCGGGAGGGCGGCAGGCAAACGGGACCACAATACTAACGCAATCAATCTCCACAGACGCGACCACCAACATCTCCATTTGGTCCAACGTTGAAGCCAGTCTGGGCATTGCTGCCGGTAGTCTCGTTACCCTCCGCCCACTCTTCCGCTGGTTTCGCGATCCCAGTTCCGCTGGCAGTCGGAGCAAAAGCAAGCGGACAGGAGGCAGCGTACCGTTGTCCAGTGTGAACGCTCCACGGTCGGACCCCTCAGGGCCTCAGTACTGGCGCCCGGACCTGGACCCAGAGGATTCGCAGGCAGTAATCACGACCATCCATACCTCGAATCATGGCAGCCGTACGAGTAGCCAGGAGGATCTGAATCCCAAGCACGGGACCTTCTTTTCCGGGGTGAATGTGCAGAAGACCTTTTTCGTTTCTGGGGAGGATTCTCGGTGATCAAAACTGGAATGTGTCCTTGTATTGATTCCAAGCATAAATGAAATAATAATTGAACGTACCTAATTGCAAACAAAGGACTGAGATCAATGGGCCCAGTATGTATAAATAAATTGCACACAATATACCCCCCAAAAGTTCCATCCACAAGGATTCCGAGGTTAAAAAATTGACAGATAAGCACGTGGATCATTGTGAGACAATAATTGCAAAATAGTGTGCACCGCCAAGCCAGCCACAAATCCTTCGTGCATGCATATTGTAAAATGAAGGATCAGTCGGTCCGACCCCGGCTACATAATTTTGCTTAATTTGAATGGCCCCCTTTATGTATCCATAGATCCCACTGCCTTTCACCAAGCCCTGCCGGGCTAGCTCAATCGGTAGAGCGTGAGACTCTTAATCTCAAGGTTGCGGGTTCGACCCCCGCGTTCGGCTATTCCTACAAAATAACCTGAGATATCTTTTTTTAGTATTTTATTTTTATTTTATTACAAACCCATTTTTTGGCTGTCAGGATTTTCGAATCATACCTTGGGGTAGACAGAACAAAAAGAAATCCATGGATCCTTTCCAACGGTTTCTTTCTCAATTGACTGAGGCAATTGAGATGATTAGAGTGAAAATGTACTTTCAAGGTTGACCCAGAACGAAGAGCCAATTGTGGCTTTTTTTTACCTCCAGTGAACTACGCAAACAGAGAAGCTTCAGAGCTCTGCAGCCTTGCCTGGGTGACAGCAGTTAGATCTTGTCAACACCGAGGGCAGGGATAGAAGGGGCCATCCAGTACCGGACTACTTTCTACTATAAAGGTTGGTGACAGAACGTGAACACTTCACATTGAAGAACACAATATAGCTAGTTAAATTGATTATATAGCCCTGAACGACCGCCAACGCCCGATGCTATGCATATATCATCGAAAGGTGCTCGAAAACGCCTTAGAGAATAGCAAAAAATGGAAATAGACAAAAGGAAAATGAAGACAGACAGGTGAATGACAACATGCTATGCATCACCTGTGCAGGATATATGAAACGATTGACAGCTCAGAAAGAGATCAAGAATTGGCTTGCAATGTGCCAGTGTAGACGCCTTCGAAGTCCAGCCCGGAGAGCATGCCGTTCACCTTGTCGATCTCACGGCTCAGGTCCTCGACATTCACGGCGAGGCTGCTCACCTCGTCGAACTTGCGCCGTCGATTGGCATCGGCGATCATTTCGGATACGAAAAATTTCTGCTCCTCCAGCACGATTAGACGCTCTCGCAGGGACTTTTCTTCTGCTTCAAGTGCGGAGACAGCACTGCTTGACTCGCTGGCTAGGCTGCTGTTGCTACCGCTGGCGGCGACGTGGTTATTATATTTTATAGATGCAAGTGCCGACTCTTGAGGTCGAGGAGTAGGCAACCCATTCATTGGAGTGGATGGGGAGGATGTGCGACTGGGGATGCGGTCTCCAGCGAGAGAAGCATGTTTGAGAACCTTGGGAAGGGATTTCAAGGGTAGCATGTGGAGATGGAGGAAATTGCTGGCTTGTTGATATATGGCTGTTTGTAAGCGCTGTTGAGTGGGTGACTGAGTGGGTAAGTCGCGGATGCGCCGAGCTGCAACATCGTACTTTGCAAAAGAATCCATCAGTCGCTTGCGGACTTTGGATGCGTCTGCTATTTGTATTGAGGTTGGTGGACGCCTTGGATCTCTGCTACAATGTTAGTAATTGCCCAAAGAATCCAGAGGATAATCATACTGTAATGCAGTGAGAAGTTTCTGGAACCTGGGAAGGTGCAGACGGATGCCTCTTTCAAATTGGACCAGGTTTTCATACGCCCTGACCTCGGGGGGTTTCCGTGTGATGTCTGCCTGGAAGTCTCGTCGGTCGAATAATGTAGCCTTGCAGGTTTTGCAAAGCCTAACATCCACATTGATTAACTTGTCGGTAGCAGATTTCTCGGAGGCTTTCGAGATGTTAGAGATCATTTCATCCTAGGGTGGATTTGGAAACTTACGAGGCGCGATGCTCAACCCCACCTCACTGGAACAGCCAGTATTCGGATCACCACAAACAACCCGCCCGCAAGTCCTGCAATGATGTCTCCGAAAGGAGTAGCCAGAGAAGTCCTGTTGACAAAAGGGGCACCGAGAAACGCTCGCATCATCCTGCCAACTGACAATTGTTTGTTCCAAAGCCTTTCGCTGATCATTCTGCCATGCCATGGAGAACAACTTTGTTGCAGTAGGATGTATTTGGTCGGGTGGCAGGCTGGCCAACAATTGCGTGAGTCGAGTTAATCGCTTCTCGAGCCGAGAAACTTCCAAGAAATCCTTGTCGACCGTCTGCTTGCGAATAGCTTTAAATGCTGATGTTTGGTCCCTGATCGTACCTATTTTTTATTAGCATGATATGCAACCTCAAAGGATTGGGCCTGCTCACCGGTATGATCATTGTAGCCTTCCCTCGACTTATAGCATGTTTCGCATACTCGTGCCCAAATACCCCTCACGGGTTCGTGTTGTGCCGATCGCGATAGTTTCATTTGATACATGGTATGCTCCTCGCAAAAGAGCTTCCCGCACTTCCGACAGTTGACGCACCCGTTGGTGGCATTAAGTCGTTTCCCGCACGAAGGTTCCAGACACATATCATAAAGACAACCAGCTTGCCAGTGTTCCTTTGTAATTAGGTCTTCGGGATCGTGTAGTTTCGGGGCCGAGATAGAAGCCTCGGGCGGCCCGGCATGAGCTGCGAGTGGGCGGCTCGAAGTCGAAATCGAAGTCGAAGTCGAAGTCGTTTGATTCTCGTTTGATTCGAAGACATCCAGGCCCTTCAGCTTCTGATTGAGCACGGCAAGGGGCTGAAACTTTCTCGCCTTCTCCATCTGGACCTTGAACCAGTCCTTGACCTCATCTTGTCTGTCGTCTTCTAGGTTTTGGTGGATGTCGTCGAGGTGCCTGTCGAGATGTTAATGAACGCTGCGGGCGATGCACAGGATGGGGAGAGGTTTGGGAGGTACCTGTTTAACTGTAGTAGAGTTACCTGAAGCAAATCAGCATTATTTCCCGGGCTGCGATCACGCATAGGTTACGAAACATACCATCTCCTCATTGCAGATCGGACAGGTGAGCAGAGCTCCGGGAGCAGCCGGGGCCGCAGAGATGGAGGTATCGCCATTCTCAAGAGAGATGCGCGAGGTGAGATCTTGGGTCGCCGATGAGAACTGTGATACAGACGTTTGCGAGCTGAGGGAAACGCTGCTGGCGGTCGGCGACAGCACCCTTGGCTTCGGCTGCGGGGACGGGGCTGATGAGAGCGCGCTCGGAGTGCCCAGAATACGACCTCCGCCCAGCGTCCTCCGGGACATGGTTACAGGGACATGAAAGCTGAGAATCAGTGATTGCTCAGCCCAGCATCAAGTTGGCTGCACAGGTTGAGGTCGCCTTGTCAGTCAGGGCAGGATGGAGTTGACGGGGCGTTCGCCGTGACAACGCGGTGGAGCCTAGTGTCATGCCTGAGGCACCAATCCCCAACTTCAACACAGCAAGATATCTAGAACTTGTAGTTTTCTTTAATATGATCTAAGAGAAAACAGGTCGACGAGCTTGGTATTGGCCATATGTAACAGGGCCTAGGCAGCAGAAACCTGGATGAATGCCCACGACGTTGGCTATCAGGTGATCGTGTCGTCCTAAGCCTTTTGGGACTCCTATGTTCTGCCCTTTTGGCCCTTGATATCTTAAACATTGAGATGCGTCATTGTAAATCATAATGAATTTCCAAGGGCCTCTTGATAATTCTATCATGTTTCGGTATATTCTATTTTGTTGGTTCTGTATGTTTATTCAGTCTCGCTGGATCTAAATCTCCGTACTTCGGTCGATTAGATTGGCCTTTAAAATGACTACGACGATCACCTATTTACGTTCAACAGTCCCATTCTGTCTTGAAAAAGTCTCCGAAGCTTAGATTTGTGTTCAAAATAAACGAATGAAGTGTTATTGGTAACGATCGTGTCTAGCTCGCTAAAGCGCGCCAAAAGAATGATTCATTTTTTTTTTTTTTTTTATGTCTATTTCATCTTTTCACACTTTTTTTGTTTCGGTCCATTGTCCCGTTTTTTATCTTCTCTTTCTAGGGCATTGTGTCGTTTCTTTTTTGTGCAAGTCGTGAAGTCGTGATCCCATGTATACGGAGGTTTGGACCAAGGTCCAACGTATTCCTAATAAATAGCCGTACCCTTACTGCTCATAGTCACGGTGGTAGCTGATACCAGTATTTGGATTGTCGTAATCCCGATGGACGTAAGCAGTTCCATCAGGGCGGCGGTCAACGTCTCGGTGGTAGCTGGTACCGGTATTTGGGTTGTCGTATTCCCGATGGGCGCGGGTGCTTCCATCAGCACGGCGGTCAACGTCTCGGTGTCGGTAGACGCCGTCGTCATCAACTCGCTCGCGGTGGTGTCGTCGCGAGTCATCGGTCTCATAGTCAAGGTGCTGGTCGTAGGCGCCTGTGTTGGGATCATAGGTTGTTGTGCCGTATCCGGTGTCATAGGCCGGAGTATCATAGGTGGTTCCGACAATCTCGTATGTGGTGCCCGAGGGGTCGTAGTTGTAATTGTAGTTGCTCATCTTGAAGGAGGGTTATGAATAGTCTTGATCTGAGAGATCTGCTGTGAAAATGTAAAATAGTCTGATTCTGATCTAGCCATCGAAGCTCAAAAAACTTCGAGCCTTATATTACTCCCCGTGGCGTTTGTATCACGAGTATGACCATGTCTGACATCACGTTACAAATGAATTGCCAACGGCGAGGCAAAAGACATGTCTGGATAGGCAAAGATAGAGGAGTATTATCGAATGAAAGGTACTCCTATGATTGATTCATTTTTCTGGGGAACGTGGTTCGAGACCGTCTCCTTGGGAGGCGAATGATGTTAAGCTCAAGGCTGGGGATCCACATAACCAAGGATGTGCCCCTACCATTAAAGCACCAAAAGTTCCCGTTGCTTCTATGGGTGGAATCGAGAGGGATTACTGTACAATCCTCTGGCAGTCCCAGATATCCTATATTGAATAGAGAAAGTATGTTTCGGTCGTTCAATTTCATCGAGGGGCTAATCCATCCTTGTGTTCTATGTTCCGGAACGAAGAATTTGTCCCCTTGCAAAAGCAAATTGCGAAAACGGATTAACAGATAAGACTCACAAAAAATCCCTGATGTCTCCCCATAGAGCCAGGCGAGAATATTGCTCATGTGGCAAGACAAAGATTGAGGGCGACTTGCCACCCTCATCGCAACATAGCCAATTGCCTTACGTAGCTTATGTACATGAAATCAAACATGTCATAATTGGCACTACCTAGGTGGTGCCTCATAGAAGGAATGTGTGTTTTGAACGTTTACAGGATGTGTTGCCACATAACACACGTTTGGAGGGATATCGGCCTAGATTGGAGAACCCCAAAGGCATCAAAGCCCTACCTGCAAATTTACTCTGCGCATAGGAATCTCACAAACATCTCAAATGTGATACGAGGGACCGACCTCCAAATTGAAGACATGGATAAAGTGGTTGAATTATAAGTATGTTTTACAGCCACAACATTTAGCTCATTCCAATCTTTGCCTACCCCGCAAAATAGGTATTCATATTCAACTCTCCCGACCCAGTGGCGCCAAAGAGTCCGACAAAAATTCACTAGCATTCATCAAGTCCGTACTGCCGTATACGACTCGGCGGCGGCCACCAGCCGGTACGCGGTTGGCCTGTGGGTTGCCATCGGGGCCAGTCTGGCCGCTCGTCCGGTGCACCCAATCTTGCAAATTACCATACTCGTCCATGCTACCACCGCCGACTGTGAAGACGATGGCCTCATTGAAGGCCTGGCGGCGCTGTCCGAAGCTCGCGCCGGTGCCGGGGCCTGTGCTGCCTATGGTGCCGGGCATCTGTTGGTTCCGCGAGGCAGAAGCGGGAGGCATGGCGCCGCGCGCGTTCGCGCTGCGGGGGTCAAAGTAAAGATAGTTCTCTGTCTTTGCAATAGCGGAGCTAGATGCGGCAGAGGGATCCATGATAGATTCGGTAATCTTGGTCACGGTTAGATCCTTGTTTGCCGGTAGGAAGTTCTTGACACCGGAGATGAGAGAGTCAAAGTTGGCGCCCAGGGCACCGGAGGTGATTCGGTCGGTGAGACGGTTGGAGAGCGAGGAGAAACCGCGGAAGATGTCAGAGGATTGCTGCTCCGGAGCCGCTGTGGTCATCATGGTCATACGGGTGATCTCGCGGACCTGGCGCACGTAGGCAAGAGGGGTGACATCTGGGACACCGGCCTTGGTAAGGGCCTCTTCAAACTGAGTCATCTCAGTGCGGTTCAGCTCAGCCTCTGTGCTGAGGAACCAGATGATGAAAATGCGGAGCTTGTCCTGCGGGTTGCTACCCTTGGCAGGATCATTGATAAGCTCTAGTAGCTGTGCCTTGGACTGTTTGACAATGTTTTCTTCCAGCTCGAAGAAGTTGTCCAACTGGCGGTCTTTGATGCCCTTCAGCAGGGCGGTGGCGATGTTCATGTGCATATCAAGAACCGATTTGCGCTCCCGCAACTCCGGGAGCAGAGTGATGGCAGCCTTCAAGTGCTGCGCGGAGGCGCTAGTATCGTTCTGGAGATCTTCGATCGAGGAGGCCCCTGTTTTCTTTGTAATTTCGTTTGCATCCTCCTTGTACCGTGTCAGCTCGGCATCGATATCCTCGGCAACCTGAGGGAACGGCGCTCCAGCGTTGCGTTGCCAGAAGAAGTCGCTGCTGTTCAAGTCGTATGACTTCTTGGTGACCTTGCCCGAGTCCTGCTCGTCCGTGTCCAAAGTAATACGATTCAAGCGCATCTGAAGTACGTCTTGCACGAGGGACTGATACGTCCAGGAGTGCGAGAGCATGGGGACCAGGTCGACATTCCGGTCCATAATGATCAATACAGGTCGAGCCGAGGGGACCCCAGGCAAGGACTTTTGGTTGCCCGAGAAGAGGTTGTCCTTGGAGTTGAGGATGTGGTCGCGCAGTTTTCGGTCCAGCTTGGTTGCGATCAATTCCGCGGCTCCACCCTTTGGGCAGCGAATGATAGGAATAGTACCTGTGTCATCGGTTAGAAGACCTTTATAAATCGTACCAACGAATTGACTTACCCATTGTGACGCTCACGCTGAACAGACCGCTCACTACCTTATCCACAATTGCATCTAGATCCTCGTCGCTCGTTTTCGGGCTGTTGATCTTGTAGTAGGCATCATTTCCAAGCCCCAAGCTGAAGAGATCCGGCTCCGCCACAATGAAGTTGAGATATTGATCAAAGACCTGAGCAATGTTCTCTGATGCACCGGAGGCGGCTATTTGAGAAGCAAAATCCTCGAGAAGGGGGCGGGGAACGGAGGAGAGGAAGTTCACGTAGGCCGGGGAGTAGAGGCCTTGGGAGAGATCGCGCGTGATAGCTTGGATATTGGCAGGGTTCGGTTCCACCAAGTAGACAACGGGGACGTCGGGAATGGGATATCTTTGCGAATTAAGGCTCCTAGAAATCGAGCTACTGTTAGCGGCCTAGTCGACACATAATAGACCCGGTGCTCTGAATCGTACAAATGGATGGTGATTCCCCATGCGCGGAGGTCATTGACCCGCAGCACGCTGCTGATGACATCGCGGCCCATACCGTCAAAGACCAGGACCTTCCAGATAGGGTCGCCATCTTCATTCAAGATGGGGGTGGAATGGGAGATCAGACCACCGTGGGCGGAGTCATGCGAAGCATCATCTGCCGGACGAGGGTCATGGTTCAAATTGAGAAGCTTTTGAATAGAAGCTATAGGAAAGGGTCAGTCCGGCGCAATTGCCGCGGGGGAGCATGGCATTCACGTACCGACCTGGCGGTCTCGGAGGGACATCGGGTGGGCCATGGCAGAGCAGACACCACGGACGTAGTCGAGGACACACTCTTTATGGCAGCAGCTTCAACACATGAACCTACACACAAGGGAGTACCAGGCGAAGACGAAGATGCACGATGTTGACACCCTCTCGCTCCACCTGGCACTCTGGCTGACGTAAGGTATGCAAACAGCCCAAACGCCCGGTGGAGATCACATGCAGTCAGGGGAATAATCCCGTTACCACCGTACTGTCATTTAACCCCTTTTCCCTAGCATGACTTCAGTACGGTAACCGTCACATATGTCACGGCTGATACACGCAACCGCCGGGCGCCTACAGCTTTTCCTCCTTCCACCTCAACTCCCTCCGTCTTCCATCCACCACCATCACTTCCCCCCTTTTCCCCCCATCCCCTCCTTTCTTCGTAAAGCGAATGGCTATGATGCTAGAGTGGCTCTTTGTATAGGAGCCTTTTCTCTTCTCTTTCCCAGGAGGCTTAAAGCTTAAAGCACAGAGAGGAGCAAAAGCTCTGCAGGGACACTTGAAACAGGAGGTCTGGGACAAATACAAGTGAGGAAAGACATACCAGAGACTCGGAGGACCCAAGAAGGTCCCAGCAGGCGCTGAGCAGGCGCTGGTTGAAATCCAAGTTGCTGCGGCGTATTTCGCTGCAGAATTCGTCATATTAAGGTCTACAGGACCAGGGTCGCCAACTCGCGTCACTCGCATCCCGGGTTGGTGCCTGAGGCGGCCACATAAAAAACAGCGGTGCTTGCACACAACAAAAGGCTTTTTATATTCGTCAGGTACGGGAGCACTCATCGTCACAAGACGTCTCCAACCTCTGCCTTCACTGCTAGCTGTATTTGATTCCGCGAGTGATTCTCATCGATTCGTTTCTTCAGCTTTCAAGGTTACCTGCGAACAGCCAATCACAACCCTCGCCCCACCTGACCGGTTGAATTTCCATCTCCGATAGTGATCCCAAAACAGCAGGCGGTGAACTACCCATCTTGAATGCACGTGACACTTGGACAGTAGCATTAAGCACGTCGACAAGTTAAGGTGCTTGTTGCTTGTTGAGTGTTGGGGGGTGAATTAAGTGATGGAACAGTCCTCGGCCCCAAACCCCATGCAGGGTCTACCGCACGGGTCAGATCACAGTTCAATACCGCCGGAGTATTGGAATAACTTGGACTCGATGTATTCGGACCCTCAGCTCCAGCCACTACAGCAACCGCAAGGGCCGTCGACACAACAGCCTCCCATGGGAATTGAATGGGACCACCCTATGCTTCAGAATACCCCACAACCACAGCGTCAGCAGGGTCATTTGATGAACGAATCCAACCATGGGATATATTCCATCCCCCAATCTTGGCAGGCGAACCCTTTGCAGGCCCCAGCACGAGGTTATCCAGTCGCCTCGCAGTATCAATCTCATCAACAGGCCCCGCCGCAGGTTTCTCAGCACACGCCTCAGTACCAACAGGGCCAGATGACATTTGACTCGCGTACTCTCAACCCTACCGAGAGCTCGACTTTCCCCTCATTCCCCTATCAACAAAACTACTACCCCCAAGAATCCTTTCCCTCGCGACCGGCCCAACAACAGTCGCAATCGTCAATTCCTCAGTTCCCCCTCTCTTCGGGGTATTCCCAGAATTTCAATCCCATTGATCTCACCGGCGACTTCCCCGATCCTCAAGCGGGCGTGCCGCAGCACCACACCATCGACCCTTCCTTTCTAAACCCCACTCAGACCCCCCGCCAAGCGCATCATATCCAACCCAATTACCTCTATGGAGCCCCTCCCGAGTTCCAGCAGACCGGGGAAAGGTTATTTGATTATTATCAGAATGATCTCTCCATGCAACAACCGCAGTATGGTACAGACCCCGCTAATGCAGTGCCAATCGGTATGCTTATTATGCTCACATCGTTGTTATCTCGCCTTTGCTGACTTGCAGAACAGGTTTTCCTAAGACCAGCGGGTTCCCTCAACCCGATGTAGTCATTACAGCGAAGAAGCCGGCTGGCAAGAAGCCGTCGACCAAGAAGGCAGGCCCCAAGACACAGAAAAAGGCCAAGGGGCAGGCGGAAAGTGACAGCTCCGACGACTCAGATCTGGAGATTGAAGCTCCTGATGAACCGTCTCCTCTCCCACCCACTCGTCCCGATGATCCCATCGGCGCAGCGGAATATGATACTATCCAGGCCGTGTGGTCTCCTCGGAACAAGTGGCCCTCGGCGGATAAAGTAAAAGGGGCTCTGGTTGCTTTCAAGGATGTCATCAAAGTGCTCCGAGATGCCTGGAAAGATCAAGTGCAGGCCATGAAGTTGGCAGAGAACCAAGGGAATAATGCCAAGGCAACCCAATTAAAGGAATCGGTGGCTTTGCAGCGTCGCATTATGGATAAAATCGTGGTTACCGCCCTGAACACGGGCCATTCCACGATCGTTGAGAAGTATGCATCCCCCGTGAATTTCGTTCCATCCCCCACCCGCCCACGTGGTTATCATGGCCATAGAAGTCTGAAACGAATTGAGAACATGACTTGCGTAAACCCCTCCTGTGGTCATGGATGGAGTCAATTAATACGGCTGCAATTGAGGGCACACTCCGTGGCACCGGGTTCCATAAATCCGACTTTGTTCGAACCCGAGACCGGAGCGTGAATCCCGAAATAGCCCAAAGTCTTCAATTTTAAGGTCGTTTCAGATGTGCCATGAGAAGCCATCCGTGAGACCAATGAAGCGTTTTAGAATGACTCGTCCGCGCCTTCTATGATCCCGCTCACTTCAATGGTTTCCTGTCAGATTGCTAATCGTTGTTTTTAATGTAGGCTGGGCGAGCATCCCATGGCCCTGTCAATTTTCTACTCGTTTTTGGTAGACCGATTCCAGGCGGCCGACTTTGATGGCTCTTTGACGGTCAACATCCTCAAGGTGAGCGCTCTCACCCTCTCTTCTCATTTTTCTCCGGACTGACATAGTCTAGCTTCTGTGTCGCTTTGTCACTGTCGATGAAGAGCTCCTCCAGAAAACAAACGTTGCCAAACTGCTTCCCAGATTTGTCAAGAGAGGTGGTCCATCGGTCAAGGAACTTGCACAGAAGATCCAGGATAACGCCGTAGCCTCCACGAAGCGGAAACAGTCTACTCCGAAGTCTGCCAAAGAAGACTCGCCATCCAAGGGTTCCGGTGCCGATTCTCCTTCAGCAGAACTTGCGGGGGCAAAGCGCCCCCGTGAAGGCGAAAGTAACATCCAACCCGCCACGAAGAGGATGGTTGTTGGTTCCAACCCCAAGGAAGCTGGGAAATCTGCAACAGCAACAAATGGGTTGACCAAACCGGGTACTCAAAATGGCAAGCCAGCCAACGCAGCAGCCCCGCGCCCAAGAGCCAATATTGTCGCCCCCAAGCCTTCAAGTCTCTTTGGCGCTTTGAGTTCTGCCTCCAAGAGACCAGGGACGACAAATGCCGAGAGAGCGGCCGCACTGGCGGCTGCGAAGCCTGCGGAGAAGAATGAAAAACCCGCTGCGCCCCCTCCTAAGCCTGCATTCTCTTTCGGTGACATTATGGCCGATCTCAGTAAACCAAAGGAGGCAGTCGTGGTGAAGCCTACCGAAGACAAGCCACCTGAGACGGAGGAAGAGCGTCAAAAGAGGCTGCGTAAGGAGGCGCGACGCAAGCTGCGTGTGACCTGGAAGCCTGAGGACTCCCTCACTGAAGTACGACTCTTCACTCACGATCCTGATGAAGAGCTCGGACCCGGTGACGGTTCTCTGCGTGGTGCGGGAGACGTCAAGGGAGAGGGAAGCGTTCTTAAACTTCATAAGGATCTGGAGGAACTTGGAGAAGAAGACCTTGGTGGGCTTCGGGAGACCAGCCTCAATGAATACAGCGCTCCCTCGGAAATCATCATCGAGTCTGAGGAACAGAGGGGTGCCAATTTCATCAAACGCGGTGGCGAACAGCAACCCTCCAGCCCGGAGAAGGCGGCTCAAGAGCATCGCGAGTCAACTACACTCATGGTGTTCTACACTTCCCCCGCCGATGTTCCACCTTCGCCTAAGGAGCCTCCTGTTCACGAAGCCGATGAAGTCGTTCCCGATGAAGTTCACTTTGGCGAACTACCAGACCATATCAAAGCTCGGCAGGAACGATACTGGTCATACGTCAACCCTAAACCTGCAGCTCCCGCTGCAGCTCCCGCACAACCCAACCCTGCCGCGGGTGGTAACTTTGACATTTCCAATCTGCTCAAGATGATCCAGACTGGACAACAGCCACAGTCTACACCTCCTCCTCAACCTCAGCCCGCCCCGATGTCTGATCTGGAACGAACAATCAGCATGTTCCGCCAGCAACAGACTCAGCCTCCGGTCCAGCAGTCCCCGCAGATTCCAATCAGTCAGGCGGCACCCCAAGCGCCGGCCGCTGGTGGTGTCGACTTCACCCAGATTTTGAATGTGATGAAACAGCTCCAGAACCCGGCCGCAGGGTTCCCTCAGCCTCAACAAACGCAACCGAACATGGCACCCAACCTAGGCGCCATGTTCTCACAGTTTGCTGGACAAAACCAGCAATCCGGGCCTCCTCTTGACACCTACGAAGACCCAGAGCGCAAGCGAATGCGCGAGGGCAACCAGTACGACGATCAATGGAGCCGACAGAAGCGCACGAAAGGAGGCGATGCCAAGCCGTACAAGGTTAATTTGGTCCCGTGCAGGTTCTGGGCTGAAGGCAAGTGCAGAAAAGGCCACAACTGCACATTCCGCCACGACGCCTAATTCAACCTCTCGATTGGAAGAACACCTTCCTTCTTCTGTTGGATACCCTTCCCTTCCCATATTTTGAACCCATTCATTCTTGTATCTTTTTTATTCCATACCCCGTCATGGCGATGCATAGCACAATACTAGAGACTTTTCTCTGGGCAGATATTACACGGCGTTGAGATTGTGTTTGTGCAACCAAGACCTCGACGCGCGTTTGCATCGTTTCCTTGTGGACAAGGGCGTTTTCCCTTACATTTTTATGCTTTTTTCATATTGTTCCCTGGGGTTATCTTGTTTGCCTTGTTTTCGTCGTTGGCGTACCTAGGCTTGCATCTGCGGGACGTGGTGTCTCATTTTCATGGCGCATAATGAGTGGGATAGGGGAAATGTACATTAGGATTTTATCTTCTTGCAAATGAAGATTCAATGCTGAAAGTTATGACTACTATCTTTCGATCATTCCCGGCGTAAGATTTATTTCTCAAGGAAAAGCCGAAGCGGTGGCTCGCCCAGTAAACCAGATGCTAAGAAACTTTGGAAATCTTGGACAGGAGAAATAGGAAACCCATTTCCACTTCATATAATAAACAACTCTAGATAAACTCTACACCGGATACATCTCAGGCCTCACCCCAGCCAGCCGACAAGTCCCCTGATACATCCTCTCAAGCGTAGAGCGCATAATCTCCAGATCAATGGACTCCCTCTCCCAAAGCCGCAACGTTCGGATAGACAGCCTCACAAGGGCAGGCCAATTATAAGGTGGAGACAACGTCCACCCGCCCGGATTGCTAGCACTCTGCATCTGGCTCAGAACTGCTGCCGTGATCTGGATCGCGGCACTAAAAGTAACGCGCATGCAGTTCCAAATCCATTCATGACGCCAGTTGTACCATAGCCTTGGGATGAGTCGGACGCAGTTGTCCAGGGCTTTTTGGGCTTGGTCGAAGACTGTGCGAAAGATTTCGTTGTTATGTAGATATTTTGGTAGGGAGGGGTAGTGCAGTGCTAGGTAGAGGACTGGGCGGTAGATCTTCTCTAGGCAAAAGCAGAGGCGTCCCATCATTAGAGACTCTAGATCTTGGTTGTTTTGTGTTGGACCGGGGAGTCCGCTCGTTGACATTTGGTACCTGGGTACCAGTGAATAGATAGCCCGATGGCAATAGATCGTAGGGTGACAATGATGGGGACGTACCAGTGAAATAGAACCTTTTCGGCTTGGTTTGTTTTTTCGACAATGCCGGCGACGTTGGTGACCCAGGCCTGTTCACCGCTGCGCCACATATCCTCCAGCATGTCGTTGACTGTTCGGCGATTGCAGATCGAGCCGATGTAGAATCTCCATCCTTTTTCTTCGTCGGTGCCGCTGATTTCAGGCGATGATTTTGCTAATAGATCGTCGTCTTCCATTTTATCTGGTGAGGTTGTGCTGGATTTAGGGAATTTTGGAAACGGCTCAGCGTATCCAAGGCTTTCAAGACCACTGCTCCAGAGAGGGAGCTCAGATTGCATTTCACTGAGGGTCTTTTTAGTATCTGGGCGCTCATAAATAGAATGAAATCTCACTGTTCAGCTTGGATACAGGACCAGTACAGGCGTGACTCGAGGTTATGATAATTGACATCTGCAGTCCACTGTTCGCGGCATAATGACCTTAACCTCACTTCTAGTCGACAGGAGGCTTGCTGGAAGCAAAACCATGCTTCTAAAGGGCGCATAGCATGCCTGTGATAGAAGCCTGCGAGCAAGTAGCACTGAATATCAGTAGAAGACGTATGTAAAGATCCAAGCCTCTGCTTGGCAGCGTGGAAATAGGCTTCGGCTATTTCGATACTAGCATCACACGGCGGCGGCTTCTGGAGCTGGTCTAGATCCTCAGGGGTATCAGGTAGCACGTAATCGGATGTGCAACAGCCTAGAGCGCATGCAAGCAACTAGTGGCACAATTAGTATTGCACTAAATGTAGTTTAAACTATCGCACGCACCACCTGGCATGATGGACCGTCCCATCCAAGGCCCTGCACGGTCACCTCGCGGGCATATCGCTCAAGCTTCTCCGCGTCAACTACGGGATTTCGCCGATGGACCAAATGAAGATATTTTCGGACCAGTAGCTGAATGTCATCCAGAAGGGAACCTATACCTGCCTGGCGGGGCGGTGGTATGTTCGACTGAGCCTGGTTATCCAACGAATCGAGCAGAAATGACCGGATATGCTTCTCTGCATCGGTGATCACCCGATTGAAAATGGGCCAGCGGAGCATGTATTCGGGAGAATTGGCCGCATACAAAGTCAGAGGATCGTGCTCGGAGGACCGCTCCTCGGCAGCGTCGCTTCTCCGAAGACTGTAGTTTCCGGCCAAGGAGCCCGGTGTCATGAGGGGGCTCGAATGCGGCATTGTCAATTCATAAAAAGAGCCTTTCAGAGATCGATGGGAGGAGATGGTGGAGTCATTGTCCTGTTTAATATCCTCCAGCAAGGTCGTGATGTGGCCCAGGCGCTGAAGAATCTCGGAGTTGGCCGATTCCAGACTGAATCTATGGACACAGTCTCAGTCTAGACCTGTTGAACAAAAAGAAAGTCGAAACACACAAGCCACAACTTACGGTGCTGCGTGGGGTGACGCTTCGGGATAGATACACTCCGCCCCCTGTAGCGAACAATAGCTACAGGTGGGTCGAGTATTGTCACACCGAGTCTTGCGCATGCGACATGTTTGACATGCGGTGGGGGCTCTCGTACGACTATCGCGCTTCCTGGAAATTCTGGAATCGAACTCCATAGTGGAGAGTAGAGGCCCAATGTGTTGTCGGGGAGCATCGGGGAGCCTGAGGTGATGAGAAAGTTCCAGGAGCGCAGACGGGCCTACTTAGAGGGGGACGCTCGCCAAGTGTCCCCGAACACGAAACAAAGAAAGACAAAGAAACCCTATCGGACATCCTCGTGGCTGAACCTTCTCGACTGCAGCGTGACTCGATGAGGTTAGAACAGAAAGGTGTTGAACAAAGAAAGTTAATATAACGCACGCGAACCTTAAATAGGAAACGACCATCGATCCCCCAGTTCCCGGTCTTGGAGACCATAAGGAGTGTTATAGTCTAGATAGTAATTGTCATCGTAAGTAATGAGGTATCTGATTTCAGATATTACTGTACACTACGAATGAAAACTCGCCGAAGAGACATAAATCGTCCATTCAATCATCACTATCGCTAACGTGCATGAAAGTCACCGGCTCCGGTGGAGTACATGTACAGAGTGGTGCCCAAAACGGTCACGCTCAGACAGAAAAATAATATAGAACCCAACGCCGAGAGAAATGCAGATGGGAACAGGCCGGGAAAAGGTTAGCCCTACCGAACCTTTCTCTTGGTCCTCCTCGTCATGGGGACCTCACACAGCTGAGACCAGGCGTCCTCGAAGGTGGTCTTGCGCGGGCCGATCTGTCCTTCGTAGAAGTTCAACTTGCGCGCGACCTCCATGGCACCGGTACCCAGGCCTACCGTCTTGCCCATAATAATACACTCGGAAACACCCTCGATCAGATCGGTGCGGCCAGCACCACCGGCATCGAAGAGATGGTCGGCAGTCTTCTCGAACGAGGCCAACTGGAGCACAGAGTCACGCATCTTGGCCAGACCGAACCGGGTAATACCCAGGACTTCGCCCTTGTATGTCATCACGTCAGCCAGGAGCTGCATATGGCGAGGATCGATGTCCATGTCCTTCATGACTTCACTGATTTCAGTGACGATCGTGCTGCGTGCAGCCTCGATGCCAAGAACCTCCCGCGCCTCCATGACGTTGTTGGTCGTAGTCTGGAGACCGTTGACACCCATGGTGTTCATGCATGCTCTCAGACCGTAGCCTTCCACTAGTAGGGTATTGGTGGTGGATGTTTCATCCGTCCGGATGATGGCGCGGTGGGCTTGAGGGTGACCGAGAATTTGAATGTTGGGCAACATGCGTTTCAGGTGCTTGAGACGCAGGAAGGGATCGACGCTTGTAGCGGCGATCTCGGTCTTTGATAGACCCTGCTTGCTGGCCGGGTCAAGATCGATGATGACCACGATGGAGCGCGCAGTGGTCCGGAACTTAAGGTCTTCGCCCTTGAAGCGCTTGTGGCTCTTGATCGCTGCGACGATTTTCTGCATGTCCAGCTCGAGCTGCAGTTGATTGATCGTATCCCAGTTGATTCGGACTTTGACGGATGCCTCGTTGCCAGACCAACTCTCGCTGATCCATGTCATAACGTCACGGAGATAAGTCTTTTCAATGCGTCCCTTCACAATTCGTGCCGCAACGATGCTGTCCTTAGTAACAAGGTCACAAGCAACGACCGGAGTACTGATCTCCCTTGAAGCGTTGATAATTTCCTTGATACGAGGCACACCTTGCGTAATACTCATACCGGCGACACCAGCAAAATGGAAAGTCTTCAGGGTCATTTGCGTACCGGGCTCACCGATGGACTGGGCACCTACGGCACCCACGGCATGACCTGGCTCAACCTGTGCCCTCTTGTACTTCAGCAGGCATTCTTTGATGAAAGCTCTCAGGGTTGTCTCTGTCAACTTTCCGGTGTGGTCCAAGCCCTTTCGGCTTCTCTCATCCGATGGATCAAAGTCGCCACCGCGGGAGATCAGCCTGTCAGCCTTGGTAGACACGTATTGCTCAATCGAGTCCAGGAAGTCACGGGCGCTCTCGAACTGGTCAATGCCATGATCGGACCGATCCATGTAGCCAAGCTCGTTGCCCAGCAGGTCCTTGCGAGCCAACTTGGCACGTTCTTTTCCAAGCATTTCTTGACAGACTTCTGCAATTTCAGCAGGCAGCAAGCTTCGTTCATCATTGTTGTAGGTGGTAGACTCGCAGTGGATGAAGGTTCGATCGAAATGGACAGGCTTGGCTTTGCCTTCCATGTCCACGGGATCCAATTTATCGTCACCATACTGGAACTGCACGATTGCAGAAGACGAGTTGCGCACTGTATCATCATACTGTGTTGACAAATCCTCAAGGGACTTCATCAACCGACGGGACATGTAACCGGTTTCGGCGGTTTTGACGGCAGTATCAACCAGACCTTCACGACCAGACATTGCGTGGAAAATAAACTCGGTGGGCTCGAGACCCGAGAAGAAACTGTTCCGAACGAAACCCTTGGAAGGAGGTTGTCGCGCATTTTTGGGGAAATGAGGCAAGGTACGATCCTGGAAGCCGTCTTGAACACGCTGACCACCAATAATTTGTTGTCCGACAAGTGCAACCATCTGAGACACGTTGATGCTAGAACCCTTAGACCCGGATGTGGCCATGATCAGGGGCGAGTTATATTTGCTGAGTTGGTCAATACACTCATCACCAGCTTGCTGACGGACCTTGCTGAGAATACCCGAGATCTGGTTCTCCATGGTCTGCAACTCGTCACAACCCGGGTACTTCTCCAGAGTGCCAGCCTTGTATTTGGCAATGACTTCATCGCAAGCGGCGTAGGCTCTTTCCACCAGATCATTCTTGGACTGGACCAGCCTCTCACTGGGGTAGACGTCTGTGATACCGATTGAGAAACCCATATTGGTGAACCATCTGGCTGAGAGTTTGGAGAGACGATTCATGCCCTCGGCAGCCGCCGCAGGCCCGTAATCACGAAGCATAATGTAGAACACATTGTCCTTCTTTCCGGAACCAATGGTAGACTTATCCATAACACCACACATAATTTCCGAGTTGCGGATGACCAGCCAGGCATCATGGGGATCCAAGTCTTTGGGCCGGCCGTCCTTGGGCTGTTTGAACTGTCGGCATGCAGCATCGAGGTTGACCAAGACAGGGTCATCTTCGTTGGGGTGCATCATGATATTGAAAACTTGCTTGCCCGTCCAGAGCATCTGTGGCTTGAGGACTGATGGTGGCGGAAGATCAAATCGCGTCTCTGAACCCAGCATGTAGAGGCAAATCTGGGTGAAAGAGGCACGGTCAAAGAAGTTATCCTTGCTACTCAGCAGGAAAGCAGCACTGATGAAATCCTGAATGGCAGAAATAATGGGCTCTCCGTTCTTGGGCGTGGCCAAGTTGTTCTTGACTCCCATCAGCTCCATTGCCTCTGCTCTAGCTTCTTCCGTCTGTGGAACGTGCAGGTTCATCTCATCTCCGTCGAAATCGGCATTGTACGGATTGCAGACACACTCGTTGAGTCGGAACGTTCGGTGAGGTCGTACCCTAGCAAAATGGGAAAGAATACTGAGTTTGTGGAGGGAGGGCTGCCGGTTGAAGAGTACGATATCACCATCTTCAATATGACGCTCAACCAAGTCGCCCTCCTGCAGGTCGTTGGCAATGTGCTTCAGATTACCGTACTTCAGCATGGTCCGGAAGTCGGAGCCTTTTTTGTAGAGATAGTTTGCTCCTGGCCATTTCTTCTGGCCGTTGCGCACACGCTCTTGTAGTTTTTCCTTGTTATACCGGGTCACCCGCTCGGGGTAAGTCATGTTCTTGGCAACCAGCTCTGGAACTGCAACCTCATCTACCCGCAAGTTCGGGTCGGGTGAAATGACCGTACGGCCAGAGAAGTCGACACGCTTTCCGGACAGATTGCCACGGAATCGACCTTGTTTACCCTTGAGTCTCTGAACAAAACCTCGGATGGGCTTTCCCAGATCCGCCTTGTTGAGGCCTGGCACGTCACTGTTGATGTAGACGGCAATCTGAAGCTGCATGTAGTCCCAACATTCCATAATTGTCTGAACGGGGGCACCCTTCAGCAGGGCGTTTTTGAGGTTGATATTGCTCTGGACAATGTCGCCCAGCTTCGCAGTAAGGTCATCTTCTGTCGAGGCAGCGTCTTGCCCCACGGATGGTCGAATACAGACCGGAGGGGCCGGAATGAATTGCCAGAGGAACATCTCGGGGCGTGCCTCTTTCGGGTCCAATGCCATAAGCTCACAGTCGGTATCGGAAATCTTCTTGAAAAGTTTGAGCACCCGTAGGGCATTCATATCGTCTTGCGCCTTCTTGTAGTGCTTCTCAACCTCCGAGTTGGAGTGCCTGGCCTCAGCAAAGGTGTCATCAAACGCCGTTTTGCTGAGAGGAGGGATTTTCTTGGCAGAAGTTGAAGAGTTGAAGGCGCGAAATTTGTCGTGGGTGATCTTGAGAGCACTCGAGCCGGCTTTTTTCACCACTCCGTTGATCGCATGGCAATGCTCGCATTCTCGAGTTTTCCGGCAGCGTTCGTTGATTCGCTTCGCGATTTGGGTCCGTCGTAAATTATCCAGTCCTGGGCGGCGCATTTCACGCAAGAAAGCCCGACGCTCTGCCTCGGGGAGCAGGATGTGCGAGCATTCTTTGCAAATTTCCTGGAGGATGCCGATGACGCGCTTGAAATAACCGACGTGGAAAGCAGGCAAAACCAATCTGACGTGTCCAAAGTGACCGTTGCACTCCTTCAGATGAAGTCCGCACGTCTTGCACTCGGCAGTCTTGTTCGAAATACCCATGCGCGCATCGAGAGGGCCATGGGCAACTACCGCACGGTCGTGTTCGAGGTCGAAAAACTTCCGATCGGAGACTTCCACCACAGCTTGGCCGACAATATCATCGTTTGTTCTGGAGGCAGCAAATGCGAGTTAGCGATCGATACCGCCCGATAACGTTCCAGGTCAGTCCTGGGAACAGAATAAGAGTAGCCCTTACAGTACACCAAATTTCAACTCCTTGATGACTTTGGGAACACGATCAATGACCTGGGCCTTGCCCAGATCCATCTGTGCACCCTCTGGAGGCTGCATCGCGCCGTTGTCAAGTGCAGAACATGGCAAGGTGACTCAAGCTAACGCGATCGGAACGGGCGGCTGTCAAACTGCCAGACTACCGCAAGTCCGAAGCCGAGAGACGATAAAAGGCAAGAAATAGGGTTATTGCGTGTATGCGAAGCCCCAAAAGACCAGAATTATCTCTAGGACAAGCGATGGGATAGTGATTGGCAATGGAAGGAGAAAGAGAGCAAGAATAAACGGCGGGGTCGGCCACGAACTTTTTTTCTGCCGGCTAAGCTCTCACCGCCCGATGGACAGGTACGACTTTGAGGCTCAAGTGGTAGAAAGAGTCTTGATATTGTACAGAATGGTATATTGTCTATGATACACTTATTTCGCTAGGAATGCCTGGAATGCCTTGTGTTCAATCACCACATTCCCGACAGCCTTCAGCTTTTTACGGCCTTCTTTCTGCTTCTCCAGCAGCTTCCGTCGCCGACTCACATCAGCGGCATGCAGCTTAGCCAGCACGTCCTTGCGATACGGCTTGATGGTTTCACGGGCAATGATCTTTTTACCCACAGCAGCCTGGATAATGATTTCGAAGAGCTGCCGGTCAACATGCTCTTTGAACTTGGTTACCCAAATCCTGCCCTGTCGACTGACCTGGCTCATGTGCATTAGTCGCGACACGGCATCCACTGGCTCTTTGTTGACTAGGAGCTGTAGCTTGACAATGTTGCCTGCTCGCCAGGCGGACTCTTCGTAGTCCAGACTGGCGTAGCCCTTAGTGCCGCCCTTGAGCTTGCCGAAGAAGTCATCGACCAAGTGTGCTAAGGGTAGTTGATACTTCATAATAACCTGACTTGAGGTGAAATATTCAATGCTTTGTTGCTCGCCCCGGTTGGACTCGCAAAGTTCAATCACCTTTCCGAGGTATTCGTCGGGAAAGGTCAATGTGGCCAACACATAAGGCTCTTGGACCTCGGCGACCTTGAGACGCACACTATCGTCATCGGGAAACTTGGCCGGATTGGTAATAATTTCCTCTGTTCCATCTCTCCACACCACCTTGACCGGAACGGAGGGCGGGGTGATGATGATGCTGGCACCGTGCTCCTGCTTCAGGCGATCTTCGAACACCGAGCAGTGAAGTGTGCCCAAGAAGCCCATGCGGAATCCGGCACCCAAAGCCTCGGACGATTCCTTTTGAACCGTGATACTTCGGTCATTTAACATGAGTTGGTTGATACTGTCTTCCAAATGTTCGAAATGATCTGCGTTCACGGGGTACACTGCCACAAAGACCATCGACTTGGGCTCTATAAACCCGGGCAGGGGTTCAACTGACTTTTCCTGGCCCACTCTGGCGAAAGTGTCTCCGATCTTGGCCTCTTTGCTTCGCTTCATGCCGGGATTGAAGTAGATGTACCCGACCTGACCGGCGCGGAGGACCGTTTGGGCAGTTTCAAGGGGATACATGATTCCGACCTCGCCCACGTAGTACTTGATACCCGTGGCAAACGAGACGAGCTGCTGGCCTGCACGCACCTCGCCGTCGAAAACGCGCACCAAAAGAATCACACCTTTGTAGGAGTCGTACCACGAGTCGACGAGCAACATACGCAGGGGTTTTTGGGTGTCACCGATGGGACTGATCCACAGTTAGCCAAACTCGAACAAGCTCGAAAAGGTAAAATTCACATACGCAGGAATTTTGTCAACAACCGTCGGAAGAAGGGCTTCAACATTCAAGCCCGTCTTGGCCGAAACCAGCACTGCATTCTCGGCCTCCAACTCGAATGTACTCTTCATCTGTTCCAGAGCCCGCTCTGGATCCGCCGATGGCAAGTCCACCTTGTTAATGACCGGTATCAATTCGAGGCCTTGTGCAAAGGCCAAGTAGAAATTGGCGACAGTCTGCGCCTGAACGCCCTGGCTGGCATCAACTAGGAGCAGCGCTCCTCCACAGCTAGCATAACTGCGCGATACCTCTGCACGAAAATCAACATGGCCGGGCGTATCCACCAAGTGCAACAGGTAGTCCTCGCCCTTGTGGTTGTAGATCATCGTACAAGTCTGAGCCTTGACGGTGATTCCTCGCTCGCGCTCAACATCGAGCTTGTCCAGCACCTGTTTATTCATTCCAGCCTTGATGGTCCCGGTGAGCTCGAGTAACCGATCGGAGAGTGTGCTCTTGCCATGATCGACGTGTGCGACAATGCAGAAATTACGATATCGCTCAATGGGGATGGCGGCAATTCGTGATTCGAGGTTTCTATCAGGCGCACTTGATACCTTGGACCGAGATGTGCTCCATACTGCAGAGCTTGTGAAGGATCGGAGGGAATTAAACCGGGATGGAAAGCCAGCCGACGACTTGAGGCTCGCAGCCGGGGAATTCGGCGCTGCGCTCAGCCATCGGGCTAACTGCAGACATCCTCGCATCGGGATTCGCGCGATGACATGGAAGAGGGATGACCCCGTGGTTGATTCGTGATCACGGAGGGCAATTCGAGAGGAGTTGACTTGGTTCGTCGCTCTTTCGAACGGGGCCTGCGGAGAAAAAAACGGGCTCGCGGGCGGTGACTCCGATCGCTGCGGCGATTATCCGACATAAACAAACCTCGGGCTCCCTGTCTTTTCCTCAACCACACACAATGCCGGAAACCAAAGACAAGTCCAAGGTGCACAAGCTGGCCATCAGAGGTCCGTGACAGCTGCTCTTCTTGTAACACTCCAAACTAACAGGTTGCCAGGATCGGCCAAGCTTGTGTCCGAGTTCGTGAGTTGCTCTTCTCCCCCGCGTTGAATCATTGAACTCAAATTCTGATGGACAAGCAGTTCGAGTACTCGATCAATTCCATTCTGTGAGTTCTGATGCTGGGTTTGGTTGGTGGCAGGAGCTCATCGCAGTCGCTATCTAGCTTCCAACGTGGTGTCTACCCTCCCGACGATTTCACGACGTAAGTCCTATTCGACACCTCGCAGATGGCCTCGACAAGCTGACAACTAGCAGTGTCAAGAAGTATGGCCTCAACATGCTCGGTTAGTTTCACGTTTTCGGCCCTCCAACTGCCACCTGTGGCCCATCTAACCCACGATAGTATCGGCCGACGACCAGGTGAAAGCCTACATCAAGAAGATCATGTCGCAATTGAACAGGTGGATGGTCGGCGGAAAAATCTCGAAGCTCGTGGTCGTTATCACCGACAAAGAAACCGGGGAGCATGTCGAGCGCTGGCAGTTCGATGTATGTTCTGGAATCTCGATCTACTAAAGTCTTCCCTTGTCTGACGGTGGCTGCTATACAGGTTGAAATTTTCAAGTCATCGAAGAGCTCAGGTGCTCGCAAGTCAGGAGATAAAGAGAATGCTGCTCCCGCGTAAGCCTCTCAAAATTCCAGAATCACAATACATAGATAGCCTTTAGCTGACAACGCTCATTTTCAATGGACAGAGATGCGGCCCCGCAGGCAGATGAGCCCCTCGAAAAGACCGAGAAGGAGATCCAAGAAGAGATCCAAGCTATTTTCCGTCAAATCACCGCCTCCGTCACCTTCCTTCCCGTCCTGGATGGTGACTGTACCTTCAATGTCCTCGTCTACGCCGACGCTGATTCAGAAGTGCCCGTCGAATGGGGCGACAGTGATGCCAAGGAGATCAAGAATGCAGAGAAGGTTCAGCTGCGCAGCTTCAGCACCAACAATCACCGTGTCGGTACCCTCGTCAGCTACCGACTAGCAGACTGAGCGCATGCTTTGTTATGATCAGATATGAGGGATGCTCTATGCATTGGCGTTTAAGGGAATGGCGACTGTCACTTTATGATCAGAGATATGATGTCTAATGAGTACTGCATTATGTCCATAGTCATTATTTGCGATTTCCGTAGAACCAGGGCAGTTCGTTCATCCTCGGGAACCAATCGTTTCCTCCCCCACCATCCCAGCAGATCAATTGCTCCACAACTTCCTCCAGCCCTTTATTGAGGAAAAAGCTCTCCATGCCGGGTTTCCAGCCCCTGTCCCTCCGTTTACTGGCAAGTTCATCTCCGACTCCGTACAGATCTTTCTTCCAAAGTCCGACTCCTTTGGATGCTTCGCCCTTTTGCAAGGACTCTTGGGAAGTGACATGCTCAGGGGGGTCAATGCCCCACACATCGGCATCGCGATTGGCTTCTGTTTCGGCGGCAGTAGCATTAGGAAGTAGCCCTAGGGCAGGGAAATGGTATTCCAGAAATCGAGTTGACTTGAACTTATGCGTGAAGACGCAGAGAAACTCTGGGTAATTCCCTGTGCACAAGCGGAATTCGAGTAAAGAGAAGAGGACATTCTGGTAAGAGTCCGTCGCATGAGGTTCTACAAGGATCCTCTCAGGATCGATCTGGTGTGCCATGTTGAAATAGTTATTGTCTTTGACAAGGTTCTAGATGCTTCCGTCAGCAATTAGGCATCCTAGCACCATGCAAAACGAGAGGGGCATTCTATGGTATCTTACGAAGTATGACTGTGCCTCGGAGAGTTCCGTCCTTGGTCGTTTGGTGGGTCCCCTGTCAATTCTTTAGCCCTGCATCTAGACCCAAAAGCGATGGCGATTGGAAAACCCACCCCGAGAATACTAGCAATGCGTTGGGGGAATCAACGAGTAGTTCCAACGCAGCTTCGGCATGTTTGATGAACGTGTCGATTTCGCCCTTTTGGAAAGGCTCTATTAACCTGCACGTCATGAATCAGCATCCGATCAGCAAGGATCTCCGAGTCGAGAATAAGAGCGCGGACCATTCGTCTTCGGAATGACCCCGATTGGGCCCTCCAAGATAGATGGCATGGCAGCAAACCACGACGAGGCATTCCCACTCTCCGAGGGAAATATAGTCCATGCTGCAAGGGCGTGAGACGTTCCCAGGTTAAGGAGGCTGAACGTGGCGAAGAAGGAAAGTGAATCACGAGCGTCGCGTGGAAACCGGCCTGTGCGGGTCTCCACGTTTCCCCGACCCGAAGTATATCGTGTCACCCTAGTCCGTACATGCCTTCGGGATATGGTGCCATCTCTCTGCCTCTTCGGCCACACCGGTATCCCTCTATAGATATCGGCGCCATGACCCGCAGGGCTGGAGGCTTACGGAATGGCGCCCGGGCGCTGGCCCGTCCAAGCCCCAGGCAATGGCGGCCTATCGGCCAAGCCCTGAACCAGGAATTTCCTTACCCCGTAGACGCTTGGACGGCTTGAGCACCCCAGGCGGGGCCGCGATGGCCAATGCCGCATCACACGACCACCGGTGGCTAAATTCGTAAGAGCGATCGCCTATATCTTGTTATTTCTTCGTCACCTTGCTTTCGTTGTGAATCGACCGCAAGCCCCTGGAACTGCGTAGAACCTTGTTCTCCGCCGGCTCGCTGCATTGTCACCTTATAGAATGACACCACAAGTGCCGCACAAACCTATGATTTGGCACGGCCGGTTTGCCCGAGGGGCTATGACCTCTCAAAGCCCCCTAGTGCTTAGAGGCTTGACGCTGGGCAATTTTTGGACTAGATGCCAAGCTTTTGGAACCCTCAAGATTGCCCCCCGGGCGTTTCTGAGTTCATGGCTACCCCACGGGGACTTGCTTTAAATGCGTTGGAGCGGCCGATTTCATCTCCACGGGGTTCCTTACCGAAGATTTATCCGATCTATACTCAAGCTACAGTGCGACCACCATGACTGTGACTGAGAAGGCGTCCGCGGGCGTCCTTGCCCACGATGAGTATATTTCTCAGTCTGCAAAGTCAGACCGAGCTGATGCGGCTGGTCCTCGTCAAGCTGGCGCTCTGAATATTGTTCAGAACCCTTTGACGGTAAGCTTCGTGATCTGTATAAAACCCTTCACTATGAGTATTGATGCTGACCTTGCTCGTGTAGACCGTCACCAGGGAGCAAGCTGTCTTCGATGCTCACGCCTTTGCCCAGGCGCGTGGCATGTCCGAATATAGGGAGCTGTTTGGTCGCGCCGCTCTGGTCGCGCGAGACCCGGAAATGTTCGAGACTCTTCCCGAGCTCGATCAGCAGGAGCGCGCTTCACTGGCATACGAGAGAGACCATAAATGGCACGGCCCCTTCATGCTCTGGTATTCTATCAGTCTCTGCGCTATCGGAGCCGCAACACAAGGATGGGATCAGACTGGATCCAACGGTGCTAATTTGTCCTTCCCGAAGGAATTTGGCATCGACGGCACGGGTAAAGATGAATGGATTGTGGGATTGATCAATGCGATCATTTTCTTGACCGCCGGTCTCATGTGAGTAAATAGATAGTGGCACTCTCTTTGGTTCCATACCCTTGGCTGATCTCCTGTATAGTGGTGCTTTTATCGTGGATCCACTTAACCACTACCTTGGCCGAAGAGGCGAGATCTTCCTCACTGCTGCTTGTCTCACTGCCACCCCGATTGGCTCCGCTTTTACACATTCATGGCAGGCTTTGTTTGCTGCACGATTTGTCATGGGCATTGGCATCGGTGCAAAGAATGCCACTGTTCCCATTTACTCAGCCGAGATGTCCCCGGCTCGGATTCGAGGTGCTCTCGTCATGTTCTGGCAGCTTTGGGTTGTCGCAGGAATCTTCCTGGGATTTGCCGCCAATGTTATTGTCAAGAACACTGGGAACATCGCGTGGCGCCTCCAGCTTGGTTCCGCTTTTATTCCGTCCTTTATCCTCATGCTTGGTATCTGGTTCTGTCCGGAATCGCCTCGCTGGCTCATGAAGCATGATAGGTATGCGGACGGGTTCAAGTCGATGTTGCGCCTGAGAGCGCATCCCATCATTGCTGCGAGAGACTACTACTACTCGAACATCATCTACCAGGAGGAGTTGAAGGAGGCTCGTGGCGCGGGCTACTTTGCTCGTTTATGGGACTGCTTCGCTGTGCCAAGAATCAGACGAGCCAACTACGGTGCTTCGACCGTCATGATTGCCCAGCAAATGTGTGGTATCAACAGTAAGGTGCCTTTTTCCACGAGTTAGTCGACTTCGCTCACACTTTACAGTTATCTCCTTCTACAGTTCGACCATCTTTGAGAATGTCGGCTACACGGCTACACAGGCCTTGTATGCGTCTCTCGGCTATGGTGCCGTTCAAGTCGTGGCTACTATCCCGACTCTGTTCCTCATCGACACTAAAGGCCGAAGAACCCTAACTTTGATTGTAAGTATTTGCGAGCTTTGCGCTAGACTGCGACTGACAATTCTGTTAGACCTTCCCCCTCATGTGCATTTTCCTATTAGCCGCCGGTCTCTCGCTTTTGAATCATAGCGGTAGTAAGGGTGCTCAGATTGGGCCGGTTGTCTTGTAAGTTCGAGGAAACTGACTCGAAGGCGCTTTGGCTAATTATCTTCGCTAGGTTCGTCTACCTGTTCACCATCTGCTACTCGTTGGGTGAAGGGCCAGTGGCTTTCCAGTACTCCGCCGAGGTGTTCCCCACCATCCAGCGTGAGCAGGGAATGGCTTGGGCTGTTTGCATCAACAACACTTTTGGTGAGGACTTCAATTCTTGAAGCAACCGAGATTTTACTAACATGTTATTCCACAGCCGGTATTCTGAGCTTAACATTCCCTCGAATGAAGACCGTCATGACCCCGACTGGAGCCTGTGAGTAAAGGACCCGAGACTACCGCATGCCAATTCGCTAATCCTAGATGTAGTCGGATTCTACGCTGGGCTCAACCTCATAGCCTGGTTCATGATCTTCTGCTTCGTTAGAGAGACCAGGGAGCTCACCCTGGAAGAAATTGACCGTAAGTAATACCTCATTCGGTTGATGACCACTTGCTAACGGTTCGCAGAGGTTTTCTCGGTTCCCACAAAGAAGTTCATCCACTATGAACTGACAGTGTGGCTGCCTTGGTTTATCAAGCGATACGTCTTCCGACAGAACATCCCCAGGCCCCCGCAGATTATTGCGACTGCTAAGGAGGCTGATCACTCACGTAGACTCTCGGAAGCACAGACTACCAAGGCATGAGGAAGGAAATGATTCATGATAATGTGAGACGGAAGAGGCAGATAGGGGATTGATGGGCCCTACGGGGTATAATTGGACATATTTACATTTCATGTCATCACCTGTGCAAGAAATAGTCCCCGTATTGGTCGATATCTTACTACACTTGGATGGAAACTCCCACCATGCTCCAGGCTCAACAGTTTGCCAAATGCCTAGATATTTCAATCTTAGATATTTCCGAGGTTCCAATGCTGTCTGCTCTCCTCATCACCAGATTGGGCCTAGTTGTCAACTCTCAGACGACGAGCTTCCTGCAAAGCCTCATTCGGAGTATGATAGAGTAGAAAGTCACCGCAAACAACCCAGTAATAGCGGAGAACACACAAAATGAAACTCTGAATTTAAGGTGGTCGTTGGTTCTAGGAAAGAAGCGGGATCTTAAGAGTATTTGATGGAAACGTCTACCGGAAGCTCCGATGTGCAGGCGGATTAGGCTAGAGCCGCCGGGCTGACCTGGCCCCCACGCGGTCAGTCAGACACGTCGAAGAGCGGTGTGTTGTCGCTTTTCTCTCGTCTATTCGATTGCGTTGATCTTCATATAACGTTCAAGACAAAAGACTTACTCGCGTAAAGATCCTCAACTATAGGGCCTTACGCAGAGTGCACAGACACGATGGACCCCCTCACGGCCCTCGGCCTTGCAGGGAACATCATCACTTTTATCGACTTTTCGTATAAAGTCATTGCTGGGGTGAACAAAGTCCTTGACTCCTCGAGTGGGATGACACCGGAGAACGCCAAACTCAGTGCTCTAGTGGAGGATTTGAATGGCGTTACCCGAGACCTCGTGTCGGATGTCCCTGCTAGGACGGAGAACGAAAAACAGCTCTGCATCTTAGCCACCAATTGCCATGCATTGTCCGTGGAGATTTTTCAAATGCTACGAAACCTCAAGGTTGGCGACAAGAAGTCAAAATGGCAGGGTATGATGGTGAAGATGAAGAGCATGCGGAAAGAGAAGGATATTGAGGCTATCGAACGACGGCTGAATAGTTATCAGTCAGAAATCTTGATCCGTTTGCACGTTATGTTCAGGTTTGCTTGATTAAAGAAGCTCCCAGAGATGCCTGCGCGAATTTACTGACACGGTAACAGCCAAAAAAAGCTCGAGCCAGAACTCCATGGTGAAAAGCCAGCTGGAATCTCTTCGAAAAGAGGGACAATCACTACGAAACGAGACGACAAAGCAGCTGAATGCGTTGCATCAAGACATTGTGACGCTCATAGAAACCATGTCCTCAACATCGCCCCCTGTTGGATCAGACCTGGCAAGAAGAGACACCAAGAAAGAGTCACTGACCAGATTGGCCGACGCATTGTCAACTTTCCAGTCCACGACCAAATCAATCTCCCGAGAAAACCACATTCTAAGCCGACTTGTTTTTCCTTCCATGTACAGTCGAGGGGACGATATCGAAGATCCCGAAAGCGGGACATTTACATGGATCGTGGAAGAAGACTCTCCCCCGAAAGTTGACCAAAAGGACCTTTCCGAAACGCCATACATATACGAGCAAAGAGAACAAGAAGTCATGCGGGAGACAACTCGACAACAATTCTTGACTTGGCTCAACTCCGGATGTCACGTTTTCCACATATCTGGCAAGGCTGGTTCTGGAAAGTCGACCTTGATGAAGTTCCTTGCCAGGTCTCCTCGAGTCCAGCAAGAACTGGAACAATGGGCTGGGGGGCAACAACTGATCATTGCACGGTTCTTTTTTTGGAACTCAGGAGATAAGCTGCAGATGTCTCTGGAGGGGTTGTATCGGAGCCTTCTGTTTGAGACATGTACACAATGCCCCGAGCTAATCCCTCGAATATTCCCTGGCCTCTGGGAAGGGCTGTCATCCGGTGTTGCACCTCCACAGCAAACCCCGATGCGCTTCGAAGAAGTTAAAGCTGCATTCGGTCGCTTGACGAAAGAGAGCCAGTTCTTCGATGGCTATATCTGCTTCTGGATCGACGGACTGGACGAGTTCGAAGGCGATGAGGTCGATCACTGGCATCTAGCTCGGGACCTTCAATACTGGACACAGTCAAAGCATATCAAACTTTGCGTGAGCAGCCGCCCGCACTTTCCCTTTACGCAGACATTCGCGAAGGACATGAATCGTCAAATCAGTATACACGAGCTTACTCGGGAGGATATCCGCCAGTTCAGCCTGGCAATGTTGGAGAAAGACCCCAACTTCCACCGTGTCCAAGATTCCTATCAAAAGCTAGTTTCGACGGTGGTGGAAGATGCAAATGGCGTGTTCCTGTGGGCGAGACTAGTTGTCCGCTCACTTTTGAGAAGCATAGGTTATCAAAGCACGGCGAAGGATTTGGAAAAGAAGCTCAAAGCAATGCCAAAAGGGCTAGATGAGCTGTTCGACCAGATCCTCGAGTCAGTCAACCCAGATGATCGGCCGCTCTCTGATAAACTGTTTCTTATGAGCACTGCAAGCTTGTACCACTGGTACCCACCAATTTGTAATGCCATGGCATACTCACGGCTGGAGGATCTGGATGATCCAAATTTTCCTGAGAACAGACCTATGCGAGTTTGCTCGGAAGCTGAAATCGACGAACAGATACCTCGCGTATCATGCCTTCTGGACCGTTTTTCCCGAGGATTGCTTGAGATGACACCGAGCAGGGTACACAAGATCCGGGGTTACCAATATTTCGCATATGAAGTGAAATTTCTTCATCGTACCGTACGCGACTACATCGTGAACACGCGACGAGACCAGATGCAAAGCCGTGTTCCAGAGTTCAATGACCACGTCGGTATTATCCGATTGCTGCTTGCTGATTTCAAGCTTGCCCGTCCGTCAAGAGAAGACCTGATCCCTAACTTGGCAAGGTGGGGGTATTCCATCAGAATACAGCTCAAAACTATATTCCTTGCTCTATTGTATGCCGAAAAGGCCGGGAAAACCGACGTGATACCTGGATTCCTTGAACAAGCCGAGAAAATCTTTGCGGGCCATGCTCAACCCGCGGAGCCCTTCGATGTACAGGACCACGAAAACAAAGGCTATCTGTGGGGAGAAAACATGGTGGCCCTCGAATGTCCTCAGCTCATTTACCTAGAATCGGAGGATCATCAATCATGCTTCCTTTGCCAGACTGTGGCTGAGGGTCTATATTCATATCTTGCGCCCCATTTCCTCGGCCGTCTAAAGAAAGAGAATTCGGTTTCTGGGCCAAACCTGCTTCTTGTAGCATCGTGGGCAAATGAAGTGGACATTGTGGAAGATTTACTGCGCGAGGGTAGGTCTCCCAAGGAGATGGTGGCCGTGGAGAACATATTGTCGCCTTTTGCAAACCAGGTATCCGGGACCATCATGGCTCCGAAAGCTCCTATCTCAGTGTGGCTGCTTTACCTTTACAGTTATCTCACAGAGTTTCTCTCAGAAAGATATTCCAAACCAGCTCTCGCTCTCGAGAGCTTTTTGGATTCGGGTGCTGATCCGAATGTCGAGTTTATTATCAGAAAGTGGCAGCACCCGAATCCGAATGTCGAGTTTATTATCGGAAAGTGGTCTCACTGGAATCCCAGTCTGAGCGAGGACGACAGTACTGCCAGCGAGGGTGACACCACTGCCAACAAGAACACACAGCCCCCCGAAACATATACTATTGGTTTGCTGGAATTGTTGGAACTAATGGAGTTGCCAACCCTGGATGACATTCGGGGAAAGCTTATTTCTCGATCTCCCAATTCCGATCGACGTGACTCCTTCGTGCGGGTTTGCAAATCTCTCATGACTGAAAAGAAGGAAGGAGTTCCATTTGGGCTATACCACAAGTTCTACGTTGAAAGTATCGTCACCCCCACCGAGCATTTGGATATTCCGTTCAGTTACCGATTGGATTGAGTCCCAAACGTGTCTTAACGTGTTTATTCTGCAAACATTCAACGAAGCGTCTCAATAATCTAAATCATTGATTCAACCTTGAAAACCCACCATCCGGCGGCTGCAACCAATTCCGCTTATCGTAATCCCATCCTTCCGCGCCCTCAATAACATGGAACGTATAGGCAAAGCGACTGCGCGAACTAGTGTTCTTCTCACTCTTATGCAGCACATTCCCATGGATCAACACCAATGACCCGGCCTTAACATCTACAACCTCCAGATCCTCATCCGTAGGTCCAGAAACCTTCTCCTCGTCCGCACCCTTAGGCAGTGCAGGCCCCGTATTCTCAATGAACTCCGTGCCTTTATCGTCAGCCTTCCTCACAAATCGTCGCGTGATATGACCGCCTTTCCGGCCCTTGTGTGATCCTTTCCAGAATCCTAGTGTTCCGTTGCCTGGAGTTGCGTCTTGAAGTGCGTACCACCATCCCACTGCTGACGGAGGATCGGTATAGAGGAACTCCGAGTCGCGGTGCGAGGGAACCGCGCCGCCGATGGAGGGTTGTTTGCAGATGATCATGCTCTGCAGGACGCGCGGGTCTGTAAAGCCCAGCGAGCGCGCAACGGAAGCATTACGCTCGTTCAGCGAGACGGCTTTGAAAGGCGGAGAGAGGGTGTGGAGTGAGTGACCGATCTTATTAACGGCGAGATGCTTAGGCTTGATCAAGGCCGCGCGGCCAGTAATTGGATCAGGCTCTGTGGTGAACGCATCCGGCTCGAAGAAGAAACGGACCTTGTCGCCGGAGGACAAGAAGTATTCATCGCCCACATGGTCGGCGGTGTCATCGTCGCCAGTGGTGAATTGGGTGAGAGGGTGCGAGTCGAGAGAGAAATTGTTCAGCAAGGTGTCGGTCTCTTTGAGTAGAGATTCGACTTCGGACAAGCTGAGGTAGTCGGGGATTACCAGGAAGCCGTTCTCCTGGAAGGTAGCCAGCTGTTCAGGTGTGAGACCGGCCATGATGGGCGTTGTTGAAGAGAAGTTTGGGTTGGAGATCGGAGATGGAAAAGGCGGGGAAGGTTAAGATAAGCGACATCCATCTGCTGTCGGATTGGTTACGCCCTCTCAACTAGCTTGCCCTAAAAACTACGTACTACAGCATTGGCTGCGATTGATCCGGATCTACTAGAACTTTCCAAAACTTTGTGAAATCGGGCTATTTGCAAAATCAAGGTATTATCTCTCAAAACCATCACAGGGCAAGCCTTCATGTGTACATAGATACTGGAATGCAAACGAGAAATTCATGAGCGCCGCCAGTGCCGGATATCGAAAAAGAATAGCCAAATACAGTCTGAATCGGGACCAGAAGATCCGGGATATAAGAAGTTAACCCCCGTGGAACACATAATACATGAATCATAAAGTGCAAAGATTTTAACTGGCATAGCCCATCGACGCCGGTGGCCGAGGCGCATATTTCCGCACAGCTCGGCTAGGACTGCAGGCCACAGAGCCGATGTCGATGGTGCTGAGCTCGCGGCTCAACGCGTCCATTCCCGGTCGCCCGCTTCTCACATCATTAGATGCAACAGGGTAGGCAGATGCACCTTGGGAGATTGGCACTTTTGAAGGAATGGGCGGACCGGAGCTATAGTCATAAATCGGCGAGCGAGCGCTCGGCGTGGGAGAAACTGAGCCCCGATGGGAAGAGCGCGGCCGGTCAGCCGACGTTGGGGTGTTGTAGCCCCGACTATGTGTGTAACTGCCATAGCTTTCGTGTCCCCGATCAGCCCGAGGAGGCGTGCGGTCCACAGAGTCGGTATGCACGTGTGTTGGGTTATAACGCTTGTAAGTGTCAGGCGTTGTGCGGAATCCCACGCGTGGCGGCGTGTTTCGAGGCGGCGTCTCGTTGCCACGAGATGTCGGTCGAGGCGAATGCTTGAAACGGATGATGACCTCCGGTTTGCGGTTTTTCTTCTCCGGCTCGGGGGCCCATGTTTCAGCTGGGAGGTGGTCCGAGGGATCGATTTCGCGACCATCGTCGCCGATAATAGGCTGGTCCAAGTCTCGGACGGATTCGATCTCTGGCCGAGACGAGGCGGCTCTGGCTTGCGATGGCGTTTCGTATGCGGGGGAAGCATCCCGTGCGCTTCCGGGTCGGGATGAGTGGTGGTTGAAGGAGTTATAGGAGTCGGGAGAGAAGGGGACCGAGGAGCCTGCACGGCTATCCGAAGATGAGGGCCGTGGGCTTACTGATTTCCGGGTCACCATCCGCGTGTCTGGACTAGCTGAGCCGCCTCGACTGGCAATGGAGCCCGAACGCTCCTCCGTTGGCCGGGGAGATGTGCGAAGAGGATAGATAGGAGCTTCGTACGTTGAAGGTACCGGTGTGGGTTGCTGGGCGAGCATCATCTCATCATCAAAATGGGCGCTGCGTCTCCGGCCGCTTCGATCCTCAAACACCGCACGATCCGTCTGGCTTTGTGGCTCGTATCCGGCGACCAGACTTGCGGGCACGGAAGGATTGTATGGTTTATAGGACGACGGCGACTGGTTGGATGGAGAGTGTGCCTGCTGCGCCATCCCAGAACGGTGAACAGGGGGCGGGGGCGGAGGCATATCCAAGTCTTCTTCATCTTCCACGCTCGGCTGCATTCCAGCATACTCTGGATGATATTCGTCAACGTGGGGAGGTGGTAAAGCCTTGACATGTGGCTGGTACCGAAGGTCATCCACTGGTCCTGACGATGAACTGGGGCGGCTATAATTCAACGGCGCAGGCACGTTACCCGATGCGTGTGGTACAAAGGTTGACACCTGTCCGAATGTCATAGGGTTCACATTGTACTGTGGCGACACCATTTGACTGTGCGCATTGTGCGGTTGCAAACCCGCATCATACTGCACCCTTTCATTCACATCAGGCTCAAATAGTGGTTCTGATGCTGACTGATGGTCACGCGAAGGAGGACGATCGTAATCAGAATGGCTGCGTGGTTGCAGGGGACGCGGATCGTACGCATGGTCGGGGGCCTCAGGAGCAGCGTATGAGAGTTCCTGGGTGTTATGTCTCATCATGTCCACAGGAGGGAGAGCTGGAGCTGGGGCGCTCCATTCCCGCTGGTAATCATCTGGCCCAACATGCGTCCCTCGCGGTTGCGACTTGGGAACCGTAGCATAGGCTTGGGTGTCATAAGAAGGCTCGGAGTGTCTCGGAGCGTAAGGGAGGGGTTCGGGGGCGGCAGATTGTGGCATCGTCTGGGCAACATCACGCATGGCCGGCCTGGCAGGCATGGGGTGGTGCAGCGGAGGAGCTGACTGGGTGTGCTCTGGAGCAGGGGGTCTGGCAGGGGTGGCTCCGGATGGGTCTGTGGGCAGAGGTCGTCTTTTGACCTTCTCTAACTGACGAGGACCCGACAGTCCCGACATGGCAGACATCGTAGATGTTCCAGACAGCACTGAGCTTGCCGAAGGGCTGACTTTGCCCTGTGCCCTTTCGGCCGCAACTTTCCGTCGCTCAATCACCGCCACGTCTTGCTCACGGGTGTCGTAGTATGTCATCTCGAGTCGGATTTCGCCTGCGTATTTACCTCGGCACTGAAGGACGTGCCAGTGGTCATTTTGGCTTCCACCGGGAATGATCAAATTCTGTAGGTCGACCCAAGTTTCGCCAATCAAGTCGGTCTTCTTGTCATCGTTGAAGATTGAAACTTTCATCCTGTAGTAGTCAGGAGACTCGTGTACTGTAAATCGAAGCTCGTGGTCCCTGGAACAATGGATGTTAGCTCTGATAAACCGCTTCATGGTTGTTGACGTACCATCGAGGTGTTTGTCCACCACGTAGATCAGTAGGGGTCTTCTTTGCCTCCTTGCCCAGACGAGCAGCACAGTAGGGGTTCTGTTTGCCCATGGTCTTGCGGTTGGGCAGATTCTTCGCACGGTCGATAATGGCAACGAGAGTACCGATGGCGGGCCCATCGACCGACATGTCGGCGAAGATGCCCGCAGCATGGTTAACTCTGGAGAGCTTAGACATGATAGCTTCTTGCACGCTTTCAACCTGTCATGCACACACTGGGGTATAAATGCGAGAGCAGCATTGGCGATGACTTGGAAGAAGAGAAAGCGAAGGGAGAAAAAGAAAGATAAAGGCGCCTGACGGAATGTCAGAGGCTGTATTTGCGGTATCCGAGGTGGCTGGGGACGGCCTTAGTACGGGTCGCTATTGGCTGCTTCCCCTGAAAAGCGTCCGGGCCCGGGGAGATATGACGGTACGTGACAATACGCATTATCGATAAACAGAGACTCCGATCCCCTCTATTTACTTGCGTACTTCACTCGTCTTCTCTGCTGCACCTGTGCCGGCCTCCTTCGCATGTCCGACCAGAGTAAAAGTACATTAAGTCGCCATCTTTGTTCACCAAATCTATCTTCGACCAGGGAAATCCAGAGCGAGGTGGAGCAGTAGCGTCAGCTCCGATCTGCTTCCCAGCCACCGCGATCCACCCGATCGAAACATTCCCGACGGACAGGGGCGTGAGAGGGCAACGATTGGCGACTGGTCCAGAGCCATGATCGTCATTATTCAATAGCGCTGTTTCTGAATCCGGTTTCAGTCGAGACCTCACAGCTGTCAACGCATCTCTCCACTTGTAGGGTTGGCGGCTGCATCGGGGCCCCTCACCTCCCCACCTAATTGCCATGGCGACAGCCAAACACTTCACTTACCGCACCGCTATTCTAATTGCCGAGCATTTATTGCTAGACGCTCCAAAATCGAAATCAATGACAATTGCCGTCGAGGTGAGACAGATCTAGTACCACATCCACCACCCCCTTGGAGCCTCTGTCAGACAGAACGGTGCTGCCTGCATCACTGCCACGGAGACTCGCCGAGCCTGGACTCCGATCATCGAATATACGCCGGGCAATTTTCTATTAAAAGACTACCCCGAGGAAGAAAAATAGCAGCCTGTACTGTACGACGAGGCCATTCGTCATCTGCGGGGAAGTCCGTATCCCGGCCCGATTCCTAAGATAATCACGACCAGCCACCATGGCGTACCATTGAAGTTGTTATAGCCCTACTCCGTACACATTACTCAATACAATATACTAGAAATCGGGTACTTCAAAGCGACGCATTCACAATCACTTCTGAAATATTTTACCCTGATGCAAGGATTATTGCGCCTCCCATTCTTAAGCTATTACATTGCTTCTATACCACTGCAGCCCGCACATACCAACATTCAGGAAGAAAGCAATCTGAAAATCTTTTTTTGTTTAGAGCAATATCGTTTTAGTCCTGATGAGGATGCCAATGAATATGTGGCATTACCCACATGGGTACCTAAAAAGGCATTTGTGGCTGACTCGAAGGAAATTCAGACAGACCTTGGGACGACTAGGGATTGCGTAGTTGAAATTACGTGCCGAAGGCCACCAGGTGTATTTCGATGCAGAATGAGACATCAGAGCCCTCAAATCCTCCTCCAAGTCACGTCTGAATCCCCAAGAGTTCATTGTCCACCTAGGAGACTCTCCCCAAAGATCGCTTGGCAGAGAAAGCCACTTGCACTTCCTTGGCATAGCTCTCCCGCGACTTGCCCATCAAACCGGCAATGTTGACATTCGCCGGATTCCACTTCCTCTCCCTCGCAATCCTCTGCGCGATACCAAGGATCTGGCGCTGAGTGATCACCTTGCCGTGCACATAGACCAATCTGTTTTTGGTCTCATCCAGATGAGGAAGTACCTCAGCCACCACCTGATCCGCGGTAGCGAAAGCAGTCGTACTAGGATGAACTCCACCATCCTAGAAGGGAGGTGTCTGGTATTGATGGGCCAGGTCCCATTCCAAGCACATCCCATCACGGATCAAAGTATAGGTAAATTCAGGATGAATCTTGACATCCTCCTGTAAAGTTTTAGGTATTACGATGCTGCACTGGTACACGGATAGCGTGGACGCACTGGGATTCTCAGCATCAGCGCTAAAATTAGAACGGATGTAGCGGTAGACTGCTGCACAAATGGCTGCCTGAATCAGGTCGGTTTGTGTCATAATCCCCGCAGCCCCTACAGCTGTAACAGCTGTATCCTGGCCGGTTATTAACGTGAGAGTCAACTCGAGGATGGATTCGTAGTCGACATGAGAAACATGAGCCTATGGGGGAAATTGAGGCTCTGATGGTCTTCGGGGAGTAAGTCTTTGCATACTGGAATAGTTTCTGTCGATTCAAAATGCTGACAATTCCAGATCTCTGTGTCGAAAAAATCGCAAAAATTGCTGGAAAATATGGTATTAAATGATTTCTCTATCGCTTTTCTGTCGTTCAATGTAGATAGAATAATAACTAGTTAGCGGATAGAACAGGAGATTCAATACCTTGGTGCCTTAAAGAGTGGTTGGCTGTCAGAGCACGTAATATAAGGGCCAATCAGCGGTGAAAAAGACTCTGTATTGCTATACCCCTGAATCTGGTTTAGTTATTCGCCTGTAGATTCAATACACCCAATACATACCTCCATACCCCGCCTCTAGATTCAATACACCTAATACCTCCATACCCCGCCTCCAAAGCAACCTTCCGAAGGAGGGGAAGCTTAACAATCAATCACGAGTGGACGAACCAAGATGGCCCCAAATATAGCCTCTTCAAAATACAAGCCTATCTATGACATGGTCCACAGTGGTGAACTATTTTTGTAGGGTGTGGTTGTTCTCAAAAGGCAGGTCATTTCTACACCAAGATAAAAAAAAATGAAGCAAAAGTAAGAAGTCCCTTGGTAGGCATCATAGGAAGTTATATATTCGTTTGACTTTTGGCCGGCTTGTATTCAACATATCCCGAAGTTCACAGTAAACCCGAATCGGCAATACATTGAATACATACTAGACCCCTCGCCAAGTCATTCCGCAGATTGAACGGCTCCTGCGCTATTATTCAAATCACTGGAACGTGGATCTTGAGCCAGTTTTCCATCACGGCCGTGGCAGGATAGGTCGGATCCCCCAATCGGAGCAGCACTTGAACATGGCCTTCGAAACCCTGCCCCTCAAACACATGCAACGTAGTATCGGTACCCGCAGCGTTTAGCGCCACGGCTAGTTCGACTGCCTGACGGATGCCCCCATGTCGATGAGCGTGGAGAAGCAGAAACGAGCGGGCATTAGGCGCGTGGGTATGATAAGTAGGTGACATGGCAGTTAGTCGCTTCAGATCGGTACCGAACCCATAAATCATGTTGTTCGCAGTCGGGCCCGGATTATCGAGAATCTCAGCCGCTGCATTGTAGTTGGAGCCGTCCAGGGCGATGACGGCCTGCACAATGGAAATACTAGTTCCCGCTCGCTCCAGGTAGCTCGTATCAGTTCCTAGCAGAGTGACAACGTGGGCGCCGGAACTATGCCCCATCAAAATGAATCGTTCAGAATCAATGTCGAGTCTAGTTGCGTTTTCCACTAGATAGTTGATCGAGTTGGCCACTTCTTGTACTTGCTCTTCCACCGTCACAGAGGGAATAAGTGTATAGTTGACCGTAGCGAAGGCATAACCTTTATCAATCAAATAGGCGACTTTGGCGGACCCAATAGAGTCTAAATAAGTCCCCGAGCGCCAACTTCCGCCATGAACGAAGAGGACAATCGGAGCTTTGGATGATTTGGACGATTTGGCTGGATTGGCCTTCCAAAAGCGAAGAATTTGGGAATTTGCTTTTCCATATGCCATGTCGGTGCCTCCGTTAGGCTGATCTGCGTTCATTTCAGACATAAGCTCCTCTACCCTGGGTAGCGTAAAGTCGTCTGTTGTCTTCTGGAAGATCTCGAGACCTTTAATCTCATTTCCTCTAGCCGCCACGGCTATAGGGTCGAGCGGAGCCGACAAGCTGGCTGTGGAATTGGAATTGACGTCCATGGCCGCAGTTGAAGGTAGAGGGAGAGAGTACTGGGTGGAAAGTTTGCCCTTAAAAGAAAGAGAGACGAACTAGGCAACGCCCTGGTGTACGCGGCATACAGTAATTATTCGCTTTAACGAACTAATGTTGGAAAGGCACTACCCACCCTCTAGGCCCCCCACCAGTGCCAAAATTCAGTTACAAGACAGAGCATCGTGTTACATAGTATAATTTGAGTAAGTCGCTGTATTGATACTGATACAGGAATATTGATATTCCGAGTATATTCCAAATATAGATCCATGGGTCTTGGCATTGGTTTTCGGGAAACATTGAGAGAGTGTAGGTGGTGGCACCAGTTTCGAGATGCACTGTAGCATTACTAAGTGCAGAATAAAATAGATAGTTACCTGAAAAAGGGGCCAGTCTTATAGCAGAGACTCGTGACTGCATAATTCATACAGTTTTCGCCTGCATTTTTGAGTATTTCCTTTACTTTACTCTCAATTTTCTTCAATAGAAGCCTTAGTTTAAAGGTATATACTTAGAAGCTTACTAGTTCTAAAGGAACTAATCTAATTAGTGCAAAATCATTTACTTATACATTCAATGAAGGCTGTTCGTTCCAACATCGGCTTTCTGCCTCAGGCCACAACAGCTACCGCCGCCATTCCCGATTGGGCAGGCGAACTTTTTTGATCGGCAGAAAAAAGATCCTCAACTCTTACGATCAAACGCCTCTGCCAGCCACGAGGTTTTGGCTCATTCTTTTTTGATTTCTTTGGCCGCAGTCCGCAATCGGCGACCAATTTTTAATCAAACACCATGGCGGCGCCCGTCCTGCCTCTGCAGCAGGTCAAGCTCGCCTCGTTGCCCTCAACCCGCCTGACGCCAGAGCAGCAATACTGGCGCACCTTCAAGAACCCCCTCCTGATCCCTTCGCCGGCCAATGGACCTGTCAATCTTATCACTCAGCCCTCCGTCCCGTCCTCCGCTGCAGCCTTTCCATCCCTCACTCAACCCCCGGATGTCTTCACAGTGACAACTGGTGCCCGGGTCCAGATCTACTCGATTCGCACGCGCAAGCTGCTGAGGACAATTACTCGTTTCGATGATACAGTTCGGGCTACGGATGTCCGGCCGGACGGCCGCGTGCTGGTGACGGGTGACGATACTGGTACCGTGCAGGTTTTCGACGTTGGTTCGCGCGCAATCTTGAAGACATGGAAGGAGCACAAGCAGCCGGTGTGGGTGACCAAATTCTCGCCTAGCGACCCGACTTCCGTTTTCTCGGCCAGTGACGACCGGACCGTCCGATTATGGGATCTGCCTACGGAATCAAGTGCGCGTACATTCGTCGGCCATACCGACTACGTGCGCAGCGGTGCGTTCATGCCCGGTTCAATGGCTTCATCTGGGCTTTTGGTGTCCGGTTCATACGATCGTACTGTACGGATTTGGGATCCGCGTGTGGAGAGCCGCGCGGCTATGACTTTCAAGATGGCTGCGCCCATCGAGAGCGTCCTGCCTATGCCGGCGGGCACAACAGTTCTGGCCGCCGCCGACAACAAGATCGCAGTACTCGATGTCGTGGCTGGTAAGCCCCTACACATGATCCAAAATCACCAGAAGACAGTCACTTCACTTGCACTGGCATCCAACGGCGAGCGCTTGCTCAGTGGTGCGCTCGACGGACACATGAAGGTCTTTGAGACTACGGGATGGAATGCAGTTTCTGGATCCAAGTACCCTTCGCCCATTCTGTCGCTCCGCGTCATCACATCCGGTATGGCACACGAGGACAAGCACATTGCTGTAGGTATGCAGTCGGGTCTACTCTCTGTTAAGACCCGCCTGTCAGGCCAACAAAAAATCAAGGAGCGCGAGCGGCGGAAAGAGATGGCGGCGCTCTTGGAAGGAAAGCTGGAGGAGCACGACCGACAAGTTGCAAAGAAGCAAAAGCAGCGCGGCTCTGGATGGGACAAGCGGCTGCGTGGCCGCGATTTCATCGGAGAGGGAGTGGATATTGTGATTGAGGGGCAGGACAGCAAGCGACGAAAGAAGGAGCAGCCATGGGAGAATGACCTTCGCAAGGGACGGTACTCAGTCGCCCTGGATCAGGTTCTGACATCGACCGACAAGAATGCCCAACTCACGCTCCTCACGGCCCTGCGGCACCGCTCGGCCTTGCGGACCTCGCTCAAGGGCCGCGACGAAGTTACTCTTCAGCCCGTGCTGCAATGGATTTACAAGCACATTCGTGAACCCCGCCTGGTCGATCTCAGTGTGGAGGTCGCCATGAATCTGCTCGATATCTACTCGGGCAACCTTGGCCAGTCGGCACAGATCGATAAGCAGGTTGAGCGGTTGCACCGCCGGGTGCGCGACGAAGTGGAGATGGCCCAGCACGCCTGCCAGACAAAAGGAATGCTGGATATGTTGAAGGCGATCTAAAAGAGTCGAACGTACGGCTTGGAGTTTTGGGCAGGTGTCTGGGATTTTCCATTGGTGCACATGGCGGGCATTGATCATTTGTACAGAATTGCATAGAAATCAAAATCACTGTATACTTGAAAGCTGACCCTAATCTACACGTTCGTGGTGGTCATTGTACTGAACCTGGTATGGTGTGTAGGAGGATCGGAGAAGTATCCGAGTCTCAGCAAAGCGCCCCTAAACAGCAATGGGGCACCGGCCAAACCCAACCCATCGCCAGATCCAAGCGAGACGATCTTCTCGAACTTTCTCTTCTCAACTCTGCCATGTTTCCCTACCCTCGAGGCCTTCTCTGAACATCTGAGATTATCTGAGACACAGCATTCTACACCGTACGTCTCGGTTAGCACGCTTGGCACCCAAAAAAAAAAGAGGAATCCGTAGCTGCCCCGCCCCCCTCTCCTAAGCACCAGCTGTTCATCTCCACCCTCGGCTCTATTGTGGAGAGGGTCGAGACCGACTGATTGGCAATGCCCTGACCAAGAAAAAAAATAACCTGAAGTAGTCAGAGAACCAGGGAACAGTCATCAAGTCGGACCGCTGGGCCCGACCGACCCAGAAAATCAATCACGTCACGTAGCCATTTCTCATCATGGCGTCCGCATTTGACGAGGAAGACCTCTCAATTCCTCTTCCTCCTGCCGACCGTACGCCGCGTGAACGTGCCGGCAAGCCCGCTACGAACCCCTCCGCCATGGCAATGCCGCCGCCGCGCCCGACCGGGAGGAGCGACGCCTCGATGCAGTCGCCCGCCACCACGCGAGACATGCAGCGTCTTGATCAGTACCAGACGATCAAGATACTCGGCGAGGGCTCCTTCGGAAAGGTGAAGCTTGCCATCCACCAGCCCAGTGGAAGGCAGGTCGCCCTCAAGATTATCTCCCGCCGCAAGCTCCTGTCCCGCGACATGGTCGGTCGTGTGGAGCGAGAGATTCAGTACTTGCAATTGTTACGGCATCCTCATATTATTAAATTGTACGAATTGAGTCCCCTTGCTGCTTTCCTGAGGTTGTGCGTGCGTCTGGATCACTGACTCATGCCCCTCCTTCCCGCAGATACACGGTCATTGCTACCAAAACCGACATTGTGATGGTCCTCGAGTACGCCGAACGAGAATTATTCGATTACCTGGTCCGCAAGGGAAAATGCAACGATGACGAAGCCCGCAAGTTCTTCCAGCAGATTATCTGCGCCGTCGAGTACTGCCACCGGCACAAGATCGTCCACCGTGACCTGAAGCCGGAGAATCTGCTCATCGATAGCCAGAAAAACGTCAAGATCGCCGATTTTGGATTGAGTAACATTATGACGGATGGAAACTTCCTCAAGACCAGCTGTGGCAGTCCAAACTACGCGGCCCCGGAGGTGATCTCTGGAAAGCTGTATGCGGGGCCCGAGGTGGATGTTTGGAGTTGCGGTGTGATCCTCTATGTGTTGTTGGTGGGCAGACTGCCATTTGACGATGACTATATCCCGGCTCTTTTTAAGAAAATTGCTGCAGGCACTTTCCATATCCCTGGATACATCTCTCCCGGGGCTGCCCGCTTGATCCGGGCTATGCTTCAGGTCCACCCGGTTCACAGAATTACCATTGCAGAGATCCGAGAGGACCCATGGTTTACCAAGAACATTCCAAAGTACCTGGAGCCCCCGCCGGAGGAATACATTGCGACGGGTGTGGATACGAACAAGCCTATCGATTCTCGAAATGTTGCCCCAGGAAAGCCACTTCCCGTCCAGCACAAAATTCACCAGATCGCCGTGTCGAAGCTCGAGCGCAGCATGGGATACGGAAAAGATGATATTGAGGACGCATTGCGGCACCCGGAGCCCAGTGCGATTAAAGATGCATTCTCCATTGTTGTCGAGAATGAGATGATGCAAACGAACTGTAGGTGTTTTCAACAGTTCTCTTTGAGCTATAACTAATCACCGACTATAGCACCGACGGAAGATAATTTGATGGCTCAAAGCGTTTCTCAGCAGAAGAGGCCTGCGCCAGCAGCCGAGCGGGCCGCCGCTGCACCTAAAGCCCAGATTCCTCCAACCCCAGCCCCAGCGCCGGCCCCGCCCGTAACTCGAACCCCTAGTGCACGACGTGCACGGCCTGACGACTACCAGTCAGCAGATACTGAAGTTGATTCACCTCGCGTGAGCCACGTCCGAATTCTACCAACGAGTCTTCCATATGTCCATGATCAGCTTATGGAACAACGTGATCGGGAACAAAGAGCCCGAGAACAACTCCTTGCGGAGCGTCGGCAAGAAGCTGCTCGGGCTGACCCAGAAGCACCTGAACGGGAGGTATCTCAAGAGGATCAGACACTCACTGCCCGGGCATTGAAACCTCACTCTCGCAGTGTCGTTGATTTGGATAAGTTGCGATTTGAACCACCGATCGGCCATCCCATCACACAGCAGCCTAAAAAATCTCGGAAGTGGCAGTTTGGCATCCGCTCGCGCAATCAACCCTACGAGGCAATGCTCTACTTGTATAGAGCAATTGCTGCCCAAGGTGGATTGTGGGATATCAAGCCGGTGGAATCAGGTATGATCCCTTCTTATCTTCCCGAAGATAATCATGCTAATTTCTCGAAGGCACAAATATCGGACCCGAGGCAACACCCTCCCCTGACAAGCCAAAGCCTCTGCAGAGCAAATATCCGGATCTTCCCTCGGACTACTACATTCCCAATGACCCCTGGTTCATTCGTGCCCGTCTTCTGAAGGAAGGCGTCAAGGCTCCGGGTGCATCGACTTCCGTTTACAACAGCCGGAGCGATCTCGAGGAGCTCCGCCGCCGCTTCCACATTTCCGGCATCTCCACTCCATTTGAGGACAAGGACAAGGACGGGAAAACCTCCACGTTCGAGAACAGCACTTCATCTGCGCCATCTGCACCATCTGCGCCTTCGTCGGCAAACCAGCCAGGTGGACTGCCAAGCATATCCCACGGTGTCTGGGTCTTCCTCGACATCCAGCTGTACCAACTCGAGGAGAACAACTACATGGTCGATTTCAAGTGCGACGGCTACCAAAATGTGATCCGCCCTCAGGGCGATACTGAATGGCACCCGATCAGCAAGCGCCTGAAGAACAAAGAGAAGGAGGTCACCAGCCCGTACCCATTCTTGGATGTGGCCTCCGACCTTGTGGCCCAGCTGGCTGTGGCTAGTTAGTCTCGACCCTGACGACCAATATGATCATAATAATTCTCTAATGTTGTTCTTCTTCTTCTCTTGGGGGCGTGGCGTGTTTGTACATCGGATCTGTTAGCATTTGGTGTCATAGCGAGCGTTTCTATTTGTTGATCTTGCACATCTCATGGAGTTACTTACCTCATAAAAAAGGCTTACTCCTTTCAAGGTTGCACACATGTTCTATGTGCTATTTTTGTGTTGTTTCGACTAGTAGAGACGCCTCTTCTTGAACTCAGTATACCAGGGAATGATTTGCTTACGGAGACTGCAGATCTCCACTGATTAAGATATTCTACTGTCGACGACTAAGAATAAGAAAGTTGGTTCTTCATTCTTCAAAGCAAGTAGGAACACAAAAGAATGGACGTAAAAGTGACGCCAAGGTCAATCCAAAGCCAGTCAAAAGCCAGCGAAAGGTCAACGAAATCGAAGCTCCTATCTTGGAACACCCCCTAAGAACAACAAAGGCAAAAAACAACAGCAATCCAAAGTGAGTTTAACACTTCTTGCTAAGGTTGGGCTTCTTGACTGCACCACTGGGAGACACACGAGTGAGGCCCGAGACCATCCTGACAAAGTTTCGCTGAGAGCGACGTCGCTGGCTCTCAGATCGACCGCTGTTGGTCCCAGTTCTTCCAATCTTGCCAACAGGAGTATCGTTATCGGCATCATCGGGATTGTCCTCGTCCTCGTCTTCGTCATTCCCGGGGTCATCGTCATCATCGCTCTCTGCTTCGGCATCCCGGTCACCATTCTCGCGAGAATCTCTCTGACGCAGCGCCGCGTCGACCACCCACCGCTTGAAGAACGGAAGGATCTCAATATCGGGGAACCGCACACGACTCGCCTGTTGGCGCAGCTCGTTCTTGGCGTTGCCGTTCTCACCAGCTTCTGACCCCTTAGCTCTGCGAGACTTCTCATCATTCCGCAGTTTGACCATGTATTCACGGATCTGCATGATGAGCGCACGGATGTCATCAAATGACATGATGGTGTCCGTCTGTCCGCGAAGCCAGTCGGGGACCGGAGAGATGATGGCCGTTGGGTGCTTGCGGCCGGTCTGAAGAGTGGTGGAAGATCCAGATGCCTTGACCTCGGCGTTGTCAGGTTTGTCCACTCGCAGCTGCTCGCGGCGTCGAAGAGTGAGTTTGAAGTTCTCAACGCCATCCCAATCTTCCATGCGCCGCAGAGATTCCAGAAGCAGCTCGCATTGGGTGAATGGCCACTGGTCAGCGCGGTAGCGAGCACGCTGGTAGTGCTTACGGCAATAGTGAACCCAGACATGGGCTGGGAACAGCTTTGTCGTAGCCTTGTTGCGGCCGAATATGTGAGAAATCACTTTGCGGTAGTGCATCCCATCTGGCGAGGGGTTCATTCGGCAGGGCATGGCGAACTCGCACGAAGGATCTTGGGAGTTTTGCTCCTTCTCCTCATCCAGTGGCTCGCCAGGCCCGTCAACCTCGTTCTCATCTTCCTGATCTGTAGTATTGTCAGGTCCAGGGCTGCTCTGGTGGACGACATCTCCGGGGGTATCTTGTTCTCGATCCTGGATATCAAAGTCCCGTGCAGGATGGCGAGATGGGAGATGCATGGGGGGAGGCCAAACGGAAGGATCGAGGGAAAGAGGAGGAAGGCTCGGCGGTTGGCGTGGTTGTCCATCTTGAGCACTTGGTGAAGTAATGCTGGGGCCACATCGAGCCCCATTGATGGGTGGAAGGACAACCCTTTGGTTTGTTAAAGTTGTGGACAATGATGGATCCTGTGGAGATCTCAAGCGAATGGGCAGCTCAGCCCGTCTTGGGCTCATACTCCGTGCCCGGGCTGGAGGAAAAGGGCTCTTAAACGGATTCCCTTCACGATACATGATCTTCCTCCGTTCTCGCTGGATTTCTTCTGGGTCCAAGCCCGTGATATTGGAGACACCTCCCATGGGAGGAGTGGCGAAGTTTGGGACAGGATGAGTTCCTGTTCCCTCCAGTGTACTTGAGTTGGCTCGGGATGACAGAGGTTGGAGAAGAAGACTTGGGACAGGAATCATGTCCTGCTCAGGTGAGGGATGAGGCTTCATGTGTGGTTTGAAATACACCACAGCAGAGTAGAAAAATAAGAATGCTGGGATTAATGAAAAAAGACGGAGAAAGGGAAGATGGGGGATATTTGATGATAGAAGATGGATAGATGAAGAAAGAACAGGAGTACAAGAATGGGGACAGAGGAGGAATGAGATGGAGAAGTGAGCAGGATTGGATCACTTTTATATGAACGCTTTGCGGAAGTTTCCTTCTACGTTCGAGTGAGCGTCGCCGGGGCGATTAACGAGTGAATGGCCGAGTGATTTGTTCATGGTGAAGCATGTCCAACGCAGAGATCCTATCCTTTCCGCTATCTCACCGACTTGGACAACTCCCTCCCTCCCTCTCTCTCTCTTTCTCTCACATTGGCTTTTCATAAAATATGCAAACACCTATCATCTCTCTGTCCCTTCCTTTCCCCATGAATTTCAGCAAAAGCGGCATTGTTCGCGATCTATTTCTACTTCTGCGGATCTGATGAGTGTAGGCGTATTCTGAATAGGTTCAATCTACTTCCAATGAGAAACAAGAGAACTAGAATAACCTCTATGCAGGAAATGATACCTTAGATTCCCCGGCGTTCTGACAATCCTGATGAGTCTGTAGAATTAGAATAGCATGGGTCCTTGAACTATGAGATTTGACCGAAATAAAACTACATGTAATTGACGTGTCGTCCAACGCAAGTGATGCTGAGTGTCCTCGACCACGCGATGCCATCTGATATTCTCGTATCCCTCCACCTGGTTCACTTGATTGACCTGTTGAGTAGGCGTGGTGGGTCGGGTGTAGCCCTGGAGTTGGAGGGTCAGGGGTGAACACCATATCCGTCATCCTGAGTATATGGAACTTGTTTCGAGGCAGTCCCGGTCCAGGGCAGGTCTGATCCACCGAGAATGTCAATTAGCGTAGGTAGGTGGATACAGGGACTGCTACTATAGCTGTTCAACGTATCTACCTACCTTAATCTACTCTCCCAGCTCGACTTTGAAACTGGGAGCTACCAGGATCGTTATACATCGCCGTGGACACCTTCATTTCCCAGGTTACGGTAGATTTGACGGCGATAGCAAAAGGATTAGTGTAATTAAAACCCCTTTTCTGGTTCGATGAAACTTCGTGAATACTTACTTGGTCATGGACAAAAAAAAGTATATATGAGTTTTCTCATACCGGGAGTCGAACCCGGGTCTACCGTGTGAAAGACGGTTAGGCTAGCCGTTACCCCATATGAGATAGCTAGGGTTAGTAATGTCCACAAAACAACTACTTATCCTTCCAAATGTCGGATTTAACGGTATCGGGCTCCAAAAGTCTGTCATATCATTTTGAGAGATGTATTTACTTTTATGGAGGTCACTTTTGACATTCGAAGCTTCCTGATTATGCAGGTACAGGCGTCTGGATTTTCTCTTTTGGCGATCGCACACCTTCGGTCGCCAGATGTGCAACGGCAAAGAATCGCAGGCAGCAAATATTGCAAATAGTAGAGGCAACAAAATAATCCTGGATAGTTGCGATCGCGAGCTTGGCAATTATGAACCGCCAGCGGGGTGCGTCTCCCTGGATATGCCAATCTTAACCCTTCAAGGCAGGACATCGGCTCTAGCCGCAGGTCGCAGATGGAAACGCTATTCACAGCTGCCTTCCAAAAGAGGCAGCGGCAGTCACAAGTCCAAACTCCCCTGGACATGTGGCTTGCAGAAAACCCGCTCGGGTTTCATGATTTGGAGACCGGCGGGTAAATACGAAAACGAGAGTTCTTCACCAATTTCCCGATCGGGTTGATGCCCGGTAGCGCCGGCAAGTCAAGTCCGAATAGAAGCTTGCAGGTTCCAAGTGCCGTGGTATTGTTAGGTTGCGCGGTGGCTTGGTGGAAATTGCGGGGTGAAGATGGACCTGAATCATGCCCCGATGGGACCTGCACCGAAGATATTACGGGAACATTGGAGCGGAAATCAAGCATTTGCACTCCGCTTCAGTCAAGAGTTGCAACCAACTGCATTAGTTTCTCCTTAGTTTCTGAGGTCCACGCCTGATTGGGGTCTTTGCTGTGGCGAGTCTGACACTCGAATCGAATCAGGTCTGCCGCGCACGCTTTTACCCGCGTGAGACCATGACGGACGGCCTGAATGATGGCTATAAATTGTAAAGGTATTCCCGCAACAAACCCGTGTCAGTAGACCGAACATTACACAAACAATTTGACTCAATCACCTCATATCGACGGCATGAAGCCTACCCTTTACACACTTCTCAGCCTGGCTGCTGTCAGCTCTGCTTCACCTGCAGAGAAACGGGCAAACTCTGCCTCTGCATACAGCTCAAATTCTGCGGGCAACTACAAGCTTTCTTCAGTCGCCGCGCCAGTCCAAGGCAGTGGGAGTCCGGGTTCCGAATCTACCTGGAAGCTTAGCATCGATGACACAAGCTCCGGTTACAAACAGACCATCGTTGGATTTGGTGCTGCTGTGACAGATGCGACCGTCACCTCCTTTAACTCGCTGTCCAGCTCGAGTCTCCAGACCCTGCTGAACCAGCTCATGACCAGTTCAGGTGCTGATTTCTCCTTGATGCGCCACACCATCGGAGCTTCAGATCTGTCCGGTGACCCGGCGTACACCTACGACGACAATGGAAATACGGCAGACCCGTCGCTTTCAGGCTTCAATCTTGGCGATCGTGGTAATGCGATGGCCAGCATGTTGGCCACGATGAAGTCGCTACAATCCAACCTCAAGATCTTCGGTGCGCCCTGGAGTGCTCCCGGCTGGATGAAGCTGAACGGGGTCATCGATGGAACTACAAACCAGAACAATCTAAACGATGGCTACCTAAGTGGTGGCACCGGAACCTCGGGATACGCCAGTGCATTTGCGCAGTACTTTGTCAAGTACATCCAGGCCTACAAGAATCTTGGCGCCACCATCGATGCAATCACTATTCAGAACGAGCCTTTGAATAGCCAGTCCGGTTACCCCACGATGTACGTCTACGCAGACGAGTCCGCACAGTTGATTCAGAACTATGTTGGTCCTGCCATCTCAAACGCTGGGTTGAGCACGGACATCTGGGCGTACGATCACAACACCGGTGTGTCTACCGTGATACTTGAAAAATGAAATCCTTTACTAACTTGTAAGATAACTCCGACTACCCCCAGACCGTCATCAACGGTGCTGGGCAATATGTCGATACGGTCGCCTGGCATTGCTACGCCGACCCCTTGAACTGGACAGTGCTCAGCGAGTTCCACGACAACAACCCATCCGTGAAGCAATACATGACCGAGTGCTGGACGCCAGCCGGAACATGGAACCAGGCAGCAGACTTCACCATGGGGCCTTTGCAGAACTGGGCCGTTGGCGTAACGGCATGGACTCTCGGTACTGACTCCAGCGATGGCCCACACCTTTCCACTGGGGGATGCGCTACCTGCCAGGGCTTGGTCACCATCAACGATGGCTCTGTTATCTACCAGCCGGCTTACTACATGATGGCTCAGTTTAGCAAGTTCATGCCCCCTGGAGCTATCGTGCTGAGCGGCACTGGTAGCTACACTTACTCCAGTGGTGGAGTGCAATCTGTGGCCTCTTTGAACCCGGATGGAACTCGCACCGTCGTGATTGAGAACACTTTCAGCAATGATATCTACGTGACTCTTTCTACCCAGAGCGGACAGGAGTGGAGTGGTAATGTCCCTAGTGAGTCAGTCACCACTTGGGTGCTTCCGGCATCCAGCTAGAGTGGTTTCAAGAATGATGTTGTGAGGGCCACCGTTTATAAGAGCTGTTCTACAAGTAAGGACTTTGGAACTTGGAAATCCTCATGATACTTATAGCCCCGGGGCCTTTCATAATCGTACAAAGTGTATACAATTTCCGGGTTCTCCCCTGTCAGTCGGATCTCGCCAACTATAATCCAGCTAGCATCAAAGGAAATAAACATGAGCTTACCCTTGATTCGTCCTCGGTGCGGCTTTTGATGTCGTCCAGTATGTGGAAGCGATCAAATATGGCCGATGAAACTATACGGAGGAGCCGACAGTGATAAAATTCGTGTATTCACGTCTGGGAATATGAAGGGTGTTCACCAGCATGATAACTGTGACAAGATCTTCTTAGCTATCAATCCCGAGTCCATGCTTCCCATTCCACCCTTCCACCAATGCTGCTCTGAAGGACGTGTCATTGCAAATTTTGAAATTGACAGTTTCAGACTCTATTCAGCTTTTGAACAAACCATTGTGAGACCCAAATCTATAATCTACTATCGAATTGCCTTCTACCTCGAGCATGTTGATTTTGCGCGATGCCTGATGGAGATACCGACCAGGACCCCTCAAAAGCCTCAGTTAGGGTTGCCGCTGCACGTGATCACACCCTCCAACAACCGCAAAAGTCGAAAGCAGCTATCAACCCGTGAATAGTGTTGATTTATATTTTACGTGTTTTGGAAAGATTTGAGGTTAAATAAATGCAATTGAATATTTTAGCGTCTATCATGCAAAGGTCATTATCATGTCTCCACGACCCACGAAGGGCCGGAGAGTGAAGTCCAACTCCCTATATACAGGAGCATCCCAAGAGAGACGGGGAAAGGACATGCAAACGACAGTACACAAATCACTTTTTGTACCATCGGCTTTTCAGAAAAAAAAAAAAAATTCAAAATCAAATCATGAGAGTGAAAAAGGCCGAGTCGCTGAAGTAACAAAGCAGAGGAGGTATCATTCACAGAAACGCCAGGGGTATGCAATGGAAGGAAGGAAACGCAGAAGCGTCGAGATCACTGAGCGGCAGTGGCCAATTGGTTGTGCAATGCCTGCGTCAGGGCCTCTTCCTGGCGCTTGCGCTCCATCTCCATCAGGTACTGGGCGTACTTGGAGCGGGGGTTGTGGATACCACACTCGGTCTTCTGCTGGCCCTTCCAGCGACCAGAGCGCTCGTCCTCGTTGTCAGCGACGGGCTGGGTAGAGTGCCAGTCACCAACGCTCTTGTAGCCACGGTCGAGGAGCTCGTTGTAAGGGACGTCGTTCTCCTTGACGTACTGCTTGACCTGGTCAAAAGACCAATTGGCCATAGGGTTGATCTTGATGAGGCCGGCCTCGTCGACCTCGATGACATCGAGGTCACCACGCTTGCCACCCTGGCTGCGGCGGCGACCAGTGAGGACGGCGTGGACGTTGAGATCACGGTAGGCACGCTGAGCAGGCTCGACCTTGGCGACCCAGTCGTAGAGCTGGTCGTCGGCCTCCCAGAGGCGAGAGCCGTACTTGGATTCGAATTCCTTAGCATCTTCAGCACCGGCGGGCTTGTACACGTGCACGGTGTTGTTGGGGTAGCGCTTTCGGACACGGTCGACCAGGTTGAGGGTCTCCTCGAAGTGGTGAAGAGTGTCGAGGAAGATGAGGTCAACCATCTGAGGTCGGGGCACCTCGAGCTTAGATAGCATGTCCAAGGTGACGAGGCCCGTCAAGCCAAAGGCAGTAGTCTGGAAGAGGTGGGGGAGAGATGTAATGCACCATCTCAAAATGTCTGTAGTATCATCAGTCAGATTTGGACTTTTGCAAGCGGGGTTGAACATGGAATCAAGACATACCCTGGGGCTCGAGGAATTGGAGTTGGCGGTTAAGGAACCGAAGATGAGGCTTAGTGAAGACGATTTCGGGAATGTATTCTTCACTTGATGAGCCACCGCTGACATAGCCAGACTCGGTCATAATATCTCTAGAGTCGATGGCACCCTCGACATCGGAGGGGTAGCTGAAGGGCATCTTGGCCGGCATGGTGAAGTGTGCAATGTAGTAGATGTAGAAGTATGAGAATAGATAAAAGGATGATAGCTAATACCACACTGCAAGAACGGGCACCAAAGAGAGCTTGAAGATGGAGCCAGAGATGACAATGGCAGGAATATAAGAAGAACAGGGGCAATCACGACATCATCTCGGATCTTCGTGCCTGGCATCTCATCCGACGGCCTTCCTTTGCCGTCCATTCTGCCGGGAATGCAATCACATCATTCAAAACTACCGCCTGCCGGGTCGGGCGATTCTGCTGAAAAATTTGGTTCTCCGATGTTCTGAGAGAATCACGCAATACCTGCGCGGTTGGTTCCTGTGGGTCCCCGAACCGGCTTTTCTGGAGCTTGATAGCTCACGCTTAGACACATTTCCGGTTGTTGGTCACCCAGATGGGTAAAGCTGGTGACTCGGAGGGCTGATAAATCCCTCCGAAAGGCCCCGTAGGGGTATGCATCGGTGATGCTATCCCCGTTGCTGACCAACGTTGCTCCCCGGGGTTAACTAAGTCACCCTGCAGCCTAAGCATGATGTTAGCGATATTCGAGAAGATGGATGGAAACTGGATTTTACCCGATCCGTACGCCTGTAGCTTGATCTGTGTCGTAGTGTCATCGGTGGATAAGGTTGCCCTATGTACATACGCGCTCACCTCCCACCTGGCGGGCTCACCAGCTATGATGTGATCCGGGCCCCTTCATGTTTTCTGCCCGGCGGTGAGAGACCTTCCCGCGATGGCACGTGCTCTGCATCATGTGATCTGTATCGTGCACGAGCCATGTGCCGATCGGAGACCTTTTGTGGAAGGGTGTCTTCGTTGCTCGTTGCTCGTTGCTACTCCCCGGTGGAACTTCGACTTGAATTTGTACATCATGGATCCCAACGCCTCCCGCCAGCGGCCCTCACTGGGTCAGATGCGTAGCAATTCCTTCCTCCTGGACCACCAGCAGTATAAACCGCCGCACCCGATCAGTCAAAACATCGGAGAGGTGCTGGGGACTCAGCTCGATGAGACTTTGGCTACATTGACCAACCCGATCAGCCCAGACCCCGAGCGGGTCACTGACAGCGGTCTTGTCCACAGCATCTTCCACCACGGTGCCAATCCTCTCCCGCAGGGCACCGCGCGCATTGTCGCGACTCTCTTCTATAAATCCTCCAAACCCGTCCACCCCGCTTTCCACCCCGACGTGTCGCCCAATGTCACCCCCGGCCAGACACTCCAGGCTCCCCAGATCCCGGAAGGGTCTGCGCCAACCATCGACATGGACAAGATCCCGCGCGAACCCCCGGCGCCGGAACCCGAGCCGCTGGACCACCTGTACGGGCCGTACGTGTCGCAGCTCTGCTTGACCAATTTCCTCCAGACCATCGAGCAGCTCCCAACACCATACCAACGAACCAATACCTCGCACCGCTGTCTGGATCGCGAGGACCAGCCCCGCGTAGTCGAGGTTACATTTTCCCCACCGCCCGACCCCGAATACCTCTCATTCGCGGACCTCCGTAAGCACGAGAGCATCTGGCGATTTGAGCGGGAGTGGAACGTTGAGGTGGTTCTGCAGAACGAGGGCGTCTTTCGCCGGCATAAGCGCTTGGCCGTGTTTGACATGGATAGCACGTTGATTCAGAACGAGGTGATCGATGAGATCGCGAAATTTATTGGTGTGGAGAAGGAGGTTTCGGTAGGTGTTCTATACTCAGGTTGACAATGCATGGCAGCAACTAACTTGTCAGGCAATTACGGAGCGTGCCATGAACGGCGAGCTGGACTTCTCCGCATCCCTTAAAGAGCGCGTCGGCCTACTCAAGGGTGTGCCCGCGGACGTGTTCGACAAACTCAAGACCGTAATCACCATCTCTCCGGGTGCCAGGGAACTCTGCCGCGCATTGAAGACCCTAGGATACAAGCTGGCTGTTCTGAGCGGCGGCTTCCAGCCCCTGGCGGAATGGCTCGCGGAACAGCTTGGAATAGACTATGCGGTGGCCAACCACGTGAGTCTCAACCGATCAAGACGGCCCCATATTCATACTCGTTTAACATCATAATAGCTTGAAATCGACCCTGCAACACAGACCCTCACCGGCAAACTGGTCGACTCTCACCCCATCATTGACGCCACGCAGAAACGCGCCCTTCTCACCTCCATCGCGGCCGAGAACAACATTCCCATCTCCCAGACACTGGCTGTCGGCGACGGGGCCAACGATCTGCTGATGCTTCACGCAGCCGGCCTGGGTGTCGCCTGGCGCGCCAAGTCCAAGGTTCAGCTCGAAGCACCGACCCGTCTCAACGGAGAAAGTCTGGTCGATATCCTCCACCTGCTCGGTCTGGACAACGAGGACATTGTCGAGCTGGCCGCTGAGAGCAAATGAGTGCTCGAAGATGCTTTAGATTTTTCCATGAGAATAAATCATCTTATGCATATGTGCTGAGCACAATTCCCCTTTCTTTCCCTCTGGGGACTTTGATATCCATTTTTTGACTGCAACAGCAAGTTGCTGGAGAATATTGTTGTGCTTGTTCACTAGGCCCTGATTGATGCTCGTGACACGGAAAGCGACGCAGTGTGGAGTTCTTTGGAAAGCAAGTCGATCTACAGCTTGCTGGGCGTGCGTTGTTTTGATGTGAGGCGTAGTATACCCGGATTGGAGCACCAGTGGCCTAGAGCTAACGCCGGGCGACCGATACCTACTGAGTTGAGATGAATGAATACGATCAATAAAAGTAGTCATGTCCAGATGGTATATGGATGGATGTTGTATTTGAAAGAGCACACGAGACATTAGTCTCGGAGCCAGGTGCAATTTGAATGTACAGCACGAAACCGTTGATGGTGGTACAAGACACAGCTAGTGCTGAAATGTTGAAATGTTGAAAGAGAATAACAGAAAGAAAACTAAAACCCCAGCCCAAACCAGACCAATGCAAAACTCAGCGCCGAAACATGAATTCGAAAAGGTTTATCTGCCATGTCTATTATTGTTTTTGTATTTCAGACAGAACCTTTAGCGAGTGGCGTCCGCTGTAGCCACAGTTGACTGATCGACGGTACCCTCGGCAGTACCAGAACCAGCACGACGCTTCTTCAAGACGTTCTCAATGAATGCTTCACCGGCCTTGTAGCTGCTACGGACCAAGGGGCCCGAGGCGCAGTACAAGAAGCCCATATCGAGGGCGCGTTGGCGCCAGGCCTCGAATCGGTCGGGAGTCACGTATTCCTCGACAGCCATGTGGCGCTTCGTAGGACGCATGTACTGGCCGAAAGTGACGACGTCGACGTTAACAGCACGGAGCTGGCGGAGCGCGTCCCAGAGCTGCTCATCCGTCTCGCCCAGTCCGAGCATAAGAGAAGTCTTGGTGATGAGGTCGGGTCGGGCCTCCTTAGCAGCCTTGAGGACCCGAATAGACTGCTGGAAAGTGGCGCGACGATCGCGAACGAATGGGGTGAGGGCCTCGACGGTCTCGACGTTGTGAGCGTAGACATCCAAACCAGAGCGCGCGACCAGCTTGGCCATCTCCAAGTCACCGCGATAATCGCCTGTCAAGCACTCGACCAGAATGTTGGGCGCTTTCTGCTTGATCTTGATAACCGTCTCGGCGAAGTGGCGCGCTCCGCCATCTGCCAGGTCGTCTCGATCCACACTCGTCAAAACGACGTATCCCAGACCCCAGCGCGAAATGGCCTCGGCGGTATTCTCGGGCTCGTGAATGTCCAGCGGGGGCGGAGCACGGGAAGTCTTGACACTGCAGAAGCGGCATCCACGCGTGCAGGTGTCGCCCATGAGCATGATAGTGGCGGTAGCAGCAGCCTTGTCGCCGCCGCCCCAGCAGTCGGAGATATTGGGGCAACGGGCCTCCTCACAGACGGTGTGCAGGTTCAATCCACGTAGATCCTTCTTGAGACGCTGGTAGTTTTTCGAATCCGGGATAGGTGTCTTGAGCCACGAGGGCAGGCGAGTCATTTCCTTCTTGCGGCCAGCCGGGCCGACCATGGCTGTTTTCAGGGCATATGCTTCGGAGGGGTCGAGCGCCTCTTCTTTATCACCAGAGACAAATTCAGAGAATGAGGGACCGGCATTCAGCTTATCGCGGAAAGTTGTGCTTCGCCGCCGCGTGGTTCCCGCTGGTGTGTTAGAGGTGGCGGACGATTCATCGGTCGTGGCGTAGGTTCGGCGGGAGAGAGGGGAAATTGAGGACACCGGAGATATGGTTGCTCTCACAGACGACAAATGCCGTAGGGACCGTGCTGGTGCTGCCATGTCTGTGTGTGTGTGTGTGTGGTTTGGATATGCAGAGGATCGCGGAGAAACCATCGAAAGATAGCAGGGTCGAATCCCGCGGGAAAGTATTATGACTAAGCTGATCGCTGGGCGGCGCATCAATTTTCCGAGTTGCGCCGTAAGCCTTTCCGACATACTTCTATTGGATACAGTATTCTCGTTACAAAAATCATGGAGGTTGTAGTCGAGCAATTATGATTATGCTTTACTATGATACTATCACTCTTAATTGTACAGATTCCATGCACCCAAAAACCAAAACTTCCAAGGAGCGAATCGCGATGCGAGGGTATGAAGGTAACAGCAAGTGAAGGAGCAGTAACAGAGAAGTTCGAATCAATCGAAAAAAGGGAGTCATTGCTGAGAATGGAATATTAGTGTCATCCTCAGGATGTGTGCGGATAACCGAGGACCAAGGAGATGATGTTGTCGATGTGGATGTTTCAAGGAAATGGAGTTTGAAGGAGAGAGTCAATGCTGAGCATTGGTTTCGAGGACCTGAGCGAGGACCTCGACGGCGGATTTGAGAGTGTCGTCTGCTCGGCCACAAATGGCAAACAGGAGGTTGTCGATGATGCCTTCGAGTTTCCGGTGCAGCTCCATGCTGCGGGAACCCAGGGCGCGGTCTTTCATCCGACCTGGGGACCCGGTTGGTAGCTGGATACCGAGCGTACTGTATGCCTTTGCCGGAATGGCATCAATGATGTAAGGATCGGGGCGCGATGATACCGATGTTTTTCGGCGGTGAAGTGTAGATAAGGAAACAAGGTAATTGCGAGCAATGAGAGCAGCGCAGAGACAGTCGAGGAGGTTCTCTGCAACTTTGGGGAAAATAGTGCGGAAAGGCCGAAGCAGGACTTTTTCGTCATTTCGGCGAAGATAAACGATAACGGGGGAAGTAAGACGGAGCATATGACGAGGAAAGTCCTTGACGGAATGTTCAAGTTCACCCAGAGTCCATTCGTGGTCATCAAGGGTCCATCCCTGGTCCAGTAATCGTTGTTTCCCATCCTCTTTCTCTGAAAGATTTGATGTATGACCGGAAGAAGCGGTCCTTGGCGATGATGAAGCTTTGGGGCTGACACTGCCCGATCGGATTTCCGGCTGGGGTGACCTGTCGCGCTCTCCCTGCGCGGACTCAGGCCTGTCGCCTACAACGGTGGACGTGACACTGTCTGAGGTCAATGACCCCGGATCTGTATATGCATCGTCATCTTTGCTGTCCTGGTAACTATCCATGGAATAACCTGATTCGCGGGTACCATAGCCACTATCGGACAAGTAAAGCGGCGTATCTGGACTGAAAGCAGATACCTCCTCTTGGCGCTGGTCTGGCGTCATTGGGAGAGGTTGAGGTAACAATGGTGGTGGTGGTGGTGGTGGTATCGGCGGGGCCGTAGATGGAGGCATGGATGGCGATGATTGCCGTGTTACCTCCACAAGCTTAGGCTTTGAAGCGACCGCGAAACGCTGTAATGATGTGTTAGCGTCTTTTGTCTCAGCACCATCCCGCGTTGAAGAACTCACAACAGGCTCTTCCAAGGCCTTGGCCCCAGGAATGATGTCCAACTTTGGCATCGGTGGATCCGTTTCGACGATCTGGAATTTTCGACGGTTGAACTCTTTGGGTGGCTGGTCTTTATCTTCACCCGCTTCAAATGGCACGCCCTGCAGCCATGTCTGACAATACGAGAAGTTGGTGGGAACCCAACTTGCTTCGCTGGAGACAGTCGCCGTCCTCGGCCGTTGAGGTCTCGGGGAGGCGCCTGGAACAACTGCCATGGCGCTATGAACGGAACGTGGTGATGAAACAGGGCTTGATTTTGGTTTCTTGGCTGGACTGGAAATGGGCGGTGTCTCTTGGTCTTGACTGGCCCCCTCGCATTGTCGAATGAGGTTGGAATGGGCTTCGTGAACATTTGTCACGTCTGTTCTGCGCCTTTCTTCCAGTTCTCTTGTCCATCCCGGCGGACGATAGGCCTTGTAAAAGATCTTTTCCGTCATTTCAAATGGTAGCGTAGGCTCACCCGGCGGTCCTTTCTCCGGCTCCTTCATGAGCTCCTCCAGAGGCTCCTCCAAGGTATCATCTATTAGGTGTTCGATCGGCTCTTGCACCGTCTCTTCCAAAGGTCCTTCAATAGGCTTGTCCACAGGTTCTCCGATGGGCTCTTCGGGGAGCTCTTGTGTAGGGGTATCCTCCTCACTGTTCGTATCGCTCTTGCACTCGAAGTACGAAGATTCAATACCTGAACTGGCTGGTCGCGACTCTGATATCGGTGGACTGGGAAGGAGACCAAAGGCCGAGAGATTCGCGACGGTCAGGTTCTGATCGGATCGCCACGTTCGCAGAGTACGTCCGTCCTGCGGTTTCGGATCTTTCATCCATTTAGGGAATGAGCCGTCGCATGACGCAGTTGCCGGCGACGCTCCTGCGGACGTGGGAGATTTCGGTAGAACGAGCTGAAACGGTTCCTTCATCCTGCGCACAGAGCGAAAGGGCGAGATACAGACGGGGCTACGAGTAGCGGGCCGCCTTGTTAATGTGGTGGAATACTCATTGGATTCCGACCGCGCTGCGGAGGATGGCAAGAATGACAAAGAGCTCGGAAATTGCCTGTCCCTTCTCCGGGGCTGATATGTGGGCGACCATCGGCGTGGCGATGGGATGCGGCCGTCAACAGTCATGGCATCGTGGCTCAAAGCCGACGAATTGGAGCCTTGGTTCTTGATATGGGTTTGGATCCGAGCCGGACAACATGCATTAGTCGGCATTGTAGAAGCGGCGCAGTCCATGGCGGACATGGCGCGTTCTTGTGGAGAAGCCCAATCCTAGGTTCAATTCGTATGGAGGTGGTGACAAAAAAAAAGCAATGAGGGTGTAGCACAATAACCGGATGAGAATGAAATGCAGAAAGAATCGGACAAAAACAAAGCAAGCTCCGGGTATGCAGGGGCTCAATATGCCCTTATACAGTTCAGCGTGCCCAGACGGTTCCAGGTGGATATGGTCACCGGGGCACAGCTACACATCCCTTGTCAAGGAAGAAGACTCCTGCCATGGAGAAAGCCGGGCATGTTCTGCGGGAAAAGCCCCTTCAAGGTTTTTTTACATTTCCCTGCAGCAGGAGCTCATCTTAGTTCGTACCAGGCACGGGCCAACGTAATCATAGCGAGAATGGAGCTCGCGTCGTCCTTGCATTCCACGCCATGGGGTGAGATCCAGGTCAGGGAGGGCGATGATTGGCCCTAGATCCGGGAGTCAGCGCAGATGCAGGCCGTCAACGTGGATGGACCCTCGGCCTGTCGCGTAGTAGCGTCATAGTTCAATGGGGGTGGGACATATAGTGGACACCGGGAATGAGACAATTGGGATGGGGCGAGGGGGGACAGGGCAACCATGGCGACGGCGAATCAGAGGCGTCCAAGCCCTTGAGAAGGGCAACAGGATCGACGATAGGGTGTATGGGAGTGGATCTTCATTGGTGTTGTGTCTCGTTGCAACGGCAATAATCGCAGACGACTCCCCTTCTGGGGGCTCGGGGTGCCATCCCTTGCGTCGACCTGGCTCATGCTTGGCTGCTCGTTTGAAACGCGAGTATATAGTGCAAGAAATGCGTCGCCATGGCTTGGAATTCCTCGATTATTTTTCCCCTCCCACAGTCGGTGACGTGGAGTCATGGATCATCGTAAAATCTCCGTATCCGCATAGATGTGAAGCATCAAGCTTATCGTCGGGATCTATAGACAGGTCCAAAGCGACTCGGTCAAGCTAGAACGCGATTCGCGTTGGTGTTCGATAGATCAGTTCCGGACGCGTTCTGTACGATTTTAAGATTAAAGTCCAGGATCAAAAAGTCAGATTGAAAACCTTGGAGCGTAGAGTTTGTCAATTATCACATCGTGGGCGATGCCTCGCACTCGCATAACCTGGTAGACGGGGCCGACCCGCATGCAAACACTGCAAACCACCGCTCTTATCGACTTATCACCGGAAGGAAAAAAATCAGGAAGCTCGGTTCCATTCTTCTTAGCAGCCTCCATACTTGCAGGCCCCATTCCCCATGCTTTCCGAGTCGTTCGTCGCCGCGACGCTGTCGTCCGCTAAGACTCCGACCGCCACGCTGCGCGATGTCGGGATTTGCGTGCAGGAATACCTGCCCTCGCCCCAATTGCGATCGACCTTCAAAAAGAGCTCCGCCAAGCCCAATGGTCTGGCCGTGACCCCGTCGCATATTTTCTCCGCGCAGGCTGAAAAGGCCGTGGTTCATGTGTACAGCCGGCAAAAAGGGAACCAGGAGGCTCTGGTGCCATTCCCACAGCGCATCCACAGCATTGCCGTGGCCGGAGGCAAGTACGGCGATGTGTTGGTGCTGGGAACCGAGGGCGGTGGATTGATCCTGTGGGAGGTATGACTCGTCCGAAATTAAAGCCCTCGATGTATCACACTTCTAAATTGCTTCTATAGACCTGCACCGGCCGCCAAGTGGCTACCACCGCCTCCCATCTTCAGCCCGTTACTTCCCTCATCGTCGACCCCACCTCCAATTTCATTCTTTCTGGCTCCGCCGATGCCAGTATACACGTCTGGTCCTTGCCCGCGATTCTCTCTTTTTCACGACCCGCCCCAAGCGGTGACCGACAGCCACCCAATTCGCCTATCCGGACCTTCTCGAATCACCGTGCCGCTATCACATCTCTTGCAGTCGGACACAGCAATGGCCAGAATAATATCGTCGTTTCAACGGCGAAAGATAATACCGCCATCGCGTGGGACTACCGTACCGGCCGTGTCATGCGGACATTCCTCCTCCCCTCCTCTGCTACCTGTGTAGCGTTGGACCCACTCGACCGAGCTTTCTACGTGGGCTATGATGATGGAAGCATTCAGTCGGTAGGCTTCTACCGCAGCGATTCTGTACAACATCCGCTCCACGACTCCTCTCTCCAATCTACCCCAGCCCAGGCATCTGCCGAAGACCGATGGCTCCCTCCTTCAGCCGACTCCAGCGCCGTCAAGGCAGTTTCTCCGTCGTATGATGGAACAACATTACTGTCTGCGCATGAGAATGGAAAGGTACTATCGTGGAACATTGCGCGCCGCAAATTCGTGACCATGGTTGCCGAGTACACACACCCAGTCACCAACTTAGTCGTGCTGCCGCCTACCGGTCTCCCGAACACGCAACAACTGAAGAGGACATCCCTTACCGTGGTCAAGCCGCGCCATGACAACGCGTTCGCAGACCCGGCACATGCACCCGGCGCCGTGCCGGTAGACTACGTGTTTCACACACACCTGGTTGCGCCGTCACAATCCCGACCCCGCCAGACAGCCGAATTCACCCAAGCATTCACACACACCTCCTTCCCCGTTTCCATGGTCGAAGAAGGCCTTGCAGAATTAGCTGCACTTCGTTTGGGCGGTGGGGCGCACGTTTCCCACGTTGCCTCCGCAACTCCAGCCCTTACAGACGACTCGGATGTAGCTGCCCGAGACAACCACATCACAGAATTAGAAGCCGAAGTCGCCATGTTGAAGAAGAAGGCAGCGGTGAATGACACTGCTCGACACGCTACTGCCGATGAGGTTGTGCAATTGCGCTCGGACCTAGCCCAGCTCCAGGATTACATAAACGAGATGCATGGGAAGCAGGAGGCAGCCCAACGTGACAAGGTGCAGCGCCATGCAAGGAAGGAGGAACAAGAGGCCAAGAGACGTGAAGCTTGGTTTGCTGCCGAGAAGAAGGGACGCAATGGAGACAAGGTCATGCAGAAGATGGAGATCGATGATGGCATGCTGACCGGCGAGTCTGATGACCAGGGCGATGAATAAAGGGATTGAAAAAATTATCACGCATTTTGGGTTCTCTACCCATCTGGACCGGCGCTATTGGGTCTCTGTCTATATACTCGGGCAATTTAGCCTCTATTGATGAATACCAATCCACATGAACATTGAAGAAGGATTCCAGTTTATTTTGTCTCGTTACAACCGTAAATAAAAGCAATCTGTAATGACTCTTCTACCCAAGTCTATATCATCACTCCCTCAACTAGATTAAAACACCATGCAAAGCCGACCCTTCAAATCCTTCCTCTGGTAATGCTCAAACATCTCGTTAATCTGATCCACCCCATAAGTCTTCTCAATGTGCGCCCTGCAACCATTCTTCGCATGTAGATTAATCATATCCTGACTCTGCTCAGGGGTACAGATCAACCGTCCCTTCACAGTCTGCTCCTTAAAGCTCAGCGCAAACGGATCGACTTCCAGCGTCGTCTCCGACGGCAAACCAACATCAACCACAACGCCACCTTTGCGCAGGAACTGCTGTGAGAATTTGATGAGATTTCGTGCTTCCGCGTTGATAACCACACGGTCCACGCCCGGATTGGTGTCATAGAAGGAAGACTGCAGTTCTTCGATGACTCGTTTTTGCGCGTCCTCGGAGTCGATCACGAACGTCTTATCCGGTCTGAGATGTGATGGAACGGAGAGAACGGTCTCAATTCCTTCTTTTCGGTTGTCGATGGCGATTACATTCGCACCTAGGGCTTTGGCGTATTGCACACCCAGGTGTCCAAGGCCACCAATGCCAACAATCGTCAGCCACTCGCCTCGCTTAACACCAGATGCCAAAAGGGCGCCGTAGACCGTGGCGCCAGCGCAGAAAAGCGGCGCGGCTTCATCCCACGGAATAGACTCGGGAATCTTCGACACGACACGGGCGTCGGCTTTCATGTACTCGGCGAAACCGCCATTGATAGTCAAGCCGAGCATGCCAACCAGCTTCTCACAGAGCTGCTGGCCCTGGTGCTTACAAGCGTTACACTCTCCACAGAATGCAAATGTATTGATTGAGCCAACACGGTCGCCAACGTGGATGTTTGATTTGCCTGCGTCGGATCCAACCTTGACGACTGTTCCGGCGGGTTCATGGGACCCGACCAAGCCTGGCTTTGCGCCTGCAGATTCATAGACGCCCTGCATTACTTGTAGATCGGTGTGGCAGTAGCCTGCTGCGGCGATTTTGACAAGGATGTCATTTGGGCCAAGATCGGTGGGCACGTCGATGTCGCGGACTTCGTAGCCTTTGTTGAAGTCCTTGACGACGGCCGCTCGCATGGTTTTGGGAATTTGGTCTGCCATGATTGGTTGTGAATGTGAAATTGAGTTGGATTGGAAGGACCTTGCTGGAATTGAAGATTTCGTTTTAAATAGGTTCTATAGAGCTATGGAGAACAGGTCTTGGATGATTGAAATTAGACGTCATCCTACGGCCGAGTATTTTCTTGTTCTGATACCTTTACTCATAATGCCAAGGTAACCAAACTGTCCTAGTACACGAAATGGCGACCTGTTTCGTCTTCAAGAGTCGAAAGTCCTACAGATTGGTTGGCTGAGAGCTTATTCACCAATCATGACGCCATAATTCGGTAAGATGTACTCGTCGCAAAATCATTACATTACAGGAACCATTCCATTCCGTCCTTGTTTTGGGTTGCAGAAATCTTGTAATTCCTAATTCTGGAGCATTGGGACTTTTCTCTTTCATCTGGGTCTGGTGCATTGCTTAGTTTCATGCGGTCCAGGCCAGCACAACGAGGCCGCAAAGCCTCATCAACCCCGGAGCTGACTATGAACCCCGCATATTTGGGCATGCCAAACTAATGTAACAATTCTCTAACCCCTCAGCTTCAGACATTTGAGCCAACTGTCGGTTTTGGCAAGCCCATTCATTTTGCCACTCGATCCCTAATCTGGTCCACGCCTGTTCTCCTTTTCCATAAAGAAGTATTTCTAGACTTGGGACAGCCGAGACCCAAAGGATTCAATTTGATAACGGAGTTCAATTTCTTCAAATTGTCAATACTTGAGTGGGGAGTATCTTAAAGCAAGTGGTGCTGATAGCTGTCACCCGAGATATATATCCCCACCGGAGCCATACTCACCGTCCCCACTATTGAGCACGTTCTATTGCTTGACATGCAACCCTTGGGATCACCAAGGTTCTTTCCAATGGTCCTTTGAGGCACTTGTTTTAATATGAACGCTTAATTGGCTTCCAACGCAGCTCACCAGGGAATTCACACCGCCCCGCGTTTGCCGCCCCTGTTCCAGACTCGCCGCAAGAGGCGACGATGGCAAATTGTATCATAACTCGCCACGCATATCTTGTGTGGAACCATTTGAGGGGTCAGATGAAGCTATAATACATAGAACACACCCATGTTTGGAAAACTTCCTATTTCCTTCCTATTTCAACGAAATTATCAGATCGTTCTGCCAAGGTTGATCCCCAAACATTATACCCCATCGTAGTTTACCTACCTACCTAACGCCTTCGGTTTACACCAAAATCCCCAGAATGTCCGAATCCCACAGCAGCAGTAGCAGCAGCAGCAGCAGCAGAAGCTCCTACTACTACAGCTCCATCAACACAAATGACGGAAATACCACAACCGGACGCCGGCACGCAACGACCTCATACACAGACAAGGACGGCGCAACCGTCGTACGTACCGCAACCCAAGAACTCGGGCAACCCGCCATCGTCGAAGAGCGTCGTTATGACCGCACGGGCCAAGAGCAACTTATTTTGGAAAGCCCTGATCTCGGAGGCACATTGGCCGGCGGTGTGAAACGCATCACAGATCTTGACGAAGAGGATGCGTCAGGGCTCGACATTACCAATGCCTATGGCGGACCTGCGCAGCTCATAGATGAATCTACGTCGTATGATTTGGAAACCAACCCGTTCGGTACGAAGATCTACGATCGGGATTCTGGGGCTTATGATGAGCATATGGATTATGATACTGCGGCTGGGACGAATCATCATCGTGAGGCGAGGGATGCCAGTGGACGGCTGTTCCATCAGGACCTCAAAGTTGAGTCCTCAGGCCCTGAGAAGGTGGCCAGGGAGCACCGCGAATATGAAAATCCGAATACGGGGGTGAGGGTTGAGAGGGATGAGGATGTTGATATCTCTGATCTGATTTAGGTAGTGTGAATATGACATCTCCGTGGAAGGCTAAGACTGAACAGCATGGATGATGTAAAAACAAGATGCGATGTGCTTGATGATGATGATGATGCAAGTAGTACGAAGATATTCAGAATGGCCGAAATAAATACCAATAGTCAAGGCAAATCTAGCGTAGACGGAGATGTCCCTCTGACCAGCGACTGCGAGCTTTCTCCCACCAAATCGGAATGTCGTAGGCCCAATTGCAAACCAAACCGGCGATGAAGCCGATGGCATCGTTCTTGAATCCAACCAACAGACCAACCGTAACCATCATGACAGTCCAGCGACGCTTGCGCTCTTCGTCCGTAAGCACAGGACCAAGATGTTGACCCGTGTGAGCAAGAGGGCTCCCTGCTTGGTCCAGATCACGAGCGCCAGTGGTATTGAGACTCTCGCCGACACTCACCAATTCCAGACCAGCCGCAATGACCATGACTCCCAAGAATGCGGCAGGGAAACGTTTCAATAGATCAACCAAGGTCTCCCCGAATAAGAAGCCGACGATGAGCTTCAGCACACCGAGGAAAACAACACTGGCACCCGAGCGCGCGCCGAAGCGATATTGTGCTGCCAGACCACCAGATCCGTGACAGACAGGCATAGCGCCAAACCAGCAGCCCAGGAGGTTCATGCCGGCGACACTGAGGCCAATGTGTGTAATGGATGGAGCACGCACATCGGGTAGCAAATCATGAGCCAAGTGCACTACAGCCACAACAGAGTTGAGAGTAGTGAGAGGGATCTGGCCAATTCCAGCATCGAGAGCGCCGACTTGCCACTGGTGGGGGGTCGGGACCACAACATATGGGTGCCAGATTTCGAAACCGGGCATATGGCCGGCCAGCGCGGTGCGAATGATGGCAAAAATGAGACCCACGGCAAACACGGCTAGTGCATATGGTACTCTTCGATAGACATTGGTGACGATCAAGCCGAGAAAGACAAGAATGGCCCAGATGCGGTTGTCGGCCCAAGACGGACCAATCCAGCCTAACGGCTTGAGCATGCTGCCGCAGGCTGAAATCACCAGCGACAAGCCCGCACCAACTTGGATGCCCTTGATCACAGGGATGGGAATCGCGTTAGCGAACCAGCGCAGGAGGCCAGTGACGCTGAATACCAAGATACAGGCACCGACAAAGATTCCTGCTGCGGCAATGGAGCCATTGGAGAAGTTTCGGGCGATAGCTACCGCGGCGATGGCCTTCATAGGCTGCACGGGAAGGGGAATTCCAAAGAAAAGGCCAGTCAAGATATTATAAACACCAGAGAAAATCAAGGTACTGGCCAGCGACACGGTTCCATTGACGGCTAGCGCAATGGCAATGGGCAGAAAGGTGCCGAGATCACCCAGCGACCCGGAGATTTCAGAAAGATAGTCGCGCTTGAAGGTACGCAGGTTATGCGCGGAGATCTCCCGCAGCGACTGGGCCGTCATGATGAGATCTAGATGCAATCTAGATGCGATCTCAAGCCTTCCGGAAGTTGGGGAAGGGAAGTAAGAAAGTGCAGCTGGGTGAGCTTATCAAGATCGGCGGTTTCCGCGCTGCCCCGCATTTGACACCTCGCGGATCGTCAATCCGGTTTTCAACCGTGGTGTGACCCGAATCGTTTTATGCCACAGATTGACACCCGATCTAAAGCTTGGTATACTAGGGTCACACGCAGGTCCCGAGTAGGCAAAGGCCAGGGTCCGAGACCTGTTGTGTGAGCAGGGTTTGTAGCACACCCCGGATCTTGGCATTTCGAGATCCAAGGTTACTTTCAGTAAGAACCTGGATATCCAGAAATTAACTAGAAATCACAAAATCTCTCTACGTTCTCGGCGATCAAGTGAACGGGCTCGCCCTCAGCGGCGACAGCCGTATTGCTTATGACGGACGAGTTTTGAAACATATCCGCATACCACCAGGGAATGACACGATGGAAAGGGATGATCAGCGGAGGTCACCGTACATTCATATTTTGCTAAATAGGGAACGCGATCCGATGGCATGTTACCCCCACAATGTTATATACTAACAACAACCTGTTCGAATGATTTTGATTCCAAATGACGACCCAGGGAAAACATTAAGTCAAGACAATGCTTCCAAGGCTAATCTGCCAATAAATATCGACCAAAATGTATAAGAGAATTCTAAAATTTACCGAATGGTAAAGCCTCCATCAACCCGAATGTCTGCACCGTTGACCATGCCGCTCGAGTCCTATTTGCCTAATGAGCATCATTTGACAATACATAAAAGAATGTAGGCAAAACTTACCTGGCAAAGGAAGAGGACGGAATCGGCGACTTCCTCGGGCAGAGCAAACTTGCCAGTCGGAATATTTGCCAGGAATGCCTCTCTCACAGAATCTTCTCCCCAGGCTTTCTGGCCAAGAGCCGTCCACGCCACAGTAGGCGAGACGGTGTTGGAGGTAATGCCACGACCACCCCACTCAGAAGCCATGCTGCGTGTCAGACCCAGGAGTGCAGCCTTAGATGCACAGTAAGCACCATGACGGTGCAGGGCTGCGTGTGCCGCCTGAGAGGAGATGCTGACGATTCGTCCTGGCGGGGGAGGGCTTGGCGAGCTCTCCGCAGCCTTCGAAGCAGAGAAGTAGAGGCGCGCAAAGGCCTGGGAACAGAGCATCGGACCGAATACATTGGTTGTCAAATGCTTCATGGTCTCCTCGGGAGGAGTAATCTCCATGTCACTCAGAGACACATACCCAGCGGTGTTGATGAGGATACTAGGAAATGCCCTCTCGTTCACGGACGAGGAACCAGGAGCCACCAGATCCTTCTCCAAGGACCCAAAGGCCGACTGAACGGAATCGGGGGAAGTGATATCGCATTCATAGGTGCGAATCTCATCGATCTTGGAGCCTCCGCCGTATCCCTGTTCAAGCAGCTCGTCTCGACGAGCAGCCTCAAAGGGAGCATACAAGATCGCAAGGCGAGCTCCTTGCTGTTGTAATTTCTTGCCAATGCTTGATCCAAGTCCACCTGGCGCACAATCGAAATTAACTCTACTTTTCCCATGTTATGGTCGTGAACACTTCTCATCCCTACCTAGGCCTCCGGGGAGGATCGCGAGCCTGCAAGAGAACGCCATTGTTTCTGTAGATCACCAGATGATGCACGGTCGCCCTCCGGAATTGTGGAATATGCGGATTGTATGTAACAAGGGCAACAGTGGTGTCAGTAATAACAAGATCAGATCTTTGTCCCCTCAATTCGAGGGCCCATGCGCCCGCTTCAGGTAAGGATCAGTGTTTCGCCGGGGTATCTGACGTCTGACGTCAAGCATCTCCACTTGTCCAAGTTACTTTAGGAAATCGCAGCACTTGATTGGGGGTTTTCCTTTCTTCCTTTCTGTGATATTCTATTCCTCCTTTTCTCCTTCGGATTGCTATGATATAAAGACTTTATCCTTCTTATAGCGAAGGCTACGGGATCGGATTGACACCTACCGGGTAGAGACCGTAAAAGTCAAGATTAATTCGCTTTTACAACGAGAATGCGAGGATCTGTTTGATTGACGCGAAGAAGGAGACCTGGGAATCAGGAAATGTAGGTGTTTTGTATAACAGCAGGAGCTCAAGAGGGCTTAAAAAGACCGCGACTGGGTCGAAGAATCAATCCCCTCGTCATAGGATTACATCCACAATGAGCTCACTGGAAGGGCAAGTACAGCTTTAGGGCATCGAAACATGCGGTCGTAAGCCAGGAACATCAAAGTGTTTTGATCAGTTGCTTTTCGCTTACGATGGGTGCTAGGTATATTGTTAGAATAAGGTCACGACATACAGTCGTGGTAACATCTACAACTACAAGTACGGACTACGGTCCGTGATTTGTTGCCCAGCCTGCCGAATTTCGAATCGTACCGAGCGGGAGTGTGATGACAGCACGGCGTAGACTCGAAGGTGACAGGACATCCTGTGGCAGACCCTCGGAAGAGAAGATCCAATGCAGCCCCGGTGGAGTATCATTGCCAAGATACTTCGGCGTGTAGGGGCAAATGGCCTTCCAATAGCATGGAAAGATCATAATCTCTCAAGAGGATCCGCCACAGGATGTGATCAGGCACTCAGCAGCCATGGCCGACGACTGGACTCGCTGGCAGGCAACAAACCGCGGATCTACACAGCAGTAGCTGTTAGTAGTGTCTGCTCACGGACAGAGCCCGAAAAGCAAGACACCAAACACGGTGAATGAAACAAAGCAAGCATGTCCTTTCGCTGGTATTGTCCAGATCAAGTTTTAACGGTAATTCTCAGAACGAGGCTCACTTTGCAATGAAGCCTCGGACACCCGTCATGCGCGCTTCCAGAAGGAAATATACTTACCCGAGTCCCCCAAAACCGGAACCAGATAATCCGCATCACCACATCTATATAAGTTGGCTCAACATCTCTTCCGAGCCAACATCCCAAAAGTCCACCTACCCATATCAAACTGCGTTTGCTTCGGCCGATGACGCAACCTTTTCCCGCGGCTGGAACGAGGCATCGGTCTCAGAGGCCGAGTCGACAATCTTCAGGTGCTGGAACCAATCACCCTGGGACTTGCGCCACCACTCGGCCAGCGCAATGATTGTGACACCACCCATGATGACAATTGCGTAGTTGAACAAGCTGGACTCTTTGTCGATTGAACTGTCCGAGTACTGCGGAGCGCAGAGTACCGCAAACACAAATCCGTTCCAGATGAATGTAATGAAGGCTGCCGCGACACCAAATCTCCCCATGTCCCAGAACCCGGCACGGAAATTCTTGCGCGTGATAAAGGCACGACCGATACCAACAAGACCGTAGGCTGCGATGGAGCCGGCAGCAGAGGTTGAGATCAGACTGGAAAAGGCCACCTGCGAGGGCAGCTGGGTGCAAAGAAGAAGAGCCGCGATGGTTGCGATGAAAATAACTGCATTGTGGGGCTGCTTTGACTTTGACACCCGGCAAAGGACGTTACTGAACGGGAAGACACCGTCGCGAGCCACGGCAAAGACAAGGCGTGACACTGCGACCAGCGAGATGGAAGTGTTGAGAATGGCGCCAACCATGGAGACAATGGTCATGACAACATGCGCACGGGGTCCTAGCGCCATTGCATACATGTTGATGAAGGGCTGGGGAGCGCTGGTGTTGTAGAAGGTCTCGATGGGCGGCATGCAGAACAGGAACAGGATAATGATGGGGAAACCACACAAGGCTGAAGCGACAGTCGCCCAGAAAACACCTTTAGCAGCGGCCTTCTTGGCTGAGATAGTCTCTTCTGCGACGTGACCCGAGGCATCCTGGCCCACGAGGCAGCTGCCGACCAAATACCAAGACAAGACCCAATTGAGTCCAGGGCTGGTTTCACCACCGTTATATGTTGACGTGAAAACATACTCGGCCGACTGGAATCCGTATGTCTTGGACACGCCAATGGGGAGCCAGATAAAGTTGAGGAGCATATCGATAATGATAACAATGACACCAGCACGGAACACCCACGAGTACATTCGCGGCGGGAGGAAGTTCATCGAGGTCGCAATACCCAGGAATACCAGCGAAAATGCCCAGGCGATTGCACGCGCACGAACGTCCGAAGTGGCGATAGGGAAGCTCGTGTTCGGGTTGAACACTAAAATCTCCGACACCAGGTAGTTGGCGACACCGAAGGAGTCACTGGCAAGAAAAGCCGTCCATGCAACAAGCGTCCAAGCTGCGACCAAGAACGAGACGAAGCGACCGATACGCCCACCACCCCAGGATCGGAAAGCCCAGTAGTAGATAGATCCCGCGGCGGGGTACGCGGAACAAGCTTCGGCGAGACAAGCGGCGGTGATGATGGACAAGATGCTACCGGAGACCCAAGAGCTCCACCTGTTAAAGTTGTCAGAGGCGCAATATTTATCAGATTAGGGCGTGTGCACATACATCGCAGCCGGTCCGCCACCACTTAACGCGATGTAAAAAAGCACGCGGATTCCACCAACGCAGTACAGCGCGGAGAAGGAGCAGGCGAAATTATCAAACGAGCCCCATCCACGTTCCAAAACAGATTTATATCCCAGCTTCAGCAGATCGCGATCATCTTCGTTGAGTATAGACGAGGCGTCGTCTGCATGTCTCGGCATGTCTTGGTCGTTCTTGGCTGCATCCGTAGCAGTGGCGATATCGGCGGACATCGCGATATTGTTGTTTTTTGACATTTAGCGCGAGGATATCGATGATGGAATCTCCTATTTCCCGATAAATTGACGACAGAACCTCGAGATCTAGGGAAAGAAAGAATGCGCCGCGGGCAGAGTTTTCTGGTCGTAAAGATCACGTGGGGAAACCGGTTCCTTCATGGCGCGGTGGATTCATGGCGCAAGTGATGGTTGGTGGGTCGTTGGATTGGCTCTATGTTAAGCTTTTGGCTTTAGTCGTGAAATTTCCCCCGTCAAATCTCGTTGAATTGTTGAGAAATTCTATTCCAACCGGTCAATATCCTTTGACGCGGCTCTTTCAACCAGAGTAATTTTCAATGATGAATATCTGCTACGAGATAAGATTTAACTAGCAGGGGGTAGGTAAAAAAATCGACCGGCAATATACGAAAAGTCCAAGCAGATCGCATTCTCGATGTTGACTTGTAAAGCAAGAGCCCAGTCGTTATTACCGAAAGTATTGCCATTGCTGTGGTTCAAACACGCACCTACATCCGAAATCGGAACCTTATGACTGGGATCTCGCACTTTCCGTAGTTTATAACGAGACGGAAGAAGCAAGAGGAATGGCAATGTATTGTGTGTGCACGAACAGTTACTGAAGAATACATGTTTCGCATTTATGAAACCTAACAGTGACATGTCCACTCCTTTCAGGGCTGTATGCTCCATCTTCACGCCAATTCGCATTCAATCACACTCTCTGCGCTGTTCAGCGAGGTCCAAATCTTAGAAATTTTCAGGCCAACCGGTTCAATTAGCCGATGCCACTGCTGCTTAGTCCGTTCTTTGGCACCCAGGTCAATCATCATGATAAGGTCAAGGGAAGTAGCCTGCCAATGGGCTCCGGTATCGGGCACCACGTTTTCGTTGATCAACAGCTTGCTGTATCCGGGGGTCATCGCAGCAACAAGCTGACTGAGAATTTTTTGGCAGTTTTGGTCGTTCCAATCGTGAAGGATAGATTGCAAGAAGTAAACCCGGGCACCTGAAGACGAGTCAGCTTCTTAACGATTGTCTAGCCACTGATACTAAGCGTGAAACTTACCTTTAACCGGCTGCTCGGTGAAAAAGTCGTGGATCATGGGCTCAATTGCAGGATGCAATGATGCGATATCTGCCAGAACGTGTGGTTGATCTTGCAGGATTAATTTCCCAGGAGCGTTGGGCCACTTGGATTTGAACTCTTCCAAGTCATGCCCTTTGTTTCCACCGACGTCCACAAGGAAGACTTCCTCATTGCTAATCTTTGCACCTTTGATGAGATTATCGTTCACGGGGTAAACATGCTCATCCATCCAGCTGGGTCTGCCTTGGTGGTATGCGGACATAAGGTTGTTGAACTGCGCACCGAGCTCGGGGTACTTGGGGTTTTTGCTGTTGAGGAACTCGAAAAAGGCATCTTTGGTATCCAATCCTAAATTGAACGGACAATTCGTGCCTTCGGTTGGGATGCGATAGTTGTTTTGTTTCAGCCATGTCGGCAGTGAAAAGACTGCGGGAATAGTGGACCCGTTACTGAGAGTAAAAAAGAGAGAAGTTAGGTCACTTGTTTGAATGATAGTAGAGTGGGAGAGATGGCGGAAATATTCCACTTACATCGCTGGCCAAGCATCGTTATAGCGCTTGAGAGACTGTAGTCGTGAGCCCGTTACGACTGTACACGTTCGACTCGTTCTCCACAAAGACTCTCATCGTAGCAAGATGCTTCATGAGACGACCTGCATAGTAATGAGCTTGCGTATTCCTTGATATCTATCATCTCGTCGATTTCTCACCAAGCAGTTCTGGCTCTGCGCCGGTTTGCGCCGCGAGATCTTCTACCGACTTCGGCTCGTCGGCTTGTGCCAGGATCGTGAAGACTCCCAGGTTGATACACGTTTCAATTGCGGCAAATGATACAGGCTATACTCATTCCAAGATATGGATCAGTCCTGACGATGAATTCGAATCAAGGTGCAGGATTGACATACCTCAGCCCAGCAGTAATGCAGCATGGCCTCTTGAGGTGTTTGCATTGCATACATAAGAGACCGCGCGGCATCCACAAGTCTCAAACGTGCTTCTGAATCACCATCATTAAAGGCCATTGATTGGGCGTTGACTTCCTGCAATAGCCTTTGAAGGTCTCCGGGAGAACTTGGGGAGGTCGCAACTTTCGGGTCAATAGCAGGAACTGCGTGGCCATTAGAGCCGGACCCGTTCAGCCCGTTGGTCTTGGTCATTTTCGTTCTACGTGTATTGCGTGGAAAGATTTGTTTGAACAGTAAATGGCGAAGGCAAGCGACTTTCCTTTGCTATATGATTAATTCTAAATCCGCATTCCCCTGAAATAGGAGGGGCAACTGATTAACAGGGTCTTAAGGTTTCACTTGCAAATTAGCTCGCGCAATATAAACCCGTTGTCCAGATTTAGATTGGGTTGGGATACGGCTTGCATTAGGCTGATTGATAGTGCATCTCATCTCGCTCGGGACCAAAGTGTGGAGCAAATGAAAGATGACAGTTTGGAAGACGGAACTGGAGACGATTCGCTAGGGGGGGGGGTATGGGACCATTGCTACATCGAGGCGTGGATGAAAGCCCCCAAAGGATCGTGGTCGCTGTCATCGCGCTCTGAATCCCCTGGCCAGATCCCACATAATTGAAACTTTCACTTCTTGGGGCATAAACAAACTGGAAATCTTAATCCGTCAAGGCAATCCAGCCCGACCAGTCTTTATCGCTGAAGAGATCTCCTTAAACCTGAGTTTTTGGGGACTTCAAATGTTCTTTTTCTGCCGTCAATAATTCGCTGCCCTCTATGGCAGCCTCCACCGGAAATGCTACGGGAACGGATGGAAAAGGCCCAACGATCATGGCCGTGATGTGGTCGATGACCTCAGTCGCCACGATCTTTGTGATCGCCCGTCTATATGTACGCCAACGATTGCTACGAAGTTTTGGGCTTGACGATTGGTTGATCGGAATATCAATGGTGAGTATAGTTCTTATGCCCAGATTCCTTGAGTAGGCATTCCTCTTATACGTCCATTTACTCTAGATCTTCGGTTTGATTTTCTGTGCAACGACGACGGTATCCGTGGCTTATGGATATGGACAACATATGGTAACCCTTTCAACGGAGGGCGCTGAACAAGCGCTATTTTGGAATATGATTTCTTCTATCTTCGGGATCATCTCCTTCGCTCTTCCCAAACTCGCGGTCGCTGCTTTACTTCACCGGAATAGAAAGAGGAATCGCCGGATCGCAGCGTATGGCGGGCCGCGTTCCGAGACTCTAAATCGCCTGGCATTGCGACAGCAGGCAGAAACTTTTCACAATGGATTCGGGGTCTCGCTTGCAACCGGACCTCCGGTCTTGGCACGTCGATACGAGTCAGTAATACAGGGTTCTTTCTTGGCGTCCGCTTTGTTCGCGGTTGGGTCCTCAAAGAAATAAAGTACCTTGGACATTTTCGGCAACGGTCTGGATGGGTTGAATTTAATTTGAGGCGCAATAATCACAAAATCTTGTGGATGTCCGCTAGCGTGATCCCATGGTCGTGTTTGCGTCGAGACTACTTCGGTGTCCCAAACCTAGTTTCCGACCTTGGCAGGGTTTGCGTTCTTTCGGACGTCTCTTTGAATACCCGATACCGAATCAGTGGCCTTTGCGCCAGAGGTAGAAGAGTATTATGAATACCCAGCCGAAGGAGATATCTGCGTAGAGTCCAAACGCCCCACTGGATATCCAGCTCTTCATCACCGAAAGCAAAGTGGAAGCGATGACGATATTCGTGCTCCAGCAAGTAACAACGATTCTGAGACCGAATTGATCAACGATTACGAGGCTGACAAGCGAAATGACAAAGGTCGTCTCAGACACTGTAATCCCATCCGCCGTGGGTTATTGAACTGAAAATAATCTTGCGACATAAACCCGCCCAGTTGACTAATTGCCGTGATCACACATGCAGCCAAAACTCGTCGACCGGAGGCAGGAGTGGTGAAAATACGCGGCTTCAATGACTATCCATTGTAATGTAAGGTATCAAGGGCGGATGTTGAGGACGAGGCCAGACGATTCAAGTGTAGACTACCCTACGGAACTCGATCCCAAGGTTGCTTTTGGGGTATGGATAAGTCAATTCACTAGTCATGTTCGAGGTTTTTATCAAGGTGATATTTTGTCGCGTAATGGATATTGGAATAGACATAGAAACCCCCCGATAATGCTCAATCCGGCTAATGAAGAATTAACAGCATGAATTTCAAGCAGCAGATGCTTGTGGCTGAGCCTCTGCAGCCTGAAGCGTCTTTTCTGCCTCTTCTTTTTTCTTCTTTTCTTCTTCCTTCTTCTTCCTTCTCTCGTCGTTCTTCCGTTTCTCCTCCAAGATCCTGAGCACCTCTTCATCACGGGCTTTCTTCGCCCACACCGAGAGGGGCTCCGGGTTTCTGATGCACCAGATAACAACATCTCTTGTCGCGCGGGTATCTTCCAAGGCACTGTGTCCTTTCTTGCCGACTTGGATGCTATCTTCAAGCAGCTCCTTAGTGAGAGTCTTCAGTCCCCATCTGCGGGTCAGATGTTGATCGGACGGGAGAAGAAGAGCAACAGCCTGAGAGGTAAGGATTTGAGAGTCAACGATCTTCGAGTGGTAGAAGCCCAAGACTTTGAGGTCGTTTTCGAGAGAATGGCCGATGAGCACGGTATCTGAATCCACATATTCCCACAAGGCTTGGCGGGCCTGATTCCATCCCCATAATGCCCGGCCATTGGCACGGGCACGATTCATTTCAGCGCAGGAGATGCCACTATATCTCGTGTTCCAGCCAACAACCCTCTTGGTCGGCTGCACGTAATTGTTGATGAGAATCTCGTTGGTAAGGAAGTCAACTGCGGTCAGGTATGCCAGTTCTCTGCAATTACCTTCTACCTGCACCATCTCACAATCAAGGACAACTGCCCTTCTTCTTTTTTGAGTTTGGTTCGGCAGGTGCTGAGGGGTGGCCACAAAGCTTATTGGGGGAATGACTGGGATCGGGGGAGGGCCCTTCTTCTCATTTATCTTTTTCTCAGTTATCTTCTTCTCGTATGTCTTCTTTTTGACGGAGGTGGCGCTAAGTTTGTAGCCCTCCGCAACAAGAAGGGCTGGCGAGTGGCATAAAGTCCACAGCTCTTGGAAGATCAGCTCTTGTTCCTGGACATGAAGGACGACGTGACGATGTATCGACTGAGTCTGATCCGGATCGGCAGCTAAGAATACCTAGTCAATAATTGATTTCCAAATTGGTGACTTTCACATACGAAGTTCCTCAACGACAGCAATACTCGATGTAGGGCAATTTCGTGCGAGACTTGAAGACCTCAAAATCGGAGATGTCGAAGGGTTCTGTCGAGCTTGGTTTGCTTTCTTGAACGGGGTCTGCCCGGTAGGCTTAGTGGCCGGGCGCTCAGGCAGTTGACGCTGAACAATTTGGCGCTTGGGCAACAGGTACTCAAGAGCCGTACGTTCAGCGATTTCAATAAAATTCTGGTCAGGAAACTTTGTGGCCTGGGATTTCTTTGAATCTGCGGCCGCAGTCTGCGCAATCACCTGTCTCGGTGGCCGAGAAGGTCTGCCAGAATTGAGATGCTTCTGGCGGTGGTGTGCGACGAAACTCTTAACAGTTGGAAAATCACCGTTACAAATCGTGCAATGAAGGTCATGGTCCTTGGCCAAGAAGTGAGCTCTGACAGCACCCGGTGTCTTGAACCCTTCTTTCGGGCACTTCGGACAGGCATAAGACTCTGTCTCGGATGGGTTGGGTTTTGAGCTCATGCTGGCGGAAAGGAGCGGGAATGCAGAGGATGACGTGAAGTTTTCCTCGGAGGTTGAGCAGCGCTCTCAGATGGGCGGGGTGGAAGGTCGAATCAAATGTCAAGTTTAGGTGCTCGAGGTTATCCCTGTGCACAGCGTGGCAAGTGAGGATTGCCAAAGGCAGGGGTGTTGCATCCTGCGCTTGCCCACGGCACTTGAAGTAGCCCTATCCGTCTGGGACAAATTCACTGAAGCTATATGTCGAGTTTGTGTAGCCTCCTGGACATTGGTGTTGTTGATGGCGCGTTGATATGGTCAAGATCACCCGAGTGGAGGAGCGGGCAAAGTTCGGAGTTCGCCCATGGATCGCGTTTCCGGCTTCCGCATGAACCAACGTCTGATCTCAACTCCGTGGTTTTTCAGTAACATCTACCACTTTACAAATCTACGAGTGTACCCTCCGCACATGAGTGGGAATGGACGGAACTGAAGGTGAATATGTAAAGATCAAAGTACTATTGGGTGATCCTATGTGGGGTTCACCGGGGATAAGAATATTCATCGGAAAATGTAACAACCAAGAAAAGGAAGATAATATACACAAACAGGCCCACGTCGCAATCCTCTTCCCTTGGGTACATTGCGCGGCCCCTAAGCAAGCTCGTAGCCGAGGACGAAATCTCTGACTTTCCGCTTAGATGTGAGGAGAGACTGAAACATGAAATTTTAGCATGGCAGAGGTCAGAGAGTCCGTCGTGGCTACGAGCTTCAATCTCGCTCCCTAGATGTCGGAGCCCAGACCATCTGGGTGTTCCGAGAGGACCCAGCGGCGCCACATGCGCAAGCCAGCACCCAGGCACGAGCGCCAGTGCTCCCACAGCTCATCTCTGTTGTATGAGATGAATGTCCGGCCCACCATGATGCCGGTGGACACATGAGCAGGGGCGTTGGGGGCGATGCCCATGTACTCGAGGTGGTCGGGGCACACAGCAAAATGGTCGATGACCCATTCACACCCGATGCACTTGTAGCGCTTCTCGGCCCGTTCCTCCCCGCGAGGCACGTAGGGGAAGCTGATGCTGGCTGTCCCCAGGTAAATGCGCTCGCTGCAGGACTCAGCAATCACCGACTCTTGGGTCGGTCGAGCGGGAGCCTGGGTCGGATCACAGGGGAGCGTACCCAGCAAGGCGCGGCGAAGGTATCGGTAAAAGTGGACATTGACAATGTCCTGAGTCGATGAGTCCCGGTTGAGGTCCACTGATTGCAAATCGGCTAGGGTTTCGACCGAGCCATGAACCTTGAGCGCGTGCGTGAGAGCAGACTTGACTGCAACGAGATATTTGGGCACGATGTCAGGAGGAAAGCCATAGAAAGCCAGGTGATCCACAGCCAACTCGGCTCGGGTGTTGCGGAAAGCAGGCATGACAAGAAAATCCTGGTGTTCGAGTCCAAAGCACTGTTTGGCATCGTGCAGCGAGATAGGCCAAAACGCCCGATTGTGACGCAGGCAGTTAGAGCAAACCCGTTCGACAGTGGGCAGGAAGAGATGAGTGCCATTCTCGCCGCAGCTCCGGCACTTGCCGTACTGAAGTTCCAAGATGAGATCCTTGATCGAAACCCTGTCGTGGAGTCTCAAAGCATACAGAGCGGGGAATACCTTGCTGCAGTGCCTGAAAAGGATTGGGAGGATCTCGTTCTGAGACAGGACGGCTCGAGCACGGTAGCAGGTCAGGCTGAGATTGTAGATAGACGCGTAATCCATCAGCGGCACGATGGATCCTGTAAGGAGATGCTCTGACAGGCGGCTGAGATTTCCCATGCTGGTTCGATGCGGATCAATGAACTCAGGGCTGGGCATAAGTGGGACCCGGTCGAGGGGAGTGTTGATTTCGTCGAGAGGGGCCTCAACCTCTTGACCCAGGAGGTCCATCAACTCTCGATCTTCCCAGTTGTCGGGGTCGGTGCGGAAGGCCCAGTTGGGACTCGCGATCTGGGTCGAGACAGCAAACGCGTCCAAGAAGTTGTTCCAGTGGCTAGGTGCCATGGTGCAAAGCTTGGTAGAAGCGTCACGGTAGAGAGACAGTGTCTTGGGTGATTGGAGCCGGACGACAAAACGAGAGGTGATAAGGAAGCGGTGGAAATAGAGAAACCTCCGGTACGATTATGTTCGCAACGAAGTGGGGGAGTAAGTGGTGCGGGTCTGGGGGAGGATGAGAAGAAAACAGCGGGACAATGAAGAGAAAGGAATAGAGCAATCTGGCTCGGGGACATAGAAAGCAGCGATTGAAGATGAAGGGTAGTCAATGTGAGTGCGACGACGTCGACGGTTCACAACGAGAGAAAGTAGGATGTCACCTCACAGGAGTAAAGTGAAGTCGTGGATGTATCGTTGAGTTGATGTGAATGAAGCCTGTTTGGAACAACAGGAACATGCCTTGTCGGCGAACAATAGAAAAGTAAAATCAGAGCGACGGGGTCGGCAGCTGACCATCGACGCTGGGGTAAATCGTGCTGGGGCGAGCTCCATCCACCCACTCCACGACGACATCTAATCACATCCCATAGGAGACATCTACTCCACTTCCTCCATAGGACTCGCAAGATGGTCCGTTCTAACGATGTAATCATCTTCATCGTCGTCTATCTGGCCATCCGCCATATCCTCTTCATCGCCGTCAAGGGAACCATCGGACTCCGCTCCGGCTCGCGAGCCCTTGCCCTTCTTGCTGACACTCTTCCCCTTGCCTTTGCTGCTCGTCGTGGATTGGCCCGAGGCACTGCGAACAATACCGCCAGGCCATTGCTTCAAGCCTTTAATGCGATCATGTATACTTCCAGTGAAGCCATTATCCCCATTGCTTGTCGGAATTTCTGGGTTCGGTGAATCACCAAGACTAAACGCCTCCATAGCTTCCGCAATCGTTTGAGGAGCAGCAGCTGCCGGATACTGCTTCTGCTTGTCGACAGACTCAAACGTCTGCCGAATTCGCTCGAAATGTTCCAACTCCTTGGCACTGCTAGCTGTGAGTATCATCCTATCGATTCAAGATCAGGTTACCAACGTACCTGACACTGGGAACAAGCTCTCCCTGCGCCGCCAAAAAGTCCTCCTCCATCACTGTCACTGAAACGTCCTCTGGTGTGGCCAAATGGTCGAAGAAGTACGCAGTGGTAACCGGGCCACCCGGCAATTGTTTGATCTTGTCGTCGACCGCCGTCGACTTGCGCGTGATCGCCTTCAGCATGGCATCCGAGCAAAGGGCATACAGATCGGCACCAGTGTACGTCAGCGGAAGCTGTTCAGCAACCCGGTCCAAAGACACGTCTGGGTTGAGCGCAAACTTCCTTGTAAGTGCCTCCAAAATAGTCGCCTGTTTCCGGTGAGTGTCTGACACGCCCAGATAAAGCATCTTATCGAAGCGACCAGGTCGAAGCAAGGCGGTATCCAGCAGATCCGGGCGATTGGTGGCACCGATCACGAACACTCCACCGCTGTTCTCCTCTCCGCCGTTCATGCCATCAAGCTCCGCAAGAAGCTGACTGACAATACGATCCATAACACCGCCACTGTCTCCCTGGTTACCACGCTTGGGCGCAACCGAGTCCAGCTCATCGAAGAAGACAACGCACGGGCGAGCGTCCCGAGCCCGCTGGAAAACGCGACGTACGTTTGCTTCGGATTCACCAATATACATGTTGAGCAGCTCCGGGCCTTTGACGGAGAAGAAGTTGAGCGAGAACTCGGTGGCAATCGCTTTGGCAAGCAGGGTCTTTCCAGTGCCAGGGGGGCCATAGAACAAAATACCACTGCGCTTCTTCATACCCTTCGCGAAGAGCTCCGGTCGCTCAAGCGGCAGCTGGATAGTCTCAATCAGAGCATCCTTCACGTTGGTCAATCCACCAACGTCATCCCAACCGACATTGGGGATCTTGGGAGCACCGATCGAATCGGCGAAGTTCTTCCGGGCTGCCTCAACGGCAGTGTCGAAGTCCGCTTTTGTGACGCCACGAGCGCCATCGCCGCCGGCGAGCAGAATATCCCTGATGAAGACTTCTGAGTCGGGCAATTGCTTGCTAGCATCTTCGGCCAACTTCTCGAGGCGGGCAGTCCTAGCGGCGGCGGCGCGTTCAACGACATCGACCAGGTCGCCGGCAACCAGTGCTGCAGTCTTCAGTGCCACCGTTCCTAGCTCAACATCAGTGGATAGCTTGATACCACGTTCTGTGACCGCATTCTGGAGAATGCCTTCACGCTCCTTCTCTTCAGGTGCTCCCATCTCAAACTCGTGGGTAAACATGCTCCGGATGCCTTCGGGGATCTCTTCGACATCGCCAGTCGTGGCAATGACAACCCGGGCCTCATTGACAATATCAGTCATAGCAGTCACCATCCGGTCCGCTGTGAGCACCTCGATATGCCGAATAAGTAGGGCGGTGCAGTTCGAGCCGCAGTGGAACGCCCGGTCGGCCCGAGCTTTCAAGTAGGCCTCGGTCTTGACATCGCCGCCATTCGCACCGCCCTCGGTCAGTATATCGTAGGCGTCAATGGGGAATGTGTGGAGGCCAATATCCGCACATGCTCGGGTTGCGACAGTGGCTTTGCCAATGTGCCGCTGTTGGGATTTGATGAGAATGACAACGGGTTTCATGCCCAATTGGATTGCACGAGGGCTTGTCGCTGCCGCCATCAAATCCCGAATTCGCTGTTGCAGGGAGGATATAAATGTATGCGGAGGCTCTGCGACAATTCCATGCGGAGCTGGTGAATCGCCAATAGCCTTCGGAATGGTCTTGACTCCCAGCCAGTACTCCCAACCGTTACCCAAGATACCGGGGACTCTGGAAATGTCGCTACCGGCTTGCACCATACGTGTACTCGTTGGGTCGATAACGGCCACACCACCCCATTGATCTTCACCGGTTTCCTCGAGTTCTTCGACGGCAATTGGGGCTACTTGTCCAACACGGAACCAAGCGACACCAACCTTGCGAGCCGCAATGTTATCACTGCCAGGGCCCTGGCCTAATCTGGCGGTGATATCCTCTTCCTGATGCGCGTTGTCACCACCGGGGGTCCCGGAGAAGACAGCCCTACCAAGCCCTTCATCGACACTGATACCAACCAAATCGCCACTCTTCAGTATCCGGCGGCGGGACTCGAAATATTGTTTGAGCCCAGCAAACAGAGCCGGCTGAAGAACCCGGTCCATGGAAAGTGGCGTGGAAACCTTCATTAGAGTGACTTCTTTGGCCAGGGGTGGGTTCTTGGCAGCAGTGTTCTTCATGTGGTGTAGAAGTCCAGACTTTGACGCGCCATTGGCGGACGCAAATGTCATTGGAGAGATCCGCAGGTACTTGGGGTTGTCGATATTGCTAAGCAGCAGGGGAGGCACAAATACTGAAGGGGTCAAACGCGTCTGAGGACGCTGCGAGAAGCTTGAACGGCGCTCACCCGAATGGTTGATAGCATATCGAGGCTTAGGTGACGGAAGACCTGGCAAACCAAAGACCTTGACCGGTCGCCAGTCACCGGCATCCTCTGGTGAATCGTTGAAGCTTCCGAACTTGAGCGACGCGAACATGTTCAGCTGAGGCTCGTCGGTGGCTTCTATCCGAACCCAGTCACCAGAGAAACACCCGATTTTGGCAAGGGTACTGATATCGACAAAGATGAAAGCATCGACGTCCTCGTCATCACGAGGGCGAGGGTGAAGCACCTCGTTGGGCACCTGCTGCAACAGGCCTTCGACTTTGAAAGTCTTGCCTCCGCTCCGTCCGGGGCGCATAGTTGCCGAAGTGAAATTGGAAGCGACCGAGCCTGGTGTGTGTATCCCATCGACTCGCCGACCGCCTGCGCGAGGCGTTGCCGAAGTGATGGACGACATAACCCCGGAGGGGGCTTGCGGCAATTCGGGGGCCGAAAGAGAGATCATGTCTTCCAAGGAGTCGTCGGAGTCACTCGCGGAGCCCGCCGAGAGGTCGGTCTCAGACTCCTCCGCGGTAGAAGTCATTTCCATTTCAGTTCCGCTTTCTCCGGGCTTGTCCTCAGCGGCGGAGTAAAACTGTTCGTTGGAAGTATCATCGGCTTCATCTTCTGCAACCTGCTTCAAGAGCGCATGTCGCGGAGGCAGCAATTGAGGTGCGCGGTGACCCTGTGGACGAGCTTGTACAAGAATGACCTTTGTGGTAGGCATCAAAAGGCCCTGTGAAACCGGCTCACAGAAGGAAATCCGAGCCGGCGGCGCAGGAACATAGGTAATAGGGTGGGGTGGAAGTGGAAGAGGAAGCACATCGCCCATGTGCACGATCCGCTGACTCGCCAAAGCGTCGCGCACAGCCGCAGTCAAACGCACCTCAGCATCCGCCGCAGCCTTCTTTGAATGCTTTCTCGAGTCCCCGCCCTTTCCGGCTCTAGGCCACGCTCCATTTGCACCATGAGCATTGGACGTGAATCCGCCACCAAATTTACTCTGTACATCGTCGTGGTTACGAAGGAGATGTCGCTCGACTGTGACGAAGATAGTGTCCAAGTGGAGTGGAGCAACGTCCAGGATCCGGATATCCACCGACCGGTGTGTTTGCAGAGAATTGCGCGACGAATCGATCTTCCCTAGGGCCTGAAGAAAAGGCTGGAGAGAGTCTGCCGAGTCGGGGAAAAGAACTGTCGAATGCGCTATTTGAGTGTGGGAAGTCTGCACTCGAACCGGGAGAATGGTCCAGGCTTGATCCTCCACCGATGACGAGCTCGGGGTTTGTGGGGAAATCGCAACATAAAGAATCCCATCGCCTGTCGCAACGCCTATATGAAGAAAGCCATTTCGGTCAGCGAAAACCTGATTGACAATGCAATACCCTTATCGCTCGATCAAACTCACCTTGGAGGGTCTGCTGGGCGAATAGATCATTGGCCAAATCCTCGGAGAGCACTCCGACGTTGCCGCGAAGCTGAGGATCCAGCGCTATACGAGCAGCGACCGGAAGCTTATTGCGCATACGCCTCTTGCCGGCCCTCTTCCGGCGCTGTCTAGGCTGTTGGGAGCTCTGCCCGTGATGGTCGAAGTCCATGGCGCGGGGGACTTCAATTGCCGACGGAAAAGAGGTAGGGGAGGTATGTCGGGAAGGAGAGGGGATGGTATGCGACAACTAGATCTATCGGTCGCCCGGTCACATTCAGACAGCTTCAGGAACCAGCTTCGTCAGACAGAGAGGAGGAGACGAACGGCGGTTGGAGAATCCGGGGGAAGCCAACACGCGGGCGTCTCGGCACCGCCCGACATTCTGCCACTCCCGAAGCCGAGGTCCAAGTGGCCGTAACGCACTATGCAGATATGTATCGGGCTTTTATCCACCTGCGCTCGACAGTATTCATACATGAAGAACGGATACCAACAATTCCAGCGTAGGTCTACAAGGTTTATGCTGGCCCGACGTTCGACGTCGTCCACGCTGCAATGCCATTGGCCGCTATCGCGGTCGTCTCGGCCTGTGATCCGGAGCTCGGGGCTCTCCATCCAACGGGAATCAAATTGGGTCTTCAATATTTTACCATCAAAATCGGTCAAAAAGTTCATTCTATCATATTGCAATCTCTGAAATTCCTCATGCATTTTTCCAGGTAGTTTCAGTATGCCATTGGTGTAAGGTGCGGAAAGACAACCCTGATCTATGTAACTTGAAGAATATATTGTCCCTCATCGAAGTCGGCCGGGCTCCCGATTGTAAACTCAATTAGCAGATCCAATATAAAGTTGCCATTGAATGATTGATTCCCCGCTCAAGAAGCTCTTACCCTACTGGGAAAATAGGCATCCCAAAGAGATACCACGAAATTGCGATATATTCGCGGCATTCAAGACTTCATGTGATGTAAATGTAAAGCTGAAAAGGTTCTTTGGCAGTGATGGCAGTAAGTAGTCAGGGGATTTGTACAGGCTTGGCCCAGGCGATCAAAACGAAAGGTCATGCTACAAAGAACTGGTGGCTCGGGTGGACCGAAGCAGTGGAGAATCCCAGCTTCGCGATTCGGCATTTATTCCCTATCGTTCTCTCCAAGCTCGCGATGCCGGCTTCAGATATTACAACTGTCAACGAACAATGACCGATCGACAAAGCAGAAAGAGGGAGAACGATCACGAGGCCAATGAATCGGGAAACCAATGTCTCTCTCTCTACTTGCGTCGTGGTGAAATATCCATGGATAAAATCATAGAAAGGATCCATATCATCAGGTAGAAAGACCATCATAACGCGCAAGTTAAAGAGCCCAAGAGATCAAATATAGCAGGCAGATGTTATTTGGATGTCATCTGACTTTCTGGGAGTTCAGATTGCCATAATGGCTGACCAGGGTAGGACTCACGTGAGACTCTCCTCCCCGGATAACTAATCGCATCGTGAATAATCGACGCCTGGAACTTCAGTTTGGCGAATCGATACAGAGATGACGACTAATTATTCGACAGATTCAAGACCATTCTCATAAACCTGTACTATTCAAGAGAAAGGACACGTCCCCCTCGGAAAAGGCACAAAGTATCTAGGCAGACTCATTACTGGAGACGGCTCGGGGTATTGACGATCTAGAACGAGATCGCGAAATTCCCGAAGGGCGTCCCGTAGAATTTAATGCTTTTGCCTCACCTTCATTGCCCCAATTCAACCGCCAAGAACCGAGAAGGTTCGCAGCTTGGCCTTGTTCGTCTACATTCGTGTTAGTAATATGGGGCCAACTGTGGCGAAGCAACTGTCGGATGCCACCTGGCACGTAGTAACGGGCGCCCAGCCCTGGGGATCAGCAAAATGCCGCTGACGGGGAAATCAGGCAGACGTGGAGGACGAGGCCGATACGAGGAAAGCGCGCAATTTTTTGGAATGGGCCGAACCATCCGGGAGGCTCAATTCACGTGTAAAGATGGGCCCACACCAGAATCCAAAATCGCCCTGGAATGTGGATCGGACTTGAGTTCCCCCGCGGATGTCCTGGATCAAGGGACCGGTGTAAGGCTGAGTTGAGATCTGGGGGTACGAGGACGGCGGATGGTAGAATTCCGGTGATGTCAACTTGCAGAAATCCAAGCTGACGACGCAGAAGGTGATCTTCGTGGTGAGAGACAGATGACCCCTGGTTGGCAATGAACCCAGTCCAGTTTGAGGCTCTCGATCACGGAGTCTCTCGGAGGGATCAGTGTTCGCGGGCCCCGGTGTTTCCATTTTAAGAGCCCGGTCGTGACCGTATGTTACAACGGCACGAGTCCAGGGGCCGAGGCGGTAACCGCCCTTTCGTCATCCGGACCAATCGGACGGCCCACAAACGGGTCTGAAATACCAACGAAACGAAAGAAACGGACGACTCAGCCATCGCAGCTGATACCCGTTCGGGCGTAGCGCCGTTCGTCTATCAGGCAGACACCAACACGTCGCCATCATCTTTCTCTTTCTACGCCCGGCATTTGATCTCCGCTTGTCCACCTGTTGCGATTCTCGACTTTCTCCATATCATATCCACATCTATCTGCCAGTTTTCGCCCGTGGTTTCGTCCGTGAACTGTTTGTCGTCGTTTGATCCCTTCGTTGGATCCCCTCTTCGCCGTGTATATCGCCGGGGTTTGAGATCTTCAGTCAAGCAACATCCTCTTTGTTCGCATCGTCTCTCGCAAACTGCCTCCCTCATTTCGCCTTCGCTCCTCGAGCCACTTCGAGTGCGACACCGCGTCTACGTGGGAGCGGAAGTCTTGCGCAAACTCTGCTGCCATTTTGATCACAGCCTGGATATCTGCCTCGGGACTCGTTGTTCTTGGCCTCCAGCCGTGAGATATCTATCAGGTCTTTGGTAGACTCTCGAAGGGCGCAGGTGGCCTTCTTATAAAGAGTGTCTGAAGACGAATCAACCCGACAATCTGGCTTTTTGAAGTCTGAGTCGACTGTACGTCATTTCTCGAATCATCTGGACGAGTGCTGGTGAGTCACGGTGATTCAGCCAATCAACCATGACAGCCTGTTCCTTTCAGACCAGGAGTCTCCGAGCTAACGCTGGGCTCATGCAGAGTTCGTCCAATATGACCGCTTCACAGCTCGAGCCTGTCCGGGTTCACCCCCGTCGTCGTCCCGTCTTAAACTCTACTCTTCCCACGCTGGCCATCGAGCCACAGGACACCTCGTCTAAGATGTGTTTGAAGAAGGGAGAGACATTTAACACCCCTACTTCCCCCCCTCAGCCGAGCGTGATCCGGTTTTGAACATTCGTTCTCTGCCTCGTCGCTCGCCTACGTCGCTTGACGGCATTGCAGCCAGTGAGCAGCGCATGGCTTCGATCCTGGAGCGTCTGACCCTAGAAGACCGCGACGACGGTTCAAATACCAGCCAGGAAGGCGACGTCTTCAAGAAGACTGAGCAACCTGTGCACTCCCATGAATCTGACAGCGGCCTGGGCTCATCTGTTAGTAGCTCTGAATCCATTGACGGCGAAGGTATGTTTTCCTCTGACATGTATGCACAGGCAACCGCTCATCACCATTCAGTGAATGCCGATGTTGATGCCCCCCAATCGGCCATCACCGGCCCCACGCCCTCAATCAAGGAGTCCTCACGGCCGCAACTTGGGCTTGCTGCCTGTAAACAAATTGAGCGCTTCGTATTGGTGCCAATTTTGAAGGAAGCTAAACTGAAGCCCTTCCATCCTTTGGTGAAGAGTGTTCCGGCTCGGATCGTGAACAAGCAAATCACGTGCCTCAGGGACCTCGAAAAGACCCTTTTGTGGCTCGCTCCGGTAAGTCTCAATGTTTTTCATCTGTTGTTGCCTATTATTTCCGCCCAATGGGCTGTTCCGGAAGAATCCATTCCCTGATGGGTTGTTCCATCTGGGTCATTCCAAGGCCTCGCCTGACAATACGGTGCCCTTTTCGTCCAATGACGCAGGTCGTCAATGGGCGTCAATGGTGACCCTCCCGTTACCCTGATCGTTTTGATTTCTCTTCTTTCTACTCTTCACCTGTGATCTTGGATTCGAGGGCTCACAAATCTTCGGCTGGTCCAGAAGTTTTCCACCTTACGAACGGCCTATCTCAACTTCGCCGAATTTACGATCCAGTGTCTCCATACTTCAGCTTCTCATTTGAACGACCGCGATCAACGACTGCCCACCGATCGGCCTTACACTAACGGCTACTTCCTTGATCTTGTGTCGCAGGTTCGACGCTACGCTGCCTTGATCCGGGCCAATCGCGACCGGATTGAAGCAGCCCAGGCCCAGGAGGCCCAGGAAACCCAAGACTCGAACTCGGAGAAGAAGAAGGAGTCTACTTTGTATGTCAATTCCTGCCCTGGAGTTCCTGCATTCTCTGGGAACCCAAGTTAACATATGCTAGTGTTCCAACTGCTACTCTGGAAGGCGGAATGTCTCAAAACGGGAAACCCGCCGAGCTTGTCGTCGTCCAGGAGGATGGCAAGACCATTTCGCTGGCGACCGGTCTTCCATACGACATGAACACCCCTGCTACCTTCAAGCGCGCCGTCAGCTTCGATGAGATGGCCGATGAGGGTGTCCAGCGGTCAATGGCACGACGAAAGAAGAATGCTCCTCCCATGGACATCAACCAGAAATGCAACCATTGTGATAAGGTCTTCAAGCGTCCTTGCGATTTGACGTAAGTGGAATCTCACCTTGGTCAATCAATTGATTGTACACGAAGAGCTAACGTCCTGCAGAAAGCATGAGAAGACCCACTCGCGCCCTTGGAAGTGCAGTGAATCTACCTGCAAGTATTACGAAGTCGGCTGGCCGACTGAGAAGGAGCGTGACCGCCATGTCAACGACAAGCACTCGGACACCCCGAGCCTCTACAAGTGCCACTTCCAGCCTTGCACCTACGCCTCGAAGCGCGAGAGTAACTGCAAGCAGCACATGGAGAAGGCACACGGGTGGGTCTACGTTCGCTCCAAGAACAATGCTCGAGGCGGCAGCACCGGCAAGCGTGGCTCGTCCATCCAGGCCACCCCCGGAACTCCCAGTGTCTCTACACCTACATCTCGTTCTGCGGACTACTCCACTCCCTTCTCGGCACCCAGCGCATCGCCCCAGGAACCTCCCATGTTCCAGGACAACGTTCCCTTCAACTTCAACGACCCTCCTGCGCCGGTTCGCAGTGATGACTTCCCCCCTCTCTTCGAGAACTCTCCGTATCAGACCTCATCGGTTGGCATGGGCAACGACTTCACTTTCCCAACCTCGATGAACCTCGATGCTTTCCAGTCTCAGTTTGAGTCGGGAGACCCCGAAGGTCTTATTCCTGCCCTTGAGATGCACCGCCAGTCGATGAACTCCATGTCCATCCCCTCGGCCGATTCGGTTCCCGACCTCATGAGACCCTCCATGTCCTTCGATGGCTCTCCTATGGCTACCACCGACAACAGCGTCACCTTCGATCTGGACTGGAGCCGGCTGGATTACAACAACATGCAGGAGGACTGCACGGCTCTGAACATGCAGCTTCCTACCCCTGCCAGCTCTGACAACAGCGGTCTCAAGCCCTATGTCGACAACTCTATGTCCGCCAGTGCCAACTTCGTGGGCTATGACGCCCCCGGCAAGGTGTCTGGGCTTTCCCCTAATGCCCAGGGCAACCTGATGCTGTACTCTCCGGGATCTGGTCAGGCCGATGATCAATATGATTATCAATACCAGACCCCCGCGGGCAACGACTTTACTCTCTACGACCAGTCACACCGCATGAGTATGAATGCTCCTTCCCATGTGGTCTCGCCTATGGCCCAGCAGGCATCTGCTGGTCAATACGCTCAGCAGCCTCAGCAGCCTCAGCAAAACCAGCCCATGTTCCCCCCTCTCCCTGACCGAGACTCCGCTCTTCAGGACATCCAGTTGTGGGCAGAACAGTCTCAGCAAGGCACCAACTACGACCCCTACATGGGGCCCAACGGAGAGTACGAATACATGAAATAGGCGGCTGGTTTCCGTTCCTCATTTGTTTATGAGCGATGGGTTTCCCCTCAGCAAGCGATAATCCGATCCGATGTTCTTCAGTTTTGTTTGATTTTTTTTACCGAAATGAGTCTTTTCAAAGGCCCCTGCGCCTCCGTTCGCGGGGTGTTCTCGGCTCTAGAAGAAGTTTCTGACTGGCTTTCTGAAATGGACCTAGTCCATCCTGCTGCTTCCGCTGTGTCGGGCGCATCTATTCAAATTCCATCTACTGAGAACCCGAGAGGGACGGTCATCGTGTATTCGAAGGCTGTCCTCAATAGCCCTAACCACGGTGCAGCTCGGGGACTTGCATGTAGGTCTTTTAATGACTCAATGCCAATTTTTCTATTACCTTCCGGTTCCTCCATCCTTAAATCCCAGTAGTATAGAGCTTTTGTCCTCGTTCTGTAAATACTGTTGGACTGAGACGAAAGCAATTCATTATTCCCTGATGACTAGACCAATAAAACCACGAACCGCCAACAGTCAGTCATCGGATGATGGCAGCGCTGACGTTGCCACGGTGCCAAGTTCGCGCAGGTGATAGGCAGCATGATATTCAGCCCTGCCCCACGCCGACGTCAACTCCCCACGGAAAGTAGGAGGCGACGGGCCGCGTCAGGGCCGCTACTTCATCATAGGGCTGGTGCTAATGCAAGTGCGTTTTGGTCACCTCGCATTTCTCTGGTGTTACTGGAGTAGATCGGCAATCATCCATTTTCTGACATAGACCCCTTTTCTATTTAGCCTCCGTCAGCTTCTCAATCTGTAACACTGTAGTACACCAGGGTTGTAGCAACGCGAGTATCGCGTGAGGACGGCGGAAGCACAAGGAATGGGGAATGCCGGTCTAAAAAAAAACAAGCCAAGTCGCTAATAAAAACTAAGACGCATGGAACTTAGTAGACGAACAACACGGGCGGAGCACAAGGACGCACCCGACTCCGTACGGTCCCTCCGTTGGGCTCGGGTCAGCGCCGCTTCCTATCTTATTCCAACCTTCTCGGGTGACGACATCATCTCCCCACTTCCCTTGTTCACCTTTTCGCCTTTCGCCTGTTGATTACTTCCGTAACCTTGTGTGCAATTCCCAGTTCCCTAGAGATTCAATTTGACCCTCGCGAAGCACAAGATTCACCCCGCGAGCCTCGCCCGCACTACGACGGGGCTGTGATCGGCTATCGAATCTCGGCATCAACGTGCGCGCCCAGGCAGACGAATTCTCCTCTTTTCCAACTATTTATGCCATTTAGAGATTGGGTATTTCTTTGACGGCTTCCCTCAGACGACTTGAAGCTATACAGCGACGATGCAGGACACGCGCTCATCGGAGCCTGCATTCCCCGGAAGCGGCAAAGGTGGAGCTGTGTCAGAACCACCAGCGACCGCGCCAGGACAGATCCTGACTGGCAAACAGGAGCACTGTAAGGCAGCATGGTTTCCTTTATTGTGTCGTTGCCTGCTGACATGATTTTTTTTGCGCTACAGACCTCAAGCGCGAGCTCATCGCTCGGCAAGTGCGCGGCGAAATCTCCGAGCTGAACTCGCCTACCGCGCTGCAACGATTCGGCGCGCCGTTTCGGTCGGAGTTTGGTGAGGTTGCGCCCGTCGACTCGGAACTACCTATCCTTCGCTATATCTTCGTGCACCACGTTCGCAACTTCCCCTTTCTCGACCAGGCTCAGGAGAAGCAGTTCTGGCAGGACAAGCTACAAGTGGTGGGTTAACTCCGGATCTCATGCTGGATGGAGAATGAACATTGACGAATTTGGACAGTTCCTTGAATCCTTTGCCAACAAGCATGTCTCATCATCGGAAGACCGGCTGGAGGAGACAAAGCGGAGGAAACTGGCGCGAAAGTGCGAGAAGCTTGTGGAGTTGATGATGGTATCCGGTGTACCGACTGCGTCGGGCTACGAGGAGCGCATCCAATTTTCTGAGATTGAGGTCGTTGACCGCGGTGCCAATGATAAGGGTCTGCTGGTGAACATGCCCGAGGGGAATTCCATCAATGGTTGGGATGTCAACGTGGCTGCTGTTCGGGTCACTTCTGTGAAGCGCACAGTACGCTATCACCCACACGCCGAATTTATTATTCGCGTGCGTCGAGACGGTAAGGATGATATCTATGTTGGCAGAAGATATGGAGAGTTCGTCAAGCTCCACCGGAGACTGCGCACCGAATTCCCTGGCAAACACCTACCTCCTCTCCCTCGCAAAAACAAGAGCTCTACTTCATCCAGCTGGTTCGGGTCTAATGACGATGATGCTTCGTCTGTCTCTTCTATTTCAACCCAGGATGCGAGCCTTTCCGATGAGAGGACATCCACGACCGGCCGCACCCTGGCCCCGGGAACTGTCCATCGATCAGCGTCGAAGGGGTCGATGCGCGCATCCAAGTCGCCACGTGCATCAGCGGAAATCTCCAGAGAGACTGTTCTTTACAGAGAAGAGCAGCGCGTATCACTACGTGCATTCCTTCGAACGCTCCTGCAAAACAAGAAATATGCCGAGTCGAAGTCGGTGGAAGAGTTCCTAACCGCAAAGCCCATGACACTGAACGAAGAAGAATTGATCGATGTTCAGCGACGAAAGGGCATGGATGCAATCCGAATCGAGGAGCAGAAGCGCTTCTACGAGATTGCTAGGCAACGCGCTGCGGAGTTGGACGTTTATATGGAGAAGTTCCGTCGGGATATCGTGGAAAGCAGTAAGTTGGCGCATACTTCACAAGATTTTCCGTGTCCGAGCTAACATTCTTTCAGACGGGTTGACAAAACTCTTTGCTGAGATTAAGGAGAAGAACACCATTGCGGAGCTCAGCCCACAGTATCAGAAGTTTGCTGAGTGGCTGCGCATCGAAGTGGCAGCGACCGTATACCACTTATTCCTTGCCGAGGATAACTCACCTGAGCTGTTTGCGCAGGCCAAGAGGATTCACGGCCTTGTCCCTTACACCCTGATGAAGAATGTGATCCGTATTGCCAACCCCGCGGCTGTCATGACCGGTGTTCTCGATCTCTTCATGGCTCAGCCATTCGGTTCGCGGTCGCTGCTCCAACGTATCTTCTCATTGACCTTGAATGAGAGTATCAAAGACTTCCAAAAGTCAATCAATTCGCTAGCTGCAAAGGTCGAGGATAGAGTCCTCACTGATAAGCTACAGAACTTCGTGAACGCAGAGGAGTCGATCAAGAACGATATTCGTGAGGAAGCCGTGAACGAGGATGTTGATATTATCGTGGCCATTCTTCGCTCCGAAGTTATCTCCCCAGAGCTTGGCCCCGAGCAGATTGGCAAGGTGTTTAATGGATGGGTGGCGTGGAACAACGCCGTGGACAACGTGGACCTGGAAATGCAACAAGGCGCCCAATGGTTCGCTCACATGAAGCAGCTCTTGAAGCTCTACACCCGACAGCGCGACAAGTCCATGATGCTCAGCATTGTCGAGGAGCCCACCACCCTTCAACTATTCCGCGACCTCTTCACCATCTTCTACGAGCCGCTAGTCAGGGTATACAAGTCCGCCAACGTCTACAGCAGTATCACCGACTTTGCCCAATTCGCCGACGATGCGATTGCCGTGATCGAAAGCGCCCAGCGCCAGGATGCCTCGGCAGACCCGAACCAGACTGTCCAGTCATTCATTGATCTATGCGCACGCCACCAAGACAACTTTTACAAGTTCATCCACGAGGTGCACCTCCACGACAACGGCCTGTTCGGATCCCTCATGTCATGGATCGAGGAGATTCTCGACTTCTTGCGCAAGGGCCCGACTGGCGGCAAGCTCGACATGAATGCTCTGTTCCAGGGCGCTGCTGGCTTCGGCCAAATCGACAAGGATGTCGCAATCGCTGAGATCAACGCGCTAGTCAAGTGGCAAGAAGACCGCAAGCGCTGGCACCTAAACAAGACGCGCCAGAAGATGGCCGCAGAGGGCACTGGCAACGACTCTATCCCGGGCGCCACAGCCTTCAAGGGCAGCGACTTTGGTCTCGACGAGGTATGTACTAACTACAATACTAATCCAACCGCCATGTCTAAAAAAAATACTAACCACCTCCTAGGCTGATCTGGAAGACCTCACTATCTCCGACGAAGCCTCCGACTCATCTGATGAAGGTTCCGCCGAAGACGAACAAGATGACCCGATCGCCGCCGAGCGTCGCCGACGCATCAAGAAGCAGGACCAGCTTCGCCGCACCGCAGGAGAACCCGTCAAGCCCGACGTGACCGAGATCCTGAAGCTTCACGAGCCGTTCATCGTGATGTTGCGACACGTGCTGGCCGAGTAGACATGTCAGTTTTGAACTTACAGCGTTCCTTTTTGCTCGTCTCTTACTCCCCTACTTTGCATGGTCATATTCATTTTCGCTCGATACAATATTTATCCATGGATGGTCTTACTGGCCTGGTCTTATTGCGTGGTTTATGATGAGTTGAATTGCTATGACTAGACAGATGGTTTGCTTGAGTTATATCATAAATAACGAGAAATAAACGTAAGAAAAGCTATATAGAAGGACATCATTTTTTGGGAATTATTCCATACGCCTCCTCTTTCCACTTAACTACTGCCTAACTACTGCTTAACTACTGCTTAACTAACTATTGGCTGTCATACATATACCAGCCGCTTTGGGCTAAGCTCTATCTACCGTGTCTAGTGACGCGGCGAACTGAGAATGATATGTTGCAGGAATTAGGTTGCCTATATTTCCCATCTTTCCCAAAGTTCCCAAAGTCACTAGGAAACGTCGGCATTGCTAGATAACCTGACACATCATCACATTTTCAAACGTCTCGGCCCTCATACCAGCTAGATTCAAAAGAATGGACCCGGAATCAGCCATAATGGATGCCTCCGACCGGAAGCTCCCCTTTGATGTGCGAACAGCGACGGTGACAACCCTGTATGGTCTCTTGCAGGCCGGTCAGACAACCGTTGTTGAGATAGTCGAAGCCTATCTGGCACAGATCGAGAGACACAACAAAGCTGGGCTCGGCTTGCGGGCAATTATTTCAACTGCACCTCGGCAAACAGTCCTATCATGGGCCGAAAAGCTCGATTGCGAGAGACGTAATGGTAAAGTCCGAAGTGCGCTACACGGGATCCCCATTGTCGTCAAGGATGCGATAGTCACATCCAAGGCGCTCGGCATGCCCACCACCGCGGGAGCAACCGTTTTTGACAAGACCTATGGAAAGAAAAATGCAGAGGTTATCGACTCGCTACTACAGAGTGGGCTAGTCATCCTCGGGAAAGCTAGTATGACGGAGTTTTGTGGCCTCAAAGCGCAGTGTATGACGGCTGGCTGGTCTGCCATTAACGGCTTAACTCAATCGGCCTATATCCCAGGCGGTTTCCGTGAAGATGATATCTTTATCGGTCGCTCCGGCCCTGGAGGTTCCTCCTCTGGATCTGCGGTGGGTGTCTCGGCCGGGTTTGCACCTCTATCTTTAGGAACCGAAACGTCCGGCTCGATCTGTATGCCTGCGAACCGCGCAGGCTTATATTCCTTGAAAGTGACGGGTGGAACTATTTCGACAGAAGGACTCTTTACCCTGAGTCGGGATTTCGACGGACTGGGCGGTATGGCCAAATCTCCTGAAGACCTCGGATTATTAATAAATCTGCTAAATGGAACTCACAATTCCGACGCCCAGTCCTTGAAATGGGAGGATATTTCTGTTGGGTTCGTGGATCCAATTGTATGGAACGCTTTCCAGTTTCAAAAGACGCGTGACGAGGTCGTTGAGAAGCAGATTGTAAGCCTATAATCCTATTTCATAACATTCCGGAATCAAAGGCTGACCAGACGACACTAGCTTGATGGATACGAATGGGCAAAATCTCAAATAACTCAACGAGGTGCTAAGGTCGTCTATCCCATTAGACTACCTGCTATGGAGGATCTTCGCTACGACGGGAAGAGTGTCAATCATTCAGTTTCATGTGAGGAGTAATCATCAATCCCGAAATTGCCCGTATTTACAAACCTCTAGTTTTCGAGTTTCCAGAGCAGTTTCGGAAGTTCTGCGCGCTTTTGGAAGACCCGGAAGTGAGATCAGTCCAGGAATTGATCGATTTCAATAACAATAACGCTGCACGCGCCATGCCCAAGCGTAGGTTGCAATTTGTGGGACTTCAAGAACAGTTAACTAATAGATTTACTAAAGCACACACCGACCAGACCGATCTGATTCAGACGCTCAAGTCATCGATGACTAGTGAAACCGTTGCTGCTGCAAAAGCCCATGGTAGGCGGCTAGCCGGTTCGCAGGGGATTGACATCGCTCTTATAGAGAACGAAATCGACATGATCATCGGCCCGGGGGACTGTTCCATTTGCGCAGTCGCCGCTTTAGTCGGCTACCCTACAGCTATGGTGCCGTTGGGTCGGCTTGAGGGCCCAAGGGGAATGGGCCAGCCCCAAGGGCTTATGATAGTCGGAGGAACTAGAGGGGAAAGTAAGATTTTGGACTTTATGAAGCTATGGGAACGAGTGATTGGTCCATGGAGAATTCCTCCTTTGCTACAAACCGAGTGATAGGCGGCGACTTGAATTTATGAATAGCCTGTGCTGTCTGCGAGATTTTGGGTACTTTTCCAACAGGCAACCCGTTTCCCTCGATTCCTTCACCTGCTGAATCTTGATATATCGCCAAGTTCTACTCTCCAGCAAGACCGGGAGACATATATCGCATCAGTTCGATGCCAAAAGTCACCAATAGTAGCATCTATGGGTGGGAGAATAGTGGATTGTTAAACCATTGATCCGCAATTAGCTTCCGCTCGGTTTACAACAATTCTATATCTCCTCACAATTGTAACGTAGCTGAGGGCTCTTAATTTCCTCCACGTTGATACTTCTTTGCCCACGATGGTCATTTTAGGGCGACTAGCTATCTGCAATACATCAAGTACATGTATTTGCATTTTCACTTTTACGAGCCAATTAATTTCACTTGATATAAATCGGTGCGCATACTACAACATTCTCCGCATGGCTTTTCGGTATAAGATCTGTATTTTTGCGCGCACGCAGTGAGGAGCAAAGGGATATAATGTTCTCTTGTTTATCCCTAAGGGCCTAGCTAAATATGCCTGCAGTTCTCTGCGTGGCTTCCTGTAAAAGTTCTAATCTGACAAGTTCCCTTACACCGGTGCAACACATCCCCAAGAGGTGGCCTTAGAACCCTTATGGTTGAAGAAGAGAATGAGGGCCTCGATTGCCGCCCAGGTTCCCATACCGGAAAGGGCAAGCCCGCCCATGAAGTATAGAGTGCTAGCAATATTGAGCCACAAGCTTTTGGTGTATCCACGAACCCATCGTGTCCAGCCGTTATCCAGTCTCGTAGTCACACGCGTGACGGGATTGAAACCTTCTCCGGGAAGCCGTGCTCCAATCTGACAGCTGTAGCCAACCCACAAAATGGCAGGGAAGGTGTAGGTGAAATTGAGGATCAGAAGCGCGCCAACGAGACCTGAAACACCGTTCAAATTGGGAACGGAGGCCGCAACAATGAATGCGACGATCCAGTAAACGGGACCCAAGGCATACCACATCCAGCGGCCTCTCCGAGTGGTGATTGGGGGGAAGCTGAATACTTCTTGGAAAACCTCGATGTAAACAGTTTTCATACCGATGTTGAAGTACATGACTAAACGCAGCGTGTTAATAGACCAGTGGCATAAATATGTAAAGCAGACACTTACTGCATGCGATAGCACTAGTCAATAGACTGAAGACATTCCCAACAGTCTGCAAGGAAAACGGCTGCACTGCAGTGGTGATGATTTGGGCAGAATACTGGCCGTAGAAAGAGTAGACCTTCAAAATTTATGGTCAGTTTAAATCTTCGTCTGTGCTTGGGCCATGTCAACAAAAGATAAATGACTTACAAAAACACCGAAGAAAACGTAGACGATGCAGATGAAGAACTGTGCGCATATCAATCCCTTCCAAAAGTCCATTGGGTGACGCATTTCAGCCAAGAAGGCCACGAAGAGTAGAGCACCGCCCCAACTGTCTGTTGGTAGGAGTCAGTCAGGGGTCAAAACGGCTCCATTGAAATGGGTGATACGTACAAACCATCTGGTTAATGCCATTCAGCTGTCCGGCAAATCCGACTGCTGCGGGCTGATACGCCGTGGGTGGTGGGCCGGCAAACGTCTTGATAGGACCAACAGTATGAATGAGGGTGTTGGCTGTGGTCACCTGATAGTCAACAGGGAAATTGGCCGCTGCCACCATACTGCATGACGCTGTTAGAAAATTCCACAGACAATTAGGAGTTCGAAGCTACTCACACAATAATAAAACTGGTAATGTTCAACCAAACGGCCCCATTGGCGAGCCATCCGACATGCTGTAAGCCACGCATCAACCCGGCAAAAATACCAAAGGCGGTAAAAATGACGAAGCAGACAATGTAGCAAATCTTTCCTCCCGAGAGCTGGGCGATGATCTGGCCACTTCCAAGAACCAAAACCGCCACGGTCAAGAACTGTTGAAAGGCTTGCGTGACGTTGATGAAATGGCGTGACTTCTTGCCAAAGACGCGGAAGAAAGGGTCGCCATAACTGAGGATCGGATACCGGGACGAGTCAAGTCTCATGTAAACACGCCACAAGATCCAACCACTGATTCCAGCGGCAATAGAGAAGATGATATAGAGAGCAACCCCGGGGCCGTAACCAACGGTGGAAAATGCGTATCTGGATTCGAGTCAGCATAATTGGTTCGCCAGGTTGACCTTGGAATCAAAGACGTACGGAGTGCTCCCCCAACCGAGGATATCCGTGGTAATCAAGAAAAAAACGGTTCCCCAGCTGGCTGTTTTCAATGCCCTGGCCGCTGTCTTCCATTCCTCCTCAGTCACGGCGAGGTCATTGGCCTGGACGACAACTGCACCTCCTTTGTCGTCGCCACTTGTCTCACCCTCGGCTTTCTCTCGCTCCTTCCTCTCTTCGTGGTGAATGCCATGCGAAAAACGGCCCTTGAGGACCGATTTCAAAGTGACCGGTCCGTTCTTTTCGACGTATTGGCGGTTCCTCGCTACTTCGTCCATACGTTCGATCTCAGCCCAGTAGGTATATTCCTCGAAGGTGACCGTGGGGTCGACACGAGCTTCGAGACCCCAGGTACGCTCCATGATCTTGCCATTGGCTAGTTCATCGTCCTTTTCTGGGTTCGACCGAGAGTCGATGACAGGCTCAATGGTCATGGGATCCTCTGTGGGGACGAGCATGATGAAGAAAACTCTCGAAGATTGGCTTCGATGAGCTCGGAGATGAAACTAGATAGACAAGACTGGGGAGTTCCAGAGGGAGGATTCACGTCCGGTAATAAAAGGCCAGTTCAAGAGGGGCACGCTTAATCTTCTCCGAGACAGTTGCACCAAAGGGGCAATTCTAGCTTATCCGGCCTCCGTCGGGTATTCCAACTCGTAAACCCACTCGCGCATGGATCCTAAACCAATGGACCGGACTATCGTTGGAAACGTATCCGTGCGCCGTACTCTAGCGGACGGCATCCAGCCCCTTCCTTCGGCCACGCGATGCTACCGAGATAAGCTTACGGGGGCCATGCGACATGTGTGTGATACGGGGAAGTGGAGCCAAACCTCCATTGGAAGCGACTTAAAGTCCGATATCTCTGGTATGCGGTCTGTGCATGCGAACTTGTTGATAGAGGAGGAGGTCCGTTCACTGGGGAAGTTATCTAACAGTTTTGATTATTATCCTGGGAACATGTTGGGGTAGTCTAAGATGGGGTTGCATTAAACCCCGGACTCGAAATAACCTAATATGATTGGGGAAGCTGATCAGGATAGTGGCGGATACCACGTTGTGGCGCCGCTAAGCTACCTTATAGTCTTGGCGGCCACTACTAGATATGCCAATGGGGGCGGGGTACCGACGCTGATCCGCTGACCCAAATTATCCTCGGCCCATGCGACTGATATTTGTACGAGGGCTGGAGATGCCCGGGGCCGTGGATAGCCGGAAACGAAATGGGCGGATATTACTCCGTATTATCGGGTAGTTTTGATTGGTTTCTCGCACCAGAGTCACCTGCTCTACAGCAGAAATAGGCTTGAGAAAGGTAAGTCCCTCTGCTCACTGAGGCTGAGCAAGGCTGAATATTTCTTGATTCCAGACCTCGAGGGTTGCGCCGCATTCAAGAACGACCGCCACACGAAGCTAGTGTCTAGAATCTAGGGATTATTTTGCTCCCGGTGGCGGGTGGCGTATCCCTCTGCCCCTTTTTGCTCACTGAGTAGAACTGAGCACGCCCCTGAGCGGTTTTATGCCAACGAATACCCACCCCCTAGACATACTTCATGAAAATCAGGCTTCCAAGGTTAGAAGAACGACCGGTACCAGGACAGATAGATAGATCTACTCGGAGATCTACACACTTTGCCTAGTCAGGAGCCAAGCTCCAGATAATGTTTTTTTAGCCCCATCTGTATGCTTTTTGTGCTTTTGTACCGTTGTCCCCTTAATAGAGGTCTGATGTTATTAATGTGGTCACCGTGGTCTGATTGACACTGGGTAAGAAGCAAATACGGTGGAATCTATTTAATTAGCCTTACCAATGTATCCTATTTATTGAAGAAGCTGTTCGTAGGTTAGTCGTTTGCTATTCAAGTGTAGCGCGGTATACCAGGGGTCCCTATGATATCTATGGTCCCTACCCACGCCGTGTTCCTCACATAGTGTGCAATTTAGGATAAGCTACTGCATATGTCGGAGACTTGTAACCCATCGGTTTGGCTTAAGCTTGCTAGCTTTTTAGGCTAGGCGTAGATGCTTCGTACTCGCCGTACCTAACTGTTTCGTCATTTAGAAGGTCGAGCTAGTGGAGCTAAAGACATAATAACAGTATCTAGTGAGATGAGAGAGTCCAGACCTCGGTTATCTGCAGCATTTTTTATACGTAGCTAGATATCGCTATGAGTGTCAAATCCATAGACCCTCTACTTTACGTTTGCCCGTCGCAGCCTACGACGTCACTGGCACCCGTGCAGCATTTGTGTCCGTTGCTCGTACACTAAAAAAATAAATGAGCATAGCTAAATTTCGGAGGATTTAGATAGACTTACCGGCGAACCAGAGTTGCATTGGACCGTGCCGACTTCTTTGATATGACAGTATCCAGGGTGCCCTCCTTCCACCGTACAGGTCTAAGTTCCAAGGTAAGCCTTGTGTACCTTGTTCATCTGATCCTGAGTCAAAGTTAAATAGGGCTACTTACACCACATAAACTCTGGATCGGAGGTGGAATGTAGTTAACAGCACGAGGAGCCGCAAGGATCGGATCCTTACGGTGCAAAGAATCTCGAGATGGCGAAGCAAAAGTAACGCCTAAGATGGCAGCCACTGAAAGAAGTATTGCGTATTGCATTGTGATAAGAATTTCACTTTAGTGAATTTGAACAAGGCGTGAAAATAATTGATGTACTGAATTTCTAGAGACCTCGCCCTAAATTTATATTCCCGTTGAAATAGAGTTTCTAAAAGATGATACTCGTATTTCAGCTTGCAGGACCACCTTAGCGAATGTAACATGCCCCGCTCCATGTAAGAGCTGAAGCCCGGGATTGGAAACCTTGCCCTGATATCGGATCGTTCCTCTCCCTACCGGTTGAGTTGCATCCAGCTAATCCAGTACGACATGCTCTGCCCTTCCGTCGTCGCCTAGCCGTTCAAGTGTGTTACCAAAACATTTAGTCAAACAGAGTTGCTGATTCCCTAATGCTTATCAGAATATAGATCAGAAGTTAGTAAAGTAGACTGTTTACGCACCAATTTGCTTCCGTGAAAAGTTAATCTAGGAGAACGGACCGAGAAAGTCAAATTAATCCCGTTCCTAGTATGCTAGCTTTCTGTGGAGTACGGTACTTCTAACCCCTTTTCCATTTTTGGGAGGGGGCGTTTTTAGAGAGTGGGGTATGTAGCATCGCATATAATTTCAGCCTCGTCCATCATCTCTCCATAGTGCTCTATTGAATTAATACTTGATTTGATAGATAACCTACCACTTCCTCTGACTGTGTCTACGCCGTACGATACACAGGGAACCCGGTATTGTGGGAAAGACATTTGGAAAGAGACTATTTGAGCTTGTCCGGGTACACCTCCGCATTACCCTATCAACACATCGTCCTAGTGCTTATGTCGGCCAAGAATGCATCTAACAGGTATTACATGCCTCCCTCCCATGCTATTTATATTTCATATCTACAGAACCTGTGCTGTTCCCGGTTCTGACTTGAGGTCATATTTTAGCGCGAACGACGCCAATTTTGATCGAACGTTCCACCGGTTTGTGACTCGCCCGGACATTGATGCTCCAGTATGGACGATCCGCCATTATCAGGACAAATCAGTTCTTGCACCAGGATACTGGTTTGTAGCGTTTTATAACGGGCTAAATCAGGCATCTCCCGGCCCTGCCTGGATTGGTCCGCACATCTACGACACAAATGGGGAGCTTATATGGGGGGGAGGATCAGCATTCAACCATTGGAACATTTTCGATTTTGGAGTCCAAGATGAAGGAATGGAAAGGAAACTTACACTTCTTTCCGAGCATGAGGATACAGCTTTTATTCTCGACAAACATTACCAAGTGCAAAAACGGGTACCCTTGGTAACCAAGGGTGAAAAGAAGCCAAATATTCATTCCTTCCAGGTATCTAATGACGGCAAGCGAGCCCTCATATTGAACAAACCTCCATTGGAGATAATTCAGAAGGTATCGGAGCAAATAGGGCTTGACATACCATGCTTAGTGGAATACGAAGGCTTCCGCGAACTTGATTTAGAGACTTCAGACTCTCGTATTATTTTCGAATGGAATGGTCGAGACTGGATTAGCCTCAACGAGAGTACATATAAGAGCTATGACGGGAAGATCGAGTCAATGTGCGCTAGAGGATGGGACATACTGTTAGTATCATACACCTAGCAACTTTTGGAGATACTAACCAAAGCTACTATAGTCATCTCAATTCGATAGCCAAGTTTCCCGACGGCGATTATCTGCTCTCGGCAAGACATACTGATGCTCTTTACAAAATTTCGCATAAAGATGGGCATATCGTATGGCGGCTAGGTGGCGTGAGATCCGATTTTCAAATGCTCGGTCATTCAGCATTTTCTAGACAACACGATGCTCGACCCCAATCGCAGAACCAAACTCATACTGTTATTACACTTCTAGATAACGCAACAGGAGATGGACCTTTTGCTTCGAGTAGCTACAAGTACTCAAGAGGCCTCGTTCTCCTGCTTGATACAGTGAAGATGACAGCTGAGGTCCTTATCGAATACCCGCATCCGAATGCACATCAGATAAACTCACGAGGCAGGTAGCAGTCTCTGCATCTCAAAAGCTATGCCTATTCTTTGCATGACCTAACAGGGCTTACAGGCAATTTTCAGAGTCTTCCAAACGGTAACAAATTCATTTGTTGGGCCTATTCGAGCCGAATTTCGGAGCACACTCCTGATGGTCAGATTGCCATGCAAGCGGTCCTCTCAGTGGACGCGGATTCTTATCGCGGGTTCAAGTATCCCTGGATCGGGCTCCCATCTCGTCCACCCGACCTCCATACTGCAGCTGTAAGGGACAAAGGCAACACCTTGACAATCATACACGTCAGCTGGAATGGTGCATCAGAGGTCTACGAATGGCACTTCAAAATGCTCGAAGATCAGGGCGGTGTACCCATTGGGATAGCCAGACGTAAAAGCTTTGAGACAAGCTTTATTCATCGTGATTACGCAGCTTGTGTCTTTGCAGAGGCATACAATGAGGAAGGGCATCTGCTTGGTCAATCGGAGGTTTTCTTCACTGCGCCTCCAACAGCGGCAGGCCAAGACTTGGCGGAAGCGGAAATAATCGATCAATCAGATGGGCGAGCAAAACAAATCAAATGTTTTGCTAAAAGTCCAGAGAGAGTGGTCTCCGAAGAGTCGTCCAATTCTTTCCCATCCAGCTCCACTGGAATCTTGTTGGCGAATGAAGCGCAACTAAAAAATCTAGTGGTGAATGCCTCAATTGGAACGGAGATCTACTCTATGGACAACGTGCGTGCTACTACACTAGCATCTTCACCCAGTTCAACCACCAAAAGCTTCATCGCCATACTCCTTTTGGCCTCAATTGCTGCTACGGTTAAGCTCTGTCTTACCCTTTTTCGAAGGCGTAGATCAAGGCCGTTGCGGGCTATACCGGCATCTCAGCGCAAAGATCCGGAGGACGGCCGCCTGTTGAAAGAACAGGGCCTGGAACCAAAGAAGGAATAAGCTCTTCACAGACAAAATTATAAAGCGAACGACTATCTTAGACCTGTGAAGACCAAGACACAGGCGAGGATCACGTAATCATATTTGCACTATTTGCCTGTCCTATATTTAGTCTGCTTTCCTTTCTTTTGCTTCTGTCGGAATGAACGGGCTATGGAGGCCGGATTAATAGATAGTCCGAAAAAAATTCTTCTATAATCAGAAACCCCCATAAATTGCTAGATTCAGGGGTATAGCAATATAGAGTCTTTTTCACCGCTGATTGGCCCTTATATTACGTGCTCCGATAGAGACCAATACCAGGACAGATAGATAGATCTACTCGGAGATCTACACACTTTGTCTAGTCAGGAGCCAAGCTCCAGACAATGTTTTTTTAGCCCCATCTATATGCTCTTTGTGCTTTTGTACCGTTGTCCCCTTAATAGAGGTGTGATGTTATTAATGTGGTCACCGTGGTTTTATTGACACTGAGTAAGAAGCAAATACGGTGGAATCCATTTAATTAGCCTCACTAATGTATCCTATTTATTGAAGAAGCTATTCGTAGGAGAGCCGTTTGCTATTCGAGTGTAGCGCGGTATACCAGGGGTCCCTGTGATATCCTTGCCCTCCTCATCACCTGACTTTCGCTTTCTATCTGATCCTAGGCTTCTTGACATCTCCTATTCTGGTATGACCAACCAGATCGTCACAATTGACAGTTATCTTTTCTAGACCCCATTTCCAACTATACTTCGCTAACGCCCAGCAATAATATTTCCTCGTGGGGAGACCCTCGGGGTATTAAACGGATTTGCTACGTTGCTCAGGAGGGAGGAAATATGTGGGCTGCGGGGGAACCCCGCCGTAAGTTCGCGCGAGCGGAGCAGTCAAGACACACTAAATAACCATGCTAGACAGGATCTCCAGCTTCCGTGATGTATTCGCTTAGACACACCTAGCAAAATGAATATCAGGTGACAACACCGAGAGGTGCCTACATACATACTGTAAGTACCACATGGTAGCTTTTCCGCATTCTCCGCTCCGCTCCGGGGATGAACTTGCCCAGCGACGCACAGACTTGCTTTCAAGCAGCGGAAAATATCACATACCTTCGAAATCAATTCCAAAGCCGATATTCGTCTTACAGATATCCCCGAGAATGAGACCAACCCGGAGAGGGTTCGGGATTTGTCTTAACATCGCGTCTATGACGAATCGCGACGGAACCCCCTGGTCCGGGAGAGTTACGTGACTATGCGCGCTTAACTTGAAGTAGCCTGGGATTTCTCGAATGCCAACCTGCCCAGTGTCAGCACTGGCTGCTCAATGAATCAAATATGCTGCGAGGGACACTGGATACCTTGCCACCGGAGCTTGTGTTCCTGATATCCAGCTATCTGTCGCCCCTTGATGCTTCTTGCCTGGCTTTATCCAGCCACCATTTTATGGATTTCTGTCCCAGTTTCGATGACCTTTTAGGTAAATCATTTCCTGGCGTGCGTACAGGAGGCCCGGGTGAAAGACTGCGGATCGACCTCTTAACCAGGCATGCTCGCCATTTGCCACAGTATTACCTATGCTACGCTTGCTTGCGACTTCACCTTTGGCGGCATATCGACTTGCCAACACCAAATTTCAAGCTCCGCAGTTGTTTTTACTCGCCTCATAAATTTCATTTTGTACATCTCCTTCTCGCTATGAGGAGATTCTACTTCGGCCCATCCTTTGGTATTTCTGCAGAGTCGCTTACGTATACCGATGTGTCAATTGCACCCCTTTATCCACGAAAGCGTTCGAATGCACTGATGCCCGAAAAAGATTTCTTGGCCTCTCATCGAACGGGCTTGATGTCCATTGAGGCGCGCGTCTGCCCCAACCCTCCAGGTCTGTGCCTGCGCATACAAAATCTCGCGGTAGCTAAGCGACAAAGCGTGCTACGGCTTTGCCGGGAGAATGATACCGTCCGAGTCTGCGAACATATCGGATCTTTCAAAAGCAATTTCTTCCAAATCGTAAAGTCGCTGATTGAAACGTACTGCCGACAAGACCGAGAGGATATTGGCAGGCTTTTGCGTCAAGGGCAATGTGCCCGATGCAACACTTCCTGGAAGCTGGAACTATGAGAAATTGAACAAGAGGATATATGCTTGCTTTTGACCCAGTGGAAGGACCTAGGGCCGGGTTTGGACCCAGAGGATGACCGGTGGAGAACCCATCTGGGCCAGACATGTCAAAAAACATTGAAAGCCAGTGAGATGGTGGATGATCCGCGCATGCGATTCGAGATGCAGTCGAACGAGCCCGGGTCGAATTCTTCCCAAGCTTTGTCAGAGGAGAGTATGTTTCTTCGGAACGTGTCTCTTTTGCGAGCACGGCGTTATCGAACTGCCATGACACGATGGGGTCCGGGGTGGTGGTATCTTCAACGGGAAGACGAGGTCAAGCATTCTCGATGCATTGTCATCTAAAGGGGAGACATAACCGTCTTTTTGGAAGTACCAACTACGCTGCGATTGAACGATACAATACGGGTTCGGTGCGGAATGGCGAAATGGCGATGGTCGTGCCTGCCCTGTTGAGGTGCCATGACGAGGAACAAATGAAAGTTGTTCACTCTGCTCTTTACCCTCTGGTTCGTCGATGATTGGGTTTTGCTAACCACCAGGCAGAAGAAATCTGTTTACGTAGAATGGCCTAGGTATGTTTAAATTTCTCGCTCTTGACTAGACAGACTTTACGAACATACGGAAAGGAGAACTGTCCTACGTGACCGACTACTCAGTGCAGGCAAAGTTATAAGGCACTCGTTCTAGTCAACGGTTGAGCAAAATGAGCATGTCAAGTCTGAAATATAAGTAGACGTTTAGATCTACCTGAAGGTGAAGTTTGAGCCTCGCCCGAGGCGCCTGTGGTTGTTCCACTTCGTCTCTGAAAGGACTTAGGATACTCCACTCGATTTCTGAGAATAAATTACAATTTGCAATATAAATCAGACATGATAGAAGTCTTTCGCTTTCCATAATGACAAGAAACGATTGAGTTGGTCCGAGTGGTCCGAGCTAAACGGAATGTACTTGATATCAGGGGCGTCCCTGAAGAGCTGCGGTCGTATTGGTTGAAGTATAATGAGGTGTATTCCTGCTAGTTTCAAAACGGGTTAATTCGCCCCATACATAGAAAGAAATGATCATAGTTCATGCTTATTTGCTGAATGCAGCGATCGGCTGCCGTGCGTATATACAGTTTGTAACTCCACAGACATCGGGATTGAATGCTGGTGGCGTGCGAGAAGTAATGCCCCGACAAGTCACGATGACTGGGCCAAGTACTGTCGCAGTCTATCTGCGATATCATGATGGCCGTATTGGATTGCCGCATCCAAGGGAGTCGTAGAATCAACACCATCGCCCCACGTAGGCTCGATATCCTCAGCCTCAAGCAATGCATTAACAGCCTGCAAATGGCCAAAGATAGCAGCTTGATACAGCGGCGTATGGCAGTTATCGTCCTTGGTGTTGACGTTCGCCCGCCGTGGACCCTTTAGCAAACACCTTATAATATCATCATGATTACTCGCCGCTGCAATAGCGAGTGGCCGCGTCCCTCGCACATTACCCTGTTCCAAATTAACACGCTCGCACTCCAGCAGAGTGTTCACCATATCCTTGCGCCCGTGCTTCGCAGCTTCGAACAGCGGCGTGTCGTGTTGCCAGCTGTCGCTCAAATTCGGATTAGTCTTGTCCCACTTGCACAGATATCGGACGACATCGACATGGTTTCGCTCCGCTGCAATGGCAAATGCGCCTCGCCCGTGCCCATTCCGCTCTCCGTTCGGATCGAGCTTCTCACCGAAGTATGAAACAAGGTACTCAACGATATCCAGCTGTCCCACGATAGCCGCGTGAAAAAATACATGCTGGCAGTGTTCGGTGGTATTATCTCCTTCCAGTATACTCTGGATATGCGCCGCAAGAAGTAGTTCCGCTTCATTGACACCCAGCATCGCAGCAAGGGACAACGGCGTCGCACCCTGCCGATTCGCAATACGAGGATCAGCCCCCCCTTCTGGAGAAGCAGGGAAATAAACCTCGGGTTATGTTCAACGGCAACCATAAGCGGCGTATAACCCCATTTATCCTCTAGATTAACATTGGTCCGATCATCATCCAATAGCGCACGCACCACCGCTGTATGGTTCCGCTTAATGGCCCAGGAAATAGGTGGGCGAATATATTTCCTATCGCGACTATTCGGATTGACATCCTCGAGTTTCAAGAGTACCTGGAGCATCTCGATACTCCCGTGATACGCGGCAAGCATAAGGGGCGTGGTTCCTTTGATGCGGGGATCGAAGTCCGTAAACGACTGAACATCAGCGCCCGCTTCGATAGATTTCAGCCCCGTCTTTGTATGATTGAATGTCGCGGCCCAGCTGAGGGCTGTCGCATTGTCCCGGGTTACATCGCGCTCGTAGAGGTGAGAGTTGAGGAGGTTGTAGAAGAGGGAGTTCGTTCGGGCGAGGGCGGAGAGATCGGCGCTTGAGATCAGGTGCTCGGATATTGAGATTAGAAGCTCGGTTGGGAGGGTGGCCAGGGATCTTGGTTCTTTCACCATGCTGGGAGCAGGGATTCATGCTAACATATTGTGTGAGGCTCAAGCTTGAAAGGTGGACAGAGGCCGATCGGGGCTAAGCTAGGACGTGGGGGTGGAAATGACGTTGATCTTAGTGCGGCTTGCGCCTCGTTTTTGCGTGTTTGACCTGGAAGATCCCCAATTTCCAAGGCAAATGGGATCCCAACGCACCATTAAATGCATTGAGATTCACAGTGAAGCCGATTGAGGAAAGAAAAAACTAAGTCAAACAGATAGAACGTAGAGAGATTTTGTAGAACGTGGCCATAGTTGGGCAGCGATAAGAGATAAGGAGTTTCCATGGCGACGATTTGAGATCGCATCCTCATCATCTTTAGCTTCTCTCCTACATCTTCAAGAGAGCATGCCACCATGTTTTCCCCAAATAAAAAAGCCCCGATGAGCCCGCGCACAGCGGCGCCCTTGAAAGGGCTTTTTCAAGAAGGCATGTGGATGTGCAACTGCCCCGAACGTCTGCCCGCAGCCAAACGAGAGACCAAGAAGCCCGGCAAGAACCAAGGACGATTCTGTAAGTTTCACAAATCCTGAGCCTGCTTCCTTGCACCCATACTGATTTAACCCAGTCTGGACCTGCCAGAAACCTCCAGGGAAACAGTGTGGCTTCTTCCTCTGGGCCGATGAGGCCGCGGTCCGCGAGAATGAAACCCTCCTCTCCAACTCTCGCTCAGAGCCTGAATACCGCGATTCAATATACCGCACACCATCCAAGAACTTATACCGCATAGGCATTGGCCTGTTGACCCCCCAGACCGAGCGCAGAGTGACAGACGTCCAGCCCCGCCAGTTCAAGACACCGCCAAAGAGCGCAAAGGCACGGATGATGGCAGAAGATACGGATGAATTCGGATGGCACGACGACTCAGATGATAATGAAGCGTTCAGTGAGGTGCTACAGTCAAGCCAGGCAACTGAACCGATCTTGTCACAACCCAACTTCAACCCCGAATCACCATACAAAGCGGCCCGCACTTCGGTGATGACTTCACCAGGCAAGCGCAAGCTATTCGAGTATGCACACGACGATTCCAGCAGTAACATTTCTCCACTTGCAACGCCCTCTTCCTCTCGCTCAAGCCGATTTCCTCCGTCTTCGGCAGAGCTGTGCATGACGCCAACGCCCAGCAAGTACCGCAATGTCCTAAGCGCAGACTCAAAGTCGGACATGTCGGATTTGGCGAAACAAGCTACTGCTGTTTTGGACAAGCATGACGTCGTACTGCCCAACAAAGCGCGCGACGAACTTCTAGAACTACTCAACATTCATGACTTGAAGTTGAGCGGTGCAATGAAGGGGCGGGATGCTGTGCGAATGGCCCTCGAGAAAGAGAAGTACAACCGTAAGGAAGAGGAGCTGCGTTTGAGAGAGGAAATTGTGAAGTTGAAAGAGCAGAACATGAATCTTGAGGCGCATAGGGCGATGCATCAGACTTTCATTGATTCCATGAAGGAATGATCGGAAGTGGCTGTCGTTGATGCTGGTTGTCTCGGCAGTTAAGATCTTCCTGATCTGAATTTTCAAGTTCAAGTATTGATATCTTGTTACGACCTCTGATGATCTTATAATTCTGTCCTACTGTATTTATCCATCGATGCCCCTATCATTGATGCCATCTAACATCAAGGAGAATCGAGAAGATGAGGTTTTTTTTCTCAATATGCTATCAAGAAGTACATCAGTCTTCAGTAATTATCTTTGCCTCACCATCTAATAATTAGAAGAACGAAAAGAGATTACCCAGTTGTTGCGGCTCTCATAGATCGCACTGATAACGTCACGTGGCCGATAAGAAACACAAATTATGCGCCCAATGAGTCGCCCAGCTGGCAACCTTCTACAAATTTCAGTTTAGGCTATCGCCCTCCCTTCAATGGAGTCGAACAGTGACGTCCGCCAGCAGGCCCCCCGCGATATCCCCGCCATGTTCCGTCCGCCCGTCAACCGTGCGATGCGCACACTGGACCGGTCGTTCTTCCGCAAGACGGTACCGGTCTCCGCAGCCAAAATCTTCCAGAACTCGGAAATCTCGCGCGTGCGCAAGGCACTTGGGGGCAGTAAGGACCTTCTGGTTTTGCCGCGGCTGAACGTTGTGCGTGAGCTGAAGGAGCAGGATGGTGTGAAAAAGGCGCTTCTACTGCGAGAGGATGTGAAACATGATGGTGGGTTATTTGATTGGGCTTCGAAGTGGGGATTGTGATGCTGATGCGATTGTACAGACAAGTCGACGTGGTCGCCTACTATCATGAAGTTGAGCGAGAAGGGCACCGTGGCCATTTTGCCTTATAATTTGGAACTTGATTACGACTCTTGGACATACGGTATGAATCGGACATACGGACTCGATGGCCTACAGTACTAACAACCTCGAAGCTGAGATCGCTGCTTCGGTTTTGCCGCAAAATGAGGAAATGCCAGAAATCCCTCAAGGCTTCACGCAAGTGGGGCACGTCTGTACGTTTCTGTCCGATTGACAGATATTGAACCTCCAAACTGACTAAATAGTGCACCTGAATCTCCGCGAGCATTGGCTTCCGTACAAGCATATCATTGCTGAGATTCTCATGGACAAGAATCCCGCCATTCGTACCGTCATCAATAAGACCGAAGACGTCGGTTCCCACAGCCAGTTCCGCACGTTCCCTTTCGAACTGCTGATCGGTGATAACGACCTCAACGTCATCCAGCACGAGCAAGACTGCGAGTTCCGATTCGACTATTCTCGTGTATACTGGAATAGCCGTCTGGAGACGGAGCACCGCCGACTCGTGGACAAGTTCCAGCCTGGCCAGATGGTATGCGACGTGATGGCGGGCGTCGGTCCCTTTGCTGTGCCTGCGGGACGCAAGCGCATCTTCGTCTGGGCCAACGACTTGAACCCGCACGGCTATGAGGTGATGCAAGATGCTGTCAAGCGTAACCATGTCTCGGACTTTGTCACTCCATTCAACCAAGACGGCCGGGAGTTTATTCGCTTCGCGGCGCAATCTCTGCTGGAAGCTGACCCAGTCACTGTCACCATTGAACCCAGGAAGCGCAGGGAGAAGAGGAGAAAGGTTGAGGATGACCAAGAAAACGCGAAACCCTCGCCGCTTCTTCCCGTATATACTCGCCCGTCCATTGTCGACCACTACGTTATGAACCTACCTGCGACCGCCATCGAGTTCCTCGATGCCTTCCAGGGTCTCTATACTGGCAAGGAATCTCTCTTCGCCCCGCACACCTCTCAACTCTTGCCCATGATCCACGTCTACTGCTTCTCGGGTCACTCTGAGAACGAGGTGGATGATCACATTGATGTCTGCCAGCGGATTTCTGAGCGCATTGGATATACTATCACCCCCGAGGACCGTGTCGGAGGCAGTGGTAATGCTGCTATCGAGCTGGCCATTTACAATGTCCGCCTGGTCAGCCCCAACAAGCAGATGTTCTGTGCCAGTTTCCGCCTGCCAGCGGAGGTCGCATTCCGGAAGGTTTAAAAAAGTACATAGCTGTTGCATACTAGGCGTTTGGAGAGATTGTTTGCAGATATAGAAAAATAATGCAGACTCGATACCCTAAACATACCCTGAACTTAATTGCACAATGTGACTTGGTTCTACGAAGTAATTCAATCTCACTTTCATGAGGCTAAAAGGCGGTGAACACACCGCCCTTTACTGCCGCGCGACCTGCAGACTTTCAGCGACCCCGTGCAGGCTCCTCGACGACCGATCGTATTGACGCCCGCATCTCGAATCCCCTTTCAACCATCGCCGAGAGTCCATTGCGCGTTCGCATCCTCGTCTCCCCGACCCAGCCGCAAAAATGAGCGTCCAACTCCCCCCGCCCACGCACCGCAAGCGCACCCTGCCCCAAGGCGAGCTCGAGGCGGCATCCACGCTCAAGCTCGGCGCCGACCAGAACACGCACACATTGTCGCTGTCCGAAGCACGACTCGTCATTCACAAGGTGCTGGAGAACAAGCGGCGCGGGGGCAACAAGTACGAGGAGCCGGAGTATGTTGGACGATGCCCGCCAAGCTCGACCCGACCGAAGACTAACCGATGATAAAAGGAACTTAACCAAGACGCTGGACTACCTGGACGTGTTTGCCCGGTTCAAGGACGAGGAGAATATTAAGGCGGTGGAGCGTCTGCTCAACTCGCATACGGAGCTAGAGATGTTCGAGCGGTCGCAGCTCGGTAAGTGCCTCAAGTGCCCGTGGTGCCTGGCGGCCTCGGTGCCTTGTTGCCTGAACTCCTGAGTGCCTGGCTGCCCAGGCTCCTCTCCGGAGCTCCCCTGTGGCGTCGGAACCAGCCATCATCGAATCCTCGACTAACCCGAAATTAGGAAGTCTGTGCTGCGACAATGCGGAGGAGGCGAAGTCGCTGATCCCAAGTCTTCAGAACAAGATCACCGATGCAGATTTGCAGGAGCTGCTGGACGAGCTGACCAAGCTGCGGAACTTTACAGAGTAGACATCCCCTCGGATGGGATCCAACAGCATGGAGTTTTGGGCGTTCTTGCATCTAGCATTGGGTCTGGAGGATTTCCGGGTTTTTGTCGGGGGAAGCACATCAGACTACAACCATGACTAAGAACCGATTTTCGGGGATTTTGCCAAGGAAAATAACCATCTACATCGCCACCGGGTTAAATGTTTTAGAGTAGGTAGGCACACGCCGGGGATTGCTTCACGCTCTCCGCTTCACAACGGCGGGGCGCCACAGTTAAACTCATGATATGTCAGCATCGTGGGTTTCTCAGGTGCTCCCCACATTGTCCTAGGATCTTTGATTGGCCCCGGTAAAAGACGTTATCACGACGCGTTGATTGGGTCGATCTTTGGAGCGTCGCGTGCGAGCTATATTAGTCGTACAAGGGTGGTTTGCCCCCAGACGTCCTCGATACGGTAAACCGTTAGGTAACAGATGTCTCCTGGATCGGGCCCCGGTGTCCCGGGCATGTGAGAGATCTCGCCAGGGAAGAGAACCGCGGAGTCATGGAGTTACCGTAGTTCGAGCGCAGAATTCACAGTACGTAATACCGGGGAGGGTCGCTCGGGTACCCAATCAGGGCAGCCCGACTTATCTGGCTTGACAATTTTCACTTCCTAATTGCAGAGCGAAGACTGGATCGAGGCTGATTCTGTTACGAAACCGAATGGCTGATCGTCTGAGTCCTCGGGCGAGCTTCGCTTTCTTCTATACTAGCGATGTCATCATGTTTCCCTTTCTTTTTTTCCTCCCCGAACTTTCTCTTCCAGCTTTTTAACACCCTCTGAAGAGTGTTAGGAATGACGGAGAGAACTATCCGCCATTTGATCCTCTTGCAGTCTTTGGCGGGTTCGTCTGCTTGATTTTCTCCGGATCAATATACTATATCTGATCGTCCCCGGAGATAGCACTTTTTTTTTGGTGATAAGCCATATCTCGTGCGTCCATCCCAACCCTGTCCTCTCTTATCTGAGGAATTGTCGGTCAACTGAACTAACGCCTGGAAGACAGGAAACCCCCAATAAGATTCCCCAGAGTGTGGAGGTGGCTTCTCGTGGAGTCCCCGGACCTCGCTGCCCCGTTACGTGACGAATTCGCGAATCGCAGGCCATCAATTATTTATCTCCGATCGCGATCCCTATCTATCACCACCCTTTATCATTCGCTCTTTCCCCCTTCATGGCTACCGTCATCACTATCCAGCCTTCTTCCACGGCTGGTCCGGCTGGTTCTTCGGCCTACTCTCAACCCCATTCACCCGAGCTGCGCCGACGAGCACCGACTACGACCTCGACTCCCAACCTCTCTCCGTCCCCCGTCTCCGTGAACTCGACTTTAACCGGCGCTCAAGGCCGGAATGGGGCCAGCTGCGACGCTTGTCTCCGACGAAAGAGCAGGTGTGCCATGAACGAGATGGTCCACAAGTGCTACTCGTGCGAATTTCACCGTCAAGACTGCACCTTCACCCTATCCGCCGAGGCACCCACCAAGAAGAGGAAACTCGACGCTGTGCCGGAGCATGCCGACTCCGTCAAACGACCCTCCACCGTCCAATCTTCCATCCCCGAGGAGCTTCCTCGACCGCACCAAGCCGCTATGATCCGCCCGGGCTTCTTCAACCAGACGACGCAGCATATCGGCATGACCACAGAGTTGGAACCGGCTCTGCTGGATCACCTGCCGCTGGATGAGTACGACGAATTCACAGTGCATGCTTCCCGTATTCGCAGGTGTGCCGACGACGGCACTTTCATGAGAGTTGTCAACACTGTTCCTATCGGTGACTCGCAGGCCGTGTCACTGGATGCCATTGAGAGCCTGGTCGCTCCGTACGGTGCCACATTGATCGAGAAGTTCTTCGACCACGTGCACCCCTCTTTCCCCATTCTGATGGAAGATGCATTTCGTCAATCATACCGTGATCGTCGTCAGTTGTCTCCGCTGCTCCTGGCTGCGGTGTACGTGTTGACGTTGAAATTCGTTGACGTCGGTGCGTCATCGCAGACAGCACGGAAGCCCGATGCGGCCCGGCTAGAGAGCGCGGCTTTGAAATTGCTTCTCGATTCGTTGCCCTTCCCTAGCATTTCGACTATTCAGGCTGGCTTATTGTTGACGCAAAAGTCGACCTTGGCAACGGCGTCTTTGAATGGGCAGTTGGTTACGGCATGCTTCGAGCTTGGACTGCACCAGGATTGCTCGAACTGGCGGATGAAGACGTGGGAGAAGGGTTTACGAAAACGCCTTGCCTGGGCACTGTACATGCAGGATAAGTGGTCTTCGCTTGTGCATGGCCGCCCCTCGCAGATCTTTGCTTTCAACTGGACCGTCAAGGATCTCGTTGAACAGGACTTTTCCGATGCCTTTCTGTCCGGTACCGGCTCTGCACACGATGAGGCGGCTGTCGGACATGGCCCTCTCCTATTTTGCCATATGGTGGCTCTTACGACCATTTTATCGGATATCCTGGATCGATTCTACACTCTCCGAGCCGTCGAGGACTTCCGAGCAGCTGGAAATCAGCGCACGCGGATAATCCTGGATAAAGCTAAGCCGGCCCAAATCCGTCTGAAAGAATGGTTCTCTTCCTTGCCGGCATCTCTCAAGATGGAATCCTCGACCGGAGAGCTTGTCGAGACTATCACCGATGAGCATGCCCGCAACGGCGCTCTACACCTCGCCTACTTCGCTACCGAAATTACCCTCCACCGCTGCATCGTCCGCTCTATAGCTGATGACGGCACTGACTCCTACCTCGCCCACATCTGCCGGTCCGCCGCCAAAACCCGTCTCATCTCTGCCATGGACTTCGTGAACCGTCTCCGACCAGCACACCTGCGATCCTTCTGGCCCGCCACCGCGCGCACGAACTTCTCGCTGATTGGCTCCTTTGGCATGTTACTGCGTGTCACCGCACCAGCCAGCGAAGAGGCAGAGTTCTACCGCCTTCGCCTCTGCGAGTACCGCTGGACCCTCAGCGTCAGCCACAAGAACGCCGAGTTCATGAGCTTTGCGCTGGAGAGCCTCGATAACCAGACGATGCTGGATAAGCACGTTCCCGAAAAGCCTAGCATCGAGGAACTGATCGCGTCCTCGGCCAAGCAGCCCGCTCGCCCGAACCACATGTCTGCCTACGACGACGCCCTTGCCGATGCAGAGACACAAGGCACGGGTCTCTCGTCATCGGTGATCTCCGGTCTCGCTTCTCCGGCTACGTCTGTCAGCGATATCGAGGATCAGGATACACACATGCCACCTCTCTAAACCCTTTCCCCCTATATAACTTCACACACTCTTCTCCTTCGCCCTCTACACCTCTCCCGCCTACGACCCCTTCTCTCACGACATGATATTCCGGCGTTTATACGGACCCGCCTGATGAAGCGCATGATACTTACTGGAATGTTCGCATATACTGTACCCATGTATTGTCGCAAAGTGCAGGCAACACTTTTTCTCGGCATTGTTTTGTTTGGAATTTGGAATAGCTAGGATTTGGATCGGCTTTCAATGTTTATAAACCGGACTGTACATAGATCGCATCACGAATTACGATTCACATTCAACGTTTTCTCTCTTAGTACCAGACTGGATTTTTCTGTAAAGGGAATAAATGGTTTATTGAAGAGGTCCAAGAGGTCCAAAGTTTGCAGGCATTCTATGCAGGCACGTCAATACAATGCCTGATTCCATGACGTCCATGGATTGAGCTCAGCCATCCCTACCCTTGCACATGCCGACGGCGCAGACTCTTCTTAACCAGCACCAAGTTCCGATCCACCAGCCAGAAACCGGTAGATCTGCGACCATCAACCGTGTTCATGATACGAGTCAAACTGTGCTGGCCAGCTCAAGATCCTCACACCATTCATAATTCATAACCAAACTCTTCTTCACAACGAAGAACATATCACTCTCAATAAAATCGCTATCTCGCGAGTGCAGCGCCGTGATCAGCATAGTACACGCTAGGTACATCACCAGGGAATGTTGTAAACTTTCTAGTGCTATGTCTTTACGGAAATGATCGAACTTACCATATGAGCAGGTCCATACCAAATGCCTCTTCAACATCCCCAAGAGCTCCCCAACAAATTCATCATTCGAGACGGAATAAGCCACAGGCTTAACGCATCTAAATGGGCGGTGGCCGGATCATCAGTGAAGATATTCCCACGACAGCTCGGATCTTAATTATTGACTAATTTCCACAGATCGGGACGTTGGTCTAGACAAATTTTTCTGCCAGATAACTCACAAAGCTCGGGGTAAATGCAACCTTAGAATCTTGAGACTTTCCTATATCATCGAATCTCGTGGCTTCGAGTGTGATCTCTACGTTAACGCGGGAGACCACGACCCAGACGCCAGGAAAATGATGTAGCAATGATCCAAGAATCCTACTAGCGTGGATCAGTGGCAATTCCTGCCCGGCAATGGACCTGACACCCGCTTCATCGAGTGGAAGGCAAACATTCCATCTTTCTTGAATCCAGACACAAATGCCCTGAACGACCCAAAATAGGCGTTAGAACAAAAACTAGTCTTACAACTAAGTACGTTCTTTTGACAAAAATCTGAAGTTTCACAGAGATCAGTCATTCCAACCGAGCCTTTCCATGAAGAGGATACTAAAATACACGCATCCTGATCTACATACTCTTCCCTTTCGGCTCAACCGCAAATGCCGAATCAAATGAGTTTCCGCCAACGCCTCCTTTCGGCCTCGAGGGAGCATGCATGGGCATCCATATGCAGAATGATACCTTCATGCACCGCATTTACATTCGGACCTGATTGTCCAGTATGACCTACGCCCCGGACGGTTCGATGATTCCCTACTCCTTCCTATCTTATCCTCTCTAGCGTCATCCAGCCTGAAATCCGGTCCTGTGACCTTTCTCTCTGGAAATACTGTATCAAAAACTCCCGCTTTCTTTTGGCAGTAACCCGTCTGCGTTAGATCTCAGTGGTCTTAGGCAGGCTCCAACCCAACAACTGTTTAATCATTGCCATATCGGGTAATAAGGCCCCGGAGTTTGTTGAAAGAACGGATGACGTAATACAACCATACCTCGGTATCAGATGGTCTCTGATTAACATGACAGATTAAATACAAAACAATGTATGGATGCCGGTAAAAAATTGCCGGTTGTAAGGTAGATATGCTTACTTGGACATCACTCGGCCTTCAGATGGTTTCCCAATTACTAGTATTACACTGTTCAGGCTGAAAGATCATTAATCAGTGAAAGCAGTCTAGAGAGCGATCCGCGTATCCACACCTCGGTTCCCAACGAATCTTCTCTTGTTCTCTAGAAGACCCACTATTCCCATGTGTTCATGTGGTTTGAAAGGTGTATGATATGAATATAAGCCGGGGTGGAGTGCCGGGGGTAGAAAATGTGCTTGACATCCTTTTGCCCATAACTCACCCACGTTACTGCTTAAGATGGCTGTCCCAACGCGTAACCCAAAAGACTCCATGACGTCCACCTGGCGTACGTGGGATCGCTCGCAGTGGAACGCCGGCCACTGGCTTCTTGAGGTCCTGAACGTGCACCATATTGAGCTTGATCAAGAAGTCCCGGTCCACCAAAAGACGGAAAAAGTCCCTTATGCACCAGAGCTGCAGTTCCATCTTTGGGTTCTTCTCCATGCCGGTCTTACACTCGCTATTCACCAACTTTACATCATCTACTTCGGTCAACCCTCGGCGTTGTTGATATTCTTTTACTACCATACGGCTCTGGAATTCTTTGCCGTGCACGAAACACACGTCCTCCGCCGCGTCGGCCACAAGATCGGATTCTTCGACGGGGACAAGCATCCTCGCGATGGTGTACCTGACGTGGGTGTCGGGAAGACCGTCAAGTCTCTACTATCCGTTATCGCGTTCCGTCCATTGTTGACCATCTTCCTCGCCTATCGCGCCGATGATGGCCCATCATCGATCCGATGGGGGTGGCTCATCTTCGAGACTGGCATGTATGCACTCGTGCTCGACTTCTGGTACTACATCTTCCACCGCTCCGCACACGAGACGGAACACCTCTGGAAATACCACCGCACCCACCACTTGACCAAGCACCCTAACCCTCTCTTGACTGCGTATGCGGACACGGTGCAGGAGTTTATTGACATTGTCGGCACGCCTCTCATAACGTACCTCACCATGAAACTGATGGGATTTCCCATGGGTTTTTACGAGTGGTGGGTATGCCAACAATATGTGGTGTTCACGGAGATACTGGGCCATAGCGGCTTGCGAATGCTTGCCACGGCGGTGAATCCCTGGACATGGCTGCTGAGGCTGTGCGACATGGAGCTCGTTATTGAGGACCATGATCTCCATCATCGCAAAGGCTGGAAGAACAGCCACAATTACGGCAAACAAACCCGGGTGTGGGACCGGCTGTTCAACACATCTATTCCTCGTGTGGAGGGACACCGGGACAATATTGACTATGTCAATACCGCGAAAATTCCCTTATTGTAACTGCCGCGAGTATCGCTTTCAAGTGCGCAGGTAACCTGTTGCTCGATTTGTATTCTGGATCGAGATATTCGAGACGATTTTTTGTTCTCCCATCGGCGAGAACCTTGGAAGGCGAGGGTGGATAGAATATAGGAATAATTGCACGATAAAGAATGTCAATGATATCTGGATTTTTGAACCTCTACATGTTTTTGTATTCTATATATAATATCTGCCAAGTTCCAATGGGGAGACTTTGGAATACTACCAATTCGATGTTCGAAGTGTGCTTTGCATTCGGTGGACAGGAGTTTTGGTTTTTTCCTAGAATTGTTCGATCATAGGAGTACCTGGTCAGCTAGGTCGGGGCTTTTAAGTTCGAGAAGGCGAATATCGTTTTCATGGCTCATCTGAGTTATATTTATCACGATCTAAATCCGCGGTACGACATTATCAGATCAGCGTCAGTGTCCAAATAGTAGGAAAGTAATAGCGGGTTGAACCATCTCGGAGATACGGCGATCGTCGGCGATAGAGAACAGGCGGCGGTTTCAACGGACCTGCATCCTATTGGCGCGAATCTCAGAGAAACCCCACACCACCTGTTACTTTCGTCTCATTTGCTTTGAATTCGTAATAGAAATTCGATCAGCCTTGCTTTCCCCCGCATTTACCTTAAGAATGCCGAGGGTAACGGATCCAGGAACCCGAACTTCAAATCGGATCTACGGTAGTCAGCCACATTATTGGGTCCAGCTGATAATGATAAACATTATCTATGGCTCCGACGGAAGATCCCGATAACGGATAAGCACGGCGATGGTCAATGAGGTATTATCGTCCGAGCGTAGGATGGTGTTATAAAGGAGGGTGAGACTTCTGACTGATTATCAGTCTATAAGCACTTTTCCTTTCAAGCAAACCCCAAGAGGAACCGGTAATTTTCATTCAACAACCCAAGTTTCAAACCTCGATTCTTATCAGACGCGACGTGAATCACCTTGTCTGCGTCATGGCGCAAACGTGGGATCAGAATGAGCTACGAGCTCGCTTCTGCCATGCTCTTTCAGAAATGTACAAGACTGAGGTCCCCTTATACGGCGACTTGGTCGACGTGGTGTTTGAAGCAGATACAAAGGCAGTACGCGACAGTCAAGAGGGAGGCTCAAAGGTCATCAACCCAGATGATGTTTTACCCTCTCGACACCGAGTTGAGCGACACGGAGCCATCCGACTGGGAACAGCACACGAGCTGAGTACGATACGGCGCATGTTTGCCGTGATGGGAATGTACCCGGTGGGTTATTATGATCTAAGTCTTGCTGGCTTCCCAATGCATGCTACTGCTTTCCGACCGAACACTCAAGACGCCCTCTCTCAACATCCTTTCCGTGTTTTCACGACCGTCTTGCGGGTGGAGTTGTTGACGGAAAAGACGCGGGAGTTGGCTCAACGGGCGTTGGAACGAAGAGACATTTTCACTCCGAGACTTCTTGAGATTTTGGATGTGGTTGATAAGAATGGAACGTTGACACCAGAAGAATGTGCCGAATTTATCAAGAATGGATTGGAGACGTTCCGGTGGCATTCGAAAGCGACGGTCACTCTCGATGAGTACATGCTGCTCAAGGCTGAACATCCATTGATCGCCGATGTCGTCTCCTTCCCCAGTTCACACATCAACCATCTCACTCCGCGGACAATCGATATCGATTTGGTTCAGCAGCTGATGTTGGACCATGGCATGCCCGCCAAAGAGCGTATCGAAGGTCCACCGAAACGACAGTGTCCGATTCTTCTGCGACAGACAAGTTTCAAAGCCTTGGAAGAAACAGTTTTCTTCCAAGACACATCCGACACGTTTGTAAAAGGATCTCATACCGCCCGATTTGGGGAGGTGGAACAACGCGGCTACGCATTGACCCGCAAGGGACGACAGCTCTACGATCAGATCTTGGACCGAGTGAATGCAGAGGCCGAAAAGTTGAAGCTCAAGGGCAATGACTATGAGCAACTTCTGCAAGACCACTTCAAAGTCTTCCCGGATACCTTGTCAGAGCTACGCGAGCAGAACTTGGCATACTTCTGCTATCAGTTGACATCGGCCGGTGAGAAGGTGGCAAGGGATGACATGTCTATCTCTGAGCTTGGAACTACCGTGGTCCATCTCCAAACTCTATTGGACAAGAACATTCTAAAATACGAACCCTTGACCTATGAGGACTTCTTGCCGTTGTCGGCAGGTGGTATTTTCAACTCCAACCTGGGCAACGTCTCTCAGTCTAAGCAGCTCATTATGAGCGCAGAGCCTGATCTTGATGGATTCCAGCGCTCGTTGGGGACTCTCATTGCAGATGAATTCCATCTCTATGCTCAGATGCAGCAGGAGTCACTCCTGCATTGCAAGCAGCATTTGGGATTGGAGGATATCGTCGTGTAGTGAACATCATGCCATAACGGTTTTAGACTCATCACATAATAATGAGACCCAAAGTATGTGACGGCATTTAATGATTTTAGCGTGATTATTTTCTAATAATATTGATCATGAATTTCCAAACCTTTCTCTGCGTTCTCCGTCTATTGACCAGTTTTGGTAAACATGGGGAGAGGACAGACATCTTCCCGTCGCTTCATGAAGGATTGTATGATGTACGTGGAGTAATGATTCATTGACTAGGTCTAGGTATACTTGGGTGTTCTTGGATGAAGATTAATCCTTCACGATGTATTGTCACATTCCTATTTGGGACTTTGTGTTCATAGGACCCGTCATTAAAAATAAGTTGTAGAATCTTGGGTGTAAGGCAGACAGCCCATAATGACCATTTCCGGCATAGGCCGAGTACCGTATCGGAAGGTGCCGATCTACCTACTCACGGACGCCGCCTAGAGTAGATCTTGGAAGCTGTCAGCCTTACTAAAAGTCTGTGCTTTCAAATCCCCTATACAGCCCTCATTTCCAGCAAAATCCTAATCGGAGACTCCCGAATTTCTAATCCCCGAATACACTGAACGGGAACCGTGGCGAAAGATGCCGTATTAAGCGATCATCGACTTTCGGCCGGACCGTGCCAAGCCACCCGATGGCGCCGATGCGGGGCGGCAAGCCGAACACTAATTACCCATTCGGGCCCAACGCTCGGCGGCCGAATCTACGCCATGAGGAAATCCGGCGCTTAACAATGTGGCTGATAGATGCCAAGTCCGATCTATCCAGAGGTTTTTTATGGTTCATCTGAGATTTCAAAATAAATAGTATATAGAGACAATGGCCCACAACATCGGCACTACTGTCCACGTCTCCACTCCATTGCGTCGGATAGTGAAGGTCGGTCTGCATGGAGTCTACGCAGCCTTTACCACATGATAACATCTCCTGGCATATTTGGGTGGGGACAACTACTACTGTATTCCCTGCTAGCCTAGTTGTGGCATTACGCTTTACTGCCCGATATGTCTCCCGCGCTGGATTCTGGTGGGATGACTACACCATTTTGATAGCCCTGGTAGGTACTTGGACTCCATATCAATTGGTGGAGGAAATGAACTATAGTTGACATTTAAAAGGGTTTCAACTTGGCTTTGGTAGCGGTGAAATGGACCCAGATCGTGCTATGGGGCTCTGGTCAGCACGTTTATGATCTTCCAGTGGAAACAGTGCAGAACTTCAAGAAGAGCTTTATGGCCATAGAAATCCTCTACTTCACCAATGCTGTTTCATAAAGACTTCATTGCTGCTCCTCTATTAACGAATCTTCCGTATCATCATATCATCAGGGGCTTTCGCTGGGCTCTGGGGGTAACTGGGAGCCTCGTTATCGCATACTACATCGCATGCGTCGTCACATCTATTGCTGGGTGCTCGCCGGTGAGAAAATTCTGGGATCCCTCTGTTCCGGGAAAGTGAATCAGCCAAGTGAACTTCTTCCGATACAACGGTGTTGGCAATATGTTTCTTGATGTTCTGATCCTTTGTCTTCCGTATCCGATAGCCTGGCGGTTGCAAACAACAGCGCGCCAAAAATTTATCCTCACCGGCATGTTCCTTCTTGGAGGCTTGTAAGTTGATCCTCCGTTACTTCAACTTATCTAAACTAACAGCTAATGAAAACCAGTGTCGTTGTTTTCTCAATCCTTCGAATCACAAGCTTCAACTTTCCTAATCTTGAGGACCAGTCCTACGTCGCTACCGACTCGTCGACATGGTCCTCCATCGAACAGTCAGTCGGTATCATCTGCGCCTGCCTACCTACTCTCCGTCCTCTTTTCAGGGCATGGTGTGGCAGCTCGAAGATGGACAGCACTGCTTCCAATTTCCCAAAAAGACTACCACTGTCTGGCCGCTTGTCACAACGTGATGAAGAGGGCGGAGTGGTCTCGCCAGTGTCTCCGGTCCCATTAGCGTGCTTGCGTGGGCATTCTTCTCACGAGATGGGGCTCCTTGAACACCAAGATCGCGACTCATTGACACCCATGCCTCCAATGAGTCCCACGAGTCCTCTTTCTCGGATGTTTGAACGTAGTGAACACGAGCGGCTTATGCCTCGACCTGAATCATTTGCATAAACATGGTTCCTTGGATCACAGTATTATTATTATTATTATTATTATTATTATTATTATTATTATGATACCCCATCTAGTTAAAAGAATTATTTTATTTATTTCAAACTTAGGGTCTCCAGGCAAACGATTCAAGGAATGTCTTCTTCATTGATAGCAAACTTCATCTAAACGAGGAAATCCACGATCGGGTCACGCGGTTATCGATTTCAATCCGTTGACGGGTGATGCACTCATAATTCTACAAAATAGCTTGTTCCGCGGCCTCCAGGCACTCCACTTTCCTGCAATTCTCCGTCAACCATCCATGCGAACAGTATGTTTCTTTAACACTTTCCAGCTTCTCCTCTGAAATATGGGAGCCTCACTTGATCTCTCTGTCATTGCAGGCGAACTTGAGTCCGAATTAGTGTAGAAAAATTTTGAATGATAATGATAGAATACAATGCACATAAAGATCAGCCAAAATCCATCTATCTGTACAAAATATGCTGCAAAGAGACCAATGCATCACATCTCGGTATGACTGCCACCGCGACAGCCAACAGACCGAGAAATTCTCCCCTATATCCGAAAAACCTAATCATATCATGACTTGGCCTCGATTTTTGTGGCTTCTTCAGTATCCTCAACCACCACGGCACCCTCCTGCAACAACTCCTCCGGAGTCTTGATTCGCACATCCATCACCCGCATAATCGTATACCGGTGCTTACTCTTAGCCGTCTTGGTGTGTCGCTGTCTCCGCTTCGTCTTCTCCTTGATGCGCAAAGGCTCGGATTCAACACCGGTCACGCGCACCCGGCACTCGAAAATCCGCTCGTCGACATGCGGCGAGCCTTTCAATGTGAAGTCGCGCGAACCAAGCGCCGAGGCTCGGTTAAATCGCAGGATATCGCCGGTCTTGACCTTGGGCATGAGGAAAGGCAGGCGGATGTGGTCACCCTCGGTTAAGAGGTAAGGACGGGCGTGCAGCTCGGCAACAACGTAGTGTGGCGATTGGCCGACGAGATGCGGGAGGCGGGACATGAGGGACTGAGTAACCTTGAGGGGGGAGTCAAAGGTTGGTGCAACGGGTTGTTTCTCAATTGGAACATCTCGACGTGTTTGGGGGATGATGAATGTGGTTGTCGGGTCGGACGAAGGAACCTTGATGCCCTCGTAAGCATCAGGTTGGGAGGTTTGCGCTCGAGGTGTGGCGCTCAGCGGCGTGTCAGGATTAGGGGTCGAGGACTGAGACGAGGGCTCTTGTTGCGATGCCCGGAGCAACGCGGTCTGGTACAAGCAAGCTCGCTGCGGAAGGGGAGCTGCGGAGGAATATGTTGCGGTGCATCTCAAGTCGGAGGCTAGGCTCCGTAGGACGGAGCGTGAGAACATCTTGGCTGAAGTCTCCCCGTTTCTCTGAACGAATTGCGGGAGAAGTTGGGTTTGGCTGTCGAAATGCAAGAGCGGTTCTCCGTTTGGTCGAGAAAATCAGCGACTGCGCTTGTGGCCGCTCCAGCAACCGTACGGTCACGTGGCTGTATACTGATTGAAGGCTCTCTTTCGAGATTTGCAAGGCAGGAAAGAGTATTTGTTTAGATTGTAGAATCAAAATCAATTCCAGTATTCTAGTATTTAAATTGATGTAGAAGCCAACTATTGCTTTTTTTTAACAAAGAAAAATCAGACTCATGCGGAAAAGTATTTGCAGAAATCGACCTCGTTGATAAGACGGTCACGTGGACGCTATCTTTGCCGGAGAAACAACTTTTTCGGCGACGATAGATCTTGCAGCAAACCCAACAACTATCATCCCACAAGCAGTGCTTATTCTGCGTTCACCATGGTACGTCCTGAGATCATACACTACAGTATCTCTCTTCGTCGCACAGAAACTAACAAAATTCTCGCCTACAGCCTCAGAACGAGTTCGTCCCTCCCCGCCAAGTACCCCGATAACCAAAAATCCCCAAAACTGACCCCAACCAGGTATATCGAGCGCTGGCAAAAGCAGCATGGAAAACGGCTGGATCACGATGAGCGGGTGCGCAAGCGTCAGGCTCGTGAATCCCACAAGGCCTCGTACGATGCGCAGAACCTGCGTGGTCTGAGGGCCAAGCTGTACCAGCAGAAGCGCCACAAGGAGAAGATTCAGATGAAGAAGCGCATCAAGGAGCAGGAGGAGAAGAACGTCAAGTCCGCCGCTCCCGACGAGCCCTCCAAGACCCCTCTGCCCCAGTACCTGCTTGACCGTTCCCAGGCCACCAACGCCAAGGCCTTGTCGAGTGCTATTAAGGACAAGCGTGCTGAGAAGGCGGCTAAGTTCGCTGTGCCCCTGCCCAAGGTGAAGGGTATCAGTGAGGAGGAGATGTTCAAGGTTGTCAACACCGGAAAGAAGACCCACAAGAAGTCCTGGAAACGCATGATCACCAAGCCTACTTTCGTTGGTAACGATTTCACTCGTCGGCCCGTCAAGTACGAGCGATTCATCCGTCCCATGGGTCTGCGTTACAAGAAGGCCAACGTTACTCAGTATGTTTACTCCAATTCTGTCACTCTAGCGAGTGGAGTGTCTTTGAAGATGATTTCTGTTGCAAAGAGATATGTGCTAACAGCGAGCCCTTCAGCCCCGAACTCGGTGTCACTGTTCAACTCCCCATTCTCTCCGTCAAGAAGAACCCCCAGAACCCCCTGTACACTCAGCTGGGTGTCCTGACCAAGGGTACCATCGTCGAAGTCAACGTCTCCGAGCTTGGTCTCGTCACCACGAGCGGTAAGGTTGTCTGGGGTAAATGGGCCCAGATTACCAACGTGTAAGTCGCACCGCCGTCACATTCTTACAACGATTCTAACGATATTGCAGGCCTGAGAACGACGGCTGTGTCAACGCAGTTCTCCTCGTCTAGATTCGTCCGGCATTCTTTCGATTCACACTCTTGGCAGACTCGTCTGTCTTCGATACCACTACGCCCCCAGGCATTACTGTGATTTGACTTGTTCCATGGTTCATATGGTTGATATAGACCACGCTATTTCTCTCGGTGTTTGGCGCAGTGTTTTTAATATCTGGTCTTTGGACGAAAAAAGTATCTTGCATACTTCTCCCTTCTGGGGATGTAGTTAGCTAAACGCATATCAACAATGATTTCATGATGAAAAGCGTACTTTTACTGCAAGAAATGCCGTTCTGAAATTATAGAATACCTCATTGAATGCGTACTGAGAAATTCTGGATACCGGTATATCAAGAGGAGTTCAGAAGAAAAAGTTGTTTAATTAAACAAGGTTGCCAAATTCGGTTTCGAAAGGAAAACTCCACGAACCCCAATGCTTCGCACAACGTAATGCAAGCGGAAGAAAAGAATGAATTCATATACAAAAAATGAAGATTCACATGCTGCGCTGAAACGAAAACTCGAACAACCAAGTCAATTACACCGTCAGGGTGGTGCACAAGGGCATGCATGGAACATGAATAGAAAGAAGTAGGTGGTCAGAATATTAGACAATCAACCACGGGTCAAGTCTAGGAAGGAAAAAAGGAAACCATCCAACACCGGTCATTAAGTCGTTTGAACAAGGAAAGGCAGGCTGATATGGGGACAAAGGAAATGAAACGACCGGACAGGGTATCAGGAATTTTCTTCTTCCAGAGCTGATTTGATTTTGGCAAAGAAGCCCGCAGGCCATGCAGCGAGTTCTTCTTCCTTGGGGATGCCGCGGACTTTACAGTGGTTGACGACGTTGGCAAGAATACGACCGAGCATGTCCTGGGTGACGGGGACGGCTCCTTCGAGCTGAGCGTCGGGGTGCAGGAATGGATCCCGCGGGCCGAGCATTTCCTCAATGGTCGGTCGGAGGGTTTGGTCGCGCTGCAGGCAGCGTTTGAGGGTTTTGATCAGCCCAGGAGGTACGGGAACACCACCAACACCGTGAGATGGGAAGTCGATTTGTACACGAGGGTTGGGGATTGCCATGATACGCTCGTAGTATTTGGCAATCTTGGCGAATGGAGGCTGTCCATATACCATTTTGTACAAAATGCAGCCCAAACTCCAGACATCGCTGGGCTTGCCCAGTTTCATCACCTTGCCAACGCTTGCCGGCAGTCCAAGTGATGCATTCGAGTCGACCAAGGCTTCGGGAGACATGTAATTCGGTGTGCCAACCTGTTGTTCTCGGTGGACGTTAACGGTGTTGTCTTGGATGGCGTTGGCAATGCCGAAATCAATCAACTTTAACCGTCCTTGAACCAAGAGGAAGTTGGCAGGTTTCAAATCGGAGTGAACGATGTTGTAATGGTGAACAGCTTGGACACACTCCAGCATCTCCTTCCAGTAGTAGCGAGTGAAATTGATATCGAGAATGGCGTCTTCGGCGTTGAGTCGATAGGTGAGAATTTTCTCCAGATCAGATTCACCAATCTCCATCAACACACTAAGAGAATGCTTGTCCGAATTGAGCTCCCAATCGAACAAACGCACGACTCGGTCAACATTCTCAAGCTTCTTCAATAGATCGATTTCGCCCTTGTATCCGGTCAAAGTCACCGGATCGACATCTTCCAAATTCACGCGCTTGAGCGCGAAGATCTTGTAATTCTCAGCCATCACACGATACACTCGAGAGCTACCACCGCGGCCAATGCAGTCAAGCCGGGTGAAGTGCTTGTGGTTGATGGAGACTTGAGTCCGTTTCTTCCGAGATTGAGACGCGCCACCTGTGGCTGTGGCAGTTTCAAGCATAGACATCTTCGGGGGTGGAGGTGCCGGTCGATGAGGCGTATTATTACTCCGCTGAGCAAGAATCTTGCGAGGGGAGTTTCCTGCTGGTGTCTCTGCAGGATCCTTCTTGTCAGTGTCGTAAGCGACAGAGAACTTTTCCGGCTTGTCCAACAGATTCAAGCCTTGGGGCTTGGCCCGCTTGAAAGTCGGCGGCGGTTCATTTTCTTGGTCCCTACCAGATGGCAGAGGCGGTAATGAAGGAACCTTGAATGCGGGCTGTTCCCTTGCACCAGATGATCTTGCAGAGTTCTCTGAGGACGCAGGTGTCGACTTGGATTGAGACCCATAAAATTTGGGCGACGATGATCTTGAAAATACACCCTCGCTAGGGGCCATGCTTGCCGGTTGATCTGAGCGACGCTGCTCGGTTTCATGCGGAGGGCTAGGATCTGCCCAGGAAACTTTGGGTGATGATGGCTTCCGGGATCGATATTCAGCATGATCATATTCCTCATGCTCTCTAGCATCTTCATTCAGCGGATAGTTGCCTTCGTTGTTTTCTTCACTCTGCCGGCGCAGTACGCCTCTGCGAGCAGGTCCATTCAGGAACGAACCGGTGAGTCTTCCGACCCTCTTCACTCGCAGAGAGCTCTGAGGGCCAATGTCGTCTCCGTTGCGACCGCGCAAAACAGAGGAAGAACCGACCCGAGATACGGGGTCATCTTCGAGGCGCGATTTCCGATCACTATCAGACCGATCGGCACTTCCATACTCATCGCCTGAATGCCGTTCCGTAGAACGTTTCACGGATGGCGATACGGAACCTGGGGAACGCGTACCACTACGCGAGGCATTGATCCGAACACTCCGAGGTCGTGGAGCAGGAGTAATGAAATCACTTGGACGGTCCTGCGCCTCGGACTCGGCACTTTGGCTGTTTGATAGTGGGGATCCCTCACGAGAGAATCTCGAAGCAGAAGAGATCGCGCCGATGCGAACAACCCTTGGAGCAGGGCTACCCATCGAGCGATCATGGGGCGACGTATTTCGTGGCGATTGACTTTGTTGTCTTGAATTGGCGGCCGACCGTCGCTCATATGAAGCGGCTCTTCGGCTCGGCGAAGAACCCAATCCGTCTCCATCCAAAAGAGCCTTCACCGACGCGCTGAACTTGGGTTCGGGAACCTCTTCATCTGAGCTGTCGCCGGCTGAGTAGTGTCGCGATATCAATGTTTTGGGTTCTGCGTGGAGCGCCGGAGACGCCCGTCTGGAACCCGAACGTGAAACCGCGGATCGGGACATGGGTCGGGACGATTGTTGATAAAGGCCGCTGTCGTATGCTGCAGAGAGGGAATTCGGCGAGGCCATGGCGACAGCACCCTACATTGAAGTCGTGGATCAATGGGGCGCCTGGCCAAAGGTAGTCGACTGTTTGTTGTTCTCAGTAGGGGAAGGTTCATCTATCTCGAGGTTCCATCGCGACTTGGGCGGGTCTAGAGTGACACGTGATAAGGGTTGCTATGGATACGACCACAACAAAGAATGCCTCGTTGGACGTGTATCGGTGATCGCTGTTCTTTTTGCAGTGGGTGGACTTTGGAGGTGGCTATCTACCAATCTTGAGAGGGCTGGAGCAGTGTCTGCTCCGGTATCCATGATTCTCTCAACATTTGAGCTCGTTCGACCTTCGGGCGCGTTGACACAATCCGAATACTATGAATACTACTCTTATTCTCCACTTCATTACGCATGAAAAATTCCACCATTTATATAATTGTAAAACCAGTATATCCAAGGTTGGTCTTACTTATGATGTAATAACGTTGGATGTGGTGAGATCGGGAGTGTAGTTCGATATATATGTATCGGCGGGCACTTGTGATGGAAATTTAAAGACCACAACACTTATAATCATCCAACACCCTAACAACATCCTCATTCAACTCCGACGGTGCAAAAGCAGACGACCTATTCTTCTTTGTCAAGTCGAAATCAGCCTGCACCCGACCGGTAGAAAGCAAAAGCTCAACTGCCTCGACATGCCCCCTCTCAGTTATTGCATTTACTATGGTGTTTTGAGGTGGCCCATTCGCTTACCGATTACGTTATAACTAAAATATTGTTTAATAATATAAAAAACGTAGCTAATGTTAATGCATAGTAAATTATCTAGTGATAACTTCAAATTTCCCAAGGTTACACGGAGAAACAAAGGTGATGACTGGACGTAGAATCCATAGATGCAAAGAAGATGGATACCTACAGAGCCGAAGGCGGAAACAAGATCTAGACTCTCCCACTCCCACACTTCACTATGCAGGGTTGCCCCTGCACACAAGGCCCCGGGAGGAAAACAATTTCCAGCACTTGAGCGTGGCGCAGGCACACGAAATCCATTGGCCGGGTTTTGCACTGCTGCATCGGCTCCCAACTCCAAGAATGAGACCTCTCCGCGCGTCACGCGCATGTGAGGCCTCGGATTGCGCCTGGAGAGTTTTTTCTTACTTATTCTCCGTAATCTCCCATGTGCGAATGCGATGCAATGCATCGATCTAGCATCGATTCAGACGGGTCACGAAGACGTCAACCATAATCCCATGTGATAATCTTACATGCTCGGCGGCGAAATCGACGAAACGAACTAGCCGAGCCGGACCGTCCCATCTCGCTTAGAACAGGATCGGTCTCTGACCTACGGAGCACACTCTCCGTCTGCATGTACAAGGTTTGAAATGGTGGCAAGATTAGGGGACTTCTCCAAAAGGACATTCTCCGATTGTGACTCTACTCGGAGGTTGGAAGAGTTTACCGAGGTGGTAGCGGTGTGATTTGGAATGTAACGAAGAGACAAGTAAACGAAGTCAAACTGAATTAAACCCACTATCCGGGACTACCGAATCGATAGAGCAAAATCAAGCCCCTCGAGTCCGTCAGTCATGATGGGGTTACCTGAACGAGCTCGGGTACCCGCTGGCGAAAAACAAGCTGCGAGAGAGACGACGGGCTGCAGCTAAGAGGTTCGCACAGGCCGCACCTGTCCCACTGGGGCCTGTTTGGAACTGGACTCATCGCAATCCAGCCTTGACCCAAGGAGGCAAATTCGGATGAATAAAGTCCCCCTCAGGTTGTCGTGCGAGATCAGGGTTTGCCTCGACCGCAAACTCATCATCGACATCGAGTGAAACAAGCGCACACAGACGACATTCTATCTCACACTCATCTCGTCGCACCATGGATCTGAACCTAAAAACTGTTATTTTGGGAGGTGTGGATTATGCTGAAACCGCGATCGCCTCAGGATCTCCCCCCGAGTTCTCTCTTCCAGGGCAGCGCAAACGAACTGGTTCCTGACCCGAAGTGTTCCCGGGCGCGTGAGGCTTTGCGCTAGTTTCAGTTGGACACAGTAGTCTGTGGAGCTGGCCGAAAAGAAGCTTAACCCGGCCAACCAAAGGAGTCGCCCAGAGTGGTTAGTATACCGGATTGTTTTCACACTACGCCGAATGCCGTTTGGTTGATAAAACCCCACGCTGAGGCTGGGCGTGGTCCCTTGACCAATGCAAGCTTCACGGCGAGTTTAGTGCGTCCAAGGCCCATCCCAAGAGGAGGGAGACTACTAGTCAAACACTCGCCTGACACGCCGAGCCATGGGTCGCTCTTCTGCAAGACTGACTGCAACACCGAGCACCTTAAAAGTGGAGTTCTTTCGACGTGCACCTGCGTGAGAGACTTGACTATCGTTGAGAGGTCGACTGGTGGCGTCCTCTAGTTGCAGCTTCTTCCCCGGAGACCTACCCTGGAAGTAGGTCTAGAGTCCGGACCCGGGGATACTTTTCAGACCAGTCCAGCAGCGCTACAGTCCCGAGTCTTGCCGTCAACCTGGTCACTAGAGATTCTGCCGCACCTGCATGAAGTGTATTGGGGATCGCTATGGAGTACATCGTTGGCAAGAAAAAAAAATCTGCAGGTTTGGTTCCGTGGTCCTCGACGACTTCTTGATACACGCTACTCCGTACCGGCAAAAAGTTCCAAGTCCGTGCTTCCGTAGAGTTCGTGCCGAAGATCCAAAATTCAGACCTGCCAAGTAACCTCAAAAACTCAATGGTGCCACCTCCGTATTTCGACATGTTCCTTTCAGAGACATTCCGAAGGAGACTGCATCCAAGCTAATCTCGAAAGCGTAAAGCGCATTGCTTACTGCATGTGTGCCTGGCCCACCCGTGCACGATTGCCCGGGGCCAGGTGTATATGGGGCCGGTTCTCAACGAGTGAGTGACGCCGTAGTAAGTTGCCCTCCGAAAAGTTCTCAGGACACAGGGGCAAACAAGCCGGACTGTTCTGCGCAGTACTTGAAACAAGACCAAAAAAGGGGAATTTAAAAATAGGGTCGCTAACAGTGTTCTCGGGACAAGACCCGTCAACGGCCTTGTGGGTCCGGGCGATCGTTACCCCTGGATTTACAAGAACTCGCCTGGGCACAGTGGGTGATGACCGCATGTCGCCCAAGCGATCCTCGCGCTGATTTCCTGCTTCAGCTCTAGTCGTTCGGCCCTGTTCGGTACTCGTGCCTTCTTGACACTCTCGAGTTTGACCGTTATGCCGCGGCATCGATATCAACGCAGGCGACCTTTAATTCCAACATCGATCCGTTGGAAACCCTAGACCCCAAGTCGGTATAAAAACCTGCGATCCGACGCCTTCTCTACCTCGCCACGCAGGACGGCACGAGGTGGACGTTTCCACACATGCTGTAACCAGCTGGTGGAGTCGCGCTAGCAGCCCTGATCCACTTCGGCCCTGGAGGTCTCTCCCGATATCCGAGAGTCAAAGGGGCAGATAGCTCGAAATGTGGACTGGGAGTGGACTGAGATGAGAGGCTTCGAGACCGGGGTATGCATCTGGTCCGATGGGTCTTCCAAGGTTGCCGGGCTTTGCGCCCAGCCTGCGTTTTGTTCGAAGATGATCATCAGGGGTATATAACCTTAGGCGTTCTGCGTGCTGCTCGTTTACTTCATCAGTCGTTTTTCTTATCCTCCTCCCTCCTTCACCAGTCTATCGTTAATTAGGTCGACGGCATTGTGCCTGTCTTCTTTCGCTCTTTCTTTTCTTGCTTTAGAAGAACGCCTCTTTTTGTACACATACTTTGATAGCCTCCGTGCTACACACATTCGTTGAACATGCGTTCTTCCATCGTTATGCTTGCCGGTCTGGCAAGCACCGCTCTCGCTTACCCTACAGACGTGGCCCCCGAACGCCGGACTTTCGGGCCCGCCCTTGCACTTTTGGGAGAGGCTGTTCCCGAGGTTGTTAATATTATCGAGAGCGTCCTCGGTGGTCATTCCTCGGCCCATGCCAGTAGCCAGTCCTCGGCCCACGCCAGTGTCAGCGTTCTCGCCGGTCTGAACGCCCACGCTGCTGCTGCCCTCGAGGGTGGTGCTTTCGGATGCAAATCCAGTGTCATCCACGGCACTGCTCGCAAGCAGCTCAAGGCTTGGTTGTCCGTCAACGTCGACTTCGACCCCTCCCTCAAGACCTCTATCATCTCCTGGTGTGATGGTGAGGTCGACGTCCTTTCGACCGATGTCATTGCCGCCCTGGGTGTCTTCATTCCCACCTGCGCTGAAGTCGCCGCCAAGGAGGCTATCTATGTCACCATCGACGGTATCTTCGACGCTACCGAGCTCGCCTCCGACTTGGTCCTGAGTGTTTCCGCTCAGGTTTCCCTCTCCGCGTGGATCGAGGCTGCGGTTGACCTCGCTGTTGAGGTCAAGGCCGGTCTCAGCGTCTGCGCTGGTGGCGGCCTCATTTCCAGCGTGTCCGCTGACGTCAAGGTCGCCCTGCTCGCCTGGATCACCGGCGGTAACTGCCCCCTCGAGGCCGGTCTCAAGGCTTCCGTTCTTGCTTGGATTCGCGGCCACGCAGGTGGTGACCTCGTTGCTATCGGGGAAATCGGTGCCGATGCCCTGAAGTCCATCTCCATTGGTGCCTCCGTCGGTGCTTTCGTTGGTGAGGCTGGTGCTCTCACCGTCCACGCCCAGGCCATGCTTGCTGCTTTCCTCGATAGCAAGATCGCCGTCGACATTGAGGCTGATGTCCTTCTCGGCCTCACGTCTTGCGCCAAGGGCGAGCTCGCCGCGTCTGTCGATATTGAGATTCGCAAATCTCTCTCCGTCTGGCTCTCCGGCTCCAACTGCTCTCTCGGTGTTGAGCTCAAGGCTGTTGTCCTCCTCTGGCTGTCCCTGGGTGCCTCCGTTGATGTCTCCGTCGACCTGGTCTCTGGCCTCGGTATTGACATTCGTGACTTCCTGTCCGTGAGTATCACTGATATCCTCTCCGTGAACCTGCGGGCTGCTCTGTCTATCCTCGCCGCTGGTGAGAGCCTGGAGCTGCTATGCTTCGACGCCCGTGCCGAGCTTGCTGCCTTCCTCTCCGGCTGCACTTCTATCGACATTAGCATCAACATCGAGCTCATCATCTTCGAGTGGTTCACTGGCTGCAGCATGCCCGGTGCCCCCGCTCCTTCCAGCTCCGTTCCCAGCTTGCCTTCTTCCACCGGTGCCATGTCCAGCATCCCCATGACCTCCGGCCCTGCGCCTACTGGCTCTGCCTCCGTCTCTATCCCCGCTGGCTCTACCCCCGGTGGCTCCATCCCTACTGGCTCGGTTCCCGCTGGCTCTACCCCCGGTGGCTCCGTCCCTACTGGCTCGGTTCCCGCTGGCTCTACCCCCGGTGGCTCCGTCCCTACTGGCTCGGTTCCCGCTGGCTCTGTCCCCGGTGGCTCCATTCCCACTGGCTCTGTTCCCGCTGCTGCCACCACCCCCTGTGACACCGAGACCAGCGTCTGGGTGACCTCCACCGTCATCTCTGGCACTCCCTCTCCCATCACCATCACCGGCTCTGTCCCTGTCCCCACTGGCTCTGTTCCCGCTGCTGCCACCACCCCCTGTGACACCGAGACCAGCGTCTGGGTGACCTCCACCGTCATCTCTGGCACTCCCTCTCCCATCACCATCACCGGCTCTGTCCCCGTCCCCACTGGCACCTCCCCCGCGGAGACCACCCCCTGTGAGACCGAGACCAGCACCTGGGTGACCTCCACTGTCATTTCGGGCTACACCAGCGTTGTCACCGTCACCGGCGTGGTTCCCGCTCCTACTGGATCTGCTCCCTCCGGCACCGTCCCTGCTGGCGGCTCAGTTCCCTCTGGCTCCTCGCCCGTCGAGTCCGAGACCCCCTGTGACACCGCGACCCCCACTGTTGTCCCCGGTGGCTCCGGCAGCACTGGCTCCGAGACCAGCTCCGTCGCCGTCCCCCCCGCTATGACCAGCGCCCCTGCTGGCCCCGCCGGTGGCTCTGGCTCCGACGTCGAGACCGTTACTGTCACCGCAACTGCCACCGTCTGCGGCTGCGAGTAAGCGGCAGTAAGCGACTTTAAAACACATTCCCTGCAATATACACCGTTTCTATTTTTGTTTTGCCTTTTTTCTCATGACAAGATGACCTTCAACCCCATGGAATGGTGTGGCCTGTAGATCTTCCATGTCTCTCGAGGCTTCAGGTCGTCCTACCCTACCCCGGTGATCTGTGAGCTGTTTGCTCGCCTCTGTCCTGTCTGTAGATATCTAATTCTAATTCTAATCTGTCAGTCCCCTATGGATTTGAGCGGTTATGGCATTGGACCACTTGTTATACTATGAAGATCTCACGTTGCCTTCATTCCCTTCAATGGAGTACATTCCTTACCTTTCTGTCCATTGAACTGTTCTGTACTTCTCGTCCATATATTTTTAATGACTGTCTTGTTATTCCTGAGAGCGGAAAAGAAGATGTGTAGTGCTCACACGCTTAAATTGCTAACACGCTAGTTGTACATTTCCATAATTTTCCCATGCCCATCACATATGTCTTCATGTTGCACCTCTACAACCACCGGCGTTTATGACTGGTCAGTAGAAGTGGCACCAACCTGATTACTAGAGAAACGACGCATCGCAACTAGCTGTTCACGAAATGAAATTTCCTGCAACTCCTTTAAAAAAAGATCCTGACTGGAGGCTTCGTTGCTGTGGCGTATATTAGGATCGAGTCTATCAAGACAAATAAAGGATCTGGGAAACGAACATAAGATTAGTGACCAACATCACTGGCATCCTCCATCTTTTCATCTAGGTTGACGGATTTCTCGCTAGAAAGATTTTCGGGTCGTGCGGAGACCCCGTCTTGATCAGCCAACTTCTGTCGTCTTTCAGGGCCAGTTATGGAAGAGTCTCGCCGTCCATGACTAGAAGGATTCCAGCTGTCCGACGAGCGCCGTCGCCGCTCCTTCCTGGGACTCCTGCTGCGACGATGATAGTCGCGAGAACGACTGCGGCTCAAACGGCCATGTCCATGACGCTTGTGGTTTCTCCGACCCCTGTCACGGGAGTGGGATCGAGAGCGTGAAGGTGATCTAGAACGAGAAGAGTATCTTCTACGCCGGGCGTGTCGAGATGGAGGGGTCACGCTGCGGGAGACGGAACGCGGTCTGCTTCGGTCTCGTCTGGGAGTACGTGAGCGTGGTGATTCACTGCGGGAATTGGATCGGTTGCGATCACCGTGGTCCGGGGTGCGTCTCTTCTCTTCTCTGCGGCTTCGTCGAACGGGGGACCTGGATCTGTGGCGGTCTTGACGGGATCGGCGAGGAGGGGAGCGGGAGCGCTCTGGAGAGCGCGAGTAGGAGGGGGACCGGGTTGGTCGACGACCTCTGTGAGAGCTAGATGGGACGTAAGAATCGAAGTCGCGGCGAGATGGGGGTTCACGGAATCGATCACGGCTTCGGTTGCGGGGCGGCGGAGATCGTGAGAAGTCTCGTCGGCCAAAATCACGGCCTCCACGACCACCACCCCGTCTACCTGATCCGCGATCTGCACGCTCTCTTCTTCTCAGATCCTCAATTTCGCGTTCGCGGGCTCGCTCTTGCTCTTTCTGCTTGCGACTAGCCTCGGCGGCCTTTTCAGCTTCGATCTGTACACCCAACAAGTCAGTAGAGCTTGGCGGTCAGTTATTGGACGTGGCTCGCCTTCTCTTGGATGAGCTCAAGCTTCTTGGCCTCCAGAAGCTCCTTTGGAACACCCTGTGGATTCTCTTGACCGCTCAGCAATAGGGACCAGAGTTCTTTGCAGAACTTGGAGGTATCTTTGTCCAGAAAACCGGTGAGCTGAATTTGAAGCGCTTTCACATCGGGCTGATCGTCAGAGCGCAACAAGTTAGCGGATGAACAACTAAGCTAGCAAGTGAAAGGGTCCAGGCGTCCATTGAGACATACATAACGAGAGCCTTCCAAGAGGTTGAAGCACAGTTCAATGACGATATCATCTTCATCGCCAAGGATATCAGAGATACGACTAGCAATCCATCTGTCACAGAAAGCAACCAGTCAACAAATTGTGTCGTAATCAGAATCCGGGGAAGAGACCGTACTTTTTCATCACTTCAATGTTCACCTTGGTCATGTCCACCTTCCGAGAGAATTCCGGAGGGAACTTGGTGGACTTGAGCAGCTTCTGGTCCACTGGAGTCGCCATTTTCGCCGGAGTTGGTGTGCTGGCGAGGGTGAAGGAAAAGAAGCGCGCGTGCGATGCGTTGTGGATGTGCGCGAGCGGTCAACATATACTGCATTTCTCCAAAGCGGTGAACCCATTACGCAATGGTGGCTGGTTGAATTTATACTTCGAAACAAAATACAAATCTTGGAACCTTGGAAGACTAACATACTAATTCCAAACCCGTTACTTAGGTCAAATCTATGATCGGATACATAGCCTGCAATCTTGCACGAAGCCACGCTGCGAAAGGTGCAAAGAAGTGAGCCCCCTTGTTCCCAGGCCGCTCACAAAAATCCAGCAGAGCTTGATATCTTTTATTTGCAGTGCCTTTGGTTTCATGAAGAAGCTTAGCAAGGTCTACCGGGCAGAGGTATGGTGGCTGTCTAGCATCCTCGCGAATAGATGCAGTGCCTTGCATTGAGCAGGCGTAGTAGACACAATGGCCCATGCCGAAACAGTGTCCTAGCTCGTGGACTGCAGTACGGCAGGTTCGGCCCAGCCAAAGCGCCGAGAGTTCCGGAAGCGACAAATTAGACGTTGGAAGAGATCGATAGACAGATATTGCCGCTTCCATAGGACCGAGTGGAGACGAGCTTAATTCCGAATCCTTAGTTCTTGTCTTAACAGTTTTTGGTCGTTTTGCCTTCGGGTCGAATTCGGAACAGCATTTAGAGATGTAGTCCTCGCAATGGGATGCTGGCCAGGCATGAAGTCGATTAATTTCTTCCACTTCATCCAAGGCAGGATCATATCGCGCACTTGAGACAACGCAGACCCGACTTCCGCCATACGCACGGCCACAGCCAAACTCGTCCTCTTCATCTTCGTACATATCATGGTGCATGAAGAGCTGCACCGAAAATGCGTCTTGAGGCAGCATCGCTATAACGGCATCCAGAAGATCATTGAGATTCACTTGTCCGCGAAAGACTTCATCGGGCGAGGGACGGGCACGGATACGAGTAACGCCGGTACCACATTTCAGACCCACATATCTCAGTTTGGGAGATTTGCGTGCCTTTGATGCTTTCCGGTCCTCTTCCTCCCACGTTGTGAAAGTGAACGTCGAAGGAGGGAGGAGCTTGACGGACACACCGTGGTAAAATGCTTCTAGATAATCACATACATCTTGAGGACAAGGTAGTTGAGCTCGGCTTTCTGCAGCGTGAGAACCCGGCTTGATCCACGATTGCATGAAGCCGACCTCGTCACCGATCTGAGGTGGAGGAATCACATAGATTGTCTTACGCTTCGGCGTGAGTTTATTGCGGGAAATTTCACCGAGCCACTTTTGAAAACTTTGAGTCGGATAGTCAGGATCTTCGGCCAGGTCGTCACCAGGCAGCAATAACGGAGCTGGGAAGGTCTTTGGATCGTCCGTCGCCAGGTCGGGTTTTGGTTGGTTAGATAGACATGATGACCTGGTTGCTGCAAGTCGCTGTCTACTGCTTTGTCTTCGGAAGCCGGCATTCTCGGCGTGAGGCGAAAACGTAAAAGATATGGACCGGTGGGCGCATGTACCAGACCTAGACGGCGCCATGGTGGCAGGACGCACAGCCGATTTGAGGACAATATAGCAACAAAGATAGATCCACGGTACTCTAGGTAGCTAAAGTAGCGTACTGAATGATTTTCTTCTGATTTGAACACGGCAGAAGCTTGATAAATGGGCGTGATGGGGTGTAAACAAGTCTAGTTGGGTCGGTGCGGCTCGGTGGGAAAGTCTCGGACTCCGAGGCTTGGCAGCGCAAGAGCCTCCAACTAGCGGGGAATTACTAGCGGGGAATATGTGCATGCAACATTATTCATAGTTATCTATGCTACTAGTACTTGTCCAACACGACTGTTTTTGGACTGCTAAAATTTCTCAATCCTTGGTCCTTTCCCCAGATGAAGGACAAAACGCTCTTTGCAATATAGCCACACTACTCTAAGAAGAGGATATGCCATCAAATTGGCCGAAACATAACCTTAGAATGACTCGTAGGGTATCATAATTGATTGATTAATGAAAGTAGCATCAAAATTGCCAATCTTCTATATTCCTATAGATCAAAGATGGCCCACGAACAGATAGATAGCATTCGACAATCTCCCGGTTCCCTCCACCTTTTCCAGAGTCATATGCCATTACGGTACATTCTAATGAATTGTGAGAATTAATCTGTAGCTCCGGCCCTAATCAGCAAAAATGTAGTCGAAGTGGTAAGTTAAGGCATGGGCCCTTCCTGATTAGGTCTAATGCTAAGCTGTTCCTACCCCGGGACGACACCGACTTTACGTCACTGCCGACACGAGCGGAGACTTCTCAAACTAGCAGCAAGACCATCCTACAAAGGACTTTATGCTAACTGAGATTATCGAAATGGCTACTTCAGCTGGCATCAAGACCCGATTTTTACTGATTTCCGATACACACGGACTTGATAGACTACCAGACTCCGTTCTCCGTCAACATGCAGATGTCGCGATTCACTGTGGAGATCTCACCACAGAATCCAAACTTGACGAATACAAAGCCTCAATTCGACTCCTACAAGCCGTGAACGACCCACTCAAGCTCGTGATAGCCGGAAATCATGATTTCACATTGGACATTCCAGTATTTCAAAGAAAGGTGGCAGAAGCTCAGCCACGCTTGGATCACCGACTGGTTGAAAAGACCTACGGCTACAATGGAGAAGCTAGGGGATTATTCACCGACGCGATAGGCATCACTTTTCTCGACGAAGGTACCCATCCCTTCCGCCTACGAAATGGTGCATCATTAAGCGTTTACGCCAGTCCATACACCCCATCCCTTGGCGATTGGGGCTTTCAATATCACCCAGATCAGGGTCATGAATTTTTCATTCACGACATCGATGTCGCAATAACACACGGACCACCCAAGGGAATCATGGATTACACCAATTCTGGTCAGCGGGCAGGTTGCCCGTATCTCTTCGAAGCAATCACTCGAGCCCGACCTCGGATGCATTGTTTTGGCCACATTCATGAAGCATGGGGTGCAAAGCTTGTCACTTGGCGCCATAGGATCAGCCAAAATCCTTCTCACTTGACTGATATTGATAATGAAAAGTCTGTTATAGTAGACAGACTCTCCAATGTACGGAGTTCTATGGAGTTCGCCACTACAAGCCACTGCTCCGGGGATCCAAGCAGGTTGGAATGGGGCTCTCAGACACTTTTTGTCAATGCCTCGATTGATGGTACGCAGACTCTACCGATACAACCACCGTGGCTTGTTGATATCGAGCTTCCGCCGGCAAGCAGGTTAAGCAGTGAAGCGTCGTGAAGCGTCTTCGGCTAACACTGAGTAAAACGAGGTTGGCATATTGCTCATAAACGCATGATCGAGTCAGGCCCATAATATCTCGAGCAACAAAGATTTTGAACGCAGCTCGATTTCCGACGTGAGTGGGCCGCATCCACCCGCCGGTATCAAACGAGCATGAGTCTCGAAGAATGCACAGCTTCTGGGATATAAGTACAAATAATAGGTCATATTTTTATTTTATACACACCCACAGTTAATATGGTATGTTCCAGGCCTTCGATCCGTTATCTTACGACCTCCCCAAAATGGGATCCCGATGGGTAAAGCGCCCATTGCGCTTAATCTGATCACGAAAGTCCTTCGCCCAGTGCAGATGATACGGATCTCCCAATTTAGCAAACAATTGGACCGAATGTTCCTGATCCTTCAAATCCTCCGAGTGATTGAAAGGCGAGTACATGTATCGTCTTTGGATAGCCGGAAGCCGTTCATCCCAATGCTGATCTACCGCATAGCGCGCCACGGTCACTGCCTTGAAATCCGTGGCATACGCCTGCGGTGTTCCGCGAAAGATGTTTCGAGGGACTTGATCAAGGAGCAGAATCAAAGCTAAGGCTCCTTCGCCTTCCCCATCACGCATCCATTCGTCGAGGCTGCCGTCTTTGGCTTCTTGATATGAGTCACCGAGGTTTTTGCGCACGTAGGCATCGTCTGATGGACTACCGTACCAGAATGACTTCTCTTTCAGATAATCGCCGGTCGATTTCTTTCCGAACCAGAAGTCGAGGACATTTTGATAGGTTTTAACTGGCATAGCTCGTCGCATTCCAGCTTAATTAATGATAAGGGAGTGTGAATTTAGTCTGTGAGGGAGTACCAAGGGCTGACTCAGGGAGGGAAGTGAGGTGCAAAATGTTTATTTCTGAACGAGGTCGCTGGGCGAGCCGGATGACGTCATGTGATCTTTCAACCTTTGGGACCAACCGACTATCTACTGTGGTATAGCCCGTCTCGTGTATAATAAATATCCCACAAATATATGATCGAGCATCGCGATACTCCAGTGCAAGAAAAAGTCACTTGAAAAGATTCTAGATTCATTGCCAGGCTGTTTTAATCCCTGCCGATGATCATCTCGCTCGCTCGGTCTTTCGGAATGCCGCTCGCTTTTCTAATCTCCGAGATCAATCCACTTCTACTCCTATAACTGTATGATTCAACTCTCAATCAAAATCCCTCGATCGTCAATATTTGATTACGTGCATGAGTGATTGAGCTTTTTGAAGACAGGATGTCGTCCCATATTCTCCTTCAAAACGCTACCATCCTGGTCCCATCTCATGAACCAAATGACTATGTGGTGCCGCTGCGGGGTCATTCATTGCTGATTACAAATAACGAGATCTCACAAATTGAACGAGACATCGCTCCTCCAGCTGGTGCAAAAGTCATCGACTGCACGGACAAAATCGTCTCTCCTGGTTTCATCGATACGCACCATCATCTATGGCAAACCCAATTGAAGGGGCGCCATGCCAACCACTCTCTGTTGGAATACATGCCAACCGGTCTGCCCAGTTGCCCTGGAGGATACTTGCGTAGCTAATGCATAGCCAGGAAACATGCAACATGCCAACTATGCACCCGAGGACGTGTTCTGGGGCGAGCTTGGAGGTTGTCTCGAGGCTTTGGATGCAGGTACCACGACGGTTGTGGACCATGCTCATGTGAATGTATCACCGGCTCATAGTATGTATCCCGCGGCCTTAAGTGATAAATTACTAATCTTGCTTCCAGCTTCAAATGCAGTCTAGGCGACAGTCTCTTCTAGGATTCGGTCTGTGTTTTGCTACACTCCCACTATGCGTGTGAAAACCTTCAAGCCTGATCTTACCCTGGACGGTGGCCTGTTAGATGATTGGGTAATTGATCACCTGAAGCGCCTCGGCGCTGATGCTCCTTTTGGGGACGGTCGGGTACGGCTGGGGTTCGCTTTTGATGGCTTCATGCTTCCGAAAGAGCAAGTGGTTTCTATTTATGAGGCGGCACGCAAGGCCGGTGTCAAGGTTGTCACATCTCACTATGTGAGGGGTTATTTCAGTGAGTGGAGGACCGTATGAGTACTCCAAATAATGCTAATGGTATTTTAGACGATGTTTCATTTGTTGACACCCTCGAGTCATATGGTCTTCTGGGGCCGGACATTCTTTTTTCTCATGCCACCAATCTTACGGAAAGTGACATTGCAAAGCTCACTCAAGCCAAGGCATGGATCTCTACAACACCAGGTACTGAGTTGCAAATGGGCCACGGTAACATTGTTTGTTTCCAAAAGGGCTGCACCGATATGTGTGCGTTGGGAGTTGATTGCCACAGCAACAACTCCGGCGACATGGTCTCACAGATGCGTCTTGCCCTGCAACATGAGCGATCCTGCCGCAACGAGGAGGTAATTTCTCAGGGCAAAACAACCGGGTCGCTGAATCTTTTCGTTCAAGACGTGTTCCGACTTGGCACTATACAAGGAGCGCGAGCCATCCACATGGAAGACAAGCTGGGATCGATCGAGGTTGGAAAACTTGTAGACCTTGTCATCTTTGATGGCAACAGTCCCGGCATGGTGTGTGCATCTGAGCAAGACCCGGTCGCGGCTATTGTTCTTCACTCCTCGGTTCGTGATATCGATACTGTGATTGTTGATGGACAAATCAGGAAGCACCATGGAAAGCTGTCCACAGTGCAAATTAACCCGTCCATGAGCGGTGTAACTATCGCAAAGCAGAGCGTTGAGTGGAGTCAGGTCGCCAAGGAGCTTGTTTCCAGCCGGGGAAAGATCGAAAATGCTATGGCAAACGCATGTGCTAATGAGCCTGACCTTCTGGACAAGGCTTTTAGAAAGTTTGCGCACCTGGATGAGAGCAAGTTTGTGAAGCTGTAAATTACCACCGACGCCAAATTTTTTTTTTCTTTACAACGAAACCGTTCTTCTGAAATTCGACAAGTTTCATGAAGCCCTTGCATCACTTGTTGTAGCTTTCGAGGTCATCATGACATGAATCGAAGCGTACCTCGAGTGAAAGATCACCACATAGCAGTTGCGTCTAGACTCTTGATAGGGCTCCGGTCTGAATTTTGTGAAATTGTAATGGTGCCGGGCAGTTCAAAAGGAGCCGGTCTCATTACCTCGACAGGTTGACCGACGTTGGATGACATTCGTTTCTGTTCAAACCTGTAGGCTCTTGCTCGGGTAGTATTCAATGCTCGCAGATAAAGATAAAGATTAACCTACACAAGGTTTACATGAAACTTTTTCATAATCACAGACTAGGAATACCCGATGCGACCAAGGTGCCCCTACATGTTTCGATGTCGCAGAGGTAGATTGTCCTCATACGTGACGGCCGATCCGTGGCGGCAAATAGGAGGCATTCGGAGATGCCGATTTCGATCATCTCGGGATCCGAATGATGGTTCGTCCACCACCCTCCAGATCCACTTAAAACTAAATTGAGATAGCTGGGCCAGACCTAGGGAGTCACTTCTCTTTTCTTTCGAATCTCTCGGCGTAATTACTGCAAGCTCTCATTTCAAAAATCCACAGAATTGAGTCTACCATCAAATGCTTCAACGTGACACGAAATTGGTCTTAAATACGCCGCTACAATGCTCGCGACTATAAACAGTATATGTCGCGCTTCTATCGTGAAATGGACAGATCAGCGATCGGCAGTTGAACGCTAGCTGGAAAACTAGCCGCGACTACCAAACTCTTTTTAGGGAAACACGGGCTCACGCAAGGGGGTCAGCTTTCGATTTAAGTGGAAGAAACGGGAAATAGCGTTCACGTAACCCAGCTGCCATCGGGCAAAATTGGGAACTCCACGAACCGTGTGACGCGACCGCGTGCTAACCTTCTAGCACGGTTTAAACTTGGAGATGTCCGCGGAGAAAATAGACCTTCCTGGAATTCTTCTTGCATGAGAGCCGTTCTTCTCCCTGGCCATTGACTATGACATCTCCGACTGGCAGTGTCTTGTTCCTCACGAACAGTGAACTAGGTCAATGCAATGTCGCCCTCGCAGTGGCTGAAGAGTTCCTGCGACGTGGGGATTTCAATGTACACTTTGCCTCATTCCGCGCAGCGGCACCGTTGGTTCAGGAGATGAACACCCGTACGGATACCGTTTATCCCGTGGAGTTCCATGAGATCTGGGGTCCCAATATGACCGATCTTGCTGTCCGGAGTAAGATTGGTCTTCTCTATCATCGACCAGGAATGAAGGGCGCAACGGAGGGCTTGACCAAAGTCAGCAACGCCATGTCCAGCTGGAAGTCCACGGAATATGCCAGGGCTTACCGAACCTGCCTCGAAATAATTGAGAAAGTACGTCCGGCCGTGGTTGTCATAGATCCGATTCTCCATCTTGGGTTGGATGCTTGCGAGAACATTACTGCTCGGAAAGTGATCCTTTGGCCTGTGCCCATTAAGGACGTGGTGGTTTTGGATCAACCAAAGGCTGGTGTTCTGTGGAAATATCCAGTGTAAGCTACACCGCCATATGACTTTGGAAACACCGGGACACCATCGCTTATATTCACTGCAGAACGGGTTCCGGCTATCCTTTCCCACTCCCTTGGAAACTGGTCCCTGCAAATGCCTACCTGGTTCTTCGCGTTGGGATGACCTTAGCGTGCGCTAAGTCGGCCACCGATAAACAAGACCCCGAAAAGACGGAAGAGCAACGAAGCCCCTTCCCCTTGCGAAGCGCCTATACCAAAGATGTCTTGAACCTCACCCCCGCATTCCATGAAATGGACTTCCCATTCAGAGTTCCAAACAACGTCATCAGCTGCGGGCCCATCGTTCGCCAGTGCCAGCCGCTTGCAGTAGCAGATCCGGGGTTGAACGAATGGCTCCAAAAGCCCACCATTCTCATCAGTCTGGGTTCACACGTGAAACCTTCTGAAGATGTTGCAGTGCAGATGGCAAAGGGAATTCGAAAGATGCTCTACGAGTACCCGGAAATGCGAGTCCTGTGGAAGCTTCGATATGATTGGGAAAGCTCAATGACTTTCCAAAACGTCCTTGGCGCACATATCACTGCTGGCTCAGTGCTTGTGACTCCTTGGATCCAGCCGGACATCATGTCGGTTCTGAACACTGGCCATATTGTCGCATACGTTCACCACGGTGGAGCAAACTCTTATTTCGAGGCGTGCAAGTACGTATAACCCTTAAAACTTCCCCAGACAGGTTGGCTTTCTAAGTTTTTTTTTTTTTTGATTCCAGGGTCGGCGTTCCCCAGGTCGTCCTACCCCAATGGCTCGACACCTACGACTGTGCAACACGAGTGGAATGGCTGGGAATTGGAATAAACGGAAGCCGAACCTCGGCACCTGGCGCCGATGCCATAGAATTCGCCAAAGCCCTGATCCAAGTTCTCCGCGACGCGAACATGCGACTGAAATCGAACGCCATGAAGACCCTCTGCAGTAAGACGGAGGGACGTGTGATGGCGCATGACCAGATTGTGGAATTTTGTTCGATGGAATAGTCACGCAGCACCCGATAGATATACACGATCTCTTTTCTGTTTATGACCTATGTTTTGCTGTTCCCGGTGAACGATAAAGAGCCACATTGTGATACTCAAGAGTTCCTGATTAGGATAAATTTTATTCCGTGATGGCTGATGATATCGTAGTCGTAAAATTTCTTGGATCCTTCCCAAGTTCTGCCCAAGCTGCTCAGGCCAGCTCCGCCAATACCTGCTCAACCCCTTCGCGGGCCTGTCGGAGTTCTTCGTCGATTTGACCACTGGCGTGCCGCGATTTCACTTCATAGTGAAGCTGGACCAGCTCTTTCGCCCGGCGCAAGTTTTCCATTTTGACATGTTGAGCCTTGTCCGCATCAGTTGTGGCACTCTCAGTGGACGCGTCCCCTTTATCAGGGGAATTCGACCCATCGATAGTCTTATTCACATTAACTAAAGCAAGGGCTTCATTATGGCCCTAATTAATGTCAGTATAGCTCATGAACACTAGAACTTCGCGTCATTTTCCGACTTCGTCCAAGGTGGGGCAGGGAAGATCTCGGACGTTTCGGCGGGGAAATAGGATTGGGATAGCACGTACGCAAACCCGCAAAGAGGTGATATCGGATAGTATTTCTGCCACTTGCATCGTGGGAGGCTGATCACGGGTGATATTTGACGCGTAGAGTTAGGACTTCGGGAAGTCGAAGTCGCAGTGATGTTACAAGGTTGGGGGCAAGGGATCTAGGATGTCTTGGCAGTGACGGGACCGCCGAAGAGCAAAATGTATAAGAGGTGATGTTGGCAATCTTTGTTACCTGATCTGGACCATAATTTTGCTGTCTAATGTGCCAACGGTGCAGAATTAGATCCAATATACGTTTGCGCTGATACCTGGGTGCAAATTAACAAAGAGTAAGAGAGAAGGGCCTCGGGGGAGAGCTTTGAGCCTAAAGCCCATTGAATCAGAAACGAGGTGCGGAAAGAAACATCTGAGGTGTCCTGGGGATGTGTCACTGATCCGTGTCCCTCCTTATGAAATCCTGGTAAGTCACTTCGCATATTTACAGGGAGTGGAAACGACAGACAACTATATTGCAGCTGTCGCCCAGGGTTGTACGAGGGCTCATGTACCGACAATTGGCAAAGTGATATACGTGAGACTCAGAAATAAAGAAAGGACGGCATACCGTCAAGTTCCAAGTGTTCTTGGTACCAAATCCTCCCCGCTAGTCGAGTGGTTAAATACGAAAAGGTTAACGGCCTGGTCGAATGATACCTTACCCCAAGACTTGCTGGACGTCACGACTCGGGCGTAACTGTACATATACTATGCGCAGTGGGGGGCAGTAATTGAAAGGGTCGGGAGCGCCCTTCGGGGTCGGGCATATCCTTTGGGATTGGGACATCCTACGGGATGGGGATAATGACTTTTTTTCTTCTTTTTCTTTGGCTATAATAGTCTAGTCAGTACTACTAGTATCGTCAGTAAGTTATTTTGAGTCTATCGTGGGGTTCGTGAGGCTATCGCGGGATCCATCGCGAACTTCTCATGAATCCGAAGATATCACAGAACACAAGTCACTTCAAGTCCAGCTTTTTATAAGGTGCTTTACAAGGTTGACCGTTCGAAGCCAGGATGTGGCTTTTGGTCCAAATTTTTGTTTTTTCTTGTAAACGTGCTCAACTGATGAATATCACCGGCGAATTAGAAGTCATGGCCTCTGTATATCATCACACCAACAGAACTATGAGGAATGCATAACAACAATATTTGGGTGTAGGAGCCTACTATCACCTACATTACACCATACATGGCATGCACACCCTCGACAGCCACTACGCCGGAGCATATGGTCTTCAAATACAGAGTCCGAGAAGTGGACAGGCCTCAAGCCGCTATTGCAAAGTTACTATCAGACTTTCTAGGATACAACTCCATGTACAGCATCCGATGACAGCCTGTCAGATGCTCTTGGCCTTCGAATCCTCATCGGAAGACGACATATCCTCCTCAGAAGTAGTGAGGTCTGACTCAGTGAAAGGCAGCCAAGCAATGAACCTGTGCTTCACCGATCCATCCGGCCACATAACCGAGCCGTTTCCATTCCTGTGTGCGAGAGCATACTTCTGGTTCTCCATATACTCCTCTTCATTTAGCAGGTGTTGGACTTCATGGCCAAGCCGGGTCCAGGTCATATTGCCGTTTCGCACGGCGTGGGTAAGGCGTCGACGGGAAAGTCTATCGTCACAGCCTTCGATGAATGTCTTGACGAGAATCTCGTCTTGAGCAACCGTAGGGCGCATCTGGCGTCGCAAATAGTTTGCTTCGTCGTAGTAGAGTTCAAGGGACCGGTCTTCCTGCTTCATTGTTTCAAGGGTCATGGTAGTTTCCATGTGGAGCCAGGAGGGGCGTTGCTCAGAGTGCGGTGGTCCATGGACGATCACGATTGGAAGGGATCCAGGGCTGTGCATGAATGTCTGTGCATGAGGACCATGGTCGGGCTCCGTGGTGACAGAGGCATGTTGAAGAGTGGATGCGTCGGTGGGTGTACTCGTCTTGTTGCAGATAGTCTCGAGCTCCGTGATGCACTTTACCAGAGCCTTGTTCTTGTCCACGAGGCTCTGATCAGAGTCGCAGAGAGGTAGCACGGTGCCCTTGAGCTGTTGACCAAGGTGCAGCAGACCCTCCTCTGTATTAATGTAGTTGGATCCCTTGGTGCGGTCAAGTGTATTGACAAAGTTGGTGAGGCTTTTCAGATATTGTCCGAGGTTGCGAGAGTGCTCTTCGATAGCGAGAAGTTGTTCCTTCACGGCGTGGATATCTTCGATGAGGGTCTTGTTCTCGCGATTGAGTTCGTAGGACCACAGTAAAGCCTGGGGTGCATTCGATGGTCCTCCTGGAGGCAAGGCATTTGTTGCTGACATCTCAGAGAATGAGAGGTGCACCACCAGCTCAGATCGGATTGACGGGCTCCTCGAGGGAGGGCAAAACGGGGCAGACGAGGAAATATTTGCATCCAAGTGAAAGTAAGGAGAGGTCAACGCGAGCCTGGAAGTTCCGGATGCGTCTGACTTCAGCCATGTCACTGCTACGAGAGTACGAATGGAAGAAACCCGTGAGGAACAAGTCACATTTTAGCCCGATCTATTTGATTAAGTACGGTAATAGCGGCATCCTTAACCAACCAGAGCGAGCAAGATACAGAGGAAAACGGAAGAGAAAATGCAGGAAAAGGAAAACCGTGACAGCAACAGAAAGCATAAACGTGTCACATCTCCGAAGGTGCTGGGGCATAGGAAACCATAGCAGTGGCCCCCCGAGGGCAGCCCAGCGGCATCAGTTCACACAGAAAATTGCCCGACCCGCCCATCACAGGGCCATTGCGAGCGGAAATGCGTTAAGGAACACAGAAAGCAACTTTTAACGCAGGTTCTGCGATCGTAATCCGCATCAAGACATAAGAAGGTTAGGGCGTTTAGATGAGGTCAGCAACGTTCATGGGCATCTCCTCAATCTGGGTGCTGTAGAACTGCTCGATCTCACGGAGCATGCGAACATCGTCGGCAGTGACGAAGTTGATGGCAACACCCTTACGACCGAAACGACCACCACGACCGATACGGTGAATGTAGTTCTCGCGGTTGGCGGGAAGGTCGTAGTTGATGACCAGGGAAACCTGCTGGACATCGATACCACGGGCCAGAAGGTCAGTGGCGATCAGGACACGGGAAGAACCGGAGCGGAACTCCTTCATGATAACATCACGCTGGCCCTGCTCCATGTCACCGTGCATGGCGGAGACGGTGAAGTCACGGGCAGTGAGCTTGTCGGTGAGCCAGTCGACCTTGCGGCGGGTGTTGCAGAAGATGACGGCCTGGGTGATAGTGACGGTCTCGTAGAGATCGGACAGGGTGTCGAGCTTCCACTCCTCCTTCTCAACGGCAATGTAGAACTGCTTAATACCCTCAAGGGTAAGCTCCTGCTTCTTGACCAGGATACGGACGGGGTCACGCATGAACTTGGTGGTGACCTCGAGGACGTCCTGGGGCATGGTGGCGGACAGGAGGGTAACCTGGGTGGACTGGGGAAGGAGCTGGAAGATGTCGTAGATCTGCTCGGTGAAACCGCGGGACAGCATCTCGTCGGCCTCGTCGAGGATGAACAGCTTCATGTTGTCGGTGCGGAGGACGCGACGCTGGATCATGTCCTGGACACGGCCGGGGGTACCGACAACGACCTGGGGGCCGTCACGAAGGGCGTTCATGTCCTCACGGACGTTGGTACCACCGATACAGGCGTGGCACTCGAGGGTCATGAAGTCACCAATGGCAACAACGACCTTCTGGATCTGCTGAGCCAGCTCACGGGTGGGAGCGAGGATCAGAGCCTGGCAGGCCTTCAGGTTGGGGTCGATCTTCTGAAGAGCGGAGATGGAGAAGGTGGCGGTCTTTCCGGTACCAGACTGGGCCTGAGCGATGACATCGTTGCCTGACCATAGGTTAGGCGCATTTCTTGGAATAGTATACGGATCGGGAACTCACCCTTGATGATGGGCATGATGGCACGCTGCTGGATAGCAGAGGGACGCTCGAAACCGTAGGCGTAGACACCTATTCAACAGTCAGGAATTTTCTGCACATACCCCGCCACGGAGGGGGTTTTTGGGGTTAACCCCCGAGGAGTTTCACATACCGCGAAGCAGCTCAGGCTTCAGGTCCATGGCGTCGAAAGAATCGGTGATCTCATCGTAGTTGGACTCGATCTGTCCTGTAGAGTGCGCAGTCGATGTCAGCCTTTGATTCCAGTGTCTTGTCCTCGTATTTGTGGTCGCCACAAGAGGTCTCCGGTGATTGCGATAAGGAGCGAGTATTTTGCAAATCGCCAGGAGTAGGGGAGGAGGGAAATCACATACCCTCGGGAAGATCCTCGAGGCCCTTATCGTTAGACATATTGGCGGTTGAGAGGGTGGTGATCACAAACGACTCGTCGTTGTGATCGGGTGGGGTGAAGGGTTTTAGCGAACGTGCCCCTGGGGATGGTTCGCAGACGAGAAATAGGTACTAGTATCACAGCTCTTCAGGAAAGAAGAGCACAGGAGATACTAGGGGGGAAGTAATCGTTGGTGTGAATGGGTCACAAATGGGGTGGAAAGAAGAGGAGGAAAAAATCGACGGCGACGGACGCCATTTGCTGCGACGCTTTTTTTTTTGCGAAGTGGGTGCGGCCTCACCGCCTTCCCCTTGTGGGTCTTTCCGTTGCAGTACAAGCGAACGCCGTTTGACGTTAGACGCATTGTTCTGGCCGATTTTCAGATTGTTCTGCTTTTCTGTGCCGCTGGTGCTTTTTCATTTACATTTTTATCATCTTCTATTGGTGCCAGTTCGTGGCATCGTATTTCAGTTGGGCCCGTGGGGGGTAACCCGGCAGAAAAAAAAAAAAAAAACTTGAAGCCCTAAACCAAAGTGGCGGACAATGCCTGACATCACATCGCTCCCGAGTTATCCACCTGCCCGAGATGGGGATCCGGCAGATGAGGCTATTCCCAGCCACCCGTTGGGTGTGAAGCCTAGTGGAAATGCACTCCTAGCAACCCACAATCTGCGTGATGCCATTGGCGCTTTTCGGTCGCTGCCCGACGAACTAGTCCTGCTGCTACTGGAATCCTTGGACGGACCCAGCCTGCTGCGCATTGGCCGAACGTGTAAGGCCTTGTATGCATTTACAAGGGCCGAAGAGTTGTGGAAGGCCCTCTTTGTTGAGTAAGAACTTCCCTTATCCTTATGCCCCCGGTAAAATATACATCTCAAGAGGTTTCGGCGGGGCAATTACACACCACCTGAGCATCGGACAACCCGAGGTCCATGGATGAAGAAAAACAAAACTTACAAGGTTCCAAAGTTAGAACACATAATTAACCGTTTATCTAGGTCCCATCCAGCGGATTTTACATGGCGAGGAACATGGCGTTCGACATATCTCAACTTACCAGCATCCAAAGTGCCCATGGTGGACTGCTCGCATCTATACTCGGATGCTCTATACCGCCCCTTCAACTGTGCACATATCAAGTTGGATCCATACGTTACCAATATCCCAGCACGAAACCAGATCCCACGACTCTCAGACCTTTCAGCAGAGGAATTTCATGAGAAATGGGCAGACCGGCCATTCGTTTTAACCGAGCCCATCAAGGCTTGGCTAGTATACAAAGACTGGTCGGTCGGCACCCTGCTATCTCGATACGGCCAGGGCACATTCCGCGCCGAGGCAGTCGACTGGCCTCTGCGCACGTACGGAGACTACATGGCCGACAACGCGGATGAAAGTCCGCTCTACCTTTTCGACCGGTCCTTTGTTTCCACCATGGGTCTCTCAGTCGGCCAACCAGACACGACCCCCAATGCGGCATACTGGCCGCCGGCATGCTTTGCTGAAGATTTCTTCTCCGTGCTTGGCGACGTCCGACCCGATCATCAGTGGCTGATTGTTGGACCCGAGCGCTCCGGCAGCAAGTTTCACAAAGACCCCAACGCCACCAGCGCGTGGAATGCCGTACTACGTGGGCCGAAGTACTGGATCATGTTCCCCTCCGGTGATAAGAACCCGCCGCCGCCGGGCGTATTCGTGTCAGAGGACTTTAGCGAAGTGACTTCCCCTCTCAGTATTGCTGAATGGCTGCTCGAGTTTCACGCCGAGGCACGACGCACCCCGGGCTGCATGGAAGGCATCTGCGGAGAGGGAGAGATTCTCCACGTGCCGTCGGGCTGGTGGCATCTGGTGATCAATTTGGAGCCGTCGATTGCTATTACTCAGAATTTCATTCCTCGAGCTCATCTCGGTGCGGCTCTAGACTTCCTGTCTAACAAAGCCGACCAAGTGTCCGGGTTCAGGAAGAATGTCGACAATCCTTACCAGAGCTTTGTTAGCGGTATGGAAGCTACGTACCCAGATCTGTTGGAGCAAGCGCAGGAAGAACTCCAAAAGAAGGCAGAAGGAAAGAAGCGCAAGTGGGATGATATTGTCCATGGGAAGACGGGGGACGACGACCAGAACCAAGGTGGCTTTAGCTTTGGATTTGGGGATGATAGCGATGCTGAAGTGCCATGAACATATACCTGGAAAGCATTTGAATTTCGAGCTATGAATAGATACCAAGCAGAGTGCGGACTAACGTCACAACTTCATGAGATGAGAACCACTGATTGTCTATGTAAGCGCGTCCAGAATGAAGCAAACCAAACGCCGGGTTCATATCTTGTATGGATGTCTAATGGCATGCAACGGACTTGGCAGCAGGGGTACCGTCCGCAAAGGCTAGATATCCAACGAATGCGCCCACTGTAACTGCCAGCATGACCATACCGTTGTATGTCATAAAGAGAAGCCTATCACAAGCCAGTCAGCTTTGCCCCAGTAGTTGAGCTAGGGCCACTCACATGATGAAGAAGCTGTAAAACACCTGAATGGCATACAAAGCAGCCAGCATGATTCTTCCCCGGCATGCCACAGCAGCCCTGTTATCCCGTCCTGCAAGCAGTGGTGAGCGCTCGCCACTTACGGGCCGGATACCCTCCGAGACGTTGGCGATAGACTGGCCAATGATCCCATCTTCTGCTGAGCAAGACATCAATGAGAGCTCGCCCAAGCATGAATGCAGCAAAAGGGGAAGTTCATATATGAGCACTAAACCACCCTGCCAACGTCACGGCTCAATCTTGCCTTCGGTATAGTTGCCCTCAGATAAGGAAATGAAAGACATACCTCCACCTGTAGCTGAAGCCACGTGGAATGAGTTCAACCACTGATTATGCGCAGCTTCATACTTGCGAGTTACTGAGCGGACTCCCTCGTAGCCTGCTGTGAGGAGGACGATAAGGACGAGCGAGATGAGAAAGGAGAGTGGCCCGGTGATGCGCCACCAACGGAAAATGATGCAGAGATTTTCGGACGACCAGGTGAAGACCATCTACAAAGAGGGCAGAGTTAGCCTGGACAATCCCTGGACGAGGCCTGCGGAGTACTTGCATTCATGTTGCATTGAGCACCCATGTCCATATCACCATGGCCCATATCGTGGCCCATGTGCATCGAGTGATCCATGACAAACTATAGCACTAAGAGTGATTCCTTTGGAACAAGGTCTCGCGGGTCGAAGTCAATAATATACCGAGATATCATAACCTGGCATGATGTAAAACACGAGGGGGGAACGAGATGATGGCAGACAGTGCAAACCGTGCAAACAGAAATGGCTCGATAAGGATCTCGGGCACGACAGCTTCACCTTCGCAATCCCGCAATTGCTGCGTGCTTTACTGGAACCGATCACCGCACTGTCGCATGACATCTACTGCTGATGCTCTTTAATTCAATTTGACCCGCCCATTCACTTCACCATGGCAGACACCGCCGCTGCCCAGACAGCCACGCCGGCGACCAACTCGCCTGCAGCGCCAGCAACCGGCGCCGCCGCGGGGACCACGAATGCGTCCGCTGACCAGAATGCCACGAGTCGCGGATTACCATACTACGAGAAGTTGCGACGGGAATTGAGAGATACGATCGCGAACAAGCGCGCGATGGACAGGTGCATGGTGAGTTCGAGCCCTGCGCGCCTTTACCCGAATGTGATGGAGACCCTTGAATGAGCTCCAAGTGCGTTCGAAGCACGACCCCTCATTATACCACCTCTGCGATTGAAGCTGCGAGTCAAGTCCGTTGGCTAACTGGACTACAGGCCCAACTCGAAGACCAAATCTACCGCTTCGAGCAATCCTACCTCGAAGAAACCACCGCCGGAAACATCATCAAAGGCTTCGACAACTACATCAAAGGCTCCTCGAGTGGTTCAAGTCTCGGTGCGTCCGGACTAAGCCTAGGCTCTGGCGTCGGAGGCCGCCGAAAGGCAGCAGTCACAGACTCGGATCGGGTGTTCTCCAAAAGCTCCGCAAGCTACATGATGGTAAGGAGATCTCACTCTCTACAAGGTTGCCAATACTCACGCTGTTTGCTCTAGGATTCCCCTGGCCCTTCGTCGACACAGACGACACCCTCCCACGCCGCAACCCCGACATCAACTACTGGCGGCAACATTCCTCCAAAAAGTAATGGTGACGGTGGTGCGAAGAACACCAGTGGCTCATCGAAGAATAAGAAGAAGGCTTCTGGTGGGTCGAAGAACACAAAGGGGAAAATCCAGACGGACGAGTTCTCAGATGATGGTGGGGATAAGCCGCCTGTTAAGCGATTGAAGATCAGCTACGGGAGGGATTAATTTCTGTCTCTTCTGAGATGGCTGTACGCTGAATATTGCATTACGCGGTTGGAGTTCAGGTTTGATGTTCCCGGGGTTTATCGAAGAAGCTAAGGCGCAGGGAAACAAGCTTAGTTTCTACATGTATATCACGAACTCTTCTAAATGCGTGGCAAAGTGGTTTCATTCTTCATTTCATCAAAATATTATAGCGGCGGAAACGACGGCGTGCAGTAAAGATGGTGTAGTCCAATTGACAGTTAAAAAACAGATAAAGGGCTTACAACTGCAGACGGTAAGTAGCAATTTCGAACGCCCTGAGCTCGATATCCACAGAGGACGAATCATCTCCCTTCTGGATCTCCAATTCCTGCTCGTCATCTTCGAGGACATTGCATTTCCATACCCGCTTAACAGGCAACGTGCTCCGAATAGAACCCCGGGCCTTTCCACCAAGGGACTCGTAGACGCGCACGATGACACTCTTGCCGGGACGAGTGGGGATACCACCAGTAGAGACATCCTCGTCGTCCTCGCCACGCTTCACAACGTCCATGATAACTGAAGGTGCGCCGTGGATGGAGACAGCCTTGAAGGCAGCGTCGCAAGCGGAGATCTGGGAACTGGCTTGCTCCACGATGAGTGGCTGGTTGAAGTTGTATCCGGCGCGGATAGTTCGGTCGTCAAGACCACCAGTGTGAGGAAGGATAGCGTAATGAATTACATGGCGGCCCATGTCGGCGTGAGCGTCCGGTGCCTTCGGTGCACGTAGCAGTGAAAGACGCATCAGGTTTCCGCAGGTAGCGAAACCGTATTTGGAGTCGTTGAGGATGGAGACACCGTAGCCGTGCTCGGAGAGATCAGCCCATTTGTGGCAGCAAACTTCGAACTTGGCCATGTCCCAGCTAAAATGGGTTAGTATGGATCATATGGAGAGTAGAGAGAGTGTACACACCTTGTGTTGTAGTGGGTTGGGCGACGGATAATACCATACTGGGTCTCATAGGATGCTTCGGTGTTGGTCACATCCACAGGGAACTCGACCTTGAGGAACTTCATGGTCTCATGCCACTCCACCTCGCTCTCGAACTCAACGCGCGAGAGTTCGGAGGAGACAGATGCTGCGAGGCTGATGGTGGTCTTGATCCAACTCTTCTCGCTGATCCTAGTTTCGGTGACGACACTAGCTCGGTGTTTATCGTTCTCTGCAATGACGGTCTTGCCGCGAGGCAGCTCTTTTCGCGACTCGAGGTGGAAGACTTCCACATCCCAGCCTTGCCAGTAGAGAGGCTTATCGTCGAAGATGACCAATTGACCAGCCTTTCCATCCTTCGCGACCACCTCTCTGCTCGCCTCAACATCGAAAAGCGAGGTAATGATGCCGTCCTGGACATCGATCTTCAGCTTACCGTTCTCAAGACGGAACACGCCAGGCTGGATCTCGGTCACTGTGACTGCGGTGGTGACCTTAAAGTCAACTGGTTGGCATGAAAGAACTCCAGTTGAGCCTTCAGCCAGGGCGTACCTAGACCCTTCGGACTCGGTCAAGGTATCGGGAATCCTCACGACCTCTGTGCGACGCCATGGCAATGTGTTGAGCGCCACCAAGTTCTGGGTGTCAATGGAGCTGGTTACTCCAAGTGCGATGAGAGCGTCCTTACGCAACCTGGAGCCGGTCTTGAAAACTTCGGCGTAAAGCTTGTCCGAGTCGTCATAGCACATTTCGATAGAGCTACCGGGCAAGCAGTCGTGGAACTGGCACAACAGGACACCTTCCCACATCTCGTCGATCTGCTCCTTGGGATATTTGTACTCCCGGTCAGAGCCACGGAGAGTAGCCAAAGTAGCCAAAAGCTCAATCTCGCGCAGCAGGAATTCAGACTTGCGGTTGTTACGCTTGTTGTTTGCTTGCGTGGTATAGGTACCGCGGTGCAGCTCGAAGTAGAGCTCACCATACCAAGTCGCGAACTGCGTACCGTTTGCAACATTGGCCTCCAGTTTGGAGAAGAAATCGTCCACTGACTCGCCCATTTTCACTCGTGGAAGTGTACCGATCTTATCACTGAGACCACGGCATCGCCGCAGTTTCTCCAGGTGCTCAAAGGTCGGACCACCGCCACCGTCACCCTTGCCAAAGACCAGCAAAGAGGTCTTGTCCTTGTCCATGGACTTGTGCTGCGTGACGCTGCGCTTAAGATCGCCAAAATGGGCTTCAGCTGTGTATGTCTCCGCGGGAGCCATGTGGCAAATAACCTGGCTACCGTCCAGCGCAACCCACTGGAATGTAGTGTGAGGGAAGTTGTTTATATTGTTCCAGCTGAGCTTCTGTGTAAAGAAACGACTCATTCCAGCGAGGCGGCAGATCTGAGGAATCTGGGTAGAGTAGCCGAAGGTGTCAGGCAGCCAGAACGTGGTAGATCGCTTTCCAAAATGGCTTTCGAAAAATCGCTGGCCATAGAGGAACTGTCGCACCAAGGACTCTCCGCTGGGCAGGTTGGTGTCATGCTCGACCCAACTACCGCCGATCGGCTGGAAGTTACCCTTTTTCACCCAACGCTTGACGCGGTCAAACACACTGGGATAGTATTGCTTGAGCCACTTGAACTGCTGTGCCTGGGAGCAAGTAAAGCGATGTTCAGGATAGCGATCCATCAAGTCACACTGGTTCGACCACGATCGCGCGACTTTGCGCTTAGTCTCAGCCCAGGGCCAGAGCCAGCAAGTATCAATGTGGCAATGGCCGATGGCGTAGACAATCGGTTGAGTATCGGTCTCATAAACGTCCTGCGAATCGACCTTGTCACCGAGGTATTTCTGGGCAATCTTGCGAGCCTCTAGGATCGACTGTTGGCTTCCATCGCCGGCAATGAAGGCATCAATTATGGAGTTGGCTACCATATTAGCTTCATGGGCCTCCCAGGAGTCACCAGGGAACTCGCGAGCCGCGTCTCCGATGATCCAAAAGTCGTAGTATAGTGCACGCGCATCCATATTGACCGCGACAATCTCTGCCTTGCTGAGCGTGTATGACTTGTCCGGTCTGGGAGGTTGGATCGTGTCGCCTCCGGGAGCGTTTCCAAACATGCCATTGCAAGCCATTTCAATGTAGAACGTATACTCTTCTCCATCACGCCACTCATCTGGAATAATCCACTGGGTCCGCTCCCCACCGCCGGTTAGACCCTGCAGTGGTCGACCATCTTCTGTCCACACCAAGCCCTCATTGTTTGCATCCCAGTGGAACTCCAGCCGTTCCTTATGGCGCATTTCCTCGGGGACAGTAAGCCGGACTCGGAACCAATGGGTCGACCAACTGGGCCCGAATGATTCTCCAACTCTAGTCGGCTTGAATTCGTGCGAAGTGGCTTCATCGAAGGAAGGCCGCTGCAGGTCCGGGACCGAGTAGACGGACAGCTTGACATGGTCTTCATCGGAGTTCACTGCTTCGTTGTATTTGGAGAGGAGGTTTTGACCTTCATATTGACCGGTCGATGTGAACTGTTTGAGTCGGTCCGTGTAGATCTTGGTGATCCGCTGACCAACCGGGCGCTCGGCGAGCCGGGGAAGCGTTGAAGCTGGAGCGGGGGCGAGATGCGGAGATTCCCCACCCATGACGGCGATTATGGAAGGCAGAGGCGTTGCTGAATCGTGGGTGAAACCCAGTAAGGATATCAGTAGAGTGGAAAATGAACAGCGGAGAGAAACAATCCTAGGTAGAGAAAGTCGAGGAAGGGAGGAAGCTGAGTTCCCAATACGGAGGCATGACGGAATGCGGAGACGTCTACGATCGGCGGGGCCAAAGTGTGTTTCAGGCACTGCGGCACTTGTTGGATCGGTGGTTGGACGACATCAAGCTTTGTATTTCCCCGGTTACACCCGCTACTATAGTATGCGAAGAAGACGTAACAATTCCTGCGCCACCCAATTCCATCATCCAATGCTGTCTGCCAATATACGCTGTGTACTTCATGAACAGGTCCTCATCGGTCCTTGGTCCTTAACCGCTGCCAATCCTCATCTCTAAGACCAATTTGAGCAACTAGATCCCCATTTGGAGACTTTGGCATCAAGTATAAAAGACTCTCACGCCTGCCAGCCATGGAAAGTTGTCGGCCAATCGGTCCAGTTTATTTCGCAATGTAGAGACCACAGCATCATGGGAGGATGCTTCGGCAAAAGGGAAGACGCAGCATAATTGGGTATAAAGCTTGTACATGCCAGGCTTCTGGCCCAGCACATCAAGCAGATCGTGTTCTATCATTGTGGATCATCGAGACTGCTGATTGCACCCGAATACTTGAAATTGAAGGCGAGTTTATATACGTGTCGCTGGGACCCAACTTAATGTGTAAGGAATCTCGACCTTGACAAACTCGGAAAACTGAAAATTCGCTATCGAATTGAAGAGAGAACCCCTGAAAAGTGCACCTCCACGCCTTGTTAGTGATTAAGTCTGAAGACCCCATTGCCTCGGTGTCAAAGGCGTAAATTGCCACGGGCAGCAGCCTTATTCAACTTTCTCACTTCCGCATCTTTCAACCTCTGATTCTTCACACCTGTGCTTCCTCACTCATTAGAACGACACCTGGATTCTCACTTTCAAACACTTCTATCCCCGCCCTGTTTCATCAACTTGACCCTTTCCCTCTCCTTTACCCACATCACCAACTTCATCTTCAACCATCTCAAACGTCTTCACACATTCCGAATACCTGATCTCATCCACCAGCTCACACCAAAGGCGATGGATCGGCAAGGTGTCGGTTCCGGGCCACAGTCCGGCCACAGCCTGTATGAGGACTTGAAGGACCTGCAGATTGGCCAAACCGGCAAACACCCGTGCGATCCTGGCGATGAGCAGCCGGAAATGGCGGCTTCACAGCTTGAGTCGAGAGGGAACACAAATGTCGAGCCATTTACTGAAGCTTTACTGCTGTCGGGCTCGTTGATTCCCCCCACCATCCGTGTTCCAAGCCCTTGAAAGATCTCAACAAGATCTTTTTGAATGACCTCGTCTTTGAATCTCACAATGCTGGATCCTATCTTCTTGTGAGAACCATCACCTCGCCTACCATCTCCGCCCTGGTTTCCGTCATCATCGAGGATGAACGAGGCAACCAGATTTCTATTATGCTTTCTCAACTCCCTCCCTCCCGGCTTCTGGGGGATGGCCTAGAGAGAGGCACCATCTTGATCGTGAAAGAACCTTACCTGAAATGGACGGGCAAGGGACAATGCGGGATCCGAGTCAACCACCCTTCCGATGCCAAGTATCTTTCACCTTATGACGAACTGATCCCGGAGGAGTGGAGAGAGGAGAAGATAGAAAGCCCAACATTGAACACCTGGGAAGTGAAAGGGGACTGTCATTTCGAGGAGGACAAATTTCATCTGGCCATCGAATGGTACATTGAATACTCCACTGATCCAGAAGCAAAGATTGCTAACAGCCACAGCTACGCAAAAGCTCTCGAATTCCCCGAGAAGGAAGAAACCCATACAATCAATTTGAAATTGTCACGGTGCCTGTCATACTGGAAACTTGGCTGTTTCGAAGCCATCCTCTCGGAGTTTGGCTCGTTGTCAAGTGACGCTGAACTCTTCGAGGATGCTATCCTTTGCAAAGCGATGGCACTCTACAACCTGGAAAAATACCGGGAATGCACTGATGTTATCAAGCTATGCCTGAAACAGTACCCCCAAAGCTCCAGTGCCAAAATTTGCCTCTCTCTGTCTATCTCTCGACTGCTAGAAAAGGAAAAGGGGAAGTACAAGTTCAAGGAGATGCAAGAGGATTGCAAGAAGCAAGAAGTCCCAATAATGGAGTGCGCGACATATATCGGACCGGTGGAAATCAAACAAACGGAATCCCGAGGGCGTGGGGTATTCACAACGAAGACCGTAAAGGCCGGTGATTTGCTCTTTTGCGAAAATGCATTTTCCTATGCAGTCTTCACCCCACCAAAGACGGACCGAAAAAATGACGTGGAATTTGAACAGTTCATCTACCGAACGCAGCAGCGTGAACTTGCCAAGCTGGCAACTGACAGAATCTTCAAGGTCCCATCTCTTCTGTCAAAGCTCAGTGATCTTCATCACGGCTCATACACACCCTTTGAAGCCTCATTTGTTGATGGAGCACTTGTTTTTGACATGTTAGTTATTTGAACAATATGCTCAACCATAATACCCCAACTAATAGCTTTTAGGTTTCTCATATACCGAATCGTGGCCTTCAATTCTTTCGGCAGCCTCAGATCCTCCCGCGATCCCCACCTGAAAGCCCCAACAAACGACCGCATTAGATTAGCCGGTGTATGGCCCTTTGCGTCCCACGTGAACCATGCTTGCTACGGAAATTCCTTCCGGAGTTTCATCGGTAACATGCTCATAGTCCGCGCCGCAGCGGACATCCCGGAAGGCACCGAGATCACTTTCTGCTACAAGCCTCCCGAAGGCGACTGCATCAAGGGCAAGCCCGACCACTCTTTTTGGGGCTTCAAATGCGACTGCGCAATCTGCAAGAGCATCGAAAGAACAGATGACGATGTTCTTGCAAGGAGGCTGCAACTCATAAGAGTTGTCGACAATTACTGCAAAAGTCTACAGAGACCCAACGTCGACCGCTTGAACGACGTTCTGGCCAAGATAGAGCGCACATACTCCGAACCAGCTTCTGCAGTGCCCCGTCTCAGCATGTGGAATATGTACTTCGCCATCGCCAAGGCGTATGCACGCTGGGGATGGTCCATACATGTCGTGGAGTATGTACTCAAGACACTCGGCTCGCTGGGCTTCCTTTTCACAGGGGGAGGCCTGAAAGGATCCTCACACGCTGAAATGGTTGTCGAGAAGTGGGGTCTTGTCGTCCCGGGCATGGTGGACATTTGGATGACGCTTTCGCAAGCGTATCATCTAGTGGAGCCCAAATTCGAAGCGGGGGCTAGAAAATATGCCAAGCTGAGTTACAAGATCCTTGTTGGTGAAGACGAAACCTTCGAAGAGACCTACGGAAAGCCTTCGTCGACCTCATTCGGTCCAACTTTCGCCGGCTTGGTCGCGGAGCTTACAGAGATGGGAGTGCCCATTGACGTCAATGACATTCGGCGACGGGTACAGCGAAGTGCATGATTGCAAGGACTAGAAAAGGAGAGGGGCGACAGAGAGGGTAATGGCCCTGGGGGGATGATACTATGCAGAGTGGCAATCAACCGGAGAATTCAAACATAAAAACAAGTTCAAAGTAGGCGCTTTGACCCAACTGTAATGAACTTGAAAGCTTTTCTACGGAGCTGGTTCTACACGAGCCTAGGCCAATGTATTTTTACCCGTCTTCAATGCGCAGGCTCTGAAGGGTCATGCTTCAATGCCGGAAAATAGGTATGTACCTGACAATATGCGAACCACGGTTCCAGTGTTGCGGAGGCCGCCGTCCTCCGCACCAGCGATCCTTGCGCTGCCAACCTAGCAACCCCGAAGAAATACAACTCCATCTTTATAAATCCAGTCTTAATCTTTGGCCTTTCGAAAGAGTGCCCCTGTGAACACATCGACAAGACAAGATTGCGCCCAACACTTTAAACCTCACGGCTCTGCCAATCCAAGGAACTACGGGAGTATCTAAAAGCGCTAAGTGGGGGATCGCCCAAAATGACACGATCGGAGAAATTAGGACTATTACGTTAAAAAACTCTCTTGATACGATCTGCGCGCACGCCATCCGCCTAACACATCACCGAGTAGTCCATCACGCGTCAAGTCCATGCAAGAAGGAGACATGCGCGAATTTGGAAACTGTAGCCTTATTGGACGTCTAGCACCTTGACTGCCATTGACGACCAAATCGTGCATCTTTAAAGATCGATGCAGATTCTACAGAGTTCCAGCCCAGATTTGACCGGTGTTGACACGGAGAACCCAACCAATAGACACGAAGCAATTCCGCGGCACTACCCGTAGCCTAACTGCATCCGATCGATTTTTTACTTCATAGCCCACACCGTAGGATCGAAATGCTTTTTTCAGTTGGCACTGTCGGGAAACAGGTTCGCTAAACTCTCGCTAGGTCGACTGAGATATGCACATGACTCTATTCCCGGGCTTCGGCGTCTTCCTCTTGGCCTGCGAAGAACCTATAAGCTTTCGAGGTGGCGAAACCTGATTTCTCGCTTGCCCTGCCGATGGATATTCCTGAGGAATACTGCGTTCCAAATGAGGAATATTAACCATCCTCGGCCCCTACTAATAACACAACTTCAATTTTCACTTTTATCGACAAGCGTTGTTTACTCGTTCTAAGCCCTTTACACTTACGTTTTTACATTCAGCCCTCCGACTCACCAGCTTTGCCTTCAAAAAGTCACGATTAATGGAGCAGGTCATTAACATGGACGACCTGAAGATGACTCAGCCTGCCGTTACAGTATGTAGCCAGCACTGCGTGGAATCACAGGCTTGCACTCCCGTGGTTTCACAAGCTCCTACTCCTATCGGTTCACCGTCTGGCCATAACTACGCACCTCTGCCGCCCAATCTACCGCAGTCACAAGAACCGCCCTTCAAACAAGACCACAGACACTTGGAGCATGTCTCCCGACCTGAAGTTGTACGAAAATTTGCAAACCCGGCGCCTCTGGGCCTCTGTGCATTTGCACTCACCTCATTTGTCTCGAACTCCATGAACCTGTACATGGCGAATGGTACGGTAACAGGTATTAACATCGGCTTGGCTTTGAATTATGGCGGGATCTGTCAGATTTTGGCTGGTATGTGGTATGTTATATGCTGCTTGAGTTGGGTTCGATACCTCGCTTGTGTGGGAGCACGAAATAACATCAAATCAGGGAAATGGCCCTTGGCAACACCTTTGGCGCGACGACGTTCTGTTCTTTTGGTGCTTATTGGATTACTTTCGCCACCCTCTCCGAAATTGATATCACCAATCCTGCAGCTGAGGCAATGGCCGGAACGTGTCAGGCCGAGGTCTTGATGGGAATTTTCATGATGGTACGTCGACGGTCCTTTGTGCTCTCGTCGATTATCGCAAACTCGTATACTCATCCAGCAAATAGGCATGGTTCATCTTCACAACCCTCATGCTGCTATGCACCCTCAAGTCCAGCATTGCCATGTTCCTGATCTTTTTCTTCCTCGACCTCAACTACCTCTTGCTGGGAATCACCCATTTCCATTGCAACTCTACTTCTGGCATGATCATTGCAGTGCAGAAGGCTGGTGGGATTTGCGGCATACTGGCAGCCATCACTGCTTGGTATAACGCCTTTGCCGGTGTCTTCGACCAGAGCAATGGATTCTTCACCGTCCCTCTTGGACACTTCCCTTGGTCACCTGTTCACCATGTCCACCAAGCGAACAAATACAAGGAGGTGTGAAGTCACATCCATTGAAGAAAAAGATTGATGCAAAAACGCTTCATGGTACGTAAGCATCACGAACAATGTTTTGAAACCCTGTATCTCTGACAAGACTTCAACCTTCAGCTATTTAACGCGAGATTTCGGTTTCTCTATCATCGTCACCGGGATACTGCTGCTCCATGCCCGTATCCTCACAACTCTGAAGAATACTCCTGGTCCAACTTCCTGTGCCCGCCACAACAAGACCCAAAAATCTCACTACAGGTCTAAATATTCTGTCACGCAGCATCTCCATCGGCCAGACCTGGTGCGATAAACCATTTCACATGGCTTGACCAAACAAAAAGTCAGTTGCCCAGCTGCCCTTCGTGCTGATCACCCACCACCGAGAGAGGGGTTTCGCAGTGATACTTTCGGCAAAAAGAAATATAGGGATTCCTAAAGACGCAACTAATATAATCCACATTCTACATGTTCCACAAAAGCATCTCTCTATAATTAATGATAAACAGCATTGACGCTTACCAGTTTAGTCAAGACTGGTGGAGAAACCAAGCACGAAGCCAGAGCAAGATATAGCTGGGGATTCCGTGATTTTCAAGAGCCGTGGCATAAATGTGGGCAGGGTGTTTTCAACCCGAATTTATCTATACAGAAAGGGACCGAGTAACAGAACGTAATATAGTTGAGCATATGGATCGAAAAGACGATGGGGTCAGCGTAGATCCCCAGAGGATGACGTCGATGACGAGATCACCGTGCTCTGGCTCTTTCCATTTTAGAAAATCCTTAGAAAATGCCTAGAGTCCACTAGCGAATGCTTATAGCTATGGACTATCCCAGAAAAGTAATCAGGCTAAACGTAGCGCGATCTGGAACCAAGGGAATGGGTATGCTCGTGTGATGGACCCAATGGTAAGCGATGAGTTAAGATCCACAGACTATTGTTTGGGTTGCGATGGAAACTCAATCCACCTGTTGATCTTATCTGATCTATCATAGAGTTTTCATTCAGTCTAAGCTGCTGGTTAACCCATGGTCCCATTCTATAGCTTAATCTACACGCTCTCATCTAATACGTATTGACAAGAGATACCTACCAATAATCTCGCTAGTATGTGAGATAACCTTCCAACAGCGACAATTTACCATCACAAGATAGTTCAAGAGCCATTGCCACAAACAGGCTCTCTTTGACCTCAGATGCGCCTAAATATGACGTCAAATGCTTACTTGGATTTCGCACCGGTCTTGAACATCCTCGGAGACCCAAGTCACCATGTCTAAACCCAAGCCAGAAACGCCCCGAACAAGTGAATTCTAGACCCCCAACATACAATCTGCAACCAATAGCCATCCTCTCGTGCCAGCTCAAGTCCCCACCGAAGGGACAAGGAAGACCCCAGTTCCACAAATAGTGAGAAATAAATCGCATCGCCGATCCGTCGATCAGCAGGCGGGGAACGATGATCAGCCACGAAAAAACAATAATCACCTTGCGTATCAAGGCAACCCCACACACGACCCGATCGCCAAATGTCGGTGACAGGGGTACGGGTACAAAACGCAAATACTATTATGAGATATCGCGCGAGGGGCACACACGTCAAGCGTGAAAGGTTACCAGACCGCCATTTCAGTCAATGCCCACGACTCGAGCCCCCCCCTCCCAGGGGCTACGGCCCCACGATGCTCAACCGTTGGCTATCCAATTCACCGACCAGAAGTCAATTGCGGCGTTTCTGCAGATGGGAATGGTTGGTTCGGAGGGTCGGAGAGGGGCTGCAGGTGAAATCCGACCAGTCAGCAGCGAAGATCCACGCATGTAATGCAGAGTGCGCTGCAGATGGAGTTGCCGGTACTCCATGATGGGGTTACAAGTGGGTATGGTTACGAATGTGGGTTTAGGTCAACGGATTGGTTTGTTGTGTTGTTCCCAAATGGGAGAAGTAGAAGTGAGATTTGGCCGTGGCCGTGTCAACGCCTGCGGTATATGCTAAAACAAAAGACCAGTCCAACGAGATGCAGTGGTGAATGATGAGTGATGAATGATGAATGATGAAAATGCGAGCCAAGGGAATACAAGGGAGTGTCCAGTACCAAGTCGTAATCGTCGTGAGAAGCCGAATCCAATCCAATCCAATCCAAATCCAAATCCAAATCCAAATCCAAACACCGTATTAAAAAAATAATTAGGAAACAACAAGAGTAGAATATGTGAAATCATACCCATGGTTCACACAGGCCATGAGAGTTTGGGTTAACGGGTCCAATCAGCTTGATCTGAGACTTCAATGCCTCGCGTCGACGCTCATCTTTTGATTCGGAGATTTTTCTCTTCGCCCCGTCGAGCGCCACCAGGACGTGGCTGGTGCCACCCTGCAAGACACGCGCCGCGTTTCGGGTATTTTGCTGCAGCTGCCTCTTGAATGGTGGGGAGAGCGGCGGTGTAGGGTTTGCGTAGGTGAGGTCCGGTGATGACGGGCCGTCAGAGTTGGAGGACCGGGCGTGGACGGTGCGTCTGGATTTCTTGGGTGTTTCCCAGGCGGCGGAGCCGTACTTTTGGTACGGGGTCATCGGCACTGCGAGTTGATTCGGTCGCTGGACCGGGGATGAGTGTTGGGTGCGGATTGAGCGGGGGCTCGAGGGCGGCTCGAGGCTGCTCGAGGCAGTTGAGACTGATAGAGCTCGTAGTTGCATGTTCAGGTCCATGCACGATTGCTGTGTTTTTGGGCAAGCGTATGATGTTTGCTCGTCGGGTTCATCCAGTGGTGCCGTTGAGGGTCGTGGTGATTCTTTGGCCTTGGTCTCGCCCGAGTCCTTTGATAGTGTGCGGTGGACGTATGTTTTGATCGAGTCTCGAACCCCGTAAGCCAGCCCCAAGCCGGCCCGATCGAGAGAATGCCACCGACGACGCTTGGCCGCGAGATTCAAGCGACCCTCCTTCTTTCGTGTCTTTCCCGACCTGATGCCCGGGCTGGTTCGTCCACCAGCCTGCAACGCCGACGGGGTGGCCAGTTCCGGGAAGAAATCCCACTTCTTTTCCCTGAAGTAGTGATTTGTCCCGGTTCGATTCTGCGTCCACTGACTCGGTCGACCATACTGGGCATCCGAAGCTTCAGCGACAACGTCCGTGCCAGAAGCGACCGAGTCCGTGCGCGAGTCGCTGGAGAGGACGCGTAGTGGAGATGGGCGGATCTGGCCCAAATTTAGCTGATCGGCGGGTGCCGGGTGATCGACCATGAAGTCGTCTGAATCCGAGCTGACGAAGATGGGATAGGACTCGGTCGAGTTGCGAGGTTCGCTAGGACTGCCGAGACTATCGACGGTACTGTCGCTCTCGCTGTCGCTGGAGTCAGACCACATACCGGACGAGTACTCGGCCGGTTCGTCGGGGACCGGTTTTGCGGGAAGCGGTTTGTTAAGAAACAGGTCGGAGCGGGTGGGAAAGAAGGGTTGTTTAGGTGAAGGCGGGATGACTCGTTCGAGGCCTTCCAGGGACCGAGAAGGCCGGACGGGGGGAGCCATGCGGTGGGAAGCGTGGGAATACGGATGATTCGGTAGCATGGCTGGGTGCACAATAAAAGAGATTATATCCAAAAGAGAGGAAGGACTCCGACAAAGAGAGCCAGACGCCGGGCAACGGTCCACGGTCCACGGTCCACGGGGGTTTCCACGGGAGTCCTCAGAACAAAGAGAAGCAGGAACACTACGATGATATACGTCGAGTACGCGATCGGCGTGTGCACGGACACAACGCGAGGGGCTGCAAGGAGGAGACGACCTGTAGAATTGAGGTATGGTTATCTACCCGGGCAAGTCTAAGGCAAGTGACACGGCCTGAAGAGGCATCGGACGTGGCAGTGGAGTAACCCTAGTAACCCAAGGCAGCCACAGACGCTATGCACTTTAAAGATTCCCCCATGTAATACGCTAACAGAATCGGGCATTGCCAAACGAACGAAGCAAGGCACAGGGCACCTCATGCAGAGGTCCGGGTCGACTCCGCTTCGACCTTGCGCTGAACTAACTTAATTTGGCCGCTTTCTCCATCGTTTCACGGGTGAGTTCATCCGAGGGCCTGCGGGTCTCGCTGAGCCGACCCATACGCCGCAAATTGGCGATCATGGCCTCGTCGCCCCAGTGGCTGTTATGCTCGAATTCCGGCTCCTGTGCATAGGCCAGTCGAGCCGCATCCACGACGATCCGTGCCGTCATGCCAAAGACCCGGTGTCGCGTCTCGTCACTCGTGACATTCTGCTCGGGGCTTCCGCGAGGCTTGACCAGGGCGTCATTGGCGCGAACAAAGAACTGATGCACTAGTGGTGGTTACCCCACTCGTCAGCCCTGGTAAAAACGGGAGAAAAAGAAACCATAACAAAGACCAGGGTGTCACGGCCCACTCGGTTCCTGGGCAAACATGGAGGTGGGTCTGGTTTGACAGCCGATCCACTCCCATGTGTGAAGGGAAGCTTCCAGGATTTGCCTTCCGGCTCGAAGGGAGGGCTACGGGTATGAAGGAGACGGGGACACGGGGAGACAGATGCAGGGAGGGAAACCTACTGCGCCAATTTGAGTTGTGCCATCGACTCCACGATCCTTGATACCAGTCCTCCGAATCCTGTTCTTCTTGTTTCATACACAGGAAGGAATGAAAGGGCGCCGTAAACACGGCGGCCACTTCTCTCGCGTCCAACTTGGGAATCAACGAGACTTCCGGATCAGCATTCTCCCCGGTGGCCGCATCATACGAATGAAGCAGCGCGACGCAGGGACGCACCACCACCTCCGTTTTGGCAAGATTTGCCGGCAACTCGCAAAGGTGCTCGACGGCGAACGGGTGCGGCAGCGACTGATCGATCTCGGGCAGCCCGATCTCTTCCATTGCTTCGCGACGCGCGGTCTGGAACGGCGTCTCCGCCAGGGTATCTGCTCGTCCTGTTTCCGTTAACGCTCATCCTATGGGTTGTACAATTGGGATGCCCCTTTTTCTCCCCTTTCTCCTTTTCTAAACATAACAGTCTCGGGGTATGCAGCCTTGCTTTTCTTTTTTCTTTTTTGTCTTTTTTTGGTTGCTTTTTTTGACTTTTCTTTTTCCATAGCCCTTCTGAACGTACCTCCTGGTAATGCCGCTTCTCCTGCATCTGTCTCGGCCAGGGTCAGCATGTCGTGCAGCATAACGCCCTGAAAACGAGGAAGAGGTACGTACACGAACTCAATGTCTTGGACCGCATCGTAATCACGACCCTAAGATTCCCACTAGGATCGGCATAAAGCAGGATCAGCACAGCTGCCCGCCTGGACAGCGGGACCTGGCTATACGCCGTTGGCGGAGGGACATAGTTTCTCAGTCTGTTGATGGCTTCCTGGTCGGGATGGCAATTAGTTTCTTTCCCTTTCTCCTTTTTCCTTTCGGGAATGTTTCGCAGGCCACGCGACCCGGGTTGCGCGGTTTCAGTGCCTCCCTCATAAGGGGGATGGACATCCACGGGAGCAACGAGGGTCTCACCAATACTCCGTCAGGCGCCCTAAGCCAAGATCCAAGACTGTGCGAGACTCAAGGTGGTTCTTAAATGCCTCAAAGTAAACAGGCACGTTCGAGACAACCCTGGGAATGACCCTGCGAAAGGGTGGAGCTTCATTCCAACCTTGGGAGGCGTGGGCGTGGGACTCTGCACACGCGGGCTTCGGGTACACGCAGGAGACCGTTACACATACCTGGGAAGCGGGATTTAGTGGAGGCATATTGCGTAGACTGCCGGACAGGAGATTTTGAGCCGGGCTGGCGCTCGTGGTGAAGTGATTGCGATTGCGACTGCAAATGATCTGGAACAACTGGAATTGCCGCCGCATAGTACGGAAGGTATAGATCGAACTAAAAGGTCCGACGTTCCCCATCGGTTTGGCGGGGAAGTTGTTGCGTAGTTCTTGGGTTTGGGGTAACTAGCCGAGGTCGGTGACTAATGTTTGCCGAGCTGATCCTCATCCTCGGGCTCTACCTCTATGAACAAGTATTACGATCCAACAAAATCAGGGAATGTCTTGTGTGCATTTGTCTATCAGTACAGTGTGCTTTCCCGTCTGAATCACCCACGTCAACGGCTGAAATTCTTCGCCCAATCCCCTCCCATCCACCCCGGATGTTTCAGTTTCGGAGCCCAACCCGTGGAAGTAATGTTGGCATCCCACACCGACTGATCGTTCAGGATATGACAGGAATATATGAGACAACGTGATAAACGGAGGGATTCAAAAGAATGTATCAGCAAGAGTGTGAGATATCAGGTAAAAGCAGGGAAAGAAGGTGGTCTATCAACATAGCGGAGTGAAGAGTAACACAGGATGAGAACCGAAGAGTGCCAGGGTAAAAAATAATCTATATGCGAAAGCCAATAACGGCGAGCCCCCAAATCAAACAAAAGAAAAATCCAGCTATTCATGAACCTACGAGCTCTGGCTCGTCTTCTTCTCATCCTCCTTGGTCGTATCGGCCTTGGCACCCTCGTTCATAGCCTCGGAAGCCTCAGCAGACTGCTCGTCGGTGCCTTGCGCAGAGGCTTCGACCTTGGTTTCTTCCTTGTCGTCGATATCTTCGGTATCCTTGGGAGCGGCAACACCCTTGCCCTCGTTCTCGCTGTTCTGCTTGGTCTCCTCTTCGATGAGCTCCTCCTGCTCCTTGATAACCTCCAGACGCTGCTTGTTGGTGGCAGCACCCTCGGCATTGTGGACCTCGAGCTCGATCTCGTGGAACAGCTCTTCGGGAATGCTGGAAAGCACAGACTTGAGGGCGTCAATCTGCGAGGCCATCTCGGACTCCTTGCCACCCTGGGTGTACATGTAGGCGTTGCTCAGAACGAGAAGAGTGGAGGGGACACCCTGCTTGAGACGCAGGTCGAGCCACATGGAGAGATCTTCGCGAAGACGGGCGGGGGACACACCGTGGGTGCGGATGCCGCGGGAAGCGCTAGCCATCTGAAGCTCAGGCACGGAAAGGGAGTCAACACCCTCGTAGAAGATGGCACGGTCGTCACGCTTGATCTGACGCATACGGTGACGAATGTTGTAACGGAGCATGGCATCAGTGCCAAAGGAGTTGAGGTTCATGTAGCGGCAGATAGCCACCAGCTGGGGACGAGACAGGTTGTCCAGAGTCAGGTCATCCTTGAAGATCTTGCAGACCTTGATGACATCCTCGGTTGAGGGCGATTCACCGGTGGTGCGAATCTTGCGGAAGAAATCTGCGAAATCCTCGTTCTTCACGCTGGCAGCGGTCAAGGGCAAACCGCTCTCCCGTAGTGTGTTGCGCAAGAAGCCAGAGACCTCTTTCCGGGTCGAGCTCAGGTTGACAGCCTTAGCATCACGAGCTTTCTGGCCCTCGTAGGTGCTGGGAAGCATGTTGGGGAACATTTTCAAGGCGACGGGGAGGAGGAGCTCGGCGAAGGGAACGATAAGGAACATGGAGAAAGGAACCAAGCGCCCGAGGTCCTTGGTAGTACGTTGAAGCTGTCAAACAGAAAGCAGAATTAGCATATGCGACTCTAAATGGGATGCAACGGGTACAACAAACCTGACGGTGCTCTCTCCGGCTGAGCTCATATCCACCCGCCATCTTCAACGCCAATCGTGAGCTAATCTTAACCTCCGTCGCAAGTAGCTTGGTGCCGTCCCAGTAGTGCTGAAGCTCCTTCTTGACCTTCTGGCCGAGCGTCAACTTCTTAGCATCCTTCTTCGCCGCATTCTTCTGGTCCTCAGTCGCGGCACCCTTGGCCGCAGGAGTTTGCGCCTGCGCCTTAGAAGTAGGTGCAGCGTCAGACTTCTTAGTCGGGGTAGTGTCGGATTGTGATGACTGCGCTTGGTCCTGAGGGAGCGGCTTCTTGGCTTGCTCGGCGTTGAAGCCGGGAGGGGGATATGACTGCGAGGAGGACGAGTTCGAGGTGGATTGCTCAGTAGCATAGCCACGCTGGGGAATCAAAATTGCGAGGGCAGACACCGTCGACGGCATTCCGCGACCGTTGAAAAGAAGGCTGCTCGCCGCAGCAAATGAGGCCGGGCCGAGAGCGCTGGCGCGAGTGCGAGCTGTTCAGGGGAGAGCGCAGGTCAGCTATTGTTATCACAGATCCCAATAATCACCTAGGTCAACTTACCAGCCAGGGTAGGCCGCAATGCGGTGGTGCTGCGCACCAGTCGAGCCGATCTCATGGTGGCGGACATTTGCGGAAATATTGTTGGGAGAAAAGCGAAGGGCTCGGAGGGCCGAGCTGGGACGTGCGGAATGCGCAACAACGAACTCAACAGATCGTCCTAGCCAATTCTAGGATAATTAACAGGGTCGGAACAAGTGCGTTGATGAAGTTAGGCTGGATGATGTTGAAGATGTTGTTAGCTGGTGACGAGCCTTGGACATCACGTTCCGACACGTGACCGAGGCCGGCCTCGGGGTTTGGTCGGAGTTAAATGCCGCATCTGATAATCGATCGGAAGCGGCTGATCTCCTATAATTTACTGTGTAGCCAAGAGATATCTCACGTATATTGTGTAGCATTAAACATGGTATCATGGCAGTCTGAACGTAATGATAGCCTCTATGCCGTTCGCCCAAAAAATAAAATCTACCCTCCCCATTGTCCAAGGAGCTCCAATAATAAACCAGAAACTATGTGCTAAGACTAAATTCCGATATAAAAGATCATCAATGCATATGTCCGCGCGACTGAAAAGAACTCACGCCAGGGGTATCAAGAGCGATTAATGAAAGACAAATACCCGCCTAGTTTCTCTCTCGAACAGTAGTGTCGGAGGATTTGGAAGCCTCCCGGACGGCAGTAGAAGCAGCCGAAACAACCGAACTGGGGTCCAGGAGTGGGATGCGGTCGATGCTGTCCTGCTTCTCCAGGGGGTTTGGAGCGGTCGGTGCGCCGAGAGCGCCACTGCGAGGACCGGTGTATTCCGGAAGGACCAGCGGGCTGGTTGCAAAATCAGGGGAGCTTTGCCAGCGCTGGACGTCCTTTCGTAGCTGCTCCAGCTCCTTCTGGAAGCGCTTGCCAAAGACGTCGATGTAGTAAGTCGCGCCATTGTAGATACTCCACACAAATAGGGCGGACAGATAGATGCCGCTTGCCCACCGGTACCAGAAGAAGATTGGAGAAGGAGTCATGGTCGACAAGGCGAAAGCATACTGGATCAACATGAACGCCGGCTCTTGCAGCGTCTCGGGGAGGCTGAGAACGAGCTTTCCAATCCATGCCTTGGCGTACGACTTTCGAAGCCAGGTGAAGCTGGTCGGACGTCCAGCGGCGATTTTGTCGGCTCGACGCACAGTTATCATCAAGTGGTACATCAGCTGCCAGAAAATATATGGCACGGTGGCCCAAATAATCATCGCGCCGAGCGAGTAGTGTTCCGGATCGCCAGGATTGCTAAACTTGATGGCATAGACAGCCGGGAATCGCTCCTTGAGAATCTCAACCGGTGTCAAGTGAACGATGCAATGCATAGTGGCCGGAGGCATGATGTGGATGAAGAGACTAGGAAAGCCAAGTTAGCCAGAATTCAAGATCCGAAGTACGTGATTCACATACCTAACCACTTTGTCCATGCTGTGGAAGACTAAAGAGTTGCGCCACATGGCAATAGCCGCCGCGTTGTTACCGAAAGTGAGACAAAACGTTCCGATGAACAGCCTCTTCGAATTCGGAAAGACCCATATGGCCGCCATATTGAGAAAATTGACGAAGTAGCACAGATCGGCCAGGAAGTAGTGGTAACCCTTGGCGTGGTAGGTGAAATAGCGAATGGGCATGAAGTAGAGCAGCTGGGCGCTGAACCACATGTAGAAGTACTGCGGGCAGGCGCCGATCAGATAACCGCTGATGAAGATATTGAGCACACCGGCGATGAATGAGATCTTCTCGCGCACAGTCACAGTGGCCGTCTGACTCCACTGCTTGCCCAGACGGTCCACACCATTCTTCACGCGGCGGCGGTACTTGTCAAGCTGTTCGTCCGCGGTGGGGACGCGTCGCTTGAATTCCCCGACCACGCGGTCCTTGGCGTTCATGCCCGTTGACCGGATTTTCTCGCGCTGCTTGCGCACCTTTTCTCTCTGCATACTGAGCGCGAGCTGCCATTTCTCGAAGCGCTGCGAGAGCTGGAAGTTGTCGAGCAGGTCGAAGATGCTCAACTTGTCGAGTGGCGGGAAGGTTTCCCAGTCCTCTTGGTATGAGCTGCTGTTGGAAAAGGAAGGGTTGCGAGACAGGCGACCGGGGGTGGCAGGCGGAGAGTAGAAGTCATCGTTGTCAAGGTCATCGAAGGGGTTCTCGACGTAGTCAACGGCCGGCGTCGAGGCCACGGAATCACCCATGGTGGAATCGGACTTTCGGCGTTGGGCGCGAGCGTCCTCCATCATGAACTGTTGTTGGAAGGAGAAGATGGTTGGGCCGTCCCGGTAGTGAGGGTAAGGCCGGCTGAGGAAGCGACCGAACGTTAGCATCCCCATATTGACACGGTCGAAAAGCAGATAGACTGGAGAGAGTGGCCAAGGCCATCTTTTATCTGCAGAGGGGCAAACATGAACGCTACCTTATCGCGGGCAGATCACAGCCACGGCTCACGCGGGGAGAAGCAACAAACGTGGTTGGCGACCCAAGCAAAGATTTGTGGCGGCTTCAACAAAGACGGCGAAGACGCAAAAGTTGGGGAAAAAGAAGAGCCAGCGGGAAGATGACGATGCGGCGTGTGCTGGGAGACGGCAAGATGAGTGGTTGGGGAGCTTCCCCACGGGCGCCCAATCACGAAGCTTGTTCGCGGCACACGGCGATCTGTATTTACTTTCCTTTTTCGGCGCGTCATTCCTGGCCTGAGGTACCGACCTTGGTGTTCGTGACACTTTATTTTTATATTTATATTTACTCCGGGTAGGCACAATACTCAGGTAGCTAGGTACAGGTACCGCAGAGTAAACCACTACACCAGTACACCTGCAGACCCGGTCGGGCTCGTAATCCGCAGAGCTCCACTTGGGGTACCTGCACAGCGTCCGGAACTTGTTTAATGTCGATCTATAACCCCAACGCTTTGAAGGATCAGTGCGCTATCTCCAACTCTATATGTGAGATGCCCTCTGCGCTCCCGAGTAGAAACACAAACAAGCCAAAACGTGTCCTTGGTGCCCGAAATATATATCGTGATGACTATTTTATCACGCGACCAAGAGAAATGACTGTAGCCTTAGAACCTTAATGCACTCGGCATTTTCTTCTGACGTACCCCGTTATTACCTGATAGTCAAGAGGAAGTCGACAATGTGGGATTAATAATCCTAAAATAGGTGTAAAAGGTGTACAAGGTTTAAGAGCGCAATTATTGGACCCCAATGCATGGATCCGACCACTTGCAGGTGGGGGTGGCGATGAGAGACCAATTCCCAAAACGAAAGTGATAGATAGACGTTGATCCGAAGTTGCTGATGGGTGTCTTTCCAATCCGGATCAGATGAGCATCGCAACGAAGAGAGTACAAGTCCATGAGAGCACCCATAGGGAGTTCTTGGAACGATTCGTGGAAGCGGCGAAGATATTAATGGAACGGCCACTTCTATCTTTGGTTCGATCCAAAACCACCGGCAGCATGCAATTCGTCGCGGGTTGATTGAAAATTGCAGGGCATCGAGACACGTACTCCCGTTAATAGTCAATCAAGTCCGGGGACTTACGGGCTGAGTTTGGTACGAGGACTGTCCCGATTCTTCCCAAAGCCAGAGCCAATTTAGCAAGAAAATTGGTCGGTATTGGGCCACACAGGATAGAAGGGGCAAATGTCCATTCCCCCACACGACCTATGGACCGTGCACTTGACGAGTCCGACGCCGTCATCTCGGTACCTTATAACCCCTTTCGCTCGACTAAGATCCACATCACAGATGCTGGACGATGTGTTGGACAGCTTGAAAGATGACGGTTTTCATAAAATTAATTCAGATAGCAAAGGCTTTCCCTTGATGATATTTCTCCATAACCCATTCATGTTAAGACTTGCTCCCAATTTCCAAGAATATGAACAGAAAAGTCGCTTCAATTTGCCCAGACAACCATATACAGTTCGCTACTAAAACCAAACATAAACTCAAAAGCATCATCGGTAAAGACCTGTTCGTGTTCGTGATTCGTGACCTTTGAAGCAAAAAAAACATCATACTCCAACTCCATCCAGAACGCAAGCATTAATATCCATAATGAGGTCCATGTGGTTCATGGGAGCTGGACCAGTACCCATGGGGTTTTTCAGGAGGCATGAACTGTTGTCCGTAATAGCCGGGCATGTAACTTGGATCGGCGGTCATTGATTTGTGGGCTGTCGGAGACTCCTGCGGCATCATCTGAGGCGCCATGCCCATTGGGTATGAGCTGAAGCCGGTGGTTGGGCTGTGTGGTCCGCTGGAGTCGCTTGTGGAAGGGGAGGGGGCATTTGGTTGCCGAGGATGAACTGCTCGGCTTCGTCGATTTGGGAGCTATGGCCTGAGCTTGGCTCATTATCTTCTTCGTCGTCCAGGGACGTGGTCGGTGCGGCGTGGATCCGAGAGGACAGCTCGTCATCTTGGTAAATCGCGTCGGGGAGATGGGTCTGGGTTACTTGGACCAAGGTGTTTGCATCTATTGTTGATTAATTTCGAATCTTCAGATCTTTGGGTCTTCTGTGGGGTGGCTACCGATCTTGCCGTCCAGGAAGCGTTCTTCCATTTGGCGCACGAAATAAATCTCATCGAGAACTTGCAGCCGGTTGGGAGGGCTGATCTGGCGCCGCACGTCCTGACCAGCCTCGCGCAATTTGTCTGCAGTCACGCCGTGGGTATCCTTCATTTCGCACAAGATATGAACGAGTAGCCGCAGACGGTCTATCTATTAATCAGAATTGAAACCTCCTGATTTGACGACCATCGCTTACCTCGCTTGAGAAGATGGTCCGGTTCTCGGTGTAAGACGCCGACAGGCCACCATCCAGGTTTGGTCATCTCAGGATCAACTCGTTGCGATACACCAGCAATCACTTTCCGTCCATTGTATGGAAAATGTACCTGCTTCCGGGGCTCCACGAGTTTGATATATGACTTGGCAATGGCGCGGCAGTTTAATTGCTGGAAATCCTCAAACGCCTTCTCGTAGTATCGGCGCAGCAGGTCTCGATTACCCACGCGAAGAACAGTTCGTCCAGGTGGTGGAGTAGGAGGCGGCGAGGCCGCCTTCGGGGGTGGTCGGACCATTCCTGTTCGTTTCATGTCTCGTCGCTTCCGTCGACTTTGGTTGGATTGCCATTCGCACGGAATCATTTCGGCTGGTCGAGTCTGACCGGTATTGAACCATTCAGGAGACGACTGCACGCCCCATGGTGAAGACGTTGGCGTTTGGCTAGGGTCTGCTAGACACGATTTTGGTTGGCTGTGTTCAACATCATGTTGATAGAGCTCGTCACTCACGGGCAAATTGCGTGTTTGATTGAGGACTCGGGACGGTCATTTCCATGAAGCGGTCTGTTACCTCTGGCGTGAAGATGGCACCGCCGCAGCCCGCAATTGAATCCGAGGTGCGTATCTGAAGTTTCCCGTTATCGTCGATGTACATGATGACGAAGTGGGAGTGTTGAATATCGACATTTTGACCCGGGGCCTGCGTTAACAGGCTGTCAGTGGACGCTCCCGCACACGATATAGATTCCGGCAGTTACCATGGTAGACTGTGGCACCGAGGTATTGGAATGCCTTCGCTCGAGTGGACGGCTCAAATCCATGTTCTCTGGAGAGTCTCATAAATACAGTTATTGAGCGATAGAACAGTCGAGCGAGAAAGGCAGACTTTGTAGTGATACGCGTGGCCAAAGACGTCGAAGGCGCTTTGGGTAACAAATACGTGGGGCCAGTAGCCCCTAGAATCGATAGAATCAATAGAACAAGAATATATCTGCTCCGATCAAAGGTTCGGAACAGGGGTAACCGGAATCAAGATGCATCTACCTGGAGATAGAATCCGGATCCATAGACAGGGGAAGGGAATGGATTATGTATACGGAGTACGAGAAGCACAAGAGCATCGCGAAAGTACCATCGTCCCAGAGTCTCCACCGGACGGTTCCTTGACCATGCGAATCGGCGCGGTGCTAATGCAAGGAAAAAGGGAATATCGGCGGAGCTGGCCCGGTGGCAATAAGCCAGCGATCTCTTTTCGGTCCTGCATCTTTGCGATCCGATCGCCAGTGCATCCCCTCGACGGGCCTAGGTTCCAGCGCACTGACGAGTATCTAGGACTGTGGCTTCCCTATGGACCTCATTCGCCGCGGTCGTATCCCGGTGCTGGATCCGAAACGTCGGGGCATCCGAAATCCTCCAAAGTCCTGCGCTTGGGGCATTAGCCACAGGCATTGAGCCCGTACGACAAGTCAAATTAGGAGTCCTCAGGGATTATCGGACAGAAACAAAAATGATGTACCAGATCGAGCGATCGGCCGGTCAGCTGAGGAAAATATAGCCCCGCGAATCAATACTTTCCGATCACCGATCTGAGAGGCTTTCGCAGCCACGCACTTCCGTGCTCTAGTGTGCAGACGAACTACGCCACCTCTGAGATCATTGTCTGCAGGCCAGAGTGGAATAGAAAAAATGGACTGCCCGGAGTAGGGAAAAGAGCTAACTGAACGGCGGTCGAAGACGCGGAAGCGTGATCTTTTTTGCCTTTTTCCAGCGTCATGCAGGAAGTGCCCACGGACTCCACACCGGCTTCAGTCGGTGCACGGATCTAATCTCAAACGTACCCTACGTTCGTCCGTACTCGCTTCAGCCCAAGCCCACAAGGTCCAAACTGCGGGGCATCCCAATGGCCCAATTGGTGGCAAAAGGCTCCAGGAAGCCATGAGAGCAACATTCAATCTTGAAGTTTAACCAAACTCACGGAACTGCCTTCCCTTTGAGGTGACGGGTTGTTTCTATTGTTTCGGGATTTGAGGGATTCGGAAACGGGTCGCGCCGTGCACCCACAATCCACTTCTCTTTTCTTTTTCTTTTTCCGTTTCTTTTTTCCTAATGACGAATTACTCCATGGAAATCAAGGTTACCCTGGCCCGTTCGTTTCAGGGATCAGCGAGTTTTCGAGAGAGAGAGATGCAGGATGTCGAGCTAAATCCGAGGAAACCCAACGGTCTTGGCCGTGTCGATAACGTCGAAAGTATCTTTTCGAGACGGTCCCTGTCCATTAGGAACGATTACCCCGTCCCGGATCGACAGTCACCCGGGGCCCCTTTGATCGGAAACCCGCGGATACGCAAATCACGTCGAAACCTAGCATCCGTACGTTTGTTGCGTGTTACGAAGGCTTGTGCCGTCGAAACCTTGTGCAGTGCTATCTGGACTCTATAAGTCTGGCCAAGCCTTGGCCTTCCCCGGTATATTTCTTCTGCCAACTATTGTCAACTAGGCTGACGCCACGCCAACGCGGATAATTGACCCAAGCGCTTCTTCTTGGTCAATGGCTATTGTGCAGGTTCCCCACAGGGGGGCCGACGGGGAAGACCAAGCAGCTAGATAGAAGCACGGCAGGAGGCATGCACAGATACCTTAACCCCGTTCAGAAAAAGGCCATGGGACCTGAACCTTGGAAACGATACGAACCCCTAGAACCTAATTACTTGAACAAAATACGCCATCGACTTCTCACGCAAGCCGCGTCCTTGGCAAAGTTAGTTCACCGCAGACACAAAGGGACCAGACAGCTCCTCCATTCATCGAGAGCCGCATTGGCCCAGACCCGATCAACTCTCAGCCAACTCTCCGACGTAAGTATTGCGGAAGCCACATGCCCCTTGCGTGTCGGCGGGGGGGCAAGACGCAGCCATGTACATACAGCGAGGCTACGTAGACGTGCCCAAACGCTGGTGCCTTTGCCTGTTGCCTCGGCTCAGGGTGCGGACAAGCGGATGAGGATACTGGGATAACTAAGGCTGCCATTTCTCACCCCAAACCCCGAGTGGGACTGGAGTGCACAAGAACGGGCCCTACATGCACCCAGGTTTCCATTCGGAGCCGAGTGCAGGAGGCCGAACCCTGCTACCAGGTTTTCTGTGCCTTGGCGTGCATTCGGCTCTGATCAGCAGTTAGCCGGTGTCTTCGAGCTTCTGTTGTTGGACTCGTTTTCTTGTCGATGATGGGCGGTGACTGAGTCGCGGCTCCTCGCGGCTCTGCGGGCGAGATAGGGGTGATATTGGTACGTGATTTTGCTTTGGGGACTGGTGCCTTGGGAGATGGAGAAATTACGGGGAATATTGGGATGTTAGTTCCGCGAGAGATGCATCTATCGTTTATCCAAAACCATCGTCGTCGAGATCCATATTCCGTATGGAGTAGTTCCAACGCCCAATAGTTGCCGAGTCTCATGTATATGATCTCTCTACTCCACATTTCACTCTATAATTAGGATATTATTGCTGAATATGTTCTGCTGACATCCTCCCCGAGATTATTACCCTATTACCCAATGCATTACTCAGGTTGCCATACAGCCGTTCGCCCGGGTGGATCCCCGCTGACTCGGAGATCTCATACTACTGTAAGCGGATGGATTGCAATTGCGCGACTGTGCGATAGATCCAATCTACAAGAAGTTCAAGATAGCACCACTGGAAAGTGGCAGCTCCAGTTCCACCTCGCCCTTGGAACCCACTGATACCGTCTCACCAATCGTGACATTATCCAATCGCACGGGCGCACCCGCTTTCAGATTGTAGTTATATGACCAGCCATCCCAAGAGATACCAGTGATGGCATCACTCCCATTTGCCATCAGACGCTGCAGCGATAGGGATCTGGCCGAGACGTCGGGCAGTTGGAAGGTATATTTGGCCGAGGGGCGGGACTCCGCCGCGGTGGAGTAGTTGAACTCTTGCATGTTGATCACCGCAATACGGGCCAATTTTCCGTCCACATAAGCTGCGTAGGCGCCGTCGGTCTCGCTTGGCATGGGCAGGTTGACAACTTGGACGCTGGAATCGGCCTCGCCACGCATCATGGCGGCCACCATGACATTGCCGTAGTACGGTGCCTTGGTGCCGATCGTGGTCTTGCTGGTCTGGACGGGTTGCCACGATGCGTATCGATAGTCTGTTCCCTGGTGCATGTGGGTCCGACGGATACTTTGCGAGGCGCAGTAGAGGTTGAAGTCGACACCCCAGAGTGCGGCACCGAATGAGTTGGAGAGTCCCGGCTTGCCCTCGTTATAAAGCGAGTTCATTTCGCCGAGGATATAGGGAATATCCTTGGTTAGGCCCTTCTCGCTCAGGACGCGCGACAGATTCGCATGCTGTGCGACGACCTCAACGATTTTGGTGTGGTTCATCAGGGTCTTTTGGAGTGTGACGCCTGGTTGGTTTGCACCGCCCATGTAACTGCAGCAATAGTCATTAGCAATGTAACAATATATATGTATCTTGCCCTGCACATGTGTGTAGACTCACTTGTGCATCGAGTTTAGTGCAATATCTTTGTCCGAATCGAGTCCATCCTCCCACGTCTTGACCGGGTCCAAAGAATTGCCGATACCCGCAAACGACGGCGCTAAGAACTTGAACATCTCGTCCGACGCCATCTCAGGACAACTCTGAGCAAGCTTGCGCCTAATCATCTCCGTCCCGGACAACCAGTTATTCACATAGTCTTGTTCCGACCAGCCAGCGGGCCGCACAGGGTATGGAGTGGTCGTGCTGTACAAATCGGGCTCATTGCCGAATTCCCAATGCATCAGCTTGCCATCCTTGAGAGCCTTGCAAGCAAGAGGAACGGTGGCGAGAAGCGAGTTTTTCGCTGCGGTGGTATTTTTGGCCATGTTAAAACCATGGCTGAATTTACTTCCCGGCAAGGTCAAGTACGACTCGAAAAATGAGGGTCCGATATATAAAATATATGGATAGTCCATCGACACGGCAGGAACAATAGTTCCATTGACGGAGGTCTTGAGCGCCGGGTCATACAGGGCGAAATCTCTATATAGACCGTTAGATGACGTTGGTGCGCCGAATTTAGAGGCGACTTTACTGTGTGTTTCCTCCAACACGAAGATATGGCTTCACGCCTTGCAGGTCTCCAAGATTGTCCAACAGCTGATTTGAAAATCTATTGGGCTTGGACAAGTTGCCTTTCCCGATATCAGAACAATCTTCGTTCCTCTACCACCGGAGGCGTTCCGACGTACCTGCATAGTCCGGGAAGAAGGCAAGCTCGATCGAAAATGAGACGAACGGACGCAAAATTGCAGCACCAGCGGTATCAGGGGCGTCCTTGGCCACGGATACTGGTGAACTATCACGCTCAATGACTGTTGGTACAGCTGCCGCTACTGCAGCGCTGAGAAGCAGCGGGACAAACATGGCTGAGAATTGTTACACTCGACCGAGATTAGTACCTTAATACTTTGAAGGTGAACGATTCATGCAACGGGTCGAGTCAATAGTCCACTCGTGGAATCGAGGTCCCATTTATATTTAAGAATCGGCAACCGTCAAAATTAGGCTATTGAGCTTGAGCACTACAAGCTTTCAAAAGCCGGCGCTGCGACGGTACAAGGACCTTGGAAAGTGGGATATGACGACCATGACGCAGATTATTGGAGCGAAATTAGCCATGGTCTTATCCGAGGAAGAGAATTAGTGCGTGTCTCCGGGTTGACGATGCGGGGGTTACATTTGGGATTGTGGAGAGACGATCGTTGCACTGTTTTGCTCAGGGGTCGGCTATTGAATGTTTGATGCAAACCGTGCGCAAATCATAGCACCCGGCTCTAGAGTACCGAGCCAAGAGAAGTGACATCAAAGATAAATGAATTCCACAGGAAATGGTATCAATTAACAGAATCGCGACAGGTATAGCTGCGGGCGACGCCGTTGCGCACGGGCTAGGCCATTGATGAAGATCATAGAAATAAGGAAAGCTGACGACGTAATTTACACAAGCTAAGAAATATCAAAATTCATCATGAAGTCGGTCTCAGATTTGAGACATCAGGTGTACTTGCGGAGCTAGAGGGAGAAATCAGCCAATCTGTAGGGGGAACTAATGATAATGGACACTCACGTCGAGAGTCAGAGACTTGCTGCTGTTTTCCACCTGGTCACGGTAGATACCGACAAGAGCCTCACTGTTCTGGAAGAGTCCAGTCTTCAAACTGATGACAATAAACTGCATGCCAGGAGCAGCGTGGTCGTGAATGTAGTTAGCGATGCGGGCCACGTTCGTGTTGTCGAGAGCAGCATCGACCTCGTCGAGCACGAAGAAGGGCGATGGCTGGTACGAGTGAATGGCAAATAGCAACGCAAGCGCTGCCATGGTCTTTTCACCACCAGACAGATGCTCCATATCACGGAATCGCTTCAGAGGAGGCATGGCGTGGTACTTGATACCATCCAGGTAAGGCTCATCCGAATCCTCAATATCCAGGTATCTATAAAGGTCGTTAGAAGTATTTTACATCAGAGATTATTAGAACTTACGCTTGTCCGCCGAGTGGGTAATTGGCGCTACGCGTCAGCTCACGGTAGATTGGGCCAATTTGCTCAGAAATATGCGTAAAGGCCTTGTTGAAGAGATCGGAGCGCTTCTTCATCACTCCCTCGAACTCTTCCCTGGCCCTCCGAGCCTGCCGGCGAGCGTCTTCAAAGTCCTTCTCGGTACTGCGAAGCTTGTTCTCGACGGTCTCCAGGCGTTCCATGGCTCGGGCGTTTGGTGCCATCTTGTCAAGCTCACTGTTGAGAGAACGAACCTTCTCGAGCAGCTCCTCTTCGAGCTTTTCTTCGGCAGACTCCTTTAGGGAATCTCCGAGGGATTCGAAGTCGATCTCGATACCATAGTCCTGCACGACAGGTCCTTGCTCATCCAGGCCGTCCGTCTCGTCGACATCCATGGCGTCCGGATCAGCGGCTTGCACCAGGTCGTCGATAGGAAGCTTGTCGAGGGAGTTGGAGTCAGCTGCCAATGGGACGTCAATATCTTCAAGCTTGCATCGCCGCAGAAGGGCGTATCGACTAGATGAATTCCGCTGAATGTCGGCTTCAAGCCCGTTGATGTTCTTGAGAGCATTCTCGACGTGCTTGCTGCGCTTCTGGAGCTCTCTTCGCTGGTCGGCCAGTTTCTCGGCTGATTGCGCATAGATTTCCTTCTGCTTCTCGAGGTTCTCACGTAAGAGGTCAAGTTCGGCACTGAACTCATCTAGCCTATTGCGGATTTCCTCCTGCTGACCCTTGAGCTCCTCGATCAGGCTCATGTCGCGCTCGTATTGAGCCTTGAGGCCGCTGATGCGGTCATCTGTTGCCTGAATACGCTGCTTCTCAAAACTGAGCTGATTTTCAATGCGACTCTTTTGCGTTGTGAACTCGAGCTTCTTCTGTGCAGCCTCCTCCTGCAGGGAGCCCTGCTGTGCTTCATACTCGCGAATGTTGTCATAGCCGAGGCGCTTGCAAAACTTGCGGTAAACCTCATCTTCGACCGTGCTAACTGAGGCTTGGGAGGCTTCGATGGTTTCATCCATCTCGTCGAGAGTCTCCTTTCTCTCAGTATACTTGGGTCGTAGATCCTCCATCTGGCGCTTGACAAAGTCCAGTTCACTGCCCTTGCTCTCGATGTTCCTTTCGAGAGCCTTGAGCTCATCACGGGCATAGTTCAACCGTTGTTCGAGACCAACGAGCTCGCCCTGAAGAGTCTCTTCTTCAGAACCACGGCGGTGGGCCTTGGGGAGGTTGGAAAGGTCGCTCATGAGCTTATCCTTGAGCTTGTGAAGGTTCTCTACCTCGGAGTCTTCCCAACGCTTGGAGTTGTTTTGCTGGGGGCCTCGACCACCGGTCATGAGACCGCCCTTGTGAATCACAGTACCATCCAGGGTGACTGCCTTCGCGTCGACATTTCGCTCATAGCACAGATACTTGGCCGTCGCCAGATCGTCACAAACGATGGAGTTTCCGCAAGCGTAGCTGATAGCACGTGCGACAGAGTCGTCGTAGTCGACGGTCTCGATAGCAGGGCGCATTCCGCGGTGCATGCCCTTCAGGTTGGAGTTGAAGGCCTTGACCTGGATTGTCTCAAGCGGGATAAAAGTGGCCTGACCGGCGCGCTGGTCACGAAGATGCTGAATACATTCCTTGGCGGTCTTTTCGTTGTCAACCACAATGGCGTCGAAGTGACGCCCTAACACAGTGCTGACTGCATCAGCGTACTTTCTCTGCTTTGGTCGGCAGAGGTCGCTGACACGGCCCTTGACACCAGGGAAAATGCGCTTCAGAGTTGAAATCAACTCCTTAGCCCGGATGTCTCTCTCGGTTTGCTTCTTTCCATCGTCGGCTTCCAGCAACTTCCGCAAGACGACCTGAAGCTTCTCCTCCCACTCAGTTCGCATCTGCGAAACCTTGAGACGTTCTGATGTCAAAGCATTCAGCTCCTTCTTCTTTCGATCGATATCCTTGGAAGTTGTCTTGATGGTGTCCTTGAGAGTAAACTTGCGCTCATTCATGTTTTGCGCATCGGATTCGAGGTTCTTCAACTGCCATTCAGTGGACTCGAATTTGCCCTTCAAGCTGTTTACGGCCTCGGCTTCCGTTTTGCGCTGTCGTCGCAGGTTGTCAAGAGTCAGCTGATCAGCAGATGATCGCTTGCTAACCTCCTCACGAAGCTTGTGGTACTCCTGCTGATCAGCTTCGCTCAACTGTCCACCCTGTTTGCTCGTAGTATTCTTCCATTCGGTTTCCCATTGACCCTGGGCTTTCTCGACAAGCTTCAGGTTCTTTTCGAGCTGCTTGGCGTTATCAGACTGGGCGGAACGCTCCTTTCCGATTTCAGCGATCTTAGACCCATATCGCTCAACCTTTCTTTGCGTGATATCGATTTTCTCGTCGATGGGTACCAGCGAGTTGTTGAGCTCCTCAATATCCTTCTCCTTTCTCAAAATATTCTTCTCGGCTTTTCCAACATCCCTACCTACACGGGCGTGCTCCTTCTTGGCATCCTCGACGTTGTTTTCGTACTTCTCAACGCCTCGGCGGTATTCCTTGAGCTCGTCCTGGTATTTCTGAATGTCGGCACTGGATGCATCGATCAGGCGCTGGAAATGGAAAAGCTTCCACAGAATGTGGGTGATGATAGCTTGGTCACGTTCCTCGGCCTTCTTAGCGAAGTTCTCGGCCTCCCGCTTCTGTTCCTGGTATTGTTTGACCTCAGAGTTGATACCTCGGCGACGGTTGAGTTGAACGGTCTGCTGTTCGGCGGCCTCCTCTGCCTCTGCCTTCAATTTCTCATAATCGGCCTTGTGGTCCAAGCTGCCCGAAATCTGTTCAATCAACCGAGTGAGGTCTTTGGGAGACTGCGAGGCAATTGCCTCGACATCTCCCTGGAACACCAGGAAGTTGCGCGCTCGGATCAAAATGTTTTCCGCCTCCAAAGCCTCATTGTATTGTTGCGCAGTCACAATTCGGTTGTTGATGCGGTACTCGCTGACACCTTGACTGGTAATGGATCGGCGCCATTGCTGCTCCTCGCCGGCGTCATCCTCGTAAACTGCCATAACCCAGGCGGATCTGGGGTCGTTCTTGCCGCCTGCATCTTGCGAAGCATCCATATCCTCGTCATCCACCTCTTGACCATCCTCCCCGTTGGTAATGGGCTCCCCATTGACATCGACCTTCGAAGTGCGCAAGACGCGGCCACGGTAGACGAGATCGCGAAGATTTGTAGATCGCAGATGAGAGGACTTGATTCCTAGAACGAACGAGATGGCATCCATTCTGGTAGAACGTCAGTACACAATCCCATGTACCATAAATGACCTGATGACCACATACGAATTCGATTTGCCAGACCCATTAGGGCCAATGATTGACGTGAAGTAAGCATCTCCGAACAAGAGGGTATGATGGCCCTTGTAAGATTTGAAGTCTGGGGGTAATGTTAGCGAATCTGCGCGGCGCGCCGTATACGGTGGTCCATACTGAAAAGCTCCAGCCGAATAAGTTTGCCCATCTTGCCACGCAGCCGCTTCCTATGGAAGGAACACGCTCAAAACAAGCGAACGAGCTGAGAAGGGCGGGGTATCAAGTCGGGCGATTGACAAAGCTGGTCGGAGAAAGAGATGGTGGGAGGGGCGCGATATGGGGAAACCGCGTCGCGCGCCGCTCGTCACGTGGCCCAACATTGGGCTTGACTTCCGATTCACTTCTACGCTTAACATTATCCGAAGATTCGAAGAATAATTCCGGTGGTGCCATTTTGAATTAACATGCGAGATCAATTTCTTATTTTCCAGCTAGTCCCAGGCATTGGGCACCTAAAAAGATCAACTTCAGATAAAAGGCATCAATTATAGTCATAGAGTTAGTACCTGGTGTCAACAGCAGCCTATTGTTATCCCCGAATGGAATAAAACACGATACAATTAAAAGTACAATATTTCTGCCGCAGTTCCTTGGTTGTTCATATTGTTGGTACAAAGTCTATATATACATTTGTTGACGAGAATACAACCCCTGATAAGGGCAGACATGGCTAGAACACATGAGCTTACCGCTTCTGACGGGCTCAAGCGTAGACAAAACCATCAATCCATCCCGGCGGCATTAATAATCGCTGTATTTCACGGGGTTGCCGAGAGCCAGAAAATCTTCGGTTACAACGCCATTGCAGTCCACTCGGAAAATGCCTTTGCCATCAATCTCCAAAAGAATAAAGTCCTCTTGGGTCAATAATTGACGTACGGACATGAAAACGCCCCATATACCACGGCTCATCATCTCAGCCGGTGCCTTGAATAAGCTCTTCTGTGGGGTTTCTGCACTTCCAATCTTCGCGCTGTCGCGTTCATAGCGCGCCAGGCCCTGCGGTGAGACGATAAGTCGACGGCGGAAGGAGACCTGCGACGGCAACACCTCAAACGTGCGCGGTCTCAGAAAGGGAACCAGACGCCGGACCTGGAAGCGGATGTGCATCTGACCTTTGTGAGGGAAAGCTGTGATGTTGCGGACGATGTTGTGTGTCCTGCTCAGAGCAACAACGCCGAGACCAGTCGTCACCACACAGACACCCGCCATGAGAGCTTTCACCCAAGTGGGTTGCGACAGCTCGGGGTTTGCGATGTAATTTTCCGAGTGCCAGACAGCAAAAAGGACACAGCCCACGGCTAGGCCATATGCACTCAGGATATAGACACGCTTTTTAGGTGCCTTGAACAATAGTACTTCTCCATTTCTTGCAACCTTAATTGCCAATTTTCCAATATTTCCAAACCGGACAGTCGAGAGATTCGAAGGTGGTGCCACGGGTTGCGCAGTGGGTTGCGCGGAGGGTTGGGTAGTGGGTTTCGCAACTGTTCGCGGGGCGCGTTTTGGCTGCTTAGGAGTGGCGCAGCGAAGAGAACTCGAAGCAAAGGAGCGCCATGGTGAGGGGGAATGATTCTGCAGCCCAGATCGTACGGGAGCTCCAGGGCATCGCGGCCAAAGTATGCGGAGAACGGGTCTGGCGGACATTATGCAAGGCCTGTCCACGGAGTCAGCAAGATCATCGGAATCAACATGGCGATACGCAATTGGCAAGAGCCCAATCGGAGAAAGCAGACAAGTCGCGGAGAAGAGAACTTACTAAACTCACGGAGCAATCGCGTTGTTCTCCTCGGAAAGCACCGACAGTTCGAAAGCAGTCGTTGCGGCAGAAAAATGTTCCCGTCCCGGCCGCCGGTGAGCTCCCAACACCCTCAACATCAACTCCCTTCCAGATTCCAACACAACTTCTCTCACAGACAAATATACTCTTGGAACTAGCGCAGCTCGACGCGGTGGTGGGCTCTCGCTCGATTGTTTTCGTCTCTGCCGACAATCCAGCTCCGGAGAGTTGCGACATCAATTGAGCATCTCCGCCAGTATCCACTCCCACGTCCTCGGAGGTTTCATACATACTGCACACAGCATACAAAATGGCAGCTAGGATTCCAATCAGCCATGTTCCGGCCATGTTCGCCCGCCGCCAGCCTAAGGTGTTCAACATCTCCAAGCGTGAGTTTCCCGACTGTCCGAGAGGAGGTTCGAACTTGCAGCAAAAGCTCGCATTGTCTGATCAATTGCTCCAACCAAATCGAATTTCATAGTGAAAGCACTGCGGTACTAATTTTACTTCACTTTACAGGCCTTCAATCTTCCTCCGCTACCCAAACCCAGAACCCCGCCTATCCGCTCTACCCCTCCGTCGCCCAGCTCCTGCACCAGAAGAACGTCCCCGAATCGGAAGTGTCCAAGATCCCGGCCTCAGGTCCCAAGGGCCGGCTGCTGAAGGGTGATGTCCTGGCCTACCTCGGCCAGATCGCCGCCGAATACCCAGCCACGCAAGCGGCGACGCTCGCCAAGCTCGCTCACCTGGACCTGAGCAACATCAAGGTCGCCGCGGCACCGGCCCCTAAGCCCGCGCCGGTCGCGGAGGAGGTCGTTGCCAAGCCGCCGGCCATGGTTTCCCTGGCTATTTCAATCTCGCTGGCTGCCGTTCTGCGCGCGCAGGACAAGATCGAGCGCAAGCAGGGCGTCTCGGTGCCTCTGTCGCGCTTCCTGGCTGTGGCTACGGACCTGGCCAACGATGATCTGCCTCGCTCGAAGACCGACCCGCGCTCCACCGACGAGCTCTTCGATGAGATTCTCGGTGCCGAGCCCATCAATACATCCCGGGGCGACTACATTCCCGAATTGAACGCCTTCGAGGCCCAAGCTGCGCCCGAGCCAGTGAAGGAGGATCTCATCGACTTCCTCACTGCCAAGCCATTTAAGAAGACTGTGCCTGTTTCATTGCCAATTGCGGACGGCATGGCCACGAATGTCTTCAGCCTGACCGTTCCCAAGGCTGAGGAGCTGCGCGCCAAAGAATTCCTGGAACGGATGAAGACTCTCCTGCAGTACAAGCCTGCCAGGCTAGTGCTTTAAAATTGCCATTTTGACGTTATAAATCTCCCCCGAGCATTTCCTTTGTTCTGACATGCCATCTCCGCACTGCTTTCTGGAGGGCTCAAGGCTCATGTATTTAGTGTAGCATAGATAATTGGATTTCGCCTTGATTGGCTCTTGCCATGACGACTTGTTTGAGGCGCATTAGCTTTTTACTCTATCTGACGACCATGGCAAACGCCGGTCCTTTGAGGTACGGTACTGTGAAATCCTGCCGTCTGAGCTTTGCAGCGTATGTCTTTCATGTAATCCGACGCCTAACTTGTTCTCGACCCTGGAATGGAGTTGCCCAGGAGCGGGATCACTGGGATGATCCCTCCTGCAGACGGATCGTGTTTTCTTGTCCACACTCCTACAAGGGGGTGGGTGACCGTTCATCGTACTACGAAACTCTAGGTGACCCTCTGCCGGTGCCCTCACTCATCTCTGATCCTACCGCAGCCTCCACATGGTACTAAAGGAAGGGCAAGGTTTACTTTGAACAATATATACGTTTGATGTCGAGTTGTTTTCCACAAATACTGATTCGATACATCTATGTACGAGCTTCGAAATTGAAAGACAATATGTCAAACGAGTTCAAGTCTAGTACTCGAACTCGTGATTCCATTTCCTAACATGACAGAAACCCCCATCCATGCCGCATCGATGTATGCCCGCGAAATATTCAATCAGATGAAAAGCATAAAAATAAAGCGCAATGGAAGCAGACTAGTAAACCAGAAAAGAGGTCATGTCATCATAATCAAAGGGCAGAACAAGACAGGCAAGTTGAAAGAAATGGAAATGAATCATTCGCGATAGCGCAATGCCAGATGCCGTCCAGTTGAAACACCGTGAGCGCCACTGCTGGACCCGAAAAATGTAAGAAAGTGCGCCTGATGAAATAGCCGGGTGAAAAACAGAAAAAAATCCATGTGAAATCAGACTGGAGTGGGGGCGCCTCTGTAGTCCCCACTGGTGAAATGCGATGCAGCAGATGCCAATGCATAAAATGTAAAGGCGAAATAAGTATCCCTGGTAATATGCGGTCAATATCCTCTTCCTGAGGATCAACACCCTAAACCGAGAACTCCGTTTTGAATGCAGGTGAAAGAGGTAAGAAGGCTGTCGGTGCAGCTAACGGATGGTGCCCCATTCTGCAAGCTTGCTACCCTCGCGCCGCGAGTCTCTTGTAGCTCGCTTGTCGAAGATCTTCCAGAATCTGAGGGTTTCATCGCCAGCTCCGGTTACCACGGTCTGACCGTCCGGGCTCATTGCCAGGTATAGAACACGGAAAGTGTGGCCAGTTAGAGAGACGATCTGTTCCATGCGCGGGTACTTCCAGATGACGATCTGGTTTTGGCTGTATCCATGGGTACTGATGATCTCGTCCGAATTTTTGGACCAAGAAAGGTTGCAAACCTGGCTGCCCGTGTCCACTTCCTTGATCAGGGAGCCGGTTGATGTATTCCAGAACTTGATTGTGCGATCCGCTGTACCACCGCCCGAAGCGAGAAGGTGGTGTTGATGAGGTGACCATGCAATGGCCTTGACTGCTGCGCAGTGATCCGAAAAGCGGTAGAGGGGCGTCTCGTTCAGCTTGTCCCACACCATCAGCTTGTTGTCATTTCCACCGGATGCCAACTGGCCATCTTCAGTGTTCCATTTCAATCCGCAGACTTCTTGCTTGTGACCGGATAACTTGCGGAGGTATTGGTCAGGTGAGCGGACATCACGGTGGTAAATCAATCGATCTCGGGATCCTGATGTCAGGATGTGATCGTTCCACGCCAAAGCACCGACACGGTTCGTATGACCGATCATTGTTCGGAGCCGTCGACAGTGTTCGGCATCCCAGATCTGTACTAGACCTTTCCCAGTGCCAATAGCTAGATGTGTGCCCTGATCAAACGTTAGTAAAGTGAACTCAAGAGAACCGGGAGCTGCAAGTGTCTTACCCTCTGAATCCAGTTTACACTGGTCACTGTATCATCCTTGAGCTCACATAATTTGGTCACGCGGCCAGACTGGGAGTTCCACATGTAGACTGAGTTGGCCAAGCCGACGCCAAGCACATTGCTGCTGCCCCAATCCACCAAGTTCAAGTAGAAGTCATCTTGTAAATCGGGAGCATCTAGAACTTTGTAGGGTACCTTGTTGACATAGCGGGGCTGCTTGCGGGGTGTTTCGAGAATGCGTTGACTGTCATATCTTATAGGCGAAAGACTGTAGAGTTCTGATCGGACATTAAGGTTTGGTCCGTGGTGGCTTCTGGGAGTTTTCGAGGGAGTGGGATGGCCGGATCCCGGTCTTGTGGGCCCGTAGTTAAAGAGGTTCTTGTGTGGGGTTGAAGGTGTAATGCTAGCGGGTGGAAGATTAGCCACGACATGGGCAGGTGGTGTATGTGATCGGGTTTTGTCGTTAATGCCATTGGAAAAACCGAGTAATGGGTCGGGCGATGCTGAGTTGAGATCGGGCTGAGGAACAGTGTTGCCGAACAGTTCACTACGCAGGACACGAGAAAAGGTCCGGTTCGCTTCCTCGGCTGGAGTTTGCAGGTTAGCAAAGGTACCCAAATTGTTCAGCGAGAATTCACGAACTCTTCTGGAAATGAAGCTCTGAGTGAGGAGCGCGCCTCTTTGACTTGGAAGGAGTTGAAGGGCAGCCATCCTCGTGCAGCAGACTGTAAGTTGCCTGCAAGTCCTGGCCGTCGCGGTTGGGAATAAACCTTCATGATGGTCAGTCGCGTGTTTCTGAAACCCAGTTCGCCTGTATCTGGCGCCTGTCGCAGAGACCTTGACAACTTACCGGTCACCATAAACCCGCTGCCTCTTTCGGTGGGGACTTGTACCCGGTGTCCTTTCTCTTCGAGTGCCCGCCTCGCCGTAATCCTTTAGAGCCTTCGCCAGCGCTGAAGCATCGACGGGCTCTGCTCCCTCCGCCGCTCGTGGGCGGTTACCCAGGTTATCCGGATAGAAGATGGTTCTCTTGGCGGGCATGGTCGGTGGGGTCTTGGATCCCGGCGGTGATGCGATTGCTGCTGCTTGCGATCTGGTATTTACCCGGTTGGCCCTTCCACTCACGCCTGCGTTCGTGTCCTGAGATCGGTCCCCCATGCTGGCAGCTGGTCCCCAGGCCCCAGATGCAGATTGCGCTGGATCAACAAGTGGACAAGGAAGGTCATGCGAGAGAGTCGAGAAGTCGAAATGGAGATTGAAGCAGATTCAACTGGGTCGGGAATCAGAGATGGGACGGTGTCCTTGGTGTATCGGGGTTGGCGGGTTGTGATGATATGTTCCAATCGCCGATGTTGGCGCTTCGACACAGTGGCAGCCTACGGCACTTCACAAAGCGCAGGAGGTCCAGAGTGTTTCAGCGAAACAAAGAGAATGGCATTCACAGAAGCGACGGGGAATGTTGAAGAAAGAGGCGTACACAGGGAGAGCCATCCCTCTCGACCTGAAGTCACGCGTCGGCTGCGCTATACCCGATTGGGCTTCACTGTGGAATCCAGTTCGCCCACTTGGCCGCACTTTATATCTACGATCCTCCCGTCCATCACCTTATCTATTGAATCTATCTCTTCTGGATAGTCTGGCAGGTTATCACTGACATGAACAGTGCATGTGTTCGGCTTGGTTGAGATTACGATCCCCGGAACAGTCTGACCATGTGGCCTTTGTTTTGATCGTTCAGTCTCAGAGTTGTTTACATTTGAGATAGCGCGTGGACTTATTGGGTCAAATGGACCGAATGAACTAGACAAAACGGGCTGCAGAGAACCCTCACCAGTCAAGTGGCTAAGTGGGGGGGGAAAGGTGATGTGAGGGAGCGGACGCGAATCCCGACGTGCGCGCTCTTTCACGCGCCTCGGACGCGCAGAGCTTGGGCCATAGCAACAAGGTCTCTGCCAATCATTTCAGCCGAGAATTGTAAACGATCTGAGTATTACTCCGTACACGTTCTCGGACACGATAACCGTGAGGCCCCATAGTTACCCATCTTAGTGCTCCTAGTCGATCCAAGGTCCCAGTCACCGCCAAATCGGAAAAAACCCTGCCACGTTTCCCCGCGGACTATGCCCCCGCGTTTGTCTCTGCCCTCTTTCTTTCAATTCCATCGCTTTTCCACCATGGCCTCCGAAAAGCCTGCCAAGGCCTTCCTGGACTTTGTCAATGCCTCCCCCACTCGTATGTTCTCTGATGAAATCCGTGGGGAACCTTTGCTGACTGGGGTCTAGCCTTCCATGCTGTCAAATCTGCCAAGGATCTGTTGAACAAGGCCGGCTTTCAGGAAATCAAGGTACCCAGCCCCTTCTCCACAAGGTTCGATTATCGCTCACACCTTCTATAGGAGAAGGATTCCTGGGCTTCGACTTGCAAGCCTGGTGGCAAGTATTACCTGACCCGTAACACCACCACTCTCGTCGCTTTCGCGATTGGAAAGAAATGGACGGTATGTATGAATCCGACCGTTATCACTCAATTCGCTAATGACACTTCCAGCCCGGAAACTCCATCTCTATGATCGGTGCCCACACCGACTCGCCTGTCTTGCGGGTCAAGCCCGTGAGCAAGAAGAACGGCGAGGGCTTCGTCCAGGTCGGCGTTGAGACCTACGGTGGTGGCATCTGGCACACTTGTATGTCTACCTCGGCTGAATGTTTGAAGAAACCAATGACTAACTCCATCAGGGTTTGACCGCGACCTGGGTGTTGCCGGTCGCGTGATGACTCGTGCCAGCGACGGCTCTATCGTCCAGAAGCTGGTCAAGGTCGACCGTCCCAGTATGTTGCATCCTATCCAGGAAGTAAGTTTAAACTAACTTCTCAGTCCTCCGCATCCCTACTCTGGCCATCCACCTGGACCGCCAGGAATCCTTTTCCTTCAACAAGGAGACCCAGCTTTTCCCCATTGCTGGCCTGGCGGAGGCCGAGCTCAACCGCACCGCCGACTCCAAGCCCGCCGAGAGCGAGGATGCATTCTCCCCATTGAAGTCCGCGACTGAGCGTCACCATCCCTACTTTGTTGAGATGATCGCTGCCGAAGCGGATGTCAAGCCCGAGGACGTCCTAGATTTCGAGATGATCCTTTTCGATACGCAGAAGTCATGCCTCGGTGGCATGCGTGAGGAGTTCATCTTCTCTCCCCGTCTGGATAACCTGAACAGCTCCTACTGCGCCACCGTGGGTCTCATCGACTCCGTTGCCAAGGAGTCGGCGCTCGACAACGAAGACGCCATCCGTCTCATTGCACTCTTCGACCATGAAGAGATTGGCAGCCGCACCGCCCAGGGTGCCGACTCCAACGCTCTCCCGGCTATCATCCGTCGCCTGTCGGTGCTCCCATCATCTTCCTCTTCGGACACGGACCTGGCAACTGCCTATGAACAGACCCTTTCCACATCCTTCCTAGTGTCCGCTGACATGGCCCACTCCATCAACCCAAACTATGCCGCCAAGTATGAGGCCGACCACAAGCCCCAGATGAACAAGGGCCCGGTGATCAAGATTAACGCCAACGCTCGTTATGCCACTAACTCTCCCGGAATTGTTCTCCTCCAGGAGGTCGCACAGAAGGCGACGAAAGAGAGCGGCAACCCCATTCCTTTGCAGTTGTTCGTCGTTCGCAACGATTCTAGCTGCGGTAGCACCATTGGCCCGATGCTGTCTGCTGCGCTGGGTGCCCGTACCCTGGATTTGGGTAACCCACAGCTGAGCATGCACAGCTGTCGTGAAACCGGCGGCACCTACGATGTCGACTACGCGATCCGACTCTTCACCGGCTTCTTCCAGCACTACTCGGAGCTGTCGAAGACCATTTTTGTCGACTAGACATCTGCATACAGATAACATGAAACAACTTGAGTGAAATAGATATATCTGAATCATGAACCATTCACGCAGGTTAAACGTACATGTAGAGATGCAAGTCAACCTTGAAAAAGCACAGAAAGTACATGCACGTGGTCGGCCCGAGATAAACCCGCCTCCTCAACTCCACACCTTATCACTTCCCCGACCCCATCGACCTGGAGCTGCCTGGACGACCATTAACCCCGTTCATGCCCCCATGACCCTCTATGACCGACGTCGATGCCTTTCGAGATGCGGAGTACATCGCTGACGTGTCTGGCATTGCACTCGACGATGCGGAGCCGGGCTCGTCAGCGCCCAGCAGCGACAGTCGCGTGAAGAAACTCCAATCGTCCGCAAAGATCGCCTTCATCGACCGGCTGTTGCGCGATCTGGACATTCTCATTTACTGCGAGCTTTCAGCGTTATATTACATGGAGTGAGTTGGGCCTTTCCCCGCAATTTGCTATCCCGCAACCTGCCCACCCGCCCCAAGGAGCTCACTAACACCTTACCTTTACTATAGCTGCTCTGTGGTTCTGTTTGCCGTTCGCGCCGTCGTAGAACTGATCTTCTTCACGCCGAAAGCGCCGCCATTCGATCCGACACGCAACCAACCGTTCGTCGGCGCCATCATCGCCAGCAACCTCTTCTGCATGATCTTCCACGCCTTCTTCATCCGACCCGAAGCCGGCGAGAGCACACGCGGGTACCTCCACGGCGGATTGTTCATCGATTTCATTGGACAGAAACCCGTACCCGTTTTCCGGCTTCTTTCATTCGACCTATTGATCTTCCTGGTCGATTTCGTCATGCTAGCATTGATCGTTGAGAGGGTCAAGACAGCAGGCAACCCCCCTTCTACAACCGACACCACAAATACAGACTCCGCGACAAGTACAGAACAAACCGACTCCGAGCGGCAGGATCATGACGCAGAGGAACGAGGCGTTATCCGAGAACCCGAGAACACGAGCCCAAGTGACACGCGGAGTACATCACCAGTCGCCGAGGTCGACGACGATGTTAATAACGAGCGAACAACCCTCCTAGCTGATCCCGGCGAGACTAGCTCTATACAGATACCGCGGGGCGGTCATCCATTGGACTCGTATTCGTCGGGCCTGGCCGTGATCATGGAGATGGGTTTCTTCAGCACTATACACGATCAATGGCGGTACACAACGACCCCTCGGCGTCCGACGACGGGCTACGTGCCCACGCCCGAGACGGCGACTTTCCTTCGGCAACGATTTGGGCTGCAGGTTGGGGCCGATGGACGTATTGTACGGGTTGGCCGATGACGTTCCTTGTCATTTGCAATGTATTTTAGCCTGAAACATTGGAATCTATTCGCAGTACCCTCGGTGCTGGTTACCGACGTACGACTATCTCTCCCTCACATGTAACCCTGAAAGATTGGATATAAGGGACGGTCATGATAATGTTACAAACAACTCTCTCTCACCCAGGCCCTTGGACAAACCACCTACACAGCAGGTGGCTTCCCCTCACCAACACCCCCATTCTCCTTACTCTTAACTCTACGATCCAAAATCTCATCCACAAGACCAATTTCCAACGCTTCCTGCGCACCCATGAAATAATCCCGCTCCATAAGCTTCTCGATCTCATCCAGCGACAACTGCTTCTTGCCCGTAAGATGGCGCTGATAGATCTGGTTAAGCTGGTGGCGCACGCGCAGGATCTCTTTCGCGTGGATGGCGATGTCGGTCGCTTGACCAAAGTACCCGCCTGAGGGCTGGTGGATCATAATCGAAGAGTGCGGGAGGCAGTACCGTTTACCCGGGTTGCCGCCACATAGGAGGAGGGAGCCCATTGAGGCGGCCTGGCCGACGCAGATTGTGCTGACTGGGGAGGCGATGTAGGTCATTGTGTCGTAGATTGCGAGGCCTTTTGAGGTTAGCTATTGATGTTGGGTTGGGTGGATTGGATATATGGCAGGTACCTGCTGTTACGGAGCCGCCGGGCGAGTTGATGTAGAGGTGGATTGGTTTCTGGGGGTTGTCGGCTTCGAGGAAGAGGAGCTGGGCGACGATGGAGGCGGACATGGACTCGTCGACTTCGCCATTAAGGCAGATGATGCGCTCCTGTGGCGGTTGTTAGCTAGGGTGAAGTAGTTTCGGATACGATCTCATACCTTGAGGAGCCGGGAAAAGATATCATCTGTTTAGTGAGCGCAGAAGCAGCTTGTTAGTCTAGTGTTCAGGGTAGAGGGGTCTCGTTGGGAGCTAGTGCGTAACGTACAGGTGTGCCAGCCACCGCCCTATAGCTTGTCAGTACTAGTCTCGGGTTTAGTAAAGTATGAGAGCGGGACATACCACTGTCTCGGTCACAAAAGGAGTGGGCGTCCATCCCCGCGCAGGCGTGCGGTCGAACGAAGGCGCACAGCTCGAGAAGGACCGCGGGATAGCTGCGGCAGGTCGGAGGGTAGAGACCGACGAGCGAGTTAATGATCGCCCTAAGCGTGGAATAGACAACATCGGACGCATCTTTTATCAGGCCGAATGCCACTCGTAGACGTGGTGACGAAGTCGAGAGGTGAAGGAGTTGCGAAAGGCGGAGCGGAGCTATCGATAACTCTATCGGCGCTAAGATATGAGATCCGGTCTCGTCTTCATCTATGAGCATTGGCCGTGCGAATGCAATAATATCTTCTTTCTGATTTTGGTATATGACTTTGAGTTATTGCTATGATTGTCAAATAAACATGTTATGATTTGAATCGACGAGATTGTCATAAATCCTATAGGTCGCTAGGTTCTTCAGCCGGTTAGACAAGTGATGTATCGCTCCTCCACCACCCATTGATTATATACGTCTGCCAGCAAAACACAAAAAGGGCATCTGAAGGCCCGCAAGAAGCATATCAACCAATTGAATGATTAATACATCAAGATCTCATCAATTGAGAGTTGTAGAACAGCATTAGAGGTCGCCTGGAATACTCCGCAAATCGAGACCTCTGATTGGCGCAACGTCCGCGGCAACTTTGCGAAAGCAAAAAGCGCGACTCACAACTCTCCTTCATCACCAACACAACACAATGGAGTGCGCCAGCCACCGGGTACCATTCGCAACATGGCGACTTCGCGTATTCCGCCAGCTCCTAACAACATCGCACCAGCCACACGTCACTCGCCGCTCCATCTCAAGCTCTCCACGCCATGAAGCTCCCGCAGATAAAGCCGACACCGAGACAAATATCCCACCGTCAAAACGACTCCCTCAATCCCCGCTAGTCACCAATATGCGCACCGGACCAGAAAAGCAACGCAAAAAGCTCCCTACCAAAGCAGACCTCAACCCGCTCTCCAAAAACCCCTGGGCCGTAGCGCTGGCATCGCCGCCGCGCATGTGTACCTTGACGGGCGCGCGACTGCCCCGCGATATCCTGGGAGAATGGGGCTTAGTGAAAAAACCCGATACGGAACTCAACTACATGCTCCCAGTGGGCCTGCTCAAGGACTCGTTGGCGCGCCAGCCAACACCCGCGCAGACCGAGGCAGCAGACGCGGCGAAGCATGAAGAACTAGGCGACGACGAGTCAGCTATGAAACCAGCGCGGAATGATAAAATGGGCCGCCAGCTCTTCCTCCGAATGCTCGACAGTCTTCCGTTCCTGCGGATTGTATCGCCGATTTTTGCCAGGAACGCGGGCAAGAAAGCAGCTGTTACGAAGATGGTGCCTTTTCGGTGGAAGCACCCGCATGGACCTATTACTTCTCGCGAGGAGAAGTCGATTGTGTGGATGGAGGGCATGCCGGAATATGTGCTAAAGTACATGCGGCGCGATGTTGCTAAAAAGTTGGAGGCGACGCGGCAGAAGTGGCATCTTGGTGCTGGTGATGGGGTGTGGAGTGTTCTTGATATTCAAGAGTTCTCGGACGCTGCGATAGTAGATGCGCTGGGGCGATTGGGATCAATTGAACGCGCGGAATGTGGCGCGGCACTTATTCTCCGTCCAGGGGGAGCTAATGGTGGGGATATGAACGAGGAAAGATCTTCTCCAGAGGAGGTCATTCACCCGCAGACCCAGAGCAAGATCCCCGTGTTTGATCTATCGGCACTTCTAGGCGAGTCTGATTTGGAGACCCTTCGCCAGACACAGGCTCCACATTACCAGCATAGGGCGCTGTTCTTCAGACCTGAAGATGCTTCGAGCATAAAAACGATGGTGTCACTTTGGAAGCTCAAACAATTCCTTCTGGAGGATCCCAAACTGAAAGTTTAACAATGTTCATTCGGATGGATGGGTTGCGTGTATCTATGATCTACAACATTTGAATGCACTATATAGACCATTTCCACAAAAACATGGGGAATCGATGTTCTCTAGTTTAGAAACGTAGTATCGTCGAATGCAAATCAGCACTCCTGACACCCATAACCACTAGAGACTCTGAATTCAAGATGACCGATGCAAATGCTTTTTATGCAAAGATATGCTAAGGTGGTGGTGTGATGGAATATCCAGGTAACTTTTATAGAAGACACGCTGATGATAAGAGGAACACCATGCAAATGATCAGAAGCAAGAGGTGGGACGCGAGACAAAAAAAGGAAGATTCGTATGCGTTCCTTTCTTCATCTCATGAGGTAGAGGTAATTTCAAGATCAATGCTGTTCTCGGGGATCCTCGGAAGATGGAAGCAAAGACCGAATGAATTCCTCACTGAGCGGGTCATATGGGAAGTACGAGTCGGCCATCTCGACGGGTCCTTGTAGCGAAGACATCAGATCCGGAGTGGGGAGGTTGAAGTAACTCGTCCAGAGGTCTGCTTCTGGGACCTGGCGCGAGCCAAAGATGGACATTTCCTCCGGCAAGGTGAAATAATCGCGCGAAGACGGAGCAGTCGGGGGGTGGAAGGGGAGATGAGCAGCGGTCATGGAAGAGTTGGGATCTTGCTGGTAGGGATGGGAGGGGATGTCGTCGATGGAGTATTTCATGCCGCTGGCGAGTTTGCGGAAGCTGGAGTCGCAGAGCTGCCATGCACGGCGGGAGCTGTGTTCGGGCATGGCGTAGAACCAGCGGATACATTTCTTTGCTAATCGCACGAACTTTTCTTCTTCTTCCGGCATGTGTACGCTTCCAAATGATAGTTCGAGGAGAAGCACTATTGCGGCTTGCATCATTTGACGTAGGATGCACCACCAGGGACAGATGTCGTAGAGTTGGAGGACGTTCGGTTCGTCGGGGATCAAGTCGATCATGCCACATGCCGACTCCAATGTGACGACTGCCATCGTATGGCTGAATGTAGGCTGTGATGATGCGTTTTGACGCGCATCACGCCGGCAGAGACACGGGCGGCCGAGAGTGATTCGTACGCTGTAGTAATGGAAGCCTAGGGCCAGTTTACAGCGCAGCTGGTTGTGGCTGTCGTCGGACTTCTTTTGCGTGAAATCAAGCCCCGCGGGAAGAATCGATCGCCAGAAGTCGATTCGCGACTTCGCTTCATCTATTCGACTTTCGATTTCTGACCATGGTAGCATGACGCAGTTGGTTGAGTAAACTTTGTTGATAATCTCCTGGGCGATGATCGTCAAGTCGCAGTTGTAAAGATAGCAAAGCCCGAAAGTAATAGGGAGGCTCCTGACCCAGGATTGGTCTCGTGTCTGAGATCTGTCCCTGCTGCCGGTTTGTCGAATCAGTGAGCTCGCCATCACGTTGTTGATCTGTTCGTCTCTCAAGTTGGGGTCGTTTAGAATTTCAATGGCGGCGGCATCTTCTTGAAGCTGATCTTCTTCGAACGGTAATGGCAACGGGGTCGCGTATCCTCCATCCGGTGTCGAAATAGCTCGACCGGTCATGATGCCTAGCATATGCTCGAAAGAGTATATGCACCACCATACTTTGTAGCGAGCCTCTTTAGAGATGTGGGGGGTTTTCAGGCTTTGGTTTTTTAGGTTGATACCGAGCGTAATGGCAGAGCGCACTGCCAAAGCTGATATTCTCCAGGCCCTGTATAAGAAATTAGGGCCGTTCCACCACGAAAAAGAAAAGGTTCCGATGCGAACCTGTTGATTTGGTCCGAGGCAAGAAGGTAAAATGCGATCAGTCCTTCCACTTGAACTTGCTGGAGATCAGGATGTGCGAACAAAGCCTCGCTGTTCATGCTAAGAAGTCTGGCGCGGGCCAGATACATCAAGTGGTCGTTTTGATTTCCGCGCCACGGGGAGTTCATGAGGTGGGCGTGCTTCGCCGCGATGGCGAAGATGACATTCAAAATAGCAAGCCACTTATCGCCAGGTCGGACCGAGTTGGATCGAGTAGAGTTGTCGAAAAAGGTCTGGTATTGGGCACAGAATAGCGTTTTGCTGATGATGGGGAAGAAAGGGTGCACGGTTTTCAAATAGTCGTCAAAGAGTCGGTCCGCCAAATGTCGAGGAGGCATAGTATACTTTTGAATCGGCTCGGCCACGGAGATGCTGAGGTCGTCAAGGTGATAGTTCAAGGCGCTGAGTGAAAATTTATCCTTCGTTTCGTCGTCTTCATCACCTTCTGATTCCAAAGTGCCACACTTGCCGCGGGCACGCTGCTCGGCTTCTCTCTGCAAGCGTTGCATCCAGGTAATTTCCGAGGTCTTGCCCATGTAGCCCGTTGCTCGAGTGTGTTCTGATCGGTTATGATCCTCTTCCACTCGGTCAATGGCGTCCAGAGACCCAATCGACGACAGCGGAGATGGTTCCTCCGGCTCCATCTCATTTTGAGGCGTGGAGAGTTGAGAACGGACGTGGTCAAAGGTACTGTCCCCCTTCAAGTCATGCTTGGAAGAAGGGTCAGTCCTGGCACATTGCAGTAGCGAGTAAACACACCTTTTCCAGCAGAGTCTTGATCCAATCCGTACGAGACTCGACTGAATTTCGTAAATCGTCCATGAAGCTTTCATAGTCCTGCACTTCAGCCGAGAGCCTGTCCACCTCCCTGTTGAGCCGCAAAAGACCCGTTAGTAATTTGTTTTCATTTCTAGTACTCCGTACGAAGGAGAATCGTGTTGGAAAAAAACCACCCACCTTTTCATTTTTTCCCTCCAACCGACGGGATAGTGGCAGATCACCCTTAGTTCTCGACATTGGCGACACACGGGGGTGTCGCCGCTGCATTTTGTTTTGCGCTGTCTACACGACTCGCACGCTCGTGGGACCCGCCGGTTGTAGCGCTGAGTGATTCCCGGCGGCTGCCGGGGAATCGCAACTTTGGCATTGGAGGCCTTCGAATTTGTAAATTTGGCGTCTCCCAGCGCGGGTGCTGAACTGGAAGTTTTCCCACTTCGAGGGGTATCCCCCGAAGCCCGCTTGGGAGTACCAGGGGCACTATGCGTCCCGGACTGTTTCGCAGACGCTTCATTCAGCGCAGCGCCCTGGCCAGAATTGTACGAATGTTTTTGTTTTTTGCTGGTCATGAGAGCAGTCGACAGTTAACACAGGAGGAACAACTAAATTACTAGGCTACGAGCTATCATGGTCAAAGAGGTGCCAGTGCCAGTGTGACACCTTTTGCTTCGGTTTGAGATGCCGCCAATGAAAGCCCCGTATTTGCAGAATGCAGACGGGTGGGGATCGGAGCCCTAAGAGGTGAGGACGAAATAAAGTGGTCAACTGTTCAATCTAGAGCGCCGCTCTCGCCCTTCTCTCCCGACCGGTCCGACGTCAAATTGCAGGTCCAAACAAGCGAACTGCTTCGGATTGGCCGGCAGCCCATCCCACCGTGCCTTTCCACTCCCCCGCTTTTTCAGGTTTCGGGAGGAGATGCGCGGCTGAGATGATCCGCAGAATATGACACGGGATGAAGTAAGGGACCAGGGTGTCGGGATTGCGTGTTTTGGTCTCGGGGCTCACGGAATCCTGTTCTTTTCGTGCTTTTGCTCGCGTGAGGCTTTTTGCTCGTCTTGGGGCCATCGCTTTTGTTTTTCTCCACAAATTGCCGCCTTTGGAATGGTACCGACTCATCAACCGGACATGGTCGAACAGATATCTGCTGGTGCAAGCTTGGCCTGTGTTAGTTTACCTTCTTGACCGAGGTCGAATCCAGGTGGACTGCTCAATTTGCTTTCATTCGCAATGTCGACAAATTGATGCCTGGCAAGTGCCTTCCCCTCCTTTTTACTGTTCCACTTATTCATCACGTCATACAGCTCCCCTGCCTTGTTGAGAGCAAACGTGTTTGTTCATCGCACACGGCCAGTATCTCCCGTGTGGGACCTCAACCAACCATGGCGGGGTTGGAGGGGTCTTGTATAGTGCTTGCACGGAGAATGTTTGGTACGAAACGTGGGCAGGATAAACACTTCCGCCAATTCTGATTGGCATTCTGCGGTGAGAATTCACTGCCGAGCCGGTGATTGGCGGGATGGTAGCCCAGATCAACAGTCCCAATTGGCGGAACCAGAATGGATTTCTCACGATCGGCTTCAGGAAAACCGCGGACCGTCACGAGAATCCGAGCCATGGTGTCGGGTTCGACATAGGGTGGAAAGTGGGACGCACGCGATCTCCCAGGGGGCCGGATCTTGGAACTGGCAGAAGCATTCCCACCCTCTTCCATGCCTCTATAGGAGTGGGTAATGATCTTACCCCGGTCAATATCTCTCCGTCTTGATCTCTTGTCGATTGGAAGTCATCATTGGCGGCAAGTGAACAAACAAGCGGGACGTTCACACCGCCATTGCGAAGAATGGGCCGGCTCCAGTACATGGGGTCGCAGGGGGGTTTCGTTTTGACCCGTGGATTCGCAAGCCGGCGTGCACAAGACGGGGAGGAAAAATTTCGTAGAAGCGACGTAAATATTGACGAATATTAGTGGGTATTCATCCAAGGCGTGACCGGGAGAATAACTGAAAGAAGAAAATTAAAATAGTCGACCTCAAACCTGGAACGCTCTCCTATTTAGCGTGTTGGACATGCATCGAGTGGCAAATTCTACGGCCCCGTGTCACGGCTTTACCCAAAACGCTTAGACCGGAATGACTTGCACCTTTCAAGGCTTGTGATATCGTCTCCTGTTCCTGCTTCAAGGATGATATTTGGTGCAGTCTTGTTCCAACTGAATGATACTCCAAGAGGCAGCATTCGACATAACTGAAGCCCGCCGGCGTCTCCACCGTCAATCATATGTGCGGGCGCCATACTATGGGTATACTGCCGATGCTCTCCGTTCATAGATTCGGTACTTCCTATTTTGGCTGATGGTTGACTTTCTGGAGGCTATACTGTCTAAAGAATCGCTGGCAAAGCTTGAATGTCTGGTTAGGGATGTAGGTTGGGAAATTGAAGTCTCGGACTTTACGTCAACTCCGCGCCAGTTTCCGGAGGTCTGCCTCAAGTGATGAACGAGCACGATTCTTGGATGAACTCAACAAAATCACATCACCCGACTCACCAAGCTCAATCTGCACAGACTATTAAAGCATCGCAGTCGATCTCCGAGGCTGGGGCCAATCGACCGGTCCAGCGCAAGACGATGGAGCCACGTACTCGATCTCTAGCATGGCGGCAGATTTGGTCTACGTTCTGGATCAGATGGTAACACAAAATGGGATCACTTGCTTCTGCGGGAGGGGCTCGTTCTCGTCGGTCATTCAATGGGTGCTATGCCCCCTTGGATGCTGTCGAAAGTCCGCGGCCTGCCGAGATGAAGGCTCAGCAGCAGGTTGCTTACGAGTCAGAAGAATCTGTACGCTGGACGGTCGATAATGTCTTGGCAAACACTGCGAACTTGACTGCGCTTGATATCGACATGATTGTCCGTGACAGCTTAGCCGGGAACCCTTTGGCGAAGAAAGCTTGGCCTTTGTACGGGATGCAAGAAGACGTTTCTGAGTCCGCGCGGAAGATTTCGACCTCCAAGGTATCTATTGGGGTCCGTGTAGTCGTTGGCAATGAAGATGTCGTGGAGCCCATGGATAGGGTTCAATCCAAGGTCGTCTCATTCCTACGAGAGAATGTTCGAGGTTTCTATGGCCGTTGCGAAGGACGCGAAGCACCTTCTGCCGCTTGAAGCTCCGGAACTAATCGCCCAGGAGATCCGGCGATTCTGATGTCTCGGGTGGATTACTTTGTGCCCTAGCTTCGGCGGAAATATGCACTCCAGAATATCTCTAAAACAACATTTAATCTATCGAATCAAGTCTCTCAAGACAGATGAAAGACTCTACAACTCCGATCCCAAGAGATCAGAGAGCTTATCCAAGTACGCATGAGGACGCACAGGACCCGAGACAAAGTCCTCCTTAGAGCTTACACCTGTCAACACGCCAAGTGTACCACCCAGCTTGCCTTCCAAGCCAAAGCGGATATCAGTGTTAGCACGGTCACCGACCATGCACGCACGGCTACGATCGAACTTGAACTTGCCCTCGATAGCATCCATCATCGCCTGGCTAGGCTTACCGAGTGCAGTAGGGTCCGAGCCGAGCATCATGATCAGCGGCGCACTCATAGATCCAGCCCCGGGGAACAAGGTCCCCGAGCTCGGAAGCGTGGAGTCGATGTTCGTGGCAAGGAAGACGGCGCCGCGCTTGATGTAATGGAAGGCTAGTGCCAGCTTGAGGTAGTTCAGGTGATAATCCAGACCGACGAGAACAACGCCGACTTCGGGATCGATAATAGAAGAATCGTCCTCGGCGATTTTCTTGAAGTCCTCGGGCTCGACGTCGCGGCGATAGGCCGGGTCCGTGCCGCCAATGAAGGGAACATTCTCGGAGCGCAGCTCCTGCTCGATACCAGTCTCGCCGATCACAAAGACCTTGAGCTTATTCTCCGGGAGCTGGAGAATGCGCGAAATGTATATTGACGAGCTGTACGAGGAGGAAAAGACCTCTTCCTGGGAGGATATGAGTCACCGTGCTCAGGCTGCTTGTGAAGGTTATATGGACTAACCACTGTGCTCGGGATTCCGAGGCCCTGCAGCTTCTTGCAGTAGTCTGCGCGAGACTTTGTGCTGTTGTTTGTCACGAAGACCAATTGTTTGCCTGCCGAGAGTCAGCCTCTCCGCCTGTGTAACGTTGCCGGATTCGATGCGCACCATTGTTGCGCAATAACTCGAGAGTTTCGACCGTGCCGGGAAAAGTGTGGTCACCAGACCACAGGACACCTAAATCACCAATTGTATCTCAGTATGTTGTTGTGGAAGAGCTCGCCGGGTCGGTGGGCGGAGGAGCGGGGAAAAGGCCGAGATCAAGGGAGCGCGGAGGACAAACCGTCGCAGTCAAACAGGAAGACCTAGAGAGTAAACGGTCAACTAGGTGAGACCTCAAACGTTCTGTAGGCAGAAAGGACATACATCGAACTTGGTCAAGAACTCGCGGAGACCGTCCTTGTTGCCGGTCAGATAGAGGGGGGCCGCGGTCGACGCCGGGTGCAATTGCGCCATGTTGGCAGTGATGGAACTGAGGGATCGCGCGAAAGGAGCGCAAGATTGCCGAGGGATGCGAGAGTGAAAGAAAGAGAAAGCGCGGGCTCGGAGCCAAGTCATTGACACTGTTCAACCCGAAGAGACTCCTCGGTGACTCGCCGATCGCGTGGGGCCGCGATTTATCAACGTGCTTGTTGGCTAGGTACATTGCTACACTCTGCCCTCAATGTGTACAGTCTCGGCCTTTTCTTCATCGCGATCTTCCATCTCCTTCCCTTTGAACTGCTGCTGTCCAATATCCGCCAAACTAACCCCCTCAACCCGCAGTCTCTCCAGGTTCTTCGCTGCCTCGGCTTCTTCATCACGCTCTTCCTGCGACATCTCGGGACCCCAGAAAAGGAAGAACAGAAGAAATGCCCACACTGCACCCATGAAAATAGCAATGACCTTTCCATAGTTAAAGCGCTTCTTTCCATCGGGTCCCGGTGGCAGCGGAAATCGTTCCCCAATAATGGATTGGATGGTAGCAGAAGCAGAAGATCCCAGATTGCCCAGTTGATAGGTCAACCCGACCATCAAAGAGCGAAGTGCGATGGGCGACAGGTCAAGCAGATGAATGGGCATCGGACCCCAGACACCACCGACAAAGAACTGTTCGAAGAAGGCGCTGGCGACCAACGACATATTGAGTGGCAGGACGTACGCCGGGATTATAGCTCCGCCAAGGACGCACGATACCAGCATGGTCAACCGCCGACCAAGAAAAGTGCTGATATATCCGACTGAGCAGCCTCCTATTAGAGCACCGATTTGACCCCACGACCGTGATGACCGTGGTGTCCGTTGCATCCATTCCAACCTGGTCCTTCAGGAAGGTCGGGTAGAAGTCCTGGCTACCATGGGAGCAGGAATTGAACCCCCTCATCAGCACGACCAGATAGACAAAAAGGACCCAGTTGTCACGAAGAGCGCGCCCAGCGTCACGGATAAAGACCCGAAGGCCCTTTGAATGTTCGTGGTTGTCTCCTGCTGCGTTGGCACGCGCCTCGCGTTCTGCTTTCATTACCTGGTAATGATTTGTCTCCGGCAAAAACCATCGAAAGGCAATGATCAATACAGGTGGACCTGCTCCAAACTAGAAGAGACTTCTCCAGCCGTGCGACGTGGTGGGGACAAGCGCCCGGTAGAATGCCGCAGCGAGCAGATGACCCGTTGCATATCCCATCTCAAAGAGGCCCGAGAGAAGACCGCGCGCTTCATATGGTAAGTCTTCAAGAGCGGTAGCAGCAGCAGGGCCAAAGAGTCCTACAGTTTGTCAGTCTCTCTTATCTTCAACGCTTTATGGAGGATGCCCACCTCCCATGGCAATCCCGTACAGAGACCGAACACCCAGAAACTGAGGTAGGGTATTACAAGACCCCGCGCAAAGCTCCAAAATAATAAACAGACATAAGTCGATAATCATGGGCCACTTCCGCCCGTATCGGTTCGCGAGTATGCCGAAGATGACGGCACCGACGGATCGAAGCATGAGGGTGACTGTCATTCCATAGATAGAATATCAGCTTTCAAAAAGTTCCTCAAACTGGTCAAGATCATACCCAAGAGACATCTGAGTACGACACGTCAAAGGCCTCTGAGATCTCGATGATTGTCATCGACACCGTGAAAAAGTCAAAGGAATCCCATGTCCATCCCAAGAAGCCCGCGGCGAACATGAGCCATTGGTGGGATGTCAATTCTTGTAGAATGGCAACGGGGTTCCTCAACATGTTCTATTTCACACCGTTAACATCCTTCTCAAATTTCTCGCGGTTGACTGGTCTACCTTGGGCGGACTCAGGCTTGACAAGCGTGTGGAAAAGTGCCGAACTATCTGACTAGGGGAGTAGAACCACCCGGCTGCCATATGATTCCTCATGATGAAAAGAAAGTGACGGAGGGGATGCACTTTGGAACTTGCGCACTGCTTTAGTTGCTTAAGTAGCGAATAGACTCGCAACCTGCCTATCTTCCCCGCTCCAGAGTAGCGCATTTCCCGGGGCGAGAACTAAACCTTGGTGCTTAAGTCCCCATCCAAGACTTGCCATTGCTGTAGAGAGGGGGGAATACTCTGATGGAGTTACAGACTTGTAATTCTCGTGCTTTAGTGAGCACAAGAACGCAGGTCCATTCACATAGGGTACCAGTAGAAGAAACGAGCATCTGTCTGATACACAAATTGTGCTTCTTGTCGCGTTCCAATCTACAAGCTGATGCCTGTGCGAGACCGTCAATCTCCGCAACGAGTATTCCCCGCATCGCGCATCAGCCAAGACCCAGGACGCGGTAAACCCCCTGTTGCGATTAACCAACAGTGGAGATGGGTCCATTACGTATTGAGGCCAACAATCCAGGAACTGCCTGTGTGCTTATTTCTGGCGCAGATCAATGGGTGTAATCGTTAGATCATTTCAAAGTTGATCACGATGGAGATACGCCAAGATCGGAGATTTCTGTTCATATATGCAGTTCTATCTATTATTAATCCCCAAAAACAACCCATTACGGGACAATATACCCTAGAGAGGAGCCAGTTGCAGTACATCAAGCTCGACCGTGATTCGGGATACCTCTCCCACAGACTTCAGAGCATCCAGCGCGTCCAGGAAACCCTTTTCTTGAGAGCCTTCCGAGTACTCCTAATCAAAATTAACATGTGTTGCGGGGAATACGGAGAATCGGTCCTACCTTCGAGCCCTGCCATCCAATAATTCCGGCGACCACATCATTCTCAAGGTTCGAGCTTTTCCCGTATGCAACGGAAGCTTGACGTCTGGCATTCCCAGAAAGGTGCCCAGATAGCTTCTCCCATGTTTTTAAGGAAACATCAATATTTTGGGAGTTTGACAGGCTCGTCCGAATAATCTCAACAATAGGCGATGAAGCTGCATCTCTGGGACTAGCGTTTGTGTCGAAGAGTTGTAGGGTTGCCGGCCCACTCATTAGATGCTTTATGGAAGCGACAGCATCCTTGAGTTGTTCTGATTTAAGGAAATTATGGAAAGAATCCATCTTGTCCCATTCTGAGCCATGGCCATGTTAACACTTCATTGGTGTAAGGCTCCATGCAGACTTACCGAAGATGACTATTTCCCTGGAGTCTTTCGTCACGTCATTCCCATTGTCGTTGACAACAAAGCCGCGAAACGCATTGAGAAATCCAGGATTAGGATGCGTCAATTTCTTGCGGAAGATTGGGGCGATTTGCTCGATCGCCTTGATCGAAGCTTTATCATTCTTGAGTGCTGGAAAGAGGAGCTCGGTGATAGCCATTGTGGATGAACCCTTGCCTTTTTCTTTGATAGAGAGAAAAAATTTATAATAGCAGAACTTTAGAGATCTTCATGCCCTTTAATAGTTGCGAAAATACATCAATGTATAACAATTTGTCAATTCTGCGGACTTCGATGTATGGAATCTGACGAGTGGAGTGAAGCTTGCAGTGTGAATGGACAGCCGTGTGGGTCTTGTGGGACTGCGGACTTTCAGCGGAGTTTGGTCATCATCGTATTTCTCCCACCCCCTCTCTTCCAGTCCCGATGATCATAATTTAAGAATGTCTCGCAGGCTGCTAATTACTCGTTCTCGGCAGAAGTCGTGTGTCGCATGCGCCGGAGGGAAGCGGCGTTGTAACCGGCAAATCCCGCAATGCTCACGGTGTCTCGCTCATGGACTGCAATGCATCTACGTCAGTCGACAACGGCAACAAACCCCTCCCAAGGCACAATCAATCGATTCCACATCACCTAACAATTTCGTTGACATTTTATCATTTCTACCCGAAGACTTTCTGTTCGATGATGCGGTAATTGACACCGCGTGGCTTACTTCGAGTCCTCTTCTCACCGCACCAACATCACTCCCAGCGGGCCTTTATCCAGAGACAGCCGTCGTAGACAGATGGTCAATAAATCAGGCTTTGCAGAGAATCAAGAATTTCCCGCACATGTTTGCATGCTCTCGAAGAACACTGTTCATTCACCATCGGTTATACGATGCATATCTTCCGGACGCCATCCAAGATGCCTTCACAGTCTCTGCAGCATATTGCAACAGAACAGTGGAAACCGTGGATATGGTGTTGCGTATCCTGGAAAACAAAGCCGCGAATCTAGTGAAAGAGGACCGTAAATCAAACTCACTAGAAGAGCTGCTTGCATCTGTGCAGGCATTACTTCTTTTCCACATTATCCAGCTCTTCGATGGTGACATCCGGCAGCGCTTTCTAGCCGAACAGAACATGGACATACTACGCACGTGGACCGCACAGCTACAAGATCGAGTGAGCGACCTAGACTCCACGCCAACATGGCAGGAATGGATATTCACGGAGAGTGCCCGCAGAACTGTCATTATCTCGGTGTTTATTGATGGATTATATTCGGTACTCAAGACGGGGCAATGCTCGAATATCAGGGCGCTGAGCGTACTCCCGTTCACTTCCGGGGCTACTCTGTGGGATTTGACTTCGAGTGCTTCGTGGCTTGCCGAGTCGCATGGTCTTAGATCTCATACTGTGCTCTATGGTGATTTCTCGAGGGCCTTTGAGAATGGACGAGTTCCGGGTAAACTGGATGGGTTTCAGAAATTGCTGCTTGCCCCTTGTGTGGGTGAAAGGTATAGGGAAGTGCTGGAAATAGAAGCTTAAGAGTTCTTGTCGGAATCAGCGATCCAGGTAGTCCCTCGGGAATTAATATGACCTTTCTCCTCATACGAAAGATGGTAATCTCAGGACTTCCAGGCCGCACACCGGCTTTTCCTTGTGGAATAATAGCACTCTTGTTAGAAATTGAGCTCAAGTGTGATAGCGTCCAGAGTGACACGCGAAAATACCTCAATCGACTGAATCTCAAATGTGGGTACCAGAAGAGATTGTTTTCAGTTCCCTGTAAGAAAGCGGCTGTCTGAATTGACATTGTTAATATGCTGCTTTGGTACTTGACTTTCTTTCTTGGAGTGGTTTGGTGTGTTCGTCGGACGGATAGAACGGTTGATATGTGCGACGCTAAATGACTAAGGGATCAAGGGGGTCGGTTTGAACCTTTTAAGCAATAGTGCCTTGAGAAGGAAGAATGGGCGGAAAGCAAGTTAAGAAAAGATTGATGGGAGGCTGGACGAGAACTTCCAACAAAACCGCGAGAACTGAGCAATTTTCACGTTTTTCCTCACTTTACTGTCGCCTATTCCTACGAAATTTTATCCGAAGCACGGATCTCCTCAATCCGAGAGTGTATTTCTCTTGAAAGATATTAAATTATCACTGTAAATACTAAGGTATAATACAAGTGCGGCCAAAGTCTTCTAAAGAAAGTAAAGAAAATAGAGGGCAACCTCCGTTGTGCTCACTCTTAAGTTCAAATTCCTGAGCGGTTGCATAGAATCAACCTTTAGAAAATAATAGCAGCTCCCAATGCCACCGCAGCGGCGGAAACACCAATAAAAGCACCCAATCCATCCCAAGCAGAAGCCCTGGGAGCAAGTCGCCCGGCAGCATTCGACGTAGAAGTCGAAGAACTGGTAGCGGCGGTGGTATTGCCAGTGGCAGTTACCTGGAGATCGGAGGGGTGATGCACAAGAGTCACCATAGGAATATAGGAGATTCCAGTATACATCTGCTGCTCCATAGAACGGAAGGTTTTAGAATGAGTCTTGGTAACACTCTCGACGTAGTGAGGAATGTCGACGAGGACCGTGCTGGTGGCACCGCCGTCCGTCTCGGCCATGGAGGACCTCTCGTAGCTGTACTCTTCTGTCGACCAAACGTAGCAGCCGACGGTTGGTGTATAGTCTGGGACGGTGGAGTAGCATCCGCCCATGTTGTCTGCGGTCATGGAGCTATTCAGGTTTAGCTATGCATGGTTTCAGAATGTATCTACATAACGTACCTCGGGCAGCAAAGCGCCATGGTCTCCGATGATTCGAGTATATTGGCAAGGATGGATGCATCATTGTAGTACTGCCGGTGGGCAGTCGTAGTGGCTGGAACCATATTCCCGGAGTAGCTGAGGGATTCATTCTCAACGCGAGCAGCTAGGCCGACAGTCGCCCATCCAGAGGGACAGTGAAGGCCGGGAGAGTAGTATGATCCAGTTGCATAAATATCGTCATAACCGGTCGAGGTTGTTGCAGGGGCTGCGGTGGTGGTTGTAGGTGGGAGACAGTCCGCATACCCGGTTGAAGAGCATTGAACATTGTACTGGACGTAAGGGATGCCAGACCGAACTACGCCAATCTCCAGTCTGTCTGACGCGGAGCAACTGGGGGCCGGGGTGAAAGTAGCAGTGGCAGGGCCAAGGTTCTGGAAGGTGTACCATCCATCGCCGACTGATGCTGTAGGGAGAGGCATGACAATGGTCAAGTATAAAATCACGTAAGAAACTCAAAATTCAAACCAGAAGGAAATCAAAAGAGCGAAAGATCCATTTTTCAAATAAGGGATTTTAACCGTACTAAATACAAAATCTCGTCTCAGCGTTTAGCGGCATGGGAAACTCTCCGATGGTCAAAGGAGGCTTAAAAGCAATCTCCGCCGCTCTCGCTAAAGGTCCGAATACCAAGCCGGCGGGCTTGGCAGGGACCAAAACCGCATCAAAGCCACCAGCTAGTGCTAGCTTAGGTTAGTGATGTCTCTCAAGGTCACACGGCGAGGCTCGAATGGTTCCTTTTGGCCCCAAACTTTAGCGTGCCGAGACACCCAGCGACGTCTAGCGCCCTACAAGCGTGGTAGAGGTGGACAAACGGCCGCCACTATTGAAATTTTGAGCGTTTCCACGCACAAAGCGAGATTAGATGCAAGTAGCGGTTCTGCCTTTCATCGGAATCCCTGGATCAACGGCACCGAATTCTCTAAATGGCAGGTTGCCAAGGTATAATCTCTGTGCTGCTCAACGCAACTTTTATCCACACTTCCAAGTTCAACTAAAAGGGGCATATACGTAGTAGATGTTGGGTAGAGTCTAAAAGTGTGGTTGCAGTTGCTTGAAGACGGTTTAATGCCCGTACCTTGCCGTTCATCATAGCGGTGTATTCCCATGTTTATCCTTTGGGTGCGGGTCAACCTTGCGGGTCGCGAGTAGCTGTGTAACAATAGCTTCATGCTTGTTCTTTAACGCCCACCATAGCGGCGTACGTCCATCATCGCTCTTCGCGTCTGGGTCAACCTGATGGGTCGCGAGTAGCTGTGTAACGACAGCTTCGTGCCCTTCCCTTGCCGCCCACCATAGCGGCGTCTGCATATAACCGCTCTTGGCGTCTGGGTCGACCTCGCCGGTCTGAAGCAGCTGATTGACGACAGCTTGGTGGCCTTTCCTTGCCGCCAACAATAACGGCGTCTCTCCACTTGCATTCTTCCGATTCGGGTCGAGCTTGCCGGTCTTGAGCAGCTGTTTGACGATGGGCTCATGCCCATTCCTTGCCGCGCACAATAGCGGCGTGTACCCATGCCTGTCCTTCACGTCTGGATCAACCTGGCCAGTCTCGAGTAGCTGCTTGACGACAGCCGTATGCCCGTTATTTGCCGCCCAAAATAGCGGCGTGTACTCATATCTATCCTTCGGGTCCAGATTGACCTGCTTGGCCGCGAGTAGCTCTTTAACGACAGCCGTATGCCCGTCCTTTGCTGCCCTCCCTAGCAGCGTGAACCCATCTCTATCCTCCTGGTTTAGGCCAACCTGACCCATGGTGAGTAGCTGCTTAACGACAGCTCCATGTCCATTCTTTGCCGCGTGCCATATCGGTGTCTGTTTATCACTGTCCTTCTGATCTAGGTTGACTTTGCCGGTCTTGAGCAGCTGATTGACGATGATTTCATGCCCATTTTTTGCCGCCCACAAGAGCGGCGTACATCCAGCACTGTCTGCGGGGTCTGGAGAAACACGTAGATCTCTTAGCAATAGCTCAGCTACATCGCTAGCTCCTACTTCTGACGCATATGACAGAGGTGTCCTGTGTTTGGAGTCCTCCGAGTTTGGGAAGCTCCCCCAATCGATCAATTCCCTGACAACGCCGAGACTCCCTTTCTCTGCTGCGTATGAGAGTGGCGTTCTTCCTGTGGAGTCTTTAAACTCCGGTTCGGCACTTAATTCGAGCAAGGCAAGTGTCACCTCGACCCATCCGTGCTTGGCCGCCAAACAAAGGGCGTTCCCTTTCTGTTTGCTGTCCATCTTAAATTCCGGTCGCGTGAGAGAGATCAAGGTTGTAGTCAAAGAACCTGTTTCAATCGCCGCGGAAAGTTCAGCGCCACCGCATTCATCTCGTTCGATTCCATTTGCAATTTCAGCATAGCGATCTATCACTTCGCACGTAGATTCCAATTGGTTAGACTTCTGTTCCTTGAGCCATTGGATACCATCGTTGCCGAATTTTTTCTTGTCTTCTTCCACCAAAGCCCACCGGTATAACTCTCCTAGTGCAATGGCCGCTTGTTTCGCAAGTGTGTCTTTGGGACTCAGTAGGTGACGATCGTCCCCGTCAACTGTATATGTATGAGAAGGCTGAAACCGAGTACAAATCTCCCATGCCCACCGTAGCACTGCTTGTGCCTTTTCCCACCGTTTGCCCCGTCGATGCTTATTTGCGTTTCTTCTTGCGGCTGCTAAGACATTTTCTGCAGAGGAAATCTTAAGTCGAGATATCAACAGAGGCACAACACAGGTTAGAGCCTCCTGTCTTGAGCCTAGATCCATCTCTGTAAACAACTTGACAATCTCAGTCACCAAGCTGCTCTCCAGTCGAAAAGTATCCGCTTCTTGAATATCAATGCTTCCAATGTCGTCCACGGCGCCAAGAACGCACGTGGTTAATGATGCAAACACTTCCTTGGTACATGATGATAGAAGCGAAGATTTTGTCGGGACTGACCAAAGACCAAATACCTCGGGGGTTTGAATCTGCGAGAACTGTGCAGCGTTCCAACCAAAGAAACGAATTTGCTGTTGGCCAGGCCGCGTGGCTGATAAGGGCTTCCAGATTTCCTCCATATCAGTATTCCATATGGTACTCGCGTCGCCGTGATCAGTGGGTGTACAATAAAGTTTGTGTTTCGTGAAACTGTTTGTATCGCCACCGAGCCATATTCTTAAAGCCGATTCTGTGAAATTCTGATCGGTTGAAACAATCTGTCGTGCATCAACACCAGCAGCTCCAGATTTGGTGAAGCCAGTCTCTGGGTCTTTGGCTTCTATTGCTGGATCAGATTTGAGTGACCAGATCCACAGCCCCAGGAGTCCTTCCAGCTCTAGTCTCCCAGTGTCTTTGAGTTTCCAGGGGTTTCCCACGCTGTTGAAATCTTCCGAATCTTTTGAACGAGTGAGCTCTAGGTAAACGGTATACTGCTTTCGAGATACCACGGCGTCCTTGGGTTGGTCAAACAGGTCGGTTGACTTGGAGCAAAGGGTGCATTTAATGCCCCAATACATCGATTGAGCTTCCTTCCACTCATTCTTGACCTTGGCTATTGAGAATATTGTATTCACGGTAGCCTCGATTAAATCAGCAAGTTTCTGACTCTCGCGTCGAACCTCAACCATTTCAGTCTTGAAATCCATTGCACCCGATGTAGGAAGGGCAGGAGATGAAGATGTAAGCTCTGCCAGGCGGGTCCGATACGCTAATAATTTAGCGGCGGCATTTGGAGACTCGTGAGAGGGTGATTGTTTGTACCTTATTCTGTCCGTGAGGTCAGATGCACCACAAAATCTCCAGAAGTAACGGACTCGAGGGTCAGAAGGAGAGTCGGAAGGTGACAGGGTAGATGATGAACTGAAGGATAGACTAGGGGGCGATGAGCCCCGTGATGGGCATTCTAGGGCATCTCGGATATCCCTTTGGCCAATGCGCAAGGCGAGCCAGTCTAGTTCATGCCCAAGCACTTCGTCAGGAAACTTAGCAAAGGAGTTGGCGTCTGGCTCAACCCGCCGCATACGGAGTGCAGCCCGAGCCATGCTCATCACCATAACGACACCCAGTTGGGCCACAGAGACTGTTGAGTGTATACCACGTAGGCCGATAAACTGGAGGACGAAGCCAGAGATGGTGATGCCAACGGCTATCCAAACTTCAAGTTTCGAATCCACAGACACGTTCTTCCTTGAAGTCGTATACTGTTGCAACCGAATCTTGGGATCTTCGCTATCCGTGTAAGAGAAGGCGTCAAAAGTTTGATCGCCAACGATTTGGCCTCCAGGCTGGACCCAATACATCGATGATATGTCGTGATCATTACGTTCCCAGACTTCCTCATCCGTACTCTGACCGATGAGAAACGCGCAATAAAACATCCCACTGCAGACAAGAAGAGTACCAATCATCACCAGTGGACATGCATAGGACTCTGGACGACCGCCATCCTTCTCCCATTTTAAGTAGTATGTCACAACTCCAGCGAAAACCAAAACACCGCCCTGTAGAACGAGGCCGGCAAGAGCAATTGCCCAGAAAGCAGTATCCGATAGTTTCTTGATCCCGATGTTGAGAGAGAGGTTCGGAGCAGCCGCTGTCTGGGGAGGCTCCTCTTTCGGGGCTGACTCGGCGTCTTTTTGCCCTTTATTTGGTTTTTTCCTATACCACGCGTTCTTGCCTTTTCTCTGGACGTATTCTTGAAATGTGTATATCCCCGCCTTCTCGTCGTGGAAACCGTGATCCGGGTCGTGAATGATCTCCAGAATCTTCGGACGGCCGAAGACGCGCGCAATGCCACCCTTGTTGTAGAGTTCACACACATCCCGGCTTGTAGAAGAGCACAATTCAGCCTCTGCATCTCCGGCTCCTTCTTGAGCTCTACCGATGAAGGCGCGTAGCGACGCGCTTCCACACACTCGAATTACAGAGACAACCGCTGTCAAGATGCCCATTGGCGCCATTGCGAAAATAAAATAATCAAGCATAGAGATGCTCTCACTGAGAAACTGCTTCGTTACCTGCTCACCAAAGAGAGATAGAAACGGCGCGAGATCGGTGGCCAGATTGTTCGAAAAGTCGTCCCAGCCATCTGCGCGGACAACCGGAAGGGTGGATATTGCGAAAAAAAGAAAGGTATGTACGGGCATCCTCAGTAAAGAGTAATTTGATATAACGACAGCGGTATAGAATTGATATTGGACTCCAGCAGAGCACCGGTAGGCTTTTAACTATTACACGGCAGGACTTAACGTGCAGGGTACTTTTGATTCGCAAGGAGCGCTTAACTACGTATGGGTTGCAGTTCACTTGCCCAGGTGATTTCGATACGATACTCGGGGGCGGTTTTCCAGTTTCATCATCTGCATAGGGGTCCACAGGTGTAGGCTGATTTCTGACGTGTCGGCGATACAGCCAATCAATCATAACAAGGGTTGCTCTAGCTGATATGTAGGGCGCTAATGGGTACCAATAAACCAGTGGAATAGGGGGCTTGAGTTGGGGGCCGGAAGGAAGATAGCCCTCTCGTCCAGGTACAGGGCGGGGTTTTCGAGCAGAGCATTGCAAAGCATTCTAGAATCGGTGCTTTTCATGCTTGGGGTCCGATGGAAATGATTTGGCTGGTCATGGAGACTTCTGAACTCTCGCAACCTCCTGGATATTCTTGACTGTCCGTTAGCCGCGGTCAAAAGGGAGCCATGGCCGACGAACCCGCGGACTAACCTTCAATGCCATTGTGGGCCGCGAGGGAAACTGGGAACATTAGACGCTAACAGGGGCAGAAAATACCCAAATAGGCCACTAGAGGGCTCAGCCCGACTTGATCTAACTGGATCCGCTCTCGCTCGCCGACGATATGCACGAGTGATGCGTGAGTGTGATTGTGGTGCCCCAGCGAGCCGCTAAGGTCTCAGGTAGTGTAAAGTACAAAACGCCTCGATATGTCAAAAAACACTCAATCCCTAACGCCTTTGCTCATTTGGCCAACCATAGCGTCTCTTGCCAATCACATTCATGACAAGGGCCAGCCACGACAAACCACATGCTTAATTCAAATCTCGTTTCGTGTAATCTCAGATAATCAACCACGCAGGATGCCAGCGATGCGCAGTGTCAGATCCAGGACGGACAAGTGCTCATCTGCGCCATCAACAAGCCGCTTATCCAATTCTGAAAAGGCCATGACGATCTTGTTCTTCTGAAGATCTGGAATAGCCTCGTTGAAAATAACTCTTCGGTACAACTGCAAGCCGTATTAGCAAAATACCATTCAGCCAACGATGGAACCAAAAACAATTACCTGTCCAATAACCTGCGTAGCACTCCATCCATCGGCCACGAGATCCGTCACAACCCCCGAGACGGCCTCATACGCTGATCCAGAACTCTTGGGCTGCATAGCCTGAACGAGACTATCCAGAATATCCTCCGGCACCACGCCGGCAATCTCCTCAATGCTGCGCACAGTAATAGATGCAGCGTCGGCACTACCAGCATCCGTCATCTCAGCATCATCATCAGCATCCTTGCTGGGCGCTTTCGCGGCACCGACCAATCTCGCCGCACTCTGCATATAGGTAATCGCACGACGGAGATCACCCTCACCGCAACGAATAAGCGTATCAATTACCCCATCATCAAGCTTCAGGTTCTCCGCGCGCGCAATTTCCTCCAGCCGCACCCCGGCAGCCGAATTATCCAGCGACTTGAACCGGAACTTACTGCAACGACTAGCAAGCGGCTCGATGATGCGGGTCACGTAGTTGCACACAAGACAAAAACGAGTAATGCGACTGTATGTCTCCATAGTTCTGCGCAGCGCGGACTGTGCATCCTGGGTCATGCTGTCGGCCTCGTCAAGAATGATAATCTTGAATGGCGGGCAGGGGTATTGTGCGCGGTAGGCGGCATCGAGACCTGTTGGCTGGGAGAGCTGGGCACGGGCGAAGTTTTTGACCTTGTCGCGGACGATGCCGATTCCACGCTCGTCGGAAGCGTTGAGTTCGAGAATGCGGGAGCGGTACAGCGCGGGGCCGAAGAGAGATTTGGCCAGGGCGAGGATTGTGGATGTTTTGCCGGTACCTGGGGGACCGTAGAAGAGCATGTGAGGAAGCTGTGGAGCATAATGTTAGATTTGACTATTTGAGGGTTAATTGGGAGGTGATGCATACGTTGGAAGCTTGCAAGGTGCGCCGAAGGACTTTGGTGGTGTGGTCTTGTGCGGCGATATCATCGAGAGATTTCGGTCGACTGGATGAAGTTAGTCAGATTCAATCATGATTGAAAGATAAGAACCATGCGTACTATTTCTCGACCCATGGCTGCTGGCGAGTCGTATCTTCTTTGCCCTCGCCGGCCTTAGGCTTGGAGCTGCTGGATGCAGCAACTGCAGCGGCGCGGGCCTTGTTGTTGAAGAAAGTGGAGGCCATGGTGCTATCAGGCTCAAATTGACCGTTGCAAGAATATCCCAAGCTTGAGCTGCAGTTACTGCGGAAGACAAAACTGGAGCAATTCAAGACGCCTTTCGCGGTTCGCAGACGCGTCTCCACGTGACACGCGTAGCACTTAGCGGGCAATTATAGAATCTGACCGCCCTCCACAACTCCCATTAAGTTCCTTAGTTCCTTCTTTCTTTCTACATCTCTATGGGATTTTTGCATTGGTAACAGTCTCTAAGATATTGTATGGATCATCTCAGTGTTGGATAATGTTTCAATGCTTCGTGGCTGGCGTGGAGTATCATTACAAGGTCTTCTCTATAGCTCATCCCGCACAGGTACCGCCTGGAACATCCTCTTCTTGGTGTTGCGAGGGAGCTCTTCCTGTCTTTGCCGCTCCTCAAACAATATATCATCAAGGTTTGTGCCCTGCTGTTTCCCCTCATCGACCATCTTCCCTACCTGGTCAATGATCCGGTCTTCATCTTCTACGGAGGGCTGGTCTTCCCAGGAAGCACTGTTGGTTGGTACAGTTCCTCCAGAAATTGCCGCAGCTGTCTGCTGGATAGTTGCAGAGATATCACCGGCAGATTGACTGGACGAAAGCTCGGTTGATCCCTTTGTCAGTCCGACAGCACCTAGAGTAGCGAACACGAACTTCATGGCAAACTTGAATGGAAGCCAGACCAGCCACCACATCGGTCCATAGAGGATGCGTCGGAATAGAAGCCATGCGATGGTCCCGATGAGGACATAAAATGCGGTCTCAAGATACCAGGTATCGGACTTTTGAGAGCGAAGAAGGGAGCTGGCGAGACTGCGGGATGAGGCTAGCAGGGTATCAAGGCTGCTGTAAGATTCAGACAGAGATGAGATGGCAGCCGTGGATTGTTCTAAGCACGCAAGGTCAGTTTTTGTTTGCATGTGGCACCTCAAGTCTAGGTGTACTGACCAAGAGTCTCCTGAGCAAATTGACTACGAGAAAGCTCAGCCTGCATCAGGTTGTGTGTTCTTCGCAGAGCAGCAGTGACATCGTTCGAGGCATTCAACACCAAATCATCTTGCGTAAATTTCTCTGATGGGTGACGTAGGTGCTCAGATGATGACTGCGACCTTGACAGCAAGAGCTCGCGCTCCTTTCGCTTCGCTAGCTCGGCATTGCGTTTGGCCTGCAATTGGGCATTTCGAAATTCTCCGCGAGTCCTACCAACGACATTAGCACTCCGGATTCCCAACACAATCACCACATGGACAGAGAAACATACTTTCTCAAGTCGTCCGCCAATCGGCCCGCCATGGCAACAACCCTTTCTTTTTCTGCTTCCTTCTCACCACTTGCTACTGAAGACTTCCTCCGGCTATCCGGTCCTGATTCCAGCGCTTCCACCTCCACGCGCAGAAGCTCGAGCTCCTCCTCGGCATCTTTCAGCCGACCATGAATCTCCGCCCCGAGTTCCACGCGCGCCTCATCCCCTTGGCCAATAGAAGCTGTGAAATTGCGCAGACGCTCCAGAAGGGGCTGGATCTGCCCCAGAGAAGCCGACAGCTCCTTCAAACGGCCTTGAAGAGCTGCCGTGGAGGACATGTTTGGGGGGCCCGATGTGTTAACGGTAGCGGTGCATCTAGTGGAAGTCGGACGAGGATTCGGGAAATCGTAAGGGTCGATAGTGGTCTTGAAATGGCTTGTTAAGATATCGTAAAATTAACACGCTTGAAATGCGAGAAGTCTGGGAGAGAGTGAAGTAGTCGCAAGTTGCCAAGTTGCGTGGCTGTATTGATTGGTCTGTTTGCATCTGCGACAAACATCGGACTTCCCTCGCAGGCCGCGACTCGGGGAAACGTCTTCTACGCCTGTCAAGTCTCCAATTCCCCAACTAAGGCTGATTTGCGCAGCGAATTGGACTATATTTGATTTAATTTTGGAAGAATCCGCCAATTTACCTACGATACCCCCTCTTTGCGCCGCGAGCCCGCGAGTCCCTCCCTGCGAAAAAAAAACTTCCGATACCACGCCCGATCAAACCAACCAGGTATGCCGCCAACTTGAGCAAGCCCAATGCCCCTGCGCATAGGTCCAAACGCTAACGCAATATATATAGCCGTTCGACCCCATCTACCGATCAGCCCTCACCCAACTCCCCTTCCAAGACCTACAAGGCCAACCACCGAGATGCCAATTCCAATCAGCACAATTACCAGCTTCCGCACAACCTTCAACCCCTTCACAGCAGCCTCGCGGCCCTGCCGGCTCTTTCTCACGCTGCTGCGCACACCGACCACCGTGCCAACGAGCAGCCCGACCCACATCGATATCAAGGTGACGCAGTTGCCGCGGAACTCGACACAGCCGCCCGTCATGACGGTGGGCTTCAAGGGCGGCAAGGAGCTTACTCTGGAAGTTGGAAAGCGCGGGCTGAAGATTGGGGATGTTGTGGAGGAGGTTTCGCGCGTTGGGCGTGCCCTGGAACGCGAGGCTAGTTTGAAGGGTTGATTTTGTTGCTTTTCCATAGTTGAAGATGTTGTATTTGCATGGTCCAGGTCTGACATGAGATCTTTGGACACCCTTGGAAGTGTTTTATCATTATGTATCATATTATCTTCTAGCTTGTTATTATGGCGTGTGGGAGAATTGGACTCTGAGAGTACCCGATACCGAATGCGAACAGGCTTACTGTCTCAATTGTATTCTAAGGCTTACAAGATTTGACATTCAGACTTGGTCCCTCGCCTGGTATTATAGCGTGCCCAGGCGTGGGAAAGTTTTTACCCTTCAGAGCACCTTGGTACTCGAAACTGAATGCTATTCGCCTTGAGGGCTACTTTGATTCAAATGCCGTTAAATTCTGATACTCGGTCTCCAAGCCCTGAGGCTATATTCCATATCTTAGTATCGTATTATCTTCTTGGTAGATATAATGGATAGGATGTGGGAGAATGGGAGCTAGAGACTCGAGTACTCGATATCTAATGCCGTAAGGTTTGCTGTTTCAATTGTATCTTTTCATACACTGTCCACGGGTCTACATTGACCCAGAAGTAATCTTGGAAGCAGTTGTCAATAGCTTTTAGCCAAGTGAAGTATACCGGTTAGCCGGCTAACCCTACAGCAAAGCTATCATTCCATTATACACGCCGCCTGTCGGCAGCGGGTACTCAAACAAGTTTTGGTATTTTGACGCAGCAAATTTCAAAATTTAGACAGCGGCACCGGAGATGAAGAACCACTTGTCAATGCTACCGTCAATGGGAGCAGGGGCAAGGTTCTCGCCGCGGGGGATGGCGTTAACGTCGGCATCTGCGGCGGAGTTGTTGTACTCAGTGTTGGCACTGACGAGAGTTAGCAACTTGTTCCAATGGACGAAAAGAGAAAGGAAAACTTACATGCTGATCTTGCCGGCGGGGGCCTTGCCGGCGATGAGCTTCTCCCAGGCATCGGAACACTCGTTAATGACATCCATGGCGTACTTCTTGTTCTTGCACTCGCCGGAGAAAGCGAACTGGTTCTCGGGCTTGCCGTCGGGGATCTTGTAGATGCGGAACCACTCGTTGGTGGCGCGCAGGAGGCCGGGGAGGTGGCGCTCGATGTCCTCAACGTCGTGGAGCTTGGAGGCCAGAGGGTCGTTGATGTCGACGACAATGATCTTCCAGTCGGTCTCTCCCTCGTCGATCAGGGCCATGACACCTAGAACCTTGACCTGCTTGACCTGGCCGGGGTAGCCAACCAGCTCGCCGATCTCGCAAACATCAAGAGGGTCGTTGTCACCCTTGGCCTTGGTCTCGGGGTGGACGGCCTCGGGGTCCTCCCAGGTCTGGTAACTGCGTTAACTCGATGTCCCACAAACCATTGACGGGAGAGGGTACTCACGCGGGGGAAGGCACCGTAGTTCCAGAGGTAGCCCTTGTGGGGGAAGCAGTTACGGACGAAGCGCAGCTTGCCCTTCTTGACGTCCTGCTTGATGGGGTTGAGGAACTCCTCCTTGGAGATCTGGAGTGAAAGTCGGACAATCAGCATTGTTGACGCTTTTGTATACAGCGCCGGATAAGGCGCCTCGGGATGTCGCTATCGTACCTCCTGCTTGGCGTTGGTCCAGCGAGGGATCTCGACGACCATGTTCAGGACGTCCTTGGCCTCGTTGGCGTAGAGGGGGATATCGTGGAAGGGAGAGACGGGCTTGCCATCCTTCTCGACGTAAACACGGTGCTCCAGCGTGTAAGGCTGGGCAACCTTGCGAACGGTGTAAGACATTTTTGGTGAGTGTGAAGTGAAATGACGAGATAGCAAAGCAGCGCGAGAGAGAGAAGAAGTAGTGGGGGGAGAAAAGGAGGAAAGAAGAGGGGCTGAGGTGGGGGGAGCCAGCGTTCCTGATGTGCGCCAGACGCAGCGCGAGGCGGTGGAGGCAGAAAATCCCAGTCGGGCCAAGGGAGGACGGGCCAGGGCCATTGGCTGTGATGGCAATTAGATATTAAATATTACTCCAAGGTTGTTGACGATCTTGTCAACCTGGGAAACCTAGGAACCAGAGTTTCCGTGGTGCGTGGCATGAACTGGGTCTCGTTGCCCCTGCCGCGGGTCTTTTTCGGCCTTCCGCCCGGCATCTACTCCCAGGAGCCCGAGTATTGGCATCCCGACTGGCGTTCCGTATGTACTACGGCTGTTAGAAACGTAGAGTTAGACCCATCTAGCCTTCCCTAGCCTTCCTTAGAAGTATTTAGCCATACCTACCCGCGGTTGTGTGAACTAGCCTGGTCTCGTGCTCTGACATATGCGCTCTGCATGTACTGCAGGCTGCCAGTGCTAGCCGATATCGGGATAGTCCAAGCCCTACCCAGGTACACGATGACCGCATGGCTTATTGCTATAAATACAATTTCGATCCAACGCCAGGCCTTGGACACAATGCAATTCTAAGGTTCTTAGTGGCAAACGTAGTGGACTCCGTTTGGGAGGGACCTGGCCAATTTTATTGGTGGAGAAGTCAATTTCATGAAACGAAAAAAGGGCAAAAAATTCAAATGAAAAAAGGTTATCTTCACTATCTTCACGTGACGTGGCGGACTTGGCCGACGAGAAGAGAAAGTAACCATCCAAACTCCACCAAGAACCCCTCCTCCCTTCTCAGCATGCTATGATCAGAATCATACGCTCCGCCATGTCTTCCGTCGCTGAGTCCGCCACCGCGGCTGCGCTGCCGCGCGTGCCCATCCCAGCCAACGGAGTCGACTACCGCGGCAAAATCGTCTTGGCCCCGATGGTCCGCTCCGGCGAACTACCCTCACGTCTACTCGCTCTCAAATATGGCGCCGACCTCGTTTGGGGTCCTGAGACTATCGACCGCGCCATCATCGGCTGTGAGCGCCACGTCAACCCCCGCAACGGCTGTATCGAATTCTCCCGCATGCCCTCGAACGGTGGCCGTCCCGATATTGTCTCAAAGGAATCAGTCATCTATCGCCTTGACCCCGTGCGCGAAAAAGGCCGTCTCGTCTTCCAGATGGGCACTGCAAACCCAGAATTAGCAGTGCAGGCCGCCAAAGTTGTCGCCGCTGACGTGTCGGGCATCGATGTTAACTCAGGTTGCCCCAAGCCGTTCAGCACCAGCGGCGGCATGGGCGCGGCGCTGCTGCGGACTCCCGACAAGCTCGTCTCCATCCTGGAAGCGCTGGTCCATGAAGTCGGCGAGCCTTTCAAGATCGGCATCTCTGTCAAGATCCGTATCCTCGAAACCCCCGAGGTGACTGAGGCTCTCGTGTCCCGACTCGTCCGCACCGGTATCACTGGTCTGACAGTACACTGCCGCACCACGCCCATGCGGCCCCGCGAGCGCGCAATTCGCCACCAGCTCCGCATGATCGCAGACGTGTGCCACAAAGCAGGCGTGGCGTGCGTGATGAACGGCGACGTGACCTCGCGCGACCAGGGGCTTGCTTTGATGGAAGAGTTCGGCGTCGATGGCGCCATGATCGCCACGGCAGCCGAAACCAACTCATCCTGCTTCCGTGCCGAAGCAGACGGCGGGCTCGCGCCGTGGCGCGACGTCGTCCACGAGTACCTCCGGTTCTGTATCGAGAGCGAGAACCGTCTTGGAAACACCAAGTATCTGCTGAATATGCTGATCCCTGGCAAGAACCAGGACTTCAAGGAGGCCAAGCTGTCTCGAACTTACACGGATGCCTGCCGTCGACTAAAGTTCAATGATCTGGTTCCCTTGGCAATCCAACTTGACGAGATCCTCGACCTGGATCGCAAGTGGGAGCTTGGTCCCCCTGAGGGCCATCCCCGCTCAAAGGCTGTTCAAAATGCCATGGAGAACAACGAGTCTGCCAAGGCTGCTGGAGGCGAATGCACCAGATCCAAGGCGACTTCGCCTGTTATCCACAACGGTGGACCTATTCGCACTTCGTCCATTCCGGCACCAGCCAAGACCGAGACCGACCAGCCTGCTCTTGCTTCGATCCCAGCCCCGATGGCCCAGAACACCGAGGTCACGGCTTAAACTGGCCGCTTTGCTATATTAACTCGCTAACTGGCTTTGGTTATTTTTGTTTGACATTCTGCATAGCCTGGTAACTGCTTTTGGTTCTGTTTTTTGCATCACGGGGTGGCGTGTTCCCCTGTCCATACCTAGATATCCCACTATACATGATAATACACTCGGGTTGATGATAAAAATGGCTTTTGTCTTCTTTTTTGTAGGGAGAGACAGCATCCGTAGGTCATGTACTCATAAAACAGCAACATCAACGACACGTCCTGACAGCGACATTGAGACGACGACAAGGCCAGAGCCAGATAAAGTGGGCTTATTGCTGGCCGAACGTAAGACAAAAGCGAAGGCAGATAAACAAAAGTCTGAAAGTCTTTAAATGCATTATGTTTTATGTGATCTACTCTAACAGGTTATTCATGTCTGCGCCGACCCGATGTCGATGTATACAAACTCAAAAAGAAAACAGACAAAAGAATACTGAAACACCAGAGGAAACAAACTCAACCGAAACCTACTCCGCCTTGTTCTCAACGCCATTCGGCTCCGCACCTTTCTCTTTCTCCAGGTCCGCCAGCACCATGCGTTCCACGACCTTCATCCCCTCCTCCTCACTCTTCTTCCCGGAGGCCTCATCGTCACCCGCGACAGCATGGTCAAGCGCCAGCTTAGTCCGGCCAAGAGCATAGATCTGCTCCTCGATGGTGTCGCGGGTGACGAAGCGGAAGACTTCGACCTCACGGGTTTGACCAACCCGGTGGGCGCGGTTCTCAGCCTGCACATCCTCCTGAGGATTGAAGGAGGAGTCGAAAATGACGACTTTGTTTGCGCAAGCCAAGTTGATACCCGCACCACCGGCTTTGGTGGAGAGAAGGAAGACGGGGATGGAGGTGTGTTCGTGGAAATGGTCGAGGATGGACTGGCGGTCCTCGACGCTGGTGCGGCCGTCTAGACGGACGAACTCGATCTGGAGGGTTTGCAGGACGTTCTCCAGAATGTCCATGACCATGGTGAACTGGGAGAAGATCAGGGTGCGGTCTCCATTCTCGATGAAGCGCGTGAGGAGCGCGCGCAGTTCGTCGACTTTGCCTGAGTCCATCCATTCCTCGTTCTTAAGCTTGAACTTGCCCAACGAATTCGGGTTGTCGATGCACATGTGGTGGCACTCAAAATCGTTGTATGGCAGCAGCTCCTCGTAGATGATGTCGGGGTTGGACAGGGACCATTTGTCTTCTTTGAGACAAGCCTTAGACATCTTGCGGAGAATGGCATCGGTGTAGTGTTGGCGGCGGAGGAGAGGGTGAATGGCGGCTTGGCGGAGCTTCATGAGGATGTTGGCAGACCTAGAGCCAGTCTTCTTGCCGGCGGCACGGTCTTCCAGAAGCAGGCGCACCTGCTCCTTCTCATTGTCATAGATGTTGCGCTGCGACGGCTTCATCTCGCAGTACTGGACATGAGAATGCTTAGCGGGAAGGTCAATAACCTGGTGCTTCTTGCGGCGAAGTACGAATGGCTTGAGCATGGACTTCGCACGTTCAATGCGTTGTGCGGACAGCAATGTCGCATGTGATTCATCCGAGGTCTTTGCCTTGTTGGAGAAGATTGCCTTGAGATCTTCCTTGTGCTCCTGGAAAACCCGAGGCAAGATGAAACCGAGAAGAGACGCCAGCTCCTGTAGGTTGTTCTGAAGCGGCGTACCGGTAAGAAGGAGACGGAAGCGTGCCGATATGCGAATAAGTTTTTCGTACACTTGAGACTCGGAATTTTTCAACATGTGGCCTTCATCGAAGACACAAACTGTAAACTTCATGTCGCGTAAAAACTTGGAATCCTCCTTGGCTTTGGCAATGGTGTAGGTGGTGATGACCACGTTGATATCATCGCGGTTATCCTCGATATGATCGCGGATCGCCCCACGCTCTTTGATCCCGGCGTAGTATGGCATAACGTTCAACGCCGGGCAGAACTTCTGGAACTCACGAAGCCAGTTCTCGATGGTGGAAGACGGCACAACGATGAGGTGGGGTCCCCTGGTACCTTTCTCGAAAAGGGAAGCAAGAAATGCGATAACTTGACAGGTTTTCCCGAGGCCCATGTCATCTGCCAGAATGCAGCTCATCTCTTTCTCGAACAAAAGGTTCAGCCAATTGATACCCACAATCTGATAATCTTTCATCTCAAGATCATCGGCCATGATAGACGGTTGTGAGATGAAACGAGATTGGTTGTTAGGCTTTCGAGAGACCGCAACAATATCATCATCGTCATCATCTGCGGTTCTATTAGGAGACTGCTGGTTCGAGGATGGAGTGGCGATACCAGAGTCATGGGAATTAGCCGCGCCGTTTCCGAGCGTCGTGAGTTCGAGTTCTCCGTCACGCTTGCCGAAGATGTCCACGCCCCATTTCTTCATTTCATTTGCGACAGGTCGACCCAAAGCCTCGCACTCGGCGACAAGAGCATCAATAGCCAGATACCCAGTCCACATCTCGATACACTTCTCAACAATCTTCTCCCCGATAGGCTTCGGGGGCTTCCGAGGCTTGCCCTTGCCTTTCGGCTTAGCACTCTCGTCGACAGGCGCACTAACTGAGCGAATGTGGTCAAGAGAGTGGAACGGACGGTTGTCAGTGATCAACTTGGCTGTCTCCTGAGGGACAGCGGCGATGTCGGCAAGGTCGCGAACGTCACAGGTGTTGAAGAACTTCAGAACCTTGTCATCCAAACCGCCAGCGGTGGAATCCTCGGCCTGAACATCCGAATCATCGGAGTCGGAAAAGTTTGCCTCGGGGGATGCAGAGGGCAGTCGTCGTCGGCCCTTCTGGAGTCGACTGAGCAGCTTCTTGGGAGGAGAGTCGTCGGAGTTGATGAAAATAGCACCAGGGGGGAGGAATCCCGATTTCTTGGGCCTCGCACGAGACGGCCTCGAGGCTTTGCTTCGTCCAAAGGCTCTCTCTGGGTCGTTCCCGCCGGTAGATTCATAGCAGCCCATTTGTCGTGAATGGTGCCACGAGCCTTGATCTTCTGCTTAGCAATGGGGAAAGCACCTCCCATAGGAGCTGGCGACGCGCTCAATTCGTCGTCAGAAGAGTCTATTGGGATGACATTGTGCACTGGGTCGTTGCCCATGTCACTGTTGGCGAGGTAGTTCATTGCGTCGTCAAAGTTTCCGTTGGTTCGCATGAGCGCATCGACACATTCCTGGTTTGACTTGCCGGGCATGACCTTCTGGATGCGATCAACCTTGACTTGCACCCGGTAGTCAGTGATACTAACATCCGGGCCTAGGGCAGTCACGGGCTGGGCGCGGGAAGGCGCATCCTGGCGGGGTCTCTTCGTGGCGAGTCCCTTGGGAGCGCCGGCGGCGCTCATCTGGTCGGCAGAGCGTTTCATGGCGTTCGCATAGGGGTCAAACATGGCGGAGGCGGTGATTTCCTTGAAGCGATCCATGGGGCCAGCCGCATAACGCACAGGGGACTCCGCAATCTTCTCCTTCTCCGGGCTGCGAGCTTTTTCAAACATGGCGGGCTTGATGTCGCCGTTTCGGACAGTGTAATGTTCGTCGTCCTCTGAGGACCCTCCTCGATATGTTGGACCATCGTCGGGATCGAAGATGGGTGTTCTTTTCGCAGGACCGAGGGTGTTGGGAAGACGGAATTGAGTCCCAGAAGGGGCCATGAGAGAAGATAAAAGGCCTCCGCGACGAGGTGGTGAATGGGCCGGGGCAGGGGGTGACGAGGCGGCCACCTGAATGACGGCACTATTGTTCGGGTGAGAGTAGGACATGTCGACTAGCTGAGTAGGCTGCGTCAATCGCTGGGAAGGCGTGTATGAATGCGCAGGCAGGGTGGCGATTGTCTCGTAGTCGCCCTGGTCAGGTGTGCCTGGCGCAGGGTTATTGTCCCGAACGGGAGTATCAGGCACCGACTCATTCATGGCGGAGGACAATATAATTCCTCTTATCCCTTTTTTGGCAGTCGAGGCCAGCCTCCTGTCTGATCTCTGGTATCCAGGAACGTTTTTTCTGCCGGCGGAGAACGCGATACCGACGCGCACGATCACGTGAATTATAGTGGCGCGCCCGAAATTGTTCCAACTCTATTCCTTGTCATATTGTCGAGAAAGAAAAGTCATTTAATGGATGGGGGAAACGATAAGGCTCAATTAATTGCGTATAGGTAGATTCCGGATAAAAGAATCCAAATAGTGACGTTGAAGGCAGCGCTCGCCATGTGACCCGGGGGTGCTTTAGTGTTCTCCGCAATATCCATTGATAGCTTCACCTTATTTCATCCACCCGGAGCTTTCAACACTCGTCACATCAGCGTCAATTGAGCTTACTCTATCATCACAAGTCAAACTCTGCTTCAGCTTCATTTTACTCAACATGTCTGCCCGTCGTCCTCATGGACAGAGCTACGCGGATGTTGCGTCTAAGCCTCCAACAACGAGCGACTCGGACGTGACGCCTGCTGTTCCATCGTATGTGAACATCATTCTAGAGCTAACGGAGACATTCTTCTAACTGACCACCCTGCGCAGAGACGTCATCTACAAGCTGCTGGGCTTCACGGCCGCCATGGCCTTCCTGCCCATCGCAATGTATTTTCTGACGGTGAAGACAATCTTCGGAGGTAAGACTACAACTCTCCACGAAATTGGAAGACAAGTTCCAGTAAGATTGATTTTGGACCAGGAAACGCAACATATTCTGGAATAACTGCGGCCGTTACGGCCAACGTGGTCTTGTTCGCCTACATCTACGTCGCCTGGAAGGAAGACCAGGGTGACAGACAAGAAGCAGAAAAGTCCAAGTCGAAGAAAGCGCAATAGTCCCTTCATATTTGCAGTTTACAGCTCGAAGTGGGCTAAAATGTATTATTTTCGGCGTTACACGCACTTTGCTCAAAATTTCAAGTTGGGATTCGTTCGGCTGCCCATTGGAGCAAGCCCATTGGGGCTATTTCGGCTTCCAGAAACACTCTTTGAGAATGATCAGAGAGCTGCCGACTGTTATTGGATATCATAAGACCAAATTCCACATGCCTGGTCCTCCAGGTCACTCGGCTTCGCATTCTATCTCGCACTCCTTCCATCCGACAAATGTTAAAAATGCCATGTCCATGTTGAAAGAACCGCACTCCGGGGTGAATAATCGTTACGCCTCATGCCAAAAATCCATTATATGGAGGCGCCGAGATGCATTGCAGCCAGCTTGATGTCATGCGTGAACTTCGTTTAGGTCGGTCTGCGCTTCACGAATTCCTCCAGGTCCGCCTTGGTCGCAACTCCAAGCACGAACTTCCGCGTCACATCTGTAACCACTGCAAATTGCTGCTTCTCGCGCTTGTCCCCGTTGGCTCCCGTCTGGCTCTCGAAGAACTGCTCCAGCTCCTCCAGAGGTGTATCCATTGTGATCACTTGGTAAATGCCGCGTTTCCGATTGAACCGCTGCATCGCCGAGGCAACGGTGTCTGTCTCCTTGACGGTGCCGTTGTGAATGAGCTCCTTCAGACGGGGAATACTGAGGTAGCCGAGGAGGGATCGACTGGTGGAGGAGATGACGGTGAGGTGGGTGTAGTCGCGCTCGTAGGCGGTCATGAGGGCAGACGAGACGGGGTCATTGGGCGAGACTGACAGGGCCGGTGGAGGGTCGAGGTCTTCAACAGTAGCCTGCAGATAATGAGCTGGAAACTCGGCAATGGTCAACTAGGCAAGAACTCACCCCTCGGTACTTATCGGCCCAGGCGGCTTGCGGGGCCGGGCCGGAGGCGGCGGAGGTAGCGTTCTCACGAGAGAAGGCTTCGCTGCCGGTCATGTAGGAGGTCATTGTAGCTATGGCACACGAGCGTTGTGGGGGAGGTTCAGGATGGAGGGGCTCGGAGATGCGAAAGGGCGGGGCAGAGAGGGACCACCAGGAGCGAAGGGCGTGCTCAAGGAAAGAAACGAAGCTTGAACTACGTTTCCGACAGCAAATAGATTGCAGGAGCACGCAATGTGTATAGAAATTGAATGTGTTGTTGGACAGTCGCTTTCGCTCAAACTCGGCGCTTTTCGTCTTTTTCCCGCGCCAAGACCCCGTCCCCAAAACGTCACCAGAACGAAAGCGCCCCCAATAAACGGTCACCTGATGACAGCCTCGCGTTCTCCCGGGCTTGCGGATGTCCACGTTGTTCCTCCGACTCTTTTCTTCTAGTCTCTGTTGAAACCACTTTCTAGTGTTGCTGGTAGGTACATTGTTCTCTCTGTCGATCCCGTATCGTTGCTTTTGGACATGCTCCACTATGGTTACCCACACCTGGACACTAACCAAGTACAAGTAAACGGTGCACCATGATCCCCACGGACTCAATCCTCACTGCGCTCGCTTCTCGACACCCTTTGGGTGCTCTGGGCACGCAGGCTCAGGCGGGGCAGCCGGCCAATCTGAATCCCAAGAGACCCGAGCCGTTCCCCGCTTGGAGTGCGATTGATGACGCAAAGCATAAAGCAGATGCCCTTGCCAAGGAAGCAGTCCGGGAGTACGAGGTCGCGAGCAAGAAGGCTCAGAGCAAGGCGGGCAAGATTGAGCCCTGGACACCCAAATACTATGCGGCTTGCGTTTTTGGTGGCATGATGGCCTGTGTATGTCACGATATATACTCCGGATGAGCCATTTGCTCATGATTGTCTATAGGGCCTTACTCATACGGCGGTCACTCCTCTGGATCTGATCAAATGCCGCCGTCAGGTCGACCCAGCTCTCTACAAGAGCAACATGCAGGCGTTTTCCAAGATTCGCTCTCTCGAGGGTATCCGTGGAGTGTTCACTGGTTGGAGCCCCACTTTCTTTGGCTACAGCGTAAGTCAAGCATGGATCATCTTCGGTTATCTGAGCCTCCACTGACATGTACCGAAGGCCCAAGGAGCATTCAAGTACGGTGGCTACGAATTCTTCAAGAAATTCTACAGCGACCTTGTCGGACAGGAAAATGCCATCAAATGGAAGACCTCTGTCTACCTAACTGCCAGTGCCTCGGCTGAGTTCATCGCCGACATAGCTCTGTGTCCCTTCGAGGCCGTCAAGGTGCGCATGCAAACGACCATGCCACCCGATTTCAAGGGTACATTCAGCGGGATTTCTGCCGTGGTCTCCAAAGAGGGCGTGTCTGGGTAAGTCCATCCGCAGATTACCGTTGGAATAAAGTTCAGGTCCAGAGAACTGACCGGTCTCCACCCAGCTTGTACAAGGGTCTGTACCCACTCTGGGGTCGCCAGATCCCCTATACCATGATGAAGTTTGCCTCGTTCGAGACAATCGTCGAAATGATCTACCATAGACTGCCGGGACACAAGTCCGACTACAACAAGGGTGCTCAGACAGCAGTTGCGTTCACCGGTGGATACCTTGCTGGTATTCTGTGTGCCGTGGTGTCGCACCCAGCTGACGTGATGGTCAGTAAGCTCAATGCCAATCGCCAGGCAGGTGAGGCGTTTGGTGCAGCCATGAGCCGGATCTATGGAGACATTGGCTTCCGCGGACTGTGGAATGGACTGCCCGTCCGTATCGTCATGATCGGAACCTTGGTGAGTGATGGCAATTACAGAGAAGCTGAAACCTGAAGCTAACGATTTTCTAGACCGGTCTGCAGTGGATGATGTACGGCGCAACTGAGCCCCTCCCCGATTTCGTCTTGAATATACTGACCGGTTATTTGCAGCTACGACTCTTTCAAGATCTTCATGGGACTCCCTACCACGGGTGGATCAGGCGAAGACAAGAAGAAGGTCCAGTAGGCCCGCTGCGAGGAGATATCCCTAGCCGTCGATCTCTCACTTGCCAGAGCTCGGGATCTGTTGAACAGTTCCAAAAGTGCGCCTTCAGTGTGAATATTGCTCGGTCTGTCGTTCAGGTCATGGATTTTTCAACATGTTTAACTATCAATCTCTACTTCAATGCCATTTGTATTCCATCGCCTCGCCGTCTTATACAATCGCATCAAATAAACAGCGCCGAGCTCGCTATCAGTAAACGCAATTAGTCACGCCACCCAATCACGTCTTATCTTATCGCACGACGTCACCAATCGCATACAGAAAACGATAGAAAACGAGCCTCTCTCGTAGTAGACGTGTAGACTACAGCCGACGAGAACACGAGGCCGGCGAAACGTAATCCTCGGTTGCCCGACATCGCCAATCCTGAGATCACCGCCTCAGGCTGTCAATGGCGAGACCCAGTGCCCGTGTCTAACCCGGACAATTCTCGTCTAACATAAACCCCAACTTTCTTCCTCTTATCCCAAGTACCCTCAAACCAACACTCAATTCACTTCCGCCACCCAACACATACAGGTAAACACCGGTCCCCCGCCATCCAAACGCCTCCCCGAACTGTACCTGCGTCTTATCGCGGTCCCACCCAATCCGGCTCAGGTCCCGCATTCCATCGATCGCGATAAGACAACACCGCCGCACGGCGTTAACACCCTTGCTCACTCTCATTCTCCGACAGATCGGATTTCGCAATGAGTGACAAAGAACAGCCTATGGTTTCGCATGGTCGTGGAGGTAACACTTCCTGAATGAACGGGTAACGCCCCAGCTAACGATCTCAGGCCAAGGAAACATCGGCCACGACCAAACGGAGTATGCAATCCGGCGCATCCGCATTCCCTATCTACACAGGCGCATTCGCTAACTGAAAAAACAGATACGTTGACGGCGAGATCGTTCGCGAGGGCGTCTACGGTGACCAGGGCGACGGTGCTTACTCTGCCGGTGTACGTTCCCAACCTTACTCCCAAAGACCCTTCGTTCCATAACCTTATGGCCCGACCCTGCACTTTCCGCATGGCGAATTACAAGCAGCTAACACTGGATCCAGCGCGGCGGCGTCGGCAACATCGGTTCTCCTCGCGTCCGTCCAACCTCCAAGGTGCCGCACGACTCGGAGATGATCCCCGAGCTCGCGGTGCGCAACTCCAGCGACGAGAACTTCCACATCGGGGTGAGATATGCTATCTATTCACGGTGGTATTAGGGACACGGCTAATTGGAGTTCAGCGCGGCGGCCAAGGCAACGTTCATCTCGACGAAGCAACGAAGGAGAAGAAGAAGACGATGGCGCACGAGGGACTCGCTGACAAGCTGAAGAACAAGCTGCTGGGACGGAAGTAGAATGCTCGGGTTTGATACTGCATTAAGGGGTTTTCTTTTCTGCTGGTCCTGGTTCTGGTCCTGTGATTCCCATTTGAGTTTTGGTTTATCCAATATCATGCTGGCGACTAGTATCCTAGCTTGGCTAAAGCTATAGTAACTGGTACCCGTAACAATGACCTATCGTCTTCGAATGTGCCTAAAATTGAGTTGCACGATAAATGAGGTATTATAGTGAGAGAAGGACCGAATTCAGACTCTCCATAAGAGCCTGGACATAGCAAAAACCTTCCACTCCACATTATTCCGATATTGAATCCAGATCTCGAAGTCTTCTCTCTTTTTTCCACTGCTTCAGGTCAAAATTTCCTTCCTGTAGTTCATCCTCTTGCCCATTCCACATGAATGTGACTCCATTAACAGTGCGTTCAACACTATCATCATGATTGAGAATGTCGATTAGGCAAGGCTGGAGCTCATATTTGCCCGTCTCATAGGACACAAGTCTATCAAGTTGTGTCTTTGACAAGATTTCAAATACCATACCATCGACCGGCTGGAGTGGCTTGCCATCAATAAGGGCAGGGTAAGGGCCCCAGATCTTAACGTCATAGCCTATCACTCTGGCACGGCTCATGATAGGAAGCGAGTCTGACGTTCTCAAGACTTGAGCAAGTGTTTCTGGATCCATTAATGTCCCGTAGAAAAAACAGTATTCTCTTTCAAAGGGATCCGCGGTTGCTGAACCCTCTTGAGAAGAGTTGGGAGTTGCTGTCAGGCTTTGAGTCGACTCTTCTCCCGAGGTGCTATCGTTCAGGAACTTGCGCACCATGAGAGACGGAGGTGGGAGTGTTTTGCGCATTGTGTCGGTACTTGGGATCCTATAATACATCATCAATGCCTCTGATGCCTCATTTATCTGCATTTGGCAAGGTTCTGAGCGCAGGGACTCATATCATCACGTACCAAGGTGATACAACGTGGCGTCGTGATGTGGTAAAGCAATAAACGATCGACAGGACCTCTGATGACAAGGCTGAAGATACTGCCAGGGGGGACGTTAGCTACTTGAATAGGCATGTTTGTAACTAGCTCACTTTCAGAGAATAGCAAGGCAGACGCAGAGTCAGGAGTGTGGTTCTTCTCAGGTGGAGAAGAAGCTAGCAGTATACAGTATGGGTGCTCAGATTTAGATGATTGTTCAAAGCTGTAAGCTTGCCATAATTTCAATAGCCATCAACTCCTCTTCCTGACTTTCTTTCTTCAATTCCTTCATAGGCTCACTTTCCTCATTTGGCCGGCTCAAGAATTTTTCAAATAGTTTTCTCCTTTTCCCCTCTTCCTCTCCTTCCCCGTCTCCTCCTTTCCCTATCCCTTCTCCCCCTTCTTCCCCTTCTTCCCCTTCTTCCCCTTCTTCCCCTTCTTCCCCTTCTTCCCCTTCTTCCCCTTCTTCCCCTTCTTCCCCTTCTTCCCCTTCCTTTTCCTCGCGGTCTTCCATCCAGCTAGAGCCCTGTTCAGAATCATCTAAATAAGTACCATCAAAATATCCAATACCAGTAAATATGCCGCATTTCCGTTTCTCAGGATAAAGTAGATCATGTTCAGGAAGTGTTGCCCTGTCTTTAGAAGAATCATTGGGATCAACATCTCCAATCAAGCCCGCCAATCTTTTCAACATGCTTCTCCTTAGGTACTCGCCAGGTGTTGCCCATATTATTCCCCTGACAAGAGTCATCGTATTTTCTGCCCATCCTGGAGGCTCATAACGATCTCTCCGAAGCATGGTCAGCACAAAGTGAAAGTAGAGATATCGGCGGGCAGGACGATTTGTATTCCTGAATTGAAGCTCTCTCTCATGGATGTCCTCCCACTTATATTTGCCTTCATCTCCAAATGAAGCTTTTGCGAGTAACGATTTATCCAGAACCACAAGCTTGAATCGATCAACCCTATCTTCCCAATGGTTGTGAGGCTCTTTCAGAGGTATGATGACGGCTTTGCCGGCGTCAAATGCTTGCTCAACAGTTTTGCAAATCCATAATCCATTCCTCACATCCCATAAAATCTGCTCCCCTTTCTCGGCATCTCCAAACATGTAGCCTGCGGTAGCATAGCCGATGGAATGTGGCACTATGTGAGCAGCACAGCACTTTTCTTGGGGCAGCCAATCTTGGACTATTGCGCACCACGTCAAGCTGGGCAAATTCGAGCTTTCTTTGGGGCTCAAAACATTGTAGAAACCCCGCAAGGACTCAGCCCAATGAGCCTGTTTGTGCTTGTTTCGATCGTTGGAACCAGTAGTAGCATCCTTCATACTGAACATATTCGTCAGTAGAGAGGCGTATGCAGTCTCCACATCCCAATCATAGTCCACAGCATCATTGACAAGGCTACTAGAAAGTCTTCGATGCTGTTTCTTCAAAGAAACATACATCTGCCAAAGTCTGGCGCGTTTTTGGGAGATAATATCTTTATATACTATGGACTCTTCCTTTGAAATGGCCATTGAATACTGCGCTTTTGCAATGCTGGCGTCCGATAGCTGCCACTGGCGTAAGTGGTTTTCTATTTGTCGAACAACTAATTCGAGTGAATTTTCGGGTAGAGGGAGCTGTAGGCTTGACGGATCCAAGCATGACAAAGCTATCATCTGGTTGAGCTCTGCTTGCTCTTCTTCGAGGTCGATGAGAGCTTGCCGAGTTTTCCCTTCGGTGAGACTTCGGAAACAATCCGGGATCTGGATCTCAGGTAGGTTCCAACGGTATCGACGATGCGTCGAAGTCGGTATGCTCTTGGATTTCTTTGTGGGGCGAGGACTATCCATATTGATATAGCGAAGAGTTCACTGTTGGTCGTGATTAGCACAAAATAATTTGGGTGAACCGAGAAGCAGCCACTGCTTATATTAATTACCTAAGGTTTTTAATTAGTTTGACTAGCAATGCACGCTTAGTCCAGGTTCCTTCTTGGAGTTGAGTAATATTTTCAGCCCAGACGCACATGTGGGGGCCCAATGTACATTATGCCTGGCATGCTGAGAACAGCCAATAAGATATTGTTTCTGAATGCCCGATGCCTCCGATAGATTGCTACCCAACATCAGAACTTTTCTGATTACACGATATGCTGCTATATTCCATGCACCAACCAGCCACAACCAACCCTAGGGCGGCAAGGGCAGTTTCCTCGATGAATAGAAAATACTCAAAATACAACAGAAACAAAAACAAAAACATACAACAGCCAGGATTCGCTAGTGGTCACCTACCTAACTACTAACTAGCCGGCGTGTGGCTTCTCTACGGTTAATAGTTAGGTAGGTGTCGCCTGGGTGAGAAATGGGCGAGAGCCGCTTTAGCGTTGCGCGACCGGGGTGAGAAAGCTGAGTGCGCAATAGACGGGTGAGAATTGGGGTGAGAACCGGGTAAGAACCCTGCGGACCGGCGCGCTGACCGCACAGACGGCCCAGCTAAACTATGGCGACTTATCATTGGGTGTTGGTACAGGCTCTGAAACATTTGTCTCTTGGCATCTGCGCGCACAGCCACGCCAAAGCTCTATTTATTGGTGACTTCAGTTATGGATATAAGTTCATTTTCTAGCGATCGATACCAACAGCGAAAATCACAACACCATTACCAAGGTGGCCGAGGGACCGTGGAAGAGAGGTAGTATAACCGCCTTTAATTAGACTGTGTATTCTGCAAGCCTTATGATCTCTTAAATCTTTTGCAAGAGAAAGGGTAAGGTGAAGATTAATCAGCTCCGTGCTCTAGCAACATTGCTGCCTACAGCACGTTTCCGTGATCTCCGCCTTGGGCGTTAAGATCGGTCTTGTTCTCTAGCAGCGTCTGCACAGCCTTGTTGTGTTATCTGGAACACGCCGCCCCTCAAAAAGGTAGCGGCTGCAGGGGTCGTAAATCGATGTTGTAAGTGTTTTTGGCGTCGTTGGTGAGGCTCCGCCCAATGAGATGGTTCCACGACAAATTCACAAGACGCTAAGTCCTCCTGACAGATGGCTGGCCATTATTAGAGCCACGATTCCACCATAGCCCACTACGCTATATCACATATTAGACTGGTTTCGGGCAATTTTCACGATGAAAGATCAAAATCTGATTTCGTAAATATACAGTGCTCTCTGCGTTAGGCTCCTTGCCTAGTTCCCATCTATCTTTCTGTTTCGTGACGTCGGCTTATCGAAAGCCTTCTTTTATCTTTAAGTTGTTCTGCCCACTCGAGATGGCATCACAAAATCACCAGAAAAAGGTCTACGTCGTTTATAGAGGTCGTGTTGACAAGCCAACTATCTATTCATCTTGGTAACCACCGCAGTGAACCTCAATACTGCCGTCTGGGTTACTAAGCCTTATTTCTATAACTAAGGGGTCACGCACATCCCAAAGTGACAAATTTCGATGGCGCGGACCATCTAGATTTTGACCGACTTGAAGACGCACAATATTAAATGAAACAGAGAGGGATTGAGAGATATGAAGAAGTTCTCAAATTTGAGGGAGATGTAGTCAGGCAGCAGCCTCAAGGAAAATATTATGCCGTTGCGTACGGCAAGAAGATTGGCGTTTTTAAAGATTGGAAGTACGAACAGAGTTGCGTCATATCAAAGAAGTCACTGACAACATGCAGAACAGCAGAAGATTCAACTAAAGGGTTCAGCTCCGCGTGCCATCAGCGTTTTGATACCGAGTACGAGGCGAGTGACTTCATTAAAGACTGGAACGATTCATTCGCTGAAACATGGTCTTGGGCAATTAAGAAAGGACTTTGTGATGGATGGAAGGCAAGGGGTCTCACTTTGGACATTTCCTCTGTCTTGATCCAGGAGGACGAGAAGGTCGATCCAGATAAAAATTTGCTTCCAAGCCTGAAGCAGTGGAGTGTGAAAAATGAGATTCAAGACTGAATCAATAATGTGCGGCAATCTAGAGATTCGAGTGAGGCCCCTGTTCGGCCTCGCTAAGAATAGCTCTCGTCTGTGAGGGTCTAGCTTTTGGTGTTAATAGGTCAGATGAAAGGAGAAAACCAACTACTATGACAGTAAGGAGTAGATGGGCTCATCTCACGAACCTCCGTACTATCCGTCACCTATGTCTCCCGTTTTCTATATCTGAAAGCCCTCGCAACTGTTCGTCAGCGAGAATTTCTCCATTGCAAATGGACTGAGAGTCACATTTGAAAAAGAAATCAATCACAAGATTTTTCCTTAAGCTACTGTGAGCTACTGTGCCAAGTTGCATGAAGCTTAACCTTGATGTAAGCTTTTTCGGTGATGGGACCACTACCTGAGCGCAGGATTAGCATTATTTCAGATAATGTATCTATAATACGATAGAATTTGTGGTAATTATAGGTGGATTGCTCAATAGCCAGTCAACGTAATATGTAAATATAGACAAAGAAAGAAATTAAACTCACCATATTAGAGCATTACTTGTGAAAGGGCTATGTAAAGATAACCCTTTAGATCTATCCCACCGAAAAAGATAAAGAACAAGTAATATAGGACTGGACGCTTATTCTCTTATACCCATTATAGCTCAAGCCTCTTGTTTCTATGTTATCGGGAAGCGTCTCTTATTATACCATTCGATAGGATAACCGTTCTACCCTAAATATGAACTTTAGAGCGTAACATCTCAAAAATGCCGATCACTTCGGCTTGCATTATCTTGCATCCTGTATTCTTCCCCCCTATGTTCTTCTCCAGAAGCTATTAGATAGCACAGTTTCCCATTTGTAACCAAAGTGCCTTCGAGGCAGAGTGTTTGGCCGCTTTTTTAGAGCTTGCCTCTGCAGAAGATCTTAGTTCTTTATACTGAGCCATAGCGCCCCACCTTGGAGGGTCAAGCCCCAATCGAACCACATTGTAACTTGGTGAACAGTTCTCAGCATCTCCCATCTCTTTTAGCGCGGTTGTATAAACATGATCTTCACAGAGCTGCTCTGTATTCATTAGGATGCTGCTTGGCTCGTGGTTTTCAGCTCGGTCCGAAGTATATTGAGGCAAAGTTCTTCCATGGCTCACTGCAGTTGCTCTACGTTCCTCTTTGGAAGAAGGAACGGAACCATATTGACAAAATGGTGTCAAAGTAGCCATAACTTGTTCGATGTCAAAAGATGTGATTCTAGCAACTAGACCCAGAGCTTTGAATAGTGAAGGTCTCCTCTCTTGGCTAAGCGAGCTTAGCAAATGCGGATTGGTTTTGACAATCTGTTCGATGGCGCCAGCAGCGTTGAAGCCTTTGTAAAGCAATCGACTCAGTTCCTAGAAGTCAGTTAGCGTCTTGCAAAAATCTTTCAAGTGAGAAATTCTAACAAGTAATCCGGGTGATATTCCCGCTTGAGGTTTACTTTCGATGAATTTGACTTTTATAAACAAGTCCCAAACATGGTATCCAAGCCATTCATCTGAAGTATAGCGTTAGAAAACGGGCACATCCAACTCGGCTTTGATATTCACCTTGATCATGCGAGCAACCCGAGCCATCCAATTCATAAACGTCCATCCTTTCTACTGCTTCAAGTTCACAAAGCGATACGTTATTACGTGGTTTGCTGTTTATTTCTGTCTGAGAAGCGGCGATGGCTTGTTGAGATGGCTCTTGATGATCTTGGCTACGCCCAACTCGCGCAAGACCTTTCAGTTTGTGAACGTGATGACGGACGTCAATCATATTTGAGTAATCGACAAAAAATAAATGTTTGATGAATGTTTCATTGTTTTTGTAGGAGACCAGGGAGAAAAGGCGATAAAAACACTCACCGTCCTGTACTCAGCCTTTAGGTTCGATGAGGCTGAATGACTACGAGGCTTTGTCTGCATAGTTTAGCTGCCTCGCCAGCACATCGTCTGCAAGTCTACCCAAGCATCGAAGGTGGCTGTGGGAATATTAATAGAACGCTCATATCAATTGCGATAGGGAATTCTGCCTTGGGAACGAAGACGGGGTCCGAGCACCACCCAGCTGATTGTACTTGCATACTAGCACAGGACAACGCAGCCACTGATGACGTGTCATTTGAGACTGGAAGACAATATGGGGTCAGCAGTATATTAAGACAAATAGTGAAGCATGTCATGTTGCCTTCAAAGTCAAAGCTTTCAGGAATGGCCGATATTTTCGATCATATTGGAAGACAACGGAAAATGTCCAACTTTGCCAATGAAAAAAGTGAGATACTTTTCTGATTGTTTCAAATTGGCAAATAACTAAAGTCATCAGTTCGTTTTCTCGGTCTTGAGTGGGTCAAACTCGAGGTTGGTATATGGCTACAACTTCACCTTTCATGGCCGCTGAATACTTCCAATACAAAGGTGAGCTCTATCATGAGTCTCTTGATCGAACTCTAATCCGAAAAAAAGAAGATCCGTCAGCATCTCATTCTAAGAGAGCTTCCATACGACGTTTTTCTTCTGGCAATCGAGTCGAGAACACCCTTTGATGTATCATCAGAATCAGCCGCAACTTTATTCCTCTACGAAGTTGGGAAACTTGCCGTCCAAGACTACCTAGAGTCCTCTTCATCTATGAGGTTTATTCGAACCCTTCTCTTAGACCATCTGAACGAACGTCGAGAGAAGATTGCAAGCTACGCTAAATCATTGAAAAGCTATCCAGATGAGGTGGACAGTGACATATCGCCTTTCAACGCCGGAACCAATACACCAAACCACTATTTACAAAATTACAAAGGGGGATCCTTTAGTGAAGCCAGGTTTGCCCAGCAAAGCGGCATCCTAATAAATACAGAGCAGTTCTGTGAAGATCATGTTTATACAACCGCGCTAAAAGAGATGGGAGATGCTGAGAACTGTTCACCAAGTTACAATGTGGTTCGATTGGGGCTTGACCCTCCAAGGTGGGGCGCTATGGCTCAGTATAAAGAACTAAGATCTTCTGCAGAGGCAAGCTCTAAAAAAGCGGCCAAACACTCTGCCTCGAAGGCACTTTGGTTACAAATGGGGGGAAGTTGATTATTTAACATAAGACGTTTACACAAAGTCAATCAAAGAGGAGAACTACGAGACATATTCTATTTATTTAGTATTACATGGTTAGATAATGATAGGTTTCGAGATCAAGAAGTGGGCTCTAGACCATTCGACCGAGCATAAAGAAACGCCGACACCCTGCTCGCGACAGCATTGCTACTCTACGGCTTCTGGCAAACCGTGGATTCTGTTTCCTGGCTATCAGAGTCAATTTTGCGAATCCATAACTCCAGCTCCACCTCCTTCTTGCTTAGCTCATTAATGAGTTCACCGCTAATGAGAAGTCCGTCCAACAGCATCAAACTTGCTGCAGCATGCCAGAGGATTTTGCCAGATGAGAAGGATATACAAGATGAACGCATCCAGATCGGAAGCCGAAAAGCGATTTTTCGAGGTGGACACAAAGATTTGCTTATTACAGCAGCAGAGCCAGGATTGGGAACATAGACGAAGGGAGAGCAGGAATCCATGCTGGACGTTGGCGAGATGAACAGCCCCGTAACGTGAGATGAGTAACTGTCTGGACCGGCATTGGGATTAGAGTAACGCCAACAGACCGAGTTGGTGCTCTCGTGGTCTATTGAGTAAATCCTTTTCTGGCTGATGCTACAGTCCGGGAGATGTGGCTGAAGAGGGTGATGGATGGGCAAGTGGCAAGCGTCATGGTGACATGATGCCGCCTGAAGGATCGATTCCCTAAAGATATTTTATCAGTGGGTCAGCATTTTGCGGGCAAATCTGCTCAGGTTAGGCTGACAATTCTTTTTGGGGCATTGTCAACGTCTTTCACCAGCGTCGAGAAGGATGGCAGCATATTAACCTCCGTTGGAGAACACCGAGACGGTTGCAGCGAAGGATGCTGATCAGACTGAATATATGCTGTCGGCGACGAAGCGCCGTTGAGAGCTTTATGTGAAGCCATAGTGGTGATCAATTATCTCAGTGAATTTTGAGGACATTGATAGATACTTTAAGGTGAGGGGAAGATCATAGTGATGCACATCCGGACACGACCGGATGTGCGCAGGGCTACTCTAAGAGCAAATATTTGAGATTACTACCCTTCCGAAGAGGTAGGCTACTACTGCAGCGTAGTAGCTCACCCCTAGGAGATAGATAGAGATAGAGATAAGAGATAAGAGATATAGAGAGAATCTCCCTGGTCTGCCCTTTAGGAGACAGAAAGGGTAGTGGGAGGAAAATTGAGATGAAAGCTCTTGGTCAATTCAGCCTGGGTTTTGAGCTATATTTATAGACAGGAATGTTCCGTTTGTCCGTGAATATAGACGTCATATAGTTAGGGCTATTGACGATATTGTCGATATACCGATTTTTACGATACGATATCGACAGACGGTACGATATCGGCCACTTTTGAATTTGTCGATGCCGATTGCCGGTACGATATCGGCGGGCTTTAAATTTGACGATATCACCACTCACGATATCGTCATATCGTATCGGCATCGGCACATTTTTTCTTTAGAATAGTCTAGAGAGCGAACGAAATTTCGTCGAATAGCAGTTCTATTTGACACAATTTATGATTACCGAACCGGAATGTCGCGATGGCATAATTAAACTGAATCCCTTGACCGCTACCACTTATACCTATCGCGAATTAATATTAGTATTCTTATAGAATCCCCTTTTAAAGAATATCTTTAGATGCCTAGTATATCCCTCGCTATACTAAAGACTCTCTTAATAGTAACTTTAGAAGTAGGAATCGCTAGATAGTCCCTAGCTATCGCTACTATCCTCTACGGGAGGTAGTATTTCTCTCTTCAAATATTTGTCTTAAGGACTGCCCTACCGCATAGGGACCCTTAGGCATTTATTTATCTCTCTTATCTTATATACTACCAATCCCGACAAGTGCCGATATCGTATCGTTAACAGCTCTACATATAGTGAGGGGTAGGCCTAATAACCGAGGTTATATAGGCTAGTAAAGAAAGTGAGGGCATAGTGAACGCTGAAGTGAGAAATAAGTGAGAGAGATAAGATCAGATAAAAGGCGGTGAGAGACAGCAGAATAGGAATTTCCATGTTGAATTGGAAGCTCATGCACCTAGGATCCTGACAGTTATATTTGTCGAGTGTCGCGGGGGTGAGTTTACGGCGACAAATAGTGTTTTCTTTTTCTTCTCGACTCTTCTAGTACTCTTACGTAAGTCCACGTAACGCGATACGTGCGATGCTCTCCTCGAGAGCTTTTTGGATACTATTCTTAGTAGATATAGAGGTGAAGAAGAAGAGGGATGCTAAAGCGACGAGTGTGCCCTTATGTCCCGAATTTATGTTTCTCCAACCGCATAAAAATAGGGACCCTCTCACCTCGTTCTCACCCCTTTCACCCTGTTCTCCAGTCTTCTCACCTATATCACCCATACTCACCCTCGATTACTTTCTCTCGCTGTTTTAGAAGGATAGGGGTCTTAAGGGCTCTTTGAGAATTGGCCATGCAGAACATGTGGCTTAAGTACGGCTGAGCGGACGGGAAGCCCTGTTCTCCACACCCTATGGTCGTATGTACTGAATTCATCAGTACAATAGAATATATTCTGCTTCAAAAGACAAAGACAGGGAAAAAAGCGGCCGTCGCACGGACCGCTCGACTGGAGGACGTTGAGGAATCATTGGACCACAACGATTTCTTGGCATCTGTATATACTGTAGCTACGACTAGTTATGCCAGTCCGAGTCCAAGACTCGCAGAACGTGCATTTTGCGGGAATTGTTCATTCACTGGAAATATTATTAGAATGGTAGGTTATCGATCTACTCGAGGGTATTCAAGTGAATGTAGACGTAGATGAATAAGTTCATTGTTCCACCCTATTTCAACGCCCAGTACAAGATGAGAAAGGAAAGCTACTGACTCGTAGAAATAAAAAAAGCTACAGAGCGAAACCCAAGGAGAAACACGCCAAACCCAAGTCCCATATCCCATAAAACCCATGTATCGTAACTCATAAGCATGCGCAGCCAAGTACCATCAAGTGACAAAAACAGTATGGAGAACCCCAGCATAAATCCGTGCGTATAAGACAAGAAAAGAAACGCCGAATACCGGGGATGATAGTACATCTTCCAGAAGACCGCTTCAACCAAAGGGGACCAGGAGCCACCCAGATCCAATCAGAGTCTACTCCTTGCTAAACCGCTTCTTGAACCAGCTCTTCCTCTTTTCGTTATTTGCCGGGGTTGCCGTGTTGGCAGCCTTGGTCAGTCGATTCACAGCCGGTGCCTGTGAAGATCCGTTCCAGCTAGGTCCAGCCGACGCAGAAGATTGGCCCTTGGCGGCGAGACTGGGACCAGCGCCGAAACCCTGGAAGCCGTAGTCGGCCTGGGCGCGCTCGTCGAGCCGATGCTGCTGCATAGCATGCTGCTGCAATTGGTCCATGGAGCTGTTCATAGAACTCGGATCGGTCGCTTGGCCGTAGGGCTCCATGTAGCCGGAGCCGGACATGGCGGCTCCGTTGTCGTAGGGGGGCTGGTACGCCTGTTGCGAGTAGCCGTTGCCATTGCCATTGTACCCGGCCTGCTCGTTTGATGCGCGCGGGTGGTGCCGTTGTCGGCGACCGTTCTGGTAGGGGTAGTGGTTCTCCGGGGCTTGGCTCTGGTAGTTGTCGACGACGCTGTCCGGGCGCGATGGGCCGGCTCGACTGGCGTAATGGGCGTTCTGATCGTATCCGCGGTTCGAGTGGCCGTTCGGTCCTGCGAGGCTGTTAGAAACCATCGAAGGTCTTGGAATAATGAGACATACCGTAGTAGCTTGTCCGCCGGCTGAAGTCGCCCATTTGTGAGGCGGCATCATCTGCTGATTGTAATAAGCATGGTATGATCCCGTGCGGGGTCGTCCCAACGAACCTGTTTTGGCATACGAATGGCGATTGCTGCTGTATGTGCCGTAGATGGCTGCCTCGAATGATTTGATGGTATCGAGCGGGCGTTCAAAGCGAGGCCGGGTGGGGTTTGACCAGTCGGGATCGGCTGTAGAAAGAAGCAATGGAGTCAGGAAACCATGTGGAGACTGTGGGAACGGACATGGCGGGGGAAACGAACTGATAACGTTGCCGTACTGATCTTTATGCTCCATCTCGCGGAGAGAGCCCAAATTGGACTTCTCCAAGGCGACGCGATCTGTTAGGCGTCAGTCAATATTATGATCAAAGGGGCGATGTCACCGGCCCACGTGGGGATTGGGGCAACGACAAACGTACTGGGCTGCAACTCATTCATGGCGACGAGCGGATCGGCTTTGGTGTGTAGATTGTGCCTAGCCTTCTCCTGGGAGGATTCCGACTGATGGGATTTGTGACCGGATTTGCTGGAGGCGTTGGATTGTTCAGATTTGACACTGAAACCACGACTCCGGTTGGGAGATTGGACTGGTCGGGGGGCGGCCATTTTTATTAGGGGCGGTTCCCACTCTTAGCGTCCGCGATTCAAGGCACTTAGGGGCACTGAAACGGTTGTGATCTGCCTGAGCTTTGGCGGCCGTTGTGGAGCGACCGACGCTGAAAGGTGGGCACTGCCAAGACGATCGCAAAGGCCAGTGCAGAGCGTATGTTCCTTTGCGTGATCGCGAGACACTTGAGACGCTCTGGTAACGCTTGAGGACCCGGTGTGAATTGCCTGTGAGATGACGCGGGGGCGGCACGAGGTAGTGACAACGGTGAAGGCTGGGAATGAGGATTTAAGGTACCGATCGCAGGTGGAGCGCCGTTATGTATGGGACCAGAATGGCCACGGATGGGCACGGATGGCCTGGGGGCAAGGCGATCGCTTTAAATAATGAACGAGAACGAGGCCTGGGGATAGAATTTGCTGTTGACGACACAAGCCACGCAACCCCGATGGAGCCCGAGTTGGGACCCTGTACACCGTGGCGGCGCTGTACAGTCTTCGGTATAGGTCTCGCTTGCCTCGTGGTGGATAATGTATTCGTGCGCATTCTGATGCACGTCTATTCAATTCAATTTCTACGTTAACCCCTGTGAATCCCCATCTTTCACCATCGGCCAAAGTCGCACAAAATTCAGGCACTTGAAGCGATCCGTGGAACATCAGCCTGGTACCGTCCGCGGCGATTGGTGGTGTTCTTCCGCTTAGCGTGCCGGAGTATTAATAGCATTTCACAGTCCAAAGGGTAGCAACGGTGGGCAGGACCATAGTCACCAGGTCCCATCGGGTGGCTGGGGTTGTCCCTCGGCATGATTTAACTACCATTGTGTTCAAGACCCTGTGCCACTGCCCCATGATGGTCTGGACTTCTATCCGAGGCTGCGAACACTACACTCAATTCACCAGCCATGATCGGGGGCATTGGCTTCTAATTGAATTCTGCAAGTTCTCACTGGTAAAACCAATTTATTGATTTTCGTTTGATTTTTCCCTCCATCCTGGCAAAGCGCGTGATGAAGGGCAGCCGTGGTCTTCCAATTGGCCGGTGGTGGCAGTCGCCGATACTGCGTTCTGCCGCGGATCTGCGGCTTCCCCCTTTGCCCCGAGCTTAGTATCGTCCTTTATCTTGTGCAGTGCATATACTAGAAAGAAATTGCATCGTGGGCATCCCTTCACCGGCCCATGTTATATTGTTATAGATTCCTTGCCAACCCTTGTGGCAGAGCTTGGTATTGTGTTCTATGCACCAGAGGCCTTCGGAGCGGTTCGAGATCTTCATGTGTTACGACTCAACCTGAGCTCGACCAATGATACGCCTTTGAATGCGCGATGCTGCGGTATCTGTGATGAGTGGCTCACTTACTCGGAGGTTTGCAGCTCCGGGTTGTATCTCGAAAAGTGGAAACTAGGCAGCAGCCATCACTTGCCTGCCTCTCAATCCCCAATAACAGCCCATGCTCTCCGTACAGGGCTGGGCTTGCTCTAGTCTGCATCTCGTCGGTTCATGTGTCATACCTTATCCGCTTGGTTGATTGATAGACCTTGCTGGAGCCGGCACATGTAGCCGATCTTTAGCAGAAGGAAACGTGGTCTGCTTAAACATCAATCGATTATCCCGGGCCACAACCCTGGAATGATCTAACAACCGCGGGGCTGAATGTGGCAGTCGGATTCCGCGGGCTTGGCTTTGATCTGATACACATCGAGTCGACCCACACTAGGAACTGGCCCAATGTCGAGCTCAGTGTATCAGACACGACTACGAGATCATAGAACGTTGGAAGACAGTCTGCTACAAAGCTATGCTGTCGTATGTGGTCGAGATTCGGAAGTCATCGTGCATGTTGAGGGAAGTCGTGGTATGGTACGAAGGTCAAGTCGCAATGGGAGGTATTTTGGAAGACATGCCATGGTGGGAGTAGCCAAAGCAAGGTAAATGCAATTCTTCTATAACAACGGTCGTGCAGGCGGGGAAACAGAAATCTCGAAAGGACCGGACTGTTGAAAACGATATGGAATTTGGTGTGTAAGAGCGTCAGATACACGGTGGGAGAAAGAATGACGCCTGCCACAAAGAGACAATCAAGCTCGTTGGAAATCGGGGGCGACACAACAAAGTGAACGTGTAAAAAAGTTTTGGTTTTTTTTCATTCGTAGGGCTGGAATTTTATGGCCCTGCCTTCTCCCACGAATAAAATCGTTATCAAACCGCCAACTCCATCACCTCGAATCAACATTCGGCTCGTTCATCGACTTTTCCTTGCCTGATCGACCGTCTGCGCGAAGAAAGGGAATCATCGCCCACTAGATACAATGTGCCGTTTAGATGTTGGAGGGGTAGAGCATGACGCGGACGGTGGCACCGAAGGTCTTGGGGGGGAGGTTGCTGCGGAACTTGGCGCGAACAACGCCGGAGTTGCCTGCTGATCGTTAGAATTTGGTTGAACCGACTCAACCGAGACTTCGTGGACGTACCGTGAGGGCGGGTGACCTTGCCCCAGATCACCCGGATGTTGGAGCCGCGGACCTCACGCTTGGCCCGGTAGACGAAAGCGACCTTCTTACCCAGGTAGAAGGAAGCGGCCTTGGAGTCATCAACGCCCTCAATCTTGACCAGACTGTATCGCTTATCAGATTCCATTCTCAAACTTGTGTGTGCGCATGTGGCTCGTACCTGGTGTTGGGGTTGGTGCTGTGCTTGCTACGCTGGTAGCTAAGGTGACGTCCCCTGTAAAGAAAACCCTCGTTAATCCTCTGTTCTCGAAGTCGGTGTTGTGTGTGTGATCGATCGCAAATTCCTCCTCCATATGTTCCCGAGACCACTTCGAAGACTGGTGTGTGCAACGTGACGGCGGACGTGTGATAGTGACTTACTTGACGTAGACTAGAGAAGAGAGATACGTTAGCATGAACAGTTCCATTTGGGCTGATGGTATCCGATGTGCCTCGATCCCAGACGATCCCTCTCACAATCGGATACCGAAGTTTTCGACAGGGCGCGACTCACGGCGGTGACCTTGTTCCGAAGGCATTATGACGGCTTTTCTCTGAGGAGCGGGCAAGGAAAGAAAGTCGAAGGAATGACCCGCAAGAGATAGTCGTTCCCGGTTGTCGTGGTTGTCGTCGCTTCGATAGAGTCGAGCGCACAATCAATTTGCGAAGGTGTGTTGGGCGGCGACTCGCCCTAACCCCAATCGGGTCCTTAGCGACAGGGTAAGCGAGGTCAGGTGATGGCACACTAGTCCCGTTGCAAGAGGCCACGGAAAATCAGGTTTCTCCGGATCCGTTAATTGTGATGCCTCAGGACTCAATTACAGCCTCAGGTGTCTCATCAATTCGATCACGTCATCCTCCTGACCGCCTTTACGACTCTTTTTTCTGCCACGCGGCGGACAGTGGTCCGAACCGGCAGTCTGTCCCAGTCTGGAGCCCAACAGCTGACAAACTTCACCATGACCTCACTCGTCGATCCTATCGCCGGTCTTTGAACTTTGATTTACCGCGTACCTAGGCAATTCCGCAGGGTTTTGAGTTTATATTCCTTCAATACTCCTCTATATCTTCACCGGAATTTCTTCAATACTAGATCTTTGTACATCTTTCATCTTGGAAAGCACGGATAGCAATCCGGTGTAACGCAGACCGAGTGTACTGATTGGGAAATCCAGATATTCCCCATCCTGCCCCACCATCCCGGCTGCCGGGATGGCGTTTTACTCTGCAGTTCAAGAGAAAGGAAGCTATGCGTACTTCATCTAATGCGAGTCCCTACCGGGTCCAACAGAGCTTTACATAGAGATCGTCCGAAATCATGATACATCAGTTAAGCAAGTCCGGTAGTATCCCCGCGCGGCGGTTAATATGGTCCGAATCCGGCGGCACTCTGGGCCGAGTTGGCTCGGGGTCATCAACCTCAACCGGAGTTACTGCGGCGGGCGGGAAAATAGAATCCGCATGGTATGAGAGATGACAAATGTGCCGATCGCTCTCCCACGATTTCGGTCACCGGGACAGCTTCTTATCTGTCAAGGTACCGTACTTCGTAACCTACTGTATCGTTTCTTTCCACGATGTGTATGCAGTAGAGCAATAAACTCGGTAGAGCCGGGATACAGGCGGCTGCAAAACTTAGGTGGCTTGCGCTGGTAACATCACTGTCGCAGTGCAAAAAACGAGGTGCTCCACTCACCGACCGCATTCTGGATGTGATGAAACCTTTCTCTTAGCTGATTGCCAGAGTCATGGCCACGTAACTCCACTTGAATTCAGGCTGTTTCCATCGTGTCGCTGTACATGTATATACATACAGCTTAAACAGATGACCTCTACTGTAGCCTCTCTTTTTGTTTCTTTTCGGGCCGTCTCGATACGTCTGTTGGACCAACAGGGGGACTGCTTGTCTGACTCACGTTGCACGTCATCCGCCCGAAAGAACCCATAATAAGCTGCGCGGGGTCATGGGTCGCTAGAACAATCTTAGAAGCAAAGGAATTCGAGCCTTCCCAAGAAGAAAATATACTTGGGATTGGCCAGATACCGGAGTCAAGAGATACTAGGAATGATGCTATAGATGCAGGGTGAAGAAACGATTCGCCACGAGGGAGAGAGAGCAGGGTTATATAGAGGAGAACGATAGTTCCTGAATCGTCATATTGCAGAGAGAGCGTAATACCCTGAAGTCATAAATAACAATAAAATACCCAGCTAAACCCCCCCAAAGGGACAGCCCCACTACCGAAGCTGTAAGAGCGACTCCCGTTAAAAAGTACCTGCTCCGCCGGAACCTGCTACTGGCACTGTTCCCTCCCAACAACTTCCTCTTTCCCCTTTCTCTCTCCTGTTTATTCTCTCTACCCATCTCGTTTTGTATATCCGAGTTGTCTGTGTTGCAAAATGTCCAACGCTGCCTCCCAGACCGATGAGCGTCAGAATCCTGGGTGAGTCTCTCCTCGGCCGTCTCTGACATCACCTCCCCCTCGGCAGCGGAAGCGCGCCGGCTACTTCACTTCACCGTCAACCCTACCCAATTTGGCTCATTCGACCGGACGCGTTTCGTGGTCATATTCCGAGTTCCTTCAATTTCTTTTTCGCCTGCTTCATCCGCATTGCCTGCACTGCTGGACTCCCCGCGAGAACCCCTCCATCCACGTCGTCCATTGCAAACTCTGCTCTCGTCCACTGAACCGCCGAACTAACAATGCCTTTTCAATCCAGCACCATCGAATTGAAAGATGACACCATTATCGTGGTGCTCGGTGCGTCCGGCGATCTCGCAAAGAAGAAGACGGTTTGTGCCCTGGTCCCGCGGCTCCCGGTGTGCGCTCAAGACTAACTCGTTTGACCAGTTCCCGGCACTCTTCGGTCTCGTATGTGATAGGCTATAGCAATCACAAAAAGAAATAACCTGGACTGACACGATCACTTATAGTTCCGCAACAAGTTCCTCCCCAAAGACATTAAGATCGTCGGTTATGCGCGGACGAAGATGGACCACGAAGAATACCTGAAGCGCGTGCGCTCGTATATTAAGGTGCCCACAAAAGAGATCGAGGAGCAATTAGACCAGTTCTGCCAGCTGTGCACCTACGTCTCGGGCCAATACGATCAGGATGACTCGTTCATCAACCTCAACAAGCACCTGGAGGAGGTTGAGAAGGGTCGGCAAGGGAAGGAGCAGAACCGCGTCTTCTACATGGCTCTGCCTCCCAGTGTTTTCACTACCGTTTCCGAGCAGTTGAAGCGCAACTGCTACCCCAAGAAGGGCCTTGCCCGTATCATTGTGAGTTCTCCTGGCAGACCAACCGAGGTATCGTCGGCTAATCCCCCCACAGGTTGAGAAGCCGTTTGGCAAGGATCTTCAGAGCTCGCGCGATCTGCAGAAGGCTCTGGAACCTAACTGGAAGGAGGAGGAGATCTTCCGTATCGACCACTACCTCGGGAAGGAGATGGTTAAGAACATTCTCATCCTGCGATTTGGCAACGAGTTCTTCAACGCCACATGGAACCGTCACCACATCGACAACGTCCAGATCACATTTAAGGAGCCTTTCGGCACTGAGGGCCGTGGTGGTTACTTCGATGAATTCGGCATCATCCGTGATGTCATGCAGAACCGTGCGTATCCCCAACAAACGATCATGAGGCCATGCTGACTTTGGTGTAGACCTTCTGCAGGTCCTGACTTTGCTCGCCATGGAGCGCCCCATCTCCTTCTCCTCCGAGGATATCCGTGACGAGAAGGTCCGTGTTCTGCGTGCGATGGATGCGATTGAGCCCAAGAACGTCATCATTGGCCAGTACGGTCGGTCGCTGGATGGAAGCAAGCCTGGTTACCTGGAGGACGACACCGTGCCGAAGGATTCGCGCTGCCCAACCTTCTGCGCCCTGGTCGCCTATATTAAGAACGAGCGCTGGGACGGCGTTCCCTTCATCCTCAAGGCCGGAAAGGGTAAGTTGAACCGCTTGTCCTGTGTGTGAATAATTGACTAACATCCTTCACAGCCCTGAACGAGCAGAAGACCGAGGTCCGTATTCAGTTCAAGGACGTCACCTCTGGTATCTTCAAGGATATCCCCCGTAACGAGTTGGTCATCCGTGTCCAGCCCAACGAGTCCGTCTATATCAAGATGAACTCTAAGCTGCCCGGTCTGTCCATGCAGACGGTGGTGACCGAGCTGGACTTGACCTACCGCCGCCGCTTCTCCGACCTCAAGATCCCCGAGGCCTACGAGTCCTTGATCTTGGATGCTTTCAAGGGCGACCACTCCAACTTTGTTCGTGACGACGAGCTGGACGCCTCCTGGCGCATGTTCACCCCGCTGCTGCACTACCTGGACGACAACAAGGAGATCATCCCCATGGAATACCCCTACGGTAAGCATTTCCCACCGTGCCACGACTTAAAAAGCGCATTTTGCTGACTAGACTTAGGTTCTCGTGGCCCCGCGGTCCTCGATGACTTCACTGCCTCCTACGGCTACAAGTTCAGCGATGCCGCTGGCTACCAGTGGCCCGTGACCACCTCCGCTCCTAACCGACTGTAGATGGAGGTGGCCTAGTGCTAGTTTACGATGATATGGGACGCGGTCTATGAAGATGATCAAAATCTACTTTTTCCTTTTTCTTTTTCTCCATTCTGTTGTCAAGCCCATGGCGGGTATCGTCGCTAAGGATTTGTCTCTCTCCCGAGTTGAGTAGAAAGAAGGCTCAACAATGAAAGAACGTTACGCACTCGATTCCAATCCTGGTCTCTAACTCTGAAACAAGGACGTAACTCAGTAGTTTCAATCAACAGCTAAATATACTCCTCGTCTCATCCATTCGCTTCTGTACCTGATCATGGGCTATAAATGGCACACGATTACTCATCCCTCCAACCAATCACAGCCTCCAATTCCCTGACGAAGATCTGAGCCCAAGAAGCTGCGTGAAACTAAGCAGAAACACAAAAATGAACCTTAAAAAAACAATCAACGATCTATATAACCTACCTAGCAAGTCAACCTAAACCTGAAACACCCAAAGCCCCAGACAAAACCCCCAGACAAACCCAACCCCCTCCCGGTTGACAGCGATCGGCATCAGAAGCCCCTGGCGGATCTGACTTGAAAGCGATAAGCGGCCCGGTGGGCCCGCATAAACTGCGCTCAGGCCAGGTCCTTTTTCTTCTCCTTCTCCTCGTTACGCCCTCTTTCTCCAGTATTACTCGTCTGCACGCGACATACTCTACCGGATCGCCAATTGACCTACCCGCTCGCCCTTGACCCGCGTACCCCTTTCCCGAATACCCTCGGGTTCCGAACGCGAGTCTGCGCCAGACCAGACAAAGCGCCGGACCCTTTCGCGACACGCTGTAGCTCCGATCCCCGCGCAGCGACGTTACTGCGAGGCAATTGGTCCGTTTCCGACGGCCCGGAACTTGTCCCCGGGCGCGCTTCGGAACTGCACGTTTGCTTGAAGGCCTGCGGGTCACGGATTACAGATTCCATACCCCGAGGTTTCGCGGAGAGGTGGAGCGTATGCCACGTGCCTAGAGCAGGATGCCGCAGGCTGCGAGATGGGCGGGCTCGCCGTCCATCAAGGGACGGTCTGAGTCGACGCGGATGGCGTTGTTGACGTTTAGCTTGGTGGGATTGCAGTACGTTTACCTCTGAACGGAACAGATCTGAGGACTCCCTTTCCGAGGATTCAAAGTTCACTGGCTGACGGTGGCTTTTTTTGTGACGTATAGGTTTACATGGGGCACGGAGATGACATGTAAGCTCCAGTTTTGAGTTTTTGAGATCGATACTAATGCTGTTTAGATTGCACGCCTTACCTTCTTCAGCTTGGTTTGACAAAATCCAAGACTTCGTTGGTGTGGATTGCGGGCCCGTTGTCCGGGTTGATTATCCAGCCTCTTATTGGTGTCATTGCGGACCGGTCACGGTCGAAATGGGGTCGGAGAAGGCCGTTTATGGTTTTTGGGTCTTTTGTTGTGGCTTTTTGTCTGATCGTTCTTGGCTGGACTGCTGAGATTGTCAGGTATTTCGTCAAGGAGCCAGAGAAGGTATGACTTGATTATGGAAAGTGGTTCATTGGGGCTGGGGGAGCTAACTCAAGCTCGTTAACAGGCGAAGAACGTTACCATTGCATTGGCTGTCTCCAGTATCTATGCCGTGGACTTTTCTATCAACGTTGGTAAGTGGGACGGCTCAATTTGGTGGGCTTCACTAACCGTTTTCAGTCCAAGCATGCTGTCGCAGTCTAATTGTTGATACGCTGCCGATTCCATTGCAACAATCTGGATCTGCGTGGGGTATGTGCTATTCACCTTGTATTATAATGGAAAGGTTTACTAACAGCCATAACAGCTGGCAGAATGTGCGCCATCGGCCAGCTCATCAGTTACGTGATTGGCTCGATTGACACCGTCAGCATCTTTGGGAGCTTTTTCGGCGACACCCAGTTCAAACAGATGACTGTTATTGCGGCATTGTTCTTGGTTGGCGCAGTGGCTGTTACCTCGTACTCCGTGAAGGAGCGTGTCTTGATCACAGCAAGGTAGGCTACTGCAGTCTTTCCAAAGTATAATGGTCATAAACACTAACGCAAATACAGGGATTCGGATGGAAAGGCCGGTGCGATTCAAGTGATCTCTCAGTTGTTCAAAACTACACTAGAGTTGCCCCCTCGTATCCAGGCTATTTGCTGGGCCCAGTTTTGGGCATGGATTGGTACGGACAGCGGACATCTATTGAAAAGGTTCTCGCTTACTGACAGTATCCAGGCTGGTTCCCTTTCCTCTTTTACAGTACCACTTGGGTGGGCGAAACCTACTTCCGCTACGAAGTGTCCAAGGAGGACTTATCCAAGGCAACCGATATGCTTGGCGAGGTCGGCCGTGTCGGCAGTCTCTCGCTGACAGTCTTTTCGGCAATCACCGTCCTAAGTTCTGTTCTGCTACCGTTCTGCGTGCAACCGCCTGATACCAAGCGCACCCGCTTCACGCCTCGACCACCCCCGGGCGTGGCAGCAGCACTCAAAGCCATGACTGCAGTACGACCCGACCTCCAAACAGCCTGGCTGATCTCTCAAATCATGTTTGCTGCGACCATGATCTTCGCGCCACTGGCCCACTCACGGGGATTCGCGACTTTCCTCGTAGCGGTCTGCGGTGTCCCGTGGGCAATCAGTGGCTGGGCGCCATTCGCCTTCATGGGCGTGGAAATCAACAAACTTACGATGAACAACAATAGCGGGGGTGCAGCAGGATTAACCACCCGCTCCGGCGTAACAATGATCACATCTGCCAGCATTCGCAACTCAGCCGCCGACACAGAACTAGAAGTTCTCCGACTCAACCACCGCGACTCAGACGGCGACGACACTGACGAAGAAGACCAAGCCTCCAACATTCCATCGACAGGCGAGTTAGCCGGGATCTATCTCGGTGTGCTGAACGTATACACCACTCTCCCCCAATTCGTCGGCACATTCATCAGCTGGATCGTCTTCACCCTTCTCGAACCAGGTGCTGAGCCCAGCGAGGAAAGCGATGCCTCGGACACGCAGTGGATGAATCTGGACAAGGACAAGCCCAACGCTATCTCTATCTGTCTGTTCATCGGCGCGATCAGCGCTCTTGTAGCGGCTGAAGCGACTCGGCGGCTGCGGTATATTCGATGAGAAAAGAGGCGTGATCCTGAGACGTTGATGTGAACCACCACTACCCAAAAACGCTTGATACCCGATGCATTGCGAGTCGGTTTCTCCCCTAATACCTGTACAGGGACTCGGAGCTGTGGTCTTGTGAGCGTGTGCATATAATCACCATTTATGATAGTAAAATTAATGACTGCATCTGATTATCCGGCAGCGTAATTAGTTTCTTACCTATTAAGTTGTAACCTTGGGATCTCTAGGTGTTCACTGGAGCTTCGGAGGTTCTAGTTGGGGAGACTTTGGGAAGAAATATATTCTGCCGCCAGGGCCAGAATTTGGCACTTTCATTGTCCCGACCGGCAAGAACCTAAGATTAGATATTATGTACTTAATACCTCTTCACAGCTGAGGTCCTCGCAGAAATATGCAAAAAACACCGAGTTAAACTCGCAGTGGGGACTTTGAATGCAGGATTGACCATTCGGACGATATTCGACTTTACCCGTAAACTTACAGCCAACCATCCAACGATGTCGCTTCCCGTGGACCTCTTTAAGATTCCAGCGCCTTCTTCTCTAGACCCTTATAAATCGACGCGTAAAGTCGCTCTACATATGCCACTTCTATTCTAGCAACTTCTTTCAGTAGAACTTTAAAAACCACGTGCTAAACTATGCCTATTTAGGAAACTGATTCAAGGGGAGGGGTTAGCTGTATCGATTCTTACGTGAATTGGCTAGTTATAGGAATGCCACTTGCTAATCGACGATCGCGGTATCAATGCCCGTAAGTTAATGGCTAGGTTGAATGCCTCTGGGCTGATGCTTCATAAGCAGCGACCGGACCAGGTGGGGCCGATGACGAGAGGATGATCTAAAGATGCAGAATAGCTAAGCTACTTTAATCCGTGGCCCCCCGGCGGGCTGCATTTGAACTCTCAAGTCAATTCAATTCGAGTCTTTTTCCAACCTTCAAATCAGCTTTCAATCACAATGTCTCCCAAGGTCCTCGTCGTCCTCACCTCTGCCAACGAGATCCCCTCGATCCAAAAGCCCACGGGCTGGTATTTGGTGTGTGCCCCGCGATGTATATCCACTTCCTGCAACATTTTCTACTCCCTGAGGGGTAGCGGAAAGAATTTCCCTGCATTCGCCCTCAATAGCACCACAGCACTTGTATAGAGAAGGTTACTAACTATGCAAACCAAAGCCTGAATTCGCCCACCCCTACCATGTCCTCCACAACAAAGTGTCCCTGACCATCGCCTCGCCCAAGGGCGGCGAAGCCCCCTTGGACCCATCGTCAGTTGAGATGTTCAAGGACGAGACTTCAGTGAACTTCCTGAACTCGCAGAAAGCACTCTGGAAAAATACGGAGAAGCTATCGGATATGATTCCGCGCGTTGGCGAGTTCGATGCCATTTTCTACGTTGGTGGACACGGCCGTACGTTCCTGTTCCTCTTCTTTAATAATAATAATATAAATCATAAACTAACAACCTTCAGCCATGTTCGACCTCACCGAGGACCCCAACTCCATCAAACTCATCGAGACCTTCGCCGCTGCCAAAAAGCCCGTTTCTGCCGTCTGCCACGGTCCCTGCGTCTTACTCAACCCCAAGGGCCCCTCTGGAAAGCCGCTTATTGCAGGCGCGGAGGTGACGGGATTCTCGAACGTCGAGGAAGACCAGGCGCAGCTTTCGTCCGCGATGCCGTTCATGCTGGAGACGGAGCTGGCCAAGGTGTCCGGCGGACACTACGTCAAGGCCGCAGAGCCATGGGGTGAGAAGGTGGTTGTTGCAAAGACGGAAGTTGGAGGACCCTTGATTACAGGCCAGAACCCTGCTTCTGCTACTGGAGTCGGCGAGGCTCTTCTCAAGGCCCTTGGACTTTAAATGCAAATTGAACTTGGATGTGATTGAGATACTAGGAGACAAACGAATATGAAATAGTGATATGACACGCAGATCTACAGAGCTAAGCTACCGTGTATAGCGAGGTGGAAACGGAGTATGAAAACCGGGCTTCAGAATTCAGTAACGAAAGGGGAATAGAGCAAGAACGGGAGACAAGCAAAAAAAAAAACATAGAAACAGAAGGCCCAGATTAAAAGAGATAAAATGGGAAGAAGAGAAAATCGGATACCTTGTCCAGCCGCAGACTGGGAATGGCTCGAGAACAGAACACAAGAAATCAATTGTCGCAACCAACGTCAATCGTATCGCGGTATTTCGTTGGTCTCGTGTTCCTCCCCGGTATATAGGGAGGGACGAGACGCTTCAAGCGGCCGTGAGAAAAATCGGGCTCGACGAGCAAACACGAACTGGTGTGGTCGGATGGGGACGATTGGAGTAGAAAAGGGGATCCCGGGCATCCAAGAGATAGAATAGGTGGGTAAAGGTAAGGCGAAGTCGACAAAAGAAAAACAGAAGAACATGTAATTAGTTTCCTTCCATGTTGCCGGTCAGCTCGGCGACTCGGGCCTTGATGCGGGCGACGCGTGACTCGATGGCTAGAGTAGGGTTAGTATAACGTGGGTTCAGACGCTGATGTATGACTTACTCTCTTCGCCGCTGGTATCTCCCTCGTCCGTCCGCTCAGACTGGCTAGTGCGAGTCTCGGGCTCCTCGCTTGTGGCAGCTGTACGCTCAGCAGCATTCTTACGGATCTGAGCCCACCGATCCTCCTCGGTGGCAAGAGCCTTTTGGCTGATAGTATCGGGCTTCTCCTCATGGCCGTTGGTCGGGGTCTCGGGGGCCTCGACCTCAGCAGCAGCGGGAATAGCAGGCGTCAAAGGCTCCTCCTCACCAGGAACGAAAGCAGGTTGTTCGACCAGAGGGCCTTGGTCGAACTTGGAGAACTCCTGGTCGGCCGCGTTGCGCTCATTGGTGTCGACGCGGGACAGAGCATCGTACTCGACACCGCGACGGGTCTGAGGAGGACCGCGAAGTTCGGGAGAACCAGTCATCGGAGCCGGCTCTTCCATCACAGGTTCCGCGGGCTGCTGAGGGGTGGCAGGTTTCTCAACTTCGGGTTCGCGGACTGGGTCTGGGACTGGAGCGGGGGCGGGGGGAGAGGTAGGGGCCGCAGGCTTCTCCGGAACAGGCTTCTTCTTCAGCGGAGCGGCCTTGGGCGACGAGGCCTCCTGAGATTCTTTGGCCTTGGCCTCCAGGGCGGCGCGCGCGGCAGCCACCGCGGAAGAGTCCTTGGCACCGGTGCTCTTCATCGGGGGCTGCTCTCCTTTCTTCTTCGTTCCAAACATGTTCTTGAATCCAGTGTTGCCGGGCTTCTTCTTCAGCTTCTTGGGGTCATCGGCCGTCTGAGGCATGACCTCAGGTGTTTGCTCGATCACCATAGCCTGGCTCTTGGTCTCCTTGTCATTCTCGGGTACGGCCTTCTCCACGGGCTTCTTCTTCGCCTGTTCAGGCGAGGGCGGCAGTGGAGTTGCCGTGGGAATGTCCTTGGGCGGTGGCGGAGGTCCGCTCTTGGAAGTGCTGGGTGGTAGGGGAGCTGATGGGATAGCAGGCTTCTCTGCTGCCGGTTTCTCTGCTGACGGCTTCTCTGCTGACGGCTTAGGGACAGACTCAGCGGGCTTCTCATTATCATCACCATCGTCATTTGCAGCACCAATGCCCGCGCGGCTATTGCTCAGGTAGGCGGTCCGGTAAGCATTCTTGTCGTAGTTGCTTGCCCACTTCATGGCTGAGGAGGCCTCGTTAACAATACCAGGTTGGAGCGTCATGACCGAGTTGGTCTTGGTTGAATAAGCGTCCCTACGGCCATTTGTCCCCGCATCCTTAGCTTCGGCTTCCTGCTCGCGATGTTTCTTCTGAAGAGCAGCAGCAGCAGCCTGGATCCGCTTATGCTGATCAGGGCCAATGCTGGTCTTGCTTTGTGGCGCCTGGTTGTTGGGCCGCTTATAAGACTCTTCAATAGGATATACTTTCTTGGCCGACGACTTGCTGCGGCTCAGCTTATTTCCCTTGCGGGTTCCAAAGCTGAAGAAGCTCTTCTTCTCCACGATTTGTGCACCAGCCTCCGGTTCCGGGGCGGCACCTTTGATCTGCTCTTCAAGGACCAGCCATTTTGTATGCCGAATGACAGTCTCAAGGAGTGCGACACGACCGAAGACGGCCTTGCGAGCGAGAGGCTCATCACCAGACAGACTGGTAATCCACACCCACCAGAACGAGTCGTCCAGGTCCAGAGTGCTGATGCTGGCTAACTCGGCAGGCTCCAAGGACGGCTCATTGTCAAGCCCACGTTTGTGAGACTGCGAGCTTTGGCCCCGGGTGGCAGCAATGGGCGGAAGAACCTTGTCCGGAGGCAGCAGCACGGGACCGATATGGTCTTTAAGGTTACCTTCATCCGTGAAGCCCGAGGACATGAAGTCCGCCCATGATGGAGTTGTGGGACGTCCCAGATTTCCAATCTGCGATTGAGGAGCAGTTTTGATCCTATTCACATGCTCATTCCTGGCCACGGGTGGCCTATTATCCTCGTCCTCTGGGTCTGAATCGATTGCACCACCAAATCCAATGTCCTCAAAACGGGACCACGAGGCATCCCGCAAGCTGGTGGAGTGCTTGGAGGTCGACACAGCGGACTCATTCGTGGATGAAATGCACTTCAAAACGCGTAGACATTCGTCAGTGAGCGCGCGGATGGGGTCTTGATAGTTGGAGAACTCCTGCAGGTGCCAGTGTTCATCACGATATTCAAAGTTCTTTGCCCGGCGCAGCAGCGAAAAGGGGGTCGGAGAGACGGTATCAACAATCATGACTACTTTGGTGGTCGTGACTTGAAGGAGAGTCGGGGTTTCCGGGGGGTATTCAGTGGCCTCCACGAGGGATTGGAGAGAAATGGGCAGAGACGAGATACCGGTAACACCACGGGGCACATCGGGCGTCAGAGAACGCAGGTAGGCGAAGAATAAGTGACTCGTAGCATCGGCGGCACTGCAAAAGTCAGAGATTATCCACAAGAAGCAATAGGAAAACATACGCAGCCCAGTTCTTGTAGGCGGCTTCAAAGCCGTTGCCCCTGTCGACATGCTCAAAGGCCCACCATCCGGCGTATCGTGAAAGCTTGCGGCCTCCCAGACCGTTAGACTTTCCATGAGCAGCAACGGCAGCCAAGAGATCGAAGAAGTCGAAAATAATCTTGGTGCGGGCGTCGGAGTCGACACTAATCGGGATGAAGGTCGAGAACGCGTCGCGGGCCAGATCCGAATCTGAGTTTCGTTTCAGCATTTATCCTCCCAGGATTCCCCAGGTTTAGTCGTACCTTGTTCGCCAACTTTGAACAATTCATACGCCTCCCACGTAACAACACCTCCGGGCAATCTGCTCCAACACCATTTTATGACACCGCAGAGAACCTGTATCACCAAGAATAAGCCCACGCGCGTTGTTATGTCAGGAGACTTCTCACCATCGGCTCAGTGAGCCGCAGCTCTTGCATCAACTCATCTCCGCTGACGGGGGCACCCTTATCGAAAGACTGGTTGAAGTAGTTACGGACGAAGGTGCGGGCGGCGCTCGGGTCGGAGCTCGGACGGAAGGGCAGCAGGAGGAATGGGGTATCGAGAGCTATACGCGACGAATGATCAGCAATCCGTGAAAGCGCGTGGCAGCCGTAACACCACCACATGGTTCAGAACGGAATCCACCCACCTCGAGCCTTCAATTCCTGCGAACAGCCTCGGATGAGGTCTTGCACCTCCTCGGGGCCGACCTCTGTGCGCTGCCAGGCGTCATTCCATCTTGGCTTCGCGGGGACCGGATCGGCGGCGGCAGGTTTGGCCTGCTTCTTGACGGCGTTGGAGTCTTTGCTCCGGAAGACTCGACTGAAAAAGGGCATTTTCGGACTCGCGTGACCGCTATAATTGGCTTTGGTGCGGTGCGGCTGGCGACGAGCTCCGTGTGTTAGGCGCCGTTTCGGGACTTATTTTCTACCCTCAACAAATTAGCTGCGCGGTTTCAAAAGCGAACTGGACCCGGATGTGGAAGACCGACAGGTCAATTAAATGACGGAATGGAGACGAGTGAACACAAAATAAAATAGAAAAGAACCAGGCCGGGATGTCCTGCAGCCCCCAGGCTCAGGCCCCAAAAAAAAAAAAAAAAAAGGCAAGGTCCCCTGGTCTGGAGCGGAGAAAGAGAGTCTGTGCTCGAGAGATGGAGCGTGCAGAGCAAAGATAGAGTAGAAGATGTAGGGGATCAACCACAATCCCACGTAGAATCGCACGTATAGAAAGGAAAGAGAGGGGGGATAAGAAAAGTCGAGGAAGTGAAGCTCAGGGGTAAAACGGGAGAGAGTCTGGAACTTGGAACTAACCTAACCGCGATGGTCGAGACCGCCCACAAAGAAAAGAGAAGAAACGGGATTGGATCGACGTCCCCCCTCGTAAAAGAATGTAGCGAAACGGAACGGAGATGTCTGGCGTGAATCTACCGTGTACCTAGGGACGAGTGGTGTGTGCTGCGTGGTGTGTGCGGAGAGTGGATGATACACACGGCGATCATCATCTCCAAACTGGGTTTCTTCGATCCAAGGTTCCGTGCGGGTGACAGATTCCGGTGGGCTCGCTTAGGTGAGTACACGGATGAACTGGATGTACGGTCAAGTAACTATCTAGATTAGATAGTTCGGTTCGAATAGGTATAGATTGCAGTGGATCTAGTGACTGGTCAATTGTGGCGGGGTATAGTTCTAGAATGTATGAGGTGGCTAGGTATGCATCTCAGAGGAGGGAGCACGTTCAAGGTTGGGTGCAAATGTCACTACCTAACTACTGTTAGGTAACGAAAGACAACTCACTCGAGCTTCCGCACTCTCGTCCAATTGAACCAGCCTGGTAGTCGCAGTAAGAAGATCTAGGTAGTTCTGGGTGCCGCGACGATACTTGAGACAGTGCCCGATTGAGTCTAGGCATAGCCATCCCCGAGTCATAGTGTTAAGCTTAGACAATTCCCCAGACTTCAATGGACAATACTGGATACAGCTCCATATCAACTCGATTTGAATGCTTAAATTCCTCCACTGCCATCACCTTCGCCACGGCCAATAAGAGGGCCCACCGCGGCTCCACTGTGACAGCCATAAATAGATCGCCTCAGGCAGGGCTGCTGATATAATCGTACCTATCCCCTTCTTTTTTCCCTCGATTCTATCTTTAGAATCAACCTTTTCTGCATCGTCAATCAGCCCCCCATCAGTTCTCCACGGTATCGCGTCTGCGGTTCGTCTTGTTGTCCCCAGACCCTGCTCTTCGTTTCCCTGTCGGTCGCGTGGTATTCCCACCTTCCACTTTCCTCTTCCAGCCTCCGCTCTCGAGGCTTTACGTGCGCGGCCTGAATAGCGCGACAAAGCCAGAGTCACGCCATACCTGGGAATAGCTTCGGGTACTCACTGCTTGGCAAGATCCGCTCTGATCTCGAGTCGCCCGGGTTGCTCAAATCGCCGGAAATACTTGTGAAACATCTTCGAGACGACTCGCTCTCCTGATCCCCTCAGTACCCGCGCGCATCCCGCGCCCGTAGTCGTCTAAAATGGGTCGCAGAAAGATCGAAATCAAAGCGATCAAAGATGACCGTAACCGCTCAGTGTAAGCTACGCACTCTACATTCCATGATACAACTTACTGATTTTCTCGATGCAGCACATTTCTGAAGCGAAAGGGTGGGTTATTCAAGAAGGCGCATGAGCTCGCTGTTCTTTGTTCCGTGGACGTCGCAGTCATTATCTTCGGTCACAACAAAAAACTCTACGAGTACTCTTCTTGTGACATGCCAGAGGCTCTTGGGCGCTATCATTACGTGAGTTGGCTTTTCCTGTTGGTGGCGAAATCACAACTAATCTCACCATTCTCCAGTTCGGTTCTCCCCATGAACACAAAGGACCCGGTGATTTTGAAGGCAAACGCGACGATGAAGATGATGAAGACGAGACTACCCCGGCCCCCGAAGAGATGCAAGCCCAGCAGAGCCACCCTGCGGTTCCGCCTCACCTCCAACAGCCCGGTTTCCAACACATTCACCATGCTCCGTCTGCGTCTCCTCCCATCCCTAACGGCCTTCCAATATCGCGACATGGCACTCCACTCTCACAAGGTGTCTCTCGACCCACGTCTAGAAACCACACCCGTCGTGTCAGCTCGAACCTTGGCCCGCATGGACACGCTACTCCGCCGCCGCCTCCTGCGCCCCAAAATGGATTCGCATATATGACAAACCCTTCCATGTATAACCCCAATGTTCATTCCGCCATGAATCAGCAACGCCCCGGGCAATACCAGCAATACGGCCACCCCCAACCGGGTCCACAGGGAACGCCGCCTCAGGGAATGCACCACCAGCACGGCATGCCCTCCCAGCCCATGCCTCCCCACCAAGGCGCGCAGCATTTCCAACACCCCCACGCGGTAGCCTCGCAGCAGATGGGAATGCCGCCGGGATCGCATGCGCCGGTGCAACAAGTCACACAAGCGTATATGTCGGAGCCGGGTAGAGGGTCTATGCCCCCGGCATATACACCGGAGTCCCAGGATCGTACGGCTCCAGCAAACGAGGGCTCACAGGACAATGTTCCGGGTGGTTTGAAGCCGGACCAAACCCAGTCACCGCCACAATCAAGGTCGTTCTCCAAGTCTCGCAGTATCTTTACCCCGATCGACGATCGGGGGTCGGTTCTTGCCCGGCATTTTGGAGCAGGAGCGCCGGCATTCGAGTCACCTCGTGCGAATCAAGCAATGAAGCCGGACTCACAGGGCAATTCACCCGATTCCAAGAGTACCCCTATAAGCGAGGCTTCGCATCCACAGTCAATGCCATCAGCGGCAAACGTCAAGCGGCCCACTCGAAGTAATAGTGGTGCACTCACGTCAAAACGCCCTCAACTCAAGGTTCAGATTCCAAGCGAGAACTCTGATCGGGGCAGTACGACGGGTGAATCATCTTCACGCGACTCTGCTGGCAATAAAACGGTGACACCTGCGAAAGATAATCCTCCTACGGCAGGAGTGGTTCTACCCCCCCATCGCCATCTGCAGGGGCGATTCTCAGCGCTGGCGCCCAGGGACCTCCAAATCCATTTGCTCGCCCTCCGCCACCGGGTACCACAACTCAGAACAATTCACATGGGAACAATGCCGGCAATACGAACAATGGAAACACCCAGAATAAACACGAAACACCGATATCTGCGCTACCAAGCCGATTCATGTCCGATGCCCTTCTCCCATCACCATCCAGTTTCTTCGCCGATGACTGGGCCTTTGGCCGCTCAGGACCAGACTCGAACTTATTGCCCAGTCCATTGAATTTCCCAACCCCAGCGGTACAAAGCGGACCCAGCTTCTCTCGCGATGATGAACAAGATAAGAAACGCAAGAGCCCAGATAGTGGGTCCGGAGGAGAAGGAGCCAGCAAAAAGGCAAAAACTGATGGGAGTTAAAATACCTGATTCACGGGCGTTTATACCGTATAGCCCTGCATTTGACATGGTTTCGATTGCACCACCTCGAAACCAAAGGATGTCCAGGTCGATATCCGATTCTTCCAATCCACAACCACACACCCCTATTTCGTGATTCTTTACCTGATTTGGTTTAAGTCTAGGATCTTATGCTCTTTATACCCCAGTTCTATACCTTCGACTTGAATCCTATCTTTTTCTTTTTGTCTTTGATATTTACGACCGTCTTATGTCTTGGACTTTTTGAATTGATCACAACAGATCGTCTCTCTTCTCCTTTCTCTTTCTATATTTTCCTTATTTTTGTACCGGATGTTTTCGATTCTTGGGTATTTTTGGATTTTGGACCGGCGTCGACACGTTGGGACGGTGTATATACAGACTTTTATCACTAGTAACAGAAATTTCAGTGTTTTCATGCCATTTCTTTCTTCTGGGTACGCCAATCAGCCATATGCTCCTTGCCCTGATACCCAATCGCATCGAAAGCAAAGCGAGGCGGTGTCTGTGACTGGTCACAGAACAACGTAATTTGATCAATCACATCACTGTCACGGTAATCGAGCCACTGAGTCGTCGAGCTTTTTTCCGTGGTTATGCGTTCAAGATCTACCGGAATCGTGACAAGAACAGCCCACCGAAGGAGATTTACCAGCGAAGTGTAACACAATAACGATCTTCGGAGCCACTCAAGGTTTCATCTCTCTTTTCGGCTAAAAGAAGATTCCTTCGATGAAGCGTCCTCCTACAAAATCCTGTTTTGATACAACGTGGCTACAAACGGCCTAGGGTAACAAACAGAGGACAGAGGACCCCGCACTAAACCCCTCGATTACAGTGGCAAGGAAGTTCGGTGTTCGGTGATTGAAATCGCGGGAGAAATGCATACTACAGACGCCGAGACCACTATATAAGGCCATGACACGGGTGGCCTCCCCCTCATCATTCTAAACTTCGATTCCACCAAGGTACATACCAACAATAAACTCAATTTCTACACCATGACTCTCACTGGTAGCTGCATGTGTGGCGATATCCACTACTCTGCTGATGGTTCGTTCATTGCATACCGAGATTCGAGATTGTTGGTGCTAATTGCGTGATAGTGGACGAATATTTGTCGGCGCTTTGCCATTGCACTGATTGCCAGAAGGTAAGCAGGTCCTGAATCCCCTCGACTAAACTAAACGATTCTAACTCGGAAAAGTGGACCGGAGGCGGATTCACTTCCAACGCCGTCGTGCCCCGCGCCAGCTTGAAGGTGACCAAGGGTAAGCTCTCTCATTAATCAAGCTCTACCACAGTCTGACGTCTAATTCCCTTCATACAGGAACCCCAAGCTCCTACGATGCCAAGGGTGACAGCGGCAAGATCAACAAGCACTTCTTCTGTCCTACCTGTGGATCGAGCCTGTACACTGAGCTGGAGATCATGGCGGACAAGACATGTATCAAGGCCGGTGGTCTAGACAACGGAGCAGCCAACTTGGGTGGCAAGGTCGATATTGAATTCTATGTGAAGGATCGCCCTAGCTACCTTGCTCCCGTTGACGGTGCTAAGCAGATGCCGGCGTTTGGTTAATCTGTTAACCGCGTGGCCGGCATTTGATGTAGAATGCGGGTGTGGAGATATGCAGGTGTGGAGTTGCTTATGGATGTGATCTACCCTTGAAGTATGAGTAGTCAATGAATTGAACTTGATATTGAGAAGGCGGTGTTAGTCGGATTTAATGTGATTGTTAATCGGTGACGTTGCTGAGAAATAAAGTCGCGGTTTGTCTCCACTGTTGCAACCCCTCGGTCCTCGCTGGAACCGAAGCCAACCGCCATATTCGCTGCTACAATTCTTCCAAGACTAGAGAGCCCAGCGTGAATTACTTGAATCTCCGAGATCAGATCAAAAGCCTCTTTAGGTAGGCCGGACTTTTAAAAGCTTGACCGTCTCACTCTTCACACCTGAGTCACCTCAGCAAATTCTTCCCATTCGACCTTATCAGATCTGAAACTTCAGACCTCACATCCAAGATGGCCCAAGCAAACACGAGCCAAGTCCTTTCCAACAGGGCCCAAGATGTAAGCAACGCAACGGCTGCGAATCTCATGTGGGACATTTTAAGCGACATCTGGTGCCCATCGACCAATCCGGGAGGCTACGTCAATGTCGGAGTCGCAGAGAATGGCCTCATGCACGACGAGCTCCTCAAATACATCAACACAAAGCTTGAGCTACCTGCAAAGTACCTCACATACAACGACGGAGGAGGCGGATCGACCAGGCTTAGAAGCGCCGTGTCCCAGTTTCTCAACCGCCATCTGCACCCAGTCAAGCCGCTAGAGGCTGATCAACTGGTCATCACGAATGGTGTCTCGTCTGCAATTGGACATGTATCATGGGCATTCGCAGATCCCGGTGAAGGCATTCTCCTGGGCCGACCGTACTACGGCACTTTCATTCCCGATCTTTCTCAGCGCCCTCAGTCAACAGTCGTCCCAGTCAACTTCGAAGACGTCGACCCGCTCGGTCCCAAAGCCGTGGAAAAGTACGAGAAAGCCTTGCTAGAGTTCCAGCAGAGCACAGGCCAAAGAGTCAAAGCCCTGATGCTTTGCCACCCGCACAACCCACTCGGCCGCTGCTACCCGCGCGACGTGATCATCGAACTGATGAAATTGTGTCAGAAATACCAGATTCATCTTATCAGCGATGAAATCTATGCACTGTCTGTGTGGGACAATACAATTGACCAACACCCTCCGCCGGTGAAATTTGAATCCGCCCTATCGATCGACCCGAACGGGATCATTGATCCCCGTCTGGTACATGCCCTCTGGGGCATGAGCAAAGACTTTGGCGCGAACGGAATTCGCCTGGGCGTCATCATATCTCAACATAACATCGATTTCCACAATGCATTGAAGGGGATTTCCCTGTACTCTTACCCATCGGGCATTTCGGATCATTTGACAGCGCTTATCTTGGAGGATTCTCAATTCACCGAGTCTTATATCCAGCAGAATCAGAAGAAGCTGTCGGACCTTTATGCATACACTGCGACCTATGTGAAGAACCATGGCATTGAGTATGCCACAGGGTGCAATGCGGCTTTCTTCCTTTGGGTTAACCTGGGCAAGAAGTATCGCGAGCTGCACCCGGAGCTATCCGAAGATGAGGAGATCGGAGAGAAGGTGATGTCACAGTTATTGAAACACAGAGTGTTCTTGGCTAGTGGTGCCCTCTTTGGATCGGAGAAGAGCGGTTGGTTCAGGATTGTGTTCTCACAGCCGAGGGATATTTTGGAGGAGGCCCTGAAGAGGATTCTTGCGGCCCTCCAGGATTAAACTCATGTAGGGTGGCGGCATGCACAATGCAATATGATAAATCTCAGATTCGGATATAGTCCACGGGTTGAATCTTAGCATTAAATGACATGTAAACATTAAATGACATGCAAATTCCGAATAAAAGTCAAGCGCTCTCTATTCATCTGAGGACATGAACAAATCAAGTCTATTAGTGTCACCCTCTATTCCCATGACAGAACCATTTCCCCTAAACAGCTCTCAAACCTTAACCACCTCGGTAATAGCATACCGACTCCAACTGCGAATAGCGGGCCCAAAGCGATAGAACACATACGGCACCGGCACCATGATAGCGCTGATACAGCCGAGAATAGTGAGCGTCCAGTGAACACCCATATTCCTATAGAACGGAATTCCAACAATGGTCATCCCTCCAGCAGCACAATAGCGCGATACGGTCATGAAGCCTAGTGCCGACGCCGCGTAGATGCCGTACGAGTCAATCACGTACATGTAGGAACTTATGAAGACGCAAATGGTGCCGAGGCCGAAGGCAGACGATGCGATGATAGGCGACCAGACTGAAATGGATGGCTGTTTCAGGTTAGAAGTGGTTCTATCAAGGCACGGGAGTACGGGGTACGCACGAAGTCAGTCCAGCCCATCCAGAACAAACTGATAGGAATAAACGGTGCTCCAAACATGGCAAACCAGAGCCGGATTTCGGGTTGCGTGTGCACGTTGTCGAGAGCGCGAGGGTCGACTGCTGGGTCGGCGCCATTTGCAGCTTCGGCAGCCTGTGTGAAATTCTTCTTTGTCCCTCTGTAGACGAACGGGAGAAGAAACCCGGAGAGCATGATCCCAACGTACATGGCGACCCAGACGATGTTTGTCAGGCCCTGGGACAGGCCATGCATGTCGGTGAAAATAAAGGCGTACCCATCGAAGAAGGTGAACAACACAATATACAACACAGTCATGTATAGAGAGATCAGCAGGATGATGGGTTCGTGAATGGTGATCAGGAACTGGCGCTTCATCGCACCGCCGATACGGCTAAACAGTGCGATTTTCTCCATATCCATTTCTGACCGGAACCGCGGGTCTCCTGTCATCTTGCGCAGATGCTTGCCCTTCCATTTCAGGAGGAGCGGACCGTAAGTTTCAGGCTGGAAGAGGATGATCAAGACGAGGATCGCACCGGACCCGATAAGGATGATCCAACTTGTCCAACGCCAGGAAAGAACGCCCGTCTGCCCCATGTATGAAGCAACGGCTGGACCCAGCACCGGGCCGCTGGAGGAAAGAACGGCGTACATAGGGAAGTAGAGTGTCTTTTCCAACGGATTCCATAGATCGGCAATGGTGCCGCCGGCGCATGTCAGAGGCGGACAGCCAAAGATGCCTGCCAGGAATCAAAAGGCAAGTTGGGCGCCGATGTTGGGTGCCAGAGCAGAACCCATAATGAAGATCATGAACAGGGTCAAAGAGCTCACGTATACGGCATTGCGACCAAGGATCTCCGAGAGTGGTCCGCTAACCAAGGAACCAGCAGCGAAGCCGAGTAAATACATGCCTAACACAGTCAGCTATTCTGCACGCGAAAAAGAGCCATTTGTTAGATGGGGGTCAGGAAATACCAGTCACTAGGGAGCCCACGACATCACTGACGTGGAACGCCTCGGTGTTTTGGGGCAGCACACCCGAGTTGATAGACGTTGCGGCGCCAACAATCCAACCCAACGCAGAAACCAGCAGCGTCGCGGTCAAACGTGAGGCGACACTGTGGTTCCGCGGATTTTGCGGATCATTTGGGCCATCCCAGCCAACAATGAAGAGGTGGGCAGGTTGATCCGGAGACTCGGATTGCTTCTGGACATCGATACCAGCAATCGAGTAGGCCAAGGCGGTTCTGCTGGATCCCCAAGAGGCGGTTCTTGCCAGAGGGCTTTGATTCGACCTGGGCACATGTTGGCTGATTTCGTCTGGATTCGTAGGCGTATCTGTATCCGAATCGCGCGCCGCAGTTGGAGTTTCCTTCACAGGGGAGGCATTGTCCAGCTGCGAGCGAACAGATTTGCCCAATCGTCGGTACTGCAGATAAGACTGCATTTTCACCTCGGGATTAGACTGAAATATGGAATCCCTGGGTTGTACTCTCACCGGTTAGTCGCCAATTTGTGAGTCTCTGACTCCGGCAACGTCCCTGCTAACGAGGCAAAAGAAAATATAATCCAAAAATGAATCATCACCCAGATTAGGGTGTTTTAAGGGATTTGGTCCACTGCTGATAAATCGCATTGATTCAACGAAGCCTTTGTAGGTCCCACCAGGTGGGTCGCTAAGGGTCAAATCCGAATCTCCGAGAGCAAGGATGTACCATACCTCCCGCGCTGCATTCAGACATGACGGATTCCATTAAAAAAGGGATTAGAACTGGTATATATGAATTTGAATATTTTCTACCACAGCTATTACTTCTTCTCGTATTATTAAAAGAATACATTGTCGACCACGAAGCAAAATCTGAAAAATTAGGTTCGGATTTAATCACGAAAGCCGGAAAGTGGAGCCTCTCGGGGAGGCGAGAGTTCGTCGGAGACTAGTCCGATCATCACGCCTGCCGACAACTCTATCCCTTGGCCCTTGACTACCCCTACGAACCGACGAGAATGACGAGTGGAGTTCTTTACATGCAAGGCAAAAAACCGATGGAAACATACCCACAGAGAGGTGCGTAGAGGGAAATACCAACGGGGAATTACCTACAGGGAATTACCTACAGGGAATTACCTACAGGGGAATACCTACCTTGTCGGTAAAGCCCTACATTCAACGGCAGATCATCGTGATTTTGTATTTGCAAGGTTCAAAAGAATTACCGTCGATTCGCACAAGCTTAACTACGATCTAAGTGTGAATGGCAGCCCGAAACTAGCTCTCACAAGCTATACCAGCCAAGAGCTATTCAATAATCCTGCAGGCGCGAGGGTCTTGAAACTGTACACCAGGTCGACGGTAAGATGGCCCACTTCGAACTTGGTGTCAGATACAGTGGCAACGCATTTATTGTGGATCAAGTATACGAATTAGGTGGGCTCATTAAAGATCAGTCAGATTTGAATAAATATATCTGTCACTATGTGCAATATTTCCCTGTCCAAGATTCCGTCATGGCATTGCATAGAAGCGCCAGATCGGAGAGAAAAGCCAGACAGACTGCGATGCAGATGCGAAGAAGGGCATGTGTGATTAGGTACACGTATTTATTAGACATTGAGTAATTTTGTACAGCGAATCGGCTGAAGGGCTCGGAGAGAAGATTATAAAGAGACTAGGGCTTGGCCTCGGGCTTGCGCTGCGAGTCGATTAACTCTTGGCGAGCCCGCTCCTGTTCGGCAAGACCGGTCTTCTGGATCGTATGCGTTTTGCTGAGCTCGCGGGGGCGGATGAAGCACGACAGGACAAAGCCAACGCCACCGATACAAGTATAGAAGATCCACATGCGGTTCAGGGCGAGAGTGAATGCATCGAGAACGACCTGTTTCTGGTGGGGGTCCAGGCTCTTTACGAGAGTCTTGGTGGTACCGGCGAACGAAGACGAGATCTTGGCGGTGCGCTCGACGCCGATGGCGGCGATAAGCTTGCTGGCTTGTTGACCCATGATGTTCTGGTAGACGACAGTACCAAGGACGACAGACATGGAGGTGGAGAGTTGACGGACGAAGCCGAAGGTAGCTGTTGCAGTGGCCATGTCGGCAGGGCGGATGTTGGCTTGGAATGCCACCAGGGGCGCCTGGAAGTTAGGGCCAACACCGGTACCCGCAATAAGCTGGTAAATGATGATGCGGGGCCAGGAGGCGTATGACTTGAGATCGATCAACAGGCCGAATCCGAGGGTCATGAAGAACATGCCTGCGATGATGACCTCGCGGTAGCGACCAGTCTTCTTCATAATAACACCTGTACCAGCGGAGACGATCGAGAGAGCCAGGACCAAAGGCAGGACGTAGACACCGCTCAGAATCGGGCTTGCCAGCAGGACGGTTTGGAAGTAGAGCGGGAGATAGTAGGTACCGGCAATGAAGACGAAGCCTTGGCAGAAGCAGACCAGAAGAATGAGCACGTTGTGCCACTCGTTGAACAGGCGCAGAGGAATGATGGGATACTTGGCGATTTTCCACTCGGAAAAGCCGGCAAGAACCCAGGTGACCACACCAAAGATAATGAGACAGATAACGGTCGCGGAGGCCCAGGGGTAGTCGACACCTCCGAACTCAAGACCGAAGAGAAACATGAGGGTACCACCAATGATCAAGAACGTTCCAGCCCAATCAATATTCCGCAGACCGGCCAGGAACGGCGTCTTGGGGGATTCAATATGCAAGAAGAAGAACAAGATGACGAGCGAAACACCGCCAATGGGCAAGTTCAGATAAAAGCACCATCTCCAGGTCACGTCGGTGGTGAAGGCACCACCGACGATAGGTCCCAGCGCACCGGCAATAGCCCAAGTGGCGCCGAATAGACCGTAGTACATGGGTCGGTCTCTCATACTGAACAAATCCGAGACACTGATATTGGCGAGAATGATGATTCCACCACCACCGATACCTTGAATGGCACGTCCGCAGATGATCATGGCCATATTTCTGGCCAAAGCACAGATCAAACTACCAACAAGGAAAGCGACGTTGGCCATGAGGATGATGTATTTTCGTCCCCAGATGTCACTGATTTTGCCCCACAGAGGAATACAAGCCGCATTTGCAAGGAGATAGGATGAGGCGATCCACGAATATCCACTCTCGGAAGCACCGAAGCTCGCGGCGATAGTGGGGAGTGCAGTTGAGATGATTGTCATATCCAAAGCTGCCAGGAACAAAGCCAGACAGAGAGCGATCATGACAACGATGATCTTCTTCTTGCCCATCTTCGCCGCCTGCGAAGGGGTTCGGTCCAGCACCGCCCCAGAAGGCTTCTTCTCGAGTGCAGTATCATCATCGACATGGACCACTCCATCCTGCTCTGTCTTCACAGGTTCCTGGACCGGCGCAGAATCCTCGACATCAGACTTGGTGTCATCAAGCTGCGGAGCGAACGTGTCAGCACTGGATGTATCGCGGTCATTGTGTGAGTCCACCATGGTGGATGACTAGAAAAATTCCGATTATCGACTCAAGACAGAGAGGACAAGAATTTGCGGGGATGCTGCAAAGCCAAAGCCGAGACGTCGGAGATTAATCGATCGATCGGCTATGCGATCGCCACGATGACGGGTGCTTCTATCGAGGGTGCTCGGTTCAGAGAGTGTGAAATAAGATAAATCAGAATCTCTCAAAGCGACATAGTCAAAGCTTTGTAACGAAGGCGCGTTGGAAGAGTCAGAAAAAATCCTCGTCGTTAACCCAACCCGAATGGATCGGGTCGCGCGCCGGGATTTTGGAAGCCCGAAAAGCCGAACCGCTCCAGCTTATGTCCGAGTCTATGCGAGTTACCCCCGTAATGGAAGAAGCTATCTCCATGTTCTCTATTGCAGCGGTCTGACTGACGAGGATTTTAACGTCCCCGACTTGTAGATTTGACGCTTTCGATTGGGCAATGTGAGTTGCGACGAAGCAAGGGGTGGGTCGGAGATAACGGCATCTATCTGTTTTCTCCACTACAATGACAGCTGCCTACAAGAAATGGATGTGACTCATTCAGACACATTGAACACTCGGAATTGTTCGTTTCTAACAGGGAAAATAAGGGTTGTGCGACGTCGACGCGTGGTTCTATACCACATTCTAGAATAAGAGGTTGGCTAAGCTTCGGATCGGGGCTATCACCTCGCCTGAATGCAAGATCTGCGGGTTACCAAGGATAACGTGGCACCCCTGTCGGAAAATTCATCGGTAGACATTCCAAGGTGTGTCATGCAGAACATGTGAAATCTTTCATGGGCGGCTGGGCCCGATTACCAAAAACGGAAATGAGCTGCTCCTTGAAGCCTACAATACTCGGGAATTTCCAAGATTGATCAAATTGCGATAGCCTATTTGTTTGCTGGATTGCAGATGACTGGACAATGCCCTGATCAACTCGTAAAGACCTTTTCCGGATAACTCTATGGTGGGAACAGATGGACGAGGGGTATATAACATGGAAAATGTCGATAGCCCGAAGACCACAAACGAGAAGGAATGATGACAAAGAAAGATGCAAATGCACGCTCGACGTACAGATGAACGAGGATGTATCAATCTTGGAGCTGGATAATCTCTGGAACGTTCATCCGTCAGCCATCCACTCAACATTACCCTTGCCATCCAGAGGGAAGAAAAAGTACATACCGGTCAAGAACTCCTCAAAGCTCACCGTAATATATCCATCCCGATCTTCATCATACCGCTTAAACACATCCGTCATGCGCTTCAAACTAATGCACGCCTGCACAAAGAGATCAAAGCTCATGCCATTGCGATCCGTAACAGGACTCTTCGGCGGCGCTGTCATGTGCCTCGTCTTGCTCTCAAACGCCGTAAAGAGCACCGAGACAAACTGAGGACTCAGGCGGTATCCGAACGCGACCAGCGCCTTCTCAAACTCCTGCAGACTGATCCGCCCGCTGCGGTCTTCGTCGAACCGGTCGAACAGTTCCCGCCACGCGGCGAGGTACTTCCACAGCGAAACGAACTCGTCAAAGCTGATAATCCCGTTGCAGTCTCTGTCGAACATGCGGATCATCATTTTGACCGTGCGCGGGTGGAAGGATGTGTAGTCCCCATTCACGAGCGCGGAGCCCAGCTCGTGCTCGGTCAACGAGCCGGAGTGCGACGAGTTCGCCGCCCGGAAAAGGGGGAGCAGCTGTTGCGGATCATCGCCGGGCGCTGACAGCGGCGGGGGTTGAGGAGATTGCGGAGGGCGAAAAGAAGGCGGAGGCCGATTGCGCTGAGGTTGAGGCGGCGGGCCGAAGCCGTAATTCTGAGGCGGCGGGGAGGGATGCAATGGGTGCGGCCGGTGCTGGCTTGGGGGTGGGTTTGCTGGCGATGGGCGGCCGTTGTAGGAATGCGGAGCATGGGGTTCTTGCGGGCGCGGGGCAGGGTTGCTATGTGGTTTTGGCGGAGCGCTGGCGACTGGGACGCGGGGAGGTACGCCGCTCAGCCCTGACTGCGGTGGCCGCGAAGGAAGCGGCTTATGGGTTTGGCTGTGGTTTCCCGATACCTGCATGGTTCCAATCATCTGCGCGACCTGGGGATCTTTAGCAAGGTGACAGATGCGAGTTCAGCTCGATGATAGATACCTGCTCGGGCTCAGCGTGACTATGTCGTTATACCAGGTCAGCGATCAAAGAACCTTTGTGTTCTTGTGTTTATGGCTTTGACTCACGCTGGCAGCGCGTCTGGATTGTAACTCTTGTTGTAAGCCATGGTCGCCCGCGCTGACGCAATGGGACAAGGAATGGAGCGCAACAATCGGGACAAGGACAACCTTGCCGTAGCGAGTATCCGAAGTGGTACCAAGGGAAGGAAGAGTGAAGGGAGACGACACGGAGAGGGAAGAATCTGAGAGTAATTTCAGGGTTGTTCAGGCCCAAAGCGGAGCCGTGGGGCGGTGGTTCATGATTTTTAGCCAAGATGGATCCGTCGAAAGACGGTGGTTGCGCAACGGGGTCCCCACCGAGCTTGAATGAGCTTTTCCCCTTTTTGTTCCTGGAATGTTCGGAATTGTCTTTCAGCCCTATGCGGTTGATAGATTATAATTTCGGTCCTCCAGTCATCGCGCGGTAACTTAATTAGCTGGCGACATCGGCAACCCCCCTCTGGACTTGTTTAAAGTAGCTACCTAAGAAGTGCCCCACCGGAGTTATAAATATATCCTTGTAGGGTACGATATATGGGGGCCGTAGATAATTAAGATCTCCGGACGATATCTCTCACGCTTGCTGCCTGCTCTTCCAAAACCTGCAGTATCTCATTCCATGCCTTAGCCTGGAACCGTTTGCCTTCATCCCCAGTAGTCAGGGCAACAGATTCACTAAAATGATCAGCAATACACTCATTCCAAGGTCGATAATCAATACATACTCGAGGTATCCATCACTCCTCCAACACTTCCCTTGTGACTCTGCACCTTGCACCGTCGCGCTGACCAAAGACCGACTCCCCTGCTCAGTTGTGCGCGCAAAGAGCTTGTACATCAACCATACAAGCCATCGTTCGTAGAATCTGTCGTAGTGCCGTCCAAGCGATGATTGGCAGAGTCCAGGGCTCACGGTATTGACAATGACCTGCAATGTACCGTCTTCATTGCGAACCAGGTTGGCGAGGTTCTTCGTCATGTACTCCAGGAGTAATTTCGAAATGCCGTATTGTTTCGGGCCCTTGAATTGCTGCGGATCGTTTACATGCTCGAGTAGGGGACCCTCTGTCCGGAGAGACTCTGCCTTAACGCGCACAAATTGTTGGCTAGAGACGATACTCAGGTGTGTGGGGTCGGTGTCCGAGGAAGATTCCCTCAGCTTGGGAAGAAGCAGTAATGCCAGTAGTGATGTGGACAAAGTGTTGACTTGTAGTATCTCTTCCCAGCCCTCGGGCGACTTTGTGTATTCGCGGTTCCACAGACCAGCATTGAGTAATGCGATGTCCACCATGTTGAGCTCATCATTGACGCGTCTAGCAAAATTTTGGACACTTTGGAAGCTGCTCATCTCGAGCTCCCAGACTTGGATCACACCGGGCCGATTGGTGTATTTTTCAAGCGCTTCTTTGGTGCGATTGCCCCGTTCCAAGCTGCGACTGCCGATAACCAGAGATTTCACGCCCTGATTGAGGAATTTGATGGCGGCTTCGTACCCCAGGCCAGAAGTCGCTCCTGTTAATATGACTGTTTTGCCGGCGAAGGAGATCCCTCGCGGGTCTGTGGGAGGGGTGTACTGCATTTTGAGCAGACGGAAAAGACCCGCCATTTTGAGTTTATTCAGTCAAGAAAGAAGACCGGAGAGTTGTAGGTGTTATTATTGACCAAAGTTATTTATCGAGGCCATAAAATTGATGACATGAACGTGCTGAGTCAGGAGATTTCGCCGACAGCCAATCACGAGAGGCCGGACATTGTATAGGAGGTGTAACCGAGAACATCCTTCTTGAAACCGTCATGGCTCGGAATATTATTTGAAAAGGATCCTTAAAGATCAGAGCTTGGGACATATCGGTATGCCACGGGAACGGAGTAGGACTGTTTGCTTCAGCTTGTAGATTGTCTCTTTGGGAATCCAATTGTACGCCGCACCTCGTAGTGTCTGAACAACTTGCACAGAAATCACTATTCGTAGGCTAACACAAGAAATCGCCTTTGAAAGTGATCTTTCATAGCCTAGACTCTTCATTTCCTCAGACCAAATGCCTAGAGTACCTCCCATTAGCCCACCCCAGACCAAAATGACGAGCCAGAAAGCAAACACTGCAAACAGACGTAATGAAACCGATCAATCTCGCAGCGATGTCGGGCCACATTTGAATAAAGTATACGCGGCGCACGATACCAAAGTACATAAAGAAACCCCCAGCTGCGTCATCTCATTCGCCTTCAGATTTCGGGCGAGTGAGTCTAACAGCCACCCAAACCAACACAACAAGCCCTGCCCATCGAATCACAGCTTCGGGACATATCAACCTCTCGGCAACGATGGCTGCAACCTTGCAAGGCCACCAGGTCCATCCCGGCGGCCGGACATGGAAGAGCCACTTTCCCAAAGGTGATTTATGGGTATTTGGTTACGGGTGAGTCTATTCAGGTCTTTTCTTAGGAAGGAGATATATTGGAACCGTTTCCCTATCATTCCACCGGACCAGCCTGCTAAGTCTCGTTGCAGGAGCTTGATTTGGAAACCACCACCGCACTATGGTACGTGATATCGATACATAATACGCGATCATGATACGGGATTATTGTACCCGGTGGCAACAACCCAGAAACCTCACCCCCCACCCCGCGATTCCAGCATCCCGACCAGGATAATCCTCGCTAATTACGCCGTACAGACCAACGGGTCCCAGGTTACATCGACGGCTACGTACGACGATTCTGGCAGGTATGAAAAGCACAAAAATGCGTCCTAAATGCTGCTATACCGGCATTGTCACGGCATCAAGTCTAGAGCGATCAGAAGCTGACATCAGGCCCTCGGTGGCGTTTTCCAGGCTAGGTATGTTGTTGGCCGAGACCCCGCCGGCTGGGGCTTAGGTCTATCGTCTATCGCCTACCGTATCGGGAGTTGGGGATGCTGATTCCGGCCAATAGTACCGATCATCGAGGCACGCCTGAGCAGCCGGGTAGAGTGGTTACCGTTATTGAGCGGACTTTTTGGGAGACGCTTGATGATCCGGTATGAATCCTTTTACTTTCAGAGGGAGTGATTTTTAGTCTTGGGAAAGGGTTTCAAAGAGCAATTTTTGGCTAATCACTACAACAGCTAGCAAATGTCGAGTCCGAATCAGCCTCTACTGGCAAAGTCTGGGGCGCCGCGTACCACATTCCATCCTCGCATGCCGAGGAAGTCCACGACTACCTGGATGAGCGCGAGATCGACGGTTACAGCGTGCACTACACGCCTTTCTATCCGTTTTCAGAAGAACCCTCGAAATTTACAGGAGACGACTCAGCCCCGATCATCTGCATGGTGTATATCGGACAGCCGACCAACCCGCAGTTTCTGCGGGACCCAGCACAGCGAGACCCCGAAGACGTGGCACAGGTTATTAGCGCTGGGCATGGTCAGAGTGGGAAGGGGACGGAGTATCTCTATCTGCTCGAGAAGGCGCTTGACGGCCTGGGTCTGGGGACGGCCGATGTCCATGTCACGGATTTGGTAAGACGGGTTAAGGCGATTGAGGCTGCGGGCGAGGGCGAACAGGAGGAGAGGGAGGCCGAGAAGAGTGTCCAGCGGTCTCTGGCAGCGGCCGAGGCGGTGGTACTGGACGGTAATATTGAGTAAGATAGATTAGATGAGATGACCACGTTGTAGATATCCATGGTATCCGGGAAACTGAATAGAGCCACCTGCATCAGACATGATACCAGATCTCGATGACTGCATTATGCCGAACTTCGAACTTGAACGAGCCATTATCTCAAATGTGTAGGTACTGGAAGAAGCATCTCATCCACAGAATGCTGCCACGAATTACAAAAGCAAGCTGGCGCGGATCACACATGAGCCAAATTAATACCAAGGCCGAAGTCCTATTTACCACGGCAACCCCAAAGGACAATGTTGCCTCGATGCAAAACGTAAAATAAGGAAAAAAAAAACTGCCGCGTATTTCATCTTCATAACCAGATCCCGTCGTTTGCCGATCCGCACTGCATCAGATCACATGTCTCGTCAATACATTTGTAAAAAGAAAAGCATTCGGTGAAAGTTTTTGTGCAAGCAGAAAGAGATGCCAATGGGGTATTGCGCGCATCACGAGGTTAGTTGCCCTGCTCGGGGGCCGGGGCTTGGTTGTTGTTGCGCCAGCCTGGGTCAGCTATCAATCAGCTTTTTGGACACAGAAGTGATAGTTGAGGAACGATACTCACCACCGCCACCGCCGTATCCAGCATTCGCACCGCCACCTATACGAGAATTAGATTATGTGGGACGACTTCTATAGAGGGAGCCGGAGCGCCCCGATCACAGATACTCACCATAGCCGCCGCCATAACCACCGCTATAGCCACCACCTCCGTTGCCATTGTAGGGCTGCTGACCATATCCTCCGCGGTTATAACCACCGCCACCACCACCACCACCGCCGAAACCACCGCCGCCCTGGTAGCTGTTGCCATTGCCAGGCTGCTGGTTATATCCGCCGCGACCCTGGAAGCCACCTTCGGGGCGGGGCGGGCGGTCAAAGGCCTTGTCAACACGAATGACACGTCCGTCGAATCTATCAAGCGGGTTAGTTGTCTGTCTATCAAAGATAACCGACGGCAGTGGTTTTGGAATAACTTACTCCTGGTTATTCATGGCGCTCATTGCGGCATCGGCCTCCGCCTCAGTAGCGAAGCGGACAAAGCCAAAACCGCGGCTGCGCAGAGTGGCGCGGTCCTTGACGACGATCTATGAGAATTCGGGTTAGGCTGCGGCTCAGATATGAAGACCTGTGGGTGATTGTAGATCACTGACAGCTTCCTGAATTTCGCCGTACTGCTCGAATCCATTGCGGAGAGTGTCATCGTCGGTGTGCCAAGAGAGGCCGCTTTAGATTGAGGGGTTCGAGTCAGTTTGGTATCGCAACGTGAAAAAGCGGGGAGATAGCGGGACATTTTCGAGGGGGAAAAAAGGGAAAACCCCACGCAAAGGAAAATAATCCCAAGTTAGAAGTGGACTTACTGAACGAAGAGCTTAGACATGATGTCGGGCGGATGAAAGCTTGGAATGAAGAGACGCTGGAGATGAGTTAGAGGCGAAGGAAAGAAACACTCGGAAGCAAAACCCACGGAAGTCAGAGAAGGGATAAGGAAGGTGAAGGTTGTGCCGGGTGAGGAGATCCTAGTGGTTACGAAACGAGTCAGCAGTCAAACCCGTGTAACAATCACACTGGCTTAGCCTCAGGCTTCCGCTTCCCTGAACTGGCCCGCCAATCGTAGCGCTTCCAAGAGAAATATGATGCTTACCGGCGCTGTATTTGGGACAAACGAACAAGGGACAGGGGATACCCAACGCAGAGAGGAAGGTGGTAAGGTTTCCTTCGACTAGACAATGGTGGTGGGGGGGGAACAGAATATCCTTTGCAGTCAAGATAGTACTTCTGGCCTTTACCAGTTCCGCCTAAACCTTGAACTGATGGATTTTCGGGACCCGGCGGCCTGTCCAGTCCTCCATCAATCAAATGTTACCCGAGGCTGGATCTGATTGATGAGCCACGCTAAGCTGGTATCGGCTGATGCTGAGCCCGGTGCCCCTCGCTTACTTTATTTTTCTTTTGGTTGGCCTTGGGAAGCTGCCTGCGCAGACATTCTACATCCGTTGCAGATATCGAGTTACTTCAGTTGAGAGGACCAATAATATCTGCAACCTGGTAGGGCTGCGTGTTGGATTGAAAGGTGTTTGAACGCAAGAACCGTGAGAACCTTGGGAGCTCATTGCATGATGGGCGGGGCCTCCACGCACTCGCGACCCGTGGAACCGCGTACCTCAGCTTGAAGAGTGTAGGCCGTACATAACAGTGTTCTAATGCAAGGCTCCAGATGTACGGAGTACCTAGGTATACACCGTCGATGATTCCATTGTCGCCTGCCCCCTATTTTGGTTCTCGGGCTGTGAGTAGATGGTTCTAGCCCACATGCACGATGCAACACGCCTGAGACGGGCTGAGCCCTGCCAGGCTTTGGCTCCAGTCCGACCGCAATGATTATCACCGGCCAATACACGCCGTGAAGGAGGGGCAAGGCAGGCCCACATGCCGCTTGGGGCCGTACATCGGCAGGACTCCGGGAGGTAAAGGGAAGATCAGCGCATGGATCGGTTTCAGAGTTGACCGGCCGTTTGAAAGTTATCTCGGGCGTTGGGATGGTGGCAATGCGAGTTCTTCCTGTGGTCTTTTTCGTTCGACGAATCGGGGGCTCTGTTGGCCGTTCATCGGGGCTGCTCGTTGCTGCGCAAGCAGCCTGCGGGACGAGGAACGGTGAAGCTCGGCGTGGCGCGAGTCACGGATGACCCGAAACCCCTGCTGTCTGCTGTTTGGAGCCTACAATGAAGGGATTGCAAAATGATAGACAAGGGATCTCGAGGTAACAAGGAGGTCAACATGAAGTATGGCCCTCGCGGCTTCCTAAAACACGCGCTGGGCTACCTGCACGTCCTCTATTCACTTTACTTTCTTGTTTGTTCCATGGCAATTTTCACCTCCCACCTTTTTCCCGACCTATAGAGAATGGAGCAGTCTGACCACTCGATATATCGGTGGCTGTCAAGAGTGGTAGAAGATGGCCAATCCCCAGGCGCATCGTGTGCAGGAGTGTCAGGCGGTGGTCGATGTACCTGTCCCCTCCCTCTGCCCGGAGGTACAGCGCATGTTGATGCCACCAGGAAGGCACACCCCTTTACAAGCCTTCCAACAGAACTGGAAACGACCGAAATGGCCCCGGGTCTTCCATGGCCCCGTTTTAGCAAGCCAAAGAGACGGTCGCCCACTCGCGATGAACATCCTCGAGATCAACCACCTGTCACGGAACCAGGAAATGAATATGAGCGCAAGCCAAGATACAAAACTCGGAAAGATCGGTACGAGTACAAGACAACAGGCTCTTCGAACAAGAAGCCATCGAATGCAGACAAACATAAGACCAAAAGACAACGCCGAAGCCGGAAGCAAACCATGAACGATGGGTTTCATGCATCCAATGTTGCTCGGAACAGACTGACGGTATGCACCGGTCTGAGTGTCTTGCCATATCTCTCTGAACCTTTTTTTTACATTCTTTAGCTAACCCAATACCGTAAAGTTGGGAATCTTCAACCGGGGCAGAGCATCGTACCCCGTCAAACTTGGCGATGGTCAGTAATCATACGTTGCAGGTATGCCTAATGGGGGAGTCACTTACTCAATTTCAAAGTTTACAACTTCCCTTTGTCCGAAACAAACCTCCTATCGCCGAAGGGAGCAAGGAATACGTTAGAACCCATAGCCGCCCTCAATCAGCCAAGCAAGCAGAAGGAAGCAAGCTGTGTCCAGGAATTGTTCAATTGTCAAAACAATGATATACCTGAGCAACGGGATGTGGGTGCAACTGATGCAGGCCCTCGGGGTCCCATGCGGTACCTAGGTGGTAGAAAGTGGGTTGACGTTACGAGCCCCCACTATGGGCTTTCATCCAGCAAGATATCGGGTCTCGACGCACTGAAGGAATTGTCCATTGACGGTGATGCGAAACGGGGCCCTGACCACCAGATAGCAGTGGCTGTTCACGGAAGCCAGTCCGCTACGCCATTTACATGGTCTGAGAGTGACTGGGCAATGGCATCGCTCGATCCGGTTATGGAGGATCCTTTGCTTAACATTCTACAGGTTGGCATATTTTCGACGCCCCAGCCTGGCCCGGACAGATGCGATGACTCGAAATATTACTACACTCTTCAAGACTTGAAGAAACTTATGGATGCCCGCAAGGCGACCTGGCAAGCGAAAGCCTGTGATATTCAAGCAGCTTTTCGGCGAGCTTCCAGCCTCAATCTCCCGCCAGAGCCCCCCGCACAAACCCCGGATATTCTCAAAAGCGGCGTATCCAGAGGCTCAATATCATCGCTCAATATCACACCAGGGGAGAGAAAAGGAAGTTTGGCGCTCAGAAAAAGCCCTGAGCAAGATGTCTTTTGCGGCTGGCAATATCAGCGTGATTGCAACGACAGAGCCCCCGACAATCTCTCTCCATATGAGATTCCACATGTGGCTCATCCCGATATGAGTGATGATGTCTTCTTTCGTGCTGTGCATGCAGAATTTTGTGCGATTATGAAACCTTCAAGTGGTGACCTGACGCCTTCTCGGCAGAGCCCCGAAGGACATCACGCTCCGCAGAAAGTATTCGTCTATCAACACGCAGATGTCTGTTCCTTACCACCGGCCAGACAAGCCATATCGCATTACGGCCCAATCGACCCACTACTCTATGAAGACATTGGCTCTGGGATTCCACACTCTACATCACACCCTACTCATTGTCACGATGCACAAGCAGGTCTTGTAAAATGTTCAAGTAGCGGCCAATTGTTACCCATGCTACCCACGAGTGAAGTATGCACTGAGCAAATTCCAGATTACGCGCGCGAGATCAGGTCGAGGCAGCCGCTTTTTTCATCGGCAGGCCCACCGGTCCAGAGCCATGCCGCATTGCCACCTGGGTTTTGGCGCCAGAACAAACTATACTGACCATTCACCTCCCAAGAAGAGATTGTGGAAATGCATTGCCGCTGGTCCATGGAATGAACGCTGGTCAAGCACCATATGAATGCTTCTTTGATTATCATGCATTGATAAGGATTCGTCATATCACCTCTAACACCCTTCCCTTTTACCACCATCACCACATCGCACTCTGTACCTCTGTACTTTCTCATGCTCACGTAATTCTAGAAGGCTTTGATGCTCTAATGAACCTTCCGTTAAAGTAATTCAGGTGCCATTTTTCTTTATGAAGGAACGAAGCAATTCCTAAGTGAAGCTTCTGAGGATAGTGGAACCTATCATGTCATAAAGTCTCTCAAACTTGATAGACTTGCCGCCCGTCTTTATTCGTACTTCATTCCGAGGAGAAATCAAGCATTGCCGCACCCAAACAAGTAAGACAGCCTTTCCGCGGCCCGATTTCACCAATGACCGCACGCGTAGTCCGCGTGATCCTCCGGCAGAGGAATATTCAGGCATCAAGACAGACCGAGCGAGACTAAGTGGACAGTTGAGCAAGGAATTTTTTATTCTGGGTTACGTGATCCAAGTGCGCCGTATAAGCTACAGATCTGATGTCTTGATCCATGGCGTAGGGACGAGAGATAATGGGCTGAATACAAGACATGCATTCCGAAGAACCCGACAAGAGAACATAAGATCCATTAGGCTAAGTACAAGCTCACTGGACAAATGAGTGGTATGGCTTGACACGTTGCTCTGAGTCATATTGCGCATAGACGCATAAGCGTATCTCAGCCTCAATTGGATCCACGCAGGGGCCAGGGCGGCTGAGACCGGAAATAACATGGCCTGCCCCGCTAGTATTATAACGCACATTTATTTATTATCTCCGTGAGCCCCCGAGGACACTTCCTGAACACAATTCGCTTCTACTGCTAATCATGTCGACCGAGAAACCAACGATTCTTCTCCTCCCAGGTGCCTGGCATAAAGCCGACATTTACGATGCGGTGGCCGATATACTTCGAACTCAAGGCTATCCTGTGGTGACCATGAAACTGCTCTCCACAGGCGGGCCACTATCAACGACTGTCGCAGATGATGCAGAACACATCCGGCAAGTGTATCTCAACGACCTGGTTGCGAAGGGAAAAGAGGTCGTTGTGGTTATGCACTCATACGCCGGCATCCCTGGCACAGAATGTGTAAAGGGGATTGCACGCAAAGATCTTGCAGCACTAGGCAAACAGGGCGGTGTCGTTGCTCTCATCTATATATCGGCCTTTTTGATCGCTGCTGGTCAAAGCGCGGAGGCTACAGTGCCACATGGATTGGAGCCCGCTATGACAATAGATGTAAGATTGATGCACCACGTGGCGCTTACTTTCCTTGGGTATATGCTGAACTGATGTATTGGACTTACAGGGTGACATGACATACCCAAAAACCCCCAGAGAGAGGTTCTATAATGACCTTGACGACGAAACCGCTGCAAAACAGATCGCAGAGCTTGTGCATCATGCTAAGCCGAGTTTCTGTACACCTCTCACGTACGAAGCCTACCGTGACGTGCCGAGCCATTACCTTATCTGCATGCAGGATGGATGTTTTCCGGTTTTCCTGCAGCGGATAATGGCGGCCATGCCTGGGGAGGGGTTGATACGCACGCATGAGTGCGACGCTGGACATGTCCCGATGCTGAGTGCTCCGCAGGCTGTGGCCGATGCAATTCATGCAATTGCTACAGAGCCAAGAGGATGAAACGACGCGGATGGGGTATAGCCGGTGGCTTGTGAATACGAGACGCTGTAGAGAAAGTAGAAACTTTTGCTTTACTTGAAACAAATAATTTGATTGGGTATCAAACAATCTCGATGGTGTAACATCTGAAAAGTGAAACTGGAATTTGCAAAGAGCTCTGTACGGGTTCTCCGTGCTTCGTATCTGAATTGTCAGTCCGATGTGTTGGTTGGTCACTGGATACAAAAGAGACTCTGTTATTTCTTTCTGAACACCGGATGAGGTGTGTTGCAGCATATCGGCCAAGTGTTCTCTCAGCTGGATGGTTTTGGGGCTATAGGTGCAAGTTGCGGAGGTATGCTTCCCGGCCCGTACAGGTGAGGTGAATTATGCAGATGTAAAAGAGCCGATTTAGATAGTTGCAGCCGCTTCAATGATACCCGCGGCCTTGAAGGCCGCCGGGTTCCTCATGACGACCTCGACCGGGTATTTCCATTGCATGAAGCTAGTCCAGCCTGCGAGCAAGATCCTGGTTAGCAAACTATCCCACGAGCACATCAGAATCGAACTCACCCCAGTATGCGCATTTCCTTCCAAAATATTTGCCAATAAAAGGCACAAGGACCATGGACAAAAGCAACTCCAATTGCTCAATGCTTTCCCGCCATTCCGCTTCGGCGTCGGAGAAGTCATCAGATAGAGTTTCTAGGTCCGAATCGGTGGTCGATTCTGAAGGAAGCGAGGCGATATCATCGTCGGACTCCGAGCCATAGGTGTTCTGTGTGGAGGGGACCATGTAGGCGGAGTAGGAAAAGGAGGGATTGTCCCCGGCAGGGGAAGCGGAGGACATGGTGGGCGGATGTATATCGAAAAAAGCCGAGGCAAATGAAAGAAAGAAATAGGAGCAGCGGCCTGCCTACTGCCCTGCGGAAGATCAAAGCATGGGCGATGTTGACATGGATAATTCACAGCGACGCAACCTTTTGACGGTGATGTTGAACGTCAGGTCACATGATCTCGCCATACCTGACTCATTGTCACATGACCGTCCCGCGATAACAACCGTCGCCTCTCCAGCGCTGTGGATATCGCCGCTCTGCGTCAAATTCGACATCCACGATCTCTTGCTCAATTTTGATTACTAGCGATACCAAAAGCCTGTCAATCTCACCTTCTACTGTGCAGTGAATCCCATCTCACAGCCTCAGAACATGGCGGACGCCGTACGTCACACCCTGGTTCTTTTTTTCCGATCCTCCCACATTTTCTTTGACTGCACATTACCCCTCGGTCACCCGTGGAGCAGAGCACTCGTCTGAAGCTTGGATCGCCTGTCCTCGTGAACGAATCTCTATCCACGTCTTTTATTTCCCCTTCATAATATTTTTTTTATCCCACCGCTAACCTTGTGCCTTTCACCTCACAGGCAGTTGAGCAGAAGCAGCGCAAATCGGTCGCATTCGACGAAGGCTCGGTCATTATGGATACCAACGGCCAAGTCCAAGACGCACCGGCTGCTGAGAAGCCCGCCGGTATGCAATTCTCCCCCCATTCGATTCCCCCACATTTGGACTCTGGACCCGCTAACTGACCATTGCCACATACAGAGAACGAGGTCGACGAGGTCACTGAGATGTTCAAGGGCCTCTCCAAAAAGAAGAAGAGCAAGAAGAGCAAGGATACCGAGGGCGGCGAAGGCGACGAGACCCCCGCAGCCGACGGCGAGTTCGACCCCTCTGCGTTGAAGAAAAAGAAGAAGAAGTCCAAGCCTGCGAAGGACTCCAACGACTTCGAGGCCAAGCTCGCCGAGGCCGGCGTTTCCACAGAGGATGCGGAGGAGAAGGGTGAGGAGCCCCTACCCGAGGGCGACCTCGAGGCCGGCACCGGCATCTGGCAACACGACAGCACGCAAACCATCCCCTATGCTCTCCTCGTCTCGCGCTTCTTCTCCCTCATCCAGAGCCACCACCCCGACCTGCTTTCCAGCGGCACCAAGTCGTACAAAATTCCCCCGCCCCAGTGTCTGCGTGAAGGCAACCGTCGTACCATTTTCGCCAACATCGCCGATATCTGCAAGCGCATCAAGCGTTCCGACGAGCACGTCACGCAGTTCTTGTTCGCTGAGTTGGGTACTAGCGGTTCCGTCGATGGTAGCCGTCGTCTGGTTATCAAGGGTCGTTTCCAACAGAAGGGTATCGAGTCCGTCCTCCGTCGGTATATTGGTGCGTATCTTCCAGACCCCTTGTGTGCTTCTTTTCTAACATATCCCAGTCGAATACGTCACCTGCAAGACCTGCCGCAGCCCCGACACCGAGCTCAACAAGGGAGAGAACCGTCTGTACTTCGTCACCTGCAACTCTTGCGGATCTCGTCGTTCGGTCGCCGCCATCAAGACTGGTTTCCGTGGACAGGTCGGCCGCAGAAAGCGCACTGGTTAAACTGTTCCCGTACTGGTTTACCATTTTATTCAGGAGAGAGTTTCTTGTATCTCTTCTTTCTGGTGTGTCATTTACTCGGGACTCTAGCGGACGAAAATACGGCCCCGGCACTATATCTTCTATCAGGATTAGGGGGTTGAGATGAAGAAATGATTTGAAGGATAGAAATTGTTTGGCATGAAATGGACTGATATGACCACCTATTATTTTCTCTATGCTAGAATCCTAGAACTTGTTTATCGCCAATCTCTTCCCTACAATTTGATGAAAGATGATTCTTGTAAGCGGTCGAATCCAGGAGCAGCTGAAGAGCCAGAGTATGAAGTATGGCCTGCCCGAGCAGGCCCTATTGAGGAAAGTTCTGAGCCAGTATTTAGCCGGATGCTCTGACGCAGACGTCAGGTACAGGAGAAGTAGCAAGCGCGTTGTTCTCATTCCGGGGTTACGTTTCATTGTAGCAAAAGTTATAGTAGTCTTGATGATGATCTTGGAATGTCCATCACGAGTATTAGGGGTGTCATCAGAATGCCAGGCCTGGTTGAGTCGCGGTAGGTGTTGGTTCCGAAGTCGTCTTGGCTCGTACCCATATCCTCATATCCTCTCCTGCTTTTCGAATTTTGAAAAGATGCTAAAATTTATTGACAATTGACATAGAGACCTGCTCCAACTGCAGCTTTACACGAGTCTGATGATAAGAAAGGCGCACGTATCAAACATAACCAGTCCATCGTACATTTGAACCGGTTGACTACGTTTCCTTAACCGCTAGCAGTACTCATCTTCATCTGGCCGGCGAATGCGTTCAAGTTCCTCGTCTGCAGGTAAACCGTTCCAGGGCCTTCAAACTTGCAGGCAAGGCCTTCCCCAGAGCTTAGGCCAGAAATGATTCCACCAGAAGCAACACGCTCGATCTTGTACTTACAGTTCCATCCCACGAGGTGACCGTTGTCAATGAAGTAGGTTTCGCCTTCCTTGAGCTATGAGATGAGAAAATCAGCAAGAGTGGTTTTAAACGAGACTCAAATGGTCTTACATCTTTCTTGATAATTGCGCCGAAGCTTTGCACCCAGAGCAGCCCAGTACCAGTGATCTTGTAAATGAACAGACCTTCTCCAGAAAAGACACCCTTGGCAATACTTTGTGCCTGGTACTTATGTTTGACTGCGGCTGTCGACGCAAGGAAGGCATCCCTTCCGATTTTCCATTCTTGTTCGCCGTCCATGCGAAGGACAGCAATGTCGCCCAGCACCGAAGGCGCAATAAGCAGTTCACCGGGGCCAGTATATTGCGACATGGTCATTTCACCACCTGCAATAAGCTTCTTCCAGCCAAATGAAACAGTTCCTCTGAGGGTCATGGTTGTAGACATGGCAATCATCACGCCTGTAACAGTGGCACAAATCAATATTGGCAAAAAAAGAGTATATATTGGATTTTAAGAAACATTCATACCGGGCTTTGCAGTCAATGGGCAGCCCATTGCTAGCTGTAATGTCAAAAGCGAGTTGACATCACGGTGACTGATCCGATAACTGCCTCCGTTGAAGGTGCCAACATTATCCTCAGTTGTCGATGTGGCGCCGGTGAATTGTCCCTGGGGCAGTGCGCCTGGCATAACTGCCGAATTTTGACGGATAACAGCAACATTTTGTTGATAGCCTTGTTGATAGTAATTCGCCTGCTTTTCATTAGGAGGTGGGCTCACTGCAGGCGGGCTAACTGATGGTGGAGGGCCGGGATAGTGCGTATTCACGGGAGGGGATTGTGTCGGCGGGGGTGGGTAGTTGAAATTGGAAGGAGGAGATGTTTGTGGAGGCCCGGGGAAAGCTATGCAATGTTAGGAAACTCAACTGGTGGGTTATTGAGGAATCCATACATGTAACGTGTGCCGGTGCTGTTGAAGATCAGCATAAATCCCCTGGAACCTTCCGAAACTGATGTTGGAGACTTACCCGACATGGGAGGAGGGGGATAATGCTGTTGCTGGGCCATATTTGAAGAGAGCAGCACTTCAAGCTATTACAACTCTATACGGAACATTGTCAATGGTTCTGTCGCTGCCAGTGCGACAGGCGTAGACAACTTACCGGACTTGGTGCGGGGGAGGGGCACCGTGAGAGCACAGAGGCTTTTTCCTCGGGATGAACGCTGACGCTGCAGACTTTACTTGAGAGAAATGCCTCAATCTCGTTGCGGGATCAATTGAAAGTGAAAATCAAATGCGAGTAGAAGGATAATAGCAGATGAGGCCTCCGTAAAATGGGAGAAAGAGCTGCGACTCTGCACGGGGTACCTCCTGGCTATAATTAGTTTTCGGCGGACGTTGGAAGCGATCAACGTATCGAAAAGTCGCTAGATTGGCAGGCCATCACCTGCCGCAGTATCACAGGACTACTGCACGATTATCCCAGCTGGCGCCTACAAGTCGCACATGCGCAACCTGATGGGCCAGCCTCATTAGCACTAAGTGGAGTACTTCGCGATCATTGGCCGCGCATCCTAGCGCCGACAACCAGCCAAGGAAGACCAAGAAACGTTGCGTTGCCCGCTCCTTGACTTAATTTCAGGAATGAACTGAAGATCAGCGAGATTGATTATAGATCACAGGACTTATTGTCAGGGTTACGGTTATCAGATACGAGTCTTTTTTGATAGGAGCAGAAGGGGAAGGTGTATAGTACCCGCAGGTTTGAGCTCAGTTTTGTCATTGCCTTTTTTAAAGCCTAATCCTTTGAATAACTACCGGAACCTATAGATTCATGCTTCAAAGGTTCCATTTATCATAGTCGGTCTATTTACATTGTCGTGAAAATGAATGGCCCATGGCAACTTCCAAAATAGCCGCAGTCTCTTCACAATCACTTCTTCGTGCCCAGTCCAGTGCAGTAAGCCCTTCTTCATCCCTTGCATAAACATCAGCCCCTTTGTCTAACAGCAGTCGAAGCAGAGCAGCATTTGACGAAATGGCCGCGCGCATCAGCGGAAGATTCAAGTTTTCTCCAGCGGCGTTGACATCAGCCCCGTGCTCCAAAACAAGGTGAACCATCTCCATTTGATTGTCCGCTATGGCACCTGTTATGGCAGAATGGAGTGGTGTAGACCCATCGACTCCCCTGTTAACATCTGCGCCATGAGACAGTAAGAAGCGGGCGGTGTCCAGGTGATTTTCGCTGACTGCCCAGTACAAGGCAGATAATCCAAAAGAATCAGTCACGTCTAATATAGCGCCATATTCAAGAATGAGGAGTTTCACAATATTCGTGTATCCCATCATGGCAGCTATTATCAATGGTCTCTTATCCAGGACTCTTTCATTTCCATTGGGGTTTGCTCCATTCGCAAGGAGGGTTTTAACAGCTCCAAGGTCCCCAAGAACAACGACTTCCATCAAAGCCGAGGCTTTGTTATCATTGAGAGTATCAATGTCAGCATGGCGTCGCTGGAGAACTTGAATGCCCCGATCCGAGCGGCATTTGGCTGAGAGGGCGAAGGCATACTGGATGAGGGTTGGGCATTCTGCACCCAACTCTACCAATCGCACGAGTAAAAAATATATTAAAGCGTTAAATCCTCCCTGGAGAGCCCAGGAGTAGCCTAGACTATCCTCGGTGTCTGTGTATTCCCGTTCGAAGTCGATATGGTTGAACGTCAGCCATTCTTGCATAGCGCGCACACCAATACGTGTCTCCTCTGCGTCAAGGCTTGTTCCAGGTGGCAAAGACAAGTCTTGTTGGATGTTGATTCTCCTGAGTTCAGGCTGCATCCAATCCATACCAGGCACATTGATCGAAATATGCCATGCCACCCATCCGAGCTGCTTGGAAAACAATTGCCACCATTGTTGAATGTTCAGAGATTGTGACCAGTTTGAGGGCAGAGGCATCCTTTGTGCTCTCAGGAAATCTGTTCGGGGGTCTGACTCGAGGAGTCTGCACGTATGCTTGAATCCCTCCCGTTGCGCAAGCTTGTCGTTTGACAACAAAGCTAGACGACAGAGATGTCCAAGTTCGTAGACGGAGTATTCCAATTCGACGCCCACCGACCGCTTGCAGATCCATTCCACAAGGCGGAATGCCTCTGCCCACTCATTTTCTAGAATGAATCTCTCTGTGCGCTTTCTGATGCTGGTGCACTCGGCTGCCAGAGCTGGCAATAGGCGATTATATTTCAGCGCAGGAATTATGCACAGTAATGCATCTTCTCGGGAGCCCAGACTGCAGCTTTCAAAGCAGTGTACAAACTCATTAATACGGCTGTTCTGGGCCACATAAGCACCATGAAGCCCCACACTCACATCTACTTCTCCACCCAATTTGGTGAGTTGACTAAAAGCACTCTGGATAAAACGAGTGTAGACGTCTTGGGCTGCCATAGTTTGAAGGTCGTTCTCTGTCGTAACCACCAGAAGATCCCTTTCGTATGCAAATACATCCGATTCAAATCCAAATAGACGACGTGAAGAGTCCATTGTTTTGAGAGATGCCATCTTTGCCTCCGTTTGCCGGAATATCCACTTGTGGAAATAAAGATACATTTCAACTTTCTCCGCCTCTGCCTCATCGAGCCCGACAAGGCGACTGAGTGGCGTCCGCCACTCTTTGTCTGACTTGTAGAGTGACCACGTCCACAGGCCTAGGATGGCTTCAAGCTCATGTGGATTCACGCGCCATCTAAGGGCATCGCCGCATCTTGAGATGCTGATTGGGTATGTTATTTGTGATGGAGTCCTATATTTTGGAGACGCTGATTGGCATTCAAAGGCAAGTGGAAAATCAAAGGATTTGCCGAAATCGATTCCCCAGCTTGAAATTAGGTCCATTGTGGCCTCAATTGTTCGAGCGAGGTTATGGGCTACCGTACGGATCGGCATGTCATCCCACGCAACGGTTGAGCCATCATCTGACCTAGAGGTGAGCTCGGCCAGCCGTATTCTTGTTTGAATCAAGTGCTTCGCCAGAGCTTTGTCCGAGTCATCGGTCTGCTCCAGAGAAGCGTCATCCGGTGAAAGATCACCAGAGAAAGGAGTGATCATATCAAAAGACTCAACTTCCTCGAGATAAAATGCAAAAAAGTCGAGCTCTTGCTGCTTATGCGCTGTCAATTCCCGGTCTTCTTTCAATTTGTTCTCGTCTGGTCCCATTCGCTCTGTCCGAAGACAGGTTCGTAACACGGACATGACGAGTGTAGCTCCAAGCGAGGCCAGAATGACAGAGGCATGGAGCCCGCGGAGTCCAATAAATTGGAAGATGAACCCTAGAATTGTAAAAAAGATGGTCAAGTAGATTTTGACATTCTGGCCATCAAATCTACGATCTCGAACCGACTTGATGTAGAAGTCTGGAGCCTCTTTCACGGCCAAAAATGCGCCAAATACCTGGTCTCCCACCTCTTGATCTCCGGGTTGGAGCCAGTATAGATTGCTTGGCTTGTTTGGCTCGAGATAATATTGCTTTGAGGATCGCTCGATGATCACCGCGGAGAAAAACATCCCGACGAACAAGAATGTCGTCCCGATGATAAAGAATGGGAATGCGTAGCTAGACACAGCTTTTCCGTTGTTCTTGAAAGTATCCGGGAAAATAAATACTGTGAGAGCGGCATAAACGACGACACCTGAGACGGTCAACTTTCCCATTAACGGATATTTCTGTTATTGTTTGCTCACCAGTCTGCAAAATAGATCCAAGTATAGCAGCACAATAAAACCAGCGCTGATCCCTCCTCTTAATGCCTTTGTTCAAAGACAGGTTTGGAATACCAACTTCAGGAAACCGGCACCAGTCCTCGGTGGAAAGTCCCTTCCCCTTCTTAGACCAAGCGCCTTTCCTCACAGCATCCAGAAGAGTCCCAAACTCCACAGACCGCTCACCATCTTTGACCGTATCATTCTCCCAGGCCACAATCTCCAAGACTTTTGGCCGTCCAAAGACCCGCGAGATACCACGATCGTTGAAGAGCTCCGCTGTGGACTCTGATACACATGGCAACAACTCGCTTTCAGCGTCTGCGGGCCCTTCTTGTGCGCGTCCGATAAAAGCACGAAGGGAGGATCCACCACAGACTCGGATGACGGAGACGACCGTCGTCAAGACTCCCAGAGGTGAAAGCGCGAAAATAACGTTATCAACAAGATCGACTGACTCGGAGAGAAATTGTTTGGTGAGTCGTGTGCCAAACAGAGTGATTAAAGGGGCCTTAAAATTACTATATATTAGCGCTCAAGAGCTTCTTCTTCTGGACAGATGTCTATCCTTCCTACTCACCAAATCTGTCGCAAGGTTGTTCGTAAAATCCTCCCAGTCGTCATCGGCCAAAACGATAGGCACCAGAACAAATATAAACAATAAATGTAAATGCATGACAACTTAATAGCATATTAAATGCTCATTATGGTGACTTATCCATCTAAAAAAACACAGAAACAGAGCCCATTCTTAAGAACTCCAGCCCCAGCAAACCTCCGCCCATGCTGATCGAAATGGAGAGTGCTCGGTGGGGCGTTCACCTTGCTTACAACCCTGGTCAATCAGCAGAGCAAATCATGTCACGATTCCGGGAGGTTGTCACTATTTTCGTCTAGAGTTGAAACCACTAAACTACCCAGTGGATGCGTGTAAGCGCTGTGCTGGTGAAGTACCCTCCCATGCCGGTGCGCTTGTCACGGCCCGCATGGAGGGGGCGGCACGGATGGTGGGTCTAGATCCGTGCACTCTTGGGGACAAGTAACAAATTGCAGAATGTGTTGGTGGCTTTTTCTTGACTCGCAAGCGTGTTTGCTCTCATTAATTTCGCGTGTGGATTGCCTTGTCCCGGAATTATCTGAAAGGCCAGGTTTTGACAGTATAGTGACTGGGTGCGGCTTCACCTAAACTGGCCTTGGAACACTAGGTTGTGGTCGTGACTATTTCATTTTGACAACTAACCGGATTCATAAGGATCTTTTTCATCTGTCTCTCAGAGTGGGTATATCCTGATGCCGATCTTCATAATCCTCGGGTTTAATCTCATGCTGTCTCAGCTGCGAAGGCAGCAGAATATCCGGCGAAAGTCCCATGAAGCTAGAGTAACTATCAGTAGCATTGGCTATTGACAAAGGAGCTGAGACCGGGGCCAACAATAGAGACCGGGGGTAAGCTCTGAAGCACAAAGGCTTTATCAGGCCGCTCGAAAAAATGGCACTAAGGTGCTTATTGCATTGTTACTCGGAGAATTTACCTTATATCACGGACCACTGCCATTTGATTGCGGACGCACATTGCTCCTACCAAGACCGGAAGCTTCTTGTTCTACTGAGGAAAGTTGTTCAAAAATTGACGACCATTACATGGGATCGCCGGGAATTGGTAAATCACAAGACTGACTTCTTCCTGTTCTAGATCACAGATATCAAAAAGCTATAAATATAAACCTTGAAAAATGTGTGATACAACCAAAATAGAGTATTGGCCTGAGAGCGGGCTTCGTTTTCGAGCCTCATTAACCATCCCGAGCATAATCAAACCACCAACGCCGTTTCAATGAGAGGTGAAAAAGCCGATTTCTGTTTCCAGCAAGCCGAAAGATAAGAAATTCAGAACCGATGAGATTGCAATTAGAAAATGCTGTTCACAATGTTGGAGCCAACAGAAGCACCGGCGCCGAAAATCGCTGTATGCAGAGTTAGAAATCACTATTTCACCACCTCGAGGGGATACATACCAGCATTGCCAAGCTTCTTGCCGAATTTCTTGCCACCCTGTTCAAACTTGCTCTTCTGAGCCGGGTCGCTCGGGTTCACGGAAGATCCACTCTGGCTGACATCCAAGGGCATGTTTCCGTAGCTGGATTGAGGAGGAGGCATGGCCGCCGCAGCCTTCTCATCAATGACGTTCACGTAGGCCCTGGGGAAGATACCCTCCATGCCAGTCCGCTCGTTACGACCGCGCCACCCTGTAAACATATCATCAGTATTGGTCCCAACTTAGCCATGCGGGCGAAACATACAGTCGTCGTTCATGTGCTCGATCACCTGGACGCGATCATTCGGCGACAACGCCAAATCGCCGGCGTCGGTAGGGGTATAGGCATACAAGGCCGTGGCGAGAGAGAGGATAGGCGGGACTTGAGGGTAGGCGGGCGGGGGCTGCGGAGACGGGGAGGCATATTGGTTGTGAAGCTGAGCCTTCTCATTGAACGAGGTATTGGACATTTGTGTAGTAGGGGGTGAGTATGGAGCCTGAGGGAGCTGTGTGGGAACAGGCTGAACAGGTTCGGGCAGGGGCGCTGGCTGCAATGGTGAGGTCTGTCGCGGCTGCTGGCGAGCCAGGGCAGCGCGGGCGTCGGCCTCGTCGGGCAGTTGCGAAAGAATCGAGTTGAGCTGCGAAGGAGTAATGATAGAAGTGTCGACCAAGAACTCTAGCTCCTGTTTCCATCCTGTGTCAGTCACTTAGAAACGTGCAGGTACCGTGGAAGACGTACGTTCCGGACGATGCGTAGCGACCGGGTGGTCATGGCGGAGGTGAGCTCGCTCGCCATATCGAGGTACCCTTGAGATGAGCTTGTCGAGGTTTGATAGAGATTGGCAAGTGCCGCAGAGAGAAACGAAAGGGTAGAGGAAGAGACGAGACAGCGGAAACGGGCGACTTGGCAGAGATGGAAGTCGGCCCCGGTTGCTGGCACATGGAGTCGCATAGCCCCCAATGTCCACTTTATGCGCTGCTCTCACCACCAGTGCTGATTTTGCTCCGTAGATAAGCACCAGAAGGAAATTAGTTATACTCTACGTACGTAATCGAAAATAACCCACAAGAAGCAAAAGGAATTGCGAAAAGAAGGATTTTTATTAATATCATGGTGACCGTATCAGTATAACTAATATTACCACGACTAATACAGAATGGACAGTAGTTTACCGTATTGTATTGAAAGATCCTGCTGTCAATCTTTAGGTCACACTTGAAGTCGCCTTGTAACCTGTCAAGTTTCAATTGAAATGGAATCGTGACAGGAAACGCAAATAAATCACATATACCAACATTTTCGACGTTGCTGTCTCATTTAAACCTCGGCGTGAAAAGAAGCAGGTTCCCCGATTGTATTAGTGCAGGGGTTGGTTGGAGGATGTAGATAACATGTGAAACTGGAAGAAATAATAAGAATTTGAATTATAGGCCCATCCACGTCAGCCGGATAAATGAAACATCGAGCTGGCTGGTCTCCCGTTGGACTGGCAATGAGCGCACTCAGTGGAAACGGAGTCGGTCGTACCAAGAGAAGAGTTGTTTCCGAACGAGTTCCATTCGCGGACAACAGCTTCATTCCGTGCCATCTTTCGAAGCTAACCCTGGCATTTACTATAAGCTAAGGGAAATGTGACGTTTCGAACCAACAAACTATGAATTCATCCAGTCTGGAGGAGGGGTTGCATAAGCTTACATACATAAACGCCGTCGATGCTTATCCCCAGACCAACAAAACGCTGGAAATGCCAAGGCCAGCCTAAAAGCTGACTGCGTAAGCGAGGACTTATTAATTGATTTCAACCCTTCAAGTTGAGGCTCGATCCCATTTCTTTTCAGATCTTATTCGTACTGTCTATCTCATTAGTGACCTCTCATAAATGGCACCTACTATTCTTTCGTTCCTGGAATTTGGGAGGGAGCATCAGTGTTCGGCCCTATATCCTCTCTTCTCACTGCGGATGGCTTCATAACCGCGACTGCAGTTCTCCCTAGTACGGGGACCACGTCACCTGGGAATCCAACGATGAAAGACGACATCGCGGCTGTGCGGAATCATATTCAGCAACTTGTGCACCGAGGCGATGATGTACTATTAGCACTGCACTCCGCTGGTGGCTTTATTGGATTGGAAGCGAGGCTATGGAGGGGCTGACCAAAAAAGAGCGCCAGGAGCAAGGAGAGTGTGGCGGGGTCATCGGGATTGTTTTCATAGCTGGGGCAGTGTTCCCGGTCGGCTATCAGCATCAGCCGTTGCCTTTCGCTGTCATAGAGGTAGACACTCTCGTCTCTATGGTCATTTATAGACTGCTAATCTTTTTGTGGATCAGGGAGGGGCCTCCTACTGTGCACAGCCGGAGCTCCTGCTTTTCAATGACATCCCCGAAGAGGAAAAGGCAAAATGGCTGGCTGAACTTCGGCCGCAGCCCGCCCAGGGATGGGATGATGTGGTGTCATATACCGGTTGGAAGGATGTTCCAAGTACGTACCTGATATGCGAGGAAGATAAGCTCCTGCCGGCTACACTACAGGAAAAATTGGCAATGCTTGCAAACAGCAAGATTGAAAGGTGCAATGGAGGTCACCTCGCCCAATTAAGTCAACCTCAGAAAGTCATGGAAGTTATCAAGACGGCCTTGGCTTCGATTTGATTAGGCTCGGTATATAGAGGGGGAGGGGGAGGGGGGAGGGTTTAATTCGCGTCCAGGCTAGATAATTAAACCGTCTGGGCAACCGCCCCTTCAACTTGGCTTGTTTACAGGAAAACTTCTCGCAATTAAAAAGTGACAAAGAAAACAGGACGCTTAAATGGCGTCAAAACTAGCTATTTTTGGAGCCCAATTTACCGTCTCCTAGCATTGTGGTGTAATGGATTGGGCCTAGAAAATTCCGGCATGTCTATAATTGAGGCAATGAATCTAAAATTGCAAAGAATAAAATCGTACCGAATTCGTATAATAGCCGTCCCAAATGAGACCTCATGCCCCAAGATTTTCAAGCACGCTGGGCTTTCTCTTTGCTCTGGACCGAAGGAATGGTAGGCACAAATCGTCGAACAACAGTGATAACGCAGACTACAGCACAAGAGACCACCAGGAAGCCAGCAGAAGGAAATAATCGAATTTCGTTACTACCATCTTGATTCTCCGGGATGGGCATGTTCAGAGCCAACGCGAGGTCGGACGTCTCTGCGTGGACTTTCTCGGTCGCCGCTAAAGAGTCAGGCTCAGGCTCTGATTGTGCTGCCTCAATGGAATACCGACAAGCGGAAACAATTCCAGCTTCACAAAGTGAAATTTGCTTTTCTCGGTCATCTTTCCCATGCAAGATTATTCCCGGTTGTTGAACATAAGCCCGTAAAAGTCCGTTTGCCTCTAGGTCATGGTTGGCTTTTCGAGATTGAGCAGGTAGAAGCGAGGATATGGCTTCTATCCCATCGGTTGGTATTCGTTCGTGATAGTTGCGCTGTGCATAGCCAGAGTGGGAGGGTGCTGCGATTGCGATTTGAAATGCGATTTGAAATGCGAAGAGTAATACGAAAGAGAGGCGCGAGCGGAGAGACATGGGTGCTGCTGAGCGGACTCTGTGGCGCTGATAGAAGTAGGAAGAAGGCTGAAAGCCAAACAATTTTAATTGGTCTCGCAGGATATGAAGCACTATCTTTATAATAAACATTCACAGCAAGCCTTGAGTGCTGTCGATGTAAATGGTGTGGACCCAAGGAAACGATCAAGATCGACTGAGACCCGATGCGCAGCAACATTAGCAGATGGCATAAAGCCCCAGCTGGCAACGGAACTAGTTCCGGTACATTAGTTATCTAGTGCAATTTGTCAGCGTCGTCCGATGTGCTGACAGAACCGAATCCGAGTCCTGGCGGGAATCCTTGGCGCTGCCTTGGCATTCTTGGATCTCGTTTATCGATTCTAGGCCACGTTCTATCTGTAGGCAGCATAGTTATCCTTCGCCTTGATTTGTTTAGACATAAGGATCTATTTTCGAGAGACTGGCTGTTCACCCCCTCTACGTGCGCCACAGATTCGCAGACCCACAACAAACACATCCACTTGTCGACAATTACCAACGCGATTTCTCAGTTGCGCGAATTCGGCGGAATTTACCACATCAATGATGCTGCCCAGGTGTTATGGATGCCCCCAAACCTCATAAGATTGTGGCGCAGTTCGTCATCAAAATCACTCTCCATGGAAATAAAGTTATCCCTTATGCTAGCAAATGGAAAATTCTGGAACCACATAAACTGAACACCCGAAGTTTAGTTGAGCGTGGACTCGAGGAAACATGATCTGCCGGGATATTGGGGTTCGTCTGGTTTAAACGCGAATGAGTTATCATTAAGTACCTCTCCCATGTAGATATCGACATTAACCCTGGGACCAATGGTCCGGCTCACGGCCTGCCCATAGGCGCCCCCCGTGTGGTCAGTCCTACCGCTATCCGCCTATAGAACGCCTATAGGCGCCATTAAATACCCATTAAACACCTTGTTCTGCCTGATTTGGCCTGGATTCTCTGCAAATCGCTTCTTGTTTCGATGGGTGGATCATTCACCTAGCATGATCTTACCTCCAAAATCATACAATCTCACTCTCGTGTCATGTTCAAGTTTCCCATCCGCCGAGGGCTTTTCGTCCTGGCTCCCTTCGTATATGTATAACAATGGCATCACATTGTTTTTCCACATGGGAAGCATGGCTCTTCGACTCTTCAACATGGTACCTATCAAGGTAATAATACCTAGCAGCCATACTAGAACTGGGAGAGCAAGCCATTGCCAATGCACAGCAACAAACGTCATGTTCGTCATTGCCTGGCCCACGGCGGTAGAGTTCGATTCTATACCAGGCCACGAAGACGGTGTCGAGTCCCGAAATGTTTTTGAAATTGCAGCAGCGGCGTTCTCCATAGCACAGCGGAGTTTCTCGATGCCTATGCCCGTACAGCCGGTGATGTTCGAGACTCCGATGGACTGCATGAAATCGGCGCTGGCATATACAGAACCCTGAACCGGAAGGAAAATAGTCCTGTCCAGACTTGAAGACACGCTGCCTGCAAAGAAATTCGCAAAGAAGTTATCCATTGTACCAATTGTTGGTGCTGAAATCAGAAAAGTTGTATTTTTCTCAATGCCCATTTCCGGTCCCCAAGGAGGGTGAAGACAGTACCCGGGCGCCGTTTCGGAGAAAATACCGTGCTTCCAGACAGATAATGTGTCTTGGTGGTAGATGCCACCAGTGACTGCTGGGCGAAGTCTTCGGACTATGGGTTGGAGGATGCATCATTCCATTGCTTGCCATTTGGTGGAGGATGTGAATTCGGATCCAATAGTATCCTCCTCGACTAACTGATCGGGGGCGATAATATGGAAGTGGCCAAAAGGGGTTTCTTCGTGGATGATAGCAAGTTCGCTCATGCCTGCAACGATAGCGGTAGCCAATGGTGAGTTCTCAATAAATGTGGCAGAGATTTGGCTCATTGTGGAATTATATTGAAGATAGATAGAGCAGTTGCGGGAGCCAGCCCATTCAACACCGTCTGTGACATTGTGGCATTGGAAGTTCAAGTATTCTGTAACATTAGAACATACGGCCTGCATCTCCAGTGAAGAGATCGGATCCCATGTGCAATTTCCAGTGCTGCACGTATAACTAGGAATTGACCATGGCTTCGATGAGTCGCTGTTGAATACCGAATTGTAGAAGTTGGCTTTGAGTGCTGGATCTACATAACTCTGTAGTATGCGTCCTGATGAGCGACATTCATGACTGGAGGAGCGCTTTTCGACATACCTCCTCCCATGCCATATTCTGCGCCGAGGGCGTCGTACACAGAGTTTCTTGATACAATCGCTGTTTGCGAGGAATCGGGCATGAGCTTAGGGTAATAGTGAATAAGGTTCTGGGTGAAGGGGTCGAAAGCGAGCGCAAGAATGACGGCCAGACCCCCCGCAGTAGCGAAATGTCCACACCATGAGTGATCAGCCGTAGAAAGGCTACAAGGGAATTACACACCTTGCACGTAAATTCCAAACCAGCTCCAGACTGCCAAAAAGACCTCGACTAGCTCCATCGAAAGTTCGCAAATCAGACATGGGCCGCGACTTCTGGGTGAACCACAGCCACTTCAGTTGTCCTAGACTCTCGCTAATAGCGAATAAGACACATCCTTTGGAGATAGTACTCAACCACGATATCAAGGAGTTAAGTGACATGTACCCCCAGTTGGGTTGAGGGTGATGATTATGGAAGGCTAAAACTCCAATAATGGCGATCAAAAGGGCTGTGGCTAGACAGATAGCCAGTAGCTCCCACACAAATAAACTCGACACTAGCTTCCATACAGATGGTCTTTTTTGGACTTTCCGTAGATGATTCTCATCGGCTGCGTCAGCGTGTACAAGTGATTCGCTTGCTGGTTCATGTGGACTGGTAGGAGCTTGCGCTAGTTGCTCAGTCTGTTTGGTCGGTTGCATATTGAATTGGCGCTGTTATGGGCGGTTTGCGGCAAAGGTAAGGGGCAACAACGCAAGGTTTTGTAGAACTAGAGCACGTCAAACACCTGCTAAAAATGGACCCGTATATCAAATCAATCACGTTCTAAGCCTTCGTAGCATGCAGATCAGTTGCCATTCGCCAGTTTGTTTTCCCGGAGATGTGGATCATTTGGGGATAGTTTGGGGGCCATGTAGCTTCCCTACTGCAAAGCCTCTATGCCGCATGCCTTAACAGGTAAGTGAGTCCGTTGTGGGTCTATGGGCGAGTCATGCCAGACACTCAGGCCCCGAAGGAGTCGGGGATGCCCGCTGATGAGATTTGACAGAATGACCGGCTCCGATACTGTTGCGAAGACACAAGAAATGTTAAGCTTTTGAAGTGGGTCGAGATCTAAGTGTACTTGAGATTAAACATTCGTGCTGAGCAACTCGCTCAGAACGTTCGGCGTATATCTTGGGACAAGCCGAGAAATCCTAACTGTATGCCTTAATGTACTTTGGTCATGGAGGGATCTTTTGTAGGAGGAACTGTGGATGCAACCCATAATTCAGCCGCATGCACCGTAGTACAGATAGCGCATGTATTATGAGGTATTCGTGCCTTCCAGCGCCCCCATGCCGCTTCCCCTATGGATGCGCCACGGATCCAGGACCGCTGCGTTTATAAATTCTGTATTCCGTCTGAACTCGACGAAAATGATGGTCGCGGGGTGAAAGACGGTTAAGCCGTGGCGCACCCATACCGGAGCTGCTTTTCTGGCGTAAGAATTGAAGATCAACCACACTAGCTGATTGATGCAACGTATCGACAACATGCGGTACGAGGCAAACGATACTTGCTGCCTCATAATCGGTTGAATAAATGACAATTCCTTCCCGCAGTTCTACCCCTTACTCGCCATTCACCTTTCTTGCTAGCCAAGCCAGGCTAGCCGACGAAGCGGGGCAAAGACGTGAGGCTGTATTACTAGACGGTATTACAGCTTTGGGGGCCATTGTTTTGCCTGCACTGACGAGCGGCATGAGACACGAAAGGACATCTGGTGTGATATCTATCGAGGTGGTATCCGGCAATACGTGGAGTAACCCTTACAATAAACAGAAACTGGATTCCATCTGTATGAATAAGTTCATTTTCCTTATGACGAATTGCTTGTGACATGGGATCAATCGAGGGCCCCTCTTTCCCTAAAGAATCATGGCACTTGTAGATCATTGTTAGTGAAACTTCGGGCGTTAGAAGGTCAGCTCCAATTGAATTATATAGGATAGGAGAGATCTAGGAATGGGAGCTGGCTATTATAGACTTTGTTAATAGGAATAGATTGGCGCGAGCTATGTAAATTCATTGAAATATGCCATTCTTTGCCCAGCTCTTGCCCTATGCTTTTAGTGTACTTTTGCTTCTTAAGCCTGCGGGACCAACAAATGATGATGCGATTTCAAGCGATGAAACCATAGACGCATTCAAGTCTCAAGCACTCTGCTCCCCCATTACTCGAGTAACCGCCACACCGTCCTGGTTTCCATAAATCAGTATTTCATTTAGATGGACCACGGGAGAAATGAGACGTACCTTTCCAAACGTAGTGTCAAATTCAGAAACAGTGGTCTCATACACGAGATTCGGGTTTGGTGTGAGCGATCCAACATCCAGCTTCTTGACCAACTCTCTCTTCTGCCCAGTCGTGGCCTGCACCCACTCCAAATACTCCGGTGCGCCAGGCATGATCACATTATCAGCGAGGAGCACCGAGGTCCCGGGAATCAAGACATCTAATTCTTCAAGCAGCCACAAATCTGGTCGATACAACTTTTGCCAGTGATCAATGAAAATCATCTCTACCTGAGTAATTTCCTTGCGATCACGAACAAGCTCCCGCAGGACCTCATCGCTGGGCCCGACAAGAATGCGAACTGTATCACGTAGCCCAGCTAAATCAACAAGCTGGTTGGCGACAGCAGCCACTTCTGGGTTTTTCTCAATGCTCAAGAACTGCTTTCCTCCATTCGCTCGGATCGCGTCGCCGAAAAGAATGGCAGAGTAGCCCACGTAACCGCCGAGTTCGATCATCACCGATGGCTTGCGTTCTGCGATCAGATCGGTTACGAACGCTCCCTTGACAGCACCAACATTCATGAGAATGTTGAACTCTGAGTGGTAATCATCGATGGCAGCGATGACCTTTTGCGGGTTTCCGCGCAGTTGCTTGATGTCTGGTCGGTTATGAATGTAGTGGAGGAGGTCAACCTCGCGGCCATCCTAACCCTCATTAGAATTGGGAATCTCAAAAACTCAATATTGAACCTACCAGAGCAAGGGCCTTCGGGCCCAGGGTGTGAGCAGGCGGAGCGTTTGGTCGGTTCGACATCGTGCTTTTCTCTCGCGCGGAAGTTGATACTAATTGTCCCGGATATGATGCGTTGTGAAAGCTGTGGTTAATTGTCGCTGTAGTCTACTTAGATGACTCGATTATTCCTAAATACTTATAGTTCTATACAGGCACACCATGTCTCTCGGTGTTTCTGGAGATATGTACCTTTTGGGATTCCTGGAGATATGGGACTCAAAAAGGAAACCCCGAGTCCAAGATTAACTTTCCGGTCGGAGATAGGCGACATGTCGATCCTCCGAGCCGTGGGCTTTGGAGACAATATCTAGACACCGATATCTCACTTACTTTCTTTCTACTTCATTTGAATCACATTGCATTGTTTTGTTCCCAGCCTTGCGGGGTTAAGCGTGTTCGGACCTTGATCGTTCGATCGGAGATGACTACAAGGCTCTACATTGATTACACGGATAATTGAAAACGATCAGAAGACCGGCCTGTGGGAAGCAAATAGACGATACGTTTCCTTCAAATTCGATTCAGGTTGAGTGCAGGCCACTGCCGCGAAATAGGTCGACATCTGCCCGCCTGTTACGAAGGTACCGTGCGTGCATCCCCACTCAGCCTCTCTGCGGGGCAGTCGGGGTCCTAAACGGGAGAATCGATGAGTTTGGCCCCTAGCGACACAGGGTTAAAGATGAGTCAACATGATTTGAAAATGACACCAAACGGGGCAATTGCATTTCTCGTGGCCTGTAGGGTATCGCTGAGGGTTCAATGCAATGGCCCTAGGGGTATGACATCAAGTGGGTCGGTGAGATCACAACATTATACCGATGATTTCATCTAGGATATGGCTAGTCGTTGAAAAGATCAGGTAGACTTACCGAAGTAGTGAGTAAGGAGGATGAGAGAATTGAAAGAGATCCAATTGTGCCGCGCGCTTATTCAGAAGTGCTTGTGGCAAAGGCTCATTTAGTGAAAAACAAATGTGGCAACATGGGTAGGGCAGCCGAACGGCACCAAATCTTTGACATCGCCCCCAACTCATAGCTCCCGACGGAATGTCATGAAAAGAGGCGGAATTAATCATGGAGTTAAGTAAGAATGCATTTATAAGCCAAAAAGTAGATATAAAGACGGAGATAACTGAATACAGCGAGCATCAGTCGATTGTTCTGTGATTACACTAAGCCTAAACGGGTTAGCGCGTGACTCTCTCCCTCGAGAAGCTTCTGTGCCGCCAGTATAAATTGCATCTTCAACCTCACGCGAGCGTCGACATACCCCACCTACCCCCTCCAACCCACCACATCCTCAGATCACCGTCAAATCACTCATACAAAATGGAAGACTGGAACTCCGTTACCAAGATTGGCAGCAAGACCCGCGGCGGCGCCGGTGGCCCCCGTGAGACTGTCGTCAAGGGCAAGAGCGCCTTGAACGCCGCCCAGCGCTCTGGCGGTATCCTCGCAACTGAGAAGAAGTACACCACCGGCAATGTCGTAAGTTGAACCGTCCCAAACCGCCTCCTTCCATACAGTGAACTAATTCTCCCCCCACAGTCCGCGAAGGCAGGAGCCCCCGAGGGCCAGCACTTGACCAAGGTCGACCGCAGCGACGACATCATCAAGCCCAAGACCGTCGGTTACGCCGTCGCCGAGGCAATCAAGAAGCGCCGCAACGAGGACGGTTACAAGATGACGCAGAAGGAGCTGGCCACCAAGTGCAACACCACCATCACCATCGTGCAGGACTTCGAGCGGGGCACTGCGACGCCGGACCAGAAGGTTCTCGGTGCGATGGAGCGCGTGCTCAACGTCAAGCTCCGTGGTACCGACATTGGTGCAGAGAAGTTCCCCAAGAAGAAATAAACTCGGATCGGGGGTGAGCCCACGGCTTTAACTTCTTGGGGATGAGACCGGGACAAATTAAAGTTTCTTTGCTTTTCTGGTTTTCTGATGATTGATATGTCCTCCTCCTGTTTTTCCCACGAGATGAAATGAGCTGTCTTTTTTGGGTTTCCTTTTCTGATGGTCGGATTAGCGCTGGCCTTGCATGGAAATGGGCTTAGAGAAATTTTCATAAAAATGTATAAATGAGATACCTCGAATTCAACCTTTTGAAACATCTTCTTTCTAGGATAAGTAGAGTGGCAACCTTTGCGGATGTTCCGAGGTTGTTTCAGTATACAGGGTCGAGATATGCAGTCTAGCACTTGTGTGATGAAGATACAGGGAGAGAGAATGAGCCGTGTATCTTTACGAGATTCCGAGGGTTGTCATTTTGAATGTAGTAGTTTGGATGAGGAAGGCAAAAACATGGCACGAATCCCAGCAGTTTCCCCCTGTTCAAACCACCCAACGAGTTGCCCTGGGTGTCCAGAATGATGAACATGCAATGCAAGTCATGGGCTGTTTTGTGACATTTGAACCTATGTACAGAGGTGTCGGCCGACTCTACAAATATACAGCCTAGTAAACCAGTGTTTGAAGTTTTGAAAAGCTTCGTATTGTCTATGTCGTGATATGCATATCCTCCGCTGGTACCCTAGGGTAACAGTGGCTCCACACGCACCTCGGAAGGAACTCATATCTGGCGAACCCAGAATGTGAAGCAAGCCATCTTTTATTAAACCAAATCAATAACAAAGGGGGTACCAACTCCGGTTGATCATGTAATCAAGAAATGAGAAACCGTGCCTCGAAAGGTCATCGTCTCATCTCTATGCCAGACTCGTAGGGGAAAAAAAAGCGTCCCGAGCCTTGTTCGCATCATAAAACACATACACACAAGCGCATGACTCGAATCTTCTGTACTTTTTCGGTCGTATCTTCATTCCCTTACTTCCGCAGCTGCTCCCGCTCCACCTCGTACATGAAGTCGAAGTACGGCTTATCGAAGTGGTGGATACGCACGTAACCGTCCTCACCACCAGAGGCGTAGGCAGTACCGGCGGGGTGAACGTCGATGGTGTTGAGGGGACCGAAGTGGCCACGGACACGGCCGATCTCATCTTCGAAGATCTTGTGGTAGAAGCGAGCCTCGAATTTACCCTGGCGAGCAGAGGTAGTTGTGACATCCATGGCGGCCTGACCACCACCCAAAATCACGTAGTCCTTCTTCGGGGTGATAGCGGCGGAGTTGAGGGGAGTGTCGGCGGGGTAGGTCTTCATGATGGCGAGGTTGCGAGCGGAAATAAGCTAAGGGTTGTTAGAGGAAGCTGCGTGCTAGAAATGCTTCAGATGTGCCTACCTTCGCGGACTTGTCTTTCGAGGCGGTAAGGAAGGACGTGCGGTCTTGGGAGAATTGGATGTCGTTGATCTGGTGGTCGAACTCGTGGGCCTGGACGTTCTCCAGCTGCTCACCGGTCTGCGCAACATGTCAGCTTTGATGCTTGTTTGGACGATCCAGAATCAACCTACCTTCGGGTCATACTGGCTGACGCTGCCATCCTCGTGTCCCGCAATGATGTACTTGGCGAGGAAGCTCCACCCTGCGACTGTCGCCTTGCTGTCCTCACAAGTAATGCGCAAACTCGGTTCGTCGGCCTGATCCTCGAGGTTGCCCAACTTGCCGTCACCGTACTTAATATCGAGAACGACAATGGTACCCAGGTAACCCATACGCTTCTCCGTCACAGCCAACAGCTTGCTGCCATCCGGGGAAAATGCCACGCGCTTCACAGCCGTCGGGAAATCCCACACCTTCACGCATTCGCCAGTCTTAATGTTCCATAGCCGCACGGTGTTGTCTGCTGATCCAGTCGCAAGAAGAACGGTGTTGGGGCTGACATCGACAGTCCAGATGGCACCCTGGTGACCCTGGTAGGTTCCGAGACGCTCGCCGTTGGCGGACCACCATGCGCACACAATCTTATCCTTCGCCACCGAGAAGAGGAGGTCGCCATCGCTGTTGAACTTGATCTGATTCAGGGACCGTTCCTGTAACCCGAAAGGGTCGTTGTTAGTTTGTGGATCCGACGGTGGGAGAATTCGCACGTACATGGCCGGAAAGCAAAATAGGCCGCATCTTGAATGGGTCAAGAGTTTACGACCGGAGATCGCAGAGAAAGGATTGACTGAGGAGGGGTGGTTGTAGGAGGAGGGCGGGTATACCGGGGGGTCAATCTCGTCAACCTCACTTTCTTTGACTAGTGAATTTGATCGCACACTCGCCCAGTCAGCGCCAAGACTCGACCGTATCGAATCCCGCTTTTCGGAGCTTTCATTGTTCCGGTATCTACACGTGACCGTACCCCTCTGCCCTAACCCTATCCGCGGTGCTACTTTAATCCGGGGCCCGGGCAGATCGCCATGACTCATCCGAAGATCTCCTTCGCTGCCTTAGGCGACGATCCCTTGCTGTAGACATCCCCGTCGGAAGCCGAGACTCGTACGAGGACCAAGAGCAATGTAGCAGCGCCGGAGCGTGCGGGGTATATTTTAACGTTACTGAGAAGGTTGCGCGTGCTCTAACAGTTGCTCTGATTCTTTCCATCTCCTCAACGAGCTGGTGAGATTCCTTGTGGTCCCGATCGCAAACAAAGTCACCGAGGATTATCGCCCCAAAAGAGGCATTCGTATTCATGGCACCTTTCCCCGCCGCGGGTCCCCGCCATCACTTTTTCCTTAAAGTGCGCGCGGTCAATTTTCGTCTCCCCACCTTCTCTCCGCGGTCTCCTCTCTCCTTTAAGCACTTTTCCTCCGCACGAGGGGTTAGACGATCAATTGTACGGTTGTCTGCTCCGTCTCCACCGAGTGGTTTTTTAATCTCGCCGGCCGCCGCTTCTCATCGCACCCTTGGCAGCTCCGCAATCATGGCGTCCAAGATCGATGGCACCGCAATTGCCAAGAGCATCCGCGAAGGTCTTAAGGCTGAGATTGAGAAGACTCAGGAGTCCAACCCCAGATTCAAGCCTAACCTGGTCATCTTCCAGGGTAAGCTCATCCCCGACGCCATATGAGGATTCACACATGAGTCAATGGCTAATTTTGATTCTGATATATAGTTGGCAATCGGTCCGATTCCAGTCAGTTACCTTCTACGGAGCAGTGCTCGAGAGCACTCAGCTAATGCGGTCCAGGTACCTATGTGCGCATGAAGCTGAAGGCCGCCCAGGAGGTAATTGTGCCCTCTTATCAAACCCCACAATTGATTCTGTCTGACATCAACCCTTAAAGGCAAACATCATCTGCACTTTGAACAACATCTCCGAGTCGAGCACGGAGTCGGAGCTGCTCCAGGAGATCATCAAGGCCAACAATGACCCCGCCGTGCACGGTATTTTGGTCCAATTGCCCCTCCCTAGCCACATGTCGGAGCACACCATCACCTCGGCGGTCTCAGATGAGAAGGATGTCGATGGATTCGGCGCAATTAACATTGGTGAGCTCGCCAAGCGTGGCGGCCGCCCGCTCTTCATTCCATGCACCCCGCTTGCTGTGATGGAGCTGCTGAAGGCTAGCGGTGTCGACCCTGCCGGCAAGGAGGCTGTTGTTCTTGGTCGCAGCGACATTGTCGGTAGTCCCGTCAGCTACCTGCTGAAGAATGCCGATGCCACCGTCACCGTGTGCCACTCCAAGACCCCCGATATCGCGCGCATCGTGAAGAGCGCCGACATCGTTGTCGCTGCCATTGGAAAGACTGAGATGGTTGTGGGCGACTGGCTGAAGCCCGGTGCTGTCGTCATTGACGTCGGTATCAACTACAAGCCCGATGAGACCAAGAAGTCTGGACAGCGTCTCGTCGGCGATGTCGAGTTCGAGTCGGCCTCCCGGGTGGCTTCGCAGATCACCCCGGTTCCCGGCGGTGTTGGCCCTATGACCGTGGCCATGCTGCTGAAGAACGTGGTTCACTCCGCTAAGACATACTTCGAAAAGCAGAAGGACCGCCGCATCACTCCGCTTCCCATTCGATTGGAGAGCCCTGTCCCTTCTGACATCGCGATCTCCCGAGCTCAGTACCCCAAGGCCATTACCAAGATTGCCTCAGAGGTTGGCATTGCCTACCACGAGCTGGAGCCCTACGGCCACACCAAGGCCAAGGTCAGCCTCGATGTTCTGGACCGCCTCGCCCACCGCCGCAACGGACGCTATGTGCTGGTCTGCGGCATTACACCTACTCCTCTTGGCGAGGGCAAATCGACTACAACTCTGGGTCTTACTCAGGCCCTCGGTGCCCACCTGAACCGTGTCACCTTTGCCAACGTCCGCCAGCCTAGCCAGGGCCCGACCTTCGGCATCAAGGGCGGAGCCGCTGGTGGTGGCTACAGTCAGGTTATTCCTATGGACGAGTTCAACCTGCACTTAACCGGTGACATTCACGCCATCACTGCCGCCAACAACCTTCTCGCTGCGGCCATTGAGACCCGTATGTTCCACGAGTCTACACAAAAGGACGGCGCTCTCTACAAGCGTTTGGTGCCCGCCAAGAATGGCAAGCGCGAGTTTAAGCCTGTCATGTTCCGCCGCCTGGAGAAGCTTGGTATCCAGAAGACCAACCCCGATGAACTGACCGAGGACGAACTCCGCCGGTTCGCCCGCCTAGACATTGACCCGGAGACGATTACCTGGCGTCGCGTGCTGGATGTCAACGACCGTCACCTGCGCGGTATCACCGTTGGCCAGGCCCCTACCGAGAAGGGTCTTTCCCGCGAGACCGGCTTCGATATCTCTGTTGCCAGTGAATGTATGGCTATTCTCGCCCTGAGCAACAACCTAGCGGACATGCGCGAGCGCCTCGGTCGCATGGTCGTGGCCACCTCCAAGAACGGCGACCCCGTTACCTGTGACGACATCGGTGCCGGTGGCGCCCTTGCTGCCCTCATGAAGGATGCTATCAAGCCCAACCTGATGCAGAGCTTGGAAGGAACTCCCGTTCTGGTTCACGCCGGCCCTTTCGCCAACATCAGTATCGGAGCTAGCTCGGTTATTGCCGATAAGCTGGCTCTGAAGCTGGCCGGTACCGAGCCAGATGAGGACCACGACGCCCAGACCGGTTTCGTGGTCACTGAGGCTGGCTTCGACTTCACCATGGGTGGTGAGCGTTTCTTCAACATCAAGTGCCGATCATCGGGACTATCTCCCGATACCGTTGTCATTGTGGCTACGGTCCGTGCGCTGAAGGTGCACGGCGGCGGTCCCGAGATCACCCCCGGAGGCGCTCTGCACGAGGTCTACCGCACCGAGAACGTGGAGATCCTCCGCAAGGGATGTGTCAACCTGCGCAAGCACATCGCCAATGCCAAGCAGTACGGCATCCCGGTTGTCGTCGCGATTAACAAGTTCGAGACTGACACCGAGGCTGAGATCAATGTCATCAAGGAAGAGGCCATTGCTGCTGGTGCCGAGGACGCCGTCCCGGCGAACCACTGGGCTGAGGGTGGAGCCGGCGCCATTGACCTGGCCAAGGCCGTTCTGGCTGCCAGCTCCAAGCCCAAGAACTTCCAGTTGCTGTACGACCTGAACGGCAGCATCCAGGAGCGCATTGAGCGCATCGGCAAGTCCATGTACGGTGCCGACAAAGTCGAGTTCAGCGAGCTGGCCCAGAAGAAGGTGGACACCTACACCAAGCAGGGCTTCGCCAACCTGCCGATCTGTATCGCCAAGACACAATACTCGCTCAGTCACGACCCGGCCCTGAAGGGAGCCCCGACCGGCTTCACCGTGCCCATCCGGGACGTCAGATTGGCCGTTGGCGCAGGGTATCTGTAAGTTTCCCCACACGCACCGACCTTATAATTCTCCCTATGTGCTAACTCGGCCCAGTTACGCCCTGGCGGCCGACATCCAGACGATCCCCGGACTGCCCACGGCACCGGGCTATCTTAATGTGGACATCGATCCCGAGACCGGGGAAATCGACGGACTGTTCTAGACGGTACTTTTTGTCCGATTTAGGTTGGATGGATTGGAGCTTGTATATACACCCATCGGTTATTGCCCGTGGTCTTCAACACATACAGTACCAGGATAATCCAGCGTCCGATCGGAGCGGGATCTTTAGACGGAGACATTTTCAGCAGTGGAAGCAGCTGGGATTCAAATCAATTGCATATTACATCGTCCATGGTCCTCCCTACGTGCAAAAAAAGATGGTGCAATTCGGGAGATCGTTTCCCGTAGTCAAATGAAGATCTTCGGTGAAGCCGCGGAGAGTCGCTCCGAGCTCCGGGAAAGCTCTAAAGCCGGGGCGGGTCGGTGGAGGAGTGTACGACGCCTCTCACTCGTCTGAATAGCAGATCGATCGTGAGTCAGGAGCCTCTGGAAGTCTTACCTAGGCAATTGGGGAAGTGAAAATCAAATAAAATTAGAGCACGGAAGAGTCTCGTGACGTCCGGCTTCGGCGCTTGCAACGGAAGAAACGGTTCAAAAGAGACGACACGCGCGCTGATTTCCCCAGACAAGGCTCTTTATTTCTCTTTCGCCTCCAGCTACACTACTGCTGCTCGGTAATTCCCCCATTCCATTTGCTTTCTCGCTCTGCTCCGGGTGTTTCCGTGTTGCGCCGGCCTTCCCCCAGAACGAGTGGCGGGAAAAAGGGTTGGCCGAGTCCAACCGTGACGTGCATCGCGCCGCACCCGCTCCACTGACATCCTTTCTGCCGAGTATCGTACCCTCGGTTGTTCGACACGGCGGCTTGCGAAAGCTGCCGACCTGAACTCCGAGCCAAACAGAAAGAGAGAAAGTCGCGCTGACTTGCCGGCCATAGTGACATCCACGATGAACGCCCTTCGGTCCAGTTCCGCTTTCGCGCGCCGGTCCCTGACCCTGACTGCTGCCCCTCCCGCCCCTCTCTCCGTCTCTTCTCGTCTCTTCTCTTCTTCCTCTTCCATCTCCTCCAAAAGAAGCATCTCCTTCGTTTCTCTTGCTCGCCCTCAGAGACTCGCTACTGTTTCCCGCTGGTCCGGATCGACTCCTTCTCTGTACCTGAATCAAACCCGCACCATGGCGTCCGAGACCAAGATCAAGGTTAAGAACCCGGTGGTGGAACTGGATGGTGACGAGGTACGGAACCTTCCCCCTTTTTATAGTTCTAGACACTCGTGCATTCGGACGTATCACAAGCTCGGTCTCGTGGCTTCGGCTGGGGCATTTTCGTCTCGTCCGTCATCGGACGCGGGGGAAAACGGGGTTCCCAAACCCGTTCATGTGCCAATCCACCCGAGTCAGGACGCTGCGCAATATCATTGCCACTTTGGACCATTCACTAACGGTGGATCTTCGTGCCTTTATAGATGACCCGTATTATCTGGCAAGAAATCAGGGAAAAGGTAAGCCTCGGAACTGTGCCCCTCATCCATCCTGGTCCAGACCGTGCATGATCAGCCCCCTGTTGCAGCTTGCAGACCGCATGCGCTCTCATGCGTCTCAATTGGACTGGTCCACTCTTTAATACCGAGGCTAACGTTGCTTTTCGATAGTTGATTCTGCCGTAAGTCTGACGAATGGGAGAAATGATCTTCATGCAGTGAACTAAATTTATCCAATTAGGTTCCTGGATATCGACCTGAAGTACTACGATCTGGTAAGTCGATCTCGCCGATGACCTCCGGGATGTATTGCTGATCCTTCTGGATAGGGTCTTGAATACCGTGACCAGACCGATGACCAGGTCACCGTTGAGGCCGCCGAGGCTATCAAGAAGTACGGTGTCGGTGTCAAGTGTGCCACCATCACTCCTGATGAGGCCCGTGTTGAGGAGTTTAAGCTGAAGAAGAGTAAGCTTGTTTTGCTACCCGTGCGATGCATCGGAAACTAACCCTTGCCAGTGTGGCTCTCCCCCAACGGCACCATCCGTAACATCCTGTGAGTGAAGACGTGATCTTCAATTGACTACGGGGTAAATTCAACTAACGATCTTGGTAGCGGTGGTACCGTCTTCCGTGAGCCCATCATCATCCCCGCCATTCCCCGTCTGGTCCCTGGATGGAACAAGCCCATCGTCATTGGCCGCCACGCCTTCGGTGACCAGTATCGTGCCCAGGACCGTGTCATCCCCGGTCCCGGTAAGCTCGAGCTGGTCTTCACCCCCGAGGGTGGTAAGCCCGAGCACATCCAGGTGTACGACTTCCAGGGTGGCGGTGTTACTCAGTGCCAGTACAACACTGATGACTCCATCCGTGGCTTCGCCCACGCCTCCTTCCAGATGGCTCTCATGAAGGGTCTCCCCCTGTACATGAGCACCAAGAACACCATCCTGAAGAAGTACGATGGCCGTTTCAAGGATATCTTCCAGGAGGTCTACGAGAAGGACTACGCCAAGGACTTTGAGGCCAAGAAGATCTGGTACGAGCACCGTCTCATTGACGACATGGTCGCCCAGATGATCAAGAGCGAGGGTGGCTTCGTCATGGCCCTGAAGAGTGCGTGTCCCCAGTTTAACCCCCTTTCTTCCCGTATCTAACATCTCTTCAAGACTACGACGGCGACGTCCAGTCCGACATTGTCGCCCAGGGCTTCGGCTCTCTCGGTCTGATGACCTCCACCCTGGTCACCCCCTCCGGCGAGGCCTTCGAGTCCGAGGCCGCTCACGGTACCGTGACCCGTCACTACCGCGAGCACCAGAAGGGCCGCGAGACCTCGACCAACCCCATTGCTTCTATCTTCGCCTGGACCCGCGGTCTGGTGCAGCGCGGCAAGCTTGACGAGACCCCCGACGTCGTCGCCTTTGCCGAGGAACTCGAGCGCGCCTGCGTTGAGGTCGTCAACGACGAGGGTATCATGACCAAGGATCTCGCCCTGGCCCGTGGCCAGAAGGAGCGTGAGGCCTGGGTTACCACCAACGAGTACATGGCTGCCGTTGAGCGGCGCCTGAAGTCCAACCTCAAGTCTCGCCTTTAGATTTGATTTGCGTTTTCCATTTGCCCTTTGTCTACCCAATTCTTATATGATATCTCATCCCCCTTAGATCCCGGGGGGCCTCGGTCTATCTGCAATGTACAGCGGGTGGAGAAATAAAATTTGCTATTGTATACTTTCCTCCTCTTATCGGTAGAACTAGAAGTCCGTCGGAAAACGCCATGGACCCTGGCTGAGGGCCCAGGCCCGCCACATATTCAGTCCAGCGGCTAAAATCTCCGGATATTCTCCCACCCTCAGCCGTCGCCATGATCGCAGCGGTGAATTTCCCCCGATGTTGTGAACAATGATATGGTAGCCTCACAATCGGCGATTCCGAGCCGTTTCCGGTATATGAAGTTACAGCACGCGGAGCCAACGTGGAAAACTATGGTAGTCTAGATGCGCATCAATCCCAAGGGGCAAGGATAAGAGGCGATCCCGAGTGCTTTCTTTGTCTAGCCGTGGGCCTCATTCGCGATCCAGCTGAGCACTTTAATTGGAACCAAACCTTAACGATATCTTCACCCACCGCCGAAGACCAATCATGGGCCCGATCGCCGTGATAAAGTTCATTATCTGGTCCTCCGGTTGGCCAGCCTCTCCGCTATGCAATGGAGTTGCCGGGGGATTGTCGACTGATTGCGAGCTGCGAGTCGCGGCTCTATTCGGGATGATCTCGGTCAGGGTCCACGTTGATTTTCACGAATTAGATGGGGGAGACGGAGTTGTGGAGGCGTGGCCGGGTAATATTAATGTCCTTGACGCAATGGGTGGCCGTGTGTTGCCTATTGCGGCGTGCGCGGATGCGTGGTTGGGCCAATGTCGTGTCTCTAGGGGTTGAATTCAAACGGAAATTGAGTGCGAGGGCAAGAGGTAACTACCGGCGAGAAGGAATTTGAGGCAACTGCAGACCTTCCTGGACAATTACCTCCCTCGTTACCTATTTCGACTATCTCGATTCTCTCCACGTTGACATTGCATCTCTTCACGGCATTCCGGGCTTCATTTCAGCGATTGGCCCTTTCGAATCTCGTGGTTTCACTCAGCCAAGCGACGTGCAAGTGATGGTGCATCGATTGAGATTCACCTTGCCTTTATAACAAATGGACTGACATTCGCTCGTCTTGATTACTGACGATATACCACTGGGCTGCGCTTCTCGACGCTTGTTCCCGTGGAGATAATGAATGTCTTGCCTACCACGACGGTCTTTACCATCCTCGCGATCTTGTTTGTCCTCGTCCGGCTGTGGACGCGGATTTGGCTGATCAAGAGCCCTGGATATGATGACCTGCTTGTCACTCTTGCATTGGTATGTTTCCATACCTCCTAATGATTGCCTTCGGGTGGGAAGTGCAATGCTGACGTCTATCCTAGCTATCCTCCATCACCTTTTACGCATTTATTATTGTCCGTAGGTTGATCCTCAATGAGTATTTGGAGAAGGCGGGAAGCTGATTACTCCTAGAACGCGAATATGGCCTTGGTGTCTCTCGACAGGACCTACCACAGGAGGACATTCGTCACCAGATGCTAGTAAGTCGATCTCTCTGAACTTGCCAACCTTCATACTGATCAAATCTGCAGTACCTCTGGCTTTCCATACCCTTTTACAACCTCTCTTTGGTTCTTTCCAAGCTCTCCGCACTCGTGCTCTATGCCCGCATCTTCCGCTACCGCGGCTTCCTGATCGCCAACTATACATTGATGGCCTTCCTCATCGTCGCAGGCCTATGGATGGTCATCAGCGGCTTCGCTTTCTGCAGCCCCGTCAGCGCATTCTGGTCTGGATCGAAGCTCTCCGTACAGAAGCATTGCCTCCCGACAGGACCAGTCTGGTTCACCAACGCCGGCATGCAAATCTTCACGGACGTCGTGATCCTGGTTATGCCAATGTTCATCCTGTCCAAACTGAAGCTCCCCAAGCGCCAAAAAGCAGGAATAATGGTTGTTTTTGGTGTCGGCATCTTCGTCATCGCGACTAGCTCCGCCAGACTCTACGAGCTAGTAAACATGGTCAACGACCGCGATTTCACAAAAACGAACCAAAAGGCAGCCGTCTGGTCCTCCCTTGAAGCAAACGTTTCTATTATCTGCGCATGCCTTCCACCACTTCACCCCTTCATCTCTCGCATCTTCTCCTTCTGCTTCCGCCCTCAACCCCTTCATTCTTCCCCCGCAAACAAACAATCATCAAACACAACCGAACTCACATCTACCCGCCGCATGTCCCGCAAAACATCTTTCTACGACTCTGGAAAGGGTCCAGATGGTGGCATCTTCTACAACGACGTCTTTTTCTCCGGTCCTGGCGAATACTCAGCCACTATTGCCAAGATGGACAACGCAGAGAACAATACCACGAAAGAGGAGCCGGAAGGCGATCCCGATGCGATTCGTGTTGTGCGTGAGCTCAGGGTTGGGTCTGATCCCGTGGCGCCAAGCATGACTGTTGTGCCTGATGGCACGCATGATCGGGATTTTGAGGCCGAGCTGAATAGTGGAAGTGGCGGTGAGATTCCTGGGGCTTGGAATACCGCTATTGAGTGGGATTTGGGGGATTTCGAGTTCCCGGATTATAAAGAGCGGATGAATGCTCCCATTTGAAGGAACCTTTCTGCAACTTCTTGCATATAAGAGACAATGGTTTATGATATTAGAGACATGTACATACATATGTTATCTTCATTCATTTAGACACTTATGTACTTGCTATCCGACTGAGTAGCCCGGAACCAGTAGGCAGGCAGCGTTTGACGATCTATTACTTGTCTTAGAGACTCGGAGCAGCTGCGTTTTTCCATCTCATCGCCTGTTCAATGGCCTTCGCCACCCCAATACACCGTTCCTCGCCAAATCGCCCACCGACAACCTGGACCCCGACGGGCATCCCATCCACCATGTCGACATCATCTGTGGCACTATCAGCTCTCCGTTCAAGAGTGAGACGAACAAAGGACTTACACTGCTCCTTATTGAACTTATCGCCGGCATTCCGCGGCACATAATCCAACCACTCTTTGCCCGGTGCATCCTTTTCCTTGGAGACAGACGTGGTAGGAACAGTGAGAGCAGCATAACCGAGAAGGTTCCAGATACTGGTATATCCAACATAGGCATTGGACTTGACCCAAGTCCCGGGTTCGTATCCGACCCAGGGGGTATTCGGCATAATGATGGCGTCGATACCGGAAGAGACCCAGCGATCAAGGTACTCTGTCTCGTATATGTACTTATCGGCGTTGAGCTATCGGATTCTTAGTACCACTGCCAACGACGAAACCGCGGGCCTTTCTTACCTGGTGAGTCTCAGATGTCGTCAAAATATCCTTCTCCGTTCCGACCAGCATGCCCTCAACCAAAGGCTCACCAGTCATCTCGATCTTCTTCCGACACCCCTCGCCGCCATCAGACAAGATAGCCTTTTCCCAGAGCTCATATGCATATTCGTGAGAAGAAGCATCCCACTCAATGACTATTTCCTGTGTTAGCATTCAAACCCCTAATATGCCAACGTACACACGACATACCTTCATGTCCAATATCCCTCAACGCAGCAACAACCTCTCGAACCGCCCTTTCAATAGGCGGCTGCACCTTAATGACCCCATCATCCACCAAGAACGCAATCTTCAATCTCTTCGGCCGAAGCGCAGCCAAACTCCGCCTCCACGGTACAGGAGCAGTATGCTGATCCAACTCCCAAGGCGCCGCACAAGGCAAAGTCTCCATATAGCGCTCAACAGTCGCCAAACTACAACTCATCGGGCCTGCAACGGACCGAATAATATCCTGTCCTGGACTATACCACGAATCAGCACACAAACCACAGATCCGTCTAAGTAATAGCATGTGAGATACTTACTGCCCCCGCTCGTACGGATGTCTCCCCGGACTAGGCGACAAGCCATAAAGTCCACATAAACTAGCAGGAATACGAATCGAACCACCGAGATCAGTCCCGATGCCAAGGGCGCTGCCACGCGCCGCGACAAGCGACCCCTCGCCGCCGGAACTACCGCCGGAGATTAGATTGCGGTTGAGTGGGTTGACGCATTGTCCGAAGACGTGATTATAGGAGTCGGACATCATCATCGACTGCGGGAGGTTGGTTTTCACGTAGAGAACGGCGCCGAGGCGGCGGAGGGTTCTGGCGACGGATTTATCGGCCGGGGCTGGGTTGTTTGTGAGTCCGACCCATCCTGATTACTGTTAGTGGTGGTAATGGGTGGGAGTAGAAGAGGGAACGTACCGATGGAAGTATCAACGCCTTTCACAGAAAACAGATCTTTGATAGATACTGGGAGTCCGTGCAGGGGACCGATGGTCCTGCCTGTCTTTTCTAGATATTCGTCCAACTTCGCGGCAGTAGCGAAAGCGTCTTCGAAGAGGATCTCCGTGCAGCATGTTGTTAGTTGGTGGGCCAGGGCTGCACGCTTTGCGAATGCGCGAGTTAATTCCAGTGAGGAGAGTCCACCGGAGGATAGTCTCCGGAGCAGGATGGTGATGTCGGTTTCTTCTGTCAGGGCTAGTTCTGCGGGCGTGAGGCATTTGCGAATATAGGGTAGTGCATCTGGTGCTGAGTCGACGGAGGGGATCTCGTCGAAGCGCCACTCCGGTGGGATTAGAGAGAGCTGCTCGGCGCGCTTCTTCGCGGCGAGATCTTGGTAGGTTGGGACGGCGGCCATTATGGGTGTGGTCTCTATAGATGACCTAGAAAAGTCATCGATTCGTGAAGATGCGTGGCTTGGGTATAGATACAGAAGAGAGGGTATGGGTGTAGTAGATAAGAGCTCCGATTGCGGGGGATAGATTGCCTTCCGCATCGGGAAAGTAATGTAAAGGCTAGTAGATCGACCTGCTTCTCCACCTCCGCTCACACTGCTCTTCTCCATCCGGGTACCTCGGAAATTCACACGACTGGCAATTTCGCCAGTATGCCCGCAAAACCTCGCACTGTGCTCGCGTGCAAGCATGCATTCCCGTCAGAAATGCCGGCGTCGCTAGATGGACGTAGAACCTCGAAGTGGCGGGCATGCGCGATATTGCATCACACACTCGACCCACCAGTGATGAAATCGTGTTTGAATAGATCGTCGATCTATTATCGTTCTCCCCCGCTCGGCTGAATGCCACGATCGCGCCCGCGCCGCGGTATACAACCACCGCTAGGCCGCGATCCGTAGAGTCCGAGTCAAGAGCCAATATCTGGTCCATTGCCAGGGAGCATAAATCCAGCGCATTATCACAATCCCATTTCACCAACCGCGCGAATAGATCAAATGTATCATCTGGACAGCCAACCGAACGAAAGAAAGTCGGAGTAAGAATCCCCCGATGCCAATCATCAAACATCAAGCCGCAATCACCCACAAGAGCACCAGTGACATCAAACCAAACCAGATAAGCCAACACATCAGCAAGACCGGGTATTCGCTGTGTGAGGTCATCGAGCTCGGATTTATTCCGACAATGTAGATCGAGTAATGACCGTGCGCCATGCAGGTGACGGGTCCATTTGCCGAAGGAGCCGCAGCAGACTTCGAAGATAGCGAATGTTGCGATACCAAAGAGTGCGATGGGGTGGCCGGAATCTATGACTTTGGAGAGGTTTGACAGGGCGACCAGGTGGGATTGGATGGATTCTTTGTCGTCGTTTCCTTCGAGGCGAGAGCGGGCGAAGTTTAGCGTGCGGGAGATGAGCTGGATTGCTTCGTCCGGGAGATCTGAATTGCTGGATTTGATTTCTTGGTAATAGTGGGAGAGCATATCGATGAAGCCGTAGAGGTTGATGGGGATAGTGTTGGGTTGTAGTTTTCGGGCGTCTTTCGTTGTAGGGTTTGATGGCGAGAGACATGTTGACACTAGAGATGCCTTTGAGGAGAGGCTTGAAGATGGGTTTGATGCGATCTTTGGTGCGGTGCTCTCCTTTTTGTCTCCCATCCATACAACTCTCCGCGGATAGTGACATGCCACTCCATTTTGTAGACAAGGTTGACACCGGGGACGATTGAGATCGCACTTGATGCCTTTAGATCGACAACTCTGGCAGTGTCGATCATGCCGGATACCACGCGGCTTCTTGACACCCATGATGCTGATGCTCTCAAAGTGGTCGCGGAGAGAGATCGGAGATACAGGTGCGGGGAGTAGGTTACCCGTTCGGTGCTAGTGAGGAGATATACCTCGGGATCATCTCCGACTGCAGGGACACAGTGGGGCTCTTATTGTACGTTGAACAAATCAAAAAGTGTTAATTATAGTCATGGCTCTGCACGACGAACTAGTCTACCTACTGAGATGAAGGAGTGTGAGATCTAATCTAAAAGCAGAAAACCGAGGAACCCGAAACCCGAGACATTCAGAGAACGACATTCAAAGAGAAAGCAAGACTTGCAATGAAACAAACATATGTACTTGGGAAAAACGCAATATCGCGTCAACGATATTGCACGCCAGATCGCCGGTGTGAAATCCTGGTCATGTCGTGGTAATGACCGTGGGAGTCTGCTTCCCTCTGGCGTTGCAGCAATCTCTCTCGCCTGTCACGCCGCTTGGTATCCGAATTGATTTGCTCAGGTTGGTCTTTTCCGGCAGGGTTGGGCCCGGGCGGTTTTGACTTGCGCTTCTTCGGCTTTCCAGTTCGCCGACGACCGGGTACCTTGACTCGGCGATTGCCCGCTGCGGTATGAGCTTTACGTTTTGAGGAGCTGTACGGCCAATGGGACATGAAGCTTGTTCCATTTTTAACGCTCCTGTGCAAGCTGGCTCGGCGAGAAAGCGACATGGTTCCCTTTCTTTTCTTGAAAAGTTCGACAGCGGCTGTAATGGAGATGGTCTCGGCGAGGCTCTCGGCGAGGCTCTCGGTGGCAGATTGACCGCACAGTGAAGCTGCAATAGCACTGGCAATGACCGCAAGCTCGGCTGGTGCTCTTTCAAATGGGTCAGTCGGAGGGGCGGCCGGGGATCTCTTGGGATCCTGATTCTCCCCTTGGCCGAGTGACGCACGGCGGACTATGCCTGCAAGCGAAGCGTGAACACTTTCCTTCACGTCCGGCTGGGAATCCTTTGAAGAATTTGGAGATGGACCGGGCAATGGCTCGGACGCTGAGGAAGATTGAGTTGGCAGAGCGCGAGGCTTGGTAAATGCCGCTGATACCCCCAAAATGGTGGGATTAATGCCGGGCGTATTGCAAATGTAGAATCCACCCGGGCTCTGCATAATGGGATTGAGGAGAGGCTGCAGCTGCCCATACCTCGGAAAAGGGTCACCAAGCGGAACTTTGATCATGACGTCTGGTGGCGGTGCCTCTGGTGCTGGCGAGATGAAGGCACCCGGACAGTTCTTGGACGGACCGACGGCCGATTGGGGCGAGTCCGCGTTTTGCTCGGAAACGCTCTGGTGGAGTGAATCAAGACTGCCAGTGCAGTGATGGCAGACCGCTTCGTATTCTCCGCCGCGTGGGATCAGAATCGGGGTGACAGGGTGCAGTCCCATAGCCGTGTCGGCGTCCAAGTTGTAGTATACCTCTAGCCAAGAAGGGAGTTCGTCGATGGCGATCAAAGGTACGATTAGGCCTCCGGGACGGAAGACGCAGAAACGCGGACGAGGCCGAGGAAGGGAATAGTAGGGTGGGTACTGCATGATGTCGGCAGGAAGAATAGTAATGAGTGCGAATGGAAGGTAGTGAAAGTGAGATAAGGAGCGTATGCTTTCAGAATGAGAGGCTGTCGTGGAAGACAAGATGAAAGCAGATGGGTTGAAAGAAAAGAAGAAGAAGTGGGAATCGGGTGTGCCTGGGTATAGTCTGTTTACGCTGGGCCATCATTCCTGCCCTTGTCCGTGGCCAAGGCGGGAACAACAAGAAGCCAATTTCTGGGTGAAAGTTGGAAAATGGAAGGTGCATTCGAGCTATCTATGAAGAGACAGGAGAAAAGGTGCCATTGCGGCAGTCAAAACCAAGGTGCGGGTTCAACCGGGCTGTTGCATTGATGCAGATCACCGTGGGCGGCTCCATGTTCTGAGGGATGATCTGGATATTTCGTAGTTCAAAATTCCTGCAAGAAGACTTGGTGTTGCATTCAATGATAGCGGCCTCGGTATGCTTGAGGTTTGGCAGACCATCATCATACCAGCAGGGATCCGACACGCACGAACCGTCACCAGGCCTCCAGGTGTTTACAGTCCCCGTAAAGTCCGACCAGGCGAAGTCCTCCATGATGACAGACGCATTATTCACCCGACCAGTCGTCACTCCATTGCCAAGCTGCGTCTCTGAAGAGCCCTGGTTGGTATAGCTTTGCGTTACGAAAATGGGGAAGGTGACGTTGTAAACACGGATGTTCTTCCAAGTGATGTTTTTAGCGATGCCCTGTCCGCCCATCCACGACTTGAACCGGGACGCATAAACCGCGTCTATGACGGTGACATCTTCGAAGTGAATGTTGGAAACATTGGCGTATTCTGATTGATCCTCGCCCAGTGAGCCGATGCTCATGCCGTGGCTCTGGTACCCGATCGTATTCCTCTCGAAGATCACGTTGTGTGAACCGGACTGCACGGCGATAGCATCATCGCCGTTATAAATCACACTATCGGTGATCCGGGCGTTGGTTGCTGTCACGTCGAAACCGTCCGTGTTAAAAGGGAACGAGCCGGTGGACTCGGCATCGATGAATGCGTGACTGACATCGATATCGTCTCCTTTCAGTTGCACATTCCACGCAATGGGTTTCCGAGACTTGAAGTACTTGAGTGAGCCGTGCGTAGTCTCGAAGCTCATCAGATGCGGACGATCGTCTATGCCGGTGCCGTTCACGGGATTTGCATCCCACCACGCCTGTCCGTACGAGTCGATCCAGCCGTTGTTGATATCTGACGACCCGACATAGTCAATGTGCGGACCGGAGAAGGTAAACCAATATTGTCCATTTGAATAAAGTGTCCCGCTGGTTCCATTCACGATTTTCTGAACTGCGGTGATGTTTTGAGGCAGATGTAGATTTCCATTCATGTGGATCTCAACATTGCTCAGATTGGTTGCACTAATGGGTTGGAAGACATTATAATCAACACCTTCCTGGAAGACAACTACTGAGTTGGATGAGCATCGTGCAAAAGTTCTGGCAATGGTTCCAGAGTCATCGGCTGTGCTATGGGAAGATGGAATCACACAGCGTTGTTGGCGACTGTCCGAGCCTTTAAGACTGGGAGCACCGAGGGCCAACGACAATATCGTGAAAAAAGCTGTTGTATGAATGAACATGGCGAAAGCTTTGTATGTAGAGAAACACCGAAGGCAGGAAGTCACCATCCCTTTTATACAGCCTAAGTGTATATGCACAGACTATGTCTTCGGTTTTGTACGTGCGATCGACAAAACCCCGGATGAATCGAGCGTTGACCTTCCCCGCAATGCGGAGAACAGATACTTGCAAGTGGAAGGATTTATATTTCAGCGTCCGGAGAACAGACCATTATTGGTGGAAATTTAAATGCCATGCCTCCTCAGAGCAGTGATCGACAAGAGCTTGTCATTACCTGGCTGCAGCTGCAAACGTGATCGCGAAGCGGATTTATCCGGTAGTTGAGGTACAAGTGTACCCGGTCAACTGAATAATTACCACAAGTCCCATTGCATTATTCACGTTATCCAGCCGGTTTTCGCAATTTCTTCGTGGGCAGTAAACAACTGCCAAGAGATTAGCGGAAGCAGCCGACGACCGATATCATTCTTATCGGATCGGAGGCAACCATCCTCCGTCACTCCAACCTCCAGCTCTGCTGCTCTCCTCTCAACCAATTTATGTCTTCTACACCTCCCACAACCATGGCCGAACTCATAGATCCAACAAACTCCACCCGCTCAACCCCCACCATCGCCGCCACCGACGCAACCCTGCAGATCGGCAGCTCGACCACCATCTCCGCACCCTCCGCACGCGTTTGGGCCGCTCTAACGGACACATCAACATGGCCCGATTGGAACTCCTTCGTACCCCGCGTAACCATCCGCTCCCAGCCCGACCAGGATGAATCCACCACCCTGTCACCCATCCTCCAAAACGGAACGAAAGCCACATTCCATGTCCGCATGGATCCCGACTCGACCAAACCACAAGCCGCGACAGACGTCCAGCTCGTGGTCACGGAATTCGTCGCGCCGAACGCCGAAACGGGTACAACCGGACGGATCGTGTGGGTTGGAGATTACGATGCACCGGGCTCCATGTCAAGCTCGCTTTTGACCGCGGAGCGGGTGCATGAAGTTACCGATGTCGAGGGCGGTACGGAGGTGCGCAATTGGGAGTGTCAGGTTGGATGGCTGGTCTATATGGTGAAGTGGATGTATGGGGCTAAGCTGAGGCATAACTTTGAGCTGTGGGTTCAGGACTTGAAGAAATTCGTCGAGAGCGGGTCTATCTCTTGAGGCAACTGCGGACAATGGTCGTTACGACAATAAGCCGAGGTCGTGATTCATCGCTTTACGCGTGGATCTGTCAACATGGAAATCGATGAGAATATGCAATCATGCAAGCTTCATTTCAAAACAATATTCAAACGGTTGAGAGATGGTGAAATCTAACCCCATGCTATTCCTCATACAACTCCATCTAACCGGGTATAAAATCCAACCAGGTAAATGTAAAATGCTCCCAAAATGCACCAGTATATCCGAGACATGCAAACGCAAATGCAAAACTATAATAAACAGAAAAAAAAAAGAAGAGATTAGGATCAAGCAGATGCAAGAGTCACCCACTCCTGAGCAGAAATGCGCTGCGCCGGGTCCTTGACAACAGCAGGCTTCACCAGTTTCTCCACGGGTCCGTTGCGTGGAACACGGGCCCCGTTCGCACCATTCCTGGTGAAATCGAGAATCTGATGCCCGTCACAGGCCATCAGCTGCCGGCGACGCCTGTCACCTGGGTACAGGAGCATGTCACCCGTTGCAGCGGCAATCAGGGTTGCGGCCAGGGAGAAGACATCCGAAGCTGGAGATAGCGCGACGTTGCCCGAGGTGAGAGATTTGAGTAGTTCGGGGGCTGTGAATGGTACGGTGACGGCATACATTCCAGTGACGTTGTCGTGTATGTTTTCCGAGGCGTCAGATGATGGGATATCCAGGGCGGATGAAAAGTCCGCGTAGAGCGGGTGGTATGGGAAAGCGCCTGCGTCGCCACACTCATCTGTCGCGATGGGTCGGAGCAGGATATTCAACGGCTTGACGTCGCCGTGGATCACGCCAGCATTGTTATGCAACCAGGCCAGACCACCGATTAATTTGTGCGCCAAATCAAGGAACGAGTCCATGCCCATAACGGGCTCGAACATCGTTGCAGTTGAGAAATGCTTCTTGCGCAGATCCGCCTGGTCTTCGATGTATGTTGACAGCTGGAGGGGGATAGCAGCCATAATCAGAGCCTCGGTCTCGGGTTCTACGCCGAAGAATGTAATTACCCTGTCATCGTGGCCCGGGGTACGGTTCAGCCGCGTCAGAGTTAGGGCTTCGGTTTGCAGAGCCGCACGCGCATCACGGCGCAATGGGGTCTTGGCAGCAAGGACACGGCTATTGCAAGCAGGCGAGGTGGGAGGAGTATCGGCGGTAATGGGCTGCGCGGTTGACGTTGAAGTCGCTTTGTAGACGATGCTCAAGACACCACGGCCGAACTCAATAGGTCGGTCGTTCTCGTCGCGACAGATTTCAAGATGGTCGATAAATCGCAACGGCTTGGTTATATTCTGCTTCCCCAGCGACGCTCCATCTGGCCCAGCCTCCAATTGACTCGTGAGGGAGTCGGACTCTGCGCTCGGCTTGCCTATCGGGGTAACAGGCGGGGTGAGGTGGGAAATTGACGAGGCTTGTAGCGATAGCTCATGGCCATCGGAGCCGGTGTTGACGGACAATTGCATTGGTGTCGGGGTCGTTGGGGGAGTCATGGTGTGTTTTTAAGAGATGGCACCTTGAAGAGCAATCGCAAAAAAAGCAAGGAGGACGACGGCGCAACGAAGGCAAAAAGGCAACCCGAACGGGGTCCAAAGGCCGACAGTCGCAGTTATGCCAGATATCAGCGCCACCGGCAGTCACTAGGTCACTGAGTATGACGCTGTGGCAAAGAGGCAAAGACTTAACGCGGCCACTCGGGTCAACGGGATTCGAAGTACAGTTTATACTTCATCTTGGGTGCGAGGGAAAATTAAGAGAACAAATGGGAAAGAAGAAAAAAAGAAACAAAGACTCGGGGCGCGCCGCAGACATGATCGGCTAATAAAGGCGAAAAAAAGAAAGGCCAAACCCACCGGGGTTGAGGGCCGGTCTCGACCAAGACGGGAAATGACACTTGACAAGGAAAATGTGATCGTCGTTGGGTGAGAGATACGACGGTGGTAGCCGTGAACCAGAAAAGGGCGGGAAATTACCGGATGGAGACTTTCGGGAGGCTCGTGGTGATCGGGTCCACCAGTTCATTCAACTCTTGACATGAACACCTCGGAACGAAAGGGTGTATCGTTCTGGCGCCGTTCCTCCGATCTGCTCTGTAGGAGTGTGTAACTATACTCATTGTTGGCCCGGATGCGTCGCAGCGCGGCTCCCCCGCATGCGTCATGCTCTCCAACCCCCGTCTCCCGTCTCGAACGTAATAATAACATGGAAACCCGGAGTCCTATTTCTTGCATGGGGAGAGTGACTCAGCCCCAAATGATAACAGAATGATGATTACCCCGAAACTAGAAATGCGCACTAGCCAATCCTTTGCCCTCGTGGGCCCCTCAATTCTGTAAGTCACATCCTGGCCAAGATCGGGTTTTGTTGAGCGCGTCGGCCCATGCTCAATTAGGGTTTAATCGGATCACAAAATAACTCTAGGAACCTTTTATCTTGATTTTTAAAAGACGGGAGATGATACCCGAGTGCATTGCGCTACTGCGCATGTGGGTCCCGACCCTCGGGTAGGCTTCGAAAGGGTTTATTTATTTGTGAGTCGTGAACTATGATCTTGGCGTCTTTCGGTCTTTTATTGTGGTATGGTGAAATGGTAAAATGCCTTTTTGGTTTATTTAGGGTACGACCCCTGTGAAGGGCCTTGGGAGGGGCTCACGTGCTATCTGTTCGGCGGGGCATGCGACGGACCGTTGAAACAGTAGTATTCAGCAGGGCCCTTGAGCCACCAAGCGGGGCGTGGGGTCCAAGGGCTAGGGCTACTCGCTAGCAAAGATGGTACTTAGTATCCAGGAGAGTGATTGACGTCTATGATGTCTGAAATTATATATATACAGTATGTAGTTTACACCTGATGCTATTGTACATGTTATACAATCCGGGAATTAGCGCAGTTTAAATTCTTGCGCCGATCCAGCCCCGGCGACTGCCCCTGTTACGGTCCCTCCGAGCAACCTTGAGAATTGCCTCGGGGAAACATCTGCCGCATTGTTTTGATAATTCAACAGAATGTCCCATATCACGGAGACGGGGAGGCGCCGTATCCGCGTATCGGAGAGATCGTAGTCGATGTTCTCCTGGAAGCAATCGTTTGGATCCAACGTAGGGTCCTCCAGCGCGACGGGACCAGAGCCGGGTTTCAGCCGCTTCGTGGCATACCTAGCCAGGACCGGGAGGTCTTTGACGATTTCGTTGGGAGTTCGTTTGGGTGAGATGATCTCGTAAAGCTCAGACAGACTCAGTAGGATGCGAGTGCTGAAAACCGACGAGAGAATGTCGAAGAGCTCCATAAGCTCTCCACGCTTCTCGTGTGAGAGCAGACTGAGTTTCTGCACCACCGGGGGGTTGGGATCTGCTTCGAAGTACACAAAGGTTCGCGGTACACGGGGGTATTGTTCCTCTGGGTCTATGCGCAACGCTTCAAATGGCCGGCGGTCGAAGATGAACACGGAGTCGTCGAAAGTCCCGCCGGTGTCGGCCATGATACGGCCGTCGTCGGTTACGCGGTCATGACCTCTCACGACACGGTAGTGGATCTTTCCGAGTATTTTATCAAACGTGGCCTTGATTCCAGCATATCGTTTGTCGGCCCTCTCGAGCTCTTCGGCATCCTTATCAGGGTCGGCAGCTAGGCGCGACAAACTTCGGTTAGCTTCGTCGGCTTCGAGGCGGGTGTTGGCAGCCAGTTGACGCCACCAGGCTTGTTTATTGTCGAGGTTCAGTGCGTATATGGCGGCTCGTCCATCCTTTTTGGCGGCCGTACCTCTTTTCGAGTCATTTTCCCCGGCCGCGATGCGCTCCAACACGGATTTGTGCCAATCCATGGCTGGCCGAAGTGCGTGCTCTTGTGTAAGCTTCCCAGGCCGAGGACTCGGCGGTGCCGATTCCAGCGGGGGTATCTCCCGGCCGGCTGGAGTGATGATGTTGTGCGCGGCGGCTCGTTCGGCGACTCGCTCCCGGTTGAGATTCAGTGGCTCCCATTCCCTTAAGCTAATCCATTGTTCATTCTCATAGGTGCTAGCGACCTCAAATGTGTGCTGTGACACGGTCTCTGTTAACATAGCGGTCCGTCTGCGGTCGATGACAGTGCGCGGGAGGATATTGCACTTGGCGTTTCCCGGAATCGAGGCCAATATTCGAACACTGCCGTACATGTGCACTCCTCTTTGGTCCAGGCAGCTCTGCATCATTGTGCTCCACCATCGTCCCGGAGTATAATGGTCTCTTATGTTACGCTGTTCGGGTATATTGGCCAGCACAAGTAGAGTGTCATTCTTGGGCAGCACTTGGGCGTCTGGCGTACTCGAAGGCCCTTGTTCGGGTAGATGCTTGGCAAATATATCGCTCCAATCATTCAAGTCGTACGGATCGAAGGAGAGGAGCTCGAAGCCTCGTCCGCTCTTGACAAGTGAGTCGAGGTATTTCCCGTAATATTTTATGCCCGGTTCAATGAGTACATGACGACGAGGTTTGAGGAATTCATTGACTTTGGAGGACCAAAGCCCTGTGGAGGGCCACAAATCGAGGATGTCGACTGGCGTGTTTCGCCGGAGGTAAGGTGACAGTCGCTGAAGAATATCGGCTGCGCAAGAGATTTGTTAGATCAGCGAATAGGTCTTGGGTCAATTCAGATAGCTGCAACTCACTGGAGAGCTGGTCATTCACAATGTCTGCTTTGGGGACCCTCCGTATCCCGACATCTGTGTACACGTTCTTCTTGATAGCCTTGGACACTTGAGCGAAGCGATTTGAGATCTGCCATTTGCCGGACATGCTTGGATCAAACGGTCACGATGGGCAGAGCGAATGCCGTCAGGAGTGGTGTAAAGAAAGAGCGAGTTGACGCGGGCGCCAAAAGGGCATTGTGGGTGGCCCAGCGTAGAATTGTGGTTGAGTCGTGAAAAAGGTGAAGCGCGCATCTTTGCATGTCCGAGGCGGAGTCGACCTTGCGGGTTCCGCATTTCATCCCGCCAGGCACCGATTCCCCTCCAACCCAACTCTCTCGCCTGCCTGCTTCCAAATCTGGCCGCCTGGATGCGGCATCCTCGGCACTAATAACAGCTGGTCTTTATTCCGACCCGTTCCGTTCTGCCCAACTTGCGCCAAATATGCCCCTTCGGACCCGGTGCGGGTGAGGGGTCTTGATCTGGAACTTTCCACTTCTCTGCGACGGCCTCCCGTTGACGAAACGACACTCGACATGGCTTCCAACATCCCAGTGATCAGTACTGGCGGAAGCCCTCCTCAGAGTGTGGAAAGCATTACGAAAACCGCCCAGGATTACGAGTACAACGAGGGCGTTCCACTCCGATATTGGCTTAGAACTGCTGCCACGCTCATTCGCGAGGTCAGCATGATGCACTCCCTTCGTGCTCGTATTGATTAGCTGACACGTCCTGTCTTTCTAGGCACAAATCTACGAACGCGAAGGACACGACGAGCAAGCATACCTCTTGCTCTTTCGACATGCCCAGCTCGTTCTGGTACGCCTGACCAACCATCCGGAAGCCGCAAAGGACGGCAAAGACCGCAACGCACTCCTTGCAGCGGAGAAAGAGGTCGCAAAGAACCTTGTCAAATTGGAGGTTCTGAAGCCACGGATAAAGAAGCGATACGAACGCTACATTCAGTTGATGCGCGAACGTCAGTCGCGAAAGCTCTCGTCGGAACCTGCCATTCTGCCAGAACAACAAGAGCGACCTGCAGATCCTGCACTAACCGGAGTCGTGGAGCCATTGGAAGCTGGAAAGAATCGTGACCTCGCTGTTCGATTAGCACAATCAGAGCTCACCCGCAGAGCTACTGTTCGGCAATCCCAGGGCGAGCAAGACAAAAAACGCGCTGCTGGAGTCTGGGGCAACTGGGAGACTGCATTGAAGACGAATAACCGGACAGGGGATCGTGACTTGAGCCAAAGGATTCAGGATATCCGATCCAACATCGATCACACGCAACCTGCCCAAAGGCCCACAGCGCGTGAAGTGCCATCGGGTGTCGCCTCAGTTGCCGCAGCCTACAAATACCCAACCGTGCCACAGTCAAAGGCACTGGAGCCCACTGTTTCTCCCGGGCATATCGCCATTAGGGATAAGAATGTTGAGCGGCAGCCACCTCCAGTTCTTCCACCCAAAGAGCGTATCGCACCTAGCAGAGCTACTTTCGTCGACGGCTCGGTGAGCTCAGAAGCTGTAGGTCTTCCGCCACGTCCGTCCAAGGTGTCACCAGGCCCACCACCCCCCGAGAAATTACGACCTTCTGAAGACGCGACTTCCACGCGATCCGACCTTGATCCTTCCAGTTACACCTTCAAACCTTCTGCATACCTGGAGAATGGCACTCCCCTGCGGTCTGTCTTTCTTCCGGCCAATCTCCGGTCGCGCTTCCTGGCTCTTGCCGGTCCCAATACCCACCGCAATCTTGAGACATGCGGTATTCTCTGTGGCACCCTAGTCTCGAATGCTCTTTTTATCTCCAGGCTCGTCATCCCGGAACAGATCGCCACGTCCGATACGTGTGAGACGACCAACGAATCTGCCATTTTCGATTACTGCGATTCGGAGGATCTCATAATGCTCGGATGGATCCACACGCATCCGACGCAGACGTGCTTCATGAGCTCCCGCGATTTACATACTCATAGTGGCTACCAAGTCATGCTCCCAGAGAGCATCGCCATTGTGTGCGCACCGAGTAAAGATCCCGACTGGGGTGTCTTTCGCCTTACTGACCCTCCTGGTCTGAAGACGGTGCTTAACTGCACCCAAACCGGCCTGTTTCACCCACACGCCGAAGAGAACATTTACACTGGAGCTCTGAGGCCCGGCCATGTCTTTGAGGTCAATGGGTTGGAATATGAAACTGTAGACTTACGTCCGAAGGAGTCACAAAAATGATTAGAAGTGCCTTTGGTTATGTCATTAAACTGATTATGATACCCTTAACATTTTCATCGTGCTTTTTGTGGGAGCTGAGATTTCAAATGCCATTTTTTTTATCTAGAGATGTCTGTTCCCAAGAGTACACTCGTCTTCACGGTCCGTACAAGCTCCGACTCGCCCATTTCAGCGCAATGCTATTCTTCTGGCTCATATGATTGTTCTTTCCTGGGTGGATTGTGTCTCTTCGATGCCGAGCCAGAGCTGGCACTGGCCTTGTTCGACGTGGTGGGGGAACGACGGCCATGAGACTTGCGATTCTTATGCGTGCTCGCTCCCTAGATGTCCCATATATGAGTCAATGCGAAACATGAGGATCGATGTTGAACTTACCACAAGTCCGCGGTCTCGGACGTCTTGCTCGTGGCTATGAAGACCGCCCTCCTCGATCTCGGCGATTTCATCGCGATACTTATCTGAACGAGGGGTTTTCTTAGACATGATTGCAGTGCAGACTGCCTGGATGTAATCAAAGTTTAGCCAGGTGCGGGATTCATCCATCATATGAACTGGTCCTCGGGCAGTCATCTACTCCCGCATCTGGGCGGTTTATATAGCATTCTGGTCCGTCACCATTTCGTCATTGGGGCTGCATGAAGCGAGCTGGAATTTTCCTCCGTCTTAGCGATCCGAGTCCGCTTATCAGATTCAGAAACCAAGAAATATATGGTTATGGAGATGCTGGTTGACAGCGGAGCATATTTGACAGCTGCTCCACTATTGTGCTTCCAAGGATCGCTCGACTGGGCCTGAGTCGGGGGAACACTGAGCGTCTTCAAATGTTTCAAGTCACTAAATTTGTACGATCTTCCAAGGGGTTGACCCCATCATGCATAGCGAATGATTCTGCTGCAGCTTCACAAGGTCCAGCACCTGAAGCTAACGCGGCTGTTCCCCACATGATAAGCGATAAGTGTCATCCCTCATATTGATCTCCTTGAACACACCTCCCCTTACATCATAACCCACCTGTCACCCATTCTCCAGCTTGACCTCAGCAATTGGCTCGAATTGCCCGTATGTCGTCCTCTTCGCAGGGAGATCTCCCTTCACGGACCCCCACTACCTCCAACTCCTCCAGCTCCGGCTCTCACACGCCCCAGCAGAAAGACAATTCTTACAGTCAAGCCGCCTCCTACTTCTCCTACCCGGTCAGTCACGTCGTGTCGGGTCTGTATCGTCGCCTTACAGACCCTAATATTGCGAGCAACGCACCACCCACTATGCCGTGGTCCATGTCATCCTCCTCGTCCTCGGTCTTCACGCCACGCCGAACAGCCTCGCCCTTCCAACCTCCGCCCCTCACACCCGTTTCCCTTACAATCCCCAAAGGCCAAGACCTTCTCCAGCAGCAGCTCTTGACGCGCGCACTGGCAGAGGAAATCCGCCTGCTAGTCCCAGCGCGTCTCCAACTCGTCGAGAACTGGCGTCTCGCATACAGCCTCGATCGCGACGGCGCCTCCCTAGCCACCCTCTACGATAACTGCCTAGAGTTTTCCCACCGTAGCCCGCGGGCGGGCTTCATTCTTGTAGTGCGCGACTCCTCCCCCGCCGGCGCCGTCTTCGGGGCATACATGACCGACCTGCCGCACCCCAGCTCCCAATTCTTCGGCACCGGCGAGTGCTTCCTCTGGCGCGCAAGCGTGCTACCACCCCCAGCCAGCCTGGGTCTTGCATTCTCGGGGGATGGGCCTCAGACGGAAGAGGCCCTCGAGCGCGCAGGTCTCCCACCTCCCCCTTCCGCAGATACCACCCACGCCGGACGATGGAGCACATTCCGCAGCGACCCCTCGGCTAAATCGAGAACCGGATCCCCGGCCCACAATCTCAACATGAATATCAAGACTAATCTTGCGGCTGCCAGTGGCGGTGCACTGGCTCCTCCGTCGCCTTCGTCTGTCGGCACGCCCTCCCGCAGTGGGGCGAGTACCCCGGAGCGCATCCGCTTCAAGGCTTTCCCGTATAGTGGCGTCAATGACTATATGATGTTCTGTGAGACTGGCTTTTTGAGTTTAGGCGGCGGGTTAGTATTTCTATTTCACTTGTCTAATGTGACTAAACTAACAATCATTTTAGCGATGGAAAGTACGGTCTCTGGGTGGACTCGGGCCTCGAGAAGGGCGTCAGTTCCCACTGCCAAACATTCGGAAACGAGCCTCTTTCAGATGAGGGAGAAAAATTCGACATTCTCGGTATTGAGGTGTGGTACGTTGGCTCCTGAGCGTCTACACCTGAAAACTAGGGGCACGCGACAACAACATATAAGGAAAGTTGGGAATATGGAGGTGAAAAAATAAGCAAATACTGGCATCAAAAGGTACCCGAAGCTTGGAAATCGAGCGTCTATCATCTGAGGAATTGAAAGATTCATCCTCTTGGCGCATCTGACTGCATTTACTTTCGAATACCCGAGCAGGATTATATTTCACTGCTCTCGTCTTGTTATTTTTAATGGACTCTTATATAGCGTTCGTTCCATTTTACCTGGTTCTTCCTTTACGAAGTGATAGCAGCACTCGGGTTGGTGTATGTACACATTCACGTAAATTCCGTTAAGGCTTGGATGTGATAATATGGGTATTGACTATAGCACCTTAAAGTCGGGTCTTGATTATGAGCTTTCATAACAAGACACGATGACCCCTGTAGTCTGCCGTAGTATTGACAGTCCACTCTATAGCTTTGCCTGGGGCTTGAGCATTTTCTCAACTTCGGCAAACTGGTAGTAAAAATCGAGACTCTCTGGGTTCAACAAGGTACCCGATGGCTTGATCTTCTTCCCAGAAACAATCTGCTTAACGGGCAACTCGACTTTTTTTAAGTTGACAGTAACCTAGACCGAGGGATTAGCTAAGACTCCATCAGTATATACCAGAGAGCAATTGACATACCGGTATGGCCGGAGTTTCAAAAATGTACTTGGGTACGTGCCGAGCGCTCAGCGCCTTGCGAATGGCATCTTTGATCCGTGCCATCAGCTTCTGGTCGGCACTGAAACCAGGCCGCATTAGCAGAAACAGCATCACCGATTCATCTGTATCTTTGGGCCTCCGTTGGCCAACGCAGACAGAGTCAACGATCTCTGTTGAAAATTGGGTATCGATCACGTTGTAGATCTCCGCAGATCCAAATCGCACACCGGAAGGGTTCAATACACCGTCTGACCGTCCGAGGAAGAGAACTTGGTGAGTATTTGGGTTGATGGCAATGAAGTCGCCATGTGTCCAGACGTCTACCAGATGTTAGCCAGTAATTCCTTATGGAGAGGAACATAACCTACTGTCAAATCGGGCAAAGTAGGCATTGAAATATTTCTTCCCATCTTTGTCACCCCAGAACATCACCGGCATACTAGGGAATGGAGCTGTTGCAACAATCTCACCGGGCTCTCCATCTGGCATCCGTGTGCCTTTGACCTGGCTCACGCCTTCATCCACTTGCTCAAAAGCAGCGATAGGGATGCCCAAGCTGGGACCCTGGCATCCGCCAACGTATAAGGGAGAAATCGGATTTTCCAAACCAAAACACGCTGCCAAATCGGTGCCTCCGGAGATATTGGCTAGTAGCACATGAGGTGGGAATCCCTCATCATAAAACCATTCAAATAGTGATTCTGACAGAACCATTCCGGTACTAGTGACCCCTCTCAGGTTTTGCAAATCAGCAATTTTGCGAGGGCTGATCCCGTTCTTTCGCAGCTCGTGCATCCATCGGGGTGATGTGCCAAAGTGCGTGACCCTGGGCAATGTCATCAGGAATTAGTACAAGCAGGCATGGATTAGCAGCGGTGTACGTACTTGTGCTTCTCCAACAACTTGACCAGGATGGTAATGTCAGGCAGGAACGGACTTCCATCATATAGAATCGGCCTCGCCCCAAAGATAAGCGCGGAAACACAGGTCATATACATAATCCAGCCGGTGGTTGTATACTGCAAGACGGTGGCAGTTGCATCCATGCTGCGATTGAGTCTGGATTCCTTGTGTGTATTCAGCAGAACACCCCCAACACAGTGCACAATGCACTTTGGCTCTCCAGTAGTTCCCGAGGAATAAACAATCAGGAATGGGTCCCGGAAACCGACTCGAACAAATTCCAGCTGATCGGATGATGCCATTGAGAGGAATTCGGCCAGAGGGCGGGTTCGTGGAATCTGCGTCACATCTGCAGGGCGGTCTCTGAATCTGGGGATGGAAATAACTCCCTGGAACTCTTTGATATGATCCAAGCCTTTCACGATCTGGGTGATTTTAGGACGAAGATCGACCGTCTTTCCATTGTAGACGGTTTTGTCATCAACGAAAACCCATCGAGGATTGATCTGCAACAGACGATCCAAAATACCCTTTACCCCTGTATCGGTAGATGTAGAGGAGAAGAGAGCACCAAGGGCAGTCGTCGCCAAAATGATCGTCATAGTATCGATGCTGTTGCTAGCAACCACGGCCACTCTGTCTCCTCGCTGTACACCAGCTGCTTTCAAAGCCTGGATTACCCGACCAGTACGCTGTCTCAACTCTTTCCATGAGAGATTCACAGTTGGTTCGACATCTCCCTCTCGAATTTCAGTAATGGCGATCTTATCATCTTCTTTGCCTACCGTCGTAAGCGATTGACCAGGACCCTTGGTGAAGAGAACATTCTCTGCATAATTGAGACGAATACCCGAGAACCAGTCAGGAATACTATCAATGCGAGCTGTTTCATCCATAACACGATCGTAGGACCCCTCGTGGATTATGGGGAAGTATTTCCAGCAAAAGTCCCAGAAGGCGGACCGATTTTCGATAGACCATTGATACATCGCATGATAATCAGGTAATTTCACGCCATTGGCTTGCTCCAGGCTTTTTTTGAACTGGGCAATTTCTGTTGACTCTGGATTGGGGTGCTCCCAGAGCTTGCGAGGCACTGCGGAATACGCCGACATTGTGCCTGTTTTTCGAGGGTTCTCCGGTGTGTAGAGCAATGTTCGGTGTCGATTCAGCCAATTGAAGTTGAACGAAAGAGATGTTTTGGAAGTTGACTGTATTTGTCGCACGCGTGGTCGATGGTCATATATGCGGAGTACAGCGGCAATCGAAGTCCCGGCGCCGCGGCTTAACTTCGGCTACATCAAATGCGGGGCTTACGAAGTGGGCTTACCTAGTACGATTGCACTCATCATCTCCAATTTCTGGCAGGTATGTAGGCAACGTTTTTGGTCAGAGCGTATTTCAACATTGTGTATTGACTTCGCGGTGAGAATGCGACTTACAGGCTTGGCCTGTGCAAGAGTCGAACACCACCTACTCTTTGCGATAGGCTTACGGTGTAAATTGTGGTCAGTAGGAAGAAGCCTAGCAGGAGAACTCATCAACTATTGGCACAGCTTGCGATGTCTCTTGTGGCGACTCCCTATGAGGACACTCTATGGGGCGAGAATCGAAGAGGACGTCCTCTATGTTTAGCGCTAGGAGTATTGTTCACGATAACATTTAAGTGTCATAGTAGCCTACCCTCGTCTTTTTCTTCTTCTTCTTTTTTATCTTTTCCCTCATTTTCTTAGATGTTTTGCCCGATGTTTCCCAATTTAAATTCTGGATGCATCTTTCGGTCTCTTTGAACGGGTTAAAGTATCCTTTTGCTACTGAAAAAAGAATTTTGGGCAGTGGCCGCTATTCTTGCCTGCACAGGATACGTCTCTATCGTCATGGCTTGGCATATTTACAACAAAGCTGGTTATCACCACCGCAATACAGTTCAAGAACCGAATTCGTCGTGAGTAGAGCTCGGCACAGGTGGGTTTGGGTATAACTTCAGGACCCGCATCCGCACCCGCGCGGGTCTAACCAGCGGAACTAAAACCCGCCAAAGGAACGGGTTCGGGACTGGGTTAGCCCCTTACTAGCGTCATTTGTTTCATTCAACACCTTCTGTTTCCTGATTCTTTTGCTTTGTCACTGTACTTAGAATTGTTTGGTATATCTAGCGATCTGGCAAGATCGTCCGCCTATAATACAGAAGGCTGTGCGCATTCGCAAGCCTCTCTGAAAGGCGAAATGATGCATTGTCCATACCAGGACAGATTTAGTTTCTGGCCATCTTCCACGTTGCTGAAGAAGTTTGAACTACGAAGCCCTAGACACGGCGGCATCCGTAAAACATCCCATCCTGGACAAACAGGGAGATTATTTGATATCGCTGGTCGTGTTGGAAGTGTGATACATAGGAGTCAGGCCTAAGCGTTGATCAGTCGGTCCACCTGGTCCAGCCCATAGGGATTTACTTCTTGGTTTTGACTGGTCACGTACTCATTATTTGACCTCTTCAATTTCACTAAACGAAAGCACATAAAGGACCAGTTTCCGATAGCCTCGACTCTAACGTAAATTTAAGTTCCATAGATCGGATGATAGTCCGATATTATCCTCGCCGCATTCTCTTCTGTGTCCCCGGAATGCCCTCACATCGGGCTCAACTCGCCTCTAGATCGCTGTGCTTTGGAAGCTCCGAGACTTTATTTGTCGCCGTATTGGGTAGACTGCGGCGACTGCTCATCAAATCGGAGCTGATGATATAGTAACTAGTACTGGTGAGTGCCAAGTGAATTCATATAGCAATGATAAATAATTGCTACCAAAATGCGACGTGACGATCAACCAAAGGTTCCGATCTGAGTTGATTTATCGGGCCGCTTCCCTTCGCGTTATGCTTCTCTGCTATACCCCGCATTCCCCCACATCCCCCCGCATTCAAGTCCGCAACAGTTTAGAAGAGGCCTATAGCTTATTGGCTACCGATTTCAGTATGTCCAATAGCAACCCAAAAATATTTTTGTCTTTTGGTATCCGACTAAATAAGATTCGTCTATCCGATAATTCGGACCGACGACTTGGGATCAACGTCATGCGCGTGCAGGAATATAAAACGAGAGGCAAATTGGCATTTGAAAAGCCATGGGCATGATTGCTCGATATCATCAAGACGACTGTTGACTTAATATCTCTATCCACTCAGATGGCCGTTATCATGATGGGAAACACGACCGTGGACTATTCTTGGAAAATCTACGTCGTCTGCATACTTTTGGCCGCGGTCGCTCTCCACCTCCTCAGAAATCGATTTAAACATGGACTTCGAGATATTCCTGGGCCCACAGCTGCGAAATACACACGGTTGTGGAAGCTACACAGTGTTTGGAAGGGTGATCACCACAACACCGCCATTGAATTGCATCGAAAGTACGGGTCTTTGGTTCGCATCGGCCCAAAGCATGTATCGGTCGGCGATCCTGACGCTATTCCTGTTATCTATGGCTTGAACAAGGGTTTTACCAAAGTTCGTACTAGCTCGAGAAAGAGCCTTGTATAAGGCTATCAGCTAACAACTAGCAGACGGCTTTTTATCCTATCCAGTGTATATCGTGGAATAAGAAGCCCCAAATGAACCTTTTTTCCACCCGTGACGAAAGGTTCCACCGCGACCAGAAGCGACCTGTGGCTAATGCCTACAGCATGACTTCTCTTCTTGAGCTCGAAGCTTCTGTTGACTCGTGCACGCAAATCTTCTTGTCTCAGTTGAGAAATTTCGCAGATCGGAAAGCTTCTGTCGATCTGGGAGTTTGGCTACAATACTACGCTTTTGACGTGGTGGGTGAGATTACCTTTGCGAAAAAGCTAGGTTTCCTAGAAGAAGGACGAGACATTGATGGGATGATCGAGGCAATCCAGGGCATGCTCGCCTATGCCAGTTTGTGTGGCCAGGTCCCCGAAATGCATCCCCTGTTACTTGGAAATCCTCTTTTCCCAATCCTGATGCCTAGTATGGAGACCTGGAACCAGGTTCTTCAATTCACTCTCAAGGCAATCAATTCTCGTTCCTCTTTACACCGTGATGGTGAACTTGATGCAGGTGAGAAGGGAGGCGGAAAGGACATGTTATCTAGGTGGATGGATATCCACCATACAGATCCCGAAAAGCTTTCTACGAGAGATGTCATCGTGCATCTTTCAACAAATGTTTTTGCTGGATCTGATACAACCGCCATTGCAATTCGAGCCGTCCTCTACCTTCTCATGCGCCATCCAGCGGTCATGACGAAAGTGCAAGCCGAAATTGACAGTGCAGCATCGAATCAGAAGCTCAGTGACCCAGTGTCATACCGGGAATCCATTACACATCTCCCCTACCTCGGTGCAGTTCTCAAAGAAGCGATGAGACTACATCCATCTGTCGGATTGATCCTCGAGCGAGAAGTGCCCAAAGAAGGGATGTTCATCAGCGGAAAGCAAATTCCGGGCGGAACGATAGTCGGGATCAATGCGTGGGTTTTGCATCGAGACGGTCAAATATTCTCTGATCCTGATTCGTTTATACCTGAGCGATGGATCGAGAGTTCTCCCGAAGCACTGAAGGAGATGGAAAAGAGCTTTTTCACATTCGGGGCTGGATCACGAACATGCATCGGCAAGAACATCTCTCTTCTGGAGATGTACAAAATAGTACCACAGCTGTTGCGTGAATTCGAGATTCGACTGCACAGCCCAGAGCAAGAATGGAAAATCCGGAATGCATGGTTTGTTCAACAGGAAGGGTTAATCTGTGACATTGTGCGGAGAAAGAACCTTGCGTGATGATTGAAGGATGAAATATGTAGGTAGCATGAATTAAAGACGCGCAAGAGTGGTGGGTGAGGAAGGCTGGTTGAAGGAGCACGACAGCGGCAGCCGGAGATATCTTTTGGCAGAATGTCTTGGTTCAGAGGGTCGGGAACGTTTTGAATTTCATGATTTAATTCAGAATTTGTCTTGTATTACCTGATACGTACTACCTAAGCAAGAAATTCCAGGCCTGCGTGCAATCCGAGAAAATCAAGACAAGAAAGATCGCATCACTACTTAGGCAGCGCGACGAGTCTCCGAAGAATATTAAGAAACCTTAGCAATGGAAAGAAAGGAAACAACAACAGGGGGTATGGGATGAAATCAAAAGACATAGGAAAATATCACGATCTAGGGAAAGCGTGAAGGAGGAGGATTCCGTTCTCTAGTATGGCGAGTTGACAATATCCTCCTTCCTGAGGTTGCTCCATCTGCCGCCGCTCTTGCGGGCGGGAGTCACGGGTCCAGCGATACTCTCGCGAGTGGGCTTCTGGAAGCTGCGCTTGGCGACCATGTTGACCTCGTTGGGGAGGGCAACGATGACGTTCTTGTCGGAGTTGAATCGGAAGTTGTCGGCCATGACGTTCTCCTCGTAGCGCTTGATGGTGTACGGGTCCTTGCGGCCAGCAAGGACCTTCTTCATGCTCCAGGTGATGATGAAGGGGCCGGTGGAGGTGATGATGGACGTTTCCTCGGAGTCCACACCGGTGTTGAAGCGCGCTTGGGTGAAGGACAGCGGCTGCTTGGTCTCGTGCTGGAATTGTGCGACATGGGCGGGCTGCAGGCCAAGACGGCGAGGCTGAGGCTTCGAGTCCTTGGAGAAAGGCTTCTCGAACCCAAGTTTGCCTTCGTTCTTTCCGTCCTTCTGCTCAGCATCAATCAGGAGGAGATAGGTGCGGCATGTCGCAAGCACCCAGCGTCCATCCGCAGATACATCCAGACCGATTATGGCTTCACCAAGGGCAGGGATGTGCGTCTTGGCGTTGATGCCGAGGCGGTCGAACATGCGGATGTCACCCTTGTTCGATGCAACAGCAATGTAGCCCTTCTCAGTTGTGGCCAGAGCGGAGAAGTCGTTCTTGCTAGCATATTGCTTCAGATCCGCGTCGACCATCTTGTTGCCGGAGACACGGGGGTCAATGCGGTACAAAGCATTGGAGGACGCGCCGACGAATGGTTGGGCTGCAGTCAGTTGAGAGAATTTCTGCAGAGCTTGTTAGTATATGTAGAAAAATGGATGATTTTTGTACAAAAGAGACTCACGCTCTCAGGACCAAAGGTTTCCACCTTAATGTCGTCGTGAACCTTCCACTCATCGACAACCTTGCCGGTTTCAATATCCATCCGGAAGAGGGAGTTGGGGTCATCCCCATTCTGGAGAATCAAGTTGCGGTCCTCTGCATGAAGCATGACTTTCTTAGGACTGAAGAGCTTGCCCTTGGGTGTCTCCACCTTGGAAATATTGGTAGAGAACTCAAGGTTGTTGTTGGTGGTGTGCTTGAAGACACCGATCTTCGAGCCACGAACAACAAACGAACGGTCGTTCTTGAAGCCTACGGCCAGCTGAGAGTTCACGTTGCCATCTGCATCCTTAAGCTGAACATCCTCTTCCTCCTCGTCACTGTCGTAGTGCTCGCTGCGCTGGCCATCATCTTGGGACTCATCCTCGGACTCTGCCTCTTCCTCTTCCTCCTCGGGCATATCGGGTGCATCCTCCATAGTGAGATCTTGGAATGCCTCAAGAACGTAATCGCGGTCAGATTCCTTGGCCTTGGTCCACTTCAGCTCGTTGAGCTGTTCCCACAGGGCCTGCATGATACCTTGCTGAAAACGCTCCAGAGAGGCCTGGTCCTTGAAGCGAAGCAGCCAAGAGTAAACCGAGCCATCTTGAGCAAACTGATTGAAGATGAATGAAATGTATTCAAAGTTGAAGACCGGATTGATATCTGCGACAACGGCTTGACCCATCCAGTCCTTGTCGTTGCCGCTGATCTGCAGCCAATACTGCCAGCTGCCAACTTCTGACACAGTTGCGACCACGCCGTCATCTTGCATAATAAACGTTCCGGTGGAGAAATCATAGAGATGGAGCTCGGCAGTCTCCTTCGCAAGTTGTTCCTTGCTCTCGGGCGCAGGGGTAGACGGCGGGGCAGCCGTAGGAGTTTCGTAGATTTCATCTGGCTTGCCCTTGCCCTTGCCCTTGCCCTTGGATTGGGCATATTTGACTTCTTCCGCCATCGCGGCAGCTGAGTCTCCAGATGTCGGCGACTTCATCGTTGGGGATGCGAGAGGGCTGGCAGAGGGAATGGGCTTTTCCTCTTGGTAGGAGAATTCCTGCAGCTCTGCCTCGGTCGCTTGCTGGCCTGGGCGCCGGAACTTGCGCTCGTACTGACATTGCAGAGCAGCAATCTCGAAAGTCGCAACTTTCTCAGATGCAACCGAAGGGTCACAGATGAACTCAAAGAGGTCGCCCTCGTCACCACTGAGATCATCCCATGCAAGAATCTTGGTACCACCCTCACGGACTTCGGAGCGGAAGTGCAGGCTCTGGTCCAGCAAGAAAACCTTCTCGTCTTTGTCCAGAATATCCCCAGCACCTTGCTCGTCCTCGTCCTCCGCAAGATCCTCCTCGCCTTCTTCGTAGGCTCTCTGAATCACAAGTTGGTATTGGTATTCCTGGCCAGTCCGGCGGATGGTCGCAGCGGCGTCCTTGAAGATGAGCTCGGAGAAGCCCTTGGGAGACAGCGGGCGGACCAGATACAGTTGACCCTGGGGAATTTCGATGATTGATTCTTTGGAAGTATCACCAAAGATCATTTTTCCCACTACATTTACCAGCCAAATATCAGCATATTTACGTCTTTCAGTGGCAAAACAATATGGGTTGGTATGGAGGGGTTCGGCGCGGGGCACGCGTCTGTTTTCTTACCATTGCGGAGCATAAACATGGTCGCGAGGGGCAGCGACCGTGCGGAAGGACTGTCGTTGAGAGAGAACGGGGGACACTGGTGAAGCAAAGTGAAAATCAGGGAAAGGATAACTAAATTAGAGGCCTTTTATGCCACCGAAGGGACACCGAACGGAGTGGGAAAAATAATAGAGGACGTGGCGTGAATCTCAAGCAAAGAAAAACTACTCCGTCATCGACGGTGGCGCTGTGGCTGATGATTATGTAATGGTTCACACGACTGCCTAAATAGGCAACCGAGGATATAGATGCTATCTACTCTTCCTTGTCTTCATCCTCGTTCTCTTGCTCCTCCTGCACGTGCTCGGTCATTCTCTTGATCGTTGACTCGTCGTCCTCTTCCTCAGGTTCATCCTCCTCGGCATCCTCGGGATTCTCCGTTGCCCCTTCCCTCAGTTTGCCACCCTTTCGTTGCGGCATGATCTTCATAAAGGCTTCACCCCAGTCGCCAAGCTCCAGCCATGCCAACATAATATCCACCACATGGTTCGTAGTCATCACTGCACGGGACGACATCTGGATATAGTCACCGATGGGTAGTTTGGCTGTCTTGACCCCGGCATCAAGCGCATGCTGGTAGCAGATCGCCTTGTATCTGTTCTTATCGACCAGCCCGCCTATAATGTAGGTATCATACGGTCTAAGTTCCGTCAACGTGTTCGGGCTGTCGCTGCTGAGGTAAATAACCTCTCCGTCTTCGGGTTTGGCATCGGTCTTCTCAGCAAAGGGCCCTGCAAGCTTGCCTCCACGTGGGGAAGCCATAGTCTGCTTTGCAAGCTCGGCAGCATGCACGAAATTTTCCGGGATGATCTTAATTCCCTTCCAATTCTTATAGGGGGTGAGCACAGTATCGAATCGCTCCTTCAGTAACCCGCCCCACGAGCTGAACATCAAGTGCGAGCGCCAGATCGCGCGGCTGTTCTCCGAGTAACAGCGCGTAAGCTGCGATGCGAGCGAAATGCGCTCTTTGGCATGCATCAGCTCATCGTAGTCGCAATCAATGACAATGGTGAATGGAAGTTGTGTCGACCGCTTGTGTCTGGATCTGGTTGACTCCCATTGCTTGCGCAATGCCATGACAGCTTCCTCGCCACCCGTTGCCAGTGCTTCATCACACATCTTTCGGCGCCGTTCTTTCTTCGCCGCCATCTGTTCCCTCCTGCGTACCTTGCGTAACTCGCGCTCTTGTTCGTATTTCTCTTTCCGGCGGAGTTTCTTAAGCGCGTTCTTCGACATTTTCGGCGTAGCATCTTCGGTTTCATTCTTGGATATAGTGTTGTTGACAGCAGGGTCATTTGCAGTAGCTTCAGTGTCGGCCGGGAGCTCTGTAGACTCCAACTTCGAGTTGTCGGCAGCAACGGCCTCGGTTTGCTGCGGCTGATCGCTAACAGCCACGGCACCTGTCATAGCGGGGCCGAGTTCTTCGTGTGTAGGCTCGTCGTGGTCCAGCTTGGCCAGTTTCCTGGGCCTCTCTTCCTCGTCCATGGTGCCGACGGAAACTTGAATTCGTAGCGAGAAGTGGGTGGTCAACTTCGTAGATCGGCGGGAAAAAAGTGCATCCACGAGCGGCAGCCAATGATGAGCGCTGCAGCCCACATTACTGTACATGTCCACGTGATCAGATGTCACCAACTTCTCCGGCGACTCCTCGCTTTGCAACCAGGACCCCCAAAACAGCCCATTCCCGCCATCATGCCTCAGGATATGCCCCCATCGGGGGGCTACGCCCAAGTCCAGTACAAGGTATGTCATTGACGTGCACTTTCCCGGAATTCCAGCGCCTTCCGAGCACTCAGAACCGTCAATGCTAACCCTCACGCTCGATCTCTAGCGGAACATCCCCGCCCGCGGTTTCAAGCCATGGCAGTACATGCTCGGCATGCACGCCATCATGGCCTACGGATTCTACAGATACTTCCAAGGTGTCCGTGAGCAGCGGTACGTTTCGCGCAATGACTTTCCGATCGACCGGAATCGCAATTGGGGATCGGGAGATCGCAATTGGGGATCGGGAGATCGCAATTGCAGCCAGCACCTCAAAACATCGACAGGAGACTGACTGGTTTCTTTTTAACCTACAGTGAGCTTGCACGCGAGAAGATGTGGTCTCGTCTGCACATCATGCCTCTCCTCCAGGCCGAGGAGGACCGCGACCAGGTCCGCCGCTACTACGCCGACAAGGCCCGCGAGAAGGAGCTCCTGGGCGAGGAGACCAAGGTTTACAACTCCGACCGGTACGTTAACACCTGCGACAAAACTGACTCGGCCATTGATTGGTGATGGTTGCTAACACTGTATTCGTACAGCTTCATCCGCCCTACATTCGGCTACCTCCCCGCCAACGCTACCAAATAAACACACCTAGAGTCGGCATTTTGCCATTCTATCATCCCGTGACTGGGTATGAAGCGGGTGCTTTGAGCAATCCCTCGGTTCTGTTGCGGAGGGTTGGAGTTGATCTGGTTGGATAAGCATGGTCTAGAGATCATGGTGGCAGAAGTGCCTTCTCTCGAGGAAATCGGGAAATCACTGTAGATATTATGTTTTCGAAGAAAGCTCTGGTTTTGTCTTGCAACACGTCTATTTCCATATGTTTGAAGCTCTCAAGGAATCCTCCATTGAAAATATCTTCAGTAGAAACGAAGGTAATTGCTTCTGATAATCTTGAAATGTGCTTGAGCACCTTTGTATTGTTTCTTTATTGTTTTCGTAGCCGTCTATAGGCTATAGAGGCCCGTCTATAGAATGCTCAAAGCGCCGCCGCCGGGGTAGTCGGTGAAGTTTGCAAATGACAAAAGGAAACAAGAAAACGACAAGGTGCGCTTAGGATGCAAGTCACGAGAACCAGACCTTCAAAGCCACTCAATACACAAAACGCAACATCAACGCCAAGGGCCTTGACCAAATCATTGTCGAGGATCGTCCATGATACATAGACCGGGGCGCTGTGTAGAGTTCGGTTTGTCGAACAAAGGGTGAAGTAGGTAATCAAGCAAAGGATCTTTGCTGAAGAAAACAGACAAGGGCGAGAATCGCTAATGTATTAGATGGAACAAGCTGGGAGCAATGTTGAGTGGAATGATGGGGCAGAATGGTCTATGCAGTGCCTGTTGGATAGCCAAGGTATCCAGTGCGGGACTACCCGAACATATCAGCGACACCGGAAAGATCAGGCCCGTCGTTGATATCAACACGGTGGTTTTCCTGCTGAGTTTCCATCTCGTTGGTCATGTAGCGCTCTTGAAGTGCAGTACGGGCCTTGCGGCGCTCCTCACGAGAGCCAAGGATCTTTCCTTGCTCGGCAACGCTGACACCACGCAGCGGTTCGAGAAGCTCTAGGATCAAAGCGCGCTGCTGACGAGGAGACACGCAGCGTTGGAGGGCGGTCTCTGTATGTGCGACCTTCTCCTCGGTGATTCCAGGTAATGATAGGAAGGTAGACCGCGGCGTCTGACTGACGGTTCCATACAGAACCCAGATAGCCGCAATCAACTGTGCCAGGTCCTTTTGCATGTCCACGAAATACGATTCATGAACGGAGGTGATACATGCCTGGAGAACATCAGTGCATATGAACTCGCGAATGGTCGCTGTCGTCGGGCTATTGTTAGGCGGGGCGAAGTCGGCGAGGATCGATCGAACCACACGGGTGATGATGCTGCAGCAACGGGTGTCGCGCATGCGTAGGGCGTGGGTACAGAAGAGCATGACAGGCTCAAAAATTTCGGGAGATGAAAGAACAAAGTGTCGAATGGAGTCAGACTGGTCCGGAGTCGGTTGCGGAGCACTAGGATCTGTTTCTGTTCTGTCTGGGTCTGTTTGGGGAATAGCATTAGCACACATCGGTAAATGAGCCCTTCAGGGGCTCTCCAGCGGGAGGGTTTGGAAAGCTTTGCTTTGAAAAGGTGTGTGAATGACGAGGGATTTTTCTCACCTCCTCTCTGTGGATCGAACAAACTGGCGACCATAATGACAGCCGAGTAAGTCAACTGACGAAGAACACTCTCTGATTTCATCTCGTCGGTGAGGTCTCCGTCGGACAGTCCGTTCTTTCTTTGCTCAATCAGTTCCCACTCAGTAGTAATTTTGGTGTCAATGCTCCTGAACAGAGTGGACAGCATAGGAGGAAGAAACAGGCTGCGATACTGCACCGGGCAGTCATCAATCAGGCAGCGAGAGATATTGAGCAAAACTGAGTACTGGTGAGAGGACAGGTGCTCTGCATCTTTGAAGAGAGCCTCAGAAAGAGGGCCAGGGAGCTCAGCAAACCCGTAGAACTGGTGCCGCATTCTGCTCATGCTGAATAGCATCGAGTAGCATGATTCGCGAACAGCTCTGATCTTGCCCCGAACCGAAGACGCAAATCCTTCAAGGGTGGCCTTGGACGCAGTAATCTTTGCGTAAAATTCATCACGACTGCCGCTGGAAATTCCCGCTTGCCAGAAGCGATCCGTGAGAATACGCTCAACTACAGCCCGCATATCATCACTCACGGCCCAGTTGGAAGGGTTGTGGAAGGCATGAGCGTGGCTGAGGAGTTGAAGCAGAGTGGGAAGAATCTGAGGTATCAAGTCCTGCCACATATCGCACGCAACCTGATAGGCTGGAGCCGACTTCTTCAGCTTGTCAGTGGACACTGCTAGCATTGTCTTGGTACCACGCAAAGGCAGCATCTGGAATTTCCTAGTCATTTCTTCTTGGACATTCTTTCCCTCAGCATCCAAGATAACATCAGCCCAATCTGCCAGCCTGTGCGCTTGTTTAGCTTGCATGTAGGATCCGACGTTCTCGAGTCCAAGCATTGAACAGAATCCATCAAATGATGAGCACATGCGACGGAATTCGGCGTCCTGCCAGGATTCTCTAATAGGCTCAAGGAAGGAAGTCAAGCGACTCTGGCGGAGGTTTGGGTCAATGTTGTTTGCTCGTTGCCTTTTATACATTAGCGAATGTGTTTGTATAAGAAAGATGGTGAAACAGTACATGATGATCACGAGAATTGAGCTCAGCTCCATCTTGAGCTTGTCATCAACTTGGTTAGCTAAGGTGATCTCCGTAATCTTAGGCTCGAGCAAATCATAGAATGTCTGTAGTACCAGTTAGCTAACGAACCAGCAGCAGATCTGGATGGTAGGTTTACAGAGAAGTAGTCGGCATAGCGGATCGCGAGGCGTCGGAGTTCGTGACTGGCCAGCCCATGGAGCTCTTTAACAGCCTCTGAATAGACAGGATGAGAGGGTTGGTCAGGGAGGCGTGTCATAAGGATGTGCTCAAGGACCTTCAGAGCAAAGGCCGGGTGGTTGTCCAATGCGCGGGATGAGATGTCCACCACCAACTTGATCACTCGCTGTTTCAGAACAGGGTCCTCGAATGATCGTTGCATCAAAGTTGAAGCCCAATTCTCCACGGCAACCTCCAATTCTCTCCGCTCTTGTTCGTCTCTTTGGGGAGTTTTTCCATGAGACTCGACCCACTTGTTGTATCCCTTAATGACGGCTTCCACGACAGCAAACTGGGCATCCGCACGCATGAGTGAAATTGCGGACTTGCTGAAGGTCTGCATGCTAAACGGCTCAACTCCATCGTACAAGTTGTTAAGATTCTCATCTACTCTGCTCAGGATCTCACGCACCGCATCCTGCGGACGCTTTAGGGTAATGGACTCGATAATCGATGAGCAGTACCGACGATAGTTGCCGACGAATGCGTGGCGTTCAGGCGTGGTGTCGATGTCTTCAACAAGGAACTGTACGGTGGGATCTTCGGAGTCCGTCGGGAGAGATTCCCAGCGGATCAACCGCTGGGTGCAAATGTTCAAGAAGCTGGGAGTCTGGCTCACCACGAAATCCAGAGTGCCGATCTTTTGAATTGGGAGAAGTCTGGACCAGAGGTGCAGTACTGGAATCGAAACAGTCAAGCTCTGGTGTTGCATGATAATGATCATGAAGTTGAAGAATGATGGAAGATCCAAGCGGTGCATCGTATCTCTGAGGAACCTGTCATCTTCCAGGGAACCTGCCACATAGGAAACCATCTGTTATCAAAGTTAGCTACACAGTCAATAGGCAACTGGCATGATGGGTCCGTTGTACCTCCGAAAGCTTCTTCGATATCAAGTACTTCGGCTCATCGACATCATCTGGGCCCACAATTGACCATTGATACAGATTTTGAAGGGTGTTAAGGTAGTCGGCCTCGAAGATCAGGCAAAGAAGGCCATGCGAATCCTCGTTACCCATGTTGTTTCTGCCGTAGAGCGCATGCAATGCTTCAATGGCGGCCTACATTAACAAATTTTAGCATTGTGCAGCCATGATAAAGCGAGTATACACCAGTCTTACCAATAAAACCTGTTCATCCTGACACGTCAATGCTCTGAAGACACCGGAGACCGCTTGGGAGGCTGTAACAGCTTTGTAGATGGACCAAGAAAAAGCTGACCTCAAAGCTGTAAGCGCCTTGATAGCCGCGTTCCGAGCCTGGGGCGAGCTTGACACATTCTGAATGCAATTATCCAAGAACTCGCAAATTCGAACGAGCCAACCCTCTTGGCCACAACGCAGCGCAGCATTGGTGTTCTTGTCGGGGTTGATCTGTTCAACAATAGCGGCGGGCGTGAAAATCTCCACCAGCGCCCGGTTGAGCTCTGATCCGCGCAACGAAGATACCGTATCTTCACGGAAGAAAACATCTTCCGATAGAGTCTCAAGCACCGCGAGAACCAGCTCATTGTGTACCAGCGACGAACCCCAGAACTTCACGAGCGCAGCATCCATATCGATCCAGTCTAGTCCCCAGCTCTTCTTCGCGGCCTCCGACCATAGCTGAGGAATCTTGTTGCGGAGATAGTTGGGGTCCTCGGGGCGAACGTTCTCGGCGAGCTGGAGGATCATCGATCGAAGATTCGCGGATTCTTCGGCGTTGGTGAATGAAAGGTGGCGCAGAACATGGTCCAGCAGCGTGAGACCGAAGTATCGTACCACGGGGGCATGGTCGGCGCGAGAGGCGAGCAGGAACCCATTGCGGGCTGCTGCGTCGGCTTCTTTCAGAGACTCAACAAATGACAAGGCTTGTTTGCGGAGCTCATTCGTGGACGCGGGGCTATGAATAACCTCAAGGGCTCGAATAATGTCGGCCATGCCGGCCTCCGACAGCTCCTCGGCAGCCATTTCGTCGGCACGCCGAGTGCAAATGGCTATGAGCGGAAGTATGCGAGGGGCGCGTTATGAGGGTGAGAGATAACGGATGGGATATAGGTTTGCGCGTCTTCTCGAGTTCGGTTAAGCAGACCAATTCTCATGGTCCGGAAAGACAGGCTCGAGAAAGTTCGCCGGGTTCGGTATGGCCGTTGACCGTCCGTGGGTTGTTTATTGGCGGAACAGAGCAGCAACGGCCATTCGATGGTGGCAATCGGTTTGTGTGGACAAAGAGGTGACCGGCGAGATGTAAGGATAAGATGAATATCGGAGAGCGGAGCGAGATTGCTGAGGGAAGGGGAGGTGCTTCCAGGCGCGAGAAGAGCGAAGGTGCGGGAAGGTTGCGGCCACAGGAAGTTTGGTGAGAGAGCGGGCTGAGAATTTCTCCACGATGGATGGGCCTGATAGACACACCGCTCCCACCTTCTCTATGCTCTTTTGTTCACTTCGTCTGTGTCCCACTTCTTGAACCTGTTCGATATATGGGAATAATTTCTGCTATCTTTTTTTCCAGCCGCCCATGTCATCATGCCTGCCCCTCAATCCTCCCCGGTTGTTTATCTTATCTCCCCTGCACGCGATCTATGGGTTTATTAAGCGCTATACGCGAAGATTCAATTCATTTGCTGTAATGTAGATTGCTGATAATGCCAGAGCAATATTAACTTTGGAAAGCATCACATAATCATGCACTGGCCTTGCTGGCATTGTTCAAGATAGGTCACATCGTCACCGGAGGGATTGGCAAACTCGCCCGGATGGCGCTTGATGCCCTCGATCTTGATATCCTGCTCCCCTTCCGCATGCCACCATCGTAGTCGCTGAACCTTGATGGACTGGATTTCTTGGTAGTCAAGCTCCCACTTGCCTCCACTGACCGCAACGACTGTGTTTGTCTCGGGAAAATGGAAGTCGGGCAGATATATCTCAGTCGGTGCGTCAGTCGAAGTAGCCGTTTTAGCAGTTAACTTCATGGTGAATGTGCAGTTTCGAAGATCAAAAACATGGCTTCTTAGACTCCCGCTGACGTAGATGGGACTCGGCCGAATATATGCCTCTGCAGCGCGGTAGCCTTTTGATTGTGGAGAGGAATCACTGGATATCGAAGGAGATGTGAGAGCCTGCTTAAGATTGCGCGGTTCGACCTGAGGCTCTTCCGCGCTGCTGTGGCTTTCAGAGTAGGCAGGGGACTGGGGATTGAGCGAGCGAAGAGTGCTTCCACATGGCAGCTCCAAATCATCTCGGGAAAGGATGGACAAATCTTCCCCGTTCCATTGGTCTCCCCATTCATGGTTGTTCTAATACAAGTCAGCTGGAGGAAACTAGCAGGAATTGGTATGCGCACCTCTGTCTCATAAACCCACAAGGTGAAGCCATTGGATGTACTACCCTCCAAAGCAAAATGGTTGGCATCCATGGCGCTGGTCTGACTGCTATAATCACCAGTCTGGTAGGCATGCTTGTCATCCATATCATATGGTATGCCAATTTCCGTGAAAAGAAGCGGGTGATTTCCCATGTAGTTTAAGCTCTCGTCTCGAAGGAATTTAAGCTGATCTCGCAGACAATTCCGGATGGCAGTCTCGCCAATTTTGACTGCAAAGGCCGGCGCCCAGTACTTGCCCCGAAGGACACCGATAACATCAACGTTGTACAGTCGATTCCTATCATAATTAGCCTAGATTAGACTTAATGGAAGACAATACCTACCAATGTTTAGTCAAAAGAGTCAAACCGTCGTAGTAATGAACTGCATGCACCATGTTGGGATCATCGTCGACGGTGCCTTTCAGGTCGGGGGGAACCTCCATGACAGGCGGTTGGCATAGCAAGATGGCCTCTGGCCAGACATCCCGAATGGCATCTCGATATGCTTGATAGTGGTGCAAAAAGTAGGTGTTGGTGAATATCTCATAGTCCAGTTTGTCGCCAGTTCGGGGGACCTTTGAGAAATAGTCTTTCTGCAACAGCGTGTCTGTGTATGTATCCCAAACTCCATGCTGAGCCCAGATACATTCTCCAAGCTTCCAACCAGAATCGCGCTTCCAGCCATATTTACTGTCGTCATGGTCCTCTGGTAGCCAAGCGGATACACCCTCGGGATCGACAAGTTCGCGACCAGTTTGGTGCGGGCCAAAGCCGCCGAAGGCCCACGTTGTTTCTTCACAGGCACGCCCGGCACCTGTCAACATAGCCTGAAATGCAGTTGGAGATGTCCCGAGCTGGAGCTGCTGTTCTGCTGGAACAACGGATATATCTTGAACGCCCACGAGGCCACGGTGAGGTTCATTCATGCTTTCCCAGCCAATTACCACCTCATGTTCCAGGTCCCCAGCTTCATGAATTCTTTGGGCCAAGTATTTACAAGCTGAGATAAAATGGCTTTGCAAATAGTCCTGAATGTTCATGCCATCGATGACAGCTTTTGGTGCAAAGTCTCGTCCAGCCCAGAATAGAGTGAACATAGTCTGACAGACGAGACGAGTGTAGTTGGTACTCCAGATCATCTTTGGAAACTGGGAAGGATCATCATAGGTGTTTTGAACAAGGGCTGCCTCGGTGTCCTTGAAACCCCTCGGGTTCAGTCCTGCCGCATAAAGCGTCCACATCGGGGCTCCGGATCCTCCAGACAACCGCGACCACTTGCAAAGGTTACTAACACTCTCACACAAACAAGGAAGCACCGACTTACCACATCCTGATGCGGATCCATGAAAACATAGAATTCATATTGCTTCGCTACCCTGAGAACCTCGATGGTGAACGCGATCCACTCCTGGTCGTAAATACCCGGCCCCGCATGCTCGATAGCCTCCCAGGTGAAGATATATCGAATCGCATTGTATCCCCACCTACGCAGCCTCTTGAAGTGAGTGTGTGCATCCTCCAAGGAGAATGGCCGTCCTACAAACGAAACGTCGTCGGCCTCGAAGAACTTGTCGGAAACGAAGGAAGGGATGTCGGGAGATTTGGGGTATTTTGCATCGCCGGCGACGTTGATGCCTCTCAAAATAATCTCCCTATGTTTCGGGTCGCGAAACGACTTCCCCTCGATATGCAGACGCAACGCACCCATCGTAGACGTTACCACGGAGCAGGTTATGGACGAGGTGTCGGGTTGGTGGCTCGGGTCAACCGGGTCGATGCCGAGGGAAGGGAAGGGAATCGAGGACCCCAAGAAACAAAGCTGAAGCACGGCAATCTAATACTCTGGACAGGTCGGCTGCCAAAGGTCGTCAAAGAAGCTCGACAGGTAAGGTCGACAAGCTGGACGGCGACCCCGGAGTGGTCGGCTGACCCCGAAGTCGGCACCCACGGCGATCACAAACAGTGAAATGGACACTGGCCACCGACGAACACTGACGGCCGGCTTTACTATGTTTCGATATGTTTCGATATGAGATGTTCGACTGGAGAATCCAACTGAGGCGTTTGAAGCTGGGGACGATAGACGATAGTCGATAGCGATAAGGTGACGTATCGGCGCTAACCGATCTACCGCTCAACTCCACCACACCAGAACCTCCCCGCTCCTCCATGCTTTGCGCGCACGGAGACCATGTCGAGCAAGGCCGCCTTGAAAGCTGTGCGAACAGCTTTGGACTCCAAGGACTTTGAAGCTGCTGCGGAGAAAGCAAAAGATCTCGTTCAGCAGGATCCCAAGAATTACCATGCGTGTGTTTTGAGCCTTCCTCCCGCCCGGCAGTGCTAACCTTATTCTACCAGCAACGTATTTCTCGGCTTAGCATACGACAAATTGAAGCGCAACGATGAATCAGAACAGGCATATCTAGCTGCGACTCGCGTGAAGGACGATGACCGCACCGCATGGCAGGGATTGATCAGCCTGTACGATAGACTAGGTGGTCCCAAACTGGGCGCCTATCGCGAGGCTGTCCTCAAGCTAGGGAAGATACTTGCAGACAGGTATGAGCTGGCATGCTGGACTAAGAAACCACAGGTTAACATTTGGCGAAGTGACGAGAAGGGACGTGGTCAGGATGTTGTGGACAAATACACGAATCTGGCACGGAAGAGCGGCACCAAAGCTCAATACAAGAGCGCTCTTGAGCTCCACCTCCCCAACAGTCCATTGTACAGTTTCCTCGAAGGACGCCTTCCACATCCCTCCCACACCTACCTCCGTTTGATCGAGATCACCGAGGCGGAAGAGAAAGAGTACATCAACCATGAGATTGCTGTTCGCAAGACACGCCTTGGTGCAAAGAAGGATCAGGTCACACTGGAGGTAAAACGGGAAGCTTTCAAGAAGTTTGGACTGGTCGAGCTCTACCGGGGCATCATTGACTGGACCAATGACGACGCAGTCCGGCGTGAGTATGAAGAGAAGCTGCTGCAACGCACATGCGATGAGCTAGAAGTAGCCTCTTCAGGTGAAAAGGGTGCTAAGCGGGGTGTGGCCCTCCAGTTAGCCCGGGATATGGTCATCATCAAGCACCCTTTCGAACTTGCTTGGACGGTTTTCCTCGAATGGCAGGACATTGAGACCTACAAAGAATGGGATGTTGGGATCATACGGGAGTTCATTGAATTCTTCCCGGATAACGGCCTTGCCAAGGTGCTCAAGGGATTCCTTGCCAGCGAAATTTCACCATTTGAGAAGGAAGAGTCATCGGACGAGGATCTAGACACCGCATCCGTCAGCAAAGACACCGATGTCACCGACAGTACTGGCGATGTTGCTGCTCAGGACCGATTGATTCTGATGGCTGAGGGACTTGACATGGCTCGTTCCTCGCCTATCGCACATCGAATCATGGCTGATCTGTACCTCATGATGGAAGAGTACGAAAGCACAGTTGATGTGACCCGAAAGGGTCTGCTCAATGTCAATGAGCTCATCAGAAACACTGGTGTAAAACTTACTCATACGCGTGATGCATTGAATATCTCTCTCGCCAACTCTTTGATCTACTATCAATCTCCTCGCTATCACCCGGAAGCCAAAGGAATCTTCGAAGAAATCTTGAAGAGGAAGCCAAAATCCACGATTTGTCTGCTCGGTATTGGTTTGGTTTTGAAGGTCGATGAAGACTATCCGGACGCGATCGACTTTCTAGACCGCGCCCTGAGGCGTGATCCCTCCAATATCAAGATCCGTGGTGAGCTTTTTTGGTGCAAGGCACTGAATGGTGATCTAGAGGCTGGCCTGGATGGTCTCTTAGATTCTCTCGCAAGTCTGCAGGAGGAACAACCCAACAACAGGGCCTTCAAGTCTGAACTCCTTTATCGTGTTGGCTATTGTCAATGGGAGCTAGATCCGTCTCCAGCTGCCAGGAAAGATCGGAATGGCGCTTATGCGAACTTCCTTGCCTCCATCAAAGCGGACATGAATTTCGCTCCCGCGTATACCAGTCTTGGCTTGTATTACGCAGACTACAAGAAGGATAAGACCAGAGCACGCAGGTGTTTCCACAAAGCGTTTGAACTGTCTTCATCGGAAACAGAAGCAGCCGAACGCCTCGCCAAGGGATTCGCCGATCAGAAGGAGTGGGATCTCGTGGAAGTGGTTTCTCAGCGAGTGGTTGACTCTGGCAAGGCCAAACCTGCACCAGGGTCCAAGCGTAGAGGCTACAGCTGGCCGTACGCGGCACTTGGGAACGTGCAGATCAACAAGCAGCAATACTCCAAGAGCATCGTCTCGTTCCAGGCGGCTCTGCGGATTTCCCCTGGTGATTATCATTCCTGGGTCGGTCTAGCCGAAAGCTATCACCATTCCGGACGATACGTCGCTGCCACAAAGGCATTTGAGCATGCTCGAAGCCTAGAATCAAACCTTTCTAGCGATGAACAAGACCAGATCTGGTATGCACGGTACATGCTTGCCAACGTCAGGAGGGAGTTGGGTGAATACGACGACGCTATCGCAAGCTACGAAGACGTTTTGAGCACCCGGCCCAATGATGTTGGTGTGACGATCGCGCTTCTCCAGACACTGGCCGAAAGCTCATGGAAAAGCTTGGATACGGGTCTATACAACCATGCAGCTGAGCTTGCCTGCAAAGTCATCGAGGTGGCTCGCTCACTGGCCGTTGTACGGAGCGACATCTTCAATCTGTGGAAGGCAGTCGGTGATGCCTGTGCAAACTTCTCTTACATCAAGAAGAAGGCCGAGAAACTCTCGCTTACTGACTGCAAGGCTTTGTTGTCTACTGAACTGGATCCCGTTGCTCTTGATATCATGACCGAGGTTGATGGCGTAGGTATGAACTGGCTCGAGTCCAGTGATGCGCAAGATCCCTCTTCATCTGATTCTTGTCTTTATCTATCTATCCTGGCATACAAGCGTGCGATCCATGTTTCCTTGCAAGACACACACGCTCAGGCCGTGGCTTGGTACAACCTTGGCTGGGCCGAATATCGGGCCTACCGAAGTGTGCAAACTGGCTCTGGTAACATGGCCAAGAAGTCGCGGAAATTCCTGAAGACGGCAATGCGTTGTTTCAAGAGAGCAATCGAGCTCGAAGCCGGCAACTCGGAGTTTTGGAACTCGCTCGGCGTTGTCACCACAAGCATGAGCCCCAAGGTGGCGCAGCACGCCTTTGTGCGTAGTCTGCATCTGAATGACAGGAGCGCACAAGTCTGGACCAACCTCGGAGCGCTGTACCTCCTTCATAACGACATACAACTTGCCAATGAGGCCTTTACCCGTGCTCAGTCGACAGATCCGGACTACTCACAAGCCTGGGTTGGCCAAGGTTTCCTTGCACTTCTCTTCGGAGATCCGAAGGAGGCGCGCGGTCTGTTCGAGCACGCATTCGATATCGCAAGCTCCTCCGTTATGCTTCCGAAGCGCCAGTACACAGTCACTCTTTTCGACCACCTTCTCTCTGACCCAACCTCGTCCAACGAGGTCTCCGAGCTCATTCAGCCCTTCTTTGCCCTCCATCAGCTGTGTGCCCAAGACCCTTCAGACCTTCCGTTCATGCATCTTTCTTCATTGCTCGCAGAGCGAATGGGCGAGACTGCCGATGCCGAGTCTAGCTTGGAAGTTGTCTGCTCAGGCATGGAGGCGGAGTTCGAAGAATCTGAATCCCCTGCCTCTCTTTCAAAGTTCGCACAGGCAAACGCGGATATGGCTCGCGTCCTGCTTGCACGTCACGAATTCGAACAAGCTGCAGAGAAGGCCGAACTTGCGCTCACTCTCTCCGGTGAGGAAGATGCCGAGAAATTCGATCCCGAGGCATGCAGCAAGCTTCGTCTCTCGGCACACTTGACCGCTGGTCTGGCATACTACTACACTCAGTCAATGGATCAGGCCATCGATATGTTCCGCGACGCTCTTCAGGAAGCAAACAACGCTCCTGATGTCGTGTGCCTTCTTGCTCAGGTTCTCTGGGCCAAAGGTGGCGAGGAGGAACGGTCGGTTGCACGACAGCAACTGTTCGATTGCGTGGGAAACCACCCCAATCACATTGGTGCCATCACCCTCCTTGGAGCTATTGCACTCCTTGACTCGGACAGAGACGCCATCGAAGCCGTCGAGTCCGATCTCCACAACATGATTACACGGGATGACATCGACATCCACGACCGTGCCAAGCTACTGAAGCTTCTGTCTGCAATCTCTGCGATGGGTTTAAACGAAAACGCTGCCCTTCCCGAGGACTTGCGACAGATCGGAGAAGCTACCGCAGCTGTCATGCTGTCTCCAGGCCAGCCCCAGGGCTGGATGGAGTTGTCTGCCGCATCGGAGAGCCCTTACCCGGCTGAAATGGCCATTCAACGGGCCCTGCGCTGTGTGCCTCCGCACGGCAACCTTGAGGCAGCCGATCTCAGCCAGGCTTATGCTCAAACAAACAAGACTGGAGACGCATTCCGCGCTATCATGGTTGCGCCATGGAAACGCGACGGATGGGAAGAGCTGAATTATAGTCTGTCCAGCCAGGCATAGTCAGCTTTCTGTGTCATTCCCGAACGTGAGATGGCGGTATCTGCAGTACTTAAACCGCTAGGCATGCATAAGACAAAATCATATTAGAAATTCACATACCTCAAGGTCCATTCGGAGACAGCCAGTAGGAAAGTAAGCATACGTTTGCACTTTGCGGTGCCTGGCATTTGCACCATTGGAATGTTTTATTCGTCTTGCATGGCAGTAATCCTCTCCAATAATCGAGCTTTTCTCCCTTCCTTCCACGGTTTGTCAAGTGCCTCGATCTTTCCACCGAGCAGATCAACACATCCAGGATTCAACAGAATCATTCCCCGCGCAACAGTCGCATTGCGAAGCACAATTTTAGCACCGATAGCAAGTTTCTCCAGCGTAATGCCCTCAATGCGCTGCATTTCAATCGCCACTGCCTTGGTACCGGCGGTATCTTGCAGTATCAACCGATGCGGCCCATATCCACTGCTCCCCGACGCGTTTGGGGTTCCAAAGTTGCCGTTATTGTTACCGCTGCTGCTCTCCTGCGCCTCCTGGTCTTCACCCACGGCTACTGTGCGCACAATTTCCCGTCCTCGAACAGCTTCTCCACGCTCGACGCGCTCAATCGCCTCGACCTGACCCCATAAACTCGTGCCGATGTCTTCAATGTCGAGAACTTGGACGGGGATCGGTCCTTGAAGACGCCGTTCTTGTATATTGGGATCATAGATGTCAATTGGCAATCGCGATGATGGATTTATCAACAGGGATTCTCGAATATCGGAGGCGAGTACGCGGAACAAAGCTGTCTTGGTGAGTGCGGAGGTGGGGATGTTGCGCTGTGATTGTCCGGACGAAGCCAGGAACGCGTTGAGCCAGGAAGGCGAGACACAAAGAGACTTTGTGCTCTGAAGTTGTGCTGCAATCTGATCTGCACTCATTGTAGCAAATCTTTGTAGAGCGGTACGAGCGCAAAGAAGGAAGCAGCTCGGAGCTTCCAACCGCACGGCACGGACCACCGCTTAACGCCGTTGATCTGGCCTCGCGCATCCCGTTTCACTCTCCGCAACTGCCACCATGTCAACGTTCTCCTCTCCTCGCCCGTCTATCGCCTCGTCGCGTGCACATTCTCCCACCCTCGCATCCTCCCGTCCCTCTCTCGAAGCATTGAACACCAACGTTGGGCCGAGCCTGAGCGCTTCCTCGACCCCATCCACCGCGCGAGCCCTCTCGCCCAACCCACGCCGAAACCGCTCCGCTCTACGGGACTACTACAACCTCAAGCCTCCGGGCTCAGATGCTCTGAGTCCAGGAGATGCCCGGCGGTCCCGCAGCGTCCCGCGCAACACCGATGCAGGAGACATCTCCAACCCGTCTACACTAGCTTCAGGGACGGAGCTAGATAATGCAGACTTCGACCCTCAGCGCTATGTTGACCACCTCTTGTCTACCTCGTCACTAAATACAATCCTCAAAGCCGAAAATACGTTGGTTGGAGATGTCCGCACGCTAGATGGAGAACGGAAAGCGCTCGTGTATGATAATTACTCCAAGTTGATTCGCGCCGTTGAGACCATTGGCAAGATGCGCCGCAGTATGGATGATCGCGGCGCGCCGTTGACTATGACCAAGACGCTTGGTCCGGCTGTTGCGTTTGTGGCGGAGACTGCTGGTGGGTTGATCAAGGAAGGTGAGGAACAGCGTCGGAAGATCAAGGAGGCGAGGGGTGAAGAGCCGTCTAATAAAAAGGCCGAGAAGGATACTGTGAGGTGGGTGCTTTCTGCACCACAGAGGTTGGAGAAGCTTCTTTCGGAGGAGAAACGGGAGGATGCTGAGAAGGATTGGAAAGAGGTCCAGCAATTACTTGACGCTTGGGGTCCGGTCAAGGGTGTTGCTGAGGTTCGTGAGGCCTGTGAGAAGGTCATGAGCGAACAGACCGAAAACGAATGAGCTGCTGCGAGCTGCAATCATATCAACCCGACTTGACATCCTGTGCAGGCACAAGTCATTGTATATAGAGATACCCAAAACACATTCATGGCATGTCACATTATTTATTGTTCATCTCATCATTAATCATAACCTCAGCAACGTTCAGACCTTCCCCGAAAGCACATCCCGACTCGAGAACAAGCTCGCCTTAAGCCCATACTCGTTCTTCGACTTGATATCCAAGTACGTATAAGCATCGCACTTGTAATAAATGGGCCGAGACTCCTTATCCACCAAACCCGTCTCAACAAGCGTCTTCAAAACCCGCTTCACATCCTCTTTATCCGAAAAATCACGCGTGTATACGCAGATCAACCGGACATCTCCCGATCCATCATCCGTAGCAACTTTCGCCGCATCGCCTAGCTTGCCTTCGTCCAAGGCAGTGACCACCGTTTTCCAGATTGAGTCGACGTTATTCACGGAGGGGAATAACATCCACTTGCCCGATGTAACGCCGGTTTCTTTTGCTAGCTCGAAGATATTCTGTTCCAGAGTCCGGCGTAGAGGGTTCAGTTTGCGGGTTAGACTGGCGGTGGTTTTCGCGCCGGACTTTTCGTGTGCGGCGCGAAGCCTTGAACTTTCTTCCTCGTAGGCTTCCAGAAGTTCGGTTCCTTTTCTTGTGAAGGCGGGAACGTCCCCTCCTTCCGTGGCGTGCGGTTTGGGACCCCACATCCAGATCCACGGCCCTGCTTCAGAAACGGGTGTTGTGGATGGTGGGAGACGCGACAAGAAGGAGGTTATGGATTCTTTCGGCCCACGTCTATCCTTGGGTTGAAATGTGGTAGTTGGGGAATCATCTTGGGACATGGGCTCTGGTTCAGTTTGTGTAGGCGGAGCTTGTAGCTCGTGCTGCCTTTTTGACAGTAGCCGTGGGTGAATTTCTGACCAGAAAGGCTCCGGGTCGTAGGTTGCTGCTAGGTTCAAAAGACGCGCTTGTTCGTCGTCATCGCCTGGAACAGGGTTAGCGGGTGAGGTTGCAGGGCTGGAAATTGGACTTGCCGTAGAAGCTAGACTCGTCGGAGAATATCTCATCGAGACCTGTTACATTGGGCATGGTGGCGATCATTTGTCAAGCCAGAGAGGTGGTGCCCTGGTGGATAAGAGCTGGAGCTTACCGGTGTGAGGAAATAATGTCGCAACGAAACTCAATTCTATGAGACCGATCATCATTTATTTTCCCCATAACATTCATTGAATGTTTCGCCAAATTCTTCTTACTCATGCTCGACGGGCCTCAGGAACGAATTTTAAGACCTACCTACACTTACCTTTTTTTCTCTCTATTTCAGCAATGCTTACTTGTTCAGGCTACAGTGGGGGAGTTATCGGAGTTATCGGTCAGACAAAAACGCCTAAACGGCTCGGATATTCATTTCTGAAAGCTTTGTCGGCGCTTGCGCGCCGACAAAGCTTTCCTCCGGTGATGAATTAGCCAAGGTATAAAGGCTGACCACCTTAACAAGGTTGGAATAATTCAGTTACGCCTCGGTGTAGTGCTTCTGGACCTTGATATCATCACGTATACCAATTTCCTGTTTTCGGAACCTATATGCTAAGACAGCCCAGTCCGTGTGGGTTAACTTCTGGATAAAAGATTATTCTGAATTGTGACGAGCTTCCACTGTATGGCCAGTACTAGTACAACTCCTTAATTTCGAAAGTGACGCGCTCGTCCTGGTACGCACAAATCTCCAGCATGGACATAGAGCGTATGGAACCCATCGAACAAAGAGAAAAAGGCCGAATTTTCTCAAAGACAGCTCGCCAGAGATGTGGAAGAAGGCAAGGGAGAAATTTGAATATAAATTTGAACATAAAAGCCTTGAAAAATGTCAATTGAAAGTTTGTTTCTCATCTCCAGTTCCAATAGCGGGTCGATACCTAAAAGGGCTTTAGTACATCGCATTAACTAAGTTATCTGGGTCGGAAGGTTTTGTTTACAAATCTCCTTCTTGGCATGAGAGTTGAATTGGGCGGAATTCCGGTGCAGCCGCATATGATCCATTAATTACATCCTGATCCCCGGCATCCCGAGTGAGGATCTGATATTCATATTTACCTATCAGAGGGTTCGCCATGAGCGCTGAAGAATTCCTCGCCGACGTCGAAGGCGGCGTGGTGCCGGTGGACTGCCACGATCATGTGTTGCGGATCGCATTCATCTATCTAGATAAGGGGCTATGGGACGGCAACGGCGTGTTCGATGTGGTCGAAAAGCTGCATGCGCGCGGGTGGTCGTTTGGCGAGGGTGAGTTGCGGTTTAACCGGTAAGTTATGGTCCCTAATAGCACCGTAACGACGAAGACTGACAATCACCATAGCACCCTAGATATCTTCTACCTCGCCCAGCTCGCCGCGGCCATCTACCGCTCCTCCGACCAACTCAACGGGGACTTCCCCTCCCCCTCTGATTTCCCCGCCTTCTACACCACCCACCGCGCGCTCCTCCACGCCTCCGCTTGGCGCTCCTACTACTCCGCCGCCTTCCTCACTCAGCGTACCACCGCGCGCTTCTACCGCCTGCCCGACCTCCAAGACCTGCCCGACTCCGCCTCCCCGTTGGGCAAGCCGCGCCATCAACCCCCGGCCGGCAGCGGCCCACACTCTACGAAACTCCCCCGCTGGGCGGATAGCGTCGCGCGCACGCGCCGCCGGCAGCCCTCCCTCCCGCTCGCGACGCTCACCCGATTAGCCCTCAGCACGCTCGAGACGGCCACCGCGCGCCTGCACACGGCCCACCCTAGCGTGACGCCCTACTCGGCGACGCAGGCGCACTTCTGGCTCGAGTATATGAAGCTCGGTGTCCCGAGCCCTTCCGGATCCAACACGGTAGCAGCTTTCCGGGAAGCGTGGAAGCCGAACGGGTTTGGTGTCCTGGTCGCACAGGGAGCACTGGATATGTACGCGTGGGGAATGCAGTACTCGGCGCAGCGGTGGGAGGCGAGTGGGGCGGGGAATGAGGTGGCTAAGCCAGATGTGGATGGCGGGTGGGAGAGTCAGGTACAGTGGTGTGGGTGGCCAGATGGCGGGGTGGGGGTGATGGCATGGTGGAGGGGGTGGGAACCGGAGGTGGGGAGTGAGGAGGAGGTGGAGTTTTTGGCTGCGGTCGCGGCGGAGGAGACGGTCGCGGTGGAGGTCGGTCAGTTGAACTGTGCGGTGCGGTCGCATGTGTTGCTGGGGGTGATGCGGGCTGCGGTTGCGGGGGAGCGGGAGAGGGACGTTTTCCTAGAGGAGCTGGAGAGGGACATGGTGGGCAAGGGAAGGATTGGGGAGGGCAGGGCAGGGAAGTGGCTGCGGGAGGTCTTGGGGGTCGTGGAGCCATATGTGAGGATATGGGAGGGGGTTTGGCCAGACACAGAGGAGAGGGGGGAGGTACTACGGCGGATCTTGGTGGAGAATGGGCAGCTCTTTGCCAGGTGGAAGGTTTCGCCGCTGTTGAAGGAGTTTAGTTTTGAGCTGGGCCCGAGGGAATCAGAGTAGCAGGCATGCTGTTGAGAACTACAAGAAGTAAGACTACGTTCGTAAGGTTTCGAGCTACAGACTCGTGCATGACAACTGTTGCACGTCTAGCGAGGAAGAAATCAAAGAGAACAGAAGACCTTAATTAACGCAAAGGAATAATGGAATTTGGCGGCGACTGATTGGCCGCTAATTGGGGACTCATAGCGATTACTTGCCACTGGCTATGCCTGGCCATACCTGCTCCACGAACTCGGTTAGGTCCGACTTGAATGCTTTAGGTTGCTCAAGTGCTGCAAAATGACCACCCTGTTTAATTGTTGATTAATTCTTGTTTCGTTGAAAAGAAGTATTTTAAGCATACCTTCTTGTGCGGTCCCCAGAAAACAAGATTGCCAGTGGCCTCCACCCAGGATCGGGGAACACGAGCAAGCTCCATAGGGAAGGAAGAGAACCCAAGAGGCTTCTTAATAAACCATCGAGGAGTGTTAGTTACCGGGATTGGCGGAGGTGGGAAATTCTGTGTGTGATATTAGCGTTTAGGTGCGAGGAAATTCTAACTTTGCATTACATACCTGACGGTACGTATAGATTGACCGAGGGAAAGTATCGGTGAGCCAGTACAGAGTAATTGACTCGAGGATATGATCGGGTGACAATGGGTCGTCAACCCATTCGAGAAACTTTTCACCGACCCTTTGCAGATAAATTAGCATGTAACTTCCAGTGTGGCTGTCATTCGTGAGTTCACCATGCAAGAAGCGCTACCGGGCTCGATGAGATAACATGGCCGATAGTACTAGGCCGAGTACCATGCTCAGTCGAGTAGCCGGAGCCCATAGCTCTGAAGTTATTCATTCGCTCAATCCCTTGTCTCTCATAGGCATCCAGGCCGTCGTCGGTCATGCCGTCCGGGCGGCTCATGAATGTCACGTTGACTGTTCCGCGTAAGCAATTATTTGATGGTTTCGTGACTGTAAAAGAATTTGAGACTCACGATGGACAGCTGAAATGAAGTCAGTATCAGATGCAACAAGTAGGAGCGCGACAGATCAACGTATACCTTTGCAGCTTTCATAGTCGACTGCCAAGGCTCTGGCAATTCGACTCCCGATATCACCACCCTGGGCAACATAACCGCTCTCAAAGCCAATATCTTTCATAAGTTGATCAAGGATACGAGAGACATCCTCGGTGGAAAAGTTCTTATCCAGCGGAGGACCAGACGAAAACGTGTATCCCGGCAGCGAAGGAACGATCAAATGAAAAGGCAGGGTACTTGGTGAATACTCGCCCCGGAACAGCTCCAGAATAGGGAGAAATTCTAGAAAACTTCCTGATGAGTGAATAAGTAACCAGTCCCAAGTTCATAACAGCGGAACTGTATCTCACCAGGCCATCCATGAATCAATAGAATAGGAATCGCATCCTTATTCTCCGAGAAAAGCCCGACAAAATGAATAGTCATGTCCTCAATTTCCGTCGTCCACTGGGGAAAACTATTGATTCGGTCCTCGGATGCTTTCCTAGAGCGTTTACGTCAATATCTAGTTCAACACGGAACAAACCAATTTAGAGAGACCCATTACCACTTGTAGGAACGGAGCCACTGCTCCCGCATCGTTATTAACCAGTGTGTCGTGATGCCATATCGACAGTCCATCTGCGAGTTCTCGTAGGTAGGCGGGGCAAGCTTCGCCAGCTTGATAAGAGTCTCCATCTCCGTCAGCTGATCTTTGGGGATGGCGACCTGGAAGGGGGTCGGAACGACTCTCGCCGTCGAGGGCAGAGTGCTGAATGGTTTCGACATAGTGAGGTTTACAGAGCTCTGATACCTGGGATGAGCCGGATATTTAACGCAGAAATGGGCTCCAGGCTTCCCGAACTCGAGGCAGAATCGACATACCAGGAACGGCAACGCGTCATGTGCTCGTGCGGGGAAACTTTCTACGCGCCGATCAAAGGCACCTGAGCTCCGAGTTGGATGTAAATATATTAAATAGATTTATTGTCGGCCTAGAGGCATGCTACGTCGTGTAGTTTTGGGAGACTCCTTTTGTTAAGATTCCCATTGGCGGCAGCTTTCGAATAGACAGGTGACTACGTACAACAGCCATCCCCGATTCAGGCTAGTCTACAGGGTCATAGCAACGCTCAGAAAAGCATTCAGAATACAGAATGGAGGTAGATAGGACGGCGTCTATATCAGTCGTGATTTAGCGTTTCTTCCGTCAGTGGATTCTCACCGCCCCACTTTGGTTCCATACACATTTTTCTGGATCGATCAACTCTTAACATCAATTCAGCTTGGAGACCTAAGATTATCAATCATATTGGCTCTGCTTTTAAATTATTTCCGACTCTCGTCTTTCGGCTAATCGAGCCTACATCATCACCTATTCTCGGATATACATACTCAGCTCGAGCTCTAACTCCATTGGAACCCCACCATCATTGAGCATTTCCGATATACATTAAGCTCCTCCGAGCTCAAGCCCTCCAGAATGGCCCGAAATGTGCAACGACCCATTTCTGCCACAACAGTCTTCTTAGACCAACCGCCAAGCTGCCTCGAATTCTGTCCGGAGATCCCAGACCATTTTGTGGTGGGCACCTACCTCCTATCAGAAACAAAGAATGCCGATGGGGAGACCCAGCAAAGCAAGACTGGGAGTGTGCAGCTCTGGAAACTTGACCCCAACACGAACTTTTTGTAAGTGATGTATCCCTTGCACTTTTTGTAGGGCGCCTCACTCACTCACATCCCAGAACTCAAGTCCAAAAACTAGCGCTGCCATACGCGGTTTTCGATCTTCATTTCCACCCCAGAGATAGGAACAAATTCGCCATTGCAAGCAGCACAGGTGCAGTTTCCCTATTCGGTATCTCTGGCTCTGCAGAGCCAACTATCAATCCAATCTGGACAAAACAGGTCCACGAGGATTCTTCCATCCCAGCTCTTTTCCTTGCCTGGACTCCGCAAAACTGGCTCTCTCAATCCAAAGCAGACGGGTTCGCGGTCACTTTCTCCGATAGCCGAACAACAGTCTTTGGCACGGAAAGTCCCATCACAGAGGAGGACATGATCACAGAATGGGGTTCGTTTGAGGCTAAACAGATGATCGAGGTTTGGTTCGTCGCGCTCGCTGCTGTGCAAGGTGTATTCTCCGAGCCGAAGGGTATAATCCCCTTTATGTTTACGGGGAATGACTTTGGATCCTTACATACGCGCCGGTTCGAACAACATGGTGAAGAGCCGCGTGATCCTGAAGAGCCGCTTGCGCCGATGCTACTCGAACATGATGACCGGGCTCGTCATCACACGGCGGGCGTGACGAGTATTCTGCCTCTTCCTATTCCGATGGTGGATGATGGTCCGGTTTTGCTGACTGGAAGCTATGACGAGGGTTTGCGAGTGTATCATGCTACACGACGTGGTGAAGTGCTCGCTGAAGAGGGTCTCGGTGGTGGGGTATGGAGGCTGCAATTGCTAAACTCAGAGGAAGCCGGCTCTGCTGGCTCGGGGCTTGTGGAGAGACGCTTTTTGGTGCTGGCTAGTTGCATGCATGCTGGAACTCGCGTTGTGCGAATTACTCAGACACAGCAGGATCAGACTTCGGAGTGGAGCATTGACGTGTTGGCGGAGTTTACGGAGCATGAGAGTATGAATTATGCGAGTGATGTGTGGAAGGGCTCGAACGCCGAAATAGGAGATGGAACGTCGGAACTGGTTTGCGTCTCGAGCAGCTTCTACGATCGTCGTGTGTGTGTTTGGAGAGTGCAGGTGTAGCTAATATCAGTCACTACAAAATGCCGAGGAAGCGAATCTCTAGGCATGATTGTTGTCATAAACCCGCTAGATCAAATCAGAATGCAATAGCGACAGGTATACAAGTACATCCGCACCGGAGGACCAGGACCAAAAATAAAAGAGTTACCATTCGTATCCAGAAAAGTGCCGCCGTGCGGGAATTAAACAATCGTCTCAAGCTCCCGGGCATAGCCCAGTGTATTCTCGATCACCGTGCCGCTGGCTACCAAGATGTCCTTCTCGGACCGTGTGGCCGCCTCCGGCTCGACAGGGAAGTGTATCCGTCCATCACGAAGGATCCAACCGCGCTGCTGCGCAAACTCAATAACTGCACCTTCCGACTCCAGGAAGAGGAGATTTTTGGCGTTTGAGATGGGGAGGGAGGGATAGGCCTTCTCCGAGCAGTCGGCGATTTCGCTGCGGATGGTGCCGATAAGAACCTAGACAGACAAATTGTCAGTATCGATTTTATACAAAGAACTTCGGCAGCCAGTGATAAAAGAGGCGAAACTTACGTTCGAGAACAGTCCAAAGTCTTCCGAGGGCACACGCTCGGACTTGGTCTCCCGCCACACCTTATCATAGCTTCCCTCCATCAAGTTGCGCTCCAGCTCAACGGGGTATTTAATGTATGGGTTGTCCTCAACACGGCCGCCCTTCAAGCTGGCCTCTTCCACCAACCCCTCGAGCACAGTGTGGAAGTTGGCGCTATCACCCATGCTCAACAGCAGCAAGAGATACAATCCTGTGATCTTGCTACGCTGGCTGGTCTTCGAATCCACCTCAGGCGAGCTCTGGCCCGGCACACCGGCGTGCCGCTCAAGATCGTAGAACGGCTGCAGTTGCTGGTAGTATCTTGTGAAGGTCTGCGCGTCGGTCTGTCGGATGGAGGCGATGGCGCCCAGCTCGAGAATTGTCCGGGCAAGGGCGACAAGCTGGGGAGGTGTGGAGGGGGTAGGAATCAGGGCATTTTGAAGAAGAAGGGCGCGCTTGGCTTTGCTGAGGAGGTCGTTGGCGGCATCCAGTTGCTTGTGCTCCAGGGCGTTTTGGAGCTGTGGGACGATGGTCTTGAGGTCGGCCATATTGGAGAATTGTGAAGGGTACGAAGTGGGAAAAGTGAGATAACGCTAAGCAATCAGAAGAAGCCAAACGATTGCACCAGCGAGCGAGAGGTTATCGGAATGCTAGGTTAGATGATGAGAGTTGGCGAAAGGCCATGACGGAGCTGCCGCGGGCGGTCAGCTTCGGCACACGTGACCGCATAAGTAGAGCTTCCAATGGCGTCTTTCAACCTTCCTTTAGCTAGATTTATTCTACAAGAATTGTTTTATTTCACGTAAGAATGCCCTCGAGTCCTCTCCAAAACCGATTCCAGTCCCGCGTCCATATCGCATCGCTATTTGTGGGGAAAAAGTACCAGCTTCGCCAATGTTGGGAAGAAGGGCGTTCCCAGTCCGCTGGCCGGATCCCATCCTTCTGTGGCATTCCATCCTGCGTATGGAACATGCGGTGTGCTGGCGCCTGTCTGGCTAAATCCATAACAGCCCCTTGATCCTCCCATTGTAATGTCTGTTAGCCCAGCCTTGCCGACAGTATACAACCATGGGTTGAGGAATCCCATACGAGGTTTTCCTTGAGCAAGACGAAGTGAATTCAACTGAGAAACTATACCAGCAAAGACGGGCCCTGCGGCACTGTCTATCATCAGCACAGCCTCCATGTCAGCGCCACGAAACGTGCATACCTTGTTCCACTGATCTTGAACCACGTCTCATGATCGCGAATGATGAAGTTCTTCGCTTGGGCTGCCACATCTGGAATTCCTCGTCCATGCGGATTATACAGACCTGTCCATTGATCCTCGCTCAAGCGGTCAAGATACCCTTGTACTGCTTGATCTTGGTATGCCGGCCGAGGGAACAAGTCGGAGAATCCACCCCCCGAGAAATCAGTCGCTCCTTCTGGATTACTCCCGTATGTTCCACCAACAGACGTAACAAAGGGACAAGATGCCGGGAATCCTGGAATGAACCTGGTTCTCTTGGCTCCGTCATTGGTCTGGCATGAACTTCCCACCCCGGAATCTCCACTGCTGAAGATGATCGACACGCCTCGGGCACCGAGTTGAGCAAATAAAGTACATACTGCGCGGGCGTATGATGGAGGCAAACTTTGCTCGGATTCTCCGTAGGATGTAGAGAGAACTGCTGGGAGCTGGTCACCTGGCAGGTCGATGAGATAGTGAAGTTGTTCCAGAAAAGGCTCGTTTCCCGAGTTGCCGGCATCTGGCTGGTCAGCATCGGGTATAAGAGGAGCCCGACCACCTGTACTGTAAAATGTTGCCAGTGTGTCGTGAGCCATAGAAACGGAGTACTGTATATCTAGACTCGCCTCAGTAGTCATTCCAGGGGAGACCTCGTCATTCAGCCCACCGTTGATGGTGACCACTGTGAAGCTGCTTTCTCCCTCATCTGGCAGAAACTGCGCCTTGAATTGATCGAAATCGCCATGGCGGGCATATTGGTCCAGAAACCCCGAGATGCCTAGTCGATTCCATGGAGAAGGCGTTGCTGTTGAGTTAAAGAGGCCGTACAGCTCTCGCAGACAGTCTGGTCTGATCACTGTTCCACAATCTGTGTTCAGATCTTCTGGTGTGGCGATAATTGGCTGATCGATCGGCAATGCACCCAGTGGGCTGAGCTCGCCAAATCGCGTCGTAGGTTGTATCAATTGAACATGAGCATGTATGTCCTTCGGCACAGAGTATCCTAGTGTTCTGATAACCGTGATATTTGTTGCATGGTGATGGTAGTGAAAAAACTTCGTCTGTAACATACGCTCTGCTTGATAAACTGATGCTCTGAAGGTGACCCAGTTGCCCTTGGCCTTGATAATGTCGGGAGGGACATTTTCTGCAGACAGCCAAGCCAGGATCTGATTCGAGATAGCAGTCTCGGGACTCAGGAGTCTTTGGATCTCTTCTTGCTTCATGTGCTGTCCGTAGCGTGGGTGACTTGGAGTCGAGAGGTCGACCACACTTTGCTCAAAGGCCGCCACATTTGGCTGGCTCATGGCAAGCCGAAAAGTCATAAATGTTGAAGGTGAAGGCTTGCTCCCTCTCAACCATCCCTGCGGCACTTCTTCCAGCAGCTCCACTCTCTGATAGCTGGGAAATATTGATAGGACATGCTGAACAAAACAGAAGATGAGTAGTAGGCATTTCACTCTAAATAATGTGATTCCCATGGTATCTGCGCCAGCAGCGAGTTGGGACATTCAAAGGATCAGTTACAGCAACTTTTCTAGTACTGCGCATGTCGAATACACAATACTAAGGTAACCGATCACAAAAGTACTTTGAAAGTGTCCTCATTGCTAAAGAATGCCCGGATTTATGTCATGTAGGCAATGGGACTAAATGTCTATGAAAGAATCCAAATGGACGTTCCAGGCCAACGGATGCTGATTGGAAGAACCGGAGATTCCTTTTTCGGGTGTCAATAAGGTCTCAACAGGAGAATTTCCTAGCTCTTTCAACAAACGCTGTTCCCGGGTGGATGAAATGCTGGACGCATGTATTGTGGTTTGTCTGGTCTAATATGGGAGATGGTGATGAGACGAGGAAGTTATATTATGAAATTGATGACTTCCCATTCGAAGGGGTATATGGCGGGTGATCTAACCTGGGTTGGGCGGCATCAGCATAGAGTACACGAGAAAGAGAGATATATACAGTCAACTTCCAGTATTGACATAGCCCTCCGTTCCAGAGAAACCCCAGGTTGTGAGTGAACTATGTAAAACATGGTTGATGATAGTAGAAGTTCAGATAGCCCTAAGCCCTCATTCCCTTTTCGGAAAAGGTATATGCCTGACAGCCTGAGGAATGATTTGCGGATCATCCCAACTCCCGAATGCCGAGATGCGGGATGATCGACGTCACGGCGCGGCGTGTGCCCGCTCGCCAGTCAACGAGAAGGCCTGCTTCTCCACTATCGAAGAAACCCCTCGTACAGTGAAGCTGCAGAAGATCTATCCGAGTGTTGTGCTGTCGCCAACCAACTGGTACTGAGAGAAGTGTTAGCTGCTTTTTTTGAGCTTTCCGGACCCAGTTCATGGAGATAGTCGATTGACAGCTCTTGGCTTGACCAGATCTTTTCAATACGTCTTGCAATCCTTTGTCGGCCTCTCGGAACTTTCTTAGTCTGGAACAGGAAGTTTGCCCTGCTTAATCTTGCTCAACTTCAATGTACTGCAGAGTGGGACGATTCGCTGAGCTCGAGACGACGTCATTCCTACATTCCAACTATCGCGTGATATAGTCTCAATCCCGGACCCCGAGTTCACGTCTAAAATCATCACACATCACTCCATCCCCTCATTCACCATGGTAGAACCGGAAATCCAGCACATGCGCCGCTTGTCGGCAGAGAACCAGACGATCTCTAAATCCGAGATTCCTTTGAATGAACGGTTCTTCCGGTACTTCCAGCATGAAATCACCGGTATGTCGCTTCCATGTCTTCAAACCATGCAGGGTCATTGGCAGGAGGAAACTTCAATTTCTAATCTTAGCTGTTTAGCCCTCCAGCAACAAATGGACCGTCTTGAAGATACGTCTCTCGTCGGTGGTGAGCGTGCCGATGCAACAGATCACTGCCTCGCCGGCGTCGTGCGTCTGTCAAACGAGGTCAAAGATGCAGCAAGCTATATCCCCACCTACGATCAAAGAGTCTATGCAGAGGTACGCAGACTGAAGATGCTTATATCGTAACCCCAATCCTAATTTTCGCCAGGCCATCAAAGCGTTGCAGGACAAATTGAACGAGACCCGCGCCCATTTCGAACCTCGATCGAAATTCGCCTTCAAGACGAAGAAGAACGCATCGGCCATCTCCCTGAGAGATGCAGCAACACTGGCTGCGGAGGGCCGTCGCAGTATCCCGGGATATCGCTCGCCAGGAGCGTCGTCGATGGGTTCATCTGCGAATCACACCCCGAACTATCCCTCGACCCCTCTGAATGAACCGGACAAGCAACATCAGGAGAGACCGGAGCTCGCGCCGACGTCATTCCCGGGCATATTCACCAGTGACAACGAGCTAAAGCCCCCCTCTGATGCCAAGCCTCCACCGGCTTTTGCTGCTACCGGTGTGACCTCCGTCTCGGTGAACAACCATTACGGTCTACACATTATGTTGCCGTCGTCTGGATCAGTGTCTACAGTCCCCGCATCCATCACCTCTCTGAATCACTGCATTGTGGATATGTCAATTCCCACCGCCAACAGCAAACCCTTCGCTAGCTTGACTGTCAAGGACGTCGAGGAAAGTCTCTTGATCTGCGGCCAGGTCGGAGGCCCCGCACACATCACTGGCGTGGATCACAGTATAATCGTAGTATCTTGCCGGCAGTTCCGCATGCATAACTGTAAGGACGTTGATGTCTATCTCAGCTGCTCGAGTAATCCCATTATTGAGGATTGCTCAAATGTCCGGTTCACCCGGATACCGAAAGCCTATGTAAAAGTGCTCTCTCTTTTACTTTTCCTTGTATAACTGGCTAATTTCTTCTTCAGGCTTTCCACCATGACCGCCCCGACCACGAGGATCGCTGGAGCCAAGTCGAGGATTTCAAATGGATCAAGCCTGAGCCTAGTCCCAATTGGAGTCTCCTCGATCGAAGCGACGCAGTTCCCGAGGAGGTTTGGGCGGAGATCGTTCCCGGCGGGCCGGGTTGGTCGCTCGATGATATTCTGCATGCCATCAAGCTGGTTAGGGGATAAGCGGTCTTCAATCTTCTTGCCATTTGATTTGAATATTCTATTGTCGTGGAAATCAAGTTAACAATATGTCTTATCTAACTGTCGGATTAGTTCTTCAATTTTTACTCGAGTCCAATACTAAGGCCTTTACTTTCGGGCAAGTTTCTTTACAGAATTGAGAGAATGGAAGCGTGGTCGTTTCTATAATACTGCCGTCGGCTATGTACAAGTAGAGCACACATAACACAGAAATAGTCGAGTGAGCTACTCTGTCTGTACAAGACACTTAGAACTTCACCTTGAAAGCCAGAACCTGGTTGTCAACGTTGTATCCAGATTCATCCTTGTAAGGGAACTTGCCAAAGTTCATATGCCCTACAATAACGTCAGAATCAACTCTTAAGATATTTCAAACGGATTTAGACTTACCATCCTGAGTAATAAAGTCATTATCACTGAAACTAATCAGGAAATACTCGCCCCTCCCACCAGCAGGCACAAGAGCCAAAGACTCCCACTTCTCGTTCAAAAGCCACTGGTCCTGCGCACCGCCATTATGAAGACGGAACTTTCCGAGCTCCGAGTTGACATTGAAGTCCAGGAACGGACAATACTCGGCCGGGGTGATATCCGAATTGAGCACGCCCTCGGAAGAAGGAATAGCGCCAGTCGCGGTATCGTAATTTTTCAATCCCTTCAAATCGGTGGCGTTTACTCTCTTTTTCAGCACGGAAAACACATCTGCTTGACGGTACATGGACAGGCTCTCGTCTTTTCCGTGTCCGAAGCCGGAGTCGCGCGCCAGGACTAGGGAAATCGCCTGTCGGCAGTTGGTGAATCTCTGATTGTGCGGCGACCTTGTGTGCCTTACTGGCTTTCGAGGATGTATAGTCAAAGTACTTGGGCAGCATCACGACCCATTCATGGATGTACTTTGGCTTTTTTCCGGAGATGTCATACGCGATCATGCGAGCAGGCTGTTTGGTTTGCTTCGCAGGTCCGCCCTCCTGGTCGAGAGCTGATTGCATAAGCGCGTAGAGCGTCTTTCCATCCGGGGAAATGGTAAGACCCTCGAGGCCTTGGTTGTTCGCACGGCCAGTCACGGTGTTCTCGGGAATCGGGACTTCCTCCGGATCGTATAGAGGTGGCGAGTTTGAGTTAAAGCTGAGGGTGCCGTTGCGCCGAGGGAGATATGCTTGTGGGGGTTGGATGGCCAGCTCCATGCGTCCCTTGGAACTAAATTTGTAGATGTAAGGACCGTACTCGTCGGATACCCAGAACCCGCCGTCTCGGGGGTCTAGTGCCAGTCCCTCTGGATCGATAGAGATCCTGCGACCCCCTTTGCCGGGGCCGCCAAATCCATTTCCAGTGTAGGTTGCTACGGGAAGAGGCGGGAATCCGTCGTATGATCCATACCCGGTAAAGTCAGCATCTAAGCCAGTTGTTGGCTCGCCGCATGGTCCGGTCAGGAGGATTGTGTCGAGATATTCCAGGCGGATGTTGGGGTCGGAGGGGTTCTTAACCGACGCGTGGGGAGCTAGCTTGAGCGAAATGGCGAATTTATGAATTCGATTTTGGTAATTGAGGGTTCCATTGGTGTTCCTTGGAACTATGTTAGTATAATTTAGACCCTCTCGGAATAATTGATCTCACCAGCCGCGGTCCGGGAGCGTATAGACCGTGCCATGATAGGCGCCATGTCTCGAGCGCCAGGAACACGAGTCAATGGCAACAGAGCTACCGATACCACCAATCGTGTCGCCGTACTTATCCGTCGCGTTGGACGGAACGAACCCGTAGCCAGCCAGCCCGGTATACTTGTAAGTCGTACCGGCACATGTAGTCTGATTGACAACGTCGGCGGCGCTCGCAGCCACGGCCAGCAGTGAGACCACCAGAGTCGACTTCATGATGGATGATACCTGTCATTCTCAGCTGGGAACTCCGCGCTTCTTTATGCGAGCGTTCGATTCCAAAATCTCATGTCTCATGGCAGCCAAGCGTGCCAAGAGACTGAACCAGTCCAACGTGCGAGGAGACGCGATCATCATTCGCTTATCGACACTCCATCGCCAAGATGATTAGGGGTGTTGTGTTTCAATTTTCGATATTGTTTGCGGAAGGTTGAAATTAGATTAGCAATTTGATACCCCCTTCCCTCCCTTCCTACTGCGACCCTCTCTACCTGATTATGTAGGCATTGGCACTTAGATAGGTTTAGAATAACAAAACCTACACCGCTTTCTATACCGCTTCTAACTCTTCTTCTTGAACTACTTAATCTCTACCCATTTCTCTGGTCATGGAGGTCATGATGGTTATGGAGATGCGGTCAGAGGCTGGAGGATCCTCCGGAGCTGCCAGCGAGGTCAGAGAGGTGATGAGTAATCATATCAGATACATATGATTGGCTGTTAAGAGAATAGACGCAGAAAATAAGGAGAGGGCGATTGATGCGGTCAAAAAACCTGTATTTTTACATTTAAACCATAGTTAAAAATCCCTGCTGGTAAGAAAACTGACACTTGCGAAACTACGCATGATTAATTCGGCAGAAGTATAAGTGCCTAGAAATCAGGCATTGGGGGTCGGAGTATCAAATTCTTTAGATTAATGCAGGGGAAAACATCAAGTTCTGCCGACCCGGGCTTGTATAAGGCCCTCCTGGCGTCTGGAGTGTGAACGCTCGTCTGAGTTTTTCTGTCATTCACGTTGCTTGCAATTAAATTCATTGAGTTATTATTACAGTAGACAGAAATGACAAAAGCATTGGAGAATTATAATTAGGTGGTCCAGGTTGTCTCCAGTGCGGCATGCTTTTTCGCGTCCAGGCCCAAATCCTGGAAGATAGTCTGATCGCCTGTAGATAGAGTTAACGACATAATTTGATGGCATGACGCAGGTATGGGGCGTCGAAATCTTACCCTGCAGCGCCTCGACGCGCTGTTCATTTTCCTTTTCCAGGGTCTCCAATTCCTGACCCGGTTCCTGCTCGTGGGGCTCCTTGTTCCCTTCGGCAGTCGCGGCCTTTCCCAGGGAATTCTGCGCTTCGCCGATCATCAGAAACTGGGCATTGGGATATTCGATGAACTCGGGCTCCAGGGGAACCCATCGAAGGTCTCCAAATTTCTCTCGCACTCTAGCCAATGTAAAAACCGACGATCAGATAACCTTACTGGAAAATGCTTGGAAGTAACTCACGATTCAGGATATTCGGGGTCTTTGGGTAGCTGTGCAGAGGTTGGACCGGGGAACTTTGGATTCTTCGCAGAGACAATCCAGCTGCCTCGGTGACGAAGGCCGAAATTCTCCTGGATTTCACCCAGCTGTGCAGGGATGGTCAGAACGTAGGCGAGGTGGGATGTTCGCTTCGTGGACGTGATCGCATAGACACCCTCTGCGTAGGGTCTAGCCTCTTCTATGGTACGTTCGCCTCGGGTAGCTGTCTCATATGTTCTAGCCGCAACGAAATTCTCCTGCAGGTCCTTCATCGTCTGGCCAGCCTTCTCCACGAATCCCATGTCTCTTTCCTGCGGCGTGGTAGGGAATTTCTTCTTCGGCAGCATTAAGAGACGGCACCGAGCGCCTTTGTCGATAGGTCCCTGATTCTGATCCAGTTCAGCACCCAGCGGAGTGGGTCGAAGAACGAAGAAACTTCGGGCGACATCACCAACGCCATGGGGGTCGTCGACGTTGACGCGCGGGCGGAAGAAGAAGTAGATGATCCCCTTTTCCAAAATATTGGATGGCACGGTACTTTCTCTCTCTCCAGATGTATGGACCCCCAGTTCAGTGTTTGCTTCGGGCTTTGTAGGTTGGTCGATTTGGATATGAGTTCCGGGCACAGTCTCCGGCTTAGTCTCCTCCTTTGGCTTTGGTTCCGCAGCACTGTGTATCGCCGTTCCTTCAACGACTGCATGCTGCGGTTCAGGCTGCTTGTCAACCTCTATCTGAGTCCCTGGGACACTTGTAGGCTTTGTCTCAGAAACATCGTCATCTCTACTGGGTTCCACATTGGGAGGCTTTGCTTCCTGTTTGGGTTCATCAATTTTTTCTTTTTTGGGCTGGGAAACTTTTTCCCTCTTTTCGCTGGAGGCTTTGCGTTTTGATCCGGCAGATGCCTTGTCAGAAGGTTCACTCGAAGAGGCGATAGCCTCCTTCGCCTTTTGGGCGGCCTGGCGCGTCGAGGTACGAGTAACCATTGTCAATTTGCGCGGCGAGGATCAACCAATAGTGATAGTATCCAATAGCGGTGTATCAATTGATGATATCAATGTGTAAAGCAGAAGAAGCCATCATCGCGCTTTATATGTAGAAGATCCAGCGTGAGCTTGACGGCTCATGAGATACAAATGACGTCACGCCCTTTCCCCATCACGTGTTCTGGTACAACTGCAAGAACAAGAAAGCAGATGGGAAATCAATAGAGACTCAATCAATGTCCATCTCGTCGGTCAGTATAGGTTCATTGGGTGTTTCGGTGCTGCTAGCATCGGTTGAATGAAGATCTGAGCTCGAGCTCCCGGTGGAGCCGGCCTCCCGGAAATCGTACAAAGAGGCGGTGCGAGTAGCTTTGGCAGCATCCTCCGGCAGCTTACTCCTTCTTCGTCGTCGTTTCGGACCGAGACCCGGTACGGGCGCTCGTTGCTCATCTGACATAGTCTTTGATTTGGGCCGAGGAGACGGCGAGCTCTGAACATGTCCGGATCCGCTGATATTGGGTGATTTGCGCTTTTGACCTCTTCGCTGGCCTGAGGCCGTCTTCACATAGAATTGCTTGCTGGAGGATTGGCCCATGCCATCCATATATTCTGTCAAGTCACGCTGCCACCGTTCGAATGAATCCGGTAGACAAGGTAACTCTGGTCTTTGAGCAGCAATAGGCCCCGGCTCATCATCTGGTTCTTCAACATCGTAGGGTTGGCAGATCTCAATTTTTGCGCCCTCAAGGTCTGTAACTGTGTTTGGGACATCCTCATGGGTTGGGGTCGAAGGTCCTGAGCCGTTCAAGCTATGGCAACTGCCGTCTGTCGTTGGATATGCTGAGGTATTGGCGGCTGTAAATGATGAAGATTGCGAAAGCTCGGGTGCTTCAGGTAATGGCGCAGGATTTTCCACGTCCTCCATATGAAAATCTGTAAGCAGATCGTCCGTCATGCTGTATCAAATGTTTAAATGTCGGCGTATATACGCAGGCCTCGGGAGACGTCGGGAGCATCGCGTCCTCACGGCAAAATGGTCGCTGTTCTGGGAATAGATGGATGTCTATAGCAACGCGGGGTATCGTCCAAATCAATCATGAGCAACGGAGATCGTCAAGAAACGTCGAAAGGGAAAATGGAGAGAATCATCACATCATGGTCTTCCAGATGTTTCCAGCGGGGAGAGGTCCCAGATCACCAATAATAGACACTGGTCGCACCACATCCCACCCCCACCATCAGTACGGTAAACTATGAAGCTTTAATTAGCTAGTAGAATTCAAACATCAGAATTCGATAAGTAAAAGAAATTAAAGATCTATAGGTCGATCGTGCTTAGCTCCAGAAGATGAAGCGCGGACCCCTGGGCTCACCGCCTCCGGCATGATTGGCTGCCGCGGTTCGCTAAATAGAGTCCACGTTTAGTTTACCTTGCTACGTCTACGTCTTGCTACCGCTACAGCACAGGCATCCACGACTGCGGCTTCTACCTCTCTTTTCCCTGGTGGATGCGGTGGCTGTTTCTGTGATCTCTTCATTTCTCGCGTGCGGAGCTTGCTACTGTCCAGTGCGGCTCCGGCCAACTCGTCAAGATGCAGTCCTCTCCAAACATGCTCACCAAGGTACGCCCCTCGATCGCCGCGAACGCTTCTTGTCCCATCTCTACCCCGTCTTTTCGCTTGATCTCGGTCAATTGAGCTAGCTGACCCACTTCCCTCGCACAGTTTGAATCCAAATCCTCCAGAGCCAAGGGAATCGCATTCCACCCCAAACGGTCAGTCCGTCCCGCGGGGATATTTACATGCTGAAGCATCGGCACTGACCCGAAAACAGGCCATGGATTCTCGTCTCCCTTCACTCCTCCACCATCCAGCTATGGGACTACCGCATGGGAACACTTATTGACCGATTCGAAGAACACGATGGTCCGGTCCGAGGCATCGATTTCCACCCTACCCAACCCCTGTTTGTGTCCGGAGGCGATGACTACAAGATCAAGGTCTGGAACTACCAGACTCGGAGGTGCCTTTTCACATTGAACGGCCACTTGGATTATGTGCGCACGGTGTTCTTCCATCCTGAGCTTCCATGGATCTTGTCTGCGTCCGACGACCAGACCATTCGAATCTGGAACTGGCAGAACCGCTCATTGAGTAAGTGACGCTGGAGCTGTAGTTACGTGTGCTCGCTACTGACGATTGGCCTCTTCTAGTCTGTACCATGACCGGCCACAACCACTACGTTATGTGCGCTCAATTCCACCCCACCGAGGACCTCATCGCCTCCGCCTCTCTGGACCAGTCCGTCCGCATCTGGGACATCTCCGGTCTGCGAAAGAAGCACTCCGCCCCAACCTCGATTTCCTTCGAAGACCAGATGGCGCGAGCCAACCCCAACCAGGCCGATATGTTTGGAAACACCGATGCCATTGTGAAGTTCGTGTTGGAAGGCCATGACCGCGGCGTGAACTGGGTCTCGTTCCACCCGACGTTGCCCTTGATCGTGTCGGCGGGCGATGACCGACTTGTGAAGCTCTGGAGGATGAGCGACACCAAGGCTTGGGAGGTTGATACTTGCCGTGGGCATTTCCAGAACGCTTCCGCCTGTTTGTTCCACCCTCACCAGGATCTAATTCTCTCGGTCGGTGAAGACAAGACGATTCGTGTGTGGGACCTCAACAAGCGCACCTCGGTGCAATCCTTCAAACGCGACCTCGACCGATTCTGGGTCATTGCTGCCCACCCCAAGATGAACTTGTTTGCGGCGGGTCACGATACTGGTGTGATGGTATTTAAGTTGGAGCGTGAGCGCCCGGCCTCCGCCGTCTACCAGAACCAGCTATTCTACATCACCAAGGAAAAGCATGTCAAGTCTTACGACTTCGTCAAGGGCGTGGAGTCGCCCCCGATGCTTTCCTTGCGTAAGCTTGGCTCCCCTTGGGTGCCCCCACGCACCGTTTCCTATAACCCGGCTGAGCGTGCTATCCTTGTCACTTCGCCGACCGATAGCGGCACGTACGAGTTGATTCACCTTCCCCGCGATGCAACTGGAGCGGTCGAGCCCACTGATGTCAAGCGCGGCCAGGCCACATCAGCTGTCTTCGTTGCCCGTAACCGTTTCGCTGTCTTCAACCCCGCCTCCCAGCAAGTTGATATCAAGGATCTCAGCAACTCCACTACCAAGACCATCAAGCCCCCGGCCGGCACAACGGACATCTATTTCGGCGGCACGGGTTGCCTCTTGTTCATCACCCCTACCACTGTCGCTCTCTTCGACATTCAGCAGAAGAAGCAGCTGGCCGAGGTCACTGTTAGCGGCGTTAAGTATGTGGTTTGGTCCAACGACGGTCTATACTGTGCTCTGCTTAGCAAGCACAATGTGACTATCGTCACTAAGACTCTTGAGCAAGTCAGCACCTTGCATGAGACTATCCGCATCAAGAGCGCAACCTGGGATGATGCCGGTGTTCTGATCTATTCGACTCTGAACCACGTCAAGTACTCGCTGCTTAACGGGTATGCTACAAACACTCGGCTCCAACTATGAAAGAAAAAAGCTAACAATTTTTCAACAGTGACAACGGAATTATCCGCACCCTTGATCAGACAGTGTACCTTGTCCGTGTCAAGGGACGCAACGTGTACTGCCTTGATCGCAATGCCCAACCCCAGATTCTCCAGATCGATCCCACCGAGTACCGATTCAAGCTTGCCTTGGTCAAACGGAACTACGATGAGATGCTGCAGATCATCAAGACCTCGAGCTTGGTTGGTCAAAGCATTATCTCCTATCTTCAGAAGAAGGGTTACCCGGAGATTGCCTTGCAGTTCGTCCAGGACCCTCAAACTCGCTTCGACTTGGCCCTTGAGTGCGGCAACCTTGATGTTGCCATCGACATGGCCCGTGAGTTGGACCGTCCCAACTTCTGGAGTAGACTTGGAGCCGAGGCTTTGGCACATGGTAACCACCAGACTGTCGAGATGACCTACCAGAAGCAGCGGAATTTCGACAAGCTTTCCTTCCTTTACCTGGCTACGGGTGACAAAGAGAAGCTTTCTCGGATGGCCAAGATCGCTGAGCACCGTGGAGACTTCACATCTCGTTTCCAGAACGGCATCTACCGTGGGGACGTCGAAGACCGGATCCAGATGTTCAAGGAGGTTGACCAATGTATGTTATGGCCCAGCTGAATTTACCCAGCAACAAGACTGACGTATCATAGATCCTCTGGCTTATCTCACTGCCAAATCTAACGGCATGACCGAGGAGGCCGAGTCCATCCTTGAGGCTTGCGGCCTCACCGAGGACCAGATTTCTCTGCCTACAATCGAGGAACCTCTCAAGGTCCCGCACCCCATTGTTCCGACCTTCAAGTCCAACTGGCCTATCAAGGCTGCGGGTCACTCTTCCTTCGAGAAGGCCTTGCTTGGTGAAGTCGGTGCTAGCGATGAGGAGGCTGCTGCCGATGGCTTCGAGATTGAGGACGATGAGCAGGAGGCTGTTCTTGCCAAGGATACCCTGGACGATGACGAGGAGGATGCTTCTGGCTGGGATATGGGTGATGATGTTAATGTTGAGGAGGACGTTGAATTTGTCAACGTTGAAAGCCCTGAGGCTGGAGCGGGTAGCTCAGAGGCCGATCTGTGGGCTCGCAACTCCCCGTTGGCGGCCGACCATGTTGCCGCCGGTTCATTTGACACTGCCATGCAACTGTTGAACCGCCAGGTCGGTGCCGTGCAATTTGCTCCTCTGAAGAGCCGATTCCTAGAGGTCTTCAAGGCTTCGAAGACCTACCTTCCCGCCACCGTTGGCTTGCCACCTTTGGTGAACTACGTTCGAAGAACCACCGAGGAGACAGATAGCCGCAAGGTCCTCCCCATTATCCCGCGGGATCTCGAGACTGTCGCCAATGCGGACCTCCAAGAAGGTTACGCAGCCATGCGTGCCAACAAGCTGGAGGAAGGTGTGGAGATCTTCAAGGGCATCCTCCACACTCTTCTCGTCAACACGGTCTCCTCCGAGGCCGAGGTTGACCAGGCCAAGAAGATCATCTCCACTGCTCGCGAATACATCCTCGCTATGTCTATTGAGCTCGAGCGCCGGACTCTGTCTACCGACGACCCCGAGAACCTCAAGCGAAGCCTGGAGCTGTCCGCCTACTTTACCATTCCTAAGCTGGAGGTTGCTCACCGGCAACTCGCTTTGATGGCTGCCATGAAGTTCGCTTTCGCCAACAAGAACTACAATTCTGCCTTGGGCTTCGCCAACCGGATGCTAGCCAACGGCGGCTCCGCCAAGCTTCTAGATCAGGTAAGACATATCTTCTATCAGACATTGATTTCATTTTGCTAACTAGTATAAAAGGCCAAGAAGATCAAGGCTCAGTGCGAGCGCAACCCATCAGACCAGATCGACATCGAGTTCGACCAGTTCGCCGAGTTCGACATCTGTGCCGCCTCCTACACTCCGATCTTCAGTGGCTCCCCCTGCGTCACTGACCCCTTCACCGGCGCCAAGTACCACGAGCAATACAAGGGCAGCGTGTGCCGGATATCCAAGGTCACCGAGATCGGCGCACCGGCCAGCGGCCTGCGCCTGTTCGTTCCTGGCCAATATTAACTCCCCCATGACGAAGTCTGACGGTTTCCTCCACCTTTTTCTTGACATGAAGTTCTAAAATGGGTTCTTTCTTCCATCTTCTGGCAGAAGAAGTTGTGTGTTTGGCGGCGCTTTATTCCGGGAGCTCAAAATCTCCTGCAGTTCTTCCCGCTGTCTAGATGTCTTTGTACCCGAGATTTTAATTGTTAGCGGTCCTAGTTTGTATGCAATTGTTTTACACTTTCATCCTGAATTTCAATCCATAGACCTTTTCGAAAGATCCAATGCAGTGTAGTTGTATACAATAGAAATACAGTCTATACAAACAAGCCCTCCAGATGCAAAATACTATACAAAGAGGAGAGATCTAATAAGCCACCAAAGCCCGAATCATACAGCCATAGAGACAGTTCTCTCAATCGCACCGCCCATCTTTCCACCCAGTCCTCCACCTCTCCTCCCAAAATCGACAGTCAAATTCCTCCTTCCCAAGCTTCCGATTAACCTCATTATGCGCCTCGCAAAGCCACCAGCCAAAATCCTTCCTCCCACCCAGCTTCGGCTGGTTCCGTCCACTCGGATGCGCCATCCACGTCTGGAAATCATCCGCGCATACCCAGCATGGGTACAGCTTGGAGAAGAACTTCAGGAACCCACGCATGTTGTCCTGGTGCTCGGTGTTTGCCTTTTCCGGGTAAGTGGCTGCCATCGAGTGCAGAAGGCTCCAGGTTGAGCGACCTAGTTGTTCAACGTCTGGTGGGCAATCTGGGGGGATTGTGCTTGGGGAGGAGGTTGCGGGGGCTGCGAGGGGGGTTGTGGGTGTCGTGCTTGTTGTGTTGGAAGGGGAGCTTGAGCTGTCGGCTTTGGCTTGCTTGGTCAGGTTGCGCCAGGCTGCGACGGAGGTGCAGGTGCGGCAGCTGGAGAGGTTCGTTAGCTTTCGCCGATGTAGATTTCATTCAAGTGCTCAGGTACGTACGGTTTGCCATCTTTGTCGAGTACAACGCCCTTGGGCAACGGGGCCTTGGTGTCGCCGTCGGACTCTTTGCGCGAGGAGCTTGCGGGGGTCTGGTTGAATGAGTACGGTTGACCCCCTTTGGAAAATATCTGCTCCGGCGGAACCTCGGCCATTGCTGGTTGTGGGCTTGAGCGTTGCTTGGGTTGGGAGTGAGGTTACGCAGAGAGAGAAGTTCTTTAGGTTGATTTCTAATACGTGCGGAGGCGTCGGAGATCCGGAGATCGCTCGCCGTTGATCAGGAACGGCCAACTTTAACTACCCCGGTTTGACTTGGAACGTGCTTAAGTATGCCCAAGGATTATTTCCATAAATGATTTAGCTGCTTCCTTTTTCCGATCATTGTATCTTTTGTTTCAGGCGCTTGAACTTGGTCCTTGGCGTTTCCAAGTCTGTGAGTAAATTGGAGAAAGTCATTCTTCGTGGCCAATACTCTCATCATAATCTCGCGATTGAAGGGATCGGTTAATTCTGCCTCCTGCCATTTGGGTACATCTTGTGCCACATCGTTAGAAAGGTGCTCCAGGATTTTCAATGCAAAGAGCTCTCTGCACAGCTTTTGCATAACTGATCAGACTCGATATGATCTTGCCGGTATCTAAAATGAGACCGGTTATAGAGATTGGGTCCATGGTTGCAAGATGGGTCACCAGGATGCGGAGGACAATCGAATCTGGAGATAGCCTCCACACACTACTTTTCCTTTGGGAAATTTGATCGATCTGTGGCTTAGGGTAGCGGCCAGGCAGGCCCTGTGTCCAGCTCGTACAGGTCGGTAATCGACCAGGTATCATGCTCATAATTCCAACGCTGGTGAGTTAAACTGTTGCTGGCGAAATACGAGCCAATTTCGAAATAAGATTAAGCTTGAAGAATTTCTGCAGCCACCTGCAGAGGTCTGCATCCTACCTGGGGGCTAAATAGGTACAGACTGGTAGGTGTAAACTGGAAAGTCCTATTGAGGTCTCTACCTACGGGTAATAGGGTAGTTCAGGTGTCCTAAGTGGGTAGTTATTATCTAAATAAATCGCCTTCAAATCTATATGGTACAATTTAGTGCTCTCTTGCGTCATAATCGTCATGAGAATTTGGCCGCTCTGAGAGTCAACATATATACTTGCAGTTGGAGAGTTTTCATAGTTAACTGATTACCCGCAAACGAGAGAACTCTCGAATGAAACAATTAGAAGGATTATTTTGTTTATTAAAACCAATGGAAAACAATATCGATTCGTTGTGAGGTAAAGCTGGAGCTGTCTGAGACAACGGGCAAATCGCGGTCTTTGTCAGCCTTTCTGTGAAGGGTCACAGCTCCAACTTCAATCGACAACCACGCGACCGAGTGCGCATAAAGCTTTGTGTCTCCAATCCTTTGCTCGTTGCAAAAGCCCCCACCCTATAGATACGCGCCAAGCATCCCGTGTCACGTCCCAATTCTCCGCAATCCCTGCGATACCTACGCGCCCTGCGATACCTACGCGCCCTGCGAACGAATCCACGCGCAGCTCGACTATCCTATAATATAGCCATGGCGCCACGGCATAGACTCTCAGACTCGGAGTCTGAATCCGATGAGCGCTCCACTACCCTTCCGTCCGACAGGGCGTTAGAGCAAGGGCTGCGCGATCAAGTCGCCGCGATATTCTCTAATGGAAACATGCAGGACCTGACGGTGAAGCGCGTGCGCGTCGCCACCGAAAAGAAGTTGGGCGTTGAAGAAGGGTTCTTCAAGAATACAGGTGACTGGAAAGAGAGGAGTGATAGGATCATTAAGGATGAAGTGGTGAGATTCTACAATTCTATGAGAAGCGCCAACATCGCGAACAACGCTGATTTACTGATTTGGGTGTACAGGAAAAACAAGAAGGCAGGCCCAAGGAAAAAGAAGCTCAAATTGCCGAAAAACCACCTTCATCTCCACCCCAGCCTAAGAAGGCTGCTCCCAAGCGATCGAAAGGTGAAAGCGACCCCAAGCCAAGGAAACGTCAGAAGACACAAACCCCTGTGTCAGAGGAAGTGTCGGAGGACGAGGCATCGGACGAACTGGACAACGAACGTGAAGAAGATGTCGCAAAGCCCCAGAAGCGAAAGACACTCGTGAAGAAGGGGCCCAAGTCGCAATCTGCCAAAGAAAACTCGTCCGAAGCTTCTGACGTTCCGGACGAGAACCCCGATGCTGCCAAGCCGACTGTGGAACCCACGAATGATGATTCGGAGAGTGAAATGTCCGTAGTCCTGGATGACGAGCCTAAGCCTGCGCGCAAGAGATCAAAGAGCACCGAGACGGCTGGAAAGAAAGAGAAAAAGAAGGCCGCTCCCAAAGGCAAGGGCAAAGAAGAAGATCAGGATCCGGACCAGGCAGAGATCAAAAAATTACAGGGGTGGCTTGTCAAGTGTGGAATCCGCAAAATGTGGTGGCGAGAGCTTCAACCGTATGAGACTCCTAAGGCGAAGATCAAGCATCTTAAGCAGATGCTGGAGGATGCAGGGATGAAGGGCCGGTATTCTCTCGACAAGGCCAAAGCTATCCGTGATGAACGGGAGCTCAAGGAGGACCTGGAAATGATCCAGCAGGGGGCAAAATATTGGGGGACTGGCGAAGATGAGGGTAGCGATGAACCTCCGCCGCCTCGAGCTGCTCGAGGTCGACAGGCGCTCGCATTCCTGGAGGATGAGGATCAGGATGAAGAGAGCGATTGACCTTAAGCGCTCATCGAGTGTTCAGCTGGCAGTAGTTCCGGAAATTTTCCATGTTATCACATCCAATAACGATGCTGACCGTTTGTAATTTGTTGTCAGGGTGTCTCATAGCGTAGACTCAATCATTTGGCGGCTTTGGTCCCGCTCATGCGCTGAGCGGCCAAGCTGAAGACAGCCACGGAAGAGATAAAAAGCACGAGGTTGTAGAACTACCGTCAAAGTTAGAATATTTCATGCACGGGCGGTTGGGGGCGTTCGTACAGCCGTGCGGGAGTACTCGTTCTCCTCGACCTCCGTTCGGGCCTCGACGAAGAGGCGTCGCAAATTGGGGAGATTGGCCTGAAGATGCATTAGCCTTGGCGCTGTCACAGTTCTCACTAAACGATCAAAACCCACCATGGAGACGAGTAGTGCGAGAAGTCAGAGAGAGCAGAGAAGCTGACGGGAATTAAAGGGAGGTCGAGCGGGAAGGTCCAGAGCCCGCCATTTGTGGACAACTTTTGATCGCCCAAGCACCCTTTCTCTCCCTCTCTCCATCGTCTTGTTCCTTCTCAGCTTCACTCATCCATTCGCCCTCCTTTCTCTCCTATACTCTACGACGGGGGGAATGGTCAGAATCTGCCGTCTCCGACCGCTACCTCCACCTCCTACCACGTCGCGCGACCGTAACAGCTCTCGATTCCCCGCAGTCGCCTAACACCCCGACTTTCCACCTCCATCCCCGATTTTCATTGGCGGAGGCACGACCTTGTCGTTGCTGAAGCTTCTTTTACCTCAGCATGGCGATGAACAAGATCCGAGGCGCCTTCGCTGTGCCCCGGAAAGGAGAGACGTTTGAATTGCGAGCTGGCCTTGTGTATGGGGTCCCCCTCTGAAAACATGTGGCGGCTTTGCCATTATGAATGACGAATGACGCTGACTTTTGGAATAGTTCCCAGTATGCCTACGAACGGTACGTCGGTTCTGCGAACTCGCACTCGAAGTTGATGGTAGAGGGAGATGGACGTGCTGACAACCCGATAGGAAAGAGTCCATCCAGAAGACAATCATGGCCATGACTCTGGGCAAGGATGTTTCTGCTCTCTTCCCCGATGTGCTCAAGAACATCGCAACTGGCGATTTGGAACAGAAGAAACTGGTCTACCTGTACCTCATGTGGGTATTCTTCTAGCTGGGAATCGAAGGCGCACACTGATCGGTCCCTTTCCCCAGGAATTACGCCAAATCGCATCCAGATCTTTGCATTCTCGCCGTCAATACGTTCGTGCAAGACTCGGAAGACCCGAACCCGTTGATTCGTGCCCTCGCCATTCGAACTATGGGCTGCATTCGCGTGGAGAAGATGGTGGACTATATGGAGGAACCGCTGCGCAAGACCCTTCGTGACGAGTCGCCTTATGTCCGCAAGACAGCTGCGATCTGTGTGGCAAAGCTCTTCGATTTGAACCCGGCTATGTGTCTTGAGAATGGATTCTTGGAGATGCTGCAGGAGATGATCGGTGATCCTAACCCGATGGTGGTGGCCAACTCAGTAACTGCGCTTTCGGAGATTTCCCATACGGCCCCCGAGACCCAGGCCTTGCAAGTGACTCCCAACACACTACGGAAGATGCTTATGGCATTGAATGAGTGCACGGAGTGGGGACGAGTGACCATTCTCTCGACCTTGGCAGAGTACCGGACCGCCGACGTGAAGGAGTCGGAGCACATCTGTGAGCGTGTCGCACCTCAATTCCAACATGCCAACCCCAGTGTGGTTCTTGCGGCAGTCAAGGTTGTCTTCTTGCACATGAAGTTTGTCGGCCCGGAGCTGGCGAAAACCTATCTGAAGAAGATGGCCCCTCCTCTTGGTATGTACCAAACGTATTTGTTCCTGTGGAAGCATTTTACTGACCAGTAACAGTGACACTGGTATCTTCCGCTCCTGAAGTGCAATATGTGGCTTTGAGAAACATCGATCTTTTGCTGCAGAAACAGCCTGATATCCTCAACAAAGAACTTCGAGTGTTCTTCTGCAAATATAACGACCCCCAATATGTCAAGTTCCAGAAGCTGGAGATTATGGTGCGGATAGCAAACGACCGCAATGTTGACCAGCTCTTGGCCGAGTTGAAGGAATACGCTCTGGAGGTGGATATGGACTTTGTTCGACGTGCCGTCAAGGCCATTGGCCAGGTTGCTATCAAGATAGAGAGCGCCAGCGAGAAGTGCGTGAACACACTGCTGGACTTGATCAACACCAAGGTCAACTATGTCGTCCAGGAGGCTATTGTTGTTATCAAGGATATCTTCCGAAAGTACCCCGGCTACGAAGGTATCATCCCTACTCTGTGCCAGTGCATCGACGAGCTAGATGAGCCTAATGCCAGAGCGGCTCTGATCTGGATTGTGGGTGAGTATGCCGAGAAGATCAGCAACGCTGGTGATATCCTGGGTAGTTTCGTCGATGGATTCAACGAAGAATTCTCTCAGACTCAATTGCAAATCCTCACAGCGGTGGTCAAGCTCTTCCTCAAGCGGCCCGAGAAGGCCCAGGGCCTTGTCCAGCGAGTTCTCCAGGCCGCCACTGCCGAAAACGATAACCCGGATGTCCGTGACCGAGCGTATATCTACTGGCGTCTCTTGTCCAACACCAGCGATTCGAACGCCACCAAGAACATTGTCCTTTCGGACAAGCCTCCTATCGTCACCACCATTTCCTCATTACCGCCAGCTCTCCTGGATCAGCTCCTCCAGGAACTGTCTACTCTTTCTTCCATTTACCACAAGCCCTCTGAGCAGTTTGTTGGACAAGGTCGCTTCGGTGCCGATGCCGTCCAACGAGCCGCCATCGAGTACGTTTCAGCTCACCAATCTTTTTATGCCTACGCTAATGCCTTTCCCCAGGGAACAACTTCAAAATGCACGCGAAAACCCCCTAGCTGCGGCTGCAGCCGCCGCGGTCAGCGGCGACACGCCCTCGGCGCCTGCGCAAAACAACATCGAGAGCTTGCTGGACATCGATTTCGACGGTGGCGCCCCTGCATCCGCACATCCAGAGGCATCAGGTGGCATGTCAGGCCTCGAGGGTCTAGCCGGCACCCCAGTTCGGATGCAGTCCCCTGCTGTCGGTTCTCCTGCACCCCAGGCAAGCAACAACCTGGACGACTTGCTGGGTGTGTTTGGGGACTCTGGGCCTGCGCAGCCGTCATCTAGCGACGCGAATGGTAGTGGAGCTGCCGGTGATCTTATGAATGGGTTCTCGGGCCTCGACCTGTCGAGCAATGCGCCTCTGGCGGACAGCCAGCCTAAGAAGTCGAACCAGGATATCATGGACCTGTTCTAGAGAGTTGGGGTATAGCGGTATAGCTGGTTGTATTTCTTATATCCCGTATTTCGCAAGCGAGGGTCTGAACAGAACGAGATAGAATGTTTGCTTCTTTTACGTGTTTAATTTTTTCCCCTTTCTTATCTGCATTCCTACACTGTCGGATTACAAAAGGGCTTTGCTACATCTTTACGAAAAAAACATCCGTCGTTTATAACTGTCCCTTATCCACTAGGATATTTTGTACGTCATGGCGTACATGACGCATGTCAGCCACAACGGAGCCAAAGGAGATAAAGTCCTTAGCGCCGGCAAAGTACTACGTAGGTTAAAACTCGGGGAGAAGCAAAAATCCTCGGCTCCACAATGGAATTAACGGTAATGGAAGTACTGTAGTTCCGAATATGCGGTCTGTATAGAGCCAATTACGGTTAACCTTCGGAACCCAGGACTATCGGCGGCATTTCATTTGCACAGTAGGTAGAAGCCGAGATTAATCTTTGGCTATTCAAACCCACTTGCCGAGTGAAGCACGACTCCGATGCCAAACACCGACGAATTTGTCCCGCTGGAACCGTGCTGCTTACCAATTTTTCGGGATTCCACTCCGGTTCCATACAACTTGGTGGATCACCCTCTGTCGGGTCACGTATAAATAGACCGTTCATGCCGGCCGATAGAAACCAAAGACCTGTAACCTCAAGGAATTTCACACTATGACACAGACTGACTACAAGTTTGAGGGCTGGATGGGCCTCGACCCGAGCTCCAGCGCCGGCAACATGGTTTGGCAGGAGTTTGAGCCCAAGACGTGGGAAGAGACCGACATTGACATCAAGATCTCGCACTGTGGTATTTGTGGTTCCGATCTACATGTGCTTAACAGTGGTTGGGTGGGCTATCAACTTATTCTATACCTTTTTATGAGATCTATATACTAACTTCTTTCCAGGGCTCTACTATGTACCCCTGCTGCGTCGGCCACGAGATCGTGGGCACTGCCGTGCGCGTGGGATCCAAGGTGACCAATATCAAGGTCGGAGACCGCGTGGGAGTTGGTGCCCAGAGCGACTCTTGCCAGGGTCGTCAGGGTGACTGCGAAGAGTGCGCGATGGGCCTGGAGCAGTACTGCAGCAAGAAGATGACCGCCACGTACGACAGCACCCACTGGAACGGCGACAAGGCGTACGGTGGATATGCGACATACAACCGTGTTCCGGCACACTTTGCCGTCAAGATCCCCGATACCATCTCATCGGCGGCAGCGGCGCCTATGCTTTGCGGTGGCGTCACTCTGTACAGCCCGTTGAAGCACAATGGCTGTGGACCCGGCAAGCGCGTTGGGATCGTTGGCGTTGGCGGTCTCGGCCACTTCGGCGTGCTCTTTGCCAAGGCCATGGGAGCTGACAAGGTCGTTGCTATCTCGCGCAAGAGTGGCAAGGCTGAGGATTCGCTAAAGATGGGTGCGGATCTTTACATTGCGACTGATGACGAGCCGGACTGGGCGACCAAGTACTCCCGCTCTCTGGATCTGATCGTGTGCACTGTTTCATCTATTAAGGTGAGATTCCTGTCGGGTTGAGTGCTGACTGAATTAAAGTGCTGACATGCAGTACAGATGCCGCTGACCGGTTACTTGGGACTTCTGCGCACCGGTGGCACCATGGTCCAGGTCGGTCTTCCCGAAGAAGGTGGCCTCTTTGCCCCTGTGCGCCACCTTATGCGCCGTCAGAAGCTGGAGAGTTCGTTTATTGGCAGCCCGAACGAAATCCGCGAGATGTTCCAGCTGGTGGCGGACAAGGGTATCCAACCGTGGATTGAGGAGATCCCCATGAAGGACGCCAACAAGGCGATTGTGGATCTGGAGGATGGCAAGGCACGCTACCGTTACGTGCTGGTGAACGAGTGAATACCCGCATAAATATAGACATAGAGATATAGACCGAAAATAGAAACGCAAATCAAAAGTATAAAGACGCCCACGTGACGCCGCTGTCGGAGACGCTAGGCCCGATTCGGCATAACAGATCGGAGTTCGATGCTCCTCCCCGCCATGATTCACCTCTTTTCTTTCTACCGGTCTCACGTCGTTTGCTGCTCGTTTTTGGTCAATTGGATACGTTCTTGACCACGCAATCATGTCACCGACTCTGTCGCAACAATATCTTAGCACACGAGGTGCTGAGTACGGGGTGAGTCGAAAAAATAGTGGGGTGGCTCACGGCGCATCTCTCTTCGCGCACACGCCATGTACCCATGAATGTCACTCGTTACGCACGGCTAAGACGTCTTTTCAATATAGCTCTCGTTCGAAGACGTCGTTCTCAAGGGTCTCGCCAGCGATGGTGGCCTGTTCGTCCCCGAAGAAATCCCCGCGCTGCCCGCCTCGTGGGAGACCGAGTGGCGCAACCTGAGTTTCGAGGATCTCGCCTACGAGATCATGAGCCTGTATATTTCGAAGGATGAGATCCCCGCCGATGATCTCAAGGATATTATCAAGCGGTCATACTCGACTTTCCGTCACCCGGAGCGCACTCCGCTGTTCGATCTGGACTCCAAGCAGGGCCTCTACTTGCTTGAACTCTTCCACGGCCCTACCTTCGCCTTCAAGGACGTTGCACTCCAGTTCCTGGGTAACCTTTTCGAGTACTTCCTTGTGCGGAAGAACCAGGGCAAGACTGGCAAGGACCGGTAAGTGTGACTCATCACTATCAATCAGCACAGAAATCTAATCTATCTCCAAGTCACCATCTCACCATTGTCGGCGCAACTTCTGGCGACACTGGTTCCGCGGCTATTTATGGATTGCGTGGCAAGAAAGATGTCTCCGTCTTCATCACATTCCCTAACGGCAGAGTCTCGAGCATACAGGAGGCTCAGATGACCACAGTGTTGGATGCTAATGTTCACAACCTCACTGTGGAGGGATCATTTGATGATTGCCAGGATATTGTCAAGGCCCTCTTTGCTGATAAGGACTTGAATACCACCCACAACATCGGTGCTATCAACAGGTACGTTTATGGTTTCTGCTTGAGACTTTCAATCCGACGCTAATATCCCCAATAGCATCAACTGGGCCCGCATCCTGGCGCAGATGACATACTACTTCTACTCCTACTTCTCCCTGACCAAGTCACCTGCTTTCACCGAGGGATCGAAAGTCCGCGTGGTCGTGCCCTCTGGAAACTTCGGTGACATCCTTGCCGGCTGGTTCTCCAAGCAGATGGGCCTGCCCGCCGACAAGCTGGTCATCGCCACCAACGAGAACGATATTCTGGACCGCTTTTTCCGCAGCGGCGGCCACTACACGAAAAAGGCCCTCGACACGCCCACCGACGGCGTCAAGGAAACCCACAGCCCCGCCATGGACATCCTGGTCAGCAGCAACTTCGAACGTCTGCTCTGGTTCCTCGCTTTCCGCAGTGACAACGGCAGCACCGCCTCCGAGCGCCGCAAGCACGCCTGCGAAAGCGTGAGCAAGTGGTTGAACGAGCTCAAGTCTCAGGGCGGCTTCCAGGTCCCCAGCGCCGTTCTCGACGGCGCCAAGGCCGATTTCGAGAGTGAACGCGTTAGCAATGATGTGACTATCGCTACTATCCGTGAGACGTATGTTTCTTGCAACGGTTACGTCCTCGACCCTCACACTGCCGTCGGCATCGCCGCATCGCGCCGCTCTATCCAGCGTAACCCCGGCGTTAGCCACATTTCCCTGTCTACCGCCCACCCAGCCAAATTCGCCAGTGCTGTTGACCTGGCTCTGCGCGCAGAGAGTGGTTATGATTTCACTACTATTTTGCCGCAGGAGTTTATCGGCCTTGAGCAGCGTGAGCGCCGCGTTATTGCGGTACCCCAGGGTGCTGGCTGGGAGGGCGTGAAGGAAATTGTTAAGACTGAGGTTGAGAAGGAGCTGCAGGGCTCGCACTAGATACATTGATTTATTGCATAGAAGATCCCTTCCAGTCTGTTTAGTCTTTTCATGTGGCACTTTGTGTCGGCCTCGAGAGTTCATATACAGACTGGCATTATGACTGAAAACATTCCATTTCAAAATGTTGAATTGAGTTTCATATACTATATCGAACATGTTGCAAATGCACACAAACAATCCTGGAACCTTCAATGATAAGACACTAATAGTCAATCTCACTCACAAGAACTCATAGGCGGCTCACTCAATATCCTTGCCCAGCAAACTTGGAAGGACAAGTAACTCCGGCAACCTACTCCGGTTCCAGGGTTGATTCTTTGGTATTTTCTATTTTACAAAGGTACTGGGCGTGACTATGGTAACAGTCAATTACCACCTGAGCATGGTACCCTGTGAAATTTTGGAAGCACTTTACTAACAAAATTGCCGCAAACGGAGATATTGCTTGCGCAACTTTTTTTCCCCAACCTTGGAATTCCAAGGTTCCAGTTTACCCCTGGGCACGAAGGAAAATATACTGTACTAGCAAAGGAGGCCATGTATGTAGCCTTCATATGCTGACATTAAAATAACCAACTACAGTAGAACCAAAAATCCAGCAAAATGTATTACCATTAAATATAATATAGATCTGACTCGTAGTGGAAAACAAACAAAATCTCGAATGGCCAAGCAACTCTTCTACCCTCCGGCCCTGTCAAGGCGGAGGAAAGACCAAGCGGGCCTTTATCGCGCACAACAGCCAGAACACAACAAAGCAATTCCCTGAATAACCACGATTTCCGATTCCCACCACGAAAACCAAGACAAAGGGCGCAAGCAGGTACTAAATTCTTTTTCAGCAGCACCAAAGGATGGAAGCCGCTTACTCAATGGCTACCTGACTTACAGGAGAGCCATGAGACCGACAACACCAGCCAGGAGGCCAGCAGCGGGCTTGACAGCCGAGGCAGCGCCGGTGAAGGGAACGGAGCTGGCCTGGGCAGAAGGGTGGGCCTCAGCGGGGGTAGAGGGCTGGGACTCAGCGGGCTGGGACTCAACGGGCTGAGCGGGTTGGGACTCAACAGGGACAGCGGGCTTGGGAACAGCGGGCTGGGACTCAGCAGGGACGGCGGGCTGGGACTCAACAGGGACGGCGGGCTGGGACTCAACAGGGACGGCGGGCTGGGACTCAACAGGGACGGCGGGTTTGGAGGACTCGGGAACAGCCTTAGAGGTGGGAATCACAACGGGGGCAGTGGGTGCCTTGGTGGGGGGCATGGTAGAGTTCTGGAAGGTCATGGGCTTCTCCTCGCACAAGGTGCAGACAGTAGTCTGGGTGATGGTGATAGTGCTAGTCCCGGTGACGGGCACGGTCATGGTCTTGGAGCCAGAGGTGACAACAGACGAAGAGACTGATATTGATGTTAGCTGGAAGTATTTCCCTTGATTGTAGATATCAAGACATACCAGGGCAGGTGGTGGTCACAATGGTGATGGTCTTGGTGGTACCAGGCTTCACCGGGGTGTGAGTGGTGGTGTGGTGAGGCTTGGTGTGGGTGCTGGTGCTGGTGGTGTGGTGAGGCTTGGTGTGGGTGTGGGTGCTGGTCGGGGTGGTGCTGGTCTCGGTGGTGCTGGTGGTGCACTCGGTCGACGACCAGGAGTAGTGACCTCCACTAGGGCGGTTCCACTCCGAACCCCAGTTCTCAATCTCCCTGTCGGGGACGGGCTGGGCAATACCGGCAAAGGCCGGACTGGCAGCAAGAGCCAGAAGAGCAATGTTGCGAATCATTTTGAGAGGTTGAAAGGGTTTCCAAAAAAAAAAACTTGGGACAGATCTAAAACGAGTGAAGGTGAAAGAGGAAAGAATGAAGGAAGATTCGAAGAGCGAGATGCCGGCTTATATGCCCTTTCCGACGAGTCCTCAGAGTCATGACGGAGATGGCTGCCACGGTTGTGTTTAGGAGAGCAAAGGCTGCCCTGGTCCACATCGAGGTGTCTTTTGGCTGAAAGCAGGAACTGTGATTGCTGTTTCGTGGATGGCAGAGGCACCGATGGACGGCTATAGGGCGAAAAGAGTGGGCAATGATACGTCCATATGCTGGTGTAAGATGCAAACGTGACATCCTGCAGTATCATCCCAGGGAGGAGTCCTTCCGGGGCTCCACAAGATATCCCAATGCGGAAAAGACATTGACAAGAAAGCTCCCGATCATCGATCAATGATGTGCCAAAAAGCTTAGGAGACATGTGGCTTGACTAGACATGTGTGCTTGACTAGGTTCACGTCGATCAAGAATGTCAAACTAACTTGCAAGAGAGTAGCTGTAGTTTAGCTATCAAGAAAAGTTGATCTACGAATGTACCCGACTCGTTCGCCAGGGCAGACACACGAACAGAACAAACGCATTGACAAGAGCAGATCAGCAGCGGCGGCCTAATCAGGACGGATTCGGAAGGTTGGCCAAAGCTCCGGCCAGAGCCGGGAGGTCGGGAAGCGGATGAGCAATTGCGGAGATCTATTGTCCGCCAATTGCGGCGTTTTCACAACTTGGGTAAAACGTCCCTGAGAGCTAACGCCATGCGACAGAGTGTCAGCCATGGCGATCAAGTGCAGCCACAAGGCTGTGGTTGCTAATCGGAGCGTTTCCTCCTAGCTCAGGAATGTGGAGCAGATCAAACGCTTGCAGATCATCCATTGCCGTTGGTGGTAAAAATTAGACAGGAATGTGAGATGATGGTCAATCGGGTTGAAGGCAAGCCGCATCCCGTCTAAGAAGTGATTATTCAAGTTTATGGATGGAAATCGATCTGACAGCACCCATAAATGTGTCAATAGTTGGATGGTCCATGACGACGTGACCGTAAGATGACACCGGATTTGATTCAGAGCCCACAGAGAAAAGAGTGGGTTTGCACCAAAGAGGAAACTGGGCTCTCCAGCATATTCCAAAGCCGGGCAGGAAAGAAGAACAGTCGAGTGGACCTTGTACCTTAGCTGTACGCTAGGTTGGACACCGGTCAAAGTCTTGCTGTCATCCAAGAATCCGCGATGAGTGGCAGGTACTGCAGAGATTTTCTGGCCGCAAACGGCAAGGGGTAGCGAGGAGACTAGGGTTGACTCGAGGAGACAGTTGTCAGCTCCATTTGGGGGTGGACGTTGACTGAAGTTGATTGACGTTGACGGCACTGGCCGTTTCCGGTATGATTGATATAGATCACGTGAATAGGGTTAGGGCGCGACGCGTCTTCACGCGTTGTCGCGGCTTCCTGTTTGGGTCAAGACGGGCCTCTCTCATCGCATCCCAACCTTCAAACTGCCCAATCGCACACCATGCCGCACTCAGTGTCGCCTGCTGGATCGTCTGAACGAAAAGATGAGGAAATGGCCGATGTCCCTGCGGCGTCTGCTCCAGAGGGAGGTGTCAAATTGGAGGACATGTTTGACGGCGATGATGACGAGGAGTTCCCGGCTTCCAGTGCGCAGGACGTGAAGATGGAGTCGTCCCCAGTCCCAGCGCCAGCAGGGTAAGTCCATACATGCTTACTTTCAACTGGCAGGTTGCTGACTTGAAACCCTGCGACAGGCCTGCCCCTGTCCCGAGCGGCGTTGACACCGACGTGATGCTCATGTTCTACCAGCGCCTTTTCCCATTCCGATATCTGTTTCAGTGGCTGAACCACGGCATTGTGCCCACCCGAGACTTTGGCAATCGAGAGTTTGCTCTGACTCTCCAGAACGATGCCTACCTCCGATACCAGTCCTACCCCACCGCGGATCTGTAAGTCCCCGTGCCAGTCTTTTCAATAGAAACTCGAAGCTTATTCTCTTCACTGCAGTTTCCGAAAGGATATTCTCAAGATGAACCCATCTCGCTTCGAAATCGGTCCTGTATATAGCACAAACCCCCGTGACCGCAAAACACTCAGAGGCGGCCAGATGAAGCCGGTATCCAAAGAGCTGGTTTTCGATATCGATATGACGGATTACGACGATATTCGAACATGTTGTCAAAAGGCAAATATTTGCCACAAGTGTTGGGCGTTCGTGACAATGGCAATCAAGGTCATCGATACCTCCCTGCGGGAGGACTTCGGGTTCGACCACATTCTCTGGGTCTACTCCGGTCGACGTGGTGCTCACGCCTGGGTTTGCGATCCAAGTGCGCGGTCTTTGCCTGACGATCGGCGCAGGGCGATTGCAGGCTATCTCGAAATTCTCCGCGGAGGCTCATCAAGCGGTAAAAAAGTGAACCTGAAGCGGCCGCTCCACCCGCATGTTACGCGGAGCCTCGAGCAACTCAAGAACCATTTCGCTCAGACTACCTTGGTCGACCAAGATACTTTTGCTAGTACTGAGCAGGCTGAGAAACTCCTGTCATTACTTCCAGACAAATCCTTGAATGAGGCCCTGCGGAGGAAATGGGACTCGTCCCCAGACCGCCCCAGTACCAGCAAATGGGCAGATATCGATGCTTTGGCAAAGACTGGAAAGAGTAGCACTCTGAAGCCTGCGACGCTCCGGGACGCGAAGCAGGATATTGTCCTGGAATATACCTACCCCCGTCTCGATGCCGAAGTCAGCAAGAAGATGATTCACTTGCTGAAGAGTCCCTTCGTCATTCATCCTGGCACTGGCCGAGTCTGTGTACCCATCGATCCTAAGAAGGCTGATGAATTTGACCCTCTGTCCGTGCCTACCGTGATGGAACTCCTCGCGGAGATTGACGCGTACGATGCGAAATATCCTGCGGGTACCCAGGAGGTCGAAATGCCCGATATGGAGGGAAGTGCGATGAACTCGGATGCCAAGAGTACTCGTAAGCTACAGGATTACGAGAAGACCCGCTTAAAGCCATACATTGATCACTTCCGGTCCTTTATCGCTGGTCTGCTCAAGGAGGAGCGTGTGGCCAAGCGAGAACGCGACGACACTGCCCCGGCAGTAAAAGCCGATCCAATGGAATTTTGATCTCTTTGAGTATCAGGGATTGTCTACTCATGACCTTATGCATCGTTATTTCTCATTGCTCCCTGGTGGCTCGGGTAGCTTTCATCAAGGCGTTTTTGGTTGTTTCTCATGAGCCTATGTCTGTCCTATAATTATCAAATTTTGATTCTCGACAACTCGAATTGCAACGAAGCAAAGACTGTTGTTCACGGCTTAATATCCGTTCTGTTCTGTTCTGTTCTGCTCTGCTCTGTTCTAACCCACTGCGGAGAGAAGTGGTCTCCTCGAAATCCCCGGAGGTCCAGCTATAAGTATAAAAGAGGCTTCTCGTGGGATGCGGGTGCTTTAGGAAAAGAAGTAAAGATATCAGAGTTTGTTTGTATATTTGAGGATATTGGTACATTGGGTTTAGATGGTAACACCATACATAACCATTTTGCTTGGAGTATTACAACACAAAGAAAGAGAGAGGTGAGACGCGGAATATCAGCCATGAACATTTCAAACGTCCACGGCAATCCTAGGGGCTGATGATGTGAAGGGGGGCAGGTCGGAATCATCACTTAAGCAGCAACGAATTTGCGGACATCTTGAACCACGGCGTTAGTTATATGATCAACAAATAAAAAGAATGGCACAACTTACTGTTCAACCACCGGACATACTCCTTCTGCTCCTTGAACGCAATGTAGTCGGTGACCATATTCTGGAACTCGAGGTTCAGACCACGCTCCTCGAGGTAACGGCCCCAGAAAGCAAGTAGTTCGGGGTCGAGGTTCTCAGCGGGAGGACCGGCGTAGAGGCTCTGGCGGGCCCAGTCCTTCTCGGCAGTGTGGGCGTTCGCAACATCGGCGTTGGCAAAGTGCGAGATCTCCTCGATCTGGAGGTCACCGTCCTGGATGACGGCCTGGATCAGGAGGGCGCCGTTGTCGGGCTTCTCGACAGTGACGTTGACGCGAGCGGGGAAGGTAGGGGGCAGGATCTCATCCTCGTTCTCGGCCTTGTTCTGGTGGTTCTGGAACTCGCCCTCGTCACCGAGAGCGTCGTCGTGGAGCTCATCCATTGGGTCCTCGGAAAGGTTGTTGATGTCGGCGACGGTGAAGGTAACGCGGACACTAGATAGAGAGAAAAAGTCAGTATGGAATAGAGATTTTGTACTTGGTGGAACATACGTCTCGTTGCCGAACTTCTTGGTCAGGACAACCTCCTGCTCACCCTCGACGTCCTTGGCTTGCCACTCGCCATTCTGCAGAGTGTAGTCGATGCTCGCCTGCTGCTCACGCGCATCCTCGACACCGGAAGCCTTCTCGTGCTTGAGTTCCTCCTCGAGCTTGGCGATAAGCTCAGCGTCACCTAGAAAAAAAAACATTCGATCATCAGCCAATTTTCTCTCCAAATCGAACGGACAAAAGATTCGGAATTGACGGAATTGCAAGGTCAATCATTTACATACCCTCTCCGGCGGGCTCCCGGAAAACACTGGAAGTGGAAAAGGCAGCGTAGGCAGGCTTGGTGGCCTGCTTCCAGGGCTGAACGAAAGCGGGCTTGGGGAGAACGGCCGGGCGCAGCGAGGTGCGGGCGACGGAGCGCGAGAAGCGCGGGACGGAGCGGGTGAAAGCACGAAGGGACAACATTGTGGATGGAGATGAAGTTTAATGGGTTGGGATGGGGGAAGCTTCGAGGAGGAAAAGAAGCCCGGATGATGTTGCGCTAAGCTCGACCATTTTCTGGCACCGCCCGGAGGATCTGCCGCTTTCTATTTATTTCATTTCGAGATTCACAGTTGGAATGGATTGATACTATTTGCAAGACTTTTATACTCTTAGCTGCACCCATATGCGCCAATCGTCCACACAGTCACATCCGAAATAGAAAATAAAAAATAAAAAATCGTAAGATCTAGAGGATATCCGTAATCATGAGATGCTCTTGGGCGGGAAACTTGAGGACTGCTTCACTCCGGCTTGAGTCAAGCGAATGAACTTCAGCGGGCTCAGACCTGACCATTGTCCATTCCAGGCCTTCAGAGCAACAAGAACATCCTCGTCGCTCATGTCTGGCATCCAGAAACCTGTCTTGAATTCCTTCTCCTCGGTCTGCGTCCGTTGGGTCAAGGCTTCCTCTCGCCGGATAGGCGGCCGGCCTTTGCGTCGTTCTTGCTGCAGCTGCGCCAGCTCTTCCTCGTCGCGGTTGATACATCTGTGGTGTGTTAGTCCATGACTGTAAGTGGGGGTGCGGAATTCCACATACTTGGTAACCATGTCGGCCAATTCAGCGTCGGAGAGGGGGCTTTCAACCGTTTGAACAGCGTCGTGGAAGTAGTGGATTCGGTCCACTATGACTAGTCAGTGGGAGCGTAGCCAACCTCGAGAAAAATTGCGTACAGTATGGCCGGCGGCCTTTGTCAACGTTCGCTGCATGCTTGATCAGGCGCTCGTCACGGGCACCGGCACGGCGCAACCGCTGGGCGTCACGGCTGTTCTCGTGCATGGCACCAATGGCACCACGCTTCTTGGAGATGTGCTTCTGCACCTTCTGGAGATTGCGTTGAGGCATAGCTGTAATCTTATCGTCTGCAAGATTCAGCGCAGCGCAACAATTATTTTCGGGAACATGCAGAATCGGGCGGTGAGGTCCTGGCTACCGCCTTCCCGTTTCTGCCCAAATCGCGTCTGCGCGTCGAGAGGAACAAACAAGAACAAACATTCCCAGTGATGGGGGTATTTCCTCGGTGATTCTTTGCTTGTTCTCTTGGTCTTATCTTCATTTTCTTGCTTGTGACGCGTTGGCCCTCATAAACTTGGAACCGAATGTTATTGCTTCTCGAGTAAATACGAGGACCTGAGGACCCGCCCGTACCTCGACCGGTGCCCGCCATGGGTATCAAAGGTACGTTACCATGGGCAGAGAGCAAAGGGGGAACAGGCTAACAGGAATAGGACTCCATGGTCTCTTGAAATCCATTCAAAAGCCATGTCATCTCAAGAATTTCAGTGGACAGACTCTCGCAGTGGACGCTTATGGCTGGCTACACCGCGGTACAGTCGCGTGTTCCGTGGACTTGGTCCTGGACAGGCCAACAAGGAAGTGAGCGATCATGGAATAACCCTGGATGTTCAGATGGAAGCTAAACTCGGTGACAGGCATATTGATTTCGTCCTTCATCGAGTCCGCATGCTCCTCTACTTCGGCGTCACACCCTATCTCGTGTTCGACGGCGATAACCTGCCCAGCAAAGCAGGCACGGAGCAGGATAGGCATCGCAAACGGCAGGAGAGCAAAGCTTTGGGATTAGAGCTACAACGCAAGGGCCGAATGCCAGAAGCTTACCAGGAGTTTCAGAAGGCCGTCGACGTCACGCCCTACATGGCCCGCCAATTGATTGAGGAATTGAAAACGATGAAGGTAGAATATGTGGTGGCACCTTACGAGGCTGATGCACAGATGGTGTACTTGGAGCAGCAAGGTCTGATCCACGGGATCATTTCTGAGGACTCCGACTTGCTTGTGTTCGGAGCCAAGAGATTGTTGTCAAAGTTGGATCAACACGGGGATTGCATTGAAATCAACAGGGCGGATTTCACCGCCTGTCGTGAAGTGAGCCTCGTTGGATGGAGTGATGCAGATTTCCGGCGCATGTGCATTTTGAGTGGATGTGATTATTTGGTCAATATCCCTAAGATGGGACTGAAAACTGCCTACCGCAGCATTCGCAAGCATCGAACGGTGGAGAAGGCGCTGCGCATGGCTCAGTTCGACGGCCAATTCCAGGTCCCTGCTGACTACCTTGCGAACTTCAAGCAGGCTGAGCTTACTTTCCTCTACCAACGGGTGTTTTGTCCCAACGCCAAGAAACTCGTGACACTCACAGTCCCGGAGGAAGGTGTTAACCTCGACGAGCTACCCTTTATCGGAGGCGATGTGGAGCCGGAGATCGCAGCTGGTGTTGCTTGCGGGGATTTGGATCCGATGACCAAGGGGCCGATTGTGTTGAAACCGTTGGCTGCAGGTAAATTGCCCCTGGGGATCAGTCGTCGTCAGACACTAGGTTCGTCTTCAGAGCTGAAGCCCAGCAAGTCTATCAATTCGTTCTTCACCCCAAAGCGGACCCCGCTGGCCGAGCTGGACCCGAACAGTCTGACCCCGTCCCCAAGCCAACAGCGCCTCCTGGAACGGAATGCGAACAATTCCTGGCAAGCGAACTCGGCTCCCTTACGCTCTAGCGTGGCTAGATCTACCCCTCTTCGCGCTTTTTCAGACCAGGGTCTCAGCCCTATGGTCCGCAGTGTTGAACGAAATTCATTCTTGGCCAATGCTGCACGCGCGTCCACTTTGCAAGCGACCAAGCGGCAAAGGCTTTGCTCGGAAACCGAGGATGATCAACTACCGGCTCGTCCGGACAATCGCAGCCGGTTCTTTGCTCCCAGCACTGAGCAAGCCAGCCCCAGCGGCTTGAAGTACTCCCGGAGCAAGAAGCAGCGGAAATCGACTCTGGATGTCTTCTCCGATGAAATCGCAGAGGACATCTTTTCCAGTATCCCCGATCCAGCTTCGAAGGGCGAGGCCGTGGGGAGCCAAGCGGATACTAGCCAGGGTGGAGCTGAAGCCCCATCCGATCCCCAGATTGAGAAAAGTGGATCATCCGTGGAGAGCCAGGATAAACAGGCCCAGTCCACGTCTGAGTCCACTATAGAGACGGCGAAATTCGATCGGGCTCTTGATTACCATGTGGAACGACAAAACTCGACAATGATGTCGAAGTACGTGGTCAACTCAAATTCCAAGCCCGAAGCGATACCTCGTTCGACCCAGACAAGAATCCCTGTGATTCAATCTGGTAACCGGCCAGCACCTCTGCCGTCTTCCCGTACTTTCGGCACGGCTACTCAGAGCAAGTCTCCTCAGCGACAGCGTCTAACCCCGTTGCAGCGCATGGGACAGGCTGCTCTGACTCGGTCAAACACTATCAATTTTCCAACCAAGCTTCAAAAAGTCGACTCTCTGTCATCTGAATCAGACAACTCCCAAGGCACGTCGACCTCGCCTTTTGCACCAAAGCACGTCGCGCATGGAAGCGAGGATCACATTGTGCCGGACAGTGAAGATGAGGATGAGGAGGAGCCGTGCATGTCTCAGCGCACTATGCCGCTAGATCTCCAGCGTTTCTCATTTGCGGCGAACTAAGTACTATGCATATCCTGGCATTGGGACAGGCGTCTTGGATGGAACAAATCCATTTGGAGGGTGTATTTCTTTTTGGTCTATGTTTCAGCATGGTCTGTGTTTCACTATACGTTCATTGTGCAGGAGTGGACAGGGAATTTCTATTCATAGGTATCATTGGGTATGGCATTTAGGCTCCAATCAAATAAGCGACCAAGCTGTGCCAGGGGTTCAACGTTGATACTTGCCCAGTTCATACGTAGAGGCCCGATGGACTGGAGGCTGGGAGGCGCAGACCCGGGTGGGGCGCCAAATCTTAGTAGCGATGATGATCTGCACTAATCCCGATCGGGTCTGGCGCCGGTGCCAGAGGCCCAACCGACGTCCGTAAAGGGAAGGCGGTCAGTACTCGTTTCCCGGGAAGCGGGAGAGTAAACAAAGGCGGTTGGCCCAGCCTCCCAGATTCCATACTTGATCTTCATCCCCAGCCTCCAAAGCTTTGTGCAGGATTCGAGCCTGACGTGGTTTCTCTGAATTGCAGCTACGATCTTTTCTCCCCATTTCCCCTTCCATTCCTTCTACACATTCCTCTCTTTCTACACTTGTCACCACTTGCTGTAGGCAAGATATTCTGACCGGTCTTGAGGCTTACTAGGTGCGATCCGAACCTGAAGACACACCGGTCAATCAATCGTCCTCTGTTGTGCTCTCGACTTCGACTTCGACATCATCAGAACACATCCAATCTTCGTTCTTCGCATCTGATCTACCGCATTTCTCCTCCACATTCCATTCCATCTTCGACGTCCCTGCCGGTCCACGGCCAGCTCGTCCTCGCTGAGCACAACCACAGCCGCCCGACGGCGTACTGCGGAGTTTTGACTCTGCCTTCGTTTTCATACACTCCTTCTCGGAGCGCCGAGAAGTGAGTCGATTGACGTGCGAAAAAGAGGCAGGCCAATTGCCAGCCCTCGCCAGTCGCCATGGCGACGCGTTTTGCAGAGGGATGGGCCCGTACGTGATACATAATGACAACGATGGAGACCGCGATAGCTAACTAGAAATCCAGGATTCATTCCCATGATCGGGTACCATCATGTGTTGATGATTATTATTGCTGTTGCTATTATTTTGCTATGTAAGTCGACATTCCCTGGGTGGATTCCACGTGTGTCTCTGGAATGTATCTAACGATGAGCAGCTCTCCTGTTGGCTGGGTGCTCTTCATCGTCCCCACAGATTCCCGATATCTTCCTGATATCATTGTACTATGAAAAGTACGCCCCGTTATTCGACAAGTCGCAGGTCGACCCTGGGGTGGTGACGGCCATGTCCAATATCGTCGGCGCTGCTGAGCTGGAAGTCCGTGTTGGATACTTTGGTATCTGTGTTCAGCCCGATGGCGGCTCGTTCATCTGCAATGCCAACGCCACGGCCCTGGCCGAGATTGTGACTGTTGATCAGGACCCACTCAACTTGATTTGGGTTGCTTCGACCTTTAAGGACGCGGTAGTATTCCCGTACCTCCTGTAAGTCAAACGCACTCTTTCTGCTTGCCATTGAACTATGCTAACAGGCATTCAGGATTGTCGCCGTGGTCCTCGCCTTCTTCTGCTTCATTCTCCTCGCAACTTTCCCCGGCTGGCACGAGGAGCGCGATGAGTCCGGCTCTGACGTTGAGGTTAAACCTTTCCCTTCGCGACCCGTTTCCCAGGCCGCACTCGCCCTCATCTTTATCTCCTCCGTGTTTGTGCTCGTCTCAGTACTATGGCAGCACACGGCATCCGTGGCAGCGAGTACAATCGCCCAAGACATGGGTAACGGCAGCGTGAAGAGCGGTGTTGGTACTTCAGCCATGGTGCTTGGTTGGTTCGGTTTCGTTCTTTTGGTCGTCGTGACCATCGGTCTACTCGTGATGATCCTCAGCATCAGTCTGATTAGGAAACTGACGGATGAAGAATGATCCAACTGATCATCTGATTTGACGTTTATTTTTGATTTTTACCACGCATCTCTTTTCTCAACACCTTTACTCTTATAACCGACGACACGAATGGGAAATGAATAATATCCACGAGCACACGGGAATTGCTCGCAAATGGAATGGTATGGACAATGGAATATGAATCAGGAACACGAGTTCCTATGGGAAATGGATTTGGACAATGGGATCTCACGAATATACCCGAGCATCGGGATCCTCGTCGCTCTTATCACTTGCCATAGATCTGGCAAGTAAGAGAAGCTACAATGGCTGTTCTGTCGATTTGTCGGGATATGCTGAGCTGACATAGAATGAAAGTCATCGATTCTCCTTTTTGTACAGCCCCATGGCCGGTGTTCTTGGACTATGTTTTGTTTATTGTCAGGCTTTACTTCTCCCATGTACAAAACACGTTTTGACTTCGAGATATCAATGTATCTCCGGCGATGACTGGTTGATTTACTGCTTTTATTTCTTGCATATTTGTGGTTTCAAAAGACGCAGTACTAGGTAGATAGTTAACTCCTCGAAAATGATTCAAGAAATCACAACATTCTCGTTCGCATAGGCACCTCACGTCTACTCCTGTTGATCGTATCCTTCCCGCCCAAAGTCGGGGTGCACTCAAGCTTGTAGCCACAGTGCAAAGACGCATAGTAAAACCATTATAAAGGGAATTTCCACAAGTCAACGTAATAAGACTTCAACAGAACGAAGCATTGCCAAAACGACACTGCTTATTCAATCAATAATTTTACATTTCTGCCAATTTCCAACTGTTCCGGCCATGTTCCTCTTATTAAGCGGGAGATCCAATATAAGACCGTGGAGTTGCCACATCCGTCGGATATACGGAACTACGGAAAAAAGTCAATCTGAAGCTTTAAGGTTATTTCCAGACTCTGGGATTAAGTCATCGACTAGTTATAGTTAACTATAAAACCTGAAATGGTAGTTTTGTAATAAAAATTTCCCTTATTCCGTCTGGTTATCTTGTACCTCTCCTTCACTCATCTCGAGCAATACTACTTAGCAGTTATTCAAACAGGGAGTACAATGGAGACCTTTCGAGACACGGCATTCGGTAAGCTGGTGCGGCTATTCAGTCGTTACCGATGGATGCAATATCCAGAAGAGCAGGATGCCTCGGTCTGGACTGAGTATCTCAAAACTGAGACCGAGAAGACGGAAGAAGGGTCTTCTACGCCGGCGACCGAAACCGAGGACCCCGAGGATTTGGAAGCCTTCGGTCTCTATACAGTCATGTCACAAGCATCCACTCGGTCTCGGCGGATATCTTGCGCATCGACTCTCCAGAGTGAAGTGTCGGGCTCGACGAGTGCTCAGCCTCTTGTGGTTAGCTGGCGAGGTCCCGATGATCCCGAGGTACGTATCTTGAACAAGAATGGCTGAGCAAGCAAGCTGATGATATGCAGAACCCGCAAAACTGGAGCGTCAAGAAGAAGATGTCCTTCAGCAGTTTGATCTGGTTACTCACTTTTGCCATCTACATTGGCTCTGCAATCTATACACCCGGCATTCCGGGTGTCTCCGAACAGTTCGGCGTGAGCAGTGTCGCTGCTACATTGGGCCTGACTCTTTTCGTACTCGGCTATGGACTCGGTTCGTCATGTTCGCATCTCTTCAAAATGACCAAGCTAATCGTCTTCAGGTCCAATGATCTGGTCTCCTCTCTCCGAGATCCCCATGATTGGCCGTAGTCCAACATACGTTTTGACGCTTTTCGTCTTCGTCTTCTTCCAGTTCGCCGTCATCTACGCCAAAAACTTCGGCATGCTCCTGGCCTTCCGCTTTCTAACTGGTTTTATCGGCTCTCCTGCACTGGCCACCGGGGCCGCGTCAATGGGCGATATTTGGACCCCCAGGATTCGAGACTATATGATCGCTGTCTGGGGCACCTTCGCTATTTCGGCGCCCGTTCTGGGCCCAATGCTCGGCGGCTTCGCGGCATCTGCCAAAGGTTGGACGTGGACCGTTTGGCAGCTGCTATGGGTCTCGGCATTCACTTTTGTCTTGCTGTTCTTCTTGCTCCCGGAGACCTTTGCACCTAATATCCTCGCTCGGCGAGCCCGCCGAGTGCGTCGCATCACAGGGAACTCTCAGTACATGTCCGAGTCCGAGATTGAAATCAAAGAAGTCAAGCCAATAGTAAGTACGCACGGCTTCGCTACATGATGCAGACCTAACATTCCCAGGACATCCTCTTCGAATCCCTCATCCGCCCCTTTCAACTTTGTTTCCTCGAACCCATCGTCCTCCTCTTAAACCTCTACATTGCCCTCATCTACGGCATCCTCTACATCTGGTTCGAAGCATTCCCCATCGTCTTCTCCGAAATCCACGGCTTCAACTCGGGCGAAAGCGGTCTCGCCTTCATGGGTATCCTGGTCTCAACCTGCTGCATCACCATCCCTGTCTACTTCTACTGGAAATTCCGCTACCAATCCCGCTACTTCAATAAAGAAGGCGACATCGCACCTGAATACCAGATGCCGCCAGCCTGCATAGGTGCCTTCGCACTCCCCATTTCTCTATTCTGGTTCGGCTGGACGGGCAACTTTGCCAGCGTGCATTGGATCGTGCCGATCATCGCGTCCATGCTTTTTGCTGTTGGAGGATGTCTGATTTTTAATTGTATTTTCTGTTATCTGGCGCATGCGTATCCAAAGTATGCAGCTTCGGTATTGGCGGGGAATGATTTCTTGCGCTCGTCGTTTGGTGCGGGATTTCCTCTTTTTGCGTCGGCCATGTTTCATAATCTAGGTGTTGGATGGGCCTGTACATTGCTGGGGTGCTTGACTATGTTGTTCGTTCCTTTTCCGTTTATTTTGTTGTATCGTGGGAGGAGAATTCGGATGGCGAGTAAGTATGCGAGGCATGATATATAGTTCCTCGGCAAGGGGACAAACATGCCCTCCCGCATCTTCCAACTTTAGAATGGAAGTTTTACATAGATATTCAAAATCAGATTCATTTTTAATTATTGGATGACCTCGGGACCCCACATGTAAACAATTTCTACTGTACTATGTACAGTATCTTTGCCAGATAAGAGCCTGCGTTCATCACCAAATAAAAACGAAGATCCGTGGACCCGCATGATCACGAGCTTGGCTAGCCTCGGCGGGTCTTTACCGTTGGCGCCGATCGATCTTAGCGAAGTCGTATCTGTGCCTAGTAAATAGCACCCCCTCACCGCCAGGTGGGGGGCGCTATTACGAGGCACAAATATTCGGCGCCCGAACACATGCAGATTCTAAGTTTCACCCTTCTGCCATGTGAAGTGGACCCGCGATCGCTACCAACAAAAGCCCCCCCCCCATGGGGAAAAGGGAAAGGGGTCCGACCCGACTGGTCCTTCATAAAACCTGTCACCCATCTCGAAACTCCCTTTGCCGATAAATTCCACCATTAATCCTCGCACGTCACGCTTTAAAATACCATGGGAAGCTGTCGCGTCGTCAACGTTGAATATCTCTGTTTTTGATTTTTCAATTTGGTGGGTGGTGGAAAAGAACGACTTATAAAGCTGTCAATTCATACTTGCAACCATGTCTAAGTCCGACCTGGAGAATAGCTCGGATTCCGATGCGCCTTCGAATGCGAATGCCGTGGCTGCGGCTAAACCGACAGTATGGCAGCGGTTCAAGGCAAGCTTGAAGAGATGGTGGTGGTGTTACGTGATCGGAGTCAGCATCGTCGTCTTAGTGGTGGTTCTTCCAATGTAAGGCAACTATACAACCATCGTAAAGCACGAGTCGACAGAGACTGACCCCTCCAGCGTCTACGTGGGCATCCCCCACATCGCCAACTCCTACATCAACAAATACCAATTCGACTACGAGGGTCTAGCTATCACAAATCCTCGCCCGACTGCATTCCACATCAAGCAATCCACGAAGCTCAAAATAGGCGGCGGATTCAGCGGCAGCGGCACATTGACACCCTTCAATGCAAGCTGTAAAGTCCAATCCAGCGACGAAGAATTTGCTGTCTTCACCATGCCGACGATCGATTTCGGCAAAGGCGCAAACTTGGACATCGATCAAGATCTAGAATTGTCATGCGTTGATTGCATGTCGCAGTTGGCCGTTGAAGCGGTGACGAATCATAGCTTTGGGGTTTTAATAACGGGGACGCCGTATTTGAAGTATGAGGCTTTGCCAACTGCTCATTTGAATATTCATATGCTGATGCATATGAACGGATATAATTTTACTGGCGAGTTTACCGAAGAGGTGTGTTGTTGCTTTGCTAATACTCTGCAGATTTCTTGAACGAGAACGGTGCCTTTAATGTGACGAGCGTTGACTTGCTGGATCCGCCCGTCGACGGATTCAATGTGAATGCCACGATGACCATTCGCAACCCGACACCCTTCATCATTGAGATGGTACGTAGAATCCATCCCAGGAGCAACGGCCGGCTAACAAGCACAGGGCCATATCACCTTCAACCTTAGCATGGGAGGCTCGGATCTGGGTTACATTGACCTTCCCAACCTGATGCTTCAGCAGGACGTGTCCAGCTCCGTGGTCCTCGGAAACCTCGACATATCGATGCTCGTCCATGAGGCTCTTTTCGGTGACGGGGAACTTGGAGAGGTCACCATTGACGTGAAGGGTCACAGCTGTGACTACAACGGACTGGAAATCCCCTACTTTGCAGCAGCCATCAAGGCTATCCAAGCATCGACCACCCTCGACCTGTTGAACTACGCCTCAAGCCTGCAGAATTTCTAGATGTTCCATGTGATACGATTATGAAGGATTTAAGATAGGAAATCATAATATTTGTGAAACCATGACACCTGGAGTAAACATGAGCTCGCGTAAACGCCAGAGCCATCAATGAGGATACGCCATAACCCGATGCAGACAGAACAATAATGGATCTTTCGTAGAAATGAGGCCTGCTACCATCCTTGATGATTCAGTAGTCCATCGTGAACCCACCACCTGCATTGCCACCTTTGAAGTCGTTTGATGGCTCATTACCACCGACATGGTCATCCAGGGACTTGTAGTAGGGGTTTGACCCGCCCTCACGACCGCCACGACCCCGGCCACGGCCTCCACGCGCGCCTCGCCCACGCCCATTTCCACGCCCACGACTGCGGTGAGAGCCCCGACGGGGACCGTCTTCGAAGTTATGGCGGTTGTTCTGGTATGGGTTGTAGCCGTGCGACTGACCTTGCACATATCCCTCATAGCCATTAGTCTGACCCGACTGGGGGTACAGGATTTCCTCGTTCCGGTCTTGGAAACGTCTCTTGTGGCCCTTCTTCATAAACTGGCTCTCCCATTCGCCCTCGTTCGGGTGTTCTGGCTCGACGCGGAGAACCACTTTCTCGTCAATGACAGAATCAAACGTAATAGCCATGTCGGCGGGAACCGGGTGCCAGTTCTGGATTTTGCCTGCATCCGCGGGGCGTGATCCTTTGCGGACGGCCAGAACGATGAGAGGCGTGGGGTTTTCAGTGTAAAAAGGCTCCGTGGCCGGGATGGGTGCCACGCGGGCAGCCCAGATGCGGTTTTCGAAGCATGCTGTTCCAGTCACCTGCCAGCTTAGTTTCTTCCCCATGCCTCCAATCTTCTCCAATATAGACTTGGGAGCGGGGCGGGGTGCGATCAGGATGCTGTTAGCCATGAACTTGAGATTGTTTGATTCACCGAGACCCGGAGGGAGAAGCGGCCCAAGCAGGTCCTGAGACATTCGGTGAGAATCTTCTGATGAAAGCAAATAGCCAGTGTAGAACACTGTTCGCTTGATACGCAGCCGGCCTTTGGTTACGGACTGATTGCGGAGTGCGAGATTATGCGAATTTATCATTCGCTGCACTTCTGCAATTTCGGTAGTCGGGTCGAGGTATGCGCACTCTTCTGACACTTGAATGACTTCCGAATTAATGGGCATTCGAGGCGCCGCCTGCCCGTTCTGCAGCTCTCTGTTCATTTCCTCGAAGAAATCCCGGAAGGCTGCCACACTAGAATCACGTCAACACGCTGTACTTCTGTCAAATGCTTGATCTAACTCACTGCTTAACACGATCCTCGTACACGCGAACTTCTTTAGCCTGTTTGTAAGTGAAAATCAAATCCTGAAGGAAATTCTGCTTGAATTTCATAGTAGAGCTGAACCGCTGGCCGTTAGGACCAACTTCGGGCTTCAGCCCGAAGAGGTCGAAGTCAAGCTGCTGGCTTGCAACCATCCGCTTGATAGGCTCGGCGAATTTCGCCTCGCCTCGGCCGGTCAAGAGTACCGTGAGGGCATCTTTCTGTTCCATACTGAGTCTCACCAGGCGAAGCTTGTACTGGTCAGTTACATGTTTCAAGGAAGAGCTGGGTGTCATACAATCTGCTCATTCCAGCACCCTTGCCATCCACGAGTCTCCTCGATTTCAGTTCCTTTCCCTGTAGCTGCGAGGATCGTCGGGTCGTGCCACCACCCGCCATTTGTGAAGCTCTCGTATGCCTGGAGGAAACCAATCGTTGTTCCGTTCCATAACTGGGGGTTTGGAAGTGGGCTCAGGAAAACTAGACCGGTGGATTGTCAGTGTCGCAACTCGTGAAACAGAAAGATGCGGGGTTCTTACGGGTGTTGTCGAAGTCGTAAACATGGATTGCTCGGATTTGAGAAACAGCTGGATAAAGTCAACGGAGGTTCTTGCATCGGGGGCGAAATGTGAACACACGCGGAAGCTCTTTATTCAAGACGGACCAGCGCTTCAGCGAGGTCACGGTGTGCGAGCGCGGCGCACTGGTGGACATGCTGGATGTCATATTTCCCAAACGAGCCAATCTCTCAGACACCACGGCCTTGGCAGAACGCATGAGATGGTCTCGGCTTGGGCTCACAGCTGGTAGAAAGCTTTTGTTAGTAGCACCACATCTTGGTAGTCGCAGGAAAGTTGGAGCAGGAGCAGGCGGCTTTTTTTGCCGCGGGCGGTACCGGTGCGCCTTTACGGCTGCCCGCCGCGTCTTCTTGCCTCTACCTCTAGTCATGGCAGGGGATGGAGATTTGCAGCGGGAAATTCTCCAAAGGACCCTCAAGGAGGTGGCAGATGAGGAAACCGAGGGCGATCCTTGCGTGATTTGTCTGGAGACTATCACTGAACCCAGTGTCGCAGTGCCGTGCAAACACTCCAACTTTGATTACCTCTGCCTCTTGAGCTGGTTGGAGCAGCAGCCCAACTGTCCTCTATGTACGGGCCTCATGGAAGTGATGAAATGCGAATGACAGATCTTGACTGACAGAAAACAGGTAAGGTTCAACTCACGAAGGTGCAATATGACCTCAAAGGCCCGCGGGGTCCCAAAACATACAATGTGCCTCCTCTCACTCAACCATCTAGGGAGCCCCACCAAGTCCCTGGCATTCGGTCGCGAGCTCTCGCAGGTGGGCTCCTAATAGATCACTCAAGAAGGCGACGGCCGCAACCCAACTCACGCCGGCCTCAGACCCCCTCAGACGACCCTCTTGCCGTGCGGCGAAACGTCTATCGCAACCAATTGTACTCCCTCAGAGTCGGGTCTAACCGACTTTCACAATACACCGAAGTGACACCAGAGCAATTCAATCGCGATGAGAACCTCGCTTCGCGCGCTCGGAAATGGATCCGCCGGGAACTACAAGTATTTGCTTTCTTGAATCCGGGGAATGAGGAAGGCCCGACATCCGGACCAGCCCGACCTGGATCCCAGAGGCTGGAAGAACGTAGAGCCAACAATGCCGAGTTCCTGCTCGAATATGTGATTGCTATTCTGCGCACCGTTGATATTAAGGGAAGCGCGGGCCAGGCGGAAGAGCTGCTTCGTGACTTTATTGGTCGTGACAATGCTCGTTTGTTCCTACATGAATTGCTCGCATGGTTGAGGAGTCCTTACACGTCTCTTCAAGACTGGGATCGCCATGTACAGTACCCGAGTCTTGCGCAGCGCCCAAATCGTGCACAGCATTCTCGTGAAAGAGACAGTGAAAGAGGCAGTGACGAAGGCAACAACGGGCCAAACCGTCAGGCTCGTCGTCCACCTCGGAATCCGGAAATAGCCCGCGGTCGTAGTGCATCCCCTGTTCGTGACCATGACCGAAGTCTTTTTGATCGAATTTCGAGGCCTGAACAGCCTAGTTTTTCGCGGACTCCTCGGGCCCGACCCAATCGCCGTCCAAGGCCACCACGAAATCGAAGCCTTTTAGATCGATATATACCCGACTAAATCTTGGAAGCCCCGAGTATTTTAAACAACTTGTACAAAATAAGCAGCCTAATGACAATTACAAGTCTTAAGATGATCAGATCTCGTGGGTTCTTTGAAGTAGATCGGACCTATCCCGTGGATGAATGCTTCAATTGTTAGAAAATGCAGAGTAAATTGGCGCCGATGAATACTAAAGCTATCTATGCTCAATACCAATGCAATCGTGACTTCATGAATACAAGCAAAGCTGCGACCTTATCTCCGACGAAAGCGTCCGCCACCACGACCACGACCTCTATGAATCTTCAAAGAGCGATAATTTGCATGCGCCTGGGGGTTAACCTTCTTGACCTTCTTGTTCTCCTCTTTCTCCTCCTTCTCAGGCGCCGGGGCCTTGGCCGGTGGTTCTTTAGATTTCGGCATGAAGCCCACAGCTTCCTTGATGCGCTCCGAGAAACTCTTCGCCCGAGCTATCGGTTTAGGCCTCTCACCGAATTCGGGATCAACGTCCGAATCCGCATCGGGTTCAGGGTCAAAATCGGATTCTGCTCCAGAGATGCTATGCAGTGAAGCAAAGTCGTCGGGGATTTCAATCTCCTGCTGCTCATCCTCACCCTTCGCACGGGCTGCAAGCTGCGTCTCCGGAACAGCGGCCAGTTCATCGTCACTATCATCGATGGGTGCACTGACTTCTGGCTTTGATTTGGGACGAGGCGCAACCGGCCGCATGATTACTCTTCGAGTCGTGCGTTTCTGGCCCTTCTTCTTATACGGCTTGCCCTTCTGCTCAACGGGATAATAGTTTTCGGGTGCGTTCATCTCGGCGGCTTCTTGTTCTGCTTCGATTTCGCGTAGCATATCCCATTCGTCATCGTTGTGCTCCTCTTCCATGGCACGAAGACCTTGGACGATGTGCGAAAGCCCCCTTCCGGCGAACTGTATTGGCTTTCGAGAAGCGATGGGACTGAGACCGGCGCTGTCATTGTGTTTGGGTTGAGGGAGGCGTCCGAAGTTAGACCTGCGAAGGAAGGACGGTGTCTCTGAAGGATTCGGCTCTGGTGATGCTGCGGTTGCCGATTGTTGCGATGCGTTCTGGTGTTCGGCTTTCTCATCTTCTGCCTCTACCATGGCAGCATAGCGCATCGTAGTCGGAGTCGCGAAAAGATTGGCGAGGTAGAATTGTTTCGTCGAAGATGCTGGAGTCCGCGACAATCTGGAGGGTTCCTCCTCCTCCTCATCTGGGGCTTCTGTAATGGGTTCGAACGCCTTGCGCTTTGACGGTGTTTGGAATCCTGCTCCTAACACGTCCTTGTGCCTTTTTGCTGACGGTGTCGCACGGCTCCCACCCGACTCAGAGAGCATGTCGAATAAACCCAGGGTTTTACCATCGCGCTGGGGCGTGGGGCCAATGGCTGCTTTCAGAGGAGAGGGTGCTGGTAGGCTCTGTCGGTGTGTGCTGGGACTGAACAGCCTCCGGAAGGTCGAGGGCGAGTCGTAGGGATCTAATTGCGATGGATGGATCTCTTTGGTGCGGTTGTTGGACGGAGTTGCAAAGAGCCCTTTGGTCGACTTGCGCGGCGTTCCTTCCACACGCGATCCTGGACCAGTAGGTGACGCATGCTTTCGCTTCTTGGAGTGGCTCTCGGAGTGTTCTTGTCTGCGATTCTCGCGCCGGGCTAGGGAGGCCTCGAGGTTTTTGAGTCGAGTATACTCTTTGTATTTCGCGGCTGTAATAAAGGATGAATTCCCGATCCCAATTAAGCAAAAATTCAACTCTTAAGGTCAGACTCACCAATTTCGGGGTTCTGCTTGATATCGTCGCGGCCAGCCTTTTTCCCATCGTGTGTAGACGCGAAGTCTTTTTCCCAGATTTTCAATTCGGCGCGAACACTCACAGCCTGATCTGCAACCTCAGCACGAGAAGTGAGTGCGTGGGCTGTCATTGTTGCATGGCGAAGGTGCGGTTGATGCGCTCAAAAGGGAGACGCGAACGCGAAACTCATTAACGCGGTGACGTCGCGTGTCTCGGGCCGCCCTTCTTTTAAAGTGCAGACTCGGCTTATCCTATACCTCAGCCTAAACTTCCCGCATTTGCTAGGGGAATAAAAGGAGATCTGGAACCTTTAAAGAATTCTAAAACATTTGTCCAAGGTATCAATCTAAAGCTTGATTTAGGAACGTCTTCGTTACCTGTAGAAAATGGTGGACCGGATCACAATACCACCAGAATGCTCGTGCCTACCAGGCTGAAGGATTGTGCTTCCCCACCGTCACTTGTCCGAGCGCTAACGGAGGCTCCCAAATTATGCGTAGGACCACGCCAAAAGGCCCGAGCTCAGCCTTCAGACTATATATCAGCTGGACCCGTCTAGGCAGAGCTGACAAGGGGAACCCTAAGAACTTGCCTAGGAGTCCTATCCGCTGTCTAAACATGCCTGTCGCTGGCCAACAGTCCCCATTTAACGCCGAATTCGATCAGCTCGTCCACAAAATCCTCGAAGAATGGAAGATCCCGGGATTATCTATCGCCGTTGTTCATGGATCTCACACCCATTCCAAGGTATGATAGAAGCCAGAATGAACATGAAATATCTGCTCATAACATATAGTCCTATGGACTGGCCGAGTTCCCTGACAAGAAGATGACAACCGATGCACTGTTTCCAGCCGCCAGCACCACCAAGGCTTTTACGGGTGCAGCCACTTCCATGGTCATCAAAGACAGCAAAGACACCGACTCGCCAATTGACTGGGATACGCCCATCTCATCTCTGATTCCAGATGACTTTGCTCTGGCAGAAGACTACCTAACTAGACACATCACGCTGGAGGATGCACTTTCTCACAGGACTGGACAACCGGGCCATCATTGGATGAACACGTATACACCGGAGGATGAAACTCTCCAAGAACTCGTTCGCTCAATGCGGCATTTACCCATTTCACACCCTCCTCGGACTCACTTCCAGTATACCAATAACATGTTCATCGCAGTGACGCATGCCTTGCAACAACGCACTGGTGTTCCACTTGGCACTTTCCTGAAGGAGCGAATCTGGGATCCTATCGACATGAAGGAGACCTTTTTGGGGGTTCCCGAAGCCAAGTCCAACCCATCAGCCGCGCATAAAGTCGCAGAAGGATACATCTGGCTCCCAGATGACGAGGGTGGCTCTTGGCTTCACGAACCTCAATTTAAATGGAGACCAATGACAGGTGCTGGCGCTATAGTCAGCAGTGTTCTCGACTACTCGAAATGGGTGCGAGAGCTGATTGAAAAATCGGGACCGCTCAAAGGCCACGATTCCCTGATCAAGCCTCGGGTTTTCCATTTCGAGGAGGGTGATGTGAATCTGCCCTTGCCCTCGCCACATCACGCCTATGCCTTGGGCTGGTTTGTGGACAACTACCGCGGCCAGGATTTCTACCACCATACTGGTAGTTGGCCGGGCTACGGAAGTCTCGTGGGTTTCGTCCCCGACAAACAATTCGGGTTCGTGATGATGGGGAACTCGAATTCCGCGAGGGAGGGTACACTGAGACTGGCTATCCATCTTATTGATAAGCTGCTTGGGCCCTCCACGGACCCTTTACACAACGAACGAATGGCCGCTTGCTTCAACAGACAAATCGAGGAACGCGAGAACAGGATGAAGAATATACAACGAAGCACGGAATATTTCAAGAAGCGTCTGTTTCCTAATCTCCCTGAGCCTCCACTTCCTCATTCTCTTGCGTTGGAGAAATACGCAGGGACGTATACGCACCCGGCCAATGCCTCGGTTACTTTCAAGGTTGAGGATGGCCAGTTGGTCACTGAGAAGACTCGAGGTGCAATCCCGAGTGTCTTGGGTCTGACTCATGCAAGTGGTGAGTTCTTCGTCGGTAGGATGAAGACGCCCAATTCGGCCATGATGGCGCCATTTATCGTGGAGTTTCAGATTGATCCTACGGGGAAAGCGAGAAAAGTTGGGATGGATTTGGAACCAGCTCTGAAGGGAGAGAAGATCTGGTTTGAGCTACATGAAGCTTGATAGCATTCATCTGTGGGATTGAGTAGTCTATATGGTCTTGTAAATTTTAAAAAGATGGTCAAGCGTAAAGCAACTCCCGGGTTCTTCGCAAGATCTGTGGCAGCGAGGCAGGAGGAGAAAATTGAGGTTTTGTTGTGTCAAACTTGTGTGTTTATTCTCAATTCTCAATTCTCTATTGTCGTCAATGATTTGTTCCGTACCCTGCAGGTAACTTCGAGCATTCTCCCAATGGACCGATGTAATTAAAGCCGTACTGTAAGGTAGCGATGCAGACCCGCACAGCGCATCACCAGCTCGTTAGGCCCCGCACCCTATCAAAGCCGCCCCTCAACTGAGACTCAGGATGAACCACCTTTCCCTCCAAGATCGTGTACTTCACCAGACCCTCACAATGCTCCGGCCGCACACGCGCAAGCCAAATCATCTGCTGCTCTTTCTTCCGATAAACAAGCACATTAGCAGAAAACTTGTGCCCGCCCACATGCGAAACAAAGAAAATGCCCACACCACCAGGCCGCGAATCATCTGCATCGCGATCCAAGCTCAGTGGGCGAAGATGCCGTTCGAGTTCACGTTTGATCAGCGGCGCTGTGATGCCGCAGCGCGCATCTCGTCGTCGATGCGAGCACAGTAGAACCACGTAGTCCAGGTCGCAGGGCCGGGCATTCATCCCTACGGCAGGTGTAGAAATACCATTGGCAATCTTTTCATCTTGGTTGTCAATGTATCGACTTATCAAATCGGGGACATCTGCTTGTGACACAGAGTCCACGAAGGTAAATGATGGGAGAATGAGCACTGTTGTAGGCGCATTTGAGTCCTCGGTGCCTGAGTGGTCCGGGGCCTGAATGTTGGATGCTGAGACCATGATACGCTGGAGACTATCAGTAGAGGATCGGAAAACGAAGAATCGGAGCACATACGCCGAGATTTGACTTGGCCAAGGGCTGCTCAAACGCCTCCATCAGACTGCCCTTTTCCTGTCCGACCTTTTCCTTCCAGTCCGACCGCCCCGTCGCAACCAGGACGTGCGAGTGAAACTCTTTAATTTGGCCATATAGCGGTCTTGAGGTTTCGACTTTTACTTTGTCCGGGAACTGCGTTGTGCAGTCGGCGCAGTCTCTGAGGCATTCGGGGCCGTCCTGCGCGGGATCTACCTTGGGGAAAAGGTAGTTGGGGGCCCGGCCCAGCGACAACAACGAGCGTAACATGTCTGGGATGCGCTGTGAAGTATGCGACGTCGAGAGAACTCAGAAAGTGGAGTGAATGTGAACGCTGGCTTATTTTTTGCGCATTGAAATATTTCGGCCCTTTGTCGTCGGTGCCCGGAGTTGATATACTCGAGTATCTCCGAGCTTGCAAACCCCGATCGGTTAAGCCCGAGGCACCTCCGATAAACTTTGCTCGTTTGGGACTTGACGTCGGGCCGTATATACTGTAGTTCAACGCCAAATTATTGTTCCTCATCCCTGCCGGACCTTGTCTGGATTCAATCTCACTTTCGGCACACTTCTTCGGAGTTCGTTTGCTTCTCCTTTGGTTTGATCCCCATCCCTCTTTTGCTACCCCCTGCTCAGCAACACGACCCTGAAAACCCTAATTATAGGAACCTGGTCAAACTTCTCGGAGATTGCCACCTCATGCGCAAGTACTTTTAATCAACTAAGATGAAAGTGTAGATGAGCGCAGCCAACGAAAATTATGTTCTCGTAGAGACACTCATTCGGTCTGTATGTGATCGCCCATTCCAAAGATTAATCCGGGGAAATACGAAAGGCTCAAGCCTATCTGAAACCCGAACCTGAACGCCGCCAGTCGCCGTGGAGGACGTGGCAGACCAGCCGCCAACCGCCAACCGCCAACCGAGCGACGATAAGCCCGGATCCGAAGCGAATGGATCCGACTGCTCCGGCCTTTCCGACCGTGAAAACGGCAAGGCCCTGAACTCTTGTCAGGGATTTTGAGCCCTAGACGGAGAGAGGCCCACCTTTCCACCCTGGGAGTTCCGAGATCGCCGTCGCCTGATTTCGATTATTTCGAATTGATGAAGGAGTATAGGGTTTTCTCTGCTTTTTTGTACTCAATTGTCGGTACAGTCAGTCGTGGCGGCTCGGCTCGGCTGTCGGGCTAAAATAGCAGAGCACACCCAGGGACGAGACCAGTGGATTGTTTAGCAGAGGCCCACCTGCTCAATATTGAGCCCGATAACCCAGAATCAGAGCTGGCAGTAGAGAGTTTCCATTCCATCATATTGCGTCTTAAGAGTTGTACTGGGCATAGAGTTAAATAGAGTCTGAAGGAGAGCGTGTGGGGTTTGAATCTGTCGCACACATTGACGAAGGTGATTTCCGGCCTGGCGCTTTTCTTTTCTGACGTCGATTTTTGTTTCAGCACGATGTAAGCCACAATCCCATGACATAGAATCTAATCAGATATGATTGTTTTCTGATTTTGCTTTGATGATTGGATCACGGATGGATCTATTATTCGCAATGGACCCGCACAACCACTCGGCACACCAATGCTTGTTCGGAAAAGTGGGATAGAGGGACCCGTTTGCTCAATGTCATAATAATGAAAATCATCAACTGGTTCAACCCGGCGCATGTATGGGATAGACGGATCGGGGAAAGACGGAGCCATCAGCTAACCGCGTAAAGTGGGTGTTACTTCCCCTAGTACGGGGAGTAATGGGGCACCTTGAGTGGAATAGTATCGATGCATCATCCTTTACAAGATAGAAAGGCCTCACTATGCAGTTTAAGTGGGTTTCAAAGATCCAGGGCTTCAACGCGAACTGGAGTGGGTCTCGGTGGTCGGAAACACTTTCCACATCGGGCACTGCGGACCGGCATTTCCACGTAAGCCGACGCTCCCTAACCCAAATATCTCGGATCTAACGATAACACATTTGTATGCTTTATGTTCGGATATGGCAGATGCTCAGGTCTTCGGTAATACGCCGCAGCCCGAGCGGCCGCGTAAAAGACGCCGTCGCACTGTGGCCTGCACTCAATGCCGCAGCCGCAAAATGCGCTGTGATCGCGAATATCCGGCTTGCAGCCGCTGCCTCAAGAACAAAACGCCAACGAAGTGTACCTATGAGGATGGCTTCCTGTGGCAACAGCCCGCTACCGTACCGACTGCGACGTTCACCTTAGACCGAGGCACCACAGTCTCAACGCCCCGAACTGATCAGACCCCTGCTCAGACGCCTCCGCACTCGGGTTTAGGCCCGGCATCGACTCGGTCCGAAGCACTTCTTTCGACAACTGCAGTGGTCCCCGGTTCAACTCCATTTGAGGGGCCGCACCATCACCATGGGGGAAGACACCACGGCCGTGAGCGTGGTTTCCTCGAGACCGTCCTGGGGGCTCCCAGGGCGGCTGTCAATCAGGAACCGTATGTCAATACGGGGGTCCTGCAGCGGCCGAAACGTGCCATTCCTGAACCGGAAATGCCATTTGAGTCGCAGGTCGACCACGGGGACGTTGATTTTGAAGGCTCCGATGATCCACTGTCGCCATCCCAGCAGTTGGATCTGTCTCCCCGCATCATGATGGGAGGTCGAGAGACCAAGACTCGGTTCGGTGGATCGGGCATATATGCGAATTTAGTAGCCCAGGTATGTTATTATCTCGATATTGCTATCTCGTTTGATCCTGATCACTGTTTTAGTTCCCCGATATCAGATCCTTCGCAGAAGAAATCAGATTGTCAAATCCCATTCTCTCGAGGGTCCGACCCGATCTGGAGAGAGTCAAGAGGGGTGTTTGGAAAATAATGCCACTTAATACGCCCTTTCCTGATCCTACAATGGCGTCACTGGTTGCTTTACTGCCACAGCGCCCGGTGGTCGACGAACTCATTAGCTTGTACCTGACTTACATCGAATCTACGCACCGCATCTTTCATGTCCCTTCTTTCCTGAAGGAAGTGGATGACTTCTTTACCAGGATCGATAATCCAAAAAATGCATCGGCGACATTTGTCGTGCAGCTTCTGCTGGTCCTCTCCTGCGCGTGGAACCTTGCAGAAGCAGGCAGTCTGCAAGAGAAAAGCACCGTCCCACTCAAATGCTACACAGCGGTGGAATGGGTGTTGCATGCAGATAAATGGATCGAGAACACCAGCATCAAACGATTCGGAATTGGTGTCTTCCGACTCTATATTTTATTGGTGACGGCTCTGAACTGCCATGGCATGAAACGCAGCAAGGCCTGGATTACTACTGGGTCCCTGGTCCAGAATGCTATGCTATCGGGGTATCATCGCGATCCAAACAAATATACACGCATATCCGTGTTCAATAAGGAGATGCGACGGCGGATTTGGATGACCATCGTGGAGTTGAACCTACAGGTTTCTTTTGATCGAGGCATGCCGCCGTCAGTTCAAAGCTCGGACTACGACACCATACCTCCTTTGAACATCGATGACGAAGAGATACATGAGAACTCTACCGAGGCACCAGAGGATCGGCCACTCAGCAATATCACCGACTGTTCATTTCAAACTGCCCTCGCACGTTCGCTGGACCTCCGCCTGAAAACTTGCTATCTGATGCATTCTCCTCGCATCAGTTGTCGATACGAGGAGATCCAACGCCTCGACTGGGAATTAAGCCTGCAGCTCTCTCGCATTCCCATTTGGGGTCCATCTGAGGCCAGTGACCTTGTAACTCAGCACAAAATCAGTTTATGGAAGGCCATGATTGAGACAAAGATCGCGCATGCTCTGCTTTCGATCCACACCCCATTTGCGATCGAAGCTCGACGCGAGTCACTTTTTGCACCCTCGGCCAGGTCTCGCTTGGATGCAGCAGTTATGATCCTTTCTACCCAGCGCCGGTTACACGAGACCTCGCTGCCGCTATCGCTTTGTATGCTCGGGGAGTGGACTCTCCTGGCGTACATCTCCATTTGCCAGCATCTCCATACTATGGATCACCACAATTGTATGTTCCCCGGTTGGCCGACATCAGACAGATGAGCTGACTATTCTTTAGCTAATCCGTCGTACCCTTCATCCTCCCTCTTCATGATGCATACTCTGCCAGGTCTGCCCGACTCTCTTCTGGCGCTCGTGGAATCGGCCCTCGTATCTCTCGAAGACCGGTTCCTGCTGGTCATCAAAGGTGCAAAGGACTGTTTCTTCCTGTCGACCATTGTCGCATTGGTCAAGGCCAAGCTTTGGACAGTCCAGGCGATCGTTTACAAGCAGCAGGTTGTGGAGCGAGTGCTGTCTTTTGCACAGAAACTCTTTACGCGTCACGCGACCTGTGAGCACCTAGGTGCCTCGGGCATGGGAAGCTTTAAGAACAACCAGGTTTGTTCTCACTCATCATGTTTTATCGAGACATTGTCTGACCCACATAGGTGGCTGCCTTCGTCGCAACTTCCGGGATGTCGGCCGTCCTGCCATCGGACTTGGACTGCATTCTCCCCCCGCCCAATCTCGGCGTGACAGTAAGGCTCACATCCCTTCTGAAGATCCCTCGTGCGAGTCTAAAGTCTAACCGCTCTGCAGCCGCCGGAAGAGTTTGACCCCTTTTTGGATGTATTCAACTGGGAGGATCTAACCGGGATCGCGCTCGGCAACTGAAAGCCGGTGCAATTTACGATAATAGAGGAATTCACGTTGATTTGGAATGTAATCAATATCATGGTTACATCATCGCGTAGATTAATATTCGAGTCCTGGCAATCACAAGGCAACCATACTGTAATGTTGGCCGAGGGAGCTCAGGAGCTTGGTCGTTCGGGTCCACAGTGAGATCATGATCGGAGTGATGATCGGTCGCAACTGCAAGGGCATGCCGATCGCACGGGAAGGCGCGGTCGTAGGACCGGGAGACTATTCTCAATAGTTGTGCACCATTGTGACTCTAGAGGTTCATCATGTCGAGGCTGACGAGTTTTGGGGCGATGCGAGCGCAAGGCTGTGGGGCTGTGATAAGGGCCGGGTACAGAGTACACTTTGTTCTTTAGAGGGTCCCGCTGTGAGTTGTGAAATCTTCTGCGCTGGTATAGGGCAGATTGCGCCTCTACTTATCCCGAAACCTATGCTTAATATAGCATAGCGATGTTTGCACTTATAAATTCTCACCTTCCTTTCCTTACTGCAGTTCAGAGTGACACTAGGTCAAAAAAAAGTAATCCCTTGCTAACGCCCGGCAGCGGTACTACTGGCCCTAGCAGTCTCGCAGGCCCTGGTAGTCTCGTAGACCGATGGACTCCTCACCGAAATCTTATTTATGGAAACATTTCAAAGTTCAGCGTTGATGTTAGTTCATGGAAGAGAGTTCTAGAACAAATGTCCTAGCACGCACTCACAAGTCCATATCCTTCCGTGCCTATCATCATACTTATTGTCCTATGTCGTTCTGCTCGAGAAGACCTGCAAGGCGTAAAGCATTTCAATCTTGATTCACTGAAGATTCAACTCAAGAAAACGTGGTCTCTATGTACACAATATCTGGAAGCTCTTAAAAAAGTCACCAAATTTGCCATCCAAGTAACCTGCACCGGCTGCAACGACAAAGGCTGGAGGACTAAAGTATCCCATTTCTCTGTCAACACCAGTGCAGTTCTCTTGTGCATAGATATAGACAGCACAGTTTTGGGCAAGTCTGGTCACCCATAAATTGTAACTCTCTGCAACGGTGACACATTGGCCTGGGATTGATGTCTGGCCAGTCACCGACTCTGCGCTTGAATTATCGTATGCTGGTCCAACCGGGCCACTCTTTGCAATGGCATACACCGTACTATTAAATGTGCGCTCCATGTCGGCGATGAAAAGCGAGGATTTAAAGGTCATAACCTCATTGGCTTTATGTAGCGAGATTGCAGCAACAATGAGGCCGACTATTGCACAGAGAGATAAGAGAGTAAGGTATGCATTGAACGTGCGAGTTCGCGCGGTGGGCCTTCTTGGTTCTTTCCGACATGTAGCGCATTCGTCGACAGAAAGGGGTTCAACCATGATTCGATCGTGTCGATTTTGCCTGGGAAAATTGGGTTTTTCTCTACGGAATTATTTGTTTTAGTAAAATTTTGGTAAAATATAATGAAAGAGATGTAACGCGGTCTATTTCACTCACAGGCAAATTAGGTAGATATATTTCCTGACACCTAGGGCTGTTAGGGTTCAAAAGTTGTTGCTTGGACGGTTCCTGTGTTTCGGTTGGAACTCTGTGTGCAGGTAAGTTTCTGCACCGAGGTGAATCCTCTTTTTACTTATAAGCGTGCACGGTATCCACGTGAAGTTCTGTGGCTTCATTTTCCGCTTTTTGCTCCGCTAGCGCGCTGTAACCAGCCACGAAAAAAGGGCCAATCACCGGACAAGGAGCCAGCCCACAATAACGACCAAAGCTTATAGCGGTACCGTTCTCCACCGATTGGGCGTAATATCCGTGGTGGATTCCGTTCCCACCTTCCATGAGTGCGTGGGAGAAAACCCTAAGAATCCTCTATTCGCGAGGATTTTAGAGGCAATTTTTGTACGTAGAGATAGCATATTTCAAACCTTCTAACTACCTATTTTACTTTTAGACTAATGGCAGTGAACGAAACGCTATTTGAAAGAGTGCAAATAGTATTTTCCATCAATTAGTGTAAAATAAGGGGGTGGAATGCCAATTTATCGACTCGTGAGAAATGGCATCCGCCCCGACGGGCGTCCCATCCTAGGATGCGCCACAATAAAGCAGCCTTACACTGAATATGACTAGTTGCTTGTGAAGGTCACATCGGCTATATAGTTCATCTTAGCTCTAGTTCTCGTTGGATAGCTATAGTAGGTTAGGTTAATACGCCCGATCTCCAGCCCCCTATGAATGCACGATTGCTCGCGAATGTAATATTGGCTACATTAATTTATTCCTTAGAGACTTTTCAGTAGAGGGCCGCTTCTAAACTGGGATCCCTAAGTGGGATTCGAGGGCACACATTAGCGCCTAGAGCCCTAATCTTCCCGACGGGCGTTCCATCCTAGATGCGCCACAATAAAGCAGGTCAGCCTGACACGCCCCGTTTTTTGGCCTCCATGGCATCTACTTGAGCAAGTTTCTAGGACCTAGAATTCTGAATTTTTATTGCCCATCGCCCTATATAAGAAATCTAGTCTTTTCCCTCCTTTCTTTCTTGACTGTCTTCGTTGGCATAGCTACTTACTTGAGCTACCTCCTCGGGCAATCTTGCTTTGTCTTTGGTCGTCCCTGGCGCTTCAATTACTACTGTTGTTCTGTACGGTGATATCAGTAGCAAAGTTCTGTACCCCTTCGTCCTATGCATAATTCAAATCACGCTGACATGATCATCTACAAGTATAGACACGCAACTCCCTCTCTACTTCATATATCTATTCCATCTAGGCATATGATCCGCTAGTTTAGGCACCATGAAGCTTCTTGGTAACGCCTCTAGGCTACTCTGCACGTTGTTGGCACTAGTAGTAGTAGGGTCTTCGCTCCCTACTATGATTGATATCTCCGCAGAGGAATTCATGGATCTGAATGAGGTTAAAGTGAGACGTGATGGCTCCTTCATCAATCAGACGGAGTCTACGGACCTGTTCTGTGGTCTATGTAGGCGATACTACCACTATACAAAGTTGGAACACGGAAACCCACACCAGAACTTCGTCATCACTCAGAAGGGCGGAACTCTTGTGGCTTGCGACACCTCCCTGGTGTCCACTGGTACTGGTTACTCAACCACACTTGAATGGAGCTTGAATCTAGGCGTTAACTCAGCGTTCTCGTCTGTTGGGTTCGACGTCTCAGAGTCTGAGACCTACTCAGTGTCAAATTCTTTCGAGTGCAATGGCGTCGCTGCTGAGAACGGGGACATATGTGTTCTCTTCTATCAGGCTGTCACGGCGTTTACGGTGAATATGATGGAAGTTTTGGAATGCCCTTGTGGAGGTAGTAGCTTTCATGATTGGGGAACTGCCATTGTGTATGCGCCTAATGCGAATCAAGTTGGCAGCATAGCAGGAAGAGGCATCAATGTAGTGCAACATGGTGTTAAACAGTGCGTGGGTGACTCTGACAGAAGGGTCAACTACTACTGCGGACCTCCTGGAGGCCCTAAATGGTGGAGAGGCAGGGCTCAAGGTCCTTGGATTGAGGATTATGTGAACCAACGTGAACCTGCCGGCTGTGCTATCCCCATTGAAGCCAACAGGTATACTGATTGAGGGAGTTGCATATGTACAATTAATATAGACCCATCTTGTACATAGATTCGTCTGTTTATTAAAGTTCGCGTGCCTCAAGACATCCAACATGTCTGAGGCAATCTCAGCAGTGCTCAACTACTGCCGCCAGTGCCGTGTCTGCTTATATAAAGGGAATTGTTAATCCGACGACCCCCCCTCCCCCAATAAATCAGGCATCCGCCCCTAGATAGGCATAGCGCAGTAAAATTATCCAACGCTTTCTCTATCGCTTTTAACTATCCTTCCTAGACAGTGACATGGGTAGACTGCGGCAAAGCCCATCCAGCCCACCAATCCAGCCCAACCCAACCCACAGTGGGTTGGGTATTGGGTTAGGTTCTTAGGCCCATCGTGGGTAGTGGGTTTAGATGGGTAACCCATGGGTAACCCATGGGCCTGAATGGGTCACAAACACTGCAAACATACGCTTATCCAAAAGAACGTGATGTTCCTTGGTGGTAATTTCATTAAGATATAAGGTAATTTTTATATCTAATTAAATATTAATATTTAAAGAATATTTGTAAATCTATAATATAAATAGATAGATAGATAGTCTAGCTTTAGTAATATAAAATAAAATACGTACTACTTTTAGAAAATAGTGCACCGACCATCCAAAAAATATATCTAAGAACAACGACGACGATATTATCCTACTACTATATATTATATAATACTAGGCTCTATATAAGGTCTTCTATACCCTAGATATTATAATAATTTAATATAAACCTATAAACTAAAGAATAAAAGCGAGAATACAGTGTATTAGAGAATACTAGTACACTATTTATAAGTATATTTATGTACGCCAAGACTATGATTTTATGCGAAAATTGCCCTAAATGGGTGGTAATGGGCCTAAAGCTCTAACCCATCGTGGGTTATGGGTTGGGTTGGGCTTTGGCTTTTAGGCCCATAACCCATGTGGGTTGGGTATTAGGCCGGACCTTTGGGCCCATCGTGGGCTTTGCCGCAGTCTAGCCGAGAGACAGGACACAGGACACAGGACACGGCAAACCAGAGTTGATCGATTATCCAATAATTCGGTCTCCATAAGCTGTTCGTTCCGACAAATTAGCGTGAGGGTGTGCGGTGGGGCCGTGACTCGTGAGTGACTTGTGTATCCGCAGAACTTAGTATGGGAGATCAAGTACCCCCAGGTAGATCCAAAAATGGCAGCCTAAAACACTTGGCTTTTGTTTAACTAGTTCAAACGGGGCCTGGGGCTAGTTCTTTTTTAGTTGCAGCCGCTACTTATGTAGCGCGCCATGTGCTCGTTCGAGTTTTCTTATGTTCCTGATTATTTTATCTCTCTCCTCCTCTCTTTCTTTGGTGATATCCTTCTTTCCCAGCGCAGCATGTGCTGTTCGCGCCAATAACACCCAGTTCCACATCCCCCATGACCTCTTAGGTCGCAGCTACACGCCTCTTTCTAATCGGTGAAATCCCGCGCAGCGGGATTCACCTGTACATAGTTACATACTCGCCATGTATTCCAGGGGTCTGCTTCCGTTGCTCCTGAGCGCATTGATTAGCTTGGTGGTGGCCACTCCAGTATCACATTTGGACCCCACTCTATCACGGGTGTTCGACACAACCGACAAGCTACCTCTACCAAACCAGGGAAACTTGCGTGCACACGATCCCAATATCCTGCAATACAATGGCAGTTTCTACCTCTTTAAAGGTGGTCCTCATGTGCCGTTCTTCAAGGCAACCGACTTGAGCGGACCCTGGACCAAGATCGGCACCGTCCTCGATGGCGACAGTGTGATCCACATGGGAAATCGGTCGCGCCCCTGGGCCCCGACCACTATCGAGCGTGACGGCACTTTTTACTGCTACTATACCCTCAGCTGGAGTGGGTCGCGTACAAGCGCTATCGGTGTTGCCACCACGACCACACTAGACGGTAGCCCTTGGACCGACCATGGCGCTATGATTCATACGGGCCATGGGCCAGGCTCACAAGTCTGGCCGTTTACCATTACCAACGCCATTGACGCGTCTTTCATCACCGATAATTCAACTGGCAAATCGTACCTCAACTACGGCAGCTTTTGGCACGATATCTGGCAACTTCCGCTCTCCGACGATCTTCTCTCGATTGAGAACCCCAAGGATCCAGATGCCGTGCAATTGACCTTCATACCACATGAGAAAATCAAGCCGGAAGAAGGCTCATGGATGAGCTATCACGACGGCTATTACTACGCCTGGTTCAGCCACGGCCAGTGCTGCCGCTTCAACGAGGGCTTCCCAGCGCGTGGCATGGAGTACAGTATCCGAGTAGGCCGGTCGCGGAACGTGCGCGGGCCTTTCGTGGATAAAGAGAACCAGCTGTTACTTGATGGCGGCGGGACGATAGTCTACGCATCCAATCATGGCAAGGTCTATGCCCCCGGTGGGATTGGCGTGTTGGCTGGGAATGATACTACACCGGATATTCTCTATTATCATTACCTGAACACGTCGATCGGGTTTACAGATGCGGTTTGTGTTACCAGTCCCGGAGTTTGGGAATGACGATGCTGACTTTGATTGCAGGATGCTCATCTAGGCTGGAACGTTTTGAAGCACTCGGATGGGTGGCCCTTTGTGGTTGATGGTATAGTCAGCACCGATTCCGGGGCGATGGAATACCTACCGAACTGTTTCTATCTAACGATGTTGATGTGTAAGTGCCCTCCGCTTTTCAGACAATTGGAGATATGTCCTAACCGTCTCGCCTTAGTTTCATGGCTGTACATATGGTCATAGCGAATGCCCTGGCCTGGCATCGGTGCCCAACCTTTCCCTGTCTTTCTAGCGATTGCACCATAGAGCTCATAGAAGTGGCATTTGTGTTTTGGTCGACCCCTGGTCATTTATTTAGCGAGCGAATTCCTGGGTCAATATCATGTTTCATTTTCAATGCAAGGCTTATCAAAGCCGGTAGAAGAGCTTGCTCCACCGTTAGCTTGCGTCTCATTTCTTTCAGTGAGATTAAATCACCGCTTTTGGCATTTCTTTGTTTTTAATAGCCTGCATAGCTAATAAAAGGAGGCGCTCCTGTTCGATACACTTTCGGCCTGTGAGAGCGATTTGGTGGCATGGTGGTCGTAGAAACCAAAAAGGACGCGTAGGACGCGAAAAGGTGGCTAGGTCGCCTACTCGGTGGTGTGGTCCACTCGGTAGGTAGTTAACTATGTAGTTGCAAATTGCCAGAACTAACGTACATAGTAGTGGAGATGAAAACTGGTAATTTTGAGGTAAAAAAGATGTCTCATGGGTTTTGGGTAGGTGGAAAGATGGTAAGGTATAGCAAGTGTTTTATAAAAGTTGGTTTTGTTTCTGCTAATCCTACTAAGGTCTCAGTAGGGCCCTACTGACCTATAATCACGTCCCAGTCAGCCGGCCCCGCATCTGCCTAGGAATATAGCCCCTAACGCCTGCGTCATCTTTCTTTCTTTCATCCCCCCATTCGTCTTTGAGCTCAGTACAATTTTCTTTGCATCGTAATGTCTTGTATGATTTCGTTGAATTTACGGTTCTCTGCAATAGATTTACATCCCTCCTATAAAGCTTGGTTCAAGAGCCTGGCGATACTGCGAGATATACAAAGAGGAGTTGATGTCACTATCGGCCATCGTAGCTTTTGCTGCGTAGATCAAGATGATCCCAAACAAGTATTTTATCTATGGGGTGAGTCCGCCTAGTTTTATAAGTTTGTTACTACTATATCTAACTTTGACCAACTGGAGAGAATTGCCCGGACAACAAATTCAAGGCCATCAAGGCCACCTATATATCCGAGGCATCGGAATTAAGCCGATGGCTTTCACCACTTCTAGAAAGGCCACTATCTAAATAGCCTATCTGGAGACTTGACTCACAGCTGCACATCATGTCTCGATGGGGCTTTCCCTACTCTTGCTTGGAGCTTATCCTTGTTCATAATTCAAAGCGCCCTCTATGGCTCCTTGTATTTCTTAATCAGTATACGCCCGGAGGATCAAATAGTGGCTTAGGAGACGTTCCAGTAAATCGCTACACGCGTAACGACTTGGAACTGCCTAATGGAGATGACGTTGATTTCTGGTGCATCGAGTGGAACACCTTTGAACGGCGTGAAGAGGTTTTTGCGGAACCGGCCTTGAGGCAACAAATGAAGCGAGTATGGGAAGAGCAACGACTGCCGATTCTCTAGGCACTTGAGAAAACCGAGGAGGAGCTTACCTAGGAAGAAGACCTCCAGGTATTTTTCGACTGCACGGGACCCTCCAAGGTTCAGAGGCAGTTTGTTCTTGCTACGCTAGTGGATGACAAATATTTGGGATTGGATAAGAAAAGGAAATTGTTATGTGTGATCTTATAGCTAATAGCTAGTTTGAGAACAAGAATTGTAACCTAGGGCCTCCAAGGGTGTTTGTGCTGATTGGTCTCGCTGATAGTCGGAAAAAGGACATAAGTTAACGAGAGGTAGTATGAATTTGTGTCTCCTTCGTTCCGATTTTCCTCGCCATTTGTTGATTCTGCATCCATATCTGGAATATTCACAAATTCTGCACTCCCATTTCATCCACACATAATCCATTTATCCATTCGAAGGTTGCGCCTGGTCCTTTAGGGATCCCACCCACCGTCGACACTATACACCTGGCCGGTCGTATACGACGCCGCATCACTCAACAGAAACACCACCGTCTGAGCCACCTCATCTGGCGTGCCAACCCTCGGAATAATTGTATCAGGAACGGTAGGCTTGCCCTGGATAACAGTCGCCTGATCAAGCAGAGGAGTCTGAATCGAACCACTAAAGCAATGTCAGCGCTCCCCTCTCTACACACCAGTTAATAGGAAAGAAGATACTCACGGCGCAACAGAATTAACCCGAATATTCGGCCCAACCTCCTTCGCAACCGAGCGCGTCAACCCAATAACCCCATGTTTCGTCGTCGAATAAGCCGTATGCAACGGGAAGCCACGCAATCCTTGAATACTAGACGCCGTAACAATACTCCCCTTCCCACCGGGCGCCGAGGCCATAATCGCCTTGACCTCCGCGCGCAGACAATACATCATGCCGGACAAATTAACACGCACAAGCATATCCCACTCATCGTCTTCAAGATCAATGAACTTGCCCATGCCGTGGTTCTTGCCAATAGCACCGGCCATATTGGCCGCGCCGTCGATTCTGCCGAATTGCTGGACCGTCGCGCTGATCCAGTCGTTCACGGCCGATGAAGAGCCGATGTCTACGACCGTGGATAGGATGGAGGGGTGGGATGAGAAGTTTGTGATTGTTTGGACTGCGTTGTTGAGTGTCTTTTCAGAGATGTCGGCGAGGGAGAGGAGTGCGCCGCGGGCGTGGAGTTGCTTTGCGACGGCTAGACCGATGCCTCCGAGCCCTGTTACGACGTAGACTTTGTCTTTGAAAGAATCCATTTTTTTTGGTGGTGAGGAGGTAGTTGGAGAAGAGTGGTTGGACTTTTTACGGGGAGGGGATCTCGCTAAATCACCGACGTGTGAAGAAGTGAGGCGTGGAGCGAACCGGGTATTTTGCGGTGCAGTTACTTAATGATAGCTCTTAGCGGGTAATTGCGGTGCCATTCGGCGGTGCCGACAGGTGCGGACGCCACTTTGTCCCCGCTGGTTTTCTCCACTCCTTCGTGGGGGTGGCCCATATTAAGTGTGGGATGCCCTTTTTGTCTTTGGGTGTTCAGCAGTAGATAATCAGCAGGCATTGTCTAGTTAGAGTATGACTATGGCTTTGCCTGTATCTCCAAATCGTCACGGAATTTGCTCGGGGATCGTAGAGTAAGGCCGGATAACCTTCTAGGACTGGGCTTTCGCGTTGAGTTTCCCTCCATCGCAGACTGCTGGTACCCCTGGTGACAGCTTCTATAGCCAACTACTTTCCTCCATGGAGATTTGCCATGCGTCTCATTGGAAGTACCGGTCTGGTAGCGCTCTTCCTCGTCCGCGATAGAGTAGAATGTCTTGCGGAATCACGTATCAAATCTGCAGGGGGACGATAGCTGCATTGACCTTTGATAAGAGCGTGTTGGTAGACCTGGTGAGAATGGCCCCGTAGACCTATTGCTTTTAGTTATCATGTCTGTGAATATGGATGAGGCCGGGAAGTGACTTGTACCGGCTGACCATGAACAAGGGTCACAGTCGCCGTAAGGGCTAGGGCCGAAAGAAAACGATGAATTTGTTGAACGGCGGTAGCTAGCTTGAATCTAGGTATATTGAGTGCACTCTAAACCGGATAATAGCGTCATATGTCAAGTACTGATGCCGGTGCTGGAAGTTGTAGGCTGGGTACCAGATAACCACGACAATTAGGACCGCCAAGGAGACAAAGTTAGCCACTGACTTTGTCCACAGTCACCACCCGAGGATACCCGTCCATGTATTCCCATATCCACAGTCATATCACCAGTGCTGAGGGTTTTGCCACAAAAGGTGCAGTAAATAAGATGCAAATGGTTTATCCTTGGTGCTTGTCAACCATGAATGGCCAATAGTACTGAGATCCAGCAACTGCAATGAAGGCGAACTATCCAGATATATCAGTTCTTTTCAAATCTACTCAGGTGGCACCCGAGCTCGTCATGGTAGAGTGCACTCACAGTATCTCTGACCTTCGGCAGAGTGAAATGAATGGGGTAAGGTTCGGTAAGCGGAAGGAAAGTAAGTTAGGTAGATGGAGAGTATAAAGCAACGTAAGTGAAATCATTGGTAAGAGAAATGAATGTTGTTTGTATGCGCTGGACAATAACCATGTAAGCGAATCAAGTTCTCGGACCGATCTGTACTGGTTGTCTCCTTTTGAGTTGGTGCCTTGGTACCTTGGTGCCTGGATAATGAGAGGTGATAAAACAATGACACCTACGATCCATGTCTTTGCCATCTTCCTCATTACATCCTCCTCATTTATCATTACTTTACATCAAGCTGCATCGCAGAATGGATTCTTCGACATCCTGGTTCAGCCAGGGACGTATCGGTGAGGCTCTCCAGGTGGGCAACACCATCTTCACCAGCAAGTTCAGGTGGAGAATCCTTGACAAACGTAAAGAGCGCGACTGTCAAGTCTCCCAAGAAGATTCTATCGAAGATTTTGCATCTTACGCTTCAATCAAGCTGTTATGCGCCGAGGCCAGCAACCCTTCTAGGTGGGTCTTCATGCGGATCTACATGCAAGTTCCGCTCAAAAATACAGAAAATGAAGACGCCCAAACTCGTGCCCTGCAAGCCATACAGACTAAGCCCAAGGAGCTCATCGCATACCAGACTCTCGCTAACGCTCCATACGTTTTGAAATACGTACCTGAACTCCTTGATTTCGAGGAACACCGACAGGGTTCCTCAAACTCATTTCCTGCCAATCTCGTCCCCGGCGGATTTTTAACAATCATCGTATGGGAGCATGTTCCTGGCGTTCTTCTTGGTGATGGGTCTGGAAAGGCCACCAAATTCTGGGATCTGAAGGATCCAAGAGAACGAGTCACGATTCGTGAAAAGTTCAAAGAACTCATTCCGTAAGTTATTCTGCTCTGCCTGACTCTCACGTGGAAGAAAAAGTACTGAAGAGGAATGTAATTAGCAAAATCACCAAAGCCGGTATCTGGCCTAAGACTGCTGGACCATCCAACCTAATCTGGTGCTCAGAGACTAAGTCTCTGTAAGTGTTTATCGTGATCTTTTCTCGACGGTGACCTCGACTAACCGATTGTTTATAGCCACCTTGTTGGGTTTCGCGAGTGGAGCCATATGCCCCGACAGACCTGGAATGCTGGATGGTATCCTCGGTTCGACCTTGTTCGTGTACCCGTGGATTGCCACTGGAGCGATTCTGATTGGAACGGTAGTACTTCTGGATGGAAATGGGAGTTAGATGATTTCGTCGCTCGTGAACAAAGCTCCTAAGTAACTCGCTTACTTTAAATCCTACTCATTCTTACTGCTGCATTTAATCAATGATCCGAAAGTTCGGCGGTCCACTGAACATCAATTGGTATGTAGATAGAGTAACTAACGCGCTCGGACTGTCCACGCTTGGACATTGGCCCCGACCATCGAGGATGAGAAGGGTCGAGGATGAGAAGGAAAGTGACGCTGTTTTGGTCGGGGGCTGAAGAAGAAGTGATGGTTGCGAATGAGACGAGGGTGAAGCCTTTTTGGTCGAGAATAGGAGAAAAGGTGAGAGAAAAGGTGAGAGAAAAAGAGAGAGAACTGTGAGAGAAGTATGAGGAAAAGGTGAGAGATGAAAACATCTGCCCTGAAGGTACGAGTGTGCAGTTCAGAAAGCCCACGCTAATTCTAAGTGTTTGGTCAATTCCTGTCATTCAGGGTATACAAGAACGCTCCATTCTATAGTTTCGTCGCGGTGTTATTCCGTCTCCACATCTTCTTGCGCCGCTCATGGCCAGCATTGAACTCGTCCGCCCACTTCTGCTCAAACACCGGCAGTGGGCGCCCAGCTCCATCGCGTGGCTCGCCGGCAAGTAGACGCATATCCTCGAAATAAGCCTTGAACTCGGGGTTGATAACCGTAAACCCGGGCCCATCACCTCTCTGCGCGATGCGATCCGTCTCCCATTGCTCCTGTTCAGCAACACTAGGCAGGGTGGCTCTGCCTGCCAACACGCGTGCAGCTGCCACAGCCTGCCACTCGAAGACTTTGAAGGTGAGACCAGCACCGACCTAGGGTCCTAGTTAGCGTCTTTTCAATTGGGGCATTGGAGAAGTATAACGTACAGCTCCAACGAATACCAGACTTGGATCATGGCGGTAAAACACATGCTGATACAAGTCTGGGACACGGTTATTGCGTGTTTTCACTCCTGGCAGGAATGGTAGTGTCCATGTGAAGCCTGTTCCGAAGAGGATGTTATCCACGCCGGTCTCGGAGGAACCGTCTTCGAAATGAACAGTTCGGTCCTCGACCGTAATATGTGAGATGGTGGTCCGTTCTTGAATCATTGGGTGCTTGAATGCCTCGTTGCCGAAGTACACGTTGTAGCGACCGCGAGTCACAGCATAAATGGGCGATTGAGCGGTGCCAATTAAGCTGACTGCTGTGTCGGCGGCCGAGACTGATGCCCCGACTGTTATGACTTTCTGCGTGGTGTTATTAAAGGTCCATTATCAAAGGGAGGGGGGTGCAAGCATACCTTGCCGCGGTACTTCTCCGGTCCCCGGTAGTGTTTGGTGTGCTCGATGCTGCCTGGATAACGTTCCGCGAACTCTTTCAGGCCGGTGATGGCAGGGATATACGGTACTGCATAATGGCCGGAAGCCACCACGAGTGCATCAAACACTTCAGTCCACCAGTAGTCGGATTGACTACCATTGTGGCATTGTGTACGTCGAAGAGTGAGCACCCATTTATCGCTGCCAAGCTTCTTGATCGCTCGCTCAACAGTCGTATTGTACTGAATAAGATCTGCATGGCCCTTCTTCGTGAAGAGATCTTCGATATACTGCCTGATGATAGAGTGATGCCGGAACGGCGTATCCTCGCCGTGTCGCTCAATTGACCATTGCGACCGAACCGTTGGGATCGGCTCTTGGGAGTACGACATAGCGCTTGCGTCCACGTTCGTCTCCAGTCCAGGATAAACGGGTGAATCAGTAAAGCGATCCTGACCCACCACCGGCGTGTGACATGGAAGTTGCTCTGGGATCTTCAATGGCGCATCTGCTGTGCGCGCTGCCAACCCGTCAAGGTCGAAATTTTGCGGTGGGGGATCATCTCTTGACACCCTGTAGTCGTCAGAAATTATACGCTCATAGTATTCGCGCGCGCATACCAGCATCCCCCGGCTTTCTCCTGTCTTTCAAAAACACGAACATCGAATATCTTCTCCTGCATCAGCGCATCGACGGCAATGGCACCCGCAGGGCCAGCGCCAATGACAGCCACCCGCTTGATAGTCATCGTATATAACTAGTTGTACGCATATAATGCGATCAACGTCGTATTAAAGCTGTCGCCCTGCTCCTTTTCAATACATGCAAGTCCTCTCGGCCGAGCTTTGAGGAATGTCTTATCTGGGGAGGTAAAGTTAGACTTCGTCACGCCATCAAGGCAACTTTTGTGCAAGTACAGATGACGCCAGCCAATGGAATGCAGCTTACAGGGGAGAGTCCGTTTCTGGTGTACTGCAGTTGATGAACTTTATTTCCAGTGCCTGGATTTTTCTCCAATCTTCGGGATTTTCAAAAGCCGAGTCTCGGCTTCTGATCTCGAAATTTCATTCTTTTCTTCCCCGGCACGCAGCCGAGGATTTTATTGGACGTCGTTTTGTGGGCCTCAACAGGAACCGCCACTCGTTGATTGGCCTCTCGATACATTTGGATCGTGTTGTTCAAAGCAATGTGGTGGAGGCGGGAAAATGATGCTCGAGATGTTGAATAAACTGTGCCAAGGTGAATCTCTCGATGCCCGGGTCCAAGTTGAAACCCGTTATCTTGACATTTGTCGCTTGAGCCACTCTTCATATCCAGAATGCTGAAGATCATCGAGGCTAGGAACCCAAAAGTATCACGAGAGACCACACCTCTGAAGGAGCGAGAGATACTGGGTAGAGATGAAGGCGTTGTGAGGGGAGAAATGTTGAACTAAGCGTCAGCGACCACCTACACGGCCATGAGCTGACCGGAGGACAAATGGGCCAATTTCGGGTCCATGGATCCTAGTTTCCTGACTCAATGCTCTAATGGACGCCCATTTCACTGAGTGGTCCCGAGATCAACAGTCGCTCGATGCCGTCCCAGACCCTGACGTTGTGGGTTGGGGCCATGGCCCCGGCCCCGGCCCCGGGGCTTCATGAACGTCAAATATCACTCAATGGCCCCCGATTGTCTGCAAAAATGCTCCGAGGGCCATAATTTAATACAAACGAACCGGACGATCCATTCAAGATGCCGATTTCTACCTAGTGGAAGCTTACCACGCCCCTTGGACCCGGCCCCTCAGCGTAATCGACGATTTCTATTTTCGATGCCATCAATCTCAAGCTAGCATACCGATATGACGGACTCCACTTCCTCATTCATTCTTTAATGGCCCCAGGTAGAATTCTGTTATAAATTTGTTCAAACCCTCAGACGTAACTTTCCAATTCATCCTCGTCATCATCTTTTGGTTCATGCTCGATTTTTTACAACGCATTTTCAATTTCGCAAAAGGCAATCAGCCACCAACTGGAAAGCTTTAAACTCATAGACTACCCGGACTCTTTTTCTCAGCATCATGCGATTCACCTGTCTCGTTGCAATGGGTCTGATGGGCTCCGCCTTCGCTCTTCCACGCCAAAAGTCTCCAGAAGGTGCAGCCGATGTCCACTCAGTTTCAGCTGGCTCTGAAAGCTCTCCTGCATGTTTCCACCTACCAATCGGAAGGATCCCGGTACCTCTGCCGACTATTCGCACACCTATTCTACACCCGAGCTCGACATCCGTCCCGGGCGGACGCCATGGCAATGGAGGCTCTTGGAGAGGGCGCCCGGGTTTCCAGGGAAGCCACCAAGCAGGTCTCACCGATGTTCAAAAGGCAGAGAACAAGCTGCTAGCAGACCAAATAAAGCTCGCCCATGCTCAGCACAACAAAGCTCAGGAATGGATCGACCGTCTGGCTGAAGACGTTCAGGCTATCGCCTCCGCAGAGTTTGCTTCCTATTCCGCGGGGCTCGCAAAGCAGACTGGTTTCCGGCAGGGTGCTGGTTCTCAAGGGAGCGGAGGCCCAACTTCTATCATTCCTCCTTGCAAATTTTCCCATTCCACGCCTTCGCCATCCATCATCCACCCCCAAAAGTCGACCAACACTGGAAATTCCGACCTGCCTATGAAGATTGGGAAACGTCAGGAGCAGGATCCGCAGGATGCCTTGGATAAACCGGTTTACTATCTTATAACAACAACTATCAACAATACCCCTGTACCGATTTATACGGCAGCACCAGAGCTACCAGTTGAGGAAGAGAAGCGCCAGGACAAGGAACACCTCGCGGTAAATTCTGTGAATGATGAGCCTTCTAATCTGGTCTCGGAGAAGCAAGCTCGAGGCATGCCTCCGATGACCACTGCCGGGGACACTTCCGCGCCTACCACCACTGGCGCATGATATGGAATATCAAGGACACTGACTAGTATGGAGAGAGATCTTTATGACTATGTTGGAAAAGACTGTTACTGTATTTAATCGTTCCATCGCATACAGGAGTAATGTTTCCTTATCTGTCAGGTAAAACTAACCACAACCTTGGAGTCTCCCGGGGCCGATCGCCTCTCAAGGTTCCGGGGCAGTTTTATCTTCACCTAGAATCCACACATATTCGAATGACATCCAGCGCTAAACGCCAAAGTTTGTAGTTGCATAGAATAATTGATTTCTGAACCTCTCTGAATTATATATGTCTATCCACAGCCCCTCACTGTTTGTCCAAGAATACCACCACACTTCCAACATCCGTGTCGAAGGGGAATTGCAGCCCCATATTCATCAAGGTCGCACCAGAGTAAACACCCTTTCCTTCAACATTATACATAGCCGCCGCATCCAAACCCTCCATTCTGATTCGAGGAATGGCGTTATTAATGCGAGGAGAAATCTGGAAATAGAACAGCACCGCCTGCGACCCATCTTCAGAGATGAACAAAACAGCAGGCCAATTTGAGTCCTCCGGCAGACTGAGACGGTACATGTCACCCTTGAGAATGAGCGGGCTAACTTTTTCAGCAAGTTCGATGAGGCCTGGCAAGGCTGCCTTGTCTTCTTCGGGTATATTGGCTGGGTCGAGTTCCAGACCAAATGAACCGCCCATCATGGCGACGTGTCCGCGGAAGGAAACCGGCAACGTGCGGCCAGTTTGCTGGTTGGGAACTGCGGAGAGATGAGCACCCATGGCGCTAGGCGGGTATACGAGGGATGTTCCAAGCTGGATGGTGATGCGTTCCATGGCATCGGTGTCGTCGGATGTCCAGATTTGAGGGAAGTATTGCAACACACCCGCGTCGAAGCGACCGCCACCGGAGGCACATCCTTCCCAGAGTACATTGGGGAAGCGGGTGGTCAGTGTCTCGAAGACGTGATACATTCCAAGCATGTACTTATGGTCTATGGATGGAGAGGGTGTCTCGTCAATGCCTCGGTTGTTGTCCCACTTGATATAGGTGATGTTGGCACCGTTGATGAGTTTCGTCATGAAATTGATAATGAAGTTCTGAACCTCTGGCAGGGCTACGTTCAGCACAAGCTGGTTTCGCCGCTCGGTGCGAGGGTAGGATCCTGCATGCAAAGCCCAGTCTGGATGTTTACGGTACAAGCTAGAGTTTGGGTTGACCATTTCGGGCTCGACCCAGATCCCGAAACGCAGATTGGTGGATGTTTTGGCAGCTCGGAGACTGGTGATTTGGTTCACAGGAGCTGTGAGACCACTGGGGAATTTTGCGGGATTGGGCGTCCAGTCGCCGAGCCCAGCAGTGTCACTATCGCGCGGGTATTTGTTTCCAAACCAGCCGTCATCCAAAACGAAAAGTTTAATTCCCAAGCCTGCCGATTCCTTGGCCAGGTCGACGATGGTGCTCGCGTTGTAGTCGTAGCCAAGACCTTCCCAGCTATTGAGGAGGGGTGGGCGGTCCGATGTCGCAAACTTGCTCTTGATGAGATGGTTGCGATATAGACGGTGGAACAAGCGTGACATGCCACCGATTCCATTATTGGAATACACGGACACGCACTCGGGGGAGGTGAGTGACTCTCCAGGTCCGAGCGACCATGAAAGCTGATTGGGGTTCATTCCAAGAAGGGCACGAGTGAAGCTCTGAGAGCTCTTTTCGACATCGACAGAGAAGGATCCAGTGTAGACGAGCGAGAAGCCCCATGCCTCACCACTGGATTCCGTGGTGGCCAGGTCCACCAATGCCAGGAAGGGGTTGTGAATATGCGAAGAGTAACCCGCAGAGCTCCCAACACTAATGCGAAAGATCAGTAAAGACCCCACGATTAATCGATGCAGTTAACGTACCCCTGTATACCGTACTGAACCTTTCTTCTCTGGCGATGCGCCTCTCTCGCCCAGTCCCCACTCAATGTGATCATATCAAGGTCTTCGCGGGGAAAGTCCACGCTCATACTCGCAAGTGCCTCGATAGTGATGTTGCCCGTGCCCTTGTTGGTGACATTGACACTTCGCACAATGGCATCATATTTAGGGAAAATCGAATAGGACAGGTCCGCAGCCACGGAGCTGTAGTTATCATACAGATGTACAACCAAGGTGCTCACATCCTCGGCGGTACCGAACGTTGCCGGTAGACCAGGCAATCTCGGCTTGCCTTGAATCACACTATGTGATTGATACTGCAAATCCGACACGGTATAACCCTCAGTTTGCCGAATGCGAATTGCGGGAGTACGAAAGTCTCCACGGCCTTGATCGGGGAATTCACGACGGACTCGGCCTGGCTTACCGACCCAGCCATGAACATTGGCAACAATTTCAGTGGGGATGTTTCCGGTCACTGTTCCTCCGAAGTGATCAGACAACAAGTCGCCAGTGCTGTTGTCTACGTGGAAACGATATGAAACGCTGTCGCCATTCAGGGCGAAAGTGGTGCCGTCCACGACAACTGGTTGAAGCATAGTTAGCATTCAATAAAATACACACCGTTAAGAGGATATATAAATAGCTTACCATTACCGGTATCTTGGGCCACAGTTGGGGAACCGAAGAGCGCCAGCAGCCCACCTACGGGCGCGAGTTTGTTTGCGAAACGGACCATGTTAGCCGTTCTTTTATGGGACGAACTCGAAAACAAAACAGTCCTGGTCAATGGTCAATGGGCTATATAACTTCGGCGAAATTAAGAAAATGAGAGCGACCCGTTATCGGAAAAGTCGGCCAATCAAGACTATATTGCACAGTTGAACTCCTTGTATGATGTAGTATTTCCCCGGTTTCGCGACCCTTCTGCACGTTGTGGGGAGGCGGGGGGAAGGCTGACGAGCTAGGCCTGGAGGCGGTGGACCGGAGTGTCAATAGCGGCGGTTTTGAACGCGTCCTATCGGCCCGCACGCGATGGATTCCGCCTCTACGCCGATGCCAAGGCTCAGTTCAACAAACGCAAAAGCCCGTACCGTGAGTGCGACCAAGGAGACCCGCTGCTATCCCGCGGTGGAACTCGGTATACGGCATTTCTTGCAGCCCGCTGCAATTCCAGCCACTTCTTGTTGTGCAGAAACTTCGGGATGAGGAAGGCCAAGGCCTGTGTTGCTTGCCGGTATGTGGAACTCCCCGCTTGGCCCTCGGGGTCCTTGCTGACGATGTTAGTGAACGACGGCGGAAATGCGAGAGCCGTGCACCGGGCCTTCCTTGCAGGTTTTGTGTTGCTCGTGGTCTGTCATGTTCGAGTGGTGAGCCAGGTAAAGGAATACACGGCCATGATGTGCCCTTCTCAAACGCTTCCTATCCACGACAGACAGACGAGCGTCTACGGCCCACCAAGTCTCTTTGTGCTGAACTGGTACAACTTTACTTTGACTATGTTCATGATCAATTCCACACGTTGTTCCACCCACCGACTTTTGTGGAAGACATGAATCGAGGGCAAGTCCCGCAGATTCTACTATATGGCATGATGGCTCTCTCTGCACGGTAAGCTGTCTGGAGTAGCTGGGAAACCAACAATACTTACTTCTGAATCTAGATTCTCAACAAGCTCACATGTCTCTGGCACAGACCCGAGGGAGAGGGGGCGGGGCTATGCAAAGGAATGTGAAAGGTTGCTGGATTGGAATGATGTCTCATTGACCACCATCCAAGCCTGCGTTTTGCTCGGCGCCATCGCCATAACGAATGGGAACCCTGCGTCGGAGAGTATACACTATGCCGTTGCATGTCGAATAGCCCAGCTCCTCGATCTTCCCAATTGCCCGGTGACCAGTCGCGTGGATCAAGAAGTCAATATTCGCAGTACGTTGAGCGAACAGCCAGGCCGGGTCACTGTAAAGCTAACCAGTCATAGTGTGGTGGTCTCTTAACATGATTGACGTGTGGTCTTCATCCGGTGTTCGGCTCCCAAGGCTATTGACACCAAAGGAAGATGTGCCTCCGCCGATGGATGAGATTGCCTTCTTAGGATTGACCCGCAGTCAAGGATTCGACGTTACTATCGAAAAGAAGCAACAGTCATCACTTCTCGCCGAGATGGTCCGCCTGAACCGTATCTTATTACAGATCAACGACTTAAATATCCGGGCCTCCGAACGGGAATTAGATGCCGAGACCATCTTAAGCAACGTCGAAAATCTTTCAAAGCAACTCGACATGTGGCTGGAGGAGCTTCCAGATCATATACGAGATACGCGTAGAAACATGGAGCGATACGCTGCCCAAGGCCTTGGGCGGGTTTTCGTAGCCATCTACCTTGGATACTATCACTACGGCCAGATGTTGTTCTACAGATTCTTGCACGAAGACTCACAAAGGCTCACTACACACGCACGACACTACGCAGAGAAATGCAAGCAACATGCTGGCAGTTTATGCGATATAGTCTACGCTTCTGATGAGGTACCCGGCTGCGATGTCAAGTATAACATGGTCGGGCATGTACTCGTCATTGCTTCCACGGTACAGATCCATAGTCTGCTCTTCGAAGCCGACGATTCAAACGTCACAAAAGCGAAGACGCGGTTGGAAAAGAACTTCTGTTTCCTTACTCGTCTGAGAGACCTTTGGCCGACGCTGGACTTTTGCATGGATCGTTTGATGGCCTTCCACGAGGCGTGTAGGAATTCTGCAGATACGAGCTTCCGGATGGATCGATGGATGGTGCGGTTTTTGGTTGAGTTTGCCAGTCCTGTGAGTGACAAGACATCAAACTCGAACGTGGACAATCCATGGTCTCTTGCGGGTCTGGGGATCACTCCCCCTGAGATGGAGGCTATTTGAAAATCGCAGACAACTGCTGAATGTACATATCTCTATAGATCAGTGTAAAAATCTCAATTTGCCTATCTGCCATCAACCAGAACCAGTCTGCTCATCCCCTGCGTAAAGGACAAAGGTGACAGTTCAAAATCAGTGTACATTTAGGGGCCTAATCCCTATTTGGTATCAAAGGCGCTGTCCTTCTCAAGCCAAGTGCCAAAATCCTTCAACTCAGGATACACTTTTCTCAGCTCTTGAATATCCGCTTGGCACCCTACATCATGAAACCACTGGAACATGATGCGCAAGTCCTTCGTCGTGGACAGCACGGCTTTGGCGACGAAGCCGAAAGTCGTTGGGACCGACTTTCCAGTCTTAGCCTTGAAGATCTTGGCCATCTCATCAAATTTGAGCTCGTCACCAGCCAGGGAGATACCTCTATTTTGGTACTGGTCGGGGAACATAAAGGCCTGCGCTCCGAAAAAGCCAATGTCGCTGACCGCGATAAGTGACAGCGGTTTTTCCTTCACCGTATTCTTCCAGCTGGTAGTGAAAACCTTCCCGAAGAAGTTCGGGGTGAAGTTGTCGAAGAATGTGACGGGGCGGAGAATCGTCCAGGACATTTCGGTGTCTTTGGCCTTTTCGACGAGATGATGCTCGATGTGGTACTTGCTCACGAAATGGGGAACAGGTGTCGGGCTGTCAAAAGATACATCTCCACCGCGATCAACGGAGGAGTACACGAAATGCTTGACATTGTTCTTGAGGGCTGCGTCGACGAGATCTTTGCCCTGTTTCTCTTCTGCTTCTTGATTCGATCCAGAGACCAGGACCTGACGTAATTTTAGCTTTTATTCATGGAGGATATCAGTAACCACCTACTTGGACGCTGTAAACACCCCAGATGGGCTCAGAAGTGATCTTGTGGGCATTGGTGAAGATAATCTCCGGGTTATCTAGATTGCCTTGGACCACTTTGATTTTCGGTGATTGTCTTAAAAGCTTCTGCGCTTTACTGGAAGTTGCGTCGCGAGTGACGGCGAGTATTTCGAAGTTTGCTTCTGCGGCGAGAAGGGCAGCGACGACGCTTCCTCCTTGGTTGCCGGTCGCGCCGGTAACGAGAACGGTTTTCGACATCTCGGGATGGTGTCGTAATATAGCGACAGTGAGGATGTCTCCAACGGCGAGTTGATTTACAGAGATATGATAGTGTTAAAATGTAAAATCGGTGATTTGAAAGCTATCGGAAAGAGATCGGACTTACATTGATAATCGATGCGATCATCATTAAGCTTCGGCGTTGGCCTCAACCCCGAGTTCTACAACGCAAATGATTGGCCCGCGACGCTGGAATGACGACGATGGTCTAATCTAGCGTCTGTCGCGTGTTCCACCTCCCGGTGGCAATATTTCAGTTATCTCCAGCTTTTATCGGTCTGCTTTCGGGCTTGAGCCATGACTTTGCTATCTCCGACGAAACCCCGGAGTCATTTGCAACTACGTTCAACAAACGAAGCTGCAAACGATGCTATGAGAGAATGGTGTGATATGATCGAAGTAGCCCCTACGATGCAGCTACTCTTGCATGGCTCCAGACAATCAATATAGCGATACGTCTAGCTTCTAAATACGCCTCGATCCTTACTATCATTCTTCAGAATATTGTTTGCATAAGCTTCTATATCTAACGCAGAGGCGGGGATAAAAGGCTTATCCAGATAATGAATTCATTAGATGATTGCTGCCTCTTGATCGTCGTTTAACGCCCGATTAGGTGATTTTCGTGCTGTGGCAGGCTAGTGACCGCGGCGGAGACGGTTTCGCAAGGTTGTGTAGGGAACGCTATATTCCCGTGCGTACGTTACTAAATTAGGCTGTTTCTCCTTCCTAGCGGTCTCGCAAGCTTTGAGTATTCTTTTGTCGTTGGGTGTCAGCGCGCTCGATATGATGGGTGGATGGTTACCGCGAAAATAATGTGGAATATAGAATTAGCAATACTATAGGAATTGGCAACGCGCTAGGGGATCCAGCGCAAAGTGGCGTGGAGCGCCGGTAGGTACGGATAGTGTTAGATCACTAAATCAAAACTCTTATACGAATACGGTAACAACCAGCGAGCGCGAGCGCGAACGAGGATACGATTACCACAAGCTGAAGATAAGATAGTAACTAGCTAATTCTTAAGGCCAGGAGCAAAATTCTCGACTCCTAATAGACACTCTTGCTTCTGATTGATGAAGTCTCGGAACGAGTAGTGGTCGGAGTTGGTGACTTTCTAGGGAGGGGTAATGAAGATTATGCGGCGGCATAGTCCTCTTCAGGATAACTATGCACCTCTATTGTTTGTATTCTACGAACATTTTCCCACTTTGGATGCAACTTCAATCTATAATATGCACTCGGCAGGTGCGAGCGAGCGTTTATCTAGATCTCGACAGCGATAGGACTTTGGTGTTTCGCTTATTATGTATCATATTACGCTCAAGGGGAGTGATTTTCTACGAATTTTTAGAACGATATATGATCAAGTAGCAAAGGTTTACATATATTGAAGTGCTAAACATATCTATCGATACCTATAAGTGTGAGTTTTTGATGGAATGGGATTTCTCAACATGGTAGCATATCAGGCCTGCATTCAACGAGAGGCCTGTAGTTCAAAACTGGCAGGAAAAGGTGCGGCCGCGAAAAAGGATATTCGGTGGACCCCGGCCAGCATATGCACCGTCAAATAATCCCAGGTAGCGAGCGGGGTTAAGGCCTCGTACAAGTCACTTCCGCTTTAACAAGGTTTCGGTGGCTCTTGCTATCAGGGGGTGTGCTGAAGTGCTAAAGATCCATAATAAGGTGCGCGTGTAGGCTTTTTGGCCGAATGGGATTCTTCAGCGATACATAAATCCTCTTTCACCATGCCAATGGTGGGAAGTCTTATGCGGTTCTATACAATCAACACTATTCCTTTGACAATCAAAATTCTATTACTATGTCCAATTCAAATTCAGACTTCAAGGAAAAGAGTGGCAACGATGGAGCACTCTGCCAGCTTTCTATGACTGATGTCGAAGCTGAATTGAACCATGGAAGCCAAACCCCGGTGCTCGCAAAGAGCTTTAACCTGCTCAGTGCCTGTACAACTGGAATGACCACCGGAAACGTATGGGCAGTGCTGGGTGGTGGCATTGTATGTGACTTTCTTGTTCTTCGCGACGCTACATGGACAGCTAACAACTTAGATCACCTCCCTCTACAACGGTGGTCCTCCCGGCGCCATATATGAATTGTACGTTCCAGACCCTCAGCAATCCTGCAAATGAGGTTTCTTCTTCTCACTAGTGCAGTACCCTCGTTGCCCTCTTGTACTGTCCAATTGCCGCCTCCATCGCAGAGCTATCATCTGCAGTTCCGACATCTGGAGGAGGTAAATTAAAACGCTCTCATACCGTTCTGTCAACAGAAGTAGGCTAATCTTCTGCAGTATACCACTGGGCCACATTGACCGCCGGGCCTCGTTACGGACGTATCTGCGGTTGGTTCGCCGGTTGGTTGAATGGTCTGGCATGGGCTTTCGCGATCTGCGGTAACTGCTCAATGGTCAGTAGCATGATTATCTATGCATATGCGATTTATCACCCGGGATTTCACCCAGAGCGCTGGCACGTTTTCATCTGTTATCTGATCACGGCTGCGGTGAGTTGCTTGACGGTTATGTTTGCTCAGCGAACACTGCCGTTTATCAGCAGACTAGGCTCATTCTTCATCGTTGCAAATCTTCTGATCATTTTGATGGTCTGTGCTATCATGCCTAGCCGGGACGGCGCTGGCTATGCATCAAGCAGCTTTGTGTGGAAGGACTGGAAGAACACGACCGGATACTCAAGCCAGGGCTTCACTTTTCTCGCTGGCATGCTTAATGGCGCCTTCGGTGTCGGTGCAGTCGACGCGGTTACACATCTCAGCGAAGAAATTCCACAGTGAGTGAATGACTTCGACTCTTATTCTATGTAATATTCGCTGACGTGCCTATCAGAGCAGCGAAAAATGTCCCTAAAGCAATAGCCTGTCAAGTGGTCATCGGATTCGTAACGGGCTTCTGCTACCTCGTTGCCATGTTCTATGCTGTTACCGACTTGCCGAAAATCATGAACTCGGATTCCGTGTCTCCGCTTGGGGAAATCTACTTGCAAGCAACTGGGTCCAAAGCTGGTGCTGTCGGGCTTTTGACTCTCACAATCTGTCCCATTCTATGTGCAACAGTGGGTTGCTATATCACTGCAGGGAGAACCATCTACTCGCTTGGTCGTGATGATGCCACTCCTTTCGGCCACTGGATCGGAGCGGTTAGTGTCCGATGGCACAGTCCTCTATATGCCACTACGGCCTGTGGGGTATTCGTGATTTGTATGGGAGCAATCTACGTGGGATCGCTCACCGCGTTCAATGCTTTCATCAGCTCTTTTGTCGTGCTCACGACCTTGTCATACCTTCTTGCCATTCTCCCGCACCTTATCACAGGGCGACGAAACATTCGACGTGGTTCGTTCTGGTTGGGCCGATGCGGCTTTGCTATTAATGCCAGTGCGTGCTCATATATCATGGCCTCGATTGTCATTTACTGTTTTCCCTACAGTGTACCGACCACCCCGGAATCGATGAACTATACGAGCGTGATCACCTGTGGTTTGGTGGTCTTGGTGGGGGTTTGGTGGGTCTTTTACGGTCGGGGCAATTATCATGGACCGAACTTAAATTATGAGGAATAGTTACCGTCTTTTTTCCCCCGCTTCCTGTGTGATAAGTGATGCTCATGGCTGCAAAAGGGAATGTTGTGGCAGCTTACTATTGACTTGGATGGAAGCCACATTCGAGAGAAGGCAGGTAATTGACGCATAATCAATATATTTTGAAGACTTTGATACCATGAGTCCTCCTTTCTGTTTGTTTGATATAGTTTTGAGATATTATATTCATCAAGCCCCATCAGACGTATATAAAAAGCATTTAGTGATCAAGATCTATCTAATCGAGGATAATGGGACTGGATAGTATTGCTTGATGGATAGAGCCTTTTCTAGGCCATAACTAGATGTCCAAAAATAATTATTACGGAATTTTACGGCGACATATTGGAGATACAAGTAGATAGAGAATGTCTTGGCCGGATTTGGTATAGCGGGATCTTGGTGGGGCGCACCGGGAAAGATCGTTGGAGAGTCGAATTAAAACTGATTTCGAATGTTACTGTAAGGCAGTATCCTACGGTATATCTCTCTTACTCGCGCTATACTTCCAGAATCCTCAAGTAAACGCGGGGGCAATTAACCTACCAGGGAGTTTCCCACGTGGATGGCTCGCTGGTTCTTGCCGCTGCAAAAGCCTTGGCAAAATAGCAACTTACCCTATCATCTGAACCTTCACCCACCAATGACTGATAGCCTTTGAAACCATTTGGTAATCGAGTGGTCGGACACTTTCCGCACTGTGAATCCAGCAGATCTCAGCAAGCTCCCACTCTAGACTCATTCTTCCCCGTAGTTCGTCCAATGACCCCGCATCGGACGTTGACCACGAGAGGATCCTCAGCAGCCCGATTCTCAAGTTGCCGATCGAAGTCTGGATTGACGGGCTATTCTATGCGTCGCAAGTCATTACTGCATTAATAGAATGACCGGCGCATGAGACTGCTCTCGTGACACCTGCCAACATTGTGCGGTGATTCTCCACTTTCCATCCTGATATCAAATTCAATTCAGTGGCCAACGTTGGCTTCATGAGCAACGCACTGAAGTCCCCCGCTAAACGTGGCGCGCGAGTGCCGCAGGGGAGACCGAAATCTGTAACGTACACTGGGTAGAATCCACACTCATCCAATAATAGCGTGTCTTCGATGCTTACATATCGCAGCTGCTGGACCTGCAGATCGCGCAAGGTCAAATGCGACGAGCGGCATCAAAACGGCTGTGCAACCTGTGAGAAGGCCGCTGTCAGATGTGCTGGTTATGGTATCCAATTATGCTGGGTCACCGACAAGAACCAAGGTCGTTATTACCGGCAGCGTAGGCAGATCAAACTCAGTAAGTGCTGAGCCCATGAATAAGACCGAACGATAGTTAATCTGAACTAGACCAGCCCATGTCGCCTTGCTTGCCAGAACATGAGATCAACGAGATGTTATTTACATTGGACACGGTATCGACACCTATGACCACCATCAGATTGGGTCCGTTTTCGATCTTCCAATCCAAGGCCGTCGTCGGTGATGGTAAGGGTGTATGTTCTGGACAGGGCACCCTCGAGAGATCTTGCCACGGCAAACGAGCGGCGTCCGGCTTCAGACCAAGCCAATCACCTCATGAATCAACAAGCTCCTTCCCAATAACGGGTGACGAGTCCGATCTATATCCAGAGAGCGATCGCGATACGTTTGGGTTCTCGAGTGCGGGTTGTGGGAGGGATCTTGTTGGCGATGATGATTTACTAGCCACGGTCTTGGATGACTTGCATGAGCCGTCAACTGTCGATGAAACCTTCACAACGTGCTTGACTGGCCATACAACTTCTTTCGCTATATCTCCGTCACTCAATCTTGAACTACCCGTGTCTTTATTTCGCGATCCGGATACTTCCATGCTCATGTATCACTACACAAGCCATGTCGCCGAACTTCTCCAGCCTGTTTGGCATCCAGGAAACCCGTGGAAAACCACGTATTTCCAGTTTGCACTGGAGGGATGTCCAGAGCTTGCTTTTACGCACGCCGAAACTTCTTCATCCAAAGTTTCTACTGCAATATTTCATAGCGTGCTCTCGTCAGCTGCTTTCCATCTTCGAAACGCCAAAGACGGTTCTCAAAAATTCCACAAACTCGGTCTTCAGCACAAAACGAAAGCACTTCAAGCACTGAACACCGCGAATATTCACCCTAACGATTCTCATTTGCATACTATTTATCTAACAGCAATTTTGTCTCTAGTTACTATTGATGTAAGTGTTCCTCGCCCTCAATGATCAACAATCACGCCTAACAAACCAGACCATGACGGGAGAAGACTCGGAGTTCCCAATCCACCTGAACGGCTGTCAAAACTTCCGGAAGATACAATACAAAGATGGATATGACGACGGAAGCCGTCAGGTTCGCCGTATCGCCAATTTTCTGACGCTCTTGGCTCGAACAACCTCCTTTGAAATTTTGGATCAGGAGTGGCAAGACAACCAGCCCTTATTCGAGAACCCATTTTTCCACGACAGTGACAGAAGCATTGAATATATCTACGGGGTTACCCCAACACTGTGCAATCTCTTACAAAGAACCTGTCGAATCGCTAAATACCTAGCCGCCCGCCCACGACACGATGTCCCCCGACTCGTTTCCGAAGCCTGCTGGGCACTCAAGATTGATATATTGGCATGGGAACTTGATTCGGACCAATTCCACCTCGAGGGATCCGAGACAACCATGATCGAAATAGCTCGCTGCCAAGCAAAAGCGTTCCATAGCGCCCTGCTTTTGTTCTTCTATCGGGTCATCGGGATGAGCAGCTCGCTCGACCTAGACCACGAGGTCTCCCTAGTTTTGGAAAATCTAACCCTTGCGGAAGAGCTGAAGAATCAGTACATGCCGGGCGAGAAGCGCAATGGACCCATGTCGTGGCCAGCGTTTATTGGTTCGTGTGAGGCAACGGATCGGCGGCCTTGGGTGGACTGGTGGAACGGCATACAGGAATATAGGGTGGGTAATTTTGAAAGGCAGTGGATGGTGATCCAGGAGGTTTGGGATATCATGGACGAGGATCTTACTGTGACGGATTGGAGAGAAGCACTATTCAAATCAGGAAAGCTTGTGCTACCGATATGAAATGTTTTCCTTGCTTGGCCCTAGTCAGATTGCAATTTGATCTGCTCCTTCGAAAATATGGCTCATGAAAACCATTTAAGATTCACACTATCCTTCTTAATTGATCACAGTCTTGGAAATAATTCGTCTGCTGTATGTATGTATGTATGTATGTATTGGAGTCCTCCTTCAAGCCTTCATCTCCCAATAGCGAACAGTCATTCAAGCGCGAGGGGTAAATTTGATTCGACATTCATGTTCCTGTACACAAAATGAGCTTGCAAATTAGGCAGAGGGATGTTGAATGAGAAATACCCGCATCGCTCTGCAACTTTCATCATAGAATACCTCATACCGGGCTGTGATGCCTGGCGAAATATCATCAAACCCATCGATGGTCATGGTATTATACTTACGATATAGTGCGACAACCAGCGTCGTCATCTCAGCCATTGCAAGGCTAAAAGGGAGGTCAGTAACAAACGAAAACAAGCGAGAAAAACAAACGAGTCCCAAGTAATGCTTACTGCATTCCAATGCACATTCGACCTCCACTAGAGAAAGCCCAGAACCACTTTTTCGCCTCGTCCGATTTCAGCATGTCCATCCACCGGTCTGGGTTGAATTTGAGTGGGTCCTTGAATATGTCGGGGTTCCGGTGAAGAGCATAGGGTGAGATGGAGACAACGGTCCGAGGAGGAATCAGATAGCCGTCGATGGAGGTAGCTGTCGAAAGAGACCGTGGTTCTGATCCCGGTAATGGTGCGAAAAGCCGCAGCGTTTCCTTGATAACTGCGTCTACGTAGAGAAGTTTATCGCATACGTCTGGTCTGGGGATCCCGTTCGCGTCCAAGCACTCCGTTGGTATTTTGCAGACTTCCTCAATCAGCTTTTCCTGAAATACCCTGTTCTGGGGCCGCGAAAGGGACCAGATCAGGAACATCAGAGTGTCGCTTGTAGTGTCGACTCCTGCTAGTAAGTGGTCTGCGCACTATTGCGCGCTCACAAAGCGCTTTAGTCAGCTGATTCTTCCTCTCGTACGTTCTGGGGTCGTCTTTACCTCGGACGCAATATCAAGGTCGTCCAGCCCGCCCTCCTTGTTGGAGTAGTGGTGGGTCCAGAGTTTGGCGATCAGGGATGTCTCCCGAGCCCTTTCGCTTCCAGAAGCCTTTGAGAAGGCCTGGCAAGCTTTCTTTGCGTGACTTCTGATACCGGTGTATGTCGTTGGCTTGTTCATCGGATACATGTGACGAGCAATGCAGGCCATAACCCCCGTTCTGGAGTAAAGCCAGTTCGTGAATCCAGGGAAGTGGACCGAATACCAGGACAGCTTGCGACGGGCAACATCTACGATGTCGCCGATAAGCTCACGGTCTTTCTTAGATCCTTCAAGGCAAGCTGTCTTGCCAAAATTTCCGTAGAGGAATTCGGTGATGTTGTCCAGGGAGAAGTAGTGCAGGGTTGAGAATATCTCGCTATCGGGACCCTCTCTTGCCAGCAGATCCAAAAACAGCTTGGCCTTTTGCAGGACCATGGCAGCGTTATCTCCTTTCAGCATCGTAGATTTTGCGTAGGCGTGCGCAAAAAACTTCTTGCGTTCTCCGTGCTCCTTGACCGTCGAGAAAGAAAACATGTTCTTGCGTCCATATGCCTCAAACATACGGTAGAAACTCGTTCGCTCAAACCCGGATCCTGCTCCGTAGATCGAGCGCATTGCAGTCGTGCTGCTGAAGGTTACTTCATTTGGGCCAACTCTGACAATGGGGCCATACTCCGCGTGAAGGGCATGGATCGTCCTGGTGCGAGTGCCTTTGTAGTCTTCGTACGCGAGTTTCAATTTGGTCCAAGCGAAGGACTTTGGCCCGGGAATGCGCGCGAGAGAACTGAAGAAGAGAGAATAGCAGAAGTGATAGATGATCGCGGCTACGGCGACTGTAGCGAGGATAGCGGGTGCTAAAGTCATTGTGTCGGAGACGTGTGAGACGTATGAAGATGCTTGTAATGACTCTGCGTATCCCGCGAAGAAATGATCTCTTTATCTCTTACCAACGAGGTGACTCATGTCGAGCGAGGGTGGGCACCCAGAATAAACAAGATGAGGAGATGTTCTCCAACACTGGCAAGTGCCAGCGGAGTGATTTATGGTTCTTATCTCGACCATCAACCGGGGCTCCAAAAATCCCGGGACGAAAACTAGGAAGCTACCAGCGAGCAGTGCGGGGTCCATGAAGTGTGTGGAACAACCCCAATATCGTCAATTCAAATATACAAATCAACCTCTAGGTGCCTATAATAGTGTTCTCACTTACCGAATTCTTACTTGACAATCTTTTTAATTTCCTTCAGCCCGTTGCATTATACATCAGCGAATAAAGGATTGGAAATCGTGCAAACTTCACTATAATGGCACCGATTTGCCATCATTTTACCTACTCGTATGCCTCCACCAGATTGTCGATACGATGGGTGCCAGAACCTCCCTTCGAAAACACAGACACGCTCGTGTTGATCGTGGGCGAATGGTACGTCGATTTGCGGATCGATAAGCAATCGGGGGGTCTGGACTGGGCGATCGCCGGCCAGTGCCTGCAACAGAACACGGATCCCCGTAAGTAGACCTCAGTTGGAGACACCAAAATGCACATTCGGATCTCAAGGTACTGACAAAAAACAGGTCGCCTGGTCTTCACCCACGAGATCGACTCCAATAATAACTTCAACGTCAGCGATCCTTGTCCCTTCGTGCCTCTCCCCAATGGAGACGATCTCGAGACTGGGTCGATGTGTCGGCCTGATCTCCCCGGTCACCCGGTCACGGAATATGAAGAAGTATGGAGATATCTGCCAACGGGACAGAGCGAGGAAGGTCCGGGGCACAACATTGCGTGGATTTTAGAATCAGATGAAGATAAGTTGCGGGAGGGCCAGGGGAAAATCACCAAGACATTTCTGGGAAGAATCGGAAGCCGATATTTGGCCTTGCAGCAAGTACAGACCCATTCGAGGGTTCACGGAAGCTGGAACGTCAAGATCATGGGAGGAGACCTGAATGCTCGGAGTGAGAAATGGATTGGTGATCGTTGGAAAGAGAAACATGTCTTGAGCAACGGCTGTAATGAATTGCCGTCGATGGGCAAAGACTTCGATATGCACAACCAGGGATCTTGGCATGTGGGGCGGAAGGTCACGATTAGGGGCTGTCAGTACACTGTGCGTGCATTTGAGCGGGCAGAAATAACAGCGCGGGGGACACGATTGTGAAGTAGATGGCATCCGTACAGCGATTTCTGTGATGCGCAGAAGAATGAATATAACATACATTGTTCGAGCAATGGCATAGACATCTTACACTTCAGGGGTTAATATGGATTTTCTCCTTTTGGCTTTGAATATAGGAGGAAGTGAGTTTCAAGGATGAGCCATTTGGATCTGCGGCCTGAAAAAGAATTCAAGTCCGTCATTGAGACTTAAAGTCTGATAAGACCGTAGGCTTTCTCATTGGTCGGGGAGTTGGATTCGCTGGCTCTTGCCGTATCTTGTTTGAGCTCCACCCTTTGGATAGCCATTTCACTATAGCCTTCTTCCTATATAAGACGAACTGAATGCGGCTACCGAATTTGATACTTGTCAAAAACTGAGCTATTGTTTCTAAGAAAGAGCAATATCAGCTTTTCGTTCAAGATGCATCTCGCTTTTCGTCCCACAATCACTCACCCCCGGGAAAAATTATTCACAAGAACCCTAAACAATTTCCATCTGGAGAATTCTGATCAAGATGCGTCAAAAACTCTACTGCCTGGCGGTGAGAACAAGTCGCTAAAATCGACCTCGAATCTTTGCTCTTCAGAAGGATCAACCAGAAAGTCTCTTCGAATGTCCATCTTCGGTGGTAAGCCATATTTAAACAACACTTTGTGAACATTCTAACCTTATTCAAACTTTATGCTCTCGATAAACTGACTGATAAGTGTTCTACCATACGAAACCGTTACGAATATTGGAAAAGCATTTCATCGCAATGAATGAGAATTGCTAGACAGGGGAATCCCCCTAATCAAGAAACGGCAAATATACACCCTCAGTATGAGATATCAATCCTCCAGAAATCGGAAGCGTTAGTGTTCTGTCACTGCAAGCAAGAATATACTTGATAATTGAAAAATCCCTCGTGGAAAGACTTTTCCCTCGATATTTGATCAAAGAATTGGAGTGAATTAGTATTTCTGGATAGATAGTCATGATGTACGTTGATAGTAGTGGGAGTAGCATCAATTTTTACATTGCGTCCCCTAGGAGAAGGCGGCCGGGGTGTACTGGAAGGCACTAATAATTGCGCCTTGGGGCCAAAACAACTCGTAATGTTTGCTGATATGCCTGGGCCTAAGATAGTACTCCGCACGAACATGAAATTTTTGTCTCTCAGTAAAAGTCACACCAGCAGGTGGCAGATCGGTCATTGCTATGGTTTAAGATTACCATCTAGGATGGGAATTATTTTCTATTGCATTTTATCTGCAACTTGCAATAATGGTAACGCTTTCTGATTTGCAAATGAGAGTAAGACGAGACGGTTCTTGTAGCCCCGGTTGCCCCGGCGGGGACAATCACAACTCATCCTTACTATCAACTTCCTGTTTCTCGAAATCAGGAGATTTTTTCTTCACCATCGCCGCCAAGATATCAATAATCAGGTCCGCTGCTGCAACCGAGGTTGTCTCCGCCGTCGAGTCATATGGCGGACTAACCTCGACGACGTCAGCGCCGACCAAATTCAGCCCCTCCAAACCTTTAATATACCGCTTTAACTCCCGGGTAGTCCAGCCTCCCGACTCAGGGGTTCCAGTGGCAGGGGCAATGCTCGGATCGAGAACTGCACACGTGTCGTCAGCCTTAGTCTTCTAACCGAGAAAGAGAGGAACATACCGTCGATGTCGATTGAGAGATAGACCGGATTGTTCCCGACAACATCCAAGGTCCTCTTCACAATCCCATTGACCCCAATGTCATCAATCTCACGAGCCTCAATGCGATGGAACCCAACAATATCATTATCGATCTCATAATCCTTCGGCCCAAACAGTTTAGTACGCAGCCCACCGTGAACGCTCGCTCCCTTGTTGATACACCCTTCTCGACTCGCATGCCAAAAAAAGGTCCCGTGCGTGATAGCAGATTGCTCCGATGCAATACCAGTGTATCCTTCGTAGGGATCCCAAGTATCGAGATGAGAGTCTAAATGGATAACCGAAATGGGACCATATACGGTTTTCAAGGATCGGAGAATGGGAAGAACGATAGAATGATCGCCTCCCAAACTAATGATACGCGGATGAGTCCATCCGCGCGGCGTTGTTGTATTCGTGGTGTGGTAGAGGACTTGGCGATAACCCTGTTCCATTTGCTTAAAAGCATGAGCGGCATCAAAAGGCGTGATGGGGATGTCGCCGCAGTCAACAATGCTGAGCCCCTCTTCGAAGGGATCCACGCCCCAGACCGTATTGTAACTCCGTCCCTTCTTTTCGCGAGAAGAGCCTGCGCGAATGCCACGAGGGCCGAAGCGTGCGCCGGGACGGTAGGAGGTGCTAGTATCATAGGGGAAACCGAGGATGGCGATATCAAGGGGCTGTTATGGCGGTGTCAGTCTTATCGGTCGCCGCGAGCAGCAGAAGGAGTGAAGGGACACGAACATGTTTGTGGTCAGGAGCTAGACATCGTTGCCATTCGAGATGGGCAAAAGTCACTGGCTGGGAAAATGGGAGATCTTTGTCCAGGTCTATTTTTTTCAGCGTTTGTTCACGTTGACGGAGTTCCAGGCTTAAGCTACCTTCAATAGGATGTTCGTAACCATCCCCGACATTGACAGCGGAGACGACCTGGAGAAATGGTAGAAGAAATGGCGACAATATCTTCATCTTGAATATTAGATGACCTGACTCTTCATTCTCAACTTATCAGAAATTCCTCTTATTGTGTGTATTTATAGTCTTTCGTCTACTGTGTACTACAAAAAAACCCCGCGGGCGGGGGCAGTGGGGCCCCTATCCGCTCGCTGGCTCTTGCCCTCAGTGAGCCATGATAACATTATCGATCCGCTAGCGATACTGATAAGCCAGCTCAGAGTCTCGAGCTGGAGGTAGCTAGCTTGATATTGGGCATCTCGGAGCGACTTTTGGTGCCGGCTTTCAACTATCTATGCCTCCGCACCCACACCGATTCCGCTAGTTGGGTGCGCTTCACTCCAGCGTTAATTTTCATCCCAACGAAACTTTTGAAATTATTTCTCCTGGTTACACACGATCGCCAGTAGAAATAATAAAATAAAGCCCTTCCACCGGTTCAACAGGGGGTTTGCTAGTAAATACCCCTCTGGAATCCCTTCAGGCGTGGAAATACCATTGTTCTTCTCCGTCCGCTGTAGCTTTCGTAGCTCCTTCTTCTTTTCTTTATCTGCTCTCTATGCAATTCGCCGGTTTGAGTCTTTAGCTGTTAACACCCCTATTCCTTGGGCCCTACGCTTCGATTTCTTTGCTGTTATGTGCCCCTTTGGTAGTTGCTCGTTAATCATTGCATGGAGTAATCTGAGCTCTTCGGTCTGGATAATGCATGCGTGGAACGCCTTTTTAAGGCGCCGCTAGAGCTCAGGACGTATTGCCTCACGTTCAATTGATACCTCGAGCTCCTGAGAGCGCTTTCGAGCCTCTGCGTTCTTTGGCGGCGAGCTTCCGATAGTCGAAGAAAGTGGAGGAGTTCCGCCTGATGACCAGTGAAGCTCCGGAGTAGGTGAACTTGCTTTTACCAGTTTATCCACAATTATTGAAGAGTTAACTGGATAAATGCCTCGCTCCTTAAAGGAATCGCGAATAATACGCTGCTTGAACGTTTTCTCGCAAATCTCTGCGATATATCGAAAGAACTCCGCTTTCTCTGAAGCGTCACCTCCCCACTGGGTTATTTGGTTGTTTTTTCAATCGTGGCAACGTTGTTTATAAACGAGAAAAGGTTTACCAGGTGGGATACTTTAGCGATGGCACTGTAATCTCGTCGGCACGATTCGGATGGACGGTGTGGCGGGCCGTAACTTGGCTGAGTCAGCGCGAATCAACAACCTTGACCGAAACGAACGAGCTTCGGACAAAAACTTTTGCTTCCACGTGGTTTTCTTTTGTAGACACAGGACCAGCTTTGTCTCCTCGATTATAACGTGCCTCTGAAAATAACAAATAACGAAGCTTTGAGATCATTTGAACTGTGTTCTCTGTGGTGCTCAGATGGCACCCCAAGCGAAGACATGCCAGGTGAGGTGACTCCGACCTGCTTGATACCCGGCCACACCTAATGGCTTTCCAGGGCTGCAAAATTCGCCATCGTAAATGTGAGATCCGGTTTTGGAACATTCAGTACCATCCACTGACCTCTTACACTGCACAGGCTCCACGCAGACTCCGTGCGAAGGTTGCTTGAAGGCAGGAATTACATGTCAGCGCACTGTCAACTACAACTTCAAGGTTTACAGCGGGTATGCCGTACACTATGGTATTCATTTTGTGGGTGTAACCGTACTAACTTGTTGTTGAGATCTCATTTCGGAAATAACCAGCCGTGGATCGATTCTGGGGAGAGTAGGTGACCACCGTGACATTATATTGTCTTGACCTAAACGCTTTGCTCACGACACAGTTTAGCTATATCTCTCGCACAAGACGATGGATCAGACTCAAGTGGCTTCACAAGTCCTGTTTCTTTATTTCCGGATATTTGTGTTGGCCAAGATGAAGAGCCAAATGCCCCTGAATATTCATTCCCTTGGAGCCCGGAGCATGATCTGTTTCCAAAAGCCATAGGTCCTCTTAGTATGGTTTCTCCGCTGAACTCCATATCGTCTTCGCAGCTTCAACATAGTCAATTCCCTCTCAGCGAGACAGATGCCGGCTTAACGAGGCATTTTTTGCGAGTATTATCTCCTTGGGTAAGCCTTACTAAGCGCTCTAGACACTTTTCAATCATCGGACTGACAAGCATCTTTGATAGTTTGATTACTGTGACCCACGGCGGCAGTTTATCAACGAGGTCTCTGGGCGCCTATCTTGCTCGGAAGCATTGCTAAAAGCCGTTCTTGCTGTCTCCGCGCAGCATCTCAGTGCATTTGGACAGTTTGACCCCAATGTATCGGACAGGTACTATCGGACTGCATTGGAAAATCTCACTTCGGTAACATCAGCCAGCCACGTGGCTTTGAACGAGGAGATGCTCGCAGCAACAGTCATTCTTCGCCTTCGTGCCGAGTTCGAGGGTATTTCAATCTTGGTCTTTCTTAATCCTTGGCCACAGACCGCCGACTAATGACACGCACAGTTCCATTACCTGGAATCGACAATCAATATTACCTCGTGGGAACGCAAACTCTCCTCGAAGAGTACAGGACTTTCCACACTTTATCCGAATTCCAAATTGCGCTAGCATGGATTGGTCTCCGGCAAGAACTTCGAGTCGCGGTGATGGCCCAACGACCCGTCTGCTTCCCCCTGGACTGCCTTTACATAGATTGGAACTCGACGCCAAAGCATGACGCAGAATGGGCGCAACGAATGATGCTCCACCTTGCCGAGGTTCTTAATTATTGCTACGGGACGGCAGCCAAGATAGAGACGTACAAGATACTTACTGCAAGATCGCAGGAGTGGAGAGAGTCGAAACCTCCATCATTCACACCGCTGTTTTCGCAGCCGTCCGATGAGACCACTCGGTTTCCGCGTTGTGAGTTTGTCAACAATGCAGTTGGTAAGAAGTACCTGTGAAAGAGTCGTTCAAGAGTACCGCTGATGTAATTTGACTTCAGTAATGGGCCTGCAGCATTACAATCTATCGAAAATTGTTCTCGCTTTGCATCATCCGTCCAGTCAGCTGAGACCAGGGGATACATATACTATGAAAATGATCAATGTGAGTACAGCGATGGTGTATCTAGGACTGCTGTCTCCATGGAACTCTAATACGTCTAATACAGCAAATAATTGATGGATCTATAAGAAAATTGTGCGGCATCGGGTTTTGGAACCCGGATTGTGCTTGTGCAATTGGGCTTGCTTGCACGGGAATTATTTTATGGGGCGATCGGTTTCATGACCCGGAAGATCAAAAAGCTTTTCAAAGTGTCTTAGACCTGGCAAAGGAGAAACACGCGTGGCGGGCATGAATGCTAGTTATGAGATGGCTGTTCCTATATCCTTTCCAATTGATAACAGCAGATATACCCCAGGACAATGTCCAACATCGCCTTTTCGAACGGTAATGATAAGTAAATGGGTTAACCCCCGTTGACGAAGTAGTTGTTGCATACTATGTACAATTCTTGCTTGGCTTCACATTCCACCGCATATGAAAACATTTACTTCAAGAAAACCAAACGAAAAATGTCCAATAATAAGCTTGTAATCCAAATTCCTGTGGCAAACACAGAAGTTCAAGTCTCGCGCTGAACCTTCTTTCGTTCTTCCAGGTAGCCTTTTGCGATACTGGAAAAGGTGTGGAACTCGACAGAATCGCCCCAGCCCCGAAGCCAGCCGACAAAGCGATCAACCATACCCATGACATGGGCCATACCGCTGGTGTCGGGGTGCATCAACAGGGGGAAAATGAAAGACCCGTCCTCTTTATCGACAGTGGAGTTCTCCCACAGATACATGAAGATATCTTTCCACCGCTGCTCAACGACGCGCACGTCAACGAAGCCCTGGCTATTCGCAACATGGGGGAAATATTGCATTGCCATCATATCCTCATTGTGCCACCCAGTAGGAATCTCAACAAGCGGATGACCAGTAGGCCGCGCATTCATTTCGGCAATCTTTGCTGGCTCCATCCAGGTGCTAGCAGGTCGGGAGTAATCAATGCGTTGGAATGGAGGCTCGCTCGGCGTGAAGTAAGGCTGGGAATCGTGATGACTCAGGGAGGAATCATACAAGAACTCAAACTCTCTGAGAAGATCGATCGTGGTCTCACGCAGCTGGTACATGGGTGCGCGGTATCCTCGCACCCGTTTGCCGGTCAAGCGCTGGGCCACATCCATGCATTTGACCAAAACATCGCGCTCTTGGGCTGGCGTCATCTGGTAGGCGCCCTCGTGGGCATAGCCGTGAAGGCCGATTTCAGCGCCCGAGGCAACGATCTCTTTCACAATTGACTCAAAGGTCTCGATGGTATGACCTGGAATGAACCAAGTGACCTTATCGGCTACCTGGTGCTTCTTCAGCATGTGCAGCAATCGGCGACCACCCACTCGGCCGGAGAAGGTTCCAGTGCTATAGTCTGCGAGGTTATTATCTGGGTGATGTCCTGTGCCGATAAATGCAGACAGCGCGTCGAAATCAAACGAAAGAGCAATTTTAACTCTAGGTTTCGGTGCGCTGATGTTCGGAGGCAAGCGAGTTGCCAGGACTAGATCGGACCTTTGACGAGGGGGTATTCCGCATAAAAGCTCAACAATTCTAGACGCAGAGGGCTCGCTAGGCTCTGGTTGAAGATCAATGAAATTGACAGACGCTTCCTGGTGAAGCCGCAAGAGGTCGTGTTTCAGCTTGGAAATGATCGAAATCACTGGTTTACCGAAGTTGCTCTCGTATCCAATAATCTGAATTGTGAATGGATTGGCCAGAGTGTGACTATGTGTCTTGAGTGCATTTTGAATCTGGTATTGAAGGAATGATTTCACTTGACTGAGCAAGCTTTGTCGGGCAATGTACAGTGCATCGTCTTGATCCCATTGGGACAAAGGTACTTCCCAAATTGGATCTTTGGTAGCTTGAGCTTGACTCCTGGTGTCGATAATAAAGTGATCGACTGTGCCATGCAAGGCACCAATCGCTGAATCAATCTGATGGACTGAGTTTCCATCGGGTATCGGCCTGTCCAGGGTGACCAGGGCTATTTTATTACCGTGATTTTCTGCAAAAGCCATGAGTAAGACGACTTGAAATTTTTTAATTTTTTGGGTTGTTGATTCTGGCACTCACCTGCGAGCGAATTGTGCAGAGATAGTGTTCCAGCCCCGGTAGAACCCGAGAGGAGGATATGCTTATCTTTGAAATTGGAAGCCATGACCAGAATGACTTATGGAAGATGTAAGGATATGACAAGAGAGGGAAGTGAACTTTTAGTTCAGGCAATTTGCAATTCAACGTAGAAACCAAGACCACACGCTACTGTAAGGTACTTTATATCGGTTGTGTTGTCATTCCTGAGGTCCTAATATAACTTAGTCCCATCGGAGGGTTATGTAATCCACGATAAAGCCCCCAGGACTAGTTGAAGGAGGCAACTGCCAGCGAGACGGCGTCAGGGTCATTAGTCACAGGCTTTTCTTGGCTTCGCACACGACAGCCACTTATTGTCACAGTCATAATCTCCGAATGAGATTCCCTGGAACAGATGCGTCGATCCGGCAGGAGCCAGCGAGAGGGGCAATTGGGTCATTAGTCTCAGGCTTTTCTTGACTTCGGATATGAGAGCTTTATTATTACGTATTTGTGTGGAAACCAAATTGGTCAGAGATGCATATCCATGTCCAACTAGATATCCCGTTTTCGAAATTCAGCCTGGCGGCACAAAACAAATAAATCACCTCCTGATCGAGAAAACGACTTGTCGCGTTGCTTTAGCGCTTTGCGCTCTGTAAGCCGAAACTTGATGTACGCAAAAGTTTCAACTGCGATATACCCCAAAGCCCCACGAATAGCACAGGCGTCTGAGCCACCTTGCTGAGCATGCTGGAGTGACCACTCCATCCGTGTAGTTTTCCTGGGCGGCGATGGTAATTGTATGTCTAGGTCTCGATTTCTATCGGTCCGTGACTGATGCCTTTGTGACCGCGGGGCAATATCCCGGGTTAGACGCGTTTGGAGCATAGCTCTTTCAGTTGAAGCCGCATACCCATTAAAGGTCATGTAATCATGAGTGTATCCCATTGTCACCAGCGTGTATTTCGATTTTTTTAGAGCAACAGTAAAGGGGCGTTAAGTCCTGAAGATGCGGAGGTAGACGAGCTATATATACAAGAATGTGGCATCGTGTGGGGAGCGGGGTCTAATTATCATTATTAATATGCAGGGCCGTGCGAGGTCGTCGCGAGGTTGAGAGCCCCCAGGGCCGAAGCGGAATAGCCCCGGAGGCCTGTCAGAGTGAGCTGGGTACCAGCTATGGAAAGGCGTCAATGCAGAATAGAAATTGCAGCAGGGAGTTGGAGTGATGAAAAAGCCAAAATAAGAACTATTTCGGCTTACCACCAGCTCTCTACGGGCAAATCACCTCCCACATGGACTTCGCTGGCTGATAGAAAACCAGCTACTCTTGCATGGCTCTGGAAAATCCGGCCCTATCAAATATCAATGATATTGATAACCCCAATTGAATATGTTCAATGCGTCATGTCCCTCGTAGCAGTTCTCTGATGAAGTCTACCCAACCAAGACGTCGCCGTAAACCTCCGAATTCTTTTCCCAAAAATCACAAACAGAATAACCGACAAATTATTAGCCAGCAAGACGCCACCAAAGATCCCCGAGATAACAACCGCATATCCCCTCGTCAAGATCCAATCCAGCAAATACGAAGCCATACCGAAGGAGATAGCCTGCTTGCCCAGGTTCATGGCGATGAGCATTTCAGACGTGTTTGCATAGTACGAGTCCACGGCGTAAGCAAGTGTAAACGTAAAGTACAAGTATGATCCGAATTGGTCCATGACGACTCCGACAAAGTATCCGATCCAGTGCAGGTCGCGCTGCGCGGTGAACCCGTAGACTACCAGTCCGGCTGGGGCGAGGAGGATAGCTGGGAAGAGGGCTGGGAGGCGCATTTCGGCTTCACGGATTCCGTTGTTGCGTTTTGTGCGGTAGGCGGCTAATCGATCGGAGGTTGAGGTGAATGGGAGGGCGAGAAGGTAGCCGATGAAGGAGGCCACTGCTATGAGGCCGGAATTTGTCTGTTTTTTAGGGTCAGAGATAGTAACATTTTATTGAAGCGTTCGGAGTTCTTACTTCACTCCAGTTGTATGGGGGCGCCGTGATCTTGAGTGGGAAGGTGTAATTGAATGCCAAAGCTCCGAGGCCGATATATAGCCCTGAATCATGAAATTAGCAGGAGTAACTGAAATTCTTTGGCGCAAGACCGACCGTAGGTACTGATTACCCAGAAAACTGCTGGGACCAAGAAATACGTAAAAGACCGGGCGATTGTCATGAAGAACTCGGGCTCTGGATCAATAGCGCTCCAAGGTTTGAGAGTAGACAGAAAGCTCTTTCTCCGAGGCACCGACACCGATGACACGTTCTCAAGCTGCGTTGGATGGTTTTTCATTTCATCTGTCGGGTCCATGGCGAGCGAGGGGGATGATGAGATCTCTTGCGTCAAATGTTTGGAGCGGTGATATGTAGATTCCTCGACGAAGATGAACGCCAAGATCAAAAGGGCGGCAGCAAAAGCGGCTTCGACGTAGAAGAAGAGTCGCCACGAGTTTCCTCCTCCCAGCATATATCCAGCGTATAGGGGACCCGTCGCTCCTAGGCAGAGGCAGACTGCATTTTGTCAGAAATTGCAACCCATGCTCCCAAGGTGTGCTGAACGAACTAGTATAGTAGCCAATCTTCTTTCCCCGCTCGTGAATGTAAAAGATATCGTTGACAAGCTGCACGGGCAAGCTCTCGCAGACGCCACTAGCGTAAGTTAATTATTAGAGATCCAACGCAATCTCGCTAGAAGGTGACCAACCTGCCAAAGCCGTGAAAGACCCGAGCAACCATAAGCCCGCTGTAGCTCGTAGCCCTCGAGGCACCGATCAAGCCAGCGACAAACTAGACGGTATTAGTCGAGAAGCGGTAAGAAATGATGATCCATCGGCCACACCTACCGTCGCCATTGATAAGAGTGTCACTGGACGCCTTCCTATCTTCAAATATAGGGGCACAAGGAAAAGCGACCCTGAGAGTCATCAGCGACACTCGTCAGTATCGGGGACTGGACCATGCCTACCAAATCCGAATGCCAAGTTCGGGTAAGAGATCAATCCCGAAGCTGCAGCTGGAGAGATACCGAATTCCTCGCTGTATAATGTAATGTAGACCGACGGCCCAGTCAAGGAACTGTTCCCGAGGAACGAGTAAAATGCCATGATGAGAAGAATGGTGTTTTTCTTCCAAATCGGCCACTATGTATTCCACAAGTATCAGCTGAGATGTCTCAAGGCATATTTTGACTCCATGATTGATACCTGAAGAGGGTCATTCGGGTCCTCCGCCGGAACCGGGTACAACGCTTGTCCATAGGCCGTGTCATCACCCTCGACGGCACGAAGATCCACCGTCCCAGGAATATCGCCTTCATGGGCGTGACTGCCAGTCAAAATTAGAATTCCTGCGTCAATCAATCATCGAAGCATCAATACCTATGCACAAGATGGGGCCGTCTGGCCCTTGTTTCCTCCATCTCCATGGCCAAGGACTAATGGATGCAGTCTGGCCTAGAACTGAAATTGAGAGTATTAATTGTCGATGAAGTAATAACTCAGGTGGTTATGGCAAGCTTCAGGTTCAGGCGATAATGAAGGGGGCTCCTAGGCTCTTTTGACCCAGAGCTGCATTACTAGCGATGGGGCTAGAACCCCGACGCAGCCTTCCCCGCATCGCTCCACATCTTCCCCAGATTTCAGCCTGTTATCGCCTCACGCTGATTCTCTTCATGGGGCAGGCCCCACACGCCATATCTGGGGCTGCAAGATCGTACATTTATGTGAAGAATGATGATAGTTCATCGATCAGAAGTCTGGGCCTAACAAGTCCCACATAGTCAGTGATTCATCACTCCGTTGAGAGCTGGAATAACCCCAGGAGATGTGTTCAGAACTTGCTGCCGTTCAAGCCTATTGTGCAAAATGTGGAGAGTATCGCCACAGCTTTGGTGCCTTGCACGACAACATGTATGCTTGACTGGCTCAGTAGAGTCAAAATACTCCCATTACCGCACTCAGTACCAAACTTCCACGCTGTATCATGAATCGAGCAGTCTCTATCATAGTCAATGATTAGAACTAACTTTCTCTATGAAGAAACACGATAGGAAGTTTAGACTGTCCAGAAAAATACTATTTGATCACCATCCCATTTATCCACAACATGTAGACACACGCTAAAAGGCCCTTTCCCTCCTGGACTAGCTTATATTTCTGTCATCGACCCCTGATCCATTTCGAGAGGGAGGACACAAGAAATTATACGATAAACTCAAAGCTTTCTCAAAATCTAAGAGAAGAAAAACAATCAAAATGCTATCCCATCCCGCTAAGTAAAGACATCAGTAGCGAAGCGCTCCTTTGTCCTCATCGCCTCAAAGAACTTCTCAACAGCAGTCTCCTCATCCATCCCAATCTCAGTATACTTAAGTTCAGGAACCTCACCCGCCTCCTTCGCCTTCCGAATCACCTCCGCCCTACGCTCAAGGAACACCTTCTTACAAGCATCCCTGACCCCATTCCCAACACCAGTACTTCCGCAAACGTAAATCCTAGCACCCTGATCGAAGAGCGCCGTCAACTCTTCCCGATCTTCGAGCATGCGGTCTTGGATATGTTGACCCTTCCCATGTTCGGGCCGACTATACGACCAGCGGACATCGACTGCGCCTTGTGCGGCCCACTCTGCTAGTTCGTCGGCGTGGATATCATCTTGTCCCTTCGTGCGACATCCCACGTACAACACTGCCTTAGCGGGTGCATCAGCTTCATGGAATCCAGCAGACGATGACCGACCACGGATCTTCTCTGCACGATCCATAACAAAGCCACGGAACGGCGCGAGACCGCTACCCGCACAGGCCATGATCATGGGCGTTTGAAGGTCGGGCGGAGGCTTGAAGCCGTAGTGGGAAGGGCAGACGGAGATATGAGCGCGCTCGCCGGCTTGGAGTTCGGAGAGGTAGTTTGAGGCGACGCCTAGGTATTCGGAGGCTTCGCCCTCGAGGGGACCTGAGAGGGCTGGGTCCTTGAGGACGGAGAATGTAATTGAGCATTCCGAGGGGTCGGAGAGGGGCGATGAGGAAATTGAGTATTGGCGCACACGCATTGGGGGAAGCATGGCGAGGAAATCGCCGATTGGGAGTTTGATGGATGGGTAGCGCGTTAGAAGGTCGAGGGGGCTTATGCGTTTGCGGACGATCTCGTCGGTGAAGTGGCTTGGGCTGGAGGACAGGTAGCGAAGTTCGGCTTGGGTTTCGGCATCGGTGGCGAAGTCGGCGAGTAAGTTCATATCACGCTTGGAGGCCGGTTGGGAGAGCTCGACGTAGGTGGAGAGGAGTTCGAAGGCGGAGATGGGTGTGTCGAGAGGGAACGCGCGTGAGCCGGTGGTTTTCTCCGGTTTTTGGATGCGCAAGACTGCGTCCCAGGGAAGATCGAAGCGGCGGATAGCTCGGCGCACGATGGTGCTTGGGTTGATTGGCAGCACGGCTAGGTAGTCGCCGCACTGGTAGGTCATGTCGGAGGGCAGCTTGAACTTGACGTGTCGTTTGGTGGGCACGCCTGGCGCTGTCAGGACCTTGTTCTCGACAACGAAACCTTCCTGTAGCTTTAGGCCAAGAGTAGAAGCGCGCACGCCCGAGCTCACGTCGACATGCAGCGAGGACTTGGACTTGGCTTCTTTGTGTACTACCCCTCCGAACTTCTCCCTGATGGCGGGCCAGAAGGCAGTCTCGCCCCAGTTATCAAAGTCGGTGAACATGTCCGAGTTGGCCGCATCGGCCAGGCCCAAGTCGCAAAGTCTGGTCGCGCCGTTTTTCTCGACAAGTTCGTTCACTGCCTTGGGGATGCGGTGGAAGGTTGTAGCCCAGTCATCTGGAGAGTTTTAGTAATAGAACTTATGAAAGGAAGAGGATGGTACTCACGGTGTCCACAGCCAAAGACTGCATAATTGACACCCTCCAAGCTACTATTCTTGAGCTCACTCAGCCACTCAAAGAAGAGGGCTGCATTATCCGGCGGCTGGCCCTCATATGAAGCCGTGATGAAGACAACGGGACCATCGGTGGGAATATTCTCCCTCGCCGAGTCCAGGGAGCTGGGCTCAGCCGAGTACCCGTATTCAATGGCATCATCAGCCAACCGGCGCGCGAATGCCTCGCAGGTTCCGGTGTTGCTTCCGTAGAAAATGTGCATAGGCTTCAGCTTGGTACCGGCAGGAGCGACCTTAGGTTTCCTCTCGCTGTTGGTAGCGCTAGCATCCTTGTGAATATCTGGAGTGCCACCCAGAAGCAGACTCAGGCTGGTCGGATCAAGGTTGTGACGGAGAGTAGCCCTCATGTAAAAGCCCTCGGGTTTGATGGTAAGAGTCTGTTTGAGACGGAGGTCGTAGCTGGGGTCATCCATCTGGAAGTTGAAGTTCTGCATCAGCACTGAGACAAGGATAAGCACCTCCTGCCACGCGAATGGACGACCGATACAGCCACGCATTCCGTTACCGAAAGGCTTCCAAGCATTCTGGGGCAGCTTGTCGAATTTCTCGTCGAGCATCCGCTCCGGACGGAACTCGTCTGCATCTTCACCGTACACCTTAGGGTCCCGTTGCATTTTGCCCAGTATCAGGACAATAGCCTCGTTCTTGTGCAGGGCGTACTTTCCACCACCCAGTGTCACGGGGTCTTCCTTGTTCTTCTCCGGGTGGGCATGCATTCCGATCATTGGGGCTGTCGGCTTCAGACGGAGTGTTTCACGCATGACGGCCGTAAGGTACGGCAATTTCGACAAGTCCTCCACGGTGATCTTGCGTCGACCAATGACACGGTCGACCTCTTCCTGGAGTTTTTGGTACGCACTGGGGGTTTTGAGGAGAAAATAGAACATGAAAGATAGCATGCCAGAGGTAGTTTCGTGGCCTGGTTCTCGGTCAGCGTGGAACACGTTTGCTATAGCAACAGACACCTACCAGCAATGAGGAAAGTGATCATATTATCAATAATTGACGCATCAGTCATACCCTGGCCCGTCTGAAGATCACGACCCAGGATAAGCGCATTAAGCAGGTCTTTCTTGTCGATGGGGTTGTTCTTCCGAGCATCAATCAGCTCCTGCGACAACTTGCGGAGGTAGCTGATGTCGTTCCAGTACTTTGCGTTTTCACTGGTCGGAATACTGTTGAGGAAACCCGGGCGCCGAGCCCGGGTACCAGATCCAGACAGGAGACCAACCATTGCCTCAACGAAAGGATGCATTTCGTCATGGTAGAATGAGTTGAAGCGCGTGCCCATCGAACAGAGGGCGATAGTGTCGAGGGTCAAGCGGGTGAAATCGTCGGTGACGGTGATAGGGACGTTGGGTCCTTGTCGCGCCCATTTCATGACGAGCTGGCCAGCAATGTCGTACATATCTAGAAGGCAATTAGAGTCGGTCGTGGGCGCATTTCGGGGAGATCGATCTCACCATCGAACATGCCGCGAATCATCAAAGGTCCGAACGCGGGGACCAGAATACGGTGCGCAATGGCCCAGTTCTCCTCCCCGGGGTAGTTGGCCGTAAACAAGCCATCGTTTGTGCCATTGCGAATCTCCTTCAAGCCAGCGACGACGAATTTGGTGAATCGCTCCTCGTCGCAGACCTCGTTGACGAGTTCATGCGAGCTGACGAATACGCGCGTCTGGCCAAAGGTAGTGAATCGGAAAATAGGACCTGCAGGCTGGTTAGCGGCGACCTCTATGTGCAGGATGAATGTAGTGTACCATAGGTGTCAACGAGTCGCTCGAAGCTGTTCAATGGGACGTCGGCCTCGATTTCAAGAAGGTTGCCGAGAATTGGGACACCCTTTGGTGCCGGGATGGGGACCTCCAAGCTCATTGCGATGGTTGAAGCAATGAACAGCAGGAACGGAATGGGGAAAAAAGAACCTTTTGAGATCCCGGATCGAAGATCATAGCGGGGGTGGAATTCGCCAATTCCGCATCCGTGCAGATCGGCAGTTTTTACCGATCAGGGGTCTGGGGTTTGGCGTAAACCCGATCGCCCGTCAGTCCAAGATCTTGCTATCTCTCCTAATTATGATCTCGGCTTTTACATCTGGCATTTTATCGCATTTTACGAATGCCTTCTCCTATGCATCCTTCGCACACGCCCGTTCGAACATATTTACGACCAATCTCAACGCGATGCCAACCCCGACGAAACTAAAGTTCGCGGGCTCCACCAACCTCGGCTCTTTCACAAGCGAACTAAATACTCCTTAACTTGGCAATTTGCCGGCGCCCGATGAAGTTTAATAATAACTCACCTCGGAGTTGTTACACTTTGTGTATCCGCCCAAGGCTCCCTTGTCAATGACCTCATTATACAGCGACGTGGCTGCCGTGGCGATTCCTAATTTTAGAGTGGACCCCAAGTAAGGACAACCCCTTTCATTGAATAACCAAAATAAAATCTCGACTCGTATTTTTCGAAGAGAAATAAACAACCCATGTTGATGAAAGTATGTACATATCATGCCTTTAATAAAAGAGAGAGATCCCGATGTGTGGGGACAATGGCAGCCTAACAACGCCGACGGATTTGAACCTGATAAATCGAGAGACCGGAGAGTGGATATCAACAAAAACCACACCTAGCGAAACGGTGGGAAAGGGGTTTGCGAGAGAAAAGTCATTAGGGCAGTCCCAGGGCCATCACAGACGCCCACAGAGAAGGATGGTCACATCATGTCGTGGCGGCATCTGAGAAACTGGGACGGGCGAGTAGGTTCGCAGAACCATTCATGACGGGGAAAGAAAAACTACACGAGTGAAAAATCTAAGTGACCGGGCGGTAACCGCTGTTTCGCCACTCGGTCGCTTTCCAGCTGTTTTGATAGTTCTGCATCTCGTTGCGGTCTGTGGCGTCTTGATCGGTGTCGAGAGCGTGTTCGAGGCGGCCCTTACGGCGCTGGCGCAAGCAATACAGACCCAGTGCGACGAAGACGAGGGTTCCGGCGGCGGCAGCTCCGGCGTAAACGCCGACGTGGGCGCCCGTGCCTAGGTCGTCCCACTTCTCGGAGAGCGACTTGGGCGGGTTGTTGATGTGGTCGAGAGCGGTGGAGTTTCCTCTATCAGATTGTTAGTGGCGCTCGCAAGGAACTGTAGAGGGAAAACTTACGGCGTGACTTTGATGCTCTGCCAGGAGCCGGAGTGGTCACCGTAACTGTACTCCTTGCCGGTGTGGAAATCCTGGACGCGGACCTTCTGCACGGTCATGGTGAAAGGTGCCTCGCTGTAATCAACCAGACCACCAGCCCATATAACGGTGCCTGGATCCGCGCTCTTCGTACCCGCGGGCCAGTTACTGATCTTAACTTGGCAGGGCGTCTGAGGATAGTTTTTGCCGTAGACGGTGCTGCTCGTGGAATAAGGGACAGTGCGAACGAGATCGCCGTCGATCCACCACTCGAGCTTGTTCTGGTCCCAGTAGGTGGTATAGTTGTGGAATTCGGTATCGGCATTGGCGACGGCGTGAAAGCCGCCTCGGTTGTAGGTGGTGTGATTGCCCTTGCCGAAGAAGTTGCTCTGCACCTGGCTGGTGTTGTATCCAACCCATTCCCAATCGATCTCGTCAAGGTCGTCCGACTCCAGCACCACACTGCTGATGATACCCTTGCCCTTGGCCATCTTGACCCAGGATTCCACCACGCCGAAGAAAATATAGAAGTTGGACTGAAGCAGGGTCGACTGTCCTTCCTTGGTGAGGGTGAATTCGGCTCCGTCAGATGTGGTGGTGTAGTCACCGGTGGTCATGTTCCAGATGGTAGTGTCGAGGGTGGTGTTGAAATACCACTCATGTTCCGTACCCAGCGCCGGGTCGGAGGGACAGGTCTTGTCGAGCGGGTTGCAGTCGGTAAACGTCTGAGCGAAGGCATTGCTGGCCAGAGCCGCCAGCACGGCGAGGTTGAAGACGGCCTTCATGGTGTATTTACTCTTTCTCACGCCCGCCTTTACTGCTGCTGATGGATCCGGGAGTTCACAATGAACGGATACGAGGTAGAACCTCGAAGTACAATTAATGAATGGATGTGCAAAAATAGACGCACGGCAAAAGGATCGGAAGGTGGGAAGCCACCGGCAGTAAAGGTTCGTGGGAGGAGATTAAGGGAAAAAGAGCATACGGGTAAGGGAAAGTTGAGAGGGAACGCCACTTGAGACCAAGTGGGCTCTCGACATGATGACTAGTGCTCGATTCGTACGATTCCAGGGTTTCAGGGCACTCACGGCCACGGCAAGGGGAAAAGCTGGCAGCGAATTATTGTGCTTTTGGGGTGCTAACCCGGTCCAGTTAGAGGTTTCTGCACCAGGGGTACCCTTTTTTCCCGATCGGGAATGGTGGCGGCCCCGTGCCTGAAACTAAACTGTTTCGGATTCTGGCCAAGTCTGCACGGGTCTACGCGGGCTCGTTATTGGCCGATAAGCCTAAGATCCCAATGGCCGAAGACAGCGTACGACCATCAGGAGGGGAGGAGGAGAGCTGGTGTGAGGAGGGAAAGGATCCGTGGTCGCATCGCCTTATCTGTGAGCTATCATCCTCGTGTAAAGGTGTCGATCGCACAAAACCACCCAAGTCCAGTAGCTGAGCTTTTGGTTTTTCTTGGCTCCGAGGACAAGCCGGTCTAGACCTGCCATGGTGGTCCGTTGAACTTGGGCTTGCACGGAAAGGGACAATGGTGGAAACATGATTTAAAAAAAAATGAGAAAATAATTATGAGAAAAACGATAGTTCTTCCCTTGGATCTATTTCGAGACCCTGGGCAGACACCCCAGGTCTAAGGGGGGGGTCGAAACTTTTGCTGCGTCATAGTGATAAACGCGTGGTAAATTACCACTAGGAAGTACCTCACTAAATAACTATTACATAAGGGAACTAATAAAAAACCGACCTTTCCTAACTAACTAACATTAGTTCCAAACCGGCCTGAGTTATATTTAATGGATTGTTCACCCACATCTGCGCATCCTCCAACTCACGAACATACCAACTTTTCATTGGCTCCACAAGCTCCCCCATCCATGGCCCTAATGGCAACTCAAAGCTCGTGGTTTCTTCGTTTCCCCTTTGAAATAATTTCATTGATTGCGTCTTTCTTGCCAATGAAAGATACCAAGTCCTTGCGTTTGACATGCAAAACACTCGGCGAGATAACGCCATTCTCCTTATCACGCGTGTTTCTTTCGGCCAATTCATTAAACATCCAAGTTTTCCGCGCCATAGCGGACCATCCAAAATTTCGACAAGAGATCACGGAGATCATTTGGGATGACGCAAGTTTTGTCTCTGCGCCATTAATCTGGGAAGATATATATCCAATAACCGACCCCCAAAGTTTAGAAACCAACCCCAATGAAGGATGTCCTAACTGGTTCGTGGATGGATGCGAAGAAAACCGCTATATGATGAAACGTCGGAAATACCATAACGTGGACCGGCCCAAGAACCAGATGGATTCACAGATGCCTTTGAAAGCCTGCTGGGAGTATTATTCGCAAATATTGAATGATCAGACAACTGTGATCGAATCTAAGGAGGACGAAAAAGCCTTTCTTTATGGGCTAGAGCGGTTCCCACGGCTAAAAAGAGTGACCGTTACGCCTGCGACTCATGGCTGGCTTTTTTCTCCGCTATACGAGACACCTATGATACGAGCATTTCCATATGGCTTTAACTATCCTATTCCACGAGGATGGCATATTGAACAAAACGAGGGTCAAATTGCCAACCCATTACATTGGTCAGAGGCCACCGACGAATACAAACAACTATGGAGAGGGGCTCGAATCGTCCTTCGCGTTCTATCACAGATGGAGACGCATAATGTTTCTGAGCTGAGCTTTGATTCAAAGCAACTCCCTACTGGAATAAACTATCTGATCTTTGAGCGGCCATGTGAAGAATACAATCATTTTACGACTATTATGAAACGTCCAGGCTTTCGGCGCCTTGATATTTCTTTGTTCACTGGCACTAGTGGGATTTATAGCTGGGCGGGATTCCGAAGTGGATACTTTCTTAAGGCTATCAGCATGGCTAAAGAATTAACCCATATCCATTTATCAACTACATTTGATGATGGATCTTCAATGGGGGATCCGCCTATGCCCTTAAAAGAGGTTTTCCCTATCGAGAAATGGCCAAAATTATATCATTTGGGACTTTCTCGTTTTAGCGTGAATACGTCGGAGCTGATCGATTTACTCAATTTGGCTCCAGCCTCATTACGTTCTATTAAATTAGAATTTCTTGAGTTCCCTAATGATGAACTTCGTTTGTCTGGGCTCTTAGGTAGAATGCGGGAGGAACTGAATTGGGCTGAGAGAGATCAACCATTAACACCGACCGTCACAATCGCTATGGAAGGCTATTACGGAATGCCGGGGAGGTTCGTTGAGGTTACAGACGAGGTGGCAAACTTTCTATACGGCTCTGGTGAAATTCCCGTGAACGGAAAGGATACTCGCAACCCTAAATTCGGAATAGGGACGAACCGTGACCTTTTCGAAGCGGAGTATACTCGGCCCAACGTCAGCGTCTAGGATCTTGCGGAATTGGGAATTGTTTACTAGGGAAATAGATCAACTGGACCTCGAGCATAAGGTCTAGATATTTGTCATTAACTTAGACTCAATAATGCCATGGGTGTATTCAATAAACTGTATCAGTATATATTACGATATACCTATTAACATTTCCAACCGATTTTACCGTTGGTATCACGTGGAAGATACGCCAACACAGACATACTCGTTCGCCTGTAGGCCGGAGCAATTAACCTTCACCGCTGGATTCCAGGCGTAGAAAGAAGCCAAGGGAATCCCACGGCTGCTAGCAATATCATAACATCCATCGTTGGCAACAAACTTTATATTAACACTGCTCTCAATTTGGTCGACACGAACGGCGGAATCACATTCAATCATCATATTTCAGGTTTTCTCGACCGGGGTCTGTACGAGTCGGGGTCCTGCTAGTCAGACGGACCTATTGCGCAACTTCGGTGTTAGCGGTTGTGACAGAGAAAAGGAAACAGAAACTAAAGGCGAGAAAAAGAGGGAAAACTTAGTAAGGGGAGGATAAACACATAGTAAGAGACACCCGTTATCACAAGGGTGACCGGGTAGAGGGTCTGGAGGGTCACCCGTGGGTGAATGCTAGGTCTAGTCGGACGGGGCCCTTCCAGTCTCTACAGCCCCGCGGGTGTACAGGATAGCAAGCCGGGTATTATACGGTACATGTTGTTTCTCTAGGAAGAGAGTCGATAAAGTAGGATAAAAAGGGGGGAATACTGAGTGTAGATGATATTCGACTTGGTACTACCATATCGAAAGCTCTTGACGCTCTGATTGGCTATCACATGACTTTGTTCCTTCTTTTAGCACTAGTTCGATTTCATGATTTCAAGGCCCATTTTAAATTTCATTTTGCTATCTTCCATTTTCCCACTGTGGCTGCAAATCCACTTGGCCCACATCCGAAGTAAGACCCTGTGGACCCTTCCAACTTCCGTTTGCCACATTCCACGTTCCACGTTCCCGTTGTTTCTCTTCCCCTTTTCCCGCACTTCCTGCCGCACTGTTCGCAGGGCTCGAACGCAACGAGATGTCCTAGCAACTAGCTGCTCTCGAGGCCCCCACTGTATCTCGCCATTCGTAGGTTCGGCGTTCCTGACAGCGTCCAAGCTTTGCGGCATTGGCCGTTGCATGCTTAGTGCCGTACGTAATTCGACTTGACCCGGTCGTTTCCCAAACTTGCGCAGCCGAGTTCACAACCGTTATCCACGGGTTACACGTATATTCAATTTTCGGTCATGCATGTGCGACGCTCAGTCCACACAAGTATAGTTCAGGGGTTGGATCTTGCGGTCAGTGGCCTACGACATGGCATCCATGACACTGGGATGAACATGAGCTAGAAGATCGAGTCCGAAATAAACTGCGTTATTCAACTATATTCGTCGAGTCGTAAATCTTAACTTCCATGAGTATTGTGTCATGCTCGTCACTCGTCAACGCCGTCATCGTTCTCGATCGCTGAAGTCCTCGATCGGGCGCGCACTCAAAGCAGAAATCCTCCAGACAAAAGCAACGCCAATCCATTATTCATTCCAAGGTTGCCCATTCGAACCCATGTACTCCCAATCCTGAGACAATTTCCTCATTCCGCGATATACACCTTCTGTGGCCGCCGCACATCATCACGATACCGCCGCGAGACGCTGGGTGGCTTCTCGACGTAGTCAGCGTATGCGCCACGACTGCGTCTTCTTCTGCGACCGCGCGACGAACGAGCGATGGGAGGACGGTAGCCAACGTCCGGCTCGCCCCCGCCGCTCCAGGCACCTGGCAGTTGGCACACGCGCCACAGCCACAGGACCAACAGGGTACCGGCGATCGAGCCGAGGACGATTCCGGCAATCGCACCTCCGGAAATGGTACTGGGGCATCCGGCCGGGGCACGAGCCACGATGGGGGAATTGATGGGTGCCTGTAATGGTGTGAGATGCGATCGCATTCGGAGCCGTGGTTCACAGTCGGGCCGCCCGCAAAAAATGGAGATGGAGCCGTGGAATGCAGACTGCACTTACCATTGGAGTTTGCCCGAGTATGCTTCTTCTCTCCGATCGACCCTTTCTGTTCTGGGCTTTTCTTCTTCTGGTGGGATCTCACACCAAGACGATGCTATACAAGATGGCTCTGCAACGATATCCTCAATCTCGTCTGAAACAAAAGTCCCCGGCAAAAAAGGTCGAAGCCAGAAAAGAGCCGAAGGCGAGGGAAAATTGTCCCGAAACAAGATCCTTCCGGGTTATAAAAGAATAAGCCCCTCTTTCAACAGCCCCAACCTCCTCATCCCGCGCTGACGTCAAGAGAGCGTCGGCCTTGGCACCCGCGAAAAGTAGCGATCTGCCTTCAAACCTGAAACTCAGAAACGTCGTCAGCATTCGACTCGGCCATTGGCTACCGTCTCATGTGCGTTGTGTGCTCTATCTGCAATTGGCTTGGGGCCGGGACTTTCGGACTGGTCGGCCTGTCCGGCTTCTGGGAATCATGCAATCCACATGCGTGGCATGCATGCAGTAGTCTTCAAAATCAGCCTTACTACTTGACGCGGGGAAAGATAATTCCGAAAGACGCTATCACCGCTACATAATTCTGGCAGAACTATCATCGTAATGATTGTAACTAGTTAGTTAAGTTAACGTAATCGGAAAGCGAGCTGCGCATGTAAGCGAGCTGCGCACCTCAAAACACCATAGTAAATGCGATATTTAAGAACACAATATTTCAACAACTATAACTCTGCTCGGCTTTATCTTTTGTATCCTACTTTCCTAGTGTATAAGAAGTCGATTTTAAGAGTCTAGGTCAAATTAATTCTGATTTGACAGTCTTTTCCAAAAAATACATTGTAATTTAGTCTCTATCGGCTTCAAGGATATATTTTCCAATCATTTTATCCTGAAAACCCCCGAGTTATTCAAATACCCTTAGACTCATTATGAAGGACATAGATTTATGAGAAGACATTACAAGAAGCTATCGTTGTTGAGATATAAAGTTGTAATTTATCGTGTTTACTATGGTGTTTTAGGGTGCGCAGCTCGCTTACATGCGCAGCTCGCTTTCCGAATACGTTAACTATTGCTATCAATGAGTCATCGTCATACCCCTTTTCGACGACTCCATCCTTTTCTGCAGCCCCGTCTCTTTTCCCTCTTCTGCGAATGTGAAGACTTTGTCTCGCAACTTTCTTTTCTATTCTTTTTCAATTTCTTTTGGGGCTGTTTTTCTGGAGTCGTTTTCTCCGCAGCCAAATTTTGTGGCTCTTCATTCTCCCACACGTACACGAGGGGATGATAACCTGCACGAGCGTCCCCGTGGCTCTGCCCCGAGATGGCCCATTAACTAAGACTGCCGTCAAAGATATTATCGGAATATTTGCCACCAACGAGTGGCGAATCGTGGATCCAGAAACACTCTTTCTAAAGAAGAATGCTGGAGCAAACCAAAACTATACAATAGAACGACCAAAGACTGAGGGTGACGCGGATCCAGGACCTCGCAAGGTTTTCCTTAAGTTCCACGGCGAACTCGACAGAATAATCGAAGTTTTCAAACCCTTGGCCCCCAACAAGCACGAGGAGGCACAGCTATGTCACGATTACGGTCAGTCAGGTCTCGGTGCCAAGGTTTACGGGTTCTTCCAGACAAAGGACGGCACGTTGGGAAGGGTCGACGAGTTTCTGGATGCACGCAATTTGGAGCCAGAAGATGTGGAAGACGCAGGTATCCGAGCTGCTGTAGCCCGAGGGTATGCCGCTTTCCACACCATGAAGACGCAGCTGGAGGAGAAACCTGATCAGGTCTATTACGATATCATCACCAGGCAGTTTGAAAAGTATCATAAGATGCCCAAGCTCAAAAAGCTCTTCCATGAAGGAGGCGTTAGCATGGACGATCTCGTTGATTACGACTTTGCGTCAAAGATAAGGCGGATAACAGACAGGCTGGAGTCGATAAGGGGAAAGAAAGGATGGTGCATCCACGATGTACCATTCATGAATGTGATGGTGAAGAACAATCCCAAACAAGGAGAAAGCAAGATCGTCCTCATAGATTTTGAGTTCGTCTTTCGGAACTACCGAGCCTTTGACATTGGTGCACACTTCATGCAAAAGGTGTTCAAGTGGGTTGATGAAGACGGCAAAATGGCCACCTACAGGCCTTATATGGAAGAGGAGAAGAGGCACTTTTGCGAGGAGTATGCCGAGCAGTGGAACCAGGAGACTGGTGACTCGGACACGGGGGAGCAAGTTTTTAGGGAATCCGAGCTGGGGTATTTGCTGGCTATCACCTGGGACATCCACAACATGCTCTGCTACGTGGAGCAGGAGGATAACAAGGACCTCTTGAACCGCTTGGACCTCTTGGCGTTTAACAGGCTGTTTGAAGAATTTGTCAATCAGTATAAAAGGCTTGGACTGGATATTCACGAGTAACTAATAGGGCCAATGCCAGGCTGTGCCGATACATAGGATACGGCTGTGCCGTATCCAACCACGACCCACAACAGCTTCATCTCGCTTGCGATAAGAATAGCAGCGATAAGTCCCCTATATAGCAGCGAGACCGCAGCGATTAAGGAGAAGACCTTTCTTGCTTCTTAGTCTTAGATAGACAATTCTAGAGCCCCTAGCCTCAACCACCAGAGGGCCAGCCATTCACATATCTAAGACTCAGCAATTGATCGAACGATCGCTAGTACTCAGCCAAGACGCAGCTATGGACCAGCGATTGGGCCACGAGCCGCAAGTGACGGAAAAATAAATCCAACGGCAGATCCAAGAGAGAGTAGGGGAAGTCCTTGCGCCTATTCAGGCACAGCTAGGGCAGCTACTACGAGTCCACGTCGCACGCGGCCTGATCGCATTGCGGAGCATTAGATCTATCTTGGCAAGATTCTTTGAAAGGTGACGTCCACATTTCTATAAAGTAGCGCTCTAATGACAAAGAGGCGCTACCCTTTGTCCAACTACTTCAGTTCCACATGTCCGGGAGAGGGCGGCACCTCGCCCGACTCCCAAGCCTTAACTTCTTTGCCCAGCTCGAACTCGATATGTCCGCCCTTGGTCATGACCTCTCCGTGCTCAAACCAGTTCTTCGTCCACTGCTTGCCGTTGATTTTCACGCTCTGCACGTAATAACCCTCGTCCAGGCCGGTGGCGGAGATCCGCAGCGTGCTGTTTCCATTGACCGTCATGTTCAGGTCGGGGAACCAGGGTGAGGCGAGTAGGTAGACGGGCTGTGTGACAATTGGGTAGATGCCCAGCATCTGCCATAGGAGCCAGGAGTTCATGGCGCCGGCGTCGCTGTTGCCGGGGATGCCATAAGCGGCGTCTTTGAAGCTGTTGAAGATTTAGTACACGGTTTATTGGGGTGGTGGTGGTAACCTTACTATTGATTGGCCAGGGTGCGAGATTGCTCCACGCTCTTGGACTGCTTGTTGATGTAGTTGTATAGGTAGGGAGTCGCAAAGTCGGGCTCGTTTCTAGATCGTCATATTTAGCAATCAATTGACCGTCTGGATCGAGTTCATTAATTACCCGATATTTATCAATGTAGTGATGCCTGCACCATTGGCACCGAGGCTCTGGACAGACATGTTCGGTTTGAACTAGATAGATGTTAGTCTGTCTCTATTATAGGCCATGTCACCATCTCACTCACCATCAAGTCCAGGCGATCCTCAAAGGTATCAGCGCCACCCATCAACTTTATAAGTGTCTTGACATCGTGAGGAATCACAAATGAGTATTCTATCATCGCGATTAGCCATTGTCCTCCAAACCAAGAAAATCTGCCACTTACCCCACGGAACACCCTCGTAAGTAATCGACTGCCACTCGCAACCATCACAAAGCAGCGGATTATAATCACTAGAATTAAACTTCCCATTCGAAAGCTTTGGCGCCAAGAAACCCGTAAAGTTCAAGCTCTTGACACTAGGATCCCAGATATTCTGCCAATTCGCCGACCGATTGAGATACTTCTCGACATCACAGGGCATCTCGCCCTTGGCTACCTGGCTCACAGCAAAGTCATTGAGAGCGTACTCGACGGTACGCGAGATGCAGCGAGTGTTGTGATCCTGCGAGACGTAGCCCAACTCTTTCCAGTCGTCTAGGGCTCCGCGGCCTTCCTTCGTGCTGGCGGTCAAATCGGTCGGATCGAATGTGTTGTAGGGTGTTACTTCGGCGTCTTTCTTCATCGCCATGTATCCCTCGGTCCAGTTCACTGCGCCGCGTAGGCCTTTGACGTATGCGTCGGCGAGGACGTTGTCGGCGTCGGAGCCGCCTTGAACTAGGCCGTTCCAGTTGCCAGAGCGGCCATCGGGCATGTAGCCGCCATGCCTGGTTTCATTAGATGAGAGTATAATTTGGGGGTTGGGCCGGCTCACTTGTAGATATTGATGACACCGCGGATCATGGACTCGTAGTACGCGGGCTGGAAGATGTGGTAGAAGCTAACCGTGCAGCGGAAAATGTCCCCTACAGCCGAGATCAGTAAGAGTACCACCAGTCTTGCGTTGGTAAAAACCTACACATAGTATAGAAATCATCCCAGAATGGCTCCGCAGAGTCCCAGAGGGGGTTTTCGCCTGTGCGGTCCGAAGGCATCATATGCATAAAGTACAGAGAGCTGTACAGCAGAGTGACACGGGTCATATTTGCCGAGGCATCCAGCGGAACTTGGACTTTATTAAAGACATCCTCGTTCCACTCCTTGACGGCATCGGTGACAGTATCGTTCAACTTCCAGGACGGGATCTCCTTTTGAATATAGGAGCGAGCCTTTGCAGCCGAGATGAAAGAGATTCCCACACGGGAGATAATGTGCGAAGCGGCCCCGTCTTTCCAGCTTAGGAGAAGACCGATGCGGTCATTCATGGGACCTGATGTTAATATCTGCGATTTTCCGAGCGTCGCTTGGGGGATGGGGCTGTTGTCGTGGTTGTGGTATCGCGGCATGGGAGATGTGTTTGCGCCGGAGAATGCCTGGGCCTCGTCTGGTTTCTCGGAAAATTCTCCCCAGAAGTAGACGGTGAAGGATGCACCTGTTATTTCAATAAGATTGGGCTCCTTGGGGTTGGCGAGAGACTAACCATTGTTCCATCCGCCGATATATGTCCCGTATCCAGAGTAGGCTTTCCCGTCTTCCTCGATCTGGATTTCACCGCCAGTGTAGAACTGTCCATTGGCATCGCCAGGAGACCCAGGAAGGAAGTGAGACACATCAACCAGGACATGTTTCTGGCCTTCGGGGAAGGAGTAGTTCATTATTCCAGCATGGCGCGAAGCAGACAACTCAATGGCAACACCATTCTTCAACTGAGTCTTGAAGTATCCCACCTTCGCCGTATCGTTGCCAACCTAAACCCGGTCAACTTCACTCCATCACATCAGACAAAAACAAAGACTTACTCTCGGCTGACTATAAGTCAAATTATCAAGTATATTAACGGGCGCATCAACGGTAGTCAACGGCATTTGCGAAATCAAGCCATACTTCGGCTCACCACCAGTACCACTCTCGTGCATCATACTAAATCCCGTAACATTCCCATCGGGAGTCCAGCCACCATTCAAAACAGCGGTACTCCAATCCACCGCCGTCGAGTCAATGCCGAGCTTAACGACACCGAACGGACGCGTCCCGCCAACAAAGATATCACCACCACCGTACCCCGTCCCATCCGGACCTTCGGAGCCGATAAACGCGTTGACATACTGGGACAGGTCCTGCGAAGCTGCGACGGAGCCCGCAAGCAGGGAGATCAGTCCCAAGGGGGATAGTCGTGAACGCATGGCGAGGCCTTGAGTATCAGAACTTCCTACGTTGAAGAAGTGACCCTAAGGGTGGTATATACCCAAAAATAGTCGAACTAAGAGAAATCGACCCCAAAAATGCAGGTCGCGTCCGCCTGCTTTTATACATTCCAGCCCGGACCGATCCTTCCCTCGAGCGGTGTACTTCTGAGTACCTGAGCTCAATTTCAGTTCGGCGAGGAAGCCGAATCCCGGGCTATGACTATCCTGCCAGGGTACATAGGTAGAATTATGGTGATGCAGCTTCTACCCCGCATCTGTAGATCCATGTGCGCGGGTGCGCTGTTGGGGTTGGGGAGTTAGGTGTCAAGGATTTAGTGGAGACTATGACATATTTGATCGGCGAGGGATAGGCCTAATACTGGAGCAGATGTAACATTCAATGGCACGGGAATTGGAAGAGCCGAGATGTGAGTTTGCGTGAAGTCTGGTTGGAGCTCTGTGCGTAGAATTGGGTTGCGGGATCGGCCAAAACTGGGCTCGGAGTATTCAAGCCCGGATGCCTGTTCGGGCAGGTGGATTGGTTTTTTCTAAGAAAGTGAGTCGAGTTGGGGTTGAAATCCCCTGGGTTGGCTTTGACGTTTAATTCCAAAGTTGTTTGATATTGATCAACGACCTGACTTCGCCGGGAGTCATTTCAGATACCTTCTAGTGGTTGTCCGAAATCAATCAAAACATCCAAGGTTACAAAATGTAAAGATCTGAACAAAAGGTCTATGGCCAGTGTTACGGACCCGGATTACGAGGCAATACTAGTCATTGATTAAGTGAAGGCGAAAGAAATTTATTCAAAATCCAATACTCCCAACCATGATATCATCAAAAAGAGCAGGCAACCCTATCCAGCCAGGTACCTATCCATTGGATGCAGACAGAAAGAACATGCACGCGACTTCTAATCATTACCGACCCTCGATATAGTCCCTGTTCTCGATCGTGACACTCTTGGTCATGTGGTTGACTTTGTAGACGCCGACAAGGCGAGAAGCGAGTTCGAACTATGGTCAAATTAGTATATGCCGTTATGAATGAAAAGCAACCAGCTCTTACCATGTTGTTCCGCAAGGAAATGACAATGAATTGGGCGTTCTTCGTCCGTTCCTTGATGTAGGAGGCTACAATAGAGACCTAGGAATTGTTAGTCGAGTGACAACCCAAAATGGGTGAAAATACTCACGTTACGGAAATCCAAGGCAGCATCAATCTCGTCCATGACGTAGAGTGGTGTCGGCTTGTAGTGGTGGAGGGCGAACACCAGCGCCAAACTGGATAGTGTCTTCTCACCACCGGACAGGTTGCCAATGTTCTTCCAGCTCTTCTTCGGGGGCATGACCGAGAAGAGAATACCCTCAGAAAAGGGGTCCAAGGAGTCGACCAGTTCCAGCTCCGCGTTTCCACCCATGGTGATCATCTGGTACATCTCCTTCAGGCGGAGAGAGATAATACCGAAGCCTTCCATGAATCCGTTCAATCGGGAAGACCGAAGACCATCCAGGCGGGCCTTCGCACTGTCTCGGGACGTCAGGGCAGTGGCCAAGTCTGCAGACCGTGCTTCGTGCTCTGCAGTTCGGCGGCGATACTCCTCGAGGACCGACAAGTCAACAGAAGCGTTCTGGACCTTCTCCTCCAAAGCGGCAATGACAGCCTTCAGCGATTCCTTGTTCATCGCCTCCAGCTCGTCCTTGGTGAATGTCTGCAGCTCGGTCGGGTCTTGCTCTTCTCCCAGGTCGTTGACGTTTTGCACGGCCAGCTTCGAATGCTTCTCCTCCCAGTAGCGGCTGCGCTTCTGATTCTCACCAAGCGCCTTCTGGTTCTCTTCCAACTTGTTTCGCATCTCAATCTCGGTAGCGCGGGTCTCATTGAGTTCGGCCACCTTATCATCAAGCTCCTGCTTGAGAGCCTTCAGCTCACCCTTCTTTGTCTCCAGAGCCTGCGAGCATGTTAGACAAAGTCAATAAAGACCGAATCATAAAGGCTTACCTCTTGGGCCTCGTCGGCCTTCTGTCGCCAGCCAGAGGCGTCATTAGTCTGGCTCTCCACGTCCGCTTCAATCTTCTCCAAGTCCGCGGCGATCTGAGCGAGTTCATTTTCGGACCCGTCACGAGCCTTGGTGTGTTTGTTGATGAGTTTCTCGTTTTTGGACTTTTGCACCTCGGCATTGGAGATCTCATCCGCCAACAGGCTGATCTGCTCCTTCAGACCGTCAACCTTGGCCTTTTGCCCGCGGAGGCGAACACCGCCGACTTCCATAATCTTGCTTTGAAGTTCGGAAATCTCTTCCTCAATTCCACTCTTTTGGTTGTTGAGATCCTCGATTTCCTCGTTCATGGCCTCAATCTGCTCCTCGAGGGCAGTTGCCTGAGATTCATCGGCCTTGGAAGGCTTGTGTGCCGCACTGAGCTCCTTGACTCGTCGTTGGGCATCCGCGAGACTGCGCTTAGCGCTTTCAATTTCAATCATGATCTTCTGGATCTTGGTCTCAACGCGCGGGATCTCCTCGGTCTTGTCTCGCATCTGGGACTCGACATGTCGCTGCTTCTCCTGGAAGTGCTGGAACTTGCGTTCCAGGTCCTCAAGGTCGGCTTCCAGACGAGTAACTTGCTCCTTGGTAGTGTCGGCCACTTGCTTGGAGGACATACCACCCCGTGCAACACGAGTACCACCGCCACTCATGGTTCCAGAGACATCTATCAACTGCCCATCCAGAGTCACCACACGCCACCGCCGAGCACCGTATGCGATACGATTTGCTTGCTCGAGATCCTTGGCAACCAAAGTGTTTTGCAGCACACTGTAAAAGGCCGGTGCGAACTTGTCGTCCTTGGGCTTGACCAGATCAAAGAGACGAGGAACACTTTCGGGAGTGTAGATTGTTGACATATCGCGGCGTGGCAGGCGATCCAGAAGAATGAAGTTGGCTCGACCGAGGTTGTTCTTGCGCAAGTAGTCAATGCACTGTTGACCAACCTCTACCGTCTCCACAACCATGTTGTCAAGAGCTGGACAGGCAGTGGAAATCGCAACGTCGTACTTTTCATCGATAGTTCCCAGGTTGCCGAGACGGCCATGGAAGCCGTCGATACGACCAGACTCCTTCAGACGCATCAATCCCGTCAAGACGCTGCCGCGATTCTGAGTGCTTGCTAGGCTGACTCGCGCCTCATCGGCCTTTTGGCGAGCGCTGGACACGTGTTGACGAACTTCGGGCTCGCGGGCAACGTACTTCTTCAGGTCGCTCTTGAGCTTCTCCACCTCAGCCTCCAATGTCTGCTTCTGGGCCTGACGCTCTTCGAGGTCATTCTGCTTGGCATGCAGGGTTTCCTCGATAGTGCCAATCTTGCCCTGGGCCTCCTCGAGCAAAACAGCGCCGGCGTTACTCCGCTCTCGCAAAATATCGAGCTCACTTTGCGCAACGGCAACAGCAGACTGTTTCTTGTTGATCTTTTCATTCCAAGGCTCCAGGGATTTCTGCTTGGCTGCGATCTGGTCGGAGAGGCCCTGGGTCTTGCCCTTGAGACTTTCACGGATTGAGTTCAACTCCTTCTCCTCCACCTGCATCTCTTGCTCGAATTGGGTCGTCTCTTTCGTCTTCCTCTCGATATCGTCGGTATATTTCTCGACCAAGCTTTGGCACTCGGACGCGGCAAGGCGGCTTGTGTGCATGGTCTTCTCGAGCTTCTTTTGCTTGCCAAGCAAGAACTTCTTCTTTTCTTCAAACTTGACACCCTCCTTGTCGTACTTGGCCATTTCCTTCATCAAGCCTTGCACTTCTTTCTCCATGGTCTCGTATTCACGAACACCGCGCTTGTAGAGCTTCTCGAGTTCTTTGATACCAGACTCATTGCCTTCGTGCTTCTCGAGCTCCATGTTCAAAAGCTCTTGCATCTGGAGGATGGCCTCTTCAGTGACACGAACATTGTTAGCGCACTCGTCGATGTAGATCTGGTAAAGAGCTGATTGCTTCTGGGATAGTTCGTTTTCGTCGCGAATATATGCGAGGGCTTTGTTCTTCTTGTCCTCCAATGCGGCCTTCTCTTTCTCAACGTGCGAGACACGGTTATTCTTCTCGACACACACATCGTTTAAGGTTTCCAACTCAGTCGCTGCATCGTCGATAGGAGTTTTGTATTTAGAGGTACCGATGATATCCTCCAGGTACTCGAGAAGGCCTTCGTCGTGTTCACTGGTAGCTTTCGCCTTCATCTGGGCGATCGATTCGACCTCGCCCTGCAAGATCAGGAATCGCTTGTGGTCAAGATCGATGCCGCGGTCGCGAAGGAATTGCCCCACAGCAGTGAAGTTGGACTCCTTCTTGTTCATGTAGTATTTGCTGCTGTTGTTCTTAAACGCACGTCGAGAAACGATCAGTTGGGAATCTGGGACGACTTCGTGACCACCTTCGGGAAGATCGAGAACTTGTTCGAAATGCACCTCTACTTCACAGAAGGAAAGGTCGGGATATTGGGCAGAGTTATGGATAAGTGCCGAAATCTTGCCCTGTCGCATCTTGCTAGCACGGAAGCCAAACACGAAGAGCAATGAATCAATGACATTGGACTTGCCCGATCCATTAGGCCCAACCACAGACGAGAAAGAAGCGTGAAATGGGCCAACGACCTGCTTGCCTGCGTAGCTCTTGAAGTTCGTCAGAATCAGGTTTTGAATGATCATGCGAGGCTTCGCTTCCGCGGGCTCCTCGGGGATAGCCGGTCCTGCCATGTTCCTGGACTTCATCACAATATCCATAGGCTTTTCCAACACCGTCGAGTTCGGATTGATGATCGAGATTTGGGGCTTCGGGGTTTCCGACAGTTTCGAGGGCGACTGGTTGACGGCTGAGTCGGTAATGTCGGCGAGGGGAGGCACGCTTTCCCGGTTGGCGCGCGGTGTGGACTCTGGCGATGCGGATGGCTCTGGAGTAGGGAGTGAGCCCTTTCCCGTTTTGGGCGTGATTGAGCCACGACTCTTGCGGGAAGCCATACTATGTCTTTTCATCGCCGCCTTATTAGAAGGAGAATCAGGATCAGCCTCCGCAGGCTCCAGACTCTTTCTCTTCAACGCCGCATGGTTCGAGGGAGAGTCGGGGTCAGCGACCACGGACACCATGCTTTCGTCGTTCTCTTCGTTTTCATCGTTCTCGTCGGTCTGTTCCTCCTCGTCCGCCTCAACCTGTGATGTGTCCGATTCATCTGTCGCGACGGTCGACGGTCGGGACCTGCGGGCGGGTTTTACTGTGGACGGGGTCGTGGGTTCTAGTGTCATCCGCTTTGATTGGGAAGCGCGCTTTGTTTTCTTCGGGACGGGGGTATAGTCTTCCTCCTCGCCTGACTCGTCATCGTCGTCATCATGAGTATCGGCCGTTGGCGTCACATTGCCGGGGTCCTCCGACTCCGAAGTATCTTCGACAACGTAGCTCCTGCGGGGAGCAGCACGGCGCGATCGCCGACCCTGTGTGAGTGAAGCCATTATGCACAAAGGAGGGGTGGCGCCTGCTTCATGGGCGCGAGGGGTGGTGCTTTGGAGAGATAAATGGAGATGTTTGGCGGCGGAAAGTGGGTTGTTTACCTCGCGCCCGAACAGGACTAGCGTTCCCATTTCTGCCACAACAGTGAGCCACCGCCCTGTAACTTACGCGCGTAATTTTACCCAATTGATACCCCTCCGCGGAGCTTCCTGCGACTGAGATTCTTCAGATCGACAAGCATCTCAAGAACAATGGCGCTGTGGGAGGATTTCGATCATATCTTCAGCTTCAACAAGAAATACCATTATGATGCCAAAGTCATCGATCAGATTGTCCACAATCGCAAGGCTCTAGAGAACTGCCTCTTTGCCGATCGGCTTCTGGGCCTGCTCGGCATCAAAGGAGGTATGCTTTGGAAGTCGCCAACTGTCCTGGGCCATGCGCTGATTCCCGTATAGTGACGAAGGTCTACCCGCCGAAGACAAATGCCGACCTCCGATCTCTATTTAACCACATTGTCTCGTCCGAGCTCGACATCCATCACAAGCAAGCCTTGATCTATTACATCCTCAAGGACTGTCGCAGTGCGCCAGATGCTGCAGATCAGTTTGCGCAAACATGCCACTTACCTCAGAAGTATCAGCTCTTCATTGACGGCCTCTGGAACATGGACCGTCTAGAATTCAGAGTGCGTACCGAGGTCTTTTGTCCCATTCGTGTTTCTAACAGCTCGGCAACAGCGCGCACTCGATTACCTCGCCGACCCCTCACTCATCCCTACCTTCCCCGACGAGATCCTTTATGCTTTGACCCTATCTCAGCTCCCCAAGCACGATGACAGCCTGGCAATTGCGTATTACCTCACCGCCGCGCCGCCACTGGCAACTGAGAAGGTGCAACGAGCATTTTTTGAAGTGATGTGTCGGTCCAACGTTACGGAAGCATTCTACTTCACCCGCAAATACGATGAATTCCACCGTCGCAGCTTTTTCGAGCAGCTGATTGAGTTCGTTCACAAGTCTGGGGCCGGTCAGACACGGAGCAAGCGTGCCATGGAATTAGTTGGGCTCCCGCTGGACGAGGATGAGGAGTGCTGGTTCGAGGAGTGCTTGTTGCAAGGAAATGCAAGCTCCCTGCCTGGTGCAAAGGACACTGTCATGATGCGAAGATTGGCAATCGGGCAGATGGACGGTCTTGGGGCTGAGTTGGAGTCCTTGGGAGGCAAGAAGGTGGATGGGCTGAACTGGGATGATCTGAGGGAAAGCATGCGACACACGCAGACCATATACCCGGAGTGATTCGTTAATTTTTCACTTTTTGGACAGGCAATGGAGTTCAGGATTCTTTAGACCATGCAATTTTCTAGTTTTTTGGACATTGTTAGAGCCTTGAACCAGTAAGATGAAGCTCCCAAAGTCCGCTGTTGCAGCAATATATTTCGCCCTCGGGTTGCACCACGCAGGATGGTTGTACAGAGTCGTACAAAAAACATATCCTTAGCAGTGCGCTCGAAAATAATTGACCTCGTTAAATCGGTGTAATTTGTTAATAGATAGAGCTTAGATCAATACAGTCGAATTCAAATGTTGTCTGTCTAGCTTGACTTCCCCGAATCTGCGGACGCGATAAAAGCGATAAGGATAACGGGATTGGCGCTCGGAAAAACAGCTTCCCTTCACTTCAACACGCGTTACTAGTCCCAGCCACACCTTCCATTCATCTCTCTCTTCTTCGCTCTCGCTATAGCCACATAGCGAGTTCCTTTAAAGGAATCAAAGGTCTGGTACATTTAGTCGTGAACCGGCTTACGAGGCCGCCATCTTGAAATCACATCCACGACTTCCGGCATCGATGAGGTGACAGCGCAAATATGGTGGTGTGTAGTTTCTTCCAGCAGGGTCGCTGCAAGTTCGGAGGTCTGTATCCCCTTGACATAACCAACAATTGGGGTGCTGACTGCCGTGCAGACCGCTGCAAGTTTGAGCATCCTGGACGCACCACTGCCGGCGCATCGGGCAACCGCTTTGGCGCTCTTTCTGGAGGCTTCGGAGGTAAGTGCGACTGAGTGTTCTTTCCTGAGTGAAGCAATTGGGGGAACAGCGATGTAGTGAAGATTGCCCGGCCGTGGCCTTCGTGTCTCTTTGTCACTTGTCACCGCTGGTTTCTCAATTTACCACCCTTCCCCCCAAGTCTGCCTGTCTCGGTTGTGATATTGTCTTTTATTCCCAACTCAGGAGCACTATGACTACCATACCGCGATTCTTGAAAACTAATAAACCTCGCACCAAAGGCCAAAACACGGCCCAGAGCCAACAATCAACAGAGTAAGTGTCACAATTATTAGCCGACTCAACTGCCTGCTGACTCGGTTACAGCTATGGCGTGAATGCCAACGACATTAAAATCGACCTCACTGCAGGCAAGGGTCGGCCAGAATGGGTGTTTTCTGCTTATGCTCCAAATAACAAAGTCCCACGGCAACTCTTCGGTGGCCCCCAGCGTGAGCAGAGCATGGAGGAGCTGCGTCTCCGCCACTACGAACTAGCAGCGGCTGGAAACCTGAACCAGGCTATTCAGGAGGCCCAGGCCTTGTGGCAGGAGTCCGTGAGCCAGATAGACATTGCCCTCAGCGATGTTAACGGTGCCATAAAGTATATTGTCGATGGGGCAAACGAGCACCCCAATCGAATCGACATTTGCCAGGGCATAACTGGGCCCCAAGCAAACCAGAGTACACCATTCGGCCAACCTTCAGCCCCTGCCACATCTACTGGTGCCTTCGGGAACCCCACACCCTCAGTCCCCTCAGCATTCGGAAAGCCTGGGTTCGGGCAGCCACCTGCGCAACCTTCACCATTTGGGCAACCTTCGGCATCCGGAAACCCGTCTCCGTTCGGGCAGCCCTCTGCCCTAGGAGCGCAATCCGCATTTGGGAAACCGTCTACTCTGGGGGCGGGAACTGCCTTCGGCCAACCATCAAACCTCGGGGCCCAAAGTGGGCTTGGTAAACCGGCGTTTGGAACGTCAGGTTTCGCTCAAGCAGCAAACCAGCCCGCATTCGGACAGACTGGCTTTGGGAGTCCTTCTCAGCCAGCAACAGGAGGAGCCGCCCCCTTTGGCGCCCCATCAGCTACCTCGCCCTTTGGCCAAATCCAGCAGCAGCAGCAACCGCAGCAACCGGTTCCATTTGGTCAACCCTCTGCCCCTGCAAACCCATTTGGAGCTTCCGCACAGCAACCGGCTTCTGGCTTCGGCCAACCATCTGGCGGCGGTGGTTTCGGGCAGCCTTCACAGACAGCGTCACCATTCGGGCAGCCACAGCAGCCTCAGCAGCCTCAGCAGCCACAGCAAGCACAACCCACCCCATTCGGCCAGCCTGCAGCTTCCTCAAACCCATTCGGGGCCCCGGCACAGCAAGCTGCAGCTCCTTCACCATTTGGTCAGCCCGCAGCTCCACAGGGTGTGCCTGTCCAGGAGACAAACAGTGGCCCGCGGGCATTCATCAAGATCGACAACCCGAATGAATTGAACCCTCTTCCTGACCTCCAGGGTCAAACAATGCGCAACCCCAACACCCGACAATTGACGATGTGGAAAGGACGTCCAGTCAAGTACATCAACGACGCGCCCTGCTACCTTCACCCCCAAGACAATCGGACCTTTGTCCGCATCAACTTCCCTGATGGACCGCCCGAAGAGGCCGCACTGCGTGATTCCCAAGGCAAGCCAGAGGAATACACCCCCGAGATCGAGCAGATGTACAAGTTCTACCTTGATAATGGATACTTCAAGGACGGTGTAATCCCAGCAGTGCCGCCGAAGAGAGAATGGATCAGCTTTGACTTTTGATCTAATCCGAGAGGCGCACATGCTTTGCTTTTAATGTCGACCAGGGCATCAACCTGCATTGCGACTGAGGGAAAAGGCGCTTTGGAGTTGGGCGATCCAGTTGGTTCCACATTTACAGTTTTATAGTTATCATGAAATGAATCTACAAGTCTACAAGTTTCTACATGAAGACCAATTAACTTTCTCAAGATGTTTTCCTTTTTTTTGTCACCCAGGTACAAGCGGGTATCTACCAGTCCCGGCATTAGGTCCGTAGTAAATGACCGACACATGCATAGCACCGGCACATGCACGACACTAGAAGTGTGCAGTCCAAGACCCTCCCTGATCCATTGCGAGCTAACTAATTTAAGCAGCAATGGTGACCTCAACCTCAACACCGGCCTCGATGTTGATGATGATCTGCTTGACGGTCTCGGTGGGGGCGAGGAGGCTGAACAGACAGTTAGCAACATGTTACAGCTCACACATTGTCAGGGCAACTCACTCGATGAGACGCTTGTGGATGCGCATCTCGTACTTGTCCCAGGTCTTGGAACCCTCACCGTTGGGGGTCTTGCGGGTAGAGATGTTCAGGGTCTTGGTGGGCAGACGGACGGGGCCCTTGACCTGGAGGGACTTGGAGCGGGCACGGTCGATGAGCTCCTGGCACACCTTCTCGAGGGAGGCGACCTTGCGGGAGGTCAGGGTGATACGGATCTTGTGGACCTTCTGCAGAGGATATTAGCAGTGTTCGGAGCGAATTGACTCTTTTCAAGTCATTGAAGATTTTTGCGACAGCGACAGCGACGTTCCCCGCCATTGCGACAACGTTAAACTGCGGCTGTCGAAGTAGGTGTAGGCGTGCACGTACAGGGCCCTCGCCGAAATCCTTCTCGGGCTTCTGGAAAGACATCTTGAGTATGTGTTGTTGTTAAGGCGGATTTGCCAATCAAGACCTGAACTGCAGGGTTCGGTAAAGTGATGATGGCCGGGTTGGAGTTTGTGTGTGGAGCGTGAAACGCGAATCTTTTTTCGTGCGAAAATCTTGGCGCTTCGGTTATCTGGCGCTAGGCCTCTTTTGGTGGTGCTGAGTCAGCATCTTTCGGGGACCAAATGCAGACAAAGGCCATGGCCTTGTTTGGGAGGTGTTCATGGCTTTGTTGTTTCCCTTTCTTTCTGCGGCTCTTTATGCTTCTATTTCCTTTAGGTAGATTCATTTTATTTTTCTTTTTTACAATCCCTCGTTGCAATGGCGGGGTTTCCGCCTTTGGCCCCGGTGCCCTCCCCCGCAGTGCGGAGGACCATCCCATCGAATGACTGGGAGGCCTGCCTGGATGCATGGATGATGCTGCTTGGTATTCGCCTCAATGCATCTGACCAGCAATTCGAAGCTGGTGCTACCGAGGACCTTCCTGCGGCATCATTTCTGGACTCATTCTACCAATATGCTGCTGCGGGGGACTCTGGGCTACAAGCCGGTCCCAAAGCTCGACAATTGAGGAAGCTCTGCTTTCTTGCTACAAGGCGATATCTCCTTGGTCTTTCCAATCCACCGGAAGGACTTTTGAATTGGCAGCTTTTGGGAAACCTATGTTGCTGCTATCCATCAAGCAATGCTTTGAAGACGTCATTATCAACGGCGTGGGACATGCACCATGAACAAATATCACCCAGCATAGAAAAGGCAAAGTCACAGGTGACCAGCCAATTATTACTAGGTGGAAAATCAGCAGACGCCAAAATAATATCAGATATTCGACGTCTCACCATCCTGGCCTCGGTATTGCCGCCTTGTGGCCAGATCCTGATGGCAGGATCGGACTTCTTGGATACCCTTGTGGAGGCGTACGAGACGCAACCCCGAGAAGAACTACGCAAGATCTTAGTTGCCAATGTTTATGTTGGCCTCGTCTCATTGTTGAAGGAGCCGTCGACCAACTTGTCTCTGCTTCTTGATCAGCTGTTCAGTCTCAAGGCAGGCGCCGGAGTCGGGACAACCAGAATGAAGAAGAAGGCCACTCTCCTTTCCGATCTCGTCTGTAGCTCGGATTTGCTACAACGGCTCGAGAAGTATCTTGCGAGCCACCCGCAAAAACGAGGAGAGGACCTTCTCGCCAGCTTGCGTGCCTACCAAATGGAAACGAAGCCTCTTCACCATCGTTATCAAAGACGAAAGAAGATCGACAAGGGCAAGGGAGCTTCCACAGGCCCTCTTATTCCAGACGAACTCCACGCTCACAAGATGTCACTCGTCTCCCAAGTGCAAGACCTCTTCCCAGATCTTGGTTCAGCATTTGTCGTGCGCCTACTAGACATTTACAACGATAACCCAGAAACAGTCATCTCTCACCTACTAGACGACTCTCTCCCCCAAGAAATTCAATCTCTCGATCGATCCGAACAGCTCCCACCACCAGCTGAACCCGCCCACGATCATCTAGCACCTCGACCAACCCCACCTGTCTCACCTCCACTAGACCCAGTCCCAGCACGCCGAAATGTCTTTGATGAAGACGTCGACATCGCCGAACTCAGCCGCACAGGTGACGCCGAAGGCAAACTCCGATTCGGCCGCGCCGGAGTAGACCTAACTGCCGATGCAGTCCTCGCAGACCGCAGCCAACACGCAACGAACAAAGCCGCAATTCTTTCCGCGCTCGCAACCTTCGACTCGGATGATGACGAGCGCGATGACACATACGACGTCGCAGACGTAGGCGGAACCGTCGACGCCGTCACAGCAGGCACAGACGCCGAAGCAGACGCTGAGGCTCAGACTCGCCGCGCGGCTGATCTAGAAATGACTCTCTTCCGCGCGTACAAGGGCAATGCGGCTCTATTCGGGCGGGACTCTGCGACGCGCCGCTCGCAGCCTCGTGCTTCGCTTAAGCGTGACACAAACATGACGGACGAAGCTATTGAGGGATGGGCTGTTATGCTGACGCGGGATCCGAAGCGCCTTGCTAAGCTTGAGGATAGGCTTGCCGTTGATGCGGGTGGTGCTGGTGCTGGTGCGTTGAACCAGCCTTCACTTCCTTCAACGTCATACAGGAGGCCGCAGACTGAGAATGATTCCGGGGATGATGGAGAGGCTGGACCGGAAGGTGCCCGTGGAAGAGGCGGAGGACGTGGTCGGGGCCGAGGTCGTGGTGGTCGAGGACGAGGAGGCCGGCCTCAGGAGCCCGATAGTGCGGCGGCGCATCAGAGAAAGGAGCAGAATAAGGCGAGTCGAGCGAATCATAATCGGCGACAGCAGCGGGCGAAGAAGATTGCGCGTGGAGGTGGCTTGCCTGGTTGAGTAAGGTGTAGAGGAATTTGCATTTGCATAGCATGGAGGCGATTTGACTCGCGCTTCATATCTACAGATTCTGTTGGCGATTTGTACAGATATGACAAGGTAGAAAAAGATATTGATTCATTAATATTCTGAAATACGCACCCCGGGTGGTATATGAATCGCGCTTTATGATACTAGGAAACTCGTTGATACGCTGCACGGGAAATCACATCGTCTACTGTCAGTGATGCGAGAAGACACCCTCCTGCGCAATTGACTTGCGACACTCCTCCATGAGACGGACCTGCTTCGCCACGTCTCCAAGCCGACTGATAACCTCCTTATTTCCATCGTAGAAGGTAAAGATAGCGTAGGGAATACCGGTGTCACGACAAAACTCCAGAATATACTTCTGGGCACGACGGAGGTTGTGACGCGGCATGCGAGGGTAGAGGTGGTGGATTGCCTGGAACTGGAGGCCACCGTGGAAGAAGTCCAGCCAGGTAGGGCAATCCACGTCCATGGTAGTACGCAGCATCTTCTGGGGGAAGGATTCGTGGACGCCCAGGTCGGCGGTGGACATGGCGAAGTGGGACAGTGTAATCTGCACATGCAAGGGCGAGGGCACAATGTGGGACACCATGAGGAAGACGAAGCGGCTACCCCAGTCGGGAATCGACTTGTACAGCACGAGGTAGACATACCAGTACCAGAAGAACATCTGGCCGGCGATCTCGAGATAGATGTGCCACCAGGCGGGTCCCTTCTTCGGGGCTTGGCCTTTCAACAGGTACTCACAGCTGAGGCGGTAGAGGTTGAAGCGGGCCAGCGCCATGATGGGGTAGTATGAGTAGTTCTGGATCTTGAGCATGAACCTAGACGGGGCGTCAAAGGTCATTTGGCGGTCGTAGTATGTGCTCTGGAGGCTCGTAAAGAACCGGTGGGAAATGGCGAAGAAGGGTATGTGCTCGATGTCCGGGTCGTGCTCGGGCTCGTTGGTCACGATGTGGTGCACGTTGTGGCTTCGTTTCCACCATCCCAGACTCAATCCTCCCATCCAGTCGGCAATGAGGATGCCGATTGTGGTGTCGATGTGGAAATTGTGGGTGATACCCATGTGGCCGGCATCATGAGCTGTGAAAACAAGCTGGTGCCAGAAGCATCCGAGGAAGAAGCCGGAGGTTCCCCACCAACCCAGGCGAAGAAAGAAGTATGCTAAGGTTGCAAAGAGGGTATATCGACAACCTTCAATGAAGTAGGAGAAGTAGTTGCATTTGAACAGGCCTGCGGCTTGAATGCGTTCATGCAAGGCGCGGTATTTCAGCTTAATGCTTTCCTGGTTTGCAGTATCCAACGATGGGTATTTGGCAATGTCGAAGTCAATTTCCTTTTGTGTTCGAGCGTCCAGGAAAGCCGGCTTCGGCTGGGAGTCTTGGGTTGGAGGAGTGGAAACAGACAAGTCGGCTGCTTGCGAGGCGTTCTTTCGACGGGTGGGCTTAGAATCGACGGCGTCAAAGATTGGGGACGGTGGAAGGGATCCGTCCCGGCTGGAGTTTTCTTGGCTGGTCAAGTCCTCCTCGCTCGAGCACGTCTCCTCTGTGTAGAGACGGAACCTGCCGCCTTGGATCGGGGGAAGGAAATTGGACCAGAGGCCTTCGATTCGTCCGATCTGGAAAGAGGGCATGCGCTCGCGGGCTTCTTCAGAGTGCAGCCTATTCGACGTGTTAGCAAGAGCAGAGGCACCCTCGTGGGGAGACGTACGCATTGATCTCGTCCGTTGCATCCCTGCCGACCATGTGCTTGATCGACTTATCTCCGCCGGGGTGGAATTTGATCCAGGCGTCCACCTTGAGGACGCGGCCCTCGAAAATGATGACATGCTTTCCCTCTGCAATGAGTCCTTCAATATACCGGCGACTCAACACAATGTCCTTCCGGGACGATCGGAGCGCGGGCTTCTCCATAATGAAAGGTGCGGTGAGAGGGCGAAGGATATGGGGGTGAGGGATGTGTGTCTGGGCGAAGCTGGAATTCAAGTGAACATGGTTTTGAGTCTTAAGTAGAGCATTCAACCGTGACAGAACGATAATTGACAGAAGTGTGGAGTAGAGAAGAGAGCGCAGGCAGAAACGAGACGAAATGCAGTAAGGGAGGTAGGTGGAGTCAACAAGCGGGGACTGATCGGCCGCGGTCGCCCGTGATTGAACATTTTCACCTCACTCGTTGCATGATGGCTCAGGTATTACCATCTACATTCTCTGTTTACTGGTGAGCACTAACGCCAGTAGGTTTCAATCTCGTCGCTGGTTCAGACATGGCTCCAGTGGGACCAGGTACCCGTGCCCTTCCACCTTGTTCCTGGTGGCATGATCTCATCGACTCGGATATAGGATCCCACCACTCGTGCGGAAATAGAGCAGTTGCGTGATGCTCATTCCACCGAAGAGCTGGAGCTGCGCCTACGCAATCGTATGTGGACCCTGCTGTGGCTTTGAAGTACACATCTGATTGACCATCAGGTATCGAGTTCGGAACGGCGGGCCTACGCGGCCGGATGGCCGCCGGGTTCTCTTGTATGAACTCCTTGACGGTGATCCAAGCGTCGCAGGGTCTGGCCAAGTACATCCATGGACGCCCGAATATTGCCTCGAGGGGCGTGGTTATCGGACATGATGCGCGCCACAATTCCGACCGGTTTGCCAAGCTCGCGGCCAATGCGTTCATTGCTCTCGGGATCCCAGTCTGGTTCTTCGATCAGGCTGGGCCGACGCCAATGGTTCCCTTCGGTGTGAATCATTTCAATGCTGCTGGTGGTATCATGGTAACAGCGAGCCATGTACGTCAACACCTTTATTCAATAAAGTAGATGTGTTTGCTAACAAGTAGTGCTGAAGAACCCGCCCCAAGACAATGGTATGCTTGCTCTTCTCCATATATGGTATCATCCATGACTAATAATAACCTAGGTTACAAGGTGTAAGATTTATTGAATGTTGAATGTGTGCTTTCTTTTGCATGCTCTGACCTATGTCCTTCTCAGCTACTCGAGTAATGGCGCTCAAATCAATCGACCCGAGGATGGCGAGATAGCCCAGTCGATCCGCGAGAACCTGGAGCCTTGGCCCACTGCATGGAAGAGCTTGCAGCCCAGCAACCTCCTACGTGCGGACTCGTATCAGAAACTACTTCCTCACTACATCAGCCAGGTTGGAAAATATGCGGTCAGTGATCAGGCATCCATTGGATGACAAGACTGACCCTTTCTCAGAATTCAACCGTGCCAGAGTGGCAGCCTTCGAGACCATCTGTCTATACACCTCTCCATGGTGTTGGAGGCTTGGTCTTTCCCACGCTATGCGAATCACTAGGAATCAATAATTGTACCACTGTTCCTGCTCAAGAGAAACCAGATCCCGAGTTTCCCACCGTCAAGTTTCCCAACCCAGAAGAAGCAGGGGCTTTGGACCTTTCGATTGAAACTGCCGATAAAGAAGGGAAGACTCTGATCATTGCCAATGATCCAGACGCGGATCGCTTTGCCGTGGCAGAGAAAATCCAGTTTGTGTACCACATTAACGATCGTGACCTGTGGCTTACCTTGAAACAGTGGCGAGTGGTTCTTATTTACGGGAAACCATGTTGGAGTCCTTTTGGCATCCCATGTCTTCGATTCTCTCAATGATACTGCCGATCTGTCGAAGGTTACTGTTTTAACCACGACTGTCTCTAGTGGCATGCTCGACAAAATGGCCAAGGCCAAGGGAGTCCAATTCAAGGAGACGTTGACTGGCTTCAAGTGGATGGCAAACGTTGCTCGAGACCTAGAGAAGACTGGACAGGTCGTTCCCTTTGCTTACGAGGAAGCCCTCGGCTACATGTTCCCTGCCATTTGCTACGATAAGGATGGCATTACGGCCGCCTCGGTCTTCCTTGCCGCGGAGGCCAAATGGAGGGCCCAGGGGCTGACTGTTCATGATAAACTCCAACGACTCTTTGCTGAGTTTGGCCACCACGAGACATTGAACAATTACTTCCGATCTCCAAACCCCGAGCTGACCCTTGAGCTGTTCCGCGGAATAAGAAGTGGCAGTTTCCTTGCCGAGAAACAGTTCGGCAGGTTCAAGGTTCTACGGTGGCGAGATCTGACAGAGGGATATGACTCGGCATCGTCTGACAACAAGCCGGATTTGCCCCAGGATCCCACTAGCCAAATGCTCACTCTGTGGTTGGAGGGCGGAATCCGGTTCACCTTCCGGGGCTCGGGCACAGAGCCCAAGGTCAAATGTAAGTTCCCAGCTACTAGATTGGAATTGAAAAGTGCTAAAAACTCTGCAGTCTACATTGAGAGTTGTGGAGCTTCTCGCGACGATGCTGTGCAAGCTGTTTGTGACACGTTCACCACTATTCTCAAGGAATGGGTCCAACGCTACACCCCTTCGATGACACACAATGCGCAACTTCCGACATCGTCAGGCTATATTTTCAATGTGGAGTAAAGGCCGATCGTTGACTGGTGTATCAAGTCATGCAACTCAAACATTGCCTCCTCAAGGGAAGCTTCAGACCGGGATGGAGAACTAAGCTGCATCAAATTTCAATCAATCAATGAACTTTCACTTTTTAAGTAGCCTACCTCAGCAGTCTCATGATACGATATCGAGCAAACGCTTCGATTTGGTGTCACGAGAATCTGCAAGTTCCCGTCGAGAATACAGCAAGTACAATTCATGTCTTTGAAGATGTTTGAACCAAGGCTAGCGCAATACGAGGGTGGTAGGCAAACTGCATCTGGTGTTTCACTGCTCGGTGTGCCGGGTGATTGGTAAATTAGAATCGGCTCGATGCCCTGTCTAGAGGGTAGTTATATAGCGAAGCCTCGATTGCCAGATGCGCCCCATCGACTTAGATTGCAACCTTTGACCTCGAACCTTGAAACGTCCCATATTGACATATTCTGAGGATGTATTATCCGGTCCACCATCAAGACGATATCGAAGGTGGTGTGTATCACAGTCCGTATCATCACCAACACGCAAATCATCATCAGAAAACAAGTCATTACCCTTGCTGCTCTCGCAGCACATGGACGGCATACCCCAATAAAATTCCACCTGCACAGACACCACCGCCAAACCAGGCAAATGGAAACACTCCAGGCCCATGTCTACATCAACAGAAAACCAACCACGACCACGACCACCATCCTGGCCACCGAGACAATTTGGCGATATACCCCCAAGTTCCAATGTATGGCTATCCCTACGTCTTGTTACCGGTAGACCAACCATCCCGTGACAATATCCACAAGGAAGATCGTCAAAACACGCCCAAAGAAGACCACAAATCCCCTGCAAGACACAGCCATCCCACCTGTGCACACGCTCAAGATCGCCATCATTGTCACTTGCACCACACCACAACACCACAAAATCATGTCAATGTGGGCAACAATGGATACTGCCGCAATCGCGAAGACACGAATTTCACAGATCAGACTAAGAACGGAAACAGTGAAAACCCTCACACTTGTCAATACCATCAACAGCAACACCGCACTCCGCCAAAACCGACTATGAGATGGGTCTGGGGACCTCCGTTGCCTGGATTTGTCGTGGGTCCGCCGATGAATGCGCCGAAGTACAAGCGGGGCTGATAGGAGGTTGTTCCTGGCGCACTGATGGAACAATAGGCTTGTTCCCACCCGTCCTCTGAACAATTTATACACTATTACGTTGCGGGGGTGATCTATTTGTCATTCTTCTGTTTGTCTGTTTTTGCCTTTGATGATATAGACTATGCATATGTCAATATTTGTGGTGCGCTCAACAATGAGGTATGCCAGCATGTGTAGAGTCCTTGGTTGACGAAGTTGTAGCGTTGAGAAACATTGCAAGGTTCCAACACTCACACCAGGTGTAAACACATCGCACATCTCTGTTCAATCGGCAGGCCGGCATCGATTTCTTCGTTCCTAATATCATACAACGCTTGCGTCAACTCAGATTCATTCAAAGTATTGAACCCCAGAGACTTGTAAAAGCCTTCATTCCACGGGAGCTTTCGAAAAGTGGTCAGAGTGATAGATTTGCATCCACAGGAGACCGCCCATTCCTTCGCCGCTTCCATCAGACGCCGACCAATCCCCTTGCCCTGGTGACTGGATTGAACCGAAACTTCGCATATATAGAGATCAAGCTTGGTTAGAATGCCATTAAGGAACCCAACCGGTAAACCCTCAGAATCAACGGCCACCCATGAAGCCCCGCCCTCGATCAGTTCCAGATGCTTCTCCACAGATTGCACACTTCCATTGGCGAGCCATGCAAGATCCGGGAATTGTAAGAACGCTTGCGCCGCGGAGCGCTCCACGGAGGGTAAGAGGGGCGCGTCTCTTGGCTCTGTTTGTCTGATCATGACAGTATCCATGTTGCTGTGTTGAATCAACAGTGGCTATAATTGTAGGATGCACTGAGATGCGTATCCGGTACAGGCGATGGCTCAGACCACGCCTTCAAAAAACAGCCTCGAGTATTAGCATGTGTTCAACCTTCAGATTGCGAGAGATGGAAGCAAATGACGCTTATAACCGACAATGCACTTTGTCGGGCATCCAAAGCAAAGACTTACTGGGATATCTTGAAGTTGAGAGAGCCCAAGATGTGCTGAGCAATTTCAAGGTTGGTTTATTCAGGTGGTCCGTGGGTTTGTTCCAAAGACACTTCAATCCAATAATAATCCCAACGAACTATCAAGACGTTTGCAAGAAATACATATATTCATGTCTTTTTATCTCTCTGGACTCTGGTTGACAAAATTGTCCACACGGGGAGGGGTAGAGAGGAGATTGCGGGTGGGACGCGCTTCCGTGTAAAATACTGTATTATATGTTACAATATTGTAACCCGAGTTCTGCTAAGATCAGGGATTGCAGTTATAACGGGAGGGCAGAAGAAATAAACGCCGAAACAGCGAAACAGCCGCTTCTGAGACCATTAAATCTCAAGATACTGCTCATACAAAACGCGTTGGGCGGTCGTAATCACTCGATCTATCTTCCACCGTGATCGCAACCCCATAGCTTACCATGATATTGCATCTATCACTTGGATGGGCTAGCTTTTCTTGACTACTCGCCGAGCTGGAGCACCGATATGCACTTGTCGATTGGTACGCCTCAACTTTCCCAGTAAAGCTGTTTATCGCAATATGGGTTTCCCTAAGTCCTACTGATCGATGAGATGGGATACCACTACCTTCATCCCCCCGCATGCCGTACGATTCATACGTGTAAGAGTTCTTGGAAGCTGGAATGGCGGTTTTGACGATGCGATATAGACCAGGACAGCATCCGATTATGACCGCTAGTAGAATAGCAGTTAGCAAACTGCCTAATGTTGAAGTTAGGGGGTAAAAGGAGAAAGAATATCATTTGATGCCTCAATAGTTGCCCACAGAGCTAGCCATGATGGTGCTGGGACACCATTGGCGGTCTCTCCTAGCTGGATGACACGAATAGTGGAAATGATGATGCAGATCCAGCCAAAGCAAAAGAGGCCGCCGATGCTCAATTTTTGTTTCACTTGCATTTTCAGGTTCCAAATAAGGCATAAGGGCAAGGCCATAACTGAACCAGGTGCTAGATGATTCACTCATTGGGTGGTGTCGGGAGTGATACGTACTAGCTAGATCAGTAATTATATCCACCGTATATGCGTAGTATAAGCTGATGACGGCGGCACGATGGTCGCGTGGTGTGACGCAAGCCCCCGCAGTGAACCAGGCATGAAAGCTCGAGCAGGAAAACCACGATGAAAGAACGCAACCTATGATGAACTAAATGGCACGTTGGTTAATGTGAGGATCACAAAGTCAGCTGGAACATCATACCAGAGTGGTGAATCCCATAATGGCCCATCAAGCGATGAGGTATGCTTTCCCGACCAACAACCGCTTATACACCGCCATCAGTGAGAACTTGATCATCCACAAACAGATCCATAGCGAGGAAGTTGTAACGAAAAAGACAATCTGCAGGCGAAGCAAGTCTTGGGAAATCGTAGCGTAAAGTGGCATCGTTCCAGCCTGGAGAGCTGCTAGTCGAAATATGACGAGGGCGATGTAGATGTAGAGAATGCCAAGTTCGAAGAAAAAGATGTAACCGACAATAAACAGGTAGTCCTCCGCTTTGAGATCCTTGGGCCTTTGAAGAGAGCCGGCAAATCGTGCAACTACAACAGGCGAAGTGATCACGATCAAGGCAATACCGGTCCTCAGTATAGTTTTGGGGCCAAAGCTGCCCTGGGAAGACGCTCTCATCACTGACTGAAGAGGAGGCTTTAGGAAACCCTGCACCGAGGCGGTGCAGGGCCTGGAAATCCATATAAAATGAATCTACGATTGTATGCTCTTCAATTGCAATTTGTACCAGGGGCAGCACCCCCGAGTTTCGAATCCCTCGGGTGCCGTTTGATGCAACACACAGGGATTCAGACGCCCTAGCTCGAAAGGATCAATATGTCGGAATCCAAAGCACAGCGTCTGGAACGTAAGCTTATGTCCCACTCGGGTCCGAGCCATTGGCGGACATGGGGGCCGGGCGCCCTAAACCGCGGCGAAGGGTCGGTGGATGCAACGTTGGCGCAGGCCTTATGAAGACGAGAAGTACCATGAACTTTTGCAGTGAATTCTCATTCCAGCTTATGTCTGACTTTCCATAAAAGTAGGCCAAACGTTTTGTGTACACCCGTAGAAGGCCTCGAAAGATAGCGCCCGCATCCTGCTTGGCTTTCTAAACCCCACCGGAGATCGGCCTCCAACCTCCCCTTTTTATGGGTCATTCATTTACTTCTCTCATATTACATTGCAGATGTCACTTATTTACCACCCATGCAATATCATAACTTTCCGTCGAAAACCTTCTCTAACCGTACAGTTTTCAGGGGGCCGAAGATGTTTCCGCATCGCCTTTGAGGCAGTTAAAGGCAGCCAGGCCAACCATTTTGTCACCCACAGGGTACTTGATTTGATGTAACATAATATCTGTACTCAGGAAAAAATATGGCCCTGTTGCAGATATCCAGAAAGAAAAGCGGAAATAGGGAGAGCCGCCAGTGAGAAAAGAGTGAAGCGGCCGTCGCTCCGTAGCCGATGGGACCTTACTAGTGATGCATGGTATAAATGATACCGTGGACCTCACCAGATTCTAGGCGTAATCTTCGGAAAAATTAAACGAGATAAATTCGTTTCCGGTCAGTTCATTCTCTGATTATTTGATTCCTCTGCACATCAATTCCTTGAGTCTGCTTTTGGGCATCATGCATCTTTGGTCCTTCCTTGGCGGCATATCCGCGATTGGCGGGGTAACACTGGCCCATGTCAGCCCCAGTGAGATGGATAATTTCAATATAGCGAGCGCGTTGGAGCACCTGGGTGTGGAAGTGTGGAAGATTCCCGCATTGCAGTCATTCTCTGGCGTTCAATCGCGCTCAACCGAAAATGCTTGTTCCGCTGCGGTGAGTGAGAAATCGGCATCCATCGAAAGAGAGGGGCCTGGCTGGATCTTGGCTAATTCTAAGCTCAACATCTCTAGTGCGCAAGTTTGAACTTCGTTTTCGGATCCAAGGTCTCAGCGCAAGATACTGCCGGGTACAGTAACTTCACTGGCTCATTCTGGTCTGTGCAGCAAGAAGAGGTCCAGCCTCACTGCGTCTTCCGTCCTACCGTAAATACGGAGGTCAGCATTGCTGTTTTGCTCTCTCGTTTTACAGGGTGTGAGTTTGCTGCTAGGAGTGGTGGCCATGCTGCATTTACAGGTGCCTCCAGTAGTCCTGGTGGAATTAGTATTTGGTTTAAGGATATGAATGAAGTCACCCTCAATGAGGACAAGTCGGTCGCCTCTATTGGACCTGGAAACAGTTGGGTATCAGTTTACTCCGCACTCGAACCCTATGGACTGGCTGCTGTCGGAGGCCGTGCTGCTAGTATTGGAGTTGGAGGTTTCGTTTTAGGAGGTGGAATCTCCTACCACTCAAACCTTTATGGGTGGGCCTGTGATAATGTGGAAAGCTTCGAGGTAAGGTTCTATTCACATTTGGCTTCTCAGTCTAGCTGTTAATCACAGAAATAGGTCGTTACCGCCAGTGGTTTGATCATAACCGCAAGTGAGAGTTCGTACCCTGACCTATATTGGGCTCTTCGTGGTGGCGGCAACAACTTTGGCCTTGTTACCAAGTACAACCTCTACACTATCCCCTGCCCAGAGATGTATGGAGGTGCTCGAACCTTCCTCCAGACCGAGTTTAAGGAGGTTATCAACGCCTTCATCAATGTCATCAACAATGCCTCCGTGGACGGTCATGCACAACAATATGTTGCCTTCCTTCAGGTCAACGGGACCAATCTTGCCTCGGCTGAGTTGACATACACCCTGAATGTCGCCAATCCAGAGATTTTCAAGCAGTACAGAAGCATTCCTGCAGTCTCCGACACATCGAGCTCCAAGACCTTAGTTCAGTACGTGGAATACCTCGAGACCGACAACCCATTCGGCCTTCGTGAAGTGTACTGGCCGATCACCGTGCACATGGACGAGGACTTTCTCAACTGGGTCGTGAAAACTTTCTACTCGATGATTCCGCAAGTGGCCCATGTCAGCGGTGCCATGCCCGTGATCATCTACCAGGGAATAACCGAGCCGATCTTGAAGAAGATGACCAATTACGGCGGTAATGCTCTCGGACTGAAAGCTTCTACTGGTCCCATCATTCTCATGCACGTCTCGTGCTGGTGGACCAATGAGTCTGACGACAACACCGTCTATGAGTTCATCAACAGCTTCTGGGATAAGGTCATTGCACAGGCCAAGAGCTTGGGCGTCGACAACGATTATATCTACATGAACTATGCCAGCATGTTCCAGGATCCCGTTGCTGGCTACGGAGATGCTAATAAGGCTCTTCTGAAGAAGATTGCGAAGAATTACGACCCGGCGGCGGTTTACCAAACTCTGCAGCCGGGATACTTCAAGCTCAATGGTGCTCCCGTAACAGACTCGTTCTAGGTAAACTCAGGGTTGGATGTAGACAAGACACCCAACGCTGTATCAAGAATATTTCAATATGATGTTTACTGATTTCCATGAAACGGAATGAGAAATTGCTGCCATTATTTGTTCTCAAAATAACATCTATCCCTAGTAGGTGAGTATGTAGTAGAGTGTGACTATCAACGGACTTTGCCGTAACAAAGATGGCACTATTAGCCCCAGTGTCAAACATCCACTTTGTTTGGGTTTCTAGAACAATGCAATTGTAAAAAATCGATTCACAGAGACCAATATCTAATATAGTTATGTGTGCGGAAGGACCGTCGCCATTCGGAGGCTCCGGACGCCTTATGACATCACCGCTGTCCGAGAGTGCACCTTATTGCTTGGCTCTCGCAACACCCGATGATTATCGGTCCTACTTCGGCTCCAACCATGGATCCGATCGGAGATGTGCGATCGACCGAACAAAGACCGCCTCGCACCCGAATGCCGGCCGGACTTTGGAGGCAAAGTTTTCGAATTGAAAGTATTTAAATAGATAACCAAGGATGGCATCGATAAAGGACAAATTGGAACAAGGACTTCTTTGCTTGACTTCAGTTCAGCAAGTCTATACTGAAGCAACCCTTCATCATCTCCATGTATCCTGTTCAACCACCTCGCGATATCGCCATCGTTGGCGCCGGCTTCGCGGGAGTGGCTGCCGCCGTCGCCATCTCCCAAGAGCTTGGGCCCTTTGTTCCCGATCTCAAGATCCGAGTATTTGAACGGGCAGAATATCCCTCCACCTCGGGAGGTGCGGTCAACCTGACTCCCAAGGCCCAGCAGCATCTCGCCCATTTGGGGGTTATGGATGAACTGGATCGAATGGGCACATACGGCGGCGCCGATGTCGATGCAATTCAAGTATTCTCCATGACTTCTGCTCACCCAATTGGATCGTTCGATTTTACGGACCGAACCAGCAATAGCTACGGTGGTTACAAGGGCCGGCGGGTGATGCGCGTGGTTCTCTTGACGGCAATGATCAGTGTCGCTGAACGCGCCAAGGTCGAATTTGTGTACGGCAGGAAAGTTACTGGTGGAAAAGAGATCGATGAAAAGGCCATTATCAACTTTGAAGATGGATCCGAATGTTCCGCCGATCTGGTTCTCGGCTGTGATGGCGTTCATTCTCCGACTCGCACCAAGTGGGTCGATCCCGAACGGCGGTCCGAGTACAGTGGAATGTCATTTTTGCAGACTACTGTAGACACCAAAAAGCTATCTTCGCGTCTCCCTTTCGACTCCGCAGTGCATCTATCACGCCATGGCTCGCTGATCACCACCTATTGCGACCGCGATCGTGAGCAAATTTTTGCCGCCGCCATTGTGCAATTCACGGAAGAAGACCTGGACTATTACCGGCTAAAACCAGGCCAAGACTGGTCTACTCGCCATTGCATCCGAATGAGCCTCCGACGAAGTTTGCAGAGACGCTTTCGGAAAAGTGCAGAGCCGTGCGTTAAGGAGATTGTCCACAGTGACCAAGAGTGGATCTTATACCCTGTTTACCAAATCCGTCCGGGTGGCCGGTGGTGTTCAAACCGGGTAGCACTGCTTGGTGATGCAGCCCACACGGTTAGTTTTAACGCTTCCCTTGAACAAATAGAAACTTGACACTGACTTTACTCCAAGATGCCCCCGATCTACTCCACAGCGTCCTACGCCCTGGATGATGCCATTCTCTTCTCCCGTGTGTTGGCACGCTATCGGTCAGCGCCATTGACCACTATGTTCAAGACATATGATCAGCTGCGCCGCAATACGGTCGATCGTGCATTTGCGGAATCCAATACAATTTGGAAACGAATGAAGGATCGGGGCCCCATGGAAGAATTTGTAAAGGAGTGGAAAATGTCATCGTACCTTAGACATTGGCAAAGCAAGCGTGAGGAGGAGTGGATGTCCGATGCGGCGAAGATCCCGATTCCGACTCCGACTCCAGAACCCAGTGAGATCGCGGTCACCAGTGAGACTTTAGTCTCTACCTAATTATTTCTGCAGAAATGCGCTAAGTAGGGCGCATGGTTTCTGACGTCAAGCATTTGAGCGCCATTCTAGAAGTGTGATTCTTTTTCTATACACATGCTTGCATAACGGTGGGAAGCAATCAAGGAAGGAGACTTAAAATAATGCTAATACGTGTTATTATTATTATTATTATTATTTTCTTATTGTTCCAAACATTCCTTAACTACCTCCTCCCTGGGACCATAGGCCGTGTAGGGGTGTGGATAGAGACTACTAGGAGAAAACGATAGGGTTTTAAAATCTCACCATAAGACTCTAGTAAGAAAATTATAAAAAGATATTCAAGGAAACGATTGTGAGAAGTTTAGAAAGATAGTGTTGTTGGAATTCAAGGGCTTTCTTCGACCGCCTTGGGTCAACTGCGGGAAGCAAGTTATGCTGCGATGAAGCCCTATATGAGATAGGTATATATAGGGTTTTCATTAAAATGTGTATTATACAAAGATTGCAGGTACACATGAAGTATTCATGTACTGCACAATAATCCTATTCAAAGTTATCAACCTCAAATATTGGTATCGCCATAGTAGTCATCCCATAAAAACCACTCAAAGACGCGATCCGACACTGGTCTTTGGAAGTTTGTTGAAGTACTCTCTGGTTTGTGGTTTGAATGATGAGATCTTGAGCCTTGGAGCTCATTTTCAAGTATTCGCGATGTAGGTTCCATATCCACAGGTAACCAATTTAAGTAATTTGCGAAGTCACAGTGAACCAGGCCAGCATCAGTCATACCATCCCACGGCTGTGTGCCATGCTCATCTAGCCCCGAATTTTTCGGCCGTTGGGTTAATCGGGCTGCATCGTCGGTGAGCTGTGCTGAGTTACTATAGCGGGTGTGAGATTGAGCTAGCTGGAGGAAAACAGCCGCAGTATGCTCAAGCTTGGTGCAGACGCCAGCTAGAAGCCGCATTTGGGATCTCATCTCGGTGAAGTAAGTTACCATCGTAGCCAGTAAACGCAGGTCTTGCTCAACCGTCGGGGATCTGCCAGGCTGGTGGACGATGTTTTCGAATATCACGAAGAAAGGAGCAAATGGATAATAGAGAAGCTGCCTGTATCGTTTGTTGTGGTTAGCAGGCCCTTATGCTTGAGAAAACCAGTCTTCGTACCAGATAACTCCATTATACACTGAGCCCCAGTTCGATACCAAAGACGGAAGAAGGGAGATTGCTTCTCGAGCACAAGATAGACGATGATCCGAGGCCCGATCCCCCTTCAGCAAAAGAGTGAGAATGTGCAAGTATTGAAACTTGACACTATTGATTCCTAGGTTCATTTCACGGATTTGGCTGTCATCTGCCGATATTTGCTCGTTTCCCATGGCCTGCGTCAATGCCTGACCTCGCGAGTTAGGTATCTCCCGCCGAACAAGGCCAACACAGTGCAGGAATCTTACCTTGTTCGTGTTCAAAAACCAAAGGTCTAACCTTGATTGTATGTTATCCTTGGCTTCCGAATTAGCCACACCCAGAATTTCCAAAACATCGCTCGTCAACTTGGATAGCTCGATGGTCTTTTTGAACATCATAGAACCAAAGTCGGAGGTTTTTGAACTTTGCGGCTGACTGCCGAATATCCCCGTATCATGAGGACAGAACTGCCGCGTAAACTGTTCATCTGGCAGTGGAACATGGCGGTACAAGTTGAAGGGCAAAAATGCAGGTCGACCGAATGCAATGGCACAGGACTTGTCAAGTGTGAACAACATCCAAAAAAGACACAATTTTTGCTGCGAGTCATCGAATTTATCTTTGCTAGTCCTTACATGCAAGCCCAAAGCTTCGGCCTGGCGACATGCATGGCCCAACAGCATCCAAGATAGGTTGGGTGCAGCAAAGTCCTCGCCATGAATGGCGAGCAAAGCCAAGGCTTGCACATTAGCCAGGCATGGTTCAAGGAATATTCGGCTATCATTGAGCGCCAATTGAGCATTCTGTCGGAGTTTTTCCTCGTATTCATCCTGCTGAGTAGATATCGCAGCAAGTAAGATGTAATTGAAAGAAACAATCCACGCCTTTTCTCGGACTTTCTGAGGTTCGAAAACAACCTGTCGAAGAATTTCTTCTGACGGGAAGCGAAAGAAGGGCTTTCCGAGCTCAATCTGCTCTAGAAACTCTAGTGAAAGAAATCAGAAGTGAGCGGAATAATTTTTCAAACAACAGTGAATGGTCATGGGAGGTGAGATGAGCTTACTACCGAGGAGGGCATATCCTGCAGGCTTTGATGGTACATAGAAATGTGTTGAACTTCCCATTGGATTACCGACTTTTGCTGTAGTCAGACTCGATGACATATTGCAAATCTCTGAAATGGCACCCTGACGAGTATCCTTAAGCCCTTGTCGCGGTAGGCGCTCGATGTCTGCGGGTGTCTCTTGTAGAAAGGAGAAAGAGTGCGATGGACCAATATATAGCTGCGAGTTAGATTTGTTCTCTCCACTCGCGATGTTGCGGTTGGATACGTTGGGGGTTTTAGTCAAATCTCTTTGCGAGGGTATTGCGGACAAGACATGTAATGCCTCATCAACAGAGCTAGCCAAAGACTGGACTGTGTGCTCGAGGCGTTCGAGGCGACTCTCGATGCTGATTTCGGCATTTATATGAGATGGAAAGGCCGCATCGAGACCTTTCGCGTTGGCCTTGTATGACGACACATCTCGGGAATATACGCATCTACTTGGCCATGGCTTGCAAGTACTGCATTTTGGCAGCTCTCGCGAACACCTTTGAACAAATTAGCCAAGCTGAAATCTTCACCTCGGGCCAAGAAAAATTTAGAGATACTTGAGTTTCTTCTGTCGACAAAAGTTGCACTACAGCTGTCAGTTTTCGCGGAGTTCCGGCCGGTCTCCACATTCCTCACTTACGGCGAATCGAGCAAAGCCGTGGCCTGTCGGTGAATGCCCAGTTGTTTCCATAGGTCTTCTGAAGGGAACCCAGTCCCTGATCAATAATATCGGGCTCCGAGTGAGAATAGCAAAGTGCATAGAATATTTCCGGAGAGTCCGAGAAGTTACCGGAGCTTTTGCAGTGCTGAGTGGCTGCCTCCGGAGATCGCTCCGGATGGGTCTCCGGGCTGAGCCAATCAGTGAAGATGAAGTCGGAGCCGAAGTATACAAAATTCCTTTACGGTATCTTTATAAAGTCACCGGTTATTTGAATGATTCAAAGTATTTCTGCTCTAGCTCATCATCTATTTCTTCACTCTTCATTTCTTTTCAGTATATCCCACCATGGATTTGCCACCATCCATCGCAATAATCGGTGCTGGGCCGAGTGGTCTCCTTCTCGCACGGCTCCTAGAGGTGAATGGGGTTACGGATTATGTCGTTTATGAAAGGGATGACTCGTCCACCCCAGGTCCGTGGCAGCAAGGCGGTTCCCTCGATCTCCATGGCCCGTCAGGTCAATTGGCACTCAAGGAAGCAGGGCTATTCGATGAATTCAACACGGTCTACGCACGCTGGGATGCCTCCAAGATCCACATTCTCAAAGATTCTGGTGAAACAATTGGACGCTTTGGCGAGGGCCGCGACGCGCCAGAGATCGATCGCCTGCAGCTACGTCAGCTTCTACTTGGGTCTATACCTGCACACAAAGTCAAATGGGATCACGGCGTTCGCTCTATTGAGAAAAAGGAGACCAATGGTCGTGGAGGTATCTGCAACGACTGTATTATCCACTTTGCCAATGGTACATCGGGTAGTGGGTTCAAGCTTATCGTTGGAGCTGACGGCGGTTGGAGTAAAGTCCGCCCTCTGGTAAGTCAACACAACCCGAAATCAAATAAAGCACTATTTCTGAACTAAGACCATTTCTTTTAGATCTCATCAGCACAGCCGGTGTATTCCGGAAAAATGTACATCGAAGGGAATATCTCACACAGCAACCCAAGTTACAAAACAGCCCTCGAATTGGCCGGACCGGGAATGATGATGGCTATAGGTCAATGGAAAAGCTTGGCTTTGCAGCAAGGAGCCGACGGAACGTACAGGATGTACTTTGGTGTTGTTGTCCCGGAAGACTTTTACAGTCACCGCGATGGCAGTGCTGTTGAAAAGACAGAAGCCGTGCGACAGATGATGCTATCGTCAGATAAATTCTACGCAAACTGGGCACCACAACTCAAAGCTATCGCGGTGAATGCCGAGGGTCCTTTCCGCGCCTGGACTTTGCACTATTTGAAGGCAGAAGAAGTTGGGTGGAAACGTGACGCAGCTACAGGCGTGACGCTGCTTGGAGATGCAGCGCATCTTTCGACGCCGTTTGTGGGAGAAGGAGTCAATTGCGCCATGTACGATGCTGTATTACTGGCTAAGTGCCTTGTTAGGCTTTGTGACGGAGGCTTGAGCTTCCACAGTGTCCCGGAAGCGAGCTTGGACGAGGCTCTAGCTTCATACGAAAACGAGATGTTTGGGCGCGGCCGTGACTTGATTCAGCGCAGCGCGAAGAGTGAATCCGTGCTTTTCAGTGAGAATGGAGTGGAAAACATTCTCGGGATTGTCGATGGTGAGCATGAAAATCTGCTATATGATGTCAAGGCCTCCACTGTCGAGTAAGAAATTGCACTCGTGATTCGCTGATGAATTAGGGGATGTCATGTGTGATTGGACGTATGGTTTTTAATCAATTTTCATGGGTTCAGAATATGTTCCAGCGTAGTGTAATGGCCTACCAAATGCCAAGTATTATATCAAAGCAATCCAGTCACGGGCCGTTTTCCATTGGCCCCCACGCTGATTTTACAACCAGGGTCCTGTTTATTGGTCATTTTTTACAAATGGTTGAATTGGCAGCTTCATTTGAAAGGCTTGTCGGGCTCGCCCCACGGTACTTTCATTACTTCGCCAAGCATGCATTCATCGCCATCTCACACCCGCCGTCCTGATATTTCATCGCCACTGTTTGGACGGATAATGCTTTTTTGCTTCTTCGTGATCTCTCTTCTAGCGTTTGTGGCTTTTCGAAGACGAGCCAAGCCGAAACCCCACAGTAAAATACTCGACAAGCAAACAGAGACGGGTCACTGGAATGTGGCTGTCAATGATTATGAGGTATGAAGACAGGCAGCGCTCTTTGTTATGGGAAAGGCCTTTGCAAATCAAGATGGAAAAAGGCTAATATGCGGTGTAGAAACGGATTTGATCAAACGGAAGAACCTAGGCATTTTGCTCATTCGTTCCCCGGAAATAGCTCTCCATTTCCTCCAACGCATCTGCGATGCGATCACCGACAAACTTGTCCGGAATGGGGCGCCACCATTTATGATGGATGGACTTCAGGCCACTTTCATATTCGGACTTGTCTGCGCCTTTTAGGTTCCACCAAGGACCGATGTCCTGCCACGGCATCTGGCCATCCGTCCTATGGGCACAGTTCAGAAGATTCTGCTCGGGATACGCCGAGTCGAATGCATCGGGTTTATCGAGAAGAGCGGAGTAGTAATCGAATAGATCCTTTGAAGGATGTAAGACGAAGAATCCCGCATTCATGTAGTTGTTCTGTTGGTAGAATTCCTTGCCGGGCACAGGTGGTAAATTCTCTTCCACCCATGGATCGTGGATGCCGGCTATCATGTAGGAGGCGGGCACACTGCCATTGGCTTGAACCCCTGCTTGAGGTGACAGTGTTTGGCGGATTTCGGTTGCCGGGTGTGAGAAAATATCATGGATTGACTGGAAAATGACCGAGTCGGCGTCGAGGAACATGATCTTATCGTAATCTGTCAGCTGCCACAAATTCAATTTGGCGAGCACATCCTTCCATCGACCCCATTTCGGATGAATCCAGTCGCGCCCAAGGCTATCCACCGGAACGATGATGGCTCCATCCTTGCTGAGAATCTCCCGGTGTTTTTGAGGCACATCTTGCGTCACGAGGACAAGGAATGGAATGTCCAAGCTGTCGTTTCGGGTTCGAGGGTTGTGGAGGAGTTGGAATGTGAGAAGTCGAGCTGCTCGAAGGTAGGGTTCTTCGACATCCGGAAACTCGGCGTCACCCTCGCCGGTGAGAATCGTGGCAAATGCATGGATTTCCTTCTGTTTGGCCCCCAAACGGAGCGAATCAGAGATCGAGACTGAGTCTCTGCTGCGCAACGTGATTACAATCCATAGAAAAACGATCGTGCAGAATAGGATTGCGCCAGCTTTCTGCAGGTTAGGTAGACCTCGCGAGGTTCTGTACAACACCATGTCGAACAACCCCCGGGTAGAGGGCAGTCAAAAGCTGAACTGAGGGTATGTATGAACTGAACCCTGACGGTCGGTTCTGGTCAGCCCCTTCTCACCGCCTTCAATCTAGACCGGATGGTAGACATTTGGTGGCTTTAGAACCTAGACCGATCAAGACAGTAGAGCCGAGATGACCACGAGAGCCGGACCCTACTAATTTGCCGAACCCATTCACTGAGCGCTACTCCACACCGCCCTATGGGAGCCCCACCAAGCATTGATACCAGACCCTTTTCATGTGTTACATGGCAGTATGGTGTCAACAGGCCAATGTCTTGTTGGTCTCCTGGACTGAGGATAACCTTGCGATTGAAATTGATAACTATTAAACCCTTGTCCCTTGTACAACCTTCTTTTATAACACGCGTTAAGGTTCGTGCGTCCTGGTCCCACTATTTCCGACCCGCTTGGGCCCTTCGCCCATCGCGGAGAATCGATTTCCCCTACCTCAATGGACCCCAGTGCGGCGCTAACCACATCAGGTAATATTATCGGAGTCCGAATATAGTTCCTCCTGCTACCTATTGTCAAACCCGGGATTTATATTTCTTGATAAGCCACGCAATCAATCGTTCTTCTCAATGACTATCCAGATCGCTCACAGATCTTGTTTATCCATTCCAGTATACTTGCCAAGCCCAAAGTTCCGACCAAAGCCTTGAAAAGGCGAAACTAAGCAACCATGGTGGTCTCACCAATGCCATCATACCTCCTTGGCACAGTCTTCTCTCCTTCAGTGTCCTTCCTTTCTTCAGCGCCGTGAAGGACTACGAGATGTTCGGCTTGCCTCTCGAACAAGAGACAATCGGCCCTACGACCGGCAAATCAGACAGACAAGCCAAGGGCACGATCTCCCCTCTCGCCTATGCTCGCGGCGTCCGAGACGCAACATATGGACTTCCCTACCAGCCTCTCCAAGCCGAGGGCCAGGAAGTGGCCATTGCGACTTTTACGGGAATTTTCAGCATCACTGCCGTTGCGTATGCTTTGATTGCGGCTGGGTTTGGTGGCGTTTGAACTAAGTGAGAGTAAGATGATGGATGGATACGGCCTGAGAAGGCGGCAAGGTTACGCAATGAAAGCTTCGTGGAAGTACGACGGAAAAGAGGAGGTTTAGGGCGGGTCTCGAAACGATACAAGAAGAAAATTGATTTCGAAGGAAATATGTTCTGATGGATTCATGGCATGCTTTTTGAATTGGCAGATTCTGGGCTGCATGCTATGTTTCCTAATATGGATATGAGATTCTGAAGGTCATATATACCGGCATCATGGCTTTGACGCTTGGTGGAATGTTAGGAAAATTCCCGGAGCGCCAAAGTCAATACGTGTTTGTGTGTTTTGTGTAGATATCGTTTATATCTTCATGCCGAATGTTCTTATCGTCATGTTCAAGTTTTTGATGTTCAGTCCAAGCCGTAATCAAATCGTTCTTAGCCGCTTGAACCTCCTTCGATAGATGTGCCACGAGTCGGTCATGTGCAACCCCTGGTAGTCCAGTAGATGGGGGGTCTGCATTGGCATCTAACCCCATTTGGTATGACGTACCAGTCTGCCTGATACGATCTGAAAGTGTGTTAATCAGACGCTGCAGATGCCCGAGCTCCACGAGTATCACTTGGGCCTGGATATTCCGTTCCAAAGAAAGGTTTTCGACGGTATGATCTCCAATAGTGATAGCTTGATAGATCACCTTCTCTGGCGAGGTTGTTTGCTCATCGAAACAGTCCCCATCACCGGAGCAGCTGCTAGGCCGTCGGGAAAAGCATGCGCGGATCATCGCTCGATACCACACCGCGAGTCGAGAGCAGATAAGTGCTAATATGATCTGATTCTGGGGACGAAGAGCACACCCGCATTGTAACATGCGGCAAACCGACATGCCGGCATCCTTGTTGTCTTTGAGAACGGAGCCCGACATACGTGCTGGCTCAGGTCCACTGACATCCTGGCTTCCGCAGCGGCTGCGAGGATTTCTAAGAGACAGGCAACTGGTCTCGCAGATGTGGAGTAAGCGGAGGTTTTGAGTTGCAGTAAGAATGCAAGGAGGGCGGCGCTGGGCGAGGCAAGAAGAAGTCGTCGTTGTCGGTGGTAATGGAGTTAGAACCGGGGTTGATAGTGAGTCATCGGAGCAGAAAGGAAGAGTAGAAAGAGACGGGAAGGATTGATTACGGTTGTGGGTTAATAAATAATCGGGAAGCACAGAACAATCCAACATCGGTTCATCAAAATTGTCAGAACCAAGGGCATAGTCCATGCAAAAATCAGAATTTGCATTGACCCCAAACCCTGTACTAGATGAGAGGTGCGGGGTTTCAACGAGGGGTTGCAGATTAAGAGCAGAACTGAGATCAACGTTCAAGTCAACCTCAGGAGCCTCGAGTGATGGGTCTCCGAATAGACCGGTATTTGCTGCGGACCCAATGATCGGATGTAGAGGATTGGTAGGCACCTCAAATTGCGGCATTGCCGAATACCAGTCATCGTTATTGCCGGGAAGCAGCCCTGGAAAAGGTCCCGAATCCTTGCTGAAAGGTATATCAAAGGCGCCTGAGGGTTTCAAAAGAGCGTGATCAAAATCGCGAGCTTTATCCGTCCGCGGCGTGTTTTGGCCTTGCTGCAAAAATTGGCCATCAAATTGATCGCTTAGTTGGGCATGATCCGAGTGTGTAGTAGAGTGCACCGAAGAGCGACACTGATATAAATTTGCATCATCAAAGACGGGGTTGCACATGACTAAGTGACAACCACCCACCGAGACCTTAGATTTCTTGGCGACAGGGCTGAACGAAGAAAAGTCGCGGCAGGCGAAATATAGGGAAGAGGTGTGGATCCCCAGTTTATGAAAATGAGGGTATGATATGTTGGGCAGCGCTGACCGAGGTCTGCATGTCGCAGGCCAGGAGGGTGCAGCTCAAGATAGTATATATGGCATGGTGAAATGACAGGTTTCAGCCGACATTAGCCATTTTCGTTTCCAAGGATAAACGAATCTAGTTACTGAGGGAAGCAATTGAGATGATTGAAGAGCTACCTATGAGAGGGCCGATACGCTCTACAGTGTCCACCCAGTGGGGATTGGTTGTTGATAGTGGGGCGCAGTACGACGCGTGCAGTCGCGGGCTCCGTTACGACGTGTTCCGGCTAATCCCATACCAGTTTTCCATATGTTTTGCATTGGGGTCAATGCTGAATACCCGTATCGTACCGCCCTAAACTAGCCACGTAGGCACAGAGGCCTGGCCATCTTTCACACCCACAGGTTAGGTTCCATCGCCTAAGCTGCCGCTAAACTGGTTCCGATCTAGCTAGGCCAGGCCACAAAGAATGGGCTTCTTTTAGCGATAGTAGCGGGATAGAAGGGAGGATTGTGCCCCGTGGCTAGGTCGCTGATATTTTATTTTTTTTGCTTCTTTTCTCCGAATGATCAGCTCTATAATCTATAGTCTTCTTTCTTGCCTTTGATACCCTATTCGTTTGGCCGTTTCTCATAAGTCAACTCGGCGACCAAACCCTAATTTCCTCGGGGGGTCCAAGGAACGTAGCATCGCTTGTGCCATGTCTCAGCTCAAGTTAGCGTGTGGGGCCTGTATTACCCACATGGCGCCAGGGACTTGAATTTTCTCAGCTTTTGTTGCATAGAGACTTTCTTACTCATAAGCTGATATAAGCTTACTTCGCTGTCACGTATTCTGCGATACCAAACCATTTTATCTCTATCATTCACCACCTTTCAGCCCCGCAGGTTGGCTGTGTATTGGAAAAGTGGCTTAATTCGTGTATCGTTATTGGGGATGAAAAGAGGGGCATAAAGCTTGAGCTACATCCTCGAGTAGGTTAGTGAAATTCAGACCGGTCAATAGTCTTATCCGAAAAGTGGCTGCTTATACCACCTCTTCAAATGCTAGATAGCCGCTTGCCTCTGCAACATCCTTCAATTTGACCATAAGTTATGGCCAGTGAAGACCCCAGAAACATGGAACCCACACAATCTCAGTTGTCGCCAACATCAACTGCGGCGGCCCCGCGTCCTACATCTTCGCAATCTCAAAAGCTCAAGGACTCTTGTGACAATTGCTCCTCCTCCAAAATACGCTGTACAAAAGAAAAACCGTCCTGTACGCGGTGCGCAAAGGCGGGATATTCATGTCTCTATAGCCCTTCACGAAGGGTTGGACGACCATACCGATCGAAAGAACCTTCAGCGGCAGAAAAGGAAGGCAAAGAACCAGATCGGCCACCTTCTATCAAACCCATAAAGGTGACCCGATTTGTAGATGAGGGAGATAGACTATTCTCTCGGTTCAATATGTCGTCTACCCATGTCGATGCGAGCCGCAATAGCTCCACCGCCAATCTCAGACTCAGTCGACAGGATACATCCTCCGGGACACAACGACCAGAAGGCAATGTGGCCGAAGAGCATAGGCACAAGGTCTATCTAGACTGCGTGTTGGTCGCCATGGACCTGTTCTCCGAATTGGAAGTTCCGGCCGAGCAACTCAGGCGCTCATCTCCGGTAAATTCTAGTCTACTTAACTCGACAGCACAGACCATCACCTCTGTGCTTCGCCGTCTCTGCACCATTTTGATATGTCCTTGCTCTGAGCGCGCTGAAATTGGCATGTTGATTTATGCCATCTCCATGACTATCATTGATATTCACTCTATGACAATCGCCAAATATGTTCGCGACAAAAATACCCTAGCAGTGCTGGACCAGACAGGTCTTTGGGATCATGGAGCAACGGCTCAGGGGCCGCAGGAAAATGAAGCCGTGGCTATACGGGTATTGGGAGAGCTTTCTAAGTTGGCCAAGTTGGTTTTGCAATTCACCGAGCGGTATAGTGGAGATGCAGAAGGTAAACAACATCTTCCTGAGGGCAACGATATCCCACTAGACTTTTTACCGGCATTGGGAAACCTCATGCGAGAGAGATTACAGCAAATTACAAATGATGCAATATACTGGCTAGGATAGTCTGGGATGTATTGATTTTTATACTTGGAGTTAAATTGCTCCTGTGCTTGATGATAATAAAACTTTATTCTCATTCTGTCTTTACATCCAGCAATACTGCTTGATCTAACCCTTGCACTCCTTCACAGCAGGACATTCTAAAAATAAAGAACTTCTGACCTCCAATCCCAACTCACTCCGGAATTTCTCAGCCAGCACAAGAGACATAAGAGAATAAATTCCTAGTTCGGGGAACAATGCCTCAACTTGGAGGACCGTGAGCGGATAGCCCGTTTCCTGTGTAATCAACCGAAGACAGTCAGTGACCACGACAGGTAAGTCATCAGCAGCGGTCAAAACACTTGGAAGCGTAATGGCGAAGAGCCAACGGGTGACTTTGATAAGGGAGGTGTTTTAAAGGGAGGCAACGGCTTGGGCAATAGTGCCCGAGTAGGGTGTGTTCCTGATGTATTCCCAGCAGCCGCTACAGGGGACCTAACATCTACCGGAAGTGATAAATAGTATATTTCAAGTACCTTGGTAACTAACTATATTATCGAGAAATAAGCCATGAACAGAAAGTCATGCACTTTGGTGAAGATCTAGGATGTAACAGCCCAGGCGGCAACAAGAGCGTCTAACGCGGCGCCTTGAGTTATCTCATTAACAGGACTCATCGGTCCATTGAAATCATAGCCCGTATTGCATTCGGAAAGTCCGTTAACATTTGTTATATTCAAATCATTGTGCCAGACTGCCTGAGCGTTTGTAGTAAGCCAGCTAACCCAATCATCATGTGGATCAGCTAGTTGAAGTTGACGCAGGCCTCGGAATAGAGGGCCTTTGAACATGGCCGAGTCATCGTCGCAACCGGAGGCACAGTCGGTGATCACTCCGTTATTGCCTGTAAATGTAGAGCCTTTTGCGGTCGTGGCCTGAGCAATGTTACCTGCAAGATCAAGATAGGTGGAATTTCCGGTGGCAGCATGAAGCTCCACTGCAGCGGAGAGGATAACTCCTTGGTTGTATGACCATTTAGCAGTATTGTTGACTTGACAAGTGGTCACATCAACTCCATCCACAACAAGCCAGTCGTCACCGATCACACCAACATTGAAGAACCAGTCCCAGACTGACATTGCAGAATCGAGATAACTCTGCTTCTGGTCCATAGAAACACGATTGGCTAATCCTGCAGCCAATGTAATGTATAGCTCTAATAATCAGATTAGCCTTCTGTGCAGATAATATTCAATGTAGTTTTACCGTTAGCAATAGATGCAAGATATGTGCCTCCCTTTTCCCAGTAGATGCCTCCACACGGTGACTTATATTTGGAAATATCATTGTAGAGGCTGATCGCCAGGTTCAGATAGTCGGGACTTTTGGTCAGATCGTATACTGTCATCCATGCGATACCCCACCAGCCCTCATCGTCATCGTAAGAGTCGATGAAGCCACTGTAGCCACCATAGGTTGGGGCTTTGGTATAGGTCGTGGCATAGGTGCCAAAGTAAGTTCCGTTGTAACCGGAATCAAGTGAAGAAATATCCGCAAGAGAAGTCATCAGAATCGCTGACTGCCACCAGGCATTGTCGCCCCAAAGACCTTGATTGGATGTTTGATAGTAGCGCATCATCTGGTCGCTTCAAGAAACGGTCAATCCAAGAATGCCCATATAATTCCAGGAAGTAGGGGATATTCTGTACCAGGTGCAAATTGCGTTCTCTTGATATGATGACGCATCTGCTAAGACCAAAGTAAAAGCTAATGCGAAAGAAATAATTCTTGTAATCAGGGCCATTATTAGGACACGGGAATGGAATGGACGCTTCAAGATATCTTCCGAGTTATCGTGGAGGCCCTATGGCGCAAGGCAAGCTTATGTATATTTCCGTGTTACGACCTCACTCGTTGCCACCTGGCGCTTGTTTCACTCTGAGCAGCACAAATATATCGACTTGGGGCCAAATTGGGGCCGAATTTGGTATATTCGCCGGGAACCTCGAAAGACAGGTTGCGGGGAAGACCGATCGCTGGCTGCAACCATAACCTCGTAGACCAAAACTATAAAGGCAACATCTATAGCCTGGTTCCCCTTTAGGATAAAGCTCCCCAAATACCCGTTCCATCGCTGGCAATACAGATTATGATCTTCCTTACCCCGTTGGCGGGTGTGCCGATCGTCCGCCACCCCTCACAGACACACCCCGCTTCCGAAAGGCTTGAGCGAGAGATCGGCTTCTTCAGAGAGTCTGTTCAATAACCGCCCTATACTGTTATATAAGCCGGTGCCACCGGCAATTGCTTCTCGGAAACTATGGGGAACGATGTAACACAGTTGTTGCGCACAGATGCCGCCATGAGTGGTGAAAATCACTCCTCGTTAACATCTTCAAGTGTATAGATCGCAATCATGACCTCCTATTTGCTTTCAGAAACATCTGTACTACAACAACCACGATATTCATTCACTTATTTGGAAGTTATCAAACAAAACTCATCAATTACCCCGTCATGAAGCCTTGGGTTCTCCTCATCTGGGCAACTGCGGTGGCATCTTACGTGGTCCATGACAACTCCACATGCATTATATATCCCCAGTCTCTAGCCCATAATGGGTCAGCAGTCGACGATGCATCGTCGATTCACCAAGCCTTTGATCTCTGCGGAACCGATGGAACGGTGATTTTTTCGAATCACACGTTCCATATCAATTCTGTTCTGAACACAACTAACCTCGTCAACTGCGAAGTCTTGCTCCGTGGTGAGCTGAGCTTCTCTGACGACATATCCTACTGGCGTTCTCACTCCTACTCGGTGGTTCTACAGAACCAATCCACAGCCTGGCTCTTCGGAGGCACCAACGTCACCCTACGCGGTGAGGGGGGCTGGTACAATGGGAATGGACAGGCCTGGTACACCGAGAATAGGAATGGTGCCAATCAGCCTGGACGTCCGATCAGCATCACTTTCTTTAATTCGACAAATCTACTGGCAGACCATTTGACGATCATCCAGCCTCAGTTCTGGGCAACGTTCGTCTGGCAGAGCAAGAACGTCTCGATCACCAACTTCTTTGTGAATGCTACGAGCGATAATCAATGGGATACCACTAATACGGATGGCTATGACTCTTGGAACAGCGACATTCTTCTCGTCGAGAATGCGACTATTACCAATGGTGATGACTGCATTGCTGCCAAGGGAAATACTACCAACCTTTTCGTCAAAAACGTAACCTGTCACCATTCCGTTGGTATGGCTATTGGGTCTGTGGGCCAGTATCCTAATATGCCAGACTACAATATCAATATCACCTTCGAAGATGTCAAGTGCCTGAACTGCATGGACGGTGCCTATATCAAGACCTGGCAGGGTGTCTGGCTCAACGGAACCTCGAATGGGGACGGTGGAGGCGGCGGTCACGGTTTAATCAAGAACATCACGTTCCGCAACTTCGAGCTGGAGAACGCGGGTCTGCCTATCCAGATCTCCCAATGCATTTACCCCGAGGCCGATAGCAAGTACTGCAATACGTCGAAGATGCGGATAGAAGATGTGACGTGGACGAATATCACCGGCACCTCACGGTACAATATTGCTGCATCAATTTACTGTTCTGAAGCACACCCTTGTCCAAATATCACATTTGAGAATGTGAATCTGCGCAGTGTGAATCAGACAAAAGGACTGCCTGCATATGGAACACCTTTGCAGTATGAAGTTTTCCAGTGTGCGAACATTATTGGTGAAAGCAGTTCTGGAATTCCCTGCAATCATGTTGCACCCAGCAACTTTAGCCAAAGTGTTTATAGCAATGTGAAATAATGGCAGGTTGAGGAGAGTTTGAGTGGCTAGTGGTATTAGCAGCGGTTACTACAACTTCAATAACCTATCACGCGGAATTAGACCTCGGCAGAATCTAGGCCATTAGGCGGATTTGGGCTGTCCAGAGAGTCCAATGGGCAGATAGGACAGCTGTCTCTCGTTTATCGACGAGTAATACAATGGGCATACATCCAACAAGGTCCTACTTGCAGTTAGTATATACTCGAAAACTGTTGTTAAAGAGTTAATAATCGTTCAATGCAGGAAACGTGCTTCATGGTTTGAATAAACGTCGCCCCGAAATAGTGCTTGTTTTAACCCAGATCCTACCCACAGGCACCACAGCACTCACAACATTTGATGCTGTGTTATAGCTCAAAAGTCGGCCACAATGATGTCTGCGGCTTTTTCTGCAACAGCAAACACAGTGGTCTGAATATTGCCACGGGGAATCAGAGGGATGATACTAGTATCAACCACCCGCAGATTCTGTATGCCATAAACCTTGAGACGGGAATCAACAACACCCCCCTTCTCACGCGGCATCATCGCAGCGGTCCCAGATACATGGTAGTGGGCAATAATCCGATCCCGAGCCAATTCTCGAGCTGTTTCAAGAGTGATATCCCGCGAGGAGTTCTGTAAGCGCCAGCCATCTGCCTTGAGAAGAGAAGCCATCGGCTGAGTCCACGCAAGAGTTTCTAGCCAGCGAACATGACGCGCGTGAAGCTCCAGGTCTAGCGGATGAGAGAAGAAGCGCGGATCAAATCTCGGATTTGCCTCGGGATCGGAGGAGGTGAGATGAACATTACCGCGCGAGAAAGGACGGTTTAAAACTGAAACGATGCTTATGAAATTCTCCGGCTCTAGCATTCCATAATTCCCTTGGGGCTCGGTCCTTTATCCGGCAAGATCTGGAATGGTGCCAAGGTGTATTGACCTGTTGGTTCATCCTCGTCTTCGAGAATCTGACGAAGCACTTCGTACTGTGCAGTTATTCTTGGGAGAGGGTCTTTCTCCTGCAAATACTGATCAATGAGGGATTTCAAGTCGCTGTTTTTGAGGTCCCTGAGACTTGTATACGAGGACGGCAGAGGACAGAGGCCAAGTGGACCTGCCCCTGATTCTTGCCAAGCTGCCATGGCGGCGGCTGCGACCTCGGGAATTCGCAGTGCTTCGCCGGCAGGCTGCCCATCAGCGGCCTCCCAGCTGAACGGGACAAAGTCGTGTTCTTGAAGGTTCTCTCCAACGTTGTCATTATCCACAATCGGCTCAATGCCATGGGACCGAAGAAGAGAACCGTTGCCAATACCGGACAGCTCCAGCAAGTGCGGTGTCTTAAGTGCACCTGCGGCTAGAATAACCTCACGCTTGGCTGCTACCGTTTGCTGGATGCCATCCTTGCCAATGAACTGAACCCCAGCAGCCACAACATTCTCGTCACTGGTGTTTTCAAGAACAAGCATCTCCACAAAAGCTTCCGTGATGACGCGGAGGTTTGATCGCTTGGCCACCTCCTCGTTGTAGTATGTCACACCAGCATGGCTGCGAGTTCTAGTAGTGGGGTGAATCCTCCCCGGGCCACAAAAGGCTCCTTTCGCCACACCGGACATGGGATCACCGGTGATCTCTAAGTTGAGGTTCTCGAATACCTTTGGCCAAGCTCCCACGAGAGACCAACTTCTGTCGGCTTGATTTGAGTACGTTTAAACGTAATTCCCGATTGATGATGCGCTCATAGAAGCCGAAAGAGACAATAGTCTGTTTCAAGAAGCAAGGGGTTGTGAAGAATCAAACGAGAGAGTCCGAGAATTGAATTATTGCTCCACACGGATTTCAAGGAGTAAATTCAATATTTATTTAACTAGAGTTGTGAATGGACTTTGTTTGGATTTCAAAAGTTTTGGACTAGCTGTTTATACCATAATTAGGCGTCTATAAGCTCTCCAAGAAGAGGTAGTGATAGATGTCTACTTCACCTCCTGCGTACTACTTGCCGCAATTTTTGCTGGAGTATTTTAATATTGGATTCATTCCACTTGGATATGCCTATTTCCCTGATCTCGAATGAGATATGATGTGGGTTAATATGGCAAGAGCTATATCTTACCATATTGTCAATCCCAAGGTGACGTATCTCTCTCTCTCTCTCTCTCTCTCTCTCTCTCTTTCTCTCATATTTCTCTTCTCTATTACTAGGGGTCAGTTAATACACTATAGTAGTAGTCAACCTCTACGGAAGGGTAGTAAGCTTAAATATTTGCTCTTAGGACGGCCTAATGCATAGGACCCTAAGGCATGTTGAAAACCAATACCCCCCTCCCCCTACGGCAAAAAGCCTACATGTAGGTGCCATGGATCGTCTTAGACTTAGTCTTCAAGAGTCCAGTGTCGGTGTGTAAGACACCAGGCAAGACGATCAGCGCGTATACGCGCTATTAAACTGGGTTTTCATATAGATTTTGTCTTTTTAAGACCAGCATTACGCAGCACACGCCAAACAGTAGTAACCGAGATATCGTGAAGCTCGCTAGCTATATCCGCGCAGGTTTTCTCACGTCTATAGCGATCTAGGCATACCTTAGCGAGCACCGTAGTATTGAACTTAGCGGTCTGCTTTTTTGGTCTACTAGAGCGAGAGGCATCAGCGATATAGGCGTCAATCAAGGAAAAAGATCGTCGTAGGGGGTCAAAACCGCGCTCGACAGCACCATTATAGATTGCTTTGACCGTCTCAGTAGGGATATCAATTAGGTCGGAGATTGCGAGAGGCGACATACCGAAGACGCCTATCATAATAGAAGCAGTGCGTGTAGCAACGTCGTATTTGACCTTTTTGCTGATAGCTAAATCAGAGCTATATTCAGGTAAAAGAGAGATTATAGCAAGAGCGGGGCAATAAGGGGTTGTACAGTGACACAGCAAAAGTATTAACACCCCCCTAGACCCACCCCCCCCTTATTACCTAATATTCTGCCGGCCTAAAACTCCATGAATTTCTATCTAGTAGGGCGTATACCAGCCCTGGCTCTCAATAATAGCTTCCACCCGGTGCGGCATCGTCTCAGATAGATGCGTTAGGTGCTGTATTTCTAGTTCTTCCCATGCTATCTGTGCTGTCTCCACTAGAATAGCGTAGGACGCGCTATTATTACGCATATCAATAAGATCCGGCCGTAACTCATAGATTTTAGCCTTCAAGAGCGCCCATAGGTTCTCAATAGGGTTTAAATCAGGCGAATGAGGCGGCCATTCCATTACCTCAATTCCTAGCTCGCGTAGAGTATCGCGGACAACGTGTGCAGTATGTGTAGGCGCATTATTATGCTGAAAGATACCACCCTCATGATTCATTAATGTAGGCAGCATTCGGAGATATAAATCTCGAATAATAAAGCGATCAACGCCTCCGCGAGGTGCTTTAGGGTTTCCAAATAGAGGGATAAGGCCAGTGCGTCGTGTGCTGCCAGAAAAAGCCCCCCAAAACATCTGCTTAACTTGGTTTCCTTTTATAGGAAGACCTTGACATTGTCTCTCCTTAGGCTGATCTCGAGGGCGAATAAAAGTCCATTCACGACGAACACCAATACCGCGCTCAATTGTACATTCGTCAGACCAATAGACACGAGCCCAATCTTCAGCAATAAAGTGTCGATAGCGATGCGCCCATTGAAGCCGTTTTAGCGCATTTTGTTCGGTCAAATAGGGCCGCCAGCTACAGCGCCACTTTCGCATATTCTCGGCGTTTAAAAGGCGTCGGATCGAGTCATATTTAACCAAAAATTTAGGTCAGTAAGCATTTAAAACTAAAGGAATATAGCTAACCTTATTCGACACATTTGCAAGCAAATCAACGCGGGTAATCTTAGGATTTTCCTCAATAGCGTTTAACAAACGCTCACGATCAGCTTCATCAAGCTTCCGTGGGCGTCCAGAGCGTGGTTTAGAGACACCATCGAGTCGTTCGCGGTCCTTTTTAATAGTATAGCGTATACTAGAAAGAGAGACCCAAGGATAGCGCTTTTGAATACGTTTATAGCCCCATCCCGCAGCTTGGGACAGCTCACATATACGCTCACGTAGCGCAGGTGTCAATTCAGACCGCGGTGCCATAATAGATAGCAAAATAAGGAGATTCAGGAGGTATAAACAGAATAACGCGCAAAAACGCGAGATTATTGAGCTACTACTAGCGTGTTCCTAGGTAGGCGGTGAGAGGGCGGTGTAGGCGTGGGTCCAGGGGGGTGTTAATACTTTTGCTGCGTCACTGTATAGCGGAAACGACGCTAGTAATCTACAAAAGTCCCAAAAAAGCAAAAATCGAAAGACTTTGAAATCGACCTCCGTACCCTCGGTCCCTCAGATGGTTCTGTCGCTTTCACCCCCTCTTTTTGTACAGGGATGGTCCGACTAGCGTGCATATCCTGACCAGGGGACCTCTAGCCCTCAAATGCGTTGGCCTCTTGTCGGGTTCGAACGGGGGCCCCCGTGAGAATAGTCTCCTGACATGCTACCTTGTTGGAAAATTCCCCTACGGCAAAAAGCTTACATTTAGGTGCCGAGGATCATCTTAGACTTATCCTCAACAAACATTTCATTTATCTCTCTTATCTGATTACCACCACTTCTGACATACTGTATAGGTGTCCCGTCGCCATTGACTATGCTAGATTGAGCCTAGCGGTAATTTCAATGGCGATGCCTAGACATCCATGGCAGGGACTGCCTCTTAGCGGGTGAAGGGTCTAACATCCGAGGGTAACCCTCAGGGTCCCCACGTGACTAGTTTTAGGGGGAAAATAATATTTTAGGTGTCAATCCACTTAGTCATCTATCCTAAATAGTAAGGTGTGTTCTGAATAGGTAAAGTGTATTTTATGCGGGTCGGTGAGGTTGGACCCTGACCCTTGGAGGTGCGGGTGGAGGTTCCTGACATTGGACCCGCGGGGCGGGTGAGTGCCAGGTCTAGCCAGGTCCCATAGGACTCCCGTCGGGGCCAAATGGCACAGTCTAGCGACGTCAAGGGGTTTCAATGGCGACGCTACATGTCAACTACGTATAAACATCCATGGTCGCGGTAGGAAACTGAAGCAAGCAACCTTGGAAATCTGTCGTTCACATGCTGAAGAGAGTCGTCACAAGCCAAGGTCGATCCGGGCTGTCATTGAATTTTGCATGGACGCCATGGATAACGGACTAGAAGAAACCCCGCAGTCCGCATGCTATCGCTGCCACGCGCAGAAGCTTCGATGTGTCCAGCTTCGTGGACAGAAACGATGCGTTCGCTGTGCTCGGGCTGGGGCTCAGTGCGTGACAAGGCCTTCGAAACGAAGTCGACAAGGAAAGAAGTCGATACAGAGGAGGGAGGGAGTATCGCCAGATGAATTTTCGTCCTGCAACAGTCACACTGGCTCAAGAGAAATGTCTTCAGAGGGGTCTAGCCATGGGAAGGAAAGCCTTGGAGGTGAGTGATATCTCCAAATGAACTGTCGATCAATATTAATACATGTACCCTTTTTCAGCGCACATACACAAAAGTCATGCAGGGCTTAATTCCACGCCTTCGTTGGACACCCTCAACTTCGATCATGATCTCATATTCTCGGCTGTCAACAGTTCACTGCCTTCATCCCAGCATATATGCTGCAATCCTGGTGTGGGGCCGACAGAGATAAACCTACTGGAGACTCAGAATGGTATATTTGATCCGGCATCAGTACCTATGGAGCTGGTGAGCGAATGGACCAATGAGCAAGTTTCGCTACACGACAATCACGAGGATCGACCATACCTGAGCAATATCGAAGAAGACCCAGAGAATAAATGGGTTGAAGCGTTGTTCAATCTCAACGCGAAAGTGGGCAAAAATCAAAGAGCTATTTTAGTGTTCAATCCGGCGTGCGAGAAAGGCTTTGTGGACTTTGTGGAGTCAGGTTTGAACACGAATCTCGGTGCGACCGCTGAATGGAGACGTCCAAAACTGCAACCTGCTTGTTCGTTTGAAGAGACGTTTGATCTCTCCATGCAACTCCTCCTTCTCATCGGGGATACCTCCCAACGAAGGACGGAGCTGGATACATCTGGCAATATCCATGCTTTCACAGGATTCGAGACCTCTCTTGCCAATGGGGCATCTAATCCAGCATCGTCTGGGTTTCTCACCTATCTGGGAGATGATTTGCTTCTGCTATCATGCTACCTAAGGCTTCTAGGCTCTCTTTGCTCGATGCTCGAATGCTTCAACCGTATCATTGCGAGATCTGACAAAGGCTCTTTGGATCACGCAATTCGATACATTCACTCGTTCCTCCCACGTATCCAAATGGGCGCGGTGTCATTATGTGCCAACCCTCGCTTCGATATAGCGATGGTCTTAAACTCAGCCGAAAGCACTTTGGTTGAACTCAATGAGTGTATAGTGAAGAGGCTCCTAACCAATACGCTGGAAAGACCCCCAGCGGATATGCCGGCCCTCTTCATGGACTGCTTTTTGGAACAAAGTGATAGGTCCTCATTTTCGGACCAAGGTGATTCCTCTGAAATGAGGCCGTCATGGCAAATGACTATCCGTGATATTCAATCCACGGCCTTAGAGAAGATCAGTATGCTGAAAAGGGCGATATTAATAGAAAACTCTGAATTAAAATAGATTAGGATGATAAATCTTAATTTTTGTTACCATCACTTACTTGATGTCTGAGAAAAGCGTGTGTGATAAATTCAACAAACAAGTAAGCTCTATCGTTGCGCAATGCTTATTCTTGCCGAGAGGGCTCGGCTGGAAGATCTGCACTGTTTGCTGGCATGTTAATAACAATCTTACCCATATGCCGGCCCCGCAGCATATGAAGAATCGCGTCAACAATTGAGACAGCCTCAAACGTCCTGGTCGGCGTGATGGGGTGGATGAAACCAGCCTTGTAATAGTCCATCGCACGAGCCATGATGCTACGCGGAAAGAGTTAGTCTGTTTATTTTCCGTAACAACATCTATAGCATACCTTTCAATTCTCTTTGGTCTCTTTTCATAAAAAAAAACATGATCGAATCCGACAAAGCTCCTGTTCGGCTCAAAGCGTTGCCTATCAAGCAAAACCTTGACCAACAAAGTCGCTGCGACCAATCTCGACAAATGTGCCAAATTCTGCTGTACATTTCCAAGAAGCGTGCAAAAGCTCACCCGAAAGGGAGTTCAGCACCACATCAACTCCGACACCATTGGTTTCTTCCATCAGACGCGGAAGGAACTCTTTAGTACGAGAATTGAAGATGCGATTACACGGAATATTTGACACACTCATGAGAGCCTGAAGTTTCTCTTCACTTCCAACGGTAGCATAAATCTGCAAGTAATGAGATTAGCAAAACTGGAAAGCATACTGTTTTCGGAGAAGTTATCTAAGTCTCACCTCTGCGCCAACCATCCGCGCAATATAAAGAGCTGCCATACCAACACCTCCACTTGCGGAATGAATGAGAACCAATTTCCCCTTGCGCAAGCCACCGATATCGAGGAGACAGTGGATCGCAGTGCAGTAGACTACCGACATCGTAGCACCCTCTTCATAGCTCAGGGAGTTCAGTATCTTGACACAGAGACGCTGATCAAGCTTCTGGGTGGTAGTTAGAGATCCGCTTGAGCTCATAATAACTCGATCACCAGGTGAAAGTTTGTTCACTGCCGTTCCAACTTCCAGGATAAGTCCACTCCCTTCATATCCAAGACCTCGGCCAATGAAAGACTTCTCGGTGATTACTCCTGTACTAATGAGAACATCCTGTTTTTAAAGATCCAAAGAGGTTCACATTGCGTAGATCTGTTGCTCTCGTTACATACCTTAAATTCATGCCGACAACTTTAACTTCGACCAGAATATCTTCTGAGCCCAGCCCATGAGAGACTGGCATGTTCTGCCAACATAGGGTATCAACAAGACCAGGCTTAGTCTTTACCAACTTTTTGACAGTGAAGCTTTCATCAACTGCCTTATTCTTCAGCTCTTTGGAATCCAAAGATGGCAGGGACCTCGATGAGAATGTGCAAGTAGAGTCCCAGCATTTTCAGAATTGATTGATTTGTGGAAACTTCAATGAGTAGATCTGAGGCTTCTATGTTGACCCCCTATCGTACTGGAGAGCTCGTTCCAATTCATCTTGGATTTTGGGGACGATCGAATTACCGATCGTATATTCGGTAGTCGGTCCTCGGTCAATTTTCGGTCGGTCATCGGGCTTGGAGGATACTATCAAGATGGGGGCCAAAAACACACCGTTGACCCATTTCGAAATTCTTTGAACTTCATCAATAAAACGGCGTGGAGATTTTTGGGCTCGCTGGTGAAAACTACATAGTCACCCATCAGATTCACACCAAAAGTGGGCCCTACTTCTTGGAACCATTGCTGGAACTGTTCAAGATATCGGCTATTATGGGCTGCTTTCCCTAGACGAAAAAAGTGATCTAGCCCCAGGACAGAGTCTTTTGAGGGTGCTGGACGAAGAATTTGGCATCCATGGCTTTTATGGAATCGCCGGTATCGTAGATGCCAAGATATAGACTGCCAGATGATTCGGGTGAGGCCGAGTATTACGGCACATAGGAACACCGTGGTCAGACTGTTATAACCCATGGTATCAAATCTTTAATAAATGGGGATCATTCGTCTTGGAACAAGTTACTGTATATGCTGGACATTGGGCGTTGATTAAACAAAAGAGAAGCAGATTCGGTATTCGGTATTCGGACATCCGACTTCCGAATGATATACCCCTGCCTTAGGTCATCCGTTGCCTGCTAAGTGGGTATACCTTTTTTCCGTTTCTTTTAACTCGGGTTAATTGCCATTTTTCAACTTCTTGTTCGTATTGGTAGCGCTTCTGAGAGAACAGCCAAGTCGACTTTCCCATCCTGATGAAGTCCAACCCCTCACCCACCGAGCCTCCAGCTGAGGCAAGTCAAAATGGCGACTCACAGCCTCAGCCTCAAAAGACAACCTTTGGCCTAAAGTTTTGGCTTGCATTCTGGGCAATTGCCTCCACAAACCTCGCTGCTTCGTTCGATGCAACCATGTTAGCTCTTGCCCTGAAGGTATCTAGTATCCCCCAATAAAACTCCTTCCCTCGAAGGAACTTTCGCTAAGTCTCCATTTCTATAGACCATTGCCGGAGATCTAGGGGGATCAACCACCGAAGCTTTCTGGGCCGGAACCTCCTATCTGCTCGCCTGCACCATCCTAATGCTGATATGGGTAACACTCAGCGATGCCTTCGGTCGGCGGCCAATCATGCTCACTTCACTACTCATATTCGCCGTCGGGGCCATCATCTCTGCTGTTTCACGCGACTGGCCAACAATGCTAGCAGGTCGGACGGTCCAAGGTCTCGGTGGCGGAGGGATCGTTTCACTTACAACCGTCCTGATAACTGATTTGGCCCCATTACGGGACCGAGGTCGCTTTTATGCGCTTGTGAGTGTGATCTGGGCAGTGGGGATCTCTACAGGCCCTATCATTGGAGGCGCACTGGCTCAATCGGGGTCATGGCCATGGATCTTTTGGATCAATCTACCCATTGTTGCCGTCGGTGTCATTGGAATTGGATTTTTTCTGCGTCTTTCTCGCCGTCGTCGCACGCTCTCCGAAACGCTACATATGTTCGACTATCCCGGTTCATTTTTATTCATCGCCTCTATCACTGCATTCTTGATTCCGATCACCTGGGGTGGTATTCAGTATCCTTGGTCTAGCTGGCATACCCTCGTACCGTTGATTCTCGGTGCTGTAGGCCTCATTGGTTTTGCGGTGTACGAGATTTTGATCGCAAAATCTACTGCTGCGCCCAAGAAGCCTTGTTTGATTCCACCGGGGGTCTTATCAAACTGGACTTGTGGTATTCTCTACACTGCAAGTACCTTCCATGGCCTTATCCTCTATAGTATGGTATATTACCTGCCTGAATATTTCCAGACAGTGAAGGGATACAGCCCCGTGATTGCTGGTGTTGCTGCGCTTCCACAGACGCTTACAAGTGTACCCTGCGCTATCCTCGTTGGTGTTGTGGTCGGTCTCACAGGTCGGTATCGCTGGGCACTCTGGGTAGGCTGGCTGCTCATCTGCTTCGGCTGTGGGCTACTCATTTTGCTCAAGGCCAACACTACTGTGCCTCAGTGGATATTTTTGCAGGCTGTGTCTGGTCTAGGAATTGGGCTCCTGTTCCCATCTATTGCTCTCGCAATCCAATCATCCGTCCCACAGCGTGAAGTCAGCATGGCCGCCACGTTAAACATATTTTTCAGGTCGATGGGACAGACAATTGGGGTCGCAATTGGCGGTGCTATTCTTGGCAATCAGCTTCCAAAGCACCTCTCAGCTGCCGTGTCAAAAGAAGCCCTTGGTCAATTACAAGGTCAAGCAATGAACTTGGTCACCTTGGGCGATTTACTGAAGCAACTACCAGCCAGCTCGTCTGAGGCGACTGAGATCCGGCAGGCACTAGTTAACTCATTCCGGGTCATCTGGATGGTAATGTGTGGCTTCGGAGGAATCAATCTTATATTGAGCATCTTTATCAAAGAGTTCGACATGAATCAGAGCCACGAGACGGAACAGGGCTTCGTGCATACAGTACACGAAACTGCAGCCGAGAAAGAAGTCTGATAATTAGTGATTCATGCTTTTGGGTGATATGCTTCACTGTACTTCTAATGATTCATGAACTTTTGACTACATCCACCAGAGGATATTTGCGTATGACTTCTTGTTTCGCCTAGGCAGCCCTACACGAGAAAGTAAAAAGAACCTATAAAACATTTTAAGCCATCAGGTTGTGGACTATGACGAATCGCGGTGTGGAGTTCTCCCCCTTCATTAAAGTCGGCTGCGAAGCCGATCGCTCAGAACAGATCTCACCACCTTAGGCTCCTCGCTTCTCCTTTCCATCTAAAACCTCTCTATCTCCCCCCAATATCGATCAGCATGATCCCTCAACAAGGCACAGTGCGGACTACCCGGAAATGCGATGCCCTCAACCACACGTCCCACGAGAAGTTTAGCCTCCCTCTGGTGAGACTCTACATCCCCCCACCCAACCATTCAATCGTCTGTAGAATACAAGTATAACCTAACAGCCGAGATTCCAAAGACTTGAGGATCATTCAGCTGTTTCCGCAAATCCCGAACAGAGCTCATCCATCCAGTCATCTGAGGGCCATTGATAAGCCCAATAACAGGATAAAGGAACACTTTTTTTAACAGTTGGCCTGGTAAAGAGCTCGGAAGAGAAAGCGCCGCGGCTTGATAAGCCCGGTCAAAGGATGTATCCTCGGGACAACAATCGAAGATTACAACACCGAGATATTTCCCGATTTCGAAGGAGAGGTGCTTCGAATTCGTGCGTAGTGATATTGCTAGCTAGATAGTAGTGTTTCAGCCTCCATGAGAGAAAATCTGCAGTATGATAGAAGGAGGAGCCCCCTCTGCGGTGGGGCTGCTCAGTTGCCGAATCACATCGTGGGCGGGGCCTAATGGCGCGTGGAGGCTACTGAATTGAAGAGCACAGATTTCCAGCATGCGCGTAGTGATAAGTAGAATGGCGGATTCGGGGTGAAGGGATCGATAGCCATTCATGTATTCTCGGATATGCTGGGGTGTTGCGCCTCCGAGTCACTTACAGAGTGTTATGAGGGCGGGAGAGTCTGCGTATTTAGGTATGGACTGGGATGTGAGGGTTGATACAAGTAGATATCCTGTCCTACTGGCTGTAAGGTGTGGAATTGGGATGTCATGACTCTTTTTTTGATGTGTTGTGGTTTAGCGGTTGAAGTATCGGGGGGTAGGGTAAGTGGTATGTTAAAGGCTATATATCGGGTGCTGTAGGGAGCGTGGGGGGCCAAGGACGGTACTACTTTTTTACAGACCAAGCGTCGGGGCTCTTAAAGAAAACTCAGGGCCAATCAACTTGGGCAATGAAGAAGAGGCGGGAAAGCTCTCACGAGGGACGAGTAGGGGAACCCAAAGACTATATGTATATAGAGCCACGCACAGGCACGCACAGGGACCGGTCCTAACCGAGAAGGTTCAAAATTACAATAAATGGAGATTTTAACATAGTCATCCGATATGGTGTAGTGGCTAACATCGCCGTCTCTCACACGGCAGCCGGGGGTTCGATTCCCCCTATCGGAGTTATTTTTTTTGACAGAAAAATCGCCCTGGATTTGATTTGATTTAAATTTTTTTTTAGCTCTGCATCTGGGCTGTCATCGTGTGCGGCTTAAATAAGACGTTGAGGAGTTCAAAGACCCTATCTATGCACAAGGAATGGCTTTTGGAAATTCTATTTTGTTTTGGAACTCGGAATAAAGGAAAAGAACATGAAGAACATGAAATGCTACATGTAGTTTGCTAGCTGAGCTAGACTAAATTCCAAAAAAGTAGTACAAGGGTTTAAAGGATATCAGCAACAAGTCTAGAAGTGGATGGGCTTGGAGTAGGTGGCCATGGCGGCCTCCTTGAACGCCTCGGAGAGAGTGGGGTGGGCGTGGCACGTCCGGGCGACGTCCTCGCTGGAGGCACCGTACTCAATGGCGAGGGTGGCCTCAGCGATCATCTCACCGGCACCGGGGCCGATGATGTGGACACCAAGGATACGGTCGGTCTCTGCATCGGCGATGAACTTGACAACACCCTCAGTGTCGAGGTTGGTCTTGGCACGGGAGTTGGCGCTGAAGGGGAAGGTGCCGACATTGTACTTGACGCCGGAGGCCTTGACCTCGGCCTCATTCTGGCCAACCCAGGCAACCTCAGGGTGGGTGTACATGACGCTAGGAATGCAGGCGTAGTTGACGTGGCCATGGCCCTTCTTGATGTACTCGACAGCGGCAACGCCCTCCTCCTCGGCCTTGTGGGCCAGCATGGGGCCGAAGGTCACATCACCGATGACACGGATATGGGGGACCTTGGTGCGGTACTCCTGGTCGATAACGAGACGGCCACGGTCGTCCTTGTCGATACCGATGTTCTCGATGTTAAGCCCCTCGGTGTACGGGCGGCGGCCGATGGCGACCAGGACGACATCAGCATCCAGTGTCTCCTCCTTGCCACCCTTGGCAGCCTCGACGCTCAGGGAGACGGTAGCGCCGCTGTCATCACCCTTAGTGACCTTGGTGTTGGTCTTGAACTTGATGCCCTGTTTACCAAGGATCTTCTGGGCCTGCTTGGCGATTTCGGCGTCCATACCGGGGCCACCGATCTGACCAAGGAACTCAACGACAGTGACCTCAGAACCAAGACGAGACCAAACGGAAGCCTATATTTCAACTGCGGTCAGCTAATAACCTTCAAAGCAAAAATTGCAGGACCCACCATCTCGAGGCCAATGATACCACCGCCAATGACAACCATCTTCTTGGGGACCTCCTCGAGAGCCAGAGCACCAGTGCTGGTGATGATGCGCTTCTCATCGATGTTCAGACCGGGGAAGGGGGTGGCCTCGGAGCCGGTGGCAATGAGGATGTTCTTGCCGCGGACAGTCTGCTCACCACCGTCGAGCAAGTCGACCTTGACGGTATTGGCGTCAACGAAGGAACCGGCACCCTTGATGTAGTCGACGCCGTTCTTCTTAAGCAGGAACTCAACACCCTTGGTGAGGCCGTCAACGGACATATCTTTGGCCTTCAACATCTGCTGCAGGTTCAGCTTGACATCGCCAACCTCGATACCGCGCTTCTTGGTGTCGTGAAGAATCTGGTGGTAGAGATGGGAGTTGTTGAGCAGGGACTTCGAGGGAATGCAGCCGACGTTCAAGCAGGTACCGCCGAGCTTTCCGCGCTTCTCGATACAAGCGGTCTGCCAGGTGGTCAGTTAGTCCGGAGTCATGGTACGCCAAACAGCTTGTAGATATGGGCAGATCGCACCTTCAGGCCCTCCTGGCCAGCCTTGATGGCGGCAACGTAACCAGCGACACCACCTCCGATGATAACCAAGTCGTGATCCCCTGTTGCCCGGAGAGCCGGATATCAGTAATCGCGTCCGGGAAGCGTAGAAAAGGATCGGAGAGCGATCCAAGCAAGAACTCACCAGCTTCGGCAGCGTAGCCGCGTTTTGAGACTCCAATGAAGAGCGAGGTGGGAATGGCGAAGTTGGAAGCCTTGGGGCCAGCGCGGAGCGCAGCCCGCGGCGTAGCACGGGGAAGGACGGCGCGGAACATGACGAGAGGAAACGTATCAGAAAGAACAAATTATAATAAAAAGACAATCCTCCAAGGAGTCCGGAGGAGAGGGAAGGGTTGCGCAATGGGGGAGTGTTTTCGAGGTTGACCGGGAAAGAGAAGGACTGAGCTTTTGCGGTATTTTGAGATTCGCCGCTGGTGTTATGTAAGCCGAATCGGTTCGACTCGGTAAGCGCTCACTTTTTGCCGGACGACGATGCCGATTTCTGCTTTGATAGCTCTGAAGATCAATTGAAAGGAATCATCTCAATCGGTAACTAAATCGGATTGCACGTCGAGGTATAATCCTAGTCTATATAGTCACTTGATCGTCATGGGCGCCGGGAACCAAAACACCTTTTCCGCCCTCTACCCGCCCGGCCAGATCGACCCCGGGGAGTCTTTATTCTAGTGGCTCTTTAGAGTTAGTTCGTCAAAATGATTCCCCAGACTCTCCTCAATGCCCGCGGGTTTTCTACCCGTTGGGCCAGGTTTGCCGGCCTCCGCCCGACCCCTCACGGTTACACTCGGCGGGCCTGGTTGGTATCTGCTTGGCTATTTGCTGCGCGCATACTTTGGAGTTTACTGTTAATTTTGGCACCAGTATACGTATGTGCAAAAATTGCTGGCTTATGGAACGCCTAGCATTGGTCTTGTATGCCCATCCTATCTCCTTGCGGACCTTACCGAAACGGGGATGTCCCGCTCCCCGAAGAGATCTGTTGGGGATGCCATCCTTTCTGCCCTTTCCCGCCAAGTCTCGGCCGCAGCTGTCCGTGCGACAAAGCGAGAAATAGTAATCTATTTGCTGCCCGATCTGCAAGAAACATAGTCCATGGTGATATAAGTTACTGGGACGTGGTTGGTAATTGCAGGCTCACTGCTATGGGTCCTTGCTAATGGTGGGATGACGTTATACCATGTCACCTGTGATTTTCATATACTGGGGATTCGCGGTTATCATTCTTAACTCCGCGCCGTTATTCTCAATTTCTTGCCCCGGTTGTCTTCATCTTTTCCAAATATGTATCCATTCTCCATGATATATTTGTAGTCAGAGCGGAGCGAAATCGCCCAAGTCTCTACCAAATCCATTCAAAGATAGCAGGCAATGCTATTGTGCTTCAGTCGGCACTTTCAATTTCGACTCTCGAATTTGGCCTCAAACTTGTATTATGATCTCGAATAAGGTTGAGGAAGGGATTGAAGGATGGGGGGATATGAGCGCGACCAGCAGCATTGCCAGTCTCATGTGGAGCTTCCCCTGTCAGCGACGGCGTCCGGTTCCCGACCATAAGCACAGCGTAAGCCACCATGGCAGCGCAGCAACCTCGGGAGGTTATAAAAGCTCATCCAGACCGTTTCATTTCAAGTCTAATCTGTTTTATATCATATTCGCCCAGTGTGCATAATCTCGCATCTTCTATCGTCGACGGGCTCAAGGGCGGACGGTCCATCTACGCTCTAACAAACGAATCAACAATTTTTGACCCTTGCATCGAAGAGCTCATCTCCGAAGCTACTATCTGACACGTACCAGGTCCCAACCATTCCAGAGGAATCCACCAACTTACAGGTAAGCAAGGAGAAATTTGAAAATGAACATAGATACCGACATCTATTCGTATGGTCACTGTTGGAAGCCGAGGGACTTGGGTTCAGTCTACAGCGCTGTAGTACAATGGTGGATGTACGGGTTTCAGGGCAGTGGAATTGTCCCCTTGGAATCGACCCTGGAGGCTCAGGTGGTTTTCGGAAAGCCTACTGGTCCTCCACGGGAGAAGGTCTTTGAACCTCTCGACAAGATACTGTTTGTTACGGGAAAAATATTGCAATGGTATAACATATGTGCCTACCTAGTATCATTTGAGAAACGTGTAGGTAGATTTGTTGGTACGAATTCGAGCCCTTCTGCTCAACCTTATGAGATCTCCTAAAGAACTTTTTCCGGAACATTGGAATCTGTCTTCGTGGACCTTGTCCATGTTAACGTTTATTTGGAGAACTTGCATAGTACAAAAACTCCTCAGGTGAAGCTGTATAGAACCCCCGTTTGCCATTTGGAACCACAGAGGCATTAGTGAGAGTTATACAAACGAATTTCTCAGTCCAGGAGGGCCTTTTGGTGAGAAAGAGACACTCAAAGTTTGAAGGTTTGCACCTCTAGTGTATTGTTCTGTCATGTCGATACATAGCCCCAGCATTGAAGTGAACACTGGCTCTCCCGAAGCATGAAAACCCTTCCACCCCCCTGGCTCCCTGGCCTCCAACTCCCACATCAATCTTTTGGATCCAATCGCGCGTAAAGCCATATTGAACGGCAATGAATGCAGCTAGCTTGAGGTGCCCTCAACTAGGTGTTCAGAAGAGAAATTTGCAATGCCTTATCGTGCCAACGATGAAGCTCCGACTGAAAAGGTTTGTGTCATTATTCCTTCAACCAAAAGATATCCAATCGGCCGCTAAAGCGAAGACGTGATAGGAGCTTCGACAAATAATACACCACCGTGCGGCTATAACCATCATCGAGGCATTATTACCCGAGACATGGCCGAACTTAGTGGGGCACCTCCCACCCAGCTCCCCTCAACCTCGGAGCCAAGCAAGGCTAACGAAAAACCCTTACCAGCAAATCTCAAAGAATTGATTGAGCCAGTGGAAGAGGGAAAGTGGCCTGATTTCGGATTTATCCTCTTCCGAACTTACTTCGACGATGAGGAGTTGTGGGATAAGTTCTAGAAGGAGTCGCTCTGACGTGTCGGATTTGCGCAGAGGTTGATGAAGTTGATGGACCTGAGGATGATCTGGAACCGGGTCTCCACACAAGCATGTGTCTCATGGTTGATGAGGAACACATGAGCTCTGTGATGGATTGGAAGAAAGAAGGTGCTCCGCTACCATTTGTAAAGGCAGGTGATGTTACCCTTGGCAAGCGGAGTTTGTCTTACTCTGGCGTGTTCAAGGTGGCGATTGCCTCTCTCTTCACCAGGCTCTACATGGCTCAGATTGAGGGTTATGAGACAGCGGATCTGGTGCCAAATGACGATATAGTGTGGGATGGTGCGTGAGAGATTGTTGAATACATGACATGACAGCCTACCGGCCCTGCTACCAATTCAGTGAAACGCGGGACTGCTTAGCCAGATAAAGAAGTTCGAAATCGAATATCCAAATGCCATTTGTTCAATAATCGGTATACTTAGAATGATATCTTTGACGTACAGTCTGGAGATGGTTGGGGTATGGCTTGGGGTAGGGGATCGGCGAACCTCCGAGCGGCTGCAGATCGTCTGGTCTACCCAATGTCACATTCGGGAAACTCAAAGAGCATATCGGGTTAAATGAAAGTCAAATGTTGAAAGTGGTAAATACAATGGCATGTTCAAAAGTCAATTTCAGAGTTAATTGGAGCAGGACTGGCCTTTGAACCAGATAACCGGGGACACAGTTAATTACCCGAGATGGGGCGGCTTCCCGAGCGCAGGGGTAAAAAGTACGGACTTCTCCGCATACCACACCCGTGCATAGGGTGGCCTCGCCTCTCCGGGTTCTGCGTGGAGACACGGCCGAGCCTTGGCCCTATTGACTACTCGGTGTGAGACTGGATGGAATTCGGTGCTGCTGCGCGGTCTGCAATCATCCAGACAGACCGAGGCTGTGATTCAAGGCGATCATTATTACAATCACAGTGTGTGGAGTGACTATACCGGGATGCAGTGTCTGCCCCTGTCATCAACAATGTGCAGAACCCAGGGGGAGGCGAACCTACAAGGGCCATGTTCCTCGGATTGCCGATTTCACAAGCGGCCGCTTAGAAGCCCAAGCCAGCGAGCCACCGTCCCACTTTCTATAGGAATCCAGCGCAAAGATCTGCTTGTCCAGACCCGGTTTTCTACGTGTGGAGAAACCTGGAGAGCCCCCATGACTTTGAGACTCTTGGGACTCTTGTCCCCGCCGGAATGTGACTCCGAAATCTGCCACTCCCTGCTGTTCCTGGGCCGAGACCCGGCCGATCGTCGTGGGAAGGAAGTGCCCGACCTTGGCCATGGCGACTCGGACTTGCGCCGCTCGAACACTCTTAAAAAGGGCGCGGTGGACCCATAATGTCGTCCAGCTTCTGATCGCTTTTCTCTTGCCTTTTTCCATTTTACCCCGCGGGGCAGAGGGGGGTTTCACTTCTTTTAACCGCGCTATAGATCACTGTCTTATCTTGTACTTCTCTTTTCGCTCTTTCTATAAGCGGGTTACACGCTGTTCGCCCTAGACGCCATCATGAGTGACAAGATACCCTGGTGGAATGTGGTCCACAAGTTGGAGAAGCGGAGGCTTCTCATTGCAATTAACTGCATTGCGGCGTTGTCTATTCTCTTCTTCGGTTATGATCAGGGAATGATGGCTGGTGTCAATAACGCCAAGGACTATATCGACTTGATGAAATTCGGATATACGAAAGATGTGGACGGTGAGGCGACTCCCGTCGTCACGAATTCCTTGCTGCAGGGTGGAATTGTCGCCGTCTATTACCTGGGCACGCTGGTCGGTGGTCTATTCGGCGGATGGTTAGGAGATCGCATGGGAAGAATCAAGTCCATTGCGGTTGGAGCGGCCTGGGCTGCTGTCGGTGCATCTCTGCAGTGCTCTGCCCAGAACCACGATTGGATGATTTGCGCCCGGTTCGTCAACGGTATCGGAACTGGTATTCTGAATGCCATCGTTCCTGTCTGGGCTACCGAGACCGCGGAGCATACATCGCGCGGACAGTTCATTGCTATCGAATTCACTTTGAACATCTTTGGTGTCGTCTTGGCCTACTGGCTTGAGTTCGGCCTGTCGTTCATCGATGGTGGAAAGTCCGCTTTCCGTTGGAGATTCCCCATCGCCTTCCAGATTATCTTCCTGCTGGTTCTTTTCAGTTCTGTCTGGTTTTTCCCCGAGTCTCCTCGGTGGCTGGTCAAGGTCGGTCGCGAGGAAGAGGCTCGGTATATTCTGCAGCGTCTGCGTGGCAGCAGTCCCGAGGACCGTCTTCGGGCGGAAGCCGAGTTCCAGGATATTCTGAGCATCGCCGAGATGGAGAAGACCGTTGTGCACGGTGACTCGTATCTCTCAATGCTGTTCGGCTACAAGTCCGGGGACTTGCACATCGGGCGTCGCGTGCAACTGGTAATCTGGCTGCAAATCATGCAGGAATGGGTTGGCATCGCGGGTGTTACCGTTTATGCACCCACTATCTTCAGCATTGCTGGGTTCGACTCAACCAAGAGCCAGTGGCTCAGTGGCTTGAATAATATTTTCTACATGGTACGTTCGACTGACCCCAGACTCGAGCCCACATCTAACAGATTCAGTTTGCCACTCTCGTCTGTGTCTTCACTCTGGATCGCATCGGCCGTCGATGGACCTTGTACTGGGGCTCGGTAGTCCAGGGTATTGCCATGTTCCTCGCAGGCGGCTTCTCACGCCTCGCCATCAACGCCAAGGCGGACGGCAACATGATCTCCGCTTCCTCGTACGGTGCAGCTGCAGCCTCGATGATTTTCATCTTCACATCGACCTTTGGTGCCACCTGGCTGACCGTGCCATGGCTATACCCTGCCGAGATCTTCCCACTGGCCGTCCGCGCCCGCGGCAATGCTTGGGGTGTTGTTGGCTGGAGTATCGGCAACGGATGGCTGACTCTTTTGTGCCCTGTGATGTTCAGTGCTATTGGCGAGAAGACACTGTACGTGTTTGCCGCAAGCAATGTGATCACGATTCCTATGGTCTGGGCTCTGTATCCGGAGAGTAGCCAGCGCACTTTGGAGGATATGGACCTGTTGTTCGCGGCTCCTACTCCTTGGACCTGGGACGCGGAGAAGAACTTTGCACGCCTAAAGGCTGAGAACCCTGGCATGGTCCAGAATCTCAGCCGCAAGGGTAGCTTGATGGATCCCGAGACTGGTAAGATATCTATGGATGCTGCCAAGATTGAGGACAACACTGCCGTTGAGCATGTGGATCACCCCTGACGAAATGGAATGTGATCGAATATATTATGGAAGTAACGAGTTAGAATCTACGCAGTATTGTGAGTCATTATGAATTTATTCAACGTTATGACACAGTCAACCATGTCTTCTCGTCAAAGTGGAATGCAAGAGTCACCGTAGAGATAGATCGGGCGCCCTGATTGGTCAATTTGATAACAACTTCCAGACCCTTCACAACCTTTTTAACACCATTCACAGCTCTTTTAACTCGTAATCTTTTCCCCATCTCAAATTCTGACAAAAGGATCTCTAGCATAAAATTAGCTCTAACACCTCGAGTTAATAGTCGCGCCCGACGTGGTAAGACGCATCCCCTCCAACCCCGGATCTCGCGATTAGCTGATCAATCCAACCAGCACTTATCCACGCTACCAACGAAACCTTCCTCAACCCCCAATACGACCTTCAAGATGGAAGACCCAACGCCTCTCCCTACAGAATCCACACAAACAACCATAAAACCTACCCCAAACCTCACCCTCCAAAAATCCCTCCGCCGCATCTCGCTCCACCCAACACTAACCCCATACCGCCGCCGCGTCTACCGCGTCCTCCTCTCCGTACCAGAAGGTCGCTGGACAACATACTCCGCCATGGCAACATATCTCAACTCCAGCGCGCGGGCCGTGGGCAACGCGATGCGCACTAACCCGTTCGCGCCGGAGGTCCCGTGCCATCGCGTGTTGGCGGCGGATAGGTCGTTGGGTGGGTATAAGGGCGAGTGGAAGGTTAGCAAGCATATTGCGAACGGGTCTTTTCGTGACGAGAAGAGGCTGAGGCTTAAGGAGGAGGGAGTCGTGTTTGATGGGGATGGGAAGGTGGGAGGCGTTTGTTTTAGGGAGTTTAGGGACTTGGGGGCGAAGTAAGTTGGTGGGTCTGATTCTTGAGGCGTTGGCCTTTCTTAAGGGTTCTATGATTTGGAGTTAAAAGTGTCTGCTCTTGCCATTGGTACATGATATGTTCTGCTATTTGAATAGCGCATACAATTCATCTGCTCAACACTACGCCCAGCCGTCCAGCGTCGTCAGTCAACAAAACCCGCGCCCATTGCCTAATGTAAAGCTCCAACTAGTAAACCACGAGTCGCACAAACGCATGGGCAGATCGGTTTCTGGACCGTTCCCCAGACCCTCGACAACAGTGGTGCGAGTTTAACATCCCTGCAGACGTTATAACTATAACACCAAGCACTGGAATCACCCAAGAATCCTGGCTTAAACTAGACCAAATAATCTCAGAGCCTTCAACGTACCGGTCCCAGAACCAACACACGAAGTCAATTGGGGAGACACAGTATCATTCGCACACAGGGAGACGGGTGTGGAGTGTGGAAGGATGTGCGATCTACATCTCCTGGTGCATGATGCGGGATCAGGTACACTCGGAAGGATTCAAGCTAGGCAATTCCCGGAGTCGGGCCACTTTGGCGCAGTCAGGACGAGTAATACGGCATGGATTCTAGTAGACCAGTGGACAGGGAATGATTAGCGCATTTGCGATGAGGGAAGTGACTAGATCAAGTGCTGGCCTTCTGATCACTTTTCCTACTACTGTGCGGAGATCAATTGGGTACGTCGAGTGGGGTTGCTTTTCCTTCTGTGTGGGCTAGATTGGTGTACGTGGGGAGACTTATTGGAATTCAGCAAGTTGCTTGTTCCTTGTTCCTTGTTCCTTGCAGGGAGTGGTCTCATCTCATATGTGGCTGATTTCAAATCTGTTGATTCGCTTGGCTATTGAAGATGCAAAATGGGAAACGCAGATTGCGACATTTATTTCATGATCGTCGCTCATTGAATTCGTCCCGCCGCACAAGAAACCCAAAAGGGTAATAAGACACCGTCTATCCTGTAACATCATGAAAAAGCAAAATGAGAAAAGAAAAAGTCTTCTTCTATACAGAACATGACCCAAACAATGCATTCTATGAAAACATGCGAGGTAGACGTATTCGTAAAAGAAATTGTAGTGAACGCGCCGTAGCCGCGGTGAAAAGAGAATATAAATAAACATGAGAGTCGTTAATCATAAATAGTGATGGAGGATAATGAGAGGCAGGACATTCATGCGTCCTTGGAGGACCGCTTCAAGGCTCGGCGCTTTGGCAGGTCCATGTGGTGGTAGGAACGCAGGTGCTCGACCAGGTGGTCTTGACGAGGGAAACCATTGCTGCCTTTGCGCGAGCAGTGCTCGATGGGGCAATTGCGGAAGACGGGGAAGTGCACGCTGGACTGATGGCGCTTCAAGTCTGCGAAGCGGGTGAAGGACTTGCCGCAGTTATCGCAACCAAAGGGCTTCGCTGGTCTAGCGGAGACAGCCACGTTAGCTTGATGCATTGTGTTCGAGGTGGAAGGAAAGCTTACTTGGATTGAGAGGAGTCGGGACAAGAATCATCAAAGGATCCCATTTGCATATTGGGCATGGGAACCTCTTCGGCTTGGTTCCGGCTTCCTCCATAGCTACTTTCACAGCAGCTGCTCGCTGAGCTGGGCAGGCTGGTGGCCATGACGGCGGCTTCATAGACATGTCCGTAATCATTCATGGTGGGCACCATGTACGGGGAGCTAGTGAAGGAGTTGGGGAAGGACGAGACATCGGGCACGACCTCGGACACGGTGAAAGGACTGGCCGAGTCGAGGTCGCGCAGGTTGTCATAGACGGGCGGTTGAGGACCATGGAAGAAGAAGTCCATGTCTCCCGGTGAGGAGGAGTAGGAATCTGTATAGCTGAAAGAAGACTGCATGTTGATATCGATCGGCGGAGTGGAGGAGAAGGATGAATTGTAGAGTGGCAACGCAGTCTAGTTAAACAGGGAACCGGTCAGACTTCTAGAAGAGCGGCTGATGGTGTCGAAAGTGGGGAGGAGAAACCTACCATGGTGAGACGCCGGTTCGAATTCCTCCGAGGCAGGGCTTGAATAGTAGGTAGGACCTTAGGGGCTAGATACATGTCCTTTTGTTTTCACTGATTTTGCGGGCCAGGTTCATTTATACTCGGCCATTTCTACTATTCTACTTTCATCCGAATACGAAGCCCCATCACCGGATGTCGAGTCCTGACTGGCGCATACGGCTTCACCCTTTGTTTCCCGCCCGTCTACTGGTCGAACGCACCACACAGCCCCCGCCGACGCTATATCCTTAGGGGATCGCCTGCGGGAATTCCTGCAAACCTTCGGGGATCCTCGCTCGTACATTAGCGTGCAGGTGCGCTGGCTCTAGTGCCGTTCCATGGACATTCCATCATCCTTCTAGCGTCTGGCCCCAAGCCCCCCGGATACTCGGAGATTCATGATTGGTGATGTTGTGCTCCCCCTCCTAGTATGCGTAAGCCAGTCATAACCGGCCAGCGGAGGCTCTGACAACCAGTAACAACCAGTGAGAAACGAGAATAGGCCAAAGATACCCAATCCGAGCCTCGATAAGCTGCGCGATTGACTGTTGCGGTCAGACGGTTGCGCTCGAACCTCGCACCTTCCCCCTCATCACACACCTTGATCAACCCGTGTGAGCGATCCTCTCCATTTGTGGATCTAGTGCGGCTTCCAGAAACCTTCTAGCGTCTGCCAAGGGCCGCGCTGAACGGGGCAGCGTCCTGGCCCCCGTTCCCTTTCTCTGGTTTTCTCTGTTCCCCCCGGTTTCATGTTGCTGCATGGCGTGGGATGTATCCGGTGTACGCGTACGGGCGTACACCGGTACCTGGAAATAGACCACCTACACTAGGTCTTACCCAATTATCTAGGTTTCCCAGGATGCTGAGTAGTCTCAAGTTGAGTTTATGTTGTGTTGACTAGGAATCGGTAGAAGCGTGCCGAAGCGTCATCGACCCACGATCGCCAGCCTTGCGGAACGACGATAACTGGATCGCCAAGCGAACACCAGGGCGGGCAGCTCCCGTATCTGGGGTCGAGGCTGGCCGCAGTTGATCGACGCGATGATATAATAGGTGAGCCGCCTGGACGCTATGTGGGCCACGCTAACTACGCACAGCCCCTGTTCTGTTCCCGGCTTCTAGAAAGAAAAATCCCGCACTCCTGAGCGCTGCCAAGCTGGCTGAACCGCTAATGCGACCATGGATGCATCATGCAGCCGGTTCCTACAGTGAGGCTGCGTCACTGCCCCCGCAGATGGACCCGGTCAAGAGAGTTCTGGTTTTCTTGACCCGTGATGCAACGTGGCCGAGGTACTCCGTAGATATACAATTGTCCGGACGGTGGGGGGATAAACGCAGAGACCCATGCGGCAGACACTCGGTCGGATACGACACGTAGACAGCACCGATCTCATCACAGAGCCATTCTACAAGCCGAAAGTACATCTATAGGCACCTACGGTACCGTATTTTTGCAAGGTTTCCGATCTTGGAAGGGTTGTTGAGGCTGGTTCATTTGACAGGGATCAACTAAAATAGCACAGAACTCCCGTGTCCCTGAGGCCCATTTCATTGTACTCGTTGCCCGATGCCAGTACTTGCAAACACAGAAAACAGAAACTAAACTCCCCGAGGTCCCCCATGACACAATGCCACTATTCCACCCAGGCTGTCAAAGCGTGGGAAACGAAAAGACGACTACGCCCTGGTGCCCCATGTTGAAAGAACGCATCATAACTCGTCCTCGAGGTATTTGTACACAAACTTGAAATCAGCCTTGCGCCGGTTCATCCTGGGGAATGGTCAGCACGTGTTCAATGGTTACGGGAAGAGTAAGAGTCATCAACTTACCATGTACTCTCGTAGTCGAAGAACCGGTAGGTGCCTTGCTCAAATTCCTCCGTGATGTTTTTCGGCTCTTCGTGTCGCTGGAACCATGTTTGGTACTGCTTGTGGAAGCGCCAACTTTGGTTCTTAAGAGCCTTTGCAGCCATATATTGCTGATATGACCCTTGACGGTAGTAGAAGAGATAAAACAATGTGTCGGTGTCAATCCGGCCCGTATCGTACAGTCGGGGGTCGTCGAAGATGGATAACGGCTCCTGGGGGTAGTAGAGGGGGGTGTTGTAAGGGTTCTGGGGCTTGTAATGACGGGGCTTCTCAGCATCACCGGGCTCCGGACATGTCGTGAGCGAGCTTGCAAGAAGACGCTGGATCGCCGGTGAAGGGTTCGTCCCTGCCCGTTCCTTGGTCACATCGAATGATTGGATCAAATCTTGCAAACCCGGTGGCAGATGGAATATCGCCTCTTCGCTTTCACCATCTGTCGGCGTCTTGCCGTTCGTTGTCGGTGTCTCTTTGGTAACCTCTGCCTTGGAAGGCTCAGGTGATGCTGCTCCAGAAACCATACCGGCAGGGGTCTTCGATCGTCCGGTAACGATCTCTTCAGACGACGCAGCCACGGCCGCGGCCGTGGCACTCTTGGCAACAGGTTGTATGGAAGCAACACTGGGTGATGCAGTCGAGGAAGCCCTGGAGACGGGGAGTGCGGCCGAAAAGGCTGGACTGGTACCAGGGGGCGGTGGCAGAGGTAAAATACCAACTCCGCTCTTGTCGCTTGCCGCTGCGGCCGCTGCGGCAGAGGCATACTTGAGCGTCTCGCCGGGGAGGCGAGTGGGAAGCGGCGCGGGCTTCATGCCCGGGGTGACACTGGACGACACGGACGGATGGAGAGTAGCGAGGACAGGGAGCGGAGACTTCATTTGAGTCGAGGGGCGTCGATTCATCGTCGGGTCTGCCTTCGGCTTGGGCTTTGGTTCTGGCTCCTCATCCTGAATAGATTGAGCATCCTGAGAAGACCCATGATCGTTGTCTGCGCCAATGCCGAACTGGGCCTCGACATCGTCACCGATATTCAAGTCGTCATAGAGTGTTTCGTCTTCTCCGGAGTAGTCGACATTGTGCCCTTCGTCAACGTAGTACTTGATGCTCTCCTTTAAATCTTGCACCTGACCAACCTCCAGGTTGCCGTTCTGCAGCGACCGATTGAGGAATTCGAGCTTGTTGACATGCCACTTATGGCGCTCCGTTACATGCGCAATGTCGGCCATCCGATCCGCCTTCTTCGTGTCCTTCTTGCCCTTTTTCAATTGCGCCTGCAATATTTCCTCCTCTGCTTCCATGGCCTCGATGCGTTGTTGCAATTCGTCCACCATATTAGACAAGAAGTCGCTGGCCTCCACCTTCTCTTTTTCTCTCGGGTCGAGTCGTGACGCGGCGGATAGACCTTCTTTGGAGTAGGCTTTCGTCTTCATCTCCTTCTCCACGGCCTTGAACTGCTCCATACACTGTGCCCAATCTTGTTAGCCCTGGGTCAGTCACTGTTGGGAGTCAATGGGAGCGCACCGTCTCAATCGCCTTTCGCTGCTCGAGCAACGGGCCTTTATCTTTCACTTCATTTCCAGATGCCCATGATTTGATTTGATCACGGAACCTTTGAAGCTTCTTGATTTCGCGCTTGAGATTCTCTTCGAGCTTATCGCGCTGGGTGGGATTGGTAGCTTGTTTGATCTTTTCGTAGATGCCTTCGAAGACCTGAATCCCTTCAGTTACCTTCTTGAAGGTCTTCTCGATCTCTTGTTGTGTTTTTCGAGACGTCATGGTGGTCTGGATTGGGTGCGGACTGTGCCGTCCACTGGCGTGACTTCGAGTCGGCGGGGGTGGATTCGGGGCGCACGCTCGACCAGCAGGGTCGATGCTGCACGGTCAATCGGGACGTATGGGGTGGTTAGAATGTAGTGGTGTCGCCCTGTTGAGAGACCAAGAGGAGACGTGGAGAGCAGTGGAATGGCTCGTCTCTGCTGCAAATGGAAAGCTTCGTGGTTGCCCTATCGGGAAGGCGGTCGCGTTCAAAGTCAAAGCCGGGGAGGCGCGGGATCGCGAAGAGTTCGCTTCGTACAACACGCGCTTTTCGAGCGTGTATTCAACTGTTTATCTCACAAGTCTTACGGGGATCGCGTCTTGATAATCCACTGATGACCCATGGTGCAGTTTGAAGCTTTTATCGACCCTTTCATCCAACAGAACAGGTGAGTATGCGCCAATGAACATGTGGGATGCGCCACAAGGCTAATATCCGGCAGGTAGTTCTCACCAGCAGCATGAAGGGTACGCACATTCTTCCAACAAGTCGCGACGAGCTCGAGCTAAATCACCAATAGTCGTCATCCAACGAGTCAAGTCGGCCTCCGTCAGTGTCGACTCGGAGTTGATCTCATCAATTGGCAAGGGCCTACTGGTGTTTGCAGGTGTCGGCCAAGAGGATAGTGAAAAGGAAGCGGACCAAGTGGTGAACAAGGTGCTCAAGGCCAAGTTCTGGCCCGATGAGGATGGTGGACAGGTGAGAATGAAGTGGAGCGGACTCGGTCTCAGTATTGACTGGTAGCACAGTGGAAGAAGAATGTCCAAGATATCGAGGGCGAGGTTCTTTGCGGTATGATTTCTTTTGTTATATTTATGATCGTTGGATTGCTAATATCTGCATAGTCTCCCAATTCACTCTCTACGGCAAGATGAAAGGCAATAAGCCCGACTTCCACGACGCGGCCGATCCCCAAACTGCGCGCAAGGTCTACGACTATTTCTACAATAAAATGAGCAGTTCCTACGTCCCTGATAAGGTCAAGAATGGCGTCTTCCAAGCAATGATGGAGGTAGAATTGAAGAACGACGGGCCGGTGGGTGTCGATTACCGCAATGAAGATGCGGCGGTACATTTTGCCTTCCTGGCTTGTTTTCTGCGCCGCAGTGGAATCCGTACTGACCTGTTTGCTCCATAGGTCACGATCGAGATCAATACCAAGCTTCCGAAGAAGGAACCCAAAGAGCCCAAAGGCTCCGATAAGGCCAATGGGAAGGACAATGACAAGGATAAAGACAATGATGGACGACAGACTACACAGTCGGTTGAGTTCACGATTCCAGCGGAATTGCTGGCGTGAGTACATAGAGCTCTGTTTGTATATACCCGTGCATGGAAGGCGTAACTTTTTTGGGGCGGCGTGGAAGCTTCTTGAAGATCCGCAGATAGAACCGCCCTTCCCCACAACGGCTTTAGACTTCTCTTTCCCCTCCAACGTACTCTTAAGATCTTCTCTCTTTGCCCTCTTTCATCTTCTCCACTTTCCTCCTCTTCAGCCATTTCTTCTTACTCCACCGTCATGGCGGAATCGCAGCGTATGTGCTTCAGGATGCTTCAGTGCGGGGTCCACCGATCTTCCCGCCTGCAAAGAAATTGTCGACTTGCTGACCACCCCTCACAGAGCGCTCTCGTGTCTTCTTTGACATTCAGATCGGTGACACCAAGGCCGGTCGCGTCGCTTTTGAACTGGTGAGTATTCGTCTCCCCTGGTGAATGCGCATAAGATTGGGCGCTCGGAGCTAACGTGTTGCATCCTCGCACAGTTCAACGATGGTACGACATACCACCCTTCGCTCGATTGATCCGCAACTAACCGAATCGCAGTCGTTCCCAAAACCGCAGAGAACTTCCGAGCTCTTTGTACCGGCGAGAAGGGTACTGGAGTCCAGGGCAAGCCATTGTCCTACAAGGGTATGTCGATCCTCCCGAAACTCAGCTGAGACACCTGTTAAACAGCTCGAAACAGGCTCAATTTTCCACCGCGTGATCAAGCAGTTCATGATCCAGGGCGGTGACTTCACTGCATTCAACGGTACTGGCGGCGAATCGATCTACGGCGAGAAGTTCCCCGACGAGAACTTCGACCTCAAACATGACCGTCCTTTCCTGCTCTCCATGGCCAACTCCGGCCCCGGCACCAACGGCAGTCAGTTCTTCGTGACCACCGTTCCCACTCCCCACCTTGATGGCAAGCACGTCGTATTTGGTGAAGTCATCAATGGCAAGAGCATTATCCGCAAGATCGAGAGCATGCACACCAACTCCGACAAGCCCGAGGTCGATGTGACTGTGGTGGACTGCGGTGAGCTGACAGGCAGCGACTGGGAGAACGCCAACAAGCGCGTGCAGGATGCCACCGGTGACCCATACGAGGACTTCCCCGAGGACCACCAGGGTGACGAGCTGACTGCTCCCCTCGCCTTCAAGGTTGCTTCCGATCTCAAGGCTTTCGGCAACACCGCATTCAAGAGCGGCGACTTCAACCTCGGTCTGGAGAAGTATCAGAAGGGTTTGCGCTACCTGAATGAGTTCCCCGAGCCCGCCGAGAATGACCCCAAGGAGCTTGCGGAGCAGATGAAGTCTCTCCGCTTTACCCTTCACTCCAATTCGGCTCTGTTGGCCAACAAACTTTCGCACTTCCGTGATGCCAAGACCTGGGCCGGCTATGCCCTCCAAGTCGCCGATGCTGCCAAGGCCAAGGATGCCGACAAGGCCAAGGCCTACTTCCGCCGCGCACAGGCTCAGGAGGGACTGAAGGAAGAGGATTCCGCGCTCAAGGATCTCCAGGAGGCTCAGAAGCTGGTCCCTGGTGATGCGGGTATTATCAACGAGATCGCCAAGGTCAAGGCCACTGTCAAGGCTCGCGAGGCCAAGGACAGAGCTGCTGCTCAGAAGTTCTTCGCATGAAGCCTTTTCCATTAATACCTGTTCAATACAATACGATTCACGATATGCCGATCACTCTTATATACACGATGCGTGATGTATGATAAACACAACGCTCAGGCAGAAGTGCGACGCGTCCTGCCCTACTTCTGTTCAATTCCTCGATGATCGTAGTATTCACAACCAGTATCCAGTAAATTCCTTCCACCTGGCAAGGTTTGTTGGAATTACGGTTCGTGCTTTTTACCCTCTGGCCGCCACATCCACACCGGGTTCTAGTGTCGATATATCAAGAGAAGATAGAAGAATAACCCTCACCCGTGGAGGGTAAGTCCGACGCCTAGTTGCGAAACAATGTATAACGGGCTTCGAAATACCCCCCTTTGAGTTGCATATTGATGGCGACTAGTCTATATTCGTCTTTCTTTCTCTATTATTTGAAAGTTACTTTTGGCTAAGCAACGTAATTCTAGAATTTTTTTCATGGGCGTCTTAGTGCTAGCACTCCACTGGGTGAATGGGTCATGTACTTGTTTAACTAACACGCGCGTGTACAGTTCCTTCGGCCTGGGATGGCGACTTTCCATACAGGGTATCAATCGCCTATTGGGTGCCTGGCAAAGGCTGGCCATCCATATATCGTGGGAATCCTTGGTAGCCGAGCCACAGCTCACCAGTTCCCGGCGGGCCACCGACAATCTCCTTCTTGCGAGCCTTGAGCTCATCAACGTCCCAAGAGGCGAAGACGATCTTGTTTCTAAGAAAGTCTGCTTCGGGGGAGACAATCCAGACAAGGAAATCGGCGGGAAGAGAGACTGCGAAAAGGAAATTTAGTTACTTGGATACAAAGATAGATTAGCCACAAAGGACAAGATCAGTTTGTACTCACTGTCATCAAAGGCAAATGGCAATTTTACCGACTCGGACAGCTTAGCAGACATAGCCGTTTCAAGGAATCCGGGATGCACATTGTGAAGACGCACGTGCGGGTTCTCGGCGGCAAAAGACTGTAAGACCTTGACAGCGGCCATTTTACTGCTCACATAGGCACCCATGCCGGCGAACGGGGGGAATATGATGCCGGCCGTGGTCAGATTGATAAAGGTGACTGGCTTGTCCTCGTTTGGGCTGACTGTTTTGTTTGCCAGGATGACAGCCTGCGCCGTCACCAGCGTACCGACAACGGTAGTCTTGTAGCCATCCAGGAAAGTAGCCGGATCAGCTTCCAGAAGCGGAACAACGGGGGCCAGAACACCGGCACAGTGGACGAGGATGTCGATGCCGCCAAACTCGGCAGCCACCTTGTTCATGGCATTGCGTACGCTCGAGGCATCGCACAGCTCAGCCTCATGGGTTTGGATGGTCACCTCTGCGTGGCTGGCGCCGAAAATCGTGGCGGTTTCCGCCAGGGCGTCGGCGCGTCGACCGAGAAGGATGAGGGCTCGGGGGCCCGATGCAGCAAAGGACAAGGCTGTGGCCCGCCCGATGCCGCCCGATGCGCCAGTAATCAACACAACCTTGCCCGCAGTCGAGAGGCTGGGCTGCGTTGGATTGATGCCAGCATATGTGGTGGAGTGAATGACCTTGGTGTACGAGGGCGATGGTGGTGCCATTGTCTCAAACCGTCTGCTCTTTTTGTCCTTACGTGGTTTGGTTGCAGTGCGTGCAGACGCAAAATACGAATGACTTTGACGTTGATAGGTAGCAGTAAATATGCAAGATGAGGCAAACACTGTGGAACAGAAGAGGAAGCGAGAGGTATGGCCGGTCAAAATGTGGCGGAGGAAGGATTAAATAGGCAGGCAGGCGTGTCACGGCCAAGGAAGTGGAAGGAGCGGGATGCATATTATATTGTCAGCAAAATTGATCCATCCAGGTCACTATACGACCATTCCATCCATGGATAGTAGCATGGTACTCGTGTGTATACGGCAAGCCGGAACCCGAAGTGGAACCGATATAATCAACGGATCTCGCCCCGTTTCCCGCACTAGTCTTTTCCGGGCGTTTAAGGTCAGGTACGGACTCCGAGAATACGTCGCTGATCCACACGTCCACACACCATTCGTCGCAAGGCTTACCATCCGGTCAATCTGCAGCCACATGGAGATCCCTCGGGCATTTTCTCCAAAGGGACATGAAAACTCCCCGAAAGACCAATAATAACGGAGCAACTGCTCGTAGCTCGGCCTTCGAGAATTCCACAGTCGTAGGGCAATCGGACATCCGCAAGTTCGCAGTTATGGATACCCGTACACCGCCACATCGGACCAAGAGGAACAAAGGAGATGGCACGCAGACATTTTGGACCGGATCTGACCAGATTCATGACAACAAATGAAATCAAAAATACCGCATTATGAGACCTTATTCCTAGCTAGTCAAGTATTTATTTATTGCGCAGAGACGCTTCCCCGCCCTGTTTCGGCCAGGAACTGCTCATACCGAGGTTTGCACTTCCGTCGCCATGTCTTGCCCCATATTATCATGGGACCACCCATACAGACGGATAGAACCACCAAGATTCCGTAGAAAGTAAAGGACCAGCCATAGGATGTGGCATCAATGAACGGCTGAACAGAGTACGAGATGGCGAAGTTGATGAGAGAGGAGCAAATGGCGAGCACGACGACCAGTTCACCGGATATCTAGACGACAATGAGCACCCGCATGATTGCAAAAAACAGTGAAAGCAAGAAGGGACCGAAGTATAACTTACCCCGTCGAAGCATTCCATCGCATAAGCCGTTGCCATGCTCGTGATAGACACCTGCTGGGCGATCAGGCAGCACAATGCCACCGCAATGGCCATCCAGTGATCGCCATTAGTAGCAGCCCAGCCGTAAAGGAAGTATCCAATAGCACTAAAAATCAACGGGAATATGTACGTCCAAATTCTCATTTCCGGCTCCTTGTATCCCTTGTTGCGGCGTGCGAGAGTGAGCACGACCCAATCAGATAAGGATCCGATTCCCATTCTAATCAAGTTAGCAAAAAAAGTCTTGCTGAGGAAACGAGGGGGGTTAAAGCTTTACCCAAGGAAGTTGCCAATCAAAGCAGCAAGAAATATCAAACCAGTCGACCCCGTGCTCCAGTTGTATGGGGCCTCGGTCATGATCTCTGAGATGGTGTTGAAAGAGACAATTCCGGCAGTGCAGCCAAATGCAAACTGGATACCAGCGAGCACAATGTTTGGAAATGCGAAGAGGTAAAATGGACGACGGAAGTATTGAAACCAGGTAGTCTCGTCATCCGTAAAGTAGTGGATCAATGCGATTTTTTGTCGGTAGGACCGTGGCGTGATATCCTCTCCGAGAACATTACTTGTAACTTCAAGCACGGGAGATTCTAGTTGGGTTTCTTTCTCTGGCTCCCCTTGATCACCGGTCTTTCCAGTAGGTTGAGATGGGTCGATGCGCGAGCTGAAGCGAAATCTGGGGAACATTGTGTCGTCAAATGCGAAGACGAATAGCAGAATCAAGACACCCTTCAATGGTCAGCTGATTCAATAATCCATCGGAATAAAATGACTTACGCATGCGATCGCTACAATGGGGGAGCTCCAGCGCCAGCCGATCCCATCGGAAATATAACCGCCCAAAATTAGTCCGAGAATCGATCCGAGTTGCTGGAAGAAGATATAAAATGCAACCATACGGCCACGCTCATGGGTGAAGAACATGTCGAAGATCTGCCGAGAGTCAACGCGGGGTTTATTTGAACAGGACTATGCTGGACACTCACTGTAAGCTGGATCAAAGCCTGATATGCCGCAGTTCCAATGCCTTGAATTGCAAGCATAACATAGTACTGACCAGTGCCCGTATAGAAGCCTCCCCAGACACTGCCTCCGAGGAGACATATAAGACTGAGAATATAGACTATCTTGCGGCCCAGCTTCATCGCAGTGGGGATCCATATGATGTTGAAGAAACCAAGCAGGAGATAGTTCACCGCGCTACCCCCATTCATGTTGTTCAAGCTGACGCCGGTATCATCAGAAATCAAGGTCCAACTAGCGCCCCAGTTATTTTCACCGAATGAAAATACACAGGCGTAGAATGATATCAGGAAGAGAGACCAAACCTTTTTCTTCCGTGACCAATTCTGTTAAGCGTTAGAATGGGGCTGTTTAACCTCGGAATATATGGGAGACGTCTATCCCAAGGCTTACCAGCGGGTCTGCCGGCGAGTTGGAAGGTTGGGGGAGGAGAAGAATGTCCTGCTTTCCGGCATGAACAGCATCGTGCAGGGAATGTGATGCTGTACACTACTGTTAATGAAGATACATCTTTGAATTGTGCCCATAGATCATACCATCTACCAGGTAGACAGTGCCCGGGACATCGGTCAGGATATCGTCGTCTCGTGCCATGTTGGTATGCATGTGTCACTGGTAAGTGCGAGGTTTGCCCAATTTCCGAGGACCAAGTGTCCTTATATGTCTATTACGGTCTTGACTAACGCGCGATTCACGAGTGCAATTCCAAAAGGAGGGTTTCGACGAAGTACCGATTGGTCGGCACGAGCCGACGATTCGCGATCGCCATTCTCACTTTGGAAAAGATAAGTGAGTCAATGAGGGGTAAAATGACACGGAAGCTCCAAGCGACTGAGCAGGCGATGGAATTGACAGCCACAAATTATTTCTCATGATTAGCGCCTCATAGTTCCGATCAGAAGTCGGATAGAGGGATCGCTGATAGCGGAGTGCGGAGAAGCTTACCCCGGTTTGAGGGGCTGGAAGGTCCACGCGATCACTCGCACTCTGCTTGATAAGGCTTGTGCTCATTCGGATCATCCGAGCTAGTCTATAAGCTTGGAGCTGGTGAGTGGTCAATCAACTGTTATTCTCTCGAGACGCCGGAATACTTTTCTTTCCCTCAGCACCTTCTGCTTTGATCCCGAGACCCTTCCCGCGCTGGACAGTCGTCTTCCAAAATGCCATCTCCACCACTCAATAATAAATCGTCGATCTTGATCGTCGGAGCTGGAACCTGGGGCTGCTCAACTGCCCTTCATCTAGCTCGACGAGGATACAAAAATGTCACAGTTCTTGATCCCTACGGTGTCCCATCGCCCATTGCCGCTGGCAATGATGTCAATAAAATTATGGAACACAAAGAGCCCAAAGGTAGGGGGTAAAGTATTCGGACTTAGGTTGAAATTCATGAGCTGAAGGCTAACAGGTTCACAAACGGATGCCCGAAGCATTGCATTTGCTACCTGCAGTCGAGCGGCGTTGAACGGGTGGAAGACTGACCCTGTGTTCAAGCCATTTTTTCACGAAACAGGGTTTATTGTGTCCGGCAGTACAACTGAACTCATTCAAAATATCAAGGAGGAAGAGATAGACTCCTCCGAAGGCGAGTTTGTCGCCCTAGAGACGGCCCAAGACTTCCGCAATACCATGCCACCGGGTGTGCTGACAGGGGACTTCCCCGACTGGAAGGGCTGGTTCAGCAAGAGAGGAGCAGGATGGATCCACGCTCAAAAAGCGATGATTTCCGCATACAATGAAGCAAAACGACTCGGCACAAAATTTATCGTTGGTGACCCGGTGGGCAAAGTTGTCGCCCTGATGCACCAAGATGGTGACGTGATCGGAGCACGAACAGCAGATGGCACGGTTCATCGCGCAGACCATGTCATTTTAGCTGCCGGTGCTGGTAGCGATCGTCTACTGGACTTCAAGAAACAGCTACGTCCCACTGCATGGACCTTGAGCCACATTCGCATGACGCCGGAGGAAGCCCAGCGCTACCGAAACCTTCCAGTGCTTTTCAACGTCGCCAAAGGATTCTTCATGGAGCCAGATGAGGACAAGCACGAACTCAAAATCTGTGATGAGCATCCGGGATACTGCAACTTTATCCCGGATCCCAACTACCCAGGGGAGAAGAGAAGTATACCGTTCGCAAAGCATCAAGTCCCACTCGAAGCGGAGGCCCGGGCCAGAGAATTCCTACGTGACACAATGCCACATCTAGCGGAGCGAGCATTTTCATTTGCACGGATTTGCTGGGACGCCGACACTCCCGACCGTGCATTCTTGATTGACCGGCATCCGGAGCACCCTTCTCTTCTGATTGCAGTGGGCGGGTCTGGAAATGGTGCCATGCAGATGCCAACAATTGGTGGATTTATCTCGGATGCGTTGGAAGGGAAACTACAGAAGGAACTCAGGCATGTAGTACGCTGGCGGCCTGAGACGGCTGTTGGTCGTGACTGGCACTCTACGCAAAATCGCTTCGGAGGGCCTGACAGGGTGATGGACTTCCAAGATGTGGGGGAAAACGAGTGGACGCAGATACATGAGACTGAGCAAAGCAAGCTTTGAGAAAATATATGCATTTGGGAAATAGCAAATCCAATATTTAGCCTGGTGAGAGACTCTTCCACAAGCATTGGTGCACGGGTGGCAAGGACCTACTCGCTGGTCAAAGCACAGGTGCCCATGTCAAGCTTAGCAACATCGGCCTCGGGCCTGATATCAAAGTCGAAGATATCCATTGGAACGCCAAGAGTAGTGCAGGCATTCGGGATATCAACGATGCCCGCAATATGGCCCTGCACCGGAGCACAACTCAATAGAAGATAAATCTGTTCATCCGAGTAACCATAGCGTCGAAGATACTCAATCACCCGTAGACAAGTCTGTCTGTAGGCCACCGTAGCATCAAGATAGTGCTGTTTTCCTTTCTCATCAACCGAGAATCCCTCAAAAGTGAGATAGCGCCCAGGTCCAAACTGAGGCTCCACAGGTCCGGCGTGGAAAATAGGCGATTTCATGTTCAGCTTCGCCATTCCATTCTTGATCACCGTGAACTTGAGTGTGATCACACCTGCCATCTCAATGGCACCACAGAACGAGATTTCGCCGTCTCCCTGTGAGAAGTGCAGGTCTCCAACGGAGAACTTAGCACCGGGAACGTGAACGGGAAGGTATACCTTGGAGCCGCGGGACAGATTCTTGATATCACAGTTGCCGCCGTGCTCGGGACGACCCTAGAAGAGAATGGTTAAAACGGATCTGATTCATTGACAGAGTGGGACATACTGGAATGGTTCTGGCCCCCTCCTTCGCGACTCTTTCCTTGATATCCTCAACAGCGCTACCCGCATGAGCATTGGTGGCATTTGGTGGCTGCGCGACAATTCGATCGGTGACCGTGTTTGCGGCAATCAGCTCGCCCTCACGGTGATTCCACTCGGCAAGCACCTCCGCCGAAGGAGCACATCCCAGGATACCGGGATGGATCAATCCCGCGAAACGGACGTGTGGAATGTGCCGAGATGAGCAGAAGATGCCTTCAAAGTCCCAAATCGCCTTTGCCCTGTAAGTGATCAAGTTAGCGACTGCTGATTGGGGCGAAGTGACTGAGCGTACGCTTTGGGGTAGTGCTCATCCAAGAATCCACCGCCGTTATTACGATCGAAAATGCCGGTAAACCCCCATGGCTGCTCCTGGAAGGGCTGGACGTCCTGGATCTCGACGACCAACACGTCGCCAGGCTCGGCAGTTTCTATGTCAAATGGACCGGAAAGATAGTGAATTTCTGTCAAATCGACGTCCCTGACATCGTCGGCGGAATCATTGTTCTTGATTTGCCCACCTGTCCAGTCCAGGCATTCGATCTTCACGACTTCATTGTTGGCAATCTTTTCACAGGCAGGAACTATCGAACTTGTCAGCTTAGTGTTCACTTTTCAGTCCACATAAACTTGACGTACTGTCAGGATGCCACCTGTTCTGTAGGAGAATGTCAGCTCTGTTCTGGCTTCGTGATGCCGAGAGGGTCCACATACATGGAGTCCGGGCTGTTCCCGCGCGTGCTTATTGAGGTCAACTTTGAGAGCCGTGCGAATGCCCTTGATACCCATGTTTATGGCGACTTGCTTTGAGATGTTTTCCTGCTTGGTGTTAAAGTTGTTTCTTGGCCAGAAGAAAAATGACCGGAAAAGACGGGCGAAGGCAGGACAGGACGAAGAGATAAGGCGCGTTGCATCGTTCTCCGCAGAGGGGTAGACCCTTCCCCGCTTGATACCCTTTATCTATCTCCAATTCCAGCGCCTATGATAAGCCACTAACGACCAATTTGGAGAAGAAAGTGAGTCTTCATTGGGTTTCGGAACAGCTGCTAGCTGTGATGAGAAATGGTTGACACATCTTGCCCCTCTGGGGGCGTCGGAGATGTACGCTTTCCGCCATTTGTGACTTCATCATATCATATCTACCGCTTGGCCATCGGCCTTTATCTTGAGTGGAGCTTTTGAATAAATTCCATGATCCGAGCAAGTCTCAATTATCCCCAGCGTGAATTAGGGCGATCGGCCAAGCCTTCCCTTGGCCTCTCTGCGTCGGTGGATCGCCTGGCTTCCTCCTGCGATGCGCGTCTACGTACCCCTTTCTCTTCCACATAATATGAATGACATTCAAAATCTCCTCCAATTCTCGTATCATTGATTCAGATCGTGTCAATATTCTTATCAACCTCAGGTCCGAGCTTGCTTCCTGCTCACTGTTGTCTTGGTCTAACCTTCATCACGTACTGTTTGTCCGTCTTTAAGCGCTGTGTTCCGCCTCTATCCTTTCTCATCTCGAATCATGGTTTTTGTTCTCTTGAGAGCGAGATCCAGAGCCCATAGACTCCGTGGCTTCTGCCTCAGTTCCATCGTACGCCATCAAATTTAGACACCCAAGCAAATTGGGGCAGGGGTGCCAAACAAGATATCCTTGCGGCACGACTGCGAATTTTGATGTCACTAATGATTGTCTCTTGAGGCCTTTCTAAAGATCCTGGACGTGTGTCTATTTATAATTCCGAGGTCAAGTTGATTTGTAACCTGAGAAGCGGTTGCATGAATGATCCGATGGACTACCAAGAAGAGTGGACACACTCTCGCACCCGTATGCGTGTGTATAATCCCAGCATGAATGTAAGGTCTTGAGAAAATCAAGGTCATACCATGCAGCCTTGACTGGGGGGCCGGAAAAAGGTATTGATATACTGACTGGATCAAACATGAAGTGATGTAACCATGAACCCAAACATGTCCAATGTTGAGATCGAGAACGTTAGCAATGCAACAATACATGAGGGTCTTTAGCACGATAATTCTCTATGTTTGCTTTCGCGATCTGGGTGCCAGTTTTTAGACTCCAGCAACCCCGATTTGGGAACCTTCACACACGATCCGAGAAACCCGGTCGTCGAGCCAAACTCTTGGCTTCGTGGAGCATCACCTAAACACTGTCAATCTAAACTATAAATGCAAGCTTGTTGCCACCTCCGATTTAGCTTCATCACCCTTCTACCATTCGCAACATCTCTCCAGGTTCCATTGAACACCAAGGCCATCTGACCCAATCTTACCAACAAGATCAAATTTCAGCTCCAAACGGCAATGCCTGCCTCAATTACCCGTACCGTGGCTTTGGCCCTGGGCTTTGCTCTTACCGCAATGTCGGCTGTCCCAAATTACCCCTTGAACAGTGACGTTCCAGCCATGGATAAAGTGCTCCTGGATGAAAATCCGCTGCCAAATTGTAAGTAACGCACAGGCCTCCCTGATGCCAGTATTATATTTCCAGAGGCTGTCCAGCAGACAATTTTGACTTTTTTCAAATAGGCATGGCTCACTATACCGTTTCCGAGGCGGATACCTGCATGGACATTGTCAACATGCACCCAAATACTTTGAATCTGAACGAGTTCTACTTGTGGAACCCAATGGTGAAGCGCGACTGCTCCAATCTTATCGTCGGCGAGACTCTTTGTATCCGCGCTCGTACGCTGAGGGACTGCGGTGCTTGCAGTGCTGCCTGTGCTCCCTGCCACACGTAGGTCAGCATTCGGATAGCCACTAACCAGCGTTAGGTGCTATTTGCCAGCAGTGGACATGGTTTTATGGGTTTAATAGTGATTAGTGGCTTCGATAGCTCAGCAATATGTTTTCCTTTGTTTGCTGAACTAAGTATAATTTCGAAACCTCTGAAGGAGAGAGTTTGAACTGAATTTATTTTATATTTGATGGTTATTATGTGCATCCTCTAACGCAGAGTTTAAAGCCCCGATGCCAGATCTCCCGATACATGCCCTGAAAAAGCGTCGGGGTTCTAGTCCCATCCTTGATGTGCTTCACTTAGTCAAAATAGTCGAGGAGCGGGACTGATTCATCGGTGGGACCGAATCTCCCATCAGCGGGACGGGTTTTCTCCGTCAGCGGGACCACAGCCGACCTGCCCCTGGAGAGAAACTTCATGGCTGATTAGAAAGCGAGGGTAAACTGTCATGACTTTTTGACCTTCAACCCTGGGAGCCCTTTTAATCACGCAAGAGGCTTCGAAGATTCCATCGTCTTGCAAGCCCTAGAACATGGTGCAGAATGGGGTGGTGACTATTTAGCCTTGGCATAGGACCCGCACCAGCCTTTCCCTTTCCAATGTCATAGGCGCCTCTGGATTTGTGTTTTGTATGGTCGTCCAGAGTGAAAACCTGGGGTTGCGGGGAAAGGGTGGGCCTGGTTGCTTTGCGGGGCAATCAACCGATCTATACTCGGACAATTGAAATAGAATCATCCCTGTTGCAAGATTACGAATTGCAATCTTCCCATTTTGACCAGAATCCAAGCTCTTGAAGATTCAGCCTTTGTCTAGAGATGTCCGTCACACCAGAAAAGAATCGCGAGGCTGTCCCGGGTGAAGTGAGTGGTGCCTCAGAGACCGACCATGTGGAAGACACCATAGGGTCTTTGGATGAAAATCTCGTCTATGAAGATGAGCAACAGCCAGAGCTTCATGCCCGGACTTACTTTGCCCTGGCTGCAATGTTCCTGCTCAATCTCGTTCAAGTTTTCGGTCTTATGGGTCCTCCAGCCGGTGTACGCAAATTCACGACATGAGCCCAGAGACTTCATTGAGCCAATTAACTAACCTGTGATTTTCGTTAAAAGCTGTCTTATATAGAAAGTGACCTCAAAAATACCGTCGCCGGCACATGGGTCCCCAACGCCCTCTCGCTCGTTCAGGCTGTTCTAGCCCCTCTGATATCTTCGGCGTCGGATACATTCCAGGCACGGAAGGCTCTTTTAGTTGGTCCTGCAGTGATCTCGTTCATCGGATCTGCAATCGCACCCGGATCTAATAGCATATACCGAGTTGTCGCGGCTCAAGTCTTGATTGGATTCGGGTTTGCTACTGTACCTTTGGCATATTGCGTCCCTAGTGAGATTCTTCCGCGGAAATGGAGACCCAGTAAGTGGACAAGACGACTTCAGCATATAAGAGGCGCTTGTTGATCAATGCTTCTTGTACAGTGGCACAGGCTGCGATGAATGTTGCCGCCGCAGTTGGTGCTTGTTTGGCGCCATTGATCATAGGTGCCCTCACCAAAGCCAATCCTCACACAGGTTGGCGCAATTTCTATGTAGGGCTCTTCGATACACCTTTATAATCTAGCTTCTCATCTTATTCTTAGTGGATTCAAATGGTCTTATGGGGACTGACCGCAATCGGCCTTGTTATCGGCTACAAGCCGCCAAAGCGACACACCCACCTTGACCACTTATCTATTTGGCAAAAGCTCGCTCGGCTAGACTTACCTGGTTTTATCATGTTGACCGCCGGTTTGACATTGTTCTTGACTGGACTCAATCTCGGCGGTGGTCTGTATGCATGGGCCAGGGCGCCAGTACTGGCGACTCTCATCGCCGGTATCCTCTGTCTCGTTGCCTTCGGGATCTATGAGTGGAAATTCACAAAGACTGGTATTCTGCATCATGACCTCTTTCGCGGAGGCAAGAACGCGGGCAAGACCTTCGCTATTTGCATCGGCCTCATTTTCATTGAAGGCATTCTACTATTCAGCTACGTTATTTTCTATCCTGTCTTGTATGGCTATCCCGATCTGTATGGCTTGTCTTTTCTCGAAGGTTTCTGACTCTCTTTATCTAGAACCTCGTCGCTGTTCACCGAAGACCCTCTGCTGATGTCCGCAAGGCAGCAACCCTTCTGGATTGCAGGTGGACTGAGTACTATGATATACGGATACGTGAGTACGAGATTCCGAATGATTCGGGAACCGCTATTTGTCGGATTCCTCCTGTTCACGGGAGGAATCGTTGGCCTCGCCACAATTCAACCGGAAGACGAATTGAGAGCGTTGGTCTTCGCAGGGCTGGCTGGATTGGGATTTGGCTGCCCACTTATCCTTCTTATCGCCGCCGTTCAACTCGCGACACCTCACCACCTCATTGCCACCGCAACGGCGGCGACGACGTGCTCTCGAGCTGTAGCTGCCTCTGTATTCACGGCCATTTACTCGGCCGCATTCGAGACACGTATCGAAAAGTATCTCCCAGCAGATGTTGCCCGGGCTGCTTTGAAGGCGCAGCTTCCCAGCGGGTCCGTTGAAGCTTTTGTTAAAGCACTATCTTCTCAAGACACAGGCGCACTTTCAAGTATCCCGGGTGTTAATCCAACAGTTATTGCCGCGGGGGAAGGTGCACTGAAACAGGCATATGCGGATGGACTGAGAGCTGTTTACATTATTGCGGCCCCATTTGGTATCCTCGCATGCTTGGCATGCTTCTTTTTGGGAGACCTGCGGAAAGTCATGGACTACGCTGTTGAGGCCCCGGTGGAGGATCTGCATTCTAAACGAGGCCGTGGCCAAAATGCTTAGGCCCCACAATGTAATTCTTGGAGGGTCGGTGTGGGCCTAGCTTCAATTTTTATCATACTCTGAACTGGTTTAAGCGACTGGAGGGTATACTTGTAGGCACTATATTAGTAGGATAAATCTGGTCCTTCTAATGCATCTTTTGGGGTCGGCGACTTCCTACGTCATCGCACAGACAATGGCAGACAAGTCTGAGATTTCTCGGAGCCTCAAGAGAACTTCTTGCCTGCGGAGCTAGAGTTGCCCTGAGCATCCTTCTCGTCGAGAACAACGTTGAGTTTATCGATACTATCCAACGACAGCTGGAGGAAATCGTGCTTGTTTTTCCACGTCACCTGGCTCTCTGCGAAGCCTTCGCTTTCCGCAGGGGTAGGCGGTGGATCGGTGATCTTGGTGACCAGATACGCGGTGGATGCCTCGGCAACTCCGTACATGAGAACGCCGATGAATGGAAGTTTCAACACAACGGTGAAGCCAAAGGCAAACCCGAACAGAACACCCTCCCGGTCACGGAACCAGCGACGCTTTTGCTCAGGAGTAAACTTAATGCGACGGAAGTATGGTTCGAGCTAGAAAATCGTTAGCCAGGTCTTTTTACGTGATGGACAGGATCGACTCACCAGCTCTCGCATCAGACTTCTGGATGCAAAATAAGTGTGAAGGAACCTGACGATGAACGCCTTGGGCAAGATAAGACCAGCACCGAAGATAGCAGCGGCGGGTGCCGTACCGACGTGTTTCCGGAACGTGTAGAAACTAGCCGCAGGCATCACAAACCGACCAACGATAGGGGTCAGTGACAGCAGGTAGATTCCAAGAAGCATTCCCATCCTCTTGGCGTAACGATGTACGAAAGCCATTACGGCTTCCGACATGGGCCGTGACGAACGAGCGCCGCCCTTGGTAGGGAACATCACCAAGGGAGGATAGTACATGGCCCGAAGGTTGTGCGGATCGTCGGATTTGTGCTTCTGGATGTATGTCGTGTCCACCCATTGGATTGACTCCATGAAGCTAATATGCTGATCAGCGGCGGTTCGCAGACTTGCGGAATCATGACCTACATCTCATCCAGAGTGGGAGTGACGTATCCCATGAAAGTCATCAGCAGAAACGGCACCTGGAGGACGGACTTTGACAGGAAATCCAAGCCATCAAGGAGCTTATCATCCCAGGTGGCATGATCCAGGTTGATAACCCATGATAGCATGTACAAGACGAACTTGAGGGCGATAATCTGCGTAAAATATTAACCACGTACCTAGCTAAAGTCAGAAGACGGTGATAGCCGTCCGACATACCGGAATTTGAATAATCAACTGGGTAATGATACCAACGGCTATAGCTAGGGCTGCTTGCCGGAAGTGCTCATACTTGAAAAGTTCGGGATTTGTTAAAGCCCGGACAGCTATACTCCAAGGTTAGCAACGTCCAGTTCCAGCATATCCGCGTTTCAAGATGGCTGTTTGGGAGGGTATCCTAGGGTGCTGTACGAGCTCAACCTAAATAAAAAACACAAGGGCAAGTTGAGACATCAAAAAGAGTTCCAAGGGGAAGACGCGGAGTTCGTGCCCTTGCAATAGAATTTGGCTTCTCGAATAGGTAGCAGGTTAAGTGGGAGACATACTTCCTACGACGGTAAGCTGGAAGCCACGGATCACGGCATTGGGCTCGAAATTCGACATGATCGAGCCCTTTCCTTGCAAAATTTGGTAATCTGTCTGTTGAGTGGCTCTTTGTCACGGATGAGACAAGGAAAGCACAGAGGTCAGCAAAAACAAGGCATCCATTCTCGGAACGAATACAGCGGTGGTGATCGGATAATCAGAATATCCGACGAAACCATCTCTTATGTAAGCACACCTAGAGGGATAACGTAATTCACGGCCAACCCGTTAACACGGCCAACCCGTTAGCCCCACCAGAAATCGCGCGTCCAGTCCTACCTACCATCTTCAACTACCCACCATGCCACCAAATCGCTCTGAATCCTGGCATAAATCTGCTGAGCAGGAGGGCAGGATCCTATTAGCCCTTCAGGCGGTGCAAAAGGGCCAAATTAAATCTCTCTACGCCGCAGCGAAGCTATACGATATGCCCTACACTACCCTCCACGACCGCGCTACCGGAACGTCTCCACGCGTCGATAAACGCTGGCATAGCCATAAAATGACACAATTAGAAGAGGATTCGCTTACTGAGTGGATCATCTCTATGGATTCGCGTGGTGCAGCACCTAGGCCCTCTACTGTGAGAGAGATGGCTAATATCCTACTGGCCACTCGTGGGATTCACCCTCCGCCTACTGTAGGCGTGAATTGGACATCATCCTTCGTTAAACGCCGCGAAGAGATCCGCTCGCGCTTCTCGAGACGCTACGATTACCAGCGCGCCCTGAATGAAGATCCGAAGTCGATACGAGAGTGGTTTAATACCGTAAAGCGCGTGGTCGATGAGAATGGGATACAACTAGAGGATATTTATAACTTTGATGAGACGGGCTTTGCGATGGGCCTTATATCGTCACAGAAGGTGGTTACGCGAGCTGAATACTACGGTCGGCGCTCTATCTTACAGCCAGGAAACCGCGAATGGGTTACTGCTATCGAGGCTATATGCGCCGATGGCTACGCACTACCGCCATGTGTGATATTTCAAGGCAAGGTTTATATTGCTGGCTGGTTCGAATCAAATCTGCCTAGCGATTGGCGGATTGAGGTCTCGAATAACGGCTGGACTACCGATGAGATAGGCCTTCGCTGGCTACAGAAGCACTTCATTCCATATACGAATTCGCGCGTACGAGGTCGATATCGGCTATTAATTCTTGATGGCCACGGTAGCCACCTTACACCTCAATTCGACCGAATCTGCGCTGAGAATAATATTATACCGCTCTGTATGCCTTCGCATTCTTCGCATTTACTCCAACCGCTTGATGTTGCGTGTTTTGCTCCGTTGAAGCGCGCATACGGTCGCTTCGTGAGCGACCTCGCCCGATATGGCTATAACCACATCGATAAGCTCGACTTTCTCGCAGATTACCCTCGGGCGCGTATCGAGGCGTTTCAACCGCAGACTATCCAGACTAGCTTCGCTGCTACTGGTCTTACACCGTTTGACCCAGAGCGTGTGCTTTCTAAGCTCAATATCTCGCTCCGAACGCCAACACCGCCAGGAAGCCGACTAAGCAGTAGATCTAGCCAATTCACACCAAAAACGCCTAAAACAGTGATTCAGCTACAAAAGCAGGCTACCTTACTCAAGAATCTATTGAGACAGCGGTCAAATAGCCCTCCGTCACCCTCAAAAACTGCTGTGGATCAGATTATCAAAGGTGCTTATTTATCGATGTATAACGCTGCGATACTAGCGCAGGAGAACGCTAGTCTACGTAGAGCAAACGAGAAGAAACGCCAGAAACGTACACGGTCGAATCGACAAATAGCACATGAAGGAGGCCTATCTATCGCAGAGGGCCAACTGCTAGCTCAGCAGCCAGACCAGCCAGTTGAAGATAGCCCGGTGGTATCGCGTGAGGCAGGCGAATCAGCTAGTCAGGCAGATTTGCCACGCAAGAGGGCTCCGCCAAGGTGTAGCGGGTGTGGGGAGTTAGGGCATAAGATTAATCGTTGTAAGAAGCGCTAGTTTGAGATGAATTTATACTTTCTTGGTGGAGTTATCTTGAATAGAAAATTGGTAATGGAGGTGGACTAACGGGTTGGCCGTGTTAACGGGTTGGCCGTGAATTACGTTAACTAACGTAATTCCCGGCCGACCTGGCCACCCGCCCGTCCCGGCCACCCACCCCCATTAGAAGATTTTAAATCGGCATATCTCAACCAAAACGGATTAATTGATATAAAACTAGTGATTATTACAACGATTGATCTTATGCCCAATCACCCCGCACCCGCTACACCTTGGCGGAGCCCTTTTGGCTGGCTGATCTGGCTAATTAGGCAGATCGCCCTGCGCATGCGATGCTAACCTAATACCTTCAACTGGTTGGTTTAGCTGCTGAGCTAGCTGTAGGCCCTCTTCGACCCATAGGCCATCTTCACAGGGTATCTGCCTAGTTGACCGATTGCGTTTTTGTCGTTTCTTCTCGTTCGCTGCGCGTAGATTCGCATTTTCTTGCGCTAGTAGCGCAGTGTTGTGTAGCGATATGTAGTGGCCTTTGATAATCTGATCTAGTATAGTTTTTGATGGGCTCGGAGGGCTAGTTGACCGTTGCTTTAGTAGATCCTTAAGCATCGAAGCTTGCTTTTGGAGCTGAATAACAGTTTTTGGCGTTTTTGGGGTGAATTGGCTCGATCTGCTGCTTAGTCGACTACCCGGTGGTGTAGGCGTTCGGAGTGAGATATTAAGTTTTGAAAGCACCCTTTCTGGATCGATTGGCACTAGACTAGTAGCTACGAAGCTATTTCGAATAGTATTTGGTTGAAAGGCTTCTAGCCGCGCGCGTTGGTAATCGTCCAAGAAATCAAACTTGTCGATATGGTTATAGCCTACACGCGCAAGATCGCTTACGAAGCGACCGTACGCGCGTTTAAGTATAGCAAAACACCCAACATTAAGCGGTTGTAGAAGATGCGAAGAATGCGCAGGCATACAAAGCGATATAATATCGTTTTCTGCGCAGATTCGGTCGAATTGGGGTGTAAGATGGCTTCCGTGGCCATCAAGAATCAATAGACGATATTTGCCTCGCGTATGGGTAGTAGTCGCTGGAATAAAGAGTTTTTGTAGCCACCGTAGGCCAATCTTATCGGTAGTCCAGCCGTTATTTGAGACCTCGATTCGCCAGTCTCTTGGTAGGTTATCAAACCAACCCGTAATAGCAACTTGGCCCTTAAAGATCACGCATAGCGGTAGCGAATAACCATCCGCGTAGATTGCTTCGATAGCAGTAACCCATTCGCGATTTCCTGGCTGCAGAATAGATCGCCGACCGTAGTATTCTGCCCGCGTAACCACCTTCTGCGCTGAAATAAGACCCATTGCAAATCCTGTCTCATCAAAGTTGTAGATATCCTCCGATTGTATACCGTTCTCATCGATAACGCGTTGTACAGTCGCAAACCACTGTCGTAGCGATTTCGGGTCTTCGTTTAGGGCGCGCTGGTAGTCATATCTTCTTGAGAAGCGTGTGCGAAGCTCATCGCGCCGTTGAATAAAGGTTGATGGCCAATTTTTGCCTACACTAGGCGGAGGGGTCTCGCCGCGCGCAGTAAGTAGGATATTAGCCATATCTCGCACAGTAGATGGCCTAGGCGCTGCTCCACGCGTATCCATAGAGATAATCCACCTAGTAAGCGAATCCTCTTCGTATTGGGTCAATTTATGACCAGATGGGCGTTTCTCAGCGCGTGAGGTTTGGCCGTGGGCGCGCGTTTGTAGTGTTGAACGCGGTATTGCGTATAGCTTCGCTACTGCGCGGAGAGATTTGATGCGGCCATTTTTAATATCATTAAGGGCTAATAAGATCTTGCCCTCCTGATTGGCTAATTTCTGCGAAGATTCAGAGCGTTTTGGTGGCATAATAGGTGGTTGAAGTAGGTAGGTAGGTAGGAAGACGCGGTTTTGGATGGGGTGGCCAGGACGGCCGGGTGGCCAGGTCGGCCGGGAATTACGTTAACTAGTTAGTTATTTATCCCATAGCAATGCACAGGTCTTACACTTCTGATTGGCCAATATATTACGTACTCCGACATTACCTGTCCCCGCACAAGACGCGCAAACCCGGGGGAGATAAGCCTCAGCTTTCAGCTCCTCACCATGCGCCCTCAGTAGATCCTCTCCTACATGCCGCCCTTCCCCCTACGTCTCGCGATATTGTCTCTCGACAATGCCCGAGCCTCCGAGTGAGTTCTCGGGTTCGATACAATCCATCCGTCGCTCCGTCACTCTCCCTACGAAGTTAAATCCGCAGGCACGTCGTGGTTCGGGCGCGCCAAACATTGGAGAAAACGTCATCTTCTATCATCCCTCGGCCAAGATTGTCCATTTCGCTCCCAGGGCTCTCGTGCCAATCCCATCGAGTACCGCGCCGACCGATTTTGACTACCCCGTGGATACCATTGAGACACTCCCATGGCGCTCGGCCTCTGAACGAACCGTCGCAACGGCGCCGCTGAGGCTGGAAAGGGTTCATGGGTTGACTGTATTTTTAAAATGCGGCAATGTTGTCCACGCGATCTTGAAGAACTCCCAGTGCTGGTGTGTTGACGGCGTGTCAAAGTTTGTTTTGCGCATTCGCCCTCTCACCTATTATCGCATTGAGCTGCCGTATGAAACGGAGGAGGATAAAATATCGGTGGGGGACTTGAAAGTCGCACTGCCTACTGTACTCCGATATGAAGTCACGCCATGTCCTTTCAAGCGCGCGTTCACTGTCGAGATTCCGGAGGATGCGATGGCGCCTCGTCGCAAAAAGGCTTGGCGACCAAAAGACCGCAAAGATAGTCTTCTTTCAGCCCTCAACAGCAACCAGAGCTCGCCATCTGAAGGCCGGTCAGAATGGCTCGACTCCGCCAGCACCGGCGATGACACCGATGGAGGCGCCACGGATGATAGTAGTAGCAACGGACCCAAGGCTGCTAAAAGTACGACACCGGAGCTCTCACCAGCTGGCGACCAGTCCCCGATTTTCACCAATACATTTGAGCTTCCTATACGTTCAAAATCCACTAGGCGTTCAGTGACTGAAATCCCACACACTTTCACCAGCCTACGCGCAAAGTTTGACTCGAGTCCAGTGCCGGGAGAAAGTTCTATTCCAGAAGAACGCCTGGCTCCGAACGAGACCGAGACCTCAGGACAGGACTCGGCTTCAGAATTGGCCCCAGATTCCGAGGAAGCTCCAGTGTTAGAAGACAGGCCCATATCTCCTGGACCTCCAGTTCAAGAAGACGCATCAGCTCAAGATGATGTTCCTACTCCGAGAAAAATTTCGGCTCAAGATAATACATCTATACAAGAAGAGACTCTAGTCAAAGACGAAGCCTCTACTGTACAAGAGACAAACCCGGTCGCAGCTTCTCTTGCTTTGAGGTCCGGGGAGGAGCCTTCAACATCAACAGAAGCTTCAGCCTCAGGTCCTGCAGCTCCAGAAGATGATCCATCGACAGAAACTGAACCACAAATTGAAGGTTCGATTACCAAGGCTGTAGTTTCAGAAGTTGCTCCCGTTCCCCACGAGTGTCTTGCATCTGAGAACCCTGTAGTCTTGGGAGAGACTTCCGCTTCAGACACGGATTATGTTACAGACACCCCTGCCGCAGATGAACTCCCCGTCCCGGCCGAGGCCACGGTTGCAGTGGAGAGTCATGTTCGAAATCTTTCGGATTCGGAGGTCCCGATTTCGAAACCACACTTATTTTCCGACCGTGAACCGGAGGCCGATCATGACGATTCGTTGTTGTCTACACCTGATTCATTCCACTCAGCAGACCTTACTTCGCCGTCGGATTCGATATCCACTCATACCACTCCGGAAAAGCACCGTGATATAACTCAATCAGCAACGTACCCATCTCAACCCCCTGAGAAGTTTCCAGCGCATAAATTGGATGTGTCCCCAGTACAGGACACTTCAAGGAGCAATGGTTCCCCCGTTGTGTCTCCGAATTTTGCCTATTACGAATTTTCAGAGAGGCCCTCAAAGCCTTCTTTAGCCATCCCACCGAACAGCAAGAAGGACTCTCAGCCTATCGCCAAGGGGGCATCTCCCCCGACGGATTTCAACCATATGAGTACCGAGTTCCGCCGCCGGGCGCAAGCAACACGGCAGCGCGACGTCTCCCCGATGCCTCCTCCTTCCGCGATCTACCAACCAAACCCAGGCGCGGAAGCCAAATCTATCCTTTCGAAGACACTGGCACTTGTACTCGTCCCGCCAATTTCGCTCTTTATCATTCTGCTCCACATCACGGCGCGCATTGTCATCAGCCCGGCTGCGACGTTGTCTTCAGGAGAGTCCGGTTCACGCTCACGTTCATCCAAAAAAGAGCCCGTGACTGAGGAGGACGACTTCAGTTTCCCTCTGGAGCGTGAGCCGTCCTCTGAGTACGAGGATGCCGAGATAACCCGGAAGTTAGACCCCTGGGACCTCGACTAAGTGACAACGCCCGTCATGTGAGATATCATTTACCGGTTTTATTTGCATTTTGCTACATTATCCTTCATTTAATCTGTACCCTTTCCGCATGTGACACCACGATATGATTTCCTGTTTACGACACTTTGCATACTGACCTGTATCATTCTTGGGGTGGACATATTGGATGGAATGTATTTCCCCGGACTTTTTGTATTCTAGCGCTTGCATACACCATGGGGGACTGGCGTCGTGTCAGGACCACGCCGTTTGTTGGCTATCTAATCTTCTATTGGAGCAGTAATTGACAATTATCCGCGTATCAGAACAAAGTTCTTGCAGTACATACTGAAGTTGAGGTAAAAGTGAAAAGTTGGGGGCTTTTTATGATTGACTATTTCCCCGCATCTGGCACCGGGCACCAACAACATCCCCCCAAAACATCGTCAGCAAGACGCGGCGACCGGTTGCTCAACGTCTGTTCAGGTGACATCGGGGCCTGCGCTTGTATTTTTTTCAGGGTCACCGGGGAGAAGAGCACTTCCGCCCAGTCAGAACCATGCTCGACATCATCCAGTTACTGATCCTGGGGGTCGTCGCCACAGCGGGCTACGTGGTGTTTCGCGGCTCCAGGCACGATCCACGCGAACCACCAATGCTGTCGAACGGGATTCCCATAATAAGTCATCTGCTTGGCGTGATGTGGTACGGGATTGGATATTGGACAATGCAAGCGTGAGTCCTTGGAATGGGACAAAAACTAAATATGTGGCTGATCCACGCGCAGAAAGCAAAACGCCTCATATTCGATCTTCGGAATTGATTTGCTGGTCACCAAAATTTACATCGTTACTTCACCACAGCTGATGCAGGTGATCCAGCGTAACAAGAGTCTCAGACTGGATCCTCTCTTGGATATCACTGTGCGCAGCTTTTCTGGCATTACTAACAAGAAGACCCTGGATCTGCTGGTTGACACCACCTCTGGTGGCCAGGGCTTCTCTCAGAAGCTGATGCATTCGCTGGCTCCTACGATGATTGGAAAATCACTTGATGAAATGAACATCCGGATGGTTCGCTACATGACACCCCTCATCGATGAATTGGGCGACAAAGCCCCGTTCGATCTGTACATGTGGTGTCAGGATGCCATTACTGATGCCAGCACTGATACCATGTATGGACCGATGAACCCGTTCAAGGATAAGGAAATTTCGGACGCATTCTGGTGAGTTTGGACCAATTCACAAATGAATCTAATTGTACTAACCGACTTGCACAGGGACTTCGAAAAAGGTCTCGGGGCGCTCATGCCCAATATTTTGCCCTGGCTTACTGCACACAAGCCCTGGAAAGCTCGCCAGAAGATGTCCGCAGCGATATTGAAGTATCATCAAAATGGAGGGATCGAACACGCATCTGAGTTGATCAAGTTGAGGCACACTTCAACCCTCGGGGCAGGAATTACGCCGGAAGAGTATGCGCTTCTAGAGGTGCCGATGCCGATAGGCTTTCTCTCAAATACCGTTCCGGCAACCTTCTGGTCTATCTACGATATCTACTCTCGACCGGAGCTTCTCGATGACCTTCGTAAAGAGGTAGAACTTAACGCCCTCTTTACTCGGGCCGACGGCACGCATGTTATTGACATCGGTGCCCTGCGGGGCAGCTGTCCGCTTCTCCTGTCTACATTCCAAGAGATCTTGCGTGTTCGCACTATGTCGTCCCCCACGCGTTTTGTGACTCAGGATACCATCATCGCCGATAAGTACCTCGTCAAAGCAGGCAACCTCGTCACCATGCCGTCCTTGGAGATGGGGAAACGGCCCGAAGTATGGGGAGAAACAGCGGAAGTCTTTGACGCCCACCGATTCATGACAGGCGCGTCCTCAAAAGCCGACCCAGGTGAGCGAGAGCCTCGACGTGCTGGTGGATTCATGACATTTGGTGTATCTCCAACCATCTGCCCCGGACGTCACTTTGCCAGCTCTGAAATCTTGGGAATGGTGGCTACCATGATCCTGCGTTATGATATCTCTCCTCTAAGCGGGACCTGGGAAGAGCCAGAGAAGTCCTCGTCATCCCTTGTGTCGATCATGACTCCCGTGAAGGGTAAATTTCCAGTCACTGTGAAGCGAAGGCAGGAATACGAAGGCACCAAATGGGACTTCCATGTGGAGGAGGGCAAAGGACAGTTTCCGTTAGTAATTGGGTAATTCAATCGGGTCAGATAAATATGGATTGGCTTGTGGTACACAAGTGCATAATGATATGTACACCTGGGAATAAGCTCGTAAGGAATCATAGACAGGAAGTTTTGCGACAGAACCACCGATAAACGCCAGTAAAATGCAATATGAGCGATGCCACGGTCATGTGAGCCATCATAGTAGGAATAAAAAGCAGTTCATGCCTTCGTGGCCTTGGCTGCACCCTTGCCCTTCGCCTTGCGCTTGCTCCGATCCCGCTTCTTCAGACCTGTCATGCCAGCCTTGCACACATCGGCATATCGAGTGTAGAACGCTTCGAGCTGATCCGCAGCAACGACAGTGGAGAACTTGACTTTCGAGGCTTTCGAAGCCTTGGTCTTAGCGATCTTGCCATCTTTGTCGGTTGGTCTCTTTGCGTCGGTGTTGCCGTTTGAAGCGCGGATAAGGATAGAGGGTTGGCCGCTGCTGACGCCGTCGATCAGGGGCTTTTGGGTGAGAAAGACGGAGCCTCGGGACTTCTGGGAGGACTTGGAAAGGAGTTCGGTGAGAGACGAGAAGAACTGCGGTGACGATGATTATTAGCGATGCTGTTGGTGATCTCGTGGCCGAATGTGCGGAATGCCCATATCGAGCAGAGAAGCTAAACTTACCTCATCGTTACCCATATGAGGCGCCATAATGAATTGAAAGTGTGCGACGCGCACAGGAGAGGAATAAATGTAAATTGCAGCAAGAGACAATGTAATGGCCAGCGAGGCTCGTGGGGCGTTCAACGAAACTCCTGTGGGTGCGTTGTCCGCCTTGGTGTTTTGCGGGCAAAAAAGTGGCCCTGGAAAAAGTTCAGTCACCGCTCTCGTAGCTCCGTCTTTTGGTCTCGGCCTTCCAGTTAATCTCTAGACTCAAGTCACCATGCCGCGCCGAATGCACAATACGACCTCTTTGCCTCGAGACTTGCGTTCCGAGCTGGGGATTAAGGATACATACGGAGAGAAGAAGCGCAAACAGAAGGGACCTGCGACTCGGAAAGACCGACGGCGGGCTGAGCGCAATGACAAGAAATCCAAAAAACCGGTAGCACCGGCCAAGAAGCAGTTCCAGCGAATTGAGGAACACGAAAATGATAATGACGAAGACGATTTTGACTTGAACGAGGACGACGACTTTTCCAGCGACGACCCACGGCCTGCGAAGAAATCGAAGCTCGCTCCGGAGGCAAAGCCGAACCCCGCGTCGAAAACAAAGGCCTCTAAGAAGGACCGCGATCCCATTTCTGATAGCGACAGTGATGAAGCTCACGGTGATGTAAATGAAGATGAGATGGACGAGGAATTCGACCACCATCCAGAAGCTCTCCCAGAATCGTCAGTTCATGTTTCCGCTGCCGTCAAGTCCAAGCTGGCTCAGGACGATGCGGAAATTGCGGCACTTGAGAAGAAGCTTGGCCTCAAGAAAGGAAAAAAGCTTCCGAAGGCGTTTGCGGAGGATGGTCTGGAGGATTTGATGGGAGACTTGGGCGAGGACTCCGAGGACGACAGCCGAAAGCGCAAGCGAGAGGCTGACGAGTGGCTGTTGAGCAAGAGACGCAAGGCGCAGGCTCTTCAGGCACAAGCGCCTGAAGACGAGGAAGACGATGAAGAAGACGACGACGACCTCGACAGCGAAGATGATGGCGACAATCTCGACGATGAAATCTTTGGAGACGATAGCGATGATGACGACGACGACGGTATGGGTGAGGGCAGCGATTTTGAAGGATTCGAAGAAGAGAAAGCGCCACCCAAGAAAAAGGAAAATCCCTACGTCGCTCCAGTATCGAAGCCCGAAGCTACACAAAAATACATCCCTCCGTCAATGCGAGCTCGTCAAGACCCCGAGTCAGAGTCGTTAACACGTTTAAAGCGCCAAGCCCAAGGAAAATTGAATAAGCTATCCGAGGCAAATTTGATTTCTATTGTTTCCGAGTTCGAGAAGCTTTATCGCGATTACCCTCGTCAAAATGTCACATCCACTTTGATCAATCTGTTGATGGGCATGATCTGTGAAAGAGCCGTTCTGCAGGATACTTTCATGGTTCTCCATGCAGGTTTCATTGCGGCTCTGTACAAGCTCGTGGGCATGGACTTTGGCGCCGAGCTCGTGCAGCACGTTGTCGAAATACTGGATGCGGGTGCTGATGAACGCGGCAAATTCGAAGGCAAGGAGACCGTCAACCTGGTCTCCCTTCTCTCGCAACTTTACAATTTCCATGTTATTGGCAGTACCTTGATGTTTGACTACATTCGTCTATTCCTGGCGGAGATTACGGAGACAAACACAGAGCTTTTGCTCAAGGTCATCCGAAGTAAGTGACCCTTCCAAACCCGAATTGCGATATATCTAACAGCTTCACAGACTGTGGTCCCCAGCTTCGACAAGATGATCCGTCCTCACTCAAGGACATTGTTCTGCTCATCCAGCCCGCTGTAGCCAAGGCTGGCGAGGATGCTCTTTCGGTTCGCACCAAGTTCATGATCGACGTTATCACCGATCTCAAGAACAACAAAGTCAAGTCTGCTATTGGAGCCAGTGTGACCTCTGAACACATCACCAAGATGCGCAAGATTCTAGGCTCGCTTAACAACTCTCGTGTCATTCGCGCATCCGAGCCCATCAGCATCAGCCGTGCCGATATCCACGATTCTTCCAAGAAGGGCAAATGGTGGCTGGTTGGTGCAAGCTGGAAGGAGGATCCTTTGGTTGCTGCCAGGAAGGAATTGTCTGGCGCGGCGACAAAGGAGGCTCCCGATGTGGAAGACGACAGCGAAGCCGAACCCGACCTGGGAGACCTCGCTAGAGCTCACCGCATGAACACCGACGTCCGTCGATCGATTTTCGTGGCGATAATGTCAGCGAACGATTTCCAAGATGCCCATGTCCGTCTTCTCAAGCTTCGCTTGAAGAGGGCCCAGGAGTTTGAAATCCCCCGCGTGCTCTTGCATTGCGCAATGGAGGAACAAGCCCACAATCCCTATTATACTCTCATCGCCCGACGCCTCTGCGGTGAACTGGGTCGACGCATTAAAATGTCCTTCATGTTCGCCCTGTGGAACGTCTTCAAGCGGATGGGTGAACGCGGCGATCTTGACGACGATGATGACTTCGACCCTGACGACGAGGAAAGCGGAGTCAGCATGAAGGCTGTGGTCAACCTGGCCAAGATGTACGGTATGCTGATCGCAGACGGTTCCCTGACGCTAGGCATTTTGAAGAACCTCAACTTTGCCTATCTGCAGCCCAAAACCAAAACCTTTGTCGAGATTCTGGTCATTAGTATCATCCAGCAGTCGCAAAAGACTAAAAGGGCAAAGAAGAAGTCTGATTCAAGCGAGTCTGGCTGGGATGAGGAATCTTTGATGCAGATCTTCTTGCGTGTCCAGGAGACGCCGCAGGCAGCCAAGGGTCTGATCTACTTCATCCGCAAGGTTGTCGCCAAGAGTGACATCGTAACGGACAAGGAACAGAAGCTGGTGAAGTGGGGTTGCAATGTTGCCGTGGATGCTCTGAAGGCAGTTAAGGACTAATGGTTGCATGATGGAGGCATTCATTTTCCCTTGTTATAGATCTGTACCTAGAATATACCCATGGACATATCGGTTGAAGTTGTATTGGGCTTTCAAAATGAAAAGCATCATTATCATCGCACATAGCTCATAACAGACATCAAAAGTCTTGCGATAATCATACGAGTATCCTTGTTAGGAGCCTTCTGACATTATATCCCATTCCATAGCGAACAGCCAGCGTTGACTTGTGTCGCTCAGCTCATTGCTTTCCAGGGAAAACCCTTGGGTGGCACTGAGTGCTTGGAAGTCATGTAGTTCAAGATCCCATGCTAAGCCCCGATGGATACCCACCAAGTCTCTTGCTTGGACTGGGAGTGTCTGGAATTCACCAGTATGCGATGCTTGCCGCGAATTGGGTCGAGATCGAGGCAGTCCCATTGCTACGATATTCAAACCTTTCTGCTCTTCTTGTTCTTGAGAGGGTCTTGTAGTCTCAGCCTGAATAAGCGCCACAGGACCAGAGCTGCTCAGTGTTCCCAGGCTAACATTGACAACACGAGCCGTCACAAGATACTTACTCTCGGTGTTTGACGTCTCGGAAGACCTGGCTGAAGCGATATTTTCACGCTTTGATCCCATCTCAAGGATCCAACTTCGCACCTCGGCTGCCATTCCGCCAGGTGTGTAGCCCGGCACTCCCGCGCGAGCTCGACCACGACGGCGGAGCGTGCGTGAAGAAGGGGAGAACGGTGTCGGAATATCTTCGGCAGCGCGATCTGGCGATAGTGCACGAGGCAGAACAAAAGCAGGTTTCCGCCTCTCTGGTGGTGATGTCGGCCTTGTTGCGAATGGGGTCTCGGCTCTAAAAGGAGTCTGACTGCTGGCTTTTTTCTTGGTTGGGAGCATGAAGCGAGGCTTGCTGCGAAAAGGGGTCTTCATATTCCCAGGCGTTCTCAGAGGATCGGGAGCAGCTTCCTGAAGCCCAGGCGACAATGGTGGCACCAGATTATCCTGCTTCCATTTCTCGTCCAAAGGCTGATTCAATCCCGCAGAAAGACGCCGCCGCTTGTGACTGTCTCTCACGGGTGCAAAGACCGCGTCCAAGGCACCCGAACTCGCGGCTTCCTCTGGCAGAGAGCTGTCGATAGCATCATCCGTCAATTCATTTCCTTCAGCTTCCCGGATTCCGGCATCCCTGGCCAACTCGCCATCGTCCGAATCCTCGATCACGTCTTTTTGCCAACGAGGTGGGATAACATTCCGGGACGGTGCTGGGGTACGTGCACTCGCGGACGGTGGGCCATCACCATCGTCGATATCGATATCATCTTTCCACTGTGGTGTAGTCTGTGAGAGTAAAAATCGAGGGGAGTTCGCGAATTGTGGGCCGGCGCTGCGGCGCGTTGATTGCTGGCGGCGGGCCAAGCGGAATGGAGACGGTGTCTGCGATTAGGCCTGATCAATATTGGAACTCAAAAATCCTGAGTCGGGTGCATACTCCGGGCAAAGGCATTGAGTCAAGTTCGATCACTGCGTCAGAGCCGCATGGCGCAAGTTGAGCGCATTGACTGAGGTTCGCGTGGTTGGAGACGGAAGATTGGAGATTGCGGGGAAACATTTAGACTGGCCATCGCGCAAAATGCATCTATCAGGTCCCAGTTTATTCACTTTCTCAAGAACCGGGTTAGAAACTGCCGAGACTGTTTTACACACGGTGGTTACGGTAACGAACAAATTGTAAGCTAATTCTTCACTTTAAATTTCCATCGACATGGCAATTGCCTATGCCATGACATCATGGAAACTATGTACAACAGAAGAAAACCAACAGATGGTCCCTCCATATCTCATGCCAGTCATAAAAACTCATACAACGTATCAACGCCCAATATCAAATTTATGCCAGCTTCGCATCACGCACCGGGCTATCCCTGTATAAAAAGGTTACTTAGTAAATGCAAAGTTCAAAATAATCATGAGCTTCATTATTGCAAAAGGCACGGATAGGCATGAAATATATACAGTCCGAGAAGAAAAGCGCCAAAAATATAATTTAACAATTCAAGATAGGCCGCTTACATCTGCTTAAAATACTCATCAAAGTTGTCCTCGGTGACCTTGGTGCAGTCGAAGCCATAGATCTCGCGCTGGACATCGGCATCGGCCCATTTGTCCGGTACGGGACCCTTGCCTTCACGGAGAGCAGCGAATTGACGATCACGCTCCTCCTTGGCAGCACCATCTCCCAGGTGTAGGGCACGACCGGATGCAGAGGCCATGTTGACCAGCGCCTCGGCGCGGCTCTTACGGACTCGCTCGTAAACGCGCAGAGCTTTGTTGATAGACTCGGGAGATGTATCGGGGAGGCGGGCCAGAGCAACGCCTAGAACGGCGCCGTCCTCAATGGCTTGGGCAGCACCTTGGGCCAAGTGAGGCAGAGTAGGGTGGCAAGCGTCGCCGACCAGGGCGACGGACTTGTAGACCCAAGTAGGGAGCGGGTCGTGGACTCGCAACTTCCACTCGCAGACCTCACCTTCGGGGACGTAGTCGAGCAGGCGCTGTACCATGGGGCAGAAGTCGGAGAAGACGTTCAGCATGGCCTTCTTGTCGCCCTTGGTGGTGTAGGTGGCATTTGTGGCAGCGGCGAAGTTGGTGTCTGGCTGGGTGGTGGACAGGTTGTAGATGGTATTGTTTGAGACTGCGTAGGCGATGATATGGCGTTTTTCACCGATCCAGCGGGTAACGCGCGTGCTGTTCATCAGAGCAAGCAGCTCAGGGTCGTCCTTGATCTGTTCCTTGTGGATCATGATTCGGTAGGCGGCCTGGTTGGTGTCCTTGACGCCAACGTCGACGTTCAGTCTCTTAAGCATCTCAGTGCGGGTGTTGGACTTGATGCCGTCGGCACCCAGCAAGACGTCGCATTCTACCTTGTACGGGGTCTTGCCGTTGTCGCGAGGAACGACGGTAAACGATGGCCGCTCGCCGGACACGTCAACATCCACTGCAGGAGTGGCAAAGTGGAATTTGATAGCCGGCTCCTTCAAGCAGCCTTGGTAGAGCCCGTCGGCCAGTGACGAGCGGTGTCCTACCATGTGCTTGTAACCGTAGGTCTTCTCGATGTACCCCAGATCGACGTGAGCAAGCTCAGCGTCGGTTGCGCCAACTGTGTGCGCTGTCAGTTGATTGATTTCGACATCATTTTTCTACGGTTTTCACGTACCTCGCACGGAAGTACTTCCGATGTTCACGGCCTCGGCCTCGATGGGCTTCCAGACACCCAGTCCGTCAAGCACACGGGCCATGTTCGGGGCCAGCTGGATACCAGCTCCAACAAAGCCGAGGTCGTGTGCGTTCTCATAAACATCAATGTTCTTGAAACCACGCTGAGCCAGAGCAAGGGCACAAGTGAGACCACCCATACCGGCGCCCAGAATGGCAATCTGTAAATCCTGAGGTGACTTTATCATTGTGCCGGATACAGGGGTATGAGGGCTATAGGAGGGGGAGTGAAATTTTAAAAGTTAGAAGAAATCACATAGCAGGAAGAGAGCAATCTTTAAATTTCCCAGCTCACCAAGCTCTAGCGGAGCAGCGCGGTCTGAGAATAACAAAAGCGGCAAAAACCTCATCCGCTCCCACAGCTCCCCACACGACTGACTTGAAGGCGAGTTGGGGGCGTACCAACCACGTGGTTTTCATCGTACTGTAGCCGGTTGGAAAATTACCCGCCGTCGCTCCCGTGGCCACTCAGAGTACTTGAGAACGGAGAATTTATTACCAGTGCTGGAGATGGTTGGTCGTTACAGTGCAGCCCCCGGCTACTGCTCCGCCCAATCAGGAGATATGGTCAAATCGAATCTCCAAGAATGTGAACAAGATCTCGTTAGTTTGATTCTTGGTTTGTCCTGCAATGACAGAGGCAAAGATCATAGAGTAGATGTAGCAGAGCGTGTAGAAGATATGCAGACCACGCGGGTCACGGCCCCACCACCCCGGACATTCCCCACTCGGAGTAAGTCTGGTTCCTTCGCCGTGGCCTAACTGCCGATATTGCCACCCTTGCAGCTTTGATGACTCACGGTCCTTTGGGTTCATGTATAGTGATGATCACTTCATGAGATCACGATGAGATTCCACTTCTGTTTATGTCCGCCATGTCCAGCCCCTCCAGCACAATGCGGAGATTCTCTAGCACTGCACCGGGGTAACTCATTGCCATAGCACAGGTAATCCGTGTGGTCTGCATCATAAACCACTTGTGTAGGGGCCGTGTATTGGAAAGTCGAGCACCGATCACCAAGCACCAAATCAGTGCCCCGGGGAGTGAGCCCCAGAAGCCACTTAGATCCGTTTGCCACAGTAGTGTTTTGAGGTGGATAATACCATGGAATAGGTCGGCGTCATTTCTAGTCCATATTGCACTCTTGAAGATTAAGTTTGCTTGTTCCAACGCTGGTATCCTAGCATCATCGGTCGGGTGGGAAGAAGAATACACACGTTCTGTGCACTCGGCCCCACATCTTGAAAGTACAATTGCGTGGTATAGATCACTGAGGGGTTGGATCAACGGCCCTGTGTTATGGTGCTCATTCCCCAGCATGAAAACATGCATGTCGACATTCCCTAAAGGGAGGTAGGTGCCTTGGAATAAGAGGAAAATCCTCATATTGTTCAATTCCAATGACCCTTTGGAGTAGCTCGATACTTAGATGGTTAGTATAGGGTATAGATACCGGAGACCGGAGACTATATGGGAATACATACAGGAGCAGGCTGTTCCTCAAATGCCCCCCAAAGCCCAGATTAGACTCGCCTCCGCGAAGACTGACCATTCGTTGTATGGCCTTTCGATCATAACAGAGTCTCTCTTTGTCATCATTGACGAGCTGAAAGACAAGGTTAGTAAGGTGGTGCAAAATGTCCCGAGTGAGCGTACGTCGAATAGGAAAACGGCGACCAATGCAGCGATGGTCACATCACTACATGCTTCCCCGCCCTCGCTGAAAGAATCATTCAGCAGTCTCCGCGTGATTGCACATTGCTGAAGAGTCAAAGCACTAATCTTGCCAGTGATACTGAGGTCGTCCCAGGCCGATGCATTGAGAATCTTGGAGCTCATCAAGGCCGGATGAGAAACTGCAGCACAGATCACAGTGCTAAAGAACGGGTGTATTTGGTGACTAAAGTGGACATATTCGTACATGACTGTTTGTAATCAGCATTGTATTCATATCTCTAGTTGGATTGTGTGGACTTACACTTCTGCATCCTTCTATAGCCTGTGGGCGACGAAGGTAACGGCGGCGCGTTTAGTGCAAGATGAACCTCTTTCGGTATACTGGTCGGTGCATTTTGTAGTAATAGAAATGTCTGCGCTTTCTTATTGCCTCTTGGCTTTTCGACTTTGTTTTGCTGGCGTCGTTGCCAATGGTATCGGCTGGCGAGATGCGACCTTGCTTGGCTGAGACGTTCCCCGTGTCCTCGGCGCGGGTCTCCGGTGACCACGACAAAAGGTCCGCTGTCGTCTTCGGCCATTTGGAGGATTCGTTTGTTCTCGGAATGGCAGGTGCACTAATTATAATCCAAAGGCACGTAGGGGGAAATAGAACACATGGGGCTTGTCGGGATTGGCGGGCTTCACTTGTATCACGCCGAGCGTGTTAGTGCGCCTTCCACTTTGGGTTAGATTGGTACTACGGCCCTTATAACTGGTCCAAGTAAGGACAAGAGTGGAGGATATTCTGCCCGTCTTTCTGAAGGTTCAGGAAGAACTGTAAGAAGACAGAATTCGTGGGTATTGGATTAAAGGATAAAAATGATGTGAATGCCCGAGAGATTCCTGGCCCCATTAAGTTTTCTCAAATCAATCCAAACATCCCCAAAGTTGAATCATATTTGGAGTATTTTACTCAGTGACCGCTCCCTAGGACTCAATTTAAACATGTCTATTTCTTCGAAGATGAATGTCGAAACGGTCTGGTTCGGTAGGTGCAGCTATGTTGACACCTTCTAATTTTCCTTCTTCTTTGCTCACGAGAGAAAGTGACCGGATGCTCATCCGGTATCGGCAAATCCCTTGCCCACACCATTTACAATGCCGGTCACCACATTGTGGCAACCGCGCGCGACATCACCTCACTTTCCTACCTCCCCGACGGGCCGACCGTGCTTAAACTGAGCTTGGATGTGACATCCCAAGAAGCGATCACCAGGGCTGTTTCAGATGCTGTCTCGCAATTTAAGCGCATCGACGTCCTCATTAATAATGCCGGCTATGGTCTGATGGGAGACATGGAAAGTATCCCCGAAGCCGACGCACGACTCCAGCTGGAAACCAACTTCTGGGGACCGGTTCGTCTCACAAAAGAAGCGCTCCGAGTGTTTCGAGAAATTAACCCTCATGGCCAAGGGGGTACCGTTGTCCAGGTCTCTTCGATAGGCGGATGGTTGACTGCTCCAGGTCACTCTTTCTATCACGCCAGGTAAGGGCAAATCACAACATAACGAGCGGTCTCCGCTGACATCTAGCAAGCAAATTTGCTCTGGAAGGCTTCACGGAATCGGTGGCCAAGGAAGTGGATCCAGATTGGAATATCAAGTTCCTGATCGTCGCTCCAGGAGGTGTACGAACCAATTTTGCGGGGCCCAGTTTGAAGCTGGCACCTCGACACCCGGCGTATAATGTTTCTGCCAGTTCGTTCAGTCAATTGTTGCAGTATATCACGAATCCTGAGTCTCAATCTTCTTGGAGTGATCCCGACATGTGTGCTCGTGTGCTCTTTGACTGTGTGGTGGGGCAGGACGAACGTCGGATGCCCACGCGCCTACTCATGGGCGCGGAAGCGATCCTGTTGACTAGGAAGGATATCAAAAGTACTTTGGCAGACATAGATGCATGGGAGGATCAGACTATGCAGTGCTCTCAGAAAGAAGATGCATCGCTCAGTAAATAGATGTTCCACCCAAGTGGCCCGCCATAGACCTAGCAATCTCCCGCATGACAGAGACGAAGTTGAACAATGGAAATCCAATTCTTTGAGTTTCCCCCGCACACACAAAGTTTGGCTTGAACTCTGAGGGGGGTTTTTGACAAAATCCCCCTGTTTCCCGAATCAACAACGGTTTGCGGCCGTGAGATTTTCAGGGGTTAACGCTCCACACTTTCGGCAGTGGACTGAACTGGTTCACACCTGACGTCTTTTTACACCGCGAGTGCTTAGGCGGCGATGCTCTTCTGGAACTACGCTATTTACCCCTGAACACAGGGTGGTTTCTTCAGCCTCTGAACGTTTAATCCTATGACGCAGTTTTCGGCTCGGCAACCCCTTGGCCTTACGGAGTTTGGTTCTCGACAGAACTCCACCACGGGGAGTGATGGGTTCCACTTGTGGAACTATTCAACTTTAGCAACAGGCTAGCGGTCACCACTGAAATTGCAATCAGCACCCAAGGCTCCTGTTTTGTGGGATCCAACGCCTCAGCGGAACGTGTCTCGGGCGGCACAGCGCTGTCGATCCCCGGCGTCCTAAGCTCTGGCCTCTCGGCTATCATTGGACGACGTGGCGGGTTAAAGCGGTGCTAATGCTGATCCCTCGGGTTTTCGTTGTTTATTGAGGCGTGTTTTGACTCCCGGACCCTAATATGTCTCCGGCATTTGATGCGAACCATGTGGCAAATGCATTCTCCTGGTGTGTCCCTGATATACCTTTCATCATTGTGATCTTGGTCTCTGGAAGACTGTCCAGAGGTATAAATCCTCCAGAATAATTCCACCGGCAGCCACAGAACCGTTGTTCCACGGTGGAAATGCTGTCATGGCTACTCCCGGCCCTGGAGGAGAGTGCAGATCTCCGGAGTGGCTAATGAAGATGTACCTCACTACGAAGCTTATGACCGGCTACGGCCTCTCCTTCCTCTGTGCTAACACCCACTATCGACTCGACAGTGGAGTCTTTGCTTCGTTATGAGAGGATATTCTGATATCGCTATGATTCTCATTGGACTACCTCACCCACCCACCGGGTTCCTGGCATCCACTTTCTTGCCTGTCGAGTTTGTCGGGGTGATGTGGAGTTCAACCAAGTCATCGACATCAGGAGCATTGGCTCCATGGACGGGATCAGAGTCCATCTTCCCCTGAGCAGGGGTCTCTATAAAGGGCAGTCCATGCCAATTGGGTTTCGATTCTTCCAATACCCCAAGAGTCTCTTTCTGCTTTCCAGCCTACTCCAGTCATTCCTTACCGGTTCTATACCGTCCATTCTTTATTGCTTCAAGCAACAGTCACTCTTTCTATTCAAGATGAAGTCCTTCGCCATCGCCGCCGTCCTGGCGTCCACCGTCGCTGCTCTGCCCACTGGCACTAGCACCTTCAGCTGCATTCCCGCCTCTGTGGCTCCTACGGGCTTTGCTCCTAACATCCCCTTCTGCTCCTCAACTCCCACTGCCTCGCCCACTGCCATCCCCAGTGCCAGCGGTCTCAGCTCTTTCGCCAGCAAACTCACCGGAAACACCGCCGGCAACACCGTTGGCAACGCCGTCCACAGTGTCTTCTCCGTCACCAGCGGAAGCAAGCAGATGCTGGTTGAGCTTGAGCAGAGCTTCGCTCAGAAGCTCACCGGTCTGAACCTCGGCAGCGTCACTCAGTCCATTGGTAAGGTCACGGACCTCGCCGACTCTCCTAGCCAGCTGAACACCAACGGCCTGACCTCCGGCGTCCTGACCGTTGCCACCACCGATGGCAAGTACGCCCTTGTCCAGCTCACTTCCGAGGTTGACAGCCTTCTTTCCCCCCTTCTGTCCACCCTCGGTGGCGTTACCCAGGTCGTCGGTGGCCTCGTCGCCTCTCTGGAGGGACTTGGTGGCAATCTGAGCAACCTCGGCGGCCTTGCCAACCTGAAGCGCGGCCCCATCTCCGACATTATGAGCATCACCGGCGAGAACGGCAACAACATCCTCGTCAAGGTTGAGCCCACCGTCTTCGGCATTCTCGGCGACTTGCCCCTGGGCTCCCTTCTCGGCGGCAGCTCCTCCAGCGAGTCCTCCCCTCTCGGTTCCGTCATCGGCCAGGTCCCCGTCGCCGGTGACCTCGTCCAGCAGGCTACCTCCCTCGGTGCCGACCCCACCCAGCTGATCGGTGTCCTCAGCCAGGACGGCTCCTCTGCTCTTCTCGTCAAGGCCGAGGGCACTGCCACCGGCCTCCTCTCCACCCTCGGCCTCTCCAGCCTGGGCCAGACCGTCGGCAGCGTCGTTTCCTCCACTTCCCTGTAAATGAACCTTGCCCTTGAAGGGATTTCATCATTCGCTTCTATGGGTCCTCTGTTGTTTAGTTTCTTTGTGGGACTAGACGTCACACCAAAATGATTCGACACGAGGAGTTACCCTATATATATATTTTCGTTATTCCTCTTTACCTATTTTATACGTGAAAGCGTGAACATTGAACCTCGAATATAGTTGTATTCGATTGTAATGTCTAGGGTTCGCGGCTAGTAGTGAATTTGGTTCAGAATTTCAACTTTGTATTAACAAACTAAGAATTTTAACGCATTAACGATGCATTCCTCCCCAATAACTTTCCCCATCTCCGTCGTATGGATTGGAAACAAGCTTGCACTGGGGATTATCGTAATCATCCACAGTCCCCATTGGCCAGATCGGAATAACGCAGATTTCATTAACTTCACAGCCGCGGCACTCCTTCCATGTCGTCCAATCCAAATATCTAATCAAACCAGTCAGCGTATCCCGTGCTGATTCTAGCTCCTGCTCCACCCAAACCTCCAGAAGTGTGGAGCAGACCGTGTGAGCAACGCTGTACACAGAACGCGCAGCCAATGACTTCGGGCCCTGCAACGACACAGGCATGAACTGCGTAGCACATCTATCAGCCTCGAGCAATGCATCACGCTCGCTGTAGTCGACAAACGGCGAAAAGAGCACCTCGATGTGGTCATGCAGAGCCTCGATTGTCGCAAGCTTGTTCGAGGCGAGATACGTCAACTCGTCGCTGTATCGAGTGACAATGGCATCGGCCGTTGCCCGCCAGTTCCAGGAGGATTCTCTCGCGTCGTGAGTGAGAACAAGTGCAGTGACCTCTTTCTGGATAGGCTTCAATTCCGAATGCGATAAGTGTTCCAGCCGTGGCAATGCCGAGTCATTGGGGAATAGGTCGACGTCATGGGAGAATGCAGTCACGAAGTTCTCATAGTTGACCGACACTCTGTTTGCACCGATGTCCTGGTATCGCGCAGTCACAGCGCGCATCCACCGCAACGAGTCGGGCCCGCCAGGTCCAGGGCCCTTTCTCCTTCCGCCGTCTGGAGGACCGTGATCCTTCTCTTCCCAGCCATTGTTGCCTCTTGCATGTTCATCCATGGTCCGCGATTTCACTTGGGTGATTCTCACGGGAATCAGATCGCGCTCGAACATGCACAGGATGATCTCAAAGCCGGCTTCCATGCGCAGTACGCCGTCGACACGGCCGGCCCAGTCATCCTCTGCCATCTCACATGCCTTGCGGGCACGATCACCTTCTCCTCTCGGCCCTTTTCCTCTTGGTTCGCTTCCTCGTGAATTGTCGACGGTGCCATTGAATAGGAGTACGTCCTGCGAGTCGAGTGTGCCTTTCTGTGTCTTGGCGGCGGACATGCCATCGATATACAAAAGACGGAGGTCTTTCATTGCTGCGTATGTGTGGAGGTAGCCTGCTTTGTTCTCGTCGAACTGTTCGAAGGGTGGAGGTGGAGGACCGGGGTGTGTCTCGTCTTGACCATGAGGATGTCTCCGACGCAGCTCCTCATGTCCCTCCCGGCGCTTATCCTCATCATCAACTTCACCTGGCGGCGGCGGACCATCAGGGCCACCTCCCGGTGCCCGTCTACGCGGTCGTGCAAACACCATAGCATGCTCCGGCTCAAAAGCAAGCCATTCCGTTCCATTAACCGGACTCTCGTTCGACGTGCCGTGATAAAGCTGCGTCCCAGCAGGAACGGTCACGAGGAAAAAGGAAACCCCATTGTGATGCAGCGAGGAACCCCATTGGCGCATAGAGTCGTGGATCACGTTGAAGATGTGATTGGCATTTTTAACAACCGGACCGGTGCTTGATGCAGCCGATAGCCCGAAGAGGGAGTATACCGCCAGGGCGGAGAGAGGGCGCATCTTGGATGAATGTTCGCCTTTCTTTCCTTTGAGAAGGGAAACGGGGATCAACAAGTTTTAAGCTTGAAAGGAATCTCCGACGATAATCTTATCACTGGTGCTAGCGCCGTCTGGGTGGTCAAGCCGCGTCATACGCCAGCGGTGATCCACCAGTCGTTTCGCGTAGTCTAAGCCGAGTTCTCGGGAATAACGATGTTTAGTGTTTGCATTCGCAATGATGGATTACGTATGGAGTGTGGCTTGCAACAGGCTACGATAATGAATGATCTGTTAAGGCTGCCATATATCGACTGTATACTCCTTGTGTACCACGTCCCTACCCCGCCAGGTATCTTGATGGAAAATATCATATTCACCCTTAGAGGTATTTATTTCTCAATCATTTCCATTTCATGAATACAGTATGCATCTTCCAGCCCTTGGAAAGTAGACCGTAAAACCGACTCGAACACGGAGCGAGCGAAGATCGGCGAGATAAGATCAAAAGATCTCCACAATCTCCCGCATCAGATTGAGCGCGTCACCTCCAACATCCCAGAAATGACACCCATCCACGCGCGCCCCATCTCACCCTCCCGCCCACGTACACGCACCCTCCTCCTAACTCTCGACGCCTTCGGAACTCTCTTCTACCCCCGCCCATCCGTCCCCGAACAATACGCTGCGACCGCGCACGAGTTCGGCCTCTCGCGCACCGCCGTCACCCCATCCAAACTCAAAGCCGCATTCAAAGACGTCTTCCGCGCGCAAGCGAACCGGTATCCGAATTACGGCCGTGCCGATGTTCTTCGCGGGAAGTATGGTGGGCCGAGGCAATGGTGGGAGGAGGTGATCCGGGGTAGTTTTGCCCGTGTTTTGGATCCCGGTCCTGCGCAGGGCTCTAAAGAGGAATTGAATCTTCCATCGGGGATGGTGGATGCATTGCTTGATCGCTTTGCTGGGGAAGGGGGATATACGCTGTACGATGATGTCGCGCCGTTCTTTGCGCGGATGAGGGAGATTAGGAGCGCGTCGACACGCTTTGATCGCGTTGTGCTGGGTGTGATATCCAACTCGGATGATCGGGTCCCCGCTGTGCTGAAGGCGTTGGGAGTGCGGGTTGGTGACATGCGCGCGGACCAGGATCTGTCGAGTATGCAGTTACCTGGGTTTGAGCAGCGCAAAGCGCAAAGTACTGGAGTTTCAAGCGAGGACCGGTCAAATATTGATCTAGATTTGGTGGTAACTAGCTACGAGGCTGGCGAGGAGAAGCCGAATCGGTTGATCTTCGATGTCGCAAAACGGCAGGCGATGTTGATTGCGAACAATGATGCACAGCCTGGCGATGTTCTTACCGGAGAGGGTGAGATGGATGACTGGGTGTGTGTGCATGTCGGCGATGATTATGAGAAGGACTATCGTGCTGCAATTGATGCGGGCTGGCAGAGTTATCTGCTTCCTCGAGGAAATGGAGAACAGCATCCCGCGAAGACTATTCACTCATTAGTGGATTTAATTGACGAGCTGAAAATTGGCTCAAAGGAACCTGTAGGTTGAAGAACCAAGATACCGTTGACACAGTTCGACCATATTTGCTCTGTTTCGAACCCGAATAGGATATACGATCCTTATTCAAATTACATACATCTAATAGAAAATGATAACCCCAAACGCCCATCCCAATAAAGGATATCACTGAACGCTATCCCGGAGCATATGTAGAACCCACGCCATGTGAAAAAGCAATTGTAACGTAACAAAAGTGTACTCGTTCAATCCCATTGTCCTTTACCAGCAAGCGCACCCAGTCCACCACCAGCATGTTTATTCAACAGCTTAGCAATGTTAGCGCCACCGCTCCGCTGCTTCACGCGGAGTTGTTTCTCTCGCTCATGTTCACGTGCAGCAGTGTAAGAGTTGACGGCACCGCCCTTCTTCGGACCAGATGCACCAGGCTTGGTGATGCGGTTGGCTGAAGTAGTGCTGGAGTTGGATGAAGTTGAGCTCCCAGTGACGCGGCGAAGAAGTTGTGGTGGACGGAATCCGATGGGGCCGTCGGAGCTGCCGCCACTGTGGAAGGCCATTTTGGTGTTGGTAGATCCTGAGGTAGTGGCTGAGTTGGATGATGCTTGGCGGAGTAGCGCGAGACGGTCAACGACAGGACGGCGAGTGCGGCGTGGGTTGGTGGGAACGGCGAAGCCATCCTTGGATTGTGACGCTCCGTCCTCCGAGTATGCCTCGTCTGTGCCGGATGTGTTCGAGTCACCCTCTTCGGCACCTTCGTCCTCATCGATGGAAGCGTCGTCGTGGAACGAATCGTATTCGGGGGTCTCTGTCAGGAAGGATAATGTTTCACGGATCTCGGCTAGAGTGGCAGGCTTCTTGGACATTGCACTGGCAGGAGTGCGGCGAAGACGAGGCGGAGGTCGATTAGTAGCGTCTTCAGCAGTAGGCTCCAAGGGTCGCTTGCGCTTCTTGCTGTCGTCGGTTTGTTCCTGAGATGCAACATCCTGCGATTCGCCCTGAGAACCACCCTCTTCCAGGAAGTCCAAATCGAAGTCGTCCTCGACCTCTCGGTCCTCAATGGCCTTGAAAAACGCGGCCTTCTTGGGATTCTCGGCAAGTTCACCGATCTTGTCATCCGCAAGAAGAGCCCGGCGCATCTTGGCAAATTCGCGTTGCTTCTCGCGACGACGTGCTAGACGTTCGTCGTCGGAGTCGTCCAGGTCGAGGTCATCATCACCACCACCGCGGCGACGACGGAGAGCGCCAGTCGTGATATCCCTCATCAATTTGGCAACATCCTTCTCATCCCGGTTCCGTTGGTGGTCACTGTCGATCTGTGTCAGTAGGTAATCATTCGAAGCTGGTAAACGTAACGTACGCATTCAAGGCAGCAAGTTGTTGCTCATCAGCAACCTCGCCACTTTGGTCATTGATCATTTGCTGATCGTAGGCATCTTCTTCGCCGTCACTGTCGTCACTGGCACCTCCAATACCAGCGTATTCATCTTCGGATTCCTCTGCAGCCTCGTCGACGATGCCCTTGGCCTTGCTGTTTTTCTTATCATAGGGGACGGTTGATTTCTTGCTGGCCTTCTTCATCACATTGAAGGCGTTGGCGTTGATCTCAAAGTCGCCTTCATTGTCTTCCTCGTCAACAACGGACAGATCAGCTGCACGGCCTCGTCGAAGCTGCTTGCGTTTTCTTTCAGCAATTGGTGACTGGCTCTGGCCAACGAGGACGGTATCGACAGTCGATACTGGCGGTGTCTCTCTGAAACGCTTGGCAGGGTCGAATGGAGAGAACACGAAGCCTTCGTCTTGAGTCGGGTCGGGAAGCTGGGAATACTGCGAGAAGCCGTGGTTGGCAGGAGACTCGGACACTCTGGCGATGTTTTGGTTGTAGTTGGACATCAAGTCGGATTCATGGGTTTGTTCCTGGCTGTCTCGAACAAGAATCTCAGAATCCTCGGCATGTAGTCGGGGAACGGGTCGGCCTGGATCGGGAAGAGAGAAGGGAGCTGGTGCGGACCCTGACTGTCTCGCGACATCTTCATCTGCCAGAGTGCCAGCAAACGCTTGAGTCAGTCCCATAGACATGTTGGGAGTCCGCATTCCGGGGAACTGGGGTCGCTCAGCAGACTGAGGTGCATTGGAAGGTGGTGGTCTGACTGGAGTCGAGGGTACTTGTGGTTCCTCTTCCTCTTCGTCGTCGCTAACCACACGGGTTCGACGCTTCCGCCGAGACCCTGGGGCTTCGTCTTCAGGGTCAGAGGGCGCAATTTCCCTCCGCTCATCTGCAGATTCATCGCTTTCGTCGGCTTCCTGGTCAAGGAATCCTAGCTTCCCATTGACACCCATGCCGTCATCGTCTTCATCGTCGTCTTCGCCAGACGCGTTGTCATCAGAACCAGAGAATACAAAATCGTCATCATCCTCATCATCCTCATCGAGACCTTGCGCCTTCTTCCTGGCAGCTCTCTCCTGACGAGCAATTTCATCAGCCTCCTGGCGGGCTTTCTCGACCAAATTTTCGACATCATCTTCCATGGCAACACGTTCTTCTGCAGTTTCAATAATAACTCCCCTTGCCCTGAGCTCCTCGATGCGTTCGCGCCTCTCTTTGGCAGCTTGCTGTCGAGCTCTATAGAGCAAACTGGCAGAGAGTTCGGCGGAAGTCATGGAAGTAGTCTTGCGGGTGGGAGATGTCAAGTGTGCCAAGGCCTTGAGTCTGGTCATCGATGTGGATTCTTGCATCTGTCTAGTGGGCAAGTTCTCGAAAGCAGCAATGCGACGAGCCTTGGCAGGAGATGTGACCACCTCCAGATCATCGCTATCCGAATCACCCTGATTGTGCTGGGCAACATCGTGTCTGGACATCAAAACACGAACCGATGGTTGGTTCGTCTTGCGCGGCTCGAGCATGGGCTTAGTCGTATCCAGTTTTGGCTCTGTAGAGGCGGCAGCGGCAGCTAATGGCTCTTTGAGTTCCTTGAGCGCACCATGGGCTGTGACGAAGGCTTCATCTAGAGTAGGCCCCGTGGTTTCCATGTTCTTGTCAGTCCCGCCGATTTCGGACTGGGTTTGGACAGAGATGTCTGTCATAGGCTTGTCCGCGTCTGAGGGTCCGAGAACAGGCGAGGTATGAGGTGTGTCATTTTTCTTTTGGGCGTTTTCACCATCGGAAGAGTGTTGCGAGCCAGCCGTTGATGACGAATTTGCTACAGGAGCCTCCGTAGCGGGGGTCTCCGTTTGCATAAAGTTGAATCGAGCAAAAAAGCTTTCCTTGGTGATTTTCTTCTTCGTTTGTGCCTGATGTGCCAGTTGCATGTTTCGGCTCATCCGCTGGGTCTCCCGGCTCATCTCCTCGAGGGCTTTCTTGCTGGCCTTGCGCGGCTGACGGCCCTTTTGGCTCAGCCTTTGAGCCGAGCCGGGATCATCAGCCTCACTGTCCTCCCCGGAAAGCATCTCGGAGCTGAATTGTTCCATCTGTGCACGCTTTGCAGCTTTCTGTTCTGCCTCGATCTTTTCGCGTTCCTCGCGCTCCTTGCGCTTTAGAGCAACGAGAGCAAGGAAGCGTGCATTAGACTTCGGTTGCTCCTCAATCTCTTCGTCTTCATCTTTGTCATTGGTGGGTTCATTGCGTGACGTCGCCGGCGAAGAAACGAACAAGGGAGAGGCGGACCGAGAACGAGAGGGTGAACGGCGAGATTGACTGCCCAGGGCTGGCGATTGTCTTGCTTTGCCTTTGCTTCTTCGATTAAGTGCAGCAGCGGGGAGATCATCTTCGCTAGATTCCTCGGGTGTGGGGTTTTTCTTCCTCGCTTGCTCTTGTTCCTTCCGCAGGTCATTGGACAAACGGGAGAAAGCTGTGTGTTTTTCGGGGGAGGCATTGGAGTTACCTTGCATGCGCGATGCCATACGCCCTTTAGGTCTGACAAAGTCATCTGCGTCGTCTGAGTCGTCTGAAGAGTCGGCAAGGTGATTTGATTGACGCGTCTCGGAGGTTGATGTGGTTTTGGAAATGAATTCCAGCTTTGAGACTGCTCGTGATGTCTTCATGTGATGTGATTCGGTTTCTGAGTCACTGTCGAATTCAGCCATCATGGCTTTGATCTTCTGTCCTGGTGTGAGAATGTTGGGCGAGTTGCCAGCGGAGGACGCGGAGCGCGTCGACCGCGGCGTGGACGGTGAGGACATGTTGGATGTGTGAGGAGGAATATCGTGAACAGTGAACTATTTGAGGGTCTCAGAGGTCACACCGGGGCCACTGTCAAGGAAAGAGGAGGAATTGAGGAATTGCAGTGGTGGGAAGATCCCAAGGGCGCATAGTCCGAACGCGATGCGCGTGCTTCGCGTTGCTGGGCCGTCCACGTGATCTTATCTTATCGCCCCCAGCCCTAAGCTGCGCATTCGCCAAAATGGGCTGCAGTTCGTAGTTTAGTTGTCTGATGCGAGCTGTCTATTAACAAGTGGATTTTATTCGCAAACTGTGCTGCCCATGCTCCGTAGCTATTGTGCTCATAATACAAAACAGATTCCCATAAAGATTTTCTGAATAGACGCCGCAAAGCCCATGCGCCAATTCCCGATAATAACAAGAAGAAAAGAAGCCGTTTTCTGCATCCACCGCAAGATCCTCTAGTGTGTACACGACTGGCAAGGCTGATACGCAAATCTGGTAAATAGAATCAAAATCAACAAGACAAATACCTAGATGTCAATGTCAATCCCCAGGTCCATATCTCCAATGGCCTCGTCGTCGTTCTTCCTGTAGCTGATCATAAAACCACTCTTGGGCTTCTTCGGAGTCAGACCAGAATTGGGAGTCGCCACCGAAGGGCTATCAGTACCCGGCTTGGAAGCGTCCTTGGGGGTATCGACGGGAGTGCCATCAGCAGGCAGGATCTCTTCCTTCGGTTTGTCGGAGACATCGTGGTGAGTCTTGGCGATGGTTCGGACACGCATGAAAGGATCGGTAGAGGCCTCGCCACGTGCAACTGCGGCGGCGGCCTTGCGAGCAGCCTTTCGCTCTTCGATTTGTGCACGGCGGACATTCTCGTGGTTGAGCTTCTGGTTGCGAAGATTGATCAGGTGGACACGCTCTGCCTCGGAGAGCGTCTTGTCGGCAGCTGGCTTCAGGAGGGTGGTACCCCAGGAGAGATTAGGGTTGAGAATCTGATCCAATTCCTTCTGCAGCTTCTCGACCTCGTCTTCCTTACCATTGGCCCTGGCGAACTTGAGATCTCGCTCCAGGTCAACACGACGAAGAACATCCTTCTTGGCGTCAAATGTACCCTGCTTGCGTAGTTTCTCGTTCAGTTCTGCGGCTGTGAACTGGTGGTTGATCAGGCGGTTGATATCAGCGACCTTGGAGGCCAGCTTTGTTTGAGTGGCCATTTTGCCATCCTCAACGGCCATAGTCTTGCGGTAGCGGTTGTACTCAGTCTACATATAAGTCAGTCATAAACGCAAGATCATATTGGACAAGGTAACGCACGTCAGTGAAGGGGGAGTCGGAACAGGCAATGAAAGGGAACTCGCGGATTGCCTTGCCATGTGCCATCTTGGCATACTGGTCAGTGACAAAGGGCCGGCCATTTGTAGCCTCCATGGCATAGGGCTTGCCCGTAGTGAAGCCTGTGATCAAGCAGACGCGGTACTCGTTCAGGCCAGTGTCCGCATTGGGTCCAATATTGACACGAGCGTAGCAGCCCATGATGGCATCTTCGAACCCAGGGTAGAAGCAGACCTGGGCAAAGTTGCTGCGGCCAACACGAGCACGCTGGATATCCCGGAGCTCGGCAGGCGGGTCGTCTTTAGGTATGGAGGGCGAGCGGCGATTATCTAGTTCGAGGTCGCTTTCGGCTTCGACATCCTCGTCGGACATGTCAGAGCCCAGCGAGCGGGAGCGTCTGCGGGATTGTGGGGTATCGCGGCGGCGCAGTTCATCTCGTTTGCCCTTCTGCTCACGCTGACGCTTGTAAGCGTCGATGGCGGCAGAGGTTTCTCCCACTTTGCGGCCACCCAGAGTCGTCTTCTGTCGGGAGCTCTTCCGCTGATTGTCATCCAGGCCAGCGGACCCGGCCTTGCGCTTGGCTTTAGCAGCAGCTCGCTGTTCATCGCGCTCTCGCGAGGCTAGGAGGCGACGTAGAGCCAGATCCTGGTTGTGGCGATCGACTTGCTGGGCACGCTCTGAGAGAAGCTCCTCACGTTGAATCTCTGGCATTGCCGAGATTTCCTGCTTCTCCTTCGCGGAGTAGTATAGCTTGTCATATGGGAAGATGGGCCGGTCTTCTTCATCGGTGGCGTCTCCCGCATCGGAGTCAGATTCAGACATTGCGGCGGACTGCAGAGAGTGTTGGGAATCGGCCTCGGAGCTGTCATGTACAATGTCATATCAGTGAATGTGCCATGGGAAGTGAGAAAAGACGACACTCACATTTCACCATCTTCATCCTTCACCTTCCGCGGCCGGCGAGCAGATTTGGCAGTTCCCTTGGCACCCATGGCTGCCGGTGAACGATCACGATCTGGTGAGCGAGGGGAGCCAGAAGGTTCTGGTGATTCATCCTTCTGCTGAGGGGGAGGGGAGTTTTCCTCCTCAGAGTCACCAGCGAGAGCCAGCAGCTCAGCATCCAAATCGTCCGCCATTATATAAGTTTATGCGGCCTGAGGCCTTTTCTGCCCTTCAAAGGTAATCGCGTTAAATGTCGACCTTCAATAAGCCGTCCCTTTCAATATTCAGGGCCGGTTGTGAGGCTGAATCACTCCTGGCGAGGAGGCGCAAAATATTGTAGAATCACGAGGCACCAGACCGAAATGGCCCACCAAAGACCCGTATATCGATATAGGCGGTGTCCCCGGTGGCAAGCGATAGACTGTACAGGCGGCGACGGCGGGGAACTGAGGATGTCGATGGATCGGCGTGAATGTCAATCGCAAAGTTGGCCTTTGCCGGCGGTCCAGGACGAGGTGGTGCCAAGACCACAAGCGCGCGCCTGCGCCACGCCTTTCATCAACCGCCACCACCGAATTCGCCCCTGGAGCTGTGTTGCTGTGGCTTCAATAAGGGACGATGGAGTCAATTCCTACACTACGACGATGCCTTTTGGCTCAATTTCGACGTCCGGCTCGGACAGCAGCCCCAATCTATCTTGATTTCCTCGCCCCGACGGCTGTGCGCGCCCAACGCCGACATGCTTCTACCACCGGCCCTTCCGGTACCGCCAAACCTCGATATAGCCTAAGCAAAAAGCAGCGAGAGTTCCTCGAAAGTGCCTTGCGCGTCAACCAGGCTGGTGAACTCGCCGCGACCCTCATCTACACTGCCCAAACCCCCCACGTGGTCCGCTCTCACCCACACCTTCGCCCGTTGATGAAGCACATGTACGACCAAGAAGCAGGCCACCTGAAGACATTCAACCAGCTTGTTGCGAAGCATCAGGTTCGCCCGACCGCCATGTATCCGGTATGGGAGATGGCGGCCAGTTTCTTGGGATGGTCGACCGCCGCGCTGGGCCGTGAAGCGGCCATGGCGTGCACTGAAGCAGTGGAAACGGAAATTGGATCGCACTACAATGATCAAGTTCGCGAGATTTTGTCATGGGAGGCGGATGCTGAGCGCCGGGGAGAGGAGCTGGATGACGAGTTGAAGGAAATGCTGTCCACTTTCCGGAGAATTCGCGATGAGGAGCTCGAGCACCTGGATCACGCTGTGGCCAACGACTCCAAGGAGGCAAAGCCGTATGATCCTCTGGTAGATGTTATCCGACTTGCGTGCAGGGCTGCCATTAAGATCAGCGAACGAGTCTGATGTGAATGTCCCGCGATTGCTACAGGGCATTCCATTCATCATTTCCAAGGTCATATATTCCCTGCGCCAGGCCCTTCTCCACGTTTTCTTCTTCAGCCGTCCTCCAGTCCTCCAGTATATATATATGCTGTGCTGTATCATTATCATGTACCAATAATTTACAAATCACACCCACCTCCAGATACACGAGCTATCGATGGAGCAATACGATCGAAAAAAAATGAGCACTCGAGACGTTGGAAAATCTTTCAGCTGTGGATATGACACCAGACGCCAGAGGCTAATAATCTGCCGGGTTATAAGCTTTGGAGGTAGCGATTTAGGTAGACGTGGAAGCGAAGATCTAGATGTACAAACAGCAGGGTATCATTGAAGAAAATGTCCACCTCTCACTCTAGGTCTATAGTTCCGAACCCCGTCTATGACCTGGTCTGGTCGTGTAATTAGATAGTCCACTGTTACTCGTTCTCCACGTAATCCAAGAAGCCCTGGGAGAATCGGACAACCTGGTGGTAGACCTCCTCGAACCCATTGGCACCGCCGTAGTACGGATCCTTGACCACCTCACCACCACCTACACGGTCATGCAGCTTGCCGGCCTTGCCAAAGTCGCCGAACAAGCGCACCTCCGCCACCTTGGCATCCTCGCCACGCGCGCCCAACTCAGCATCCTTCGCCGCGCGGGTGTTCTTCGCTGAAGACTTGGCATCGGCTTTCTTGCGCAGCATCGAGATCACGTATTCTCTCTCATCCAGCAGATCCCGCAGGTTATACTTGTCCATGGCAAGGAGATAGTCAAATTTCAAGAAGTCATCCCGGTTGACCTTGCGGGCAGCGTGGCTGTAGTTGGTGATACCATGGCGGCGCAGGGTCGACATGGTACGAGAGTCCGGAGGATCATCAGTATGATAGGCACCCGTGCCGGCCGAGTCGATCTCACCGATGGTGGGGTGAGATGCGGCGAGATTGCGGAAGACACCTTCGGCCATGGGAGACCGGCCTGCGAGGTGTTAGCGGGGCGCAAGGCACAGGGCAAGGCAGAAAGTGAGATGGCTTACAGATGTTGCCCAGGCAGACGAATAAAACGCTGACGGGGCCTCGTTCTGAAGGAGACATGGTCGGGGTAATTGGGATTGCTTCACCCGAGAGAGCGTAGGCGTATGGGTTTGTGGTAGCTACCAGTTCCCAGGCGGGGCGCTTCGTTATCGATAGGCCCTAAAACGCCACCGCGATTCGTGCCCTTGCCGTCTCGTGGAATATACATAGTACATAGTACAGCAATGACATGAACTACGATGATGCCATGTCTCACCCGGCCCGTGGTCAATCCGGGGTCGAACCCATGTATATTCTATTCATAGTCCCGTCACCCTAGCTATAAAAAGAATAAGAAAATCATCCGAAAACGGCGCCACGGAGGCTGAGTCGTGGCGAGTGGCTCGAGTGCCTCCCGTTGGCCCAGTGACCTGAAAAGAACTCCACCTCAACCACAATCACACGCCTCCATCTTCATCCGTGGATCGTCCATCCATGTTTCAGGATTCGCGGTGCCTTTTCCCCTGCTCATTTTTGATTGCAATAGTGGCTTGCCTGTGTCTCTTGTCTTCTTCCTGAAGGGTCTTCTCTTCTTGTTCATTTCTAACGTGTTATCTGCAAGTCGGCGATTTATCCACAGGCCACAGTGGGGCCTCCGCATGAACGCCTATTCGTCTGCCTGCCTCCGTCTTCATCTGCGATCAGCCGGGCGTCGTAAACAGAGTCCTTGGCCACTTTCTCATTCAATCTTTGCTTCCATCGTGTGGCAAGGTCCCCCTCTTCGTTCCCCAGAATCCTCCCCGCCCTCTCATATTCGCTCGGGCCATTCGTTAATTCTGAAACCGTGCCGAGAGTTTTGGGGCCCCGTCCGTCGAGCTAGTGAAGCCAGAAGACATTCCACTCGCTGCTGCTTCCTGGCGCAATCTCCAACCGAGCCACCCCTGCTACCAACTAGCAGCAAGCCTGAGGACGGGCTCAGTTCCGCCGAACTCAAATTCGACGCTGACGATGTCCTACAACCGAGTTGGTTAGTTCCTTTCTCCTTTTCGTTTCCGCCCTGTGCGCATTACACAATACCTTGAAATCGTGCTGGACATTGTGCTTTGCATGGTTGCGGTGCGACTAGCTACCGAAGTCTTGCGATTGGATTACCTGTGCTTTGGAAGCATCGTCCGGCAGACAGACAGACTGACTGACTGACAATGCCTACTCCAGATCCCTTTAGGGATGAGCATCATGAGCCCATGATGAACCCTTCTCATGTCACCAGCTATACCAATCGCACCCCCTCTCCGGGCCGACACCTGAACTCCTACCAGCTCCAAGACAACCCCTACACTCCTACGGGGCATCTGCCCATGCCCTCGAGCGATCGTCTCGCCGACCAACCCACTGTGAGTATCTCTATTGGACGCGCGCAACCGCACGGCACTAACATTTTGCTTGTTAGTACTCGGTTGAGAACATCCACAATTCCTACGGTCACAATGAAGCTTACGAGGGCCACCAACCTTATGGGTATGCGGATTACACGGTCGACCCCGAAGCTCACCACGACGCCTACTTTACGCAACCTTACCAACCGTCGCACGATGACTACGACCTAGGCTCATACCCAGAGCCTAGCCAAACCCCTTACGATGATAATGCGCCCATGTTGCAAGTTAGCGAAAACCCCTTCGGGCCGGACCCGTACAACGGCGATTTCCAGGATGAACCACGCCCAACCCCCAGCCCTGCACCTATTCGACGATGGAAGACCGTTAAGGAAGTCCAATTGTTCAATGGCAACCTCGTCCTTGATTGTCCCATTGCCCCGAAACTGCTCAGCCAGGTGCCGCACGCTGAAGCCCCCGGTCGTGATGAGTTCACTCACATGCGGTATTCAGCCGCGACTTGCGATCCCGCGGACTTCTTCGAGGAACGCTTTACTCTGCGCCAAAAGCTCTTCGCAAAACCCCGCCACACTGAGCTGTTCATTGTAGTGACCATGTACAACGAAGACGATTTCCTGTTCGCTCGCACCATGTCCGGTGTTTTCAAGAACATTGACCATATGTGTTCGCGCACTAGCAGCAAAACCTGGGGCAAGGATGCTTGGAAGAAGATCGTGGTTTGCATTATTAGTGACGGTCGTGCGAAGATCAACCCGCGAACTCGTGCTGTCCTAGCAGCTCTGGGTGTGTACCAGGACGGAATTGCCAAACAGCAGGTCAACGGCAAGGACGTGACGGCGCACATTTACGAGTATACCACCCAGGTCGGCTTGGAGGTCAAGGGCACCCAGGTTCACCTGAAGCCCCGCGCGGGCCCGCCGGTGCAGCTGATTTTCTGTTTGAAGGAAAAGAACCAGAAGAAGATCAACTCTCACCGCTGGTTCTTCCAGGCGTTCGGCCGCGTTTTGGATCCTAACATTTGTGTGCTCCTCGATGCCGGTACCAAACCCGGTGGAGACTCGATCTACCATCTGTGGAAGGCATTCGACGTCGAGCCTATGTGTGGTGGTGCTTGTGGTGAGATCAAGGTCATGTTGTCAAAGGGAAAGAAGCTGCTGAACCCGCTGGTGGCTGGTCAGAACTTTGAGTACAAGCTGAGCAATATTCTTGACAAGCCGTTGGAATCTGCATTCGGTTTCATTACTGTGTTGCCCGGTGCTTTCTCTGCTTACCGATTTGTCGCTCTGCAGAACGACAAGAACGGCCAGGGCCCACTCGAACGATACTTCCTGGGTGAGAAGATGCACGGTGCTAACGCCGGTATTTTCACCGCCAACATGTACCTGGCCGAGGATCGTATCCTGTGTTTCGAGATCGTCTCCAAGCGGAAATGTCGCTGGCTGCTGCAGTACGTCAAGTCTTCGACCGGTGAAACCGACGTGCCGGACCGCATGGCGGAGTTCATTCTCCAGCGTCGTCGTTGGCTGAACGGTAGTTTCTTCGCTGCTGTCTACGCCATTACCCACTTCTATCAGATCTTCCGGAGTGATCACAGCTTCCTCCGCAAATTCGCGCTGATGATCGAGTTCGTCTATCAAACTGTCGCGATGATCTTTGCGTGGTTCGGTATCGGTAACTTCTTCTTGGTTTTCCACATTCTCACGACATACCTGGGCGACAAGGCGCTTCTAGGCACCGTTGGTCAAATTCTGGGTATTGTCTTCGAATGGCTCTACCTAGCAACTTTGGTAACGTGTTTCGTCCTGGCTCTCGGTAACCGACCCGGTGGGTCGAACAAGTTCTACATGACAATGGTGTACTTCTGGATTTTCATCATGCTATACCTGTCTTTCGCAGCAGTGTTTGTGACCGTGAAATCCATTCAGACGGAAGTGAAAGAGAACAATTTCACTGTCAGCCAACTGTTTACCAACAAGACCTTCTTCTCGATCATTGTCTCACTTGGCTCGACCTACGTCATGTGGTTTATTGCGTCCTTCATCTTCATGGACCCATGGCACATGTTCACCTCTTTCATCCAGTACATCCTGCTGACACCGACCTACATCAACGTTCTCAATATCTACGCCTTCTGTAACACTCACGACATCACGTGGGGAACCAAGGGCGACGACAAGGCCGAGAAACTGCCCTCCGCAACCCTGAAGCCCGGCGGCAAGGTCGACGTCAACATCCCCCAGGACGATGGCGACCTGAACGCGCAGTACGAAGCCGAATTGAAGAAGTTCGCCACGAAGCCGCCCAAGGAGGTCACCATCATCTCGGAGGAGGAGCGCCAGGCCGACTATTACAAGGGATTCCGCAGTGCCGTCGTGTTGGCTTGGGTGTTCTGCAACTTCGCCCTCGGCGCCGTGGTCCTGAGCGCTGCCGGTCTGGAGACCTTCGACAAGACGAGCAGCAGCAGTAGCAGCAATTCTCTAGACCTGACGCAAAACGAGCGCTCGCTCATCTACATGGAGGTTGTTTTGTGGAGTGTGGCTGCACTTTCGATGTTCAAGTTTGTCGGGGCGATGTGGTACCTGGTGGTTCGGATGGTGAGTCCCTCTTTCAATCCCGTTTTCATTTGACTTTTGATGCTAACTTCCATCCAGTTCCGAGGCGTTTGATTCCGGCAATCTCTTGCATAACCACCGTGCTGCACTTTTTCTATCTTGTTCTCAGTATATCCCCTGTTGATTGAGTTGCGATTACCACGGCGGGCCCGGTCTGGTATGAATCCATCGCATGGAATCTGAATTCGTGTAATATGTGTGACGAACCCTTCGCGGCATTTTGTCCGACGTTGATGTATCCAGTATTTTGTTTGTTTTGAAGCTTTTCCTGTTTCCTTTTTCTCTTCTCGGACATGGATGCATGGTGGATTTGTTCGATGGGTTTCTCTGCTGTATCTGTAGATATGGGTTTTGTGGACTGGGTTGGATGGGGTATAGATGGAATTGACTCATCAACATATTGCTTTACCTCGATGTAGATCTAGGACATTCATTTCTATATTGTGTTTATCTTTCTGAATTTCTTGCGGATTATGGTACAGGTACTCGATCGTCAAGCACGTAGGTTGAGGCCAGGAGCCGATCAACCAGTCTGGTTTTTAGAATGAACACATACAGCGATTCCACCCAACACCAGCAACAAGCCCAGCCATGTCTCCTTCGCAATCACCTTGCGCTCCACGTACCACTCCCCGAGCACGGTGAACAGGAAAGCACTCGAGTTGGCAAGCGGAACTGTTAACGAGAGCTCTATGACCCCATCAGCATACTGCCTCACAAGACTACGCAAAAGACAGCGAGCAAAAACGACATACCGTGTTTCCCAACCAGAAGAAAGAACCACACACTGCCGGTCAAATTGACCACCAGCGGAACGGAATACGCCGGAGTCCGCAGGAGATTCACCACGGTCCAGAAAACAGATGTAATCTTGGCGCGCAACCACGACTGCTGGGCCGGCGACTTTTGCCATGCGGGCGTAGGAATATCATCCTCATCTCCATTCCGGTCCTGTTCCGCAGCTATTGTATCCTGACGCTGCCGACTCCCACTCCGCCTTCGAACGCCTTCATTATCCTGCTCGTCCGACGTGAGCAATTCCTGCTCCTCTTCTTCCCCGTCAAGTCCAGGCTGCGCGGAGTTCTGGGTCTGTGATCGCCCGCGGTTTGGGGCAGAGCCGGACTGCTTCTCTTGTCGCGCGTTGAAGTCTGCGGCGGCGCGTCGGATGAAGGGTGTTGTGAAGCCCCATGCTACGCCGACGAGAAGGAAGGAGAGTACGTAATTGAAGACGGAGGGCGCGGGCTCCGGGATGCTGGCGTCGGGATCCATTGTGAATCGAGTCTGGAGCTTGAGGCTGTTCAGGGAGAGTGGATGATGGAGATCTCCGAGAGCTCGGCTGTTGGTCCGAGCGTTTGCCGATCAGAGCAGATGAAAGGTACAGCCGCTCTCTCGCATCTACACCAATGGATCCATGCAATCATGAACCTCTTCTGTCTCTAATCATGATTCGTTGAATACCAGTTCCCCTAGTGCTCACTTGGGCCCTGGGAGTAAGATCGGGTCCCACACTCGCGCCGGCTTTAACATTCGAACACCGAACGCCGGGGGAGGGGCCATATCATAGAACATACATAAGCGGGTCGATTCCCACTGCTGGAAGTCAATTCTACTTCTTACGCATATCCAGCACTCACACACCATGGCAATTCCCTCAGACCCCAAGCTTGATGGCTTCGATGTCCTCCAGACCAACTTCAAACATGTCGGAGACCACCCCATCCGAGCAGACATCCTCGTACCCCAGAAGCCTCACGCAGGCAAACGACCCGTGATCCTCCACTTCCACGGTGGCGGTCTGGTAAGCTACTTTCCAAGAAAGCCAAAAGACATACATCTTAACCCATACCCAGGTCTTCGGTGACTCACTGTTCATGGACTTCTGGCCACACTGGCTCTCCGATCTGGCATTAGCCCACAACGCCATAATCATAAGTCCAAACTACCGCCTCATGCCAGAGGGAACCAGCGCCCAGATTTACTCCGACATCGAAGACTTCTGGACATGGGTGCACTCCCCGGCCCTCGCAGGCCTCCTAGCATCCCACTCCACGTCGACAGAGCTCGATCTAGACCGTATCCTAACTGCCGGCGAGTCTGCAGGCGGCTTGATAAGCATCTACTTGGCGCTCGCGCACCCGAAAGAGATCAGGTCCGCGACAGCCAGTTACCCACCTGTAGACATAGGCTCGGATGACTACAGACTTCCGCGAGCGCGTCCATGTTTCGGACATCATGTTCCTGAGTCTGCTTTCCACGATGAGGAAAGCGCTGCTGAAATCGGCACGGCCCGGTCGTCTATTGCCGCCCCATCTCGGCTGACGTATATGCTTGCTGCTCTTGAGCATGGGAAGCTTGCGGAGGTGTACGAACGCGGCTCGGAGGGCGTGCCGCGCGAAGTCTTGTATCCGATGTTAAAGCTGGAGCAGCCGGATGTGGGGATTCCGGTCGGTGGTATTGCGGTTATTCAAGGTCGTCAGGATAGCGTGGTTCCCATGGGCGGTGCTGAGAGGTTCGTGGAGCGGGCGAAGCAGGTTACGAAGGGCCTTCCTGGGAATGAGGGGGTGGTGTTTACCGTTAGAGATGGGGAGCATGGATTTGATGGGTCTGCTAGATACAGTGAGGAGTGGCTGAGGGATACGCTGAAAGTGGCTGTTGATACTTGGGTGAAATAATTGATATAGAAGCGCAGACATTTATCTCTTTCCTTTTGAAATTCGATAACTTGGGTCAGCATATTTTTGGTGCTCTCGATGAATTGAAGCAGGTGTAAGTGGTAATTAGTATAAATTGTAGCTTCTATAGAAGAGTCTGAGTCTATAATGATGGTATCGACAGAAAGAAACATGAGCATAAGGGACAGATGTACAAGTAGAAGACAAAATAAACAGAAAGGAATCAAGAGAATGAAGGGGAAAGATCACTGGTTGGCCTTGGAAGCTTTCGACGGCACAAAGCGTGCAAACTTCTTCTTCATACTATCCATGTCCCACTTCTTAACACGGAAGAGGTAATAGAGCAGGGTGGCCATGAAGATGTTAAAGGCAATGAAAGCCCAAACAATGCCAAAGTTACGCCATCTCTGGTCGTAATAGATCTCCGAAGTTGCGAGGTACTGATCCCCAATAGTGAGAGGACAGTATTCACAACCCGAAGTCGCGTTCTTGTTGAGAACCTGTCCTCCGGCTTTGGTGGCATAATCCTTGAGATAGTCCCAGCACGTCAGGCCGGAAGGAGGGTCGAAAACAGAGAGTTCTGCGGGCGAGCACACGACTTGACGCCCGTGGACTTGGGTAGACGCCATGGCCCCAATCCAGTATGTGAAGGGGGACACACGGTACATGAAGATCCAAAACCCTGGTAGGGCGGTTGGGGGCTGCATGACACCGCAGAAGGTGAGCGACATAGCAAAAAGGAGAACGACGACGGCACTCGCAGTCTCAGCGTCGGGCAGAGCTGCGATGACCATTTGGGCGAATGTGCTGGCGTAGATAAAGAACTGGATGCAGAGCAGGAGCACGGTGACCTGGCTCACTGAGCTGGTGATTCCGACAACGGCGTAAAAGTAGCAGGCGTAGATCAGAATTCCAGTGATAACCATGTACGGGATCTCAACGATGACGTTGGCGATTAAAAAGGCTTTCCAGGAGTATGCCTTGCTGGGTCGCTCTCGGACCTCGTAAAGAGATCGCTGGGTCACGAAGAGGGGCATCAACTGAAGAGTAGGTTAGCAGATGCTTAATATAGACATGTTGGGAGAATGAGTAACGAACCTGTTGGACCAGAGAAGTAAAGATGGTGCAGAGCATGAAAACAGAGTAGATGATAGTCTGCATGCCCTGAAGCGATGTTTTGGCGTCGTAGAAAGAGAATCCAATGAAGAGACCGGCAGTAATTCCCAGTGCCCACTTAGACATGATATAAGAGGGCATGCGCCAGTACTGCTGGAACACACGATAGGTCACCTGCCACAGCTGGAACCAGAATGGCATAGCGAACTCGGAATGATTGACAGGCTCGCCCTCAGTAGCAGTCGCTCCCTGGCGCTCTTTGTGAATGCGATCAATCTCGGTCTGGACACCTTTGCTCTCTTGGCTCTGCTTCCAAACATCGAACCAGTCCTCGCCTTGTGAGTTGCTCCCTTTGTTCACAACATCGAGCATGTATTCGGCAGGGTTCTCACTATCTCCGCATGTGCGTGCGCCGTGGGACTCGAAGTAGTCCAGCAGGGTCCGTGATTGTTCGCCAATTGGTCCAAAGTAGACGGTCTTTCCACCGCGTGCTAGGAAGAGCAGTTGGTCAAACTCCTGGAACAGAATAGCGGAAGGCTGGTGAATTGTGCACAGAATTGCTTGGCCGTGGGAGGCCAGGCGTCGAAGGAAGGAACAGATTGCCCAAGAGCTCTGGGAGTCAAGTCCACTATATTAAAGTCAGTAACTTCAAATATTAGAAACCAGATTAGGTTAACTTACCTTGTAGGCTCATCCAAGAAGAGAAGAAGCTTCGGCTTAGCAGCCAATTCAACTCCAATAGTCAAGAGCTTCCTCTGCTCAACATTCAAACCGGAACCGGGCACGCCAACAATTGCCTCAGCAAAGTCTTCCATCCGTAGCATTTTGATGACATCTTCCACATAATCATGTTTTTCCTTGATCGAGACACTGGCCGGCTGACGGAGAAGAGCACTAAAGCGAAGAGACTCGCGAACGGTCGCAGTCTCAAGATGAAGATCCTGCTGCTGAACATAGCCCGTCTTGCGCTGGAAACTAGCATCGAGGCTATTTCCATTGACAAACATATCTCCAGTCACAACACCAATGGAAGTTCGATGAGCAAGGACATCCAAAAGTGTAGTTTTTCCGGCTCCGCTGACGCCCATCAATGCAGTGAGTGTTCCAGGCTTCACCCATCCAGAGACATGGTCCAGAAGCTTGCGAGGCTCTCCCTTGATTTCAATGTCATAGGAAACATCACGCCAGGTAAAGACGTCAGTTTGTGCCTGAATCGCTCCCATACCGCCATCGCCTTCTTCGTCTGATGTGGATTGCTTCACCGGCGCATCCTCAATTTTTTCCACATCGGAGCCCGACTCCATGTGACCACGACGCATGTGAGCGGGCTCATGTCCACGGCGGAAGACCAATGCTTCAGCGGTGCTTGTGGTGGAAGAGTTCAGCTCACACGCCACGAAGTAAATGGTCATGAAGCCGACAAGGAAGGCGATGAGGATACCAAAGTTCCTCCAAACATGGCTATAGCTATACTGATAATTCAACCAGATATACAGATCGCCATTGACGGTTGTCTCGCCTGCAATAGAGCCGGGGGCAGAGCAAGAAAACGATTTGCCAGACATGTCCGCGTATGACGGGATGAACTGGGAACAAGGGAATTCGCGTCCGTGGAACTCGTTGGCAACCAGGATCTCAAAGGCGTAGTAAATTGGGTTCAGGTAGTGGATCCACTCGAACCAGGGGTGCATGGATGGGCGCGGCAACACAAAGCCTGTATAGACGACCAGGGCGAGGATCATGACTCCGGCCAAGGCCATTGCTTGAGACACAGTCTTTGTGATTGCGGCCAAGGTTCTGAAGACTGCAGACATGACGAAGGTGACAATGAAAGTAATCAGGAAGTAGAGGAAGAAGTTTCCAGGTTCTCGCTGGAGACCGGACAGGAAATAGATGATGACGTTGAAAGCCACGGCAAGACAGAATTTGACCGGGATATCGGCAAGTACACCAGCAATAGCTTCTGTGAAAGGATGATAGAATGCATATGAGTTGTGCTTTTCCACGATCGGCCGTTGAGAATAGAGACTGTTGATTTCAGACATGGCTGTGAGGGCATTCAGAAGTACTGCGAAGAAGAGCGTGGCTCCTTTCTCTGTGAAGGCGGCGGTCGTACTGGGAGCATCGTAGAACACAGATCCAATGATCAGAGACATAATAATGTTGGTAAGAATGGTTGAAACAGTTGCAGCGGCATCATTCCAAAGTCGTTGATAGGCGCGCTTTGTGTTGAGCTTGATTTGCATCGGGACGCTGATGATATATGGTGACTTTGGTCGAGTGTGTTTGGCCTGGTTACCGCGCTTCCGTTCTTGAAACTCGATAGCAGCAGCCGAGTCCTGTTCAACGGGATATTGCTCCTCATATGCAGCAATCTCGGCCTGCAGCCTCTTGTGCTCGGCAGAGTTGAGCCATGCATTTTCAAAGTCCTCGACCGTGCGAGGCACTTGGCTTTCCATGCCAGGCTTGGGTCGACGTTCCCCGGGGTTGGTTACCGAAGTGAGGAAATCACCAGTCGTCTGTCGGGGTGGGCAATCCCAACCCTGATTTTCAAAGTAGGCCTTTGCCTCCGCAGCGGGTCCATAGAAAATCTCTCGACCATCATACAAAACGATCACTTTATCGAAGACATCGTAGATATTTTGACTGGCCTGATAGGCAGCAACGGCATGAGCAGAGCCAGTCAGATCTGAAAGCAAGCGGAGTGACTCTACAAACTTCAGTGCAGTGGCAGAGTCCAATCCGCGAGTAGAGTTATCCCAAGCACCAAGAGGAGAAGCAGCGAGGGCCATCTCAGCAATGCTGACTCGCTTTCGCTCACCACCAGACACGCCACGAATAAAGTCATCTCCGACGCGAGTATTATAGGTATGGCTCAGGCCGAAGACGGCCATCGTGACCTCTGCCATGTAGCGGGCGTATTCTGCGCGGGACATACCCTGGAAGCGGTGGGAAGGTGTTCGCGTGGCGGCGGCAAACTCCATAGTCTGGCCGACTGTCAGGTGAGGGAAATGTCGGTCAACCTATGTAATGGAGATTGTTAGCAAATGAAGGATAGGTGATATTTGAGCTTGCATACTTCTTGGTTGTATACCACCTCGCCCTTGAACTCTTTAACCATGCGCGACTGGGGAATACCTATATCCTTTCATTAGTAAAGCAAAAAGGCGAGGAGAAAAGGGTTACTAACCATTATAATGAATCACACTGTCCGAATCAAGCTCCAGGCCATGTGTTTCTCCGCACAGCGACTTGAGGAACGTACTGCATCCCGCACCGGGACGACCCAGCACGAGGAGCAATTCGCCTTTCTTGAGAAGACCAGAAAAGTCCTTAAGAATCCGCCTTCGAGGGGCATGAGATTCACGGATCGTTTGTGGCAATCGAAGGGGAGAAGACAGCAAGGAGGACACGGTCTCCTGGAACTGCAAAGCAGCACCAGATCCATATACATTCAAGTTCTTGAAAACAATCCCCATATTGCGGCCCTTTCGACCATCTCTGCCAACGTCGGTCATAGCCGCAGCTAGCCATTTTTGCAGATTGAAATTTGGGGACTGAGGATTGAGAGCGGGATCGTGTTCTGCGACAGATGCTAGTCGATGGGTAGGAACAATGGATTGTCGGCGCGATTGCTCCGTTGCAATGCGTGTGAGGGTATCTCTTTCATTTTGGTCAATTAAGGAGATGGGCTCGTAAAGGGGCCCTTCACTTTCGGAAGACATCTTGTCTTCTGTAAGTGTATCTGAAGACATTATTCCGAGATAGGCAATGGAATGCCGAACTAGGAAGGAAAGAAAGTTCACGTCAAAACAAAATAACTAAGTGAGAGGTGACAGGTGGGATAGGGAATTATTTAAGTAAATGTTTGCTGGTTCCGGAACAGACCCTTCTCACTCGCATTAACGCATAAAACTTAAAATTGTTCGAGATGGATAGCACTATTGAATCATTCTTTGTGCATTCGGCTTGGCTATTGAAAATGTGGATCACTCGGGGCCGGAAAGACAATCGATCCCGGAGCCTCGAGTCGCCGAGGCCCATCTTACTGGGAGGGTCGCGATTGGCTGTGGATTCCACCGGGGTCGATCCATTTGCCTCTGATTGATCCCGGAGGGACTTTATTTGGTTCCGATGACTCAGCTCGGTTCGGCCGAACTTGACGGTTTTCGGGATAGGGTCTCGTATCGGGTCAAAATATGTTTGACCCGAACCAACTTTTCACATACCTGTACCTTGGCATCCACAAGGCGCAGTTCAGGTCCATACCTAACTACCGAAGAATACATACCTCCGGAGCATAAAACACAAATGGGCAGGCACGGGACTAAAAGGAATCCGCAAAACTTGTCAAGCGACAAAAAAAGTCGTTCACGTACGGATTTCGCAGAGTACAGTTTACGCAAACCTCGCCCAGAAATGCCCAGAAGCGCAAAGTTCTAGACCTTCACTACCGATCCACACCAGATGATTCATAGATTATCTCACAAAAAACAAAAAAAGATAAGGTTTCAGCCACGAGGGTTTCCAGCCACGAGGAACAGGACTTTATCTCCATGATGTTTGAGGCGGGAGATCGGTGAAATCCGATAGTCAGTATTATCGATCCCCCGTTGATATGGTACGGATGCGCAATGCGTGCGATGCATAAAACGATGTGGCCAAGCCAAGACCCGACCATAACGTACCGAGGCTAGATATGGGCTTGTGAAAATCTAAAACTTTACTTAAGGGGTTTTGCTTCCGCTGAGTAATCGGGATAACGTCCCGTTGCAAAATAAGACCCTATGAATGGTGTGGGGCTATCTGAAATTATTTTAGGCAACGAGAGAGTTCCTGTACCTTCCTGTACCTCCCTTATCGCTGACGCCGAGTTGACTGCCTATTTTGATTTGTTCTGGTCCGTGGTAAAAAGGACCTCGTGGCTATAACTGACGTAATCGGTAAGCGAGTGGCGCAAGGAATAGAGCTGCGCGCCTACCCACCCTCTATGTTTTTGACTGCTTCTTTGAACCAGATGCCTTTAGTTATATCAAGTAAATTATCCAATCGGATACGCATTTGCCCACTCCCCTGTCTCTCTGCATTTTCCACTTGTTGGTAAACGCCGTCGCACTGGTGCTACCGCTCGCTGAATAGGCTGCGCTGGAAACCGTACCGGAGGGTGTATAGGAGGCCCATGGTAGGTCCACGAATTCCAAGCCTGTCCGAGGCCCCGGCGAGACTTCAAGCTCATGCTGCTTCAATCGGCGATCCACTTGGTGGACAGAGGCGCCAGCGCACTTTCGGTCAGAGGTGAAGGGCGGTCGCCGACAAAATGCAGGCACAGACGTCGCGATGCGATGCAAAGCTTTAAGACCCTTTTGAAGGATTTGGTCTGCTGATGTCGTAACTCATACTATAGTTTAAAACGGGAAAAGTGTGACGAGATTTACTAATCTGAGATTTACTAATAGAGTTCTCTACCAATAGATTTCTCTCCGCTCACCAGATCCCATCGTTCTTGATTTGAAATCAACATGGTACGTCGTGGCATCATCAGGATTCACTTTCCTCTTGTGCTCTAGTGTTCACTCGACTGCGGGTTATCCAGGATTATAAGTGAGTGAATAAGACACGCGCAGTCTCTCTATTTTTCTCGAACTTTTCGAAAGTTTCGTCACAAATTAGAGTTTGAAACTATTTGGCCGATAAAATCCACAATAATGCAGCCTCTCGTTGAAAACAACGTGATTATCAAAGGATACCGTATCGCCTACGGTGTTCATGGCTCTGGGCAGCCCGTCGTTCTTTTACACGGGACTCCGTCTTCGTCCTTGATCTGGCGCAAAGTGTTACCTCATCTTACAGGTTCCGGGTACAAAGTCCATGTCTACGATCTGCTTGGATATGGTCTTTCAGAGCGTCCATGGGATCCAGAAATTGACACCTCCATCTCTGGACAAGTACCTATCCTGGAGGCACTTCTCGATCACTGGAAACTTGAAACTTTTCATCTGATTGCTCACGACATTGGAGGCGGAATTGCGCAGAGATTTGGTGTTTTCTTTCCCCATCGGCTACGCTCCTTGTCATTGATCGACGTAGTGAGCTTCGACAGCTACCCTTCAAAAAGAACAAAAGAGCAGATGAAGAACGGACTGGAAACCCTTATAAAGACAAAGAACGATGAACATCGATCGCACTTCAAAGACTGGCTACTTTCTGCGGTATATGATAAACAAAAGTTTGCTGATGGCAACCTTGACGCCTTTCTGGAATATATCTCTGGACCTATTGGCCAGAGCAGCCTGTTCCAGCACCAGGTGCGACATTACGATCCCAAACATACGATGGAAATTGCCCATCAACTACATGAGCTGAGCGTCTTGCCTGTGAAAATTGTCTGGGGCGCTGACGATGCATGGCAAGTTGTAGCCTGGGGCCATAACCTCAACAAAGCTATTCCAGGGTCTGAATTGGAAGTGATTGAGCATTGTGGACATTTTTCACCGGAGGATCAACCGGACAAGATCGCGGAGATTTTGATTTCGTTTCTTAATCGTCATAAAAATAGCCACAGTCCTGAGACTTCATAGCTCGGAGACTGGGACGGAAGGCTTCTTCCTTCCGATCCACCGTCTCCGCGGGATTTCTTGGTGATTGAAGATCTTGGATCTTTCGAGAGGGGGTGAGGCATCTTTCATATGCTCCGTTGCGACCCCTCGCCCATTTTGCCAGATACAATTTGCCCTAGGAGCCATCTTCGAAGGACTCGGCATCGGTTCGAACTTGATAGTACCTTTTTGTTTAGTTGTGCCTTCCAGTTCTGTGTCTCAGGTAACGCATCCAGTCAGAGATCTTTTGTTCTCGTATGTCTACGTCGTAGCCGTTGGACCTCCGTGATAGGCGCTATGCACTCGTCATCGAAGTGAGTATTAGACCATATAACCGGGAAGCGATGAACAATCGACAATTGCGCCCCCCCCAAACACAAACTAGGAGCTCGACCGGGATCTGACGGCTGCTAACATATGGACGTTGATTTTCCCCTCATTTCTATCTTTATTCCGACATTATTGTAAATATCGCATTTAAAAGCGTGCTTCTAAAAGAGGTGTGACGGCTCCATCAGACTGATTGCAATGAACTGGCTGGGGCAGTCTCCGCGAGACCGAATATGATTTCTAAGCACAGAAATAACTATCGTATCATGGTTGGATGGGCTATACCCTGTCCAGAACCACCCTTTTACAAAAAAACCAGCAGGCTGGGGATGAGTTTCGAATTTCTGGCCACTTTGCATCCCCACCTTCAGTCGAGCACCCTCACCCCACAGAATTAGAAACTATTGGGGAGGAAAGGACGCACGCATACAAACACGTTTCTTAAGCCCTACAAAATTCTGGGCACATTGGATTGTGCCACACACTGGACCTAGACGATTACAATGTGCTGACATTCTAACTCACTAGGATACTGGGTATGATGAACAACGCCTCGTATTGCAATGATAGACATCCTCGGGCTCACGATCTCTATCCCTCGAGTCAGGATTCGCAGTATCCCCCACACCAGGATGCTTTTGTCACACGCCACCCTCAGAATATGGGATCAGACCCCTCCTGGAAGAGCCCTTATCCTCTCCCTTGCAGGAATCCCCAGGCTGCTTCAACTCTGCGAGTGAGAAAGCAGACCAGACGACGGGCTTCCCCCAAGCTTCATTCGGTATGTCAATGAGTGGAAAATCAAGAATAAGACAAAATGGATTGAAAACAATTTCCCTATTTTATTCTCTTAGATTTTTTCCCGAATATGCACTCGAAAAAATCGTTTTATGCGGTCCGATCATGCGGCAAGCGATTCATTTGCGTATTTATCTTCCAGAAACTCCTTTGTGGTCTGATGGATAAAACGCAAATGTATCCCGTATGTGCTCAGCTGGCCAGAAGATGAGATAAATCCCTTGCAACTCGACTCGATGGCTTCGATTATCCCACCTGTTGTAAGATTCGTGTCACGTTGCGGCATAGATGCTGCTATTTCCGGGGCCAGATCACTCATTAGCTGAGTGGCATCCACTGGTTCACCGGCATCCAGTATTATCTTCAGGGTCTTTGTGGCTAGTTTGACGAGTTCAGGTGGCTGTTCCGTGAGATCACGAAGCATCAAATTGTAGGTCTCAATCAAGATCGGGAAGTCATTCTTCAGTGCACTTTGGAACTGCGTCCTATTCCTGGCACGGGCAAGAAGCTTCACCATCTGCGTTATCCATATGTAACTATAGATCATTAGCTACCGGGAACTTAATTCTGCAAAAAAAGGAGCCAGATAGTATCATATCATATAAAACAAAATCAAAACGTCTTCAGAAGAACTTACAGTCCCTTGCTTCGTTCAACAAGGTGTATCGCAATCTCCGCAATTTTCTCAGGGTCGTGGTCAAGATGTGCTAATATGCGAGGCTCTTGCTCGAGCATTGCCTTTATACTGTCCAGATAGACACGGGAAGGTCTAGCGTCTTCGCAGCGAACAACAAGATAGTCTTGAAGGGCCTCGGAGAGAAATCTTGTTTCTCGCGTGGCAATCAAAATATTTATAGGCGGCTTGATTGAAAGGAGGGTCTTTAAAACGCGTAAGCCGGTCCGAGCATATGCATCAAATTCATCGAGAATTATGTAAAGCTGGTCGAGGTCGCACCGGGCCAGACTGATTAGCTTAATACTGTTCGCCACGGATAGCGGTCCACCGGTGACTCTCAGAGCAGTAAGATGCTCGATGAGATATGGACGCTCCGAGAGAATCTTCTGGACGATACTGGACAGCACGAATGACTCGCTAAGCTCTTCCTGCCCCGAGAGATCGAAGAAAAAGGATGCGATGCAGACGTTTTCCAGCTGGTGCCAAAATCTAAGAAAAAAAGAACAACCTCGCATAACGATGATTTTCCTGATCCAGGACTGCCAGTAAGAACCAAGGTTTGTTGTATAGGGTTCACAGTGTGCCATTGTTTGAAGTCATCGTGTGATAAAAACCACTCAGTGCTGGCTCTCAATTCCATCACTTTTTCTCCATCCAGCTCGTGAGAGAGGCTTGTCAAGGACAAAGACTTCACAATAAGCACTTGTTCCCTAGAAAGAGACCTGATCATTTGTCTCCGACTATTGATAGTAGCCTCAGTCAACTGGGTTTGAACATTGCGAACTTCATTTCGAATTTCCATGGAAAGCCGAATGTGGTCATTTGCCAAAGCCAAGAGAAAATTTGATTTGAGCTTTTCAAGCGATGCAATCATTTCTTGGAGGCCGGCTTGATCGAATGGCCACCGCAGTCGATGAAGAGCAATTGATATTTGAGAACCGGAACGTGTGATACCGAGTTTTCTCGCCAGGTCCTCAAGCAGCTGCCAAAACGTGGACAGTGGCCCATCATGTGAAGACAAGCTCTGGATTGTGGATGACCAATCTTCATCTTCGACTTCATTCGTGAGTTCGTGTAGGGTCAATAGTAAGCCTCGCGTCTGAATAATCGCAATGAGTAGTCTTCGCTTTTGAACTGGCGCATCGACGACTGCCTTCATGTATTTAATGATTGAAGCAGCTAGCTTAGCGACAGCGATGATAGAGGCAGTGTCACTAATTCCGTCCATCGTTCACCTCTCAGCTGCGTGCGGAAATAAAGGGATTGATTGAGTCTAGCACGCGTATGCCATTCAATATTTTGGTCAGAATGAGGCTGGGGAAAATCAGAACTCGGTTTCATCAGCAAGCTAGTAGCATGTTAAGGCTATGCTCGGTGGAAAGCACTCAATACCGAAGTGATGAGGGGCATGGTAGCGTTGTATGAGTATTTCAAGTAAATTTCGGGCAAAACTGTCATGTGACTCTTTCTTTCAATACATTTCGGCGTCTTGAAAGATGCTTAATCAAATATGGATTATCGTGTTTTAATTACGGCTCAAGAAAGAATGTATGTGAAAAAACTGGTGAAACTGATTTCGATCCATCGTATACGTTAAATAGTTAGTTAACGTAATTCACTACCCACCCGGCCACCACAGAACACCATATTCAATGCCTTTTTTTGCAATTTTATATCTCAACAATCGGGGCTCCCATAGATAGCAAACTCTAAGACCATTTTCTATACAGTAAACATAGTACTTAAATGGAGTCTAGGAAATTTTGGTAGCGGAGTATACATATTTCTGGTTTATTTAGCTAAATTACAACGTAATTTATGGTATTGTGAGTATACGACCTTTTGATCAGCATGAAATTAATATCAACTATAAAGGATGTTTATCAATACCAGTTTACTTATATTAGAATAAAATAGAGCGATAATTGTTGAGATAAGGTCGTAAAAAACAGCATTTACTGTGGAGTTCTGCGGTGGCCGCGTGGGTAGTGAAATACGTTAAATAGCGCCTAGCGCAAGAAGTAGACAGGTGGCTCAAACTGGGGCCTAGAAAAGACTCTCGAAGCGCCAAATTTTTCCATCCTCAAAAAACAAAGCACCCACTGTACAAAAAGCTGGCTTCAAAATGGCATCTAAAACATCTTCTCTGGGGACTCGGCTCTACACGGCCATTTCCGTGACTCTTCTGACACTGTGGGCGATAACCACTCTAGGCTTCACGGCTCTCGACATCCTCAACACCAACCGCAGCCTGGTGGAACCCATCGCCTCCCTCAGTCTTCTCACATACCTGGTCTGCCGCCTAATTGTATTTTTGCAACCGGCACAAAATGAATCCATTGCACACCTACTGACCGCACCCCGCCGCTCGCGCGGTGAGGCACTTGCAATGCTCCTCTTCTGCGGCACTTGGCTGTATGAACTAGTTCACAAAGCCATGTTGATGTTTTTCATGACTATATTCGGCGGGGCTATTGCAACGGCTATCTACAACGACAAGATCGAGTGGACGGAGAATCCAAGTGATTCGGATGTTGACGGCACTGCTCTGGCGGAGATCAATGAGTTCAAGGAGAGGGCGGGTGTTGACCCGATTGAGATCTTTAAGCGAATTCCACCTAAGGTTCTGGTTTATTTCGCGGTTCTTGTTTGGGTTAACTTTGGCACACTCAGTGTTTATGTTCTTCGGCTTGCGTGGAGGTCGGTGAAGTTGGCTTTTGGGGCACCGCCGACGTCGGTCTCTGCAGGGAGGCAATAAGAAGCAGCAAGAGGCAATAAGAAGCAGCAAGAGGCAATAAGAAGCAGCAAGAGGCAATAAGAAGCAGCAAGAGGCAATAAGAAGCAGCAAGAGGCAATAAGAAGCAGCAAGAGGCAATAAGAAGCAGCAAGAGGCAATAAGAAGCAGCAAGAGGCAATAGGAAGTAATAGGAAGCAATAGGAAGATTGAAAAATAGTAACGTTCCTACTTGTGGATATGCATGGGTCAACCTGGCTAGAATCACGCGCCACCGAGGAGGCGTACAAAGCTGATTTCCGGAAAATTTGTCAATTCACTTTGGAACATCATTTAGATCTTGAACTGATCCTCGAGGACCCGGACTCTGGCTTCTTCGTTCAGCGAGGGATCCAGATTGGGACTGCTCGTCGCTTCCTACGTGACATAAACGTATGGGCCAGTGCGATGAAAATCAAACGAGCGACTTGACCCCACCACGGAATACATGGCAACTATTTCTTCGTTATTCCAATTGTGGCTGGCTCCACAGGGGATTCATTGACGTAATTGAATTCTGTGGATTGAGGTGGCGTATTGCATACATTATTGGCTTTGGTCTGCAATAGTTTCGTTTAGACTGTTGGCTTATTAACTGATTAAATAAGTACTGATTATGTTTTTATTATTTACATGATCGATTGCGTTTACAGTAGAAGCCACGATCAATTCTCTTTAAACCAGATGTAGATTGCCGTGTTTGTGGCCGCTATGGGGTTCAGGGTACAGGACTTCAACCGTGTTGAGAGGGTCTATCTCTAGTTTGCCCCCGCCATTGTGAGAACACGGCAGAAAATTTTTATCAGTGGCCTGCTGTTCCGTGAAACTATCGCAGATATTGTTGTTTGTTGTAAACCCTGGTCCGAGTTATACGGAGGAAGTATTTGGATGGTACAAATACAGGCCTAGTGAAATAATGAGATATCTAGACTCAAGTTAGTCAGCTATTAATTTCACATCATCTAGGGGTAAGATGGTGGACCATACAAGGCCAAATTCATAGCGCCTTTCAAATAGTCAAAGAACCCCTCGCTCACTGATATGGCCGTTATGAAAACCGTGATAAATAGGGACACTTCCAAGAAGATATCAAATTCGAGCAACATGCGATGGCCGATGCAAATGCTGGCAATTATGAGCGCAGGCAGGTTGAAGAAGCCCACCCCAAGGGCTGTTTCAGCTGTCAAGTGCATAACAAGCCCCATTCTGTCATTATATGCGATGACACATGTTTTGGCAAAGCTAGACAGGCTGCTGGTAAACGGAAGAAGTGTCGCCCCGATAAAGAGGCGTGTCATGGAGGTGGCCTGCACAAATTTCGGGATATTTTGGATTAAATTGACCGAGCACTGAATCGAAAGGGATCGTCCTATAGGAAGATAGCCATCTCTACGACATATAGGCCAGGCTTTTCGGCGAGGTGGTCGCAGAGGCCATCAAGCATGATTGTGGCGATACTCTATTTTCGACCGACCGCGACTGGGGGAGATCTGGCACTACCGAATAACCGCAAGTTCTTGCGTATGTTAGTGATAGAGCGCTCACTACACTGCGCCATCCTTGCCATTTGCGATGTAGTAGGTCTGTTTTTGCTGTATATCATATAAACAATCATACTACGCTGCCAGGCATCGATGTTTCTTGCCATTTTGTAAGTGGTTTGGGTGACTGCAGTTGCTAGGTTGAGAGGAGTGTGAACGAACGACGCCATGGTGGGTTGGGTGGTTATTTTTGGCCATGTAACAGTACATCACTCTACAGTTTTATTCTTTTGTCCTTCTTACCATACGAACCTGGAACAAGTTTTTAATGCCGTGAAACGAACGTAGTGAGAGGAAGGGAACTAATCAACGTGTTGTCCGTGCGCGACCGCTGATCAGACCCGCTTTTCTACGTTGGAGCCCTTCCGCCACGCGCGCTCCTCATTCGCCCCGCCATTGCCGATTTAGGTCTGCTTTCTCTTAACGTTTAGGGTTCTAGGGCTTTTTCTGCACCTATCTGCACCTTGAGCCTCGATGGTTGCTCAATATGCAACTTATCGACGCCGTTTTTATAGTGACGCGCTGCAACGTACGACCACGCGTTACTTCTCTGCTATGGTTGTGCTCTGCCCTAAAATTATGAAAATAGTTCAGAGCGCGGCCGAAGCTTGGCTTCCAATCCAGCGATCGCGACAGAAGTTTGCGACAGACTTCGAACCTTTTGATCCCGAAGACAGTGACTGGGATCGTTTTCCTTTCGCTGGTGCAAAATACAACACCGGTGGCACAGGACCTTCAGAGCCTTTATATTCTCAATGTCTTCCTGTGTATTTCCTGGTTGGAAGATGGCGACTATGACCGAGTGAACGGGCTGTGGCTTACTCCCATTGGCTTAAAACCCCCCTCATTTCGAGCGGCTGAACTTAGCCGCTTTTCGGTTGGGCATGTTTCCAGCCCCCTACAATTGAGAGTTATAAATACAGCCATGGCGCCGAACTCTCTGTGTTTTGATTTGATCCCCCAATTCGTTCAGTGGTCAGCTTGCCTTTGAAGAAGCGTTTTCAGCACCACGCAGAGGCAATAGCGGCTTCACTTCAATAGCTAACAATAAATATTGGCCCATTACCCGATGTCTGCTACTGAGATTAAAGAGGACTATAACTTGCAAGAGGCGTGGGACCAGGCGTGTGGGTCATTCGCACAGACAACCAAAGTCGATCTCACTATAACGCCAAAATATACTGTTGACGAGGTGCTTGACCAAATTCAGACAAAGCAAGATGAGGACGATGAGCGAAACAACAAATATAGGGTCGCAAAAGACATGATTGGCAAAACACTGACCTTTATCACGGTCCTGGGGGGCATAGCCGCGCAGGGTACGAGCATGGTGGGTGTTCTTCCAAAATGAAGCCGGCGCTACTTCTGCTAATCACTAAATCATAGGTTTTTGCCCCCAGTAGCCTGTGTTTCAATGCGATCTCGTATCTTATTAGCACCGGAGCTAAGTACAAGCGCATCTTTAGCAGTCTGGCAGAGCTATTCCGGCGCATTTCGGATGTGCTGGAGCGCTGTAAGATTTACATGCGTCTGCCTCCAGACGCAGTCGACATCTCCCTTCGGAAGATCATTAACGAGGAATTGGTATGCTTTGTCGACATCTGTGCACTTTCCATCAAAGTTCTCAAGGGTCACAAAATCTTCACCGCGCTCAAGGTCTTTGCCTTCGACGGCGACGAAGGCGTTAGCGGCGAGCTAAGTCGCCTGGCTAACCTTGTTGAGCGTGAGTCTCAAATGCGAGGAACGCTGGGATTCGAGTCGCAAAAGATAAGCGAGATGATGATCATTGAGAACCGAGATGGGACTAGGAGGATCAGTGCCTCTGTGGATAGTCTCATCAATTTCGAGAAGAAAAGAGAGGGGGATAGCGCGTCGAAAAAGATTTTGAAAAATATCGATTCCAATCTTGACACTCCAAGCGAGAGCTACAAGATTGTTCAGACAGCCTACAGACGCATTCTGAATGAGCAGGTCGAAGACAGTGGGGGTTGGCTTCGAACTGATTCATTGTACACTGCCTGGGCCTCAAATCGGGATTCAGCATTGTCCATACTTGGAATCTCTGGAGCCGAAGGATATGGCAAGTCTTTCCTTTTCGCGGCCATCGCTAAGGATTTGCAAGAAATAGATCCCCAGGATACGGAGGATCTGATGTGCACTTCCACTGCCTACTACATGTTTGAACAGGGGCTGGATGATGCATCTCTGACGAAAGCTCTGAAAGTCCTTGCATGGCAGGTTGCCAATACAGATATTGTTTATCGCAAAGATTTGAGCTCTGTTCAGCTATCTGGTGTGAATCAGATACAAAGCCTGTGGGAGCTTCTATTTGCGAAGTCCTACAAGAGCGACTCGACTTTCTTCCTCCTGTTCGACGGCATTGACAAAATGGACAAGGCTCATTTCAAAGGACTCATCCAGCTTCTGACAAAGTTACAGACTGTGTCTGAAACCTGGCCTCGCTTCAAACTCCGGATCCTACTGTCGGGGCGGGACGAAACAATGAGGAACATTAAAAGACAAATTGGAGAAGATTTCTCCGTGATAGATATGGCTTCCAAGAACAGTGATGACTTGCGAAGGTTCATCACCGACCGCATGAACAAAATGGACATTCTCAATGGTACATCGAATCAAGTTCTTCATCTGCGGCAGGAGATCCTTCAAGCCCTCATGACCGAAACACATGGTGATTTCGTCAACCTTGGTCTGATCTTGCATGAGATCAGTGGAAAACAGCGGCCTGGCGAGATTCGAAACATCTTGTCTCGATCAGGAGGAAACCGATCTGACACGATCGTGAGAAAGATGGATCTCCTGAATGAAACACTCACTGACGATGACATCTCCGACCTGAACACTCTCCTCACCTGGGTCGTGTTTGCCAAACGCACCCTCAGCCTGCAGGAGCTGGAGGCAGTTATTTTTCTTAAGACTCGAGAGTCTTCTCTTCGACCACTAGCGGAGAAGATCACGAACCATTACTCCTCGCTGCTTCGCATCCTGGGTGAACCACATCCCGTCACCAAAGTCATCCCGCCAACGTCACAGGTGGTGCTAGTTTCTGACTCCATCGAGGAATTTTTACGAACGGAGTTGAAATCAGGCGACTCCGAAGATGCCCAAAACTTGAATCTTACTGGCGATATCAATGAGGTTGAGGTAAGGGTTGTCCGGCGAGTTCTGGAGTCTGTTTGCGACCCGAAATTATTCAGCAAATTCGAGTTTGATGATTTCTTCCAGCGGAAACTCAAAGGGAAGACTGCTCGCGTTGGAGTGGATATTGAAACAGCGGATCTGAGAATCGTGGCAGATTGCTTAGAGATCATCTGCTCTAGCAAATCGCCAGATTCAGCTCCGTTGCTCGATTATGCTATCGCCTGCTTCGCTGGCCATCTTATGGATGCCGATCCCTCTCTGACACAACCACAACACAAAAGGGCACTCGGTCCTCCGTTGGTGCAACTCTTTGCAGACGAAGCTACTATTGGCCAGTGGTGGACCACGGAAAACTCCTGGCTTCGGGCAATGTGGATCTTCGACGATGAATATACCGACGTCATATTGAGATGGCTCCAAGACTCTGCCATCACGAAGAATCTTTCGAGGGATCAAAGCAAGTGGGTGAGAAGTCTGAGTTCCAAGTCCGAGCCTGATGCAGATCTTCTCGAACACATCGCTCGGTTCTTGGGGCGCAGGTGGTTACAGGAAGGCACAAATGGCATTATTTACGTTTTCGCTGCGATACACGGGTATCTCACAAAGGTACGACCGGCACAGCTGCCATCAAGAACAAAGTACTCGAGGGCTGACTGGTTCATAGATTGAGAGCCGAAAGAATTCTAGCATCAATCGATTCAATATCGATTCAGAGATGGAGGACGTTGAAACCAGTCGGATTTTCGAAGCTGCGCAATGGGTACAGCGCCAGATTGGATTGGATAGATTGGGCTATGAAGAGACTCGTAACCTGGCACGCACGCTCCGAGAGCTTGGCAGATACCCCGAGGCCATTGAACAATTCAAGCTCGCGTCCTCACTCCAGAGTGACAACTGGCTCTCGCAATGGGGGCTAGCGGGCTGCTATGCCTCCCAGAAAGAGTACAAGATGGCAATCAAAACTTTGGAGGCGACGGCGAAGTCAATTGAGTCCGGCGAAATAGCAGACGCTGATAACGCTAAAGAAGAGCTCTCTTCGATCTCGCGCGATCTCGCCGAATGGAACAAGGAGGCTGGTAATACCGATCAAACGTGCGCAATTTACAAGAGCCTTCTTCAGGACCGGCCAGATGACTATGAAGTGGCGCTTTCGTTGATGATGTTCTTCCACGAGAACAAGGACTATCAAGGTCTGCTTGAGTTCCTACAATCGCGCAAGGACTCGATGGATAAAACAACGGGACGAGATCATCGCACGGAAGCGTTCCACGCTCACTACGACAACGAGAACTACCATGAAGCTCTCTTTGCGCTAGCTTACAATACCGAAAGTTTTGAAATCATTCTCGAAAGCTACAATATAGCGATCAATGCTGCAAGGAAGCGATACACCGAAGGCAAACAGGCTGGCGATGTCGCCGAGGAGGAGTTTGGCAGGGTCTGCCAGGCCCTACTCATGCACAGAGTTGCGCTTCTATGCTATAACAACACCACCAACATCGCAGAGCACAGGGAGTTTGCCATCGACCAATGGGTACTTATTCTGCAGATGGATGAGCCCAGTCCATCGTATCTTCCAATTGTGAAATCGACGGTTCGCAATAAATTGGCGATTGTCTGTTTCCAGGAAGCTCGACGTGATCCGGCTACTGCCGCGCAGTATCTGGGGCATCTCGAGCAGATGGCGTCTTTAAGAAAGAACAATTATAGCGAAGAGGCATACGAGGAGACGTACCCAATGCGGCTCATTTCCCGGTGGTATGCGCTGCAGGGCGACGAGCAGAAGGCCAAGGAGACTTTGCGGGCTCCCTTCAAGGTTTACCTTGACCTTCTTTCAGACGAAGATCCGCTCAATGACTGGCAGGGCTATCATGGGTTGGCAATGCATCTGATGTTTGCAGGTCAGGATGCCGACGCCCTCGCCGCATGGTCTTTGATTGCTCCACTCGACGACATGGAGACCGTGGAGACCGAGGATAATTCTTCAGAAACAGATGGCAAACCAGCTGGGCTTCAAGGCCCAATGAATGACAGATGTGATGGGCGTTGTGGAACCAGGTGGTATTTCGCAGACAATATATACGTGTGTAGAGACTGCGACTATGTTGAGTTTGATGAAGGTTGCTTGAAAAGGCTCCGAGAAGGAACCTTAGCCCCTGGAATTTGTGGAAAGAACCATGAGATGCTGCATGTTCCATCGTATGATGCAACCGAGCGCGAGAAGATCGGCGCGGGCAATGTAAAAGTTGGAGAGCATGTTCTTCCGGTTGAAGAATGGCTTCAGCGGCTTAAAGCAGAATGGGCGATCAGATCAGCATAATTGCTTGGGTAGTATAACATCCAAGACTATCATGTTTTGCATTGTTGATATTTTAAGCCCCATTAGGGTCCACTTTTCCATTTTTGAACTGACGACATTCGAGACAAAATTCATAGGACATGGCCTTGGAAACATTAAGCCACTATATGACCAGCTCCTTGCTCCAGTAATTCGCCCTCATCCACCTCTTTCACAATTGAAACTCCGCCGCTGGTGCCGATACGGTGGGCGCCGGCCTTGATTAACTTCAAACAGTCGATAGCAGAGCGGATACCTCCGCTCGCTTTAACCTTGGTCTTCTTGGTTCCACAACGGTCAACAATAAGACGCATAGTGGTGACATTGTCGACAGTAGCACCACTGCCCTTGAGTCCGGTGCTGGTCTTGACGAAGTCGACTTCAGCCATGCAGCAGATAACGGTGGCGGCGACGAGTTCGTCCTTGTCGAGCTGGGAAGTTTCCACGATCGCCTTGAGAATAATCGGGCTAGGAGCAGCCTTCCGCACGGCCAAGACATCCTCGTAGGTCGATGTGTATTTGCCCTCTTTCAGCAGCGGGTAATTGATAACCATGTCCAGCTCTTTAGCGCCGTTTGCCACGGCCTCCTTGGTCTCCCGCACTTTCTCGGCGGTCTCGTGTGTGCCCTCGGGAAACCCCACCACGCAGGCCACGACTGTCTTAGGAGCATCCTTGAGTCTTGCGGCGGCGCGAGCGACGTGGTCCAGTCTGACGCAGACGGATGCGAACTCATGTTCTTTGGCTTCGTCGCATAGCGTGTCGATTCTTTCCGGATCGACGCCCACGGTCAAGAGTGTGTGGTCAATCATCCCCGCGATGCTCAGTGGGATCGTCGGCTGCGATGTTGGTCTCGCCGGTAACTGCTCCCGCACCTGGGAAATTAACGTCGCCCACTCGGCGTCAGTTGATGGAATGGACGTCATGTTGGATTCTCCGGTCTTTCAGGGGCCCCAAGGTGTTGACTTTTCTTGGTCTACAACCGAGGGAAAAGAGAGGGGCACCGTCACGTGAGGGTGTTGGATGTTCATCACGATGACGAGCCGAAATTCATCGTGACACGATGTGAGGCGGTGATATGTGCCATCCGTGGCATCCGTGGCATTGGTGGCATTTCCATGTTTTGACTCGCTAATTAGTCGCCCACATTGACGCGAGCTGATAGCCGGATACCATACATAGAAATACCTGGAGCTATAAGTCGTACTTAAAAACTAGTTGTAGAGCAAACTTCGCATTGCGCAATATTCAATACCATGGTCATCTGTGGCGATACATTTGGCAGTCTCTAGCCGGATGCCACCACGACCGCTTTCCCCCGAGCCCTCACGTTCATCCGATATTTCACATCAAAGCAGTCGGACCTCAACCCCGGCAAGTCCCGCCCCCGCACTCCGGGCCTCGAACATCGTCAACTCGTCCGATACGCCTTCCTGGGCCTGACCCCGGGCCGGGAGGGCCGCCGCCGCCACTACCACCTCCACCCCAGCTGCCCGAGCTCACACCAAATCGAGAACCATTCGATGCGCGTTTATTGTTGTAGATGTTGAACTGAGAGGCTTGGGCCGAGGCGTAGACGTCGAGCTGCCAATTGCCGTTAGTATCTCCAGGCAGCTAAGAATAGGGGAAAGACCCAGGCCCCGAAGGCCCCGAAAGACGCGAGTATCTGATCAAAGGGGATCACTCATACCGAGAAGAGGCTCACGAAGTACAGGCCGAGGAAGATGTAGGCCCTCTCCAAGAAGCGAGTGATGCGGACTGAGAACGGAGGACTGTGTGGCGGCAAGTTAGCAGAGTTCTTCCTCCAGCCGAACTGGATCCAAACGGGATCGGAGTGAAGAGTGAAGGACTCACCTCTGGAGAGCCTGTCCATTGGAAAAGTAGGTCTGCTGTCGCTTCGGCGTAGACATGATGGCTGTGGGGGTGGGAAGAATGAGATCGAACGTTGACGTTGATCTGAGGTGGAGTTGGCCAGATCTCGGGGGCCGATAAGGCAGCGATCTGCTGGCTTGAGCCGCAGGGTTCAACCCAATAACAGTCGGAATCAGGTTTGCCACTCTCGAATTAATTATTGTATCAACTGATAGTCGCAAATGAGTCACTGATATTTGGCCGTATGAATTGAATTTTATTCAAGCAGTCCAAAAAAGACTTCCGGTCCTGGGGATCTTTCCAGATCGCCCATCTGCTTTCCCAATACCGCCTAGTAGCCTTCATCTATAACCAACCGCCTTATTTACGATACAAATTTGTAACAAAAATACTGTACGTCAATAACATTACTCGTGACTGTATGGTTCTATAGGAACATAAAGGCGGCCGTAGATAACGCTGCGACCAATGCCATGAGGCTCTGCACACCAGCTGAGCCCCCTGTTGACAGTCCGCTAGCAACTCCAGTATGGTTTGCTGACCCGTTGACTGCTGTTGGCTTATCTCCTAGCCCATGTGGCAGCCCCTGGTAGCCGAACGTCAGATTCTGGGCAATAGACTGGTTGTAGCACTGTCCGTTGGCGATATCCAAGTTGGTCAGGTCATCCGGATGCAGGAAGAACATGTACATCGACTGCTTCAGGTTCTTGAATCCCGATGTGTTGTATGGGAACTTGTCACCTGGATCGGTTGCGCTGGTGTTGCGGAGGAAGATGCACTGGACTTGTCCCGGGAACTCGGTAGCCATTTCTGGGTAGTCGCGCATAACATCGCTGTTGCTGGTGTCTGCAATCAGGATAAATTTGCGCTCGGGGAAGGTTTCGAAGACTTTTTGTAACAAGAATTTGCGGATCGATAGGGTGGCAGAGACGTCGCTGAAGTTGAGAGGACGTGTGTCGAAAGAGCCGCCCGGATAGTTGGCGTAGATGAACTGCATGTAGTTCCTGGTAATTTGCTCGGGGGTGGTCGTCTAAAATGACTATTAGTACTCTGAATAATAAATTAGGAGAAAAATCAAAAAGACTTACAAGGTAGTGGAAGTGCATATTGGGGAGGCTGGTGGACCAGTTGCGGTAAATGTCTGGCATATTCTCCCAAGGCGTGAATGGACGAGCGAACGAATTGAGTAATCCCTGCTTCGGTTCATAGATCTTCGTAACACGTAGAATATCATCAATGTCCGAAACGATGGTGAGTCCGGTGGGAGGCACGAGATAGGCAGTACTATTTCCGATAGTGGCGCCCTCAACATGAGTGTTGAGTCTCTGAATTGCCGAGGTTTCATTTCCTGCAGTAAGGCCATTGCTGTGAATTGGCACAAAGGTGTCGAAATCGCCTTCGACTGTTGTGTTGTAAGGCAGAGTAATGTCTTGCGTGCCACCCGTTGTGTTCGATGATCCGCCGCCGCCTGGCTGTCCGCTGGATCCCTGACTTGGGGCAGGCTCGAGGTGAATAGTGTTCACGGCAACATGTGGCTGCTGGACGACATAAATTTCGGCAGTCAAGTTACGCGCCTGATCTTGCTGGGATTCAGGAAGGTCCGAGATACTAGTGTTGACGAGGAAGACATCCGCAAGCTTGTTCAAGTCTGAGACAGAGGTGTTTGGTTGTTTGTAAACGTTTCCGTGGAAGCGAACATTCCAGCCTGAGCTGGTCCAGTTGGCATAGGGGTCGATGTTTAACACATTGGTTGGTACTGCTGCCAATTCGGAGCTGTCCAGGCCCAGGGAGCTCACGACTGCGTCTCCAGTCGGGAAACCCTGGAAGAAGTTGGGCACTCCAGATGCTACCCACGAAGGTACGTCAGACCCAAGTCCCGAAAGGACGCTGTCGACATCAGAGTCAACGTCGCTCAAGATGTTTCGGCCAACGACTGGTGAAGGATGACGCTCGACTGGGGAAGCTGTAATGACGGGGTTGGGCGGGGCGACATTATCGCGGGCGAAAGCAGTTGGAGCCGGGGAAGAGGAGGCAATTGTGAGAAGAGAGGCCTGTACAAGGACCTGACACGCAATAGACGTCCTCATCGTTCCAAGTCGATAGGTAAAAGCTAGGATCCACGGATTTCTGACAATTCCGCCCAGCAAATGAACCTTAGGAAACGATGGCGCTGATACCAAACTGAAACACCTGCTAGTTGTCCAGCAGCGATCGAACCTGCTCTTAGGAGTATAGGAGAGGAGTGTACAAAAAGTCTTTTAGTAAACGTAAATTTTGCAAGCAATTGTCGATCTTAAAAGAGCCCCTAGAAGTAATTAAAAAAACTGGGCAGGAACGGGATGTAAACATGGAGCCGTTGACAACCGACGTCACTGGGCGCAGGCAGTGGATTCACGGAACTCCACCGCGACAGGGACGAGTCGCGGACTAGATACGACCCTGAAACAGGGTCCGCTTTAATTCCAGATCTCACCTGCGTCATTACCATATTGGGCAGTCGCTCTTCTTACTGGTCGCGCGATGCTGAGTTGGTACTGGCTGCACATAAGCTACATACTATAACTGGGCGAGTGGGCGGTTTTGTGTAAAATACGTCATGAAAGGTTTCACCAACATCATGTGATGAAATAAGGGTCATACCATGTATAGATTAGCGCGTTTGAACTGCAAATTCACTCGTGTTGAACCTCAAACTATGTATAGGCAATTTGTACATCGCACCAATCTTCAATGGATGGTCTGCAAAGTAGATTTCTCCATAGAGCTTCAACCATCCACAACCTCCTCGTGCTCATCCCTCGGCTTCAAGTCATCGTCCTCGATTGGCGTACCACGTAGCTGTGCCTCGATGCGCTTGATGCGCTTTTTCTCCTCATGCGCACTCGTATCTCCAAATATAAGATCCATGTCCTCGAGGGTCTTTTCGCGTGTCTCTGGGATGAAGAAGAATGTAAAGGCCAAGGCTAGCAGACAGAAGGCTGCGAAGAAAATGTAAGTACCCCAGGTGATGGTGTCGAGCATATCGGGAGTAACGAGGCCGATGATGCTATACAAAATGGTTAGGCGATTCTATACCTCCCAAAGAAATGGTACTCACAAGTTGCACATCCAAGTAGCCGACGTCGTGATCGATATCGCCTTCGAGCGAACCGACAAGTTGAAAATTTCAGACGGAAGAACCCAACCAATGGGAGCAAACGAGTACGAAAAGTTGACATCGTAAATGTAAATGAACGCAATAGCGGCGTATCCGGCGGATTGATTGGTAGATAGGTTGTCGCCAAATCCGCCGAGGATTCCACCAACGATCACCAGCGAGATGCAGGTACCGGTAGCACCTGCCATGAGAAGGGCGCGGCGTCCGACTTTGTCGATGAAGAACAACGCTGGTAGAGTGCTTAGGCAGTTGACGATACCGTATACACCAGTGGCAAGGAGTGAGGTTGTGTTGCCATTCATACCGAGCATACCGAAGATTGTCGGGGCGTAGTAGATCATGGCTAGAACGAATTAGTAACTCCTAGGAGCCCGGAACGAACTGAGGTACTAACCATTACAGCCCATAAACTGCTGGAAGAACATGACGCAGCAACCGATGGCCAGCCGCTTGAAACGAGGCCAACTTGTCACTAGTGACATATACTGGGGGACAATTAGCGTGAGAACCAGCAGGTAGGGATTGGTGCATACCTGAGCAGCGTGTAACTTGAACCCGGACAGATTCGGGAAGTGTTCGCGGGCAAAGGTGTTTTCAAGCATGATCGATGCCCGGATCTCCAAGTACTCGTTTTGAAGGACGAGGCTATCACGAGACTGGCGACGAAGCCTCGAGAGCGCATCAAGGCACTCGTCGTCGCGTTCCTTCATTAGCAGCCAGCGCGGCGAATCAGGGAAGAACAACATTCCAATTCCCAGGATCAAAGCAGGAACAATTTGAATAGCCAGTGGAAGTCGCCACGACGCTTCGGACTGGCCCGTACATCCACCGATGGGAACATCATGGTATGGATCGAAGGTAGGCTTCGCTGTGGTTCCTCCTGTGAAGGGAACGTTTGGTGCACAACGTGAGCCTCCGATGTAGTTTGCTCCATAGTCGATCCAGTAGCTAATTAGGATACCGATGGTAACCGACACTGAGTAAAATTAGTCGAGGAATCCAAGCATATCCATGTGGAGGAGCTCACGTTGTTGTATTACCACAAGTCCTCCCCGAATCTCGGCAATAGAAACTTCGGAGATGTATAATGGGACAACCATAGTCAACATGCCGATAGCCAGGCCGGCAATTGCTCGACCTGGAAGATGTTAGTGATGATCTTGAGTTCACCATAGCAAGACGTACCAGCAAACAGCATGGGGATATCAACTGCACCACATTGAATAGCAGACCCGATCACAAAAATGACCACAGCCACATTAATGGACACCTTCCGTCCAATTCGATCTGCCACGGGCCCGTTGATCAGAGATCCAGCCCATGCAGCTATATCGTGTTAGTGGCGTCAACTTTCAAATTCACAAGGAACCTCACCAAGCAAAAGAGTGGAAACGAACCACCCTTTGAAGCCAGAGTCACTGTATACTCGCGGGAAAACAGCGCCAAAGCTCTCCATCGTGATGACACCAGAGATCACACCCTGGTCATATCCGAACAAGAGGCCACCGAGAGTTGAGAACTGTTCATAGAGTAAGTACACCATTCTATTCACAGGGTCTGATACTTACCGATGCCACTCCACATAGGTACGGATTCTGAAGTACCAACTTGAATCCGCTCTTCGGCGGGCTATCCACAATGGAGCCCATGAGTGTTACGATATCGAGAGCACACGGCGGGCACAGAGGAACTAGGCATGCATCAGCTCTATATAAGCTTGGCCTCTATGCGGGGAGAAACGAACCTTAAACCATCAATGTCAGGATCACAGTACTCCGAATATCAGGACTACAGCACTCCGAATATCAGGACTACAGCACTCCGGATCCCGAGCCGAGCACAAGACCATGGCAAGGAAAGCCGAACTGGAAAAACGGAGTGATGTGCTCCGGACACACCCCACAAAGTCTGGGGGAAGATCAAGCCTCGTTATTTGCTGGATGCACCGACAGAATTTAAGTTGACGGTTCAAATGCGGGGAAGCATCATTCGGCTTCCCCTGAACCCTGGAAAGATAATGCCGGTGGTGGTGATGATACAACTGTTGCACATGGTTGCACGATCAGGCCGACGGTTAAGTACTTTGTTTGCGCTACCGGATAATTCCACGAAGAGATCCTGAGGTCAAGTCGGGACAGAACTTGATTGGGAGGCTGCCGAGTTGTGGAAGCTTGAGATGCGGGGATACAGCGGATTCGGGGAAGTTGAGGGCGAGTCGCGTGTTCCCGGGTCGGCATTTGTCTGAGGGTCTGACATCAGGAGCTGCGCGAATAAGGGTCCCAGGAGTCCTGAAATATACAGGGTGAAAGGTCCTTTGAGTCCGAAATCACCGCATTTGAACTGTTGAGCAGATAACTATGTAGGTATGCCGTATCAATCCCGAATACGTTGCGCAGGTGCAACACACGCAATCACTTCGAAGCGGTTAATCACAGACGCAATAGCGTCATGCACAACTACTACATCTGGCTGTGCTGTATTGCGCGCATTAGTGCAGAGAGCGTTGAGCCTCAAGAATGCGCAAACCCACTCAAAAATGCGCAAACCCACTCGAAACCCGAACCTGAGCCGTAGCTTCCATAAACTTCCAGCTTATTTACCTCTAGATCTACAGCTCTCACCCGCAATGAGCAACTACTTATTCTTACAGATCATAGCTCCCGTCGAAATGGCAGCACCACTCCGAGTCGGTGTTCTCCTCGTGGACACCGTCCAGCTACTGGACCTGGCAGCCGTGGATCTCATCTTTATGACCAGCCCTGACTACGTCGAGGACATCGGAATGCCCAAAGTACTTCAAGACCTCGGTCGGCCCTGCGAAATCCACTACATCGGCCGTGATGGCGCCAACGCCCAATCTCCAGTGACATCCCAGATGTCTCTCCGCCTGACTGACTCCCTGACAGACACGGCCGTTGCACCAGGAAACCTCGACATCCTCTACCTCCCAGGACCACCGCCAAAGGCCATGCCACCGCACATGGAATACCTCGACTTCGTACGCAAACACAACGCAGCCGCTACAACAATCATGACAGTCTGCACGGGCATCCTGATCGCCGCACACGCAGGAATCACCGAGGGCAAAACAGCCACCGCACCACGGTTCCTGATCCCGCTCCTGAGAAAGCAATTCCCCGAGACGAAGCTGTGGGATGATTCGGTGCGTGCTACTTGTGATGGAAACCTGTGGACTGGCGGTAGGTCCGTTCCGTCGCGAGATCGGAACAAGAATCTAATTGGCCAGGCGGCGTCACCAACGGCCACGACCTCGTAGCTGCATACCTTCGCGCTAAGTACCCTGCACCACTAGTCAATACCGTTCTCGCCGTTGCCGATGTTACGCCGCGCCCGGTGCGGTATCAGACCGCGGCACTCACCGACACGATCTACGTCCTATTTCAGATTATAAGAGCGATCCCGAGCTCGATTGTGCAGCTCTTTAGAAACAAGTGAGGTGTGGCTATCAGGAGACTGGGAGGTAGAATGGGCGAAAGCACTATCAATCAAAGAATAAAAGAATATTCTCCATGGCTCTACATCATTCACGCGGACCCACATCTATGTAGGAACGGAACCCTCCACCGACGTCATCCCGCTCCAGATCGCCGATGATAGGACTGTCGGAAAATCCTGGACTAGAAGTCACTTACCCTTCAATCCTCCTCTACAAAATACATGGGACGTCGTGGAATTCCCCAATTCAACAACCTTGCAAGTTCATGCACCGATGCCAACCCACCTCTCCATCCTCGTGTCTGTGGCCTCACCTCTCGACTACGCGCGGTATCGACACGCCTCATTATACTTCCAATTCGATCATGAGACCGAGGCAATCAAGTCCTCTCTCATGGAGGTGGTGGGATCACCCGGATTTTTTAGTTTCTCGGAGCGTGTGAATTCCGAACTCCCCTCTTCTTCTACCAGTATGACTCATGAATCATGAATCATGAAATCTTCACGTTTTCAAAAAGAGCAATATGCTAACTGCTGCAGACCTTGCGCGCGTGATCCAAGTGTCTTCAATACCGGATACGGTCCCCGTATCCTCATTACAGCGAATTGTAGCAGACACGCCTATTTTGAATGATGATACGGATTGGAATAGCCAGAACTGGGTAGGCGATACGTTGGAGAGACTTGTTGCAGTGGGGTACTTGGATGCCGAGGCGCAGGGACGGGGGTTAGATGAGATGGTGGATGCGATTATGGAGGCGACTGATGAAAAATTCTAAATCCATGGGTGCGGGGTGGGTTTACTGTACTTATAGATCAAGGCATGTATTGTTCATTTCTCGTCCCTAGTCCCGGAGGAAGCAATTTTGGAAAAGACGCAGAACGCTCAAACTATGCATCATACTACAACCACGCTAAAATAGGTTGGTCATCAGGGCAAGGTTAAGGGTTCCGAAAGGGGAAGATGCGAAGTCCTGGGTTTCGGACGTGGAAACAAATTGTGGCTCGTAACTTCATCTTCGAGAGTCACTCGGTTCCCAGTGGATTGGCTCGAAATCTTGGTTCTGGAAATGGGCTTGGTTGTATGGGGAGCTTTTAGAGTTAGCGAGGGTCAATGAGATGGCGGAGAGGTGCTCACTTTTTGAAAGGCGTGGTCACCGGGAGGGAATGACTCAGGTTGTTTTTCATCACCAATGGATTCAATCGAATCTGTGGACCATCCGATCTGTTGGGGAGAGTCGTCATGGGTGGCGGAGCCGAGGGCATCACGGGTGTAGGTGAAGAGACGGGTACTGGAATGTGGTTCTGGATGGGTGACTGGTACATGTCCTGCGGGGTGGATATTCGGAACGGACTGGCCGGGGTTTGAGGTACCGAGGAAATTGGAGACATGGGCATGCCAAAACCAGATCCGGGGTCTGCCATCAGGTTGGGGATGGACATCAAGCTCGAGTTAACGTCGAAGGAGAGAGCGCCTTGGTCCCAGGGGGTATAGTTAGAAGTCATTCCGTATTGGAGGTTGACCATGGGTGCCATATTCACAGTCTGTTCGGCTCGGTAGACGAGGTCATAGTGGCCACTGACAGTGTTAGAGCGAGACTCAAGGGACCAACGAGAAAGAGACTTACGGTCTGTAAAGAAGGCGAATGGTTGGTCCATTGGGAGAAGATCCGGAAACCAGCCGGTGCGGTGTAACCGCATCGCCCTCGCTTCGATCAAGATAAAGGATCTCGACTCCAAACCCGGATCCTTGAATGACACCGTCGAGCAAAGCCTGCAGTCCAACTTGATCGATTTCGGTCTTGAGGGGGTCAATATGCTTAGCGCAGTACTCGTCCAGAGGACCGGAGAGGAACGCTTGGTATTGTTGAGGGTTGAGTTTCATCCAAGTGCTGGTGAGTAGCTGGTAGAAGCTAGCGCGTTAGCTCACACATTGTATTTGTTAGGGGTTGCGTACTCTGAAGTGGGTAATGATGGAATTCGAGTTGAAATCATCATTGAAGGCATTGACAAGGAATGTCCCATCCCGCTCGCCATTCTGGATAGCCGCAGACGTTTGTGCGAACGTGTCTTCAGTGGCATCCACAAAGATCTCGTAGAGACTGGGATCGAGGCCGACCTGAACCAGCAATGTGTTGAGCGATCGGATGCGGCTCAATTCCCGCTGCACACGCAGGGGGTCTTGAAGGGAATAAAGTGTTTCGAAGTAGCCAAATATCACAGCTAAACCAATCAGATGGGTTCAGTCTCGAGAAGAGGAGAACATACCACGCCAGCCGCAATTCCCATCGCCTTTCATGATACGAGTCATGGGGTGGGTAATTGCAAGAGCCTATTTGCGTCAGGATGACCATCGAAAGCCGGCAGCGGTAAACATACATTTGTTTTTGTTGCAAGAGTAGGGTCGGCATTGGCATAGTCCATCGCGATGCTGTGACTGGACTGCTTCGTCGACACCAGTGGGCCCTGATCCGGTCAGCTCTCTCTCTCTCTCTCTCTCTCTCTCTCTCTGTGGAACACGGTGGAAACAACCTACCTGAATATCCGGCTCGAAATCATTGGACAGCTTCTGGAAGCGCTCCATCTCGTCCAGAGGCAGGGCGTTCATGTTGGCGTTGCTCATATTGGAACCAGGGGCAAAGGCAGCAGAAATTGAAAATCCTAGTGGAGAAAGAAGAGATGGGGGAAGAGGGTCCCGGTAATAGTTCTGTTTTTCCGGGAAGGGATGGTGAGGACCGAAATGACTCCAGGGTTTTGACAAGGACATCGCATACATCCGAGATTGTCTAAGTCTTCAAAGGCATCTGAGGAACATTAGCAATGAAGAGGACGAGGGTTATAAAAAGACCCACCAGAATGCAGAGAAATCAGGAATGCGTCTTTCGTCCTGTGCAACCCTGTAGGTGGACCCGACAGGCTGGGTCGAGTAAACTATTGACATGGTATCAGCACGGCGATCTCACGAATTTTGCAAGTGGTGTAGTCATCAACATCGAACACGATCGTTACTGCCGTGTGACAGGGCCAAGGTGCACAGGTGATTGGCCGGGTCAAAAATGTGATGAAAAAGCTAAGAGCAAAAGCACAGATCACCGAGGACCCGGGCAGGGCCATCACATTGGAAGTTTGCGCCGAATGTGATGTCAGCGTTTATCCGGGTCTCGTTCAACGGGCAGGCTGTGGTTGGCGGCGTTGGCGGGAGGATCATCAAAGCTGCCATTTCAAGGGGTGCACGAACCACGACTCCACCGCGTGCAGGGATAGCACGTATCGGAGAACGTCTCCGGGACAAAACACGGGCAGAGGGGAAAGGTGAGGCTTGAGGCTAATGGGGATTGGCAAGACATGCCGAATGAAGAAAAGCAGCGATCGGGGAGCTCAGACCTTTGCAACTAGCTCTCACCGGAGGTCATCAAGAAGGGGGGCGAAGACAGCCGAGTGAGGCCGAAGAAAGTTTCCCGGCGGTTGGAAACGGGAAGCAGGAACGTGTGGTGTCGTTTCCAAGCTTGAACGTAGAAGGGAGGTTGGACGTTGGAGGTTGGACCTCGAAAGTCAAAAGTTGATGGATGATGGTTGACAGTTACAGCTTAAAGGGTGGGGAGAATAAGCGATAAGCTAGGAACTAAGGACCCAAAGAACCGAGGGGAACTGCCGAAAGTAGAGGAAGAAGGGAAAAGAGAAAAGGAAGAGGGATAGCGAGATGAAGTAATGCAGCAACCAGCGTCGGCCCCTCGGGACAGTCGTTGAAGATCGTGAGTTGTCACCCCTCAGCAAACATTGACCCTGCAGGATCTTGGAAACTCGAATGTGGATTTCGGCCTTTGAACCTTCTTAACTAACTTCCCGTCCCCCAAGATATATTTCGTCCCTCTAAGCACAGAGGGGATAAAAATCAGTCGATCCCCAGTGCTCGATCGTCCCAAACGATCCAACAATAGTACAATGCTTCTATCTCGGACTTATCATACGCCGGCAGCTCTCAATCCTCGCTCGGCTAGACCCTCTTTATCCTTCGGAAAAGCGGGGTCTGGTTGTTTGATCGTGTCACCCCGTGCGGCAGTTCATCGATACTTAGGTTTCGAAGGTCTGAGCAACGTCCACATCACATCAGACATCAGCCCTGGCCACAATCACCCGACCTCGCCCAAAATCGGCTAATAGATGTGGGCTTGGGCTTTGTGGGTGGGGGGGAGGGATCGTATAGGATCGTATTTCCAACTGGGGACCGATCATGGGTGCGCACGCTGCGATCTGTGCGGCCTTCTACGGAGACTTTCCGAAACGGAGCCCGACGTACCTGCTGCACTAGGGCACATCACCACAGACTCAAGACTCAAGAGAGCCAGGTAAGAAGTTCACATGCTCCCCCGGAGAACCTTTCCCCATTCTGAATGCTGGCCCCGGCTTACGCTGAAGCACTGGTTGACGGCAGTTGTTGGACTTCGGGTGGCCCGTTCCAAGCGCCCGTTCCAAGCGCCCGTTCCAAGCGCCCGTTCCCAGGTAACTTTTATACTTGCCTACTCTGTAGACACGGGAAAACAAACAAAATTACCTCCCAACGTCGTTTTATCGTGATATTTGTAGCTTAATGTCACACCAACTCTAAATTGCGGGTCGTATAGTGATACTCGGTGACATCCCAGTAGCATAGACCGCTCAACGGGCAAGGCAAACGGGCCGCTGCAGGCAGCAAAACTCGGTGTGAGATGGGCCTACACGTGGGTATTTGTGATTCTTTGTCGCGGCTCAGCCGCAGGTACGCCATAGTCCACTCCTAAACCGCCCCGAGCTTGCCACCGAATGGTTTGCCGCGTAGCTCCTTTCGTCGGCTCGCCCGGATGCCCATGGGCCCGTCGTCGTATCCCGCGAACATGGAGTGGGAGCCGGATTCATCTGGCCGAAACCCCTCGCCGTTGAGGGCGGTCTGCCACAGGCTACGCAAGGAGGAGCTCCACTCCTCCAACGCGTGCAGCCGTTCCACGTCGCTGGAACTTGCAACCACGACTGTACCACTTTCCTGGTCGATCTTGGCATTGAGTTTCTTGTCCAGGATCAGGAAGCTCAAAATATCCAGCACCTCGTGGACAGAGATCTTGATCTGCCTGGAGATGAACAGCAAAGAGAATCGAGTGTAGGGTGCAATCAACTTGAGTACGGCCTTGGTGCGCATATTGCGGCTGACCTCGTCTATGTTCTCGGCAATGAAAGGATCCGCCAGGACATCGGGGTGCTTGCTAAGCACTGCCTCGTATGCATGGATATCATCTCGCTGGAAGGCATCCACCAGGTCGGTCATGGCGGATATGCGAGGGTCATTCTTGTACGGCTTGGTTTCCTGACTGTCGAATGGGTTGATGTCCGACTTCATCAGCATGGTGGTCAGCACCAGATACTTGAGCACCTGGATCCGTTGCATCGAGCCCGCCTCGTCGTAGTTTCGGAACGATTCGAAAAAGTCACTCTGGGCCTCCTCCCAATTCTCTTCACTCATATGCATCTTGCCTCCGCATTCACGGATGATACCCATGATCTTGGGGTGGGGCACTGCTGACCGCACGCGCAGCGCACGCTGATAAAGTGCCTTCAAGCGTTTGTTGTTCTTCGTCTCGGCGTACATCTGAATTTCAAGGGCATAGAGTTCGAGCAAATATGTCCCCTTGCTGGTGTCGTCTGACCCGTCCTCGCGTTGACACGCCCGGTGAAGCTCCCGCACCTTCTTGCTGAGCTGGCTGTATTCTTTTCGGTCCAGCCAGAGTCGAGCCAGTTTAATATTTGTCTTCAGCCAGAGCCGCTCGTTGTTGGTATTCTGGAACGAGTCGAGGGTGAGTGAATAGAACTCCTCCATGCATTGATAGGCCTGGGCATCGTCGGAGCCTTTTTCGATGTAGTCGAGCATGTTATTGATGGATTTCTCGGAGTAGTTGCGCGTGACGGCGGATTTGACATATGTGAGGAGCTCGCGATAGTGTTCGACGGCCTGCGAGGTTAGCTGGGTACACGCCTGTCAAGTGATCAATACCTACATTGCTGTATCGCCCGAGCTTGAATTCCAGCTTGATGGCCTGTTTTAATCCTTTAAATCCCCTGGTAAGAGTCAGCAGTATTCAACCTCACCGCGCAACCGCCACGAACCATTCGCTCTTGTCTTGTTCCATCAGTGGTAACCCCAAGAACTCGTCCACCGCCTCCTCGGGGTTATCCACCTTCATCTGCTTCGCATTATAGTATTTGTTCTCGATCCCGATATCGCCAGACTCGTCATCGTCCGATCCTTCATAGTCAAAATCGTACCTGCGGGCTGTCAGTCTGGGGGAAATCACCGGGTGGAGAAGGGGCACCTACTCCTCATCCGAGTCTTGCATGAAATCATCGTCATCGGACATATTGAAGAGAGTGTGAGGCCCAACGACACGTGCGAAGAGAGCGTCCAGGGGATGGGCAGGATGGTGGTAGGTGTCGCGGGGGTGGGTGTTGGAGAAGCTGTGGTTGGAAGATAGTGAGAGCTGCTTCCGCCTTGCTATCGTAGCTCCCCGCCAACTGGTAGCCGGTAGACCTGTCGCGATCGCCTCGAAGCTGCCACGAATTCAACAGGGGAGTGATGCGGGCGAAAACAAAGAAGGGTCATTGAACGATACTGAGGAGAAATCTTTACAAATCCAACATAGAAGAGTCGTTTGGACCAAGCATGAACGGTGGACTGTTGACCCGCCCATGTCTCAGTCGAACCCATGTAGCTAGGCAGCTGTCTTTCCATACCATAGAGCTATAGAGCTCTCAATAAACACTCCTTTATTGACGTATGCCATGGCCCCGGGTGTCCGAGCCAATTTGATTATCCCTTAACTGTTCCTAGCGGACGAGGCAATCATCGATGATCCAACATGCAAGTTGCCAATCCAACCAGTCAAGAGCATCTCAAACAGTACCGATAGCTGACCACTCATTCAAAATCTATGGGACAATTGCAAGACACCAGCAGGAACGCAAGTCTCGAGTGACCTGGCAACTTTGCAGCCAAGCGAGTGGCTCAGAAGGGGGGAAGCGTGCCTTATTCGCCGATCCCTTTCAGGGCGCGATGTCATCGACTCGGCCAGTGCTGGGATTCTCCCCCGTCTTCCTCCCACCGTCCTCTAGCCCTTGTCAGACCTACACTATTCGCAGTTTCGCAACCTTTCATATATACTATTCCCCCTCTTAGCGATCGCATTCCTTCTTTGAGTACCTACGAGTCGTAATGGAGCTGTGTGGGCGTCAGAAGGTCGTCCAGCGCAAGATGGTGCTGCTGTCAGTTTAGCTCGAGTCTGGACCTGTCTACGCAGATGCTAACGCAGATCACAGCGGCGACGGTGCCTGCGGCAAGACTTCGGCGCTGAACGTGTTTACAAGAGGGTGCGCTCTCCCCCTTCCCCTCCCCCGGCCTGCCCCCACGTCTCCGGAACAGTCAATACTAACAGCTCGAATAGATTCTTCCCTACGGTTTAGTAAGGGCATCCCTGCCAAATAACCCGTTGATTCGCAGGTACTAACCGCTGTGATTTGCTACGCAGTGAACCTACGGTCTTTGGTATGCGCCACCACCCCCGAGCCGAAGATTGAACGTGTTGCTAACAAGACCCTAGAAAACTACGTCCACGGTATGACCTTCGCTCCATTCCCGCACGTACAAGACTCACACCCATAGATATCTTCGTCGACAATGTACACATGGAACTTTCGCTATGGGATACGGCCGGCCAGGAGGAATTCGACCGATTGCGCGCGCTATCCTACGAGGACACACACGTGCTCATGCTTTGCTTTAGCGTGGACAGCCCGGACTCGTTCGAGAACGTCGGGTCCAAGTGGATCGCCGAGATTAATGAGAATTGTCCCGGCGTGCGGGTGGTTCTCACGGCGCTCAAGTGCGATTTGCGCAAAGACGACGAGATGAACGATAACCCCGGCGTGATCTCGTTTGACCAGGGCCTGGCCAAGGCAAAGGAGATTGGTGCAGTCAAGTACTTGGGTATGTTGCGACACACCTTTGGAGAGGGAACATGCTGAGAGGGAACATGCTGACATTTTTAGAATGCTCTGCTGTCCAAAATCGCGGCATCAGAGAAAGCTTCTATGAGGCGGCCAAGGTCGCCCTCGAGGTCAAGCCTGTCGGATCCAAGGGCTCGAGGTCGTCATGTGTAATCCTCTGATCAAGCTTGACATGTGTAACGCTTGTGTTTCTATTACCCCCTTTCCGAATTGTTGATTCCCCATGCATTTGACCTTATCATTTCTACGATGTGCCCTTTTCCATGTCTGACCTGGACAGCCAGAGGTTGTCAGTGTCGTCGCATATTAGCGAGGTTGGCTCTCTACTTTTCTTCTTCAGATATATTATATAATTCCTATTACATTTACTCATCTACTATCTATCCATTTGGACTCTTGACATTACACCAGACCATTTCCCTTACAATCCCTGGATCTCCTCTTCTCGAATAGGATACACCTCTTCAATCTTCTCCCCAGATGCACCGTTCCTACACGCAAAATCCTCATTCACCCGCTTGACAAACTGCTCAACAAACCCACTAGCAATCTCATCAACATCAACACCCTGCACACCCACACCCTCAAGACTAGTCGCCTCCTTCCCTTCCAAACCACACGCCACAATCTGTTTGAAGAACCACATAGGCTCATTGGTAACATTGAACCCAATTCCAAAACTACTAATATTCCTCCGCAAATGCACCCCAACGGCGGTGATTTTCTTCGCCGTCTGCGTCGGATCTTTCACCCAGACTCCCGGATCTTCAGTCACAAACCCGTTCACTCCGTAACTCTTCAGCAGATCGATAACACTATTCTCCAGAACACGGATATGGCACCGTGGTGTCAAGCCATGCCGCTTTAGATCCAGGATCGTGTACGCGACCATTTGCCCGGGCCCGTGGTACGTCGTTTGGCCGCCGCGCAGTGTCGGGGCGTACTCTGCCTTAGGACCATTGGGCCCAGGTGTTAGGATAGAACGGATGGGTTCGAGAGCTGGTGGTAGGGAAAGGTTCGCGGAGTGAGAGCAGGTATTTGATGGGGGAAGGTCGCGCCGTCCAGTCGTGTAGACCGGGTTCGGAGTGAAAGTGATGATTGTCGGGTCTGGTGGCGGGAGTAGTGATTTACTTTCTGAGACCCTTGTGTCTTGCGAGGATATTGAGCCTGGTGAGGCGAGTTTCTTGTATGTGAGGAAGCGGGTTGTGAGGGCTTGCTGGAGCTCGGAGACCCGTGTGAAGGGTGTTGTGTGCGGGAGGTGGAGGTGTGCGAGTCTCATGGTGTCGAAATTGGGGTTTCGTAGGGATTTAGGAGGAATTGGAGGCTAGTTGCTCATCGTAGGTTGTTGAGAGGTTTTCCGAGGGGTTCTGAAGTTATGGATTTTGAGTTGCGGAGAAGCTGGGAGCTCCGGCTCCGATAAGCTCGATATTACCGCCAGCCCTTCACGTCCTGGCTTTTACATATCTACCTGGACAAGCTATGGACTGATTTAATTTGCAGTAAATCTTGCATTCATTGCTCAATCATGCTTTTTACTTATACTATTTGTAGTTTTCTTGTAGTGTCGGGGCAGAACTGGACATATTACCAGCATAGAACATGCTCGAGTCACATTCATCTCGCAATTTGCCATTGATTTCGTCTCAAATCTCAGTCGTTTATCGACATAATCTCCGGATATGCCGACTTCAATGAACAGCAACATTCATAGGAGTATGGGGTCAAGTGGCGTAAGGCCCCAGCTATACGCCGTTGACAAGCCCCTGAGTCTGCTCGATCGGAAGCAAAACCCAGTCCCGAACTCCACCCTTCCAGTCTGCGATACGGCCCTCACGAACTTGCACAGTCACGACTCGCACATCACTATCGATAGCCAAGCTGGGCCGTCTCTGACTGGGATCCACGGGCTGCTGACCAAAGCTAATCTCCTCCTCCTCGAATGTATTATTCTCCAGGTGCCGTTCCTTGCACCATTTTTCCTCATCCGATCCAGATTCGAGGAAGCGTGCCTGGCCGGTGATGGTGGTGGAGATGCTGGACAGGGCGCTGGTGTTCAAGTTGAGGAGCAAGCTTGCCAGCGATGACCGAGTCGCCGCGGGAGGAGGAGATCCCTCACGCTCGCCGTGCGGGTTAGGAGCACGGGTCGGCGGACGGTGAGATACCCAGTCGTGCACCAGCAGGGAAACGCGCGGGTTCGACAGCAGGTGATTGGTCTTGCGCGACGCGGGGTTGGTCGTCATGATGATAGTCGGGTGCGGGTCGTAGGGGGTCGACGGGAGGTATGTGTAGGACATCAGAGAGATATGGGGAGTGAGGTTGTCGCATGTTGCCAAATGGAGCTGATTGAAGCCATAGTCAGTGGGATTGTGATGATTCCAAGGTCTGCGCTAAACATACGAAGCGCGAATTCTTCAGGCATGAGACCACCTCCGACGGCAGCGAGGTGCCCTCGTGCTGATGGGTGGTCGTGGCCGAAGCCTCGTAAGAGAGCGGAGGATTGCAGTCAGCCATGATGCCCGTGCGAGAGGATGTCTAGATGGGACGATGGTGGGATGATCTTGAGATCTGCCGGGCGGTGGCCAATCGGGTATCGACGTCATGCCGGATTGGTTCGTTTTGGTTCTAACATCTACACATCTACACATCTACACGTCTACACAGCCTAGGGTTGGAAATTGATCATCTAGGTCTCTAATTAAGATCTGACTGTGTAGCGCAGTGTACGTAAAAGATTGTGGAGTATAATTGGAGTCCTTCGTCATGATGGCGAAAGACGAAGCCACCAGCGACGATCATCCGATATTCAGGAGTCAGGATAATCGCCGATATCCGCTGCCGTTCGCCGTCAACGGCAGATACTGAGACGATCGGTCATGGATAATGTTGTAGCCATGTCTGCAGATACGGGACATGGAGGATACAGGAATCGTACTGCGATGTATGGTGGCCGGTACTTTAGGGTAACAGAATCCTCGATGTCATCATTACCCACCCGTCCCCGTTCCCCCGATCCCCGGCCGCTTTGGTGCAGCTTCACCTTTCCCCGCACAAGTGAGACTGCAGCTTGCTACGCTCAGCCCCAAGGCATTTTGTAACCGTCAAATCAATCCGAATCCATTCTAAACACGGGGTATTCTGCCGTTCTAGTAATTACACTAGCTTGACACACTCTAGCCCCCCAGAATTCCAGCCAGTACGCGCACCGGCGATCTCCATCGCGTGCCCTTTCCTCCTTCCTTCCCCTTCAGAGCCTAATCCCTGTCGGATCATCTCCTCTTTCTTTCCCCTCTTCACTCTTCACTCTTCACTCCTCCCAAACCTTCTATCCTTTAAGCTCTTCTCGTCTCTCCGACCTTTCGCATGTGCGACTTTACTTGATTCTGTCCTCCCCTTCGTTGAATTCGTTGTGGCCACCCCTCCCCCTTCCTACTTTCAAACGCAACCGCCTCTTTTTTGTCTTTCCATTCCCTTCCCCCTACCACAAAATGTTGGCTCCGCGCTTCGTCCGAGCCGCGACGTCGCTGGCGCGACCCTTCAGCTCGTCCACGGTGGCCTATCGTGCCCCCTCCATCAGAGATCTGACGGCCGAATCGGCTGAGTACACCAGACGGCAAAAGGAGTTTCGCGAGAACCTCGAGGAGGCTCGCAAAAGAAAGGAACAAGAAGAGAGTCAGTCTGCCATTGCTTCTGGTTCTACCCCTTCCCGTGAGTTCGCTCCCACTGCTCCGCGTGTGAGCAATGCGAGCCGCTATGATCAATCCCGCCCTGTTTTTGATGCAGCCAAGGCTCTTGACCACGAGGCATTGAGCTCACTCGCCATGCACCGTTCTATAGGAGAAGAACAGTCCCAAGACCCTCAATCTAAGCGCAATCCGCTATCCTCGTTGATCTACGGCACCAAGGAGGGACAGCACTTCGACAAGGACATTCAGCGCTCCTTTTCCGAAGTGTTGGCCCGTGGCAAGTACGTCCATTCGATCGTGTTCCATGATGTCAAGCCCGACAAGGTCGACGAGTATGTGGATTTGGTGGGCCAGTGGTACCCCCGTATGGCGGGCACGGAGGAGAACCGAGTCAACCTAGTGGGCAGCTGGCGCACCCAAGTGGGGGATAACGACACGTTCAGTAAGTTAATCGCCCCGGCATCACTTGCACGGTCCTAACCCAAGCAGTCCACATCTGGGAATATCAACGCTACGAGGGCTACCATGCCTCCCTGCACAACATTTCGCAACATCCCGAGTTCCCGGAGTTTGATCGCAAGTTGAAGAGCCTGATCAAGAGCAAGAAGACCTCACTGATGCAGGAGTTCTCGTTCTGGCCCACGACCCCGCCTCGCCAGTTGGGTGGAATCTTCGAGCTCCGATCGTACACACTACACCCAGGCAACCTGTTGGAGTGGGAGTCACACTGGCGGCGCGGTCTGACCGCCCGTCGCGAGGTTATGGAAGGCGTCGGCGCGTGGTTTGTGCAGATTGGCGACCTGAACACGGTTCACCATCTGTGGCAGTTTGCCAACCTAGAGGAGCGCAAGATCCGCCGAGAGCAATCGTGGGGCGTCGAGGGTTGGGCTGAGACGGTGCACAAGACCGTTCCCCTCATTCAGACGATGCAAAGTCGGATCCTGGTCCCGATGCCGTGGAGCCCAGTCGGGTAAAGGGCGAGAGCGAGAGGGTCATCAGGCCATAAGGCTCAAGGGCCAAGCACCCTGACCAACTCCACACCGGCAACAAGCCTCATCCGGTGTTTTGTTTATTTCTACAGCGCGTACTGTATGGCCAAGGGAGTCACACGAGATGATCAGGCACCCATATTATGTATCGTGTATCTAGGCACATGGCGCACCAGTCTCAACCTGCATACATCCTTCTATCTCATTCGGTACTACATCTCTAAAACTACAACCGACAGGCAGCGGCCTCGGGTAACCCCCCACTTCTTGCATGGCCGATCATTTCGTTGTGAAACATCTTATTGGCACCGCGGAAAGGAAACTCACTCATGGCGATTCGCTGTCGCACGTGCTTTGCCGAGAGATTCGTAGCGTCCAGCGAGTACAGATCATTCAGGGGAATGCGAGTAAACATGCAGGATGTCGTAGGGCGATAGCAACAAGTCAACAATATAGGCGGTAAGTCAGTAACTTGTTGGGGTAGACGCGATCGTCACCGCCGACCAAGTGTCCTTTTTTTTCCTTGTTGCTGTTTGCTACGCCGATCTCGACATCTGTTTCCCGCTCTTTGGTCACCGGCGGGGCCTTTTCCTTGGCCTTTTCTTGTTGGCGCCGACCTCTTCTCTATTCTCCTTTCCATCTACTAACTCCTCCAGCCATCCCTCGCTCTTTTCGATCGCACACCCCAACCCGCGCGTGAACTCCTCGGCCGAACCTTCTTTTGGTCTTTCACGTCGCTCGTGAACATAGGGAAACACGGGCATATGCGTTAGAACAGAATACTCAGACATAAACGCCAGAATGGTGTACATTCGCCAACATCACCTCCCCAACCTGCGCAACTACAAATATGCCGGTGTCGACCACTCGTTCATCAGTCGGTACATCCTCAAGCCATTCTATAACAAATGCGTGATCGGTCTCTTCCCCATGGGGATGGCGTGAGTCTACCTCCAGCTCCCTGGAGCTTCGTGCTCGCGTGCTCGAGCTTTGCTGGGATCTGCGCTGTGGCTAACCCGTTCTCTGCTTTTTTCTTGCTTCGCGATAGTCCCAATGCCGTAAGTCTTGCCCATGCGCCTCTCTTGTTCACTCGTTAATCGCCTGGTAATTTATAGATTACTCTCACCGGATTCATGTTCGTGGTAGTTAATTTCCTCACCGTCATGTGGTACAACCCCAACCTCGACACGGACTGCCCGCCCTGGGTTTATGCTAGCTGCTCTCTCGGCCTGTTCCTGTATCAGACTTTTGATGCTGTGGACGGCATGCAGGCGTACGTTTTATTTTTGCTTCTGGCTGCATTTGCATTGCGACTGAACCCTGACTTAGGCGGAGAACGAAACAAAGCGGGCCGCTGGGCGAGCTCTTCGATCACAGTATGTGTGCAGAACACTTGATGATGAGGTAGAGATTGATTTTTTTTTTCTAGGCGTCGATGCGTGCAACACTGGCTTGGGTGTCCTGATCTTTGCGTCTGCTATGAACCTCGGCCAGTCATGGTTGACTTTCCTGAGTCTGTTTGGATGTAAGAACAGCCCGGTATGCTTCATGAGTAAAGCTAACATCGTCCAGCAACAATGACTTTCTACGTCCAGACCTGGGATGAGTACTACACCCAGGTTCTCACTCTGGGAGTCATCTCCGGCCCCGTCGAGGGCGTTCTGACTCTCTGCTTGGTCTACGCGATCACCGCCTACATGGGCGGCGGCAGCTTCTGGCACCAGCCGATGCTGGAGACCGTCGGCGTGTCCAAGCCCAGCTTCCTTTCCGAGCAGGTGTATAAGATGCCTTGGACGCAGTGGTACCTGGTGTACGGCGCGTTTGTGCTCTTCTTCGCCACCGGCTCGAGTATCATGAACGTTATGCAGGTGCGTCGTCAGCGCGGCCAGGATCCCATTGCTCCCCTGTATGGCTTGCTTCCCATGGTCGCCACCTGGACCTTGGTTCCTGCCTATCTGTACTTGAACCCGGCCGTTCTGGAGAACTACACGATTCCCTTCGGTCTGTATGTCGGTCTGGTCAATGCCTACGCCGTTGGCCGTATGATCGTTGGCCACCTCGTCCAATCTGGCTTCCCGTACTATAACATTCTGTTGGTACCGCTCGCCCTCGGTGTTATTGACAGCGCTGGTCCTGTTCTCGGTCTCTGGTCGAGTGCCGTGCTCGGCGATAGCGTCAGGCAGACGATGTTCGTTTTCGGATGCCTGGGTATGGCCGTCGGTGTGTATGGTAGCTTTGTGGTAAGTTCCTTTCCGATCTCTGTTTTGTATCGCGCTGACCGTGTCCAGTTCGACGTGATCACGACCATCTGTGACCACATCGACATCTGGTGCTTGACGATCAAGTACCCGTACGTGGAAGAGACCGAGTACAAGAACGGTTCAGCAGTCAAGACCCAGGTTGAGGGCGCGTCGAAGAAGACTCTCTGAGGGAGAGGTGGACATTCGTGGCGAACGGTTCAACCTCGATCACGCGATCGCGGGGAGTCGAGACGGGTAGTCGTTCAAAAAGAACGTGGTGGCTCATGATTGACTTCAACAGTACATAAGTTTTCAACGCCGGTGGCTTCCTCCACGTTGGGTTATAGAATATGAGATATAATGTGTGATGTAATTGATGTTGACGCTGGGAAACTCTAGAAGCTTCAAGCACCTGACTGCCTGCCTGATTGTCCTGGCAGAACCAAGTATCCGCAAAGGCGGAGTAAATACCACGACATTATTGGCGGGTGCTTCCCCTCGCGCCTGCCCGAACCAGAAGCTCAAGCGAGGGCACAAGCCCTACCGCCCCATCGACAAATCCCTTCAAACTTCTCCTGGGTTCCATTCCACTCACACAAGGCCATCGCCATCAGCGCCATTCATCAACTCCTTCGCTGATCTCCTATCGTCAAGATGGTAAGCTGCCATCCTCATCGTCGCTACACGTCCCGTCCCTCGATTTTCCTCGATACACAGTCCCCAGAGGGCCCGGACGGGGCTTGACAGACGCTCCCATACAAAAATCTTCAAATGCTAACATTCATCGTCAATAGGTTCTCGCGGTCGACCTTCTCAACCCCACGCCTCAGGCTGAGGCCCGCAAGCACAAGCTTAAGGTACGAAAACCCCGAAATTCGATATCCGATGCACATGGCACAAATATGGACAATGGAGATGGATTGGGATCCCGACCATCGACCTTGGCCACCCATACTCGCCGATGAGAAGGAAATCGCTCGACGAAAAAAAAAAAAAGAACAGAACGCTGACTTGGACATCGCTGTGCAGACCCTTGTGCCCCAGCCCCGCTCCTTCTTCATGGACGTCAAGTGCCCCGGCTGCTTCACCATCACCACCGTCTTCTCGCACGCCCAGACCGTCGTTATCTGCGCCGGCTGCTCAACTGTCCTCTGCCAGCCCACCGGTGGCAAGGCCCGTCTGACTGAGGGCTGCTCTTTCCGCCGGAAGTAAACGAGACGCGCAAATGAAATTTCTTTTTTTGTCTTGTTGAAACGCACAGAGGATAGCATGGAGCAACTAGGATGAAAATACCAGTTCCGGGTTTTCGACCTCCGCTTCGGTCCGGTCCACGGTTATTTTATTACGGAGACCGCCGTTCAAAATGTCACATACCACCTTTTTCTCTTTTTCTATTACCACCTTTCACGGGTAAAAAAACACCCTTGACAAGGAAAAGTGTCGGGGGTTGGAGGAGGCAATGATATGATACGATCCATACCAACTTCTCTCTTTATTTCCCCCGGAAAAACCAAAAAATTGAATGTGACGTTTTGACCGTCTCCGTCGTCCTACTTGTTGTCTCCGCTTGATGATGCACCGCAGCGTCTTTTTTGGTTTCTGATGTTTTTGATTGATGACAGATAGAAGATGGAATGACTCGCGCTAGCATTCGACAAAAGCACGCAGCATTCAGCTCAGGGAGTTCCGGATATCTGGCACAAATGGCACCTTGCTCACTTGTGTCGTGTCTCTTGTTTTTAATGTTTCTATGTACTGCATTTCCTGTATACTGGTTCCCTCAATCTGAGTTGTACCTGATACTGGCACTGCGTAGGAAGTAATTCGTAGACGACTGTGACGCTGCCCATATCCGTGTGTCTGTAACAGTATGAAGCACGCTGGCATCTACGTAGATCTCTTGACAGAGGAAACTATCGAGTAGAAGTTCCATCAATGGTTGTGGTTAATCATACTGGACTCAGGTGTTCGCCCTCGCTACACCACGCGACCCAGCCCTCCACCAAACCCATGTAGGACACCTACCAAACGTCATACCAGCCCGCGTCGCCAGATTCCGCGTGATCTTAAGCCTCTGCCTTACTGCCCCCACAGCCGAGAACGCGGATTATTGCCTACTGTAGAGTCCCCACCCCGGCTACGTAACAGCGCACGGTTTCCAGTCCAGGCACACCTCAAGGCATGACATCATTTATGCATACCCACCCAGAAGGTGTAGTATACCCCCGGAACCCAGTGGAATAATGAGGAATGCGCCCATTTTCATGGAAATGGCCCTGATGTCAATTTGTAGACTGGTAGGGTATCCAAGGGAGCCCCGCGAGAATGCCCTTTTTTTTTTTCTATATTGTCTAGATGGGATTTTGTTTTACTTCAGTATTTAGTTAGACCGTTTGGTCAAAGAAGCAAAGAGTATTCGGTTTAGTCAATTTGGATATTGGTCATAATATGGGTTCTCTGATCGTACATAGCGAAAGACAGGACAATTATCACTTTAAAAAGAATATAAACGAGAGACAAAAAAGAGAGTCGTCATACAGGTCCGTTTTCCATTTCGGAAACGACTGGATCCTAGCCTCACTGAACGGTCAAAGTTGAAATGAAGCACGGGTCTCAGGCAGGTTTAACCCTCCATCAAAGCCCGCGCCTTGGCCTTGACGTTCGGGCCAAAGTCCACGGGGTCGTTGGGGTCGCTGCCCGTCATAAGCGACAGCTTGCCGGACGAGTCGTTGAGGAGTACGCAGGCGAACTGGTTGCGTCCTATCACTTCCTGCACTTGTTCGCGCGCGGTTTGGTCGCCGGCTGCGTATTTCTGAGCGTCGACGCCCTTGAGCACTTGGTGCGTGTTGCGGACGAAGTCCATCAGGAAGAAGATGGTTGGGTGGGTTGCTGGAGGCTGCATCTGAGGGTGGGCTTCGAATGCACTGTAACAATTATGAGCAGGTGTCTTTAGGAAGTAGGTGGGAATTGGTAGTGTTGTAATGGGTGTATTCTTGAATGAAAACTGCCAATGCGATCCTGATTTCCTTGTTAGGAGAAGAGTAAACATACTCGAGAAGGTCGGTCATCTGCGCATCAAGGCGCTCGATGTCGACGTCGTTGGCTTGCTGTGTGCTCATGGTGTACTTTTCTGTTCCCAGAGTATGTGTTTGGATGATGTGACGAAATACCTCAGTGAGCCCGAAGGGGGGGGAGGGCGTTTTGGCGCTTATCCGTTATCTCTTATCTTATCACTAGTCGGGGTCCGAGTCGAGATCCTCACTCTTGACTCACTCTTTACCCCGATGTCTACAGCCAACACTCGTCTCTCTCTCCTCTCGGCAAGTCTGGCTAGCAGTCCGCCCGTCATGGCTCCGAACCCTTCAGCCTCGGTGCGCCAGCCACTCAAGCTCCTCATGCTACACGGCTACACCCAGTCCGGAACCCTCTTCCACGCAAAAAGTCGTGCCCTGGTCAAACATATCCAGAAAGCCTTCCCCCTACATGAAGTCGACGCCGTCTACCCGACCGGACCCCTGCGTCTGAGAGCTAGTGATATTCCGGGCTACGAGCCATCCGACAATGCAGAGGAAGAGGAGATCGAGGCCTACGGCTGGTGGCGCCGGTCAAACACAGCAGACCCGCCACTGTACCAGGGAATGGATGATGGACTGGCAGCAGTGGCCAAGGTCATTGCCGAACAAGGTCCCTTTGACGGCGTGATTGGTTTCTCGCAGGGCGCTACCATGGCGGCGATGGTAACTGCGTTGTTGGAGCCGGGCCGGAAAGAGGCATTCCAGCATTTTGAGAAAGATACGTCTGAAGGCGCGCCGGGAATTCCGTTCCCTACGGCTTTCGAGAAGCTGCAGCATCCGCCGCTCAAGTTTGCGCTGTTGTATTGCGGGTTCCGTGCTCCTGGGGCGAGGTATCGTGCTTTCTATGAGAACCCGCCTATTCAGACGCCGGCGCTGCATATTCTAGGGACTTTGGATTCGGTTGTTGATGAATCGAGGAGTAAAGCGTTGATGGACGCTTGTGCTGGGGAGCCGGAGAAGGACGGGTCGGTGGTTTTCCATCCCGGTGGCCACTTTGTGCCCAGTCAGCGGCCTTACCTTGATGCTGCGGTGCAATTTATTCGGAAACAGCTGGAGAAGGATAATAATGGCATTAATGGGAATGCGAAGGAGGAAGATGTGAATGATATGGATGTGCCATTTTGAGGGACATATATATTTGATCTGGACCTCGGGATACTAGATTAGACCATACCTTTTACATATGCATATAGACGACCTTCAAGAAGATCCTATAGGGCCCAAAGCCCGCAAAGGTGCAATTCGCACGAGATATACTACCTTGGTACAATTTAAAGAAGACCTCAGGACTCCCAACGTTGGAACTTTGGGACTGCTCAATGTGAGCAGACTACAAACATGTACGATCTCAACACAATGGTGTAGCGGTTCAGGATCTACCGATTATTTTACAAAGGCAGCTTTCCCATACATTCCCAAACAAATCAGCGAGCCTTGGCCTTCTCCTGAGAGGGCAGGATGCGAGCCATCATCTCTTCCTTGGTGATCAAGTGATCGACCCGCTCCAATAGACCGAGCAAGCTCTTCATATCGCTGCTCCACTCGTTCAGCACGTCGTCCGCATCCCGGGGTTTAGCAAAGTTGACTAGCCGTGCGGGCCGGTCAATCTTAGCATAAATGGTCTTCGAGGTGACCAGCTCGCTGATATACTTCTCCGTCTCCTCCTCGGTCAGATCCAGAAGCTGGGTCAACCGGCCCATCTGGATGCGGGTGTAGTATTTGGCCACCACGCGCACATTGTGCTCGATGACCCGCTTGCGCAGATCCTCCCATCTCCGGTTGGCCTGGTTCTCGCTGGACTGCTTGGCCTCAGCATCGAACACGTCGGTGCCGCAAAGATGAGGACCAAACTGTTCGGCAACCATGGGCCAGCGCATCAGCTCGGGAATGGTGAACAGCTTGATCAAACGGGCCTCTTCGGGGACCTGGGACAGGCGCGAGTCTTGTTGGATGCGGTGCAGCAGGTCTGACTGTTCGTTGTCATATGGAGACAGAACGATATAATAGACGATGCGAGCAAGGGACTGTCACGCTGGTTAGCTGGTGAAAAATATGAGATGGTAGTAAAACACATACTGCACGCAGGTGCTCGGGGTTGTTCTCGACCGCCTCCGTATCCAGGACTTCTCGGTAGTTCTTGCAAACATCGAGGTACTTGTAGTCGTGATTAGCGAGGGTGATTTGCTGGTCGTAGTAACGGAGCTTGAGGTCGGTAACATCGTCGTCCACCTCCATCGGAGGCTCATCCGGTCCACGGGTCTTCTCGCGCTCCTCCGCCTGCTTCTTCAGCTTCTCGATCTCTTCGGCGCTCTTCTTCGGCTTGCGGTTGAAGTACCGCTTGTTGATCTTACGGATCAGAATGGAAGCCTGTGTCCAGTCTCCACGCTCGATACACAAGCCAACCTGCTCCAGGATGAACTCCGTCTTTTCCCTTCGTGTCATCGATCCAAAGGTCTCCACTTGCAGCTCGCACAGGATATCAGCTGCGGAATTAAGGTCGCCTTGCGTCTTCTTGATGTTTGAAAGGATTCGGGTCACGCGGGCTCGCTCGACTTCAACGAAGATCTTGTTCTGTTAGCAGCGTCCAGCGGGTGGGACGTTCGACATACCTTGCCCTCGGTGACTGTCCGCAAAGTCTCAATAACAGACAGCTTGACATCCACGTTAGGAGTGTCATCCAGGAACTTCATCACCGCCTGCACCATCCTCGTCGTGGCCTGCTTAAGCTGGGCATGTTTCTTGGAGAGGAGGAGCACTTGGTCGTTGAGGAGGTTCCAGTCGCCGGATTCCTTGGCGATGGTGACGATGGCGATTAGGAGGCGCGATGTCGAGGCAAGGTCGGAAGCCTGCTCAGAGGATCAGCACACATCTGAATAGTGGAGGATAGAATAATTATACCTGTCGTGTTTGCTTCTCCAAGCCCAACAACTTGTCGATGGCACCCTGGACATCGGTCTGCATAATGAAGTATCAGCCTTGTCACCAACAGCAGGAGATGCGAGTCGCACCTTTGCGAGGGCCTCAGCCTCCGGGATGAGCTTGTCGGCCTCCTTTGTGAAGTCCTTCTCGGGCTTCAACAGGCCGCCGTCGGACATGGTGACGAGTGCGAATAAAGTTCGCTTAGGGTCCGTGAAATGAGGATAGCAAAGGAGAAATGGAAATCAGATGGTACGACGATGTACCGAGGAAGCAATTCGTGGATGCAGGGCAGAAGATGATGACGCCGGAGCTCTGGGGTGTGCTTCCGCCCTTGGCTGAGCTGCCAGCTCCGCTTCACGTGACCTGGTCAACACTCAGTATTCAGTGCAGCAACTTGCTTGATATTCAAATCTGTCTTATTGTATTCTTTTCCCAATGTTCTCTTCAGATCTGTCATAGTTGAAACATAGCTATGGATGTGTGCCAATACTAAAATGTATGGTCGCACACTGTGTCCTCTTTTACTGCTGCAGCACCAAAGTCTAAGTCAAAATTGGGCTGTCTTAGGGAACCTACCTCTATCTCTGGATGCCAATGAGGCTTCCCTCTTTGGTTAGTCTCAGTAAGTACTCTATTCAGAATGGAGTATAAAGTGCAGCGCCAACTGGGACTCAGGCACGTGCTTATCTAAGCCTCGAAATCACGCAATTTTGCTCTAAGCCGCTTCGGGATTTGCAGATGTATAGAAAAATTTCCGCCAAAGTCCTTTGTCAGTCTCTACGAGTGCAGCCAGTTGCTGATATCTACGCTCATAAATCACCAGCAATCTTGACACGCCCCAGGCCCATCCTCTGCAAGTTCTGTGCGGTGGCGCTGCGACAATCGTGAACAGGGTCCTTATCGGGCGTTATCACCAATCGTGACTGGCCTTTTACTCACTCCGGAGTAATTTCTCTTTCTCCGCGGAAACGTCGAGAAGTTGTGCATTAGTCGTGCCAAGAGCCTGTCGAAGCTCTGCTTCAAATATTCGAGCAATTCAAACTCGAAATTCTCCTAGCCCGCTTGTTCTGCAGGCTTGAAGCATTATATCAATCCTTACGATTTGGAGGGGCTGCCCGCATTTTGCGGCAGAAAACACTATGAAAGACGCTTCAAACGGCTCCGGCCTGGCGCCACTGATGACTGCATGGGATGTCGAACATCAGATTCATTTGATCGTTGGAGCCAATCCTCTCGCGGCTGCTCGATGCACGAAAAGTCTCGAGGCCGGCGCAAAGCCCATTATCATTGCGCCGGAGACGGCCGACATGCATTTTACCCTGTCAGAGCACATTCATAATGGCTCTGCGCAATGGGTGCGCCGCGAATTTCAAGATGATGATTTGACCACCCTGGGCAGAGAGGAGGTTGACCGCGTTGTGGACACGGTCTTTGTCACCGTGGGTGGCAACAATCCATCAGGTAGGTCTTCTCGGTCCCACATGGGATGTATCAATACTAATTAGGTTCCTAGCATCACACATCTCAAAATTATGCCGGCGCTTGAGAATTCCAGTCAATGTATCGGATGCTCCAGAGCTGTGCTCTTTCACACTGCTTTCGACTTACACAGATGGCCCGCTGCATATTGGAATTACGACTTCGGGTCGCGGTTGCAAGCTTGCCTCTAGATTACGACGAGAGATCGCTGCTTTCCTCCCCGCAAATCTAGGATCTGCCATTGACCGTCTTGGCGCCGTCAGGCGCAAGCTCTGGGAGGAGGACAATGCTGCTGGACTCGGCGAGCGGGCACCTGAAGGCGACGATGATGACACGGCAGGCCAGAGCCACACTTTCAATACCTTGGTCACGGAAGGTGATGTCGCTGCTGCAAAGACAAGACGTATGCGCTGGTTGTCGCAGATCTGCGAATACTGGCCCCTCCGCAAACTCGTCTCTATTACCGATGCCGACATCGACGCCATTTTGAAAGCGTACTCGTCTGGCAGGGACGCTTCACAAGATGTTGATGGGGTCAATGGTGTATCAAAGAAAGGAAAAATTGTGCTCGCTGGCTCTGGCCCTGGACACCCGGACCTCCTCACTCGTGCCACATACAATGCGATCCAGAGTGCGGATATCATTCTGGCTGACAAGCTCGTCCCGGCTCCAGTCTTGGACTTGATTCCTCGCAGAACGGAAGTTCATATCGCACGCAAGTTCCCCGGCAATGCCGACCAGGCGCAGGAGGAATTCCTGCAGATGGGTCTTGCCGCACTGAAGAAGGGCCAGCAGGTCCTCCGACTGAAGCAGGGCGACCCATATCTCTATGGCCGTGGAGCTGAAGAATTCGAGTTTTTCCGTGGCGAAGGGCATATTCCTGTGGTGCTACCCGGCATCACTAGCGCCATGAGTGCGTCTCTATTCGCAGATATCCCCGCGACTCATCGCGGTGTCTCCGACCAGGTCCTGGTCTGCACAGGAACTGGCAGGAAAGGCGCCGCTCCAAATCCTCCAGCCTACGTTCCCACCCAGACTGTGGTTTTCTTGATGGCCCTCCACCGCTTGTCAGCCCTTATCGAGTCCCTCACTGCATACTCTACCGAGGAATCCACACGCTCTCGAGCCCTCTGGCCGAAGGAGACTCCTTGCGCAATCGTTGAGCGTGCATCGTGCCCCGACCAGAGGGTTATCCGTTCCACTCTGGAACATGTCTGCATGGCCTTTGAAGCTGCTGGCTCGCGGCCGCCTGGCTTGCTGGTGGTTGGTGCCAGTTGCCATGTGCTGCACAACCCGAACGGCCAAAAGTGGGTGATTGAGGAGGGGTTCCATGGATTGGATGAATTGCACGGAGAAGTGGATACAGTATTGGCGCCCCAGGAATGAGATATGATTGGAAAACAGGGTGCATTAGCATGATTCAGAGCGTCGGAGTTTTGACGATCGTGTACATAGACAGGATTCAGATACCCCATAAGCAAATGTGTATACCAGAGCTATTGACTATACTCTATCAACGTGATAAGGTTAAACCGTATTTCATGTTCTTAACTTGAATTTAGATTAATGAAAAGTATCATTCAGCCGTAAGAAAAAAAAAAAAAAAGAAGTATAGATCGATCGATCTACAATGGGATGACGACATCTCCGCACCGACACCGCCTCCACATGAGATTCTCCAAGCATTCAACTTCAACGCATTACACATCACTCAACAAACATTATGGCGCCGACATCTCACCTCCCCCTATTCGGCGGTGTCCGGTATGTCTCCAAATACTAGCAGAATGATCCATCTAACAGCCTCGCAGAGCTTGGAACCCCAAGGACTGGACATCCTCCGACGACCGCGTCCGCGGCGGCGCCTCCCACTCAACTCTAACTTGCTCTCCATCCTCACTAATCGCCAAATTCCACGGCAACCTTGACATCACCGCCCTCGGCGGCGCAGGTTTTGCTTCTCAGCGCACAACAGGCGAACACCGTACCTGGGATTTGTCCGGCTATGATGGTCTCGAGCTGGTCATCGACCACGCGGATAACAAGCTCTACACTCTTACACTGAAAGATGAGATTTTACCCAAGCGTCCTGATGGTCGTGAGCAAAGCACTCTGAGTTGGGAGTATGATTTCCGTTCTGAGGGGCAGAAGACGATTTTTGTGAAGTGGAGTGATTTCAGACCTACTTATCGCGGCAAGGAGAAGAAGGGTGTTGAGCCGCTGGATTTGAAGAATGTGAAGAGGTTTGGGATCATGATTAGGAGGTAAGTTACTTCTTAGCGATTTCTTATTTTGGGTTGGTGTTGACTCTTCTTAGTTTCTTTGGTGAGCAAGAGGGTGACTTCGAGCTTGGTGTTCTCTCGATTGCGGCTCTGCGGACAAAACGCTATTCGGATAACCCTGATGAGGAAAATGAAAATGACGAGTTTGATGAGAAAACTGGTGTTCATGGGCAGAGGAGGCGCCAGGGCTTGTTTGGTTGGTTGACTGGATGTCTTGGGCTTTAAATCCAAAACTTCTGCGCATCTAGGGAATTTCTTCGAAAATTTCGGGTATATACGAAACAAAAATGTTCATTTCCAATTCCCATCCCGCTTCTTAAACAATCGCTATTGATTTGGGAAGTTCACCCACTCTGAAAAGTCCATGCCCCCTGGAGTGGGCATCTGCTGCTCCATCGGGAACAAGCTGCCTCCAAAGCCAGGGTCGTTGAAAAGCTGCTCGGGGAATGGCATAAAGGCCTGCTGTTGCTGCTGAGGAACCTGCTGCTGTGGATTTGGACGCTGGCTCTCGAATCCAAACTCGGCCATCATTCCAGACGGCGAGCCTAGTAATCGGTTGATGACCTCGGAACATCGAGCGGCGAATCGATTGGTGCCGAATGATGGGTGGTTCAGGAGTGCTTTTGTGGTTTCAACGTCCTGTAGCCAGCTTGAGGCGTCGGGGTTTGAGGAATCGGTCATAAGGAAGACGATGGGGATCAGACCGGCTTGGAAGAGGAAGTATCTGTCTGGAATTAGGGACACTCGGATAGATTTGGGGGTGGAAAACATACAGCATATACCACGCTCCTAATCTCGTACAGACATGACTGTCCATGTACTCGGAGATGGAAGCAATCGTCAGCCGCGCGTTCTGCAAACAGCGCATTCGGCACTCTGTCTCACAGGGATCTTCAACTCCTCCATCGGAGGAGATAGACGACCCCTCTGAGCTGCCACCGTGGGGTGCCCAGCGCCGAGCTGCCCAGCGGAGTAGAATTGGGCGGTATATTAGAATGATCAAGTTCCAATTCCGCCAGAGCATGCGGTTGCGAACGAGTGCGAGATTATCGGGATCTGGCTGCGTGGGATGCACGGCAAGAGGTTTTAAAGGATAATGGAAATATGAAGGTAGCTCATTGTACCATTCTTCCATGGGTTTCTGGAGGTCGAGGGTTTCTTCTGGTGTGATGCTAGGGGTGGAGATGAGACGCTGGTAAACGCTGTTGGTCATGAGGTGGAATTGGGCCTGTGCTATCAAGCCAGAGTAGAGTGTTGGGCCGAGTGACTCAGAAGGAAGCGAAGTTGTCGCTGGAGTCAAAGCCTGTGGAAAATCAGATTTGAATTCGCCATTGTGGATTGCTGCGTATACATACGTCGTCTTGAATGTTAAGAACCTGCTTAGCGTCCATAACATTCTCATCTGGCAGAAGAATTGGTCTGCCAAAGGTTTTGGCGGCGCCACTGTCGAAGATAAAGACACCCCACCATAGCCGACGTCGAATTTCCCGCTGGAGGAGACTGATCTTCCAGTCGTGGAACTCCTTATGAAGACCCAGACTCATGGCCATCCGAACAGCTAGCCCTAGATAATTCCAGCCAGTGTTGGGCTTGTTACGTTTTTGAGCATAGTTGCTCAACAACAGCAACGCCTGAACCAGTGTCAAGTTACCGGTCTCAAATACAGATGCCTGCTGCAGAAATGTTCTAGCTTCTTGATAGAATGTAATATCAAGATCTGAACTGTCATCCCCAATACTCCAAGCGCCAAGCGCTAGAATAGTGTTGAGCAGGATCTGCCAGGCTGTGCCGTGGGGACGCAAAGAAGGATCATTAAATTGCGCTCGGAAGGTTGGTTCGTGAACGAAGGGGTAGCTAGAGTGATAGTTGAAGAAATATGCGTCGATAAATGCCTGCTCAATAAGTCCAGATGGTGCGCTGTTCAGAAGCTGTTCTTTGAGAGGCACGCCGCCCGAGCTTGCAGAGCGGACCGGAATGTTCAAGTCGAACCCGTGGTCAAATAGTGCTCTGAGCGGCACGACACTGGACGAGGATCCAAAATAGCCAGCCCCTTCGGGCTTGATCGATAATGCCGCCATTCCGTCTGTCAGGTCGCCAAATGTCAATTCCTTTTCGGCCCAGTCAAACCCGTCAGCCTGCTGCGGTAGAGCCTCTGGGGCGGGTTCTGTTCGCTCTGCTTCAGGTCTGGCTGGAGTCGAATGTCTGGAAGAAGTCTGTGATGAGGGAGCTTGTGGTGGAGCTGCTTGGTTCGATAGTAAAGAACGAAGGGTCGCATCCAGATCTCCCCCGGGGAACAGCCTGCTTAAGGCAGTTTCAAATGATGACAAGCGATCTTCGACATAGGTCAAGTGTCTACCAAATGTTAGAGTCGTCTTTCTTCCGGGGCTGGCTGATCACATACTGCCGCGTGAGAGGACTCCTAGACACTTTCGGACTGTACTTGCATTCCTTGTTCAGCTGCCGGCATTGTATGCAAGTCGGACGCTCTTTTGAGCACTGGGTCATGATTAGTTACGCATGCATGATCTGAGCCTTAAATGAAGGTCCTTACTCTCGACTTCCGAAGGCGACATTCATCGCACTATATGTTATTAGTCCAAACTGAATCAATTGCATGGGAACCCGGTCAATACACACAGCGAATGAATGGGAATCCCGAGTGCTAGCCATCTTTATCGAGGCAAGTCGGATTCTTTAGATCGTGTGTCCAATGCGCTCTGGTCATGACACAACACGGGAGTCATCTTTCATGCAGTCAGTCTATCGGATCTTCCGGGTCTTATCCAGCGATAGGGGTCGCACGACTTCGGGTGCGCGGATGTATAGCACATCCCACGAGGAGATAGGACATGTATATACATCACAGCAGTTGGACAATAACGTTGCATCTGGCATAGGGGAACTCACTATTCGCGCTAAAGCGAACATCCATCCGCTTCGAGCGGCAGATTTGCAATGCGATGAGAAGATGAAACGGATGCCACATTCAACGCTCCCCTCAATGGTGGGGAAATGGTCATGTGATGCGCGGAAAAAATCCCATTAGTGCCTAAGGCAGAGAACCGCATTGGGCATTTACTACTTGTTATTCGATTTTACAGTGATTGTTTTGAGGATTTATGAGCATTGAATGCTGTTTGGTAGTAGCTATTTCTGATTGGTCTGTGGAAAATAGAGCGGCAAATGTGATTCCTTTTCTGCACTTAGTTGAAAAGGTATATATTCCGTCATACCCTTGTGTTCCCAAGCTTAAAACTCTTTTTGGAATATCCTGACCTTTCCATTGAAAATCATTCGGTATAACCTAGATAGACCAATTCTTGTCAATAAATCACTTAGATATACGAAAAACCGATTTGCGCACTTGTTTCGAGGTCGCGTGCAACGACTTCGATATTCTTGGCACGGACGTGAGGGCGGCCAATCACGTCCCCGCATACATTTTTTCGCTTTCACAATCACCGGACTCACGCCCAGAAAGCGAGGAAATACAAGGTTTTCAGGAGCAGAGAAGCTTCAGTGGAAGATACGAAAGCATCGGAAAGGTCTTTTCGACATCAAAACCGAACAACTGAGGCGCAATCATGCCCTCTCAACCCCCGCTTCCGCCCCTCCTCACGCCGTATCTATCAAGCCAGCCGGAGTCCTCACTCACACTAGTCTCCTCTATACTGGGCGCAACATCAAATTGGCTAGTACTGAGGTTTCTTCACGCATCATTGAGCGCTTCATCAAACTCCAATGCTTCATTTGGACTGGAAGAGTCGCATAATGGCTCCAAGAAGAAGGTCGTGCTTGTGAGCTTTTTGCGCAGTTGGGAGTTCTGGAGAGCAGAAGCCAAGCGATTGGTGAGTATCAGCAGGATAGTCGTTGTTGATGATGATTGGACATTGATTCTGAAATTGATATCATACATCATTTGTACGTATCGAACTAACACCGACTAGGGCCTTGATCTTGCTCGCCTGGCAGGTCAAAAACAATTTGCATTCGTGGACGGTTTATCAGAGCTGTTCTGTGCTCCACAGGCAGAAACTGCAGCAACAATTGCTCCTCCCAACGCAGGCAGTCCAGCACGCACAACTCTCCCTCTTCGGCCTCAACCTGGTGCTGTGCCTGGGAGAGGACCATCATCAGTGGCACCAGTACCGAATAACAGCTATGCAGCTCGCAGCCAGTCTGAGCTAGGCATTGCGAAGAAACTCCATTTCTCTGGACGCGGCATTGGCGCCCTCGATGCACTGGAGAGGGACATTGCACTGGTGATTCAACAGCAAAGGAGCACTATGGACGATAGCGACGAGTTACTGCTTATCATCGACCAACCGGACTTCCTACTCGCCGCTACGGGCCCAGTTATGGGGATTGGAGCTACAGAAATGGCGGAGTGGCTGTCCGCTCTACAGCAGGTAAGTCCTCACGTATCTAAAAGGACCAGGCCGGGTCTGACATCTTGATAGAATGTGCACGCAACAATCGTCACTTTGGCCGCCGATTCCCCATTGATCCATAATGCATCCACAAGTGGGAATCAGATGGCTGCGCCAGTGGAATCGGAGCATGCAGCATTCGCTATCAGTTTGGCGCATCGGGCAAGGTCGGTCATGCAGCTCCGGACTTTGGAAACCGGAGCGGCAAGAGACGTGAGTGGTGTGCTCAGAATCAGCCGAGGTGGCGGAGCAGACGATTCTCTGGACGAGAGGGAATTGCTGTACTATATCCAGCGGGATGGCGGAGTGACGGTATTTGGGCGCGGAGAATCGTAGATGGGGCTATATGTCAGTCTATTCAATAAAAACAATCTCCAGTAGGACAACCTGGGCCAATTGCCAGATCCCCGTAAGAGGCCAGAAGTAGGAAGAGAGTGATCTTCACATTGAACTGTCACGACATGGTATATTCGCCAGCCATAAACGAGGAAAAAGGAAATTCATGCATGGTTTCCCTTGATTTTATGCCACTTCCACCCCGTGCAAAACACATTCCAAACTTTTCCCGCCCGTTTAATACACCGGGATCGACTGCACACCAACTCCACGGGAAAGCGTTCAATATTTCGGAATTGCCAGTTGCATTTCGAGTTAGTCTATCTCGCAATGCTAGGCCATGTCATGCCAGGATGCCACCCCTTTGTTCTTTTCCAGCCTCTCCGAAAACGAAAACGCGACGCCGATTGGAAAATATTTAAGCGGTCTGGGGGCCACGGGCGCCCTTGGGGGTACCGGTCTGGAAGCCGTTGGTGAAGCGGCGGTGAACATCACGCAGGGAGCGCATGCGGCCGGAGCCGGTGGTCTTGCGGCGCTTAGCCTTCTCGCCCCAGTTGACTATTGCGATGTAAGCCTGAGTTCCAGGAATATCTTCACGGTATGAGGGTATGCGTACACTTGCGGGTCTTAGCAGAAGGGTAGCCACAGTTGGCACAGGTGGACTTCTGGATGTGGAAGGACCGCTTGCCTATTGTCGTTAAAGAACCCGGTCAGTAATCGTGTCCGAGATAAAAATATCCAGCCGTGGTATCCGAGTCGCCCATTTCCATCCTCGATGTATGCTTGCGATTTCGGGACCGGATCAAGGATTGTAGAATACTAACCACAGCGGCGGCACAGAGTGTGCGTCTTGTTGTGGCGCTTTCCGAAGCTGGAGGTACCCTTAGCTGTGGTGGTTGTTAGTTTCGATCGTTTCGACGGTGCGGAGATTCGCGGTGCGAGGATTCGACATCGAACGTACTCATCTTGAATTAAGGGAACTGCAGGGAAAAAAGGATCAGTAAAGAGGGTCAAGTAGAAGGCGCAAAATGCACGGGGACAGCATGCGAACGTACCTGGCAATTCCGTTGAAGGGCTGTTGTCGGTGTCGTCGTCGCTAGGCGTATCGAAACTTCCCGCTGGGTGGTGATGTGTCGGCTAAGCGAGAGTGGGTGTGTCACGGGGACACCAGGGCACAAACCCTGTCCCGTGACCCAAGGTCATGTGATGAACGAGGGCGGGCCATGCAAACCACGTGATACAGATCTGGATCGAACTAAACGACTGGCGATCGCAAATGGCATCCACTACCTTTGATTTAGAGAAACAAGTTCAATTTGATTTGATACATTGACCTATGCAGAAAAGAAGGGGGTATTTTGGTACAACTGAACGCCAGAAGCAGTGCATGCTGAAATTATTCATCGTCTTTCCCAATGAAGTTGGCCATCGGATCATCCGCAGCCAGCCTACTGCGCTTGTACGATTCCATTTCTTCCTCGGTGATCCCAGACTTCAACTCTTCGATAGTCCGTTTCTTCCCATTCGCAGATTCCTGATCTTGCCCACGGGCACTGACGGGCTCGGGGTCGAGAGTTTCTTGGTTGGGTTCCTCGTCGCCCCCGGCCAGCATCAGCATGTTGCCCTCTTCTTCAAAAGCCTTCTTTCCGTCTTCGCCGGTACAATAGCTGTTCTTCACTGTGGAGTAACAGCATGCATAACCCCACTTGAACTCGTACCACCAACTGCCAAAGACTGAAGTATGGTTGTTGGGTAACACATCTTCAGGATACTTGGACTTAGTAGCATTCTTGGGTGCACCCTTGATAGCGCCACTCTCATCGTACTCAACGAATCGTTCGTTCTCGATGACCATGGTGTCTCGTAAAGGTGTCGGCTGAAGATGTTCACTGCCCCCGTATTTCTCCAAAAGGGCCTTGCGGTGGGCTTGGCGTTTAGCATCACCCTCCTGCATTTCTTTCTTCCGGAGCACCTCTCCGGATGTCGGATTCGCTTGAAGATGAATCTGTGCCATGCCCTTCTCTTGAGAGTCCCAGGCGTACTTCTGAGCCTTTTCAAACTCAGCCGCATCGCCGGAAGCCCGGATAAAGTTCTCTTCAGCCACAAGAGCAGAGGCCTGGTCTTCTTGTGCACCCATATCCACCATCCGTCGAGTCTTCGGATCATATTTCGCAGAATCAAGATCGAGGTTGAGCAGATATTTGGCGGTATCTTCTCGGATACGCAGGTTGCGCGTAGCGGTGCTTTGTTGCCGGCCCATGTCAGATTCTTCGGCGTATCGTATGTCTTCCTCCAGAGCCTCATCGCCGTCTTCCCTATCCATAAGCTTCTTGAGATCCGCGCCTTCCTTTGCTGTGCGCTTCATTGATTCTAGCTCTTCATATTCGTCGACGACTTGGCGATACTCGCTGGCGTCGTAGCCGTTCCACCGATCTCTTTTGGCATCCCAACCCATGTCCACCTTTTGGAGGACCTCGTCCGCTTGAATGTCCTTTCCAGTCCACCTGGCACCCTGCTTTCGGGGTCGACTCAAGCATTCTTTGGTCTTATGGGTCATTGCGCCGCAGTTCTCGCATGCGCCTTTGCGATATTTGGTCGCTGCTGGACCCGCGCGTTTTCCTCTGTCGTACCATTTGGACTGATCTTGGGTTGTCTTGTTGAGACGCTGGTGCTCTAGGTAGTCGTTGCCTGAATCATCATCGACGTAGAACGGCTTTTTCGAGATGAAGGAGGGAATGTATTCGTTGCGCTCCTTCGACGCCACATCGACCGGTTTGCGCGACATAATGATGATGATGACAGCGAAGAGATATAAACAGGCCGACTGCTGATAAGAGGATGGTTATGCAGAGAAAGACTCAAAGAGCTCTCATCAAATCAAAGAGAGTGAGGCAAGAGCGAAGCAAAAAGCCCGAGGTTGGCGATAAGCTTGCCACGTGACCAGGCGTATCGGCCGCGTTGTGTAATGCGGTCGCATACCTCGATTCCCGACGGAGGCGCGTTGCTCTCGCCAACCGGACATGTTTTCCTGACAGACCCCTCCGGATCTCCTACGAAATGTCGCTGATGCCACTGGCTGAGACAAACCAGCCTGATGGAGCCCTTTCGTGTGCGCCTCAACTGCATCGATCACTACCAAGCGACCGCGTCGGAGCTGGACCCTGCGCTGCCCTTTCGAGATGGTGCCTCTGAAAAGAATTTCAGGCCAAAGGTGCCTGTGATACGGGTGTTTGGAGCGACTGAAACCGGTCAGCGAGTATGCGTTCATGTTCATGGCGCATTTCCCTATCTGTATATCGAATACAATGGTTCTTTGGCACCCGAAGCAGGTCAGTACAATATGAGCGAAATAATAAGCTCTCAACTAATCCTCTGTCTAGTAAACTCCGCAATCCGCACCCTTCACCTCTCAATTGATCATGCCATGGCAGTCGCCTATCGTCGCAACGCCTACGACCGAAAAACCGCATACGTAGCTCATATTACCTTGGTCAAAGGGATCCCCTTCTATGGGTATCATGTCGGCTACCGGTCCTTCTTCAAGATATACCTTCTCAACCCTTTCTGTAGCACCCGATTGGCCAATCTTCTCCACCAGGGTGCGGTGATGAAACGACCTTTGCAGCCATACGAAAGCCATATCCAATTCGTTCCTCAGTGGATGTGTGATTACAACTTATATGGGTGCTCATACATGGACTGCGCAAAGGTGAAGTTTCGATCACCAGTACCGGAATATTTGGAGCTGGGCAGCCTGGATCATCGATGGCATGACCGCTCCATTCGCCCCGAGGACGTACTCGATGACCCGGCTCTCCAGAAGCAGAGCCACTGCCCCTTGGAAGTGGATGTCTGCGTGGAGGACATTCTCAACCGGTCTGATATCAAGGAACGCCCCTTGCATCATGACTTTTCAGAGCTTTTGAGACCTGTTGCCTTCAACGAACGACTGGTTCCAAGCGTGGCAGGACTGTGGCAGGATGAGACCCGGCGGCGGAAGAAGCGAATGGGAATCACCGACCCCGGCAGCACACCGTTTAGCCCCGAAGAACTGATTTCGATGTCTGCCGACCCTAGAAATCAATCAAAGGGAGGCTGGGTACATGAGGATGAGTTTCAGCAGATGGCCTTCCAAATTGCAGACGAAGAACGAAGGGCAGAAGATGACAAGGAGACGTCCTTTGAAACATTCCTGAATGTGAACCAAGAAGAAGAGATGATCCAAACTGCCTTGGCCAGCGTGGAAGACTTCTATCCGGACAAATTCGACAGGTCAAATCCAAGCTTTGACCATGCATTTGATGAATTGGCCAAAATATCCGTGGATGAAGAACTCGCGCGATCTTCTCAGCCTGATGGGCAGTATCCATCGGATGTCGGAGACAACACAGAAGAGGATGCTGAAGAGGAATCCAGAGGTATTAAGAATAATGCGATTGAAGAAAGCTTCTACGATGGTGTATTCGACGAGTTTCCTCAACAGGACGATGAACCATCTGAGGATCCTTTACGGGAAAATATTTCAAATCTTCCATTGGATGACGTTTATACCAGTGATCCATCTTTCTCGCGACCAAATTTGAGTAACGAGGAACAAGCTATCGAGAGGGACACCAATGGTCCCCTTAAAAGGAGTTTTACTGATGTTGCTCGTTACGACCATCCGTCAACGAAAAAGCCGAGATTCTGGAGCAACCAAGACTTGTCTGATAGAAAAAGTCAAGACGATCTAGCTGAGCAGAACTCGAACCTCCGTCTTGAACCTCCGTCATCAGAACCCTCGTCATCTTCGTCTCAAAAGACTATCCGCCCCAAACCGCATACACCTCCACTTAATAGCAGACTGAACTACCCCGTTGTCAAAGATCCAAATGATCCTCTGACAATTCTACGGTTTAGTCAAGATGCTAGCCAGCCCAAGAAGGGCTCAGAGTCTTCACAGCACCTGCCAAGCTCTTTCCCCTCCGGATCTGCTCTCAGTCCTTTAGGAAATGCAATTGGCGCCGCAACCTCTTCCATGCTTCTATCTTCATCTACAAAAGTAGAGTCGGTTGCACTCAACCCCCATGTTGCCCAAATCAAGACAAGGCTGTGTGACGCCTTCGATTTCCCCGGAAATGCCATTATCTGTCTTTTCAAATTCGCCAGCCCCGGTATGAATGAGGTTGTTTCGACGATGCATGACCACTATCGTCCATCTGTTATCTATCAACAGGCATACTATAGCGACGAGACAGATGTGCCTGAAAGACCACGACAATACGCCGGCCGAGAATTTCGATTGGAAAGCGACACAATTCACTTTCTCCCAGAGTTCGACCCTTCAGCAAATCTCCCGGCTATGTTTGGCAAACAATCACCAATTCCTTTCGATCGAGAAGAGCAAGAAAATATCGACCAGCAATTGCGAGAATCATGCACAGCAAGAGTATGGGAGTTTGCACCCGTTCCCCCTAGTCGGTCCGAAGTTGTCGAGTGGTTTCACAACCTCCAAGCGTCTCACGAATCCACCCCGACCAAGCCTGCGATATCCAAACCTAAACCAGAAGCAAAACCTGAAGTATTGTCACAAATTGAAGGCCCAACTCAAAAAGCCCACGGCTTCAAATACTCCCAAAAGGCAAAAACCACCAGTGTCGAGCACCAGGCTCAGTACATGAGCATAATGAGTTTAGAGGTGCATGTGAATACTCGTGGTGCTTTGTCGGCCAATCCCGTCGAGGATGAAATTTCTTGTATCTTCTGGGGCCTCCAGTCCGAAGACGAGGATATCGAGGTCAACAGCCACTTACCTGGCGTCCACGTTGGGATGATCTACCAAGGGGAAGGCGAGAGACCCGAGTCGAAGATTTCCAAAGCGCTCCGAATCGACATGGAACATGAACCGACAGAGCTCGATATGATCAATCGACTAGTAGATATCGTACGCTACCACGACCCTGACATTATGGTTGGGTATGAAGTTCACAATGGCTCCTGGGGCTATCTCATTGAACGAGCTCGGAAGAAGTACGACTTCGACCTTTGTGCGGAGCTTTCCAGGGTGAAATCGCAGTCTCACGGGACATTCGGGAGAGAAGAGCAGCGTTGGGGATTTGAACATACCTCTTCCATCCAGGTGACTGGTCGACACGTTATCAATATCTGGCGTGCAATGAGAGGCGAGCTGAATCTACTGGGCTATACCATGGAGAATGTTGTATTTCATCTGCTACATCGGCGCATACCTCACTACTCACCTCGGGATCTGACGCAATGGTATCAAAGCGGAAAGCCTCGCAACGTTCACAAGGTTGTGGAATATTTCACGTCGCGCATGCAGATGAACCTAGAAATCCTCGAGGCCAATGAGTTGATCCCACGGACTAGCGAGCAGGCTCGATTGTTGGGTATTGACTTCTCTTCAGTCTTCTTTCGAGGTTCTCAGTTCAAGGTCGAGTCGCTTATGTTCCGAATTGCCAAACCTGAGAATTTTCTGTTGGTATCGCCCAGCCGAAAGCAGGTTGGCCAGCAGAATGCCCTCGAGTGTCTTCCTCTAGTCATGGAACCACAAAGCGATTTCTACACCAGCCCGCTCGTGGTTCTCGATTTCCAGTCTCTATACCCCAGTGTCATGATTGCGTATAATTACTGCTACTCGACCTTTTTGGGGAGAGCAGCCCAGTGGCGCGGTCGAGACAAGATGGGCTTCATCGATTACAAACGACAGCCACGGCTGCTGGAGCTGCTCAAGGACAAGATCAATATCTCGCCCAATGGCATGATGTATGCGAAGCAAGAAGTTCGCCAATCGCTGCTGGCAAAGATGCTCACGGAAATCCTTGAGACCCGTGTGATGGTCAAGACTGGAATGAAGACGGACAAAGATGACAAGACCCTTCAACGATTGCTGAACAATCGTCAGTTGGCCCTCAAGCTGATTGCAAACGTCACATACGGCTACACATCTGCGTCGTTCTCGGGTAGAATGCCTTGCTCCGAGATTGCTGACAGCATCGTGCAGTCTGGACGTGAAACCCTCGAAAAGGCCATTGCCCTGATCCACTCGGTGGAAAGATGGGGTGCCGAGGTGGTCTACGGCGACACAGATAGCTTGTTCGTCTATCTCAAAGGCCGCACCCGTGACCAGGCTTTCGACATTGGGGAGGAAATTGCGAAAGCTGTAACAGATATGAATCCTCGCCCAGTGAAGCTCAAGTTCGAAAAGGTGTACCACCCCTGCGTACTCCTAGCCAAGAAGCGATACGTCGGCTTCAAGTACGAGCACCGGAACCAAAAAGAGCCCGAGTTCGACGCCAAAGGTATCGAAACGGTGCGTCGCGATGGAACACCCGCAGAACAGAAAATCGAAGAGAAAGCTCTGAAGATCTTGTTCCGGACGGCAGACCTTAGTCAGGTGAAGTCCTACTTCCAGCGCCAATGCAGCAAAATCATGCAGGGCCGTGTCTCCATCCAAGACTTCTGTTTCGCCCGCGAGGTCCGTCTCGGAACATACAGTGAGCGTGGCCCACTCCCCGCCGGCGCAATGATCAGCACGAAGCGCATGCTTGAGGACCCCCGCCTGGAACCGCAGCGTGGTGAGCGTGTGCCATACGTTGTCGTCACTGGTGCGCCGGGCTCACGTCTTATCGATCGTTGTGTGGCGCCCGAGGAACTCCTGCACGATGCGCAGCTCGATCTCGATGCGGAGTACTACATCTCTAAAAACTTGATTCCACCATTGGAGCGCATCTTCAATCTTGTGGGTGCCAACGTGCGCCAGTGGTACGACGAAATGCCTAAGATCCAACGCATTCGACGCGTCGAGGCGTCTTCCTCCCTGAGCCATCCGAACAAGGAATTGGGCATGCTCAAAAAGACTCTCGAGTCGTATATGCGTTCGTCCTCCTGCATACTTTGCAAAGCTAAGCTGTCTGATGCCGCCGTGCCTTTATGCAGCGAGTGTCTACACAGTCCACACCTTGCGCTGCTGAATGTTGTATCGCAACTACAGCGGGCAGAAAAGAGAGTTGTTGACCTTGAGACTGTATGCCGGTCTTGCATGGGCGTGCCACCTGGCGACGAGATTCGTTGCGACAGCTTGGATTGTCCTGTTTATTACTCTCGCACCCGCGATGTGGCTCATTGGCGGCATTCTCGGGCTGTACTGGAGCCTGTTGTAGAGCTACTGGAAAAGAAAGGGGATGAGGGATTGGATTGGTAATTTTATACAAGGTTTTTGGAGTTTGGGTTTGGTATTGATATGGATGACCAGGGGTGGCGTTGGAAATACCCTACATTATGTATCTCGCTCTTACAGGTTACAAGTTCTTCGAAAGATAAGAGATCATGATTCCCTCTAATCATACAAAAAGCACGCGCTATTGCAACTAGAACCTTTTTTATGGTAGTCTGTTTTCCGTCACTCACACCTAGTGACGCCTTCCAGTCTCAATTATTTTTCCATTTTCAACGCACCATCGCAGTGTCTTGCTGAAAGCTTGGGACTCTTTGCAAGCAGTTTGCCTTCGATTATGCACCGATCATACCGAGCAACTGCTTCAGCATTGATTGACGGATGCTCGATTCTGATTCCACGATTTCGATCTCATCCGCAATTGTCTCCACTTCATCTGCCTTGTCGTCCTCATCTTCGCGCTCGGAAGTGACCAATGGGACAGCGTTATCATTGCTATCATGGAGACTCTCAACGGAAAAATTAACGTCAATTCTAGAGTCAAAAGTATCGAGAGATGAGAGCTTTTCATGGGTATCGATGGGCACCTTTTTCACTTCAATCTCATCTGCATCGGAACTACGCACGTCTATCTTGGCAAGCATCTTCTCGAATACAGCGTTCGTCATCTCAGTTTGGATCTTTTTGTCCGCACCAGGAGTCATTGCTTGCTCCACCTCCTGCTCTATGCCGAGGAGCAGAGTCTCAGCTTCAGCGTGGGTGTAGATCTTGCCAGAGCTTTGTCCATTCCTGTATGTCTCGAGTTTGGCCTTATGGAACTGACCCGTCGCAATCTTTCCCAGATATTCGTGAAAGACCCACGGGAAGCTAATGAGAGGTAGTACATCTTCACCGTTCGAACCGATCTCATCTTTGAGGTCACCATCATCGTCATAAAGGGTGGGCCCTTCCCGACGCCTTGCTAGAGCTTCAGTTGCCAATTCGTGAGTGACACGATACGTGGCGACCACCAAGGGGGCAATGTCTTCGAGACTGCGACCTCCGACGTGATCGAAGCACCGCTGACGGAACCCATTCCGAAGTGTACTAGCAACACGACCCAGATCCTCATGGAGCTTGTAGTCTCTGAACAGACGACTGTGGTTCAGGACAAATGTCGACCAGACCTCGAATTCAGTTTTGATTTCGAATTGAGCCATGATCCGCAACATCGCCGAGTCGTACTCTTCTTTCAATCGCATCGCAAATTCCATGAAACTTTCGCTGGCTGGGACGAGGTCACATTTCAGAATCCGCGAGTCAAATGGCACTGAGAGATCGGGTACGAAGTGGATGGTCTCTACTGCGTCGTACAGGCGACCCAAGACCTTAGTGGAACGGTAAGTGGATCTGGCTCTCTTCTCCATGAAGTGTGGCCATTGCCTCGGCTCAAGATTCCAAGTCATCTTTGTGGCACGCCCTGTCTTATTGTAGTCGACAGCTGCAGAGTGCATGGCTGCCAGTTTAATACATTTCTGCTCGTGGACGCCCCCGTCCAGGCTGTCCGCCCAGGCCATGTGAGCACTCGCGATTCTAGGAAGGCAGTTATTCTTCATAAAAGTGACGAAAAAGGATGTCATGTCGTCTACTGTCACGTCGCGGTCCAATTCGGGGGCTACTTCGTTGGTGTCTGCCATTGGTTTTGTGAACCACTTATCCTGAGCCGGAATTAGGTCCGGGTCCCACATGATGAGGTAGTCATCTCCATCCAAATCTCCCCCTGAACACATGCTTGCAAGGTCTATATCTCCGGTCTGGGGGAAAACAATCACGTCGATGAGATGTCGCAGTTTCGATACATTCACAGCCCGCACCACACGGATATCCCCAGGGTGAAGAGATGGATTGCGTGCTAGGATACACACTCCTTCGATTACCCGGGGATATCCGCCTTTCTCGAGAGATGAAATCTGAACGAAGACTTCGGGAAGTGCTGCTAGCCTGTCGATAGGAGCAGCGTGAGACTGCTCTGCTCTTTTGACTTTCTCGTCAAACCAGCCATGCAGAGACCCAGTTTCGTCCAAGACACCAAAAAGGTTGGCGCCTTTCTCGATCACGATCTTGGCTTTTTGCTTCAGATACTTGAAGTGCCAGGCCTTCCAAAGGGATAACATAGAGGTGACGAACGGTTCATTGAACCTTCGGAATCCGTCGTGTACCAGATTTGCCAGGGTCAATGTGGTATGATTTGGATCAACGAATCTCTGTAGGAGAGATATTGCCTGCGAGTCATCTGTCATGGCCCTGTTGAAGCTCTGCAGCATTGTGCGTTGCTTCTCGAGAATCACCCCCCTGGAGATACCCAGAGCGTCGAGAATCAGAATCAACTGGCGGTTCAAAGTTGCCAGCGAGTTGGAAGACCAGCGAATGACTTCCAGCCCGCCGTGAGGCGACTCGAACTTGTATTGGCTGGGTCGGATGTGCAACTCGCTGGGCTGAGGATCTGAAGACACAACCAGCATTCCTTTGCACCCTCCAAGTCGGAACTGGAAAGCTGATGGAGGTTCGCCGTTGGTTGTCTTGATATTCAACCCGTTTGTGGCCATTCTGGCCAAGAACCTGGAGATCTTCCCGACACCATCAGAGAAAACGTACCCATTGCGCTCAATATCAGGAATTTGTTGAATTTGGACGACGCAGGCGCCGACAGCCCGGGTAGTGGAAAAGCACTGGCCTAGTCTGGAGGTATGCTTTGCAATGTTGCGGATGTGACTGAATCGACCCATCCAGGCTCGGATATGCGCGGCAGACAGATTTGGAAGAGAGGCAAAGAAGTAGGCACCTTGTTCACGGAACTGCGAGTTGCCGAAAGCCAGGAACTCATAATGACGGCCACCAATGGTGATTCCACATGCTAGGGTTGACTTGACCCGGCTGTAGATTTCGTCGTCTACCTGGTTGATCGATGCCCTGACGGGCCCAAGATACATTTCGTCCGAAAACCGAACTCGAAGGAAACGGTCCACAAACTCAATGTATCTTCTCGTGATGCGATTGGAGGTATCAACCGTGGGGGTGTTGTAGTAGACGGTCGTCGGGGTGACCCTGGCCGTACGCATGAAGCAGCAGTACTCCGGTATTTTCGAATCAGTTACGCCCTTGACGACCTTGATCTTGAAGATCTCCATCGGATCGAGGTAATTGCTTTTGTGGGTCGCAACGTGCTCAAGCAATCTTCGGGCCTTGGTATCCCCAAGGCTCATGAGTCTAACTACAAAGTCGCGAGTCATGTTGAATTCAGACAGGCGGCCATGAGAGATGCAGACCTCGAGTTGGTAGCGCACGGGGAAGGGCAGTTGCACCGAATGCTCATCGGCTAGGTCCCCCAGCATGCTCCATTTTGGATTCATTTGGCCATCGATCCACTGCCACACCGGCTCAGCCTTGCCTTCCACCTCCTGGAAATGGTTTCCGTTTTGTACCAGGATGTTATGATCCTTAAGAACGTCATTGATGAGCGTGCGAGCCTTCATGTTAATGCCGTTGGCGGGCAGTGTAACCCTGAGGACGTTCCAGCGCCCTGTGAAATAAAGGTTAGTGTCTAAATCTCATTATGTACGAAGAGTAAAATATAGTTCACCAAGGTCAATCAGATGTCCTGATTTGCGCAGATTGGTGGCGATGTCCACTCCTCGCCGAACATCATGGATGATGCGGGTTTGCCGCAGCCAGGTATCCATCTCCCTCCAGCTGTAGTCTCCCGTGAACGTACTGGATGGGTCAAGTAACTTGCGGTGGTAGATAGCAGGATAGTCCAAGATTATGAGAAACGAAAGATTCTCAAGGGAGCTATCTTGAGATTCCCACACCTTGTTCAATTGGGAAAAGAGGATCCTCACCCGATAGGAGGCCGGAGGCACGGGTTTGTCATCGACCTTTGTGCCGCGCTGCATTGAGATAACCTCATTGAAATATATGTAGAGTGCTCGCTCCTGCACATTGGCACTAAGCCTAACAGACCTGGCAAAGCTTTTGAGGAGGTGGATGGTAGAAGCATCCCGTTGGACGCCAGCCTCAAACCTGGAAGCACGCAGCTCCTGAATAGGCATATTAGCAACGATACCAAGACATAGAGAGCCATTCATTAACTCACAATCTTCTCAGGGTATCTGATGTGTGCACGAGCAGGGCTTTGCACAGAGTATTCCTGGAAGTTAGCATCGATGCAGACTATGACCCGGACCTTAGCACCCCTATCAAGCTTCACGGTGTAGGGGCCACGTTCCCAGAAAGCGAAGTATGGAGGCGGACTATTACTGAGTTAAAACAGATCAATATATAGCATGCGGACCCCAACGACTGTTGAAATGCAGAGAGCAGAGTCAAGAAAGTAGAGAAAGAGAAACGATCCATACCAAAACCTGATCCGACCCTTTGAAATCGAGTGACAGTGCCTGTCCTCGAAGATGTCAATGGAAACGATGTTGCCCTGGATGGTGAAGGACCTCCACAGCTCGTGGGTATTTATGGTATTCGGGAGATTGTAAAGGGTAATGGAGACGGACGGCCAGCTCTTCCATGCTTGCCCTACTCCACAAGGGACATATTTGGCCACCTCGGGCCGGGAACGTCTGGGCATAATGATTGTTGACTTTTCTCAGGTTCTTGAAAAAGTGAAGGCGAAGAGAAGTGTTCTGCCATGGGTAAATAAAAGGCCATGAGGTTGGTGGAACGCACTTGATTCACAAAAGTAAAATATCATACCTTCTCCGGGCTCCTTTCCCTCTTGGATGTTTATCTAGCTGTGTACGACAAGTTAGTATAGTTTAATAGGGATATAATGTTGATGTTGCGATGTTGCGATGTTGAAAAGGCTTGCATTATCAAACCTTTGATGATGACGATTATAGACTCAGGCTAGGTGTACCTGGAAAGTGGTGTGGTCACGACAGTGAATCATGGGGTACGGCTGAGGATAACGTCTTATAAAAAGTGATCGGCATGCAAGCAATATCAAGACCATGCAGGAGGAAGGAGAAAGAGAGAAGGTGAGAAAGAGAAGAGAGAGGATGAGGACGACGAGAGATAATTAATGGAAGATGAAAAGATAGTGGAAATAGAAGGAAAATAGAAAAAGGTGGGTGTTATGTGGTGGGGGTGTATAGACTGAAACGGGTCTCATAAAGTGTATCACTACATCGATTAGTCGGCGATGTTTGCAAGCGGTCGACGTACGTTGACACCGAAATGAATTCTTTTGGAATGGCGAAGTTGCACCCGACGTTCAATGAGAAAATAGACATTTCGCTGCTAGGTACGTGATAATCAGAGATGAAACATAAAGGCAGTCATTTCTCGCTATGTACATATCATTAAATTCATTATAGATGGAGTCAAGGCAACGAAGAATTGTTTGTAAAGACTATTGGCGGGCTGCCTGATCATTCGAGCCGGAAAATGCCGTGCTGGTAAATATGAAGTCTTTAGAGAACTCTAAATCCATATCTAGGTCAAAGTCCTGGAGATGATTCGCATCGGACTGGCTGTACTTGGAAGGATCGGTCGGTGGTGACTTGGCTGGGCCATTGAAGTCGGTCTCCGCAAGAGGATGACGGCTGGAGGATTTGGCAGTGGGAGGTGGGTTGGGCTTAGAGATTACTGGCGTCTTGGGTGGTGCCTGCGACAAAATCATCGATCTCCGGTTGCCCTTGGGCCGCTTGGGGCTTGGACCTTGGAGGTTGGACGCCAGTGAATCGAATGACTCTGCAAGTTGCGTGGTGTAATCATCATTTTCTGTGGACCGGCTTCGGGGAGCAACATGAGTTGCATCTGTAGACCTTGGGCGATGGTTTTTGTTCGAGGTTGTCGGCTCACATGGTGCAGAGAAGCCCATGACACCCATAAGGCGACCGATATGCTGCTGCGCCTCGGAGAATTCCCGGGCCTTAGTGGCTCGTTCATTGCGCAGTGACTGGATCTAACATTAATGTCAGGAGTGATCTTCAAAGTCAAGACTTCAATTGCCATACCTTCTTCTCTAACTGGAGTATGCGTGTTTCTTTTTCTTGACGGTCTTTGGATGCATTTTGCACGTTAGAATGCATCTTGGCCTGCAGGCGGCAATTTTCTTCCTTATGCTTGGCAATCTGCAAAAAAAGAGAAACGGAGGTTAGAACTGGCTGCATACGTATCGACCATGCATGAAATACCTCTGATTCAATAGCTTGCGAGATCTCGACTTCGTGTTTGTGTGTCAACATCTCCCTCTCCAACTGTAGCTTCTCCTCAGCATCTTGTAATGCAGAGTACAGTCTTTCAACTTCGATGTTCTGCTCCTCCATCTAAACACCATTGGTCAGTGCCTTGATGTGATTGGTGGTATAGCGCAAACATACCGTTGCTTTCACAGTCTCCAGTTCCACTCGCAGATCTTCATTGTCTGTCAACAGACGTTTGACTTCGTCTTCCTTCTGCTCACAAATGACCTTAGTTTTTTCCAGGAGAGACTTGGCCTCTGCAAGCTCGTTTCGCAGCGAGGCAGATGTCTCCGATGATGTAGCCATCTCCTTGGAAGCAGCATCAAGGCTCTGCCGCATCTTCTTGTTCTCAGATTGAAGTCGAGAGGTCTTTTCTTGTAGCTCTTCAAACTGATCATCTTTCTCTGTAGCCATGGCTATGAGATCAAGTTCTCTGCTTCGAGCCAATTCACGCTCCGTATTTAGTGTGTCCTCGGAGATGCGCCGCTGTTCCTGGAGCTCCTGATGCGTGGATTCTAAGGTTGCAGTCAACTCTTGGACTCGACAAGATGCGTTTTCGGCATTTTCCCCCAAGCGTGAAAGGTCATGCTGTAAACAGGAGATCGTATGGGAAGATTGCTCTAGTTGCCTCTGCAAATCTTCACTTTGATGCTTCAGTTGTTCCTTTTCAGCAATATGGTGATCTCGCTCTTGTTCCGCTGACCGCAGGGGACCTTCGACATCGTAGCAGCGACTCTCCATATCAGAGCAGATATCTCCAATTTTCTTCATCATATTATCGTGAGATAGTTGAGCGTTCTGCATGAAGGCTTCTGTAACTCCAGAGCGCCAATCTCGAGTCGAAGTGTGCGTCGACGAGAAGTCTTGCGTGCTGCGTAAGAAAAGGGGTTTTCGAAATTCTTTCAAATCAACCACGGAAAAGGCGCAGCCCTTTTCAGCAAAAGACTTTGCGGCATGATTAACAAAGGACTTCATCAACATAATATCAGTAGTGTTTCCATTTTGCGACAATGCAGCAGCGAAATAGATCTCGAATAAGGTGAGCAAAATTTTGTTCTTTAACGCTGCATATGCGCAGTAGCATACTTCCGAGCCACAGCAATCGTCTTGACTCGACATAACGGGGAACTTTGCAAACAGTGTGGCAATGGCATCTTTTGTGGATACCGAATTGAGCAGTGAAGAGATGACCGGTTTGGAGCCAGTTGACTGAAAGCCCGAAAGAAACAGAGCGGCCAAACGTAGACTCGCCAGTGAGCCTCGATTGGGACTGTCGTCTTTCAAGACATCCATGGTGAACCGGAGGAGTTCGTAGACGACGGATTCATCGCAGATTGCCAATGACTCCGTGAGTCGTGATAGTAGGTGCGGCGGCATATTACCTAGAGCTCCTCGACTATCACTGGAAACAAGCACACGGAGGCCAAGATCACGGATCTGAGAAGGAAGTGCAGCCACAGGGCATAGAGAGACCAAGAATGTCACTCCCATCACCTGAATATCTCGGCCAAGGCCATCCTTGGCTACTTTCTCACACAATTTGGCAATCTTGGACGAGTTGTTGGATATCCAAGTGTGCTTTTGCTCTGGCTCAACTGCATCTAAGACACATATGGCAAGACGAATGCTTTCAGCGGCTTGAGATGGAGCCAAATTGCAGTTCGAAGAGCAGGCAAGGATGACGCGCAAAACAACCAAATCAAGTGTTTTCTGACCTCTCTTGGGACCAAAGAAATGCTGAATGTTAAGAAGCCAAGATAAGGGCTGCGGTCCGTGTTGAGTATGGCGATTGGCGTTTGGGGTCGATGCGATTTGTGCAAATGTTGCCAGGCATAAAAGGTTACCCATGTGGTCGTCGAGGTTGCGCAACGTCTTCGTGAATTCAAGCTGAAGGTTAGACATCACTTCTGAAGGAACTTCATCTAAGATCCGTGGCGATGCCTGTAGGGTGCTCATCAAGCTGTGGAGAGGGGCCACCGTCTCCGCCGATGGCTTTCCTGCCATTGACCGAACCAGCTTTGTGATGAATTGGGCCAGACGAGCGGGCGCTACCACATCAGAAGGGAGTGGCGATGATAGAATGGCACTGCACGCCGGGTCGTACTGTGACAGTCAACTTCCTGGACAATCACTTCATAGCAAGTTGCACTCACTTCAGACTCCCCGACATCCACTGACTCTTGGAGAAAAGTATCCAAAATGACCATATGCCGCTGCAGCAAGGCATCTCGGAAGATCCTCGTGTGAGCTAAATGTTATTAGTGACCATCAAATGGCATCGGCTTGACGTTGGCCGCCTCGGCATCTCTTACCAAACACGGAGATCAGTGGGACAGCCACCCGCGATCGCGATAGGCCCTCAACGAGGATATCGGCCAACGGGCCGGCTTGACAAGGTTTCTGAAGCGCCCAAGAGTCAATTGTAGAGCTCGAGTTTCGCTGGGCGAGGACATGGAGATCCTAAATTTATGTTAACACGCTGTACCAGACGATCAGATCGCGGTCAACGTACCTGCAGGGAGGGCACATAAGGCGCGGTCACGACGCGTTCGATCTCGCGCACGAGGAGAGCGAGCCCAGACATTGCGTCCGTCCGAGTCGCGGTACGTCGTGAGACTGTTGGCGTTAGTTGGTGTCGTCGGTGGTTCACAACGCGGCAAAGTAGTGTTGTCGTGGTTGCCCCCTCAACGGGCGGTTCTGCCACCCCGAGCCTGGCGATGGTGAGGCTCTTCGCGGATGATCTACGCGCGATAGCTCATCCGAAATACTGAAACGTGAGACTATAGGCATAATTGACTGTATACATCACTATATCGGTCCTTGTGTACCTGAGTTGAGCCCCCACAACCCCCACGCCTGAGATCCGCGGAATTAAAGGCGCCCAAGAGAAGAGCCGACTCGGCCGAGTTCCGAAGCGGGGAAAAGACAGGACTACTTCATCGAAGCTGCCCAAGTCGTGAGCATTGGATTTGTTTTCCCCTCGAACTCCCCGGATCGGGATTTAATAGAATGCACTCATTTCTCTGATACCCTCTCCGTTGTCGGTTAAACTTCTTCATGATGCGAGCTCCATTCAAACTTCCTTGGGGCTTCTCCACTCCCCGCATTCCCCAACGCCGACCCCAAATCTCACAACCGCGAGTTGGGCGAGCTAGTGGAGCTGTCCGAGCGAATGCCACCACCGGAAAGTCTAGTACCAACAGCAGCCAGAGTCAAGATAGCTCATCAAGCTCCGATTCCAATTCCTCGCCCTTCTGGACACCCACCAAGACCTTGCTCGTCTCCGCATTCGCTGCGGGGTTGGGCTATGGTTACGCGACGTACAACCAGAGCCTGCAAGCAACCAAGAAAGTGCAGTATGGCTCAATGAAAGACTTCGAGAAGGTATAGCCCCTTTAAAACCGGCCGCTGTCTACACACAAAACTGACAATGGCAGGCCATCGCCGAATTGAGAGCCAAATTCGGCGAAGACGCAATCTCCACCGACGAAGATAATCTCCAGCTGCACGGATACTCAGAATGGTCAAGTCTCAACGCAGACCGCCTTCCCGTCGCTGTCGCGTATCCCACGTCCACTGAACAAGTTTCCGAAATCGCAAAGGTCTGCCACAAGTACCGCATGCCCATGATCCCTTACTCCGGCGGGTCAAGTCTGGAAGCCAACTTCTCCGCGCCATACGGCGGTATGACCATCGACTTTGCATTCATGAACAAGGTCTTGGAGGTTCACGAGGATGACATGGACGTCGTGGTACAGCCATCGATCGGATGGATGGACCTTAACGACCAGATTAAGAAGACCGGCCTGTTCTTCCCCGTGGATCCCGGTCCGTCGGCCATGATTGGCGGTATGGTTGGCACAAACTGCAGTGGTACGAATGCCGTCCGGTACGGTACGATGAAGGACTGGGTAATTAACCTCACAGTGGTCCTGGCTGATGGCCGGGTTATTAAGACTCGCAGACGCCCGCGCAAGACATCTGCTGGGTACAATTTGACTGGCATGTTCGTCGGATCTGAGGGAACTTTGGGGATTGTCACCGAAGCTACCCTCAAACTGACTGGTATCCCTGAAGACACGCGCGTCGGCGTGGTTGCGTTCCCGAGTATACGTGATGCAGCGGCGACTGCGATGCAGTTGATCAAGAGAGGTATTCCTGTGCAATGTATGGAAATTATGGACGATGTTCAAATGGACGTTATCAACCGAGCTGGTGGCACTGGCCGGACGTGGGCTGTGTCTCCGCATCTGTTCTTCAAGTTCTCTGGCACGAAGGCCGGGGTCGCAGATAGTGTCAATTTGACGACAAAGCTCGCGCAGGGTAATAAAGCGGATGCCTTCGAATTTGCCAAGACCGAGCAGGAGGCTCATGACTTGTGGTCTGCGAGAAAGCAGTCTCTGTGGAGTATGATGGCTCTGCGCAAGGAAGGGTCTGAGGTGTGGTCGACTGACGTTGCTGTTCCCATCTCTCGATTGCCCGATATTATCGGTTTGTCCCCCATAAGTCACCACTGTCGCATTCGCTAACTATCTCAGAAAAAACCAAGGAAGACTTGGAGAGTCTCGGAATGTTCGCCAGCATCCTTGGACACATCGGCGATGGTAACTTCCACACAAGTATCATGTACGACCGCAAAGATCCGGAGGAGCGTGCACGTGTGGAGAAGGTAGTTTACGATATGGTTGACCGTGCTCTTGATATGGAGGGCTCATGCACGGTATGTTCAGACTTGGACCCTGTTTTAAATGCAAAAGGCGCAGTGCTAACGTAGTTTATGCAGGGTGAACACGGTGTCGGCCTAGGCAAGAAAAACTCCCTTAAGAAAGAGCTGGGTCTGGAAACCATCGATGTTATGCGTAGTGTGAAGAAGTCTCTTGATCCTCACTGGCTATTGAACCCTGGCAAAATTTTTGATTTGGATGAGGATTCCTAAACCTGGAACCTTGGAACATCTTAGCTAGATTTGGATGTACCACCATACGGACAATAATATCAAAAGTCACATGCCACAATGCATCGCTAAATGTATCTGCATAATCGTACAGGACAGCTGTTTCCTCGAAGGCTAGGCCAGCCGAGGGTCTTGGCTTAAGGTTTTCTTGTGAAGATGGGCCCAGTGGACTCGGGAAGGCACTAAACAGCGTCAAACATTTGTTCAGAGTAACAATTAAGGGCTTGAGCCCCGGAGGAAGGTTTATTGTGAGCAAGGTCACACTGCTCAAATCCTCAAAAATAATCAATGGTGGCAGGATGCTACCAACGTGCATGTCGATATCTGATTGGTGATGCACGAGATCTTTAGTTTGTAATTCACCATCATGTAGCGTTGAGGGAATATAACGTCCATTTAACTAAAGCTTAGCAGCGTTCACCATTTGCCTCTGTTGCCACTTCGTTAGCCTATCTTTCATATATACATTCTAGACGGTCTTTAAATCACATTTCTGAGGGGCTGTGACGCCAGGAATCGTCGCAGATTATCCGCAATCAACTCAGTGCATCCCTGTGGTCTGCCGCCCGCCGCATGAGGTGAGACGATCAGATTGGGCGCCTTCCAGAGGCGGCTAGACTCGGGAAGCGGCTCGGTCTTGAAGACATCGAGCGCGGCACCACCAATCTCGCCCTGCTCGAGGGCGTCCACCAAAGCGTCCTCGTCAATCGAAGTTCCCCGACCCACATTGACAACCCAGGCGTGCTTGGGAAGCAGCTTAAGCCTCTCGGCGTTCAAAGCATTATTTGTCGATTCAGAGCCGGGCAAGATCATCACGAGGGCGTCTGTTTTGGGAAGAAGTTCGGGGAGCTTGTCTTCGCTGAAGACCTCGACACCGTTGCGGACTCCAGAGCTGCGGGCCACACCTCGGACGTTGGCTCCGAGGGCCGTCAGAAGCGGGGTGAGTGTCTTTGCGATGCTGCCGAAACCCCAGACTAGCACGTTGGCGTTTTGCAATGTGGTGAAATCGTTGCGAGGGAAGGAGCCACCCAGGTGACCGGGCCATTTGCTCTGGAGCTGGTAATCGCGCATCTCGTAGAAATGCCGAGCGCTGTTTAGGAGGAGGCCGAGAGCGTGTTCGGCCACGGGGTGGTCGTGCAGACCGACGCCGGTGCAGACAACGATTCGAGAGGTGTCGAAACCAGCGTTCAAGACATCATTGGGACCGGCGGCAAGGGATTGGATCCATCGAAGGTTCTTCATGCGCTTGGCCGCATCCTTCAGGTTGTCCGCGGCATTCGCCCAGGTTACCAAGATGTCGGCGTCGATAAGCTCCTCCGGGATGGGGGCCTTCACATCATAAGGGTGAATGGAAACGGAGAAGCCCTTGAGGTTATCAACCTCAAGGGGGACTGAGGTAGGGTAGAGTAGTTTCATGGTGAAGGGTAGAAAGGTGGTTTTCAAGAACAAGTTGGATTGCGGCGGAAGAGGTCAACCCCTCCCGCTTCACCCCACGCTCCGCGCCCCATGCTTATCGTCATCGGTTAATGTCCGACGGGGAAATGAGCCGGCGGGCATTAACCCGATACTCCGAGGGGTCCCTTTATCGCCGATCAACTATTGTTGCATTGTAAATCCCAAGCCATGCTGACGGTAGATTATGTTCTCATACTATTTGAAGATCTTCAAAGACTGTCGATAGTTGGAATAAATGTCATATTGTTCCCATTCGGCCGTCTTGATATGCTGGATCCTCCCTCTAGATTTGAGGCCTCTGAGATGAACTGAAATTGCTGCTAACTTTGAGCTCAAATTTGTAGCAACTGCAAGCATGATACGGACATCATTTGTGAGATTAGGCATGCTGGTATGCCTACCCCGGATTTTTCTCCGGTAGCCGCCCCCACGCTAGTTACCAATTCATGTTTCCCGTCTTTCCCGATGACAGGAATATCAATATCAATTCGGATATAGTCCAACCACGGAAAGCATTACGCAAAATCCATTCCGCTTGGTTATCATCGATCAATATGGCTGATTAGGACGTGTCATTCAAGGTCTAGGACCTATTCACTGTGAAGGGAAAGAACGTAGTTATGACGGCCGGCGGGATTTCAGAAATATTTCTTTGAGTATAGATTGAGCGTGGATTAAGTGCTCACTAGATGCCGTGATCTCGGCAGTTGGAGCCACTGCTTTCAATGAACAGAAAGCACTCGTGGATGCGGCCATCCGCGCCGGGGTCCAGCGTTTCATTTCTTCGGAGCTCTCTGCTAACAGCCAAAATGACGCTGTACCTGGGCTACGATCGCCACATCCGGGTTGTTCGACTGGGTGAATTTCCCGAGATCATGAATTTTGAGAGTCGGCAGTTTTGACTGGTATGCCATTTACAGTGCCTTCAAAACGGCTTCTTGGAATTCGATCTTCAGAATCGCACGGCGGTGATCTGGGATGGCGGTAACAAAACTTTCACTCTGACCAACGTGAAGCAGTTCGGCCAGTCGGTGATATCCGTCCTCAAAAATCCCAGGGAGACTAACAAGCAGGACCTTTATGGCGCTTCCGAGGAGACCACCCAGAAAGAAATTGTCGCGGCTCTAGAGAAGGTGACTGGTGCTCGGTGGACTATCAATGATACCACCACGGGTGAGCAGGTTAGTGCCGCTGTCAAGAAGCTCAACGCCGGTGATTTCACCGACGCCCTCGCCCTGGTCCGGGCCACCTGTTTTAGAAACACGCCTGACCTCCGTGCAAATTATGTCAAGGAGGAGAAGCTTGCGAACGATGCGCTGGGGCAGCAGATGGAAAGTGTCGAGGATACCATCAGGCGCATTATACAGTAGCTCGCTTCAGCCATTTACAGTACTTGGGTAGAAGGTAACGGGTTCCTGGCCTTAGACATAGCATAAAGTTAGTTGATCAACCAACGAGAACAATTCGGAGGAAAGGAGCAACTCCGGTGAAAACTGGGGTCGTAAAAGTGCAACAGCCAATCAAATGGCGGGAGATTTTTCCTTTGCGCAGAAGACGCTGAGTCAGCCCAGGGTCGGCGATTGGCCGCGAGCGACATCGCTGTTGATCGCGCTTGCCACACGCCGTTTCATCTGCAACAACACCGTCAAGCGGTAAGTCGCGGTTCCTCCTCCTTTCTAGGTGACGATGAGGTGTACTTGGGTCCTGAAGTCTCCCGTCAGGAGATCGGTGAATCAATTGAGCTCCAACGCCTCTATATCCACTCGGCGGGGCACTGGATGAAGCCTTGACTCATGAGATCTCCGTGGTCCAAATTGCGATTAGATACATCATCGCAAGCACATTTTCTCTCCCGGATTTTTCATAAGCTGTCTCAACTTGGAAAAGGCTGACCTTGTTCAAGATACCCTCATTTCTCACATATAGACGAGATGGCGCCTTCATACCCCAAGAAGAAGTGCGGTAGGTCTTTGGATTAAACCCCCCCCCCCCCCCCCCCCCTCCCAAAAACGACGATGACGCACGGTCTAACCTTCATTAGGTGTGCTTGGTGCCACCGGCTCTGTCGGCCAGCGCTTCATCCTGCTGCTGTCTGACCACCCCTTCCTGGAGCTCCATGCCGTCGGTGCCTCGGAACGTTCCCTTGGTAAGAAGTACAAGGATGCCGTCCGGTGGAAGCAGTCCTCTCCCATGTCGGAGAAGCTCAGCAACCTCATTCTGCGCGAGTGCAGCGCCGAGCAGTTCAAGGACTGCGACCTTGTCTTCTCCGGACTAAACAGCGACATCGCTGGTGAGACCGGTAAGGTTCCAGGATAGTCATCTATTTGCTGCATCGTACTGATCATCTACAGAGATGGCTTTCATCAAGGCGGAGATTCCCGTCTTTTCCAACGCAAAGAACTACCGCAAGGACCCCATCGTGCCCTTGGTTGTTCCCACTGTAAACCCCCAGCACTTGGATCTCATCCCTCATCAGCGGAGGCATTTTGGCCTGAAGAAGGGCTTCCTGGTCTGCAACTCCAACTGCGCCGTCATAGGTGTTGTCATTCCTTTTGCTGCCCTTCAGGCCAAGTTCGGCCATGTCGCGGAAGTCGAGGTGTTCACCGAGCAGGCTATCTCGGGAGCTGGCTACCCCGGTGTTCCCAGCTTGGACATCGTCGACAACGTTATTCCCTTCATCAGCGGTGAGGAGGACAAGCTCGAGAACGAGGCCCAGAAGATCCTGGGTAACCTAAACGCCGATGCCACTGCCTTCGACGAGCAGACCGGTCTGAGCATCGGTGCCACCTGCACTCGTGTCGGTGTCACGGACGGTCACATGGCTTTTGTTTCCCTGCGTTTCAAGAACCGCGACCAGGTCCCCAGCGCCGAGCAGGTCGTGCAGGCCCTTCGGGAGTATCAGTCCGAGGCCCAGAAGCTCGGCTGTCCCTCTGCACCCCCGATGGCCATCAAGGTGTTCGACGAGCCAGACCGCCCGCAGCCCAGACTGGACCGCGACATCTCCGGTGGTTACACCGTGAGTGTTGGACGTGTTCGAGAGGGCGCAAAGGGCGGCCACTTCGACATCCGTTTCGCTGCTCTCTCGCACAACACCGTCATTGGTGCCGCCGGATCATCCATCCTCAACGCCGAGGTGGCGGTCATCAAGGGCTACATCTAGATGTAGATACGAAAAGTCGAATTTCTCAGCGATGTCACATATTACATTTCCTTTTCTAAATTCGCAGACTCATGAATAGAAATGTTGATGCCTAAGGTGTAATAATTGCCTAAACGGGGCAGCCCTAGTGGTGACTAAGCCAAAAGTCAGGTACTCCGGTTCTGGACTAGCGTGATAGGGCACAACCCACAAGCACCGAGCTAAGCGAAATTCCCTTGATTATCAGCGCTGCTCGTTCCTTCTCATCGCGATTCTTCGACAACCAACCCCGGGAACAGGTCGACAATTTCAAAATGGCTCGCGGACCGTAAGTATCCTACAGTCTCCCAATCATTCGCAAACGACGATCTGGACTCGCTGTCCATTGTCCTCGAGCCCAGCTCGTCGTTTTCCACGAGTGTGGAAAATTTCGCATCTTGAAGAATCTCATCACTAACCACCATGTCTTTACAGTAAGAAGCACCAGAAGCGCCTTAGCGCGCCCTCGCACTGGCTGCTGGACAAAATGTCCGGCACCTATGCCCCCAAGGCCTCCCCCGGTCCTCACAAGCTCCGGGACTGCCTGCCCCTGATTGTCTTCATCCGTAACCGGTACGATTCGAGACGCCTTCCTCCGCGCATGAACAATTCGAAACTGACTGGTTCCATAGTCTCAAGTACGCCCTGAACGGTCGCGAGGTCAAGGCCATCATGATGCAGCGTCTGGTCAAGGTTGACGGCAAGGTCCGCACCGACACCACCTACCCCGCTGGCTTCATGGACGTCATCTCTCTCGAGAAGACTGGCGAGCACTTCCGTCTCATCTACGACACCAAGGGCCGCTTCACCGTCCACCGTATCCAGGCTGAGGAGGCCGAGTTCAAGCTGTGCAAGGTCAAGCGTGTTCAGCTCGGCAAGGGCGGGATCCCATTCTTGGTTACGCACGATGCGCGAACGTGAGTGCAAACTCCGAAAGTTCCGTGTCATTCAGTCGTTGGACCATGATTTGGTTGATCGGCGGAGGACCTGGAATTTTTACTCTGTTTCGATTGGAAACAGTAAGCCCCAGCCATTCAGAACAAGGTTTTGCTAACTTGAGCTCTACAGCATCCGTTACCCCGACCCCGCCATCAAGGTCAACGACACCGTCAAGGTTGAAATCGCCACTGGCAAGATCGTTGACTTCGTCAAGTTCGACTCCGGTGTTGTCATCATGGCTACCGGTGGTCGTAACATGGGTCGTGTTGGTGTTATCACTCACCGTGAGCGCCACGATGGTGGTTTCAACATCGTCCACGTCAAGGACGCCATTGACAACACCTTCGCCACCCGCGAGTCCAACGTCTTCATCATTGGCCAGGAGAAGCCCTGGATCTCCCTGCCCAAGGGCAAGGGTGTCAAGGTATGTTGATATCATCATTCCACGTTTATCACAATTCCAACTAACATATCTTCTAGCTTTCCATTGCCGAGGAGCGTGACCGCCGCCGTGCTCACGCTATTGCCAACTAAATGTCTTCGGACATTGGCAATTAGCATGCACGCCATCTCCGTCCGGGGATGAATCAAAAAATTAACCAAAACAGTAGCTGGGAAACGGCGTCTTGTCTTGCTTTATGGGCTTGGATGATGCTCGTTCCGTAGATTCGAACCATAGCAAACAAAACTTGGGCGGGCTCACCGTCTCGTTTTCGAGTGATATGATGATACCTATTTTACGTTATTTCCTTCAATGATTAAATGATCGTACTCTCTACTTGGGTCCCTGTCTCTTCGCCGTGTTGTCTTGTGTCTACCCGTTCTACGCTACCTTGCCGAACTGCCCGTGACCAGATTCCGGTTTGATGGATATATTCTCGCCAGTTTCAGCTCGCAAATCCCACCCGTCACGGCAAAAAGTCTACATGCAAGTGCCGTGGATCGTCTTGGACTTATCCTTAACAAGAAATTGACCAAGTTCCTCCTAGGCCCTGGGGTCCACGGGTAGTAGCTCCCGACCTTCCCCTGCAGGCAAAGGTCATTCGACAATCTATGTACCTAGGTACTTCCGAGGATTGGTTAATCAATCTGGCTTATGACATATGGATGATTCAAGGCCTTTGCTTGGAATACAAGCAGGATTTATCGCTCTAGGTACGGCCCGTCAAGGCATGAAACATCCGTGTTCACTTTCCGGATGAAAGTCCAGTCTATTGACACCCCTTAGAATTGTAAATACCGATCATAACTTTGGAATTCCATTCAAGTCCACGATACACGGGGTACGCGGGGGACGCGGAAAACAGTTCTACCCCCGTAGTAACTGGCACCTGGGTATCGAGTGCATCGGCCGGATTGGAATATGTATATTGTTGACTTGGTAACCAATCGTAATAAGATATCCCCAGGTCACTGACCTCACAGTGCACCGCATATCCCCACAACTGAAATCGCTGCATGTACATATACCCGAGATGATCCTTCGATTACCGCTGCGAGGGCGTTATGATACAAGGTCTCCTGGACTAGACAGCCTCAAGGCTAATTTCCTTCAAACAGCCGGGTGTTCACTAATGCGATGCAACCGCCGTAAAGTTTCACCGGTGGGGATAGCCAAGCTGTACAATGCGGCACCTCCGTCTGCCCTGCCTGATAGGCAAGGAAGAACCCCAGGATAGGAGAAGGCCTCCGTCATCGCAGGTGAACCAATACCGGGCCTCCTGCGGCCTATGTACCATAAGATCCACTCGCAAACACTATTTACATGAAAAGGCAAGGTTCCTGGTCACCAATGGGCGCATAGCTCGCACAGATCGATCGCGTCCGATCAGCGTATCAGAGCCGACCGCGAGACCAGAAGCGCTGATCTGCACAGCACTCCAGCTTAATGGAGCATCCCTGAGCATGGGATTGTGGATGTGGGACAAGGCACGGCCCAAACCGCGCCCCCTTGTCCCAATACCTTGTCCCAGCGCCTCGTCCCAGCACGAGTCTATTGTTTTCCGCCTGGGGTGGCCTATGATCGCGCACGACCTCGGGGTGGGGAATCTGACGTATCGCATTTAGCGGCGCGGGCCTTGGCCGCTCCACAGGGAGAGGGTTTCGGGGACCCAGCGCCGCGAACCCGAAATATGCACGACAACATAGCGCCGTGGATTCCTGGCTTATCATGCAACCGAGGGCTCGTTGGGCGAGTGTCTCATTTGTTGCACATTTTTGAGTGGCTGGCGGTGCAGAAACTATGTCGTTCTCTGGCATTTGATTAATTCGTGTATGCTACTGGGGCAACTAGGGAAACTAGTGGCCCTTCCTACTGTACGGCGGTGCTCGGTCCCCTCGCCTGCAAGACGATCCCTGGCCTTTGGCATTGGCATGGGGCTTCCCATGCACTCGGGAACCCCGACCAACCACTGACGAGTGCGCATCGGTGATATCAAAGATGAGGTGGGTCATGAGGATGTTGCTAACAATAGTCAGGGGGATTGGAAGGACCGTTGGCTGGGAGCCTCGGGGGGGAGAAAGAAAACGAGTGGGGTCTAGAACGTCCTTGGACGAAGCCCGGAAATGACGGTGTTGCCCCTCCTGCTATGAATTGCACACCGAAAATGCGCCTTCGAGTACGTTCAGAGTCGAATTTATCTAAACGTTGATTATCAGCGTGTCAAGGTAACTGCCATGCTCTCCAGATCCACTGCAAGCTCTGGAACATGTGGATCTCTACCGAGATCCGTTCCCAGTGCCCTGGCCCTGGGTTCCTGTAGCCGCGACCATCGAATTCCTCAGCCCTCAACTCTCACGTGGCGCACAGAGTTCAATGACATTTCTCAAGTATGAGGTAATAACGAGATACAACCCCCCCCCCCCCTGCATCAGGGGCACTTCCCTAAGGGCTATTCTGAACTCGTTCACCGGGCAGGGCGCCTCCTCCGCACGCTGGAATGGACTCTCCTAGGTTTGATGTGATGGCAGTAGTTCATCGACTGTAGCGGTGAGTGAGTCGATAGTCTGTTGGCAGACATCGTGACGATAGTGATGATCGCAAATAACCCCCTACTCAGCCTTGTATTCTAGGCATGCTTCGTATAGTGTCCACTCACCATCGAAGCGCCCTGTAGATCCGAGGTCATGGCACCAACTTTAAGACACCTGATTGCTCATTTTTCCGATTTCCCGGCGGTGTGAAGCTCATTGCGCTGGTTTTTGTTATGTCCCCCAGACCGCAACAATCAATGCTTCGACGATCCATTACCGACGGAAAACAGTCGGGGTACAGTGGGCTGATCGGAGCCTGGCGAATGATCACGGCCCAATGAAACCGTCCACCAGATTAGAGGGATAGAAAAAGGCAAAAAAAAAAAAAAAGAAAAAAAAAAACGCTAAGAAATGATGACGGGCGGAGAAGGTGTCCACCTCTTAACGCAATCAGTTTACCCGAGTAAATTGGAATTCCATCGTGATCGTCGACGGAAGCCCCTCGCTACGGTTTAGTGTCCTTGGCCCGGTGCCCACCCGGGGTCTGCATACGAAATCCTGAGAAAGGATTGGCCCTGAGTGGGAGTGAAAGAAATGATACCCAATCCCTAGATAGGAAAAGATAGTTGATGCGTAGTTCCTTGAATCATACGTCGCATGCCTGGCCACATACTAGGTTTCGGGCTTGACCGTTCATTGTGTAGCATTGGATACCCGATCAGAATTGTTCCAGAAGGACCTGGGGCGGTCCGCTTCCTAACCGCTTGACCCGTGGACCGGGTAGAGCTTCTGCAGAGAAGCAGAAAAGGCTGTCGTATTGGCAACTCGACCGCCCCCACGGGTGCCCGGCATAGATGCGAATCGAACGGCAACTCGATTCACTAACCGGCAGTGTACTAGAACTCGCAGTAGTAGCATAGAGCAGCAGCAGAGCATACAGCATACATACATCGGACCATTCTTTGCGGTGGAGACCCTCCCCGGCTGATCCGGGGCCAGTTCGAGCCATTACGCATACTGTACGTGGTGACTGTCAATCATTGCCCCATTCTCCCCGAGTCTTCCTGGCAGTCGGGTCTCCCAGTGGCCTGGAAACTAGGACCCCCCTCCCCGTTTTCAACCCATCTGTTTCTTCCCCCTCGTGATGTGTCGAACGTGGCGGAACGGCAGGGATAACGCTTAAAACCAATCGCTCTCGCCCCTTCCGAATATCCCCAAGACCCTCATTACTATTCTTCCCCTGCTTATCCTTGTCCCCTATTGTAACGTTTTCGTTTGGTTATTTACAAGCCACCGCACCTAGAACGCCGCCGACCTATAATATTTTCTTTACTTTTTTTCTTCCATTCCTGTTTCCTTCTTCGCAAGCGCAAGCACATGAGGTTCGACTGGCATTTCGCCCAATGTGTTTGCTGTTAAATGACAGGGTGGTGAAGTTGATTCGCATAAATGCAGTCCGTCGGCACTGAAGAGTCGGTCTTCGACCTCCCCAAGGAGAGATCGTATACGGGGGGCAAGACCCCGCTAGCTGAGATGTCGCAAAACTTACCTGGACGACCCCCGCCAGAATCGACTCTGTCGTACCAGTCTCTATTCCATCCCGGCGCGGAGTTTCCTCGCTTCGTCGTGACCTATCGCTGGTGGGAAGATGAGGCCACTACCGTGCTGTGGGCATTCAAAATATCGGAGATCCGCCAGGTTATTCGCTATGGACTATTTCGCGACGAGAACTATCCACGCAGTTCGTTGTTGAGTCGGAATGCGGACGCCATTGATGCCTTCCTCGTTGCGCTCTCCGAGCCGCATGAACACCAAGTTCTTGCGAATCTATCTCACATGCAGAGGGTCGAGGAGATTTTGCGGCGGTCAAGTATCCCGCCTTTCCAGTCGATCCCATGGGGCTGGTTCCCTCTGCCTCCAGGGCATTCCCTGGACGCTCGACGTATCGCAGCAGCAATCGAGGCAGAGAGTCAGTTCCAATTCAGCAGGATTGCCTTTGAGGAAATTGTGCGTGCTTCTCTTGGATATAACGCTGTCTCAGTCGAGTGGTTCCTGCTGCAACATACCGATCTCTACATACATCTTTTGGGTCACCTGCAGGCCTATCCTGAAGAGATTCCTCTTTATATAGACGTGGAAAAGGTACGTCTGTCTCTGTTCTGCTTGAGACGGCTGTTCTAATACCCGGTAGCATTTGCGGAGTCGAAGCCCATTCGCTCATCGAGCCCTGGTACATTGCATGCTCATCGTTCGACCAGAGGCTGCCCACGACATGCCACAATCTACTAGTCCCGGATTCGAGTTCATTGCCGGCCCGATTCAACGCTTATTCAAAGATCAGCCGCCAAGTTTGACGACCATCCTGAGGATCTTTAGTGTTCTGGCAATCCGGTTCCGAAAACAATACATCCAAACTTCCAAAATCAACTGGCAGGCGCCATTCGACACCGAAATTTTATTCTTGGAGGATTGTCTCAACGCGACATCCCCTATGGATCTGGCCCGTACTCTGACAGGCACGGACGAGATGGACTTTTCCAGCCTGTCGATGCAAAGCATCATGGCAGATGACGTCGTGGTCAAGAGACTACTTGGCAACTGGCACTCTCTCAGTGTTGCCGTTTGGGAATGCTGCTCATCGATCCCCGATATTATGATCCCGTATCTACGCGAATGCGCACAGGCAAGTTTCAGATAGTCTACATTTTGAGCACATCAATCTCTAATCGGTGGAGCCTGCAGATTCTCTTCATCAAATGTAATTACCACTCTCTGACAGCTATATTACATGGAATGCACCGATATAGAATTTCCACCGCCCAATCTCGCGGGCTCAGCAGTAACGTCGGAGGAATGGTCGTTCTCGACCCTATCCTTCCACCCGAAGCCAACTTTCTCACCAACTCTACCCAGAACTATGCTGCCTATCGCCAACACTACCGCAAGTACCCGGGAATTCCGTTTCTGCTTCCACACCTTCGAGACCATCAGCAGCATGGCGAAACCGCCCTCCAGCCGCTGATCCAATACCTGCAGAACTCACACATGGCCAAAGCGTGATGGTCGACGAGCTCACGCCGATTTCGGCGAGAGAATGAAGTCAGATTGGCGCGTGGCGTGTGTGGCTGCAAATGATCATGCCATTTGGCAGTTGGGACTGTTTCGGAAGCTCCTTGTTTGTTTCTTAGGGAAAGGGGGGAGTTGCAGTAGTACCTTGTTTGATTAGTGGATCTGCCTTACTCATTAGATTGCGTCTGTTTCGAGGGACTATGTATCTCTGCGCTATACCCATTGCTAGCACCTTGCAGCGCTGGGCGTCCGGCGTTGCATTTTTATTCCATGCGAACTCTATACCGGCACGGTGTTTTTCCGTGGTCCATGGGAGGAGGCATAACAAGTTAATTTTATGAATTCGCGACGTAACAATTGGCCCTAGCGGCTTTTCTGTCGACGATTGAACTGTCTCCATTTAAACACTGAATGGCTCGGCTTTTAGCTGGCTGTTGTAAGTTCCGAATTTTCTTACATTTCCGCAAATCAGAGTTGATCCACTGCGCCCGATCTGCCTGCTTCATCTGTGAGGTAATGACTGGGCCTATGCAAGCCTAAACATAAAATTTAACGACTGGATCACACTTTGGCCAAGCACTGCACTCGCTCACACGGTTTATTCCTTCTTCCTTGGCGCCTTAGGTGCCTTCGCGGTCCCAAACGCACCGCATAGATATAAGACACGGTTGATGAACAGAAATCCAGTCGCTCCGATATTTCCCCATGCCAGTGCGTTCCATGACCCAACATCCGCAAACGCTCCCCAGCCCATTGCCAAGTACGTGGCATAGACATGACCGACGTCAGCAAAGGCCAGCCCAATCAGGTAGTTGCGCAGGACTTTGGGTTCGGTGCTCGTGTGCAACACCCCGACCCCCACTAGCGACAACAGGAAGTATAGGTTTCCGAGTTGATAGGCCAGCGCGACGCTACTGGGGTGGGTGATCGGAGCTTCGATGTGCGGAGTTTGGCCGGCAATAAATCCGTTCAGGTCATACAGCGGGGCGAGGGCTCCGAGGACCCTATACAAAGTGATGAGTAGCTGGCGTGATTAGATTATGACTAGTCAGGGCATACAGTGAAAGGGGCTCAAGCACGCCGAAGACGATATGTGGCCATGTTGGGAAGATCGTGGGCATGTTGGACTCTGCAGATGGTTAGTGTTCCGCTGCTGTCGCGGAGGTCTCTAGTAACTTGGATGGGCGGGGTGGTAGGAACACTCACTTTGACCGGACTCTGGTGGTAATCAGTCGTACAGAAGAGAATATAAGGGCTCAGGAAGAGTTCAGGGGTCACCTCGAGCACGAACTAGCTAAGCCGTGGATCTTCAACCGCGAGCGAGGGCTGACGTAGACGCCGGGTGAGTGGATCCACTCACCGCCCTAGAAAACGTTATCGTCGTTATCAAAGCTTCACTTTGACTTCTTCAAACTCCGATTCAAAGGTCGACCAGGATAGGCATCATGGGGCGCCCGATGGATCAGATTTATTATACTGTCCTCCCAGTCCGCTAGCTACTGTTGTCGGATGCCCAAGGATGGATTCAAACGGGGCCTTACGACCCCTGGATGAATACCCGATCCGCGAACTTCCTCAGCTCTCTCTACGTATTGCGCCTTTACGTGAGCCGGTCTCATCTCGTACCCTCAGCGTCCCTTCGCCCTTGGAACCGAATGCCAGCGGCACCAGGGAATCGAATGCTATATCGAAGGGTTCAACGAATGATGGAAATATTCCCGCCAACCTGAAAGCCGGTCTCCCAACAGTTACCGAATTCCTCAATGCTGCACGAAGTAAGAAAGCAGAATCTGCGGCAGACTCCCATTCGAACGTTGAACTACCGCCCAGACCGATCCTCCCCGCTTTTGTTAACCTTCGCGCGCTGGAACGCTTCCCATTTGCATCTTCCTTTGACGATGATGCACTCCACGGACAGCGCAAGCGGCGGCGCTTAGACCTTCAGCCCGATTCTTTTAGCGAGCACTTGCAACTTCCTATCCCTCAGGCTCAGAAAGAACAACGCCCTCCACCTTTTGGACCGTTTGCTATTCTGAATGGATTGAATGAGCCTCCACCGAATGCTGCTCTCCTTCCTCCCATTGAAGCTGGCTCTATTCCTCAACTTCTCACGAAGCCTTCCCGAGGAGATGCTGCTGTTGATACCGGTAGCTTAATCTCTGCCAATGGCCCAATTCCAGAGGGTCAACCTGCGGAGAGGCGAGAGGCCCGGATTGAAGAGCTTCTCGGTACCACTCTTGATGATAATGAATATGACGACGCACGTAACCATGATGATACAGAACGACCCACTCAACCGGAGATTGAAACTACACCCAAAGAGGTGACAAGCGAGAAAGAAATTTCTCGCGATCATAAAACCTTGACGCTTACGGATGGTGATAGGCCCGTGTCCCCTAAAACCCGCGGCCGGTCACGCAAGAACTTGAGGAAGTGGACCGAGGAGGAGACGACGGACTTGCTTCGAGGAGTCGTCAAATGTGGCATTGGAAATTGGACGACAATTTTGGCGCAGCCTGAACTCAAGTTCAACAAACGAACTGCTTCCAACTTGAAAGACAGATTCCGAGTCTGCTGTCCCTGGGCATATCGTGCCTCCGATCCAAACGAAGCGACCAAGCAATTGCGTGATAACCTTGCCAACACTCTTCTCAAAGCTCATGCACAGGGCTCCACTGATTCACTTGGCAAGGCACCGGGCAAAATCCAAATACCACCGCCAAACTTTATGAATGACGGGTCTGAGCCAAGCTCTGGGACGGCAAGCTCTGCCAACAGTTGGCATAAGGCGTCCACTTCTAGCATGTCCTCTGTAACCCCCGACACGGATCCTGGGACGGTCGGTAGTCAGTCTCTGTCACCCTCGGTCAAGGGTACGCCCAACTCAGAAAAGTCTCAAGCCACCTTAGAATCTCTCGGCCTACCAGAAGCACACGTCACAACAAAGTCCAAGCGACGCTCCCGCCGTCCGTTCACAACCGCAGAAGACGAAGCCCTTCTCAAAGGCTACGCCGTCCATGGTTTCCAGTGGACGCTCATCCAACAAGATAAGCGGCTCAACCTAGGTCATCGCAGGGCGACTGACCTTCGCGACCGTTTTCGCACCAAGTTTCCCCACGCATACCGCGATGGGGGCTCTGTCAGCGGGAACTCTCTCCCACAAAGGCAGGGACTGGCTACTGGCACACCTGGGCCGGCGCCTCGTGACCGCCCGTCAAGCAGCGGATCCACGCCGACAAAAGTCCCTCCTACGGCTCCTCCTCACGCGCATACCCGCCACCTATCCGGCTCTCAAACCAACCCTGGTCAAACTGATCCGGCTCTACTGCCCCCTCCCCAGGGGGTTTTCGAGTCCTCTGCTCCCAATATGCCTGCAGTGTCGGGCCTACTTTCTTTCCCAGTGGATGACAATACTGGAGGGGCATCCTCGCTATGGGAGGATAACACGCTTGCTCCCATGGTTTGGGATGATCTAGGCTAAGGGTTGTAGAGTATAGCGAGAAGTTGTTTCGAGTTTGCTTCGTTTCTTGTTCTGGTCCCATGGGCCATTGATTCCAAGTTTCGATTTCGCATTTCGGTTTTGCATTTCGTGTTTGCATTTTGGATTTGTTTTTCGATTGTCATTTGATATCCCGCAGTACACGATGGCTCTGTTAAAAGTTTGAATGAATGTATTCTCACATCGAGGCTAAGATAATTCCAAGCTCTAGAAAATGGCCTTAGGGTAGAGAAGTACAGGTGGACCACGTGTCGATATGCAGAGATCCTTATTATAGAAGTAACTTCGCCGATAAGCCGAAATATTCCAAGGCTCGTCTCATGCTGCTTCGATTATTCTGAAAGAAACCGGATAAAGTCACACAAAAATTACAAAATAAAAACGGAAACAGTCGGATATCAGGCAAAGTCGCAATAGTTCGACAGAAAGGACCATCACATCTCATACAAGACTATAATGTCTGACGTTTTGCTTTTCAGGTAGACAATGTTATTGGAAAATGATGCCATGACCAAAGAAAATGTCAAGGGTAGTCAAAAACAGCAAGGCTTCAAAGGGACTGGACAGGACTTGGAAACAAAGAAACCACGCTCAAAATTACTGGGGGTGGATGTCGAGAGAAAGACGCAAAAAAGAAGAACCTAAATGCACATCGCTCTACCACGCATTGCGGTCCCAATTCGGGTCTACAATCAGCAGTTAGCACACGGTCCAAGTAAAACCCATAACTCAAGGCCGAAATGGAAGGGAAACCCACCCTGTATAAAGCTAGCCAGCACCTTGCTCCCCGTCTGTAGCAGCGGATGTCCCGCCACGATCTGCAGGAACCGCTGCAGCCCCTCGCGTCGGTGTTCGATGACGTCGTCGCTGAATCGGTTGGTGAATACCTTGCCCGGCAACGGCGGGATAGTCACGCGTGTGCTCTCGCGCTCCAGGATATCGCGGAAGTACTCAAAGTCCGAGTAGCGGCGCCGCACGACCGAGTGCTTCAGCTTGAAGGCGGGGATGTTGGTGCGGCACACGATCTCGTACGAGGTGTACATGTTTCGCGATGTGCCGTGCGTTTGCGGGTTGCGCACCTGGTGGGTCTTTAGCTGGCTGGGGTTTTGGGGGAAATTGCGGGTAGAGCTTCGGGTGAGGGGGTGGGCACGAGACACCTGGGAATGGTGCAGCGACTACCGGTATGAATGAATGAAGGGTGGGTGGTGACTGACCTCGATCTCGAGGAAGTTCTCCGGTGGTCCGTAGATCTCCTCAAAGGTCTGTTGGCGCGACTCGGGGACGGACTGCATGGTGGGGTTGTTGGAGCGGGTTGGGCTGAGAGAGGCTGGTGAGGACGACGAGGCCGAGGCTGCGATATAATTGGAGAAAGGGGACAAGTGAGGCCTCAAGCGCAATTTCGCACAGTCTTTTGGAGGGTCGCCGCGTCGTGCTAGTGAAGAAGCGGGGATCCAAGACGGAATCATCTCGCTATCAGTGACGACGAAGCGGGAAAATATTTGATCCGCGTTCTGGGGCTTATCGCCGTTTTCTACCAAGATTTATACTTCGTGAACTTTACACATTCCAAAGGCTGTTTACCTTTCTTGATATTTTCATGCTCTATGGAGGTACATTGCGCAATGAGGTTTAATTATAATTCGACCTTAGGTAGGAAATCAGCCGGATCCCTGCAAAGTCAATACCTAATCCTTCGGAACGTCATCTCGCGGCATCTCTGAATATTGCGGCAAACGAGATGATGGCAAACAAGGTGGCGGGGGTGTTTGAATGGACTGTATGGGGGACCCGGGGCGTAGGGTTTGCAATGGGAGATCTGAACCGGTTTGTTGAGTTTTCTCCGACCGGTGGTATGCCAATATCACAAGCAGCAGGATGAACACAATAACGAATGCCACAAGACCTATGACAATGCCAACCAGCGTATTCTCACGGAGCGCCTGACTTGTATTGACTGATGATGATGAAGACGCAGACGTGGTCGACACTGTTCCTTCAGCTGCACAAGTTGGCGGATAGAAGATCCCACTAGACACCAAGGAACACCATTCATTAATCTTGTCGGTTGCCCCTGTTTCGATGATAAGCTTTTACATTGCAATTGATGTAGGATCCAACCGGAGAGAACACGTACCGGACAGGGATTCATTTCCACAGCTGGAAAAACAGCAGGCATAGTCTAGGATGCTACCGGTTAACCCCCATCCACCCGTGCACCAACAAGACTTGCCATTTATGCTACAATCCGAATCTGGATCAACATTTGTTAGACATGTATTCTAGATGATTGTATTTATTAGTTTTTCCCGTGACTTAAGAAGTAGGTACAGCTCGATCTGTTTGAAATGAGACTGGAGTACCTACCACACAAGTATAATCAGAGCTATTGCTCGGATAGTACGTATTTGTAAAGTTTAGAACAGCCCCACCAAATGCAGAAGTTGTAGAAATGAGAATCGTCACAGTAAGTGATAGTAGTGTGCGCTTCATGGTGTTGATGAATACAAGTCTTGTTAAGGAGGTTGAAGGCACGAGAAATGAGAAGATAAGAAAGACATCGCGAGGGGAGGTGAGGCATATGTGAGATTTTTGCTTTTGATCGCCATAATTGTCATACTGAGCTCTCTGATCAGGCTCAGTTTGATTTCAATGAGTATTGTCTTCCACGACCTCCAGCACTGGAGCTACGCAATGGGTTTCTCTACCTAGCAGGATCCCAATCATATTACCTCGCTTAGTATAGCACATAGCATAAGAAGCTCGCTAGTGTCTAGATAGATAGCCAAAGATTAGTCTAAATACACCTCTCAGCACCCAGTACTATGTATGACCAATTAGCAGAGTTCTTCACTCGTATTATACCAAACAACGCAGGACTAGGGGCGATCCTAACATTCTAATCGCTCCTTCTCGGGATACGACCGTTGAACCTATAAATATATCATACAATACACAGCACCACCGCTATACGGAACGAGGGATATCTATTATAGGGTAATTCATCCCATCAAGTGACCTCCGGACAAGAAGACGACGACAAAGCTAGAAGAACGGCAGCCCTAGAGTATCAGCAATATTATATCTTCCAACTTCTTCTTTCGGACCCTCGAACCATAGTCAACCACAAGAACAAGCTAGGCCAGACCCCCCTTTATTATACAATAGAGTAAGGGAATCTTATGGCAGTTCACATGCTTTTGGCGCAGGCGATTAATGGTTGCTGTTAAATATTATGAAATGTCGTCAACCTAGCGGAAGAAGGTGAATGGCGCTTCTCGCTTATCCGCATTGTGCTGCGTACTTTATCATGACTGCATCAATCTTCTTGATGAAAAAAAATCTCTCAGTTTGCGCATTTGAGAAGCAAAGCTAAGAGAGTCCTTCCAAGCACTCAGTGGGAGAAGAATATCAATGCCCTCAGGTCCAATGCATTGGATGATGTACATTTAAGCACACGCTACGCTACTCTTTTAGACATCCATGTGTCTTGAATATTGCTTCCTGTCCCAGGCTGCCGGGAGTGGTGATGTGGTTTGTCCAAGTATGTATGTGACATTAACAAGATACACCGTCGTGCAAGTATCCATCCACCTGCCTACCTAGGTATCCATCTCTGGGTCCTACTGGCCATTCTAAATCCATCTTGAGATTCTCTGGTATTGTCATGGCCACCGTCAACTTAAACCTCAATGCCAAAGATAGAAACTGTAATCATCTTTACCATTCGCCAATACCTCAGGCTCGAGCTCATCATCATTGTCAGTCTCGTAATCTGGATCACCAAGGTCAATCCGCTTCCAAGTGACCTTTGAAGCAGCCTTCCACGCAGCCTCCTGGAAGTCATAAGGCCAGCCATATTGCTCCTGAAGGACCTTCTTGATTTTGGCGTACTGTATACATTAGTATTATATTAAATTTTGCTAAGTTGCAGCGAAAAGGAATGACCTACCAACTCAGGATAGTGCTTGTTGTACAATTTACGGGTTTCTCGTGACACACTAGGAATTATCTCGAGTGATCTGACTTGTTGAAGATAAGATGCCAGATATGTTGGCGCGTGGTGTGGATAGTAATTCCGATAATTCTCAATATCGTCTCCCGGAGGCGATTCGTCGAAGCTCCAAACTCGAATTGTGTCTATGTAAGAAATGTGAACAAAAGCTCTTACTATCACTGATCAGTATACTTACTATCTTTCGTATCCAGAATCACGTGGATACCCTCGTCAATTGAACAAGTCAGAGCTATCTCCTGGGGAAGGAGACAGCTGGGCCTCGGCTCTTCATAGCTAAAACGATCCGGATCGCGACCGCCACGAATTTCATAGTCCTCGAGATACACAAATGCTCGGGAGTAAGGGTAGATAAATTCAATATCCGCGGCTATTCCCGAAAATCGCAAATATGGCAGTCGCTTCATCAACGAGATCACGACGGGGTTGATATGAAGCTCCTCGCATAGTCCTTGATTAATGGCGTGGCCTTCCTCCGGGGCCCAGGCGACCTCCCAATCGGAGATGTAATTCAGCTGCAAATAGACGCGATAAATGTCACTGATGATATTGACAATTGTATCCTCGTTGTAGGGGATGCGAGGGACGTGAAAATCGGCGGCAATATTTTGTACTTCATTTTGATCTTCCTGCGGGCTAGTTGCCATTGCTGGGTTTGGGATCTCTCTTTGGCGATTCCAGTACCAATGGACTGCAAGTACTGTCAAGATGAAAACTGTATTGAATATTTGGGCCCCGTAGAAGAGCCTTGGATACTTAGCGAAAAAAAATTCGTTCTCTGGGAGTGTTGAGGGTGCTGAGGGTGCTCTTTGTCCCATTTACCCGGAAGTGATTGCGAATGGTAAGATTAAATCCCGCGCGGATGCAAGGTGAGACCCTTGAGGCCCTCTGACTCAAGTACCCACTCGGAGACGTCAAAGTGAAGGTATCCCTCGGATTTAAAAGGAGTTAAGAGCGTGGAGATGACATAACTCGGGAAGCAGCGGTGACTTGGTTATCTATGGTCGCGCTATCGATAAGCGGCCTCCTCATCACCACCCACATCATGAGTTCACCAGGATCGCCCTCCGAAGAGGCAAGGGAATCGGCAGGAGGTACACCTGCCTGGCATCCTGCACAAGAGTGGCTGGAGGAAGACGACGAGGTAGACATGGATTATCACCCTGCGCTGGAGGGATCGGAAGACGAAGACGGCTGGGAAGAGATGGATGCCGAGGACGAAGATATGGACCTCGGAGTATCTGATGGTGAGGATTCCGGCAGTTTGATTGATGACTTCTTCAATGACAATGTCTAAATGTGCTCTCAACAGAAAATCCGCGCATCAACATCGGCAACATCCAGATCGAGCTCACTACGGACGATCATGACGAAGATGGAGAGGAGGGTAATGGTGGCGAGACTCGCAGTACGTTCAATGACCAACGCCTGTCCACTTCAGAGAGCTTCTTCTTACCCATCCCACAGTTCCGGCATCCCGGCTATTCCAATTACTGGCATCGAGCGGTCTGCAGCATATCCTCCACTCCAATGGATGGGCAACCAATCCAGCAGAGGAGGAGGAAGACGATGGCGAAGACGATCCGGACTACTATCTGCCTACATTCCGACATCGACTGAGAACAAGACGGACCAGAGGAGAACCCCAGTTCCCCAAAGTCCCCAGCGATGCGGGAACCGAACTGATGGGCGAAGGCCATTTCGGTACCGACCAGCACTATGTGGACCGACTCAAGAAACGGAAGATGGGATTTGCTACAAAGTTGATGTGGCGGGAACTCGGCGTGGACTCTTATGGAGCTCGGAGGAGGGTTGATCAGGCTATCTCGCAGGTAAGCCGGCTGCCGATATGCCCGGAAAGTTACATGAACTACGACTTATCAAAGTACTTCATTTAGAATATGATACCTAGCTCCGTGGCCGATAAAATCATCCATTACGATGCACGCAGTTACTCCGGCCAGTTCTCCGACGATGGAAACTTTTTCTTTTCTTGCGCGCAGGATTTCAAGGTTCGGATGTACGACACATCTAACCCATACGAATGGAAGTACTATAAGACTGTCCGCTATCCGCTCGGTCAATGGACAATCACGGATGCTACGTTGAGTCCCGATAATCGCTTTCTGGTCTACTCTTCCATACGCAGTCAGGCCTACTTAGCCCCAACAGACCCAGAGGATGATTCGGATCCGAGTCAATTAGACTTTGCTCTTTCGATGAACCAGGGACGACGCCAAAGCTGGGGTAGCTCTCATTTCGGAGTATGCCCACGTGCTATAAATATACTCTTGACTCATTTTACTGACATGTGCTATAACTAGATATGGTCTCTTCGCTTCTCCGGAGATGGACGCGAGATCGTCGCGGGCACATCAGAGGACTCTGTGATTGTCTATGATATTGAAACGAAACAACCGGTCCTAAATCTGCGCGACCGTCACCAGCATCACGTCAATGCAGTCTGCTTCGGTGACAAGTCATCTCCTCACCTACTTTACTCAGGATCCGATGACTCAACGCTACGAGTCTGGGACCGTCGGTCAATGGGCGATGGGCGTGAAGCAGGTGTTTTCATGGGCCACACCGAGGGTCTAACATACGTTGACAGCAAAGGCGATGGCCGATATGTTCTTTCCAACGGCAAGGACCAGACCATGAAGCTCTGGGATCTGCGAAAGATGATGACGACTGCCAATTTCGACAACATAGACCCCAGCAGCTTCACGACTGGATTTGACTACCGATTTGAGAAATACCCTGACAACTTCTACGAGCCACATCCGTATGACTACTCGGTGGTCACCTTCCGCGGCCACAGTGTCCTCAAGACACTGATTCGCTGTCATTTCTCGCCGCCTGGCAGTACAAATTCGCGCTACGTCTACTCTGGCAGTGAAGACGGCAAGGTCTACGTGTACAATATGGATGCTACGCTGGCTGGTACCATCGATGTTGGTTCAGCAACGCTTAACTCGCGCCCCCGGGAGCCAGATGTCTTTGCGACGGCGTATGAGATGAGTGGAGAGATGCTGTGGAGGACTTGTGTTCGTGATGCGAGCTGGCATCCGAATGCTCCAGTGCTAGCTGGTAATATTGCCGACACCGTCCAACCTGATCGAAGGATGAACTGACATTGTATAGCAACCTCCTGGAACGGATGGGGACTGTCTACTGGCACATGTACTATTCATTCCTGGAATGACGGTGCTGCCAATGATGAAGGGGACCCGCCAATCGGCAAGAGCTATGATGACAGGCTTAGATATGTGCCCGAGTTTAACGACTTCCGAGAGAATGCCCCAGCGGCCCGCACACGACGACCGCTGCGTAGCCGGCCTGTGCGCCGACTGTTTGTTGAAGAAGACGAGGATGTTGAGTGGTGAGTTGGAAGACAAAAGTCTATATGGTTTTCTTTTCCAAAAAGGATTCACCTGGGCTCATTTCTGCACATCGGGAGGATATCCGCATATAGGTTCACGTTCAGCTGTAGGTATAATGATTCATGACACGAATAAAATCCCCATGTTCTTTTCAGATTGACCCAGTCCAGGCAACTTGTGGCTGCGTTAGTAGAAGAGGCAAGAAGATGTTTTCGAAGGGCCATTGATTAAATCAAAATAAAAGGAACCCCTATTGGTACAGGAACAATGATATGTGGTATCTCAAGGGTGACGATGAGGCACTCCCTCTCATCGCACCCAAAACAAAGCGCCAGAGTGACAGTGCCACCGGCAAGACAAAATATGGAGCTGCTCGAGTTGGAACCCGAGGTGTTCAAATCCGCACCCCCTTTATCCAATGCCCACCCAACGACAGAGCCGTTGGTTGGATTTTCTCAACTGCGTATATTCGGGTTGTATGGGCGATCCCTTCCTCGTGCCCCAATTTGTTCGGCGGGAGATGTCCGATGTAATTCTCGATGAGTTGTCACATTTATGCGCCGCCCACGAGGACCTGGTTGACGGGAATGTGGACTGCAAAGGTGCATTGTTAGTACCGTATCTGACATAGTATACTTCAACGACGCAGCGTGCGCCATCGGTGGCACTTACTCAGCTTGACAAAGTATCCAATGGCGCCCTGATTTCCATGTTAGTCAATCGGTCGAGTGCGATCCCAGGGTCTCCGCGGAGAGGACGGTACATACCATGACCAGGAAGCCCATGCCAACGGCCTGGCTGATCTTGATGAACTCGCGCTTGTCGGCTGTAAAGTGTGTTAGCATGCTTCAGCGAACTGTGGCCGCCACGGAGGGATCGACGAACGCTTGGTGCAACGGCGAATGAAGAGGGTACCCTCCCGGACAAAGTCCTTGGGGATATCAGCAAGTTCTTGGAGGGTCTCCGACATTATGGCGAATGGGTGTAAAAAGGAGATGGAGAGGAAGGAGGGAGATTGGGGGATAAGAAACGCGAGTCTGGACAAATGGCCTTTCTGGGGTTTCGGAGGCGCGCGGAGAAACGTGGATCCGAGACGCAGCTAAGCTCAGTGTCGCGCCGTCTTTCTCTCCCCTTCTCTCCCGCGACGATATTGTTTCCTAACTCGCTGACAGGGATTGACCTCTCTCTTTTGTTTCATCTCACGGCTGTTTCTCTGTGCCTTGTGCTGCCTTGGCAACACTTCTCTTTGCCTGTATCCCGTGAGCTCTAAAGGCCACTCTGTACGCGTCCCTTCCACTGGGCCTGTTAACACTCGGTATACCATTGATCGCTTCGGATTGTACGTATAGTTGTGTTTTTCCATGTCTGTTCTGCGTGTCTATTTGCCTCTCCGCGCTCTATCTGCCACCTTCGCCTTGGGATGACCATGCGATGAGCCTTGGTCTCCACCTTTCTCATCTGAACTGTCGGTCGAATGTTAGGGATCATTCTCCATGCTAATTGATGGCCTGTATCGACAGACATGTACTATCCTTGAATCCGGAAGCAAGAGGCAAAAAAAAGGAGAGAAAGGGCCTGTGTATTATCCAACCTCACATTATCCACAATCGAGAATTCTTGCTCTGAGCCTGCAATCCGCCCGAATCTTCTAGTGCACAATGGCTACGGAAGATGATAACTTCGATATTGACATCTATGGGGATGGGGGCAATGAGCAGGGAGACCAGAATCACGACGACTCAGAGCTCGTACTAGACGCCCCGGAGACGGCACCGCAAAACCCTCCTCACTCCGCACCCCAGAACCAGAACACGCCTCAGGCGCCTGCGCAAAGTTCGACACAAACAAAGCCTCAACCCCAACCCGTTCCTTCCACGAATGGAGACCACAACATGCCGCAACACCAGCCCCCTCACCAGGACGCCCCGGCGCCTCAACAAGGTGTGAAGCGCAAGGAATATGACGATCGCCCTACCGATGAAGCAGCCACCACGGCTTTGCTGATTTCGGATCTCTTCTGGTGGACAACGGACGATGACGTCCGTGGTTGGGCTGTCGACGCTGGCTGCGAGCTCGAGCTTAAGGACGTGACCTTCAGCGAACACAAGGTTAACGGAAAGAGTAAAGGGTAAGAAGCGCAGTATCCTTTCTAACTCAATTTATCAACTGACTCCATGATAACAGTCAAGCATTTGTGGAATTTACCACTCCCCAAGCTGCCACAGCTGTAAAGCACAAGATCGAAGAAGCCGGCCAAACAGGCCGGAAATATATGGTCAACTACACCAACCCTCATACCAACCCCTTCCGAACCCTCCCTAAGGATGCACCAATGCGCAAAGATGGCAACCGGGGGCCCGGCGCTGGCTTCAATGCCGGCGGCAATAATATGAACTACGGCATGAATAACAACATGGGCGGTGGTGGCTTCCGCGGCCGCGGTGGCTACAACAACCGAGGCAACTTCAACCGAGGAGGCATGAACAACTTCAACCAAATGGGCGGCTTCCAAGGCGGTGCTGCACCGGGGAACATGATGGGCGGTTTCCAGGGCGGGCCCATGGGCGGCGGCGGAATGCAAAACTACGGCTTCAACAACCGGGGGGGCATGATGGGCGGAGGCATGCGCGGTGGACCTGGAGGCATGCGCGGCGGCCGGGGAGGAAACATGGGCGGGAACATGATGGGCATGCCTGGGATGAACCCGATGGGTGGCATGGGCATGAACCCTATGGCTGGCGGTATGAATCCGATGATGGGCGGCATGGGCGGAAACATGGGCATGCAGGGTGAGTAACTAGCATTAAGTCTTGTTACGCTCCTTTCATCTGAACTGTGTCCCTCCCTTGGCGGTCGAGTGCTGACTTTTTTTTGTTCTCCAGGTCAAGGTTTCCAAGGTCCCAACCCTGCATTCAATCAGGGCTTCTTCAATAACCAGGGAGCTGGCGGTGGTGACGCATCGTGGAACCCTCACGGTGCGAAACGCAGTCGACAGGAGTAAGATCCTCGCGGTTTGAACACTTTTCTTGCGGAGCTGGCTACGGCGTTCTACCAGTCCTCAATCTTATTCGCTTTGTTGGATTTTTTTCGCTTTCGACTTGCAAGTTTATCGGATCATCACTCGGACCGGGTTTTTCTTTTTATCAATGTTTCCTCCGCGGGCATCGGGAAGGAAATGGAACCACGTAGCGCTCGTTCTGGCTCGATTTGGATGGGATATTTTCTTTCTTTGATGTATTAGATGCAATTCGATGGTGTTTTCTCTTTATATGTACTTTATGGCTACCAATTGGGTTCGTGCCGATATCTTGGGTCCTACTGTGATTGGATCTGATACTTGTTGTCATCGAAAAGTCTTGTTGGAATAGCAGACTGAATTTGATACGACTATAAGAGATGCCCGTTTGGGCGAACGATGGTGGAAAATCCCCACTTATTGGGATTGAGACTGGTCGATATCTAGGTGTTAAGCCGGACAACCTACCTAAGTTGTCGAGACTCGGCACTACCCAGGATGACACAAGACTCGAATCAGCCCCTACGTGTGCCACGTAAATGAGATGACTCGCACCCTCTCACCATTTCCCTCTCGATCAAAGCCCAGGGTATAACCGCGTGGAAAAATACGTTCGAACCTTGGAAGGCCTGGATCATATTTGGAAGTACATAGATACCTGATTCAACTAAGTTACATCGAATGTACATGACAACATGGCATAGTCAGAAATGTATCGAGCTCGCCAGTTCCAATACTTTCCAATAGGGTTCAAAACCAACTCCTCAACTAGACTTACCAATGTTGCCCAGACCTAGACCGCCGAGCAGGTTATCAATACCTAGACCCCCAAGAAGCCCCCGAACGAGACCTCCAAGGCCCAGACCATCGAGAAGATTACCCAGGAGACCCACAACACCACTGAGAAGTAGACCAACGGCCGCAATGATTTGGAAGAGTGGCTCTGAGAGCAAGGACCACAGGGGATTGATCTTCTTCTTTGCATGGGGCATATCTGCGATACGCCGACGACCATTTTCAATCGTGGTAGAGATAGTTTGCGAAAGTTGCTTTAGAAGATCGGCCAGCTGGTATTCTTCCGATGTTGCTTCGCGCGATACACTTCGGGCTTTGGCCGAGGCTGCAATTTGACCATCGGGGTCAAGAGCGCGAAGGGCTCCTTTGCATTCTTGCATCATGTTTCCGGCGTCTTCGATGATAGGCTTCACTGTCTTGACCAGCTGTTCCTCGTCAAGTTCATCTCGTGGTGTGCGGTCGGCTCTTTCAATATGCTGGCAAATCTGTTAGTGACATGAAGAGACATAAGGTCATAGAAAAGCTTACCTCGGTGATCTGTTTGCATAGAGGTTCAACGGAATCCAGTGTCTGCTGCACAATCGACGACATCTTCTTCGCCAGTTCTCTGTCGTGTTTTTCCTTTTCCTGTTGTTCAATCTCCTCAGGGGACAAAGCAGGCTCTTCAGGTTCGGGCTCGGGCAAGTGTTCCAGTAAGGTGCATTCGCCGATTTTGTTCCCATCGTTGTCCACGATGTAGCCATTGTCATCGACGGTCTTACCCGCCAGTGAATTCAGATTGCCCTCGGTGAGTTTCCCGATCAAGTTGCCATCTTCGTCGCGTACTTCTCCCTCTCGGTTGACTTTCAGGCCACTCATCGGGTTGATATCGCGCGGCTTTTCTTCGGGGGTCCATGGCTCTGCGCGAGCGATGACGTTTCCAAGTTTATCGATCACTTCTCCATCCTCGTCGACGGCACGACCTTTCAGCCGGAGGGCATCTCCTTCAACTAGTCTGCCGACAACCTGGCCAGTGGAGTCCGTGACGGTTCCATCCTTGGTGACCACCAGACCATCGAGTCCATAGAAGATGCCTTCGGCCTCTTCTCGCTCCGATGAAGGGATCAATTCGACAGAACCGAGCACCTTTCCGTCATCACTCCAGAGTTGACCTTCGGCATCGACTTGTTTGCCCGCGAGTTTCTTGGGATTCCCAGAAGTGAGGCGTCCCCACACGGATCCATTTTCATCCACGATATTTCCTAATTTGTTGACCTTCATCCCTTCGAGAACTGACAGGTCCTCCTCCTCTTCCTCTTCCTCTGGTGGAGTATAGGGTTCGGCCCGTCCCTTCACGTTGCCTCGCTTGTCGAGAATATCCCCGTCGTCATCTACAAGAAGGCCCTGTAATTTCTGAGGGTCTCCTTCGATGATCTTGCCAACAATATCGCCAGCTTCATCCTCAATAAACCCGTCCTTCCGAACCACTAGATCTCCGAAGTCGCCGAATGGCGTTATAGCTTCGCGCTCGCCTTCAGGAATTAGAGTGACTCGTCCGATGACCTCCCCGTTATCCCCCCATATCTGGCCTTCAGCGTCGATCTTTCTACCTGACAGTGTCTTGGCGTCACCTTCGCTAACACGTCCCACAGGTACCCCGTTCGGGCCCATGACGTGTCCTAGCTTGTTAGGAGTGAGGCCCTCCAATTCTGAAAGGTCGACCTCCTCCTCCGGCTCCGGCTCCGGCTCCTCCCAGGGCTCTGCTCGTCCCAGCAGATTGCCGCGCTTGTCAAGAATATCGCCATCGTCATCAACCGCCCGTCCAAGGAGTTTCTGAATTTCACCTTCGACAACTTGTCCAACCGCCTTTCCATTTGCGTCATGGACCCAGCCTTCCTTGGCGACAAAAGGCTCCTCAAGATCCGCAAATGGGCCCCGGTCTTCTTCCTCTTCTACCGGAATGGTCTGGGCCATGCCGATGACATTCCCTCTGTTGTCCCAGAATTGACCTTGGTCGTCAAGCTCGACACCGGCCTGGGAGAGCTTTTTGGGATCACCCTCGACAAGTTCGCCAACAGGAATGCCCTCTTCGTTGACAATTTTGCCCATCTTGTTGCACTTCAAGCACTCTAGCGTGGAGATGGGCGGGAGTTCCTGAGCAGTCTCCTCGGCGGTTTTCTCCTGGTCTTCGATGGCTTCTTGCGCCTTCAATCGAGCTTTGCCCAAAATATTGCCATCATCGTCTAGAATCAGACCATTTTTGTTCACAGTCATTCCGACGGTTTCCGACGGATCACCACTGTCCAGAACACCGAGGACGGTGCCATTTGAATCAGTAATCTGCCCTTCTTCGTTGACCTGGAAACCATCAAGGATAGAGATATCGCCCTCGACCGCTTGCGCCGCTTCTTGCTGCTTTTGCATTGCCTTTACGGCAATCTCCCCAGGTACTACCTCGACCTCTCCTATAACCTCCCCATCCTCGTCCAGAATTTGCCCCTGCTCATTGGGCACTTGGCCGGCCAGAGACTCCAGATCTTGGCCTTCTTTAACCTGCCCAAGAATGCCACCGTCTTCGTCGAGTACCTTGCCATCGTCGTTGATCGTTCTGTCCTTGAAAATGGACAGGCCCGGCAGCGAGTCGCCTAGTGAATCTTTCGCCTGGTCAAGCTGGTCCCCAACTTTATCGGAAGAAACAATCTCAACACGACCGACTAAATCACCATCCGAATCAAGTACCTCGCCGTTTTCATCCACGGTCCAACCGACCAACTCTTCGGCATTTCCTTCGACGAGCTTCCCCAATACTCGACCAGATTGATCTTTCACTGACCCGTCTTCCGCAACAGGCAGATTTGCGAGATCTTTCAAGCCCAGAGTATCTCCATCTGGAAGTGCGTCTGCTTTACTTGTCAGATCCTTTCTGAGAAGCTCCACACGACCAATGAGATCGCCATCTTCGTCAAGAATTTCCCCATTCTCGCCAACGGTTTGACCAGCAAGATCTTCCGCCTCGCCCTCGGCCAGTCGACCAACTTCGTTGCCGTCGGCATCGAGAATCATTCCATCTTCACCAACCTCAAGTCCAGAAAGTACAGACAAATCCGATGGAAGATTGAAAGCTTCCTCTGTGATCTCCTCCACTTTGCCTTCTGCTTCATCGACAGTTGGCCGGGCCATGTCCGTGATATTGCGTATGCCAGACTGCACGCGATTCGCTGCCTCTTTCTGAACGGACTCAGGCAGCTGAGAGTGGAACTTATTGGCCTTATTTGCAAAATTTGCAAGGCCCGATGCAGCGTCTTTACTGCGTTGGAAATATGATTTTCCTTCCGATCCAGAAGCCTGCAGAGGCTCCTTCGCTGCAAGTTCTCTCTGCTCTCCGTTCACTGAAGTTTGCTCCTCGCTTGGGACTTCGTCATTGTCGACCAACTCAATTAACTCTCTCGGAATATCCGGGTCTTCAATCTGTACACCACCATCCGCCTCGGTCTCTTGGGGAGGAGGGAACTTGGCGGCTGGCTTTGGTGGCTTTGGTGGCTTTGGTGGCTTTGCTGACTTTGCTGAGGCACTACCTTGTTTTACCTTGTCTGAAGCCTTTGAAGAGGATTCCGGAGACAGTTTCTTCATACTTGGAGGCTTGGACGGCTTTGTAGGAGTGCCGTTGGGTTTCGCACCAGCGGCTGCCTTCCGCACAAGAGTTGCAGATTTAGGCGACTTCAAATCTGGCTTTGTCCGGTCTGGTAGAGCATCTTGAGAAGGTTGTTCCTTTTTCATGGGATTGCTAGGTGCCCCTGGGGTTTTCTTCCCAGGCATAGGTCTGGGTTCTTGCGATGCCATTTTGGGCGCCATATTGATTTTTTGCTTTTGCTTTCTCTCTTTTCGCTCCCCAGTATAGTATTATTTCGATGTTGTGAAGCTTTTTGCGTATGATAAGTGGAAATTTTCAAAACATATGATGCTTGATACCGAGCTCTACAAGACCATTGCCTCTCGGTGGTTTTATACACACTACAGGTCCAGCCACAGACGTATTACGCAACATAAGAAAAATAATAATAACCGGAGCATCGATGGCACGATGGCGACAAAAATATCCAATCACTGCTGCATCGAAGCGATTGAAAACTTGCTAGGGGTATCTGTCGAGGTGTGGCTGAGAGCCTCATTGTCTTGTCGTCATTTCCGCCTCAAAGGACGGATCTCAACCACGGACCAACACGTCGGAGGGTGGCTGGAAGCTCTTGGCACTACTGTTCGCCACGTAACAAATCCACTTGAGATGCCACTCGTCTATTCACTGGATGTTTTTATTGTGTCAAGTCAACGTGCCTAGACTTCCCCGCGTAGGTGGCTTGACTGTGGCTAGTGCTCAGGTTCTCTTACCATCCCGCGGGTGCTTTCATACTTCGGCCGTATGAACCGGCCATTCATATTAATGGAAATTTTATGCCATTCGAATTTCATGGTACATATTAATCCGGCAAATAATTCCGTTTCACCAAAGTAATAATGAATAATGAAGCCACAGTACGAAGCTGATATCACTTTTCCATTGATTCGTGAATCAAGCCCTTCTAAGTATAAGCTTAAGTTGGGAATATCATAGAGAATACTCACAAGAGGGTCAAAGTCAAATCACCGCGAATGCTAGCCTTCAAATCGACCTCAATGTCTAAATTGAGGTCCAGCCTCAGACTTACCGCGCTTTTTGATGGTTTTTCCGGGTTTTGGACTGGTTGGATTCCATCACTGTCTTGCCTTTGGACGTCGCCACGCATTACTTGTGTTTGGGGCCCAACACGTGTCAACGAGGTATCCTGGTTTAGTCGATCAAATTGAATACCTCTTGTAGGGCGAGTTTGTTGATAAACAGGTGCTGCAGGCCGGTATTCTCTTTCCCGACGCCGATCAAATCTGGCATCAGGAGGAGTGTCCTCAATGCCCGAGTCCGCCTCGTATTGACCGGAAATCACGCTAGCAGAGTCTTCGTCCCGAGATGCGGACTCAGAAATCGAGTAAATCCTTCGTTGGTCATCTTGTTCGCTCCATGAATGCCTGGGATCTTTAGAAGGGACGCTTTTAGCAGCTGCATGTCGACTAGGAGTCATTTTGGCCAAGCTCCCTGGAGGTGATGCGTAATGGCGTGAAGAGAACGATTCTGAACGACGTTGATAAAGAGAACTTTATGAGGAGGTATCGGATTCTCAAACCCTGCGTCAATCACCAAACCAAAAGGTGGATTCACACATAACGTGCCCCCGGGCTCGTCTCGGCATTTATCGATGGCTCCACTTATGGCAAAGTCTGGTACATGGAATGTCATGTCCCCCGGATTTCCCAGAGCCAAAGAATCATAACCTCCTCAATCTTGTTTCTAGTGCAGCTTTACGATATCAGGTAATTCTTAATACCAGTCTCCACTACCTCAGTACGCGTCATCCAGCCAAATGTAGATGGCCCGGCCGTAAAATGATCATGCCTCGGGAATCATATCGTTCCTTTAGTGAGCCTATCTACTTGACGTCAGGAGGCGAACTACTTCCGCATTTGTCTATGGTACTCCGTACTTTAGGGTGGCTTATTGCTAGGATGCCGTGCACTGAATTGCGAAGCTTTTGATACTATCTTCCCGACCTTTTATATTGTCGCATCTCATCAATTGCCCTTAATGAAAACACCAGAAGACTATGCGCCGGACGGGGCCAGCAGAAGCGGTGCAAATGGTGTCGCATCTTCACAAAAACGGCGACCGCCGAAACTCCGACCACCCAGGTCCGCGAAGCTGCCGACCTCCTCTGATGAACAAAGTGAAAGAAGCCAGCGGCAACGAAATGTGGTTCCAGACAGAATAGCGTCCAACTCTTCCTCGGGTCTCCCGAACGGTGCCCAAGATCAAAATCAGGATCGCCCGAGCCGCGAACAAACACCCGAGCAACAACAGACATCACTACAGCCCGCGGTACATCATCAACGCACGACGGTCCGCCGAGAGTCAAAACAATCGGCCGAGCCAGATCAAGTTCAAATGCTCGAACGCGAAGAAAGATTACCAGAGAATCATGATGCGCCGATCCGAGAGAGACGTGTGCAACAGATGCTAAGTCCTGAAGTTCAAAACCAAGAGATTGTTCCAGCTCAAAACAGACAAACAGAGCAGTCAAGAGAGATTCTTCCAAATGGAACCGGTGAAAATGCCGGTCAAGTGATAGAGACAACTGAAGCAGTGACAAATGAAAAGGGCAACAACGGTCAGTTGAAATTGAGGTTGGATCTAAATCTTGACGTCGAGATCGAATTGAAAGCCAAGATCCGCGGAGATGTGACCCTGCAACTATTGTATGTCCGAACTTCGCTCTATTGCATGGTGATAATTTGAATGATGTACTGATGTGATCCGACTACAGACAATAGCGATATGGCATCGATGTAATAGATACTGGCTGTCATCAAATAGCTTTACTATAATATTAGGCTCTCAATCTAATATAACTATACGAAGAAAAACTTCACAAGAATCTCCCCTGCTTTCAAATTAACGCTGGTCGAGACCAGCCCGATAACCCTCGTCTGATGATACACTACAATTTAAGCCCACCACACATAACGGAAGTGCTGAATTCAGTGTTAGCAAATGTGACCATAGAACAGGCGAAGCTTATTATCCTCGAAATATTTCTTATTGATTTAACTTTTCCACTTTTGACGGATCAGAAACGAGTTGGGGGATGCATCTCCGGAGGACGGAGATAGAACATATCCCAGCCATTGGTATTACATTGAAACCACACGAATCCGGTGAACTCACTGTCCCCAAAAGGTATTTTCATCCAACCAACGTCCTCTAGAGTACATCCTTCGAGAGGCTCAAATTCTTCTGGAGGCCCACCCAGCGCCTCCAACTCTTCTTCATCAAGCACCTCTGGTTCCCATTGGCCATCAACTAGACGAACAAACGCTGATTTACTAAATTTCAGGTTTGGCTCGTTTAGTACTGATTCTAAGGCCTCCTGGTCCACCATCAAGAAGTACCGGTAGGGACCTGACTGGGCATAGTGCTTCTGGTCTAGTGGAACACCTTGTTCTAGGTGCTTAGCAGTCGTAGCCCATTTGTTGAAATACCCGCGGAGGGTAGCAGTTGCTGCGCCTTCAAAAGAGGAATCTTCCATAACCGTAGGGGCAAGACTGTCTAGTAGATCTAAACCATTATAGCACTTGAGCGACCTTGTTGTCTGGTCTAGTAAGAGAGTCATAAATTTCTCCCAATCAGCGTTACTTTGGTATGTGCAGCGATATATGATAAAGCCCCAGGTCTTAAAACCATCCGCTTGAAGAAGTCGCTCTAAATTGTCTGCTTCGTTGCTGGTTGTTTCTATCGTAGGCTTCCGTTTCGAAGGTCGCCTAACGCCCCAGAATTCCTCGTCGTCATCGGGTGGGAGGCGCGAGCGCGGAGGCGAGGCAGAGCTTACTGTAGCGGAAAAGGGAATTGCTTTTCGGAAAGGTTGTAAATTCGGTCTTCCGCAATATAAAGGGCCAACGGTGTTAGCGGGGAGGCGGGTGACACTATAAAGAGTAGAAAGTCTGAGTTGGAGCGGTGGAAGGAGAAACCTCCTTGCAAGCATTTTTGTCCGCGGGAGTTGGGGAGGGAAGGTTTCGAAAAAGAAAAACACGGCGTATCAAGACAGTATAGCGTATGGTAACGACTACAGTAGCACCGCAAAAGTACTAAACCAGACACGGCTAGTTTCATAGCAAGGTAACGTCGGCAAAAACAAAAAAGCATAATAAATTATGAATTATGAATTCGATTCTCGCGTGTCCGTCTCAGAAGCACCCACGTGGGTGCTTGATCCGTGGGTGCTTGATCACGGTCTTCCCTAAATGCCGCTGCCGAGTTCGCGAGTTCGCGAGTCCGTGCTGACTTGGAGCCTGTCCCGTCTTTTTCAAATTGCCGAGCAACAGGAAGGTCAAAGAGTCTCTATGAGTCCTGCAGAGTATCTATCATTGAAGCGATTGCTACAGTTATTTGCATAATAATGTGATGATTGGGCATATTGACATCCAGCCTGGGTAGGAACTGAAACAATCGGTGAGCACGCGATATGAGAGGGCTACAAAGTGCATTGCATCGGCTATACCCCAGGCCCCAAACCCCACTCACTGAGGTGGGACATGTAAAGCTTGGTTGATGACTGGGAATCCTTCAACAGTTCGAGTCGACCTCGACCAGTGGGAAGTGATATAATTGCCACGTTCGTGCAATTGATGCTTCTCCAACATTGGCAAACAATCCTTGTTGTAATTTCGAGACTTCGGTGATACCGATATGCGCTGCGTATGGGTAAGAAGAAATTATGATGGATGTTGCTTGGCGACAGGGGGTTAACATAAAAGCCCAGGCAGATCCTGCTAGATGTCCCATGCTGGGATTCACGCATCGCAGCTCTTCGGTTCATTGAACCGTTTCTCTTTACAATGCCGTTTCTTTCGTTATTGGCCTCCGGTCTGGCTCTGACATCTTTGGTTTCTGCTGTCTCGAAGCCGTTTCCCAAATTCGGAGAGAAGCAGTTCTCGCAGGAGTTCCTCGATGGATATAATCTGTTAAAACAAATTGGCAGCCTTGGTCCTTACTCCAATCGTGTCTCATATGGCGTTGACAGAAACACCCCCGCTGGATGTGAAGTTGATCAAGCGTTTATGTTGATGCGCCATGGTGAACGTTACCCGGACGCCTCCTTAGGCGTCGGATATGTGGCTGCACTGGACAAAATGAGGTTCTCGAACATTACTTCTTGGCGAGGAGATCTCGCTTTTATGAATGAATGGACCTATTATGTCGATGATGAGGCTATGTACTCCCAAGAATCGACAACTGGGCCATACGCTGGGCTTCTCGATGCCTTCCACCGGGGTAGTGAGTATCGTCTCCGCTATGGACACCTTTGGGATGGCAAGTCTGTGGTTCCCATCTTCAGCTCTGGTTATGAACGAGTCATTGAGACTGCACGGTATTTTGGCCAGGGTTTCTTTGGCTATAACTACTCCACCAATGCAGCAATGAACATCATCCCGGAGGCTGTGACTCAGGGAGCAGACAGTCTGACGCCATATTGCACTGCGGATACTTCATATGTAGCATGCATCTATGAGTATTTGGGCTCAACATTACCGCCTTTGGAAGTTGCCGCTGCCCGTTTCAATACTCAAAACCCTGGACTGAACCTCAACGCGAGTGATGTTTCCCAATTGATGGGTGAGATATCTTTGTCTTTGTCTATCTTTTGCTATTCCTTCCTCTTATACAGAACCCCATACTGATATGGATGTCTCGACTAGAAATGGCCTCCTTCGAGCTCAATGTCCGTGCATATTCGCCATGGATAGATGCATTCACTGCAGATGAATGGGTAGCTTACGGGTATACTCTGGACCTGGGCTATTACTACTGCTTTGGGTATGTCCTACCCTCCTCATTTTCTTGCTCTTTAATGTTCAATACTAATATTACTACTTCTAGACCTGGTAGCGAGTATCAAATCGCCACGGGTCAGGTTTATGCCAACGCCACTCGTGTCCTAATGGAGGCTGGTCCTGAAGCCGGATCTATGTTTTGGAGTTTGTCAGTGACCTTTCCTTTCCATTCCTTTCTTTCTTTTGGTGATCTTATCCTAATGACCATCCAGCGCTCATGACGCCAATATCACCCCAGTCGTTGCTGCCCTAGGAATTGACGTCCCCGAAAAGCACCTTCCTAAAGATACTATTCCGTTCCCAAACCCCTACCGCGTGGCCGACATTGTCCCCATGGGTGGGCTTATCACTCTGGAACGCATGACGTGCAAAGCAACCGCTATCAGCGACGCGGGTGTCTTCATTCGTGCGGTCCTGAATGAAGCCGTTGTGCCGTTCAATTCATGCCAGAACGGACCCGGTTACTCGTTCCCATTGGCCAATTACTCCGCGATAATTGACGCTCTCCCTAGATTTGACGAAACTTGCAATATCCCGGCATCATATCCCCAGTCATTGGACTTTTTCTGGAATTATAACACATCTACTCAATACAACTACCAGAAAGGGCCAATCGGATATCAGCTTACTGATACTGATGTCTAAGCATTGGCGAACGTTAGTCTGGTGGATTTTGTGCCTGGTACAGGATCTGAAAACCCAGTAAGGGGTCTGAAAGATGCAAAAAGGATGTTATTAAAGTAGTACTTTCTTTTTTCCTGTAACATTCGGTGATTCTAAATGTATAAGGTTGTGATGCGTAAGGATTATGTAGAGGCTGCCTCAGCCTATCCCTCGGGAGCTGATCAAACCCTGAAGCGATACATGGGTAGCCTCCTGTTAGGATTTTAGGTGTATGCATCCATATATGCATATTTCCAGAGCTTCCAATTCAACATGGAAGTTCCCGTTGAAGTTCCTATTATGCCATCTTTCACCGCCTTTATCTGATCTTCCAATTATCTCTTACCTTTCTCTCACTTTTCTCTCACTTATCTCTCACTTCAGCCTTTACTATACTTTCTCTTTACATCAGCCTAAACCATGGTTATTAGGCCTACCCTCACTTTATCCCTCCTTTCTCGACCGAATAATCTCGGCCGAACACAATCTTTGTCTATAAATATAGCTCAAAACCCAGACTGAATAAAACAAGAGCTTTCATCTCAATTCTCCTCTCACTACCCTTTCTCTCTATAAGGGTAGACCAGAGAGACCTTCACCCTTTATCTTTATCTTCATCCATCTTCTTGGGGTAAGCTACTACGCTGCAGTAGTAGACTACCTCTACGGGAGGTAGTATTTCTCTCTATAAATATTTGTCCTGAGGACAGCCCTGCCGCATAGGGACCCTTAGGCATTTATTTATCTCTCTTCTTTTATATACTACAGTACCAATCCCGACACCTCCTCTTTAACAATATTAGATAGGTAGTATTCTAAGAGTGAGGTTGACTTTTTTTTTTTTTTTTTTTTCAAATTTCAATGTTAAAGGAAGTGATTATATGATGAAATGTATGTTCTCGTATACCAAATGCTCCAAGTAATGCAATTTTAGTAATGGCGCATCTATAACATGCCTCCTGGACGAGACCAGCAAGTCTCAAATTAGTTTTTGAGATGAGAGATGCATAAAAGGCAGCAAGGAAATTTATACAATTCCCTCGGAGCCCTCAGTAGAGGGTCCCACCTCACCCTTTCCAGAATCATCAACCTCAACCTTCTCCTCAGGCTCCCACATAGCTTCGCGCATGAAAGTGCTACGAGCCCGAATCTGCGGTCCCTTCAATACCAAAACCACAGGAACAACCGACAATGCAACACCAATGAAACCAAGAAGAGTACCAGCCCAGCCGAAGCCGAGGTTGCTGAAGAGCTGGGGGGAAGCAAGTGGTAGGAAGGCACCAAAGGAGTTTCGCCCGAGGGAAGCAGCCGACAAGGCTGACGCAGCGTACCGCTCATAGGCATCGGTCAGATAGTTCACAACTGCCATGTAGATGGAGTAGATACCGATACCGGCACAAGTGATACCGATTGTCGGGACAATCCAGTGCACGTCCGGCATACTAGCCCATCCATACCAGAACAGGCCCGCTGCGAAGAGCAAGCTGCCAGGGATAGAAGTATATAATCTGGCCTCGGGAATGGGGCGACCGGGCTTCTCGGTGTTGCGGCTTGCAGAGCGCAAGTAGAGCCAGTCCTGGATCGGGTTGACGACTGTCCCGATTATAGCGCCGACGGATATGGCGAGCTGTACTAATCCTGTTGCGAGGGTACTCCAGTCGTAGTTTGTGGAGTAGGTCTGCACAACGCTGGAGAAGAAGAGATAGAGAATTCCCCAGGCGAAACTGATCCAAAGCGTGAAGAAGATAACCACGGGCTCTGAGGTCAACATGCGTGTTGGGCGTTTGAATGAGATCTTCAGCAGGCTGAGCTTGTTTGGTGCATTGATCTCTGCAGCTGCGTACACGGGCCGGCCGGTCTCTTTGCGGATCTTCCTAGCGCGCGCCTTGAGGATAACGTCGGGTCGGGTTTCACGAAGGATAAACCAAAAAACGGGGATCAGGGCTGCGTTGTAGATAATCTGGATATAGAAGATCCTGAATGGTGGATTTGTGAGCACGGCTAGGTGAATGACAGATATTCGAGATGGGGTCAACTTACCAACGCCAGGGCTCGCTCTTAGAGATCTGCACAATAGCAGAACCGATGAACGGACCAAGTGCGATACCCACAACACTGGTGAAACCAAAGATCGACATGGGCAAACTGCGAGCCTTCTCACCAAACCAGACATCACTGATACTTCCTCCGACGATGTTAATAGAGACAGAGGAGGCACCACCACCAAAGAATCGCGTCACCACCAAAGTCGCAAAGTTCTTTGCGAATGCGGACGGGAATAGCGAGATGACCAAAATGATATAAGCTACGAAATATCCAGGCATGCGGCCGGACGATTCGGTGAGAGGCACGAAAATCAAGGGCCAGAAAGCCGCGCCCATGTTCCATGACGTGGTGGCCCAGTAGAGGTTGGGGAATGGAGAGTTCTGCACGTTGAACTCCTTCTCCATCCAGTCGTTGCCGGAACCGTACGTTCCTGCCGGTAGACCGGTCAAAATCGAACTGTTAGTCCGTTAGCGTGTTTGTCATCGCAAGGCATCAGATATGTGAATGTGTTCTTACATGAAGCAGACAGTGAGAGTCAGAAGCCATTTATACTGGTTGCCCCAGTTGAAAGGGTTCTCTGGGTCATCAGGTCCATTCCAGGTATGAATCTCAATATCCTTGTACGGAGGCATCTCCTCGCGAAGATCACCATTGAAAACCCCCATCAACCTTCACAAAAGTCAGTTTAAATGTCTTTTGAAAGATCAATCAAACAGGAAATACTAACTTTCCCATGAAACCAGCCTTTGACTTCGTCTGTTCAACAGCAGCGGGCTTAGCAATATCAGACTCAGCAGCCTCATAGACTGAGTTGCCTCTGATATTATTCTGGTCGGCCATGGCGTGCGAAATTTCAGGTGACAGGCCGGAAGTGTCAAACGTCAAGGAAGGATGAAAACTAATAATATAGGCCGGACAGATCGGCAGCACATTTTTTTTCTGGAATTCTGAAACTCCTTCAGGACTCAATCCGGCATTCTCGACCTCGGCATACCGAAAGCCAATAATAAAGTCTCGGCCTGGATTCCTACCATATCGGGTACTCGGTCTGGCCCGGTGGCGATCGTTGTTGGGTTCTACAGTATGTCATCGGTCACGCCGAATCCTTGGCATACCCGCTTTTCTACCCTACTTGTGGATATTATTGAAGGGAAACTACCCTTGGCTAACTTCGGCCGGAGCTTTATCTGGTTTTATCAAACCGGTTCGTCCGCATTTTTTTTCCTTTTATGTAAAACCGCTGGCATCCCGAAGTTTTAACGTACCACGGCACGATCCTTAGTTCATTTTGTAGCAAGGTCTATGAATCATCAGAAAATTCATTGTTCAGAGTGAAATAACGTCATAACGAAAATTTTATGAGAGACACCCATCTGATACAAATTGTACCGAGAGTGGCGAGTAGTGTCTGCTGCACTTCGTTTTGATCCTTGTGAAAAAGGAAAGGGGCGTTAGGTATCCTATATTGAAAGAACGTACATTAGTTGTGCATGCCCCAAGGGATGGATGAAACCCAAATTTACGATGCATGGCCGTAGTTGAAGTTTGAGCCTGAGACCGCTCCCGTGAAGTATGGGATGGTCCATCGTCAATAGGTGCAGGGTGGGCCCAGGCAACACCGGCACTGAAAGAATATAATCCGACATCCTAGTCTGGGGAGTAAGTTGAACTACGATAAAAAGCTTTGGGAGAGAGGGACAAGATTATTCTGGGCATGAAAGGAGGTTGAGATGTTTGTGGACGGTGTGGAAAGGATAAGGGACATTCCGGTGGATCAAACACTACCAGGAAATTCGCAAGTTCCTCAGTTTAGAAGGATATGTGAAACATTGATGCATTCAATACCACGGTTTTTGCCGTTAACTAGGCATCCTCAACTCTAATAAGAACGGTCTTCGTCTCCAGGAAATTGTCAATGCTGACAGTCCAACCCTCTCTTCCAAGTCCACTAGCTTTGTATCCACCAAATGGCAGATCTTTTGCAACAGTGGGACTAGTACAGTTAACACCAACATTCCCGGCCTCGAGCTTCTTCGCCATTCTGAGAGCCCGGTTGATATCCTTGGTATAAACCGCTGCGTAGAGACCAAACTCGGTATCATTAGCCTTGGCAACAACTTCGTCCTCGTCACGGAAAGTGTTAATATGAACCACAGGTCCGAAAATCTCTTCCTTCATCACTCGTTCGGTCTCTGGCGTTTCGAGGAACACTGTCGGTGGAACGAAGAAGCCATTCGTGCTATCGGAAAGCTCGCCTCCCATGGAAAGTTTGCCCACCTTCTTTCCTTCTTCGATATAAGCTTGAATCTGTTTGAACTGAATTTGGTCTGCCTGTGGCCCGTGGTTTGTGTCGGGAAGAAGAGGATCCCCACTCTTGATCTTGGCGAAGCTCTTCTGGAATAGATCGATGAACGTGGAGGCGACGGACTCGTGGACGTAGATTCGGGAGTTTGCCATGCAGACTTGTCCACTGTTCCACTGGATACTGTGTTTCGTTTCCTCCACTGCCTTCTGAATGTCGGCATCTGGGAAGATCACGGCTGGGGATTTGCCTCCCAGCTCGAGAATCACATTCTTCAGATTCGATTTGGCTGCTGCGGCTTGGATGATGCGACCAGTTCTTCCTGAACCCGTGAAGCTGATGACGCGCACATCCATGTGATGGGACAGGACGTTGCCGGAGATCTGGCCATGGCCCGAAATGATGTTGATGACACCAGGGGGGAAGCCGGCTTTCTCCACAAGAGTAGCAATTTTGGCACACTATTAACTTCGTCAGCTCGGTCGTCTTCTAAGACGGGTGGCCAGGTGTTCTTACCGTCAATGGAGCCTTCTCACTGCTCTTGATAACCACGGTGTTGCCCGTGATCAATGCAGGTGCAGCCTTGCCGATCAAGAACAAAATGGGGACGTTCCAAGGGATAATGGCAGCGACAACGCCATACGGTTGGCGCATCGTCATATTCACAAAGCCAGGAGTGTTCAAGCTAGACGTCCCGAGAGCCTGATAACCGCTCTCCGCATAATGATTCAATGTTTCAGCGGCCGCGTACGACTCAAAGTAAATTGACACAGGACGGCCCATCGACATGGCTTCCAGTTCAGCAAGCTCATTGTGGGATTCAATGATCAATGAAGCCAGCTTCTTGAAGTAGACACCTCTCTCGGCGGGAGAAAGGGCTGACCATGCAGGGAAAGCAGCCTTAGCGGCAGCAACTGCTGCGTTTGCATCATCTTCGCTTGCTTCCGACACTAGCATCAAGTAAATCAGCGGCTGCCATGCGTAATATCTGGCGTCTGACTAGCTGTACCTTCTGCAAACTTTTCACCTGTCGCCGGTGAAGATAGGTCGAATTTCCGCCCATCCGATGATTCCACGAACTAAACGAGACTTAGTATGAAATAATAACGCAAAAGGATTATTTCCATGATACTGACCTTGCCATTGATGAATAGGCGCGTCTCGAAAGACTTGACCTTTGGTTCCTGAATTAAAGTCATGCTGGCTTCTTCCGAGGGAGTAGGTTGATATACGCCAAATCCAGTTCAAATTTTTTCTACACCTCAGCACAGGGGAGGGGTCTTCCGAGAGGTATTTATCTAGTCAATGACGGACTAGCTCGCTTGCTGCCTGGTGTGGCATGGGTGCTATGACCCCTGGGCGCCTAAGGTCCGGCGTCAGTGAATTATCGCCCCACACGCCAAGTGAGATGAAACTAATATGAAAGTATCTCTGTTCTGTAGAAATTACTCGCAAAGGATGGTAGTCCAGGGCTAAAGAATGATTCGGTTGGAATGGCTGCAAGGAATAGAAAACTGCCAGAGCGTTGCGTGGATAAAAATATCACATGGTACAAAGTGGACGCGGGCACGCGTGAATCATCGGGAGCTCCAAAAGTGACGTGAGACTTCGCTTTATTTGCCAATGGAGGAAGCTCCCTCGAGGTCGGCTAACCTGGCTAAACTAGCTTCGCCTTCATATCCCGTTCCTATTGGTCACGAGTAAGGTGACCCCCTGCAGCACTTGAGCTTGGACACGAGAAAATATGGGCCGTGCCTTAGCCTTGGAATTAGCGTATAATTTACCTACGGTCTGGAGCAATATTAATTAGATTCATAATACGTATTTTTTTATTGATTAAGTAGCATCACGGCCATCGTCGCCGTCAACACAAATCCCAAGTCGTGTACAGGAATCCCCGCAGGGGTAGTTCAAATCATGTCATCACCAAAAAAAGGCCCAGGGTGCAGGCCGTGATAGACACATCGATGTCGTTCGGATATCATGCAAAAAGACGCCAAAAGCGTGTACAAGCCAACTGTATGAACATGCGACCTCTGTGTATACAGGGTCAATAAAATGAAAAAAAAAAATTGCAATACGTGCATTGTCTGGATTGACTATAGACGATGTTATATTAACATGATCATGTAGTCAGGCAGGTCAATGACGGGGTAGTACTCATTACGTAAAAGCAGGCATTCCACAAATTCAAGAGAATGTGAATGTGTCCTGGGTATTTTGATGAGAAAGAGAAGAGCGAAAGGGTGAGGACACTGAAGTAAGATGTGATCCGAAGCGAGTTACGTCGGGGGTGGGGGATTTGGAAAGGGTGGAAGTTAGATCAAGTCATTTTTGCCTCCGTTCTTTCTCCATCCCATCTTTCTCCCACTCATTCAACAGCCGCGAGACTTCCCTGAAAGACACCGGCTTGGTCAGGAACATGTCCACGCCAGAGGCAAGGGCCTCAGATTCGTCACGCGAGCTGCTCAGTCCGGTAAGAGCAATGATGATAGCTGGCCCGCAGCCGTCACGCTCTCGCTCGATTGCGCGGATTGCACGAGTGGCCTCGAAGCCGTTCATGACGGGCATTGAAATATCCATGAAGATAATATCAAAGCCACTTGACATACGCTCGACGGCCTCGACGGCCAACTTGCCGTTCTCCGCAGATATCAGCTCGATCAGATTGCGTTTCTTCAAGAATGTCATCATGAGATTCAAGTTGATGCGGTTGTCATCAACAACCAGGACCCGAGCTAGCCGCGTGGACTGAGTATTGTTCTCTCCCAGAGGCGGCGGTGGAGGAGTCGCTGCAATGACCTCCGGCGGTGAGAAGATAACAGAAGGTGCATCAGGCGAGGTACATGCCACCGAAGTTGACCGGCTACGGACCCCTTGCTTCTGACACACATCCGTATCAAGAGAGCCGTCGAAGGATGTAGCAATAGGAGATGTGATAGCAGAAGTAATTGGCGGTGTTCGGATGACCATATCCATGGGATTATGGATGACAGTCGACGGGGTAACGACGATCGAGCGTGAGTTCCGGAAACATTTCATCACGCTCCGAGCCAGCTTATGAGGACCGCATGGGCGACGGATGACATCGACAGAAGATGCAAGAGGTAACCACTCTGACTTAGCCCTACTGTAATCCGAGGACTTGTTGCCGAGAATAAGAAGAGACGGCAAGGTTGCGGAGAGTCCAGTTTCGCGAAGCACGGGTAGCTCGTTTTCTTCCACAATGAGCATGTCCAACGGCAAATGGGTTGGCCATGGGACGATTTCAACGCCAAACCATTCCCTCAGATACCGCCCAATGTCAGCCCACGTGGGGTTATGTGCAATATTGTCGGGGTCGGCGCCCCAGATGGCGGCACGTCTACCGGGGTAAGTTTCGCGAAGTGAAAGGGTTTGCTCAAGTATCTCCCTTTGTTGGATTTGATGACCATGAGGCTCAACAGGTGGATGTTCTTCACCGACGGGGCGGGCCAAAGGTAGAGACACTCGAACGATGGTGCCCTCGCCGGGACGACTGCGGACACGAATGCTACCATTTAGTGCCTTCACGAGGCTTCTGACAATAGAAAGTCCCAGTCCTGTTCCCACGGCGAGCGAATTCTCCTGTGCGAAAGGTGTGTAGAGACGGTCACGCAAGAATTCTTCCGAGATACCTCTACCAGTGTCCGTCACCGTCAACGTGACCAAATCTTCTAGACCTTGCCTCCGAGATCGTCCTTCAGAATGACTCGATGCCTCGAGACTCAGAGTGACACAACCTTCGTCGGTGTATTTCATGGCGTTTCCGAAGATGTTCATGATGATTCGCCGGATGGCGCCGGGCTGTGTGCGATAAACCCAATCACGATGGGCAATATCGATAACCACTTCCACGTTCCGGGATGTCGAGGCTTTGGGTGGGATTTGGGACAACACAACTGGCAAGTCGGCTGCTGCGGTGGAATTCTGCCCGTACGCAAGGCCCAAAGTGATACCCTCCACGACCTCCTCGGCCAGAATGGACAGATCGGTCACAATATAAGTGTCGAGATGAGAAGCCAATCTGTCCGTCCCTTTAAAGTCGAGCGGAGACTCTTTCTTTCGTTTCATCAACCGCCACGTTCGTTCTAGGGAGACGACCTTGCTGAAGTCGAGCACCTGGTTCATCGTATCGAGCAGAGTCCTGCCACAGGCATTGACGGTTTCGAGTAACGACTCTTGGAATTCATCGAGCTTGGTGCTGTTCAAGAACTCAGCCGCGGCTAGAATTCCGTGCAATGGACTGCGCAGCTCATGTGAAATACTGCCAATGAAGTCACCTTTCTGCCGGTCTGCGATCAGCGACTCGACCCGGCTGTACTCGGCCATGATAGAGGACCCAAATCCAAGGACGGAGCTCAACTCAACGGCAGAGGTAAAGACTTGCGTCTCAACAGTCGTCCAGCAAAAGCAGCCTGCAAACCACTGCGAACTGACAGCATTCCACAGCGGGACAAACATGATCTGCGTCGCTCCAGGGAAATACTGGTTGAGCATTGAATTCTCCGGCGCCTTGCGCCGCTTGCCTAGTGGTTTCTTAAAGTCGAGACGTGGGCCGCCGGGTGGTGACGGGCTTGCAGAAGTGTAAATGTGGTTATCGCGGGGTGGTTGGTCGTCGTCGGAGGTCGAAATCAATCCGTCACGGTGAAGGGACCACAACTTGCCCTGAGGGTAGCGTCTAAGGAGTTGGCGCAGGAATGTACGATCCACTCTGGCCGGTGGTGCAGCCATGGAACCGGCTCTTGGAGCAAAGGGGTCGTCGTTGGTAGACATCGATAGGACCGTGGCAGGGCCACTGTTGTCGCTCATGGAGCAATCACTGCCACTTTCACCGTCCATCAAAGGGGTCTGTGTTGCCTCCAGGAAAAGAACACCGCCATCGTCACTCAGATCAAGACTCTCCCGGAGCAAGTTTGCAGCTCGGCGGAAACACCAAGAGTTTCCGTGTGAATCATCTGGGGGAAGTCGATTGCGACTAGTGCTGGTAATCCACTCCGGCAATGAGCTTCCGACTCCAGACGTTCCTTGTCCGCCGGACGTTGTGTTGTCGTACTTCATGTCATAAGGGCCAGAACTAAAAGAGCGAGCGTCATTGCTGAGTGAACGGTCGTTTGGCGGACTGTTCGACGGGCCTTGAGATGCATTATCTTGACTGTTGCTGCCGTGGTCATTCCGTGGATTTCGCGATGCCACTTGAGATGCGTTGTCTTGGCTGTTGCTGCCCTGGTACTCATCCATTGCACTGACACGGTTGTAAGTCGAGGGCGGAGTCGCGGAAAAGGGTGGGCAGCTGTCGGCCCGTGAGGGATCAATGCTGTTCACGAAACTTGAGCTCCCGTCCACAAAATAGCTCAGTCCCCGTGAAAGACGGGCAGCTCGACGACCCTCCGAGGCTTGGCGACAAATTTTCATATAATCCATCACCAAAAAGGACAAAGATCCCAATGTATCTTTTTCCAACTCCCCCAGTCCGTCCCGTGGCTTTGTATCCAATACGAATAAACATCCCAGGTTGATTCTGTTCTCGGTCGTCAAGGGAGTCCCGGCAAAAAATCGGAAATGCGGAGCATGTGTAACGAAGGGCGATTTCTCATATCGCTCGTCCTTGGACAGGTCATTCACCACGAGGTGATGGTAGGTGGGAGTTTCGCGATCCGAAGGTGGTAATGCAGCAGTGTCCTATTACAGACTGTCAAACACACGAAAGTCGAGGCGATTTGAGACGAGTGGGGTTCGGTCATATCGAGATTCAGCAAGCTCACTCCTAACTTACCTGGCAGCATTTCCATGCCCTCTTACTCGCACTAGATACGAGCCAAAGCTCATCATTTTTGTTGTGGACAGAAGTATCATTGAGATTCACAGATTTAGTAGCTTCTGCCAGAATATATTGCGTGTCTCGGTCAAACACGCAAATCATCGCACGTTCCACATCGAGTCGCAGCGCAGCCAGTTGACAAAAAGACGTCAAGGTATTGTTCGATGATCCCAAGATCAGGGCCTCCGGTCCACACGCTGTAGAGGGCCGTGAAGTAGCACTGCTGTTGGAGCCCCCCGAATCGTCAGGTACAAGTAGTGTGTCTGGGGATCCGGTTGAGCTACCGGACCTGCTAGACCCTTCGCCTGACGGGAGCCATGACGGGACGACGCTAGGAACACCGGCCGGGTGATAGTAGCGGAAGAGTTCTCTCACCCGGCGATCCGCCCTATGATCAACGCTCTGCTGCGTTCTAGAGGAAGCCTCCATATTTTGCCGCTAGCTCCGGAGAAGACTGGATGCAGTGGTGCATCCTCAGACTGCGGGTTGTCAAGAGCAGGAGGAGGCTGTCGCAATCACGATAGTTCGAGGGTGCTCAATCGGGACAAAAGTAGTATGAAGAGAAAGAGCTTGGACAAGGGGCAGCCGTTGTTAGTAGGCGACAATCGCAACAGGATCAGTCATCGAGCGGAGATCTTTTGAGGAAAAGTGAGTGGACAAACTCAGGATCCCCACCGCCCACCAGGAGAAGGAGAAGAAGGGGCGCCACAGAATCGCAAAATGTCAAGTGGAGACAGAGGGGGAAAAGAGTCCTGACGATCTTATTAGCTCCGGGAAGCTATTCGTGCTTTGTAACGCGATCGGCTGTGCACCCTTTGCTCCACCGCCGCATTGGGTGGGCGTTCCCTGCCCGCGGGACTGAAGAGGAGCGGAAATCTGTGCATCTGCCGGGGGGAGAAACGAATTGGGGCTGCCATTGGAGGGACTGTGTTGATCGGCGCCCCGAGTGGGATTGTGTCGTGGATGGGCGTCGGTGGGCTGTGTGTTGTGGACGAAACAAGTGGCGCGGTGGGACTCGGATGCCAATCATTTCACAACAAGCGTTCAGGCACAACTGACCCGGTGGAGACGTGGATGTATGCATTCTCGTTGGACATTACTAATCACCGATCATCCCCATCGCTCACACAATCCCAGCGAGGTCAAACGATTATTCCTGTCAACAAAGATGTCAGTCGAACTATACCACTTGACGCCCGCACGTCACAGCGCAGGTTTCCAGATCGGGTAGTCTAGCGCCCGCTATGTAGCCCATTGCGTCGGTGGAACGCCCCTCGGCCACTCATTTGCAGAGCTTGGTTCATGGCGCATTCCCTCCGTCGGTGGCGGTGGCAAAGAGACCCGCGTTGCACATGATGTGTACGGTACACGAAATTAAACCTCATCCACTCGTTCTATAATCGAACGACATCGAATGATGGTCGTTTTCATGACTATTCCACGCGGCTCTGGAATGCCGTAGGGCTCGGGTGGTGAAACAGATGATGTTCCTCATACGGGTGGCTGATGCCGGTGATGGTTCCCTTACATCGAAATAGGCGCCACTGACGCGTCGCTCACCGCGGACGTTGACCGCGTATTTGGCCATCTATTCCAACAACTACGAACCCAATTTGCGTATCAAGATAGAATAGTTCTTGTCTCATTCTATGTCTATGTAAACGCGCCTTTCATATGCAAAAAAAAAATTTAAAAAAAATAAAAAGATTCAAACGTATCTCCGAACATGCAGATCAAAATCGCTCCATCAAGCGCTTGCGAACCGTCCACATGCGAGCCCGCTTGCCGTAAATGTACATCGGGATGGTCATGAGCAAGAAGAAGATCTGGATCCCGCCGATCGCCAAGAACACCGTCCGAGAGCCATCGGATTGAATCCAGTCCACAATGAAAAGGGAGAAGATGAGGCCGTGCAGCACGTCTAGATTCCGCGTTAGATATGGCCGTGAATAGGAAAAGAGGGAGAAACATACTCTTGCTGAAGTTCAATGTGACCAGCGCCTCGCCGGCATATTGGCGGTAGCTGTCCACACAAAAGGTAATCGCGGTTGTGCTACCAAGACAGCAGCCGAATGAGATCATGCCGAAGAAGATGGTGGGCACGATCCACGCATCCATCAGCTGTGCACTCCAGCCGAAGCCCATCAATCCGATGACGGTCGAGAGGGCGATGGGGATTGCCATCACCAGACGGAACTCGGGCTCGTAGATGCCGCCGTTACGTCGGGTCATGAATTTCGTAACCATGTCCGACACTTTGCCGGCCACGGCGGTGCCAAGTAAGCCACCGATGAACGGTGAGATGTAGATGAGACCGGTTTGCAGCGCAGTGAAGCCGTAGTGGTCGGAATTTTCGTAGATGACGGAGACGGACTCGGACACCACGATCAGCCATCCGACGGAAAGTGAGTAAACGGCCGTCGACCACAGAACGGACGGGTAGGCGAATAGGATAAAAGGTCGAATTGCAACCTTCACCCAGGAGTCATTGGCGATTCGCCCGTTCCACACCTTCAATTGTTGGGTATATCTGATTTTTGGTCGATCGCGTAGACGGTTCGTGTAGTGCATGGATCCGGTGATGGCCCCGGGTGAGTGTGATTCACTGCGCGCTGGCGAGAGAGCTTCGTTCCGACCGGCCTCCATGTCACTTGGACTTGAAGGCGAGATGACTGCCAAGGGCGGGCGAGCAAGGCCGTCATTTCTCTCCACGGCCGGGGTGGCGGGTGGTGTAGTAATGGATTCCTCAGCTGCGGATGTCTGCGAGGTATCGAAGGTTGCTCTATCATCGAGGTGTTGCTTCTCATTGTCAGCTTCATCCTCGGCAAACCCGACGTGCGCATTCTTGTTTTTCCTGGTGTGTCGATGATCCTCTCTGTTTTCTTTTGGCTCCGTCGATTCGTCGGGAGGCGGGACAGGCGGTTGACGGCCCCGGTGGAATCCGTGGCTAACAAGATCAGACATGGTGCGATGGGCTCCGGGGCGCTTGCGGGAGCGACGAGTGCGAGGGCGGGGAGTCCGATCCCAGAAGGTCTCCGGGACGAGGAAGAATAGCAAGAAGAAGAACCCGCCAACGATGATGGCAACGATCCAAAACACCCAGCGCCATCCAAGATTTGCAATCACGGCAGCACTAGCTAGTGGGACAAGGTTCTTTCCACCTAGTAGCAACAACGTGTAGACGCCGACACGATATGCCCGCTCATGGAGAAAGTAGATTTCGGCAATGGTGGCAGAGGGTAGACATTCCACTGGGCTGACCGCAATACCCTGGAAGATGCGAGCGACCACCAAGCTCGCATAGTTGGGAGACAGTGCACACCAGACTGCGGAGAGTACGAAAAGTATCGCTCCGAGGAGGTAGACAGGGCGCTTTCCAAAAAGAATGGCAGTTGGAGACATAATCACGGATCCTATACCGAGGCCCAACATGTAAAGACCAGTGGTGAGAGCGACTTGTTGTTTGGAGACGTCGTAGGTGTTTGCGACGCTACTGAATCCTGCGGCCAAGATAGGTGTCATACCTCCTCCGATCAAGCAGTAAAGTCCAAGAGAGATCAATGCACCATCTCGCTGCCACACAGGCCAATTGAGCGGGTCATTGACGGAGTCATCGGGCTGTGGTTCCAGCAAAATCTGTCCATCGGCCGTTTTCTTCCGCTGGGGAGGTGCCCTGGATCGGGAAGAGGAGCGCGAAGGCGGGTTGGTAGAGGGGATTGACGAGGTCGACAGGCGTTCTGGTTGATGTCTCATACCCAGTGGTTCATTGCGATCCGCTGAAAGAAGAAGGATTGTTCCTATAAGAAATCACCAGGGCATATGTCAGCTCCATGCTCATATTGATGATCTTCAATGGATGTCACCTACCAGGTACCTCGTCGGTCTGTCGGTCACTGAGAATGCCCAGAGTTGACTTTGCACGGTACGTGGGCTCATCGCTGCCCTCTGGAGTTTCTTGCGAACTTCCTCCGAAGAATCGTTTCCAGCGCGGTGGGGTATTATGCCGATTCTTTCTCTCGTCCGTCACGGATGGCGTAGAGTCCTCGGATGACTCCATGTCGAAGAATCAGAAGCAGTGTATGCACGTATCGGGTAGGAAGGAAGCAAACTGGGAGGGGAAAGTATTAGTGAAGCTGTCATACACGCTTCATGGCAGTTCCGACGGAACAACTAGACAGAAGACGCACATCTATCTTAGACGCCAAATGTGCCCGGATCCAGCCAAACGCGTGGACCGATAAATCTCGAACCCCAGCCAACGGAAACGAAGACCTCCCAGATGTGAATGCGAGGGTATGTGTGTTGATGTATGTTGAGTTGCCTCGGGGATCAGTCGTGACGCAGGGCCGAAAACAATCAGCGCTTACGATAGAACCCAAGCAGCGGCAAGCGGGAAGAAATACAAGGCATAGCTTAATGTTGGGGGATTCGAGGCCAAGAGAGAGGGCAAGGCAGCCAGCAGATATTAGAGGTCAGGGAGAGCCAAGAGTAATAAAGAGTCAGTTGGAAAGAGAGACGAGTCTGTCACGGGCAAATGCAAAGATAACCATGGGATCGGCGGCCCCATGTGGCCAACCCGGAGCTCCCCACCGTTCAGGCGGTGAGTCGTGAGATAACCCGCTCAACACCTTGTGGACTCTCGTTTGACGATGATTCTCAATCACGCCCAGAATTGTGTGATGCGTGGATTTGAGGGTCCTCAAGCACAATGAAGGGTGGCCCACCGCGGGACAAAACTCTGCATACACAGACTGCATCTAACAATATCCGAGTCCGATAGGCGCACGTTTTCGGCCGGACCTGCCTCCTAAGCACAATGGCGTATGTGGGCGTGCTCCTGGTCCAGTCAAACCCTCCGGATCCACCTTTCCGCGCAAGATAAGGCGATCGCACAGTGAAAATCATAGGCTCATTCATGGTCATCGGGCGCGGTGAAGCTAAAGCGAATGCAGGCGGCCATTCCGGAAACCGCGCCAAGCATCCCTTGACCCCGGATTCTGGTTGGTATGCAACGTCCCTCTTTCCCGCTCTAGCAACACGCTATGCCCCTTTCTCTCCTGTTTGGAAATGGGTATGTATTGTTTTTTGGGGGGGGGTTTTTTTGGTTCAGATGATCTCCCTGTCTTAGGTATAGTCATCTCAGCTGACCGCGCGTGGCCGGTGGCTGCCGTCATTTTGCAGTTGCCCGACCCCGCGGTGGAGCTTGGAAATCGATTACTTCCGGTGTCAACTTTGTCTTACCTCAAGCTTGGCATTACGTGTCCATGTGCTCGGAACTGCAAGTGTTGTCATGGTCTGCGATCCATTGTTGATCCGTGATCGTCTCGAATGATCGGTTTATCTATCCAACTAAAAGCCGATACCTATCTGTGCCACATGACGCCTTCGCGCGGTGATACTACAAAGGACGGGGAATTTGAGCAGTTATATGGGGGTTTTGATGGCTCATGCAACAGTCGAAACCCGAGATTGCCGCAATGTCAAAGCTTTTGTATTTTGGATTCGGCCGATATCAATGGTTTTTGGATCAATTTTGTTCAAGTCACCAAACATTTGAGGCTGTAAACTTGACATGAACTGGCGCATTGGTGCAAAACCCGAGTCTTTGCATAAAGACAAGAGGTAATTGCGCTCTAACTGCAGCTTTGACGGGCTTATCGACGCAAGGTGTCGAGCCGCCGTCATGCAGATCACACTGCTTGGTAGTTAATCGGGACATTCCTGTATAGTTCCTGGTTTTTCCTGGTCCTCGGAGCGTTCCGTGCGGCTCTGGAACACTTACTCCCTTCTTGCGCCGCCTGCAGGTGCGACATGGTTTCGAACGCCCGGGGGCATCAACCATTGGCGGCAAAGCTGGGTGGTGATGGAAGTGATGTATGTCTGTCGGTCTATTCCTTGTCAGCTGTGAACCGTGTGAGCCAGAATTGACATGTGAATATGGTAATCCTCCGTCTGACCCTACTTTAAGAGGATTTACAAATCGTTCCAATTTTGTTCTGTGTTTTCTGTTGTCCAGGTCGGTTGAGGTTGGGGACGTCAGACTCGGTTGCGCCCCTCTTGCTTGGCATGCAGGGCTCTAAGCTTCTCCAGGCTAACCATAAAAGAAACTTTCAGCACCAGCTGCATTTAGAGCAGAAGAAAGGCGGTACAATTTTGGGGCCGAGCTTTGGAAACAGGCCCAAGGTCCAATTACTGCATCATAAGCAGCGCGGAATAGTCCCCTTTTTAAGGGGCCCTGTCTAGGTCATTCTACCGGCGTACAGTATATCTACCTGTTACATGACCATGGTCGTGCTGCTGCTGTACTACTGAGTACTTCTACCATTTGCTCGGGCTACTTACAAGTCCCATCAGCATTCACTTGGTATGGTTTCGTTTTCTCTGCGCAAAGTTAAAACTTCGTGTTTTCGGGACTACCATGCGCACATGACTTGCGCTCAACTTAAAAGCTCGAGGCCCCCGCTATTTGGATCATTTATTTTTGTAAACCGCAGAAGCTCCAGATTCCGTTGACATACTGGTCTAAATATCAACAGCGACATGAGTCCCAGACTTTTCTTTTTCCGTTCCATTAACCTTCCTACCCATACCCTTTTCACAAGCGTATCCATTTTCGGCTTAGGTCTTTACGTCACAATATTTCGCACGGTCCCTTTCCGAAATACGGTCGGAGAACTACTGGTTCCAGACCCTTCAACACTCCGAATTGCCGACACGAATACTTTGCTCGGCCTCGTCAGCTGCACGCTTATGCTGCCTTATTTTCTGAGTTCGTACATGCCAATCAAGGACAACCAGTGGCTCCATGTCTCGGTTCCCATCCGACTAATGTTCTCGGCATCAATGTGCGGAAACGTGGTTTTTCGCGGACGCGATGGCATGAGCAGAGAAGGCTTTTTCGAGTTTCTTGGATTGGGGCTTTTAGACCTGGTTGGGGCTCTGGCTCTGGGGCACCAGCTCGGTACTTTCAGTGGGATCGTTCCAGCTAGAAAAACCGATTCATGATGATTCATTAGTCACGGGGAAGGGTCGGTAGGTTAGTACTCAGATGGCATAAATTGCGTCTCCATCAACTACTCTTTCACATCACGATCGTAATATCAAAGACGAAGTGTAGACCCGCCAATCAGCGCCACGTTGATTCACGCCGCTTGCGGTGAGGGGTCACGTGGCCCCCCTTTGCAGATGCAGCATCAACATAACGGCCTCTTTGCGTCCGCTACATCTTCTCTTCGTTCCTTTTTCTTCGATACTCGGTCTTAATATTTCTTTTTTCGTATCTTCTTTGCACTTTCCGACCACGACTTGCCCGACGGCCCCGCGCGTGGAACTCCGTTGCCTGCTCGCGTATTGCTTTCGTGGCGTCGTTCAAATTCAACACCTCGAGCCAATTCCGGCCACGACATCCCAGTTCACACGACAGACCAATCTCTCTCTAGATCTAAAACCTCCGACCGGAATCACCGGCGTGTCGCTCGTTTTGCGGTAGAAACCCGCCGTTCACGATGAAGATCCACCTGTCCTCCCCGTTGATCCTTTTCCTTCTTCCCGCCCTTTCTGCAGCGGTAGACATCACACCGAGCAGCAGACCGAGCCCTTCTGCCTCACGAGGCTCTTATGACCTTACCTCGCGCTACGTGGATCCTGACTCGTTTTCCAACAATGCCGCCAAAGGAGCGCAGGACGTCCCGGTGGACGGACAAGACGGAAGGCCGCACGCAGGCCCGTGGGTAGAAACCGGCGCAGAGCGAGACCGAAAGAGTGCCAAAGGCAGTGATGATATTGACCTGGTATCGACGAAATACGACTCCAAATTCCCGTCGTCGGAGCACCTCAGCACTGAAGAAGGGAAAATGATCCCACATTCCAACGGCGGTGTGATGGACGACCCCAACCGTGCGGGTCCAAGAGAAGGTACCCGGGGTACCGAGGGTGGTGTTTCCGAGAAAAAGAAGGAGAACCAATACAATGCGGAAAAGGTGCCCGGTGGCCCCAAGGAGGCTCCTCCCCTGCCGCATAGTGAGGAGAAGAAGCTGCCATCGAACAGCGACAGTGCAACTGGGACTGACGGTCGCACTGCTGAAGACGCCCGAACTTTGGGCATGCTGGAAGTATGAATCCATTTTAGGGGGAACCGCCAGAACTAGTGATACTGATCGTCTACAGAAACCCGCCGATCTCCCTCAAAAGCCACATGATATTCCCCATCCCAAGTCGCCTTCCCAGGCCAAAGCCGACCCTCTCGCCATTGAGCATGGTTCGGTTGGCTCAAGCTCGGGCTCGCATCCCGGCTCATCGAGTACCCACGGACAAGGCACAACCACGATGGAAGCCAGCGACGGACTCCACTCCCTCCTCTTTTCGTTCACCATGATCATTGTCTCCGAGATTGGCGACAAGACCTTCCTCGTTGCAGCACTCATGGCTATGCGACACCCCCGCCTCGTTGTGTTTACCTCCGCTTTCTCTGCTCTGGCTGTCATGACCGTTCTGTCCGCCATTCTGGGCCATGCTGTTCCGACGCTGATCCCCAAGTCTGTCACCAAATTCATGGCCGCTATCCTGTTCTTAATCTTCGGTGCAAAGATGTTCAAGGAAGGTCGCGAGATGTCACCCGACGAGGGCGTTGGAGAGGAGATGCGCGAGGTCGAACAAGAGCTGGAGGAAAAGGAACAGGAGCAGCTGCGCTTGGGCCGTCGCCGCTCCTCCGTCACTCCCCACAACTTGGAAGCTGGCCGTGTTGGAGGTCGTCCCAAGTCACGCGGCTCGGCTAACCGTCTGCCTTCACCCCCTGAGAGCATCTCCTCATCCTCCTCGCGTGGCTCGTCGCCCCGTCCCCAGCAGCGCTGGAACGATCTCATGGTCGGCGTCAGCAATCTTTTCTCACTTCTTCTCAGCCCCGCATGGGTGCAGACGTTCGCCATGACCTTCCTCGGTGAATGGGGTGACCGCAGTCAAATCGCCACCATCGCCATGGCTGCCGGTCAGGATTACTGGTGGGTGACGATTGGAGCGACCATCGGCCACGGCATCTGTACTGCCGCTGCCGTCATCGGCGGACGTGCCATCGCTGGTCGTGTCAGCATGCGTGTTGGTATGTATTCAATCTTCAGGTCTTTTGTTCCATTCACAAGCTAATTTTCATGGCAGTCACACTTGGTGGTGCAACGGCATTCCTCTTGTTCGGCATTATCTATCTGATTGAAGGTCTTCTTTAGAGCATCATCTGGGCGGTTGAATTTGTCTTGATTGTTTACGGTTTTGGGTGGTTGCTTTCCCTCGGTGTACAAGTAAATCAGCCTGTGACATAGCATTGTTTCAATAGATATAATACCGTGCCTGGTCCACGAAATGGCCAACAAGTTTACAATGAATATGATATTTGAGACATGATTCTGGTTGATCTTTTTGTGACCTTTATCGTAATACAGGAATTGGAATCACATCGAAAGGAGTTGTTCGCATGATTTCCGACCAAAGGCGAATACACAATAGTGACTAGTAGTGGCAAGACTGGGAAATGGAGCTTTACAGAACGACCTGGTCTGGGATTACCTGAAGGGTGAAAAAGCGGGTGAAAATGGCAGGGATCGCAGGAGTAAGTGGCAGGTGACATGAGCCGTCTGGGTGAGTCTGTACAGACGTGTCTGTTAGGGTCAGAACTCGGGGTCAGTAGCGCCCTACTGAGACCTCAGTGGGGTGCGTAGGTCAGTGCTCAGTACGGTGTCCCCCTTTTTTGCTTACGTAATTAGGGTCTAGGTTTTAGGGTTATGCCTGAGGCATAAAATATTACATAGCACGTTTCCCGTAAACGGTAGTGATTTGCTTCGGAATAATATATAATCCGAATGTTAGCCCAGTCACATGACTTACTAGCCCAGCCATCTTAGGGTCTCCCGCATGTCCCACACAACAACAACCCCGTGAGCCATACTCGTGTCAACTTCTTATCAACCGTCGCCGACGCGTATGGTCATCTCCCAATCCATTCAATACCAAAATAACCCATCTGGGAGAGGATAAAAACAACGCGTGGAGTATACAGAGCGGCCGCTTTGGTACACCGCCCAGATGGCACGCGCTGTGGTCCCCAGGTCCACGCCTCCGCATCGCGTCACCAGAAGTCAGAGTCGGGAACTCGATGACCAGTCAGGAGTTGCACCCAGAAATGTAGCAAAGCAAGATTCTGCTAATGCGAAAGCCAGCAGCAGTCGTGAGTGTTACCATCTTTCATCCTGCCCCTCAGTCTTGGCAAATCATGCGACCGTACTGGATCCATGAACTTGTTGACCCACTGTTGTGTATGGTATCCGTGATTACACCGATATTATTTCACATTCGTTATCCTGCATGTTGTCGACCATGACTCATTTTTGCTACGCATGATGCTGTTGCGAGGAAAGAAATATTCTGACCTTTTTAGGACTGAGCATGGTGGCGGAGGAAACACCTGCATCCAAGTATAGCACTTCAGTGGTCCCGGAGTCGCCAGGAAACCCAGAGGGAAACAGCAATATCTCCGGCACCACTTTCCTGCCACAGGACTCGTCATTTGAAGATGGCGAGGCCGATCCCATCGTCATGGTTGATGAACTTTCTGATCTTCAGTCTGCTGCCACTCGATTGATGGACTTGTTCGTTTCCAATGCTTCTGATCCAAGAGATATTGTGGACGCCGCAAAGCGCCTCACTAATCCAATGAGCACGCAAAGCAAACGTCTGAAACCAGCTACCCACAAGCTCATCAGTGCGATGAAGGGTTTTAGCAGACAAGTCTTCATAGATGTTGAGCAAATTAAACAGCTGATTCCTTCGGTGCATCCCGAAGGTACTGCTTTTCCATGGAGCCCATCACCAATTCTGCACAAGGCCAACTGTGCACGACTGGCTCTCGACGTGCTTCTGGCAACCATTGGCTCCCACTCTCCTCGGCATGCGATCGAAAGACTGGAGAGTCAGTTTCCCGCACCATTCCTGGATGCTATAGTGAAGAGATCTCAGGTCAAGCCTATTGGCGCTAGCACTGCTGAGAAGCAGACGTTTGAGCTCGCACTTGAAATTCGCACACAGTACTTCATCAAGGAGTTGGAAAGACGTCAAAATGAAAAGGACTTTGACCCGCAGTCCATCTTGAGGGGGGTCTTTTATGATGAGCTGGCGCTTGAGGACGTGGATTCAAAGCCCGAACAGGGCTTCCTTCGGGGATTCAAACTCGCGCATACTTTCGAGGATGAAAATGGACGTCTTCCAGATCGCTTCCAGGAAGATGTGGTTGACCGTATCGGCGAACTGGAGTATGACCTGGTTGCCGAGGATGGCTCTACTCAAATCCAAAATTTGAAAAGCGCGTCATGGACGCGTTTCATTCAGCGCACTGCACGCTTTATTTACACCCGAGACAAAGAAATCAAGGTCGACTTGCAGCAGCAACCAAAAATCGACGAGGTTGATGACTTGGTGAGGAATGAGATCGAGCGTCGCGGGAGCGGGACATCTCGTGAAACTCCCGAGCCTCGCCAGTCAGTTGTTTCTGTCTCCGTTGATCGTTCGGTGCACGAGACTCCAGCACGGCAGGCCCGCGAACCTCCACGTCAGACATCAAGCATCGCGTCGCGAGACCAAACAAGGGAACCTCTCGGCGAGAACAATCTTTCTTTTCCCCCTGCATCTCCTCAAACGCCTTTCGGCCTTTCCGGCCAAGCCAGTCGTCCTGAAAAGCCACCATTGAAGCATTCAGAACAACGCAAACCCAACAAAAGGTATTCCCCCCTTCCCCCTAGTTCAATTTCTCATGGTTTTGTTAACTTCGCAACCCAGATTGCGCATGCTCGAACGCAGTATGAATCAGTTGAAGCGCAAGGAGACAGAACGTCATGAGCAAGAACTGTTACACCTGGAGTCCCAACATGCGAGCCGACTATCTACTACAAGTGAGCGCCCAAGCTTCAACATGTCGGCCTCGCGGACTCGCGACGAAGTCCCTCAATCTCCTCAGCCGGACTCGTCTCAGCCGAGATACCCACCTGCCGGAAGCATCGCTTCTGAGGATCAGGACTTGAACTTTCGCAATGAAGATGAGAGTTTCAACCTCAACACACTGGAAACCGAAGCTGAAGTGACCGCCAGTCCCGTCATTAAGCGTACCAACCCGAGGGACCTCTACTTCGCCCGTTCGAGTCAAGCTCAGCACCAGAGCCCCCAACACCTAGGCTCCCAGCATCAGAGGTCGTCACCACAGCTGGCTTCAGACAAGTGGAACGAGCTCGTCCGGAGCCAACCACAGCCAGCACAGCCCCGGGCGTTCATCGATCGACAAGCAAATGCCACCAGAGTTTCGTGGGGTGAGAGCGTCGACGACAACCCCCCGAGCGCACAAAGGCCCCGCGAGGAAGTCGCAGCTCCCACCAGCACCAGCACACGCACACTCAAGCGACCCCGTATTGATTCCGACGACTCTGACTCTGATGAGCCTTTCGTCCGTGACGAACGCAGCATCGATCCAGCACACCGGCGAGCACAGAAACCACACCAAACACACGTCGACAAGCGAATGCGGAGAGATTCAAGCAACCATTCCCCGGCGGCGGATCAGCTCCAACAAGCCTTGACCGCGTCCAGTCAGGCCCAGCGACCTGCTTCCACACAACCCAGCTCACCACCGCCCGCGACCCAGGAGCGTTGGCCGCAGAAAAACAGACAAGATACCGAGAGGCCAGCCCGGCCGAAGAACAACAATAAGCGCACCAATAGGTTCACCGAAGAGCAGAACCAGCGGCTCATCCATCTGGTCGGGGAGTTCGGGACTTCCTGGTCAAAGATCCTTCGTGAAGATGGCCTTTGTCCAGACTCACACGGAGGCCCTATGTTTACAGGTCGCACTCAGGTCAATCTGAAAGACCGGGCACGGAATATTAGAAGAGACTACACAAATCGGGGAGAGCCGCTTCCTAAGAACTTTGAAAAAGTGGCAAAATGAAGAAGGGAGATGAAGAATTCTTTTTCTTCCCTCCGCCTTCACTCATTTTGTCTCATCGCGTTGTTGCTTTTTGATACTTTACGATACCCCTTGGACAGGACATATAAGGAGACACGATGGTGTTGCTTCTTCGCTTCTTCGCTTCTTCGCTATCAATATTTTTACGATAATTATTTTTTTACTTCAGTCTCAATGTACAGCTTTGAGGGATACACTAGTTATGCTTCTGAATTTGTATATTGTACCGAAAAGGATATCGAAGTCCATTTCGCAGTATATGCCCAGTTTAAGTTCACCGGGAATCTCAAAACGAATGTAGAGCACCATCCAGCAGTCCTTCAAACGCAAACACTGAAGGAGACCCGCCAGCGGATCAGTCTATCACCAATTAGAGCCTCTATCTCCCAGGAGAATCAGGGCCCGAGCATGGAGTACAGTACAAGCCGATCGTCCCATTACAGGAGCAGACCAAGCCCGGCGATCGCAGCGCCGATGATCGACGACCCGGCGTGCAGCGAGTTGGCGACGTTCAGGGTGGGTGATGCCGACGCGCTGGTGGTCACGGAGGTGACGGCCGCAGAGGCAGACTTCGAGGCCATGACGCTGGCACTGGCCTTGGAGATCATGGAAGCCGGTGCGGTCAGGATACCGGTTGGCACGGATGTAGGGTTGACGTTTGTTGGGGCGACGATGATTTCACCGGCGGCTGTGGAGGCGGTGGCAGGTGTTGAGTCGTCGCCAGACCCGGCGTCGGAGATGGAGCTGGAGTTGGAGCCGGAGACTTCGGTGTAATCGCCGGTGCTGAGGACGGTGTAGACATCCTGTCCGCCGCCTGAGAAGTCAGATGTTAGCTTTCTCCGATCAGGGGTTTTTTTTTTTTTTTTTTCTTCAATGGCAATGAAGTTTGAGGAATCTTACAGTCGTCCTCGGGCCAGCCAGCGCACTTGACATTGCACTTAGCATCGTCAATCTGGGCCGATTTTGGAGGCAGCTCGTTTCCACAAAGACATTGGGTGCCGCCAGTCAGAGCTGCGACGCGGAAACCGCCACTTTGGCACTTGTCTTCGCAATATCCTTGGGACTGGAAGGTGTATTCGGCTCCATCTTTGAGGTTTGGGACTGCAGAGTAGCAGCCAAGTTGGGAAATGGAGCTCGCCAAGGCCGGCAAGGTGAGCGCGAGAGTAACGAGTAGTTGTTGAGGATGCATATTGTAACGAGTGGTGACACAGGTAGATCGAAAAAAGGAAACGAAGGAGTGGATATAATAGTCGAGTATGCGGAATGCGGGTGGAACGAAGGATGCAAGAGAAGCAACTTAGAAAAGAGGAAAACAGCGTCAAATATGCCAGTCTAAAGAACTGACAGATCCGTTCGGCGCTAATTTGTGGAGTTGAAACGGGAACGATGACATCGTGAAGTTCCCTGATCGGACCCCTGAAACACTAAACAAATCCTCTATTGAACCTATCCGGCCAGGGGTGGAGGCCTCATTGGATGGCCCTGGTCTTGATCGCCCCGGTCATCGTCCCCAGAGTGGATCCTTGCTTAGGCTGCTCCTTTGACGGACGAGGTGATACGCCGCATGTGTCACTGGTGAAACCCAGCTCCGCTCTTCCGCTGTCGCGCCTCTTGGTTCGTTCGGGGATGGCTTCATGGCTCGTACGTGGGGAATTCCGCACTTTCAAGGATCCCCCTTGGAGCTGCCCTTGGAGCTGCCCCCTTGGTGATCGACTCGTAAGCTGAGTGAGAAGCTTCGTTCGGTGGCGATAAATGGCTCGTAGCTCTCCCGAGGTCCCCTTTGCTGAGCATCTTGAATTTGTAGCTTTTTATTTTGGCCTGCGGTCGCGTGTCAACGGTTCCACGTTTCTTAGCCCCTTCCCGAGGTTCCACCCCATCCACCTGTCCCAGGAACGCTTTACTTGGCTCAGATCTGTACGACTCGGGACAGTCTCAATATCGATTGCAGCCTCGCCATTCTCCCATATCGTGTGTATGGTACAAATCACGTACATCATGGATAGCCGACCTATCGGCAAACGCCAGCCAAAACTTGCCCTTTGGGGTAAGCGGCGGCAGCGGCCGCCAGCCGAGCAAGAGGGGAAGATAAGATAGTTGGAGATAACCCCGACTACTTATATGCCACGCGGGGAACTTACCTCTAGTGTAAGGACCTGAAGGGTATAGAAGTCGAAGGACACTCAGTTAGACCATGAAGCCTCTCAACCTCCTCGGACTGGCCTCGCTGCCATCCGCTCTCGCGCTGAACATCCCCGCGCAACAGATTCTCTTTCCTGGCGAGCTATCACGCAACTCTGCCGAGCTCTCCGGCCGAGAGACGTGCCCGCAGGCACCGAAGGTCGCTGCTCCTGATGATGGACTTCAGTCATCGTTGAAGTTCCTCAATGACGGTGCTTTCCGAACCCGCCAGGCTAAGCGGCTCTCACGTGCCGTGCAAGTGCCCACAGTCGTCGGCGATTTCATGGAGGACCCGTATGACGATGCCTTCGAGCCGGTTGTGCAGTTCCAGGAATTGCTAAAAGAGATGTTCCCTCTAGTGTATGTTCCCATCAATAGTGGAGGATTCAGCGAGATGGTAACCTTAATGTAGGCACGCGAAGGCCGAGATCGACCATATCAACCGACTCGGTCTGGTCTACACTTTTGAGGGCGAGGACATCACCCGAAAGCCCATCCTCTTCATGGCCCATCAGGATGTAGTCCCGATCGATGACCCAAACGACTGGACTTACCCGCCATTTGAGGGCCACTTCGACGGCGAATGGCTCTGGGGTCGTGGCTCCAGCGACTGCAAGAACGTGCTCATCGGCCTAATGTCAGCCGTCGAGGAGCTGCTCAGCCAGGACTGGCGCCCGCAGCGCACCGTTCTGTTTGCATTCGGCTTTGACGAGGAGTCCCACGGGTTCCTGGGTGCGGGCTCGATTGCTCCAGAACTGGAGAAGAAGTACGGCAAGGATAGCTTCGATTTTATTCTCGACGAGGGTGGTATGGGACTGCAGTCACTCGAGGGCGAATCCGACGAGGTGGTGTATGCTCTTCCTGGCGTTGGCGAGAAAGGTAGCCTGGACCTTGTCCTGGAGCTGGCTGTTCCGGGCGGCCACAGCTCGATCCCGCCCTCGCACACGGGTATCGGCATCATGGCTGAGATTCTATACGAGCTCGAGCGTCAGGAGCTGTTCTCTCCCCGTCTGGATCCCTCGCATCCGTCGTACGGTATGCTGGAATGTCAGGCCCGGTACTCGCCTTCACACGTTGAGCCCTGGCTGGCCGACAAGCTGGCCAAAGGTGACGCTGAAGCACTTGGCGAGGCCGTGGCTCAATCGCGTGGCCCGGCCGTGCGATACACGCTGCAGACTTCGCAGGCAGCTGATTTGATCCGCGGCGGCGTCAAGACCAACGCTCTTCCGGAGAAGGTCTCAGCCGTCGTGAACTACCGCGTGGCGCTGCATATGACGCCTGACGAGCTGCGCGAGCGTGCGGTGCGAATCATCAGTCCCATCGCTAAGAATCACAATGTCTCCCTGGACATCAACTTCCCCGGTGTTGCTGGCAGCAAGGACAACTTCTTCGGTGGTGAAGGGGACCGCACTCTGACGCTGTCGCCTCTCAATGAGCCCCTGTCCCCGGCCCCGATCTCCCCGTCAGATCCGCTCTCGTCCAAGGTCTGGGCCCGCTTTGCCGGTGTTGCTCGTAGTGTGTTTGAGTCGCACTCCAACCCGCTCGTCAAGTCGGAGGCCGAGTCGTCCCCGACCGTCGTGGTGACCGGTGATATTATGACGGGAAACACTGACACGCGCTTCTACTGGTCTCTCTCAGAAAACATCTACCGTTGGAGCCCCTCGCGTGCTGGCGGTACTTTCAATATCCACACTGTGGATGAGCGGATCCGGCTGGATGTTCACCTGGAGGGACTGATGCTGTATTACGGTAAGTTTCACTCTGGCTCTTTCATGACGTACCATTAACCTGGCTTTTAGATTTGATCCGCTCTTTCGATGGCTGGGATGAAAAGTCCGAGTAAAGAAGGGAAGGGGAAGGAGAAGAAGAAGGAAAAGGAAAGAGCATCGCTATCTAACCGGTTCACTGAGCAGACTTACGAGAAGGCAACGTTTGAGGGACTTTGAAAGAGAAGCGTGCGAGTAGGCGTAAAAATCATTAACGAGTTCCTCCCTTAGAGCTCTAGGAGCCCAATTGGATTTGAAACGACAACCAAGCTATTGAATAATCTTTCACTGCGATCATCGTAGATAGCCGGCAACTTGTGTTCACCCATTTTCATGATCAGGCAAGGAGGACCTTCCTACCAGCGTCCAGCTCTTCAATTTCCTTTCGCAGCTGTCGACGTCTGCGTTTCGTTTTCATATCCTCCCCAGCAATCTCCTCCAGCTTGTCATCGGAAAGACTATTTACCCACGACGGCGAGAACAACTTCATGGGAGCCGCCGGCCCCGTCACCAAGAAACGATCCGCTGCCTGCATACAAACATTATCGACGAACCTCTTTCGAGCCACTTTGTAATATGATTCGAGGATGTCATGGATATCTCGGATGGTATGCTGAGCATTATCCATATGGTCATGGTAAAGGACATCGGAGATTCGGGCCACGTCTCCATGAGGATGAACAAATATCGCCTTGGAAGCCAAATGATCCTTGAGTCTCTTTTGCCGGCACTTTTGGAGGTTGTCATTGAAGTAGTGGTTCAGTGTCATTGGCATTCCTTCGCGCTCGATGCTCAACAGAAATTCAACCTGTGAGGTAGCCTGTCGATACTTATCCATCAGGTTGTCCCAAAGGAGGGCGAGGATATTGGTAGAGATCCTGCTATCACCAGATGTGCTGTCACCACAGACAGCTCGCAGGGCCTTATTTATGAACCGATGGACCATAGCGATGACATCACTGATGTATCCCTGTGCCAAGTCAAGCCATTTCGCAGATTGTTTCTTCATCAGCGTTGACAACAAGGTGTAGTTGAACGTCCCGATTTCGAACCCACGAGCCTCCCGATGGACCCTTTCGATCCAGGTCTCAATGCCATCTTGAGATGCCTGGACCCTGGCTGTATCATGTAGGATTTCGAGGAAAGTATCGTCTTCTTGGATCCTACGGCTTTGTATGAAATCAGCCCCATCCCCCATCCCGGGTTCCACGGATGTATCTCCCAATTCCTCGGACGCAGCACTTGATGCCTCAGATACAGGCTTTGATACCGTCCATTCTTTTTCTGGTGGTGTGTCGACCCCTGAGTTTTCCTTCTCTGCCCGGGTATTTGCAAAAAACGAGAACGTATTGCCCCATTTCTGAACATGATTTGAGAACGCTATGTTCCTATTTGAGACTAGAGTGGCCAAGCGAAAATCCTCATCCGTGTCAAAGACGTCGTGGACACTGTAGTTTGTGGTGAGCGCCTGCTGCGTAATCTCCTGGAAAACTGAGATAATGTCCAGAAGAACCATGCGCTGCTGTTCTGCTGTCTGTCGCTCAATTCCGAGGGTCTCAAGAGCTTTCCTTGTCTCCTTCAACTTCTTGGTAACTTCCAAGCGTACCAATGGGAATTCGCGGCGGACGATAGACGCGAGAATTTCTTGGAGGCGGTTCTTCAATGCTTTGATACCGAAATTCTCAGCACGTAGACGATTCCAAGGCTCTTTTTGAAGAAACAGCCTCTCCATAGTGTCTCGATCGTTATTGCCATCAACGAGTTCCTGCTGTCCCAGATTCCGCACAAGCACCCACCCAAGGTGGCTGTTCACTTGGCCTTCGATTAGATCTATCACATTGTTTTCGGCTCCCTTGTCCACAAGATCAGGCTTGGTGAGAATGCGCAGTGTTCTTTCACCTTCGGGGTCAAGTTCCTTCGCCATCTCAATGATTTCTTGCGTGGCAATGTCCACGTTTGCAGGCACAACGGTCAACATGACGGAGCGACGGTTCTTCATGTAATGAAGAACCATATTTCTGACCAGTAGAATGTCGTTCTTCGTGGTGCGGCCGGGGGTTGTATTCTTGAAAATTCCCGGCACATCAATAACACTCAGATGGTTCTCCTGCGGGCCGCAAATCTCGAGCCGGAGGACGCTGTTGGAGAATGTCGGCTTTCCATCGCTGTCGGAATCAGAGAGGTTGAAGAGTTCATGGACCTGTCTCATCATTTGAACAAAGCCTTTTTCGCCGAGAGTCTCCAAACCAGAAACCTTCCAAGCTCTAAGCTTTTGATCATCGTCTGCGTTGCCTGATGCAGGAATGATTGATGCAGAAATCTCGCGGTTCTCCAGCTTGACGTCTCTCCGAAACATAATCTGGGTCGCGAAACGAGTGCAGAGACCGCTGTCTCGTGGGAAGCTGAGCTTGGTCAAGCCTTCCAGGACAGAGCTCTTTCCGCTCGACTGGTCACCAACGACGACAAGCTGAGGTAGACTGATGTATTCACCGACATTGCAGGCGAATAGTTTGTCGATTTTTTCAAGCAAGTTTGGGTCTGCCAACCTGGTATCATCAAGTTCTGTCTTGATCGCCATGGCTTCTGATGAGAGTGAGGAAGGTGGTGATAACCGGAAAGATGAGATGTTCAGGAAATTATCCGGGTAGGTAATGGGAGAAGGAAGAGGAGGAAGTGGAAGAAGATGGAGACAAAGTAGACAGAAATGAGAGTGAGGAAGGTAAGACGGACTGAGAGAAGATTAAGAGCGTTGGATGCTACTGGTCACAAGATTGAGATATTGAACGAGCAAAGAACAAATGTCAAAGGGCAATGAGAGAAGAATGTAGAATGAAAAGATAGAACGGCAAACGAAATGTACGAGCCCTTTAAAGGAATTGCTAGACCAGAAAAGGCCAACGCTGAATAACTTTGGGGCTGCGAAAGAAGGGAACAAGCGTTCCGGTACCCAACAAAGACTACAAGCAAGGAGTGCTGTGCAGAGTTGCATCCACAATACCTCCATACCTTCTCTACAGCGAACACACGTACGGAGCCTACAACCCAAAAGAATCCGAAACAAAGTAAAGTGAAAAGAATCCGATTAAAATGCAATAGGTATACACAACAAGAAAACCCCCACAAAACGAGCGGACACCAAGAAATCACCGACTCATACAACACAAGCCATACAACGCCGGATTCCAAGGAAGGGTATCAAGAGCGAAACAGAAAGGGTATAAGTACTCCAATCGCAGTCAAGCGAGCAGAGATCTAGTGCAACCATTCCCACCAGGAATCAAAATCCATGCCTCCGTACCTGACTGACGGATTTCGGGTGAGGAAATGGGCCGCAACAAAAAGTGGTATGTAAGAATAAATGCACAAGAAGTGAATGTAGTGTTTTAATAGGATGTCACCAGGAGTGGTGCGAAGGTACCGCCCACGACGGGGCGCGCAACGAAGGTAATTCCGGGGTAGCTGGGATATGTTAGCAATGCAATGGTCAATGTTTTTACAGGGCGAAGGGGGTACATACTTTCCGGAGATGGTGTCGTACAAGTCGGTCAGGGGGCGGTTGGTTGGGGTCTCGTTGACCCAGAGCGACAAGTCCTTGAAGAAGGTGGCCCGGGTGTCGGAGGAGGCAATGGCAGCCGTGAAGCATTGCCAGTCAAGCTTGGTGTAAGTGTGGCGGGTATCCAGCGGAACACCATACTTGTTGGCGACGGTCGGGTAGAAGTTGCTCTGCATCTGGTAGACGGAATCCGGCACTAGGCCCAGACCCAGCTGGGCGTCCGCATAGAGGTTGTAAAGGAGGCCTGAAAAGAAAAGAAAAAAAATAAGTTAGGATTAGGGTACGGAATGTTGGTGGAATGCGATTTACCATGGCTGCTGTCATTCCCATAGGACAAGGTGGCATGGGGCGGATTGGCGTCCTTCGCGACGCCCAGAGACTGCCACTTGGAAATGTAGTCGTGGGCAATGCTGGAATAATTGGCAGCGTCGTCGCTGTGGCCGGTCAGGTCGGCAATGACCGACATGGCCTGGATACCAATCATGCCCTTGAGAGCCAGGTTGGTTTGGTTGCTAATTATGCTCGTCAGTATTTTTGGTCATGGAATAGGTGTTTCGTTTGCACTTACGCCAGGGCTCCGGCAAAGTCATCAGTAGAGATCTGGTTGGCAGGGTACAAGGCATCGTCGACAAGGTAAGTTGTCCACTTCTTGAGTAGGTTGTAGTGAGCGTCCAAGTAGTTGCCGTCGCTAGCCTTCAGGGCATATGCCAGAGTCATGATAACCATGTTGCCGCACTCCTCAAGGGGCATCTTCTCGTCATTACCGTCGTTGTGACCGGTGGCGTTGGGATAAGACGAGCCCATATCGTGCATGGCCCAGCTGTTGGGATATTTGCCGGCCTCCTGGTTTTCGTAAAGCGGCCGCATGACCAGCTTGAGCAACTCAGGGTTGGAGTACAAGAAGAAGGGATAAGCCGGGAAGATGACATCAACGGTGTTCACGTTGCCATCGGACGAGATCTCCTTCAGGAACAGATACATCTTGTCCTGGGTGCCAGCCAACTGGGTAGCGCCGATTGCCTGACGGGCCGAGAGGGAGGTGAGGGTGAGGTAGTCATCTCCACCAACAGCAAGGGAGTCCTTGGCAACCTGGCTATCAAACGCGCCGGAAATGGTGGCAGAGTCTTCGAAGTCGTTGTGGAAGAAAGACAGAGCATCAAGCTCAGAATTGAAGTAGCTCGTCCACAGAGACTTCACCGGACCGTATGCAGAGGCACCTTCGAATTGAACAGCCTCCTCTTGGGTAAGGCCAAGCGAGAAGAGCGTGCTGACGGGAGACGAGTCGACGGTACCCAGGTCGGACGAGAAGCCGAAGACGGGCCAGTCGTCGTTGATAGCTCGGAAGTCGGTGTCAACCGTGTTGGACAAGGTACCGTTCGAAGCGAACTGGCCACGCACAACGATATCCCTACCAGACTGGTAGGTCATGTCGTCGTTGTCATCAGTAGCCCAGTACCAGTTGCCCCACTCACCCTGCTGGTTGATCTCGGAGAACTCCAATTGGACCTGACGGTACACCTTGTGGTACGCGACATTACCAGTAGTACCGTAGTCCCACTGCGCAATGGTATCGCGATCTCCCGACACCCATTCTAAATCGAGTCAGTTATCACGTTACACAAATGCTGGAATTGACTTACCAGCAGAGATATCCGCATAGACTTGAACATTGTGGCCCTTGCCGTCCAAGGAAGAAACTTCAACATTCAAGTACGAGAAGACAAGGGATTGGCGCTTGTAATCAGTGGGCGTGATAGGCGACATGAAAGTAATGTTCATTTCCACCTTGTCCTGAATATTCATGGTGTAGATACTCTTTGTTGACGTGTACTCGAATGCGGTCTGGTTGACAGTCGTAGAGCCGGGCAGGCCCATCCAGGTGTAAGTCTGACCGTCGACGCGGATCATACCAGCCCAGCCGGTGATCTGGTTCCTATTGACGCGCCGACACATTAGACAGATCTCCAATGCCGTTGAAAATATCAAACTTACTCCCAAAACACGGGCCATTCGCCGGCGAGGTAGCCTCCATCTCCACCATCGCTGCCAATATTCAGCCAAGTGCTCAGGTACGGCGACTTGACAGCCAAAGGAGCAGCCGGGGGACGAGCAGGAGTAAAGGTCGATTGTGCTCCAGCGGAGGCAATGAAGGAAGCAACCAGTAGACCGAGGCGAAACAGCTGCATCGTGACGGGTGTCGGATATTTGTCGAAAAAAAAAGGATTGGACGGGATCACAACGGTTCAACCGAGGAGCATGTCCCTTTTTTGTAGTAAAAGTTGATTAAAAAGTAAAACAAGAAAAATAAACCGGCTCGGGTAGCTATGCTGCAGCAGCGCTGGCAAAGAGGGAGAGGACGCAGGCAAGGATCGGCGTTGTGTTTACAGGAATGCCAGGGACATTTTTATAGTCGAGCGCCCAGAAGGGGAGAAAGGAGAGAAGGCCCGACTAAGGACCCGCATGCCACAACGATGCCACAGCCCACGGCGAAATGAGTGTAATTGGATTAGCGCGATGGGGATGGTGATTGCATCGAGCAGCAGACCTGCAGGCGTTGAAAGACCCGAGCGAAGTCGGCTGATCAGCGTCAGTGCCCGGAGAGAGATCTCATGCGCTTGGCCATATGGGAAGGGCACAGTGGACGCGAGGGGGGTCAGAGAGAAGGGCAGTGTGCCTTCATGGCAGGGGGGTTCAGTCCGAGGAGACCGGGATATTACCTGGCAAGTCCGAGAGCGAGACCGGACCAAGGTCAGTCAACGAAATGGTGCATGTATCGCATGGAACAAGCAGCGGTCAATGCAGGATCGCCCCAGGGTCTCCGCAGCGAGTCAAAAGGCACGGAAATTACCTTCGGACCAAGAAACCAGCAGGTGACTTGAGCACACGGGATGGCGCAAATAAAGATGTGGAGTCCATACAAACGAGCGTGGTGGTGTATTCAGCCAAATCGCGGTGAAGTCGCAGGTGGTCCAAGGCAGACAGCCTCGGAAGGTGCCAGGTGGGTGGTTTGTGATGGCATCATGCGACACCCCACCATAAAGCAGAGAAGCATATCGGGGCCTGCGAATCTGCAAATCTGACTATATGCGGGGAAGGACGATCACCTGGGCGATGGGTTAGGCTCCGTTCTCGTTTTCTCATCTACGTATCTCGGGTTTTCTCATCTTCTCATGTTCTCATCTATAGAGCACGATAGCATTAGGGTGCGAAGCACGACATTCATGGGAGATCGGATCTCGGGGACCTGCAGCAGACTCATGGCCTCAGCGGTGTTCAAATCAGAGACGCTCCCCTTGCAGGGAAGTTCATCCCTACCGCGTCAGCTCGTGGGAGCGGTAAGTACTAGGTACTTGACGTGTGGTCTCGTAGGTCACGGATCCGGTAAGTACAGGGTACTCCTCCACCGCAGATCCACATCTTATTAGGTCCTCCTTGCCGATCTGTTTGTGATACGTCATGAAGTCAGTCCTCTCAGTTTCCTTCAGGGGTGAACTGTGAATTGTGACCTCCGTTAGTGCTCACTCGGGCATCCATCACACCTAGCACGGGAGAAGATACTCAACGGGTCTTCGTGGGGAAGTCGCGTGCGGGGTGAGAATGTGGTGGAAATGATGTGGAAATGAATGAATGAACGATGTAACATGTTTAGTTGGCCAAGCCCGGCCCTATTCCATCTGGGCACGGAGAATAACGGTCACGGCTAAATACCCAATCACTAAATCACCGGTGATTCACGATTGCATCTATCTACTAGTGTCAGCCTGCAGGTGTCAGTATCGTGCAGGCCGATTGCCGGGGTCTCCCCCGTGGATATACTATCGCTAGACAATATCACAGGGGCACTTCAGTAGAGATGCATCTTTGAACAGAGTTCCCAAGCCACGGTAATATCGGTCCGAGCCATTTCCCGCGCATTCCCTGAAGACAGATTGCACAAACTTTGTAATCACCATGCGCTGGATGTCATTGTCTCAGTGCAGGAGCCCCTTGCCCAATGCAGCCTTCCATGTCCAGGTGCCCAGAACGTGGACAGTTGCTGCAATGTATCTGCATGTTTCTCATTGGCTGAAACTAGAACGAGAGAATTACTGCTCTCGCATGAGACAATTCAGTCATTGGACAGAATGCCGAGATCGAACCATGAGCGATTTGCGTGTCCAATTTTGGGGCTAGAAGGGGAGTTGTCGGAGGTATGGAGATGGTTCACTGAGCGGGATATCTACTGGCGAGATTTGGGTCCCGGCATTCAAGGTTTTGGCATCCCATGGTTCTGCTTCGGTTCAGGTACATTAAACTAAGCAACAATGATCAAATTACACAATGGAACCAACTACACAATACACATGAACTGTTTAGTCCAAATAATGCGAAATGCAGATTAACAACTTTTGAGCACCGCAACACATCAAATCTTGCAAATACGTACGCTACTAATACTGATGCACGCCCTAAGCCTTCCTTTCGTATATACTAAACATTACCATCTGCGCCTGTACCATCACCACCTCCACCACCCAGGCCAGACCTATGAGTTGCGCGCAAGCTCAATACAAAACTCCCCCCACTCCGTCCCCCCGCTAGACGACATAACCTCCTCCGCAATAGCCTCCTCCAACCGTTCATTATACCGTCTCCGGTACTCGGACTTCACCAGCTCAAGATGTCGGGGCTCCCAATGCAGTCGGACAAGACGCGAGATGAGCAGCTCGGAGCGCTCACGGCCGGTGCGGGATTCCCGGAGGGCTTGGTGGAGGAGGAGGGCGTCGCGCATGGGCCGGTTGATTGCGCCGTTTAGGATGTGGGCAAGGGTTTCGCCCTATTGGCGTTAATATATATAGAATGGAAGGGAAAGGGAGACGGATCGGTGTACATACCACAAGGTTACGCGACTTGGCGATCATGGCGCGGGCGAAATTCTGCCCGTAGTGGCCTTCGTAAGTGCGCATCGCCTCGCGCAGGTGAGTGTCGCTGCGCAGGACGATGATATTAATCATAGCCGTCTCGCCGCCGTCCTTGGATACGAGGGCGCGGTGCAGATCCGAGACGTCTTGGCGCACGAGTCTGGAATCCAAGGGTTCGCGCTCATCTTGTCGCCGTTCTTCAAGGGCCAGCAGGACAGCTACGCGGAACTTGTCGGCGCGCAGTTCGGCACGCATGCAACGCTCGAGGCTGTCGTTGTAGCGGGTGTCACGGAAGCAAGCCTTGATCTCGCGGATGGCGGCGTTGGAGCGACCGATGAGGGACTCGATAAGGAGTTCGCGGCGCGAGGTGCCCGCTTGGTAGTAGCAGTTGGCCCAGTATGCTTCTGATTCCCAGCGGCCAAGAGCGGTTGCGTAGCAGACTTTGCCGAAGTTGGAGTTGCCCAGTTTCAGTCGTAAATGCTTGGCGAGGTTAATGCCTTTGCCGTGCATCTTGACTTTGTTCTTGTACTCTTGACGCAGGATTAGGATCTCGTCACTAGTTAGACGGGGTAGGATTTGGATGATGGCTTTGTTGTCGATGTTGCGACTGTGGTTAAGCGCGGACTGCATCGAGGCGGCATCTGAAGCGGCGTCGTAGAACGACACACGCTTCCTGTCACTTGTTGGCGAGATCAGAACCACGGCGTCGCCACGCATAGACGAGCTCGACTCGTGGCGGTCATGACCGGACGATCGGCTGTGACGCTTATCATCCTTGCGGTCATCCCGATCCTTCTCCTTCTCTTTAGTTCTTTCCTTGCTGCTCCGATGATGAGTATCTTTTTCACTCTTCGAGCTGTGTTTCTTGCGACGGCCCGATTCGGAGTTCGAGGTACCACCATCCAACTGCTCAAAGTCGGAAATGTCGTCGTCACGCGATGGCATCATGATGGGCGACGGCATGGGAGACATCGACTGGTAGGTACCATGATAAGGCTCCAACAGAGGGCTCGCTGGTGGGTGGCCTACATGGCTCATATGAGCACCAGCGACCGCGAGGTTATTCGCCGACGACACCGAGAGACTATGGGGACGGCCGCGGCCACCACCAGGGGTGATCTCAACAACTTGAGCCTGGTGGTGAGACTGTGGCTGGACTTGCGAATGCGGTAGCGGCTGCTGCCTGTCTACGAATTGAGGCTCATTGCTATACCTGTACGGGTATACAGGCTGGTCCGAATGTTGCGACCTGGAAAACTGGTCTTGCGACTTGGAAAACTGGTCATGCGACTTGGAGAATTGCTCGTGCGGCGAAGCGTTATACGGCTGCACAGGCGTTGCCTTGGAAGTATATCGGATGTTGGGGTCGACGTGCGCATACTGGTACTGACCCGGCTGGGCATAGTTGCCTGGAAGGGGGTGGGCGGTGTCATTGGCAGAGGCAGTGCGGTAATGGGATGGAGTATATGGACTGGACGAGGCATGCGCATAGGGAGGCTGCTGATGACCTGCATATTGCGGCATCGGGAACGATGGCGCCGTCGTCGAGGGGACATCACCATACGCTGAGGCCGGAGGGAAACCCCCAGGCATAGTCGTCGGCAATCCAGCCTGCGACGTTGGAGGGACAAAGCCCGGACGCTCACATTCGGGGACAGCCGCCCAATCCGTGCCTTCTCCGGGATATGCAGGTTTGCGCAAAGCGCCAGGTTGAGGGTGTTGGGCGTTTGGCGGCTGCGCATACTGGAACCTACCAGGTCGCGCATAGCTCGGATGGCTCCCCGGCTCATCACCATAAGCCAGATGTTCATCCACATCCGAGTCCGAGTCGGAGTCCGAATGATCCCGCCGACTCGGGCGAGCAGGCGGCACAGATGTACGCTGCTGAGACCGACTGGGGTATTCACGCGGGCGCGCAACCTTCACATGATCCTCATCCTCATCCTCATGCTCGTAGCGATCATCCCGACGGCGCGACTTATCCGCACCCCGATCGCGACGCCTGGAGTCGTCCGAGTCAGAGCGAGCAGCATCGTAGCGGGCGGGGCTGCGAGGGGCACGGGAGACAAGACTGCGCGAATCCTCGGTCTCGCGGGACTCACGAGGTTCACGCAGACGAGTCTCTTTGATCAGCTTGTACTGGCGCTCGATCTCAGCCTCTTCGTCGGAGCCATAGCTTCGACTAGAAGACTTGGGAGCGATCTCAACCGCAGCAGAACGGGCGTGGGAACGCTCGCGAGGAGGCGATGGCACTCGGCTGTCGCGCGACCGGGAGCGTTCGCGGCTGCGACCAGGGGACTTGGAGCGGCTTGACCGTGGATCATTGATCTGGAGCGACATTTCATTCCAGGGTCCAGCGGTGGGGATGGTGCCGGATCTGGAAATGTGTTTACCACGTAATGTAGAGTTTTTATTTCTCGTGGAGTGGGGAGTTGGCCGCACAAAGAAGCTTGGACGAGCTGGCCGAGCTCGTTGATCGGTGCGGGGAAAGTGCAGAGCGGTTTCGAGGGCCCTTGCAGTCCTTAAGGCTGAGTCTACTTCTGAAGATAGAGTGTAGACACAAAGCCCGGACGAGCAGAAAGGAGAAAGGAGAAAAGGAGAGGAATAAAAGGGTTCAGCTCGTATTGCTCACGGCGTCTCCGAGTCTTCAAACCTGCAGCCGTGAATCTGCAGGTCACAGATGGCCCATGGAGCCGGCAGCGCTCATTGGTCTCTTCACGAGATCTTCACCCGCTCGTAGGGCAAAGGCGCCCAGGGGCTGCATTGATAATCAAACTACGGAGTACAGAGTACTTTCTACCCCTCCTGGCTGAGGCTGAGTTCCACAAAGACATAGGAAGCTTGATTGGCTTGATTACAGGTTGGAGACACTCGATAGTGCGACAGATTTTGGCAGAAGGAAAATACAAGCAGAACCTTGGAAGGAGAGACAGGAGAAGAGAAGAAGAAGAAGAAGAAGAAAAAAAGGGGGGCCAACAGACGGGGCGAAGAAGATCGGGGGTATGTGCGGAATGGCAAGCTATGCGAACAGGGGAGAAAAGATACAGAGTACTTGGCGCTTATCGCGTGCGGCGACCGTCGCGAATCGGGCCCAGGCGACCGCCGTACTGTTTGCCGTATTGCTTGGACGGCAGAGGTGCCGGCTGACCGTTACGGTTGAGGCGGTTGGTTCTCCAGCGCTCGTACCAGACCACACGACTGGCCTCGCGCAGCTCCGATCGCCATTCACTAAATACCGAGTCCTTGAGACGCACAAAGTCGCAGTGCTCCGCATCGTAGGGATCGGCGAAACCCCAGGGGAAGCGACGGCCCACGGGCTGCTCGCCGGATGCCAGAGAATGGGGATCCGGGGACAGGATTGAGAATGGCACGTGCGGGTTGGAAGGCCCGGATCGGTTGGACTTGAGGCTGGCGGGGGAAGAGGGAACGCGAGGAATAGTCTGCTTCTCCTCGGCAGCGTCAGTCTCCTTGTCCTCCTTGTCCTCCTCCTTGGTCTCGGCGGTCTCGCCAGGTGCTCTCGACTCAGCAGACTCCGTAGGTTCGCTGGCCTCAGGGGGGGTGGCCACTTCGGCAATGGACTCTTCGTCGGCGCTCTCCGATGACGTGTACTCCTCCTGGTCCTCAAGGGTCAAGATTTCCAGCGGGTCGATGTTGGCCTTCTTCAAGCTGCTCCAAACCGCCTTGCGGAGATATCCCATGTGGGCCGAGGTGATGGTGTCAGCCTTGCTGATGACGGGCACAATGGTGGTCTTGCCCAGGATGGTGCGCAGCACATGCAGGTCCAGGTTCTGGTCCAGGACTCCGACAACGGGGGAGTCGGAGGTCTTGGGGGTGCCATTGGCGGCACGCTCAGCAGCGGCGATATTCTCGTCGAGGCGCACGGGATCGAGAAGCAGGAACGTGCAGTGGATGTGAGTGTCCCTAGCACCCGGGGAACGCACCACCTTCATCTCCTCTGCGAGAGTCTCCTCGAACTTGCTCTCCAGGAAACCGGTGACACCGCGCATCTGCAGATCAACAATGTTGCGCTCCAGACCGTTTGAATCCCACAGGGTCAGGCCGACACGTTCACCATCAATCTCAGTTTCCAGATATTGCGAGGTGAATCCTTCGTAGGCAGAGGTCTGGCTCTCGAGCTCCTCAAGCTCCTCAGCGGTACGTGAGGGGTGCTTATGCGGGGGCATTTCCAGGGACTTGCGAAGAAAATTAAGGAAGCATGTCTTGCCCGAGTTACGAGCACCAACCACCAGCACGCTGTTCATAATTAGCATGCCATTTTGCTTGGGTGTATGTCAATGGGGCAGCATACTTGTATGGAGTGGGGTCCTTGCGACGGCGGACGCGACGAGGACTGTTGACAGTGCTCACGGCACTGCTGGCGTAGCTGTAGCGGCCGCGATGTGTCATGCTCTCGGTGCGAGCGTACGGGTCGATAACATCCGCCATGGGCGAACTCAGAGGGGGAGAGGCAGCAAATCCCGACTGGGGGCGAGGCAGAGGAGGCACCGCCGGGAGGTTATCCCGTTCCTCCCCTCCAAATGTCTCAAGCTGTGGGGCGGGCGAGAGGTCAGGCAGGCGGGGGGCATTCCGAGGCGCGTAAGATTCGCGCTGACGACGCAGATCGTCCTCCATTCTTTCAGCTCTGGACATCTTCTTGCGGCCGGAGACTTTTCGTTCGCCGAGAGGTTCGGTGGATTTGGAACGACGGAGGAATCCGAGGGAGGTGCGGCGCGCGTTAAGCGTTTGGCCGTTTTCTGGCAATGCATCGGAAGGCGCGCGGGGAGAGGGGGCGGTTGCCATTTTGGGTCGTAGCTTCTCTGTGCATTTCCAATCAGCCTTTGCTCTCTCTCTTTGTACTTCTTTTCTGTGCAGTTGTACGCAGACACACACCAGTACTCTGTCACCACTTACAGCAGAATACAGGAAATTCTACCAACCTAGCAGGTACCGGAGTACAAATACTTCGGTATATTATCGGGTTTCGAGGATCGATCCAAAGTTGCAGTTCCAATGCTCCGAGCACTGAAGTATACGGCGAATTCAATCCGTCGATATCGGCTCACTGGGTCGGGAATAGGCTTCACGTCCGGTCTGGGTGGTTGAAACGAAAGGAATGGCGAGAGTGGGCTAAAAAGGCGACAAGCTCGCAGCCAGTGTGAGATGTCGGCGCTCCGCTGCACGTCGCTACTGGAGGACGGAGACAGGGGAAGAAGAGTTGAGGGGCCAGAATTGAAACTCGGGGCTAAACAAAGTTTCTCGCCCTTTTTTTTTGGCGGTACTTTTTTTTTTTCTGGAGAGATAGGGTGAAATTGAGAAATGGCCTGCTCACAGCGTCCAGCTACCGCGGCGCATGGAGAGTAGAAGAGAATGAAGAAAAAAAAGGAGAGAAGGTGGGAGGGAGAAAGGATGGGACGGCGAGAGGTTAAGATGCGGAGAACTCTTAGTATTATCAATACGGGTTTCTAGCTTTACTTCTTATTTTCTTTTGGTTTATTGGAGAGACTCGGGTTGCTAGTTGATCATTGGATTGAGAGGTGCAGATACTTTGCACTACCTGCATGGATATCACCTTGGCAAAATTTGTCGTTGTCCAACCCTTTCAATTGTTAGGAAAGCGTAGACGCAGACACAGAAAGATTCAGGGGTAAAATGAGCGAGTCCAGAGCCGGAGGAAGGCTCCCCACTCGGAGCTTGCTGGATGGCTGGAGCGTGGTTCGTTCCACGCTGGCGGGCGGCTAAGACCAGACCGGGTAGTCCTGGCGTCGATGAACTAGTCCTGGTGTTGATGAACCGGGACCTGGCCACTGGTAGCATGAGCTAGCTGGATTTGCCCATTCACTCCCATAAAGCTTTCAGCTGAACGTGCGTAGGGACCATGTGGATGAAAATGAAAAGCACGAGGCCTCTGACTTGGCACGTGCGTGACGGGGGCCGTTGGTCTCCACTCGCTGAGATCTACGCGTGTTGTGTTCTCTTTTGGTTTTTTTGTGTCAAAGTGACTAGTCTACTCCGTGTTTGGTGTTAATATGATCCCAATGTCTAGGACCCATCAGAGTTTCAAATGTCAAGTAAAGTTACCCTACCCTAGGCTTAGGTATGTAGCTATGTAGCACAGCCGGGACCTGGCGGATCAGATACTGTGCCAAACGTGCCCAACGGCACTGAACAGCCGATAAGAACAATGGAGACGCGCCGTAATCTGGGTTCACCGGTCGCTCAGCTCGCCATGGCCCCGAAATTGGGCCTCATTTTACCTCAACCTGCCAGGAGCTGACTGATGCCCACGATCTTCTTCCTGCAGTAGCAGCAAGCTCCTAGAGCCCAAGATTGACCTTGCCTGCAATAGCTAGAAATCCAACGAGCCTCAGCACTCCGTAGATCCATCTGGCTGCGAAATGATCATCATACAACCCCTATGATTACTTGACGGTACTGTACATCCAGGGACTCGAAGCTACTGACTAAGCCCCATAGCACCACTCAGTCCCCAAGTCTAAAACACCGACCACTGAATAAGTTAATATCAAAAGGCGACACGTAGCCACCCAGATTTCCCCAACCACGCGAGCTTGCGATCCCAGCGAAACGTGGGGCACTGCAACCCCGGAACGTCGCGCTCTGGGACGCGTCCAGGGGGTAAAGGAGAGCTATTGAACCACCAACCACGGATTCCTCCCGCGCAGTTCCGCGAGGTACAACCAAACAATCTCTTAGTGCCCCACCACTGGCCGAACACACGGAAACCAGAACTCGAGAATGCATTTCGCGTCGCGCACGTTCCAGCGGCACAGATGAGTGGACACCGAGTGGGGCCTCGCGTCCATGGCCCTCTTGCCTCATTTCCTACCTGAGTAGGAGCGGGAAGATTTTAGCGGTAGCGTAGTAACGTGGTAGGGTTAGGCTTCTTTTGCGGAACTCAAGCTACGGTCGCACCGGGATCTTGGAAGGTTCTGGACTGGTTTTTGGCCGTTGCCCCGGACTTTATTTTCTACGCTACGGACTGGCCACTAAAGGGGTCCTAAGGGAGCGATATCTCCATTGGTGGGTATTTTACTTCCTTTCTAGGTGCTATACAGTACTATACTACCTAATAAACCCTGACGCGCAATATCAACGCATTAAGACAAAGCCGGTTTCTCTTTTTCCGCCCATGTCTTAAACGGCAATACCGCACAAGGCGTAGACGGGCAGGTATGCTTGCGGTTCAAAGACTTGAACTTGGGCCCGTTCGGCCCCCCAACGTATTTCGCCTCTCCAAAGATAGACGGCTCATGTGGCGGCTGGTCGTCTCCCCATTTCCCATTGAAGTTCAGCCAGGAGAGGGGGTAATGATCCCCGCCGGCTTCAAAGGTCGCCGTTGACGGGTCGTAGGTGTATGCGTAGGCGTTGAGGACTGGGTCCCATAGGACCCCGCGATTTGTGTAGTCCAGCAGGAAGCCGGTGGGGAAGCTGATGCCTGGGATTGTATGGTCGTGTTTTCTGGAGAGTTAGAGTTAGTGAGTAAGTGTTCGCTTGATGAGGGGATATGATTACCCTGCAATGGCGTAGTTGGCATGGGTTCCATTGCCCGAGTACGAGTATGGCCTTTTGCCCTGCTTCTCCAGTGCGTTGTAGGTAAAGGCTTGGCCGCTGGCGTGCTGGCTGAACCATATTGATTGCGGGGTGCTGTTGGAGAACCGGATCATGTTGTGTTCCCTGGCATGGGTCAGTTGGGTCAATCAATTGGGTTGGTTTCCCTACCAGTCGCCCACATGATCTCCGAATTCCATGCCCAGGACGATGTCGCCCTTGTTGTATCTGGATGTATCAGTAAATTTATCATCCTGCAAAGCAGCAGACTTGCTTACGCGTAGAAGTAAAAATAGAACGCATCAACCTTCTCACCACCGTGATCAACTACAACGATAGCGCATCCAGTCCCATTGCCCGTCCGACCGTCGCTATCAGGCGTGATGCCACGGAACCAAGCGGGTTCGGGGGTCGCAGCGATGCCTTCATGGGATGTGAGGTACACACTAGTGTTGCCCATGCTATTGAGCTGATCGAGGTTGTTGAGAGTCAAAGGTGATGGGGCACCTTCAACTGCAGTCCAGTTTACCGCGGGGATTGTATGATCCAGTTGTGCTTGGAGATCGCTAGGTCGGTAAGGGTCCTGGCTGTGCAGCCAGCCCAGAGGGGCTTTCCATAGTTAGGAGTGAAGTGAGTATTCAAAATAGTAAGTTCTTACCGTAGTCGTACACATATTTTGGGATAGTAGCTGTGGCGCTGACTAGATGGATCATAGGTTGAACAGCCAGCGGGGCCAGCGCCACCAGATTCGATTCCAAACGCATATCGATAAATGTATGAGTGCTATGTCGTCAACCACAAAAGCGGTCGAAACTTCTTCAGGAACGGAGGGCTCAAGAGATCGTGTCCCACTCGAGGTTTTATCTATATAGCGATCAGCAAGACCCCGTCACAAGATGCAGCAAAGCAGCTCACCCAAGACCGAGGGCCTCCAGAGAGAAACCCCTGGAAAGTAACGAAATGACCGATAAATAAGATGGCGAGTACAGGTACGATCTGGACTGGCGTTCCTTTAATGTCACATTGCTTTTTCGCCTGCCCCGGTTGATGTAATGCGGCCAAGGGGCCATCACACGGCCTCGACGCAGCCAAGTCTCCGAGAGAATTGCAGAGTCTCCGCTTCAGCATCGGGGAGACCGAGCGCACACGAGGGAGGATTCCCAGGCGGGGGCAACATGGGCAGGTGGCCTCTAGGGATGCATTGGAATGTTCTGATTCATACTTAGTGCTGCGCCACAGATCGACAGGTCCAGGAACATCTAGCGGTATGAGAGCTTCCGATTTGACGGCCATATGAGTCTAACTTTATGTAGTTGAATAAGCTGCAGGGCCCGTTCGCAGGTGTTGATATATCTGACGGGGGTCATCTGATAAGATGACCATCATCAGATCCTCGGAGAGAGGGCGGGTAATTCCGATACCTGGACCCTTAACATAAGGTTTAGTCATTTGAGCCCTAGGCCATCCACGAACTCTATCTCGTGGAGCTAACCCGCAGCAGTTTGGGATGAGAGGCGAAGAATATCCGTCTAGCCTTGTAGGTGGGATCTTTATCGCGAATGATCTCCCGACGGGGCCCGTTTTTTAGAGTCTGCCAGAAATGTAACTTCCAGGGTAATATCAACCTCTTATTCCAGGCTGGATGATATTTCTGGGAAATCTCGGTGCAAAATTGGTTGGATGTATGTACGACTCATTGTCGTGAGCGCAGCGGTTGACAGAGCGAGTTCTTCTTTCGTGAAGCAATTCTGCATGTATTTCCACACTTAATATGGAAATACAGAAATTCTGTTTCCTTTTCATTCGTGCTGCAAGGAGTATTTTTTTTTTTCAATTAGTGCCATGACATAGAGCAGGCCGGTATAGCATCAGCCCTGCCAACACTCGAACCCAACAGGTTCACAAAACATGTAACACAAGTTCATGACCAGTTTCATCATAATTATTTAGTATCACATATCATATGTATTCGTCTGTATACTCCTCTAGAACAAATACCCCAGATCCCCTACCCCTCTACAATCTTCCATCCTTCGCCTTCTCCGCCTCCTCTTCCTTCCTCTTCTCCGCCTCCTTCATCAACTTGAAAATCCTCAAATCCAACGGAATCCGATCCCCCAGCCACGTCGCACGCTGCGTATGATTACGCTCTTCCTCCGACTCGTCATGCGTATTGGGATGGATCAAAGCGCTCAGGGGGCCACGATGAATAACCAGCCACGGGACAAAAGCCCCGAACTGTGCCGGTGTGAAGAGGTTGACTTCAAACATGGCCACCGGGTGCGGGCCAATGGGTTTATCGAAGAAAGTGTAGATGCGTAGTTCGGGAACTGGCCATGTTAGATTTCCACCGGTCAAGAAGATACTAGGGTATGGGATTAATTGCTTACATTCACGACGAATACGCTCCCACAATGCCCGGGCATATGCGACTTGGTCTGGGTTGTTCTATTCGGGTATCAGCCTCGTGCTGATCATTCAGGTGTGGTTTTTTGAACCTGGAAGTGGTAGATGTGGATGTCGAATCCGCCGTGTCCCCCTTTGGTCAATGGGTCTGGAAACTCCTCGTAGGCTTTGCTGAGGATGCCGTGCTGAGGGTTCTTGAATGACTTGCCGTCCTCGTTTCTCTCTCTGGTTGGCGGTTTAGTGTTCGCCGTGATCTTTGAATGTTGTTTGACTGGGACTCACTCGGGTAGCGGCTCCAGGTTCTCATATCCCTCCAATGGCGATGGGTACGAAAATGCGAATTGATCCGTCATTGTGAATGCTGATAATGTACTCGGGTATGGTATGGGCTCTGGTGTGTGATTTGAGGGGCTGAGCGATCGATAATGAGCTCGGATAAGGCGCTCCAGGTGATAATATATTTGCTGGAGAAGACCCCACAATTCGAGGGGTGATCGGTCTTATCAAGCGGCAACACAACCTCAAATCCTTAGAAGGCGAAATTTCAGCTAGGTGATTACAAGGAAAGATGATCTCTAAGCATTGGCAATTGCTCCGACGATGACTGATGTTGTCCTTTCGGATATGCGTGAGGCCCAATTCCGCATTCTGACAAAGACGCGGAACACGGCGGGGCCCATTCTTGGCTTTCGGCGACTCTAGAAACACCTTCAATTATACTGCACAACCATGGGGGCTTCAACCCTCGGAACCTGAGAGAAAATAGTCTGTATGTAGGTATACGCTCACTTGTGTATTTGTACTATCATAACGTGCAGACTCCGCGATACTGCGCCGTGCCAAATACAATGCATCCTGGTATCTAAATACTGCCTCTAAAACGCCATATCCAAGACCAAAGCTACTTCCAAGCAGCCTGAACATCAATGTGGCCTTCGTCGTCCATGACTTTGCCACGATCCCACTCTCGGCCCTCGCCCTTTTTCGACCATTTCACATCATCGGGGTTGCGCTCACCGTCCAGCCCGGTGAAGGCGGCGTTGCTCTTCCACCGATCAATGGTCGCATCGTTCATGCCAGCTGCACGCAGTCGTTCTTCTCCCTTTTTTCTCCATTTGGCACGGTCGCGCATCGCTTCGAGGGCCATGTCCCAATCGTCGTCTTCGGTCATGAGACCTGCAACGGGGCGGCGAGATCGCTTATCCGCGTTGTATGTGTCTTCGTCGGGTTGCACGTCCAGCGTAGGATCGTAATCCGCCGCAAAATGAGCGTCGATGGTACTTGCACTGGGTTTGTAGGCGCCCCGACCTCGCGAGCGAATATGCGCCGAGCCTGGGCCATCTTGAGGAGGAAGAGGGCCGACGAGGTCTTCCAGAGGATCCGACTCGTCGTCCGATCTATCGCGGTGTAGGGTCGTTGTAGTGGAAGATGATTTGTATTCGGACCGGTTGACTGCATCTCGAGATGAATGGCTTTCACGATTCGTCGCCTCGGCCCTTTCAGACCGTCGATCCCTATGGGTTCTGCGTGATAGTGATGAATGCGTGCCAGACGGGGACTTGGATCGACGAGAACGCCGCTCGCCGCGGTGGCGTTCAGAACTGCGATCCCGGCGGGGAGAACGACTGCGAGACCTCGAGTGTGATCGCTCCCGGCCCTGTCGCTCTGTCCGAGATGACTCGTGCTTGTGACGGTCTCGCCGTCGGTCTGAACGGTCACAGTCTCTGCGTTCCTCTCTCACTCTGTCACCATCGTCCCTCCGCCGATGCCGCCGAGAGCGGTCTCTGTCTCTAGATGTAGAACGACTCCGGTGTCGTCTCCGGTGTGCATTATGTCGGTCATCACGGTCCTCCTTGTGGCGTCTGTCGGCGTGTCGTGTACTGCTAGGGCGATCTTGTCTTCGGGAAGTTTGCGACGCGGAAGTTGAGTCGCCTTTGGCCTCGTTTTTCAGCTGGTGCATTCGTTCTCGGGCTTCTCTCTCCTCCTTCCGCTTCAGCGCTGTATTGTGATTGTCCGTTTCCTTGATTAGGTGCCGCAGAAACCGGGTATTGGGCTTCGGAGCGTTGCCTGTGGGCCTGCGAACGAGCCGAGTTAGCATGGCCGCTTTAGGAGGTTGATTCCGATATTTAGGAAAGCACACACTTGCGAGGCATGTAGGCTGACAGGCCCTCAGCCGAGTACTTCTGAGAAGTTTCCCGGGCCTCTTTGGCAAGGACCTGCGCAACGTAGTCGTCGTCCATGATGTTGCCGAGGCAAGACGTCGAATCGCAGGCTGCGGTGTTGATCCGAACCGACCAGACCAACTAGATGCAAAGAGCAGCGAATTAAATATCACTATCCCATCATCACGCAAACACTGGAAGTAAAGGAAGGTGTGGCGCCGAGAAGGTCGAGCTGCGCCTGCCGAAATCGAGGCTCTCACCGCCTTGCTATCTGTTATCGCGAGTTGCTTGTTTATGTTCTCGCGATTGTTTGCATGCGGGACTCTCAAACACCCTCACTTTGATTCCTTCAGGTGTAAATTATCGTCATCCATGTCATTTAAAATGGCGAACGATGCTTCTGAAACCCTAGGGGCACTCCAACAGCTCGAAGCAGAGCAGGGTGACCTGAAAAAACAGCTGGCGATTATTCGCATCAGTGAACCCATTTCCGACGTTGTCGATGCCAACTTCTCTCCCTCGAAGCGAGGCTCCGACGTCTCCTTATCCAACCTGAATGACCCGACACCAGCCTCTCTCGAGGCGGATCTCACGCATTACAAGGTTCGTTTGCTAGAATCTGACCATGCCTGTACCGAGTCGCAAATGCTAACACGGTTTACTATCCAGGAACTTTTTTCTAAGCTACGATTCTCCTACGTCGAGCAGGTAACGAAAGAGAAATTCTTGCGAGCGATCGTGGGTGACCCGCCGCTCGTGGTAGGACACAATGAGAATGTGGAGTTGGAGACGCAGCTGGCGGAAGTGAAAGCAGAGCTCAAGGCAAGCAAGGAAGAAGCGCGTCTTATGATCGAGGAGATGGAGAAAATGGGCCGAGATCTGGCGAGCCGTGAGTCTTCATGCGGGAGAGGTATACCCGTGCTGGCTAATGAGGTATGACACGGCAGGCTACAAGAATGTCGAGGTACAAATGGAACAGCTATCGACTCTCCCTGACGCTATCGAGAACCTCGAGTCCACCATTGCAGGGCTCCGCGCGAAACAGGTCGCCAATATGGACTCTTCGGACCCACGGTCGTCTCAGAATCTTCCTCTCCCTGCGACATTGAGCCTGTTGGCTGAGCGAGAGGTGGAATTGGCTGCGCTGAACAGGCAGATTGCTGCTGTGCAGAACATGTTGCCTCGTAAGACTCGAGAAGCCGAGGCGATTGAGAGGGAGTGTACGGTGCTTGAGCGACGCAGGGTTGAAGCAATTGCACAGGCCCGCGAGGCGCAACGGAAGAAGCTGGAAGGGGAGAGCGACGGTCTCGAGGAGATGGGCCGATGGTACCGAGGTGCAGAAGAGACATTGAAGGAGATGGTGGGCGTAGAGGGATGAAAGACCTTGTGGCACGTGGGCTTGACAACGATTACACGATAAAGGAATCTGGGGAATTGGGGATCGGCGTTTTTATGATTGAAGATCTACTGTACATATGGAAACCAGTAATGGCTCAGCTGCGATGGGAAGAATAAGAATTCGGGTTCCGAATTGAAGCCGTCTGGCTGTTTGTGATTCATTCAATTTGCATGATCATACATGATGTGGATATGCTATAGTCATCATGAACATCCCAGAACATTTGAGGTGTCCAAAAGCGAAACCCAACCGTACTCCCGTTTTTCTTTTTTAAGAGATGATTTACTCCTCATCCTCCTCGGCCTCCTCACCGTCACCACCAGCGGCGGCAGCGGCCTTCTTGCGGCGAACACGGCCAGGGCGGCCGCCACCGAAGGGCGAGGTCAGGGCGAAGTCAATGTGCTTCTGGGAGTCCAGACGGACCATGTAGGAGGGCACGTTGACGATCTGCTTGCCGACACGGATGTGACGCTGCTTGATCAGGACACGGGCGTGGTGGATGGACTTGGCGAGGCCAAGCTTGTAGACGCAGGTCTGGAGACGGCGCTCAAGGAAATCCTCGACCTTCAGGGCAAGAACGTAATCGAGCTTCATGCGGGACTCGTCGAGGACACCGATGCGCACAAGACGGCGAATCAGGGCGTTACCCTCGAACAGACGCTTGGGGTCCTTCTCATCGAGAGTGAGGAGCTCACTGCGACCGTTAGTTTCACGATTTCTCCAATGACCGGGGTTTGTTCCTTCACGTACCGAGCAGCACGACGAATCTTGGAGAGGGTAAGCTGGACACGCCACACCTCACGCTTGTTGCGCAGGCCGTACTCGCCGACAACCTTAAGTTCCGAGTCACTAGAAAAGTGGTTAGAGTGGAACACACGACATAACCAGAAGCACGCTTCTGATTAGTGGCCGGAGAGTACTAACAGACGGGCCGACTCGAAAGCTGCAATGGAATTAGCCTCAAAATTCACCAAGATGCGATTTTTTGAAGGTTGTACTCACGGCGACGGGGGACCTTGTAGGTCTTGGAGTAGACACGACTGTACAGAGAAAGCGGTTAGATGAATGCGATAGGCGCATTGTAGACATAATACTCACGGGGCGGGGGCCATGGCTGCTGGTTGTCCTGGTTGTCGCGGGAGTTGTCGAATAAGCACTTCGAGTGAAATTCACAGAAGGAAAGAGTTGAGGCGGGCTTAGCGACAAACTAGTCCCGAAAAGGTAAGCCTTGTGGTTGAGCCCTAGTCACGTGAAGCGAGACACACCGTCGAATCTCCGGGCCGCCGCTTCACCTTTGACGAAGGTAGCCCGTTGTCGACAATTTTCACCACAACACCAACCACAACACCGCCGCCATGCCTCACTCGTACGGTCTGCGCGCTGGCACTCGGGTACGTCTACGAATCCGATATTCGATACTTTTGGCACATTTGGAGGACTATGGTATACTAACTGCGTCGACAGTATGCCTTCAGCCGCAACTTCAAGGAACATGGCATGATCCGCATGTCCACCTACCTCAAGACCTTCCGGTACGACTTTACGAAAACCGATATCGAGATTGATATATAGAACGAGATCTGACCGATTTTTTAGTGTTGGTGACATTGTCGATGTCAAGGTCAACGGTGCCGTCCAGAAGGGGTCAGTACAATCCGAATTTTCTTTTTCTTCGCTCGCCCAGCAACACACTCGAAAATATCGCCTTCCCCTGCGAAATTCCCCTTTGAACACAATCCACAATTTGCGATGAGAAGGAACATGAAAAATTGACTGTCAGAACAGTATGCCCCACAAGGTCTACCACGGCAAGACCGGCGTTGTCTACAACGTCACCAAGTCCTCCGTCGGTGTCCTCCTGTACAAGCGTGTCGACAACCGCTACATCGAGAAGCGCATCAACGTCCGCATCGAGCACGTCCAGCACTCCCGCTCCCGTGAGGAGTTCATCAACCGTGTTAAGGAGAACGCCATCAAGAAGCGTGAGGCCAAGGAGAAGGGTATCCACGTCCACCTGAAGCGCCAGGCTGTTGGCCCCCGTGAGGGTCACCTCGTCAAGGCCGCCGGCAATGCTCCCGAGACCGTTGTCCCCATCGCCTACGACACCCACATCTAAGCGACTCGCAAGGAATTGGGTCTGGGTTCGGTGCGCGTGGTTGTTTGGTGTTCTTTTATCTGGGTTACTCTCCGTTTTTACACCTGACCGGGTGGAATGGATTTTGGCTGCATGAGACGACACGTGAAGGGTCTCCGATGCCCGGCACATCTCTCGCCTGTGCATAGATTCCCCTGAATGAAACAAAATCAAAAATTTCTGAATTCACAAGTCATTTTCCACTTGTACGAGGAGACCTTGAAGCGGTCTGTCTAGAGTCCACGGGTGTCTAGGTACTGCCTTACCGCTTTGATTTCGCATGAGCCGCCCCCAAGCGAGCGATGTCCGTAGTGAAAACAGGCGCTGCCGTATTTAGGCCACCCTGTCGACTTATTGGGTGTACATCTGGATAGCTACAGTCTAGAAACGAACGATAGCGCCTCTTTTCCAGGGAGACGACGATTCAATGTTCTCGAGCGGCCTTGTAAACGGCCTGAAGGGTCTGGCCCTTCGAACGTCCAATTACTCTCTGCGAGAGCTTCGGACGACGTGAGCATATTCAGCCCATGTAAGAGTCTAGACTTCAACTCCTTCGAATTTATGTTGTAGGAATGCTCAGGTCAATTGAGGGTGATCCTCGCAAGGTCTGGCCCTCATCGGCCACAGCTTCTCCGCAGTGCACTGAAACGAACACCCAAGACCCATGCGAGTCTAGATTTCAGATCACCCCAGGGGCCAGCAAACTTGCAACAGTTCGACCGACTTTACAAACTATACGTATGACCTCATGCCTCGGGCTTCACAGGCGCAGCAAGGCAAGAAGGAGAAAAGGAAGGTCTAGAGCTCCATAGTGTAGCCCCACTCTAGTATGTACCCTTGTATCATCCAACTGCTTCTCGCGAGCTTTGTCCTGATCTCACACTGCAGGTCCCCCTGTTAAACAGCCCGTACAGCCCAGGCGCTCGATGCAAGGTCCGCCTCGGGAATAATTTCGCTGTAGAGAATAAACCCTTCAGCCGAACAACCATCGCTGACTGCGCCACACTAAACATTCTCGGTATCATACGTCAATGCGATGGACAATTTCGCCCGCTAAGAGGCAAGCACACCCGTCTGACCCAGGTAAATCACCAGGGGCCTGAGCATCCCCTCCACACACTTCTCACTCATTCTCTATCCGGGAAAGATGGCAGCACGACGGTAATAATAACCCTATGTACATACATGTATTATGTCCGAACCTTCGCCAAGTGAACAAATTACAAACAAATTCGGACACAAGGCTGACAGAGACTTGACAAAAAAAACCCCTGTGGGTAAATGCCATGGTGGCCGTGTGATCTACGGATCCGCAACGGGGTACATGGCGGCGTAGGTACAATGTAACGGGTAACAGAATCTTACAATAAGGCAAAAGCTAAGGGAAATGGCACAAGGTATGGCCAAGCTCCCGCTTTCTCACGACTAGTGAAGGGTTCGCCACTGGGAAGAAGCACCAGACTAGGCTTCTAGTGCGACGAGGCTTCTCTGCGCACGTCCGGGGACCTGCGTCTGCCCGATACCCTTGATGACGCGGACGGGGATCGTGCTCTCGGGTTTGTTACGTGGTCAATACATACAAGTCTCCGAGATGCATTTCGTTGTAACCGGTTTCGGAGGAACGGTATGCGCTCTGCTCGGGTCGGATCCTTGGTCAGGCGTATTGAGCGGTTGTATATTATCGACGGATGTGGTGATCAGCATATCCGTCCTTGAGTTCTTAGGCCATAGCCTTGTGGAGACCGATATAATTTTTATTTTATTTTCCGAGTCTAATTTCTCGGCGTTTCAGGAACGTTATGCTGTCGGTGCTCCAGCACTGTTCTGTTCGGTTGCGCCCAGTTGGACGAAGATATACATGCTAGGGCTTGGCGCGAGCGATGCGCCTTTTTTTGTGAGTGGGCGAGACGTCCGAGTCGCGAGTCCGGAATATCCACTATTGTTGAGCTAATGATGATCAATGTTATTCGGTCCTACCGACAAATACGAGACCTTTGTTTGTCCAAGCCCTCCGTATGTCTAACCCTTATAAGAAAAACCCGCAGTCGGCCCGCTCGGGGATGCCGTGCCACACCTCACAGCCACATCCAGGACAAACGCCTCATATCGGAGCCGTAATTTGAACGTTTCTGTCACCCCGGCAGAATCTAGGCAACCACTAGGGCCAAGGGCCGTCTCGAACCCTCAGGACTCGAGTCTGGCCCGGGTCGATCGCTGATCACCACCACTGCCGTATCCACTCCCCAAGTCCCGCGCCAGCTGGATGGTAGCGCGCGGTCCCTGCCCGCTAGCTCAAGGAAGTCGACGTGGAACGTCGTGATACGGCTATGGCCAAGATTCGGCAATGACGGTCTGGTTCCGTGCATGTTCTTTGTTTCATCTTGTCTTAGGTGGGTGCGAGAGATGTGTACATGAATGAGGGCATTCTCAGTTAAGGGTCGAGACGGAAGGGGTACAGTAGGCTTCGCCACATTTTACCCTGGAGTCATGCCCAGGTGCAATTTGGTTAAAGTAAACCCTGGTAGCTATTCATCTCTTCGTTCCATAGCCCAAGACTCCAGGCAAGGTTGGGAAGGTTTAGGGTGACGAGGGAGACGTGTACATGACTCGGGGACGATGAGGATCCTCGACACCGCCACAGCTTTCTCGGAACGGGGATTTACGATCGAAAGAAGCGTTACTGGAATGTAAGATTAGCGGTATTGGACTCGGTTCATAGTGGTATTGGCACTTTCCGCTGTATGGGCGCGTATTACCCCCACCCGGCTCGCCTTTTTAGAGATCTAGAGCGGTGGACCACACCGACTTTCTTGTATTCCCATGTTCCGTGTGATCGGATCCGCTAGTCCGAGGACAAACTCGCATCCTTCCGAGAAGATCAAAATGCATGAAATGTGGTGACATCCCGGGATCTCCTTGTCTGGAGACCATGTCCCTATTTCCACAGGAACGAAGCTTACGAATCTACTATGACCAGTGTTTGGGACAGCCACTTCTGCAGGAGGTCATCTTGGGCATGATTTCTACCCTACTGTTTAAATGAAAAATTTCCTGATGGTACTCCGATTCTCAGGCAATTGTGCAGGATCGCTCGAGCTTGGGACCCCAGAAAAAATCCTTCTCGAGATAATAAGAATAAAATGGTTCAGCCTTGAATGTCATCGCGTTTTAGCCAATGACGGTGTGCGAGTGGGGTCTTGGTGGATTCCCTTGGCAGCATCGGTTGTTCCTGGCTATCCACTCGGAGTCGACGCGAAGTACTGAATGACTCGACAATATTTTTTTTGAAGGTATAATGTTTCCCCCGGGTTGAGAGAGGGTGCAAACCCGGGTGTTGGTCGCAAGCAGCGATTTTCTGGACAGCTTGAGCCTCGCCTAGCATAAAATGAATCGATTCACCAGAGGGAATTGTAGTTTATCACCCATCACCGCGTCGTCATTTGGCCCCGTCCTATACGGCCTAGCTGTCACCAAGAGTCGTGATTGTCAATCGTAACCATCAGTCCACGCTGTTACTTCAATTACGAGTCCGCTAGAGATACTGGTTTTACATATTCCATTATTATCCTTGAAGACCACCCAAATCTCGCCGTATCCCAAGTCACTACATCCTAGGACCCATTAACATGAGTCCCGCACGGTAAGTTCCGTTCTGCACAGACTCTGCAGTTAGCGTACAGCAACGTGCAGCATGTGCATTACAACCTCCTATCCAGTTTCTCCCTATTTCATCCTCAGAGCCCAGCCATATACTGATTCGCGATCGAACAGGAACCCCGACCTGAGCCAAGTTGGTGCATGGGCCTCCACCTCTAAAGGTGGCCCACCCTCGACCCTCACCTTCGGCAGTTCCACTTCTGCCTCGTCTTTCGGTTCAGGCGGCAAGTCTACCAAGGGTAGCTCCTCAATGCTCGACGAATATATCAAGTCCCCCGCTAGCTCACAGCCGTGGTCGCCTTTAAAGATCGGCCGCTAGGGCATCGCCACCGTCATCGTCATACTCAGCGACATCATGAGCCACATGGGAAAATACAAGGAATGGGTGGGTAAAAGGGCGTTCCGTTTCAGAATTCTCGGTCTTGGGCGGTGGGTTATGGGTTATGGGTCATGGGGATCACTGGGTTTAGGACGGGCTTGGTGTTTGCAGCGAGGCTCATTCGGCGGTGGGGCAGGATGGCCAATTTGGGGGCTGCCTCTATTGATTTCCCCTTCATGATCCACCCTTTATTATTTTATTTTATTTTATTTTGGGGTTGAGAAAGTTTAAAGAAATTTTCATAGATGAAAACAATTAGGTTTCCTATTGGTCTTTGCTCCGGTGAAAATCTGGTTCGTTTCCCTTCGCAGCTGACTGCAGCATGCAACTTCCGGGTATTTTACGCCATTCAGGCACTCCCTAATCATTCACGAGGAAAAACTTCCCTTGATATCCGACGAGGTCTGATTGTTGGGTCTTCATTTCCTTTGTTAGGCTCCCGTTGTGTTTGTTGTATGTCTCCTAACCACGGTACTCAGCACGGCTCGAGCCGGGAGTTGTGGGTCTATCTCAGATTGACTTTTGCGACGTCAGTTTTCTTTTTCTCCTTCAAGCCTCAACAAAAGCAACTACACAAGCCAAGAACAGGAAGTTGACCCATACGCGTAAGGCTGACGAGTCCCTGATTCTCAGGGTTAGTCAGGGTCAGTGCCCCGCAACGAGCCCAGCTGGTGTCTTTGCGTTCCGGAGCACTACCGTCTTAGCCTTCCCAAGGGAAATGAAAGTGGGTATCTTAATACATAAGGATCGCCGATAGAGGTAGATCACGAGATGAATGATCAATCTTTCCCTGTCAGCCGCCATTCTGGAGGTGATTGGCCAATGTCGATCGCCATTAACCGAGGGAGGCCGTTGCGTCGTAGTGGCGACAAGCGAGCTTAACAGCCAACTCAATTCACTCGCGCAGCTGAAGACTGGGTGATTTCTCTAAGCCGATCCGTTGATCTCCGTCATTTGCACCCCTGCCCGCATCCTGGTTGATCAGGCGGAAGCAGATTCTTTTCCTCTCGGGCAGCGATCAACAACGCCCTAAGAGAGGATATTGTGGGGCACAGATGACATCGCTCATCCTTTGATCGCCTCGTTTTCAACCCTCAGATCCCCTCCAGGCCTCATGACGGGAACGTGTTCCCGAATCCCCCACTTTTTACGCCCGATCAACCTCCCTACTACATTGGTCTTCGGAGAGGTATGCCGACTTGCATATCTGCAATTTGCCCGGAAGTATCTAATCCTCTTTTTGGACCCGATGAAATTTGCTTCGTGGGGCACTCGAGGGGACTGTGCTCGAAAGCACTCGTCAAAAGCTCCCAACCTCTCAGATGGAGGATCCGCCAAGGTAACTGCACCTGCACCTGCAGCGAATCAGCTCTGCTCACGGCGAATAATTGGCTCCTGGTGGACCGTTCCCTCTTGATCGCGGGCGTGTCGATATCCACGAAGGGGCGATCAGTCTACCATACAGTAGCTTTTTCAGTGTACCTTGCAGTGGGGATTTGCCTACTGGCCTGTGACCTGCAACGTTCCCATCGAGTTTCTTAACGACGCCAATCACGACCCGGTGATTACACACCAGTGTTATCACCGCACTTCTCTTGCTCGTCTCACCGTGACTGGCGAGGTGATTTAGTAGAATCAGAACTTAAACGGGACCGCTGGAATCCGAAATACCCTGCCGGAGAAAAGGAAACCGAGCCCCAGCTGACACGTATTCCGGCCCGATTGCTGCTCTCGCAATAGGGTTTTCTGGCCACAGGTTGCACGACGTAGTCACAGTCGAGATCGCAATCGCCATGTGTGCGGGTGAAACACGGCAATAGTCATGCAGACCAGTCAATAAACAATAAACGGTGGTGTTCATCGTGGTCTATGATGTACATCAATTACGTTAAGTCGATCCGGCTCCTGTCGGTGTGTTTCCCGTTGGGCGCTGATCCCGCGCGGCTCTGCTCGTATGTACTTCGGGGCGGAGTAAGGCCTTCCCCCTCATGAGGCTGTGTCCTGCTCGACACCTCATACCTGGGAGCCCTTATATTCCGGCCCATAAAGGCCACGGATGTGAGCCAGGAAAACCTGGTGGTTGGTTTCTTCTTTTCTGTTTCACACTGCTCGTCGCTGGACCGCATGGTTAAAAAAGCGCCTCCCGTCCTGAGGATCCGTTGGGGCCCCAGCTCATTTCTGTTGATTTGTGGATATTGCGAATTTCTCCCGGGTTTTGAGCTAGTCGAGCTAGGATATTGTCCCTACCCCCCTCACATTCCTCCATGTATATAAAGCTGTCTGCCCCGGCACACCGAGTCCAACCACCGGTCTCTTTTTTTTCTTCGCCCCTCCTAAATACTTTTTACTCCTCCACCATTCTTGACTGGTTTTGTCGGACCGGTCCCCGGTCCTTACAGTTACTTGAACCTTCCCCGCCATCATGGATTCATTCCACAGTGGCATGTACCCACCCGATGAGGAGCAGGATGGCGTTATGGTAGATTCTTGCCTCTCACAAGAAACCGTGAGAGGAAGTTCCTTTGAAATGTCTCAGCAAGATATGCCTCAAGGCATGGGTTGTACTGGACACTACCCAGTGAGTCGCATCATCTGGCTTCCACGGCGTCACATCCCCGCCTCACTTTTCAATGATCCTCTCATACGAAAGTATTTCACAGAATGGATAGCTAACCTTCTCTCGTAGGAATCATACGAGACCGCGTCCGACCACTATGATCCGAGCAACCCTGCCTACACTGTCACAACGGAGACCAGCTGGACGGGCATGGATCCGTTCGGCTCCGGCTCTCTACCTTACGAAGAGCTGACACTGTCAGGTCCTCCTGTTTCACAGGAGGTGGAGCTGCGTGGAATTACCGGCGGCTCCGAAATTGATCTTGACCCATTTCTTAATGAAATGGAGACGGAGTTGTCCCCCACTTCACCTTTCCGTGGCCGGAATATCGAGACAAGTGCTATGATGGGGTTGACTGGCGATGATACTCAGCCAAGTGTCTCGCGTCAGCCAAGACCGGTGGATGGCCTAGTACAGTCTCTTGGGCGTGTTGCTGATTTCTCCCGCAATATTCAATCAAACATTGAATGCACTCCGAATCAGCTGCGCCAGGCGATACTAAGCCTGACCCATCTCACCGATCATGCGAATGTTCTTCTTCGGAAGCATGATACTTCCTTGATCGCACCGGAGCCTCCTCGTTCAGCGCCGTCATCTACAGAGTCTATAACCGTTACCAGATACAAATGCTGGGATTGCAACAGTTTTGACACTGGTAACAGAGGTAGCTTCACCCGTCACGTTGATAGCATGCATTACCCAAAATGCAAGTTCTTCTGCCCCGTATGTGGGGCTGAGAAATCCAGAAGAGACCACGCCAGAGACCATGTGTCGATTGTCCACGGAAGACAGGCCACCAATGAGGAACTCGATGCCAACAAAATCGATAATGCTTGTCCAGTTCAATGCCCCATCTGTCGTGTTACCCTCAACTCGTGGCGAGAATTTCAAAATTGCTACTGTGCCCACTGTTCCTATGACGTTCCCCCAAAGCCCACGACTGCATCTCGACGTGGAAGCGCCGACCGAGGGGACGGAGGAAGAGGGGATGAGTTCAGGAACAGCCAGCCTGTGGAGGGTACTGGCATGAGAAACCATGCGCCAGCTCAATCACAAAGTGGGTTGCTAAGGGGTACCACCGATCGGGGTGTCTATCCTCCTTCCTTCTCGGGGGCGAGTGGACTAACGAACCAGATTCCACGGCCCCAGGCTTTACCTCGTCTGCCGACGAATGCCCGGGTTACAGATAACACCGGCACGGCCCTGTTACCAGCCAATGTGCCACGCTCCCCTCAAACCACGAGACGCTCTATACCAGGTGATGGTATCTATCGAATCGATCGGAATTACCGACTTGGTGGTCCAAATCGGTTTACACCGGACCAAAGAGCACGAACACCCAGGGGAGAGCCCGACCCAGGCTGCACACGATGTCTGCACCGCTTCAGCAGCTGTCAACACCCACAGTGCCTCCGTCAAACCGAATCAAGTGAATCTTGCCATGCATGCCCGCATCGTCCCAGGATTTTGGCCAGCATTGGACTGTACCCTAGGCCACAGCTAACTGGCCCACCCCATAACAATGAGACAATCGATCCGTCTCTACTTGCCCCAGGATACCAGCCACAGCCGGCTACTGGCCAAAACACACAAGAGCAGCTTCCATCCTGGAATCGGCAATTCAGAGATCAATTACAAGGGTGGCGCTTCAATAATGGCATGGGATCGAATTTCACAGGCACGCGAAGGCGCCACCCCAGGAACAACCGCAGAGTTCTGGCGGTGACGAGTATTGACGAGCCTATTTTCAGCGAGCAAGAGGTGGCACTACCATCGGTTCTTGACCTCAAGGCAGCCCAGCAGCATGGCGCACTACTCAAAATGCTGCCCATGATGAACCCGTTGAAGACATGGTTCTCCAAGCCGCTAAAAGACCTTAGCTCAGTATCCCTGAGTGGTAAGCACCTCCACATCTCCACAAAGAGAGATAACAAAAACCAGTATACTGACAAACACAGGCCTTGACTTCATTACCCAGTTCAACAAGCCTCCCAGCGCAAGTCCCCAGGCCAACCCTAGTTGCCAGTGCAAGTGTGCCTGTCGGGCCAGAGCACGAGCGCAGCTAGCTTCGGGCGGGCAAGTCGAGATGAAGTTCAAGCTGCACCCCGAGTATCGCGGAACCAGTCATCTCCGCAGCCGAGTGGAGGTCATGCTGAAGCTTTTAAAGCTGCGCTCATCTGCGGCCCAGTCCAAGTCGAAGAGAGAGGAAGCCAAAGCGGCGATGGCACGGGCTTTCGAGCCGGTTTTGGTCGATCGCCCCTATGATGAGTCTGATGTTTCGGATGAATCTGATACCGAGTCGGTATTTGATGAAGACGAAGATGATGCATGGTCCAGTTCTTCTTCTTGCCCGGATCTTACGTCCCTTGTTCCCGCCGAGCCGGGATCGTCTGACTGTCCGGATATTTCATCTGATGACTCGCTGCTCCCTCTTGACGGCAATGAATATGAAGGGGAAGGTGATGACAGTATCCTGATTCAATTTGATTTCGATCTGCAATCGGCCCTTTCCAAGCTGTCCAAATGGACGGGTGGGTCTTCTCGTGATATCGCTTCTGATATGTGCATCTCCGATCCAGGCCGTGTCTTTGAATACCTCACCGCATACATTTTGTATGTGATCATGTCATTGGCCCGCTCGCGAGACTGTGGTAATCCGCGTTTGGGCAATTAAACAACGCCTTTGCACGTCGACATTCATGAGCCACCCACTTCATGATACCCTCTTACCCGTTTCTCCTATTTGTTAATTCACGTTTCTCGTTTGTTCAGTTTTAACATCTGCACAAAATCTGTAACAAAAAATTCCTTTCTCTTGTCCCCATGTTCCCTCTCCAGCATATCGACAGCTGGCGATTGGTCTTGGTGAGCGCCGACCCTTTCATCTCTCTTTGGTCCTGAATACTAATGGCCGAGGCAGAACAAAAAGTGTACATTCTGGACAGTCTGTATCAGTGTGTATAATTAAAGACTAGAAGTGGAGGAGACCTTTTCAACTTTCAAATTTCTTCATATTTCCTGGGTGGCCTGCATGATGTTACGAGTTATGTTTACATGTTGCAATTGATCTTAGGTCCTATTATAGCAATGCATGAGTTCCGACCAAAAGTCACTGGGGTTTTAGAATCGCCAGCTTCTTTCCCATGAACGACACTATACCTATGATTGTTTCTGCACGCCTTCTACAGCCATTGGCTGTTGGTAAATGATGCACCATCAGGTATTCAATGCATAGATCAATAAGGTGATGTCATTATCGTGGCTGTGGCACACCAGTCGTGCCATACGCGCCGCGGCCCATATTCGCACACTTCGAACATAGACAATCAAAGATAAGCATGGAGCTTGTAAACGAGTGTCACCAGATAAATTCCGATAAAAAAGAAACCTGCGCCAAGCGAGATAACTCACGCTATCCAACGCTCTCAAACCACGCTTAAGCGGCAACAAGCTCATTGATGCCCTTCTCAATAGCTTTAATATCAGCGCCAACGACCTCGGTGATCTTCTCGCCTCCCTTGAAGAACACGAATGTAGGCATAGCTCGGATACCAAGCTCCTGGGCAAGATCTTCCACGGCGTCGACGTCAACCTTGAAGAACTTGACTTGCGGGAAGCCCTCGCTGAGCTGTTCGAACATTGGAGCGATGGCCTTGCAGGGTGGGCACCAGGTTGCCCAGCAGTCTAGGACGGCGGCATCTTCTGAGCTGATGATCTTCTCCATGAAGTCCGCCGTGCTGCATAAGATGTCAGCCCTCGTGTATGGATGCGGGGTAAGTGAGATCTTGACCTTTCGATCGCAGTTACCGGCATGATGATTTTGTATTTGCTAGAATGTTCGAGAGAGATGAAAAAATGAAATGTGTTGACAAATATCGCAAATGGCGGGGAATGATGTAAAGAGAATAGATCGGAGCGTCCCGGAGTTAAGAGTGGTGAGGTGGTCCAGATCCAAATGAGGGGCTGCGGCTGAGCTTGGCCCGAGTGGGATTGTGCCGGTGCCGCTTTAGTCAAGCTGAGATCTAAGATCATGAACCGTATAGGAGAACCGTCCACATCTGTTCTCTTCTAGGAGTGATTGTGACAGACTGTGGGACAAAACACATGTAGAATTAATGAATGTCCATTTCCTTCAAGTACTGTAAAGCGGGTGAGTAGGGGATCGTCCACTTTCGAATGCGGAGGCTAATATCTTACCTGAGAGATTGCATCCCGCAAAATATTCTATTGTTCCCTGACTTTGACCTATAACGCATTGTACTAATCCGGCATGTTACTTCTCATGAATAAGAAACCTGCTAGCGCGGACTCAGGAATAATCTGTCTGGTTGTATCGGAGTGATTATTAATCGCTTTCAACGGAGCACTTAACTGGCTTAACTATTGCGTTAACCAATTATCCACGACATTACAAATATAGGGGATTATTCACGTTTCTCAGCAAAGGCATGCGTCACACGCAGGAGACACCGAGGCAGAAGCCAGACCTCACTGCCATCTGGTCCCTATATAATACGCTCAGACTTAGCGCTGGAGAACGTAGTCTCCTTCGACGCTCAATAATTGCTTATAATTTCCTTGTATCAAGCTCTTAAATTCATCTCTTCCTACACCACGATATACAATGGCTGACTGGAAGTCTAAAGCACGGGAACATGTGAGCGAAGTTAATGCCTTGATTCCCAAGGAGTGGCTCATTCCCGGCACAATTCCTTCAGCAGATGACCAACGCGACGTGACGGGCTATATCCGCCAGTTCCTAACTGCGCGAGAGATAGACATTACAGAGGTCGACGCCGCCAGCATTGTAGCTAACATAGCATCGGGAGCATGGAAGGCAAAAGAAGTCACTGAGGCATTCTGCCACCGAGCGGCACTTGCTCATCAGCTGGTGAGTCAGACACGCTGCTCTTGCCGATATACTAATAAGGGGACAGGTCCATTGTCTACATGAAATATTCTTTGAAGCGGCCATTGCAGATGCAGAGAGGCTCGATGATTATTTCGAGAAGAAAGGCAAAACACTTGGTCCGCTACACGGGTTGCCAGTGTCACTGAAAGACCAATTTCACGTGAAGGGCGTTGAAAGCACCATGGGTTACGTGGGATGGCTAGGCACATTCCAAGGCAAGAAAGACACAGGAAAGGACAAAGTGTTCGAGAGTGAGATGGTCCGCGAGCTACGAGAACTCGGTGCGGTTCTGTACGTCAAGACCAGTTTGCCACAAACCCTAATAAGTGGCGAGACCTTCAACAACTTTATCGGCTATACCAATAACCCCCACAACCGTCACCTGGCTGCTGGTGGCTCTTCCGGGGGCGAGGGTGCATTGATCGCCTTGAGAGGCTCCCCTGTTGGATTTGGAACCGACATTGCCGGGTCAGTCAGAATGCCCGCCAGCGCCAACGGCATTTACACGATCAAACCTTCCGCTAATCGTCTTCCAATTTCGGACTTGGCTACCAGCATGGATGGCCAGAATACCATTATGGCGAGTATTGGGCCTCTAGCAACTTCCATCCCGGCCATGCGTCTAGTGTTCAGAAGTTTGTTAGCGGCCAAGCCATGGCTATATGATCCACAGGTTGTGGAACTCCCGTATCGCGATGAGCTGGAGCTGGAGACTCGCGAGCTCGCCAAGGGCCAGCTTGTTTTCGGGATCATGGAGCACGACGGTGTAGTCACTCCTCATCCGCCGGTGGCCCGCGCCATCGAGATTGTACGGTCTGCCATTGAGAAGTTGGGCCACAAAGCTGTCAAGTGGAGCCCACCTGCTCACATAAGAGCAGTAGAAATTTTGGTCAGTTGGGCCTGCATAAACCCCATTACGCTGCTAACAATTTCAGGTCAACGCTCTTCAATATGACGGCGGTCTAGATGTGCATAACAGCTTTAGCCTGTCTGGTGAAAGAGTCTACCCCCAAATCAAGGGCCTCTATGGCGAAAAGCCTAAAGACACGCAATGGACCGCCAGTGAGATCGCTGCGAATAATGTTCGCAGCCGCGAGTACCAGAAGGAGTACCTAGATTATTGGAATTCGACGGCTACAATCACTGGCACTGGCCGCCCTGTTGATGCGTGGATTCTTCCGGCAGCGCCGTTCACTGCTGCTAGACCTGGACGTTACGACTACTATGGGTATACCATGATCGCCAATGTTGTTGACTATACGACTGCTGTGATTCCAGTCACTGTTGCTGATAAGGATGTTGACGTAAAGAATGCAACATATCAAGCTTTCAACGACATAGACCGGAAAGTTTGGGATTCTTGTAAGTCACTCTCCCATCCCCCCTAATGTCTCAGTATACACAACTTAATGCCATATAGACGACGCAGAAATCTATCATGGGGCTCCAGTGGCCGTACAAATAGTGGGTAGGCGATTTGAAGAAGAAAAGATTCTTGTCTTGGCCGAAATTCTAGACAAAGCAATTGGTAAGACCGAGGTATGAGTGACATGCTATTGCAGACAGCAGAAAGGGAACGATTGAAATGGCTATTTTATAGGTTTGTCTGCCCTCCAAAAAAGTATGTAATTTTGTTAAATCATGTTAGTGCCGATGCAGAAATATGCTGGGACATTTTCGAGAAGGAGAGGATAGCTCCGTTGTATTTAATACCAATTAAATTAGGGAAATAATGATAAGGAGCATTGATAAGAATGCTTGATCAAAGTTGGAGTGTTACTGATGATTATGCGTTCAAAAATACCTATAAACTGCCAGACACCAAAATCCTGTAAGCCTGAGAAATGGTAGTGACTTGCTGAAAATCCCAAGAATAACATCTAAATAATCCATAACTCTTTAGTTCATGTACTGTAAAGATTATTGCCTAGAGTACTCCTCATCGAGGCGTTCCAGCTGAAAGCCTCCATTATAGTGAATCTAGAGAATGGTGAGAAAAATTCACCAGGTGAACTTAGATACAAGTAGACGAGCTGTAGGATGGGCAAAGTCATAAATTTCACCTTGAGGAGGGTGTTGAGCGTATCAATTTTCCACCTCCCTGGCCAAGTATCTGCCGTGACAGCGTCTGCTCGGTCATGAATCTTGGTCGCTCAGGCATCTGCTCAGTGAGTGATCCTGCCGGCTCAGTGAGTGCTCAGCACAGATCAGTGATCTAGGTGTTGTCAGAACATTACCTAGTTTGGGTTTTAGGGCCTAGGGCTCCAGTTTTGTATGCAGTTGTTTTCTCCTTCAGTTATTTCCAATTCACCGCTTTCCACCAGCCAGCACGTCTGACAGGTGTGCCGAATCACGTGATAAAGCAAAAAGTAGCGACGGATTTCGATCGCGGCACTCCGTCGTCCCACTTATTTGTTACATATAGGGTACAAATGTAGGCAGTTCGGAGACGCCTTAGCAAAGTCAACGCGCTACGGACGAATCTTGGTCAGATTAACTGCTATTTGGTGACTGAAAAAAGCCAAGGCATATTTTTACGCCAAGTTCTCTTTTGGTCCATGGCGGGGGTATGGCCCCGTGCTTTACGTCCGGTCATCGGCTTTTGGAACGCTTATCCTCCGATTCAGCATACCAAACACGATTGAGCCTTGAAAATACTTATAAGTAGCTGCTTCACAGCAGCATTCTCATTTCGTGAAGTACAGAATTATCTCAACCGTGGAATCTAAAGCAACCTATTGATATCTTACCTGATATGGGTGATACGGTCGTTATCACTGGGGCCAATGGCTCACTGGCCCTTGGATTTGTGGATTCATTTCTCGCACGTTATCCTCAACATACCTTGATTGCAACTGTGCGCAATCCGTCGCCCGAAACAGACCCCAATACAGCCAAGCTCATGCAGTTGATTTCTGATCACTCGAGCTCCAAAGTCTTGATCGAGACTCTTGATCTTGGGAGCCTTGCCAGTGTACGTCTCTTTGCAGAGAAACTCAATGCCCGGATATCCTCGAGAGAGCTTCCACGTATCTCAGCCATCGTTTGTAATGCCGCCACACTATCGCTCGAGGCCGGACAGAAGTTCACATCTGATGGCTATGAGGCCACCTTTCAAGTCTGCCACCTATCACATTACCTCCTGGTATTGAAGCTGCTTGAAAGCATGAATTTTGCATCTGGACGCATCGTCATGCTCGGCTCCATCACGCACTATCCAGAGAAGCCAAACCCTTTCTCTTCACTCAGAGCGGGCATTCCTGAAAACATCGAAGACCTTGTCAAGCCATCCCCGGACCCTTTATCACTAGTCCACGATGGAGGATTCCAGAGATACGGCACCGCCAAGCTTGCGAATGTGATATTTGCGGAGGACCTGAACAAACGACTTCAAAAGGTACAAGGGATATCGTCATCGAAATGTCTTATTGGCTAATCGTTTTACATCAGGACCCCAAGCTATCAAATATGACTACACTGGCCATGGACCCAGGAGGTCTCCCGGCATCAAGGGCTCAAGCAGAACAGAAAAGCTCTACTAGATTAATTTTTGCCACTGTCAACTTCCTCATGCCGGTTCTGAAGCACCTTACCTCGGCAGTTCGTACAACGGAAGATGCCGGCCGGGACCTACTCGCCGTGAGCATTGATCCCGCCTTTCAAGGAAAAAGTGGCTATTATGTTGGTCAAAAGGGTGAAGTTGCAGCGGCGGCCAGCAAAGACGAGAAATTACAGAAGAGACTCTGGGAAGCATGCTGCAGGTGGGCTGCTCTTCGACCTGATGAGACAGTTCTCCAAAATGCCACTCTTTAACTTCAACATGTCGGAACAAATGAGATTAGGAATTGGATAAATGTGCAGTCTGGTTCTATTACATAATTTTTCTACTATGAAATTGTGTACATTATTCTTTTGTTTTTAAGGAAATGCCTACTTTAGTGGGTCCCTAAAGTAGAAACCAGACTGCAGCCTATGGACGTTTGATCTTTTGGGCATGCGCGAGGCCCCTGGATCCCCTCACGCATCCACTAAACCTGTCCTGGACAGGGTCGGAAAGCCTGGAGTCTATTGATGTGTCTAATTGGTGGCAGAGACGGCACGTAATTGCAGCACACCGCATGGCAATTTGGAAGGCCAAGAGCCAAAAGAAAACATACAGATACGATACCTAGCTAACCGTATTAAGATGGTGTGACAGGCCATAGGCAGCCTTGTTATGGGGTTCAAGAACCCTGCCACGAGGAACTAGGATGGTTTGTCAAAGGCCAGCAATGTGGTGATACTTCAAGGCATGGTTCATACCACATGCGTGGGCTTGGGTCTCCACGGAGAAATCAAACCGAAGCCCAAGGAACATTTCGGGATATTAATTGGCACCTAGCCCGGCGTGTCAGTTGAGTGGGTCAACACTCGAGGTCGCGTGGACCCCCAGCCTTATTTGCTTCTCTCATTTCAAATGGAGACAATGGAAGCGATCGTTCAGCTCAATCACTCGTCATCATGGGCCCGAATACGATTCTACTACGACACGATAATAATCTGCTCAGTTGATTCGTAGTTGCCAAGATACAATAGCGGGATTAAGAGTTGAGGCGTCGGTTAGAAAGGCAGTTTGGTGTCTCGAACCCCCGATTTGCGATTGTACTCTAATATCACGACATCGCGCCAAGTATTGCGTTTTTGACAGCTTGCACGGGCCAGACCACCTTGGCGCACCTTCTATTCGGGTATAATTATTTGGCCATAAGAGAATCATGACCTTTTTATCAGGGTGATTTTCTTCCTTCCTATTTTCTTCACTTTACAAAGGTCCCTTTCTCGAGCTCTTGGCGCTAAGCCGAGTCAGCTTCGATATGACTGGGAAAACATCCACCAGGATTGGCCATTTTCTGGCAACGGCACTGAGGATCGATCTGGGGTCGGAACCTTACTCCGTGACAGGCAATGGTCGACACGCTTATGTGGAGCCCGATCCGACGGCGGGAGAATGGATCAAGTCACATACACCTACAACCAAGCAAGTTGGGCGATATTTCTACAACATCTTCCCTTTCATCCACTGGATCGGGTATTACAACCTGCAATGGTTTATTGGTGATCTTATTGCAGGCAAGTCAATCGAGAGATGGAGGAAGTCTTAGATCATAAATGCTAACCAGGTACTTAGGCGTGACCGTCGGTGCTGTTGTCATTCCTCAGGGAATGGCTTACGCCGAACTGGCCACTCTGCCCCCGGAGTATGGACTATACTCATCTTTCATGGGTGTCCTGATCTACTGGTTCTTTGCGACTTCCAAAGATATCACGATCGGGGTAAGTGAATCAAGTCATGTCTATCTCCCATCGACGCTCACATCGATCAGCCCGTCGCAGTCATGTCAACTCTCGTCGGTACGATCATCATCAAAACCCGAAAGGAACACCCAGAACTCGAAGCTCCAGCCATCGCCTCCGCCCTTGCTATTATCTGCGGCGCGATTGTAACAGCACTTGGCTTCCTCCGTCTCGGATTTATTGTCGATTTCATACCCTTGCCAGCAATCATGGCATTCATGACCGGGTCCGCGATCAACATCTGTGCTGGACAAGTGCCAACCCTCCTCGGTGAAAAGGCAAAGTTCTCAACGCGTGGAGCCACGTACAAAGTCATTATCGACACACTGAAATATCTGCCCTCGGCCCAGATGGATGCCGCAATGGGTATGACTGCTCTCGCATTGCTTTATGCAATTCGCTGGGCATGCAATTACGGAGCTAGAAAGTACCCAGCAAGGGCTAAAACTTTCTTCTTCCTGTCTACTCTGCGAACTGCCTTCGTGATCCTGTTCTATGTGATGATCAGCGCTGCTGTCAACCTCCATCGCCGGAATGATCCCGCTTTCAAGATCCTCGGAACTGTCCCAAGAGGGTTCAAGCACGCCCAGGTCCCGAGGCTTGATAAGGAGATCATCAGTGCTTTCGCTACCGAGCTTCCTGCGGCGGTAATCGTTCTGTTGATCGAGCACATTGCAATCTCCAAGTCATTTGGCCGAGTCAACAACTACACGATCGACCCGTCCCAAGAGTTCATTGCTATTGGCATCTCGAACCTTCTTGGCCCCTTCCTGGGTGGATACCCTGCTACTGGGTCTTTCTCCCGCACTGCGATCAAATCAAAATCAGGTGTCCGTACTCCTCTTGCCGGTGTGATCACTGCAGTTGTGGTCCTTTTGGCTATCTATGCCCTTCCGGCTGTCTTCTTCTATATCCCAAAGGCATCGCTTTCCGCCGTGATTATCCACGCCGTCGGCGACCTTATCACGCCGCCCAACACAACGTACCAGTTCTGGCGCGTGTCTCCAATCGATGCAATTATTTTCCTGATGGGCGTGATCGTCATCATCTTCTCAACCATTGAGATTGGAATCTACTGCACCATCTGCGTCTCGATCGCAGTCCTTTTGTTCAGACTCGCAAAGGCCCGAGGCCAATTCCTCGGCGCAGCCAGAATCCACTCAGTCATTGGCGACCACATCCTAGACGACACAGACACGCTATCCAACGCCAAGTTCGACAGCGACAGAACAGTGTACCTCCCGATTTCGCGGGCCGACGGATCCAACCCCGGTATCAAAATCGATCAGCCATCACCGGGAATTTTCATATTCCGCCTTTCAGAAGGCCTGAACTACCCCAACGCAAACCACTACACAGACTACCTCGTCCAACACATTTTCGAAACCACCAGACCACCCGACGATAGACCAAACGAGAGAATCGGCGACAGGCTATGGAACGACCCGGGCCCGAAAGCAAAGGACCAAGAAGACTTCCTCTCCCGCCCAACCCTCCGCGCCGTAATCCTCGACTTCTCATCCGTCAACAACGTCGACGTCACATGCGTACAGACACTAATCGACGTCCGCAACCAACTCGACCGCTACGCCGCCCCAGCCCGCGTGCAGTGGCACTTTGCGCACATCCACAACCGCTGGACCAAGAGAGCCCTAGCTGCAGCCGGCTTCGGATACCCTACACCGGAATACCTAGCGACAACGCACAAATGGAAGCCGATCTTCAGCGTCGCAGCTCTTCACGACGATCCATTTACGGTAGCGAATAAGAGGAACTCTGAAGATGTGGCTAGGGATGTTGAGAGCGGGATGCAGAAGGAAGCTGCTGCACAGTCAACGGAGAGTGAAATTGAGCCGGTGGACAAGTTGTCTGCGGAAATCAGATGCGGGTCGGGTTCCCAGAAGGCTATTGTTGCGGGTGTTAATCGGCCGTTTTTCCATGTTGATTTGACCACTGCGTTGCAGAGTGCCATGTCGGGGTTTGGGGAGTATTAATTTTTGATACCATGTCTGAATGTTAACCAGGCTTTTACTTTTGAAACGAAACTTTAACTTGAGGAAATTTTCATGTTGATTACTTAACATGAAAGAGGACGCTAAACAGGTCATAATCGTACATCGTGATGATACATATAGGCATAAGTGTGGTGGTACATGGGAGGACAGCTATGGTCCACATTGGGGGAGAGAAGATGATGTGATCACGACAGGATCAACAAGGTGTGCAGGTCACTGATCAGTGGGGCTAAATGGTAGCTTTAGTGGCGGGTTGGGGTTGAGGCACCACCGCAGCGCATCCTCCTCTTCTCAAGCAACGTACTGTTGTTGAGGTTGAGATTGTAAAGCGAACTGACTGCCTTGTTGAATCTATTCCCAGTCGTCGTCTCGCTTGATGGGATTCTATTCGCACGATTGACGGCATGCGGCCGGCTCCGTGCAAGTGAGGAGGGTGTGCAGTTATCCATATTCATATCCGAGAAGCGGGTCATGGGCGCAGGCCTCATATTGGGTCTGACTCCCGCGGACATGTGCTTTGATCCACGAGGTCTGCGGTCGGGTGTTTGTTGTTGCACGGAGAGAGCAACGTTGAAAATGTCTCGAATGTTCGGGGTATGAGCAGCAGGCGAGCCGGGTGCGCTGTAAATGGCTTCTTGGAATGGATCCATGGCTGCGTTTCCAAGTGGAGCCGACAGGGGCCCGGCACCCGGAGTTTCAATTCTAGGGGTTGCAGCTTCACTCGGGGGTTGGCTCTCTGAGGTTTGGCGGATCCAAGGATGAGCGAGGAATTCCTTAATATTCAATCGTTCTTCAGGGCGGACGGCCAGAAGGCCGGAAATAAGGTCCTTTGCCTCGGGAGAGATAGGATCCCAGTTGGGCGATGCGAATGTATACTCTGCTCGGAGAACTTTACGGGCCATGACTTGGAAGTCCTCGTCGTAGAAGGGAGGGAAGCCTCCTAGCATGGTGTAAAGAAGGCATCCGAGAGCCCACATGTCCACACCGGTGGTATACTTCTGTTCCCTGCACAGCTCGGGTGCGGCATAACCCATGGTGCCGCAGGGAGTCATCGTAGGAACACCGCATATCATCTTCGATAGACCGAAATCTGCGAGTTTGACCACACCGATATTGCTTTCTTCCGGGCCCACAGTTCCAGACTTGGGATAAAATAGAATGTTTTCGGGTTTAATGTCTCTGTGAGAACAAAACAGATTAGTTTTGTACTCGCAATTGAAACCCCGGTCAGTGGCAGACTTACCGGTGAACGATACCCATGGTCTCGTGCAAATACTTGACAGCTTTCGCAACTTGCTTTATCACATTTCGACTCAAGCTCTCGTCCAGCGATGTGAGTTGTGTAATTTGATGATATAGTTCGCCTCCGGGGCAAAGCTCCAAGACCATATAGCTATACTGGCGCGTTTCGGAGGAGTCGATAAGTTGAACCACGTTGTCATGCTTGAGCTTGCGGGCAATCTCCACCTCCTTGACCAATTTTTGTTTCTGCGACAAGGTGAGAAGGTGGGCCTATTAAAAAGCATCGATTTACTAACCTGCTTGTCGTTCATTTCATACTTCCGCATGACCTTGACGGCAACTTCATTGAACTCGGACTTGGTATCGCTCGCACGGTAAACCGTGCTAAAAGCGCCATCTCCGATCTTCTCAATCAAACTCCAGCGTTCCAGGCCAGGATAATTCGGCATATCTTTCTTGGCCGGCTGAGAAGTGCGCCTGCCGCCGGGAGGGTTTGCTTTAGACTTCTCACGTGACGCTATGGCTCTGGCTTTAATGCGCTCTACCACGCTTCCATTTGCGGATTGGCCGGGATTTGGACCGGCTGTCATTGTCTGAGTAGTAGTAGACATATTTGATAAAATTGAAAAGTCCTAGACGAGCAATGTGAGAGATTTAAATCTCCCGAGTGGAATTGTCTGCCTATAATAAGAGATGGCTTGGCATGTGACGTAACCGCCAACCTGGTTTTGGGGGCATCCTGAAGCCGGTTAGCCGCGTCATGCACAACTGTAAATGTATTCTGAGATAGGCCAATGCTCGGAGTTTATCGTTGTGGGGCAAGCTAGAGAAAACGTGCGCTCCGCTACTAATGCACCATTCCTACGGGGTGGCATTCTAAACTAAACGAAAGGTCTTCTCAGGCTCCTATCTGCCCGACTTGGTCCGCGATTCAGCGATTCATCAGATCATTTTGACCTTCTTCTACGAGATAGAAAATGAGGCCATGAGGGGGCCGTGTATATCAGGCGTCATAGTCTTGGTATTTTCGAGTGGCGCGTCCTTTGAATCATACAGGAAGCAGGGGGATCGCAATTTGATATCCCATGCGGACGTGATTCGCTGGAAGGCCGCCCGATGCGGGGTGGCTGGGTATAATTGGCGGGCCGTTTGCCGCACGGAGATTCGTGATGCCACGATCGTCGGGACGGGTCACGTGGAGGCGGGTACGTTCTGTTCACCAGTTTCACAGCAGTGCACGATGCGTCCCCGCGAATATGATAGGTTGCACCAATGGCTACTCGGCTGGATTCGATCAATGGGAAGAGATCCCGTGGTGATCGGCCCTATCCCGCGTAACTACCAAGACAAGGACTCGATAACTGGCAAAAGATAACCCAGGCGGGTAGAGGTTGGACTGATCCCAGTAAAGCTGGTAAACCCCGGAAACGTTGGTTGCCTGGAGTCGGAAAAAATGGCTCAATTCCCCCCGAACTCTTCCCACATCAGATAGGTACCACAGAAGATGAAACTTTCACTAGTCGCGTCGCAAGGTACGGTGGCGTCGTTCCCGGTAAACCCAACTGACGTGATCGCATCCTCAGTGGGTCGGATGTAGAATAGACTTCCCACATCGAGGGTGACACCAGCCGCGGTGGCGGTGGTGGTTACTGTAGTCGGGTATTGTTGATCACGACTATCGAAAGTCAGCACAGTGAAAACCTAAAAGCAAGCATGGTGCCGTTTCAGAGGTGCACCCCAATGCTCAGGGCACCAGATCATACATGTGACGTCTGTGGTGACCTTCCCGTCCATAGCAATGAGTTGCCGGCATATGCAAGGCATATGCAAGGCCTGTGCAAAAAGTCAGATGTGTTTGATAGATACCATGAAGCTCTAGTGGAAGTCCGACCGTCAGAATAGAGTATCTTAATGTACGATGATGCGATCCCGTATGCGACCAGGCTGAAAGGACCCGTTGGGTTGCGCTTCTCTATGGCTTTCGCCCAAGGCGCTGTTGGGGAACTAGAGGCAAGAGCCAAAATGGTTGGGAGGGAATTGAGCTTCATTGCTATTTTCAGGCCGTGATTCAGATACAGGGTCCACTAGCCTGGTTTTATACGTTTATGCCTATGTACGGATCTTATTCCAATGATATGATCGGGCTATTTCCCGGTGACGCAGCCGAACGAGCCATGAGACGGTTTGAACAAACGCCCGGAAGAAGTACCTCATTGTTTCACAATTCCTACTTGAGAATAGACTCGACACATGTTACCTCTCGCTTGTTGTTTTTCAACCTAAGTAAAAAATCGTTTCTACATCGTTGACCCCGCAAATGACGAAGGATCTCATTTAGTCTTGTATAGACCCAGGAGTCAAGGTTACCACGAACAAACACGTTTGCTCGACAATGATAAAAACAATCGAAGATTCTGGCCCACAGGAACGCCACGGAGTCCAGCTGACCCGGGAGATTATGCTACCCGAGTTACACAGACAGCTAACCGATGATGAGGAATGAATCTTTCAATCGGAGCGTGTTCTTGTCAAGTACTCCGTAAACACTAGTCACTATGTGGGTTGAGTGGACACAGCAGTGTGACCGTCTTTTGTTACTACAGTGTAGAGTTTTACCACTTTTCAAAATATGCGAGTTCATGTCATATTCAAGCTTTTTTCAAGTGGCTGCAAATCAATAGCGCTCCAACAGCCACAGCCTCCGCTTCTCTAACGACATCGCCTGCAAACGCACCATTTCCGCGCGCTTAACCGTAACGTAATCCTTGATCATCTCAGCGCCCAGAAGCTTATCCAATGGAGCTCTCTCGAGGGCATCCAGGCTCTCAGCCAAGGACTTGGGTATCGGAGTCGTGATTCCAAGTTCAGCACGCTGGGAAGATGTCAGAGTCGAGGCATCGACTGTACATTCCTTCACTGTCAAGGGCAGATTCGACTCCAACCCCATATAACCGCCCGATAGTAGAGCAGCCATGGCCAGGTACATATTTGCCAGCCCGTCCAAGGACTTGAACTCCCAGTGACCGGCTTCGATTTTCCGCACGGGCGCTTCGCGATTCTGGAAGCCCCATGTGACCCATTCCGAGCCAGCCCAGATGCCGGGGCGTACGCGTTCATAGCTGGCCTCTGAGGAGAGTGTAAAGGCGGCGATGGATTGGAAGTATTTAAGGATACCGGCGAGGAATGCATTTTCGTTCGTGGTTGGGGTTATAGAGACATGGGCGTGCGCGGCACTGCCGGCTCCCTCGGGTGCAGGGCGTGGGTGGAGGGTAGCGTGGAGGCCGTGTTGTTCTGCGACGGCGGCGATCACCTGCCGAGCGGCGAGGAGAGCATCTGTGGCAGCCAGAGGTTCTGCTGGAGGAAGAACAAATTCAAATTGGCCGGGCGCAGACTCGGCGTGGAATTGCTCTAGTTTGATACCTATGGACGCCAGCGTCTGAGTGATTTCCTCGAGGAGGGGAACGAGCCGTCGTGTGTCAGAGGTCATTCGCGACCAGGAATGATTTGCTGCTGCTGGGGTGTATCCTGTGACGTGACCTGTGTGTTGGTCCTGAGTTGGTTTCAGGAACACCACCTCGACTTCGAAGCCCGTCTTTAGTTGGATATTGTGCTCAGCGTGGAGCTTATCCACGATATTTCGGAGGGTAGTTCTCGGACATCTGTCGAGAGGTGCGCCATCTTCCGTTCGCCAAAAGGTCATGACAGTCGCACTTGGGGCAGCTGATTTTGCCAGGCCACCATTGCGATAAAGACTGTTCAGGTCTGGCTCCAAGTAGAACTGACCAGTAGGAGTTCCTTCTGGGAGAAGAGTGTCATCTTGTAACATGCAACAGACTGAGAGTGTAATTCCCACCCGGCGTTGTTTGCGAGCAATACGAACAAATTCCTCGATTGGGAACATGCGTACCCGTATTGTTGCGGTATAGTCGACCCATTGCATCCAGACGAATTCGATGTCAGGGTTCTTCAGAAGAAACGCATCCAAGGGAAAGGAAGGAAGCGAGGTCTGGGCTTTCGACAAAACAGAGCCATCCACGTATTTCGATTCCAGATTTAACCGGTAAAGCCGATTTGAGTTATGAAAGAGGATATCCGCGGCGGCTGTCTTCGCCTGGGAAACAGTATAGTCGCCATGTTGAACGTATTCGACAAGCACCTAAATTGAGACAGATGAGCAAGGGTATAATGGGCGTAAAGCGCAGCGCGCACCTTTTCAAGAGCTTGACGAAACTGCCGGTTGGCCAACCAGAATGACTCAGGGTGAAAGTGGCCATCCGTGCTCCACAGTAGTCGGTTGGTGGGAGTGATTTCAAGACTCTCCCGTAAAATCTTCTCCTGAGCCTCTCGGCTGACCATGGGAAATACCTCACCAAGATCGAGGTAGACATTGGGATATACACAAGCTAGATACCCCGCCTCACGGGTATAAGGATAAGCAGAATGCAGCAGCACAATATCCGCATGCTCATACTGGACAATCAAAGGCTGCAAGTAGGCGGGGTTCGCCTTGACGAGACTGATATCATTATCACCCAGCCCCGTATGAAACTGCAAAGGTTTCACCACCCCAGCCCTCTTCTTGAAAGTAATAGCCTTGAGCGTCTGTTGAACCAGCCAGTCATTCAGCGGCTTCTCTTCAACGCGGTAGCCAGACCTGCGGGTCCCCGAGTCAAGCACCCGATGCAACGAGGCAGTCAACAAATCCTCATCGCCCGAGTAGGGGTCAACGTCCAGCCCGGTTCGATAACAAATCACGGACTTGAAGCCGACGACGGCTGGATCGTCCATTGCGCGATCAATCGCCTCGAGGAACTGCTGACGGAATTTGCTCCATACTGTCTCGCCTTCTTTGCGCTCAGTGCTCATCAGGTCCCCAATCACAGAGGCCGCTACCGCCTCAATGCGGACGATGCGTTTCGTCGCAGTGATGGTGAACCGGTCATGCCAGTCGTAGGACTCGACATCGTCGTCACTCAGTAGGTCGTCGAGGAGCAAAGCATTCGTGCCTTCCAGGCTGCGGCGAATCAGGCCGTCGTAGTCATCCTGCACCCAGCGACTGTGCGCTGCGAGGACATCGTCCCAGGTTTCACAGAGTGAACCATAAAGCTCTGAGAGCTGGTTGGTGGCGCGCAAAAGTGGCAGGGTCGCGCGGGCGTTTTCCAGCGCGCGACCGTGGGCCTCGGATGTGACGGACTCGAGCGGGTAGCTATCGTAGTCGCAGGCCACGTCACGGCTCAACAAATTGTGAGCATGGTTGTCGATGATCGGATGGGTTTGCACCAAATGGCGGAGTGAGTCGAGGGAAGCCATGATGGTGCGGAGAGGGACGAGGGGAGAAAAGTACGGAGGTTGGTCTACATCTTTGGGTCTGGAGAGCGAGCGGTCAGGATCCATGCACACTTCTTTGAAACTAACGTCTAGATACCTATTTACTAGGAATGTTTGGTAGTACAGAGCTGAGGGGCAGCGTGGAAGTTGCCTATTCGGAGACGTGGTGTTATCCCGAGCTCGTCAACGATACTAAACACGGTAAACTCCACGAGCCCAACTGCATGTAATCGGACTCGCGTCGAATTTATGCACCTTGAAAACACAGGGCACTTTGATCTCCACGGGTCGACTCGACTCACCCGCTTGAGAACTTCGTCGTGATTTTGATCGCGAGGGACCCCGGTGAAAAAGCTTTTCCTTCGCGTGGGAAATCCTTTGCATTGGTTAGTAGAGGTAATTTGACGAGCGGAAGCGTCCGGAAAAGCCGATATGGCGCCGAAAGTGTCGGGCTGCGTCCGCGAATCTGGCTTTGAAGCTCAACGTCCTGTCTTGCATTCTTGCGGTCCTGCGGTTTGTCGGACGTTCCCAGCTCTCTGATCGAGCTATCATGCTTCGCTCTCGCTGGACTATCACAAGCGGGAATCTTCGATGAACTCGAAACACCCGATTCATCTTATTTTGTTTGTTGTTTGTCGCTTGAAGGGATCCAGGCCCATTCGGAATTTCCGAATCAAACCTCCGTCTCATTCCACTGGTCCAGGATCTTCTCGATCTCTTTGAAAGCAACCGGCTTCGTCAAGAAACGATTCATACCAGAGTCCAAGGCCTCTGATTCATCAAGGGAGCTACTCAATCCCGTCAAGGCGATGATCTTGGACGGCTTCGTTTCGTCGGTGCGCGTCTTCTCAAATCTGCGAATGCTGCGCGTAGCCTCGAAGCCGTTCATGTAGGGCATGGAAATATCTAACATATATCAGTATAATGTTTAAAACAGAAAAAAGCATTATGTGCCCTCACCCATGAAAATGAAATCGTACCCCGACTGTGCTTGCTTCACGGCGGCAACCGCGAGCCTACCATTCTCGGCTGAATCCACGGCGGCAAAGCCGCGTTTCTTCAAGAATGTGAGCATCAGGTTCAGGTTAATTTTGTTATCTTCGACTACCAAGATGTGCGCACGCCGGGGCTCGTCGGGGGAATCCGTAATCTCTGTATTGGGTGTCGATAGTGAATATTCACTTGGCGTTGTCGAGCGAGAGTTTGTATCCGATTCTGGAGATTCATTACTTGAGGTGGGCCGCTCGTTCGTGTCTGGCCTCGCGGGCCATTCCGGTAGAGGTGTCGTCTCTGTTATCGAACCTCTCACGTCCTTGCCAAGAGATTTGTGAATGAATCGGGCCAGCTTGTGCGGACCATATGGGCAATTTATGATGTCCACAGCCTTAGAGCCAGAGTCCCATTGGACACGAATGGAGTCACGGCGAATGTAGTTGCTGCTCAACATCAGGAATGACGTAGAATTATCGGTAAAGCAGCGATGCATCTCGCTTTGGGAGGGCAATTCATCGCCCAAGATGAGATCAATGGGCTCCAGCGACGATGAAGAGACCAGAATTAGACCGTACCAGTCGGTCAGGTAGCGGGACAAAACAGCCCAGGATGGGTAGTTAGGAACATCCTCTGGTTCCACGTTCATGATAGCGACGCGTCGTCCACCATGTACTTCTCGCAGATGCTGGACCTCATTGGACGCCGATTCCCTTGGGCCAAGATCAGTCTCGACCTGTTTCTGCTCCGATCGCACTAAAGGAAGTATGACCTTCACGGTTGTGCCACTGCCAAGGCGACTGCTGACATCGATAGAACCACCCAAAGATTTGACAAGGCTGCGAACGATGGAGAGACCGAGGCCCGATCCTGTGACCAGGCTATCTTCTTGCGCGAATGGAACAAAGAGCTTCGACCGTAAGAATCCCTCAGAGATGCCCTTTCCAGTGTCGTTAACCGTCAAGGTTATCAGATCTTCCTTGGTACCGTGCCGTGAGAAGGAAGTTGCGGATGCTTCCTTAGCCTCCAGGTGAAATGAGACATGGCCTGCCTCGGTGTACTTGATCGCGTTGCTGAATATGTTCATGATGATTCGTCGTAGGGCTCCAGGGGGTGTACTATAGGTCCAATCATTGGGTGCAATATCAATGATCACGTCGACATTGGGGCGCGGAATATGGGCATCGAGGCTCCCTTCATTGGCTTTGGCAGCGGCTGTCAACAGACCAGAAGAATCGGTGAATTTTTGAGTGTGGAAATGGCCCAGAGAAACTCCCTCCACCACCTCTTCGGCTAAAATCGAGATGTCGGTAGCGACGTGTGTGTCCAAATACGCTGTGGGCCGATGCATATCTTTCAGTTCCAGTGGCGAGGCTTTTCGTCGCTCCAGATGCCGGAACTGCCTTTCCAGTGACATGATCTTGCTGAAGTCCAAGACTTGGTTCATCGTGTCCAGTAGAGTTCTGCCGCATGCGTTGATGGTGTCCATGAGTGAGCCTTGGTATGCGTTCAGATTCGTGCCTTGGAGAATTTCAGCCGCTGCCATAATCCCGTGAAGAGGGCTGCGCAGCTCGTGTCTGGGAATTGGTCAGTAAACCATCACAGTAGAATTGCTCCCAGGCCGTAACTTACGAGATACTGCCAAGAAAATCGGCCTTTTGACGATCGGAGATGAGCGACTCAACACGGTTACATTCAGCCATAATCGAAGACCCGAAGCCCAACAGCGAGCTCAGCTCAACCGATGGATCAAACACATGGCTTTCAACACTGTTCCAACAGAAACAGCCGCCGAACCACTGCGAATCGGCCGCATTCCACAAAGGCACGAAAAGGACCTGAGTCGCTCTCGGAAAATATTTGTTCAGCATCGCGGTCTCTTGAAGTTTCCGGTTCTTGGGCGCTTTTGAATCCGCCGGGCCCCTCGATCGAGAGCGACCTTCGCGTGAGGGCGACGAGTCTTCACTATCCGAGCTAGACTGTTGGCCGTCGCGATGTAAAGACCAGATTTTTCCGTTGTGGTATGTATTGAGCAGGCGATGCAAAAAGTGTTCATCGAGCTTCGTGACTGGGCGAGAAACGGCGGAGTCCCTGTATGGGCCGAATAGGCTCTCCTCGGTGGAGACTGCTAGTAGGGAGGCTGCTTTGCCGGTATCCTGAGAGCTGAAAACATCACTGCCGCTCCAACGATCAAGGACAGCGTCGCTACCAGCCTTCAGGAAAGCCACACCACTATCACCCTCAAGCTCGAGGCTCTCTCGAATCAAGTTCGCCGCTCTTCGGAAGGCCCACGAAATTGACTGGTTCTTCTCAGCGGACTGGCCAAGCTCTGACCATTTGGCCGAAGAAGGGCGATCGAAGCTAGATGAAATGGATCGATCGGTCTTATGGTCCGATGTTGAGACGAAGGAGCGTGCAGAGCGCACAGAACGCGCACTGCTATTTGAACGCGATCGTCGAGGGGAGGTGCTGCAGTTTTTCCGTCGACTGCCAGAGGACCTACGAGTCCCTGTACTTCTGGTTGAGGCATTACTGGATTGCCGTTGGATGGATTCGTTGACTGGACTCGGCATTGCAGTATTGAAGCTAGATCCACCCTCGACAAAGTAGTTCAGGCCGCGAGACAAGCGAGCTGCGCGACGGCCTTCGGAGGCCTGGCGGCTCACTTTCAAAAAGTCCATTACCAACATTCCCATGTAACCCATGGTCGCCTTTTCGATGTCCGTGAATTCGGCACGAGGCTTAGTGTCGAGAACGAAGAAACAACCGACGTTGATGTTGCTGTCCGTGGTGAGAGGCGTGCCGGCGTAAAACCGAAAGTTCGCGTCTTTCTGCACGATCGGAAGATTTTGGTATCGTTCATCCTGGCTCAAGTCGGTTGATACTAAGAAGTGATAGTCTCTTCGCGCTCGGTTGCATGGTGGAAGCGCAATGGTGTCCTGTTCGCAGTATGAGCGGTGTTCTACCCAAGTCTAATTTCAACCGCTAGGATATAATAGTACTTACCTGGCACATGTTCCAGTCGCTGACATCGAGCGTTGAACAGCCCAGGTGGTCGGTGCCATCTTCAGTAGTTTCGGTGGATTGTGCTATAATAAATTGAGAGTCGCGGTCCGATACACTGGAAATACGTGGTTAGAGGCATCTTTTCAATCGTGAATCGGCATTGATTCTTACCTGATGTATACGCGATCGACGTCTAAGCGGAGAGCGGCCAATTGTGCCAGCGACGTCAAAGTATCGTTGGATTGGTCGAGCACCAACCCGGGTAGGAATTCCGGAGGGGCCTCAGCTTGATCTTGCGGGAGTAAAGATGTGCATGATGGCTGTGATGATGCGGAGGGCGAGCGATCTTTCGTGGATGATGAATCGTGAAATCGTAGAAGACCCGGCGAAGAGCCGGCTCCGCTGATAGGTGTGGGGTCCTCATCGATTGGGGTCAGCCGCTCAGGTCGAAAGTAGCGATAAACTTCACGAGCTCGACGGCCAGCGTCGTGGTCGTCGTCCTCAGACGGGTCCCTCACGTCCCTAGTAGGATCCCCAGCCGCCGACGCCTCCATGGTTAGCTGACGCTCTAGATAGGAAAAGCCTTTTTCCTGGTACCTATTTGGGTGCGGCTTCTGTCAGGTAAATAGCGTGTAAATAATGGTGTGGCCAAGGCGTGTATTTCCCGTTGTCCAGCAGGATTGCGCCTTGCTAAAGTGAAGAAATCAGTAAGAAGCAAAGAGTGTGGAAGAAGGAAATTAATTGAATAGGAAAGGCAATTTCCGATCGGACCACGATCGGACCCTCCATTCTACGGAAGCTGTTCATCTTCCGCAATTATCAAGTGGCGTTAGCCATGCCAATTGGCGGAAGGCAACGCGACAATTATCACTGATTACATAAAAGTGCTGGAGAACTCATGGCAGACCCTCGTTGGCGGACGACCCGTGGGGATGGATTCTCCCGGTGGAACCAAGCCACGTCGTGGAGACCACTTTCAGGGCAAACTGTACAACATATGGATTCAGGCGCCATCATGCCGCTAGTCTATTCTAGGACTAGTGCAGCGGAAGCAGATGTCGATCAAAACCGTCGGCTCAACAATCCGCCAATGACATGGCCCCGGTGCGATCTGGGTCCCTCTTCCTATCGACATGACTGAATGCTCGGATATCGGTTTCCGGTGCCTTTGTGCATCAAGAGTAGTCGCTAGAAGTGACAGTAAGTCCAGAGCTATCGCGGAGTGTCGTCTAGCAAACGGTTCGCGTGCCTTGGAGCCTCTTCGGGCGAGCAGTTATGAAACGAAACGTGTTCAATACGGTCTCCACCGAGTCAAGACCTCGATCATGCATTCTTCACGCGGGATACCGAGAAGATCTGCTCGCATTGCGGGGCATAGTGCTGTTTCAATCCGTAGTTGTAGCCTGTTTCAGTTTTCGGTGCAGGGTGGTAACCTGTTTCAATATCCCTTGTCAAAGTTAGTTGCGAAAGTGCCAAGCCCGATAGTTGGGGATACCCATTCACAGACCGTGCTACATATCTCTCTGACTCATAAATAGGAAACGTAGGACCCTACAGAGATCATTTGACTAGTCACGTTGATTCCCCAGTTCTCATAGGACGGCCAGGGGTACGCGGCACCAAGGAAAAGAATTCCAGCTCGTATGTGGCGGCCTGCCGCTATTGGCGTTACCAGATATTGCCGCGGTCTCCCATCTGCCCCTCAAGCTCAGGTGCTTCTCTTAGCTGCACGCTCCAGCTCGCTTCTCTGCATTTGCCTTTGATCAGCATCGGTGTCCGAGCTCTAATTTCATCCTTTCAACCTTCCAATCACTTTGTTGTTTTTGCTTTTGCAAAATGACGGATTTTTCGCGCACTTCAGTCGTGGGAGTGGACTTTGAACTGACTGCGAGGTAGCCGAGGCCCTTCGATCTTCAGTGACACACAATTCGATGCTCATTTCGTTATAGGTACTCAGAACCGAATCCAGTCGAACTGGATGCGTCCGGGCTCATTTGGTACGGTATAGGATTCTCTCTTCGGTCACGAATCTAAGCACTGACCCCCTTTATCAGCTCCGCCAAAGACAGTATATCACATCAATTGGTTGCCATCAAGAAGCTCACCAGGCCATTTGGCTCTGCTATGCTCGCGAAACAAGCTCTTCGCGAGGTTAAATTGTCAAGATATTTGCAACATGAAAATGTATGAATTCTACCCTTGAATGAGTTGAATCTCCGAAGCCATGAATGTCACTAACGTCGGGCCAGGTTATCGGCCTCGTGGACGTGTTTATCTCGCCCAAGGAAGACCTGTATATTAAGCCCCGTAAATTTACCAAAGCTCACTCACTGACATTCCTAGATACATTGTGACGGACCTTATGTGGACCAATCTCCAAAGACTGATTGCAAAAGGCAGAATCGAAAATGACTTTGCAAAATATTTCCTCTACCAAATATTGGTACGTTGTAACCTTAAGTCGCGCCGGCATCCGCATACTGACAATGAAAGCGCGGATTGAAATACGTTCACTCCGCTGGCATCATCCACCGTGATCTCAAACCAAGCAGTATACTAATCAATGAAAATTGCGACTTGCGAATAGCCGATTTTGGACATGCACGGCTACGAAATCACCAGATGACAGGCTATGTTTCTACGAGATATTACCGTGCTCCGGAGATCATGCTCACGTGGCAAGAATATTCGGAAAAAGTCGATATCTGGAGCACAGGCTGCATTTTTGCTGAGATGTTGCGGGGCACGCCATTATTCCCGGCTACGACTCATGCGGATCAGTTTACTTTATTTGTGAACCTTTTGGGGAACCCCGAATCGCGAATCGTGGATATGATCAAAAACAAACATGTGAGTTTGCTTGTATCGGCACTTTCAATTGGTCTGCAGGCGCTTACAGACAGATAGACGAGAGCCTTTGTGCAATCTCTGCCTCGATGCAAAGGAGAACCCTTGTCGAAAACTTTTCCTGACCTCGACAAAGATGGTATGTCCCTTTTTTTTTTTTCTGTTTGCCGCGATTGAACCGTGATGCTGATTTGCACAGCAATGGGGATCCTGGAACAAATGCTAGAGTTTGATGTTGAGAAAAGAAGTAGCGCGCGGGACGCGCTTCCACACCCATATCTGGCACCTTACCACGATCCCACCGACGAGCCGGTGGTGAAGATACCGTTCGATTGGCGTTTTGATAATGCCGAGGTCTCTATAGATGCCTGGAAAGCCGCCGTGTAAATTTATTCCACTTTGAAGGCGTGATAAAAGCTAATTCATTGTTTAGATTCAAGGAAGTTGTTCTTTTCCGTCAGCAGGCACTGCGCCGTCGGCGGCCGGTAAACGTCTGCAATGCCATTGTCGAAGCAACCAAAGGCCATGTGGTAAGCACGGTCACCCCAATCACAGACACAGACACAGAGTCTGAGACGTATTCACAGTTTGGTGATGAAAACTTTGATGATGTACTATCCTCGTTTTGTAATGATTATCATCCATGACATATGTCGCTCTCAGCACTTGAGGTCCACAGGGCTATTAATATTTTTGACATCCCATATACCAGTGATGTAATAATGCAACAAATTCCATCTCATGTCCCCTCCTACTCGTAAATAACGGGCGGGCGAAAGTGTAATGTACTGACAGCAGGCGTTGAGCGTGGCTGCCTCAACGGTGCGAGAGATTCAAATTGCTATGATTGTGATTCTCACTGGAAATAATGTTATAGGCTCAAATCCATCTCCCGAGGCTTAGTACTGTCCCTCAATGGTCAAAGTACCCGTTTTGGTGACCAAATACTCGTTAACCGCAACCTCCTTGCCACTCTCCTTGCCATAACCAGACTCCTTGATACCTCCAAACGGCGACTCGGCAGCCGATTGGTTTCCTGTATTCATTCCAATCATGCCGGCCTCCAGGTTCTCAAACAGGCGCCACACACGATCAACGTTCTTGGTGAAAGCGTAGCTAGCCAGACCCATACTGGTATCATTGGCCGCTTTGACTGCCTCTTCCTCAGTCTCAAAGCGATAGAGAGCCGCAATAGGAGCAAACGACTCCTCCTGTGAGATCTGCATCTTCTCTGTCATGCCCGACAAAATAGTCGGCTCGAAGAAATAACCTGGGCGAGAGGTCATTGCCTTGCCCCCCAAGAGCACATCAGCACCAAGGCGCCGCGCATCTTCAACCTGGGCCAGGGCCTTGTCGATACTGCGTGGGGTGGTCAATGGGCCCATAGTGGTATCAGCTGCAGAACCGTGTCCGACAACCAGAGCAGTGGTGCGCTCCTTCAGCAGAGCGGCGAATCGATCATAGATGCCTGCTTGGACATAGATACGGTTCGCAGTGATGCAGGCTTGTCCGGCGTGACGCCACTTCAGGGCCATGAGCTGATCAATCGCTTGGTCGAGGTTGGCATCGTCGAAGACAATGAACGGGCAGTTGCCGCCCAGCTCGAGGGTCACCTTCTTCAGGCCCTGGGCGCAATGCGCGGCAACCAGCTTACCAACGCGGGTCGACCCAGTAAATGTCACCTTTTTGACGAGAGGATGCTTGCACAGGGCTTCGCTGAGAGTTGGTGTGTTCTCCAGGTCGGTTGTCAGAATGTTCAACACACCGGCCGGGACGCCCGCGCGACGCGCCAGCTCTGCCAGTACAAGTGCCGAAATAGGCGTCTCCGGGCTAGGCTTGACCACCATTGTACAACCGGCCGCCATCGCAGCACCGACCTTGCGAAGTACCATAGCCACCGGGAAGTTCCATGGCACTAGTGCGGCTGCAACACCGATAGGCTGCTTGATGGTGAAGAGTCGGCGATTGGGCGCCGCGGGGACGGCCACACTGCCCTGAATGCGCTCCGCCTCACCAGCAAACCACCACAAGAAGCCAAGCGAATAGTCCAGCTCTCCGTAAGCTTCAAAAAGCGGCTTTCCAGTCTCGTGGGTCACAATTTGGGCCAGGTCGTCTCGCGCAGCGATTGTCAGCTCCCACCACTTGAGGAGCCACTTTGCACGCTGGCGAGGGTTCACTTTGCGGAACTGCTCGAATGCAGCATGCGCTGTTTCTACTGCTGCGGATACATCGTCTGTCGAGTTTGCTGGGCAGCTTGCCCACGCCTTATCGGTACCGGGGTCTGTTTGCCGTCAGTTCTGTGGTTCCCAGCCATGAATCTTGAGCTTACCAAGAACCTCAAATCGCTTTCCACTCTTCGCATTGACCCATTTATCTCCGATAAAAGAGTCAAAGTGCAAAAGGGTTGGGTCGTTCAACTAGGGGGCATGTCATTTAGTCTCTCACTGCCGCACATACCGGAACCCGTTCCGCCGAGCTCGGACATCTCGCCGATCGCTCCCTCAAGCGTTGAATATACAAGAGTAGCTGGAAAAGGGTAGAATCATACCTGGAATGGCAGCTGGTACTCGGTCGCCATGGTGTAGAATATTTCCAATGGATGATTGCAGAAAGAAAGAAATTCTGGTGGGGTTGATTTCTTAACGTTCGTGAGGGGAAGATCATCACCGAGGTAGTAAAAAACCCCTCATCGACGCATGGCAGCCCATTATAGTGGGACAGTTTCCACAAGACGGCTTCTTTATCTATTAGGCCGGACGTCTGCCGAACTGCCACTCTTGGACTCAGTAGATGCCGCCAGCCTATCTGTGTAGTTGGGGTAAACAGCAAGCACTTGACCCTGACTGACAAAGTAGCCGACTTCAATGTACAGCGGGGAATCTCAATCGCATTGCTTGCCCAACATGGGTCGGAAAATTGATCGTTTCAACTCATAGACATGTCTCTGACTCCATCTTCTATAAAATCTACTGCTGATTTCAACTGCGAGAGTGTTTATTGTCTTTTAAACCTTTACTCATTGCGACCGAGAAGAGCACGGGTTGTTTGTACCACGATAAGCTGATAAGAGGTACCCAGATAGGCTAGATGCACCGATACATGGCCAGTTATAGCTCTGCCATGTCAGGTGGAGGGTTTCTACCTTAGATGCTGCAGCTTTTATGGAGTGCCGGGCTCGGGCTGGCTCACGTAGTAGATTTCAACACAGAATCAGATGGTTATAAGGCGCAAAATATGGCCGACTACTGACCATATCCGCGGGTAACTCGCCTTCATTGGTAGTCTCACAGTCCGTAGGCAAAAGTTTGACCTAGGAAAGCGATCCGCCTGCCCTGCAACTCATGTATCTCAGTCCCCACGACACGACACGACTCGTAGTATACTTCATCTCACCCGGGTCCCATGTCTCAGCGGCCTTTCCACCGACTACACGTCATATTTCTTTGTTACCTTTTGGTTTTAATCGAATGACGTGTGGGTTGCATCTAACCCAGGCTCAACATCTACAAACAGCGATAGACGTGTACAGCTTCGCTTCGAAGGAGACTGGGTTGGTTTGAGTGTATGGATCTAATTTGACCAAAGGTAGGTACTAAAGTCGATCAGGAATTTAGGGCAGCCATCGTGCAGTGATGATCGTCCAGTCCAAGACGCGTTCCAATGTTTGTCAATCATCTATGTTAGGTAACCGATGTATTGAAAGCAAGGATCTCAATGTGATAGGTTGCGGAATCTTGGTCAGGAAGGTCGGGGGGAAGCCCGAAACTTGTAAATTGTTGTGGACATACCCTTTGCTTGCAACAACCTTGACAACTTACCTCATCCGTTAATTGGATAACTATTTTGAGCCTCACGGACCTTTAGCGCATGCAGGACGTTACCTTTTCATGTGACTGTCGTGGGTGAAAAGGGACAGCTGAACCCAACCAAAATATACTTTTTTGACAACAAAAGATGTACCAACAAGAACTATTCCACGTGTCTTGTCTCTTTGCACCCTAGCCAATCAATGGTGATACAAATAATTTCGCATATGCGAGGAGATTCAGGCGTCCTCCGGGCCCTTTCAAGATCAGCCTCAAATCAGATTGGGGTCAAGATCTGCAAAATGGCGGTGTTCTAGCGTGCCGATCATCCCCAGTGCTTCCATAATTATGGCTGCCGAATCGAATAGAAGCCGTCTGATCATTCAGCTGGTCCACAAACCTTTGGTCCACGAGAAATAGCTCCATGGCATAATTGGATCCAGCACATCATGGACGGCGGCAAACACCGACAAGCGCTAGGTCGGGATTTTTGACACAAGGGGGAATCCCGAACAACAACATGATCCGATCCATCCAATAGGAATTCGCTGTAAACTAGGTCAGCTTGGGCAAGCTAAGCTAATACCTTATCCCTAGCGGAATATAAGGGACTCCTTACCCCTCTAGGCAGCAAAATCTTCGACCAGCTTGAGCAAGATGAAGTTGTTCTGCCAATTTGGGGCTTTGGCATTCTTGTGCCTTGCCCAATGGGCACAGGGCAGGATCTTGCCCACTGATTCGGCAAACACGGTTCGATTTGAGATCAATTTAACATGGGAAGATTGGCATGATGCTCCCGGTGCACCCAGGAAAATGATCTTTACCAATGGTCAAATCCCAGGCCCTGAGCTTCGGTTGAAACAAGGTGATAACGTTGAATTCTATGTCAGCAACAACCTTCCTTACGCGACCACAGTCCACTTCCACGGTAAGTCAAGCTCATATGCCAAATCTTACCATCCATATCTAACTGTTCACATTAGGGATTGACCAAATAGGGACACCATGGTCCGATGGTGTTCCGGGTTTGTCGCAGAAGCCTATCCCGGCCGGCGGAAATTTTCTGTACAAATGGGTCGCAACGCAATACGGAAGCTACTTCTACCACGCCCACACCCGGGGTCAAATCGAAGATGGTCTCTATGGACCGATCTATATCAGCCCCGACAATTCGGTTCAGAAATCATTCCACTTGATTACCAAGAACACAACGGAGCTGCGACAGATGGAAAGGGCCGAAAAGCGGACCTCCCCTGTGATGCTTTCCGACTGGCGTCAGTTGACATCGGAGGAGCTGTGGAACGCCGAGAAGGCCAGCGGACGCGACGCTTTTTGCTCCAATGCGCTCATGATCAACGGCAAGGGGTCTATCAACTGTTTGAGCAGAAATGCGCTCAACGAGTATACCACTGCCGCACAGAAAATAGTCCTTGGAAAACAGACTCTGACTGATATTGGATGCTTACCTCCCTCGAATACAGTCGCGGAGGGCACTTATGCTCACAACCTGAGTGCTATTCCACCCACCGTCTTTTTTGGATGCAAGTCACACCAAGGCCCTAGCGAAGTGTTTACGGTTGACCCGATTCACGGCTATGTGAGCTATGATCTGATCAGCTCCGCCGGTGTTGCGACCCTGATGTTCTCCATCGACGAGCACAAGATGATTGTTTACGCTGTTGAAGGACAGTATGTGGAGCCAGTGGAGGTGGATGCCATCACATTGACAAATGGAAACCGATACTCAGTCATGGTGAAGCTTGACAAGCCATTAGGTGACTACTCAGTTCGCCTGGTGAACTACGGCGTCAACCAGATTCTCAACACTACCGCAACCTTCAGGTACGAGACACATCATGCGCCTTGCCCAAAAATGAAAAACGGTCCCTCGAAGCCATCCATCAGCATCACTGGATCAAACACCACCGCCGAAACAGTCATCCTCGACGAGTCAACAATCATTCCATACCCATCATCTTCTCCTTCTCATCACGTCGCCCAAACCCTTGTTCTGAGAATCGGCCACTACCACACTTCCTACCGTTGGACACTGGGCAATTCCAGCTATGCACTCTCCCTCGAGCAAGCCCGTCCCCTCCTCTTCTACCCCAACAGCTCAGTCGCGCACAGTGACCTGACCGTGCACACAAAGAATAATACCTGGGTGGATTTCATTTTCTATGTATACGAGCCACTGCAACCACCCCACCCCATCCACAAGCACTCGAACAAATACTATGTCATTGGCCAGGGGCAAGGCGTTTGGAACTACACTTCCGTGGCGGAGGCCATGGAGCACATCCCCGAGAGCTTCAACCTCAAGAACCCCCAGTACAGGGATACGTTTGCGACTCCTCCTGCCGCAACGGGGCCGACGTGGATGGCCATCAGATACCACGTTATCAATCCCGGAGCGTTTCTGATGCACTGCCATATTCAGGTTCATCTTAGTGGTGGTATGGCAGTTGCGCTCCTTGATGGTGTTGATAAGTGGCCGATTATTCCGGAGGAGTACAGACTTGCCGAGAGCATGGCGGAAAATAACGACACGAAGTGATCTGATTAAGGATTCAGCCTATGGAGCTCTTGGATATACGACGTTCAAGAAAACTAAATAATACAGTGTATTCTAAGTAATGGCCGTGAAGTGAAGCTCGAGGGGTAAGCAGTAGGTAAAATGAAAATCGAAAGCGTTGAGGCTAGGAGATAATCTGATCTAGATGCGATTCAAATGCTGTAGCGGATGAGTACATATATGGTAGCACCCGCTAGTATAGTGCGTGTATTTACACAAACTCTGCCAAGGAGTTCGTCAGTCTCTCCCATAAATTGCTAGACAGATATCCCTGGACCCAGTAACCATCCTCATGTCTGTCCCCTTTCCACAGAAGCACCAAATCATTTACAAGGAAACCAAGGCGTTTAAGTACCCCACAGAAATTTACACTGACATCCGCAAGGACCGGATTGCTCCCCTGAACCCGGAGATCAATAATAGGCTGCTTGGCCCAAGAAGCAACGACAAGCTGTGTGGATTTCGAAGCAAATTTCCGACAAACAAAAGGGCGGTTTTTCATTGGAGAATGTTGCTCCATAATTTGGTAAGGACATAGCGGTGCTCGGGCACTATTAATAGTTTGGCGAATATGCACCGCCCTATCCACCAAAGCGGTGGTGTCGTTTTGAGATCGCAGGCCGTTGAATTGTCGTGATTGCACTGGTATCAAGAACCAGGGGTTTCCGAATGCTGCTTCGGTTTCCAGGTGACGCTGGATGTTCATGACGATGCTAAATGTGGATGGGTCGGTTGGATCAGTTGAGGCTTGCTGGTAAAGAAAGGCTAGGACGAGGTCATGCTCTGTGACCTGGATGCCACGCTTTCCAGCCTCGTTATTCCAGGTGTTGATTGCTGCTTGGGGTATGTGAAGGGTCATGTTGATTCGTCGTAAAGTGTGGCGAGCTTTATCTTCCAATTTATGCCTGAGAGCGCGGAAAGCACGTCGTAGAAAGGGCAACCAGCCAATTCTGAATGATTCAGCGTGCAATTGTGCAATTGGGCTGTCATTGACGTATCTCGACTGCTCGGATGCCTTCTCGACCAGGGCATCCTTCAGTTTGAGCGGTGGTCGAAAGCTAGACACCATTGTCGGTAGATAGCCATCTAGTATCGAGCAATATGCTCGTGCTATTTGAAGCACGGCTAGAATCTAGTCAGAAATCGGTCCACACCTATATTGAATGATGTTCTGGAGAAATACCATTCGCATCTCCAAATGGACCCTGCACTTTGAAGCGCAAAATAATTCCATCAATAAACACCACGGTTTGGATAGTAACGACGCACTGGTGCAGTAATTTAATAATATTCAATTTCGAGTCCAGGAAATTTTTCACGTGGGAAAGCTCGACACTTTTCACGGCACCGTTGATCCACGGTGTTTTCAGGACATCATCAACATGGAGATCGAGTTCTGTGCCCTGCCAGAATTCTGATAAACTATGCTCGTTGCGTGAAGGTTCTATCTTGGTTCGCTGTACGTGGCCTGGTGAGTGTCGTCGTCCCAACTTAGGCGGAAAATATGACTTCACTCACCAAAAAATTCAATTTTGCCCCCAGTACAGGCAAATTTGAGAGGAGGCCACTCGCCGCATTTTGAAACTCGTCAAGACTGATTCCAGCATGGAACACCAAAATGAGATCGTTTTCTAGAAATCGGGCAAGGCCCTTGTCCAGGATGGTTAGGTCGTGCGACATTGTGATCGCGGCGAGTCTTTGAAGTCTCCCCGCTGAGTATGTTCAGCAGCTGCAGGCCTTTTTACTCAAATGCCAAATAATCAAGGAGGTTCTTGTTTGGGTCTTCATTCCTCATTCGGCCCTGTCTTCCAACACGTTGTCATGCCAATTCAAGGGATGACGTGTGCTAACCCATGAGAGGTCCTATGGAATGTGAGTAGTTGGAATGGCACAAGGATGTGTATATTCAATAAAAGGTGCAACGATAGATAAAAAGGAAAAGGAAAAGTGAGGAAATTGTCGTGTGAATCGAATTAATTAGGTTAGGTGATAGGCGCTATAGGATCTAAGCCAAGCTAGTAACGCTGGCATGTTTGGTATCGCATGACTGGCCATCATCTTGCGTCGGCATCATCTCTCCAGAAGTATACCGAACGGGAAATTTTGTCGCTTTCGCCATCCCAGCAACACCATCCTCGCTTCCCACTAAAGATGCTAAGATTATCCGCACTATCCTTATACTTGCGCATGTCAAAGCCGCTCTGGGTACCTACAGCGTCATCACGTCGGTCATCGCCCGCGTGCACCCCAATGTCGGCATGAATGTGTCGGCCTTCAGCTCCTTCACAGGATCCAATGTCTCTGTTGACACATTCTGGGCCGGCGTACGCTCATACATGGAACGTTTCTCTGCCCACGCGGGTGCTGGTACCTATGCCTACTTCATGGTAATTTCGACCGGCGCCAACTCGTTCCTGTTCTTGATACCCCTTTTGCTGCCAGCCATGCTTTGGACGAATACAAGGCTCTCGTGAAGCCGTGGTACGATGAGCTCGCGGCCCTCGGGATCTTTATTGCCCCGAAGACGACTTATTAAGACAACTTCTACGACGGCTGGATGGCCGGCTTCCCACTCGCGTTGGCATTGAGAATGGGGTTGTTAATGAAGACGGCCTGCCTGACCAGAACGGTCGCTTCTGCCGTATTTAGACTTAGATCTGTATAGTTTTATGTCGTAGCGAGTGTGAACAGCCTGACAATGAATCTAATCAATCACGTTGTTGTCTACAAGATTCCCGAACCATGTCTTACAAAAGCCCGTTATTTACCTTTGCCCCTTGTTCTCAATCACCGAGGTCTCCCAGGAGCTCACCGATTTATCATATAAAATCAGGTATATAGCAGATACACAAAATGGATCAAACAATGCATAACAGTGTACACCATCTTAACATTGTCCTTGGCAAATTCCGATGCTGGGGCGGTGGGTCGGATATTCGTTACCCCTCCATGTGCCCTTGACGATCAGATCTACTTTCCCAAGCTAAGTTCAATATAACCCGAAGCTTTCCCGAGGAGCTTGGTCATCGAAACGGGCGATGTGCAGCCGAGGTCACTACGTCACAACCAACGAAGTCCGCAGCACGAAAACAAACCGCATTGATTCACCCCCTCGCATGTAATATCCTGAACATTTCGTTGCAGCCAATTTCCCCGCTTAGCAGCTCGGTTCTCTCCGGATAATTCACGGATCGCTGATTGGCCCACAGCCAACGATCGTCGCTGCTATCGCCGCCGCTTTGCAACACGCGGCCGATCGCTGCCCCTTCTTTTCATGTTGTACTGCAAGGTCTCCTTGAGACAATGTGACTCTAAAGTGATTGCACGGTTACATGCCGTCTCCGCACCTTAAGTTCCTCTTCATTTAAATATCCGGATCCGCCCAATGGGGCGATTCTGTAGCGAGTGGTGCACGTAACAACACGCGACATCATGCAATTGAGGAGTTTGCTTCTGGGCACTGCCAGTGCCTTGACCTGGGTTGGAGGTATATAGTATAATTGACTCGATTGAAAGTAACAGACTAACATTTTCCAGCCTCGGCTCGTCTACTGACTGTGCCGACAACGCCCTTCACTGAGACAGGAGGGACTTATGATCTTTCTCAACTCACGAATATTGTCGTTGATTCCCGTTATGCCGATAAGGTTGATCACGATAGCCAGACGTGGATCCCCCCGACTCTTCAACAATTTGCGGAGACTTTTCAGGAGGACCTCAAGTCCGCTCTGGGCTTAGACGTGCAGCTTACAAAGGGCACACAGCGCAAACCTAATACGATATTTGTTACTTTGGGAAATAACACCGACTTCAAGGATGCTGCCGGACGATTTACCTCCGAGGGGTATAATCTCAAGGTCGACAACCGCGGATTGGTCGTGACTGGCGCCAGTCCGCTGGGCGCGTGGTGGGCTACTCGGTCGATCATTCAAGCCGCAGGCTCCGGCACAACCATTGCAAAGGGCTCCGGCACAGATGCCCCTGGATGGGGCACTCGCGGTGCCTTCGTAAGTTACTCACAGTTTGTCGCCCGACATGAGCTAATCCCAAATCTAGCTCGATGCCGGTAGACACTACTATCCGCCTGACTTCCTGGTCGAGATGTGCTCGTACCTGTCATTCTTCAAGCAAAATACCTTCCATGTCCACCTCAGCGACAACCTCTACAATAACGTGGAACTTTACTCCCGAGAAAGGTCACTTAGCCTGGCCGCCGCGTTCCGCCTCTTGTCCGACGATCCAGCAGTAGAGGGTTTGAATCGCCACGGTGCCAATGAGTCATATACTCGCGAACAATTCGAGCATGTACAGACCCAGTGCGCTCGCCGCGGAGTTACTATAATCCCGGAGATTGAGGCCCCCGGCCATGCGCTGGTCATCGTGCAATGGAAGCCCGAACTGGGTCTCGAGGACTTGAGCATGCTGAACATCAGTCACCCTGACACCATCCCCACGATGAAGACGATCTGGAAAACTTTCCTCCCTTGGTTCCACAGCAAAGTGGTGCACATTGGTGCGGATGAATATGATAGCAGTCTGATTTCAGACTACACCCGCTTCGTCAATGAAATGAATACTTTCATCCGGGCCGAGTCGAATGATCGCAAGTCGGTGCGCATCTGGGGTACCTTCACCCCGGAGGAGGGTGCAAATGTTTCCAAGTCCGTCTCTTACCAGCACTGGGATGTCAGTGCCGACAAACCGTACTATGACTACATCGAGAACGGATACAACGTGCTCAACTCGGACGACTACATGTACCTGGTGGGCGGCTGGTCCAATTCATTCGAACAAACACTCAGCAAGAGCAAAATCTTCAATGGTCCATACGGCAAGCCCTACTCACCCATCATCTTCGACACCAAGAACAAGGGCGATAACCCCCCTCGCAACAACCCCCGGGTTCTAGGCGAGGTAGCCGCGCTCTGGAACGACTACGGCCAGAACTCATCGACCGTGCTACAGGCCTACTACTCCTGGCGCAACGCCCTTCCCGCACTGGCAGACAAGCAATGGGGCGGTAACATCACCGAGAAAGAGTATAACTCCGTCTTCGATACCCTGCACGCCTTAGTTCCAGGCCAGAACCTAGACCGCAGTATCCCGAGCAAGTCCGACACAATCCTGAAATATACTTTCGACGACACTTCCAACACAGTTGTGGACCACTCCGGCAACGGATACCACGGCACCGTCCACGGCTGCAAAATCTCAGACTCCACCCTCCACCTCGCAGACGGGTGTTACCTGGAAACGCCCCTGGGCAGCAAGGGGCGCGACTACACGCTCTCGTTCCGAGTCAAACCCACATCCAGCACGCCGGGAACTCTATTCGCTGGCCCGGACTCAACTTTCGTCAACGGCAACGGAACGATCACAAACGCGACTCTGATTAGTGGCGGGAGTCCGTACTCGTTGAACTATACGCTGCCTCTCCAGCAATGGACTGACGTCAGTCTTGTGGGGAATGGAAATAAGACGACGTTGACTGTTTCGGAAGAGGGGAAGAAGGCACGGACTATGGAGTTCTTGGCCAAGATCGGGGTTAATGGAGAGTACTTTGTTTGGGCGCCCGTGGGCGTGGAGGCGCCGTTGGCGAGGATTGGTGAGGGGTTCACCGGGTTGATGCAGAATATTGTGTTGAAGGGCACTGCCTAGTAGGGGAGCCCCTTGTACATACTAGTCTCATTTGGTGAAGGAAAGAAAACGCAGTGTTTACTCTGTGGGTTCGGACAAGCTTCGCCGGTTCCATGTCCGCAGCCGTGGACGTCGATGTTTACCTTCTCTTAGAGAGGAACCAACAATGAAATTCTACCGTTTCATGAATTTTCCCATGACCAAGTAGTCAAGCCGATATCTATGGAGTCTCTTATCGTCTAATATTTTTGCCATCTCCATAGCACTTCCTAGGTAGTTGTATAGACCGTCCCACCGGACACCCCCGCCGGGCACGTCCTGCAGAAAGGACCCATGAACGACCAGCCAGACCCCGATCCACCATAGCTCATCCGGCAAATAAAAGCACCGGTAAAACGCCATAGAAGGCACGGGCTTATAAAGTGGCCGCAGAACGCATCTTCGGGTCGAATCAGACGCGAAAAGAAGTAGCGATCGCAAGCCCCGTGCAACCAATCACAGAGCCGAGTGGGCCACATGCCGTAGCTGCTGGTATTCAACGTCCATTTCATCTCGGCGCATTTACAAGCATTTATATCGGCCTTGACCCCGATTTTAACCCTGATCTCATGTTAATTCCATCTCCGACCCCCTTTCCCTGGGGGGCTTGCCACCATGAAGGTCTCTCGCTGCGTCTCCGTGTTGCTGTGCGCGACGGTGGCTCTCGGATTCCCAATTCGAGTCTTGTTCACTGGTGATACACCGACTATCGTCTCTGAGCGAAGTGAGATATCTCGGATACAAAAGCTTCGCGCCGGGCAGTCGCATGTCCCGCGACCGACATTCCAGGAGTACATTGCTCGCCTTCGGTCTGCATCAGAAGCCACCGGTTCAAATACCGGCGAAACAGCCGATGCCAAGATACCACAAGATCAGCGCGATTCACACTCGACTCCCTACGGGTCATTCGTGGGCAAATTAATCCCAACCGACAATCCTGAAGTTGCAAAGCCACCCACCAAACAAACCTGGACATCCAACGGCATCATCACGTATCTCAACCCCGCAGACTTTTTCGAGATCATCGATAACCATGGACCCGAGTCCGTCGCCTTGGGATTATTCGTTCTAGCCCCAATCGCCTATTTCATTCTTGAGCTCCTCGAGCTCGCGATCAAGTCTTGTATCCGTGAACGATATCCGCGCCGGGGGCGTGATCCCGTGCGTCTCGTGGGTCCGGAAAGACAGCTTCGGGCGTGGAGTAATCAACAAAGAGAGATGCAGGTGAAGAGCGAGAATTGGTGGACTCGGCGGGCGAGGTCTTGAGTTTCTGCTCGGGGGTTCCTCATGATACGTTTTTATTTTGTGTTTGTTGATACCCATTAGTTCAATTGAATTTTGCGAGAATAGGCTCCATGAGCTTTTATGATGTAGTTTCTTGGCCCCCGTCAATTTAGATGTCTCACTGTACTAAGCTACGCTACGAATCGACTTCCCTGGATTTGAGACTCGGGGTTCAAAATGGAAATGAAGGATAGCAATCATCGGATATTAAGATTATGACACCAGTGCAGCATGATACCTCATTGGTAAAAGACACTACAGAAACAAATCACGGACAACCCCAACAAACAATCTCCCAATCCAATATGAACCAATTCAGCCTTGCTGGTGAGCACCCATCTTGGCCATCGTCTTAGCACCCTTAATCGCCTTTTTCATACCCCCCTTCTGAACAGCGTTTTTCATACCCCCCTTCTGAACAGCCTTTTTCATACCCTCCTTCTGAACAGCCTTCTTCATCTCCGCAATGGCAGGCTTCTGAATACCATTGGTATCTCCCTTCGTAGTAGCAGATCGGACACCATCCTGCATAGCATCAAGGTGAGCAAACTTGTAAGTATCCTCACCCAGGCTCCAAGCCATAACACCACCGATGTTCTTAGCCTCAACGATATCCTTGAACTTCTCAGCGATGAGGGCAGGGGTATCCCAGGTCCAGAAAAGGTTGGTATCCTTGTCCCAGTAGTACTGGCCGCCCTCTTTCTCGTCGGTCTTGCCGTACTTCTCTGCGCGGCGCCATGAGTCGGTGATTGAGATGCCCTTGCAGGTTCCGTAGTCCGAAAGGCAGCCAGCCATGCAGAAGTCATCGGCAGTACCACTGGTAATAGTCAGTTTGGTTCTTTGGGTGCAGATGAAGTAGATGGAACGTACCAGTTTCCGTAGGCGGAGCAGCACGTGCCATCGGGGCACTTGGTAGCCTCAGTATAACCACACTTGCCGTTGTAGGAAGTCGTCAGATTAGGCGGGGGAGGGGCCATATTGCTCTTCTCGAAAGTAAAGGCACCGGACTTGCCATTGTCACTGCCGTCGGGGTTCTCCAGCTGAACGACCTTGCAGCCGATAGGGTGCACATCGCAGTCCGAGTTCGGGTCAGTGGTGAACCACTTGGCGTAGTAGGCAAACCCAAGGTTGAGAAGCTCGGGATCAGCGCCAAAGTCAAGGTAATCCTGGATAACAGCCAGAGAACCCTGAACACTGCTAGCGAAGGCGGTAACGTTGTCACGGCGGTTCATCAGGTCGTAGCTCATGACGTTGACCATGTCCACGGACTTGAAGATCTCGGGGCCCGTATCCTTGTTCCAGGCAATCATGTCCTGCTTGCGGCCGGGGACGGCAATCGAAAGGGTCTTGTTGCCGATTGCTTGACGCACAGCGGCGAGGAACTTGGGGTAGGTCTCAATTTCGGAGACCTTGTCAGCGTTGGGGATTTGCTTGTAGTCTTGGCCATTGCCGCCGGGATACTCCCAGTCGATGTCTAGTGGGTGGTTAGTCTCGTATATCATGTGCTTATTTTAAAGTCTCTCCATACCGACACCGTCGAACCCGTTGTCGTCCAGCATGGAGGCGACGTTCTTCGCGAAGCGTGCCCGGCTGGCATCGTCCTTGGCCCCCGCGGAGAAGCCTGCAGTGTCGCCCCATCCACCAATGGCAATCATCACCTTGGTGCCCGGAGCGAAACGCTGCCGCATGGTGTCCACGGCCTCGAAGGGCTTGAACGAGGGCGGCGAGTCCGAGTTGAACAGCGTCGTCGGCGCAAAGGCCATGATAGCATAATCGATTTCAGCTGTTTGGGGTGTGCTAGGAAGATCGGTCGTGTGGTATCTGTATCATGTATTAGAGATAGCGTAAGAGGATAGCCATCAAACCGACTTACTCGTCAATGTACATGGCAAACCGCAGGCTAGCAGCGGTTTGGGCAGCCAACAGGCCGAGGGCAAGTTGTTTCAACATGGTGAAATGAGATCACGCTGGAATTCCGAGAGGGAAAAATAAAAAGATGTATGCAGAAATAGATGTAAATGTAAGAAAGGAAAACTCCGAAGCAGAAAAAACGGACAAAGGCAGCTTAGCTGCAGAATCACCAAGGGAAATGGACGGAGGAAGAAGAAAAACTCAACACGCGCGCAGATGCCGAAGAAGAGCACGATTTTATACTGCAAAACATGCTCAGAATGATCACCGTCCGAATATTTTCCTCAAACGCCCAAGGGGACATGCCTCCGGACTTCCATACGCGGAATAATATGCCGTCGATGAGCGCGAACTTTGGGCCACGTAGTTCATCCCTGTACACGAGTGGAGAACTCAGTGAGGCAATTACCCAGCGATGCTGGGGAAAGGGGAGTTCATACTGAAGAAGGGTGTTGGAATGCCGGGCAAACCAGGTGGGGCGGCCGAGGACTTCAGGGATCACTAGGGCTGAGCAAATAAGCACTCTTAGCGCGAAGCGCTATAGGTATATCCGATTCTTCAAAGTCCATGTGAAATCGAGCGGCGAATTGGAGGGCTGAGACGGTGTGGCGGTCAGAGAAAGGCACCGTAGATCTCAGTTTGCGAGGAATGCTCCATCTGCTGTGCATTCATCCCAATCTTGGTTGCATTCCTTTGCGGACCGGACTGTCCGCAAATCGAACCAATAGCAGTGGTTGTAGCTCGGAAATTGAGTTATCTCTAAAGACTTTGGGTCTCACCCGTATACCAAGAGTCGTAGGCAGGGGGTTTTACTACGAGGTGATCGCACGCGATACTATCCAGTATATGAGATTCTGTAAACGTAAATACGGTGATCTAGGGGTATAAAAAGGTCCAGAAAACGCCGGATCCATGACACACTGGTGCAAATGTCCGCAGCACCGAACGATGGTATTAATTCCAGTGCCGCCGAATGATGGGACGGGCGGGATCCCAAGGACCGATGACCACATTCTTATACTTTTGCAGGCTGATCAGCCACCAGCTGCAGCCACCCATCGTCAGTGCAGTCAGAATACTGCCAAGAACGGACCCAATGATGGCCGACGCCCATCCACCACTTAGAGTCATGCCAACTGCGCCTCCAGCAATGATAACCAGGGCGAGGGAAAGGACAACATGACCGGTCCATGACTTCTGCCGCAATTGGCGACGGAAGATAGGGAACAGTCCAAATACTTCCATGGCGAACAACATCAGACTGAACACGTGGGTGGTCGTTGGTAAACGGGATGCGAGCACCGTTGAGGCCATCACAGCCGCGTTGGTCGAAAGAGAAGCTGGGAATTTGGTGGCGCCTGCGCCTTCACCGCTTCCGTAGTCAAAGGAGAATACGTTCATGATTAAGAGCCAGCAACTCAACGCCCAGATGGAGTCACTGGCGGTAGACTTGGTTAATGATTTCAGAATTGGGCTGAGTCCCAGCAGGGAAAAGTAGATCAAAAAGGCTGACTTGACCGTCGATAGTCGCTGGCGGTTGCGGGAAGAGAACAATGAAGAACGGTCAATGTCCCGCGATTCGTCATTGCCAGCCACTGCACTGGATGCTGTAGTCGAAGCTCCAAAGTGGGAAGAAGGGTCCAGCATGCCATTCAACTCTGGACTTCGGTGGGGAAAATGTTCTTTGGACTCGTTGCCTGACATGTTCAAGCCAAGTCCATGGATCAGATGCTCTTTCGTGCCATTGGGCTCGGTGTCCTTGCTCGATGGGTTGGCAGCGCTAGCCAAGGAGCTTGAACTAGAGCCATCGTCGCCGATAGCACCATCCACGCCGTGAGAAAGCTCTGTCTGCTCAATCCAGATCCAATTGTCCCAAAGAATCCAACCCACAGCAGTTCCAACACTTCCCCAGCAAACAATCGAGACTGGGTTCACGCGGTCTTGAACGATGCCGACAAAGCAGCAAACGAATATCACAACCGAGCAGACATGCTGCACAATGACGGTAGAGTCTGCAACTAACGGCCAGAAGTCATATGGTCGTACTCTCGGGTTTCGTTGAAGGTGATCAAGAAAGGTCTCGGTATCGGTGTAGTTGTCCGGATCTGTCCCGCTCCGTCAGCACAACTTCCTAAAAGCCACAGCATCCAGACATACAGGATTGCTTCACCCATAGAAGCTTCTTCCAAGCACCCTTCCGTCTCCGACGGCTACCGGCACCCAATTTCCTCACATCCTTCCGACTAGGATCTTCGCCAAGCACCCCACGCGGAGGCCGTAACGTAGAGACAGTGCCATCGCTACTCAAGGAGCGCAAACGCTCGTCATAGTTTGCAGGTGCCGAGCGTATCCTTGATAGTGACGGCGCAAAGTATGCATCCTCCGGCGCGAGGCGATTGGGGTCAGGGATGCGCTCCTGCTCAGGAGCGTTGGACCCCGGGGCTCGATAGGGATGCGTGTCGACGGCAATGGGTGGGGACAATGGGAACAGCGATGAGGGTGGAGGAGTCATCGAGCTGACACGACTAGTATCGGACCATGGCGTTGGGAAAAGAGCGACTTGACTTTGTCAAGATGGTTCGCGATGCAGGACGCGCAATCCCACGTGGGCGAGGATATATCACGTGATATCCAGGTCTCCGGCGTCTTCCCGATCAGCCACGGATTGATTTAGTTAGTTATACTTCAACCTCGGAAGGTAGTTGACTGTCTAGCTCGCGAATTACTTTGATTACACAGGCATTTAATATTCCGTGTTAACCTCAAATTAAACCTTGGAGTAAACGGGAGACCCGTAAGCGTTGTGTATTGTGTTCTAATTAATACATAGCGATCCGCTGAAATAAAATACGTATCCTGTTGTCATTCTATCCGGCTGACATCTCTTCGGGATAAACAGGGTGTGTAGCGACGGGAGATCCAAGCGTATATCGTCGGATTTCAGTGTGTAAAGGATCCCCCGGACGGGCAATGGAGTTGGAATGGAAGAAATATAATTTCAAGGGCGGTTGGAGTAACGAACGCCATGCAGATGCATTTAGCACGTCTATCAGACCAAAAGAGGCGTGCTATTTTCAAGTCCGGAGAGACCAACGGATGGTGGAAGGTTGATGAAGTATAGAAGGGGGTATCAGTGCTTCAGAAGTGGGTGAAGATATAGAAGGGCCGCGCTTGTCCGCTATGATGAGCTGGCCTGGCTGTTCTGTGTCTGGTTGAGAACATTGTTTTGGACGAGGTTACGGACCGCCTGCGGTGCCACCATGTCGTCGATGCTGTTCCTGCGACCCCAGTTCTGTGGCTGTCGTCGGATGAAAGCGCCGACCGCACCCAGGTAGCCCTCGTGTCGCAAGAAGTATGCTTGCTTCTCACCCTTGGACCAGAAGCGAATGGCGTAGGAGAGGGTGTTCATGGTCTGGCGGTGACCGCGAATGAAGGAGCCGCCGAAGTAAATGTGCTTGACCTCATGCTTCTCCGACTGGAGATAAGCGATCTGGCCAATGTTGTTACTGGTGTATATTAGTATGTTGTTCCTCAAGCTGGGGAATGATAAAACATACCTGATAGCATAAAGGAGGCTTCGGCTCATGTCTTCGTGTTTGAAATTGACACCGCCGTTGGTCTGCTCCGGGTCATCGTCGTGATACAGGCCCTCGCCGTCCTCGGCACCCCGCTCGGCAGCATTCTTCAAGCGAAAGACCTTGCCGAATGTGCTGGCAATGGCTGTGCTCTTAAGTCCAATCTTGGTGTAGTCCATCCCGTAGATATCGCCCACCAGCATGTCCACGCCGCTGTTGTCGCCGCGATCCGCCATGGCCAGCATGTCGTCAAAGGTGCGGGAACCCGTCAGGAGGGACATCAGACCCCAGAAAGTTCCGCCGCCGAGATGTGTACCCCCGACACGCTGGTACTGTCTGGGGCCGGACACCTTGATCATGGACACGCCGGACCCTATGTTGACCAGAAGATACGGATAGACGTCCGGCCGGGCTTCAGCAAACTGCATCGGTTCGGTATCGGCATCGCTGTAGGTGAACACTTCGTTGGGAATTTCGGTGATGAAAAAGTCCAGGCCTGGTGGGGAGAGTGGTTAGGGGGCGTCCCAACATCCAATTTCGGTGAGCCGGGGACCTACCGATGATCAGGCATTCCATCTCCTCCTCCCGCAGAATGTTGACGTCCAGCGCCTCCTTGAGCTTATCGTAGAACTTGAACGCACCACCTCCAGTTGCAACAACGCACAGCTCATCGCGCGATCTGCCATTGCGCTGTTCGTGCTCCTCCTTGAGCTGGCGGATGAAGTTGATGCAGATATCGATCCGGTGGGTTTCGAAGTTGATAAAGTTTAAGCGACCGCCATTGTCCTCCGCGTCGAGCTCCCGAGTAAAGTAAACGAGCTTCGCAAGCGATCCGCCAATCTAGATAGCAATTGTGGTCAGTCGCGCCGTCCACGAAATTTTTGCTGATTGCGGGGTGTCGGTCGCATTGCGGGGCAAGTAAAATCAAGGACTCACATCGACAGCGACGTGGCTCACGACACCCGTATGGTGAGGAAGCCGGATATCCTTGTTTTCGTAGTGCACGCCATCGGCCTCGACGGGGCTTCGGGAGCGGTCGTCGTCGTCGACGATGAACGCGCCCGTGACATTGATCTTCACGGCGCCGGGGTTGGAGATGGCCTCCTCCACCCTGGGCACGCGACCGGGACGCTTGCGGCGAGGGTCAGACTCCGTGCGATCGGAGGCGGGAGCCATGGTGGGTAAATTGATGTGGTAGAGCAGAGCAGGAGAACAGGAGATGGGAGCCGGAAGCTCCTGGAGATGTTCGGCGTGCCCAGGCTTACGGCGTACTTTTCCTTCTACCCGAGCTGTTAAATCGGGATCCACTCAACCAAATCCCTGCCGAGGACAACCTTCTGCTTCCGAGGTCCCTGGGATGTAACCGTCCGCTCCACGTAGTATCTTGATTCACTTTTTATTCGTCAATTACGGCAACCTGCAATCGATATCAAAACTATGACCCAATGCGCCTGTACCTGACTAGGCCCATGGGTATGTATTCGTCAATTATATCTGGTCGACTCATATCGAGTGCTTGGAACAGAAAGACAAATGCCTATAAGAAGGGTGGTCCTCAGACGAGATATGTATATCTAAAAATTTGAATATCTATTGCATCGTCTATGTAGGTAGGAATATATCGGGGATCTTTGCTTGAGGCTAGCCAGCCATTAGGTACCTCCCAGGGGGAGATATCACTGCGGGATCTTGGGGAACCCGGTCAACGCAGGTATAAATCTTTCCATAACTCTCCGATAATGCTGCAGGCCAGAGTTTCATGATTATTCAGTGTCTCGCCCGTATATATACAGCAGTTGGTTTAAACTTCCGGCTTTACTAGTCCCAATATAGAAGTATGTATTCAGATCACAACGGTCCACGTGTATCAGATGAATACTAAGCTACTCGAAGGGATACACGCCTCCGGAAGCGCAATAGCATGACTCAAATTTGTATCCCAATTTTCGATAGTATTACCACGTTCGTTCAAAGCCCGGAGATTCCCAGGTTCTCCCTGGTAGGTGAACAGGCATGCGAGTAGTGATCCGTATGTGCACCTGATACCAACCAACTGCAGAGCAGGCAGAACTAGTAGTCTGCACAAGCAAATACGGAAATCGGGCACATGCAACGACAAAGAGCAGACACGTGCCATGTTGGCACCTTCTTCCTGGCACCTTCCGAATCAGGCAATTCTACTTCCCGAACGTGTTTGCTGGACGTGTAGCGTGTAGGCGTGCGGACGTGTGAGCTTGTGGACGCGTTAATCGACTCTTCCCTCCTCATCTCCGTCTTTCTTCCCTCCCTTTCATCCTACCAAGCCTCTTGTTTTGTTGGACCATCTCGGTCTAGGTCTACTTTCGAGCTTCTTCAATCCCGTAAGCTGCTTGTGAAGCAGTTCACCAATTTCTTCCTGTCTCTGAATTCCTGACTGGGGATTTTCGGTACCAAAACACCGCTTCTCATCATCCTCCGTCACCCCAAACAGGATGGCGGATTGGGATCCTTTCGAGCGTGCCGACTCTGTTCACGAGGACGTGGCCAGTGCTGCCGACGTCGCTGATTCCGATCAACCTCCCACTGAAAATGTCCAGCCTAGCGGTCCTTCCGATGATTCGACGAACGATGTTGCCGCAAAGGGTTGGTCTGAGCGTGTTCCGTTCACCTACGCGGACTACAACAGCACGGAATTCACCGAGTGGGCTGGCAGCGCCAAACGGTATGAGTGGAGTGATGAGTATGGAGACGTGGGCCCGAAGAACGAAGAGCTCGAGAAGCAGCTTTTCAACGTTGAGAATATGACCCATGCCGGCTTGAAGCTCGATCGGTATGTGCCATGATCTACCCTGCCTTTCTATTCCTCATCTAACCAGTATCGATGCCCAGCCTAAACAAGATCGACGTTCGAACTGAGAGCGAGGAGCGTGTGTTCCCTATCGCCAATGTCAGTCCCAAAATCCTTTCCTCGCGTAGAAATGGCTCTGACGTCCGCGGCTTAACGATTTATAGTGGGAGGATGCTGGCTTACACCCTATCGTGAAAGAGAATATTTCTCTATGTCTGTATGCTGCGCCTACCGCCATTCAGATGTACGCCATCCCTGCCATGCTCATGGACAAGGACCTGATTGCTATCTCTCAAACTGGTAAGTACCCGATCACTTACCATGGACTTGTCGCTAACGACAACAGGCTCTGGAAAAACTGGGGCATATCTTATTCCGATTCTGTCAAAGCTGATGGGGAAGGCTAAGAAACTGGCTGCCCCGCGTCCCAATGTCGTCGGGGGTGACTTTAATCCAAAGACTGACGGGGTTCGAGCCGAGCCTCTGGTGCTCGTCGTGTGCCCTACACGAGAGCTGGCTACCCAAATCTTCGATGATGCCCGTCGTCTATGCTACCGCTCAATGCTGCGTCCCTATGTTGCCTATGGCGGCGTTCCCTCTCGACTACAGCGCGAGGAGCTTCAAAGGGGCTGTGACATCCTCATCGGGACCCCTGGTCGCATTATTGATTTCATGGGACAGGGCCACGTCTTGTCGCTTCGCCGTGTCAAGTATGTTTAGCTGGACAACAACGTGCAATTTTGATTTTGAAAAACTGACAGTCCGGAAGATTCACGGTCATTGACGAAGCCGACGAGCTCCTGCATGCCGACTGGGAGGATGATTTCAAGAAGATCATGTCCGGTGGAGGTAAGTTCCAGTAAAATCCCGTCAGCCTGCAGTCCATGTTGACTTACATACCGAAGATGCCACTGAGGATGATGACCACCGATACATGATGTTTTCGGCCACCTTCAACAAGGAATGCCGAATGCTTGCCCGTGATTATCTCGGTACTAACCACATCCGCATCCGCATTGGTCGCCCGGGAAGCTCACACCTGAATGTTGAGCAGCAGGTATTTCATAACACTATGATGATGGCTGCGAGTCCTCCCATTGACTGTAATATCAGGTCATCTACGTTGAGGACGCTATGAAGAACAAGGCTCTTTACGACCTTCTTCTTAGCATGTGCCCCATTCGAACCCTGATTTTTGTCAATAGCAAAGCACAAGTTGACTATGTGGATGATTATCTCTACAATGCGGGCCTGCCCAGTACCTCCATTCACGGAGACCGAACCCAGCGCGAGCGCGAAGATGCCATGTGAGTACTTTCATTTCTTGACTCTATAACCCGTTGCTGATTCAACATACAGCCGTGCATTCAAGACTGCCAAGTGCCCGATCATGGTCGCTACTGGTCTTTCCGCTCGAGGGCTGGACATTGCAAACATCATGCACGTCGTCAATTATGATCTCCCCAAGGCCATCCATGGTGGTATTACGGAATATGTCCACCGCATTGGTACTTTACCCTGCTTCCCCTTTGTCTTTGCCTTTGTTCTTTTGCCTTGAGTTTTGGCTCTAATAATTTCCATTTCGTTTAGGCCGTACTGCACGTATCGGAAACGAAGGGCTCGCAACTTCCTTTTACAGCGATAAGGACCAGGATATCGCCTTCGACCTAGTCAAAATCTTGCTGGAATGTGATCAGAAGGTTCCTGAGTTCCTTCAAGACTACACGCCTACAAACAATTGCCCCGTGTTTGCCGATGATGACACCGACGTCGAGAATGATCAGGACGATGATGATCAGGATAATGAAAATGAGGACAAGGATAACCAGGACGGACATGATCCATGGGGCCAGAGCTCTGCCTCAGTCGGAGAACAGCAAGCCCCATCTACTCCCGAGAACACTTCGCGTCACAACGGCCTCGGCGAGTCCAACTGGGCTACCGCCGGCGTTACGCTGTAGATCTCGGATGCGCCTCCGGTGAAGTTAGAATTAATCTTCCCGGGAACCCTTCGTGCCCTACTGGTGCAAGGGGTGATGGCTTTGGTCCTACCGGACAAAAATTCGGACTGCATGCTTCGATAGGCAAACCGACCTTGAACCCGCTATGCAACCTGGATGCCCATGAGAGCGGGCAGGTAAATCTTCGGCACTCGAAGCCCTTTTCTGATCTCTTTACTTTCAATTATGTTTATAGGGCTGCTGTGCTTTATGTTTTTAGCTGTGTTTCCCAAGCTTTCGCAGATGGTGACTAGGGGGGTGGTGGGATCGGTCGATATGTATTGCCAATCGGAGCTGTGTTTGTCCTCAATATCATTCTTGTTCAACATTCAATATCTTCAAAATATCCGTCTGCTCGTAGTCAATTCTGGAAGAGGATGGGCGACGCCTTCCCAAATGTAGAACAACGTACTTTCTCACACTTCGAACATCCGTTCAGCCTTCGCCTCGCCAATATCACCAGATCATTCCTTGCACGTTTGTCTCCGAAATACGTTCATTCATTTTCACCCACAAACCCTTCGTCATGAAGGACCATCTATTCCTATCGTCTTGTGCCGTCTTCCTGGTTCTGTTCCTTCCAGAAACAAGCCTCGCCCATGGACACTACAGCGACCAGCACTGGTACCAGCCTCGAGAGCAACACATCCTCTACGCCGCTGAAGATACAGAGCCCCTGACGTCGCTCGTCATTGACACATTCCAGAACCCAACCCACAATGACCTCGGCTTTTGGCATGGCGCCGGCGAGAACTTAAATATGCATTACGAGCCGGGCTCCGTGCGCCTTTTCCCGACAGATACGGATCAGAACTTCCATACTCAGTTCGAAACAAACGGGTGCTTCAGCTTACTGCCATGGCAGCACCAGTTCCTGCACGTCGAGTTTGTGGGCACGGATCAGTTCACTGTTTCCTTGAACGAGCACAACGTCGATTGTAACCCGCGCCGTGCTCCGTTTCCCGGTGTGCCGGACAGTGTTCAAGCTTCGAGGTACGTGATGAGAAGCGGATACGGGCGCTCTGATCACGATGGGGGTGACCATGAGGATGGTGATCAATCTCCTGCTGCACCGCCGAAGACAGAGTTGTTTATTCCGCTGTCTCATTTCCGAATCAATCACAATCGGGTTATGTCTGTTTCCTTCACCGGCTTCTATACCAATGAGCCCATCACGCTGCATCGTGTTGAGATCGTGTCGAATATCCCGCCGCCGAACGTCGAGAACGACTACTTCAGGGTACCCGAGAAGCTTCCCACCGGCGAGTTGATTCTTCGTTGCTCTCGACCCAACTCCTTTGCATTTGGTATTGATGACGGATCGCCTCGCTTTGCACAAGAGGTGATGAGAATCCTTGATGAGGAAAATGTCCACGTTACGTTCTTTGCTGTGGGTGCTGGGCTTAGGGACACGACTACAAACCTCACTCAATTCTACCGTGAGATGCTGAAGAAGGGCCATCAAGTTGCTCTTCATTCTAATACTCATCCTAAGTAAGCTGAGCCCTGAACCTGTGCATTCATCTGCGTTGCTGACACTGTACAAGAATGGAAGCACTGCCGACGGTTGACGAGATCGACGATGAGATTATCCCAGCGCAAAGAACCCTCAAGGAGCGACTCGGCATCGAGTGTGAGTCCTTCCTGAAACCCACATCATGACCAGCTCTAACAATGACAACAGCCTCCTACTTCAGACCGCCATTTGGAACCGTGGGCGCGCGAATGCGGCAGCAAATCGCAAAGTATATCCCCAATGCGTACATTGTCAACTGGAGCGTGGACGTCGAAGACTGGCTCTGGGCCAACAGCCCGACCCCGGAGAAACAACTCGAAGCATTCTACCGCGGCGTCGCACGGGGCGGCAACCTCGCGGTGATGCATTTCCTGAATCCCACGACCGTCGGGTATCTTCCCCAGTTCATCCGGCACGTCAAAGATGCCGGGTTCAAGATCATGCGCGTTGATCAGTGCATGGAAGACCCCAACAGCCCGCCGTTATCATAAGGAGCAGCACCACGTATCCAGGCTTAGGCGGAACAGTGGAGCGATGTCTATACTGCCCAGTTATATTCTTATTGTATTCTCTTGTCCTTGCGCACAGTCTGCTTGAATCAATCAATTATTTCGCCCTTGAGACTTCTTTGGAAATAAATTGTATGGGCGCCAGGATCTCATAAGATGACCACACTCGACGCCAGTTCAAAGTGGGTTTATACTCCAACACCAATGCCCCAAAATTCAACAAAAAACATATAGAATACAACAATGCGAGAAATAAGATCCGGTGCTGATGCCATGCATATAGAAACCACGCACCCAATGCCCGTGCGCGTTTCAAACCCAAGAAAATTTTCAATGCCAACGCTCAAGATGTATTCCCAAATTCCGGCGACCGACACAGCCCCTTTTTATCCATCATCGTGCGGACCCGGCTCATCAACCAGCCCGACGACGCGCCACGGTGCGGTTTGCCAAGACGGGGGTTACCGCCGGTGAAACATGTGTTGTCGCGGAAGCTGAATTGCACGCAGTGGTTCTGCGCCTCGCAGATCTCGCGGCAGTCTTCGAAGTTTGTGGCGAAGGGTTGTTCTTCGCCGGCTAGATTGTCCCAGTTGAGGCGGGTCGGGGAGGTAGCGATTTCGGGGTAGATGAGTTCGCGGAAGAGGTCGCTGTGGAGGAGGATGTGTTTGTTTTTCTGGGGTGGTGAGTAACTTGGTATAAAGGGGGGAAGTGGGGGAGGCTTACTTCGTGCCACCGTTTTTGCTCGAATTTCCAGAGATCTTCAATCTCCGCTGCGTTGAGGTGGTGTAGTGCAATGGCTATATAACACCATGGCTCTCGGTATAGTTCCGTTGTGAACTCGTCCAGTTCGCCGAGGTTCGAGTTTTGTAGGATCGGCCAGGAAAAGTGCAGGTGAACGCCTGCGTCGGCGAGCACCTTGCCTAGGACACAGTCGCCTGCCCAGTGTCCATTTGTATAGTCGTCAAGCTCGGCACGGCGCTTGTCGTACTGGTCGGAGGCTTTCGTGAGCGCCGGGTTGGAGAGCATGAAGCCGGATCCACCGTGGGCGAAGATAGTCTCTCCGATCTGGGTTTCGGTGCCGAGATAGAATGGCTTACGATGGTCGAACTTGGCCAGCCAGGCCAGCAGCGTCGGCCAAGAGGGATAGGTGTCGGCCTCCATGAAGACAAACCACTTGGCGTCGGGCTTGTACTTCAGCGCCTCCTGCGCCATAGGCAGGAACTTCCATTTGTCCAGCTTCCAGCCCGGGTTATTCGGTTTGCCGAAGCTGGTGTTGTCCTCATCTGCAAAGTCCTGCTGCTCCAGGCCCTTGCGTCCTTTCCCGTTGATACGGTTGTAGATGTCGAAGTCCTGCACACGCATCTTGACCTCGGAATCAATGGTGCTCAGGGCATCGTAGATCTTAACGCCCTCGATCTCCTCCTCGAAGTCGGAGTAGATCACGTAGTGCGGGATGCATTTGAGGGTGGTCTGGAAGTGGATCGGGACTTTCTTTCGAGCTTCGGTGACACCTGTCTTCATCACAACTAGAATGTCCTCGATGCCTGGGAGGGATGGACATCCTGTGGAAGGCTCGCCGGCATACTTGATGCTGGAGTCGGGGTCGGCGCTCGTGCTGGTGCGGGCAGATGGCCGTTGCGGGAGGCTGGACCGCAAGGAGAAGACGTGGTATAGGAAGAAGAGCGCGACGGCAGCAGCGATGGCAGCGAAGCGACGACTGAATTTTCGAGGGACCATGCTGCATTGAGGAGTCTACCTCGAGATCCAGCGAATGGAACAGGTCTCCTGCAGCTGGGGAAAGGCCGGCGCTAAAAGCAGTGATCGCCGAGGCCGCGCACGTCCGATGCTGACACAGCGGGACGCGTACGACGCGCTTTTGTATAGATTCCGGTGCGGAATGTCCATCTTCCACTATGATATTCATCCGACGGGATGAGATGATGGATTCTTTGACTCCCAGCTTTATCTTCACTCTTCTTTAGTTCAATATTCCTTTGCGTTTGTCGTTCTGGCTGATCTCGTTTGCTCCTTGATCGTCGTGGGGATCTTTAACTGCCTCGATTCATTTACCCCTGGATTTTCTTTACAGGATTACACTATTGAGTTACAATTGCGTAATGGAGATCTTGACCATCATGGCACTCAGACGATATATGTACTAGACAGAGGCCCTGTGTAGATCGGAGATCAGGTACCAAAATACACATCTTGATGTATGAACTCAATCCGAGACCTGTGCTCCCACCAGGAGGCTTCATGGAATCTTGGTGGGTCAATTCCAAAGTTATGAGGGTTAAACCTTGAAACCACGTCCTTGCCCTAATAATCCCTTGTATTTGCGAGGAACTGGCTTTCACGGTCTATCGGGCCATCCACGGCATCAGGTCGACCGTTCAATCATGTTCGTAAACTCCTCCACAGACTCGTCTGCCTTTCCAGGCCCCCATTTATACCCGACATCCCATTCAAAATTCGTCAATTTTCCGTATCTCCCTCGATTTCACCAGCGCATGGAAGATCCTCCAAATCGACGCCGGCAGTCCGAAGGCCTTGGACCCAATTGTTCATTTCTCGAAGTCAATATTAACGGTAAATGTCATTTATTGCGCTGCTCTCTTCTGCTCAATCCTCGCATCATGCAACTTCACCAACTCCGGAATAATCAGACTCTCGATCTCAACGCCCTCCTCTATGACATCCGAAGGAGGCTGAGACGTCTCATTGGCTTGACCTACTTTTCCTTTTGTAATCTCAGCCAGACCAACTTGATCCTCTGCTCCAGAGATACTCTTGCTGCGCCGAGTCTTGGGCACCCGGATCCATCGCTCGTAAGGCTCATCTGGCGTAATGAACACGACCTCCCACTTTCGGGTCGAGAGCATATTACCGATGACGAGATGGTGCGCGTAGGTCTGTAGCGCCGTGCGGGCCTTGTACACCAGCAGTGTGGGATCGGTCTCCAGCTTGAAGGAGACGATCATACTCCCATCAGGAGCCCAGCCGTCAACCAGACGGTGCAGGAATTTCGGCACAGGATCAAGGTTGATAACCAGCTTCTTGCTATTCCTGGGGGCCTGGTTTTCGTTCTCGCCAGTGTATATCTCGTCCGAATCAACTGCGTTATCTCGGAAGTTGGCAGGAATCTCCGAGGACTGAATCTTATGCTCGGCCATCCGGCTGCACGGGATGAAGAAGTCGCTCACGGCCGCAGCAAGGTAGAAAAGCGCATTAGGACCCAGCGGGTTCATCAGCTTAGCCATAGCGCGCAATTCGAACATGTACTCGGCGACTGTGGTGAAAGATAACAGAAGCAGGAGATTGTTCTTCTTGGCGTAGCGGTACTTCCGCAGGACATCGCGCATCTGGTTCTGGTACTCATTGCGCACAATGATGGAGCCGTCCATCGATCCATTCGACGGCGGAGCTTCATCCAAGAAATCCAAGAAACAGTTCGTCGAATGGCTGTAATGCCGCGAATACGGCAGAAGGCTGTATTGCCGGTGCAAGAAGATCACCGCGTACCCTTGCTCCAGAAAGTACTCTGCAGATGTGGCTCCGCGGGTACCCGCGGAGAAGTTGTCGATGAAGCGAACTGTCTGCGCCTCCAGGGGCACTGTCGTTCCACCGGAGGTAACGAGCACCACGCGGCGGTTCGCTTCAACATGGAGGTCGATGAATGCGCGGGCTAGCGCCTCGTGCTTTGGGAGTGCTTTTGGCGACGGGTACTCATTGAAATAGACGGACTCCGCCTCGGCGGGTTCCATGTCGCCGAGTGAGGGGCTCATGGTGCAATGTCAACGAAGCTCTTAGTTTGAGAGCCTGATGCGATACAAGTCTGAGACTGCTTTACGATGAGGTTATGATCCCGTGTTCTTAAACAAAAAAAACAAGCTATGCCTCGCCGAGTCGGCAGGAAGGTCGGGCAAATCAGAAGCCGAGGAGGCCGCGGACAGGAGGGGTATGGCGGGAATGCGACCGTGAAGTCTGTCAATCAACGTCGCGCAGTTGATAAAACCCACACTGTTTCTTTCGACAGCGATGGATATAACGCCGATTTGTTCCTATAAGTGTTTTCAGGGACGTATGAAGCATTCGCGATCACGCCAGGTAGTCGATGTCAGATTGACAGCGGCGAAGATCAGACTGTCTGTTTCGGTGCTAGCGTTGCCGCTGAACCGATACTGGATCTTTGCCCGAGACGAAGATGGTCGTTTATTGCGAGGTGGATTTCTGTATCTCGAGATGACTGGTGCTCGTCGCCGATGCCGAGGCGTCCGTTTCCGTGGTCGGTCACGTGTTCGGTCACCGAGGATTAGCGCGACTCAATCTACTCTGTACAATTCATCACTCGGGCCTACGGAGGTTCATTTATAAATAAAAAAAGCAAAAAAAAGGTATATTCATTGCATCACCGGTGATGCCGGAAGCTTGATTGCCGATTTGCGGCGGAATGTTTGTGTACCCGGTACATCTCATCATTGCCGATTTACCTGCGGTAAGAACATACCGATGCACGAGGTAAAATTCCAGGGTTCCTTCACTGCAGGTAACGACTACGTAAGGCCTGGCTGATCGTGCTCATTCGACTGGCCATGCCACCATGCTGCATGTTGCTCATCAAAGCTTCCTCCAGTGCCGATTGTGTAACGCTGGCGTCTAAAAAGTTCATGGATCAGTATGAGGGAAATTAATCGTGGAAGGGGGAATTCACCATCCAGATCACTGAAGCTACTGCCCATGCTCGGGGTACCGTCGCTAGCCTCTCGCCCTGATGCCGTGGACTTGCGTGGGCTCTGACGGGGCGCCGTTCCGGCTCGATGGGGACTCAATGTGCCAATTCTCCCACTATCACCTTGTGTCTGGCTTGCTGGAGCACCGGAGCTTATAGAGCTTGTAGAAGACTCTGTAATGGTAGCCCTTCTAGACCCAGATCGGTCTGCCATGCGTCGCCGTGTAGCAGCGCGTTCCGCATCGAGTCGAAGGGTCGCATTCAGACCTTCACCGGGCCGATCTCGTGGAGCCGGCTCGGCACCACGAGCTATGGGCAGGAATGCAGGGGTGTCATCTTCGTCATCCTCATCATCTCGGAGACCGGCTCGTTGAGTAGAGAATTTGCCGAAGCGTCTAAACATAGGCCCTCTTCGACTCGACTCTTCCTCCGAATCAGACGCTTCAGAGCTCGACAGATCCTCTTCCTCGAGGGGAGGTGATCGCAAGAATGAGGCAGCGGGTGGATTGTCGCGTTTTGTAATGGACGGACGGCGAACATAATTCTCCCATCGTTGCTCTCTGCCCTCGGTAGTCGGAGTATCATTGCGCGATGTGTCCCGAGAGTTGCGGAACTGGTTTACCGTAGTCGTGGATGTAGAGCTGCCACGCCGGCCCGTGAGACCTATAGAAAGTGTCAGATGCCAAGGAACCCCCAATTTTGGCGCGTGACGGGGATTACCTCGTTGTGGTATATCTTTTTGCTGAGATTGTTGTCGACTGGGGGCTCGAGAACCTGTGTACAAATGGTCAACCATACTATTCGATCATCAGGGACCAAGACATACCCGTCGTAATATTACCTTTCTGGGATTGTCCAGGGAATGCTGTACTACCTGACATGGATCCTGGAGCTGGTGAAGGTGGATTTGACTGAGCCGTAGGAACCTTGCGCATCTGGGCACGGACTTGGGATAGCTGTCGATCATAAAGCCATGCGGCTTGTTGGAGAAGAAATTGCAGGGTGACATCAAAGTTATCGGCCCTACGAGATATGTCAGCATATCAAGCTATCAAACTTCTGAAGAAGCTGTCTGGCTGCAAGGTGTAGTAGTTACAGGGCTTTCCCTATCGGGCCGTCAGTCATCCGATATCAAGTGGTCTGGAGAAGAAGTTCATATCAAGGGGCCATACAGTCTATGTCGTCTCCTTTGGAGGGCCGGGACAAGATGTCCCACAGCTCTTGATCCTTGGATGCATTCCATTCCACCTGATGAAGTCAGTAGATGAAGACAACCGGATGCGCAGAAGCGTAGACACACCGGTGGTGGATCGACAAAATCCTCTCTAGGAAAAGGTAGCCGGATGAAAACCGTAAAGTTGGTGTCGCCCGGATCGCTTCTTGCTCCCATGTTGATCGGGGTTGATGACGGAGCGATGTGGAGCTCGGCACTGTTAGCTTTGAGGTTCTGAAGATCCCCGATACCAGAGGCTGCTGCGCTCCGAAGACGCAAACTGGAGCTTGGCCAGATCTGATCGGCTGGTTAAATTAAAGGATGCTCCGGTAACAAAGAAACCATCGAAGGACGGTGCTGCCGAGGCGATAATGTGAGATGGAGAGGAGGAGAGTGACGCGTGACGGTTTGTTCTTTTATTGGTTGGGAAGGTGCGTGTCTATACAGCCGTGGAGTTATGGCCAATGGCGGGAACTATATAATGTTGGCGCGGCGCTTATGTTTTACCACGCCATTGAGTGAGAAGACCACGCACTGTTCCGAGAGCAGGAGATACTAGCCCCAGCAGGTAGTTAGTAAATAATCAGCCCCAATTGCTTTCTGAATACTAAAGTCCAAAATAGGACCGATTTGTTCTGATAGGCGAGTATACCTGCAACCCTAAAGCATGGCCTCATTCTGCCTCCAACCCCTCAAAAGAAAGGTAATTATCTTCTCAGGATATGGTCATGAGCGCAGTCTGCCAGACGTGAAGTAAGTCATGTTATGCGTAGCCGGAAAGAGCTAATTCACAACCTATAGAAGTCACCCACGCAATACGATTCTCTCTTTCTCAAGCTTCCGCCCTCATCTAACCCCTCTATTGTCTCAAATCTCCATCGATTCCAAATACAACACTATCGCAATGGCCGAAGAACAATTCGGCCGCTTCCATCGGTGGCTGAACAGTGGAAATCTGGAGACTGTCTCCCGCGGCCAGGTAAAGTACCTTGACTTTGCCGAGAAACCCAGCAAGGCCATCGGCGCCCTTTCGCTTGGGCTGGACTTCATCGTGATCATCGCGTCAGTACAAATGGCAGTTCTCGGCTTTATCCCCACCAAGGCCTGCAATGTAATCGGATTTGAGGCTTGCGGTGATGGCAGAGATCATATCGACATCATGATGGAGCAGATTTCGGTTCAATGGGAGCGAGGCGAATACCTTGGCTACTTCGACCAGACTCTTGAAAACGCCAAAGCCTTTGTCATCGGCGCGCTCGTCAACGGAAAGGACCCTCGGCCCGACCAGACTCTCGCAATGATGAAACACCTTACCAGCTTGGGCCTAAACCCCCGTCTTGAGTGGTTCGGCACTCCCAAAGCTGAACATGTATCCGACCGAGGCACCATTATCGTTACCTGTCCCGACAACCGACCACCCAACGTGTTCATTGACGGATATTGGAAGTAGGAGATGGGGGTCAGTGGATTGGATAACGCGCATGCCATGCATTCATGGGGCTCTGCAATTGCTCGTTCCTGATAGGGGACCCCTCGGATCCATCTACACTCAACCTCAGAAGGGGAGGCGTGTGAACGGATGAGTGCAAGGACCGTTTATCCGTTAGTGCAGAGATTACATGACAGTTGCTAGCATTGGTTATGATCTATGGCTTCCGATACGGAATGCTATTATTCCTACACTGTGTCTTCCACAAGAATGCATACCATCCAGTCTCCTGAATATCGTATCGGCATCTGGGCATTGTGTAACATGTATTGACTTAATGTCAGAAGGATATTGTGATCCCAAAAATTAGGAGTCAATGAAATCATTATGAATTTTGTAGTCGGTGAGACAAAGGCCAGACAAATAGGGGTCTATCTCCGGCGCACTAAATACCCTTTCACTGTTACGGACACCTCGAGTGGAAAAACGGGTAAGTCATTTTCATGGACGAATAAAACCGGTTTCGATCTGTTTGGTTTGAACTGAAGGCATGCATGAAGCCTCTGTCTGTTCCCCAAAGCCAAGGATCGACAAGGAACACTATATACAAGCCCTTCATCGTGCCCAGATATGACAAACCCCTCCCTCCCCCCTTCCCTCCTCTGTCTCGATCTACTACCGGAGGTATAAATTTGCCGGATGTAAAGGCTATTGAGCTATCAAGAGGCAGTAGGAACAGGAGTTTCTTGGAAGGTCGAAGTCCAAGTTGTTGCAGTGACAGACTGGGTAACGGCGTCTTGTCCGTTCTTTCCCTCGAATTTGGCAAAGGTATCTATTTCTATATAAGTATAAAGCCGTTTGAGCCAATCTGGACCGATATTACTTACCGATATTAACAGAAACTGAGCCCATCGCGTCCCCACAATCACTGCACTCGATAGTAGGGGTAGAGTACCTATTACCCACAAAGCAACTGTCAACGTCACAGCTTGCGAAAGCATAGCCACTGACATTGGTTGAATAATTAGCTTTTAGTTGATAAACTGGAAGAACCAAAAATGTAGCACTTACTTATTGCCGGGGATTAACTTCCCATTTTTGTTCTCAAGGCACAGGTTCAAATCCAGCTCAGCGTCGCTGTACACCGGCCCGTCAACCTCGCAACTACGACTTAGTACGAGCTTGCCGGAGTTTTTGTAAGCGCCTGGCTTTGGGTGGGCATCGGGGACACTTCGGTATGTCCATGTGCAGGATTCGGCGGTCGTCAAAGCCGCCAAGGTAGAAACAAGAAAGATTAGCTGAGAGAATTGCATTTCGGTAGTGGTGGTCAATTGCGAATTGAAAAAGAAGTGAGAAGATTGATGAATACTAAGCTATTATTTGGACGAAAGCTCAAATTTATATTCCGCAATGCGTCTTGGCGTATGCGTCTGAGTAGCTATGACCATCATCATCGGCTGAGTTTTGGGGGCTATAACGCATTTGGAGTGTAAGATGTGTTGATGCCACCCTCGTAGCGCCAATTAAGGTTTCACAGGCCGTGATGCCGCGCTTGGCCAGCAGCATGAATTTCATCCTCCAGCTGACATGCCTGGAAGGAAACCTCACGTAAAGAGACCGACAGTTTCTCGGGCTATGATCATATCCAATGGATAATTTGACATGACGATCTAAAGACAAGAACGTGTAGTCTATAAGAACAGACCCTTCAACAATCTCTGGAATGAGTGCGGGATCGTGGTCGTGCTGTAATGGTCGCAAATGTCTACTTGGCCCCAGAATTAGGGGTCCAAAAGGGTCTATTTGATGGGGTTTACATGGGCGCTAGTGCGCCATTTGTTTACCATCGTTCCGGCGTTCTAACTTTACCGGTTGCCGTGGTTGAACTTAGGAGGGACCTCGACCCGCCAAGGCCCCCCCCGGAAGTTTGTGGGGGCCTCGTAAAAATAGAAATTATCGGTAGAGGCTATGTTTCCTCTGCAGCCGCATGAAACCCCGCTATGACAAGGTGCAGGCCCCCGATCAGCCGGAATCTTGGCCGCCGCCAAGGGCGCCCCCGAAAGTTCGTGGGGGGTCTCTCAAAAATAGAAACTGTCGCTAGTGAGGCTATATTTCCTCCGCAGCCGCTTGACACCTCGCTATGAAAAGGCGCAGGCCCAGCCAAAAGCTTGGCCCCTGCCATCTTGGCTCCTCCAATCTCTAAAATACGGTCATCATATTCAAAAGCTGGCTAGGGAAATGAAGACTGTTTAACGAGAAGGGGGCAAAAGAAATGTACGAATCACTGGAAATATTGAACGCGCGGACCAACTTAATTTCGTAGGTATGCACCAGTTCCTTGCTCCTATTGACCGATCTCTCCATTTCCTACCGCTTCGCCCGCTATTTCTTTCTATTATTTTATACCATTACGTGCTTGATTTTTCTTTTTCGTCCAACATGACGAGGTGTGTCTGCTAGCCCTCGTTCCGAGAGTGGTTGCGGCTATAGTCGACCGCGGTCTTGGAGCGATATAGTGGATTCGCGACGATACACGCCGCTCGGATGGTTTGGGTTGGGGTAGTTGGTAGGTTGATAGTAGTGGAGCAGATGGAGGGACTGGTTGCACGTGGACAAGATGGAAATCCGATGAAGAGTTGTATGGAGGGAGAGAGAAAGGATTAGAGCGTAACCTGGGTCAGGTTATGAAATAGGAGTCCTGGACGCCTGAGGGTCGATAAAACATTGTACCAAGCTTTCGCATGAGAATCAGCCATTCAAGTGACCTTTGCACTCTCAGCTGCGGAGCCATAAATCTTGCTCTTCTCCATATCTGTACGGAATCCACGAATCATTAAAGTACCTCTGCAAAACAGTCTGCGGGTAGGTCATATCATCGACACAGTATCCACCACCTGTGGGTCCAATATGAGGACAGTGGATATTGGGCCTGTAGTGTACCATATGCTCATGGACCTCACGACATAGCAGTGTATTTTTGCCTAGCTCGTAGCTCTTTCCGAATCGCACGTCCTTGGTCAAAAAGTTATAACACGCCGCCGAGTCTGTATATTGCTGGTTTAAGCCGGTGCAATACTGCTCGTGTGTAGCACAGATGGTCTTGGCCAATAGGTTGGAGACATAGGCGACGGCCTTGTCAGATGAAGTAGCGTTGATTTTAGTCGCAACACCTTCGATCAAAAAGTCCAGTAAGTATTCGAACCATCGGAAGACTGCGTCATACTGAATGATCTTGCCATCCGCGTTCCACTCGATCCACGTATCGATAGTGACAGGGACAAGGATGCCGAAGGTGGTCGCGTTGAAAGTAACAACGGTTGTTGCGGATGCAATATTATCGTTGGCAGCGAACTGGGTGATGTTGTATGCGATTGGAACACCAACAAGACTGACGTGCGTCGGGTCCGAAAAGAGGCCAAAAATATATTCGCGGTTTAGCTCGTCACCGTCGAAGGTGCGGGTGATGTCAACACGGCCTTGAACCTATGTATTGTCCTTGTCATTATGCGCTGCGAGCAAGATCGTATGGAGAGCGTTTAACCTACATTTGGGGCGAATATAGATGACTCGTTTCCCTGTGTCTGTTTCACGTTGGCAGGGTAAAGAAACGAATCCCAGAAGGTCTTTTCAAGTTCCCAGAGTTGATCGAAATTGAAAATTGACTTCGGATACTTTTCTTGAGAATCACTTGCGCACTCGGCAGAAGAAAATAAGAAGGGCAAGACAATTGTGAGCAAGGAACCCCACGAACATAACAGTAAGTTCATGTCGATTTTTTCGGAAGCAACTTTCAACTATCTTTTGACAATGGGCAGAAGTAATAGTTTATTGAAAAATGTAGGATTCTGGGGGCGGCCTGGTCTGTGCTATATGTTATTCGAAGCATGCCAGAGCATGCTTTGCTAAGAACGCCAGGGTAAAGATCTGCGCCCCCATAGTCATTTGGGATGGATGTGAGAAAGCCACGAGCAGATCCTCACCAAAAGGGTAGCAAACCGAGTGGTTAACATTCAACTGGCTGTATATACTATTCAGCTCACAGGGAATTCTGACTTGAAGCGGCCGAGAAATCTTAAGCCTTCTGTGTAATTAGTATGGAGAGGAGCCAGTAAATTCAACGACACCTCTGACAGGCATGAGCGACAGGTTCAAAGTACAGAACGACTTTCGATGGTGTTTGAGGGAAGTATGAAACTGGGGTTCTGACTAGCACAGAAATGATTTGGGGCTGAATAGCTCTTGCATACTTTGGTGGGGTTGGTTGCTGACCCGCGCAATCTCGGCCTCCTTGCAGATGTTTAGATAGGCCATCACCATTTCGGGGAAGCAACAAAACAAATCAATGCATTGCTCAGAACCTAGTCATTGCCCGCCATGCTGTGTCTGAAGGTCCCAGTCGTAATCGTCGTCTACCCTCTAGCAAGGTCATTTGTAGAAGAGACAAAGCAGCTGTTCTCTTCGGGCTGCTCCAGCACGACCGGAATCCGCTCGATATTTCCGAACACTTTGTTATTTTTGAAGGGAGACAGCAGTGGATAAGATCCTTCAGCATCTTGCTCATCGTGGCCAAATGACTTGGAAACATGATAGATCTGATCAAGGCACGCATGTCTTCGTTTCCTTGAAACTTCAGAAGCCCCAAGGCACCTCGAGCGGTCGAACATAACGCAATCGGAAAGCGAACTGCGCACCCGCCCATCCTCTATAATTTTAACCTACTCATTTTAAACCAAAACGCCAATATATTCACTAAATCATCTCGGATTACATTGATTTGGCTTATGCCCTATCTCGACATATAGAGTAGGTAAATTGACTCCATCGCGCTGGTGCTGCTGCTCGCTAAATAGGCTGCCCGGAGTGACTCTGCCTGCGCTAATCCGGCAGAAAACGCAGTCGTCGTGGCGCCGCTTGTAACTGTCATGCTGTGGATGGCAAACCCGCTGATTGGACCGTCCAGGGCCTTTGGTATGTAAACATGACCATCCATGAGCCGCCTCATCGTCCGGACAAGGGAAAGGGTTCTAAACGATGGGGTTGTCAATACCTCCGTATTGTCCGTCTCGACAGCAACCGACATGATCCCCAGATGATGAGCAATATGGAGAAAACATCCACTGATCTGCTTCTCCCCGACTTGCTGGAAGACCAGGGAGCCTACAGGCTGCGAATGCCATGGATCCAGTTCCATGATCTCTTGACACAGTCGAGAAACTGTTGACCGGATATATGGCTCTTTTCGTCCTGTAGAGAAGGGGCCACCAGAATGACCATCGGGATAAAAAGAGATTGTTCATCCACCTTGGTCCTGTCTTAACACATGCCCACAATCTGCGCGGCCTTGTCACGAAGTTCGTTGACTCGGGTCAAGAGCCGGAAATTGACAAGCTCGAAAAATGGCCCCATTACGACGCAGCTACCCCACATGACTGAAGACTGAGTCGGTGGGGTAAACAATGTCCATCTTCTCCAGCAATGATCGAGCTTATTATGAGAAATTAAGTCTGCGGATTATTTGTCGGCTATATTAAACTGGCATCGCGCGAAATCCCCATCTCTACATCTTGCGATATCCAGAACCCTGCTGACACGGTGAGTTGGTATCACTCTCGAGCTGAGTTTTAGGACTCATTATTATTCACTTTTAGATACCCTGTATATCTTTTTTAAGGCAGCTATGGCTTCTATCAGCATTGATAGACCTTCGTCTGCAGCGACAACTCTCCGCCGCAAGATCGAATCCGGGGAATTCATTCTCGCTCCGGGGGTATACGATGGCTTTTCCGCACGAATCGCCCTAGAAGTCGGCTTTGACGCATTATACATGGTACCTCAATTTCACCTTCCATTGCGTCCCATCTTCTCTGGACTGACCAAGAATATAGACCGGAGCCGGCACGAGCGCCTCTATGCATGGCCACGCCGACCTGGGACTGTGCACCTTGAATGACATGCGCCAGAATGCGGAGATGATCGCCAATCTGTCCACAACCACGCCGCTGATTGCGGACGTGGACACGGGCTATGGCGGACCCATCATGGTGGCGCAAATGACCGAGCAATATGTACGCTCGGGCGTGGCGGCCTTCCACCTGGAGGATCAGGTCCAGACCAAGCGATGCGGCCATCTCGCCAGGAAAATCCTGGTGGATTTGGATACCTATGTGAGCCGCATTCGCGCGGCCGTCCAGGCGCGCAGGAGAATCCAGAGCGACATCGTCATTATTGTCCGGACGGATGCGCTGCAAAAGTTCGGCTATCACGAATCCTTGAATCGGCTGCGTGCCGCGCGCGACGTCGGGGCCGACGTCGGTTTTCTTGAAGGCATCCGGTCGGTCGAAGAGGCCCGTCAGATCGTGACTGATCTGGCTCCGTGGCCGGTCTTGCTGAACCTGGTCGAACATGCCTCGACCCCAACCGTTTCGGCGGCGCAGGCGCGCGAGTGGGGGTTCCAGATCATGATTGTCCCATTGGTAACACTATCATCTGCCTACCAAGCGATGAAGAAGGGCTTGGAGAATCTCAAAGAGACCGGTTTGCCGAATACGGCCTTCTCGCCTCAGCAGCTCTTTCGGGTGTGTGGATTGGACGAGTCGATCCAGATCGATTCTGCGGCAGGAGAAGCCTCATTGGTTGATCTCAAGCATCATCTGTAGGAGACATTCAATCAATCAATCAGTCAATCAATTAATAATTTCAGGCGTATTGAGAAATTGTCGTTCATGTCTTTGCAGAAGCGGTAACCAAGCGGACGAAGAGGAGACGCAGGCTAGTGAGGCGAGAAGAAGAGGACGCTGTCGGGTAAGAAAGGCCTGCTGGGTCATTCATTTTCTCTAGTTAGAGATAACTATTGCTATGCTCGTATTACTCATCATTATTATTTATTTATCATATTTTCTCCATTTAGACGATTAGGGAAGTGAGGCTAAAGGAGAGATACCCCGCTGACATATTAGGGGTTAATGTCCCCACTGGTAAGTGGCAAATCTCACACAACTCGACATTGATGATGGAGGCCTGTCTACCACCGATTGGTGGCATTTGTGTACGTACTGACATATGACATGGACGGGATAGAAATTAGTTACATCATGCGCTTCAGATTGTGTCCTGACTTCATAAGACCACTATATAGTATTTGATCTGTAAGAGCGTCCAGGTGCTGTGTCGGGTGTGTTGAAGTCAAAAACCATCCTGGAGTCTGGCCACAAGCCATGCCTGTCGAGACTCTACTGCGGGGTTTGACCCGTATCTCATTTTCGGTGATTTCTGCGAAGTCTAGATGCCGGTTCGCCGATTCTGCTCCACTTATCCGACATAAGTGTCCTGATGATTGATTCCACTTCACTTGATTTGCTCCGAACCCTCAGAAATGGGACTGTTGCTACCCCACACTGTCGGCAATCGGCATTTGTTACCAACATCGGCCGCCCGGTCTGCACTTCTCCCTAGCAAAACATGCGGTGACTTAAAGGAACGAATGTCAAAGCCGAATTTGGATCACGTCTATCTAACGCGATGTTCTCTATTAACGTCCCAAAAATGGATACAAGACGCCTAGATTCTGATCTATCGCTTAAGAAGAGAAGAGGAATAATTGCGTGCGCCAGATGCCGGACAAGAAAGGTCCGGTGTAATGTCCAAAATGGCTTCCCCTGTCATAATTGCCAAACGGACAAGATCCCATGCTCCATTCCTGAGCCGAAACGCAATAGATCACGATTTCGAAAAGAATGAGTAGTGGAAAATCGACTTAATTGATATAGAGCTAATATACCGGCCATACAACCAGAGCGTACAGGATTTGGCATTCAAACTGCACGGAAAGTGCATACGAAGGTCCACGGCAAGGTTCAGAGATGAGGCATCATCAAGCGACTTCCCCTATGGCTTGTCTATCAAGTCATCCGAGAGCTTCAGTGCCACAATACTCTGAGCTTTCTAACTCAATAATGACGCCTTCTGCCTCCTCAGAAAGTGTAGGAGTTAATGCTGATGAGCAAATTGCCGAGTGGATTCTGTCCTGTCCCATTTCTCTCAGCACGGGATTGCCAGGGGATTTATTATCTACACTTATTTCTATCTCTACCGGCACTGATGGGTATCTTGAAAGATCAACGCCGCCAGGGCCAATATTTCGGAAGTGTTTGACATACATCGACAACGCTATAGCATGCCAACCTACGGCACAATCTATAGCACAAACGACTAAAGAAGGCCATGTTAATGACTTAACAAAAATCGGCAATAATCTTCTGACCCGGTCTCAAAAGCTCTGCGACAAATTGAGCGCCTCTGCCGATCTCGCAGATCTACATTGCTCGTCGAAGGCTCCGAAATCTCTGGACGCTCCGAAAGAGACCTCTGAAATTATCGAGGGGAAAGGATGGTGCTCAAATGACCAGACTATTGAAAATAGCCAATGGGATATAAGCGAGAACATTCTTCCATATGGCTCTTACCCCGTGATGGAGCTATTCTTTTAGGAAACGACGTGATATCAAAACCCCGGAGTCGCGTAGGCTGTTCTTCTTTTTTTGCTTGAGGAATGCCCATTTTTAGATATCTCCAACCCAATTTTGTTTTACAGACAATATGAAGCGGGTGTGTATAACTATATGATCAAGAGAAGAAATATGCCCTTAATTATATGACATCAGACAAAGACACTTCCATCGATGAGGTTGAAAATGTGGTTGTCTCTTTACGCGTTGGGTAACGAGTTTCTGGGGATACTATAAATAATTATGCTCAAAATTTTCTTTTGTTCGATTTTCTTTCTCTTTTTCGTAATGATACAGTTTAAAAGATATTGGAACTAACAGATGGCACAGTAGGGCCGAAACTGAATCTGACGATGGCATAAGCTAGTATTGTATCCTCTTCTCTACTGGGATTCTGGGACTATATTCAAAGCTTGTGTCGCTTTGCGCCTAATCTCCACTTCTCAAACTGCGTGGACAAGATCTTCCCGTTTGAGGACGCCAGAAAAGCGTGCCGATACTTTGAAGAGCAACAGCATTTTAGAAAGGAAGTGATTCAGGTTCCCAGCCAGTAATCTAGAATTTTGTTCCCTTCTGAGTTCGGCGCAGTGGAATTTAGTTACAGGACGGTTCTTCTAGACTCACATCCAAGTGATATCCTGCAGGCATTTAAAAAAAGGAATATCATAATGTATCCAGGAAATGCAGGACTGGAAGCAATCTGTTGCGCTCTTTCCACGGCCAATTCGTGCTTTCCACCTCTTTGAAGGTGGGTACATCTCTGAAGGTGAACATGCTTTGCACCACGGCATAGGATGGCTTGATTCTTCCCATCAATGACAGCATGGCGGCATACACCGTTTTTTGATATTTGGATGGCCCCGTTCTCGCTCCTCCTTGCTCTTGATGGCAGGTGGCACAGACGGCAGCACCATCATCGAGGTTAATAGCGTCGTGATGACCGCTTGTTCTGCTCAGGTGGACTGTTGTAGGACTCGGTGGGTGGAGCAGTGTCGTCTCATTGAAAGCAAGAGATTTGTGGTCAAGGCGGTTGAAGCAGCCATAGCTTTTGAAGGAATGGCAAGGTAATATAAAGCGCTTTTTTTCGTATATAGTGCAAAGCAACTGGAAGTTGACTCTTACCTCTCTAGTTTTATATATACACCTTTTACGCTGTCTTATTGGAAGCGGTTGACTAACTTCCTATTTACAAATTCACAATCACTGATTCGACCACCTGGATGCGGGGCAGGATTGGACTTACGCTTAAGTTTGTTGATGGATCCCCACTCAACCCCGCTCGGATGTGGTGCCAACGGCGAGATGCCGATTGGCTCTGCTACAAATGAGGAGCTCTCGGTCTTTCCCTGACCAGGGGAGAAGGATTGGGAGGGGCACGCGTGGCGGTGGATCGATTTACTTGACGGATCTCGTGATGTTGAAGTGTCAGCTGAAAAATAAAACTTTGTGCTCCTATGGAGGATACCTTAGTACCCTTTTTTAGGTTGACACGAAGCTACATATGATGGATTCCCCAATAGAGAAAAGTGCCGAGAAAATGATCTAGGGCTTAATTTGCAAATATATTAAATGAATTCCATCCAATTTATCCCTAATACAATATGCTGATATTCACAGCTTCGCCAGCTCTTGCCTTGCCCTCCTTTCTTCAAAGTAGGCCTTCACTCTCGTTCGAGCCACCTCGACCACCGCTGCATCCTCCACCGTCGGCGGGATATTCACTGCAGCCGTATAGCGACCTTGGGCCGCATTCTCGACCAGTTCCCTCAACACGCGTCGGAGAGTCTTTCCGCTCCGGGTTTTGGGAATCATGCCGTGACCTTGGATGATGCCGCCGAGGGAGGCGATGGCTCCGACGTGACCGCGCACCAGTCGATTGACCGCGTGGAAGAAGTCTGGGGGTGGGATCGCCGGGATGGAATGAGACCCTGACGACCTCGAACGAGGCTGAGTAAAGGCGAATGGGAGGTGACCTTTTAGAGGGTCTGGGATGCCGACCACACTGGCTTCACTGACATCCGGGTGGAGAAGAATCGCTTGTTTAATGGCCCCTATAGATACCAATTAGTGTAAGAAGGCGATAATAAGAACAAACTTACCCGTGCTGAATCGATGAGCGGCAACATTGATAATGTCGTCCGACCGTGACATGACATGGACATATCCGTCATTATCAATCATCCTCGCGTCCCCCGTGTCGACCCAGCGACCGTTGAATCGTTTCAGATACCCCCGGTAATATCGGTCGGGGTCATTAAAGAGCGTGGTACATGCACTCGGCCCCAGAGGTATGGCCAAAACGATATTCCCCATCGTCCCTGGTCGGACTTCCTTGCCCGAATCGTCCACCACCCGGACGTCGAAACCTGGCATAGGTTTACCAGCCGATCCAGGCTTCACGGGCAGCGGTCTCGCCATCTCAGCAGGAGAGCGATCAACCTGGCCAGCTGGACTATGTAATGCCAATGCGGATATTGGCGAGCCCGATTCAGACGACCACCAGTTATCGATCACCACCGCTCCAGGAGCGGCATATTTCTTCAGGAGATCCTGGAACCTCACAATCAGCTTGGGTCCGCTCTGCTCCCAGGCCAGGAACAGAGCCCGTAACGACCTCAGGCCGTCCCGTCTTCCCACTGTGTGGAATAATTGGTTGTCGGGATCCTCCTTGCAGATAGCCCGAAGGGCCGTCGGAGCAGTGAAGAGCACATTCACCTGATGCTCTTCCACTAGCTGCCAGAATGCTCCGGCATCCGGAGTACCGACCGGTTTGCCCTCGTACAGGATGGTTGTGGCACCAACAAGCAAGGGAGCATACAGGATATAGGAGTGGCCCACGACCCATCCAATGTCGGAAGCGCAGAAGATCACATCGCCTGGACCGCGCAAACCAAAAAAATATTGAATGGAAAGATTAAGTCCAACCGCATGACCCCCGGCTTCCCGCAGCACACCTTTCGGTTGTCCCGTTGTACCTAAGCTCTTTATTAGCATCTATCTCGCTCACTCACTCTCTCTCTCCATCGTGTCTGCATGACATACCACTGGTGTAAATGACATATAGGCCATCATCACTTTTGACGGGAACCGGCTCCATTGTCACTCCTCGCAGACGGGCGCTGTCAGTCAGGCTCTGCCAGTCTCTCTGACCGCATCCCTCGTCGAGATCGTTCCATTGTAGCTGCTTTCTTTGCCAGACGATGACCTTCTCCGGCTTGAAGCTACTTTTTGCAAGGGCTCCTTCAACGAGCGGGCGATAGGCCAATGGACCTTTTGAGCCTTCAATGCCACAGGGAGCGGTCATGACTACTTTTGGCCTGGCCGCCTCGATGCGCTGTGCGAGAGCGGTCGATGCAAAGCCACCAAAGACCGCGGCATGGATGGCTCCAAGGTGGACGATGGCTAGAGCTGCGATGATGGTAGCAGGGATCATGGGCACTGCTCTCTCGTTAGAGATTTCTCTAGTTTGGGATTGTTTTCTTACTATATATGAGGACAACATCTCCCTTGCGGACTTCTTCCTCGTGTAAGACTCCAGCTAAAAGCTCCACCTCAGTCTGAAGCTGGTGATAGGTCAATTTTTGCTTGCCTCCCGATACGGGAGATTCCCATATGATGGCCACGTTCTCCCCGTGGCCATTGTTAACATGGCGATGAATACAGTTGTACGTGGTTGAAATTTCGCCGTCAGGGAACCACGTCCAGTGTTCATGGCTGACTCCGTTTCGCAAGTGCTTGGTAGTCCGTCTAAGAGCCCGAGAAGGACGGCGATGCCAATGCAATTGCTTCGCATGGTGACCCCAGAACTCCTCCGGATTACGAAGGGAGAGCTCTTGAACGATATCTTGGGGATGCGAGGACATTGTTGATCTTTCTCTTAGGAGTAGAATGACCCGCGAAAACGGGAGTCCTGGGTAGGGCAAAGGACGACCACTATAACATTAGATTATCTTTATCTGGAGAGACACCATGGACCCCACCCATAGGCAATTGAGGAGAAGAATCTCCCCTGAAGTGAGTGGGGGTACGTATCAACGATGGATTCAAGGCATTCGTATACTTGCCTCAGGACGCATCAGTTACCCCCCACCAACTCCCTCCGGCCCCTCTTTCCCCTAAAACACTTTCCCCGTCCCCGAAACATCTCAAATTCGAAATCTGTCTAGGCTAGAATTCCGACTTGGGCATTTGATCAATATTGGAGCTCTTTCTCGTCATCAATCTTTTTATTGAATAGTCACCGGTGGTAAACAACGATATTACATGTTCATTTGATTTCATAGTAAAAGATTGGATATCAATTTATTTGGATTGACAGTCTGTAGTGCATGTTGGACTTTTCCACTCGACTGAAAAGGCCCCGGCACTCTTCCTAGATGACAGTACGTATATAGACAATTAACCACAGCCACTATGTTGTTTATTAAAAAATGAACTCCAGCTCAGTTATAATGCTTGGTCTTCACACCCCCCACCAGCTCTTCTTGCACCCCAGACCCCTTCTGGGTAAACAGCGCCGACGTCCCATATGCGCCGATCCGGGCTCGACTCTATGACTCGGACGTGGGCTCGGTGCCAGGTTCGAATTTGCGTTCAACGCCCGCCCGTCGAAGAACCGGAGACTCGTCCAGCAAGGTATTGATCTTCACGTGGTTGTTGGGAACGACAAAGTAGAACAGTCCGCATCGATCCTGATTGCGCTGGTCCGCAGGCGGCTGACACACTCGATGGATGGTGGCCTTGTAATACCCCCCCCCGTCCACCACTCGAACATTTCGCCGGCGTTGACCACGATGGCCCCCGGAATGTGCTTCACCCACCGCCATTGCTGACTGTGGTGATCCATCAACTGCAGCGATGCCATGGGTTGACTGAACAGGAGGGTAATGGACCCGAAATCGCAATGGCCCTTGAGCCAGACCCCCTTCGTTTTCGTCATATCATCGTGATATATCTGGAGCATCAGTCCATTTCGTTGAGATTAACATCACCAGAAATCCTTGAAACCATCTCGACCTGTTAAAAAGTGAATCGCGCACCGAGAACCTAGTAGCCTGGGTATCCCAACTTCGGTACGATGACTTGCCGCGACCAGTCGTCGAACAGACCAAGGAACTGTTCCTGGACTGGTTGGCTTGCCCCATGGCCGGAAAGAATCATCCCGCCATATCGGTCATCGACACGTTTGTCCAAGAGATGGGACCAGCAGGCGACCGGAGCGAAATCATCCATGACCCGGATCGGTCGACCAGCCAGGCCTCTGCGGCCTTCTCAACGGGGCCTGTTCACACGTTGTGGAGCAAGACGACCTGTATGATTCCTCCAGTGAGTTTCGTTGCTAGTATTTTGGGATCGGTCTGATTCAGAATTTAAGCGACGGTCGTTTTCCTGACGGCCCTGGCCGTAGCCCAAGAGGTCGGCGTAGATGGTCGATCGTTCCTCGCGTCGTGGGCTATTATGTGGCCTGTCGAACTGGAGAATATCTAGGTGGAAGCCATTACCAGAAATCTCACACTACGGCGACTGCAGGAGTTGTCGGGGCGGCGGCGACGGCCGCGTATCTTCTCCGATTAGATCCAAAACAAATGCTGTCAACGATCGGAACAGCAGGGACTCAGGCAGCGGGCTGGTGGCAATTTCTCCTCGACGCCCTATTTCGGATTGCTTGAACCGCATGAGATCCTGGCAGGAAAATTGGGCATGGCAAAGGCCATGGTACCTGGCCAGGCCCGTCCGACCGCCCTAGATGACAGGCTCGGGTGAAATATTCCAATCTAGAGTCGAGTTTCAAGTGGCACTCCGCATGCCGGCATACCCATCCCTCGGTTGATGCGCTGCTGACGGTCATGAAGCGCCACAACGTCGGCTTTGATGACATTGAAACGTCGTGAGCCGCACCTAGCCATCGGCATTCTCTCACAGAGCGAAAGGGCCTCGACAGTTATCAGAGCAAGTTCTCCATGGGGTTTGCCCGGGCGGTAGCGGCGAAAAACGGACGAGCTTCCGTGACCGACTTAACCGAAGACACCTTCAAAGATCCGGCACTGAGAGCCTTACAAAAACGAGTCACAATGCAGCACGACCCCGATATTGATGCTGCGTTTCCATAATAATGGCAAGCATTGGTTGAGGTGACCACCAGGTCAAGGCAGAAGTTCATGGAGCGCGTGGAAGTAGTGAAAGGGGATCCCGGTAGCCCATTGACCCGGTATGACATAGAAACACAAAATATGGACAACTGCTAATGGGAGACTTAACAGTGAGGATCTGAAGAGCAAAGTAACCCTGTTATCGAAGCACGGTAAATTAACAGACATGGAGGCCGTTCATAGGACAACCGAGCGCGTTTGGCGGCTTGAAGGCGAACAGGATGCTCGTGGCTTTGCGTGCTCATAAGGAAAGTGGACGTAAGTACCAGTCACGTCATTCCATGTTAATATAGTCCTTCAAACTGTCGACCCGCTGGATCATGCGCCTGAGGTTTTCACCGAGGAGACCAGACGCTGCAATAATCGATCAGTTGGCATCTTACGAGGATTTTCAATGTGCAAAGACGTACATTGCCAGACCCATCGTTCTCGGAACAGGTCTTCAATGAGCATCAACGGCAGAAATTCCCGCTGGATCGGCGGTTCATATGCGCCTTCGCTTTCAGTGACCATCTCATCGATAATGCTGTTGATGGTTGGATCGGCCTTTCCGGGTTTTCCAAAGATCCGAATCCCCAGTAGGTACCAGGTCAGCAACAGACCTGTGCTGGCGTCAGCGCAATCGGTCAAAACTGGTAGGTCTCTTACCTCCTTCATATGATGGCAGGGGGCCGTAGCATGAGTGGCTGAGCGATACAGTCTTCATCAGGTGTCGGATTCCCAGACGTACCCGGAGCAAGAGCGACCGCGCCGCTCGCGTGAGCCCTTTGACCAGGCCCGGGTGACAAGGCAGGCTGTAGAGACTTTCCAGGTCGAGCGGAGACGTCTGCAAGGCGGGAGATCGGACGAAAGCCTTGAGTTCTCTCAACTGGCGGCTGGCGTAGAGATGGAAGTAGGCGGAGTTCAAGACGAGGATGGAATCGGCCATCAGAGGACCGTGAGGGGCCTCGGGCAAGGAATGGCAGTAAGGATGTCGTTTCCACGTATCTTCCCACACCCGGAGGGCCGTTTCCAAGGAACCGTCATCCAACTGGGGAGAGCGCCGAATGTGATATTCGTCCAAGTTTTCCATGGAACAAATATAGGACAGGATCGCACTGATGATCGCTAAGAGGCCAAAGGGAGTGACATCCCCCTCGACTGGCTGACCCTCAATGATCTTCCGGAAGGATTCGACGGACGATATTTGCCGGGGTGGCGTTTCCTGCCAGTCGCTCGCGGAGGCAGACCATTGCAATTCGGAACAAGGCAGAGGCACGTCCGGTTCTGCAATACGGAATTTGAAGGCAACCTCTTCTTCATCGCATAGCAGTATGGCGGCCAGCACTCCCGTCCAAGTGATACACCTGCGGAGGTCAGTCAGACAGCCGGACAATTCGATGGGACTTTTTTCACGACCTATGTATGGTCTCTTTCATGATCCAATCTTCCCACGTATTCCCTGACGCAGCGCTAGCAGCGATCTTGGCCTCTTGGGCGAGCTGGACCAGGTCAAATCGGAATCAGCTTATGACGAATGACTAACAAGATTGACTTATCAACATACCGCGGGGAGTCTGGCGAAGGCCAACCGAGCTTGACGTTGGAGGATAGAGTCACCGCTAAACAGGCCAAATTGGCAAGAGAGGAGTCTCGTTTGGAATTCCCATAACTGAAAGATTGCTTCTTTCTCACCGATCGTGACCAACTCATCATGCTAGGATTAACGTCAGATTCTCAATGCAGGGCGTGGTACCAGCTACGGAACACATACCTCTGCAAGCAACTTCAGCACCGCATGATGGAGATTGGTCGCCACTTCAGCCTCATTGACATGAACGGCCCCGATCGCTAAGATGGCAAGGACTAACGGAGCTATCGATGCGTTGGTTTGAGATGACTAACACGCGACAGAAAAGATTCTTACCCGAAGTCGTGGTGAGACTGAATGTTGGGTTATGCACGATCGGCGCATGCGGTAAAAAATAATTAAGGAATCCCTTCAGGAACCTGATCACTTTATATCGCGAGGGGTAGCCGAAGCCACTGAGACGGCCCTCCACATCGAACTGCTTGAGTTGAGCCTCGGCCAGCTCTATTTCCCGCGGTGACACTTCCAGGAAGAGGCCGCTGCTCTGGTAATCCGTATCCAAGGCTCGGGTCATTTCCACCCGGTGGTCTGGAGTCTTCCTCGAACAATCCGAGGTGATGGGAAGGAAGACGGTGGCGTCTGGCTGCAAGATTTGAAAAATGTAATCGTCGAGAATTTCGAAGTTGATGTCGACGTCGGATCTCGACGCTCCGGCATCTGGCATGAGATCCACCGGGGCGTTGCCCAGAAGAAGAGATTCGGAAGAGTCGTCATAGGGGATTCCCAAGGTTGGAACCGGATAGATCGTGGCATTGGGGGACAGAGTATGCGGCGCCCCAATGGCCGGGGGGGGGGCGTTGATGTCCGATTCGGCAAAGGAAAGGAGAACCTCATTGTCGTTTCGTCGTCTAGGGGAATTCGTACAGACGGGACCATGAAACTTTTTGACGTGTCTGGAGATGACGTCTTTGCGAGCCGACGTCAGACTGCATTGCGGACATGCATGAGGTTTGTGATTGCGATCTGACAGCAATTAGTCTCAGTCTCAGTCAAGAGTAGAAACAACTAAAGAACGTACGGGAAAGCTCATGGCGCCGTAGGTGTTCCGATCTCGTAAAGGTCTCTTCACAGATGCTGCACGCATAATGCCGGTCTCTCTGGCTGCGAGCAGCACCGTTTCGGCGCGGCTTGAATGTTTTCCGACCAATAGCCTCATTCCGGCTTTCGGTCATGATCATGTGAGATGGGGGGGATATCGCTAGGTGGAACAGATGGCGGGTGTCAACATCCTCTCAAATCTATCCATGAAAGTCTTCTAGTCAAGGGTGGAAGTGTAGTCTGCCTCGCAATAACAACATTGGATAAATAAGTTAGCGATATCCGCGTGTCCTTGGGTCACTACCCCACCGAATGGGGTTTGTGGCAATTCCCCAGTCATCCTACCCCGTGGGGTATCAGAACCCCCCACTATTTCTTTACCAGAAGCCCCGAGAAAAGCAACATCCGAATTGTAGATTCTTTCATCTGAACAAACTCAGCATTGTACGGTTGAATATCTGAATCTCACTTTTCTCAGCTTTGTCCGATATAATGGCCCAAGAAAAGATTGAATCCGAGTTCCTGGAATATGCCTCTGGCTCGGTCAACCCGGAAAGCCTCGAGATCGACCATGAGTCCGAGAGAAAGCTCATCCGTAAGCTGGACTGGCATATCGCCCCGATGGTGTTTTTAGGGTATCTCGTCTGTTTCCTCGATCGGGTGAACATCGGAAATGCCCGTCTTTACGGTCTCGAAAGTGACCTGCACCTGCACGGCACTCAGTATCAGACCATCTTGTCGGTCCTTTTTGCGACGTATATCCTCTCCGAGATCCCCAGTAACCTGCTTATCAAACGGATCCGACCGTCACGTTGGATCGCCATTTTGAACGTGTGCTGGGGCCTTATTGCCACCTTATCCGGTCTCTGTCAGAGCTTTGGCGGAATGGTGGCCTGTCGCCTTCTTCTGGGACTCTTCGAGGGTGGCCTGTTTCCGGGCTTCATCGTATATCTGACCTTGTTCTACACCAAAGATGAGATCGCTCTCCGGGTTTTTTACTTTTTCGTCAGTGCGGGCTTTTTCAGGGATTGTTGGTGGCTTCCTGGCATACTGTATCGGATTCATGGATGGGGTCGCGGGATTGAGGGGATGGAGATGGATATTTATCATTGAGGGTAATCATTAATTTTCCAAGTGTCAATGTCTGACTGGTTCCGGCCTAGGGCTTCCCACTTTCATTTACGGCATTGCGGCTTGGTTTCTTCTGGCGGATGATCCGGAATCGGCCTCCTATCTGACTTCACAAGAGAAAGACCTGATGAATCGGCGGAGAGAAAGGCAAGTTGGTTTGACGGCATCCGGCAATGAATTACACAAGAAGGATATGATCCTTGCTTTCCAAAATTGGAAGGTCTATATGTTTTGTCTCGCCCAGTTCTGCATGGGGACCATGCTCTATGGATATAGCGTGTTCCTGCCCACCATCATCCAAGGTAAAGTCCGCTCCTTTGCAGCAGAAACGCCACTAACATAATCGATAGGGTTGGGCAATTGGACGACAACTCAAATCCAGGCATTGACGATCCCCTGCTACGCTGTGGGAGCGATTTGCTACCTCGGCGCCGCCATTTTATCGGACCGCCAACAGCGACGGGGCATCTACGTCCTCATTTCCCTTGCGGCGTCGATCATCGGCTATGGTCTCCTGATTTCCAAATCTAATGAAGGAGTACACTATTTTGCGTCTTGTCTAGTCGCGAGTGGAATGTATAGCTGTTTGGGGATTGCGATGGCCTGGCTGCCCAGTAATCAGCCTCGTTACGGCAAGCGAACGACCTCCACGGCGATGCAAATCATGGCTGGGAACTTTTCAGGAATTTTGGCGTCATTTGTAAGAAAGACTGACTTCAAGACTTTTTCAGCGTCAATCAAGCTTACGCGTGATTTAGTTGTACCCGAGTACCGAAGGACCACGTTATATCAAGGGCCACGGCATCACGCTCGCCCTGTTAGGTGCTGCATTCTGTCTTTTCGTCGTCACGATGCTGTACTTTGCTCGCGTCAACAAAAGGAGAATGGAAGGCAAGGAAGACGCCAAAATCGCTGGTCTAACCGAGGAAGTGATCAACGAGTTGGGCGACCGATCTCCAAGATTCATGTATGCGATCTGAGTCCATCCGCTACAAATGAGCGGGGTAAATAACGAAGATCCGGATCTTGTTCTTCATAATTGCTAAGTCGGTACCTGCATCTTACAGATGTATTTTTTGGAATTGAGACTATTCGCATGATTTTTCATTATGCCGATACGTACTAGACTTGTCTTTCTATATTTCACATACTGTAGATATGCCCATGACTGAACTTGGGTGGTTAGGTTTATCCTGCAGTCTCTCAATTAGGTAGATGGTGGTCCTCAGACGTATCTCGGCTTATTAGACAGTCTTTCCCTCTGTCCAGGTATCTGGATGCTGATATGGCAATATATCTTCATGTAGCATCCATTTTAGGCTCTTCTCATCCAAGTCATCCAAGGACTGGTCCATGTCAGAACATATTGTTGCTCATGCTGTGTCTGTTCCCAAAGACTGTCTGATCTAACCCCACTGAGCCTACTTCCGACCCCGCCTGTCACACCCCGCTCCGGATCCCAGTTGTCGTATTCAAAATAGTATATAACTGGTTGGACTTGCCGTAAAAGTTCATCCCTATTATACAAACCGAAACATACGGACTGTTCAATGATTCTTGGAGACTTCGCTCATATAGGTATAGACGAGATCGATTGATTACCTGCCATGGACACGGGCGGACTCTCATTGAGCGGATCGTGGGATTGCCACCTTCACATTTTTGATCCGGACACCTTTCCCTGGAAGCCGAATCGGACCTACACTCCGGCCGCGGCTCCTCTCGACGCTCTATTCAAGGGCTCGTCCGCCTCAAACTACCTGATCGTACAGGCTTCGGTGGAGGGCTGTTGGGCGGGCATCATCCACCACCTCCAGCAGGCGCGACGACAGACTTCTGGCCGGGGACTATTCCGAGCCGAAATTGAGGTCGACGCCGATGAAGATCTGGATGAGAAGACGTTGCAACAATTGCATGAGGTGGGGGTCCGAGCTCTCCGTCTTCACGGGGAGGTCGGGGTCCCCAGCGGCGAGAACCGCATCCAATCGGCCCAGACCTCGTTCAAACGGCTGGGCCGGATTGCGAAGAAGACCGGATGGTTCATCGCGGGGACATGTCCGTTGGGCTCCTGGCTGGAGCTGGGACCATGGCTAGTGACGGCCGAGGAACTGGACGGCGTCCGAATCATCATAGAACATAGCGGGCGCCTGGATCCGGGGCGCGATGTCGACGATTATCCCGAATTCGAGAGATTTCTCCAATTACTAGAAGATCACCCTGGAAAGCTCTTTGTGAAACTCTGTGGTATCAATCGACTCGATTCGCAGGAACGAGCCGATGGGAGAATGCCTGCCCTTCCGGCCACGGTCGTGGCTATTGCGCAGCGAGTCCCGGATTCGGTCGTCTGGGGGTCCGACTGGCCTCATTGTCGATTTAACGAGGGCTATCCACGAGAGCAGAGTGTGTCTGGAAAGAAAGTCGACCTGCTACATGAGCTGAATCTTCTTCAAGCGGCCTTATCTCCGACCCTGTGGAAGAAGTTGATGTGTGACAATCCAAAGAGAATGTTCGAGTGAGCGGTGAATTCAGCTCTCTTACCATTCTCAAGATGGAAAACCTACGTAAATTTTTATCTCCAATGAAGCATGAATCTGTCATCTTAACCCAAGTCAACAGCCAGTACTATGAGTATGTCACTGCGAAATTCTGATCTGATGGCTATTGAGTGCCGTGGCTATGCTCAGCACGACGGCTCAAGTATTTTATGACCAGCTGCACAAGTCAACGTATCCACAATCATATATCGGCACCGGCCAGAACAGAGCAATAGAAAATAAAATGGATTTGATCTTCCAGTCATTAGCCGTACTAACTCACCGTATACCATTCGTCTATATACCTGTGTAGATGTCGTACAACTCAGGGCGATGAATGACTCAGGGGTATCGGTCTAATGCGGCTCAACTAGTCCCTTAAGGGGTCTTAGCTCCGAGCATTCGAGCAATACATAAGCCCCGCAATCCTACCACTTCCACCTCCGTTCTCAACCTTCTAAGGTATTGAGCTCAACAGAAATTATCACTGAATTATTGCCCATCCTGTCCACCATGTCGCGATCAGACTCTGAGGAGTCTGATGCCGTTATGGTCGGCCCAGGCGATATCCGCGATTTCCACAAAGAAAACATTCTTCCTCTTCCGGCAGAAGACCTCAAAAAGATCAGAGATTGGCTGCAGCCAACATCCTATGATTTAGAGAGATCTGAATTTTCAAGGCACCTTGAATCGCACCTGGCGGGTACCGGCCAATGGCTCATATCCACAAATATACATCAGCAGTGGCATGAAAGCGATGCGAATGGACTTCTTTGGATCAAAGGCATACCAGGATCAGGAAAATCTGTCATGGCTGCCTCAATCATTCATAAGCTACGCAAAGAGGATGTCCCAGTTCTGTTTTTCTTCTTTCGACAGATTATTGATGCAAACCATCAACCAGTGGCGGCGTTGCGGGACTGGCTATAAATTTTAGCCCATCCTTGCAGGTTAAGTTGAAAAAGGAATACCTTGATAACAAACGCTCCATTGACAGTCTAGCGGCGAACGATCTCTGGAAAAACATCAAATTTGCTCTTTCTGCCTTCCACAAGGCCTACTGTGTCACAGACGCCTTGGACGAGATGGACCAAGGCAATGATGACTTTCTTCAAGCTTTGGTCGAGCTGGGCCAATGGCGGCCCGAGAATCTCAAAGTCCTCATTTTCTCGCGCCCAGTTGTCGCAGTGGAAGCTCCCCTTAAACACTTTTCTGTGCCTTTTCTTCGTCTAGAAGAACAACTTGTCGATATGGACATTGCTGCGTACGTGCAATACCGACTGCGAAATTCTTCTGTGCCCAAAGAATACTGGAATCTCATTACCGAAGCTATTCCCGGTCGAGCAAATGGTCTATTTTTATATGTCAGGCTTTCAATGGATGCGTTCTCGAAGCCCGGCGCTGATACTCAAGATGTACTCAAAAAATTACCGGCAGACCTGAACATGATGTATAATGACCTGTTACGCGAGCATGCAAAGCGCTCAAATGTTCCCGACGACCTTCAACTACTTATTCTGCAGTCTATCACACATGCAACTCGCCCCCTTCGTCTTCTAGAGCTTGCTGAGATGGTCAAAGCCACTCATGCTCCAATTAGAAACTACAGCTTGAAAGATATTAAAAATCTAGTCCGAGCTGCTTGTGGTCCACTGCTCCAGATTCTTCATGATGAGACTGTCTCGGTCGTTCATCACTCTTTTACTGAGTTCCTCAAGGGATTCACTCGCTCCGTCGCCCTTGATGACTCAACCTACCCTATTTTGGAGGCCGGCCCGACTAACCAGCGTCTTGCCATTGCATGCTTGGATTATCTCGCGTCTGGTTGCCTAGAAACACTTGATATCAAGAAACGCAGCAAGGAGGATGAATTCTTTCGCCCCAAAAAAGCCAAGGAGAGTAAAATCCGCTTGCAATTTCCATTTCTCGAATACGCAGCGACCAATTGGTACATCCATACTCGTCGTGCAGCACTGGCTGACATGGATTTGTCATCGTTTTACTTAGTGCTTGACAGCTTTGTTGCGAGCAAGCGGAGATTTATTGCTTGGCTGGATATTGACTGGCCGGAAAATGTGATCCAAGGTCTCACTCCCCTCCATGCCGCCGCCAAAGCCGGGCTGGCTCAATACGCTGCGCACTTGATTCAAAATGGCAACGCCGACCCGAATGCGAAGAGTAACCGCGGCGATCCGCCTCTCTATTGGGCTGCTTCCAGTGGACATGCGGATGTTGCACAGCTTCTCATTGATAACGGGGCGGATCCGGATGGAGAAGCGAACGAAGGATACAAACCTCTTCATGAGGCCGCTAGCAAGAACCGTGCTGATGTGGTCAAAGTCTTGCTTGCCGCTGGTGTTGATCCACTAACACCGAAGACAAGAGAAACGCCAGGCAGAATCTGTGGCAATGGGCCATCATCAGTTGGTCAGACGCCACTCATGTACGCCTGCACTAATGGACAGATTAAGGCAGTCGCCGAATTTCTGCCATATCTCACAGATCCCGAAACTATCACAGATGCCCTTTTTTGGTCTGCAGGCTCGGGGCATGCGGCATGTGTAGATCTGATTCTTCAACAGGCCGCCGTGGACGTGAATTCAAAGTACATGGGAGAAACTCTGCTGTTCAAAGCCTGCATCAAATGTGACTTGGATACAATCAACGTTATTCTCGCGGCGGGTGCAGATCCAAATATCTTCTGCTCTGCTCCTAGGGATATAGGTTGCAACATGCGTCGGTCACTTCAATCCTCTAAACATCCAGATGAACCCAGGGGCGACACCGCCCTACATGCTCTAAGCGGAATCACAGACCCATCTGATCATTGTCAGTCCTCACTGGAGTGTGTTTCAGCCCTCCTCCGAGCTGGCGCAGATATTCATGCGAGGGCCCCTGATGGCAAAACAGCCTTGCATTTTGCCTGTGTGAACAATATAGAAATTGTCAAACTATTGTTGGAGAAAGGGTCGGATCCTTATGCCAAAACCGACAGTGGAGGCACAAAACTCCACACCGATGGAGCGACGGACAAGAAGTTGCTTCCTATGCTGTTCGGATCAGGGTTTGTTGATGTCAACAGGATAATGGCGGAAAGCAACGGAGAGCCTTTGTTCCATCGGCTTCAAGGCCATCATTTTAAGTCCGCTCTGGAATTTTTAAAGTACAAACCAGACTTGAACATGACTGGACAACACGGGAATGGTTTGCTACACATGCTGCTTAATCACTGGGGCGACCGTTCCAAAGATGCTGTCCTTGACGCCTTACTATCAGCTGGCGCTGATCCGAATCTCCAGAATCAAATGGGTGAGACGCCGTTGCATATAAGAGGATGTGAAATTGGAGTTGGAATGGTCTCCAGGCTGCTCAATGCGGGTGCAAACCTTGAGATCCGGGATGCACAGGGTCAAACACCCCTCTTCGCAAGTGTCAAATATTCAAATGCCAGTGATGGCAAACCTGAACTTTTCAAAATACTTATTGACCTGGGTGCACGACTCGATACCCGGGATAATAAGGGCCGAACCCTCCTGCACCAAGTCGTCATGAATGCTAGTCGTTTGGAAGAGTTAGTAGGCCTCATGGATTGCGATCTTTCCAACGTGGTCGACAATAAAGGAAATACGCTTTTCCTTGAGGCGGCTTCAAAGGAAAATGAATCCGACAGCATTTCAACTTACAGCCATCTCAAGAAGTTGGGGGTTGATATCGACCAGCCTAACAACTGCGGAAAGACGGTCTTGCACAAGCTGTGCTCGCGAAAACGGAGAGTCCGCGGTTGGACACCTTCTATCCAGACAGGCTTTGACTATGCCATCCAAAACTGCAAGAACCGGAGTCCTCAAGACGTCGACTGGATTCAGCCCTTGCATATTGCCGCGGCTGTATCTGAGATTTATGTTTTCAAGCTTCTCAATTCCGGGGCTGATGTTTTCGGCGTGACGAAAGAAGGCATGATGGTTCTTCATATTGCCGCTCGAGCCCGACAACCTGGGATCATCGGTCTCGTCCTTTCCAACATCGCTGACCTTGACGATGAAAAAAGAAAAGCCTTTATCAATCAAAGAAATATGGAAGGAAGCGCGGCGCTTCACTACGCCTGCTGCTCTGGCCGTCCCGAAAGTGTCGACCTTCTATTGGATGCCGGCGCAGATCCTAATTTGCCGGGCAAGGATCAATATACGCCTTTGAGAGCATGTGCCGAGTTTGAAATTGAACAAGCACGATGGAAAATGATTGGGGAAAAAGACAATACCAGAGCCCTCAAGACAGCCAGCATCTGGCTCGGGACCCGAGAGGTGCCATCAGCGGGAGAAGATCTTGAAAGGCTCCAATGGAGCTCGCATGATCTCAAGGATGAGTCAGACTCGACTCGTTTAGATGAAATTCTGATTTCATTAGTGCTTCATGGAGCAAACACTACCGGGGACAATGGCTCTATTCGCGATGCATTCCACGCCGCTGTATCGAATCAACGCAAGTATACCGCCGAATGTCTGACACGACTCCAGTCTCGTTTGGCCCCCAACACGCACCTTGTTAAAGGATCAGATGGGGATGGCTTCATTTTCTGCAAGACTCGTTTGGAAGGTGAGAGATCATTGTTGAGGAAGGAAAAGGAGAAGCAAAAGACTTGGAAGACAACAGAACGATCACGCAATGACGCGCAAGTTATGTTTATGGTCAAGCTTCTAGGACTTCGCCAATACGGTCTATTTCTGGAAACAATTCCAGAACTAGATATTCTCCTGCTGAAATCGGCCAGTTATTCGACCAATGTTTCTCTCTTACACACTCTAGTAGGTTTTGGTCTGTCGGATATCCTTGATTGTGTCTCTACTCGTGAAGCTGCAATGAAATTTGATGATCATGAATGGTGCGGCCAAGCTGAGGCTGCCAATCACTGTCGCAAGAACGTGGCGAGGCCGCTCCTCATCACCGCATGCAACCGTGAACTGCCAAACATGGATGTGGTCCGAATCCTTGCGGAACAAATGGGTGTTAACATCAACTTGAATTGCAGGAAGGAAAGTTGGGCTAACGGCAGGAGTGAAACCGTGTTGGGTAATGGCGTTCTGCATGACCTTGCAGAGGGCGCAACTTGGTGGAATGTGCACCGGGCTTTGCCATACCTCATCAGTAAAGGTGCCAATCTGGAGCTGCGCAATGATGATGGCGAGACACCCTTGCACATTTCCCTAGACTATGAAAGGTACAAGGGTGTTTTCTACAAGGAAGCTGTGAAAATTCTTCTGGATAATGGCGCAGATGCCAACGCAGTCAATTCCAAGGGGGAGACCTGCTTGTCGAAAGCCGGCACTGATATAGAGCTGATCAGATTGCTTCTATCTCATGGCGCCAAGGTTTCTGGGGCTGCTATCCTTTCCGCGATCGAGCTCGACAATGTTGAATTATTGGAGTTCTTTCTCTCTCAGGGCGATCTCGCCAACATGAGGCCGGCCGCTCCCGAAACTCCGGAAAGGGACCGCTTATTTACTCAAACTAGAGTTCCAAGGGCCGAGATATACCCTTTGTTCCACGCGGCGACATTCAAATCGAATGACCCTCACAAAAAAGTGGATCTTACTCCCGTCCAACGCGCATGATGACAGCGCTTCTCCAGCACGGTGCAGACCCATACGCCACCTTTGTCAAGCTTCATCGAGTGAAAGACAACTCTTTCAATGTGGACGAGTTTGACGAAACGGACGAGGCTTCAGAAGATGAGTGGGAGCCCGAAACATGCACTGTCATACACCAGATTTTGATGACAGGGGACATGGTCGAGCCACTGCTTCAGCTTCCATCACTCCAGCTTGAAGTGCGAGATGACAAAGGCAGAACGTTAATCCTTTGTACTGGTCGAACTAAGCAAATTCAAAGCCTCGTCGACCTCGGAGCTGACATTACCGCTCAAGACAACTCTGGCAAAACTGTTGTTCACACTCTCATACAACACATGCCCAGTGAGCAGATTATCACCACCATCGGGGCTCTATTTACCAGAGATCCCAGCCTTGTGCACGTGAGTGATAAGTTCGATGACACTCCACTTCACTACGTGCTTAGAGCAAGGTGTATATGCCTTGAATACGTCGACCTACTGCTTGAACATGGCGCCGATCCCCTCCAACCAGATTCAAACGGCAACATGGCCCTCTACTTCCTCGCTACTCAACCATTCACTCACAAAGCTCACATCCAGCAATTCTTGGACCTTGGGTTGGACATCAACGCACGCAACAATAATGGTAATACCGCACTTTTGCGGTATCTTGAACAAGGTTCATTGCGAACTGGAGGGTTCTGGTGTACGGCCGAGACCGACGAACGCGACGACAATAATGGCCTGCTATTCTTCAAGGATCTTGGTGCGTATTTCTTTGCACGCAACAATGCGGGGACGTCGATGCTTCATGTGGTTGCTGGCAGGAAAATTGGATTTTTTTCTCCGTGATGATGAGTTGACAGCGCCAACCGAAAACCTTGTCCAGCGGTTCCAATTTCTCATGGATATGGGCTTGGATCCTATGCTTGAGGATACTCAGCAGCGGACTTCCTTGGATATTGCTGCCGCTTGTGGCAATGAGCATATTTTGAAGCTGTTCAAGCAGAACCCATGGAGTAACTAGTTATTTAAGCCGGCCAACTAGAAGTTTGAAAAGGTTACTCTACTGACGTGAGAATGGCCTTCGCTCCTAGGAACACCAGTGGGCCCGACCAGCCTAAGCATAGGGGTGAGCGATCAGGCTGCCCAGGAAGCAGCTCAGGGTCTCTCAGTGAGCCGCTCAGGGCGGCGGGTGACTAACTCACCCTGTGCGTGCTCCAGGAGCCGATCACTTCCCGAGGCGACAGTTTTACCGTCTAGATTATAGACCCAACAATAGCATCTCAAATGGCGGTACCCTCGAGCTTGGGAAGATCCAATCTGGTTTTACGTTATGAGATATACATTCTTGTGAACAGAAAGGCAGACTGAATATGTACTCATAACGCTTAGTTGGCATAAACTAGTGCTCGGTGGGTTCGGGTGGATCTTCAGGCCGTTCCCAGCTGGTCTGCCTCGGCTCAATCCTCAGATCCCAACTTCCCCTTTCCCTCCTCCAACAATGTCTATTCTGACCTACTTATATAACAAGTGCCTCGCGACACTTTTGCGGGCTATTGTACGGCTTGGAGGAGGCCGTATCCGCGCTTTCCCCGACGAAGTGCGCCATATCGCCTCTCGCGACCCCGGGAGAACTATCAAGATTCATGTGTACCGCGCGGCCCGTACCTCAGCTCCATCGCCAGTGCTCATTAACTTCCACGGTAGTGGGTTCCTACTACGCCTGCATGGCAGCGACGACGAGTTCTGCCAACAGGTGAGGAAGGAGACCAAGTACACCGTCCTGGATGTAGCCTATCGCCTGGCGCCCGAGAACCCATTTCCCGCGGCGATCAACGATGTCGAGGATGTTGTCAAATACGTTCTTGCTTGCTCCGACCAATTTGACTCGTCTCGTCTATCCATCTCGGGGTTCAGCGCCGGTGGAAACCTCGCTCTTGCCGCATCAGCGACCTTGTTCCCACCCGAGACGTTCCGATCCCTGATCGCCATCTACCCTGTACTAGATCTCAATGCAGATCCAGCCACCAAGGTTGCACCAGATCCGAAAGGCCGGGTAATCCCTGCTCCTGTAGGGCGGTTCTTCCATCGGTGCTACGTGCCCACCTTCGACAAGCGGGACCCACGTATCTCCCCGAAGTTCGCGCAGCTGGATCGGTTCCCGCGCCGCGTCCTCATGATCACCTGTGCGGGTGATTCGCTGGCACTCGAGGCAGAGGAGCTGGCCGAGAAGCTGCAGCAGGAGGGCGCCTACGTGGTTAGCGAGCGCATGAATGGTTGCAACCACGCGTGGGACAAGCGCACGCGGGCGGGAACCCCGCAACGCCAGGCCAAAGAGCGGGCTTACAATCTGGCCGTTGAAATGCTGAACGAATAGTCAAATAGTCGAGTAGCTTATGTTAATATGATTTTGGGGGTTGCACATGTTTGACGCCCGTATCTGGTCGGCATCTTCCCCATCAGGTTATATCATGCCGGGCCGCGTGTTGTGCCTGACCCGTTCATCCGATTCCATGGCTCTCGCCACGTCGGCCCCGCGGCTCAATGCACCCTAGGGATCAGAGCAGGGGATGCGATAATGCATGTAGTTAAGGTTGACCGGTGACGGGCACTAGCAATAAAAAAATAAATAAAAAATTAGCTAAGATTCACACGAGGGAGCCACATGAGAAGTGGATTATCATCAGGGTCACCCGTGGGTCACCCGGTCTCGATTTATTTCGATCCATTAAAAATCAAGATGCGAAAAGGGTGAAGTGTCCTGGTGGGAAAGGAGCTCCTATTGTTCATCTTGGCTTCGGCCTCCTGTCCTTACAGTTGTTTCCAATTCGCCTCCCCCTCCAGTCCTTCCTCCTTCTATCTTCCTTCCCCACGCCCTCGAGAAAAGGGCGGATGCGGTCGTTGTGCGCTTTCATCTCGTCCACCGTGCTCGAAGTGCCGTGGACGAGTCCACTCCTTCCATTCGCTTGAACGAACCGCATTTTCTACTCCTCCGGTCCATGCGCGCCCGCCAGCTAGGTGCCCCGACCAGCTGCACATAGATGGATTCGACACCGGTCTCTGTCCTCGACGAGGACAAGTACCGGACGGAGGTCCTGCGCCTGGACTCGTCAGAAGCGGAACAAGCGCGGGCGCAACAGCTTTCGGACGAGGCACGGCAGTTGGGTCTGAACGTGCCGGAGATCGATGCTTCGGCACCGTTAGCCGCCTCGATCGACTCTGGAATGGTCGATCTCTCCTCGCCCGTGCTGTCCTCGGGGTCTTCGACCGACCGAAATTCCGCCTACGACGGATCCATTACCCCGTCCCACGAACCCTCCTCTCCCACCGCGCTCCCGCTCGACCAGGTCGTTTCGTCGCTGTCGGACATAACACTCGCTTCAGCGCGCGCGAAGCCGGGCAGCACGCGCTCCCTCGCTTCTTTCTCTACTCGGCCTACTTCATTCTGTTCAAGCGAGAGTCGGACGCTCCCCAGTGGGTATGGAAGTCATAACGATGGCCTGGCGGCTAATCCGAACCGGATGTCAATGCTCAGCGTTGCGTCTGCCGACCAGAAGGAAAGGCGGCGTAGCAGCTTGGTAAACGCCATTGGGCGCATCCAGTTTCGCAAGAAGCGTCCCTCGAGTGTGGTTATCCCGCCCAATGCTCAAATTAGTGTCTCCAAGGGTGAGACGGGGCTCGATCGAGCCTATCTCGAGACCAAGCGAGAATCCCCAACCAGCCACGATGTATACCAACGACCCGCCACTGCCGTCGAGTCTCTGCCCAAACTAGAGATCCCTATATTCGACAAGGAAGCAATGCAAAGAAGCGTGGATGACCAGGAGCTTAACGAGATGCTCGATCGCCATCGCGTGGAGCGTGACCGCCACATCGCATTCCAAGAAGCCGCTCTCAGTATCCTCCGGCGCCGACACCAGACAGCCGTTTCCGAGCGTCAGTTCGAGAACAAGTGTCTGGAAAAGGAGAAAGAGGAAAATGTATGACCACCTGTCCCCACAATATATTGGTACTATCTCTAACCGGTCTGGGTGTGACAGAACACGGCGGCAGCTATCCGAATCGAAGAACGCCAACTTGCAGTCGAAGTCGAACAACAGCGAGAATTTGACCGGGACAAGATGAACTCGCGCACTCGCATCAAGCACATGGAGGGCTACCTCCGCAACGCAAGCCCCCCACATTCTCCAGCCGGCGCAGCGCAGCGGTCTTCCGAGTCATTCTCAGGATCCGACTCAACGCCGCCGGCACGCCGCTTCACTCGGCAGCACAAAGAACAGCTGGAACAACAGTACCACGATCACGAGTCTTTGGACGCTCTGCACGAGGCACGGATCAAGGTTCTTCGGGAACGTCAAGAGCTCAAGCTGCAGGAAGCTATCGAACGCATGGAGCACGAGCTCGAAGATCTAATTGAACAGCATGCAAAGAACGTCGAAGCGCTGCAGACCGAACACCGCAACGAAGAAATCTCTTTGCTGCGGGCTATGGACGCAAAGAAAAGAGATCTGCGCCACCGCTGGCATCTGGAAGAGGCCATTTTGCGCCGCCAACTCGAGACCCGCAATGGTCAACTATACGGCCCACTGCCTCCGATCCCATTCAGTGGATCTACTACAGAGACTCAAGGCTCGACCATCGTCATACCCGAGTCGTCCCCCCTCGGCGCTGGAGATACGAAATAAAGCAGTGCAGTGTCCTGACTACCGCAGCGGAGCTTTGTTTGATATACCCCCATACAACCTAATGTTTTTTTCCGATTTTTTATTTGCATCGGCCATCACCTCTTCTCATATACGATTTATCACTCCCCCACGGTTACCCTTCTTGTAATCACGTTTGGCTACCTGAACATTTGATTTTCGTTTGGGTACGCCCATACATATCGCATTGCGGCGGCTCTGGTTCCGATGTGCATAGCCTTTGAGTTTGGGATACTACGGCTTCCTCGATAGATATTTGGTTGACCTTGTTAATTTATGTTGTATAATGAATGGGATTCGCAAATTGGGTATCATTGTTATGCTGAATAGAATCTCTTGACCATCATCACCATTCACACGGTTGACGGGCCACGCTCTCGCAACCGGTCCAACAGCCCTTCCACTTTGCCTCCGCCGCCAGTCATTGTATCTTCCGTCTGCTTATCTCGGCCCGAGTCGCCGATGACCACTGCACGCTCAACAAGGCCGGAATTAGATAGCTTAAACCGTCCAACACGACCGTCCTCCCACTCCAGCCGTACATATCGCGCCTCGACAGCGGTAGGCGCCAAAGACACAACCCCTGTATCAGTCACAGGCGACAACCGTTCGGCCGGAGCTGACTGAGACCCTTCATCCAAACCCAATCTCTCACGAAGGAACTCAACGGCGTCAGTCCTCATATGCCACGCAGCCAATTCACGTCTCAACTCGCGCACGAAGCCCCGTAAATCCTGCTTCCGCGCACCATGCCCCTTCCAAGGCTTCAAAGCCTCAGCGTCCTCGTCCTCACTCTCCTCTCCCCTCTGTACCTTCGAGCCAGGGAACGGCAAAAATGCATTTTCCAACTTCGCAATAGAAATAAACGTAGGAATCGTATGCCTGTGAACGCGCAAGCGCTTCTCGTCCTTTCCACGCACGCGCTCCCGTCTCAAGAGCACGTAATACGGCTTCGCGAAGCGGCCATTACGCGCGCAGATGTCGAGGCGCACGCCGAGGAGATTGTCATTTGTGGTCGGTGAGGGGTCTTTGAACAGGAATGCGGTTGCACCGAAGGCGATCCGGTAGTGGTTGGAGTCGGAGTGTTTGCCGGCTGCGCGTGCCAGGGGGGAGAGGTCGTCGGTCATGGATGTTAGGGCCGCTGGTGGTTTGCGGAGGAGCTTTTGGACGGACGTGGCGGAGAGAAGGCTGGATGTGAAGGTTCGTTTGCGCCGTTGAAGCTTTTGAACTGGAAGAGGTGTTAGTTTCGGTTGGTTTATCTCCGGGGTTTTGACATAGGCGTACTCTCGGCGCGGATTGAGGCGATTGCGCTGTCCTGTTCCTCTTCCTCCGGGTCGGGGGATCCGGGGGGATAGCGCGCGGACTGATTCATTGTATAATGTTTGTGAATGCGCGAAGCAGGCGCGACGTTATCCCGAGTATGCCAGTGTATCCGGGCCTACAAGATTGGGCGGCGATAGGTCTATGACGAAATGCGACGGCGCGATGTTTTTGTTTACACAGCACGTGACCCTCATCACCAGGGTCTCGATCACCATGCGCCAGTTACAACTTCAACTAGCGTACCGCAGGTGATAGTTATTTAAAATTTCCAGACACGATCACGCGACGGGAACGCGTCCGCTCGAGCGCGTTTAGCGTCCAATCATAGAGGATATACTCCGACGCTGTCCAACCTCACTAACTTAGCCCCCACGAGATCAACAACGCGCTGCTCTCATCCCGGTGCATGAACTTGTGTGACCTCGAAATCCCAGCAACCTCGCGTGGATAGGGTTGATAAAGCCTCGCGAGAGTGGGTTCTGGACCTTCAGAAGATCGAATAGGGCCATCACGGACTCATCTTACAAACCCGGCCCCAGGACCCGCAAAGGCCAGCTTGCTTCTCCACGTCTCGCCTCCTTCCAAGTTCCACGGGTTTCCCCCCCTCCATGCATTCCACTCGTTCCTGAAGACTTCTCTCCTTCGTCTCTCCTCCATGCATTGCTTACAAACCTGCATTCTGTTTCCGCGGATCCAACCGACTCGGTGATCTATCTACTCACGCCCTTCCCTTCCTTTTGCCGCCGCTTCCTCACCCTTTCCGACCCTATACAACCCCAAACTCGGACAAAAACACGACCAACCTTCACCTACCGATCTGGACCTCCCGAACCTTGCCATTCAATGACACGTAAGAGCGCTACCCTTGCCAGACGCCGCTCCAAACCGAGCTTGAAAGTTTCTACCGGCCAGAACGGCCATGCCAACGGCAAGATGAACAGTAACATTGAAATGCGCAAACGCGACACTCCCTCCACCGAAACTTCCACCGAACGGACTGCCAGAGTGATGGAAAGCTCCAGCTTTTCCCTCGATAACGATCCTCCCATCCCGCCAACCCCGATCATGACCACCACAAGCTTCCACAACCTGCCCGCGAGCGATCGCCGAAATTTCCTCTTGTTATGCGTCCTATACTTCCTGCAGGGCGTCCCCATGGGCCTGGCCACCGGCTCTGTGCCCTTTCTGCTAAAACCATACCTCTCCTACGGCCAGATCGGCGTCTTTTCGCTTGCTTCGTACCCGTACTCGCTCAAATTATTCTGGAGTCCCATTGTGGACGCTGTGTGGAGTCCGCGATTTGGCCGGCGTAAGAGCTGGATTACTCCAATTCAGGTGATTGCTGGTCTGGCGATGATCTACATGGGCAGACACATTGGAGCGATGATGGAGCAGGCGGGTGCCAATAACGGTGCCGGCGTCTGGAATTTCACATACTGGTGGTTCATGCTGGTGTTCTTCTGCGCCACTCAGGATATTGCAGTGGACGGATGGGCAATTTCCTTGATGTCCCCTCCCAACATCTCGTATGCTTCGACAGCGCAGACTGTTGGCTTGACGGCCGGACATTTCTTGTCCTACACCGTTTTCCTCGCATTCAACTCCAAGGACTTTGCCAATCGTTGGTTCCGGGCTCTTCCCACCGAGGAGGGCCTGATGTCTCTCGGCGGGTATTTGACTTTCTGGGGTTGGACATATCTCATTGTTACTGTCTGTCTGGCGTTCTTCAAGAAAGAAGAGCGTACTAGGGACCGAGACAGCATCGCGGATGTATACAAGAGCATGTGGAGCGTTCTAAAGTTGAAGAACATTCAGACCATCATCATCATCCACTTGATCGCCAAGATTGGCTTCCAGGCCAATGACGGCGTTACCAGCCTGAAGCTACTTGAGAAGGGCTTTGGCCAAGACAACATGGCTTTGGTCGTGCTGATCGATTTCCCCTTTGAAATCATGCTGGGCTACTATGCCGGCAAGTGGTCGACCCAGTATGGCGCCATGCGACTTTGGGGATGGGCTTTCGTCGGTCGATTGGCGGCCGCCGTTATTGCCCAGTTCACCGTGGTGATTTACCCCAGCGGCCCAGATGTGCCGGTCTGGTACCTGCTCACCGTGATATTTGAGCATGTGATCTCGACTTTCATGAATACGGTCATGTTCGTGGCTATCTCGGCCTTCCACGCTCGCATTGCAGACCCCGCGATCGGTGGAACCTACATGACTCTTCTCGCAACGTGAGTTTCTTCCGTCTTACCTTCTTGTTCCATCTAACATTTAGTACAGCGTCTCCAACTTGGGAGGAACTTTCCCTCGCTATTTCATCCTCAGGCTTGTCGACTTCTTTACCGAGGCGACCTGCATTCCTCCTGCCACACCTCCAGCCGCCGACTCACTGAAGGGCGCTCTCGTCACCACTTCCTTCTCCTGCGCCCTGGAGCCGGAGAAGAACCGCTGCATCCAAGGTGGCGGAACCTGCGTGGTGGGCCGTGACGGCTACTACATCACCAACATGCTCTGCGTTCTCATTGGCGTCGTCACATTCACGATGTTCATCAAGCCAGCCGCCACCAAGCTCCAGGCCCTACCTCTACGGGCTTGGCGTCTGACACAGGGTTCACAGCGCCAGTAATATTGGACTTGATAGTTTTATACGTGGGCTATAAGTCGCATAGATTGAATGAAAATAAACTAGATTTCCACTCTCGCACACCAGACCCATCTGGTAGTGGACCCTGAATCCAAAGCCTGCAAGAAATAGAGGAGAAGGCACAATCCAACCTCGTGTCTGCCCGACAGCCACGGACTCAATAATTATCCCTCATTCGCCATGTTCCTGACCATGCTCACATCCGGCGAATGACGCCGCCCATTTCCAGGATCTCAAGTCCCCTCCAGGGGCCGATCCAATCGCAACTCCCAAAATCCCTGCACTTTCCCGCCGCCAAGCTGTTCTTATGCAGACCCCTCCTGCTACCTGTTGAGTTTTCCTCAATCCGCTCCCGGGCTAAATGATATGATTCTGTCTCTGAAGTGAGTCTAGAATATATGGGTGGAGTTGGGTCTGGTCCGAACCTAGTCTAGTCACAACCCAGGTTCAGCTCTGTATAAAAGTAGACTGCGTTTACATTTTTGGGAGTTGTTTTCCGTTCTTGCTTATTCTTTATCATCAATCTGAATCTATTACACCTTGACTCTTCCAAGCATTTCAAAATGCATCCTCTCATTTACCTCGCCCTCGGCATATCAACAGCCACCGCCCTCCCAAGCCTCAACACCCGGGAAATCCTCGCATATAGAAGCGTAGGTCACGCCCGACTTACCTGCTGCCTAAACTAACGTTTCAAAAGTGGGACCTGCGCCTCTTCAGCGAAGCAGTCCCAGCCTGCAACGTGAACGACTCCAACGTCGGCCTCACCGTCTTCCACCGCTATGGTGCTAACGACAGGACGTGCGAGAGCCTCGATACGTCGATGTACAATGCGACCACTGTGAAGAGTCTTTCGTGGAAGAGTCCGAGCGAGAACGACTGGCATGATCTGTGTATGTTTAGTTCACGGGATTGTCATGCTGAATCGCTCGTTGGGAGTATTACGGATGGGTGGGAGGTTTGTTATCCGTTTACTGGGTGGATTGGGTTTTCGGTTGTTTCTCATGGAACTGGTTGTGTTTGAAATGAGTGGTGATTGATGGTGTTCTAGTACATAGTTTGCATGGTAGTGTACAGCGGTGACCATTATATTGCCCATGCTGCATGAAGTCGAGGACAACCCCGACTGTGGGAAGCTTGACCATGCCGCTTATCCCGTACCTACGCTTATGGAGTCATTTGGGTAGCTACAATGTTTGGGAAACTGGGGGCTGAGCCGTAACTCCAGAGCATGATGACCCACCTAGTCAAGTTACTGCATTGAGATCTCGCGCCCGATGTGTATAGTTAGTAAAGCTTTCGAAGCTATTCTCTGAGAATATCAGTTCAACACATATACGGCCACCCGAAGTAGAACCATGGACCCGCACCGATCCGCCGATCACCAACTTTTTTTTCTTATCGCACCCACCCACAACTACAACTACGAGCTACCTCAACGCCGAGCTCTTACGGAAAGAACAATCTATCCAGGCTATGGCCTCAGCACACACAGACTCAAGCTCCGCCCACTCCGCCTCTCCGTCCCCCGCCACAACCATGTCCGCCCAAACCGACACTGCACACCCCGCAGTCGACAACTCCCTCGACGACATCTTCGGCTCCTCCCCCGAAACAGAGACCCGGTCAGAGCTGCGCGCCTCCCAACCTACAAACGAACCCTCCGACCTGCCCTCTCTACGCCGCCAACACGTTACAGCCGGCTACCGTGACGGCGTTGCAACGTCCAAAGGCCAAAACGTACAGGAAGGCTTCGACGCCGGGTTCCCCGTCGGTGCACAATTAGGCATGCGGGCAGGCACTATTCTCGGTATCTTGGAGGGGATTACGCGCGGAGTGGAGGATCGATCCGTCGTGAAGAAACCCGCGAGGGGCACGAAAGAGGCGAGCGGTCCAGAGCTGGAGTCGCGTCGTGCGACGCGGGAGCAGGTGCTCAAACTCTACACGGACGCGGTCTCTGCTCTGGATGTGCAGGCTGTGTTTACAGGCGAGGCGGAGATCAAGTCCGGCGAAGCAGGGGAGACGGCGGAAGCACAACTGGGGCGGAAGGGGGATGGGGTGATATCGAAGTGGGAGGCCAGGGTTTCTGTGTCAGGATGGGAGGAGAACATGGAGGCGCTAGAGATGAAGGAGAAGGCTGAGAAGGAAAGCCAGGGAGGGCAGGGCGCGGGTGAACGGAGCTGAAGGTGTTTGTTGTGGGTTTGAGAACTTGGCGATGCCACCACGTCTGTGGCGGTATCTGCTTCGCCCCTCGCCGATCATCTACGCGCGCCTGTTCCCCGGGAGAAGATGCACGTCGGCGGGCCATGCCTGCGCGGGTCGTCTGCCCGTCCCGTGCTGCCCGATCATCGTGAGACCGACCTGGACCCAGGCCCAGACACCTGGACAAGGATGCAGTAGCTGCAAGGAACGCTCAGTGGAGCTGGCGGAAGGCGGTCCGGACGGGCAGGCTCGGTGTGGAGACCGGTCTTCTTTCTCCGAGACACGATGGGCCTGATCTTCATGGGGCCTGCAGGGAGTTGTTCACTATTTACCTGAAGGAGGCAGTCAAGCACAAGGGCAGGGCAGGGAAGTTGCTTGCACACTGCTTGGCAGTCATTTGAAAGTGACGGTTTGGAGGTTGCAAAAGGCAACTGGGAAGCATGGAACCAGCATGGAACATATCAACAGTGGAGGCGTCAAGCGGCTAAAAAGCCCCGTGTGCTCAAGGGCCGAACGGAAACACGCACCTCGGCAATCAGGCGTGTTTGATTCTCGATGTGTGCATGTGGATCCCATGGGCGAAGCACGCTGCGATAGATCTGAAACCACGAAGTCGGGTCTCGGGGATGCCGTCTTTCTGCCCGATGGTACACGCTACCTTGCATGGGCCGGTTCGGGCTTCCGTGAAGAAGTGGCCTATTGCCCCTGATAAATCGCAGTGAAACATTTATTGGCTTTCTGAAGAGACTTGGGCAGGGAATTGACGACGGTTGAAGTGATATCAAGAGTGTCTGCTTGCACCTCGAGTAGGAGATATGAAATCAAAGAATCTTGCTAGAATACGAGGTTCCACGTATTCGGGAACATGGCTTCAACCGAGGAAAGCCGAACCGGCGTACTCCGTACTTTTTCAGTGTTGTGTGTTCGCGGAAGACGGGACGTTGAGGGGCAACGCAAGGGGGTTCATATACCGCGAGATCGAGCAGCCCCGCCCTGCTGCTTTAACAATCGGAGTTGATCGGTGGGGTTCCCTCCTTAACAATAGTACGAAAAGTAGAACAGCGACAACTTGCCACCTAAGTGGAAGTGGGTGTGGATGATGCCTCCCTTGTTGATCTGTATACAAGTTCTTAAGGCACCCCACTTGGCCACTCGGCACGGCTTACCTGAACCTCGGCGCTCACCTCAATGGGATTCCTGCCATTGGGCACATAAGAGAGAGAGAGAAAGCATAGCGCATTACGACCTGGAAACACTCGATCCTAAAGAGAGAAAACGCATGAGGCTACGAGAGGATGTACACCAACTCCCCACATCCAAAGCAATGCGCCGATCACCAGTGGCCGGAAGATTCCCCTAGCACCGTACTTTCTCTTTCCTCTACGGAATAGTCTCCCGACAAACCCTAGGCTGATTATTCTGCAACACGCAGAACCCTTGGGACTCCAAACCTAATCACACACGTACGACGGGACCCAAGGGTCACACCCCTGTCCCTCGACAGGTCCAGCACGCGCAGTACTTCTGCTCTGTCGTGGGGCTGTCAAACCCCAGTGGGTCCTGGTGGACCTTGATCGTCTAAGACATGATCACAATAGAAGGAAATAGTAGGCTGCACAGTTTCTATGGACTTGGTGCCCTTGCCACTGGCCCGCTAGAGTCGAGTTTAGATGGGGACTTATTGTTGCCCTGTACTGGAAACAGCGATTGTTGGCTATCGTGGGGCTTCAAGGATCGGAGTAAGACATCGGCTATGAACTATGTGAGGTCCATAGTTTCTCGGCTGGTAGTATCCTTGAATACCGGAGATAGCGGGGGGAGTATCTGAGATCTGGCGATGACGACCACATTCCTAAGGTCGATCTACAATCACCGGGGAAACATAGTGATGAGGAGACGTGCCATTGGCATTTTTTATTCATTTCAAAGTGTCATTGGGTAATAGTTCATGCTTTTTGTCATTGCGCCTGGAGATGCAGTCTGGAGTCCGTACGCCCGTTGTCCTTTATATCATTATAGTAGGTCACATTGAGAAGGAAATGAGAATCAGAAAGTCTTGAGTAGTCTTGAAAAGGAAATGGTAGTGAATCGAACAGGAGTTCGTACAGAGGGGGAAGTTTTAACCATAGAGTGAAATGGTAGTACAGCCCGAAGCGCAGTTGTGGAAAGGGATAACCACGTAGAAATGGACAGGGAGAACCCGAAAAAGCAGAAACAGATTAAGGACAGTAGAACCGAAAGTCATAGGTCATCGCCGTTAGGCCTTGTTGTGATTTCGTTGATGTTCAGCAGTGAACATCATCGCGTTGTCGAGGGGAATCATTATCATTGTTGAACGGGTAGTGGAACCCGCGGAAAACATGAAGCATAAAGAGTGTGAGCGTGTTCGTCATCGTGGAACACATCGTGAAAAAGATGTAGGAAATCGTCAGTGATCGTTGAATTGCAGGCCGTTGGATATTGTCGAAGCAAATGAAAGCAAAAACGCCGATCCCCCGCACCAGAACGCCGGGACTGAATAGGAGATCAGAGTACATCCACGTTTTTGGTGGTTTTGTGGCAGTTCAAGGAGCGGAGGGAATCGAGCATACGGCGGAAAAAGGGACGTTGCTCGGTGGATTCGTTGATGATGGCACGGGATTGTTGCTCGTAGCACATTGATGTAAACTTTTCCTTGTCTGACTTGACGTACTCGGGACTGTCAGAGCGCTGGCGACGTCTTGATTGAGCTTGGAAGGCTGCTGCGGCTGACCGATCGATATCAGAGTCGCGAGTGCTGGATCCACGGCTGCTGGTTTTTGGAGAGCGAGGTTTCATCAGAGAGGTAGTAGAGGGAGCCACAAGGCGGAGAGTGTGGAGGGGGTGGGAAGGACGTAGACCATCGCGGCTGGTGATGGGTCGTTCGAAACTCATGCCTCGGAAAGGCTCCGGAACAGGCTCGCCAACAGCGTCGTCGGGCATGCAGGGGAACTTCTCCGGGAGCTGATCGTCAAGCATTGCTTGGTGGAGCTTGGGTTGTGACTTGGCGCCACGGAGCTTAGCTCTGCTTCGCACCTTGCGCAAGGTATCAATTGGTCTGCGGGAAAGAGACTTGTGTCCAATGGACTCGTTATCCGAGTCTGACTCCCAGACCGATTGTTCGCAGTGAGCATCCATGGTCGACATGGAGGGACGCTCCATAGACGTGGCAGTCCACTGGCGAGAAATAGGAGGAGAGCTGGCACCAGGGCTAGGCAAAGGGCTGGGGATTTCATTGGCAGGGATGAAAAGAGCCTGGTCAAAATGTGTGGCATGCGGCTCCATGGTGACCGGATTTATCAAGCACGGCGGCGAGATCATGGATGGGTCAAGTGGAGGTCTTGTCCCGGGGCTATATTGCTTTCTCCGTACACTTTGCGAGCTTGTGCCACGAGATAGATTGGGCAGTGTAGGATGAGGTTTGTTCCTGCGGGAAGACGAAGACATGCTGGAAGTCTCGTACTTCATTGTGAACGTTGTAGAGCTGGAATCGGAGATAGGAGTAGTAGGGCGACTCTTGGTCTTGGGAAATGAGGGCACAGGAGGCGGTGGAGGAAGGCAGTGTTTGGGAGGTGTTGTTGGAGGGAGATAAAAGCGTCGAGGTTCCTGAGCCTGTTGGGCGTGTCGGTACAACTTCTCGGTTGCTCTCAGCACAGCCTCGGGGCAAGCGGGAGAGGAGTAGGTGGATGAGAAAGAGCTGCTCGGAGTCAAGTCCGGTGTGGTGCTTTCAGTAGCCACCGAGCTGAAAGAGCCCTGGCTGCTGTGGAGTTGTCTGGGTTCTTCTGTAGAGGAGGTGTAGTGGTGAAATCTCAAGTCGTTCTCCAGTTCCAATTGCGCGATGGTCGACCGGTTAGGACCGTTATATTTGCCCTGGGGAGGAGCGAAATCTTTCCCGCTGGTCAGGGAAAGTGTATAATACTGGCTGTTGTCCTGACTATATCTCTCATCGCGAATGGCCGGAGTATACGAGTCGTTCCCGGTTGGCGTCGTGGCCAAAGAGTGTTCGAGGTAGAAGGGGTCTGCGTTGGACTCCTCCAGAACCTTGGGTCCCGCCTTGGGATAGTAGGTGGAAGCTCGCTTCGCCGGCGATGGTGATGGCAAACAAATGGTGGATTCTGACCTGTTTCGGTCTGGGTACAGCGCGTCCACTTCGCCCGGACAGTAAAGTTCCCCTTGAGCCATGGACTATGATCACGAAACACAGATGGAGAGTGAACACGAGTCGGACGCGGGGGTCCAAGGGAATAGCATGAACAGATAGTAATAAGGGCTCGGGCGAAAAGGGAGTTGCCACCGGAGATGGATTGAGGAATGAGACTGGGGTGAGAGGGATATGTTTATACAGCCAAAAATAGGCCCCCTCCAGGACCCCGGGCGGAAAACAGATCCATACCAATGCACGCGCAAGTGTAAACAAAAGGACGGAGCACAGACCTGACCTTACATGACGTTCCCTTCCGCCTGTAGGGATGAGGTTGCAGCAAGGACCACCTCTCCGGCTCCCAGCAAGGGCGGGCGGATGCCCTTTCCGACGAACAAAAGCACATCCCGTTTCGTCCCTCAAAGGACCAAGGCGCAGGCCGAAAGAACCATCCCCGTGCTTCCCGTTGTGGTCCTCATGCTGGACGGCACGGCCTACGAGGCCTGAACATGAATCGACCCGGAGTTGTTGGTAATACAGTCATCTCATTCGTACAACGCAAATGTGCGGCGATTGATCTCGTCTCAAACGGACAGCGCAAAGGCCGGGGCTTCGAGTAAAAATGTGAGATGTCAAGAGAAGACGAGTCCCGCGGATGTTCCTCCGGGTCAGCCACCGGGACCCACTGATCCGCCGGTGGCTTCGTCTTTGCGCTCATTCCATATTCCATACCTGGGAACCGCGCAACGGCGCAAGCCTCACGGCGACTACCGTTTCATCTACCGAATTCTATTTCCCCAGCGCATCTACGTCATGCTTTTTCGTGTGTTTTTTGCGGCTGGTTCGAGTACTTCGCTGTGGCGTGGCGCTCTCGACTAGGTACTTTGTGCATCAAATCGATGTTCACATTGCGTGGCTAGTTTAGCTGTAGATCTCGACTAGGCCCGCCAAACCGGAACTGCGTCTGGGTCACTAGCGGGATCATAACTTTCTTCGGGCGTCCAGGTACTTGGGCCCGGGGCCAAAGTACAGTTGCCAAGCCGAGGACTCGTACGGAGTACACGCGCGACTAATCACACATCAAATCCGCCATCGCGCGATCATTGGCGCGGGCATGACCATTCGATCGGGCCAATCGACTTTTGCGATACGCTGACCTTCTCACGGCTCGACACCGTTGGCCACTCTCGAAACCCCTTCAACAAGATTATCTGACACCACTCAATCTACAGTACGACCTGAAACCGAGTCTAGATCACTTGCACGGTTGACTCGACAACTCGAGTCCCCACATTCCAATGAAAAGTCAGTCCTGCATTGCATCCCGCTACGCAGACGGACCTCCCCGCCGCCGCGGCCTGCATAGACGTATATATATCTACGGCCTGCGTCCCGGCCCCTGATCGACGAGCTCTCGATATCTTCCGGATGCGCCGAGTGCATTTGGTAGTATCGGGGTGCACCCGCACCCTCGCTTTCCTCGATCACATTCTTCGGGCGCGGAGTATTGCAGTAATAGCATGTAGAGATTGCAAAGATTTGATATGATATTCCATCTTCCAAGGACCCAGCCAAGGGACGGACTACCCTGCGATTCAAGGGTTCAATTGCGAATTGCAAATCTCCTTCACCATCACCCTCGCAGGGAGATCTAATTTCCAGGAGTTGGGCCCTTCACGATAGCTAAGACCCGACAAAACCCAATCGCACGATGCGCGGGCCCAAGCCTCGGGAAGTCGAATGGGATCCCCGAGTATCGTGTCTTGGACGTTGGATGCATGATTGGCCTGGGCCCAACCCGCGACCCGACACGGTGGAAAGGAGATACTGAAACACATCTCACACAGAGCACTCGGCTCCCGGGGATCTCGAATGTCCTGCGTCCTGCAGCCTGCAAGGCCTGCTTGAAACCTACCTGGATATTGGGACCTTCCTCTCCTTTGATCGATCGCCGGAAAAAGGCCCGCTGCGTCCGCGATGCACCGGCACCTCTTCCCCTGAGCCTATTCAGCTAGTCTTGGTAAATTTTCCGATCCCTTTGCTGCCCTTGCATCTCCCGTGGAAAGGGTCTGGACCGAACGGTCGCGCGTTGTTTACTGCTGGGTGTCGCGTTGTTTTTGTTGTGAGGATGCCCGGGTGAGTTTGGAGATTGATTAAGGTCAGGGGACTGTGAGGGGGTCTCATGTTCGCGGTATCCTAGGGATGCATCAACAGAGGTGCTGGAGCTGGAGCTGGCTGGAGTTCGGGCCAGAACAAGTGGGACGTCATCGTTGTGGGGTGCGGAGCCGTTCGTCAGAGCGTCAGAGTTCCGGAGCTGTCAGATCACGCTCAGGGGTGAGTCGGCGATAGAGAAGTGATACCCGGTCCTCGGGTAGATAGGTATGTAGCTTCCTAAGCAGACGAGGTTGTGCTTCATCGGGTCGGGACCCCTGGAGTGGAGGTTAATATCCTTGTGTGGGGAAAGCAGTTCGTTGAGTAAAGAACCAAGGGAACCGCTGGATCGGATCCAAGTTCGCGAACAGGCTCGTGTTTTCCCAGGTCCGCCAATACAACCCTCCCGTGCACCCTGGGAGACCTTGATGATTCAATGGCCCACCCAGTGGAGAGCTGTATAGTGCCACAATAATATATAGCCCGCGCTATCGGTGCCCGACAGCCTGCCAACGCATCGGTTTGCCTCGATTCCAGGGTTTCCCGTCTTTGTAGGGTACAGCCAGTACGCCAAGTACAGTAGCTGTATTTCTCGCCTCGTCTCTACCGTGGCTCTCAACATGGAGCTTTACTATTCACGTCTCTCACTGGCACGGTGGATCGTGGATCGTGGATCGTAGCCCTGGACTGTACCGGATTCACCTGCCTCCCTGATGTCTCCCACTTTGTATTTTCACCTATCACGATTCTCCCTGAGACTTGAAGCCAGCTCCGATCGCTCTCTGTACCACCGATTCAGGCCACCTGGAGGTACTTATTGAAGCCGTGCTTCTTCGCCGGCCCATTGCGAGACACGCTACGTTCCGAACCAAGGTGACCTGAAGTACCTGAAGGGTCGGGAAGACAGTATAGTATCCATTGGAGATTAAGTGCTGCTTTGATTGCCTCGCTCCGGTCTCAGGCTGCAACAGAAGCGTTGCGACAGCCTGGAGCGTTGGGCATTCGGCCGTCATTCGCCGGGAATTGCCCGTCTGGGGCTTCCATTCCACGGCCTCAACCCGAACCCGCTCTGGCCATTTCTCTTCTCTCTTCTCTGCAAAGATTTCATTCCGACCTGACGGTGCATTCGAGCGTTGGTGCTGTTCATGATCCGCGAGACACGTTTGGTGCGCTGCAGCAGCCGCTGCGGCGACCCCAGCCATCTCAATTAATCCAGCCACCACGTCCTCCTTCCCTACGCTTCCACCTTTCCTTCAATTCTACAGTCCTCACTTTGGTTTCTCTTTTTCTGGGGTTGAAACAAAACTTCATTTACCGCCTCCCCGGTTATTGACTACAATTCCTGATCGACCTCTGCGATCGCGATCCGAAGCTTAGTGCCAGCTTCAGTGACGCAACACCTCACATTGTCGGCCAGTCCTCCTTCGTCTGACCAGCACTTGCCAGAGGTGTCTCGCCATACTCGCAGAGCGTCTTACGAAGTCCACGACGTTTACGACCCATCAACGCTTACGACCTTTACGCCGCAACGCCAGCAGCACTCTGTACCTCGTCCTTCTTCCTCCCATTCAGCCGATAATCGTCCCTCTTCAACCGCGGACTCTCATCGACCGCTGCGCAGAGCTCGCCGAACCTCAGAAGCCGGTCAATTCCCTCAACGTCGAACTGTCTCGCTAGACGTTTCAAGTGGACGGCCTCCGCGATCCCAGCCGGCGCATTCGATCCCGGTTCTCATCAACCCCGATCCCCGGAACGGCATTGAGACACTCCTTCCGGCTCTTTCAGAAGCCCAAACTGACGAGAACGGTTCGACCGTCGACGATCCTTACCAGCTCCTCGATAGCTCGTATTGGCCGTGGAGAAACACCGGAGTCTCGTCGCGCACGGCATCTGCGATTCTCTTTGCGCTCGAGGAAGGCATCCGTCGGCCGTTTCCATTTACTACAGATTGGGACGAAGCGAATGCTTCTATGTCAGATATGGTAGGCGTTGCTGGTCCCGCTGGCCCCTCTGGCAATGGCCGCGTTCAGAACGGTAACCCGCGGGCACCGCAAGGCCCTTCACAACCGCCCAGTGGTGTGCGAACTCCGACAGATATTATGAGACAGCGTCGGGACCGAGAGGCTCGTCGCAAAGCGGAAAAAGAAGCTCGCGATAGAGAGCAGGAAGAACTGGAGAGGCAACAATTGGAACAAGAGCAGCAAGCACAGGCTCAAGCACAGGCTCAAGCACAGGCTCAAGCACAGGCTCAAGCTCAAGCTCAAGCTCAACAGTATGCTGCTCGCGTTGCCGCCGACCCTGCTCCTCAGCGCCGAGTGCGGCCTCAGCGGGCTCCTAGGGGACCCGAAGTGCCTTCCGAGGCTCGCGCTGTTACGGCGCCTGGGGTTGCGCCAACATTCGCTACAACCGCGGGTCCTGCACCGGCTGGAGGTCAATATCAGGCTCCCTCCGGCGGTATAGACATGAGCCAGCAGCGGCCACCTCAATCATCAAGCCAGCAGAACATGGGTGCTGCACCACAGCATGCCCGCTCACAGAGTGCGGCGGCAGGGCCCGGCGTCACGTCGGGGACGACTGGGTTCACTAAGCCCTCACAAGCTCCCCCGACCAGCCAGACTGGTGGTTCTCAGACCTTGCAACAGCCACGACGTGCTGCCTTCCCGCATGCCTTTGAACGCTGGGAAACCCTATCTTCGCATTGGGAAGGTCTGACCAGTTACTGGATCCGGAAACTCGAGCAACACAATGACGACCTGGAAAAAGATCCCCTCAGCCAGCAGCTGGCTCGACAGATCACAGACCTGTCTGCAGCCGGTGCAAACCTCTTCCACGCGGTTGTCGAACTACAGCGCCTCCGCGCATCATCCGAGCGCAAGTTCCAGCGCTGGTTCTTCGACACTCGCTCTGAACAAGAACGAGCTAAGGAAGTGCAAGCAGACCTGGAGCGTCAGCTCAAGACGGAGCGACAGGGCCGCGCCGACGCATTCGCAGCTGCACAAGCCGCTGAAAAGGACAAGACCCGAGCCGAAGAGTTGCTTCGCGAAATGAAACGCGAACTCAATATCTCCAAGGAAGAAGCACGTCGCGCATGGGAGGAACTCGGTCGTCGCGAACAAGAGGAGCGAGACCGAACCACCTCCCTTCGAAATGGAGAACCCACCCTCGTGGGCGGAGTCCAAGTCGTGCCCATGATCCAAGGCGTCCCCAGCCGGCACAACACACGTCCACCCACTCGCGATGGTCCATACCCCGGCGGACCAACCGCGACATCAATGGGCACAGACTTCCAAAGCAAACCCGCCGAGCCGCAATACTACGACGAAGCTACGCCGATGTCCCCAACGGGGTCCGACCCCTTTATCGAGACCCAAAAGAACCACCCATCCGACCCAAGCAAAGCACCCTACCCGAGCCAAAGGTACGAGCACGACCCCAATGCTCCATACCCAGGGCCACCAACCTCTGAGCCCGATCTCCACTCCTACGTTGGCAGCTCCGAAGCCGAAGAGGAGTATGTCCGCCACCCCGGCGACTCTCAACGCCCCTTCTCCTACGGCGGGCCCCCTTCCGAGGGTAGCGAGGAGTACGAAGAATCCCCCGTCGACGACCGACACTTTGTGACCGACGGCGCCTACTCCGCCGCTACGAGCTCCGCGCCCACGCACGCGCCCCAACCACCGACTACCGCCGACTACACCGGTTCCGGATGGGGCGCTGGAACAGGCTGGGAAGCCGTCACCCCGCGACACCGCCATCCCACACGGCTGAGCGATGTCCTCGAAGAGGATGAGCCGAGTCGAACAAGTCCCAGCCGTGCTAGCCAGGCGAGTCGCAGTATTCTGTGATTCCAGTCTGGTTCAGAGTTTTCGAAGTGTTCCCTTCTGCTGAGTTGTACCTTGGTGCTTTCCAGTTGAGGCCTTGAATATTGAGGAGGTTGACGTGCAGTACATAGAGAAGAGAGTGCTGGTTTTCTCGCATCTGGCTCGAGCGTGATTTGTGATTTTCAATTTGATTACTTACTCCGATGGATTCGATTCCGATTCTGGGGACCGGGTCTGCATTTGTCTGCATATCTTTTTCTCTTTCTCCATCTCTTATCCGTTGTTCTAAGCGTTTTCTTGCGTTTATTTCCTTGCTTTTTGCTTTTTAGTTTTCAATGGGCAGAATCTTAATTGCCGACCTGCTCTTCTCTTGTAGATATTTTTTAAAGGCTTAGGGAGATCTTTATGGCCAGTTTGAACACCCTAGTGGGCTATTTTGAAGTCACATTTTAACTAGGGTCGATTTTCAGCGTATTAATTGCCCCAGGTGTGTCAGACGATACCGTGCATCTTCTGGTACCGGATTACTTTACATCCATCTCATTCGTGCTTGCTCGCTCTACTTCTTTCCGCATTTTCGATATTTTAGCGGCAAGCCACAACTGAAACCATCTAATAAAATGTTCTGGTTGTTCTGATTAACATTCTCGCATGTGTGTGATATGCACCGTACGTATCAGAAAAGATCGTGCAAGGCTCGTTGCGGATATATACAATCAGCCGCCGAGCCCACGATATATCATCACGCCGCAACATATAGTTGGTAAATACCATCTTCACAAGGGACAATTTCAATAAAAGCGTTACCAATTACTCAGTGCAAATTTCGTGACAACCATGAATTGATCATGTGCATCCAGGACGCCCAGGGGCCTCAAGCCCAAAATAAAGGATACAATCACCCTAAGGCCCAGATTACCTCTATGAATCTCTCGGAGTCCCATGCCCAGAAGACCGATCCTCATCCTCATCCACATGCATTTGAATCTCATCAACAGCACCGCCACTCGCCTCAGGTGAATGGTAACTCTGACTCGCTCTCCTTAACTCCCGATCCAGCGAGTCAGTCAACGCCCCCAGAAACCACTGAACCTCACCGTTCTCCCCAAGCAAGGGGTTTTTAAAATCAATCCAGCTCCAATCACGGATCGTGCGCTGTACGTCATCTTCACTCTCAGCATCCCCCTTCTTCTCCGGATCAGTAGGCTTATCTTTCCCCGAGATCAGAGCTAGATAGTATTCCCACTCGAGGTAGTCGAATTGCTTGGCGGGGTTGCTCATGGCGAGTTCTGTCATTTTACGAATCTCCCGGAAGAGGAGGTAGTGGTAATGGTGGATGTTCTCGGCTGCGGTGTCGCCGCGTTTGCGGGCTGACTCTTCTCGTTTGTGCTCCTCTGCTTCCATCGTGTTTCGATAGGTGGCATTTCCTGGGTCGGCCTGCTCGCCTTTTCCTTGTAGGATGTCTTGGGTAGTGTCTGATTCGCCCGTGGTCTCCTGGAGCCATCTGTCTGTCCAGGAGAAGTGGCAAATGGCTTCGAGGCGGTCGTGGAATGGTTCGTCGCCGGGCAAGATGGTGAGTTCGCCGAGGAAGATGGTCAGATCGCGGAGGAAGCGGATGATTGTATCGCCGATGTTGGAGATGAGGATTGTGATTGATGGGACGGCTAGGAGGGACCAGAAGACGAAGAATGCTTTGCCTAGGTTGCTTACTGGGTAGACGTCGCCGTATCCGATGGTAAGTAGGGATGTATAGGCGAAGTAGAGGGCTTGAAAGTATGACCAATGGTCATATGACTCTGAGCGCCAGAATACCACCGCGCCGATCAACCACAATGCCATCCAGGTGGTTAGAGATATTGCGAGAGAGATCCACTTGTGCTGCACTGCGGCGAGCTGTCGGACACGCCGCATGGTGATGAACTCTCGCTTTTGTCGTTCGCGGTCGCTTCGCTGGGTGTCTGGGTCATTTCTTGCCAGCGACGGGACCAGTCCCGGAAAATGGTTATTTTCCGAGTAAGCTTCTTTGATAAGAAAGCGGCGAGTTCGAGCAGTCAGGATAGCTGACATCTTTTGGCGACCGTGCTCCAGCATCAGAGTCCGAATGGACGAGATAATGAGACCCAGAACGACAATGCCTCCAACTGCATATGGGAACAGCAAGCCGCGTCCAAGGTGAGTTACAGGAGCAAAGTTGCCAATGCCAATGGTGAGTAGCGTGTAGTCAGCCCAGTAGACAGCATCCAAAAACTTCCAACCTTCTATCGTGGCGTAAGCGGCGGAGCCTCCCAGAAGATAGATGAAGAAAACGATGGTCTGTAGCATCAATGTCCGCTGACTCGTGGTCAGCTTGAACCCTCGGCTGTAGTGGCCCTTGGCGGCCCCCCAAGCCGTGACGACCATCATGGACGCGATGATGAAGTACAGCCCAGCTGCAAAGGTACCGTAGAAGTAGCCTTGTGAATAAATCCGCCCATCATTTTCCGTGTTATACATCAGCACACCGAACGGGATTAGGATGCCGATCAAGAGGGCCGATGAGATATACCACCCGGCAATGATAATCGGTTGCGCGATCTCGAAACGGATGCGTCGCGCCATGGTTAGCGACAGGGCCAAGTTGGCGACGAGTGCGAAAAACAGCGAGACGGCATTGATTGCGACGGCCCTGGAAGCTGGTTAGAGTGGCTCACGCTCGAGGTCAAGTTTTGATGCGTACCACTTTGGATCAGTGATGTCCTTCCCCCCCGGCGTCATCCGCCAGGTTTGCGCTAACGAGCAGATATTGAATGCACTTGCCATGGGCCCAAATGTTCCCTAACCAGATGTCAGCTTCTTGCATTCGAACCACAGATTCCAGGACTGTTCATACCGCTGCCAGCGGATACGCAGTACTTGCCAGCCACCATCGCGCGGCATGAGGATGCTGAGCATCAAGGTCTGACTTTTGTTTATTTCCTGCAGACCCTTGACCCGAGTCGTCATCCAGGGCACCCGCCTCGTCAGCTATAGCATCGTCCAGACCGGGGTCATTCATGGCTGCGACACTAGTATTCGGGGGATAAAGACATTCGGACTGGGGCTGCTTGGCAGGGGATGTCAACTAGGTTTAAGTGCAACATCGTTGAATGAAGGTGCGACAGGTGGAGAAACCACGCGGTGAAACGGAACGTAGTGGCGTAGACCAAATCAAGCTTTATGGCATGCGAAGCCGTCATGATCTACAATCCGCGACACGGAAGGGTGCGTCATATCACGTGATCTAGTATAGATCCACGGATCGCGATATGTTCCAAGTAGATACGAGATGAAGATCTTCATAGAAAAGAAAATATGTATTTCGGGTATGATGTAAATATAGTTCACAGACCAAAAGGCCGACAGAGAAGGAAAAAAGATGACGGAAAAACGCAGGTGTTTTTGAATCCCGGATAAGAAGAAAAGGAGCCATAGGACCATTTGATCGGTGGTCGGTCTCTGTACATCGCACCAACACATTGCTATACATTCGAGTGCTGAATAGGAACGCGAGAGGAAGAGCCAGCCTCTGCCATTTCGTGACCCAGTTCGTGAAGGATGCGAAAGACCAGGCAAAAGCCCGATGATGCGAGAAGAAAAGAAAACCCTGGGAATCAAAGGCGCCCAAACTCCACCCCGCATTGCCATGATGTCGAGGCGAAAAATCAGAAGTCGTCCAAAGGTAGTCAGGGAATAAGAATGGGGTATCGCAAGTAGGTGAAAATCGATTGGATCATGTCGAGAGTAACATGATCACTTAGAAAGGTGGTTCATCAAACTGCAATGTTGTGAGCGAGATCATCATAGGTGAATTGCTATGCTGGTTGAGACATACAATGAGCCCCTCCAGGGGTCAGGGCTGAGGGCACAGGGTTGTTGTTCTGTGGTGAGGGGCGACGAGCGAATCGAGGATCCACGTCTTCGTAGTAGGCCGTGGGCTGCGCATTGCCTGCGTGTACGGGCGATGGTGACGGGCGTGGTGAGAGTGTACGGTGGTCATCGTTCGTACCCCATCCAGCTCGCGCAGGAACGTAAGAACTGAAACCCATGTTAGTGAGGTAATCATAGACATGAATCGAATAAACTTACTCGTTCTGACTGTACTGGCTAGAGGGACTCTCAAGAGGGGCTAATTGACCGTCGGTCATTGCATGGGGCTGAGAGGTGGTCGTTGCCATCGAGTCGTGACCCTCGTAATGCCGCGGCTGGGGTTGCATCTCAATTGCCTGGCCCACAGATTCGGGCGACACTGCCATTCCAATGGGGCCTGGAGAGGGCTCGCGCCGATGCGCGGCAGGAGCAGCCCCATAGGTATCGAAAGGCGCGGCTCCGTAGGCATCATCCATGGGCGGACCGTAGGGCTCATAGCTGCGATTTGGACTAGGCGCATAGCCCATTCCGCCGCGGGGTGCTCCACGTCCGGGCATCATGCCTCCACGGCCACCCCTAGGAGGCGGTCCCATATACCCACCTCTGCCAGGAGGCCCACGGGGTGGACCCATGTAGGGACCACCACGTCCATACCCGCCCCGAGGAGGATAACCTCCTCGGCCGCGCGGGCCGAACCCAGGCGGAGGGCCACCTCGGCGAGAACCCATACTACCGTCCGAATACTGCTGGCGCAATCGCGGATCGGAAGGATTGCGCATAACTCCAGGACCGTACGGACCGGATGGCGGTAAGCCGGCTTCCTCCTGCGGGCGGTACGGGGTCCCACGTCGGCTGGGGTATTGGGCATCCGGCGGCGGAGGAATATCGTTCATGGCAGTAGCGGTTGTGGTATTGAGCGGGGTACGGTCATCGTCGCTGTCACGAGTATTGCTGCGGAAACTGGCGAAAGTAGGACCCGACTCGGAGATGGGAGAGCCGGATACCATAGCTTCCTTGGTCTCCGTGGGGACCGGGACAGCGCCGCTACCCATAGCCGCAGTCGCCGCATTTTGGCGATTGTAGTAGTTCTCGCCACTCATCTCCGCGTTTTCGGCGATGCGGCGCTTCCGGGCCTTTCGGCTCACCAGAGTCCGTCGCATGGCGCAAGTCACCACCCCGCAGGAAACGAGAATGATGGTCGCCGCCAGCACAATCCAGCCACCCCATTGTAAATGCGGCACGAAAAGCAAGATATCGACCAGGAAGGCAAGCAGGGTCACCAGGAGGGTTGGCAAGAGCAGAATGAGGAGAGCCAGGAGGTAGCGCGGCGAATGGGACGGGCCATGGAAGTGGGCCGCGGCGGCCAGACACAGGCAAACGAGGGTGAGGAAGGCTGCGACGGGGTGTATGATCAAGATCGACGATAGCGACTTGCGTGTACCGGAAGGCAGATTGAACTCATCGCCGGTACTATTTATATCCTCTGGAGGGGAGGCTTAGCCACATTGACAACAGGCAGAAACAAAAAGGGAGGGGCGGACTGACTGCTAGTGTATCCGACATGGATATTGGTACATGCGTTGCCTTGGCAGTAACCAAAGACACCGTAGTCAACATTCGCGTATGTTGCAAGAGGGATTCCCTTGATGATGGGCGTCGACAGGCAGGAGATTAACAACAGCGCAAAGGCGACCAGCAGTAGGATGGTGAGGGGAGTCGCGGGCTTGAGTAACATTGCGACGGGGAAGGCGACAGCTTGCGCGCCCTCAGGGACCTTGTCTCAAGCCAGGAAGAAAACGAGCGAGTCCCAGACTTGCAAACACGGCGCAGAAGTAGTAATGGTTTCGATTTAAGCCAGCATTGGCAGGGTCATTGCAGGTCTCCTGAGACCGTTGCGAAGGGAGGAGGGTTGGTGGATTGGGGGGTGAAGAGAGTGCGAAGTAGAGTAAATGAGGGGAAGTGAGAGAGGAATGAAAGAGAGACAAGAAGCGATAAGCCTTGCGGAGGCGAAGGAGGAGAGGGGAAACCATGGATCTGGGAGTGTACCGGGTCGTAGCCTTAGGCATCTCTCGTCACGTCCTCTCTGCTTTCAAGGTGTTCCACTGTACTTCTTACACGTTACTGCTCAACTACTGTTTGTTTATCTGTCACTTGTTACCTGATACCTGTTCACTCTACAATCAGGGTCGTACTCCGACTACGTTGAACTAAAAGGAGCACAGATCCCCCGGGCGCAGCAGGGACCAGCCTTCTCATTCGCCGTGTCCATGGGTCGCCGAGCCGGTCCGGAACAAAGAGACGCAGTGCGTGTTTTCTCCGGGCCTCTGGGTCTAAGATCTCTCGAGACAATCAATCTGGGCGACGTTTCAAGTCCATAAACTCCACATTTCGTTGTGAGCGGTTGTTCCTGGCAAAATCGTCTCAAGCGTCGAATGGGACGGTCGAGAAGACTTTTGCTGATGGTACCAGCCTGGATTCATCCGCGGGCCCAGCCATCGCCTCGACCCACCTGCGCTTTGAAGTTAAATCGGCGTTTTCGTCGGATTTGGCAAGCCCCAAAGTTGCGCCAAAGGGACTTGATTTTTCCATGGGTTTTCCATGATGTGCAATTCTGGAATCTATGGGATTCACAGGAGCTTCATCCCAGACTCCACATATCTGAAGCAGGATTTGGGTGTATTCTCCAACTCCCAATTCCGTCGAGCCCACACTAACGCACAGCCCGTCAGACAGTTGGGGAAAGCAATGTCTGGGCCGCACTTTAAGCCGTCGGCGGCCCGCTAACCGCGTTTTAAATGAAACATATCGCCGTCTAATGAGAGGAGCTAGCCCCATTTTGAATAGCTACCTGCTAGCTCCGAGCACACATAAGATGCATGGCCTATGGAGCTAGCAAGCGATGTATTAGCGACCAGTCGGCTAATTCAGCTCTCCCTCTCCAGTCATACGTCTCCGTGCACGTAAGCCAGGTGCATAGACTTGCTAGGCGACCTGAATTAAGCTTATGCCCGCGCCCACACGATCACACAGAACACGAATAGATACTGGATATCTTTGTTTGATCTCATGCCTGGATCAGTTGACCATCCCCAGGTCTGCACCTAAACACCAAGGACGGGAAGATGCACGCCACTCCGGTTGCGGGTCTCACAGACAACGGAATTGTTGTAAACTCGAAAATTTTGACATCATAAAAGCATCTATGACCTGTTTGGAATGGTGCGCCCGGGTTCTACTACAGGGAATTCAGGGATTCGTCGTCACACATGATATCAAGTGCTCTTCCGCTGGAAGCCAAAACATAGAGCCGTGGAGAAGGTCGGATTTGGCACGTTATACAAAACCTGTGTTACCCATTTCTGCCGTTGCAATGGTGACGCGACTTACATAAAGCAATAGCCATCCTCTTTGGAACCATGACAGATTCTGGCCCCCGATGATCTTTGAGAACTAAAGACCGCCAACGAAATTCGACACGAAGACTGATACTCGACTTGTCAACGGCTTTTGGACACACTTCGGAGCCACTAATACGAGTATGCGCTGTCTCTCGCGATTATGGCCCTGGTCGATTCGAAAGAAGTCCCATAACGAAGCAGACAACTCCATGCTGCCCGAGAGAAAAACCCAACTGCAGCCATGTCCAACGACACTGAGAAGGGAACATCCATCGCACAGATGCGAGTCAAATTTACATGAGCGCTACGTGACATTTGGGATTGGTGGCGCGGGGAATACACACAAGTCCTGCTTTCTTCCCCCGCCACGCCTTCACGTCTCTAACTCGACCAGTAAAGCAGAATCATATCGAGTAATGGACGAACCATATCGACACTTGCACGTTAACATCTCGGGCGCTGGAATTGAGCGCCAGTGGTAAACTGGGATAGGAATGAAATATAGGGAGGAACCTTGCCCCAGCCATTTGAACTGCAAAGCAATACGATTCGATGAAACGTAAAATCTCCATCTTCAGCTTTATGTAATTACCACTGGAGATTCAGAGTACATTGGCCCGGCGAATTGAGGCACAGCCCTACCAGGTCTCCCTTAGCATCCCACAGCATCCCACAGCCGTATTGTTTCGGTCATGTCAACCTCAGGTTTTCATTTTCTGATGGGGATGAACACCCGATTAAATAATTTTCAGCCTCACGTTTTCACCACCCAGTTGGGCGGTCGGGCTGGTTCCCAGCCACGTTATATACCAGCAAGGGAGAGAAAACAATATCCACTGTCCCACCACTCGATGCATCTGAAAGTTGGGAAGCCAGTCAACTATCAGGTTTCGCCCTGCTTCTGATCACCATCTAGGACAGCAATTATTGTTTTGGGTGGGTAGTATCGGGATTCCTTTTGTTGTGGAGTTTTTATTGTTACACGCTGCGCCAAAGCGGGAGCACGTTTGTGCTGGAGTAAAATTTCAAAAAGACTACCGAGTTATTTTTTTTTCTCAATCTGGAGCAATCCGAGAATGTAAGTGCAAAGAAAAAAGAAAATAGACAGCAAAATGACCTCCGCGATCTGTGTTGTAGATCCAAAGTGTAGAGCCAAGCTTCGGGCCGCCCGACGTGGGGGCGTCGGGCCGTCTACAACTCTATTGACAAACGTCAGGCTGCCCCATGCTTTCTGATTCGAGAATATTTATTGTGATTTATCGAATAGATTGTCTGAGTCGACAACCCCCCAATGTCTTAGCTCGCCCTATTGGCTGGGTGACTGTAAGCCTGCGCGGTGTGGCTGGGGGAGGCTGGGAAGGTGGCCGACAGCGCAATGAGAGCCAGCCAAAAGCCCACCGAGCTGCGTTTTTGTCCTCCACAAATTCCAATTGACTCGTTAAGCTCTTGAGGAATGCTTCTCAATTAATCCTACCGTGGAATCATTGCCCACAATACCATGTCGAACCAGGACTCTCCTATGCGAAACTTCAGTCTACGGAACGTCAATAGTACGTATGAACGAATCAACTTCTTTTACGATGAATGAAACATTATCTGACTTTCCCTCATAGCGAGCAAACCTCAAGTCTTCCGAACGGACTCACGGCAATCTATTGCCGCGTCGGACGATTATTATTCTTTCTCGGATCGAGCGTCGCCAGGGTCATCAAGTCCCGAGAGCCGTGTAACGGCAATGCGCTTCACGACGCCAGATGAACGGTCGCAGGCATCACCAACCTCTTCACACCGAAGACAGCTTGCCAGGGGCCCTTCAATGATGGAACGTTATCAAGCATCCCCTAGGGACCTCGGGTCTCCACGCCCAGGTACCTCGAGTACAGTCCGGTTCCGCGAAGACCGAGTAACTCGAATCAGTCCCAAATCCGACGAAACGATTCGACAAGTTCCCCCCAGCCGCGAATATGCTGGCACAGCACCAACGCCGGGGCTAGATGATTCGCCCTATGTTCGGTTCGCAATTGATCAGCTCACTGCGGATGAACATGTCGGGGCCCAACGAACGGATTCAGTTTCCACGAACAATGACTACCCCGGCGATCGTCTTGTGTGGGATGAGAGTTTGGGATATTTTACTCGCGCTCGAACTCCAATTCGACACATGGAGCTGCCACCCAGACCCAAGTACAAGTCGCCGTCACCGCAAGCACTTCCCCAGAGACCCGATTCGATCGATCCCGAGTCATTCGTTGCTGTCGATGCGCCAGAGCAAAGCCTCCTGTATCCTCCACTCAACTACCGGCCTGTTATGCTGCGGCCTTGGGCTCTGGGTGGTGTAATTACTTGCTGCCTGCTTATGATCGCTGGAATCGCATTTTGCAATGTCTGGTCCCATCGCCACCAAGGAATCTGGGATTATAGAGGTCAGGGTGATTCTCGGTATTTTGTGATGGAATTCCTTCCGCAAATACTCGCTGCGCCGATAGTGATTCTGAACTTTATGGTGCAGGCTGCAGTATATCGAACTGCGCCATTTGCCATTATGGCTGCTGAGCGCCAAATCGGTTATGTCTTGCAGGGGCTGCCCATTCTCCCACGCAACTTTGTTTCCCCTGATCTTTCGCATTTCCGGTACGGCGAGGCTCTCTTTGGCTTCTCTATGTTTACCATCTGGCTGTCAAACTTCTTCTCTATCCCACTGCTGAGCTGCCTATTTCAGGCGAAGTATTATGAGATTGACGGCGAAGGAGTATGGAGGTGGGCATCGGTACAATCAGTGGGATGGACTCTGGTAGCCTCATACGGTCTCTTGGCTATTGGGCTGATTGGAATTCTCCTTCGATACGTCTTCCGATGGACTGGCCTGATGTGGGACCCCGTTTCCCTGGCAGATCTGATCTCCATCATCCAGCGGTCCAACATCCTCCACGACTACGAACACTCCGAAACCGTTCCAAAAGTTCGGGAATCCTTGGACCCTCGGATTCTCCGCCTAGGCTACTGGAAGCTGTCAATGAAGCCTGATATATTCTACGGCATCGGAGAAGTAGATGCCCCCATTCGCACGCCTTCCCTTCACCAGACCGAAAAGGGCAAAGGGAAGCAACCCCATGGCCTCGCCAGGGTCTGTTTTGACCTCGAGCATGCAGGCGCTTTCGCTAACGATCCATTCGACCACCATCTCTACTCGCCATTCACCCGATACCGCTGGACACCATGGTTCCTCCGCAAGGTCGCTGTCATCACCTGGATCATCATTGTATTCGCCCTTTTCATCGCCTTCGTGACCGTCAGCTTTGTCCACAACGCCGTCGAAAGAGGCTTCCCTCCCAAGCTTCCAACTCTCCCTTCAACCGGCGCCTTCTCCTCATCGAACTTCCTCTACAGCTTCATCCCCGCCCTAATCGGCAACGTCCTCTTTCTCGCCCTGCAACCAATTGACATCTACTTCCGCGCTCTCCAACCCTTCGTCGAACTCTCCTCTCCCAACGGCGCCTGCGCTGAAAAGAGCATCCTCCTCTCCTACCCATCGTCCGCCCCAGTTCAAGTCACCCTTCAAGCCCTGATCAACGGCCACTACAAAGTCGCCTGGATCTCCTTCATGAGCTTTATCTCAATCGCCATTCCAATCCTAGCCGGTGGAGTCTTCATCGCCCTCTGGTACCCCTCCACCTCCGACGTCCGCATCTCCGCCTTCATGCCCGCCTTCTACGCACTGATCGCTTTCTGCGGTCTCTACGCCGTATCCTTCCTAGCCACCTGGCCAGGTCGACGACGTTACCTCCCTCATGATATCAGCACGCTCGCCGACCTGATGAGCTATTTCTACCAGACTCCTCTCCTAGCGGATAAACTCCTCCGGGAACCACGCAGTAAGACAGACCTCGTCACTCGCCTGATTGTCGCTCCGCCCTCTGAGCGTCTCCTGCCCAAGTACGGCTTCGGGATCTACGTTGGCCGTGACGGCAAGGAACACCTTGGCATTGATCGCTTCCATCGACCTGGCCGCACGGATATGTTGATTACGACGGGGACAATGAAATGATCTCGTCCCTGATTATGATTTGCGTCGTTTTATGAGCATATGATTTGTATTTTTTTTCTTTGCATTTCCTTTTGCATTCGATTTGACCCGGCTGTGATAGAAGGGAAAAGATCGACTGTTCATTGTTTTGAGTTCTGGGTGTTTCTATATCGCATTCTCGGCGTGATTGCATGCGTGTTTACTGTATTATTTTTCTGTCTCGGATTATTAGCGATGGATTGGAGTAATACCTAGATCACTCTACGTACCGTGGATTGGCCACCAATTAGTTTCAGGTTTAGAATAAGGGGCAATTGGGCTGCTATAATGAACGCATATTTCGAATATTATTTTTACTATTTTAAAGATGGCTTCAAGGTCGTGCATGTGGAACAGAAATTCTTATCCTGGTCTGGAGTAATTAAAAGCCTGACAGGACTTTTGTAAGCAGCCTGACTATGGCAGTGGATTCCGTAGGTCCAACCGATTTGCATCTAGCGCATGAAAATCTATTCTCTTTTCCTGATGTAGCTCTTTTAACCTTGGAATCTCTCTTTTTTCACCGGTGTATCCAAATAAGCATCCTATCTAAACATACCACTCGTAATAATAAGAGTATGCCTGGCGCAGTTCACCTTCCTCGTAATCTTGGGCCTAGGTCACTGTTAGCGAATATCAATACTACACACGTTTTACTCAGAACTTACTAAAGCTTTGACGAAATAGTCCATCATTTCATTTTCTTCTTCAATCCAGGTTTTCTGCCTTGGCGTAAGACTCTCAGAGAACGTTTGGGCAGAATCGAAATCAATCCAAAGGACCCTGCTCTGATCCCTGGAGATCATCATATTCCTTGGCTTAGGATCGCCATGAAGAACCCCCGTAAGATGGATATCGTCGAGTATAAGACGAAGTTCATGCAGATATTGCGGTGAGAAGTTGGAAAGGTCTATTGGCTGCACGTGTGGGACATATTCAATGAGAACCGCATTTGGAGGCAGCTTGTCACCAAGGAACATGTGTAGGTCAGGCCAGAGACTCTATATTTGGGAACAGTATAGATATATAAGGTAAGAAAGATGAGCTGTTCTGATAGCCATCTATACTCCTAACACGCCATCCTCTCGCCAAAATGGCAAACCAGGTTAGCCTCATGGCTTATTTACAATACGGGTTCCAACGTCTCCCAGTCATCAACCAGGGGCAGTCACCGCAGAATACACGGAACGACCGCTATGGGGCAGCGGACATTAATGCCGTCGGCCACTGGGCGTCGTTCAACCTTGCTTCTATCCAACGACAATTTGGCAGAGTTTTGGCTGGAAGCCACGCCTGTCCTTATTGTTTTTCTGGTCGAAATTTCACCCTACTATCATTTCCATTGTGGCCCCCAGTGACTTTATTTTTTCCGGTTATCTGTCTTTATCACTGTCGTTACGCTCTACATTTTCTCTTTTGTAAGGATTAAGTGGACCTATTGTTGTGTTTGAATTATGTCTTTGATTATTGAAGCATTTTACTTTAGCAATGCTTCGAATGGCGAGCTTGGATATCAATCGTAGTTCAAATGACGCTAGCTATAAGTTGAGGCCTCAATAACTTGAAATATGACTCCTCTTCACAATGTAAAATGAAAAATAGAATTGAAATAATAGATACAAAATTTGTTGGAAAATAAAGCACTTCACCCAGCGAGAAGCCATTCACAGCTAAAAGTAGACATTCAAAACTCGGTTTATCTGCCCGTCAACCCACTTCTGCTGATCCACCGGCAACCCCAAATCCGAATTCTGAAGATTTTTCAAAAACGCAAAAAGAAAGTAAGCCCCCATCAACGGCGCCGCCTGTTTATGGCTCAGGGTAACAGGCCTCGTTTCAGCAAAAGGATACTGCACCAGCCCACACTTCATGCGCACAGACTTCATCTGACTCCCCAAGAAGAAAGGCACAGAGGCACACGTATCTTCCGCCAGTTTGTGAATCGTGGCAGTCACAGATTCAGTTCTCCAACCGTCGGGATCCTGCGCAGGCAACACACGCAGACAGCTGAGCTTGATGGTCTGCAGGAGGATTCGGCAGTCTCGGTAGTTGTTCCATGTAGCTGCGATCCACATGTCGGAGTAGCAGTCGCAGCGATTGCGGTAGATGCCGGCGTTGCGGACGGATTGGGGGATTAGACTTGCGGCGACTGGGACCCAGTATTGTGGAATTTGGTAGGACCATGAGACTAAGTTGTTGTCGATGACTGTTGCTCTGTTGAGGATTGTTGTTGCGTAAGGAGCGGGGTCGGATTGGGCCATCATTTCTTCCCATGCGTGACGTAGATTTACAAGTTGGGAAGCGGTTGATAGGAACAGGAGTTCAGGTGAGGATGGGACGCTTGGTTGTGATAGAGGCCATACCTTAGGTGTTGGAACCATTGGGTTGCTTAGACCTCGTGTTGTTTTAAGCTATGTAATGGTTAGTTGAACGTAGGAACTGAGACACGAAAAGATGGGACATACGATCTGGGTCTCCACGCCCCTGATTATTATAGAGGATGTGGAGGATGTGGAGGATGGTAAGCTCTTAGCTCTTCTACTATTGATGAGAGCAATGGCGCCTCGCAGATGAGCCTTCAGGGGGAGCTCCCATTCTTTTATTGCAACAAATTCCTTGATATCGGGTCAGTCTTTATCAGAGGATAAAAAAGGGATCTCATAGGATGAGACTCACCTCATAAGTTCCCAATAGCAGAATAGACAGGAGCAGACTATCCAATCCGCTATCCTCGTTACTCTGCAAAGCATCCCGGATCTTCGGTAAAGCCCTGGTGAAGTATTGTTCTGATGTACGGAGTAGAGATTCCTGGCCCGTCCATGCGGCGACGGAAAAGAAAGCAACGGCCAATGTACTGATGTGAAGATGAGAGCCGGCCTCAGCATTAGAATAGAGGGATGGCAATATCTCCATGAAGCCGTCGCGGATGTTGGGATCTCTTGGCAGATAAAGATAAGAGTTAAAGAACAATGGGACCACCCAATCCTCCATTGGTTGATAGAGGTCTGCTGGGCCTAGAGGTGGAGGCCAGGAGCCAAGCGGTCGTGTGGATGTGGCAAGCGAAAGTGACATTGAAGACGCAATTCTTGAGGTGTTGCTAGTCTTGCTTGAAAGTGACTGGTCACTCACAACGGGCAACGGTCTGGCTGTCTTTGTAAATGATGATGTTTGATCCCGCAGCATTATATCAAATGGATCCGGATAACCCGGACAGCACCGACCTGTCCGAGTGCATGCCCGACAATTAGGACGTGTTTCATCGCACTTCAGGAGTCAGTCTTTTGGACTCGCGGTGGGGATTGCAGTGCATACCTTGATATGCCGCTGCCGGCAGTTGCGACAACCTGTGCTCGGCTTACCACCGTAGACCATTATATCGCAAATGACTCAATTTGTACGCTTGTAAGTCAAATATGTGAAACGTCGTGCGGTTCAACTGATAGCAGTCGCTTTCATTCTCGTGTGTTCAGGCATGATCCTTGCTGCCACAGGAAACTCTCGGCCCTGAAAAGCACCACAGATGATGAGCAGGAAGAATTTTCCACATTTGCTTCTAGATTCTCGATAGTATCAATGATCACGCGAGGGGGAGAGTGTGCAATCATGGTAAGCCGGTGTCACGTGCGCGAGATCTGCATTCTCCGCCTCCGCAGATTCGCCGTGACATCTCAACTCTCAACAACATCATCTTAGCCCCTCTTTCCGGAAAGGGATTTTCTGGGCATCTCTGTTTCATTGCTGTTCGTTCCATTTTCATCCGAATCGATTCACATTACCGCATCGCAATTCCACAGCCCTATACCCACCGAATCGCAAACAATGTTGTCCTTCTTCGGCTGGGGCTCCAGCTCCAAATTCGAACCCAATGCCCCGAGCCCTCAAGAAACCACTGCCTCAAATCAAAGCCAATCCCCATCATCGCCAGCCTCCTCCACATCCGCGCCGTCCCAACCATCAACACAATCAGCCCAACAAACAACACCCAAAGACTACACCGGCTTGAAGCTCTTCATCGGCGGCATCGCCTTCTCCACATTCTCGGTGTTTATCACCCGCAGGGCAAGCATTCGGAAACGCATCGCATGCATCCCACCCTTCTACACAAGCTCGCTCTTCCACCAACCGAACGCGAACGGAGCGATGGAGGCGTTCGAGGCACTCAACCTTGCGACGATCAATGTGCTGTCATTTGGAATGTTAACTATTGGCGCAAGCATGTACGCATTGGACGTTAATGGGATTGAAGATATGCGGAAGATTATGAGGGGTGGACTTGAGGGTGCCGCTCAGGGGAAGTCGGATGAGGAGCTTGAGAACGACGTTCAAGAGTGGGTAGCTAGTGTGCTTGGAAATCGATTCGAGAAGCAGTTGGAGAAGGAGCGGGCGAAGAAGAGGGATGCTCCGAACGATAAGGAGACTTGAGGGGCTGGTGAAGACTTTGCGAGGTCTACGGTTGATGTATGGATACACTCTGCTCTTTGTTTGATACCACTGTAAACTATGCATTCCTGATATACCTATCCGAGCATGTTTGCTGGCGCTGCCGGCTACAATATCACAATGAAGATGGATGGAACATTTATGGATGGCATGGATACTATCGAGGTAGTCCCATTGTAAGTTCGTATTTCGGGATATCATCATTGTACGGAGTTAAGGTTTCTATCCCAGCTTCACCCGGATATGCGTGATCGATCACTAGCTCAGCCTGTCGTACCGCTGGCGAGCGTTCGCCTTGGTCTTCTCCAGGAACTCCTCGTACCGACCACGTGTGTTGCGGCCCGCCTCTTCAACTGCATCGCCAATCTTGCTCCCCTGCGCGCCTAGCCCAACACCTTGGGCATAGACCTCGGTAGCAATGGGAGCCGTAACACCTGTACCTTGAGCACCCAAGCCGGAACCCTCCGACCAACCCATCTTGCTGAGCAACGAAGCACCCTTGGATGTGCTTTGGACGGGCGCCTCTTCTTCTTTCTTCGGCGGTGCTGCTTTCGGCGGGGCAGCGGTTTTGCTTGGCCCGAATGCTCGTCGTCGCTCTCGAGCCCGATCCCGATATTCAGCCGTTGGCGGGACTATTCCGTGCTTGATCAATTTGGCCATGCCACGGTTTCGTGCCTCCTCGTTCTGCAAGTTATCTCGGTGAAGCTCGCTGAGTCGCTCGTGCCGGTGGACATTGGCGGTACTCTTGAACAGGCGCATACACAGATAGCAGCAGTTACGGTTGACATCTGCATAAGACTGGGTAGGCGGGGCGTTTGGATCGAGAGCCGAGTCGCCCTGTTGGGCGTCCATAGGATTGCCATCGCTATCCTTAGGAATTCCATGAAGTTCTGCATGCCGGTTACTCCAGAACTGCAGATGAGCAGGCACGGCCGTCTTCTTTGCAGCCGCAGTAGGAGCGGCTTCGGCCTTTCTCTTCTTGGCTTTCTCTGTATCTTTGGAGCCCTTGGCTTGGCCTTCCTGTTGGTCCTTCTGGACATCATCGTCGCCCGAAGACACCGTGAGTTCGGTCACATACCCTTCGTCGTCCCAATACATGAGCTTCACAGCAGGGTTATTCAATGGGCTGAAAGTGAAGCGCTCAGTGTGTGAGTTGGGGTTCATGACCGGTACAAACACGCCTGCGTGGATGTAGCTGACCATGACAGGCTTGGAGGAGATGGTGAACTTGACAAAGGAGTTCAGTCGCTGAATGGCAGCCTGGGCGTCCATCACGTTAGCGAACTCGGCAAACCCGTAGTGCCAGCTCTCATTGGTCTTTCGGTCTCGGACAAGCAAGACGCGGCGAATGGAGCCCTCTCGAGCTCCCAAATTCGAATCGCCAGTTGTTGATGCCACTTTTCCACCCTTCTTTGAATTGTTTGATGTATTGTCGTTATTGCTCGAAGTAGGTCGGTAGAGCTTGGCAGCACCCCTCGCGAACAGCTCCTCTGTCACAGAAGAGTCCAGTCCTCGGAAAAGTAGGAATTGAGATGGCTGGTTCTCAGGCGCCGCATCATTGTCACCGTTGTTGACCATCTTCGGGATCGGAACACCAGGGGGACCGACAGGAGCCATTGCCATTTCTGGCCGGGGAGCGTTGCAGCGGAAACACTTGGGACGAGTCGCAAAATTGACAACCGCACACATGCGACAGGTCCAGTCACCCTCTGCTTTTGCCCGAGCTCGGTCCTCTCGCTCACGGCTGTATGCGATGCGGACTTTGGTGGCTCGATCGTCGTTGCCGGCAGTTGGGCCATAGAAGTAAATGTATGGGTAGTTCCATTCAAGGAAGTCGCGTGATTCTTCAATAGATGCGAACCGAAGGAAGCCCAGCCCTCGAGATACCTCTGGCAAAGAGAGATTAATGATTTGAACCCTCACGCTATACAATATGCTTCCACTCACTTGTTTGTCTATCCCGAATCACCCGAATGTCTTCAAGCCCGCCAATATGATACGCATCTCGAAGCTCTGATGAAACCTATGATACAGAGAACACAAGTCAGCCTATTATATCCGGGCCGATATGGGTCACAGCTCCCAGATCCCGTCCCCGTATTATGGATAAGACTTACGTCATCTTCAGTCATGTCTTGCGGTATTCCATCCATCATGACTTCTCGACTCTCTTGACCGAAACGGGACCTGCCTGGCCGGGGACTGCGGCTTCGACTAAAGCTCCGACTGTGACTGTTTCCAGGAGACCGATATCCCTCATGATCGCGGTCCCTGTACGACTGTCGGCCTCGTCGCGGAGGGGATCGTGACGTTCGAACGCGATACTCATCTCGGTCTCGACTTCTGTACTGGGGATCTCGGTCCCTGGAGTACGCACGCCTGCGGTCTACAGGCTGTCGTTGAGGCGAGCGCGGAAGGCCTTCATATGCACAACACCAAAGAACATCAGCCACGAGTCAAATGTTTAATGAAAGAAGTTGTCTTTCAACAGGCGTGTCCATGGCTCATGCGCCATTACCATGCGGGGAGGAGTGTATACCGCCAGGCGAGCGTGATCGAGATCGGTCGTCGTACATGCGACCATCTCGGTCATCGCGGGGAGGATAGGCCCGCTGAGATGGACCGGAATGATTCCTGTCATCGTCTGGATAAGGATGCACCATAATGCTGGGACATCGGGGAGAACGGGCAAGAAGAGTCAGAGTTGAGGAGCATGGAAGCTCAAGCTTGCGCCGATACGCGATAGCGAACGGCAGAATGCGACCGCCTTCAAGGTGCCAGTTGGCGGTGATCATCGAGCAGCTTCATCTTAAACCTATCGGCGAAGGAGTTCTTTACCAGATTACTGGCCGGATTACGTCTCGGGATGGCCAAAGTGATCTCGGGATTTTATCGGAATGAACATGTAGATGTAAAATCCTTGAGGTGAAATATAGAAATGGCATGTTCATTTCCCATCGTTTGTATGAGGTATCCTTCTCCCCAAAGAGAGCTCTGTATCTATTTTTGAATATAATCGTTGAACTTCCACCAATTGCTTGTTTACTCCTCAACTTCGGGGCATTACCGGAAGATTAGTCCGCTTTAAGGCCACAGCTCGCCCGTTGCATCATCGTTCTGAGCACAAACGCGCACGGGGGTGGAGACGATCCACTAGATCCAGATGCCCCGACGTATGAATTGAACGTGCCAGCTCGTGTTGCAGTCCAAATGACGAATGCCCCAGGGCAGCAGTGACCGGACCCAGAGGATCCAAAAGATCAGCACATAGGATGGACTTTGATTCTCCGCAGTGCCCCGCGGTGGGATGTGCGTGGGTATGATATGACCGAACCACACATGTCCTTGCGAACACGCCCCTACTTATGTAGCCTGCGTCCCTCCTTTACATTCTGAAATCTTCATTCATCCATCTGAGCCCCTTACCAATACACCCTCAATTTAACGACCATGGGTTCACCAAAGCCCATCAACCGTGCTTGGTGGAAAGAAAGCTCCGTCTACCAGATCTGGCCTGCGTCTTACAAGGACTCGAACGATGATGGCATTGGTGACATTCCCGGTATCATCTCGAAGCTCGATTACATTAAGAACATTGGCGTTGACATCGTCTGGCTGTGCCCGTCATATAAGTCGCCCCAGGTTGATATGGGGTATGACATCGCCGATTACTATAGCATCGCAGACGAGTATGGTACGGTCGCAGATGTCGAGAAGCTGATCCAAGGATGTCACCAGCGTGGTATGAAGCTTCTTATGGATCTAGTAGTCAACCACACCAGTGACCAGCATGAATGGTTCAAACAGTCGCGCAGCTCCAAGAATAACGAGTTCCGGGACTGGTACGTCTGGAAGCCGCCTCGCATTGACGAGCAGGGCAACCGTCACCCTCCCAACAACTGGGTTTCTCATTTCCAAGGTATGGTTGTTTGAATCTATTACTGACGAAATGTTGAATACTGATTATTATCACAGGAAGTGCTTGGCAGTTTGACGAGCTCACTGGCGAGTACTATCTTCACCTTTATGCCACCGAGCAGCCCGATCTCAACTGGGAGCATCCGCCCGTGGTCAAGGCCGTCCATGACATCATGCGATTTTGGCTCGACAAGGGCTGTGACGGCTTCCGCATGGACGTGATCAACTTCATTAGCAAAGATCAGGCTTTCCCGGATGCGCCCATCAAGAACCCGCACAGTGAGTGGCAGTGGGGCGACAAGTATTACGCCAACGGGCCGCGACTTCACGAGTATCTACAGGGTGTTGGCAAGATTCTGAAGGAATACGATGCCTTCAGTGTTGGTGAGATGCCCTTCGTCAAGGATGAGAAGGAGGTACTCCGGGCTGTGCAATTCGACCGCAACGAGATTAACATGATTTTCAACTTCGAGCACGTTGATATTGATCATGGCCAATATGACAAGTTCGAGCCTGGTAGCTGGAAGCTTACCGACCTGAAGGAGTTCTTCGAGCGCTGGCAGAAGTTCATGTATGCCAATGATGGTTGGAACGCCCTCTACTGGGAGAATCATGACCAGCCGCGCTGCATTGATCGGTTCACCAATTCGAAAGAGGAGTACCGGCTCGTCGCGTCTAAAATGTTGGCTATTGCGTTGGCCCTACAGTCTGGCACTCCGTTCGTATACCAGGGACAAGAACTGGGCATGCGAAATGTCCCTACTACGTGGGGCATTGAAGAGTACAGGGATATCGACTGTCTCAACCACTGGAATGGGTAAGATTTTGCTTCCACTCGATACCCAGTGTATATCGCTAACGTAGGACGGCAGAGTTGTGAAAGGAAAGAAATTCGACACAAGAGCCCAAGCCATTGCTCTGCAAGAGTACCAGAAAAAGTCTCGTGACAACGCTCGCACCCCAGTGCAATGGTCCGATGCACCAAATGGAGGATTTACCGGTCCCAATGTCAAGCCTTGGATGTCTGTGAACCCAGATTACGTGCGTGTCAATGCTGCTGCCGAAGTCAAGGATCCCAACTCGACCTACCACTTCTGGGCAGCCGTACTCGGACTGCGCAAGAAGTACCTGGATATCTTCGTTTACGGCGACTGGGTTAATGTTGATCGCACAAGCGAGAAGGTGTTTGCTTACACTCGTCAGTATGAGAACCAGAAGGCTCTGGTGTTGTGCAACTGGACCGAGAAGACCCTGGACTGGGATGCTTCAAGCAACGGCATCGCCAGTGTCAAGGAGGTGCTACTTAACACCTATGACAGTGCCACTGAGGCCACACAGCGCTTCTCCGGTGGGAAGTGGTCGCTCCGGCCTTATGAGGCAGTTGTCCTGCTTCTATAGATATTGGTTGACCACGATGGGCATAGCGCCCGCCCTCGAGTAAATGTCTTACAGCTGCAAAGCACATTGATTACCGAGTAGATAGATAAATTGGACGAACATAAACTTCCCAAATAACCATTCCACATCTAACAGGTCTCCGTAGTCTCGGTACTCCCCGCCAACTATCGGAGGCGACTTACCCGCCGGTTCCCCGCAGCCGATAAGCCTCTCTAACGGCGCAACATTCTTCTCAAACCTCCTTTCCTCACGCACACGTATACAGATGCATACACAATGACATCCCAAGAGGCCCTCCCGGCCCACCTAGACCCAACCACATACCCACGCACACACCACGATGCCGCGCAAAACATCCACCTAACACTCACCTACACCCCACTCGACCCAAACACCTACCTATCTCAAGTCTCCTCCCCCGCCGCCGGCGCAAATGTGTTTTTCCTCGGAACAACACGCGACACCTTCGAAGACAGACCCGTCTCACAACTAAGCTATACAACATACCCCCTCCTCTCGCTGAAAACACTTGCCGCTATCGCGGAGGACGCCGTGAGGAAACACCAGCTTTTGGGCGTGAGCATTGCCCATAGATTGGGCGTCGTGCCTATCGGGGAGGCATCTATTGCGATTGCGGTTAGCTCGGGGCATCGGGCGGCGGGGTGGAGGGCCGGTGAGGAGGTTCTTGAGGCTTGTAAGGAGAGGGCGGAGATTTGGAAGAGGGAGGAATTTGTTGATGGGGGGATGGAGTGGAGGGCTAATGCTGATCGGGATGGGGAGGGAAGATTGGTTGGGAATCCCAGGATGGAGGAGTCTTGATCGTCGTTGGGTTTTTGTTTGATACTGGACTGGGATACCTTCCCATGTTGTACCCTTGGATAGGGAATGTAATGCCGCAACCAGCGACTCGAACGGTACCTACCGACCTCAGTCATACCTCAAATTTCAATTTCTCTCTTGATGAGGCTATGTACGGGATAGCAGACCCGAACCGAGTCAATGAGCAGGGTATTTGTATTCGGGAGGTCTATAGTACAGTTTTGATACACAGGGCAAGCTTAAACAGTCTTCATCGGCTTACCCTCCCGCTTCCAGTCATTGATGTGCTCCATAATAACCTTGGTAGCAGACTCGGGGGTATCCTGCCGACCAATGCACTCAACGAAATCGTTGTCAGGATCTATCAACAAGTCAGCATCCAACCCCAAAGCACTCGACTCGAAATAAACTTACCCATCAGATAGAAGTAGATGCTGTGGTCCACCAGGTAGTCCTCGCCAGGCTTGACATCCTTGGGAGTGCTAAAGTACACGCGGTACTGGCGGCAGACATTCTTCACCTGCTCATAGGTACCAGTCAAGCCCACGATGCCGGGATGGAATTCCTTCAAATACTCGCGCAGAACTTCGGGGGTATCACGGACCGGGTCGCAGGTAATGAAAACGGGCAGGAAAACCGTGTCGTCCTTGGCCTCCTCGCGGACTTTGTCGATGATCTCGGCCATCTTATCCAGCTCGTCGGGGCAGATGTCAGGGCAGTGGGTGAAACCGAAATAGACCTGTATTAGGCAGCCTCGATTAGCATTGAAAACTATCGACGCGAGAAGGGTGCTCTAATCAACTCACAAAGCTATATTTCCCCTTCAAATCCTCCGCGGTGAATTCCTTGCCGTCCAGATCCACCAGAGTAAACGGACCGCCAACTTTAGGCTTGCCAACACCCTTGCTCATCTCAGCGATACGCTTCCGCTCCAGACGTGCTTTCTCAACACGGAAATAGACCACCATGCCTGCGCCCGTAAGCACGAACAGCAGCGCGGCCTTCCACGAGAACGGGCCGGTGGAGTTGCGCTGGCGCATTTGGCCCATGGTCTTCGCGCGAGCTCGGAAAGCGGTAGTCGAGAAGCTATTCCGCGCGGAAAGAGCAGATTGGATGTTCTGGCACCGAGGACGCTGCGCTTGGGTGTAGGCCCGGCATTGTGATTGGGAGGTGTTGCGGAGGAGAGAGAGGATGGGTCGCGATGTGGTGGATTCGATGACTGCCAAGTTGCGGGTGGCTTGGCGGAAGAGGCCGGAAGCCATTCTCAGTGAGGATGGCATGTTGTCTGTTGCCCTGTTGCTTGTCGGTATAGGTGAGCAAATGTCGGAGCCGGACGGTGAACTTGAGAATCTCCAGATCGACACCCGATCGGGACTAGTGTTGGGGCCTAAGGCATCGACTTCCATTCAACGCTGACAACTAAAACTGTAATGCATTTAATGGCACTTTCTGAGGGAAATGAAAATAATCTATTATGTTCATACGGCTAAAACAAAAAGAAAGAACAATCAAACTATTCAAAAAAAAATTCAATCGCAACATTAAGTGGGAGAAAGTCCTCCGTCCCAGGTACAGAGATCTTCCGCATGTCTGCCGCTGACATCGGAGCCGAAATCAATGTCTTCAGTTTGTGATCATAGCAATCTTATTCACATACTTTTCCTTGGTCTCCAGAATGAGATTCTCTGCAACCCATTTGCCCGAGTCCTCCCTTGAGATGAAATAGCCAATAGCTTCTGACTCACGGCCGGTCTTTGGATCCTCAATGCCGACGCGGATCGCCTTTGTAGTCTCGCCGGTGGTGAGCAGACTCGCGCGCACAATCGTAAAAGGCCGACCGCTATTCGAAAAGCGATCCTCTGTGATCCGCTTGTCCGCATGCGGGACCTTGAGGAACCAAAGGTAAACTGGGAACACAGCAAGCGGGTAGTCCCGACCGAAGCGAGAGACTCCGGTGGTGCTGAAGGTAATGAGATGCGGGGATCCGGTGACACCATCTCGTTGAAGGTTGTCGAGGGCCTCGAGAAGAGTAGCTGCAGCGTTTCTGCAGCATTCAGGGTCTTCAATGGTCATCTTGCGGAAGTTGGGTCGACTGCCGATGGTAGAGCAGACCATGTCAACGAGCTTGCCATCTTCGGTCAAGAGGCATTTCGACACGGCTTGCACATCGTGCGCGTTGCCTTCGATGACCTTGAGGTTCGGAGTTGAGGCGGGCGGGAAGATTTCTGTAAGCTTCGACGGCTGGCGACAGAGTGCAATGCACTGATGGCCGGCAGCAAGAGTGTGCTTGAGGGCTGAGAGGCCAACGCCGCCACTAGCACCGATAAAAAATACAGTCTTGGTGTTTGGGTTCATCGTAAATAGATATAGTGGGTCTGGGGGTGTATAGATCAAGTCGATGGTAATGGTTTCAGTGGATGGGATGATCGAATGGATGATTGTGTTGGTGATTTCTGTGTCCTCGAAGTAGGGACAAGAGGCCTTTTAATATTCATCATCTGCAGCTGTACAGTATCATAAACTGCCGAAAGCTGGCCGAGTGGACGGAACCGTTGGCAGAAGTCTCGCCCCTTTTTTCGCGCTTTGAATGGCCCCCACCTCCACGAATTCCTTGGGTCACACCCGTGGCGTTGTTCACGCTATACCATGTTCGGTGCTCACCATGTAGCGGTCGACACGACACTTCGACATGTACGGAGACGACAACGAGAGCAAGATAATGAACACGCGCCTTTTAGAGCGATATTCATTGTCTGTGGGCTAAACGCGGACTGGTCTTATCGCTAGGATGTCAGCGACCGCAAGTTCGGGGGCAACTGCAGCGATCGCAAACCCCTCGGCCTCGCATGCCGAAAAAAACGCGAGCGCGAGCTCGACCGGGGATGCGGCCGCCCTGAAGGCGCGTAGTTGCGTTGTATGCCGGACCCGCAAGGTCCGCTGTGACAAACAGTCACCATGTTCAAATTGCCGCCGCGCGAATATAGTGTGCGTCGTTCCTTCCAAAGATCGACCCCCGAGATGGACCCGTCGTCTCGAGCGTCCCGCAACTGGCGAGGTTATGGAAAGAATTCGGCACCTCGAGAACCTGGTCAAAGATTTGAGTGGTCAGCTTGAGCAGGCAATTGCAGCGGTCAGATCGGCTGCTAACAGCTCATCTGGAATTGACTCTCCCGAAAGTTTGAGGCATGATGCGAGCAATTCGATCGATGCAAGCAGCGCGCAGAAGCTTGGAAGGCTGGTTGCCCACGATGCTAATAGAAGTCGCTATGTGGGGAACAGCTTCTGGTCCCGGGTGAATGACGAGGTATGGGACTCTTGCTTCATGTGCAGATTGGATGTGCTAATCCGAGTCGTAGCTGGAGGAGCTGAAGATGGACGCTGCTGCCGAAGAATCCGATATGTCTGATGAACCGCTCTCATATGAGGACACACCATCAACTCAAGAACTCGACCGGACTCCGTCAGAACGCCATGCATTTCTATTCAAACATAACCTGGCCCTTTCTTTTCTCAACTCCGCTGCTCCAGATCTCCGCGATTTTCATCCACTGCCGTCACAGATCCCCTTCCTCTTAAACGTATACTCTGAAAATGTCAACTGTCTCGGCCAACTTATTCATATGCCCACCATCACAAAGATGGTGCGCGACTTGCGTGGCGATGTAACGAAACTTACACCGGCGAACGAAGCCTTGATGTTTTCTATCTACTACGCCGCAATCACATCTATGGAAGAGGACGACGTCAACATCAATTTTGGATCTACCAAAGCTGAGCTGAACCTCAAATACCGCCTCGGCCTGGAGCATGCCCTTCCCAAGGCCGATTTCTTGAATGTGCCCGATCTTGTTCTGATCCAGGCATTTACCATATTCCTAACCCTCCTCCGCCGCCACGATAGTCCACGCTTTGTCTGGATGATGGCAGGGCTGGTCATCAGAATGGCTCTCGCTTTGGGACTACACCGCGATGGTACCAACTTCGAGCACCTAACGCCCTTTGAGATTGAGATGCGGCGCCGGGCTTGGTGGATCATATGCGCAATGGATGTGAGAGCATCCGAAGACCAGGGTACAGAGTTCACCATAACCACAGGGAGCTTCGACACCAAGATCCCTCTCAACATCGACGATGCAGATATCGGGCCCGACTCCAAGGAGATGCCACCAGCGCGCGAAGGCTTGACTGACATGTCTTTTGCACGAGTCATGTACAGAATGACGGAAGTGGCCAAGCACATTATGGCTCACGGGGCACTAAAACCCAGCCTCGAAGAGCAGAGTCAACTTCTACAAGAAATCTATGGAACTCTGGAACGAGAGTATCTGCAGTATTCGACCGAGTCAAACATCATATATTGGGTTGCAGTGACGATTGCACGTCTCGTCATGGCCAAGACGACTTTGTTCATCTATCTGCCTATTCTGTACGGTTCACCTCATGATACCCTATCGGAAGAGCTCAGAACCAAGCTGCTCATTGCAGCAATCGAGGTGGCCGAATACAATCATGCCTTGAACGCCGAGCAGGCATGCCGACACTGGCGCTGGGTCTTCCAGACCTACACGCACTGGCATGCTATCGTCTACATTTTGATTGAGATTTCCCGGCGACCCTGGTCGCCTCTTGTTGAGAGAGCATGGGTGGCATTGCACAGCGTCTGGTTGATACCCAGCCAATCGCATATGGGCAAGCATCTGCGGATTTGGTTCCCCTTGCAAAAACTGATGTCCAAGGCCAAAAGGCACCGGGATACCGAGCTTGAGAGACTACGCGGTGACCCAGAAAGTGTCGCGCGGTTGGGGTCTGAGCATCGTACAATGGAACTGCCATCTAGCCCAATAATACCGTCAAGTTCTGGGTCGACTGCGGCTGGGATGACTTCGGCCGAACTGTCCCTAGAAAGATGGCAACAGCTCGTGACTTCTCCAATGGTGTCTACGACACAGGTATCTGATTACACTATGCCAGATTTTTCCAGCCCGTCAATGCCTCCTTCAGGCTCCGGTTCCAGTGATGCTAATTTCAACTCGCTGTACGCCTTTGACCCTCCTTACACTGGCACGGCGGCTCAGTCTGATCAGAATTTGTTGAGCGCCAACTTCCAATATACGCAGCCACCTATGACGGCGAGCCCGACGAGTTCGCAGAAAACCCCTTCCTGGCTCTGGTCTGATGCTGCTTTTGAAGATACGACTGACGAAACGGTTGATATCAATATGGATTTTGATGTTGATGTTGATTGGTATAATTGGATCGAGTCTGCCAAGGGGGCAGAAATCAATGAACTTGGTAGTTAAGCAGTCATATTGGATACAGGCATGACCTGCGGATTCGCACCACAACTTATCCGTTTGCCACACCGTGCTTGTCAAATGGCCATCGACATCTTGGAATATGTAAAAGTTGGATATGCTTTAGCTGGAGACTTTATAATGCCCAACACAATCAAAAAACATACAACAGCAGGGATCGCTGGTGGCCACCCACCCAACTAGTCACGATCGAGCAGCCTATAGAATGTCAAGAAACCACTCAAGTGTAATACTGTTTAATTTCGCACGGCCCCATCCTCCGTCGTGGCGCGGCCCGGATGTGATATGTGCGAATGTGCGCGCGGCACAGTCAATGATATCTCTGACCCATTGGTCGGTCAGGTCCTTGGTGCACGCGTCAGAGGCGTTGGTCCAAGCTTGCTGAGCATAGCACAGGATTTTAGGCCTGATCATTAAATACTGAACTTGCTACGGTTGCCCGCCGCTGCTCTTGCCCACGTGCCAGAGAAATCGCTTGACTCACGGCACACAAACTGGAGACAAGGAGAAACGAACCCTCCCAGTTTTCCGAAAGTACTCTGCCTCTCCCACCATTCTCCGCTATGACAGACCCTTATGAAGAGGACCCAGAAAAAATCCCTACAACCGACATGTACGCGGATGTGCCCTTTTATGGTCGATACTACCCGAAACCTGATGACTTTCGCGTTGAAATTCAGCATGTCAACTCGCAGACCACAGAGTCACAGAGGTACTGGGCCTCAATTGTTAGACTCTGTACTGAAGAGATCCGAATTTATCCTGCTGATGAGGGCGGCCGCGACGTATTTGCTCTGGGTAGCGTGATCGTGAAGTCTAGCCATCTCCACGGACGGGACGGAGCTCAATATACGGAAATCGACTTCTCATACGCTGATTCCAATGAGATTCGGGCGATCTCCCTGGCAAAGACCGTTTTGAAAGACGTCAACGTCCCAAAAATCTACTTTGCAGGGAAGGTACTTACTCTTGTTACTTATTTGTCGGCTCAATGACTCACGCCCACCTAGATCAATAGTTGTTAAGTGCTCGTCTAAGAAAGGCTTCTAGGCGTCGGATTATCTGTCGCATGGCCTTATCTCTCAAGAGAACAGAAGGACTCCTATAAGGAAGAAGCCAGAAAGATTCTCCGTCAACTTCACACTATCAAGCCCCCACAGAAAGTTCAAGGTCGTTCTCACGTAGTACCGGACCCCAACATACTTATTAACGGTCGAATAAATCCGCTAGAAGGGGACATCCTCTTTTCGAGCACCAATCATGATCCAGATATGAGCTTTATGCATAATGATTTTACCGAGTCTAACTGTATAGTGGAACAAGACAAAATTGTGGGGCTGTTTGATTGGGAAATGGCTGGTTTCTTTGGCTGGAAGACCGCAGGAGAAGTCCACCGTCGGATCAGAACCCCGCAACGAGAGCATTTCCTAAATGCCAATCTTAGTGAGGAACAGCTTCAAAATATCATGTTCTGGAAAGACCTATATGATAAGGATGCGCCAGAGCATTAAGCCAGAGGGTTTCCCGGTTTTTTATGTGGCATGTTGTGATCCTGGCGTGGTTGGAAAGAGGTTAGGTGCTTGTCGGCTGGCGACTAGTCAGTCCTTGAGAGCTAAACTGGTCTCGGATATTACATGTTTTGCCGACTAGGGTTCTGAGCCGTAGCCTCCTTCAAGTTGGATCTGTATTGCCCGCTGAACAATAAAGCTTTTCTCCCTGGGGTTTGCAGCTGTACGGACGTAAGTAAAGATGGCCTTACCATAGAGTTCCAATAGGAACACAAATATACATGAACAATGAATACAGATCGTAAGAATATGAATATACTTTCAGCAATATGAAGACAAGGGTTACTCATATTCGCAATATTCGGACTTATCAGAATATGTGTAATGTAAAGAAGCACCCCTTAAGTGGGAAAATAGGTAACCTCTCAATACATGTACCCATCCATTTAAGCTGGCAAATTACTAAGACAATATGGGCTGTCTACTGACGGTCAGATAGATAATTCGGGGTTACTGTGCCATCAATTAAACGAGCACAATATCCCTCCTAACAGCAAGTGAAGCCTTTGACACCTTCAATCCCACGATTGTTTATCATAATGCCCCTTCAGCAATATATGCCTTCGGATGATCTGCGCGTCTATTTTATGACTCAGAACGCCTAGAAGATCCTAGTCATTGCTGAAAACAACTCTACCACTACCTTAGCCGATGGACAGCGAATTGCTCAAATGACGCCTCGAAGAAGAGAAAAAGGAAACGCCAAAAGCTTACGTAGCCCAACAACTACAAATCACGCATCTCCCATCTTTTCCGGTGTACCCGGTATACTTCGAGTTTCCTTTACCATATGCCGTTTTTGGGTTGGGCATTCAACGGTTAGCTGTTCTGGTGCTGACGTCATTGAAAAGCGGGTACGCTTTCATTTGGACCGCAAACCCCATTGGACTACACAGAAGAAGACAGAATGATCTTCGAGATTAGCATGAATGCTCCATATAACTACTGGAGAATTATAATCAGGAGCGGAATCGATTTTAACCGCAGCGAGATCAGTCACATCAGGCAGGAATATATTAGATTCATTGGTTCATGCGAAGCCATTTATCAACCTATCAATCCAGGTGTTTGTGTATTTGCAGCTGTAAAGTTCAACGCGTCGAGTATGCATCGAGCAGACAGGTAGATCTAAGTAATAACAGTATTTAGTTCCTATAAATTAGCTGAATCATATAAGCTAATACCTATTTTTTGTACATTTGGATCAAGGCACCCAGCGTAGGTTAATTTAATCTAATTCACTAAGAAATAAGACCGTACTTCACTACCATCAGAATGCGAAGAGGAATCATCATCGCCCCCTGTTATTGAACGAGCTATTTTGCGGCCGGTCATCGGAGGCGTTCGGCCAATTATTGATTTTGCGTAGAAGAGATCACAACTTTGAAGAGTTCGCATAACCATCCGTGGACTGGGCAATGGGTGGCAAATGTGAGAAACCTTATCTTCTCTCTTACTGGAAACCAAAAAAACCCGAGTATAATGGTGGGCAATTTCAAAAAACTAACCTACGAAAGCGATCAATTAATAGTCTAAGGGGGGATGGATGGCTGAGTTCATATATAGGTCACGAGCTACTACTACTTGGAAGCAACGCACAAGAAGATTCGAGAATGGAAACATTATTATTATATTTTGAAATGGAAGGTAGGGAGGGTATGGACGGTTCAACTCGGGCTAGAAAGCGGATGAAGTCATGACTTGTCTTCAACACAATTTAACACATGTTGAAACCCACAACAGTCAGCTAAATATGACTGTATATTCATAGTCGGCTTAAGCAGCCAGCCAAGTGAATGACGTCAAGATGGGTGACAATGTGATTGCAAGTTGTACCATTGTTGCCCTACCAGGATGACCCATGACCGTAACTTCTGAAATCCAAACCAGAAATCGTTCCGCGTAATTATTGAGAGAAAGGCAGTACGGCTATGTGGATCCACATTGTGAGAGTTGCACGCGACCTACTAACAAACCCAAAAGTCTCTTAAAAAGATAATTGGAGGACTAAAGCATAGGAAGACACCATATTAATGATGGAATTTACAGCTTCCTCGCCAGAAAGCGCAAGAGGCAGACTACATATTCAAGAGATCTAAACAATTCGAAGAGGTGCAGGAGATGGAGTCATGACTGAACGGGTGACCATCTAGTAAAATGGGGAGCTATGTCAATCACGAGAAATGCTTGAGGGCCGTTGTTCCTAGAAAGGTATGGCGCACCGGCTCTTCTTACGGGGGCTGCTCTGCTACTCTACGGCCTCGAGAGCTGCAAACTCACTGAAGGCAGCATGCGGGTCAACAAAAGAATCTTTATAAACGTCGTCTTTCTCATTTGTCTATGATAAATTGGACTTTTGAATGCTGCATTATGTTTGGCCCATTTTACTTGTTGCTGCTCCGGCTGGAAGAGCTACTAGAGCTGGATGCTGATCTGTCTGCATCCTTACCATGTTTCTTCGTGTCGTTTCTCATGCATGCCGGACCTACATCAGCCATTTTGATGATCCACGAGCCCGATCAGCAAATCGGGAAAGCAACGTGGCCATGAAGTACCTCTTATGTCTCAAAATAGTGAGTGGCTCATTGATCTTCTGTTGTTGCCTCTTTTGGGGTTTGCGGCTCTGAAAGCGCGAGTCTGTATGGGAGGACATGTTCTTCGTTTCGAGGATAGTTCAACTCAATCAAATACTAGGTCCAAAAAAAGGGGCAAAGGCGAAAAAGCAGCCTTATCATATGATTTAGAAGGTAAGTAACTGGTGTATTGTAAGCAACATTTGGCAATTGCGGCTAACACCGCGCTTTAAGTGAAAAGTAATGCCGTAGTACTTACTCTACGTTGCAGCCAAATCCGACTCCTAGCCCCTACACCTCCTGTCCTATTGGATGTCGGGCCCATTTACAGACCAGTTCCAGGTCATCAAGCATGCCATTTGCATTCGTTGTGTCCATGATGGCGTAAAAGGTGTCTCGCCTTTAATTGGACCCAATTACAGTAACATCAAAGGAACAGTCCGGATCACAGGTCAGGCGGCAACGCAAACGTTCTTGGCGGAGACCGGCCCGGACGGCTCAGCGACCTTGTGCCAAAGAATTCCGAGGGCCCCCATCGCACCAGTTGACTTATTACCGGCCGTACCACCAGGAGACACAATTAATCTGTCAGTTTATGTATAACTGTAGATATCGGAAGTGTTTCTTGGCATTACCCGGAGAAAGTAACATTTCGTCATGGGCGGTCTAGAACTCCCATTTCGCCGGAAAAGATAGCCGTCCCAAGGGCTTGGCGAAACATCATGTGGGCTTGTACACTGCAGCAAATTGAATGCCCCGAGTATACCCTCAAAAAATGTTTGATTTTGTTATCTCATGAGCTTTTTACCGTACTGCCAGCGTTTGATGTTACGTGCGACAATTACCACCGAAGTCGCCCATAACTAGCGCGATTGGATCTCTAATTTTATTGAGGATATTCAGACTGCCCCTTTCACGTGATTACAGACTCAATAAGGTTAGCCGCTAGGGTTGGAGACTGGTGTGTCCTTGTACTTTCACCACATTGGGAGCACCGTTCTGATAAATCTCAGCACCCTGAATCGGATCTAACGGATCACTCGGATCGTGGCCATTACATTCCGCAAAAGGGTTCTTTATACTTTAGCTTTTCCATATCAGCACATTATTAATATTCCACTAAGGTCGGATTGGATGTAACATGATCGCTAACCTACTTCAGCGGCATTGGCAGGACTGTTCTGATAAATCTTAGCAAAGTTATTCGGGTGTGATGGATGACTCGGAGACTCAGAGTGTGTCCATGGATATCCCGCGAGAGGGTTCTTTATGCTATGGCTTCTTTACTGGCGTAACACTGGTAAGGCTCACAGTTTTCATTTACAACACCTATGGTTTATGTGTAGGGATAAATGTATTGCATGATCCTAATAAAAGGGAACAAAATCATTGGGTCGTGGAGAGAAAAAGCTTGTCTTCATCCATGGAACGACCCGCTGCCTCTCGGACCGAGGATAGAAGTGTTGTGAGCACTTTGAAACCATGAGAGTATATTTACAGTAATAATGTCTTGACATCATAGGGTTGGAAACTATGGTTTATTTTGCATGACGATGACACTTGATGAAATCGTCTTCTAATAGATATATAAATGAGCCCATTATGTCGAGTCCTTCTGGAGTTCGTCAACCCACATACCTCACGGAAAGACTCTCAGATACAAGATAAAAATGTCTTCCATCCTCCCAATTCTGACCCCGGCTCAACTGCGTTTCTTCCTCATCTGCAATCGTTTTATTCAATATTGCAGCGCGGTAGTGGTTGTCGGAATCAATTCGTACTTTATCAACACTGGAAAACGTGGGCTGTTTACTACCTACGTTGAAATAATTGTGAGCCTCATCCATACCAGACCAAGCATTCGTATCTCACCTTCTACAGTCTGTTATATCTCTTGCAGCTTTCCTGCCTGCCCTCGTGACAATTTTCATGACCACCCCGGTGAAAGAATATATTCTGTTCATCGACGTGATATTTTCCTATCTGTATGAAACATCGATCCAAAGTTCAATATTTTGGTGACAGGCTGACAAATCTAGATGGCTCACGGCTTTCATATTTTCCGCGCTTGATTACAACAAGCATAATTGTCACTTTAGTACGCCTTCGGGAGTTGCATGCTCGAAGAAATGGGCGATTGAAGCTTTTATTTGGTTGACATTGTAGGTACCAACCATCTACTAATACTCTCCCTCGCTAAGTTTCTTTGAAGTATATTTACTTTTTTCTCGGTCTTTGAAGAAGCACTTTCACTCTGGCTTCATCGACGGAGTCACCAAGTCGCTCAACCGTTACGAGAAAAGCATCAACCATCATCTTCTGAGCACAATGGCAATGTGCCAACCACGCAACGCACCAGTGAAGAGCCAGTTGCTACTCCAGCACAAGTGGTGTGAGAGTATTGGACCCTATAATCTCCACCACAGTCAGAAAAACATACAACAGCAGGGATTCGCTGGTGGTCACCCACCCAACTACTAACCTGCCGGCGTGTGGCTTATGTGCGGTTAATAGTTGGGTGGGTGTCGCCTGGGTGAGAAATGGGTGAGAGCCGCTTTAGCGTCGCGCGACCGGGGGTGAGAAGGGTGAGTGTGCAATAGACCGGGTGAGAACAGGGTGAGATTAGGGTGAAAGCTAGGCGAGAATCCTGCGAGTCGTGCGAAGACCGCACGGGCCTCTCAGCCAGGCTATAGCAATAGGTCATTGGACGTGACCGTTCGCTCTGAAACACTGGTTTCTTGGCATCTACACATAGCCACGCTTAGGCTTTGCTGATTTATATATATAGCCATTTAAGTTCTAGGTTTTTAGAGAGTGGACGTTACAGCTTTAGGTACTTACTCTACGTAGCGATCACCAAAGCCATTCCTAACGACTAAGCCAAGGCCAAACATTTCCTTTATAAAATAAGGGTCAACAATAATCAGGTGATATCATTTATAGAGCGAGGTAGGGAAAAGTGAGTCAAATAAAATAGCCCCCATAAAAATGGCCCCCACAAAAATGGCCTCAACTCCTAGGGGCTTTTTATCCAATTATCCGTGCTATCGCCGAGCGGCCTATACTATGATATATCGAATCCCGCAATAGAAAGGGCTAACTATATACTCGTTTAGTTCCACTTTAGCTCCACCGCCAACTTATATAGCAGGACTTTAGAGCAGTAACCAGCACTAGTATCTAAAAGTGCTCCTCCATAACCCACGAATCACGTAGCATATAGATATACACTATATAACAATTATTACCTTAAGTGCTGTTACCCTAAGCGTGAAAGCCTAGCGTAAAATTGTTGATTAATTAGCTATCGGGAACTAACATTAAACTTAACCGGCCTACCCGCTAGGCCTCTTAAACCTCCTCTCACAAACGTCAGGAAATAGCGAACAGCTTCTCGGCTAACGACTTCTCGCCCGCACTACCCACAATATTACAACCTAAGTAAAAGACTATATAACTATAAGAACTACACACTCCAGGAAGGCATAAGCTAGGTGACGACTAGACATTGACATGGGACTCCCATGGGACTAAGGTCCGTCCCAAGTCCCACCCATGGGAATACCCATTTGGGTATGCTAAGGGAATACCCACCCATGGGAATACCCATGGGACCCATGGGTACCCATAGACACCTGATTATGCCTGAATTCGCCTGAATTTTGTGCATAAGATCACTGACTAATCTTTGTTATTTACGTCTGTTTCGGTTGGAACAAGTAATATCACTACTTTTTAACCTACCTACTAGGTAATTATAAGAAATAAAGTTGTTTATATATATAAAAGGGTCCGTTTCATCGGTCGCATTAATGTTTTAGGCCTATCGAAGTAAAGGTAAAAAAGCGGTGGTAGAAATTATGGTTTGTCCTCTAAGATATATATTTATTGTATACAACCAACCACTCTGCTATTATTTCCTTTGATTTTATTATATTATAATACTAGGTTATTATGGCTTATTTTACTAGTTAATTTAATTACTATAGCTTCTTTTATATATATTTATCTTGCAAACACCTAATTGCTAGTGTAGGGTGTGTGGTTGAGAGAAAAAGGTCAGAGTTAAGAGCAAAAGTTAAGAAATTTCTAGGGGGCATGGCTCTTACTGAATTCTATGGGACTATGGGACTCCTATAGGACTACCTACATAAATATAGAGAGTTAGGCCAATAGGATAGGCTAGGTAGACCCACCCAGTAGTGATTGGCTTATAAAGAACCAATAATATTAGGCTACGTGCTTAAAGCCCTTAATATGCCTTACCTTCTATCTAAGCTTTTTCTCTTTACCTTGGTCTTAGTTTCTCTTCACTTTCGCTAGTATGGCATACCTCTCGGACCCTATAAGCCAATCTATATATAGCGATAGTATTGATCCTATCCTTCTATCTAATTCTTTCTCTTTTGAACCAAACGAACTAACTGAAAGCCAAACAACTGAGCTTACACCACCACCACTACTACCACCCTCTATTCAACGTGTTGGAGACCGGACGAAACAGTGGGCACTTTGGACGGAAATGACTAAGACTGAATTTATTGAATGGTGGCTTACCACTCTATATAGGACAAAACCCGAAGTAAAATATATCCATTGGGATAGAAAGGGCCATCAATCTGATGTATGGACGCATTTTGACTAAGTTGTATATATTAATACAGGAAAACCAATGGTTGCTTGCAAAAGGTGTGGTATAATAATAAAGCATCCAGTAAAAGATAGGACATCTAGGATGCGACGACATCTAAAAAATGGTGCCTATCAGATAAAAAGTAAGCAAATAAGTATTAAGCACTTAATACAGAAAGTGGTATGTTTACTAAAAAGTGAGAGAAAAGTGAGAGCAAAATAAGAGAAAACTAACCTATTATTCTCTCACTAGGTAGTCAACTCTAATCTATCCCAACCTTAGTCTAAAGAGCTCTAGCAGCAATAGCTTTTAACCACTATCACTAGCCTACGCCTACCCTTCCAAATCATCGAGAGCGAGCACTTCTAGAAGCTTCTACGCCTAACCTAGTTAGCCCCTTCAATCCCAACCTTTCCTATCGGTCGCACGATATAGCGCCGACTACGAAATATAGTCGAAGACCGACAGAAAGACACCCTTCAGATGCTTCCACCCTATTCAAAGCTCTCAATTAGTCTAGATTGCTGGACATCACCCTTTCAGCAAGCATTTATAGCTATTACTAGTTATTTCCTAGACTAGAATTGGGATTACCGAGAGGTGCTTCTAGGATTTGAACCCCTAGAAGGAACACACACTAGGACGAATCTTAGGTTAGTCCTAACTAATACCCTTTAAAAGTATCAGATTCTAGACTGGATTATAGCTATTACTACGGATAATGCGTCAAATAACTAGACGATGATTACAAGCATCCAAGCTAGTTATCCTAGTCTACCTTTGATCCGTATTCCTTGCCTTGCGTATATGATTTAGCTTAGTCTAAAATAGCTTCTTAGTTAGATGAAGGCAAACCCCTAGAATGACACAGTGGAAATGGTTTAGACAGAAGAGCATAGTCGGGCTGCTACTCGGGCTTAGTAGAGGTCTAGAAAGCTAGATATTACGAATACCCTTCGTAAGGCTCGCAGTCTTGCTATCTATATTAATACAAGCCCACAGAGACGGGATAACTTCCTAAAGCTTTAGACTAATCAGCCTATATTAGTCCTAATCTAGGACGTCCGTACGCGTTGGAATTCGACATATCTAATGCTTTACCGGGCTAAAAGGCTTCAATCTGATTTAAATTAGTACTGTATCACCTACTAGGTTGAACAGTTAATGATTAATTTAGAGGAATGGCGTTAGATTGATTATCTTCTTTGTTTAACTAAGCCTTTCTTCTAATTTACCACTGCCCTATCTAAGACTAAGGATATTACTATCTATAGTGTTTTTAGTATCTATAATAAGCTTTTTGACCACCTTGAAGCTTCGATTCGGCAGTTGAGGCGGAAAAAGGTTAGTCTCCTATATTCTCTCCCTTTTCCGCTAATTATAACTCTGATTTTTCGCACTTCAACCTATATAACAAGGGTTAAAGTGCGAAAAATCAGAGTCATAATTAGCGGAAAAGGGATTTATTTAAGTCTCACTTACTTACTTTTCCTTCACTTCTAGGCTAGGTGGAAACGGTAGATACTTAAAGCTCTTGAATCAGCTAAAAATAAGCTTCGAGAGTACTATGCAAAAACAGATAATCTAGAACTTGGTGATATCTATGCGCATGGCATAATCCTCGCCCCTCAGCATAAGTTACAGTTCTTTTCTAGCCCCGACTAGATAGATAAAGACTATGCTTCTTTATATCGAGCGAGCTTTCAAGAGCGAATAAAAGTATATTAAATAGAGAGTGATTCAATCCCAAAACCTTAGGCTTCTATCCAAGCTTCTAAGCTTAATCAATTGCTTGCTTCTAAGCCTAAATCCACTAAGGATCAGGATGAATTAACCTAATATCTCTAAGGAGGTAAGCTTACTTTTTCCTCTCACTTTCCTCTCACTTTCCTCTCACTTTCCTCTCACTTTCCTCTCACTTTTCTCTCACTTCTAGTCTTACCTCTCATTTTACCTCTCGTCTAATTTCTTTAGTTTTACTTAGGTTTAGTCCTAATTAGCCCTCATCTATTCTAGAAAGATTATATATATCAGTTCCCTACACTAGTATATATAGCACAAGATATTTTCTCTATCCCTGCTATTGGTGCTGGTGTAGAAAGGTTATTTAATTCAGCCCGGGATATCTATTATTATCGGAGGGGTCGTCTGAATTCTTCAACTATCCAAGACCTAATAATGTTTATGTGTACGACTAGGTTCGAGATGGAAGATCAGCAGCTAGCTTTTATCCGATCTCTATCTATCCACGAGGACGGTGAAACAGATAAACCTTCTCAGAAAATAGAAGGTTTTGAGCTAATTAGTGATACTGAGGCGGATAGGGTGGATGAGCTGGATAAGCTAGATGAGCTAGATAGGATAGATGTTTCTAGGCTATCTTCTGTTCGGGCTGGTAAGAGAAGAAAGAGTGTTTTATCTGATGAGAGTGATGATGATTTGGTCTCTTTGCCTATAATTCCAGAAAGCTAGATTCGGGCCTCTGGTCGGGTGAAAAGACGTCCTCGGGGGCCTGAGGGCTTTGAAATTCTATAGAATAATATAGGTGCTATTCTCTCATTCAAACCTCACTTTCTTTTTCTTATTTTATTACCTTTCGACTGTAATTTTACCACCTAAATACCAAAGATTCCTACATAATATGCATTAATTATACCTCCTTGTATTATGGGTACTCATGGGAGTATGGGAGTCCCATAGGTGGGTAGGGAAAAGGCCGTCCCACCCATGGGACTAAGGGTCGGTCCCATATCCCACCCATGGGCGGGACGGGACTGTCCCAAATGGGAATACCCATGGGAGTGTCAATGTCTAGTGACGACTAAGGAGGCCCAACAGCTAATTAATAAGTTAGAAGATATCATAATCCACCAAACCACCCTTATCGAGTCTACCAAGGTCGACCTACTAGAAGACTTAACGCGACAACGCCCTAAATAACATTATTATTAGTAAGAGTTCGAGAACAACGTACAGATCAGTATCCTTCCAACGACGCCCCCTAACGAGATCATAGGGCGTTCATAGCAGCCTACGCGAGCGACTAACAACATCGGGAGAAACTACGTTAAATTAGCGTCACTTAAAACACTTACGTTGGTTCCCGAGACAACGAGTACCGTCAAAGGAACACTTTCGGTCAACGTCTACCGCCGCAGCTAACACCAACATTCGCATTGCCCTATTAAATACACCGTCCACCAAGATACGAAAGTGACGCACAATACTATAATGCCCTATCGACGTAGCCCGCAACAAAACCGACGAGGGATATAAACTTAGCAACGATATAAGACTAAAATAATATCCAAGGGGCGCCCTCTATCTATTTTTTTTTGTGACCAAGATTGAACCCTATATAATAAAGGTTGATGGCTAGTTTTTTATAAGGTACATAGTATATAACTGTCAGGATTTTAGGTGTCTGCATTTATAACTGCAGATTTCTAGAGCTTCCAATTCAACATAGAAGTTCCCGCTGAAATTCCCGTTCTGCCATTTCTCACCGCCTTTATCTGATCTTGCAGTTATCTCTCATTTATCTCTCACTTTGCTCTCACTTTAGCCTTTACTATGCTTTCTCTTTCTATTTGCCTACCGGACCGAGGTTATTAGGCCTATCCTGTCTATAGCCGCGGGTAACAGCACGTTTACCTACCTCGGGTAACAGCACGTTTACCTACCTCGGGCAATAGCACGTTTACGGCAAGATTACCTCGGGCGAATATTACCTTAGGTAATTAGCCAGATAAACTGAATATTTCTGTCTATAAATATAGCCTAGAAACCAGACTAAATAAAACAAGAGCTTTCATCTCAATTCTCCTCTCACTACCCTTCCTCTCTATTAGGGCAGACCAGAGAGATTCTCTCTTATTATCTTTATCTTTATTCATCTTCCAGGGGTAAGTTACTACGCTGCAGTAATAGCTGACCTCTACGGGAGGTAGTATTTCTCTCTACAAATATTTGTCCTAAGGACTGCCCTGCCGCATAGGGACCCTTAGGCATTTATTTATCTCTCTTATTTTCATATACTACCAATCCCGACAACTCTTTAACTATTACACTGGATTCGCTGCCATACTCCTATATAGGAACACACCAAAATTCCTTTAATATCATATACCCTAGGAAGAAAACTTCGACGATAATTAATTATTTCTCGATATCGTCCTCGTCTAAATTACACCGAGCAAGCTTCGCAGTAGACCCCCTATACGCTTCACTAAGTAATATATTAAATGTACTATCTACTAAAACATTAAGTGTCTCATTAAGCGTCCCTTCAGGAATTGCTTTAAGCATCACGTTGGGCTCTACGTTGAACTCTATATTAAAGAGCTTAGATACTATTATCCCCTTAAGCGTTACGTCGAGCGTCACTCCAAGTACTACATCGAGCTTTTCGTTAAGCTCCACATCAAACACTATAGATACTATAATTATGACAACTACTATATAGGTAAACGCATAGTGGTAGAGCTTGCATTGGCTAATAAGATATATATTATTTACTGCTATTATTTACTACTCTCCTACCGGTTCTACCTACACTTTAATAGTGTCCTCTCTATATCTCTCTTTGTCTCTCTATGTATGAGTAAACCCCCCGAAAGCTACTGTCAAGTTTCCTCTCCTTCTTGTTTTCTCACCACCTATAAACAGGAAAAAGGAAGGTGAAGAATATATGTAACTATCTAACACTGAATCTTGATGGAAGCTGAGTAAGCGACGTTATATACGTGAATATTTACTAGAGGCCGTTTCCTCCCTAGCCCTGTTAGTCCAGCTGGCCCTGTTAGTCCAGCTGGCCCTGTTAGTCCAGCTGGCCCTGTTAGTCTGGCTGGCCCTGTTAGTCCGGCTGGCCCTGTTAGTCTGGCTGGCCCTGTTAGTCTGGCTGGCCCTGTTAGTCTGGCTGGCCTTGTTAGTCTGGCTGGCCTTGTTAGTCTGGCTGGCCGTTTCAGTCCGGCTGGCCTTGTTAGTCTGGCTGGCCGTTTCAGTCCGGCTGGCCCTGTTAGTCCGGCTGGCCGTTTCAGTCCGGCTGGCCTTGTTAGTCCGGCTGGCCGTTTCAGTCCGGCTGGCCCTGTTAGTCCGGCTGGCCGTTTCAGTCCGGCTGGCCCTGTTAGTCCGGCTGGCCCTGTTAGTCCGGCTGGCCCTGTTAGTCCGGCTGGCCGTTTCAGTCTCCCTGGCCCTAGTAGTCCGTGGCTAGTGGCCGTTTCAGATTCTAAGGGAAACTCCTTAAATACATTGTTTAGAAAGGAATCTATGGTCGCCGCCTGAATAAGCATTTTGTAATCAAAATAGAATACACTAGCGAGTCTTTCGGTTATCGCACTAATAATCTAGCTTAATAAAGGTTATAATAATTTAAAGGAAGCGCAATCATTAATTTTAAATATCTTATATTTCACTATTAATCTATAATAGGAACTAGGCTTCGTAGTAGTAAGAACCTAGAACGCCTTATTAAAGTCTTTAAGATCGAGGGCTACGCGAATCTAGAGCTAGAATATCGGATCGTGGCTATTACTAGCTCCGTTACTCTAAATGATGCCCTTTGTCGAGGTAATCTTTTATAGGCCGCCCTTCTCGACCCTACTAGACTTAAATAGTTAGTGTTCGACGAAGGTTATAAATTAACGATTATAAATAGTAGATATTAAGTGCTAGCCAGTCAAAAAGTTAGGAAAACAGAATAGCTTATAGATATATACCTAGATAGTTAGTATAGCTATTAATCTTCGAAATATCTACTTATAAATTATATAGACCTTCTAACTAAAGTCTAGACCTCGCCCAAACCCGCGGGTAGACGGGTTGGACCCGACCCGTACCCGTTTCTTGGCGGGTTTTGGGTCGAGGGTATGGACCCGAAGGTCGGGTACGGGTTGAGATATTAAACCCGCGGGTTACCCGTGGGTTACCCACGGGTTGGTAAACAATATAAATATGAAGAACCTCGTGATATATAGATATTATGCATTTATGGGCTATATTTATAGGTATCTAGCTTATAGGTAGTGTATTCCTGCAGAAATAAGGTCAAGGATAAGTATGAATGTCTTCAATTCTAGAACCAAACTAATAAACTATAAACTGATCATTATTATACCGCGGCCGCTTCCTAGATCTTCCTGAGACACGCTGTTGTGTCTCTGGTAGAGGAATATCTTCCTCCTCGTTACTATCCTTATAGCCTTCAGTGTCTGGTTTAGATGTAACACTCTTTCTTCTCTTTCTAAGAGCACGTTTCGAGGGACCTTCCGTTGTTGATTGCGTTTGAATAAGGACTAAACCTACCTATGTATCGTCCTCATTACTCTCCTCATTGTCACTAATCGGGTTGACAGTACCCTCTTGTTGTTGGGCATCTTTCTCTTTATGATCCGCTTCTATCTCCCCTGTAGAAAGATACTCCTTCCGAAAAGCGATTTCGTCCTCTTCGACTTTAAATTACGTCGTATATCTATATAATATAATCTCCTAGATTATTGTAGCATTTAGTGAGCCTTGACGATAGTGATAGATATCCTAAGTAGTGTTAAATAGCCACTTAACGCTAGCGCTAGTTGTAGGAATTGAGAGTATATCACGCGCGAGCTTTATAAGCGTAGGGAATATAATCTAGTTCTCCTTCTAGAACGCTTATATTAGAATACTAGAAACGGTGGCTAAGGTATATATATTAGTATAAGCCTAGTGATTAATAAAATAAGGATACTTACTACTATCGAGATATCTTATAAGCTTATCCTACTAGCTAGCTTGGATAGTCTAATCTAGACTAATCATCCAATTAAGGTCTATACCTACACTCTACGTAGAAGATCCTTTACCGTTCTCTATCTATTCCTTTGATAGACGTTGCTTATATAGTTTAAAGTAGTCCACGAGGCTTTACCTATATCTAGTAAGCCACTTAGGGCCCTAATCTTTACTCTAGAAGAACTAGAGCTTATATTATGGTGCGAGCATTATACTAATAGTAAAGAGATCACTAGGAATGTCATCCGTCTTACTATAGTACTACCTAAGCTTTTCCTCCGCCGTATAGAGAGTGGTAAGTATAAGCTTCTTCTAGGCTATCTTCTTTCTTGTAAGCTACTTAATCGACTTCTTAAGATAGTCGAAGAGCTTATTATAGATAGTAAAGACAAGGTAGATAGTGATATCTTTAGTTTTCGATAGCGTAGTAGTGAACTAAAAGAACGGCTATATGATCTAGAGCAAATAGTTAATCTAACGCTATTGCTCTTAGTTAAGCATAAGATATAGATAGCCGTACTTTGAGTAAAACTTATCTAAGACGGATTATAGTCGTTTAGCACGACGAAGTATTAGAAACGTTGAATTCTACTGCGTACGAACGTCTTATATTAGAATAAGAGCTATAGAACCTATCTAGAGGCTACAGAAAGCTTCACGGCGCTATAGGCTTGCGTTGATAAAGATAGCTAAGCTTCAAAGCTATAAAAATAGATTAGAAGTAGGTTTTTAATAGGTTTAATAGTGACGAGCCTTATTTAAAGTATTAATGATCTCCCGTTTTTATTATCTAGAACGAATTAATTAGTCCTAGGATTTAGTCTATTGCATTTAAGTAGTGTCGTTCTTTAGATTTACCTTTATCTAACCTAGGAGTTGCTTTAAGCTTAGTTAGATAATATAGGCAATATATAGAACGCGAATAATTACGGTATCATCGCTAAGATTAAGGGACTAGACAGTCTCTTAGATACTTACTACTAAAGTGTTATTGTTCGATGTATTGTCAGTAGTGATTGTAAGTACTCGATCGGTTAAATTATACTTCTATAGAAGCTAGAACAGAATAGCGCTAAGGTTAATACCTAAGTGTGTTCTATAAAGAGGCTTAAATCCTAGAAGTAGCTCCCGATAATTCTAGTCTTTATTAAGGAAGTAGCCCGTAACTGCTATAAATGCCTACTGAAAAGGAGATGTCCAATAGTTAAGGGTAATAGAAATCTTTCTATCTTTAGGAAGTTTCTGCAGTATATTCTAATAGCGTTTAAGCATCGTACTTCGTAGCTAGCGCCGTACTACCTTTGTAGATAGAATATTAAGCTATCTTAAGGCATTTTAGGCTATAGATATTATATCACGGAACCCTAGATACTCTAGAAGCTAGAAGGGTAGCCTTGATTTAGTAATAAATCAAAGAAGACTTAATTCCTATTTTTCCTAGCTAAATGGAGTATCGACTAGAGGGCTCCGCGCCTATAGAAGTAGTCGAAATCAGTGTATATCCTATAGACTATTAGGCTAGCTTATCGCTTACATAAATTGCCTAATATTTTGGCTTTTTAGCTTCCTACTATAGCTAGTAGTATATTTCTTTATCGTGGAAGTTCTATTTCTAAGCCCTAGGTGATTAAGGATAGCCTTGCAATACTTATATATAACCTTCGGCGCGCTATCACTAGCCCTAGCCACCTAATTAAAGTGGTGCTAAACGTTGGAAGAGTGTCGCGAGTCCTAGCGTATACGCTTCTTCCTTCCGAAGTCCGTTTATAGCTACTATTGTATATAATCATCACTTATTATTTTAGAGTAGACCACGTATATAATAATACGATTAGGTCGAACGCTCTCGAGGGAACTAGGCACTAAGGGCGAAGGTAATCCTAGTAGGATAAAATCAGTATCGCCTATAGAGCTCGCGATATAAGCGAAGTTTTATTGGCTAATCGATAGATTAGGGGTTAGATTACCTAATGGGAGGAGTTGAAGGTCATCTAAAAGGTCTATATTATACGAAGATAATGCGTAGGTATTAATGAATTAAGACATCTAGTGATATAATAATTAACGAGCACTTAGCTAAGGATAGTCAAAAGTCTTATAAAAGAATTTCAACGCGTAAGCGTAGATTCTAGGGCCTCGTAGTACCCTGTTCTTCTAAAGTAAAAAATATAATATATCAATAAAGGCCTATATAGGTAGATAAAAGCTATACTTATTAGCTTATAGCCTATATATATAATGGGTAACCCGCGGGTAACCCGCTTATAACCCGTAAACCTATAGGTAACCCGTTTTCCTTAAACAATTTCCTTCTAAGTCTTCAATCAAGGTAAAATTAATCCACTTTTTCGCATTTAATAGCTTAAATAAGATAAAAGAGCATTCGATTAGTTAACGTATAGCTTAATGAATATATACTGATTGTTGTGAGATCAAAAATTCCTTATAAGCCATAGGATTGCAAGGACAATATAGAATTATATTATCCTTGCAAAAATATACGTACTGCATTCTATAGTTTATATATATTTCCGCACTTCTAATGACAGTTTTAATGAATATTAGTTTTTACAACCCCAATAATATCATATAGTCCTTAAAGCGAAATATATAAGATTACTGCTATTTATTAATTAGAAAATAGACTAATTTCTTAATCTTTCATAAGGGAAAGAGGGTTTTGTTAATTAGAACCATAGAGGTGACCGGAATAGATGTAAATAACGGTATTTTATTGAGGTTAATCAGCAGTTTTGTGCGTCTTGGCGTAGACTAAATTAGGATATTTATACCAAAACGGGTTCTTGGCGGGTAACCCGCGGGTACCCGCTAAGAACCCACGGGTCTACGGGTATGGGTTTTGGGTATTGGGTATGAACCCGACCCGCGGGTACGGGTCCTGAAGTTGGACCCAAACCCGACCCGAAGCGAGGTCTACTAAAGTCTTGACTTAACTTTAAGAAGAGTCACTAAAAAGCCTTAATTTTATAGATAGGGAAATCTGTCGTAATATTAGATTTTATTAGGTTAAGTATAACATTTAATAAGAATTAAAGTGGTGGGCGAGACTTAGCTTTAAGGGTCGTCAAAAAGACTTTCGTCGTTTATAGAGAAATAAACCTCTCCTTAATAGCTTTAACAAACTTCTACTATATATTAGTTTATAGAGGCCTTTAAAATCCTCGCAAATTAAGAGAATACTTACTCTTAAATATCTAGAGATTAGATATAATACTTTATAACCTTACTAAGCTCACAAAGTGTTAGATTTTAGTTTACTATCTTAACGATATCCACCAAAAATAGTCTAGTATCTTTCTAGATTCTAAGTGTTTTACTGATCTAGACTCTATAGAAGCTATAGAAGGTCTTATACTATAACTATTAATTTATGATCGCGAGTATCTTACGTAGCTTATTAAATTAAATCTCGAAATCTTCTAATAGGTGACTAATATATAAAGGGATAAGCTACTTTGTCGCCTTCTTAGGATACCTAGGAGGTTAACCTCTATTAACACTCTAATTTAGGATACTCTTTTCTTAGAAAGGCTAGCAAAAGCGCTATAGCGCCTCTACCCTCCTAAATTTAAAGGTAGTTTATATCGAGCTATACGCTACTAATAGGACTCTATTAAAAATAGGCGGCATTTTAAAGTCTAGATATCTAAGCGTACCTTCCTAGAGAAGGAACCGTTATCATCGCACTTCTATAGCTATATAATATAACTATAGTTTTTTAGACTAAGGCATTTTGTTTATAATATATATATCACTAATCTAAAAAAATCATTTAGCTAGTCGAATAAAATACTTAGTCTTATTAGGTTAGCTATACTAGCGTAAAGGATAGGCTTTTCGTCTCCACGAATCATCGATTTTCTAGCTAAGGGCGCTAATAAACGCCTAGTATATAGTTTTGTTAAAACAATTTATCGTAATAAGTTTTATAACCCTAGATCTTAAGTAGTACGAGATCTATTAACTAGATTTAATGTTATCTTATAGTCTCTATAAGATATTACTTATATATTAATACCGTAGCTTATAATAGAGGACCTAGATTAGAAGGCGTATTATAGATTTAATAGCCTAGTCCTAGAATATAACTAATCTATATATACTAAGTAGAATATAGGGAGTTAAGATATATAGCCTAGAGATATTACGCCCCTAAGCGGAAGTATTTAGGTCGTAGAGGTGGGCTAAATAGATTAAAACCTCCAAAATCAAAGCGATAGCGTTGAAACACTAAGTCTACTATTATAACCGTAAGAAGTCGACCTAACCGCTTTGGAAAGAAGCGATTTAGAGTATACACCCTATCCTACTAGAACACTAGACTATAATAAACCTAAAAGCGAATATCCGCTCGCTCCTAGATTTAAGGATATAAGGCACAATAGCTTATTGAATTTTCCGAATCACATTATCTATAGAAGACGAATCGAGGAAATTCTATAGATATAGTTCGATTCAAAGAATAAAATATTAGTCGTGCTGTTCCTCTTCGAATCCCGCACTTATTTTAAGTTTCTTATTAGAGATATATTTAATATACGCGGGACCTTAATAGATCGCTCGAAGCAGTATTCATTCTAAGTGATCGATCTAGAATATAGACTTATAACTCTAGACCTAAATAAGATCCTTAAGGTGTTATTAGAGAAGCGACTTATGCTAGCAGCCAGGAGAGACCGCCCTAGTCCTCCATAAGTAGGTGAAATGACCTTAGATCAGTTAAGGGACTATATCAAGGTATACAATGTACGTACTAGGAAGCGTAAGATAAATGCAGAGACGCTAGCCCCTAACCCTAAACGTCGATACTCGCGCGAGGAGGAGTTATAATAGGTTCTTATCACGAGCTACGAAGGAAGCGAAAGGAAATTTGTTCTATATATAATACTGAGGGTTCACAACTAGACACGTAAGGTCGAGTAATCAAGCTTTGCATCCACGCACTCTCTCTGTGACCTCAGCGAGCCGCAGTGGCTTGGCTTGCACCTCTTTGAATCCTCTTTAACTCCTCTGATCCACTCCCACAGTCCACCTCTTCGTACCCCCTGCCTTCAAACCCCGAGCCCCTGAAGGCGCCGACGATGGCTCCCTGGAGGACCGCGTCATTTAAAATGGCAGCAATTCGCTCTCCCGTTTTCTCATCCACAAATCGCAAGCAATGAGATTCTTTCGACCCGTTGACTTGAGACACTCTTTGCTTTATAAGCAGGTCCGCCTCAAAACCATCTGCGGCTTTGCCTTGTTCGTACTGCTGCAACGCTCAATCCTTCACGTCATGGCACGCCGCTCTCGCAACGCCAATTACCAGTTATCCAGCGACAGCGACTATTCCGAGAGAGAAAGCATCGAAGATAATCGATCAGACACTGATCTGACTGAGCCTGAGGATAAGGCAGATCAACCACGCAATACTAGCGATGCGGCCTTACTCTTCCCCGACAACGAACACTCACCGGAGTACTACATCGGGCAACTTAGGAACTTTGACGAGATAGCCTACACACAGGAAGACTATGGCAAAGGCACTACTGCTCTGCTCGACGTCATTGAGGGAAAATGGTCCTAGTAAGTTCTCCTTTCCGTCCCCCCCCCCCTTGCTGTGCCTTGGAGACTTAATCTTACGAATGTTTTACTAAGGTTCTGTATTTTCATTCGGAAGGATCCTAACGAGGAGCACCGCCGCTTATCAATCCCAATCTTATACAACTTTCTCGAATAGGCTCTCAATTTACGACGCGGTAAAAATGTGAGAAGACTTCTAGGCATCAAGTGTAAAAGCTCCTTAGATATATTCTAGAAAGTATTTTGGCTAGTTCACGAAAGATCCACTTCAAACAAGATCGGAAATCAGATGAACCGCTAGATACGTCGAGTATAAGAGGCTGTTTTTTACTGTTCAGTTGCCTAGCGCCATTTTCAAGTCTGACCTAGTTCTGAATTTAGGTAATTCGACGATTGGCCAAGAAGTATAAGTTGTCGATTAAAGAACGAGACAAGCCTCCTATAGATGTTGAGGACCTAGCCAAGGTCATAGAGACCACTATCAGTACCACAAAGAAAAATTTCGGATATAGGCGCCACCGTATTGAGCCTAGACTTTTCTTGCAGCTCGCAGGCCTCACAACAAACCAGCCTCAAGCCATTCTTAATCTGCGATATCGTCACATCTAAGTCAGTCTCCTGCGTGACCCACATAGCGGTCCACATCGAATTGTGATTGAATTCACCTTTGAGTTCACTAAGGAGTGGCTAGGTGCTAAAGACGCGTGGGTACACTAGACCTGTGTCGCCTTCTTTCGCTGACATCTCTTTCAACGACACTTATATTCTACCCTTCATTAGTCCTAAGTCCACATACCTTCCTGTTAGGCCTTCTGTTTGTAGACTATGTATTTGACCGTATTGACGGGGAAGAGGTACTTATTTATGTAAGTTAGCTCCCTCGACTTCGAATTCGCAATAAGTATAATAAGCTACGACTACAAATTGACTTGGCGATAGATGACGTACTAGTATTTCGGATATCGGAAAGGACTTTAAATAGGATTGGTATCTCACCTATCAACCCTCTCCCTTACTCTACTTTAGAACCGTAGGTCAAGAAGATCGGTGTAATCACAGGCATTCGATAGGTTACACGCCCCTACAGCTTACGATATGGGGCAGGAACGGCTTTAGACAGTAGTGGTAAGAGTTCCCGATAAGTATCAGTCTATGGATTAAACGAGCTAACTAATTCTCAGGTTCCGTCAAAGATTCTATTCGCAAACTTGTTATGCACTATGCCGACACGCGGATATTTTTGAAGTTCTATCTTAGTAGAAGGATCTCAAAAAATCTGCCAGCGATCATTCGCGGACTCGACCCAGAAGAGGATATTATACGCGCGGCCTACCGAATAAGCCGAACTATCGATCCAACTCGCCCACAAGAGCTAACCACCGAGCAATCTTCCTCTGTCAATCAACTGCCGGAGATTATGGAATTAAAACGCCAGCGCGATGAGATTAGTCAATCTCTAGAGCGTCCTCTCTAAAAACAAAGGGAAATTAAAGTACGAAACGTACAGAAAACTAAACCAAGAGCTAGCAGGGGCCAAGAAGCGTGCACAGGACAAACTACTTACGGAAGTTTAAAATAAGTTTGACCAAGAGCAACCTATGCTAGAGATCAAGCGCTAGTTGTCTGGGATCGAGCCGGCTAAGTCTTCTAGTAAACCGCTGCAATGCTCCACAGAGGTCCCTATTCTGAGCAATGCTTGATCAAGAGTCTTCTAACTCTGCCCCGTCCAACAATAGAAGAGGAGATGACCCGAATAACCGAAGCCGTCGATTCGGTGGCTGCTTACTGTGAATTTCAGGAAGGCGACACTTGCCGTTTACCGCGGAACAAAAGGCCAGAAAAGTCCGAGAAATTCATCGCAACCCATAATGAACACCTACCGGAAGATGAAGTAGTGCATGGTATTTGTCAACTAGAGACTCCTCTTAAGTGTGCTCTTCAATCTGCTATGAAGGATCATCAGCCCTTGTTTTGCTTTATTTGTTTGGGCGAACAAATCCTGGACCTAACATACCGTGTTAAGCGGTTTGCCTCTCATGCAGATATCACCAAACACATTAAACGAAAGCATCTAAAAAGAATCGTGCCCAATTCGACGATTGAGTGCAATATTTGTGATGAAAATTTTACAGAAGTCATGCATTTTCAGCGACATGCCAATGACTCTCACTCGACTGTGACGGGCGCCGCTCTTCTCACCGCTTCCGTCATTTACTGCGGGACATAAATGAGTCACATCACAAGCATGTCAGCCACAGCGCTAACTGACTACCCCTCTTCTGTCCCCACTCCTCTTTCACTTCTCCTCCCCCGCCTCAAGTCTTTCATCTTCATTTATACTTTACTACGGCTTCTGCGAAGGGAACCTCGCCAGAACCTGCAATGGCGGATCCTTTAAGTATTACTGCCTCGCTATTAGCTGTTATTACAGCCGCCGTCCAGTCGACGAAAGCGCTCCGCGAAACCATTATACGCTTCAAAGATCGCGACAAAACATTGACCAGGCTTCAAAATGAGCTTCACGATCTCTTCACTATTTTGGACTCGTTGAAACAAGTGATTGATACCGAAGCATCAATGCTGGAGCTTCTTCAAGGTCCCATCGAAAGGTGCACCCAAGTATGCCGCGAGTTCGAACAATCGATGGAGACATTCGGTCGAAAATCCAAGACAGGCTTTCGAGATTGGGCAAAGATGGAGTTCATGAGAGGTGATATCAATGAATTCATTGATACGATATCTGGGTATAAATCCACGATCTCAGTCGGCTTAGGCACCATTACTATGTTTGTCAGCCTATGTTACATTAGTTGGGCTCTACTAACGTTCCTATAAGACGTAACGCCAAAATTTCTGAGAAGGTTCTTCAAGATTACAATGAGATGATCCAGGACACCGCGTATAATCTTGAAGTTCAATTACAGCGAGTTGATGAGAAAATGGCGCGATATCCCACCAACATCTCGAGCATCGATCTGAAAGATGAAAAAGAAGTGACGAAACAATGTCTTCGGATCTGCGAGGATGCGAGTCATTATATCGAATCTTTGACAAATCGGGAGTCCTCCCTCTTACACCCAGGGCCGCAAAATGCAACAGACGATGATGTGCAAAATTACTTCGAGGCACAGATGCTCACACGTCAGGCCCTGAATGAGAACCAAGATAGTTTCATAACGATTATTGGTCAACTTCGGAATCGCCTGGAGAACCTGATCTTGAAGAATGACCCTAATGACGAAAACGAGAGATCACGTTTACTAAGCGATATCAATACTTCTAAGCAGTGCTTAGAAGTTTGCAAGGTGGCAAGTGAAGTTTCTACCCAAAAGGTATACAGAGTCGGGGAAGTTGTTGCAGACGGCGATAGCGATCAAGTTGTGGTTAATACCTTGGCGGATCTATTTGATGTCAAGAAAGCGTTATCTCTGGGTAACTCTGCGCAGCTAGTTGGCTCGATGACAGAAGAAGCCCTTCGACACTTGACGGAAAAGCGTTATAACAGTCGGTTTGGAGCTTTCATCCAACCTGAAGCTAAAGGAAGTAGAGGCTCTTTCCCGTCCCCAGGTGATCATGATGGGCAGTCTCCTAGGCCAAAAGCAAGACATAATCCGTCCTCCAATGAGGTGAGAAAACGATATACGCGAGAGGACACATAATGAGCACATACGAATGAACCTATACATTATAAATATTGAACCAAACCCTCGGCGGGTTATTTCACTTACCGATAGTAGAGCTTGTGCGGGGTTGCCTGTCTCTTATATTAATTAGGGCATCTCATTTCCAGGAAAAATGAGCACGAAGAGGCCAAAAGAACCGATTTTACTGTCCCGGCCATCTTAGTTGCTGGACCTATGTGTGACCTTGAAGACCCCCCTCGCCATTTTGTCGCTGAAGAATCTTCCGTTCAACGGGCTTAAGAAAATATGAAAACGCTATACCTTTGTCCTCTGTTGGGCCATTTCAACGGGCTATAAATTTAGCGCCAAACTGCTTCCTGACTACCTGTGTTTCTTCGGTATGTATCTGGCTACCTTCGAGGACACAACCGCCTGTTCGTAACTTGGATAATATGTAATCACTACCTATTTGGACCAAAAAGTGTCAAAGCCGATATTGTCATTCCTACTGGCTATCCTAATGATGCTCTATTGTACAGATGGAGAGACACCTCTCCGTTACGCTGCCAAACCCCGTTAATTCTCTTAACCTCGGTATATGAAATCCAAAAATCCCACTGCTGTTTCACCCATAGAAGTCGTTTTGGGTATATTATCTGATCTCGCTTCTTTAGGATGGTGATGAGTTGGTCTTTGGGTAGATAATATTGTGTTTCTTCCATGCACTGCTTGCAAAGGGTATAAATGTTGATTCGCCTTTTCGACGGAAGAAGAAATGTCTAAAGCGTTGTAAAACTAGACCTAGGATCGTAGGGGATCACTTTAATACTCGCAGGCCACGAATATATATCTAAACAAGACATATATAACTAAGATACGGTCGCTTTGACTCTATATACTCCTATAACTTAAGAATATATAAAGCCCAATTTTTAACTGTATAGTTATATTTGTCGAGTGTCGCGGGGGTGAGTTTGCGGCGGGAAATAGTGTTTTCTTTTTCTTCTCGACTCTTCTAGTACTCTTGAGTAAATCCACGTAACGCGGTATATACGATGCTCTCCTCTAGAGCTTTTTGGATACCACTCTCATTAGATATAGTTCTATAAGAGGATAAAGAAGAAGGGGAATGCTGAAGCAACGAGTGTGCCCTCGTGTCCCGAATTTATGTTTCTGCAACCGCTTAGGCAACGGGGACCCTCTCACCTGTCTGGGTGAGAATTCTCACCCCGTTCTCACCCCTCTCACCCTGTTCTCAAATCTTCTCACCCATATCACCCATACTCACCCTCTATAACTTTCCCTCGCTATTTTAGAAGAACAGGGGTATTGAGGGCTCTTTGAGAATTGGCCATGCAGAACATGTGGCTTAAGTACGGCTGAGCGGACGGGAAGCCCTGTTCTCCACACCCTATGGTCGTATGTACTTAGTTCCTTACAATAATATATAATATATTCTTCTTTAAGAGAGAAAGACCGTGCGCAAGTAGGGTAAACGCCGCTTTAGCATCCCGTGACCGGGATGAGAAGCTTCATTCAAGAACCATTGAATCACCAACATTTGCCTACAATTTCATCACTAGCGTCTACGGGGAAATTGTTTTGCAGGCTGTCAGCATCCTGACTTTACTGCGGACATTGGGAGTGAAGCTGGAAGCCTGGGTTGATCGGATCAGCCTAGAGTTTGGTTGTGTTAAGCTGCGAGTGCATCAATCTAGACTGTATATCTGGACCAGCGCGCTGACTGTTTTCTGGTCAGTCAGTCTTTTTTTCCCCAAGTTAAGATGCCCATCCTCTCTATCTTGCAGTGAATACAGCACCCCTGCAATTTCGCCTGCCCAACCAGACTCCTCGGAAGTTTCGGGTGAATCCTCGCACAACATGTCTTAGTCCACTTCACATCGTATTAACCACGATCCAGAGAAGGTAAGAAATTTAGTCTTGTTACTTGAGCGTGAAACCTCAACCTATCATAATCTTGATTCCCTTCACAGACTTCCACTCGATAAAGAGCGCGCCAACAATGGACAGGGCCGCCATGCCGACAACGAGATACCACGTTCGCGTGAGAGCCTCGTTATACGCGACAAGCAGCGGTCGCAGGTACTGCGGCGGGACGAAGCTCCGCAGCTGTGTGGCTCCGTTTAGTAGGATAAGCGCCGGATCCAGCTGTGGGATATTGGCGGCCGCGACAAGCTTCATCAGCTGGTTTGTGAAGATACTCTGCCCGGCAGCAATGAAAATGGCGCCGCCAGCAGTCTCCGCAAACATGAAAACTGCAGTCCCGATGGCGATGTCCTGTGCAGGCAATGTGGCCTGGATGGCGATGAGCGGTTGCTGCATTCCCAAGCCAGCACCCAGGCCATAAAGAACCTGATATCCAATCCACTGTCTGGAGGAGGTGTCGATGGTGAATGTGGTGAGGAGGCCAGCGCCGATGCTCATTGTGACGGAGCTAGCGTAAATGAAGGGCGTATAATAGCCGATCGCGGTGGTGGCGCTGCCCACGATTATAGACATCACCACCACACTGAGGATTGACGGGAGAATCATGATACCCGAATGAAAAGCGCTGACACCCTTGACGGCTTGGAACCAGACGGAGATCTGCGGCAGAGCAATAAGTCTTGGGATTCTCGCAGAGGATGTTGATAAAGAAGAGAAAGGGAAAATATTGAATCTGTGGCTCACATAATATATCAACAAGAAGAATGATGCCCCAAAACAAGCCCCAAAGATAGCACATCCCCAAACGTTCCGATTCAGAAAGACGCGAGGAGGGACAGTGGCTCTCTCCCCCTTCCACACCTGGATCAGAACAAAGGCAATGATCAACACAGCGAAGACGATGAAGAGGGCAATGATGCGACCATTGGACCACGAGTACTTCGTGCCACCCCACTGCAAGGCCAATAGCAAGGACAAGATCCCAGGAAGTAAGCAGATGGTGCCTTCTAGGTCGAGCTGGGAGGTTTGCTGTTTCCAATCTACTCCGTCTTGACTTTTGCCATAAGAGTTGAAAAAGACAACGATGAACAAAGCAGTCAGGCCGCCAAAGGGAAGGTTAATGTAGAAACACCAACGCCATGTCAGCCGCGAGGTGAATGCACCACCCAGGAGTGGCCCTACAACGCTCGCGATGGCGAACATGGCTCCGATGAAGCCGATGTATGCAGGTCGTTGTCGCAACGGGACCGATTGGGCAATGATCAGAAGAGCTCCGGAAAAGAGTCCTGCAGCCCCTATGCCAGCAACTGCGCGGCCAGAAATGAGAACTGTGGAGTTCGGAGCTACACCGCTAATTAGGGACCCTAGCTCAAAGAAGCCGATGGCACTGAGAAACACCCATTTCACGTTGTACAGGGCGTAAAGCTTGCCGATGATGAGTTGAAAACTGCAGATGGTGAGCAAGTATGCGGTGGCGTACCTGGATGGCCATATTTCTCTATTAGTTAATTGATTCCAAGACGCCCGAGCCATTCTCTCATTGCCACGTACCATCCGACATCGTCCAGCGCATGGAACTCATCCGTTATGCGCGGAATAGCTGTCGCTACGATTGTTTCGTCCTAGTGAGAGATGAGAAGTTAGCCTGGCGTGGAAAGAGAACCCTTGTCATGGGCACGCGAATAATATAATTACCAATGCCATGCAGAACACTGCCATGCACAAGCCAATAGTAATGAGGATCAGTTTCCAACGCGCTGGGTACTCTTGGTCATCATGCTCTTGAGCTCTCCCATCTTCAAGGCTTCTCTCAGATTTGCGTTTGCCACCCTCTTGGCCATATCTGTTTATATCGTTCTCTCTTTCTGAATTCTGAACGGGTGTCTCCAGAACTGAGAGCTCGAGACTCTGTGTCAAGGCAGTCATGGGTCTAGTTTGTGGCCGGTTCTGATATGAACGGGGTGGAGACTCCCTAGAGTCGTGGGAATCTATTGAGATAGCGTACCGAGTGAGAGAAGACAGCGAGAGAATGATCGCGAATTTTGGCCAAGTCAGGTAAGGCAGAAGAGGATGGGATTTACTTTCGATTATCCCACGCTCCGTTGGTTGGATAGAAAGAGGGGATAATATATAAACAATCCAGCACGGCGAGGGAGAGAAGAAACGTACTTTACCATATCCTTGAATACGGAGGAGAACAGGTCCCTATTTATCGGCGACCGTTCATCTGGTAACTGGAACCCGTCCCCACATTTGGAAATGGATATATGCTTGTTGGATTTACGAGTACGAGTGGGCCAATTAGCAACGCCGAAACATACCCCCGAAACCCGCCCCACACGGGAAACCATAAACTATGCTCATACTCATGGTTGAGCAGAAGCATGTTGAAAATAGTCTGTTCGCAATATAATTATGGGTCTGTTATGTAAATCGCATGCCAAACATCATAAAAACTTCGGAAGAGACTCCTTGTGACCAATCGTCGTCTACCGGGGCGCAGTTCAGGGACGTCCGAACTCGCACCCAATCGACTTGTAGCCAGGAAGCAAAGCAGAGATCATAGCAGCCTCACTGACTCGGCCAACGCTGAGATCCAGATACTCCGTTTGACAGTGCCACTCATTGTCAAGGCCATTCGGTTTCGTGAGGAACGTAGCTGCATAGAGATTTCCTCCGAGTACGCTCGCGGGCTGAGCCGCAATGTAGAAATGATGTACGCGGACATGCTCGGGAGGCAGGGTATCCTCGTTCGGAACAGCGCCGGGAGGCAAACAAAGATATCTCTCTTCATATTCCATGATGCGCGAGAAGATGGTATGGTAGTGGTCAGCATCGAGCAGACATTCCCGCTTCGAAGTCTGTAGGAGCAAGGCCAGCGCCCTACGGCGAAGAAGCGGCCAGCGACACTTCCAGGCGACCACTTGGAGGGGGAAGATCATTCCCAAGTCTGCCGAAATCCTTCTGCAGGGCTCATCGGGAAAGTAATGAGGATCTGAAAGCAACGACTCGGCCAGCCGGATCATTTCCTCGTACTCAGCTTTGTACGGGTCCCATGCGGTCTCGGTACCGGAAATCCATGTATGTGACTCAATATTTGCGCAATGCCACATGAGTCGGACGAAGTCTGCAGCGCTTTTTTCCTCTTTTCCCCAAACCTCTTGGTGCCGTCGGACAAGGTTGTCCCAGGCTGTCTTCCAACTCTGCAATGTAGAGCTCAGCCAGCCGGACTCGATGAGGGCCTCAACAATGGGTTTCTCTCCGTGAAAAGCGGACTCTGCGGTAATACCTTGAGTGAGCCTGATACCGGCTGTGAGAAGGTCCATGAGCCCGACTCTTGCTTCACTGACAGTCTCGAAGGATTCCCCAAGAATCAGTGACCCATCAAGGTTGACCGGGTTAAGGAAAACGTCTAAGAACGGCCGACGGCTGCACTCGGACGAGGCTAGATTTAGACAGCTTAGCATCGGAGCCAGTTCTGTCTCCACGAAAGACGACTCAAACGAGGGGTACCGCTGCCCCCATGGCCCATTAGGACCTCGACCGGAATTCTCGCGCCAGCTCTTAAAAATATTGATTCCGGCCGTGATGTGGCTCAGAGCTTCGTCGACATTGCGGCGCAAACATTCGAAGGATGTGAATATAATACAAGCCATGATGACGATAGATATATTCCGGTCCACGACAGCCTTGTCGACAACCGAACGGATTGCCCGATTGTACGACTGAAGCGCGAATACTAACAGGCCATCTCCCGTGCTATAGGGTGAGGTATCTCTGAAAGCCTCCACCTCATGGAGCGCAGCTAGCGCTGCAATACCATGGCGAATAGCGGGCTCAGTGAGACTGAATTGTAGAACACTGCCCTTCCAGAAAGATCGTCCAAAGAAACCTGCCAGTTGGGGGGCAGTCTTACAAAAGAAAAATTCCAGAGCTCTATTCTCTCTTGAAGAGGTTGAGCTGTTGACTATGACTAGTTCTTGGGAGTTGCTGACTGATTGGGTGATTGGGATGTATCCATCGCATTTCCTTCCAGTACTAGTGCACCTGGACGTAACGAGTTAGGGGAGATAGGGCTAAATGCCCGATGGGGAATCACAAGCACGTACCTAACACACTGCGGCTTACTTTCATCACACTTTACCCGTCGAAGTCTTCTTCGCGATTAGAAAGGCAGCGGTAGAAGGGGGCAAGTAACTGACTTGCAGGTTATGCAACCGGTTCGCACTTTCGGCTTGCTCGCTCTTGATTTCTTGCAAGCTTCTGCAATGACACCCCGAGGCTCAAAGTTCATAGTTATTTTGAAGTCGTAACAGAGCACAAGACGAGCTTTGCAAGAAGGAAGGATGGAAGATGCATTGAGGCGAGATGGTCATTGAAGATCGGGCCCTCCGCCTTCTTACACCGCTATTTTCTGCCACCTATATTCTGCCAAGGTAAGAAAGACGTTATAGATTTAGAACTGTACAAAAACTTTGCCGCCGAAGCATGGCAGGTGTTTCACTACGCATGTCGCAGCGTAGGGTCAACAATAAACGTTGGCCGCCCTGAGTGTTGGCCACCTGACCATCCCCCTGACTACCCTCTAAGCATACCCTGAGCCATCACTGATTTCCACAATCTGCTTTAGTCTCCTCGACTGCTCTAATTTTCAATCTATGAAATAGGTCATTAGAGAATTTCCTCTATATCACTGTACTAAAATACTGAATATTCCGTCTCTCCTTCCCTGCATTTCATCGAATAATTAGAGCGCTATTTATGCCTACACACGTCACGTTTATACGAGGCCTTGTATAGTTCACTAGAAATGAAATCGAAGAGATATATAAAATATAGGCGCGATTTAGAAATTGGTTTCGCACAAAGTCATAAATAATTAATTACACGATTTTAAAATCTAACTTCCTAGACTCTAGTATGCTAGCTCTTCGCTGCGTGTAAAGACGGTAAACCTCCTTAGTATGTATGTCTTCGAAGATATATCTTATGTAGCAGATCAACTTTATATATAACATCTTCGATCATTTAAGTGTCACCGGGATGGGGGTTAAATAAGATAAACAACGTCCTGTTGCACGCACACCGCTGGCCAAGCGGCCAATCATGTGCTCCGTATAGCTAAGTTGGCTTTCAGCGGAAATGCATAACAAAAATATTGTCCTGACACGGACCTTTATTTTCAGCGTGGGTGGCAAAGTTTTCACGATGGCCTGGGTGTAGTTATCCCAGCACATCCTCTCTCTAGCCGGATGGAGCCAGTGCGGCATTATTACGAGCGGAATGCAGAATCCATTGGGCATCGTCATGTCCAACGTCATATTTGTGCTGATGTTGGATATTCATGCTGACGTTGGACGTCTGTGCTGCACCTGCTGCGGGGCAAGGCAAATAAGTATCCCATTGAGCCAAGCCATTTGAGCATATTCGCAACGAAGCAATATTTTGAAGCACCCCGAAATTGAACACGGTTCAAGATGGCATTCATACCAATGGCATCTTCCTTGGGAAGCTCAGTATTCTCGATCGTTGCGGCTTCAGGTCTGCATCCTGCACTTAACGTTCTAATATCTGCACTGATACTGGTGAATATGAAGTCGTCTCACAACCCTTTCTTCTCAAATCTTATTAGCCTTTTTAATATAGGGATCCCTCTACTTCATCGGAATAATAGTCTACAATGTATTCCTTCACCCTCTTGCCAAGTACCCCGGTCCTATATCTATGGCCGCTACCCGCCTACCCTACCTTCGCTTTACCATAGCTGGCCGGTCCGCCCAATCGCTCAAGACACTACACGAGCATTACGGCGAAGTTGTCCGCATTGCCCCAGATGAGCTGTCCTTCATTAATGGCGACGCCTGGAAGATAATCTACGGAACTCGTCCCGGACACGGCCAAAAACCCAAAGACCTGCGGCTCTACCCCCCAATTAGCGGAGCACCCAGCATTATCACCTCCAACGACGCAGACCACAGCCGCTTCCGACGACTCCTATCCCATGCCTTCTCTGACAGTTCTCTTAGAGGCCAAGAGCCGATCATCAAGAACTATGTGGATCTCTTAATGAAACGCCTCCACGAAAAGTCCGAAAACGGCAAACAGGTACTAGATATGGTGGCATGGTACAACTTCACAATATTTGACATTATCGGCGACCTGGCATTTGGAGAGCCATTTGACTGTCTCAAGAAATCAACCTACCACCAATGGGTGGCCATCGTTATGTCGCACGTCAGTTACAGCGCATACACAAACGTCACTCGGCGCTTCCCTGGATGGAAACTCATTTGCAAGATCATTACACCTACCAACGTGATGAACTCAAGGAAGCTGCATTTGCAACTTACAAAGGAGAAAGTCAAACGAGAGACCTGATTTCTTCGGAAATATTTTGAAACACAAGGATACCGAGAAAGGGTTCAGTGTTGCGGAGATGATTAGCAATGGGAGTACACTCATTATTGCTGGGTCTGAGACCACTGCGACGCTGCTTTCCGGAGCGACTTATTTGTTGCTGAAAAACCCGCGGGTACTGCAGAAGCTTCAAGAGGAGGTTCGGACAGCGTTCCAATCCGATAAGGAGATTACGCTGGATACTTGCAACAAGCTTGAGTATATCCACGCTGTCCTTACGGAGGCACTGAGGATGTATCCTCCGGTGGCGGGGGGTCTTCCTCGTTTTGTCGATGCATAAGGTGACATGATCGCTGGACGCTGGGTTCCAGGTGGTGTGAGTACCAGGCCAACCTTTTCGTCAAAAGATGTTTATTTAACTGACCTGTGGACAGACTATCGTCTCCGTTGCCCAGTTGGTCGCGTACCATTCTGCATTGAACTTCACCCATCCCGATCAATTCATCCCCGAGCGATTCCTCGATGACCCTCGATTTGCAAACGATAGCAAGACTGTGCTACAGCCTTTCAGCTTCGGGCCCAGGAACTGTATCGGGCGAAAGTAAGTAACACTTCGCGGAGACTACGAGGGGATCAACCTCGTGTTAACAACATTCTTAGTTTGGCGTACGTCGAGATGAGAATAATTCTCGCTCGCATGATCTTTAACTTTGATATGGAATTGGACCAACCGTCTGATGAGTGGATGGACCAGAGTTCCTATATTCTATGGGATAAAGGGCCTTTGATGGTTCGGCTTACTCCGCGCGTGAAGAGGCAGTAATGATGATATGAAAATAAGCAAGTACGGGTGGCCACCGACGACAAACTGGTTATTATTCAATGTTTTGTGCTTACGGGTTTTAATGGATTTGTGGAGATTCAGAATGGAGGTAAACGAGTGCATCAAATTTGACGACGTTTCATTTTTCCTTTTGGACTACGTTCTTCCATATAGCTATCGATCCGCCGATATGGTTCTTCTCAGGCTTCAGTAAGCACGACAATAGCGTATGGAGCGACATTGACACTGTTGCCAGCGACCTTCTCCGTCCGCCAAGGGTTACCGCCGGTGCTCACATCCACGATCTCAGCAGTTCCACCCTGGAAGCCCGGGACCTGGATACCGGCCACCTGATCCAGCTTGTTCACTAACAAAGTCCTTTTCTGACCCTGGGAAGTCTCAAATGCCTGCGCGTGGATCTGGGTCTCATCACTGGTAGTCTTCACAAGCTTGTCACCAGGACGAAGACTAGCCTGAATCAACTGAAGCGCACGGAGCCGGGCAGTGGGCAGACCGGTGTGATAGTCAATCAAGGATACGGACGGGTATTGACCCGGATATCCGCTCAGCTGACTCTCGCCGATAGCATCGATACCCACAACGGCCAGCTTGGAAAAAATGTAGGCATAAATTCCTCCGCTCCATACCCAGTACTCCTCCGGGATGGTGTAGTTTGGATACACGGTCGTCGATCCGAGTGGATCCATAGTGCCGAGCTCGTCGATGGTGGTCTTGGTATGAGGCGAGATCTGCCTTCTGGCTGCCTCGATCTGCACGACTTCTCCGAGGAACGTGTCGGCTTGCTGGAAGCTCTGTGCAGCTTCATTCTGCGTAGTGGAGTTGTCGGGTGTCGCGTAGAAGTGGTAGCTGATCCAGTCCAGGGGCGTGCCGGCTTTGTGGTTGGCGGGATTCAGGAATGACTGGACCCAAGTCACATTCCGCGTGGCCAGCGCAAGACCTACGAATTGGGTGTTGGGGGATACCTCGTGAATAGCTTCAGTAACTGCATCGTAGATCCGGTTGTACAGATCGGGCTGAATATCGTGTTCCGAGTCGGGCTCGTTGAGAATCTCCCAGAACTCGATGTCGAGGTGGTGGCCTGACTCGTGGTAGACACCGCACTCGTCGGTGAAGCCGCCCTTGACGTACCACGACAGAAGCCGGCGGTAGTAGTCGGAGATCTCTTTCAGGGAGGGATCGCGCAGCTGGGTGCCATTATTGTAATTCCAGTCAATTGTGTTGACGTCCTCGGGATACGTATACGGGGTATCTGTGACCCACATCCAGTCGGGCGTAGTACTAAAATTAATGATATGCGATACATCGGGAGTGCTGGCCATAAAGTCAAGCAGCAATTGATCCGCATAGGAAAAATCCCAACTGGTGGAGCAGTGGGTCTCGTTGATGACGGGTGCATTGATTTCAGGAACCGCCAGGCGAGGATAGGGGAACCACGGCACGTAGCGAACGTAGTCGGCCGCGACGGTACGTAGGGACTCGAGGGCATTGACGCGAGTACTACTGTTGGACAGCAGAGGTGGATTGGCTACAGACTGTAGAGTGGCAGTTGTCTTGGACTCCATCAGCACATCGTTCCAATCGATATCGACCGCAAGGCCGGTTCCATTGCGGCGGTGGAGAGCGAAGCACCAAGCGGACGCTGCAAAGGCAACCACGCGCAAAAAGTGGGTAACCATTTCAAAGTAGATTTATATCTATCGGTTCTATAGAATTTGGCCCTATATCGACTACGGGACTTTATGTACCTTCAGTTTGCCGTTGCCCCTAGTCAGCACCAGTAAACACTCAGAGCCATAATATGATAGGGAAGCGGGCAGACAATGCACCGAATGCAACTTGAAACTTCAATCTCAGTCATAGCGGAGGGATTTGAGTGCGAGATCGCCAGTGCTCGAGCTCTTAGGTTGCATTGTCGCAGCCGGGTTGATTACGTTCCGGAACTGTGTCGCCATTAGGGTCCACCAAAATATAGATTGTAGGGGCTCGGTGGCGCTCGTGGCTGCATAAAGAAGCCTCACCGTGGAAGCCGCGAGGCCATCGAGGCTTGTTTGCCGCACTTTTTACTCAAAAGGGCGCCACGTCAGCCGGGGCGTGCGGGGACGGCCCACTGTTTTCCCACAATCCTTCAACTTTCGGTTCTCGGTGACGCCGCCACTCCGCAAAATCCCCAGGTTTTGTTTGACTCGGGCCAATAACATGGCGTGCGTCGCCACTGCGTCCCGGTCTCTTTTGTGCCGAGGAGCTGCAGTTCGGTCAATCATCACCGCGAGCTTGCTAGGATGTGACCTTCAAAAATGATCATGATCAACTCCTTGGGCCCCAGATTCCCCAGCGCTGCCTTCTGCGTCTTTCGCGTCAAGAATAATCAAGGCCCTCGATATGGGACTGAGTGGGAAATATTTGCACTGGACGGTGACAGGTACTTGCCATTCGAACTTGCCGGGCTGATGAACAGAGACTGATTGATGCAGCCGCCAGCTGTCAGGCCTTTCTTCTCCTGGGCTATGATCAGGGTGTTATGAGTGGGTTGGTGGGAGCCAACAATCAGTTTGGCAAGCAGTTCAACCACCCTGATGCTACGATGCAGGGGATCTGTACGTCATATCTCCGATCTTCTCGGTGCATTATTTAATCAGTGCAGTGACCTCGATTTACGATATCGGCTGCGCCGTCGGATGTCTTCTCAGTTTCATCGTTGGCCACCGAGTTGGTCGTAAGCGGATGATTATCGCAGGTGGCTCCATCATGGTTATTGGCACGATTATCCTGGGCTCTTCGTACAGTACCGCGCAGTTCTTGGTCGGCAGAGTTGTAACCGGCTTCGGAAACGGCATCAACAGCAGCACGGTACCGACATACCAGAGTGGTAAGCACCGCGTGGGTTTCCCACTTCAATCGAGATCGCTAATTCTGTCATCAGAAATGGCCCGACCGGAACACCGCGGTAGACTTCTCTCCGCGCAGGGCACAGTGACCATCGTGGGTCTCTGTATTGCATACTGGATCGACTACGGATTAAGCTTTGTGGACTCGCCTGTGCAGTGGCGCTTCCCGATCAGCTTCCAGGCATTCTTCGCCGTTTGTCTTGTGGTTCAGATGCTCCCTCTTCCAGATACTCCTCGCTGGCTTTGCGAACAAGATCGGAGCGACGAGGCTGCCTCTATTCTAGCCCGCCTCCAACTCGAGCAGCCCGCGAATGAGTCTACACCCGACGTCGTGCACCTGCGTCGCCAGATTGAGACATCCATTGAAATCGAGTCTGCTGGCGGACCCTTCAAGTACAAGGAGCTTCTGTGGGGGGGCAAGATTCAAAACCTTCGTCGCATGATCCTTGCGGGTCTAGTCAATGTCCAGCAGCAGTTCACTGGATCAAACATGATCAATTACTATGCACCCGTCGTCTACCAAAATGCCATGCACCTCTCCCGCAACCTGTCCTTGATTCTTGGCGGCTGCACCTCTCTCGCATATCTCTTCGGATCAATCATCCCCCTGTGGAGTATGGACCGGTTCGGTCGCCGAGCCTCACTCATGTTATCTGCGGCCGGTCTTTGCTTCTGTTTCGTGATGGTCGCTATCTTGCTGTCGATCGGCTCCACGCAATGTGCGTATGCTGCGACCGCATTCGTTTTTATCTTCCAGATTTTCCTAGGATTTGGATACTTGCCCGTTCCATGGTACGTCTTTTAGGCCTTTATACGCAGTGGAAGTCACTAACATACCTCTCAGGTTCTATCCTAGTGAAATCACCACCACTCGCATTCGTGCCAGAGGTCAGGCATTTGCAGGTTTCATCAACTGGATGTGTGTCTGTAAGTTACGATCAGTGATTCCATCAGATGTGCTCCCATGCTTACTTCTGCAGTCATCGTTGTGCAAGTAACGCCAACCGCAATTGATAACATCGGGTGGAGGACATTCATTATTTTCGCCTGCTTCTGTTTCTCATGGGTATGCCACAGTAGAATATTGGTTCCAGATCTATATACTGACTTCAAACAGATCCCAATGGTATACTTCTTCTTCCCCGAAACCAAGGGACTGGAACTGGAGGATGTCGATCATCTTTTCGAGGCCGGCGGTATCACCGGGGGCGTTTTTGCGTCGCGTGGATACCCCGTCCGGCCAGGGTTCCACCGCAGCCAAAATACGGACAGGATTGAAAAGCCCATTACTGAGCACGTTGAGGCTGGGGCAAATGTATAAGCATCTCGCGGTATTAATTAAGGAACTTGGAAAACCACGATCAAGGAATCTGAATCGGCTCGCACCCGAGGGCCCACCCAAAGAATTTGTATGTGATTACGATATCAAATATGTATAATTGTATAGGTATGGATGCAAATTCGAACATGGAACTACCTAGGTACATACTGCAACGTATATAAATGCTGGCTCTGGCTAGTTAAACAAATTGAAATCCCCGGGGCCCTCCCGTGGGATCTCCTGGGGCATAAACCAACGTCCTGCCATGGATACTACATCTCAGACTTCATCATGTAAAACTCCTGCGATCCCTCCGAGTCTGTGGGGCTTCCCCCCTCAACGACCTCCTCCTTCTCAAAGATCCGCGACACCTCCTCCAGAGACTTACCCTGAGTCTCCGGGAAGAACAAATAGACAAGCGCCAACACGACCACCAGGCAACCAACATAAATGGAAAAGTATCTCCAGCGAAGAGCATCAAATGCCACCGGGTTGACATATTGATTGAAGAAGCACGCCAAAGAGTCCGTCGTAAGCGTGATAGCAAGACCCTTGGCGCGAAGCTGAAAGGGGAGGATTTCGGCTGGGTAGGCGATGAATAGGGGCATATATGCAAAGTCGTAGGCTGAACAGAAGAGGAACAGCATCGGAACCACTGCGATTCCGGCTGCCAATACATTCATTTGTGCGAACAGTCCGGCCATGATTTCAGATGTTGATAGGAATATCAGCATCAGGGTTGTTGCGCTGAGCCAGAGGGTTCGGCGTCCGTATTTGTCAGATGTGCTTGCTCCGGCGACGGCAAATATTAAGTTCCACACTTGGAGGCTAATGTTGACCGCTGCTTGATGAACGGCGTCTTTGATGCCGACAGATGCAAGAATTGGAGGGAGGTAGTAGGAAGTGACACCTGGAGAAGTTAATTAGCGACATCCTTCTTTTCGATTGATGCATGTAGATCATACCGTTTCCCGTCCATTCTTGCATGAAGCCCAGCAAAATACATATCGCCAGGCGATGAAGATCGCCTTTGGTTTTGAGGAAGGTAGACCAGCGACTGGCTGACTGCATGTCCGCTTCGGCGCTGATACTGCTGCAGATTTGATCATATTCGTCATGGACCAGTTTATCAGTCGGATCACCGTTTGCATGGTATTGAGTGAGCATAGCCAATGCATCCGCTTTGCGATCCTTTGCAACAAGCCATCTCGGACTCTCCGGAACGAAGAACAGGCCCGTCAGCTGGAAAAGAGGGTAGAAGACCTGCAGCATGCATGGAACCCGCCATGACCAGTCATTATGAATAGACAGTGTGGAGAACGCAACACCCGCGGCTGTGATAGACCCGCAAAACCAGACAGCATTATAGAGACCAGTGAGCGTCCTTCGCTGCCGCGGATGAGCAGTTTCTGCAATCAGCAACGGTGCAGCCGTTTGTGAGAATCCCACACCTATTCCAGTCACCACTCGGGCACCGAAAAATACCCAGTGCTGCTTAACAGCTACTTGGACGATTGATGCTATTATGACTAGCGTGGAACCGATGGCAACGGAAAGACGTCGGCCGAAATTGTCGGCAACATATGAAGCGGGAATGAAGGCTAAGAAAGATCCAAGAGAGACGGCAGCAATGATGAGGCCTTTGACGTTTGTGTCGAGCCCACTCAAGAACTTGTTGACTGTCTCCTATTAGCCTTCACTTGTACCCCAGGAGCTGCTTGAACGTAGAGAAAGACTCACACTCTGGAAGCACAAGGAGACTGTTAATCTGGCTGGCATTGTATCCGGAAGTAGCAGAAGCAGCTAGCATAAAAGCTATGCCAAGGTTAAGTTTCCTGAGGCCAGCATCTCCAGTCGATGTAGACAAAACCATGATAGCAGTCGTTCCTGCAAAAAAAAATCCGCTTTGGCCATCAAGGACCGTCCCTCCTTAATAAAGCTAAGCAAGCTCTCTCCATCAGGCCAAGGCAGCGGACATTTATTCGGACAATTGTGACGCTGTACATTCTTCGCGTGTTCTTGTGCCGATCCTGCCAATATAGGTCACGAATGATGACTCCGGGTATTGGAATGTAGGGAGAAATTTTGACGGAGCCTAACGGAACGAGTGATGCAGTGGACCACTGTCAAGACCCTAATTTTTGACACCTCTTCGGATTTAGTTATATGCAAGGAATTGTTATTCCGTCTTTGCCGACGAATGGGCTTCTTGGGTCGCCAAACTCGGCATTTTCTTATCGGAGCTCCGCGGCTCAAGCTGTTCTTCCGGGTAAAAGATAATAAAGCTCCCCATTTGATGACGTATAGCTTTTGGAGCTTTGGCCCCGAGGCCAAACAAGGAGGTGAGCTCGACGTTTCTCGTGGTACTTATGACCGTTGATGACGAGATTGTAGGGGCTACTGGCCGGGGTTACCACCACAGGGGGCAGTCAGTAGACGCAAAAAAAAAAGGAAAAGAGATAAAGAAGAAGACCAATGAGAATAGAAAAACAAAACATAAGAACATACAACAGCAGGGATTCGCTGGTGGTCACCCACCCAACTACTAACCTGCCGGCGTGTGGCTTAAGTACGGCTGAGCGGACGGGAAGCCCTGTTCTCCACACCCTATGATCGTATGTGCTTGAATACTGGTTGAGCACGTTCATAAGGGCAGCTGTATGATAGACAGGGTGCGTATCCAACCGGGGATCGCATCCGAGGTATGGGCCCATGCTTAGACGTGACTCGCGCGGCACACACATGGTTCCGGAGCATCTGCATGTCGCCATTTTAAGATTTAAGGTCTACAACATCATCACGGGGCTCATTCTACCAACTCGGGATCAAGTGGTGGTAAAAAACGTCTAGGGATGGAAAGTCCGTGGTTTGCGGTTGCTGTGCGATAAGGATATGTAATAAACCGGCAGGCTTGTTCAAATACCAAACCTGAGCTTAAATTCATTATGGTATGGATACCAGTTAACGGTGACGATAAAAAATATATGTTTGATGAATAAAAGGGACTTTAAATCATCCATGCAAGGTTGGTGAGTTACATAACGATGCCCAAGTGGAGAGAAAACTTCTCTCACGCCTAGTGGCTTGACTGTCTTTAGAAGGATCTAGTAGACCCCGAATCCATCTCCCTATAGTCCTTTGTGTTACAACCCCAAAGGAAAAAGGTCGTCCGTAGCACTATCGAAGATGTAACACTAAGAAATTACCTAATTGTGGGCGCGTGCATTGATTGGCTCTGAAATTGATGTACCACCTTAGTAATTTCTCCATTCTCTATCGTCATCCTAAGCTGAAAGAGGAGAGACGAAAGATTCAAGGGACCCCCAGTTGAACAAAAACCAAGCTTCCATCACACTGCATCAATCTTAATCAAAACCTTGGAAAAGTGTTTCTTTTCCTTGAGGCGTTTGTATGCACTCTTTCCCTCGGCAAGCTCAAAAACAACATCATCAACCGCAGGCACAATCTTCTTGTCGTCAATGAAGTGAACCAACTCCCGGAACTGGTTTCGACTTCCTGCGAGGATACCACGAACGATGCAGGTGTGCAGAAGAGCTGCAAACATGGGCACGACCTCTGTGGTCTCCCCAACTCCACCGACCACCAGAACGATTCCGTCCACGCATACGGCCACCAGTGACTGAGACAGAGTTTCGTTGCCACCCACATCGACCACAAAGTCCAAACCTCTTCCATCTGGAGTCAAGCTTCGAACTTCCTCTCCCCAGCCCTTAGGATTGGTACGGTAATTGACAACGTGGGTCGCGCCAAGAGTCCTGAGCCGAGCAGCTTTCTCCTCACTCGATGTGGTAGCGATGACAGAGGCACCAGCTGCGACAGCGAGCTGCAGAGCAGCAATACTGACCCCGCCCGTGCCTTGAACGAGCACCCATGAGCCCGGCCCCGCTTCCCGGCCCTTCAAACCAAACAGAGCGTTCCACGCGGTGACCCAGGTACAAGACAAGGTGGCTGCCGGAAGGAAATCCAATGATTTCGGTGCGTGGACAAGGCCCGCTTCAGAGAAGACACCGTGACTCCGAAGCGTGCCCTCGATCCCTTGACCTCGAGCAATCATGGCATCGGAAAGGCTAGGAAGTGCATCGTCACCACGAGATTCCACTAGTTTCGGTGCAACGTGCATAACAACTCGATCTCCAGGACGGAAATCGCGGACAGCTGATCCGACATTTGTGACAATGCCTACTCCATCACAGCCTGGAATAATGGGTGGCGTGATTGGTCCATTGATACCCTAAAAAAGATCAGCAAGAATATGGTGCTGTGAGTTGCTCAAGACATACCACGGGTCCTGCGACTACCAGTTCACGATAATTCAGACTCGCAGCATGCATGGTGACAAGGACATCGTGAGGCCCCAAATCTTTCGCCGACGGTAGATCAAGACCCTCCTGGTACTCAAGGGACGTTTCAAAGCCTTCTTGGCCGGTCAAAATCCATTGTCTGGCCATGTCTGACCTTGTGCTGAATTGCTCTGTGGTTTCTGCGAGACAAACGAATCTTAGGAGAAGATATACGAAGGAGGTGGGTGAGCTGTAGGGGTCGAGGACGCTCTTTAAGTATGCTGGGTTGACGAGAAGGGTTTCCTGTCAGTTTGTACATTTCGAATCTGATTTTCCTAATTAGGAAAATGAGATTTACAAATGGGAAAGGTAGGTTTCCTAATTTGGAAAATCAGATTTGGTGGGTATCAGCGGGGCATTTCATTGGCTCCACTATAGTCAGGTCACTTGGCAAACCGCAACATGAAGCATTTGTTGAATCTATTCTTACTCCCGGGAATGATTTATCATCAAAATATCAATATTTGCAATCCAGATTGGTAAGAAATGTTAGCTAGTGGCTTCCTATGCGTAGGGGTTTCACACTCCGCAACAGGCGTTTTAAGCGCTAAGCTCAACGGTCTTTCAATCTTCTAGCTCAATAGCTCAGTGGCATAATTCCTTCCAGAGTGCTTGGATCTGCCTCGTCAGGCCCCCAGCCGGCATGTTCCTATCTTGCAACAGGCTTAAAGGTTCGTTCCAGCCACGTAATCTCAACGCCCGCGCCTCCCTTGCCATTCTGTCAAAGAACCACGCCCTCGTGGGCGAGTTTTCATCTGCAGCAATAGCTCCAATCATAAGTTGAAAGGAAGTAAGGTTCATATAGGAGCAGCCTTGAATCGGAAACAGACATATTGCTTCTTTCAGTTCACCAGCAAGAAGAGTCAAATGAGCTCCAGACTGGGAGGGCCAGAGAAGATAGAGTACCAGTTCTATCGATCGTGCGGTGGCCTGGACGTATATATCGTCGATGGTTCGGAGAGCGCGTACTTTGTAATGTAGAGTGGCCAAAGGCTCCTCAATTTCTCGCGCAACCAAATTCGAGTCGAATTTCTGGTGATCATGGGAATCGATCTTTTTTTGAAGCTGGATAACACTGTCACAAATTGCCTTTATTCTTGTGATACTTTGGTCACTGCATTCGATCAAGATTTGGAGAATGCGCTCGTGATATACTCGTGGGAAGTTAAATATAGCGTTAACGGAATCCCTGTCGATACTGTCAGACATGTTCATCCAAAAATCAAAGGCGCACCGACTGGACAACTAGACCAGTAAGCCAGGATGGTGGCGGGGTTGTGCTTCGGGATTGCCTTTCTTTGAGAATTTGTGCCAGACCATCTATATGGACGTTCCAAGCAACATCATCGTTTTCTAGAGAAGCACCGAACGCCATTGTAGTGACTGCTCCGAGAACGCCATCCGTCGAGGTCATTGTAGATGCTATCCGTCGCTTGATGAGATTAATAGCTGTACATGAATGCTGGTAGGATTCCATTTGCCAGCAGTCATCTGGCGACCAGAGTCGCACAGCTATAGCCATTGTCGATTCGATCAACGCTGGGTCTGATGCAATCAGGTTGAACCAAGCCGCTTCACTTGCGCTGACTGGGGGGCGAATGCCTTCCAGGAAAACAAGTCTCTGTAGATCATGTACTGAAGATAATGAGCAACATTCAAGTATACTTCAAAATTATTACATACAAGCTTTTGGGTCACGAGCGGCATCGGATACGGGTGGCAAAATCATGTTTAGGTTGTTTTCGTTGGCCGCGGAATGTTTGTTATTTATCGACAGCTGTCGGAAGTTTTCCCGTGCGACGGTATTTTTTTCTATTTCTGACTCGGGTGAAATAGAGTTGTTGATCCGCTGGCGTCTTTTCGCGAAATTTGTTTTCGTGATATGTGCCCTCATCCGTTTAGCGGCCGGCCGAGAAAGACTCGACGCCCCAGTTGTATTCAAGAATAGGAAACTTGATTGCTCCATAGCCTCGATCTTAACACGAAAGCCTGGGGCTAGTAGGGGCTAGTTGGATTGATGAAATGGCCTTTCAACGGCGTTTTTTGGAACGGGAAAAAGATAAGATGCTCGCAGCCCCATGCTGGCGACGAAGCTCAATCACGTGCCATTTTCGTGTTTGCTTTTGTAGATCTCTCTTCTTCCTCCTTTCTTCGGCTTCACTTTCCTTGGGATTGACAGGGCAGTGAAGCCTCTTTCGCTGATGCGAATAGTCATCTGCATTTCCTGTAATTGCCCAGATTAGTGCATAGTCTTCTCACCAGGGGCTTGTTATTACCTTCGTCTTCCGTTTGCTTATCTTGGAACATCGCTGGACTTTCTGCCACTCCAGCCTCGACATTGTCAGTTTCCTTCCAATATCTTTAAGCACCCAGAAGAAGGCCCTGGCAAACGCTCACTACACTACAAAATGCTCGATGAAACCGATGTGATGCCATTCGGCCATCTGCCTTTCGATTCTTACGTTATGGAGAGACGAGCTAAAAAAATAGGAGTCTGTCACATGACCAGGGGACAGAGAGCAATAAGGTGGCTCATTGACACTGTATACGAATCCCTTGAGAAAGATATGAGAATCTTACATTATTAGTATTGAACATAGATGGTCCCATAGACACTCACGACTTATTTCTCGGTGTGACCCAAAACTACATAGAGATAGTCACCCAGATGCCCAGTGACTAGTGAGGCTCTACCCTAAGCACAGAAATCGTCCCATGATTCTCCCACATTGTGTACGGGGCTTATTCACATAGATTTCTATTAGAGAAGGATCGGAGCACGGGGGTTTTGAAGCATTTATAAGGCTAAGGTACAAGGGGGAACACGAGGGAGGATGGGACTTACTTTTGCATTGGAATCATGTGGGAGATCGACTGTTTATTTGATCATCCTAGCTGCTATTTAACCAATGAGAGATCACTAATTGGTAGTAATGTCGGGGGTTGAGCCACAGAGCCCTTTAACTTAATGTAGAACTAGAGAGCTATCTTCAAAGTTGTGATTGGACACACCACTCTATCTGCAAGTTAGAGCTCACATTCCCTCGTTCATCTGAGCATTTTTGTCATTTTTGTCATCTCCTGCGATCTCTTGTGGAATGACATTCATTTTTGACCCTACATATTAAAGTCACGATTCCGTAAAAATTTACGACAAAGGGGCCGCACCGAGGTACTCCGAAATCTGCAGGCGTTTCCTTAACCAAATCTACCATTCTCAGTCCTGTGCAGTAATGCAGAGAATTTACTGCCCAAGAAAGAATGGTATTTAAAGAACTGAAATCTCCCCCGTTATAAGCCCATATCACATAAACTCAAACTCAAACATTCACAATGTGGGTGGTCGAAGCTACGGCCTCTTTGGCCACTTTGGCCTTCCTGAGTAGTACTGCATCGGCAATCAGCTCGGGCCGACATGCGGCTCGGCACGGTCTCCTCCAGATACCCCCTTCCTTCGCACATGATGGGGTCAACTTATATCCGGCACTTCACCCTGAGCACAACTCCAGTGACCTCGACCACCTGGTCCCTCAAAATTCCAAGGAGCTGTACTACAGTCAGGAAGGACACCGGCGTCAGTCTCCCAACCCATATACCCCTAATCAAATTTGCTAAGTGGACTCAGCCGCCTTGCATGGTGCCAAACATGCTCAACTGCAAGCAACTTTTTCGAGTCCCACGGTCGTGTTGGAGCATTCAAGCCACATCAAAGATGTTACCTGCAGTGATGACCACATCCAAGTCTGCTTCACGACGCCCGAGGCGCTGAATACCGTGGAAACGGCATGGGATAAATACGTCGGCGAAGAGACATTTAATGTGATTACCTATCATAACGGATGTGGGCATCTAACGGGCGAGCACCGATCATTCTTTCGTGCATCCCATCCCGTCTTTGATGGCGATTGTGTGACAGTCGCTACCGAACTCACAGACGAAAAAGAGGTTATCCAAGAAGGAGAGCCCGCCTGGGGAACATATGTCCAAGAGCACCTAGCCAAGCGCGAGCTGGTGAGGGGTCATGTCAGAGTCGAGAAGCCTCAGGTGATGCAGGGTGGGACCGATCTCACGAAGGATGCAGCAGCAGTCAAACACTTTTTTGGTACCACCCTCATCAACACGGATATTCCAGACAATTATATGACCGGGCTTGACTCACTTTCCGACGAAGAGTACGATGACCTTGTCAGGCGAGGTTTATTTTCATGGATTGTAGAGGGGATCAATGCCATGATCAAAGTAAGGGATTATGAAAATTGCGAGTTTGCCAAATTCCTGCTAACCAGACATGTGGCTAGGCAATCAATAGTCTTATTCAGAAGACTCTGCAAGCCATTGAAACCGCGGCCAAGGTAATCTTCGCTATTGCAGCCGTGGTTGTCAATCTACTTATGGTTCCATTTGGTGTCCCCTTTGAGCAGGGCTATGCAGCAGATATTAGCTTCGACAACAGAACAAGTGGTGGGGGGATCAGTACTGATCCCCGCAGCTCGCTTGGTGGGAACGCAGAGAATTTGGTTCTCTCTTAGCCAGGCACGGCCGTGATCATCGAATGCGAAAGTTGTGGAGCGAAAGCAAATTTCAGTTTTGATGGAAAACTGGCTTTCAGTATCTCCAAAGGTATTTATAAGGCAGAGGTTTCCTTCATCAACCACGAGGCGTTTGTATTCGATGCTATTTATGCAGTCAGTGTTGAGGCCAAGGCGCTTGCAGCCGGCACCTCCAAAGGAGGAATCAAAACGACGATCGAGAAGGAATTGTTTGCAATCCCCTTTTTCGCCATCAAGATCCCTAAAATTATCACAATTGGGCCTCAGTTAGTCAGCAATGCTGCAGCCAGTGTCTCCGTTGATGCGAGCGGCAAGTTCAGAGCGGGCGCAAGGTTTTCCATCGATGCAGGTCGCTTGGTGCTGGACGCGGTCAACTCTACAAGGAATGAAGCATCTGGCTTTAAACCGCACCTGGATCCGATTTTTGAGATTATCGAGGGAAACATTATTGCTACCGCAGACCTTGCCCTGCCGGTTGGAGTCGAAGTCGCACTGGATGTCCTCAGCGGTACTTGGAAAAAGTCCGTTGGAGTGTACACCGCACCCTCTGTCTATTTCACCGCCGGAATCTCCACTGGCGAAGGGAAGGCCTGCAACAATGGAATCGAGCTTCGAGCGGGAGCCAAGAACCGTATCTACACCTCGGCACTAGGACTATGGGAATATGAGTTCAAGGCCCTGTCAACGATTTTCTATGAAACCGGCCTCGGTTGTATCTCGTAATCATTCCGCGATCACTACTGGCAAAAGCCGAGCTAATTTAATGTATAGGAAACAAGGATGGAACCCAAAACAAGTCGAGCCTACCGAAAGCACTTTCCTTGCGGTCGCACAGTCGTTCGGTGGCCAGCAGTATCTTGCTTCCAATGCAACACTCAACTTCACTCGGCCTGAGCCTGTGATCCACACGGATGAAGAATTCGAAAAGAACAAGACAGCTGACAGCAACAAACTAAGACAGCTTCCCAAGACTAATGGGTTCCGGTTGATCCAGGACGCCGGTCAGTCCGCGACTCTGGTCTCTGGAAAGGACGGCTTCATCTACATGGCCAATAACTCTGCTGAATATGATATCAGTGCACCCTGGGGTGGTCTCAAGGTCAAAGAAAACATTTTCAGCTATGACGTCTTTGGTCGTCTCATCTGGTTTAATGCCACGTCCATCCTCAGAGATGGTTACATGACCGATTTGGGTGTCTCTCAAGCCGAGGGTATGCCTAAGGGCACGCAGGCGGCGTAAGTTGACCCCAAAACCAACGCATGCAATTGATACTGATCCGTAGGTATAGAACACTTACGGTCATGAAAGCTGATGGCAAGGAAACCTATGGCGTGTCATTCAAACACCCCAGTACCAAGTCAAAGAAAGAAAAGGATTTCTGGTTTTCCACGGTTTGCAAAGTCAAAGATGGACTTCGACTTTATGCAACTTACTATATCGTGGACAAGAATGGGATTGCGCGCCCTCGAGGAAACCCCAACAGCGCCAACCCCCTCCTGCAAGCGTATTACAACAGCGACAGACATAATCACAAATTGAGCAAAGATCCAAAAGATTGCATTACAGTGAGACTGACGTCGGATCCAAAAAGTACTGTCAATTGAGTCCAGATATCACAGCACCTCCGTTCAATTCGTTTAATGCCAGTGAGTTGGCCATCTCCACCGCTCCATTCAATAATTCTTGAATGTCGAATGGATATTTTTCGGGCTGTTTTCTTCTATTCCTATTCATGAGAGATTATTCTAATGTTCGCTATGTTCATCTATTACTTTACTGATTGATTCCTAAGCCAGTAGGCGCCCTTGCAAAGTGAATAAATTCCAAAATATACTAAACAATGAAGAGCCCGTAACTACGACGTTATTGACCTATGCCCGTTTGTACGTCTCCCAAATTGGAATGACCTGGAGACCGGGACTATGTCTCCAGATGTTCCAGGTGCAGCGATGGCAGATTATGAGATATCTTCCGGCACTTGCGGGTCCTCGGGAATTCGCGCGCAGTATCTCTTGAATTTTGAAATGTGACTATGTCGCTCTCAAGAAGAATCTCGGCTGCAGATAACCAAGACCGATCTTGGATGTATTGGAGGAAGATAGTGCGCCTTGCAGCAACCGCTAGTGTGAATGAAGCGCCAGTCCTCACAGGGCCGCGGGAGCGATCAAGTTGTGGGAGGTGAAGTCAGCGCTCGGTCCGAACAGTGGTCTGACGACCAATGGCAGGTCGAACATCCCTTGGAACTACCTGCTGCGGATTTAGCTTCAATAATCAGCCGTATTTGTGTGGATGAACTGAAACTTTCTGGGTACTTCTTGGCCAGAAGATCATTTTGAAGAGATAGCGATATGTCATGAGGGTCTTGGGGAAGCCTGATTTTGAAAGATCTCAGGAAAGTTGTGGCACGACTTACTTACCCCAATGAAGACCCTCCTTTACCCCTGGCACGATTACAATTTAAAGGAAGCCTGGGAGTCATGATAAAGCGAGTGTTGAAGCAACGAACTGACAACGGCGGGAGGCATGCTGATGTGAAGCGGGTTTTAGGGGAGGATGGAATTTAATTTTGGCACATGAACATGAATCCCTTAGATCAGTCGGTAAAGGGTCGATCGCGAATGGTTGTAGACAACTTTCGTTAATGGTCGCACCTCAATAACGTATCGGCACAAAAAACGGAGGCTTGAAGAGTATTTCGGTGCGAATTGTGTGCGGATGATACGCTCCGCAAGGAGAAATTGGAAGTTTCGAAAGATCGATAATGGTCAGACAAGACCAAGAGTAGTACAGTTCATCCTTGATCCCAAGGGTTTTCGTAAAGTTCCCAACGAAGGGACTGCAGATCGTTCACATGTTAGCGAAGGCCACGTGTATACTGACTGGCTGGAGAGGCCCCTTCGCGCTCTTCTCACCGTAGCACTTTCTAGTGGTATCATCCTGTATGCTGCTCAGCCATTATTGCTCTTCTGAAGTCAAACCCTCCTCGGTTAGAGAAGATGAGAATGAGATTTTTGGAGCAATCTGTCCATAAAGCCAAGCCACCAACCCCAATTTTGGAGATTGAATTCACCAGAAGTGCCGATCAATGATGTTGGTAAAAACTCAGCTCAACATCCTATTCCAGCCCACATTAGAGGAGCTAGAACACGATGGCCAGATTGCGATTTTCAAGGATTATTGGTAGTTGGCAAGGTAGCTGCGCCACTGTCACAGTACCATGCAAGCCAACAATTTGTAAAGCATGGATACCGGCACTCTCCGAAGGCTCAGGAAGCGGCCGGAAATCATTTTTGGCCTCGGGCATCACAATAGGGAAAATCGGGGATGCCTCGGCAATGGAACGAAGGCCGTAGGTGAACAGCGGATACGAATGCGAAATGTCCTCGCAGAGATAGTTATCCGTGATATAACTGTATAACGTAGCTTGTGGAGCGAGAGATATCGTTTATGGACATCTGTCGATTCTCGCCTCTCGTGCATTGCATGGCGTTTATCCGAGACACCCACCAGTTCGGATCTATCTCTACAGTGGGCCGAAGAAGTTGGACCCGCAGTTAGAACAGCCTGGAATATCAGGCACAGCGACAAGCGTTTACATACTTTGAAAGTGTACTCCGTATGGCCTGAAAGAAACGCATGGTGTAGGTTTCTTACTACTGCTGCCGCTGTTCGCCAACCACGGAACTCTGTACTTTCAACACACGACTGCACATCGCCGAAGTCCTTCTCTCCATTGTGGCCTCTCCGAACCCTTGAAGTAGTTGGAGTAGGGCGTTCGCCGCTATCCCAGCACCTTTGAATGTACACACGCAGTACACCGACGCTCAGACAACGATTCGAGAGCCAGTAGACGATGGAGCAGCAGAAGAGGACGTTGATGGAAGTCGGCATCCGCCGGTATCCCGGGAATAGAGTTGAACGATTCCGTTCCCCTGTAGATTACCCCAATGATCATCATTTCATGATCGACCCCCGCTGACCAAAGTCATGATGGCATCGAATCCTTGCCACGTTCGAAGAGGCGTCTACGCCATTTCCCGATCGGGATTTCCGAAAACCGGAGGAAGGGCGGCAAATACGGTGGCCCAAGGCACAAGCATGCCGAATCGGGTAGGGCGGTATCGGCAACTCCGTAATAGGTTATGCTAATCCCTGTCCTGCACCTTGATAAACTTTGGCCAAAACTAACTGCCGGGCTGGTACGATCATGGATCTACGGACAAGAACTTTGCACTCTACTTGGGTTTTGACAACGGTTGCGATAATTGGGAGGGTCTTCAGGTCATCGTGACATCGATTAGGCGATTAGGCGAAGGAATCATCGCTACGATACGTGATCGCCGAATGGGCTTACCGAGGCTGTCATGTCGAGACCCACCTGTGAACTTTTTGTGGGGAAGTCTGGCCGGGGGGCAAAGGGAGACCACCGACCGTAACCAGGCAGAGGGATCTCCAAACCGAGATCAATCCCTGTCGTTTAGGAATAGTGTTCGAGCGTAGCTTCGGTAAAGACTAATTTAAATCTTAGGGGCTTGCATGCCAAGCAACGACATCTGGGGAAATACGTGTGGGGGAAAGCTGCTGCTTCGTTTTCCGGTGGCTCGTCAAGACTGGTAGCTCTTCTTGGTGAAACGGCGACCGCCGACAGCCGAAAATTCAACCCCATACTTAGAGGCCCGCCGGCGCTGCAATGACACTTATCTTGATCACCATTAATCTATCATATCTATAATAGGAACTGGATCGCATCATCCAGCGATCTAACTCTTCTTCTTCCCATCTCCTCATCTTTTGTTGTGCGCATCGTGGATGATACCATAAATCATGGGTTTGAAACCGTATTTGGGCCTTCGAGGCAACGCTCTGCTCAGAGCCGCAGTGATGCTGGTCGTGTGCCCGACCTTTACCTGCTATGGATACAACATGAGTGTTGCCGGTGGTCTCCTGACCCTCGAAGCGTTTAACACTCAATTCCCGCGCATGGACACCATTCACACCACGGGTGCTCTGCAGCACGAAAATTCCACGATTCAAGGTCCGTTAACTTTTGATATTGACGATGCCTCGCTCTCTCTGACTGACGAATGATTACAGGCACCGTCATTGCTCTCTACACTGTCGGCGGTATCTTCGGCGCCTTGTCATGCGTCTATCTCGGCGATCTGCTCGGCCGGAAAAAGGTCATCTTCTTCGCCAACCTCGTGGGTATGATTGGAGCCATCCTGATGGCTTCTTCCTTCCAATTCGCACAATTCATTGTCGCGCGACTGGTTCTCGGTATGGGTATCGGCGGATACGTTGCTACAGTCCCAGTCTGGCAGTCCGAAATCTCCCCGTCACACAAGCGAGGCTCGAATGTGGTAACGGATGGCATCTTTGTCGGAGTCGGTGTTACTGTTGCCCTCTGGATCGATTTGGGCTTTTTCTTCGTCAAGGATAACTCCGTGTCTTGGCGATTCCCCCTTGCCTTCCAGATCGTTCTTTCGGTCACGGCTATGATCTTCATCACCGTGCTTCCCGAATCTCCCCGCTGGCTTATCAAGACCGGCCAGGTTGAGAAGGCCCGGCATGTCATGGCGGCCCTGCAAGATTTGGACCCCAATTCGGCAGAAATCACCCGCAGCATCGATCAGATCGAGGCCACCCTCGCCGTCTGCGGATCCTCTTCCTGGAAAGACATGTTCACGAACGGGGAGAAGCGGCTCTTCCACCGCGCGTACCTCGCCGCAACTGGCCAGATGTTCCAGCAAATGTGCGGTGTCAACCTGATCACCTACTACGCCACTACCATTTTCCAGCAATACCTCGGTCTCGATCCCGTCAAGTCCCGCATTCTGGCCGCCGCGATGGGTCTGACGCAACCATTCGGAGGCTTCCTCGCCTTCTACACCATCGATCGCCTCGGTCGCCGACCCCTTATGCTGTACAGCGCCGGAGCCATGTCGGTCTGCATGGCCCTTCTTGCCGGCTGTACCTCCCCGTCAGCAGCCAACAACACCGGAGCTCTCGTCGTAGCGGTGATCGCCCTTTACTGCTTCCAGTTCATTTTCACCGTCGGATACTCCGGCCTCACCTTCCTCTACGCCGCCGAGATGGCTCCCCTCCAAGTCCGCGCAGCCGTCAGCGCCGTCTCCACCGCTACCGTGTGGGTCTTCAACTTCCTGCTCGCCGAAGTCACCCCAATTGGATTCGCCTCGATCAACAGCCGGTACTACATCGTCTTCGTGTGTGTCAATGCCTGCATCGTGCCCGCGGTATACTTCTTCTTCCCCGAGACCAAGGGCTGCACCTTGGAAGAGATCGACGAAATCTTCATCCGCTCCAAAACCATCTGGGACCCGCCTCGCGTGGCACGTGAAATGGCGCTCGAGCGCCGCGTGCAGGTTGGAGAACCGGACTGCGAGAGCAACGGCGAAAAAAACGGGTCCAACGACGATGAGTTCATCAAGCAAGAGCTCAAGTCCTAGATATGTGATATGACGACCAGGGAGCCCAACGGAAGCCCGTGGCATTCCCTTGATTTAACTGGCGATGGATTTCTATTTTTGGTATTTGGCATTGGTAACTGGGTTTGATAGTCCATAAGGACACATCAGCGCGGGAAGTTGCTAAATTGTACATATGGGAATGAGTGATCTTGAAGCATACGATACCCTGAATGGGTCATTCACCAAATACCAGTTTTACTTGATTGGACCACTTCTGTCACTTTCAACTATTCAACGTAGACGGAGCCGAAGTAAATATTCCAAATCCGATGATAGTAGAAGGCTATCTCGGGAGGGGACACTGGTCACATTCACCGAACCCGGATCGATGTTACAAAATAAGAAGGTAGCCGGAGAAGGCCAATGTGCAACCATCGCACGGACCCACAGCCCTGATGGAACAGCGGAATAAGGCCTGCTTAAAACAGAGTATTTCTAAGCCGCGGAATTGAATCCTGGAACCCGGGGTAGTCTGATGGAGCTTTGATCACCCTCAGACCGGAGAGTGCCGCCCCATTGCTGCCTGAGAGTACCTGGGGACCCCGGAGATCTCCACCGTTACCATGATATTCATGTGGCTGAACGTTCTTAGAAGACTAAGAAAGTCTAAATCTCGACTGGTTTAACCGTCTGGAAAGGACGCCGAAAGGTGGCTCCCGCATTACTTCAACTGGCTAAAATATTCTTTGACGTTAACGAGTCTGCAAAGGGGATAAGTCCTGGGCTTTTAGTTTCTCTTTACCGTGCCCGCGTCTGCAAATAATTAATCCGGGAATCTCCAAATAGCGTTTGACCTGAGATCTTTTGGCCGAGTCGAAAGTTTCCCCAAACTTTGGCGGGAAGTCTGTTCATAAATGCCGAGAGGCAAACCGAGAGGCAAACCGAGATCCTTCAGTTTTGCTGACCGGACTTCTCTTGAGTTCTTCCAGGCTCTCTCCGGTGATTTTAAATCATGTGGCATTCAACGTAACATCGCCGCTGGTTTTACGTAATTTGGATCGGCATTTTCTGCTCAAGATGCAAAGTGCCCTCGGCCGAGGGTCTGTGCAGACCCGTCCAGATACCCGAGATAACGCTCGACCCGCGGCCGATAACCCGGCTGGGATGCATCTGTCAACAATAGTAAATTGTATCTGATTGGTATAATGAAATCATGATATGGAATATAAACATTGCCCATCGCCAGATTCGGAGGTGCCTGTTTCGGCCAGAACGCCCCTCACAATATGCACCCTGAAGAGCCACCAGTGATCGATTTCGGACGTAAGTGGAGACCCGATCCGAATGCATTGATTTAAGAAGCAAACCTGGCAACTAAGAAGGCATTCATATGCAGCATTCTATGGCTCTGACAGTCATGCGAAGAACAAGCTTGTGCAAGAGCTGCGACAGGCTTGTGAGCAATTCGGCTTCTTCCAACTCGTCAACCATGCCGTCCCGACGGATCTCCAGCAGCAGATCCTCCAACAAAGCAAAGACCTCTTTGGGCTTCCGCTAAAAACCAAACAGAAATACCATAAAGGCGAGCTTAAACCCTCCTAATAGGAGAACCCACGGGGCCTCTAGCTAACGTGAAACAATCAAGACATCGGAGGCTTCAACCGAGGCTACGAGTCCTTCCGATCCCAACACTTCGAGAAGCAAAGCAAGGGAGACCTCAAAGAAGGATATTACCTGGGAAATAACCTACCACTAACGGATCCATATGTGATCGAAAGAAGGTTCGGTCAAGCACCGAACAAGTACCCAACAGAAGTCCGTGATCCGCAACAATGGCAACGTGTCATGGAACAATATCATTCTGCCATGACCACTCTTTCAATCAACCTCATGCGAGTCTTGGCAAGTACGTTGGAGCTGAGTGAGAACTTCTTCGATGACTTCTGCCGTCATCCAGTCGCTGCCCTGAGGCTACTTCATTATCCTCCGCAAGATCCGGCTACAGCGGAGACTGAGAGAGGTGAGAATTCTCATCGTCCAGCAACCACACGATATGATAGATGCTGATCGCTTGTGCAGGAATCGGCGCCCACACTGACTTCGGAGCAATCACAATTCTTCTCCAAGACAATACCGGTGGACTACAAGTGTGGAACAACGCATCATCTGAATGGGTCGATGTCACTCCTGTTCCCGGGGCATATGTAGTGAACCTGGGCAACATGATGATGCGATGGACGAATGACCGCTACTTATCCAATCTTCACCGAGTTATCAATAGAAGCGAACAGGAAAGATTCAGTATCCCTTTCTTCTTTTCCGGAAATCCGAATTTCGAGATCAACTGCCTTCCTAGCTGCCTGGATCCTGAGAAGGGCGCTAAATATCCCCCTGTTACTGTTCATGATTGGATGACTGGTCGGTTTGCGGATACTTATGGCTCGAAGGAGGGGAATGCTATTGGTGATATGAGACAGGAGCTTGTTGATAGTATGGCTGCAAAGTAGTAGATCGAACAGATGCCTGGACGCTTTCGACTGGCTCGTTTCTTCTTCTTCCCTCTGTGCCTTGATATTATACAAAATAACCCACCAACGTCTCGCCTCTCCAATCCTCACCGCCATGGGTCGCTGGGGCTGGCGTACGTTACTTTGACTTCATCCTCTCCACGCAGGACTGACCTCACTAGACTCTGCATTCCAGGCCTGTTCCAAAGCAACAGGAACATGGACCTTGTTATCCATATTCTCATCGAACACGCCAAATCTCTGGATATCGACATGGAGTCATGGAAACATAGGCCGAGCCGTATGGTGCACCAAACTAACATCAGTCAGTCGCTGCTCAAACATGGGAAGTGCAAAAGTGCATTCTACTGCACCAAGGTAAGAATTATCCGTCATAGGCTTCCCATCGCTCTGGCTACTGTTTTAATGAAGGGCTGCCAACGCAGTCATTGGGGAACTCCCTAAGCCTGTCTGTCACGTCCCAGGCTCAAGCATTAGAGTTAGCTTAGGGTATGTTTAAATACCCATCCATTTGATTTTGCCTCTTCTCATTTAATCCGTGGTATAGAATTCGAGGGCAACAATGCGAGAAGACCCGTTGTTTTTTCCATGGCTGGATCAATTGATTTAGGTCTATGACCTCCGAGCTTGCAAACTCTTTTGGATATCTATACAGCTCAGTGTAATGTACAAAGCAGCATTTCAACTGACCCTATTTTATTGCTTTTGTCTTCATTCTATGCATACTGACTGCATTATGTCGGTACATTACCGAAAGAAAATACAAACTAGAGGCGCACGGAGATGCGTCGGACTTAAGCTTCAACGTTGCCTATTTAGTACCGCCGCGTCTTGGCGGCATCAACCGCATTTCCTAATCGAAGCCATCCCCACCCACTACCTGCCGTTAATACGAGGCTGTCAGATTTGTACTTTGCCCTCGGCTCTATTGACTCATGTCCTTCATCTCGACGCTTAAGAAACCAAATGAATAGAGATAACAGTCATGTCCCAGCAATCCGCTACTCCGGCTTCAGCCACGCAAGAGAAAACCTTCAGTTCCTACAATAAGGAGCAGGGAAAAACATATGCCCAATTCCGCCCTGACTACTCCCCTGGGGTGTATCATGTCGTTCTAGACCAGCATAAAGCGTCCAGCGGCGAACTGGATACTCTCATCGATCTCGGCTGCGGACCGGGCAATGTCGCCCGCGCACTCGGTGTACACTTCGCCCACGCCATCGGCCTTGACCCCTCAGAGGGCATGATCGCCACTGCCCGCTCTCTAGGCGGTACAACGTCGACCTCCGAGCCCATCCGCTACGAGGTATCAACAGCCGAAGACATCGGGGCAAACGCCTCCCCGCCAATCCCGGATAATAGCGTAGATCTGATCACCGCCGCCAATTCAGCGCACTGGTTCGACATGTCCCGCTTCTGGCCAAGTGCCGCTCGCGTCCTCAAGCCCGGCGGCAGCGTTGCTATCTGGACGAGCGGCGGGAGCCGCATTCACCCTTCCGTGCCAAATGCCGCAGCTATGCAAGCCGAAATCGATCAGATTGAGGAGGACCATCTGAGGCCCTACTTCGAGCCTGGCAATTTCCTTACTCGTGGTCACTATACTGACCTACCCCTGCCGTGGACTTTGGACCCATCAGTCGCGGGATTCGAGAAGAGTGACTTTTTCAGGAAGGACTGGAACCTTGATGAGAGGTTTTACGTTACGGAGCCAGATGTGCCGCTGGATATGTTTGAGAAGATGATTGGGACGACGAGTCCTGTGACGAGATGGCGCGAGGCGAATCCGGATGCTGTTGGTACGGAGAAAGATGTAGTCAGGTTGTTCCGCCGTGCAATTGAACGGCATCTGCATGCTGCTGGTGTAGAGAAGGGCAAGGAGATGATTAGGGGTGCCAGCTGTGGTGTTGTTCTTGTTGTTAAGAAGAATTAGCTCGTTTGCTCGAATTACTGCTAGGCATCATGCCGACTTTAGGGTGTTGCAACAATAATAGTTCATTTTCCACTGCTAGACGGTCTCTAGAATCCTGCAGCACCTCAGCCCTCAACCAAATCCAACAAAAATAAACACCAGAATACGCAAGCGGGCTATTCTCAGGGGCACCAACCAACAAATCTCACGCAGACCCTCCTGTTCATTGTCTTTAGGGAATATCACGAAAGCTCAATCCTGGAATATGATTGGCCTGCTCGGGTTATTGACGTCATGGTAACTCTTCTTGTCCACAGCTAATATTGGATTGGTCGAGGAGATAGTAAAAACTACAGTAAGCTAAATTTACCTTTTACCACACAGCGGCTGAAACAATGGGGATGGAATACGCAAGAAGAGGAAGTAAAATGGACGAGGAGGATCTGAAACTTTCGTTCAATCTCATCGCTAGGCTTTTGCTTCTGGGGAACACATCAACAACAAAACTCCCAGGAACAGGAGTCATTTGTCTTGGAAGTTGAGAACACTTTCTATCGACAGTAAGCGCTTAACCTGGTTAAATTTGTGCTTGATACTGACCGAAATAGTATGCTAGATCCGCAATGAGTTCCCAAGGCGGTCTCTACTCGCTCTACGTCCTCGGGATTATTGTCGGCTGCATCGTGGCCACTTTCATTGCCTACTCCATTCATTACATGGCCACAAATGGCTTCAGAGACGGTCCACGCGAACGAGAAATGCCTATCGAACAAAAGGAATATATGCAGAATTTGAGATACCGGAATATACTCAGTCTTCAGGAAAATACCGCACATGGAAAAAGGAGGCGATAGAACATGGCTGCGGTTGCCTCTGTGAATATCAATGGTAACTGTCGGTATTAGTACTTTGATTGTTTTATATCCGCTACGAAGAGCTTTACAGAGGAAGAGCTTGGGAAGAGTGATGTCAGCACTGGTTGGAATCGCCTCTGGACTTTAGATTAATTCTAATTGACATTGCCAAAAGAAGTACCCAAACCAAAAAATATCTTTGAGAGCCAAAATGCTAAAAATAGATCAAATATGACATTTACAATCGAAATCATGAGGTAGAGCTCTCTTCCAGCCAGCTATCCACCATATCCTCAAAGTTAGGACTATAAAGCCAAGCCAAATCAAAAGGCTTACTCTCCAACTCCGTAGAGAGTGATCCAGGATCCTTCGGCATCCTCCGCGCATCAATCTGCGCATTAAGCTCCAACACCAAATCAACTCGCGCCTGTCGACCTTGCTGCCACACCTTGAGGCCGTGTTCAAGATTCTTCCCCTGACACTTAGCAAAGATCAACGCATACGTATAAACATCCTCAAAGGCCTGATTAACACCCTGCCCCGCTGTAGGCGGAATCGCATGTGCAGCATCACCAAGAATCACAACGCTGGAATGCTTGGAAGCCCACGTATCAAGCTTGGGTACGACATAGAAAGGCCAGAGATTAATCTTGTTCAGCGAGATGTTGGACACGGCCGTTTGGACGATCTCGGGGAAATCCTCAGACCCCTCGCGCAGGAAATCAACACACCACTGCTTATCATCCATTAGTTTGTTCCATCCCTCGCGGTCCAGTCCGCCGGCTCGCTTCTGTTTGCCGATCAACACCTCTGAGCCGTCTGAGAGTTGGGGCGCGATGACGAAGGCTCCGCGCTTGGGGTTCATGATTGTCAAGGGCAGGTTGTAAGATTCCGGAATGACCAGCTGTTTCGTTGGAACGGCAGCTGTGACGCCGACTGCGTTGGTGAAGCGCGGCTCCAGATCGGGGTAGAGGTGCTTTCGGACTCGAGAGTGGATTCCGTCGGCGCCGACGAGGCATGCTGCGCTGCCGGTTGTGCCGTCTTCGAATTCCCAGGTAACTTCGGTCTCGGTCTCGGATAGAATTTTGACGAACTTTTTGCCGTATTTGATGGGAATGCTCTTCTCTTTGGTCGCGGCCAGGAGGGCATCGATCAATTCATAGCGGTAGATGCGTAGAGCATCGTATCCGTACTTCTCGCGGTCTCCGAATTCGAATGTGTCGAGGGGTTTGTCAGTATAGAAGTAAAGGCTGGTGAATTCGAAGCCTAGTGGTTTGATGGTCTTGTAGATGCCCACTGCGTTGAGCACGCGCAGTGCATTGGGGGAAAGCATGATGGCGCCGCCGATGTCGAGAGAGGCATGTCGCGACTCGTAGATGGTGCATGGAATGCCTTGCTTGTGTAGAGCCAGTGCGAGAGCCAGGCCGGATAGTCCTGCTCCGATGATTGCGAGGTTGTTGGAAGACATTTTGTATAAGGTATGGTAGAAGGGAAAATTGAATAGAAGCGACGTCGTTTTGAGAACCGTGTTCGGATTCTGGGAGTATGTTAAAGCCTACCGAAGAGAAATCTCGAGGACAAACGCTCCAATATATGTACCTTCAGTTTATGCCTTCTATGAAACATCGAAATATTGTTGTGTCCCCGTTTTGGAGATGATTGTCCTATCTCCGGGCGCCTGAAGCCCAGCCGTGGAGGAGTCCGGATCCGGGTCTTCGGATCCGAACTGCGGACTCTTGGGTTCCGAGTGTACTCTGCTCTATGCATTCGCTCCGATACTCTACGCCGCCGATGATGTAAAAATTCAATATTATGAAGAGGGCCCTTGGGAATGGTTATTCTATTTCAAAGATCTATATGGCCAATGGAATAGAAAAGAAGATGCTCTAAGACCAACCTTCCCGGGTTATATACAACCACCAATCCATGCGACTAATGTCGGGCATATAGACTGGATCTCTTAAAGTCTCGGACCCAGAGCCCGTGGTATTACTTAGTACGAGTCTATTGCAGGTCATCTCATCTGGGTCGAGACATCCGCAAACGCTTGACACATCCAAGGCAAAATGCGTATCAAGTAGACTTGAATGAGTTGTATAAAGTATAAAGAGGCTCATTCATCTCCGCCGAGGAATTCAAGTCATGTATAGATGAGCAGAGAGGTATCATTGCATTCCACAATCAAAAAGTAGAAATGAAAACGCTAGTGACTCAGGGGACGCGCGCACGTCAAACCATGAGTACTGAAATACCCATCCAGTTTCAACAAGATAGATTCCCCCTTGAAGATACCAGCAATGTAGTGGTCCGGTCGTATCAAGTACGCAGCATCCTTCTTTAAACCGACCTCGCCGTATTTCTTGTCCCACGGGAAGACAGTGAGCCTGATGTTCATTTTTTGACACCATTCCGACAGGTTGGGCCATGGCTCGCCGTATACATGGAGCTGCCAGCAAAGATATTGTAACGTTTCAAAGTTGTCAGCAGAGTCAGTTTTGGCCCACGGCACGCGGTCACCAGGCTGCACTGTCTCCGATTCCCCTGATTCGTGATTGAGAGGGCTGTCGCGGTAGCTGCAAATGAGCTGAGAAGCGCGTCGGAAGACCCCCATCCGCATGTACTGAAACCGGGTGACAAGTGGAGCCATATAAGGGATAATCCAGGCTCGGAGCATGTGTGACAGGAATCCGGGGGTTGTCAGGAGAGTGAAGCCACGGTCAGTTGCGCCGCTGACGCTCAGCGCAAACGAGCGCCGTTCAGTTTCGTAGGAATCCAAAAGTCGGGTTTTGGCTTCCTCTGTCATCAAGTTCTGCGTGATTACGGTGGCTAGTTTCCATGCGAGATTGAAGACGTCCATGATACCGGTGTTCATGCCTTGGCCGCCCACGGGACTGTGGATGTGGGCAGCGTCGCCGACGAGGAATGCTCGGTTCTTATGGAAGGTTGAAGCCACTCGGTGGTGGCTACGGTACGGGGAGAACCAATTGACCTTTTTGATTTCGATCCCGGAGACCCTTTTGATGTCTGGAAGCACGTCTTCAAAAGTGACTTCTGGATGGGATTCGGGCAACTTGTGGTCTTGGCGAGTCTCGTTGGTTTTCGGAATTGTGATACCGATCAATCGTACACGTCGTTCTTGGGCATAAGGAAGGATGAGGTTGAAGGTGTCCTCAACAAAGGTTACGTGCGCTTCACCGTTGAAGAGAGGACTGTCTTGTTCTTCGGCCTCGACATCAGCGATGTAGAAAAGCGGCACATATGTACCGCCCTCGTACTTGGCGCCGATCTGATGTCGCACAACCGAGTGGGCGCCATCACAGCCAACGATGTATGAAGCTTCGCAGGTAATTTCAGTCCCATCATCCTGGCGAACAAGTTTTGCGGTGATGCTCGACCCGCTGTCCACAAAACCCTCAAGCTTCGTGCGTCGTTCCACGAAAATGCCATGAGTCTTTAGCTTCCTTTCAAGTACCCTCTCGTGTGCATCTTGTGGAACAATAAGTATATAGGGATATGGTGTCAACCCTTCGCCAAAATCCCGCAGGGAAATATGCGCGCGATGCTTTCCCTCGACCCAGATGTTGGTCGCGGGAAGCTTGTATCCGAGTCCAAGAAGATCATCAGCCAAGTCGAGTTGCCGATACAACTCCAGGATACGGGCATGAACGGCCAGAGCACGGGAGTGCTGTGCAGGGCCACTCTCTGAATCCACGATGCGAAACTTGACCCCTTGTTTGTGGAGCGAAATGGCGAGGGCAAGACCCGTAGGGCCTCCACCAACGATCAGCACGTCCGTCTCGGGTGCCATCTTGGCTTTGGAGATTCAAGTCAGGTATAAAGTGGGATCGCGATGAGTGGGAAAGATTTTAGAGGAAGGCAAAAAACATCAGAAGCGAATCGAGGACCAAAAGCCTCTTTTAAATAAATCTCCAGGCACTGATATATCACTGTGTGCTGCGTGTCAGATCACAAGACTTGACATCATGCATTTCGTGTTCGGCAGTCCAGTCACCGACGCCGAGCTCATGTTGGAGACGGGATCGGACCGTCGCCCCCCCGATCGGGCGCGACTCCTATTCGGCCGACCACGAAGAACGTCACACTTGCGAAACAATGCCCATGCTTGTTGGAACTTCATGTGCTTATCATTTGACTCTTCTAGTCTATGTCTCCGGACGATACTCGAGAGCTATGAAGCCAAGAGTCGTGCTATACGGTCATCTTCGGGATCCAGGCCCGGGCATAAAGGCGAAATCATCTACGAGTGATTCCTGAAACTGGTTCAGAAGATTGTCCCACTCAGTCCAGTCCATGGGGCTTTCACTAAGCAGGAAGTCGAAATTTCCAACTTCAACGCCGAAGTCCGCATTCGAGGCTTCGCGGCCAGATTGATCTTGGAAGAGAGCACTTGGCTCGACCGTCCTGGAACTTTGCCCCGCTGGCGCTGTTTCCGTGGAACCCTTGAAATCTTCCAATAGCTGTGCGATGATCGTAGGACAGGGCGTTGGGGTTCGGTGGTGGAGATTACACTCAACGATGTATGCCCGCCACGCCTTGACAATCAGGTTTTGCAGGGCTGTATGCAGGGGCATCTGGGCATTTTTGCGTATCTGCCTCATGTGTTGCGAGTATATATTTCCAATGAGCTGCCAAACTCTGTTTTTCTCTTCCGGGTCGGTCCGATTTTGTATTTCCGACAACATAAAAATCATGGCATCCCAAGGCAGATGGTTCACTATGTGCCACGAAAACCTCTGGACATCGGGATTGGTCTGAGCATAGTTTGCATACTCTGCCATCTTCAGACAGTTTTCGAAAATTGTGTCCTTCTCTGCCTCTGGGATGCGGGTGTTTGGGTCCTGGTATTGACGAGGGTGGTGTGCCACCAATCTGGTGAAGTATATGACTGATCGTGCCATCAATGTGACGGCCAAATGGAGAGGGATGGATTTATCGCAGTATCGGAGATACTTCAGCTCCATCGAATTCTCCAGTTCGTTAATGGCGTTATCCTTTTCTCTCAAGGACATTGATGGTGATGAAAGAAAGGCCCACGGCGAATTAGATCCGCCATCTTTGCCCCAGCGCCGCAGCCATCGCCCGAACTCACTACGAGCAAGGCAGAATATCATCTCAGTTGGGCCTTGTTTCTCGCAGGCTGGTTCCGTCATTCGCGGGTCGAGATCACTGTCGTTGGCATTCATTGGCGGCCGGGTATCTGCATTGGCTAGCATCGGGGTAGAAGCAACCCCGCAGAATTGTGCAGACGTGGCATCTAGGATCATCAGCTGGAACCATAGTCTGCGTCGCATTTCAGTCTCGAATACTGATAAGCCATATCCGGAGCCATCCCGGTGAATCCCGACTCGTTGCGCAATTCGTAATGCAATGCCGGCCAGAGTCCAGATTGTTTGTGGGTCGGAGAAGGCTCGCATGGACAACTACAGAAATTCATTAGAGTAAATCGGGATAGCAGAAGGATCAAACAGACCAGATATAATATGAAAGCCTGAAGCACCATTGTGCTCGATGTTCGCAAGAACGAGGCGTTCCGAAAGGCCAGTTGAGCTCCTCGTCGACATCTCGACAAAAGCGCCTTTTTGCTTTCTCCAAATGATTTTTCGATGTCTGCTGCTGGCAAAGAAACCAGTGCAATACAATAAATTGAGAACATCAAGGCTTCAAGTTCCTTGCCAATGCTGGGCAAATCACCCATCGCTTCTAAGATCTGTTGTTGAACTGTGGGAGCATGCAAAATTTTGGTCAGAGGGTTGACGTTCTCGAGAAACGTTTGCCATAATTTGAAGATATGCAGCTGGTTCGGATGCATTTCTGTGAGATTCTCTCCAGTCGCAGAACCGAACAGGTCAATAGGTTCATCATTGCCAACTTGGGACAGATTGTCTTCACCGTCTGACCCGTTCTCCAATACATCTGCTGCATTTGAAAGCTAGAACTTGATGAGAAAACAAACACACACTTTGCGGGAGATGGCGATTACACACCTCGTAACTGACGGCGGTCCAAAGTGTGCTATACGCGAATTAGCTCGGTCTCAACCATCTTCAAGCAATATGACTGACTTGTCAAGATAGACCGAATTGCCATCCTTCATGATCATCCGTCCGGACCCGCCTTTCTGGAGCAACAATTCATCTGGTGTTGGCCTGGAGGAAGACAAGGGAGAGTTCTCGACATCATCTACGAGGGACTCTCCGTCAGTCATCCTCCTCGACTTGTCGCGCTCATGCGGCGCGCTTCCACCCGCGTCGCGCTCCCGTTTGCGACGACGGGGCGGCGGCGGAGGGCGATAGATGCACTCAACATTGGACTTGGCACAATTTGAGCATGGCTCGTTGCGATCACACTTGACTTTGCGCTTGTGACAGATCACGCATGAGTATGGCTTGGATGAATCCGACGCGTCTGTCGGTCCGCCATTCACTGCGCGGTCATCCGGACCTGCCATGACTGCAGAAGAGATGCGAGAAAAGTGTCTGCCACTCAAGATAACATGAGAAGTCCACGTTGATAGAGGTCACTTGAGTAGCCGACGTGAGAGACGCTGAAACCTTAAGTTGCAGGCAGAAAGCTTGGAGGGTGGATAACGTGGGGCCTCGTTAAGCAGGCAGGCACCAAATCCTGAAACATCCCCGCTTAAAGTATGGGTCGTCCCGACTCCGTTCTTTTATTTTTATCTCACATCATCCCAAGCTTTCCTAGGTGAAGCTTTATCATCTTCCAGGTGGCCTCAGACATTTATTTTCTCGGGGCATCAGCTACAGTTGCATGACATACCGATGAAAGAGCGTCTCCACCACCATGATTCTTACATGAAGACAAAACATGTCGCCGTTCTTTGACCGACTTCGCACGGCGGTCTCCCGAAGAGCCAAGCATGCATCATTCTTACTGGTACATAAGCCTTCGATTTGGAAGCGAATCCCGGATAATGTCCTCGTGTTTATTACGGCGTTCACTGAGCTCGAAGATATTGTATCGTTGGCTCTGACTTGTCGCTTATTGCACCACCGAATCGGCAATAATGAATGTGCAATTGCGCATGCGTTTCTCAACCTTCACACACGAAATAGAGTACTGGAAGACTACTACGTTGATAGTGGGGTTGAATTGTCGCCTGGCGATGATTTAACCTTTATATCAGAGCTGTTTCCACCTCCGCCGCCCGAGTATGCCGCTGGCCAGAGTCACGATGACGCCGGGTACTCGTTGGGTTATCTTGCAGACTTGAAACGATGCTGGTCGACCTGCATATGGCTCTCTTATCATTTGGCCGACCATGTAGTCCGACACCATCTGGAAACCGACAGTGTTGCCCGCCCGCTTTGGTCGGCTTCCAAGACCGAGAAAGAATACGTGTATAGCAAGGCTGTGGAGACTCTTCAGTCGCGGCTTTTGCATCCATTGTATGTTGCTTGATCTGCAAAATTATCAAACCCTCAGCTAATTTTCCTCACAGGGCTTACGCGATCTTTTTTCTTGAGAACACTTCACACGATAGCTCCGACTCGAACTCATCGAAACATGTCAACGATCACTCCGCATCCATCGAAATACAACAGTCTGTACTCCAGGGTCCGCCATTTAACAACACATGGAACATCATCTTGACTGAGCACTGTCTGCAACTCCTTTGCTCGACTGTCCGACGACTCATGAGCCCTGAATTCGGCCACTCGACCTCTGAAAGCTGGGTCAGCCTTCTCCTTCTCAACTCAACCATGGAGAGACTTGTCGAATTTTTCAGCGCCATCGCCAAGGACGACGGGAAGAAGCTGGCCACGTCGCATGGGCATGGGCACGGCCATAACTCGACTTGGTCCGCCCGACGGGAATTCTTGTGGCAAATGCGAGAAGACTTAGGGCATCATATTGCATCTATGAGCAAAGGCTCTGCCAAAGACACCGAAAACACTCTCACTCTAGACCATGTCTGGTTCAAAGCAGCTTATCAAGAGATGGCCCGTCGGGGGGCCATCCCGCATTCACCGGAGGAGCTGGTTCCTGTCCTTCATGGATCTGCCGTGAAGTTGAATTGTGCATATTGTGATGATGATGACGGATGAATAGACATACTAGCATTTAATTCAGAACTGTACCGAGTAACTTGGAACAATCTTATATCGTCCCAAGAGTAGGCCGTCGGGAACCTCCGATCTCATTTGCGCTAAACCCCGTTTGTACGGGAATCGGCTCTTCGGATCTCCGAGGTTGGCCTTCCCTCCCCCCGGACTTCTTTCCAACGACACATGAGCAAACACACTGTCGGAACAGACAGCGAATAGCTTGCGAGTACTCTAGAAGCCTCACTTCCCTGAATCAGGCCCTATCGTGGTAAGATGATGGACACGATGCCGGCAGTAAGTTATCCCCGGGTTCGCCGGAGGACGATAAGCATAGCTAATGCAGTCAGTGTGACCTATGTCACAATAGAAAGGTCCGAAATCCTTCGAGCAGCGATAATTGCTATTTCTGACGTATGCTAAGTGGGACCTCTTACCAAACAGGTCAAATGTGATCGCCAGGATCCTTGCATGAATTGTGTGGATGCGCGAACCGAATGCAATCGCACTCGACAAGCAAGAGTCCATCGACCGCGAGTCTCTCGGTATGTATTCTTCGGTGATTCTTCCATCATTGATCCTAACAGAATCTAGCATTGATGCCCTATCCGAGAGATTGGCAAGGCTCGAAAAGGGAAACCGAGACGACTCCGTGTTCTCGTCACCTCCATCGGTGGCATCAAACCCCGATGTCTCTCAGACTGCACCCACCTCTCCTCAGTCAAGATACGTCGATACCGCTAGGGCCTCCATTAAAAGAAAGCATCACCAGGAGCCCGTATTCCGTGAAACAACCCCCTCTGAACAGTCAGAGAGAAAGCGAAGAATATCGCAAAGCATGGGGGCCAAGGATCATGGTGAAGGTCACTCCCTAGGCTCGACACCGCATGCCAGCGAGGCAAGAGAGTATATTGAAGCAGAGCTTCAGTGCAACCCAGCTCTCTCCCATGATAGACGGACTGCGTTGGAGACGGCCCGGAAGTTTGTTGGCCAGCTATCACACCCCGGTCTTCATCGACAAGAGGCCAGTATGATTGAGGACTATGAGATTGACGGCAGCTGGTCACCTGCAACTCTCACGCCTGAGTTTTTGCATATGATGTTGCCAGGTAAGTAGTCTGCTGAGAGAATGTTATCAACTACTAATTGACATAGGGCCCGACAGGAAAACCTTTCCCTGGCCCGATCACATCTCTGACAAGACTTTGGAACGAATGGGACTCGCAATTATAGAAAGAAGCGAAAGCGAACAAATACTCCAGTTATACCGCATTAACGTCTGGGTCAAGGCAATCTGCTTTATATCAGCCTTGGCGCCCGTGATCTCCAGCGCGCCATTAAAAGTTCACTTCGGAAGACTCATAAAGCAATATGAGGTATCAGCGATCGATGTACTAAATTCTATTCCCGTTGCAGCTCCTCCAAGTCTGGCGTTACTACAGGCATTGCTTTCCGGGGTAAGTACCTAGATACACAACCATCATACTCGAATGGCCAAAACTGATCAATTCCAGAAACGGTTGCTGAATTATCTAGGAAACATGTCACGCTGCTGGATGCTCACAGCCTTCGCATGCCGTGTCCTTGTCGCCCTCAACTACCACAATATCACCGAAGCAGAGCCCCGAAATGATGTGGAAGAAGATATTCACGCTTGTGTGTACACATGTTACTATTACGACAAAAGTCTCAGCCTACTTTTGCTCCGACCTCAATCTTTGCCAGATCTCAAAGTCGACCCGGCAAAATTGATCCACCTGGACCCTAGGCTCCCAACAACGCCCATGATAACAGCGATTGTGGAATTCTCACGCTTGAAGAATACCCTCCTTGATATTCTCCTCGACACCAAGGGTATGGGAGATATGGAAAAAGCAACTATCCTTTCGGACCTTCTCGTCCAAGGCCATGCGATATACTCGAGATTCCAATCAGTAAGTTTACCGAAAAGCACTGCGAGTTTTCATACTAACCTATACAAAGCACCGAAATCGTCAAGAAATGGAGTTTGCGGACTCCTGGGGAATTATCCGGCGTGAGTGGCTGTCGATGGACTTTAACTATTATTCCTTCATAACCACGATCATCCGAGCCCGATCATCGGTGCTGAAATCCCGTCTGGTCTGTGAAGACTGCCTCTACGCCGCTCGAAAGGCGTTCACGACCCTTCGGGCTCTACAAGAATCTTTTTCGAACAGTACCACGACCCTCGACGCCTATCCGTATTTCCTCAGCTGGTATGGCAGCCTGGACGAGCTAAGTCCGAAGGATATTTGCTGATACATTGATGATTCCCGTTCAGGACTATGCTTCTTTCTCCACTATCCCCCTTCTTCGTACTGTTCTGCAACGTCGTGGCAACATCCGATCAAAGAGATTTCGAAATGATCAAGAATATCACCGATGACTTACGCCAATTCGCCAAGGTGAATGTCTCTATTGGCAAATTATACGGCCTTTTCTCAAAATTCCTTGATCTGTGTGCGCCGTTGATCAAACCAAATCAGGGCATGCTTGACTCGATGTCTGTTTTCCCGGTTGATGGGAAGACTCTTGGTCAGACAAGCTTCTATCCAGACGTATACGCCCGTACTGGTGATCAAGTCCCGCACACACTTCCCAGTCCCAGGATTAGAAGGGCAGCGTCTAGTGTGGGGCAATCTGGAGAGCCACAGTCGGTTGAGGGGTGGGATGATAGTTTGATGTGGGAGTTGTTTGATAACCAGCCTTCTCTGGGGTGGGCGGAGTCGGAGTTATGGGATTCTATGGCTCAGTTGGATGCTCCATAGTCAGCATATTCATATTCTAATCTAATGTCGAGGAAATATTGAAGATCTATCGTCGGTGCAATTAGTACATGAGTTTATTTATTTTGAGCAACTCGTTGAGAGGACTCGGTCCCAAGAAGAGTCGGATAAAACGAATGGATCAGACATCCCAGTCTAGCCAAAGGACAAAAAAAGGAAATGCTCGATGGGTGTGGGGGCATGCAGAGGGGCCGTCGTCTGTCTGTGACACACAGCCACTTATTATAATACAGTATTCAAAGAAGGGTCGGAGGGGTTCTATCACGAGATCAATACCCAGAGAAGGAAGAAAATCTGTATCAGTGGTTAGCGTTGTCGGAGAATGAATACACGAGTATGAACGAACCATCAGAATACCGAACATCTTCGCGATAAGCCACCGATTCCCGGAAACGCGAGTCCAGTACTTCATCAGTTCTCGCTGGGCGCCCTGCACATTGTCCACAACGTCATCTGTGTTGGCGTCGATGCGCTGGATCATCTCTGACTGTTCGCTGACCATCTGGGCAAGCTGACCAAAAATACCACCAAGCTCACTGATAGTCCGCTCGATGGCTTCAATGGCCTCGCCACGAGCTTGGACATAGGTGTTACTCGATTGGGCCTCCTCCATTACCAGCAATTGCTGATCTGATTGGATTGAGGGGCGCCCTAGCGGCGAGGGATTTGATGGGTCGAGTGTCAGGAGGTCGGATGAGTTTCCTTGGTATCCCGGTTGAGGGGTGCGTCGCCCAGAAGTGTTGTACAGAGGAGAATCGGATCGCTGGGAGTCGAGGGCGGTCTGCGACTTCGATGATACTGAAGACACGAAGTTCTCGGTCCTTGATCGAGATGCCTGAATGTTCTTGGTCCGAACCTCTAGAACTTCCTTGAAGCTGGATCCTACATCGGCCAGCTTCCCTTGCAACATCACAACAACCTAGAGACACGCCTGGTAAGCCACGCGCATATACTTATCGAGAACTCCCCGACTTACGTTGTCATTGTGTTCTCCCTCCTGATCCGTCTTTGGCCGGTTGGACTTCGGATGTTGTGCCTGAGTCAGGGTCTGCAAGCTTGCTATCTGCTGGTTCAAGGAAGCAAGGTCTTGCTTAATCACGTATGTCAATTCGGAGATCTCGACGGGTCGGTCATCGAAGAGCGTTTTGCGTTTTGCCACTAGACTTCGCATTAGAACCGGTTCATTCTCAACACGTCTATTTCTTTCCAGACAGTCCCCTAGAGTCGAACTCACACTCTGCCAAGCGTTGCAACTTCGAAGTCGTTCCAGTGATTCCCCTGCCGATATCTCGCGCTCTTCGCGCAAATTCCGATCGCCCGGCCTTGCTACCCTGCACGCCAGATGGTGAGCCATTGGCCTCTCGCCGTTGAGAGTCCGTCAACAGAGCCTGGCGCTGCGACCCGACTTTCGACGCGCCGAGGCGCTTTTGGGCTTGGCCCAGAATGGAGCTGAACTCGCTCGTGCGGTCCTGGATCGACGGTCCGGTCATTGTGTAGCAACTGATTCGGTGTAGGCGACGAGCGGATTTCAAAGGCGTGTCCTCCGAAGGTCAGGGTGAGTGGGGTTCAGGGCTGGACTCCGCCGTTGTTGATCCGTTGCGAACCCACGGGTAATCGATAAGGGGTTATGTAGATGGTTGGGATCCACCAGCAATGACGACGAGTGTTGACGGTACCAGGAGACGGTATCTGTGGTATAGAGCAAGACACAGCAGAGAGAGGAGAAGAGACGGAAGGCCGGGACACTCTTTGCAGCGACTCAGCGGCCGCAAATGAAACACGTCGATCGCGGTGATGTCACGTGGTCACGAACGCCACATGACATAAGCAGCACCGCCATCGATAAAATTAGATGCAGTTACAACCCCGGACTTCGCGTCAGGGGAAGAAGCTTGAATGCTACGTGTGTTTTTCTCTCTTGTTTTTCTACCTTGTGCATCTTCGGTGTCCCATATTTGCGTCTTTGGGGGACACACTTCATCCCGGTTCTTTATACAATAATCTTGTTTCACCCACTACGGGGCCGTTTCCAGCTAACCGATCTGATCGGCGCCCGCATAGGCAACGTCGCTCAACGCCACTCCGTCTGACCTCACATACCCGGCGTTCCTCCTGTACGAGCTCAGGAAAGTATTCCAAGGTCTGGAGGCAGTTGCCATCATCTCCTGTGCGTCACAGGCTCGTTGATCCTTACGACTGCCACGCAACGTCCCTTGGTGTGTTAGTCAGGCAGCAACCAATACTCGATACCCAGACCCCTTCGAGCTTCTGACACTACACACTACAATTCTCATGGCCGACTCTAGTAATCCTCAGCGGCACGGCCGCGTCCCTCAGCAACTGTAAGTGCACCCCGTCCGCGCTTCGTCTGTACCTCCTCGCACAAGCTCTAAGACACCCGCTTCCAGCCCGTCTCCACCCAACGCGAACAGCCCTCTCTCGCCAGCTAGCGGAGGCAACAATCCCATATCTTTTCGGCCGAATGTGAATCGCGCGAAGACAAAGCGTTGGGTCGAAGCAAAGCAATACTCGTACGATGGTGGCGATTGGGGTGACGATGATGAGGAGGAGGAGGAGGAGGAAGAGGAGCCCCCTGTCCCTCCTCAACGTCCGTATGCAACCCACAGGACCGGCAGCTCGTCGGAGTTGAGCTCCAGGCGCTTGTCCGGGCTTGCATTCGGGGCCGATGAGTCGCGAGGAAGCCCCTCGGCCGAGGCCAAGGCGGACTCTTGTGGAGGCGACAGGGCTTTGCCGTTCATCAGACCTGCCGATCTTTACAAGCGCATGCGCGAAGAGAGACCATCGGCTGAACCTGGACGTCAGACCGAGGCTTCACAGAGTCCGACAGTGAGCCTTCCGACGCAGGCACCCGTGACTACCAGTGACCCTTCGAGGGCGTCTCAGGCTTCGCCTACTGTGGGTTTGCTGGAATTGAAGCGAATCTCTGTGTTTGGATCCGATTTTTTGGGTGGAAGCGACTCGAGCTCGCAACACACTAGCGCCGATTCTCAGCAGGCCTCCTTGCATCACAACCCCTCCCAGGCCTCTTCTCAAGGGTTCACGTCTGTGGTCCATCAGGCTTTTGATGTTCCAGAAACCCCCAATTCCACCACTGCTGGCAGTGTGGGACGGTCTAACAGCGATGGCACGTCTGTGATCAGCCCCATCATGGGCAACCGGGGTTATCCAGATGACAAAACCCCTACGATCCTTGAAGAGCCAACGGAGTCCAACACCCCCACCGGTCCGTCTACGGAGCCTTCGGGCGATTACTTTAAGCCTGGCCACCGGCGGGACATGAGCCTTCCCAGCCGGGACAATAGCCCTTCTAAGCAACCTTTAGTCACTGACCAGGAAGCTCCTAAGTCGGGCCATGCAGAAATTGCCGCAGTCTCTCCGAGTCAAAGCTACGATCAGTCTGAATTTTCAACATCCTCAAACATCGTTCCGGCTTCAACGGCTGAGAAAGACTTCGTTGCACCTCTGAAATTTGGCAGCAATGCAACTTCTGGGTCCGAGGGGTATCGTGGTGAAATTCCCACAATCGTAACAGGCAACTCACCAGAAGCTGCCGACAACGACCAACTGAGGGAAGAAATTATGCGTTCGTTGAGCCGAGAGAATTCTCAAGAGCCGGAGGAATCAACCCAGCAACCCCAATCACAAGGTGCTCAGGAGTCAATCCCTCACCAGTATGAGAAGTTCTGGGGTGGTGACCCTCGAACCGAATCTACTCTCGATGCGGCCCCCAGGCCTCTAGTTTCCGAGTCGAATCCTCTGGCTCCTCAGAACCCATATGCAACTTCTCAAACCCCCAGCACGGACGCTCTACCAAAGAAACCGAAAATGGCAAGGCGCTTCTCATGGGAATCATCCGACGAGGATGATACGCCTACGCCACAAATTCCCGGTGGGTATACTTCACCCCCGCCTCTGAACGCAGCGCTTGCCATTCAGGAGCCTGAGCCTATCTCTCATGACTCCGATCAGCTGGCTTCGGAGGGATCGTCTAGGGAAGCGCCAATGGCCGACGGCGAAGTTTCAGGTTCGGACAGTCAGCGCCTTGGAAAACCTAGGCTATCAATTGTACCTCCGGCGGCAGAAAAAAGCCCTCCACCGCAAGTATTGGGTCCGGTGGATGCCTCTCAACCCGAGAGTGAGGCACTTGTACCTACGAACATCGGGACCTCGAATATCGGCGAGTCGAAACTTCAGGGTTTCCGTGAAATCCTCAATCTAACGACTCCGCATGCACGTATCCGGGCTTTCGACCAGACAAGAGATCAATTCGCTGCCCTTGACTCCGGTCTGAACCACTGGCTTGAGTTTACCGTCCACGACTACCCGGAGCATGCCGATCTGGTCCAGTCAAGCCAGAGCTTGTCCGCCGATTTCCCGCGGACCTCGCCGTCTCGGAGCAGATTCCCCAAACTGACATCTCTGGGTAACCTCGCTACCCGCGATGAGAACACCACGGCCAGCGCCGGCCACGCTCGGCGCCCCTCCGGTCATATTGGAACGATTGTGAACAGGCAACATGTCGCGCAGAGTGGAAAGGACCTTCTTCACACAGCGGGATCATTCGGTGGCAAGGCGGGCGAGGCCGCAAAGGGACTATTTGCCAAGGGCAGGAGCAAGTTCCGACCCAGCGGAGACAAGGTAGATACATGATTTCCCTCACTCGATATTTGGGGATACCTGGAAAAGGCGCGCTGGAAGGCCATCTGGCGGTGTTACACCCACATTCTGTTTCTTCGTTTCTTTGTTTCCTGGATACCACGATGTAATTTCCCATTCGCTTCATTGGAGTCTAGAATGCGACACGATTGATGCATCTGATTTTCTTCCTTCTTGGCCCTGGCCCATATCTCCCTCCCCTCTTTCTTCTTTGTGCTGTTTCTGATGTTGGTAATGTTTGTAGGGTCAATCGACAACTGAAGGTCGACGCAAGTCTGGCCAGTTCCAGTTCTCCTTCCAGTCTGAGCCCACGGGTGCACAGGGTAACTCTGGCTTGCGCAGGTCTCTCGATTTCGGGAACCTGCCCATTTTCAAGGGCCGGAATGAGAGTTCCACTGTCGATCGTTCGGATGTGAATGATTCTTCTCAGGAGGGTGATGGGGAGCGTGGGGGAAAGCGCTTCAAAAGACGCCGCTCTATTGACCTTTTGCGAAATACATTTGGTGTTGGCTCTTCTACCGAGACTGCAAAGCCTATGCTCTCGTCTTCCAATGTGGAAAAGCGCAAGAGTGGTGGTTTTATTGGAAAATCCGACTTTGCGAATGACTTTGAGCGGGAAATGATTGCTGCCCTTGGTCTTTCTCCGACTAAACCTGGTCCTGAAGAGTCCAGTTCTAAGCATGTGGAGCAGTCGAAGGACCAGTCAAAAGGTGATACCTTGGCCACTCAAGCTGTCACCGGTGCGGAAAGGGAGCTCTCAAGAGACAAGAGTCTGCCGGTTCTTCCTCCCCAGAGTTCCAATGGCCCTGTCCCGGCTGAGGCGACGGGTCAAAAGAGCCAAATCAGTATGGACATGCCCAGACCCATGACTCCATCAATCCGACCGGTGTTCGATGAGGATGTCAAACCCGCTACTCCGCCGAAGTACATTCCTCCAAAAGACCTGCCGCCTAAGTGCCTCCCACCGAAGGACACCTCAACCAAGGAGGCATCGCTCATCCCGCAGCCAAATCAAGGTCGACGCCAGCCATCAGTCTCGACACTAGGAGCAGATGAGAAGGACGCTGGCGGTTCTGAAGAAGAGACAGAAACACCGCCCTCCCCTATTCTGGATACGACAACGACAAAGAAGACAGCAGACCCTGCATATGCTAAGCCTCTACCCCAGGCAAGACCATCCAACACTCCTTTGCCCCATGAAAACGAAGACAATACAAGCTTCGCACCTATCCTGAGACCCCCGAGTTCAGCAGAGATCCTCGAGTCAAAGCGCAGGTCGATCAGCGGGCTACCGCCTTCTGCTCCAGGCGTCCAAAGTCCCTTAAGGAACGAAGTTCGGTACTCTCCAGGGACCCGAAGCAGCATGTTGAGCTTTGGTAGCTTCGGACGGCAGAGCCAGAGTCGTCCGGCTACTCCTGCCAATGAGCTCTCTAGTCATGCTGGTTCAGGTTCTCCTGTGCCAGACGGTGAATCCAAAATGGACAAGTTGAAGATTTTCGGAAGACGGCGCCGCGCTTCAGTGGGTGATCTGCTCACTGGTCTTCAAGACAATATCCAAGGTAGCATCCAAGGTCTTCCTGAAGGGGGAAAGCGAAAGCGAACTTTTAACCGCATCAGTGTATGTTTCCTTCGGTCGTGGTCAATTGTCTATCTGCTAAAGCTATATAGGGCTTGTTCAATCGTTCCCAGGATTCCCAGCCTTCAGATATCAAAAAGGATGACCGCGCCAGCACCGACACCAAAGATCCAGGATCCAAGGCTTTACCAACGCCACCCGCTAATGGACAGAATGGGCATTTCCATACGAATGGCTCCGTTACAGATAAAGAGCTCCCCGTAATGCCAGATCTTGAGTCCCAGTCGACCGGCGAAGCAGCGGCTATGCCACACGATCCTCGCCACTCTAGCATGCCTCTTCCGCCCATTGCTTCCCCTACAATGCTTGCTAGCCGCTTCTATTCCCAGGCGTCTACGGATGCTCCATCCTCTGCTCAACATACTCGAGTGAAGAGCCAGCCTTTGATGACGGCCCCACCTTTGTCCCCTGTTGCTCCGTCCAATTCCAATAGGAGTACCTCTCAGTCGTCTGATTTGCGTACGTCATACGGACGTGATTCGCAGGAGCTTCCAACAGATGCTGCTCGGCATTCTTGGGAACCGGAGGGATCTCCCGACGCATTTGAATCGCAAGATAAGCACCAGGACAAGAACCAAGCCCAATCCGCTCTCAGTCCCAGTCTCGGCGTGAAATCCCGCAAACCAGTCGGAGGCCAATCCGAGCCCGCCGACACAGCTGAGATGATCGTACCCAAAAACATCGCTGTCTCAAGCGACTCTACTTTTACAAACCACCCTCACCGTGATAACGAGGCCCGCACTCTCAACGAGACCACTGATCCAGTCGAACTCGCCATCACAAAGGATGACTCCAGTGAGGAGATCCTCATGTCCCCCACCGCATACCCAGGACAAGAATGGAAGCCGATGCATTACTAGCGAATTCAGCGTGCATGTTACGATATCCTTTCTTTCAGACTGCCATTGATGATCACCAGTCAGTCGTTTCATGTCTGTTATTTGGGCCCCCAAGTTCTTTGCATATACACGAACTTGCACATGTATTTTAATCTCTTTGTATCTCGGGTGGCTTTGTCTGATATTTCAAGCTTGTTTTGTGTACTCTGAGCAGTTTGGTTTCCATGTAAGCATTGCACAACTAGCGTGTCTGCCAGAGAGAGTCTGGAGAATCTAAATGACAATTATGATGCAAGATGCAACGGAAGTTTCTAGCGTTTAGACAATGAATGCTGCGTCTTCGAGCTCTAAAATCATGCGAAGTACCCCGAAAATCAATCCAGGCGTTCCAGGGACCTTGTCCTCGGGAAAAAGTGCTGGAGATTCGTCAAGACTGGCTACCCTGATGTCGGCTGGAAGGCCCATCAATACCCATAGTCAAAAATGGGGCCTTGCCCTTCTCTCTTCACATCTCAGCTGTATTATCTTACTGTGCAATTGCCAGTAATTCGTTAATCTGACCATGGCGCTCTTTTGACTCCTATGGTCGAGTCAAGAGTTACTACTGTGGTCATGGTGGTCATGACGTTTTAATACAGGCGTCCACTCATTTGAATGGAACGAGGACGACGATGAAAGAGTATCAATCTTCTATGCTCTAGATAGCAAGTCTTTATAATACATTCGTTTCCGCCAACTCCCATCGTTTTGGTCCGCCATGACTGTTGTATAAAACCAGGTGGTCAATCAAGGCAAGTACCCAAAAGCCCACAATAATCCGAGACAGAGCAGAGAGGTGTAGATGGAGATAGATGATCACATGAAACCTCGAAGGTATGCAGAAGGTGTCGGGGCAGAAATTCTTAGCCGTCAAACAAATTCTGATTCAACTCAACGCCCATTTCCTTCGCCATACTCTGCATCTGGGCCTCGATATCATCTTCCATACCACCACCGAGATGGAAGAACTGCCGAATCTTGGCCCAGTAGAACCAAATATCACTAGTCACCAGCACGATGCGGAAGATAACATGGCGGCCCAAGTTACGGATCTTCTCGGATAATGGCAGATCGGGGGACTCGACAAGCGCGCGCGAAGCCCACGTACCTGTGATCTTAACACGGTTGACCGGCGAGCCAAGGAACTGGTTATTCGCCTGGACGATGCGCAGGTTACGGCCGATGAAGATAAGCTCTTGTGGCCACTTCTTCTCATCGCCTAGGATCTCACGGATCGCCTTGCGGGCTGATTGTTGCATCTCGTAGTGACGCGCTTGGAGCTCACGCTTGCTCAGGCCCTCGATATGGCGCTGTGTCGACATATCGCCGCCGCGATAGGGGCGCATGAGGGTGGCGGAGGCGAAGATATCAGAGTTGTTGACACCCCAGCCTTTGGCGATCTCGCCTAATGTCTTGTTGTCAAAGGTGAGTAGCGCTTTCCAGAAGCGTGCGTACTGGTGCCGGAAGCCGGGTTCCATGTGGATATACAGGCCGTGGTCGATAAGGACAAGCTCGGCCCGGCCGGAGGGTTGGCGTCGAATGAAGATGTTGCCTGGGTGCGGGTCACAGTGTACTGTTCCCCATAGGAACATCTGTGCGGAGAAAAGGTCGACCATGGTTGTCATTACGTCCTTGAGTGACAGGCCTAGCCCGCCGCGGTTGTTCGGGCCCTTCCAGTGATTGCGCTCGGGCTTGACTTTTGATTCTTGCGGGTTTGGAGAGGCGGGTCCGCTCTTTGGAGGATCCATGGGTGTTCCGTGGCATCCTGGGCTGCCCTGGCGCCAGCCACCACGCCATGAGCGTGTGATGGAGTCTTTGTCCCAGAGCCGCACGCCCTCTATCCATTCGGCCGTCATAACTCGTCTCGAGCTAAGCTCGCGATACACTTTCGGGATGTACACACGGTCCCGCAGACGAGGTTCGCCAGCCACTAGCCGGGCCATTTCCTCCGAGTTGTTTGCTTCATTCTCAAAGTCCGTCTCCAGGGACAGCCGCTCGCTGATGTACGGGATCAAAGTGTAGAAAGGGATATCAAACAGCTTGCTGTAGATAAAAGTAACCACTCTAGAAGAAGAGGTTAGCTTGTGACTCTTCCCTCGTTTGTGTTCGCGAGCGTGGCAGTTAACTCACTTAAAAGCCCACAAATCCCAGTTCAGCTGCTGCTCAATCTCATGTTTCTGGATCTTGATACCGACCTCCCGTCCATCCGGCAGACGGGCCCAATGAACCTGTGCCACACTAGCACTAGCACGGGCCGTTCGCTCCATGACACCCTTCCCAGGCTCACCGGTGAACGAGACACCAAAGACCTCCTCCGGCGACTTTCCAAAATCCTCACGAATAACCTTCTCAACCTCCTTCCAATCATTCTGCGGCGCATCATCGAACATGCGCGAGAACATCTGCGAAAACTCGGGGGGCAGAATCGCCGCTTGGTTGGCGATAGCCTGGCCCATCTTCAAGTACAGCCCACCATTGTGACGTAGGAGGTCCGACAAACGCTCGGCGCTTCGGGCATGCAGGGCTGTAATAGAGCTGGCGAAAGGCGGGTGCGGGCGGAAATTGATCTTATAGTCCAGTGCGACGAATAGACCGAGAGAGAAGGTGCGGACAGTTCGGGTCAGTGACGAGGCGTAGAACTGCGAGTCGATGCCGTAGATGACGCCCGTGGCCAGCGAGGCGTAGACCAGCCGCCGTAGCCATTTTCGGGTGCGAGTGTAGGTCTTCGCTGCCGTGGGTTTGCCTAGTGAGCTCGGCGACGGAGGAAGGAAGGGCTGGAATTCCCCCGCGTGCACATATCGGCGGGTTAGAGGGTGCCAGATTGAGACTCGGGGTGCGACGGCGGGCCGTAGCGATCTGAGGAGCATCGCGTGCGACATGGTCAAGAAGAATGGGTGGTATCAGCACATGGCGCGAGTTATACTGATTACACGGGGTGAATAGGAGCCTCGAGACCGACGAGCTCGTTGAAGGAAACAGTTGCGGAGATAAGGACGGACCTCGGGCAGTCGTCATCCGCGGTGACGCCGCGGACTCGGCGTCGGACGAATTCCCCTGGCGGTCTTACAAAAAAAATTTGGGGTCTTAATTAATACACATATATTCCAAATTAGACATAATTCTTAGTTACAATCACAATTCCTCGTGGTTCGGAGGTGTCAATTTATCGCACACACTCGCATATTCCCTCATGTTATTCGGGATAGTCACCTCCCACAACTCGTCGCCCTGAAGGAACTTATATTGCTCCTTGCACCCAGACTCAGACGCCATTGGCAGTAGAATGGGAAGGTGCTTGATCGACGCTTTCACAAAGTTGCGCTTGAAGCAGTTGCCGAAGTCGGCTAACGTATCCGGGTCGGAGCAAATGTGTCGACCGTGTAGCAAGGGGGCGCAGCGCTCTTTGATAATGATCGCGACATCGTCGCCCATTTTCAACAGTGCATCTTCTTTGTGAGGGACGTCCATGCGCTTCATGAGGCTGCGCACGGCGGGGACGAAGGAGTTGTTGCGAGTCCAGAGGTCCCAGTGTGGGATGGTTGGTTGGCATCCACGGTCGCAGATTTCCGTCTGGAATTTGTTAAAGAGGTGTCCCGGTCGGCCGACCAGTGCTGCGACGACTTTAAAGCATGTCGGACCGAGTGCTGCGACGGGGGTGAGGACGACGAGGAGGAGGAGGAAAAGGTGGCAATCAACCGAGAGGCGCATCTCGGTGAAGGGGAGGAAGAGATGATCGATGGACGATCGACGGGATTGTCGCCGGGATCAATTCCAGAGTCTCAACCTTGGAACAATCTCGTTACACCAGATCAGTTGGAAGTGAGTGAAGCGAAGAGCCCTATCCCCGCGGATTTACGTGTGGAGTGCGGAGAGATATATCACGGCTCCACCGGTTGCGGTGGTTGAACCCTCCGTTGGCCGAGTTGTGCATTTGTGCATTTGTGCATTTCTTCAACACTTTATCTACCGCCTGCTATCAACAATACTAAAACCTCGAGCTTGGTTCATTACGCTAATTTCTAACCAAACGTTGTCGACTGCTCTATCTCAAGTCAGACTAACGTGGTGCTAAACTTTGTCGCCCTCAGTCTTAGCCATACCAAATTGTGGCTTGCAATCCGTAACCACGCTTGAGTAGGCCCCGAGGCTGCCGCAGTGGTTTGATTCCAAGGCTGCAGACTCACCGCTGGCACATGGTTATAAAGGCTCTGGCTGACCCTGATTCCTGCAACCCATTTACCCCACCATGGATACTCTCAATCTCCAAGAAGTGGACTCTATCGAAGCCATTGTCATTATCGACAATGAGCTAGACCCGCTATCCCCCCCAGCCCCAGATACAGTGCAAATCACTGGAAACCTTGGGACTATCGCCATGGGCGCTGGGCATGTTCCGACCGACCGCGGCGGTGCAATCAGAGAGATGCGGATGGAGGACATCTGCTGCTCTGCGCATGGCCTGTCTATCCTTGTGGTAAGATAGAGCACTCACTTTCGAGGAACCCTACTCACGGGTGGCTGGCATAATATAGACAGCTACCAAAGGCGACAAAACCCACTCCGTTCTCTTCGACGCTGGTCCGGAAGAGGACATATGGGAGAGGAACGTCAAGCGACTGCGGCCGGACCTCGCCTCTGTTGAGGTGATTCAGCTGTCGCATTGGCATCGGGATCACTCAGGTTTGTTCAGCTCTAGTTCTCAACGGATCAAATGCATCAGTGTGAGGTACCGTTCTGACTGGTTTCAGGTGGTCTCTTGAAAGCTATTCGAATGATCAAAGAGGCCAAACAAGCCCAAGGTCTCTCGGACGAGCTCGTCGTGGACGTGCATCCAGATCGCCCCGTTTATCGAGGTATTGCTCTGCCCGAAATTATCATATCACTCGAGGCCGATCCGACTTTTGAGGATTTGTCCGGAGCTGGCGCCGTAGTGGACAAGCAAAGCGAGGCACACACCGTCCTCGATGAGATGTTCCTGATCTCAGGCGAGATCCCACGAGTAACTCCGTATGAAACTGGGCTCAGAAATGCAGTTCGATTTGATCCCGAGGAAAAGGACTGGTACTCGGACGAAGTCATTGCCGACGAACGTTTCCTCGCATGCAATTTGAAAGGTAAGTTCACCCAAATATCATTTTGAACGGACCGACTGTTCAACCCGTCAAGACAAAGGCATCGTCGTCTTCACAGGCTGCAGCCACGCCGGAGTAGTCAACACCGCGAAGCATGCCACCGAACTAATCACCCCAAAGACCCTCCTCCACGCCGTCGTCGGCGGCTTCCACCTCGCCGCGAGCGAAGAAGCCCAAATTCAAAGCACAGTAACTGACCTGAAACGACTCGATCCCGCCGTCCTAATGCCAGGCCACTGCTCGGGCTGGCGATCGAAATTCGCCATAGAGAAGCACATGCCAGGCACGCTGGTGCCATGCACCGTGGGCATCAAGATTACCTTCTAGAGCAAGTGGATCGGGATTTGTTCTGTGACGGCATTTGCCTCGGCTGCTCCTTGCAGAGGCGTTAGTCCACGTGGGTATGCAGACTCCTACAGTAGGTTCGAACCGGCATGCCTCGGGTCGCTTATGGCAACTTGGTCGTTATCCATCAAGGGGTGGATGGCGTCATTGGACCCTGACTCGGCATACTTGACGATTTTTAGCTTTTGAGATCCAGATCATCTGACAGGAGTGTCCCCTTGCTGCATTCTTTTTCCGTACGATCGGGTGTGGTGATAGAGATAACGGCGGTTCTAGAGCTTCAGAAGTGGTCCAACTAGGATGTTGTCTCAGTTGTAGGTTTGTTGGTATATTGGGGTGTATTTATACGTATTATGAGTGACTATGTGCGATAGTGTCGAAAGCGACGTGAATTGAGCGTTTGGGCAGTCGGTGATGTTGGGGTAGACTCTGTATATATCCGCAAGAGGTTATCCACGACCACAATTTATATTTCAATCGTTGGTGACTAACTTGACCAGGCTCCTTTCTTAGATCAAGATATAAATAAATGACATAGACTAGATATCCTGACACAAGTGGATAGTTTATTCCAATGACTGCGCAGTTGGCACAAGCGGACCCTCTGGAAGTGATAGTACGCCGAACCCATACCTGTATGATATCCAACGTGAACAGAACGTGAACAGTCACTTCTCTATAACCGTGAAACAAGGTTTTTACCAGGCAAAGTTTGATCGAGTATGTACGTTAGTACAGAATCTTGGTATACAAGGTTCAACGGTGAAGAGGTATGTCTCGTATTTCCAAACAGATAGGCTAAGCACACAACCCAAAACAACACCCGTGGATTCTACATCCACGCCCCTCAGATACCAGCGGAATACAGTCGCTCGACTGAAGCCCAATCTTCCGACCACCCAAGATCACCATGAAACACAGCCAAGACACCTTGGTCCCCCCCCAAAACCTCTTTCCCCAAACATCGCCCATTGGCAGTAATTTCAACAGACAACCTTGGCAAAGGCGATTACCGCCGGGCACAATCATGTACCTCGCACGTCCCTGCCAATCGAATCCAGCATTACGCTGGGTACAGCATACTGTAAAGCCACCGCCAAGAGCGATTTGCAGTGAGCCGGGCGGAAATAATTACAATCGCCCTTGCTCTCTTTTCTCGTCCTCCCCCACCCCACCGTCACGGTGCCCAGATCACCGGGGAGTGGTCAGTGTTGAAGCGTGCTACGAGACTACTCCGTACTGTGCCATGGGGAAAGGGGGAAAGGGGTATTGCCGAGCAAGTCATGCCCGCCAAGACGATAATCCCAAAACAATGCACGGCGCTGTTCTTGGCGGGGTTCAGGGGGAGGGGCATTTAGCGGGCGATCAAGGGAGTACGCGACATTGCTTTGGCATTGCATGGCCTATCGGGTATATCACACGCTACTCTAATGCTGGATACACTGCGCAGCTGCAAAGAAGATCATGACTAGGATTGTCGTGCTCGGCTTTGGCGCCAAGAGTGATGCGCCTCCGAGTCGGACGGATTGATAATTGTCCGAATTCATTCTGATACATAATCAATAGTCTGAAGTCTGACACGTGTATTGGAAATTATTCTTCGTGTTTCACTCGCTCTGTGACTACCAGGGCACGTTGTTTATATGATTTGATATGTTCCCTGGATCTGGAATACTGTACTCCGTACTCAGAACAAACTTCGATGATCTCTATTTGTTTTGTCCAGTACTCAAGATTGAGAGGCTCATTGGTCCCGCTGGCCAAGACTTCGGTGAAGCTAGAATCCAATTAATTCATGCAGTCCGCTGATCCCTTGTATCGGATCGGAAGGGAGGGATATCCCATTATTCGACATCATGGCGATGCTAGCTGGTCTGGAGCATACATGCAACGATTGCGGTCATACTACCTATAGAACCCCACGAACTTGGCAATGCTGCTGTACTTGACCAAAGAGCCAAGACTTAAAGTATACGTACGAAGATTATTTTGCATTGCATACACCCAGAGGCTACAGTATACTGACGGTAGCTATGCAGCGGATCCGTGTTGGGCAATCAAAAACGAAGTACACAACCTCCGCCCTCTGCAGCAAGCAGCGGATCCTAGTCGAAGAGTACCCTACAATAGCAACACAGGCCGTTGAAATTGGCAGTTTACATGATGGCTGAGCCCAGAACACCAGGATCGTCGGACATTCGCAAAACACGGATGATCACATTGGCCCGTGGTGCGTAAGTAAGCCGTGTCCGAATACACTCAGAACCGTATTTCGTATGATTCCCCAAATGTGTCACCCTGTTACAGACGAAACAAAGGAGAAACATTTCCTATAGCCGCACCCACGGCATCCGCGCGTCAGGCCCCGTATAGGCCACTTTTCGGAAAACCTACCTGAACACCCCTGAAACCTGCATCTGACACGCGACGATCCAAACCTCGCGGCTCTGTTCGCACGGCTCAAGCATTACACAATACGTAGAGTAGCTGCAAAAATAAACCTGCTATAAAGGGGGGCATATCGTTGAGGGCCCCCAGCGTAACATGTAGGTCCACAACCCGGTTTTCCAATCCTACGTCGCTTTTAATAGTGATGTGCGCTATGGAGAACACGCATAGCAGAACAGAGTTTGGCCGAGGCCCCTTAGAAGCATCGCGTTGAGCATGTGGGGAATGTAAGCTTGCCTTCTCCTGTCGATCAAGGGCCGAAAAAGGGTCACAACGTGGCCTTTGTTTTGGCGCGAGACGCGTCGCGATCTGGACCTCGTTGTTTTTGGGCCATTCCTTCCATGTGCAATGTCATCATAGCTATTCCTGTTCCTGTTCCTATTCCTGTTCTTTCATCGTGGATCTAGCTCTGTTCATGTGCTACGGGCCGATGTGCAACTTAAAGTGTAATTTTGTCCGCGAGGCTGTCAGGTACGAGTACGCATCAGGAACGCGCAGGCCAAAAGGGGATAAACTCCGAACAAGCTAACAAACGCGTAACATTGAACTTGAACTTGAACTTAATAGCTGAACGAGTTGTAGCTGGACCGTAGAGAAAATGGACAAATCTGATTCTCGGTTGATCGGCGCAGGGGTTCGTCTGTATGCTGCCAAGGGGGCACGGAGCACACTCTACTCGAGTATACAGATCCAAAAGTTGCCGGCAATTGAAAGACCTCCAAGTACCCGTGACTTTTGCCGGGTAGGACTGATTAGCCAATTAATATTTCCTCTTACTCACGGTGGCGCCGATAAAAGATTTTAGAGTGAACTAGTCCCTTCAAGGTGGACGTAGCATGCGACAGATGCCCCAAAAAAGAATCCATGGTTCCATAGCCTCGCACAAAACGTACAACGCCAAAAATTCAAGAACATCTGCGACATGTCGCAGAGTTCGGTGCCGACACCCGCGTTGCCGCGTAGCCCGGGTTTGGTACGCGATTCCGGCCGACAAGCCGAGTTACGGGCCCCGAGCACAGAATTTTCTTCAGCGCCGAAACCCTGCCGATTGACCTCGGATTTAGTCGGCGCCCGAGACGCCAGCAAGGAGGCAAAAGTGCCAAATAGCACAAAGGCAAAGTAAAAAAAGCACAGACAACTATAACGTCCGGGAGCGGTTTCCGCGTGGGCGTATGACGATAGGGTGCAGCGCAGGAGCCATGTCGATGGTAGTAAAAAAAATCGAAATCGAGTCTAGTTCGCCCAGAAATGGCCCCTCTTGCCAGAAACACCGCCCCGAAGGAACAAAGTGACGCAGAATAAAGCACAGATACACAGTCACCGCAAACTCTCACAGGATTATCATGAGGCTTTTTTTTTCGCGCCCGTTTACACCGATCCTCCGACCGCTAGACCACGTTCATCTCCTTGCATCGTGCATGTAAACGGAGACTGACGGGCAAGTCAAAAAGCTTGAGGCTCATCATCTGCAGGCGCGGGCACCGCGCATGATAACTTTCCTAATCTGGAGACCGTCGAGCAGAGACCCCGACCTCTCCCCTCGAAACCTCCATGGGCAGACCATGGAGAATGCGGTCTAACCTGGGGTGAACCTGCAAGCGGACGCTGGGATCGCTTGGCGACCCAGGCGTTGGGGTCAAGTCTTAGATTAGCGTGGGATGGCCCATAGCTACACGAATAAACCCGTACGCGTAAAGCGTGTAAGTGCGAACGCGTTTTGGAGTGAACCCTTTCCCGCGGTCACCGGGAAGCGTTGCTCATTTTCCCCTTTCCCCTTATCCATAGGTACGCTATACGAAGTTGGTCAAGGGTCAAGCCATTTGCTGCACGACACGAAAATGCCTCACGGATCTCACAGGCAAAGCCGGCTAAAGCGGACTGAGGGTGATACGCGAGTGGTAAAATTCAAGGTACGATTTGGCAGGGCGATCGTCCGGTGGGGCGGGTTCACGATGCTCGTCTGGCCCACCGGTGAGGGTTTGATTCAGATGCAGACCCATTTCTCTCCGCCTGTGCCGGCTGTGATTGCTGGAATTGGGCTGGTGATCCATCCCGCTACTGTAGGTACACGGCTACGCGGCGAAAGCCAAGAAACCCTAGGGTGGCCTCGTTCGTGGTTGTATACTGGTTGAGTTGTGCCATCCCACGGTGTTTTCTGGGGTGGTTTGATGGACTGTCAAGGGGTCAATTGGGTTTCGAGAAGGTGTCTGGATGCAAAGAGAAGGTGCTAGCGGTGTGCCTGCTTCACCCGACAAGAGGAAGAAACGGGAAAAACGGCAAATGGCGTGAGCTGAGTCAGCCGTCTCGAGGGCACGCGATTGGCAGGACGCGTGCGTGGCTACTATACCCGAATGGGCATTTACTTCCTATCCGACCGCAATTGGGAACAGGCCGTACGGGCAATACACGTATTGAATTTTCAGGGAGCGCGTTCCTGGAGTGGCATAGTAGCACACAGAGCGAAAGCGGCGTGATAAGCTGCCATGACGTGAGAGTTTCACACTTATCATCCCTGAAGGCCTGGAGATTGCCGA